GCCCTAAGCCCTAAGCCCTAAGCCCTAAGCCCTAAGCCCTAAGCCCTAAGCCCTAAGCCCTAAGCCCTTCCATGACTGCACCGGAAATGGCTTTGCGAACTTTAGAGTGAGCGCCATCACAGCCAACAAGATATTGTGTCTTTAGCGTCTTCGTATTTTGCTCAATACCTTGAGATTGAACTTCGACTGTGAGATGCTTCGAACTTTTGGTAAAGCCTGTACATGCGAATGATCGAAGTACATGCACACCTCGTTGTGCCATGTCTTTCAGGAAAACATCCTCTACCATACCCTGATGCACAAGAAGGATGAAGGGATCAAGGACATCGAGCGAATTTGGGTAATGCTCCACCCTCCGCATGCGCCGTAGCGTCTGTAGTGCCGTCGAATTCCAGAAGCATATGTCGTAAATCTTGACACCCTTTCGCAGCAAGTCATCTGCTAGTCCCAATTGCCGAAAAGTCTCAATAGTCTTCGGCTGCAAGCCATCTGCTCTACCTGTAGTCGTCTTGTCCGCTCTGTCGTCGACCAAGGTCGGTCTAATGCCATACCTTGCAAGCGTCGACCTGATTGCTGTTAGCATTGCACACGTGACTGCTTCGCCAAGGATACTGCACTCACGCCAGCATTAGCCCAGCCGGACCAGCCCCTGCGATAACGACATCGCTCATGTCTTGTTCGTTGACGTCTTGTGCGTTGACATCCTGTTGTCTCTGGAACGCATCCGCACGTGGCGGAAGCGATGCTTCATCAATGGTAAGGGCTGGCGACATGATTGATACCCGCTGCGATTATTGATGAAGATGTCAACACCATCGTTTTGCAAATGGCGCGACCTTCATCTCATATTGGCCATTTCATCGTCGGAGCAGGATTTCAGTGCCGCGAGATTATTCGTGGCATCGCCTAGCGAGCTGCCAGAATTCTCTGCCTGGGTACAGATACGGACACATTCGCACCTTCGAGAAGATAAACCCCCACCTTTGATGAACACGCCATAAGCTCGAATATTGAAGATCCAGGGATCGCTGGACTTGCCAGATCAAGGTTCATAGTCTGTGCAAAGGGAGCAAACATTCCAATCCAGCCCGAGTTCGCCGCCGATGTGCTGACGACTGGCTGCCGATCACAGCTCGTTCTGTAGGTAGCGGCACGATCTTAGAATACAATGACGAAGCATGAGCATGGGAAAATAGTATGGACTGATGTTGTTGCAAAGAAACGAGCAGAAAGAGATGCTGCCATAAAGTCGTTTCTGGCTGGACGCGATGGACAAGATTCCGAAACACAAACATCGAGAGTGGTTGAACAAGATCTGCCCGACTTAGGAGACCTCGATTTTTTGCAAGCCAGTATCTCTACGGGTCGATTGACTGCAGAGCAAGTTGTGGTCGGCTATATCAAAAGGCAAGTTTCGCGGGTTGAAAGTTCGCAGCTGACAACCTATTAGGGCCATACTAGCCCACGAGAAAGTACGATGTTCAACTGGCACATGACGATCAACTGATGATGTCTAGACTAATTGCTTGACAGAGATATGCTTCAATGCAGCGGTTCGAGAAGCACAAGCTCAAGATCAGATCCTGAAAACCTCTGGAAAGGTAGTTGGTCCACTGCACGGAATTCCTGTAACACTCAAGGACCAATTCAATGTCTCTGGCTACGATACTACGTTGGGCTACACTGCCAGAGCATTTCAAGTTGCAGTGACTGACGCTTGGCTGGTGTCAACCCTGCGACGGCTCGGCGCCATTGTGATCGCTAAATCGAACATTCCTCAAAGCATTATGGTAATACCTGCTTGCTTCCATGCCGAATATGCTGACGGTACCAGTGGTGTGAGACTGAAAATCCTCTATGGGGTCTGACAACAAATCCAGTCAATCCAGCCTTTACGCCTGGAGGATCGACAGGTGGGGAGGCGGTCTTGCTTGCACTGAATGCTTCGGTCATCGGCTTCGGCACAGATATTGGTGGCTCCGTAAGGATCCCGAGTCATATGAACGGGTTGTGGGGCCTGAAACCAAGCGTAGGTACAGATGACCTGGTAACCGGTTGCTAATGCAAGACAGAGTGGCCGCCTATCCTATCAAGGAGTGCCAGTTTCCACAGAAGGTCAACAGCATGTACCGTCCTCGATAGGACCACTGACACGTTCACTATCTGGAATGACGCAAATCACGAAGCTTTTGATCGATGCAAGGCCATGGATTTCAGATCCTGCATGTCCGCCCATTCCTTGGCGAGATGCGATCTTCCAAGAGTATCAGCGTAAGCGATTGACTATAGGCGTCATGATTGACGATGGCGTTGTAAAAGTTCATCCTCCCATTGAGCGTTGCTTGTATGAGACTGTCTCGAAGCTCAAAGAGGCTGGTCACGAGATTATCACCTGGGAACCGAGTTTACACGCCGAATGTGTATCAGTAATGGTGAGTAATCTTTTGGCTGATTCCTGATGTCTCTGACCGAACCAGGACCGTTACTATAGCGCCGATGGTGGCGAAGACATTCGTCGAGCCATCAAGGCGGGTGGTGAACCCTTCATTCCACACGTGGAAGCACTGCTGAGTCGAGGTGATGCAATATCCGTGTATGAATATTGGCAGCTGAACAAGCAGAAAATTGCATTACAGGATGCGTACCATAACAAGTGGACAGACACAAAAAGCCCGTCAGGACAATCTGTCGATATTCTCCTCACACCAACCATGCCACACACAGCACTACCCCATAAAGGATGCCGCTGGGTTGGTTATACAAAAGTATGGAATTTCTTGGACTATACAGCTTTGTCGTTTCCAGCAGGCAAATGTTCACAGAGGACGGATGTATTACCTACAGATTATACACCAAGAAATGAACTGGATGCTTGGAACTGGAAGCAGTACGATGCTGACACTATGGACAACCATCCGGTAGGCCTGCAGATTGTTGGTCGTCGTTTCGATGAGGAAAAAGTTTTGGCAGTGGCGCAAAGCATAGTAGCGGCTCTTGCAACACGCGGTAGTCGCCAATGCTGAAAACATCACAAAAGATATGTCGAACTCAATTGCACAGATATAAATCTCGAGATCTAGGAGCTATGAACGACTACCATTTTGTAACTCCACCGTCGAGAAGAAGGTCTTGACCAGTCATGTAAGAGCTTGCGTCGCTAGCAAGGAATACACAACCACCTCTTATATCATCTGGTTCAGCCACACGGCCGTTCATAATCTCGTCTTTCCAGCTCTCTAGAAGATGTGGAAAAGGAGCTGTCATCTCAGTCCTTACGTACCCTGGTGAGATGCTATTACATCTTATACCCTGCAGCCGTTAGCTATTGGTTGATCGCCACACAAAGGACAACTAACGTATTCCACAAGTTCAGCAGCTATAGCAGGACACATAGCTCGGACTGCACCCTTAGTACCACAATATGCACTGCTCATCTGACTTCTGATGCACATATGGCTAGCTATGCTGGCGACAAGAATGATGCTACCGCATTTAGTCTCGCTTGCAATCATAGCCTTGGCAGCAAGCTGAGCAGTGTGATACACTCCCATGACGTTGACGCCGATTAGTTTCTGATGGTCCTGGAACACTGTGTCAAGGAAAGCAACATTTTTGTTGATGCCAGCACACGCAACGCAAATGTCCAACTTCCCATTGAAATCTGCTTTAAAAGCTGTGAAGGCTTGCGCAAGACTCTCAATGGAGCTGACGTCCACTCTGGGCAGTTTTAGCCGTGTTTTATGCCTGAGTGGGTTGAATTACCTGTAGTACTTGGTCTTCACGCCATATTCCTGCTCAATTGTGAAGAAGCTCAGTGCTGGATCGATAATATCGAAGATTGCTATGTCAGCTCCTGCTTCAGCAAGACCTTCAGCAAAAGCAAGTCCACATCCTCGTGCGCCTCCTGTTACTATTGCCGCTCGACCCTTCAGTGAGAACTGCGCCTTCCTCAGTGTCTAACTAAGTATGTCTCATTTGCAACTTACTCTACTCATTCTTTCAGATGTGTGATCCGAGTATTGGCTGCAGTACACAAATCGTGGATGTGGTCAGTGTCCAGTGACCAGATCAGGGGTAGCCTTGTCTTAGCTTTCTCACGCCCCCCCACGACTGGCGATCTGCCCAGCTCCACAATGCCAAGCCCCATCCGGGCCTCTGTCTGAATTCGTATCTTGCAGTACGATATCTTTGCCGATACCAGGGACTTCTCCGCTCCGCATTCTGGACGACCATCAATATTGGCTGCCAGTATTTTAAACAAAAGTCCAAGTCCAGGGGTATCGAGCACAATCGTATCGACTTAGGGCTTGGGTCTCTAGTACACATTGAAATATGGGCAAGAAGCGAGTGTTGTGTAGCTATGGTGTTGACATTGATGCTGTTGCCGGTTGGCTAGGTTCGTACGGTGGTGAAGACTCGACCAGCGATATCTCTCGTGGGCTTTTTGCAGGCACCCATGGTACACGAAGACTTCTGAAGCTCTTCAATAAGTACAACATCAAAGCGACATGGTTTATTCCAGGTCATTCGCTGGAAACATTTCCAGAAGAATGTGCGATGGTTCGTGACCAAGGCCATGAGATAGGCCTCCATGGTTACTCCCACGAAAACCCAGCCGATATGTCCTTTGAGCAGCAGTGTGATGTTCTAGACAAGACATACAGACTACTTACAGAATTTTGCGGCAAACCACCTCGAGGCAGTGTCGCACCATGGTGGGAATGCAGTCAGGAGGGTGTTGAGCTGTTGCTAAGCTACGGTATCGAGTACGATCACTCTATGGGTCATGATGATGCTCATATGTACTGGCTCCGTACGGGTGACACGTGGACGAAGATCGATTATAGTAAGAAAGCGAAAGAATGGATGAAGCCTCTAGTTCGAGGTAAGGAAACTGGACTCGTTGAGATACCTGGCAGCTGGTATATTGATGACTTACCACCTATGATGTTCATCAAAAACAACGCAAACAGTCATGGTTGGGTCAACCCTCGTGATGTTGAGGATATTTGGAGGGATCACTTTGACTACTACTATCGAGAATATGATGAGTTTATTTTCCCACTGACCATTCATCCTGATGTGTCAGGGCGACCCCATGTCCTACTTATGCATGAAAGGTATGTGGCAAATCTGCATGAGAGATTCAGTACTGACACTTATACCAGACTGATCGAATACATCAACAAACACGAAGGTGTGGAATGGATGACTATGGAGCAGCTCTGCGATGATTTCAAATCCAAGAATACACCCTCTGAAGGTGCATTAATGCCAGCACCTGCCGGTCAGATCTTAGGGGAAGGCAAGACTACTGCCAACAGATCTATGTGATTTAAAACAATCACGATCATCCTATTCCCTATTGATAAAATTACACAAATCTATTCCTCTTGTGAACTGTCTTGCAGTTTTTACTGATGAATACTAGACGTCTGCATCTTTTTCTGAGACCAAAGAGCATGGCGATGAATTGCAGTGCTTAAACAGGGGTCATCATACTGCAGTCGTGGATCGAAGCATCGTAGCAGCAGGAGACTACGAACAGATTTATGTGTTGAGAGCCTACAATCAAGCCTAAGTATTGGCTATTACAGGCACTTATCACCTAGAAGGCCTACAAAATGTTGACAGCTAATTAATGCCTATCTTTGCATGCCTAGTCCACAAATTACGAAGTCCATGAGTGCTTCTGCTCAGCCTAGACACCAAGCATTTCGAGGTCTTGTTTCACTGTACCTTGTCATTAGGATCAAACGATATCCCATCCCGATGCACTTGATTGTTGAAGAACAACGTTCTTTCGGCTCACATTCGGCGCTGCCAAGCGTCGACTCCTTCACATGTGGGGCCCTTAGCTTACTACACGGAAATCAACGGTGCACGGTCTAAAACGCTCATGCATAATCCCCCACTTTTGAGATTGTCCTGGGCAATCATGACTCATCCGCCTTTACCCGTCAGTCATGCATCCGGCACAGCGATAATCGTACGGTATCAAGTCGCTGTTGCGAGGCTCTCTGCAATACTCGTGAAGGCAGGATCAGTCCTTTATGCCGGCTATCGCGCTCCCCACTCCATGTAGTACGAATGCTGAGAACAGTCTCATATGTCCAGTCATGAAGGCTGGATTAAGCATGGCAAGGCTACAACTTTGAGTTGAAGGTGTAGAGATGTGGGTATCTACACTAATGGCATACCAGAAGGAGCATGACCTTACCTCATCACGAAGACACCTTACAAGCAGCAACACTTAACTCGACACCACGTCCTTGTGATCATGGTTATGCTTTAGACCTCCCATTAATTCTCTAGCCGAAAGCCGAAATGGTTTCAATACCTCTCAAACAGAAACGCGAGCGTAAATCCTCCACTCAACTCAATGTAAGTCTTCTTGCTACTCGATATGGCCTGTCCTCACTTGTTCTACCAGATCACAATCGTCGGAGCTGGACTTGGTGGTTTGGGCGCTGCAATCTCGCTGTCTCTCGCTGGGCACAACGTCACGGTACTTGAAGCCACTCAAACACTTTGTGAAGTTGGTGCCGGCATTCAAGTTCTTCCAAACAGCTCCCGTGTCCTCCAGTCATGGGGTTTAGGACCTCGCCTCGAGACGCATTGCACTTCACCGAGTCACGTGAATATGCTGGGCTGGAAGGGCAACTTTATCTCTGGTATGAGCTTCGCAGAGAGTGCAGCAAAGTACCCTGGCACATGCTATTGGGACTTTCACAGGGCAAATCTGCATAATGCTCTTGTAGAAAGAGCGCTAGAGCTAGGTGCGAAGGTGAGGCTAGGCTGTCGGGTTACTGACGTACGGTGTGATAAGGACGGCATTAGTGCGAGCATCGACTTGGCCAATGGGGAAGTCATTGCGGCGGATCTGGTAGTAGGAGCGGATGGGATCAACTCAAAGCTTAGGGAAGTGATGTTGGGCAAGGCAGATCCACCGACATTGACCGGAGATCTGGCATTTCGATTACTGCTTTCCACGAAAGATATGCTAAAAGATCCCGTTTTGAGAGACTTTGTAGAGAAACCCCAAGTAAATTACTGGATGGGACCCGACAAACATGCAGGTAAGTCTACGATGACCTGCACAGAAAATCCACTGACTGATGGCAGTGAATTATGTTTTGAGAGGTGGAGAGCTATTGAACATGGTGCTGCTAGTGCCTGATGATATGCCTCAAGACGGACCAAGCACATTAGCTGGCGATGTTACGGAAATGCAAGCGTTGTTCGAAGACTGGGATCCTAGAATCCCCAAACTGTTAGCCCTTTCCGAGAGTGTCTACAAGTGGCGATTATGTATTCGAAAAGGAATGGATCAGTGGTCACATCCATCTGGATCCTTCACGTTATTGGGAGACGCGGTTCATGCCACACTACCCTACTTGGCAAGTGGCGCTGGTATGGCATTAGAAGATGCTGCAGTGCTCGGAGAGCTCTTTGGACGATCCGAGAATCCACGAGTTCCAGAGGAGAAAAGGCTTCTGCTGCAAATGTACGAGGAATGCAGGAAACCAAGAACTGAACGTGTGGTAGAACGAGGAAACACGCAACAATGGCTGTATCATCTACACGATGGACCTGAGCAGCAAGAACGTGATCGAATCATGAAGGCCATGGAGGCAGGTGAGGCTCTAGCTTGGAGGGATAAATCTCTTTCTGACTGGCTATTGGGTTACAACGTTGAAGACGATGTTGCAAGGGTATGGAGCAAGCAGTCCATGAAGATGATGAAAGAGGTTGCGCCGGCATTGTCAGACACGAATGCATTTGACGCAGAGACGAGGATCACGTCAAACTTATAGCACGAGAAATTTCATCTTTGATCCTCGTGATCTATGGTGACAAGTTTCTGTAGCACTTTCACCGCCTCATGTATCACTGCCCATCTAACATTCCCTAGACGTTTAGTCATTGTCTGGAGTAGCCCGTGTGTCGAGTATTTGTTTGTGGTCTGCCTGAGCTTATCAGTTGGAACATTGCTCATGCTACTGATGAGCGCATTCATCTCTGCCGCATCCGATTGTTTTCCCGTTTTCGCCAGCGAATGTGCCCTCAAGCTACTGTCTTGAGCATGAAAAGTCCAGATAGCCAAAGTCGCGAGATACAAGCACCAAGGGTAGTGGAACGTATTGCCAGTATCGGAGCCATTGTGCTGCAGTATGCTGGCACGAAGCAGATGTGCAGCATGCCAAGCAGCTGTAGCTGCCGAGGCCGATGTAAGGCCTAACCATTTCTCGATTGCCTGCCCGGAGCGTTGACGATCGGCTTCATTGACAGGTCGTCCAATGATATGTCTCGCACCAGCGTTGATCTGCAAGTCCAGGACGTCGGCATTCAGTATAATGTGTGCTGCGTGATAAATCGCCGTTGTTGTGACTGCAAATTGCGTGAAAGCTGCCTTTGCATCATAGTCATTCCACAGGTCCGATGACTCGTTCATGCAAAAGGTATCAAAGTCTGCTTTCCATATATCGTATGCTTGGCCAATTCGAGCACGCCAATCGCTCTCTTTGTTGACGACACCTATGTTCAAGATAAGCAAGCTGACCTCATTCGTGGGACATCACGTACCTAAGGACGTTTGTTCGCGCCTCCGCATGTCCCACGATATAGACATCAAGCCATGCAGAATCAGTAGTCTGGATGTGGAATTGAGATCAATGGATTGTGGTTCAGAGGTCATGTATGACTTGAGGACGGGTAGGAATAGCTTGGGCTGCTCATGTCTAGCCGTTTGCCACCATTCCCGGGCATTCGAAGCGTCCCAGGATGCTGTGTCGCATGGCAACGTAGATCTCAGCTCAAAAGCAGACATACATAGTGATTGGGAAAATAGGACTGCATGCTGTGTATCCCACATGAAACACAAGAAGGCCACTCTGATGAATGTCAGCAGTCAAGGTTTACGACTTACGAGTAGGGCCGTACCTCTTGCGCTGTTCAACATCCATAGCGAACCTCCACTGTGCCTCAAGATTGCGAGGGTGTGGGTTGCGATCTGGTGCAATGACTGTCTGACAGTCACTGCGGCGTATGAGACTGGCGTGATGTCAGCTGATTTACAACGACCACGTCTCAACAACGCACTTGATTAGCAAACCATGAAAAAGATGTGCCATATCGTGCTGCTTTTGTCCAGCGCGCGACTTGCCAAAACACTCTACAAGCAATATCGTTTGCAGCATCCACAGTTGTGGTGTCGCGGAAAAGGCGTGATGAGAAAAGATCTGTGCTCTCATCACATCGTGGATGCAAACAGCAAGAATATGAGCCGTCTTATCCATGTATGTGGCTCCTATCAGTAGAACTGAGAGCAAGAACGAAGTGTCGACTTGTTCTGGATCGAATAAGGCTCGGTGAATGAGCGGATATGCTGTGTTGAAGTGGTCGAAGAAAGCATCGCAGTACGACTGTAAGGCCAATATTTTCAGTAGCGGGTGATCTTGTGAAATGAGATTGCCTTCGGGAGTAGTAGGTTTAGCACTTATGATCCAGTCTAAAAGCTTTTGTCGTGTCAGTGCAGTTATCATTGGCCTACCTGCAGACGGAACTGTTTCATTTTCTTCAAAGATATTGTCGTTGAAGACAGCGGAGTTGTGAGGACTTTTGTCATTCCCAGAGAATGCTGAAAAAGAGGACGGTGAAGGAGCACTCTCATGGTTGACCAACTCTCCCACTGGTTGGTTTGATTCGGTCTGCTTCTCGGTCGTACCAATGCCTTGGCTTGAACCTTGATCTCGTTGAGTATGCCTACCCCGCGTAATGCTCGTATGACCTTGTAAATATAGATTTCCAGGTTGCTGTAGACCCCGTGCCACTACTTGCTGGTTTAGGCTCTCCGGAAATTCCGAACCATTGTTAGAGGACTGTATTGGTGGTGGTAGTGGTATTTGCATATCTCGTGGACTTCCTATGACAAGAGAACATGGGTCGACATTGCTAGTCTCGAAGAGCCAATTATAGTTACTCATTGTGGTGAACGGCATGTTGAACGAGCTAGCTGACGCCGATTCAGTAAAACCCACTGCTTTTTCACTAGACTTACCGGTATCCGGCTTGAACAAGTTGTCAAAGGACCATTTTTTCAGCCCATCGGCCTCGGATTTCTGATCGCCCCAAGCAGAATTTGCCAGGAAGTTAGTGAAGACTGCATCGTCATATTTCTCGATGAAAGTGTCCACGTCCATGTTACGATCAAGCTCCCCCAAGTTTTGTAGCTCGTTGCTCCGTGACGAGGCTGGTGGGGATATAGGCATCAGACCAGGTTCTAGATTGCTTAGGTCATCGTAGTGGTCGTCGAAGATGGCCTCGTGCTGTTGTGCATGATCTTGTTGCTGCTCCGAAAGTGCGGACTGCGTCAAGGGTCGTTGCTGAACGATGTTGCCATCGTCGTCGCACCATAATTTCTTGCGAGTTTCAACATGACCAAGACCTTCACCTCCAGCCTCTTCGTCTTTTTGTCTATGCCGTGCCATGTGACGATCTGCATTGACCTGTTGGTTGAATTTGAAGTGCATCTTACAACATGTGACTTACTGAGAAGGTCTGGCCTCTTGAAATGTGCACGACATCGGTGGCAGGTGCTGTTGCCGTTGTCGTGGTTTAAAGTATGACGCTTCAGGTGATCACTTCTTGTGAAGGACTTGGTGCACCCAGACCAAGGACAAGGATGTCGCTTGTCTGCATATTGAGGCATGCTCTACTCGACCTGATAGAATGGTATCGTAACCGCTGCTGATCCAGAAGAAGCGACCTGCCATGGTCGAAAGAACGGGGCATACAGGTAAATACAAAGGGGATATCAGCACTACTGCTGGTCAAAAATGGATGGACATTTGCTGGAATGCGACATCACCCCATGTGCTGATAAGCAGGGTTCAGCACTGATAGCTTAGCGGTTCCACAGATGGCGGAATGTCGGAGTGGAGACTGCAGCGTGTGCAGATGCAGCAAGGAACTACTTTCTGTATTGGAACGACTTCGCCTTCAACGCCCACCGCTGTCTTTCATTCCTGGTTCGCGAGCTTTGGCCGGGACGTAGCTGTGCTAAGCACGTAAGTAGTCCATGCTTACACCGTTGGTGCTATAGATCCTGGCTCGAAAGCAGGATAATCTACATAACCTTTGCTCGGAGGATCGGCACCATAGAAGGTCGCACGATCGTAGGCATTCAATGGCAAACCCTCTCTCAACCTTTTGGGCAGATCTGGATTTGCAATGAACCACTTCCCAAACACTACACCATCCGCCGAGTCCGAGTCGGCCTTGGGAGCAGCGTTATCACGATTGAACCCACCCGCAGCAAGAAACTTGACCTCCCCTTTCTGCAAGATATTGCGGAATGGGATCAACGAGTTTGCTGTCTTACCGGACTGAGTATCACGTTCGAGCGAGTCCAATTTAGCTGCCTCTTCGAGAACTTCGTCGAATCTTGGCTCAACCATGTGCACATAAGATAGCCTGCTAGCTTCTGGCAAAGATGCAATCTGCTCGCACAGGTAAGCCCAATTCTGAACTGGGTTCGAATCCCTGGTATCCTGGAAGTAGTTGAAAGGTGAGAGTCTGATGCCAGCTTTGTCCGCCCCCACTGCTCTTGTCACAGCTTGAATGACTTCTAATGGAAATCGACATCTGTTCTCAATCGATCCACCGTAACTGTCATCGCGAATGTTGACATTGTCGTGAAGGAATTGATCGAGTAAGTATCCATTCGCCCTTCCGACTGTCAGTGATGGAAACAACGACTAAGTTTTCAGCTTACCCATGAATCTCGACACCGTCAAACCCAGCTTGCAGTGCTCTTTGAGAAGCAGCAGCAAATTCTTCCGTAACATCTTTTATTTGCTCAATGGTCATAGGTGCTGGCGGGTACGAGGCATAAACTGAATTGTCCAGAGCATTGCCTGTGATGGGTATGTGACTAGAGCTAAGCGTTGGCTCTCCACCAAGTAGTCCTGGAGTTGTGGCACGACCAACGTGCCACAGTTGGCAATAGATGAAGCCGCCTTTGGCATGTATGGCATCGGTAACACGTCGCCAGCCGGCAATCTGGCTGGAAGTGAAGATTCCAGGAACGCCAGGATAGCCACATGCCTGCTAAAATCAGCTCCTTCTTCAGCAAATATTCCAGACTCACCAGTCGGCTAATAGGACACGCCTCTGTAAGCATGAAGCCACCTCGGCTCGCACGTTGTGAGTAGTATTCAACCATCAGGTCATTGGGCACCCATACGCCATCCGCCTCCTTTGTGCCTCTCATTCTCGTCAAGGGAGCTAGCACAACTCTGTGCTCGAGTCTCAAGTGGCCTAACTTGACCGAGCTGAAGAGCTTTGTGTCTTCTAACGGCTTGAAGCCAGTTGGCGATGCTCGAGCAGGCATATTGCAGGAAAGGACAAATGCAGGAGAATTGCTAGGTTTGACAAATAGTGCTCAAGAAGTCTCAGGTTGTGTTGCCTGTTTTTCAAGTTGTTTCCAGTGGGTACTTGAACGTTTAATGCATCGAGTTAAGGCTCAACATTGACGCTGGTCATGGGACTCTAGTACACCTGCACATGGGTACTATTCCCATCATAGAACAATCGTGGAGGTAACAATACAAATCCCTCTGGTGTGACGAACTCGCACCCATCAGGCGCTTACTTGAATAGCTCCATCACAAGAGGCTTCGTAGCCACAGACTCGTGATCGGAGCAAGCAGGCAAGAGTGGGGGGCCTCTCCCTTTCGTGTCCAGACGCTGGACTGCTTGTGCACAACTCCGGTGTTGGGTCCTAATCAGTTGAATCTGTGCAGTTAAAGGAGCATAAGAGTTTCAGCCGTGGTGTTCGTGTTCATGTGTACCAAGTCACCGATTATCGCGATTATTCACTGTCAAGAAGGTGTGGCAAGCAAGTGCCTGTTACGTGACCGCAAGTCTACGTGATTTGCTTGACAGCCTCGAATCTTTCTGTCACCAGCTTGGGTGTTGAGAGTGTCTTTTGATGCATGAGGTGCTTCGCACCGAACCTAGATGGAACGGCAGGAGATGAGGGACCATGCGTGCTATTTGAATAACAAGGATGAGCATGTTTAAACAACTTGCAAAAGCGTATCATAACTTTGAATGTTCTTTTGCATTCAATATATACTATCAAGTCTATACACGTGGTATTTCCATATCCCAAACACCAAACACCCTGCCGTCTAATCTATCTCATGTATCATGAACTCATCAGTTAATTTTCACCTCCGGCACAGTCTTTGTCGGCGCGGTAGTAAATACAGTAGGCATTGGTGTAGACGACACTGCACCGATACCCTTCTCCGAATCATCAACGTCATTCTTCTTGCCCTTTCCAAACATCCTCTTAGTGCCTCTTCCAATTGCTCTGAAAACTTGGGCAACTGGATGAAAGATGATGTGCAAAACCTTGTTGATTGGTCTGAGCACAACAGCAAGACCGTTAATGGTAGCATCAAAGGCAGCACCGAAATATTTGTCTGGCAGGCATCTGATGAGAATGGCCCATAGCATGCAAGGTAGTGCACACAGAATGCAAATGACCCATTGAATACCGTCAAGTCGGACAATTCGGAAGGCAGCACCACCAACGAAGATGATCATGACTTGACCACCCACCATGATGCAGTTGATACCGATAAACCAGAAGTTGCGATGAATACCCTCGAAGATGTTGAATTTGTTGTCAAGTCGTCTATTGTTGAACTCGTTGAAGATTTGCATCCATACGAAAGTGTTGAAGACAATAGTGTCGAGTTCCTGTCGTCGTTCAGGTCCATAGCCGAAGATTTGCATACCGGCAAAGTACAAGACCAGTGAAACCACGAGTTGGTAAACAGCTTGACCAGTAATCATCTTCCACATGTTGTGTGTGATGAGTGCCTCGCTCTTCTTCTGTGGTGGTCGCTCGAGAATCTTCTGTGTTGGTGGATCAGTAGCAAGGGCAAGAGCTGCAAGTGTGTCCATGATCAAGTTGACCCATAAAAGTTGCACAGCTGTCAAAACTGAAGCGTTTTCTGAGCTGGAGATGGCCGAGATGAATGTAAGTACGACAGCAGTGATGTTGACAGTAATCTGGAACTGCAAGAACTTCTTGACAGCATCGTTGACAGCACGACCCCACATGAGAGCAGTGATGGTGCTGGCAAAGTTGTCGTCGAGAAGAATGATAGCTGAGGCCTCCTTCGCGACTTCAGTACCAGCAATACCCATAGAGAAACCGACATCAGCCATTTTGAGAGCTGGACCATCGTTGGTACCGTCACCAGTGACAGCAACAGTCTCACCTTTAGCCTTCAGCTTACCGACGAGGATTCTCTTGTCTTCGGGTGATGATCGAGCAAGGACACGAAGTCTTGGAATAACCTCATCCATCTCAGCATCGTTGAGTTGTCTGAATTTAGGACCTTCCATAACCAAAGCATTATCTTCAGGTCGGAGAATACCACACTCAGTAGCGATGGCTCGAGCGGTAGTAATGTTGTCACCAGTAACCATACGGACAACGACACCGGAAGTTCTGCATTGACTGACAGCTTCAATGACACCAGGTCGGAGAGGATCGTGAATACCGACAAGACCAACCCAAGTCATATCGACAAAGACATCATCGAATTCAGCCATGTTCTTGTCATCTTCCATGCGCTTGGCACCTGCTGGAGGCCATTGTGGGAAATCTCTGTAGAGCATACCGATGGTTCGTAGAGAGTGTTGAGCATAGTCTTCGATTGTAGCAGCAAGTCGTTCCTTGTCTTCACCGGTCATTGGCTTTGTGGCGAGGTTCTCGGTGTAGATATCGGCGACAGTCTGGGTAGCATTACCAAGCATGATCTCAGCAGCACCCTTGACAAGCATTCTGTAGCCACCCTCGATCTCGTAGACGACACCCATGCATTTTCTCTTGGAGTCGAAAGGAATGAGTTGGACAGTATTGGCGTTGGCTCGTTCAGCAGCTAATCCATCAAGACCAAGATGTTCCTTTGCCATGTTGAGAAGAGCAGTTTCGGTCTTTGAACCAATGAAAGTTGGTACACCCTTCTCCTCACCCTCAAATGCAGTGCTGTTGAGTGCGATCGAAGCCTTAACGAGATCTCTGGCCTTGCGAGAAAGGTTGCCGAAGACAGAGCTGAAGCTAGCGACAGCCTTCTCCTGCTCAGTGTGGGAAGAAGCAAATGATTGATCAACACCAATTGTGCCAGCAACGACAGTCATCTTGTTCTGAGTAAGAGTACCAGTCTTGTCGGAACAGATGGTAGTGGCGTTACCCATAGTCTCGCAAGCTCGTAGAACACGAACAAGATTGTTCTCCTTGAACATTCGAGTGGTTGCGAAAGCGAGTGCTAGAGTGACAGCCAATGGTAGACCTTCTGGAACAGCCACAACGATGACTGTGATTGCGACGATGAGAATATCCAAGAACTCTGAAGCCTTTTCAGCACTAGTACCTGGATTGCCAGATAGAGCACCCAAGAACTTGAAGAGCAGGATGAAGAACAGGAGGATAGCTGCTGATGAACCAAGACCACCGATCCAGTTAGCAAGACCACCAAGCTTGACTTGTAGAGGTGTATCTTCGTTTGCGGTCTGGAGCGACATCATGATTTTACCGAAAGAGCTGTTGACACCAACTGAAGTGACGACGAATGTACCAACACCTTCAAGAACCTTGCTGCCGGAAATGATGAAAGGATCCATCTTCTTGGTTGCGGTACCGTCTTGAATTGCTTGCCAAACCTCAATAGCTGGAGTCTTCTTCATTTGATCAGATTCGCCAGTTGCAGATGATTCGTCACATTTGACACCATGACCAGAAACGAAAATACCATCAGCTGGAACGGCATCACCGGGTTCGAGATGCATGATATCACCTGCAGTAATATCGTAGACTGATACCTGAATTGTGCGACCGGATCTGATAACCTTGACTTCTCGATCATCTTTGCGCTTGTTGAGTTTGGCGAATTGTCGTTCTTTTTGCCAATCGTTTGCAGCACCAACAGTGACGACGATAGTGATAGCGACGATAATAGCAACACCCTCGATCCATTCGACACCATGACCAACAGAGAATGTCTCGTACAGACCAAGAGCTAGAGAGATAGCGGCGGCGATCGAAAGAAGAATCAGAATCTTGTCGTTGTAGGCTCTCCATATCAGGACCCAAATACTGTCGGGTTTGCGCTCAGGTAATCTGTTGTCGCCATAGATTCGTAGTCGATCTTCGAATTGACCTTTGACTTCCCTAGCAGTAACACCTTCGGCTGCGACTGGTGTTGCCGAGTAAGCGGACTTCTTGTCGATGGTTGTCGCATCTTCGTAGGTGACACGACCATCAACTTTCTGTTCATCCACAGATAGACCTGCAGTCAGACTCGTCCTCAAACCCTTCTCGATACCCTGTGGACCACCGAGTGCGACGAAAGCTGATAGCGATTTCGGGTTGAGTAGCTTGTTGAGTTGACCTGGTGTGAACGCGAAAGGGTTGTTTTCACGAACGAAATCCTTCTCGTTACCAGGATCGGGTCGTAATGCCTCCTCTGGAGATTCTATTTGCAAATCGGATTGCTGAACGTATGTTCTGTTGGAATTAGATCGATCTCTAGAAATGTTGGTCTGTACGGACGGCGACCTAGAATGTAATGTTTGTCCATCGTAATTCGACTTGGTTGGCGTCATTGGTGATAACATATCCTGACTTTGTGCTGTTGTAGATGGAGCTGTGTGGTCAGATGAAACGTTCTAAGAATTGTCAGCAAAAGTTCCAGCGATCATACTCAAGTACTAACTGAGGTATCCAGCATAATAGCTGGTGCTGTTCCTGCCATGGTGAAATCAGGCACCTCGTAAGATTGTACGAGTTTGGGGTCGAAATCCAAGCGAGAGGCCTTTTGTGTTGCCTTGCAGGTTAGGATGATAGTGGGCTGAAGACGTTGTACATGACTGAATACTAAAGAATCATATAGCAAGGCAATGGAAGGCAGTGTAGTTTCGCCATTCCGAAGGAGCTTCGTAGAACATGATCTTGCACAGCCCTCCCGCCAAGGAATCAATGGGCGGCACTGAGTGGGGTAGTGTTTTCTATGCAGCTTCGCCTGCAAAGCGGATTTGCCCAGCAACGCTTGTGTCTCCGCATTGTACTTGTACAACTGATCGCATCACATCTTCATGCTGGTCGCTTCATGGAGAAGTAGTAGAAAGAGAAGCAAATCTCTTTGTTTCGTGATTGTAACAAATAAACTCCGCTTTCTTTTCACTGGTCAAGAACTTGAAGGCGCTACAACAACGAGTATACTCAGCCAGACGTGTATGCCAAACGTACCAATTCACCACATTCACATTTTCGCCGCGAGCGCATAACAGCTTTCTCCTCCAACAACGCATTAGTCCATTTCTCTTGGCAGGATGAGTTTTCTTGATGGTCTTGGCAATACAGAAGCTAAAATTCTAGTCTGCATCCTGACTGGATTGCGATGATTATCCGATACAACAGCAATTTGCGATCCCGAGGTCATGTCCTGCTTTCGTTATGTTGATCCAACCAATGATTCGTCCAAGCGAGACAATGAATGACAGCGGAGGCTATGGGATGTGCTTGGCATTCCTCTCCTCTTCACTTTCCTATCGATGTCATCACTGTCATGCTGCGGACAAAAGGTAAACCGTAGCTCAACTGCCACTCTACTCACTCGCCACACTTTACATGAGCCACACTTCGAGCGTTTTCGACAGCTGTGAAGGAGAGTGACGGCTGTAGCTTACAAGTTTTGACCTGCCCAGCGTTCGTTGCACATACCTTCGCTTCGTGGCAACTAGGATAGTAGCCGCCACTGTACTATCCGTCCGCAACTCAGGCGGTCAACGTCGTCGAAGCACGTGCCCATCGACCAAATCACCATCGATGACATGCCACAATCACCGTACCGCTAAGCAAAACATTTCCTGTCTGCTATCTGATTCCGCGTTGACCTTCTTTGTGTTCTAGAAAGATTTTTACCCGAAGACTCGACAGACTCCGAGAGGCGCAGTTTCAAAGCTAATACGATATAGGCATAGTACACCCGAACTAGACCTGCAACTCGGAAGACTTTACTCCCTCAACTTGCATTTCTTCCCCATATTTTCACCACATGCAAGATCTATCCCATCTTTCGAGCTCCAGCATTCGAAGATAAGATATCGGTATCATGCCGTACGGTTCCTGACATGCATCAACGACGCGGCCGATTGGTTGAGGAACGATAAAGCTTGACTTCGAGGCAGTGCTTGAGTTCCTGCCGACCACGTTTTGGCACTACAATGCTTGAGCGCCCATGCTGAGGAACATCGTGTTCGAAACGTGATATGGACCGGTCAGGAAGTCAATGTACTCCGCGATGTACCACAAACTATCGAGTTACACTACTGGACTGCCTGAAGAGGGCGCAGCATTCATACTTGAGATTGCTTCCGCATCGTTTTCGTTTTGTGCATGTTTGTGCTGGTCGACGATAACATCAGTCAACAAAGCGGATTCTGCTGACAACAAGGACTAACGGAGACGAGCTTCAAGAAGTATATCCTCAGGAGACCTCAACAACATCTGAGGCTGTGCTGTGTAGGTGTCCAAGGCGACCAGTCTATACGATGGCTGAGCGCTTCACGACACAGGTAAGCGCTGTCAGGCCAAGACTCGCTATTGAGATGGAAGGAAGGTAAGTCTTTGCTCGTCCGCAGGACTCTCAAGCTCTCCTTCACGTCGTAGCCAATCGTTGATGACCTTGTCGCCGCACGAAAGAGATCGCTGGGAGGACTGCACTGCATTGCGCCTTTGAGGGCTGTGGTTTCGACATATCACACTTGTCATGCGGTGAGACCGACGAGAAATCAGTCTTCGAACCACAAGCTAGGTTGTTGTCACGCTAATCGGTGGCTGACCTAGCTGTCGCAGATGCAGGAATTTGGCGCAGTCGTGAGGACGAGTCCATTATTGCTACCGCCAATGGCTCCTTAAGCGCGAAGACTCATTCACCGACTCCTTGCCACAGCCTACCGAGATACCTCACGGACGTGTTTACAGAATTGTTGAACCTTTCTTTAGGACTAGGAATTTTGTGTGAGTGGTCAGATCCCTTTTGTGCTGGCAGGGTCCCGAGGGTCAGGTGTATTTGCGAAGACATTTATCGTTGTACAGCTGTACTGTCGATTTGGCTCAACGTGAAGATTATTGTCTGTCCATATCCCGGCTAGTCAAATAAAGCCGTGTCGTGGCGAAGGGTGCACTCGAAATGTGGTTCAGGCACAGTGGGCAACTCGTTCATACCCAGCCCCAGACTTCCTAATCCTAGAATCATCCATCCAGCCTCAAACTAAACCTAACCGTCAACCCGAAAATCCTAGCCCTGAGCGAAGCCGGGCGAATTTGAGGAACGTGCTCGATGGAGATCCAGAGACTGTGTCAAGGCTGCAAGATATCAGATCGGCACTGGTCCGTCCAGCATTCGTCCGGAGTAGCCAGCATGAGATTGTCCGCCACCATAACTTGTACCCAGAGAAAGTATTCTTGTCGATATCTCGAACGCGACACTTCCAACGAAACATCAGGCATAACAGGTAAATCTCGCCTTCCTGCTTGGAAGCACACTTGGCAGCCATTATGAGCAATGGTCATGCAAGGGACGTTCAGCCATATCGGTATGCAAGGCGGCAGAGAAAGTACCTTGACAAGGATTGAGTCAACTTTCTGGTCCGCGCCAAGACTCTCTTCGTGTAACCACTTCTGATGCACGGCGCATGATCGTGCGCGAGACCAAGTCAAGAATCCTACCTGCTGGCTTACGTCAGGCGTTCTTCGAAAATGACGTCGTCACTTGGGTTCCAGCCACTCCGCTACTGGAAGGCTGTTTCGCTCTCTGGATCGCATTTCGCCCAATGAACGCAGGATTGTCTTCAGCCAAAAATCCAACGAGGCTCGGTCGAAGAAATTGGTGTTCAGACTCCGCCCCAACAGGAGTGCCGCATCAGAAGAACAGCTTTTCAGTGGCAACTGAAGCATGCAATAACGATCAGAATCACCTTCCAGGCATTTCGAGGAACTTGAAAGAGTGGTCGTGCCCTCAATTGCGACCTGGTTTTTGTGATCGAAGACTGAACACGTCTGCCAGGCGAGAGGCGCAACAGAAAAGGAATCGCACAACTTGTCAGCTTCGGCAGATGCAATATGTCCATCACCAAGTCGCAGATGATATTACGACAACTCAATCGAATCCTTCAAAGTCAACATCTCTCGCCGCTGCTAACTGTTGCCTTCGAACTTGCTCGATCATCTGTTGTGTCTCAGCTTCGTGCGCTCTCTCTTTCTCGTTCAACTGCGTTCCTCTGAGGTATACTCTCTTGGCCTCCCTCTTCGTCCTCTTCACCTCACGAGCACTTTTCTGTTCCGCTTTCTCACTCCAAGCAGTATTGCTCACTCGCTTCTTGTCCACGTTCTCAACGACTTCCGTGTTGACAGCCTCCCTGCGCTGCTTCTCCCTCGCTTTATCCTTGTATGCATACTCTTCCCAATCCACATTTGGCACCTCAATCTGCGTGCGATCATACTTTTTCGCCTCTGGCATTTTCGGGAATCGCACCAATGCCCATCCTTGTACCAAATCATTCCAGTCCAGATCCACAATTCGAAAGATTGAAGAAGCCTGATGCTTGCTATAGCTCCTCACCCAGCTCACAAAGGCTTTCTGCGCCTTGTCATGGATGGCACGATCTGTAAGGACCAGCTTCTGGAGAGCCTGAGTCATTTCTTTTGCAGCTCCATCACTGACTTGCAGGTTCATCTCCAACTTCTCGATTGGTGTCTTTCGCACTTCCAAGAACTGTATGTAGTCCTCCTCGTGTCCTGGTTGCAGGAATATGATTGCCAGCCCTTTCCTGCCAGCTCTTCCAGCTCGGCCGCATCGATGGATAAAGGCTTTAGGATCGGAAGGAGGATCAACTTGGACAACGAGATCGACCTGAGGGACATCGAGACCACGAGCTGCGACATCTGTAGTCAACAGTACAGCCGGAGAAGCAGCATTGACGAATCTTGTGAAGTTCTTGTCCCGCACATTCGAAGGGTGCTTTCCATGTAACGGGACGAGGAGCACATTTGTTGGCAGGATGGTAGGGAGCAAATGCTGAAAGTAGTCGACCGCGGCGCAGGTAGAGAGGTATACGATTGTTCGTAGAGGTCGAGGTTCGACTTTGTGCAGAAGCTCTTTCAATGCAACCACTTTCTGTGACGCAGGTGTAATCAGGTATGCCATCTTCAAACTCGCAGGTGTCATCTTGTCTTGTACTCCATTACCTCCTTTCACCTTGACAGCGATTCGTACAGGATTTCGTAGACCGACTCGAATGATCTGATCCACTGCCTCGCTAACACTGGCACTGAATAGACCGGTTCGTCGCTGTTTCGGGAGGAGTGATAATATCTTGGTAAGGTCATCTTTGAAACCGAGATCTAACAATCTATCAGCTTCATCGAGGACCAAAACTTCGAAGGATGATTGAGGTGCATAGACATAAGGAGAAGAAAGTATTTCGAGAAGACGACCAGGTGTGCCAATGAGGACGTTTGAGGAGGTCTTGAGAAATTTACTGAGGTCCTGTGCTGCTGAACTTGAACCACCAAGCAATAGTTGAGGTTGAACCTTCGGTGTGGTCGCAGGATATACTTCTGTAGGCTCTTCAGTCTCTTCTGGGTCAGTCAATCTCTTGGCAGCATTCATAGCAGCAGCAGAAGGACCATGAAATGTCAATAAAGAAGTAAGCACGCCATGAATCTGAGTAGCAAGTTCTCGAGTGGGTGAAATGACTATTGCTGCGACGTGATGTTTCTTGGTGGCCTCTTCTGCTCGTAGAATTCTCTCCACAAGAGGTATTAGGAATGCCAAAGTCTTTCCACTGCCTGTTACGGCTTCTACAACCACGTCCTTGTGAGCCATGAAGAGAGGGATTGTGGAGGCTTGAACTGGGGTCATTTTCGAGAAATGCATCGAGGCGGTCGCATCCAGGATCCATTCTGAGAGCGCGGGTGTAAGTGCATCCCAAGCACGAGAGGAAGGCTTGGGAACAGTTGCGCCTCTGTCTGGTGCCATTGTGTGCAGTTGTAAGTGAATGGCACCAAGAGTAGATTCGCAAGTTGGCAGAGCGACAAAAGTTTCTCAAGAGGTTGCGATTGTGCTTCTGGCCACTTCCGTAGCCGTAGCATACTCCGTACGGCGACTCGGGCCAGCTCGAAAGTGCATGTTGCCGGATGAAAAATATTGCCGCTTTGAGTCGGGTATATTGGGCAATTTCACGGCAGCAAGATGAGCCGATACAACAGCTAAACATGATGCGGAATAAAAATACCCGAAAGATATTCACTTCGAACGGCGCTTTGAAGTGTGTTGATCTCGTGGGCAATGCATCGAATATTCGTCATCAACAGTGGTACCATACATGTTCAACCATCCATCTTGCTCATTGAGAATTGTGGCATGGAAGGACGATGGGAGTGGGTGGTACGCAGATCGACTGAGGGGTTCAGAGACACCTGCAGAGCTTCGCAGACTCTAGCACTCATAGCAGGCTGCGGACCTACAAGCGCCTTCATGTCCGTCGACTTGCCGTACTTCAAGAACTGCTTGCTGCTGCGACTCGGCTACGAAAGAGATATCTTCCTTCCTGTCCTTCATCAGCTAGGTCCATCCTCCTTTCCACGTAGAAAATTCAGCTCGTTCTGACACCTCCGCAACTCTTGTTGTAATCGCATGATCTCGGCAACCTTGTCCAAATTCTGATGTATAGCACCAAAGCCAAACTCCTCCAGTCTCTTAGTCTTAGTGGCGTCTTGTGCTTTCCACAGCTGATAGGCATACAGTACATACAATCCAGCAGTAACCATCACAGCAATGAAGAAATTACGATGGGCGAGAGCGGCTTCCTCGATATTGTCGAGCCACATAAACAGGTAGTACAAACCGAAACCGACAACGAATAGCAGTACAGCAAGATCCAAGAGGTGTCGAGGTAAAGAAGCAACCTTGAGTGAACTGATCGAGCTCTCCAGTGGCATATCCTCGAAAAGTGAATTCTTGTACTTTTCATCGCCAGGCTCGTCCGACATCAAATGTTCTCGGCTCGACGTCCAGACCGAGCGTCCGAGGTATTGTGTTGGTTTCCCACGACTGAGCCACAGTCGGACAGAGAGTGCGCTGTTGAGTCTGGCGATGGTTTGATGACCTGATGTAGCCACGGACACGGAGAATATACCTAGGAGCATACTGGAAGAGCATAGAGCCCGTGCTGTCCAGTGAATATTGAACATGTTTGGTATCTGCAGTGCTGTCAGGCCGATACCGGCGAAGATCGCGCCCTGTATAATATCAGTATCAGATGAAGCCTGGTTCACATTACTTACCGCTACAGCTATTGCATTGTAGGTGCTCAATTGAGACTGTTTCCATGCCATTACTTCCTCATCGGTCCATGTGTTGATGTTCCAGTGTAAATCTTGTAGCGCATCTGTATCAACGAGACGAGATATGTACAAGAAGTGACCGAAATAGCCAAATCGGTTTTGTCTGTAGAGATTTCCAGGTTTGAAAGCGTTGAGTATGGGAAGATAGCTGAACGAGAATATCTCGACGATGGCCTTGAAGCTCTGGCTGACAGCAGACACCACTTGCAAGAGTGCAGGACCCATCTTGGACGGTCGCTGTGTCAGTACTGTACAATGCAGGATATTCCAGAAAGGCTCTTACAATCTTGACGGTCAATCATGTCGTTACTTCAAAGCAGAAGAAATGAAGAGGTACTTGACCCAAAGTCAATGCGAACATGGTGGTGGCTGTGGTATCAGCCCGACTATAGCTTTGTGGCTGTCGTTAGTCGTGAGCTGACCAATCAAGCAGTAGCCAAGGCAGACTCGAATGGTAAATTGCTATGGTGGCGCTTACGATGTCTCATTGTCGACTTGGTGGGAGACGTGATGTGAAGGTCTTTTTGCAGGAGTCTTTTCACAAGACAACCAGAACCCTCAGATGAAGAGCGTGGAAGTTCGATGACACGGTCACACCCTCCCTGGAGCGGTAGTTTCGTGGAGGTATATACATAGAGTTTCAACGGAATACGAATTCGAAGTTGCAGTGGCTTCAGCTGCTTCGCGTTTGCATAGTACAAAGTCTTTTAGAGACGACTCGAACTTCATTGCACACCGTGAGATGATAGAACGAAGACGTCCAGAGGAGATAACGACAAATTTGCGTATCGTCACTCGAATAGTGGAAAGCGAGCGGAGAAGGTCTGACGATGTCCACCGTCGAGCCAAGGCAGTTCTTCTATAGCGCGATCGTTCTTCCTCGAACAACACAATCGTTCGAAAACCACTATAACTGCTGCTAAGACTCGAACGGTTCCTAGCTGTTGCGTTGATCTGAGACGCAACTCCCAAAGGTGTGTGTTGTTCTCTGGGCATCTCAAGGAATGCTATAACCTACCCGTCTACCTTTGTCCCATTCACAGAAGGAAAGACAACTACTTGATCAACATGTGCTGTGAGGCCTTCTGTAAGTTGGCCAAGGGGCCTGATGAGCATTGCGAAAACGAGCAGAGGATTTCCAAACGAGCTCTTTACATTTGTCGGATATCTGTATAGGGATGCGACGAAGCTGGACCATTACCTGCAGATTACAGACAACAGCAACTGGATCTTGTCTAGCAACGAAGAGGAACAACTTCCGTCGCGATAGTAATTCCACGGCCTGAATTCTCCCCACCGCTTTTTAATGACTGCTTCGGTAGGATGAAACCTCCTGCTCACTCAACTCCCTCAACTTGTTCACCTGCGCAGTCTTTCCAGTAAACGCACCCTGTACAATCTCAATTCCTCGACTGATAGCATTGCTTCTGGCAAGAGCATATGTAGCAGTCTTCGTCTTGAGTCTAATCAAACCAATTCTTGGATCATTCTCACTTCCATCATGTACACCATCTCCTAGATCACCAACCCAAGTCTTCAATTCCTGCGAGTAGTATTTCTTGACAGTGTCTCGGTCCGTGACGATTTCTGCTTCGCCAGAGATTGAGGCCCACTCGCCGGTGTTGTTGTAGAAGGACATGTTGATGGCGTTATCTTGCTTGAGGTCGTCGGTCTTGCCGGACTCGGTGTTTGTATGGAAGATTAGGTCGATGCCACCATTTTCCTAACAAGTCAGTGGTGTCGTGGGGGTGGGGCTGAACTTACCTTTGCAGCAATTGCCATGCACCTAGAGGCGAGAGTACCTGAGTGAGAAGAGTATGTAGTCATCATACCAAACTTCTCTCGGCTGATGTAGTCGACGAGGTCCTGAACCTTCTCCTCAGTGCTTGGGTCTTCATAGTTCTTCTCCTTGTATCTGCAAAGTGTTAGCGAAGTCCTGACATCCTGAGATCACTCACGGATCAGCATTCTTGGAACCGGTATCTGCGTTTGAGAAAGACATCTTGTCTGAGTAGAATCTGTGTTGTATGCGAGATTGATGAGTTTGCCTGTGTGATGAAGTGGAAGAATCAAATATGTTTGTACTCCGGCAGTGACGTCGGCTAGAGAAACTGCGGAATTGTTGGAGAATGAATGAATGAGACTGCGGGGCAATCACACGCCGGTAACACAGTTTCTGCATCTTGACTGAACCTGCAGCTTATCTACCAGAACAAGTACTCGTATGGTGAAGGTCGTTCCGACAACTTCAGACACGTGTCGATCTCTTTGCTGGCTGCCCGTAAGTGCTGTTGCAGATCACCGTCCAAACATTTTCGTAGTGGACGGAGCTTTCGACTTCGCGTTGACGCGACGATATTGACGTCATCATCTTGTTGCCGAGAAGGTCAGGAAGGTGGACACGAAGCCACAGCGGGACGAAGGAACGCCTCAGATCAGCCAAAGTATCATGGAGTAAGAGAAAGCAATGGACCGCCATGTATGCGACAGCTGGAGAAGGATAGGATAGGATAGGTATGCGGAGGGCACGATATCAATATCAGTGCTGGCTGTGCAGCAGTAGAGCTCCGAGAAGTGAAGAAACTCTGCCTGACTTGAACGGCCTCAATGTTCATACAAATCGTCGATGCACTCCTTTTTCCCAGCCTTCATCGCACGTCGTAGGCATCATCTTCGTCCTCTCTGTCCAGCTCTAGCTCCTCCTTGATGAAAAGTCAATCTCCTCCTCTTCCTGAGCATCATCCATTGTCAAATCCCTCACCTGTTTTGATTACGCCAAACGCCATCGCTATCACTTCCTTCTCTCATACTCCCTGCGAATTTAACTCTTTCACCCGCCTCCTGACCCTACCCAGTCCTTCCATACAAACTCTATGGTCTTCAAACGCCACATCCCACCATGCTCGACACTTTCTGTCATCCTCCAACCAAGCCATATACGTTGCATACCCAGCCATTTCTTTACCTTTACTTGCTTCAAAGCTCTCAGCACTTGCACCATCACCCTGCGCACAGACCCAATTCCTATACATGCCATGACTTATCACTTCCTGTCTAGCACGAAAATGCTCGATCATAGCAGCATTAAACTTGTTCCATTCATGCATGTAAGTCGTCATAGCGGCACCGAAGCGATCCCACGTGCCCTGCGAGATTTCAGCGTCGACAGGACAATAAGGTGACTTAGGAGGCCGAGGAAGGTTGAGGTCTCGGAGAGCAGAGGATGGGAAAGTTTCGAGACCTGGCGCTGGACGAGATGTGAATGGAAGTGTATCGCTGAGAGAATTAAGATCTTTCAAGCCCGTTTTGGGCTGGATGGTTGATTCGAGGTCAGTAAGGTTGAAACCGTTAGTTCGGCCATGAGGATCAGAGTGGTGACGATGAGTATGTTGTCGAGGTGACTTTTCTGATGCTGGTGATGTTTCCTCTTCGACAGTAACATTGTATGGTGCCTCTGATGCAGCAGGTGATTCAGTACTTGCCGGCGCAGGTGAGTCCACGTCCATCTCATCTGAAGCTGTCCCGTTCGAAGATGGCTGTTCAGATCTGGAACTCCGTCGAGCACCATTTACCTGACTCGCAAAGTCCGGGGCAAGCTTGCCTGGCTGGAAAGCAGCACCTTTGTCTGAAGGGTCAAAATACCTGACGCCCGTGTCAACACCCACAAACCCACGAGTTTGACCCCTTTGAGAAGTACGAAATGGTTTTGTAGGCGACTTTCGTGAAATCGATTCGGGAGGATGTAGCAGATCTGCATGATTTTCAAAATGTTCATGCCATCTCTCCGCTGAGAATTTCGCAGATTGAGCTTCGTCACTACAGTAAACGTTAGCTATATTTGAGCCTCGCAGCGGCGACATGTCAAATCTGTAAGAAGGGAAAGTATCCTCATGGATAGTCGGTAACCTCTCAATGTTCGGGTAGCTATTGGGCCATTCTCCAGGGTATACATACTTTTTCCTTGCATCCTCCTCACTCGGAGCCCCGGACGTCGTTTCGTCAACACTCGATGCAGGTTCGTCAGCAGGAGAAGAAACGTATGCAAATGGTCTTCGAGTAGGTGGTCCCTTATTGTCTGGTGCTGGATAGTTGTAAGTATCGGCATCTTCCTCGACAATACGAGTATAGTTGTTCTTCGGGAAGTAATCTGTCAAACCTGGACTGTTGCTATTCGGCGCATGAGTATGTGGTCTTCGTAATGACGCTTTCTTCCTGTCCTGTGGTGGTGGAATGTCGTCTTCGTCGCTAGAAGTTTCGGAAGCATATTCATACCTTGCCTTGGGACTATGACTTCTATGTCTTGGTCGTGGTGCTCTTTCATTGGGCGATCTTTGGTTGCCAAATGGTCCTTGTTCTCTATCCTCCCAGACCTTATCTACTGGTGAAACTCGAACACTTGCAGATCGACCGACATTAGTTGTATTGACATTAATCCTTTCTCCGCTGGTCTGAGCATATCGACTTGGATTTCTAGCCAAACCTGGCCTTAGATGTGAGTCGTCAGTATGAAAAGATTTTGTCTGTCGGAGAGGACTCAGCGATTCACGAACTCTCGAATTTGGGTCATGATTGAATGGTGCCGTACTTGAAGGTCGATCGGATCCATAGACATGAGCATAAGCAGAATCTCCAGGAGTATATCGTCTCGAGCTAGTCGTCCTATTCAGTCCAGGAAAACCAGGAGAATCAGAATATGGATCAGGTCTCGAAGCAGTAGGATGTCGTGTTCGTAGTGGAGATGTCTGAGCGTGACTCCCTCTCATAGCATTCATTCCTCTCAAACCCTCATCTCTTGCAGCCTGTTCGAACTTGGATCGATCCCATTGTTGTGGCGCAGCTCTTGCAAATTGTGCAAACTTGTCAGCTGTAGAAGCAGAAGCAGAATTAGGTCGTGGTCTCGTGGCTTGAGGAGCATATCTGTTTGTACTCGCATCTCGTCGTGGAGGAAAAGCACCATTCTGATAAGCTGAGTCTGTCCTTCGTGGTGTTGGTGGTTTCTTGAATAAGGGTGAATCTGTAGCCCTCAATTTTGCTCTTTCTGAATCATATTTCGCCTTTTGCATGGGATCTCCTAATATCTCATGCGCTGCCTGAATTGCCTGAAACTTGGGAACGACATCGAGCTCTCGACCAGGGTTTCGATCAGGATGATATTGCTTTGCTAGCACATGTTAGTCAGCCCACTAAAGACTTGCAAACATACCTAGCTCTCGAAACCTCTTCTTGATAACTTCCGAATCGGCAGTACTAGGTAGATCCAAGTCTGCATAATAGTCACGCTTGTAATCTGCCTTGACCATGTTTGCGCCTTGCTTCTATAAAATGCAGGTTCAGACAATCTGACCCGTCAGGCTAATCAACAGGATATAGTTGTACCAATAACAATTCCTCTTTTGTCCTCCATCAACATGATTCGAACGGAACAATGACCAAGTACGTCAGTGAGGGTAGTCAGGATTGAGATCGAGTACAGACGAGGTAGGACGGCGCAACGTGGAAAGTTGTGTACGGTTTGTCGCACTTCGAAGAATGTCAGAAGCGATGAAATCATGGAACCGTAGGTGAAGTGTTTGACTGGTTCGATGAGATGATCGATTGTTATTCGTTCGAATCCAGAAGAGCATGCAGAAGCGTGTTCTCATTCGTAATCTGACTGGTCCTGCATTTGGTCACACCATCGATAGGAAGACCTCTTAAGATCAGGCCACGACTATGCTGGTGTTATGTTGCACTTTCGTTGATGTGCTTCAAAACGTGTACCATGTTGACATTATGTTACTCTGGGTAGTCACGGCAGATGTGGGGCATGAACCAGGCATCACTTTCCCAATTTCAGTTAACTTTAGGGCAAAGCGGCTGTAGCCTCCTGCCTGTATCCGCCTAAAACTTTGCCTCGAAAGGACCACGCCTAGAAATGCAGGAATGATCCTTGTTCTATTCTATCTCAAGCGATGACTTCGTTTGCTTCTTCCTGGTGGGCTTGTCCGTTGGTCAGACTCGTCCCTCGAGCAAATATCTCTCGTAATACATCCTTCAACTCTTGCAAAAACCTATCGACTTCCTTCTCTGTCCCTACTGTTATACGCAAACATCCTGTACAGCCCAATTCCTTACCTCGAAATCGAACAACCACTCCTCTTTTGCCTGCCATTGTTTCGTACACCTCCAGGGCAGTTGGATTATGCGGCTTTCCACCTTGGTCTTTTGGTTTGTCCAGAATCTCAACCAGCAGGAAATTTGAGTCGGCACCTCCTAGAAATCTACCTATGCCGGGGACTTTGGGCAATTCTTTTTGTAACCTTTCTCTTTGCTGAATGATTTTCTTCCTGTTCTCGCGCATAACTTTCAGACTCCGCTCTTCTAATGCAGCATTGGCAATCGCACTGGTAGGTGAGGAGATGTTGTATGGAGCTTTCATATTGTTCAATAATGTTGCAATCTCTGGAGAAGCAAATGCCACACCCAAACGTATACCTGCAAGACCAAATGCTTTGCTCAGTGTCTGCATCACGACAAGGTTTGGCCATTCTAATACCCATTCAGCCAGACTCGAGCCATCGGGAGAGAAGTCAATGTATGCTTCATCAACCACAACTACCCCATTCCATGTCGGATGTTCTAGTATTTTTTGTATTGACTCTTTCTTAATCAGGCTTGCAGTAGGATTACCAGGTGAACATATGTAGACCAATTTTATCGATGAGTCGGATAGCTTTTCGCATACTTTCTCTGCCTGCAACGAGAACCCATCTTCCACATTCAGAGGTACAGTCACAATTTCAAGGTCATTGACGTCCGCGCTGACAGCATACATTCCATAGGTAGGAGGACAAGTCAGTATTTTGTCCTGCCCTGGCCTGCAGAAGCATCTCAGCAAAGCATCAATAGCCTCGTCTGACCCAACACCACAGAACAAGTTCTCCGGCTTCAATGTCTTGCTAGTATGGGTATATGTGTTCCTCAACCTGCAAAACTTCTCTTTCAATTCATGCTGGTGAGGGTCTGGGTATCGGTTCAGGCCGAGGAAGTCGATGTCTGTCGAACTTGTATTTCCACTCTTGCCGTTGAGTATAAGACCAGGACCGTAGGCATTTTCATTCGCATCGAGTAGGACATTGGTTCCATCGTCTTTGTAGTCACTGGTTGGTGTTCAGCTGAGGGCGCAAATCGTTGAGAGTAGAACTTACTCCCGAGCACAACGGTATGGGTGGAGTTTCAATATGTTTGGCCTTGCGCATTGCGAAAGGTTGAACGGCATGTTGAGGTCCGCGTAGCACGATGGTTGAATAGGTTGTGTACAGAAAAAGTTGTGACACAGAATTCTTTGGCTCGTTAACCCCGCAATGATGCAGCCTAACGCGGTTCTCGAAGCGCTAAAAGTCCCTGCATCTGCACCTAACACATGTCGCAGCGTTTGCTCTTCAAACTTTGTTGCAGCACGTTAGACGCAGTACGAGCATTGGTGTCGCGTGCTGATGTGGTTGTCCGACTCGTGTCCACCTCGACTACAGTCCATGTGAGGCGCTCTGCCGACTTTCATCTATCCTCGATAGCATCCCAGAAGAACAACATGGCAGAACGAAAATCCGCCTACGGCGCTCCAGCCTCTGACACAGACTTTCGTCGAACATGGGACCGAGAAGCTTACGCAGCCAAGGCCAAAGCTGAAGATGAGAAGCGAAAGGAGGAGTCCAAAGCCCGATACGAGGCGAAACTGGAAGGAAAGAAATGGCACAAACATGTCGACATGTCAGAACTGGACACGACATCGGCTCGCAGTTCACGTCTAGACATTGCCAGCATGGTCGGTAAGACGACAATCATTCCCGCAAGTGCTGGTGTGGGTAGAAGGGGAAAAGGTGCAGGCTTCTACTGTGAGGCTTGTGACTTGACATACAAGGACAACGTGCAGTACATTGAGCATTTGAACTCCAAACAGCATCTGATTAATACTGGGCAAAGTGGAGAGGTCAAAAGAGCTACCCTGCAAGACGTCAAGGATAGGATAGAGTTGTTGAAGGCGAGAAAGAGACAAAGAGAGGAAGAGGAGAGAAAGCTGGGTGAGCTAGACATTGGTGCTAGGATTCAAAAAGCTGAAGAGGTCGAGATGGCCGAGAGGGACGAAAAGAGGAGAAAGCGCAATGAGAAGAGACGGAAGGGAGGTATCAAGCAGGAGGACGATTGGGAGGGCAGGTTGGGGGTGATTGCGTGACGAGATAAGACTCGAGTGATTGAAGTCAAAACACTTTTGACGAGACAATGCCCACAAAATTCAGCGAAGCATGGCGACAGCGACTGTACTTGCTTTCAACTCGTCCGCCATTGTAACGTATCCGACTTCGCAGCGGCAACAAACACGCGGTAGCCAGTCATGCTGCTCACAGATCGGCCAAACACAATAATTCGGTACTCACCTCAGTCAAACGAGAGGAGGCCTCTTACATGCTTTGGCGCTGGCGGGCGCGACTTACAGATGGGTTTTGCCAAAGTTGGATGGGCTGTCGAGCACTACGCAAATGTGCAATGAGCGGTTTGGCCACAATGAGCACCCCAAGGCATGAGCTCGTTCTGCTAAACAGTATTCACCTCAGCCGACATATTGTTGAGGTGAAACGGATCTTCTTTGCCCTTCCGAGCACTGATTTATGTCGGGATCACAGTCTGTGCAAGTCGCAGATCTACTATGGTTCGACTCAATGATTTCATGCCATGTACGAGAAATGCATGACTTAGAACCAGCAGGCAGCTGACCCAAGCCCTAACCAAACCTGGTCCATTCCGCAACCAGCCAGCATCAAACTAGAACCTAACTACCAACCCAAAGTCCTAGTGATAAAGGGGAAACCGGTCACGCTTCATACACAACGCACAGATATAGCTGGGAAGATCAGATCGAAAGGAGAACATGGGCTATGTGGATGGATCCTGGTACCTGGAAGGAGACTTGTCCTATCTCCTCTTCACAGCAAAGGAGCAGAAGATTGCTTGAAAATAGTGAGACCCACCATAGCACCATCTACTATAGGTTTGATGCGACTCCTGGTAACTGGATGTTTCATGGTCTTTTCCTTTAACTGAATCAGGGATTTGGGTTGGCGGTTAGGTCATTGTTGGGGCTGGAGGGGTATGGATGGACTAGGAATGTTTGGGGCTGGCACGGGTTAGGTTGTATATATGCTCAGAGGACTAGGAAGCTGAGTCTGGGACCAGAAGCTATTTGTTTCTGGAGGCTCGCCAGGCACTGACGCACAATGGCAACCATCTTTGTATCAACGGTGGATACTAGGACACGAGACTCTGGTTCTACGTGGATTATACGCAGATCATAGTCGCTGAGTGACAGGCTGGTACTCCACAGTGAGGATGATAATTTTATTCATCAAGAACTTATCATACTACCCATACTCAACCATCTACCCACAATAGGATCTTTCGTCAATTGAACAGGCTTGACCGGCTCCATCCCAACATCGTCTGTGTAGACATAGATAGGCAAAGACCACATCTTGGACTCCTCAACATGTACTTCTGCACAGATATTATCAACGCTCACGCTAGCAGATAAGTTGCTCGGCTTTAACGGCACATCAAAGCTTAATTCCTACATGTCCAAAACGCGAAGAACAGACCTCAATTTGTACGAAAGGCACTTGTGTATCTTTCGACCTCGATGGCAGGACTCGGAGAGTAGAAGGAGAGTCTCTACAGCGCCAGTGAGCTCGAGGACGTCGCTGTGCAAGTCAACAACGATAGTGTAGTGGGCGAATTTCAGGTTGCAAGGCACGAGAAACATAACCTTATCGAAGCTTTATCATCTCGGCTATGTCATCCCGTGCTGACTGTGCCTCGAACACGACGACTATCTCGGATGTATCCAAGAATTTTGTCAGATACAAAGTCGTTTGCTGCCCACTTATGCAAATACTCAGCAATCAAGCTTAACCACAATGTCAATGCCAATTGCAACAGACTATGCGCGGCAATCAGCACTCATGTCGGACGTCGACTCCCTCTCAAGCACTGACGACGAGAAGAGTGATCACGATGGCCATAGACCAACACGTCGTGAAATCAGCCATACGCTTTCCCGTACAGCTAGCAGACGTACGGATCAGGATACTCTGACCCAGGAAATATCAAGACGACAAACCACACTCTCAAAAGTCCGCTCTCGACCACATACAACCTTTAACCATCCATTGTCGCACATCTCAACCAAAGAAGATGTCCTTGTCGATTTCGATGGTCCCGATGACCCCTACCGACCAATCAATTGGCCACTTAAGAAGAAGAGCATGACCACCCTGTTGTATGGCCTAGTAACCATGTCTGCAACCTGGGCTTCCTCGTCTTACTCAGCTGGCACATCACAGATCGCAGCACATTTCCACGTTGGTAGTGAAGTTGCCATTCTCGGCACAACTCTTTACCTAATGGGTTTCGGTATTGGACCTCTTCTCTGGGCACCGTTGTCTGAAGTTTATGGTCGCAAGCTCGCCGTTTTGTGTCCAATGTTTGTCGCAATATGTTTCTCATTTGGCAGTGCCACAGCCAAGGACTTTCAGACCTTAATGCTGACACGGTTCTTCGGCGCATTCTTCGCTTCCGCTCCTGTTACAAATACTGGAGGCGTACTTGGAGATCTCTTCACACCAACTCAGAGAGGAATTGCAATGGCCGGATATGCAATGGCTGTAGTTGGTGGTCCAGTCCTCGGTCCTATCGTGAGCGCTGCAGTTGTGATTCAACCGAGTCTTGGATGGAGGTGGACAGAGTACCTCACAGGTATTTTGCAGGTCGTTGTCACACTGCTAGCATTGATCTTCATTGATGAATCATATCCACCTAGACTTCTTGTCTACAAAGCAAGACGTCTCAGACATGAAACAGGCAATTGGGCCCTTCACGCCAAATTCGAGGAGTGGGACATCAGTATCAGTGGACTTGCACACAAATTTTTGGTGAGACCAATACAACTTCTCACAACACCAATCTGCTTCCTCATCGCGTTGTATGCCTCATTCTGCTATGGAATGTTATACATGCAGCTAGGTGCCATACCAATCATCTTCGGGGAGATTCGTGGATGGTCTATGCTCAGAGCTGAACTGCCTTTCCTGTCTTTGCTCATCGGCGCCATCCTAGGATGTGGTGCGAATGTGTACAATCAGACTCTGTACAATAAAGCCTATCATGCAGCAGGTGACAGAGCAGTACCGGAGAAGCGGTTACCTCCCATGATGGTTGGGAGTGTCATTTTTGCTGCCGGGCAATTCATCACTGGTTGGACCGGTGACATTGTTTCCATCAATTGGGCAGTACCATGTCTTGGAACTCTCATGCTGGGTGTTGGTTTCTTCACGATATTCCAGGCTGCGCTAAATTATCTCGTTGACGCATTTTCAACGTATGCGGCCAGTGCAGTTGCTGCTAATACGTTCCTGCGAAGTTGTTTTGCTGCAGCGTTCCCGCTGATTGTTGGGCCTATGTATCATGATATTGGGACTGGTCCAAGTAGTTCCATAACAGGAGGATTCTCGGCCTTGTTAATACCAGTACCGTTTGTGTTCTACATCTTCGGTAAGAGGATCAGAGCGAGTAGTAAGTGGAGTAAGCAGAGTGTTTACTGAGGGGGAGATGAGGTAGAGGAAAATATTTTCATGTACACTCATCTGAGACTGAGTCGAGATTTCTGCAATGCTGCGACATGTTACCAGTCTCCTGGTCATCCCTGGTTTGTGAATAGTCGCTGTATCTGGAGCTTAGCCGTCGGGAATAGTTGGTTGAGGTGACGTCGTCCTGCAGTGAGGAATGTAACTTTCGGTTTCTCGATCAAATGAATCGTGCCCTTTTACGATTCCATTTAGGGACGACAGCAGTGGTGGTCCTCCAGATCGAAAGGTTACTTGGAGTTGAGATACTCCAAATCTGGCCTGTGCTTACTGGTGCAACCAAATGTTTGCCCTTGAAAAGCCTGACACGCTATGTCTGACTGTTTGCCCACAAATTCGCACCTTCGATCTCGTCTGCTCAATTGGGTTACAGTTCGTCTTCTTCAAACTTGACGCGAGATGGCCCCAACATTCACCAAAATTACCCCATCTCTGCCTGTTTCCTCTGTACCCGCCTCAATCGACTTCTACACCAACGTCTTGGGCTTTCGTGTTGCAGGTCGAGATGGCGATAACCATACCTGGCTTCAGTTGACTTCAGACTCCGAAGCTCCACGCGACGATGTAGCTGTGAACATTTACCTTCGTCGACGTGGCTTTCTAGACTTGCCTGAAGATGCAGCATTCGGCAGGATCTATATCCGAATCGAGGGTGAGGAAGATGAGCTTGATGGATTGCTGGAGAAGTGTAGGAAGGGAGGAGCAGTCCTGAAGAATGATATGAGTGTGAAGCCTTGGGGTTTGAAGGACTTGACAATTGCGGACCCTGATGGCGTACGTCCTTGGCCTATAGCAGGCAAGTCGCTGATCAGGACAACAGAATCTGCTCAACTTCAGCCAAGCCATGGGATCGTATCCGCGCAGCAAGCCAGCAAGTTCGACGAGTGGTCAGTGAGCGGTGAATTAAACTGCAAGTCATGGCCGAGGGTGTTGTCGAACATATAACCATTGTGAGAATTTATACAGCGTGAAGATGGCTATGTGGAGCAGGTCTCTTCGAATTCTTCAACTTCGTTCATCTCCTTGCCGCGTGACATGCTTTCCTTCCAGCAAATGACTCTGGTTGAAGCACGTTCTGGAAGCCGACCATTTTCAGGTTGTGTCTTTATGGTATCAGTGGCGACTGTGTTGTCCCTCGCTACCACGGACAGAAAATTATAGTTGGAACGGCCCAAGGTGGCGACGTATGTTCACTGTGCCGTTGCATCTCTCCCTGGATCCTGGTCTAAGTGCGTGCATTGTTCCTACGGCGACTTCACCAAGATGTGTCTCCGAAACCAGGCTCGAACAATTTTGTACTGCTGGTCAACTGAAAAAAATCTCAGAAATCGGTCATGAGCTCGTTCTGATCGCCTAGTATCACACTTGAAGAGCCGCCGTATCTTACCAGCGTGTGGTCGACTCTGCCCTCCACAACCGCGAAGTCGCTGACCACATGGCTGGTGCAATGGCCTTCGCCTTGTAAAGCTGAGCAGACCATTACTAAAGATGTAGAGATTCCCATGGTTCAGCATCAGATATTGTAGAACGCACGACCAGTTCTCCAATAGTCGACTGAACGTCCTGCATAGTAACGAATGTCGTCGGCAATCTCCTCTGCAGAAATGACGCACCAAGCGCGTCTCGCTGTGCTGTTCCAGATCCCGTGCGCGATTGCATACCTTAACCGCCAGAGATCATAGTTATGCCAGTCTTCATCCCAAAGCTTGCCTCGTTCCTCATCATCGAAAGCATATGCTTCCCTATAAGCATAGTCCACAAGAGCCCAAATCGAGAACTCTCTTGTCAGAGGTTTCACTAACGCATCTTGAATGCACGTAAGAATATGACTTTGGCCAGTCCAACGCGAGTCGTATTCTCCTAGTTTACCTTCTTTCCAAGCAGTAGTCCAGCAATACTCGTACCACGATCTATAATCTGCAAGCTCTTCAAGGGTGTTCTCGAATGGTGAGTGGTATCCCTGACGTGGATCTAGCGAATACCGGGTCAGGTCCATATCCCGCATCAGCCATTTGGGATACGCTGCAGCACCAATCTGGACATCTTTGACGGCCACACCGTCGAAATCGATATATCCAGTCACCGTACCTGTATCAGGGTCCACGAAGACATTCTGCAGGTCAAGATCTGCTAATGAGAGTGAGAATGGTGCTCGTACAATTTGTTTTGGCATTGACTTAGCCAGACGTCGGGGGCTTTCTCTGCTCGCAAATCGTGACCAACAAGTTCACCCTTTTTGGCTCCCTTTAGAGCTCTTCTGATCCATTCCTCGAAGAAATCCTCTCGCGGTTTTCGCTTGATTGTGCCAGCCCACAGACATTCCTCGTTTGCGTAGTAATCGAGTTCGTAACTGACTTCGGCAGGAAGGTCTGGGTCGCTCGAATCCCAGCGTAGCATGCCTGTCTTGTCAAATTGAATATTGTAGAGCTGCTGCATATGAGAAGCAATGCTCGTGAGTGTTACCACGCGTTGTTCTTCGCCGAAAGTTTCCTTGTCCCACCAGAGCTCTGACAGTGGTCGTCCTTCGATGAACTCGATGAGGCCGAATACAACACCTGCTTCAGTGACATCCGTAGTCCAGTAGTAGACTGCTGGAACAGAAATTGATGTTTTGTGCTTTATGTACTGGAGGGTGTTGTATTCGATCTTCATCTTCTCAGCCAAAGTCTTGACAGGATGCCTGCCACAGCCGGGCACTCGAGCACACCACTTCACGCCATCTGAGAAGGTTAGAATATATACAAAGTTGTAGCTGCCGCATCTTGGTGTAGGGTCAATCTCGCAGTCTAGGTAGTGGTCGGCATCGAAAACAATATCGCGTCGCTGAGCAAGAGCAATTTGGCGCAGCTTCTCCAGGTCCAAAGCAGCAATGACGCACCGGAACGGCGCAAGCAGGTCGTATGTGCAGCCGTGGCAGTCACTCTCCACATCTTGGCAGTCCTCATTCTCTCTTAAGGACCATTTTACCTCCTATTCCATCTTCATCACAATTGCGACAACTGACAATCGAGCTCGATCGAGTACTCACAGTTCTCTCATCCGTCCAAGCGTATTCCTCCAGTGGTCGTGCCAGAGACGTATTGGAGCAATGCTTTGGAAGAGCCTCTGCAATATTTGCACTCGATGGAGTGGTCGAGCATGATGCGGCACCACATCTTGTAATGGCGACTGTGTGAATGCCGCTATCGATGACTTCTAAGTCGGTCGGTTGGAGTTTGAGTTTTAGCTTGTCGGGATTAGCAAGGAAGGTGTTCGGATCGTTTGACACTGCTGTCGAGTCGACGTCAGCATCACGATAACGAGGCTCGCTGACCCCATGATCTGCGCCGACACTGCTTCCATCATCGTCTCCACAAATTCGTGTACCAAACGTGAACACTTTATTGAATCTGCCCTCCATGACACGACGAGCCTTTGCAACTTGTTTCTTGACCTTACTTCGAAGGCTAAGAGGTTTGCAGAACGGCATGTTTACAGCAGTCCCTTCGAGATAAACGATATGGAAGTCTTGGAAACAGGTGTCCTGGGAAAGGTCTATCATATGTAAGTAATATGGCTTTACAGTAACAAACTTTCTCTGGTGAATGCTTTGTTGTGGTGCAGAATCAAACCTACTGCTAGAAAGCAAACGGACGCGTCCAGAAGGGTGACAATGTCTTTGTGGAGTGTGGTTGCTATACTTTGTGGTGATATTGCTTCACTTACCTCGAGTCGCTTAGCAACAGCAGATTCACGTGTTTCGGCGGCACGATAGTTCGTTCTGATACCTTGTATGGATGTACACATTGATTTGAACTGGAATTGTCTCTCTTCACCATCTTTTGTGCTCATCTTCCTGACATATCTGCAAACCGAGTTCTCTGTTGTATTGGTTCCAATATACAATTGATCAAGGTGTCGAGAGGTACGTGATGGTAGTCTCGACATGGCTAATCACTAACTTTGCCAGAGATCGTGGCGCTCAAGATGCCAGCGTCAACAAATACAAATCATCTGAAGGGTGCCATCAGCGCACCGATCAAGCAAAACGCCCCAATATCCATTAGTAGCTCCGCTGTAACAAGAGTTCTACCTCATCACTGCAATCAATGTGGCCGAGCTCCCAATAAGAGATGCATTTGGAAAGGTCACATTGGCTGGTGTGCAGAACACAAAATGGCTTGCAGCATGAAACTTGGCTGCCGAACGTGCCGCACACGCGACCTAATGCCCGTTCCTCCATCCGTGATGACTGCAATGAATGCTTCTGGACTCAACGCGGTGATGGAGCAAGATGAGATTGATGATCTGGCCAAGGAGCTAGAAGAGGTCACCGTTGGAAAGGCAGAGGAGAATGCTTTGAGGTTAGGGAAGCAGCAGCCGACAATGCTCGCAAGCTCAAACAGGAACAAACCTCAAAACAACCTGAAGTAAAAGATCCAAGTGTTGTGAAATTGCTCGCTGGCAAGGCCGATCGTGACCGGAAACGTGACTTCTTCCGAGCTAGGATGTTTCGATCCAGTTGGAAACGATGAAGATAGTGGATGGTGACAGATAGGTGATGATGTTCCGAGAGTCGACAGTCTCATCATTCACTCAGCGACAAAACTTGAACAGAGCTGATGGGGAACAAAGGCCTGTCGTCATCATTGTGCAGCAGTAACAGTCGCATTGTATGGGATGAACAAAGAGTGATGGAATATTACGCTGCACGACTTAAGCTGCACCAAGGATATTGCCTGCTTGACCAAGAGAACGACTCACGCATGCAGGAGAGTCAACAGTCCGGGCTGGTATGGGAATGAGAACAGGCATCCTGATATAATGAACATGTACATCAGAGCTACACGAATTCAACGAGCTATATTACGAGAATCAATGTATTATCATGTACTCACTGTTGCTTTGTGTCAATAGAACCTTGTATCTAATCCGGTCCGATTGAACAAGTCAACCTTTGCCTCGACGTGATGTAATCTTGGTTGCCTGACAGCTTCGAATCATCGATGTTGTACTCGCGAACGTCGATCACTCCTCAAACACTCTCGCCTGGAATGCATCCGTTCTCTTGTCCAGTTCTCTTTGCTGCTCCTCAGTGATACCACTGAATACATGATCCGCTCCTTCAACAGGCAGATATTCATACCTGATGCCGGACTCCTCCAGCTCCTGCATTAAGTCGACTCATATACGCTGGCAAAATTTTATCAGCCGTTCATGTGCTATGAAGAATTCTGGCTACTTGCGGCTCGCACAATTTTCAGCCGTATTCCGTACATAGGAGCAAGGGTCAGCTTCTTTCACCTTCTCCGGTATCTGCGTAATCTGGACGCTAACATATATGCTCTCAGGTGAATCACGACCGTTGTGCGTCTGATATCCTTCAGGCAAATGTGCATCCATCTGCAGAAAGTCTGTCGGTCCATAGTTATCTACCACTCCGACCACATCACTACTCACCTCTAGACGATCGCCAACATCAAGGTGACCACCTGGAGTCCAAGAACTTGTCGTTCCAAGCATAGCAGCAGCATGACCACCAGCACTCTCGCCCCACACAACCACTCTCCTGCTATCGAACCTATACCTCGCTGCAACCTTGGGTGATTTTCAAATGCGCAATGCAGACGCTCAATCCTCTACCATGGCAGGAAAGATTGCTTCACCACTTCGGCGGTATTTTATTTCTGCGATCGCATAGCCATCATTTATCTGTCGAAATGACAGAAGTAGAAACTGTTTGTCGCCCATACGAAATGCGCCGCCATGAACATAGAGACCTACTGGAAGTTTCTCAGGACGACTTTCCGATCCTAGTATCTAGAGATCGAGGACTTGTCGAGGATGGCTATCGGTCGTTGTATATGAAAAGTCTGAGAGTCGTTCATAGTTCAGCGCCATCGCAACCTGAAATCTAAAGTCGAGCTCACCCCTTCCAACGACGCTGAGGGTGTTAGGTAGCACAGACCTCGATCCTGTCAGTCTATCAACGGCAGGATGTTTGCATACTTCGACAAGATGTGCAGCTGATCAGGTATGACAAAAGCCAAAGCACAATTCCACGAAAGGTCGAGGCCGTCCATGATAGGGAGAACGGAAACAGCTTCGGAGGTGGAACAACACCAATTTATGCCTCAGGCACGATTCATCCAGGGACGACATCTTTCTCCTTTGATTCGTAACACATCATAGAGGAAAGCAACACGGAACACACAAAGCGGTGACCTTAGCGTGGTCATTAAGAATAGACATGAATTCTTGTTGTTGCGCAACTTCGAGCTCTAAGCACGAAACTAAACGATATATAGATAACGACCTCAAGTGCTGCATTCTGCTCAAGAACAAGAAAAACGAAACCCTCCTCGCTGTATAGCACTAATGTCATATGATCCGCCCACGATGCCGCTGATGTGTTATTAGCTCCATGCTCCGTTGATCCATAATGAGCTCATTCCGAGTCATTTACAATAGGCACTAGCCTTGGGAGTCTAGGACCTCTTTATGCTGGAAGATGCCTGGGCACAAAAAGGACCATTCCCAGGTAATCAGTCTGTAGTAGAAGGCTCTACTGCTGTAACAATAGGCGTCGCCGTTGGGTACAGTGTCGGGCTGTTGATAAGCTGCTTGGACTTCGACAGCCAATTTTCACCTGTCGCCCAACATTTATAGCCCAGCCACAGTCCTCCATCGGTGGTCTTAGGCAAATAGTCATCGGCTCGTAAAGCCCACGAGCCATTTTTGCAGTCGAGAGTCTTGAAGACCTGGCACTCGAGTATATCGTTCATTAAATTGTATGGGCATATGCGGACTTGGTGGTCTCCGACGCCGAACACGGACGGATTGTCGATGAGATGACACTCTGCCGGGCGAATTATGAAAGGCACGTTGGTAAAGGAACGCTCGTCTTCGTTGGTAATAAATTCGATATACATGTATTTCTCTTCTTCAGACTTCTCCTGCTGGAAAGCGAGATCTGGCATCCATTTTTGGGCATCCTGAACCATGGTGTTCGTCTCTGTGGAGGTAGAGGCCACAGTAGTTCGCGGCGAGGTCAGAGTAGAGGATGGGATGTTCAATGGTGAGCTTGTGCCAAGAGTCACAAATCCAAGAAGGATGACCATATGGCAGATGCCGGTCATGTTCAAGACTGGTGCTTTTGCATGTTTCATAGTGGCGGTCCTATCGTGGAAGGTGAACTACAACGTCAGAACAGACTGATGTGCTTCTTTGAGGACGGGATGTGGTTTTGTATCTCTTTGATATATTCGGGTTCTAGGTCTTAGAAGAAAGTGTGGATGCTTGAGAAAACGATTGATAGCAGATTGCCGCGGGAAGGACTATTTATGGGTGCGAACCTGTTTGCAAGGTAGGTGATGACTGCGCAGAATGTTTCGCATACCAACATCCGCGTCAGCTTGTCAAACGACAGCCATGCAGGAATAAACCACCTCGTTGGTGGGTGTGTTGGCATTGACACAGACGACGTCATTCGAGTTAGGATAGATGAGTTGGAAGAAACATGCAGCACAGCCAAGGGAATTGATGTTTTCAGTCTCCATCTGCTATCAAAATCACCCTATTCGAAGGGTGTCGCACGGGACAACTTTGGCCAAGACCTTAAGTACGTAAATCCTGCTTCTTCTCAATAGATGATATCTGGAGAGACAGGAGCTGATGAAAGTAGAACAATGGCTCGATTTGCTCCAATAGCTATATTCTGTATCACACTAGCTAATTCTGACGCCTGTCTCGTGAGTAATACGCCACGGTTCGTGTCCGTTCATCGCCAACATGCTGGCAGTTACAAGTTCTCCGTCGCTCAAGGCGTACTTCCCATCTTTCGTAGTCTTGAATTCGCTTTCGATCTGCAAAGACTTCGATGATGACCTTATAGAAGGGCAACAGCACCCATGAGGGCAGCGAATCCAACACCAACGCCAGCGGTGACCATCCCGGCACCAGCTGCGGAGGCGGCTGTGGTAGTGGTAGCAGCAGCAGCATTCGTTGCGGAGGAGCCCATGTTGTTAAGTGTGTTTGTGGTATACACAGACTGGCTTGTGCTACTGACGACGATAGCAGTGGTAACAGTGTCCAAGGAGTGTGGCAGAGAGGTGGAAGAGACAATGACGTTGGTGGTGGTCTCGACTGGAGTGTAAACACCAGTGACGGTCATAGTGTCGTAACTGATATATGAGTTGCTGCTGGAGTTATCATTGTCGGTGTTCTGTGCAACAGCCATAGCTGCTACACTAGCAAGGACACTGAGGATGAACTTGGACTGCATGATTATCTTATTGGTCGAGGAGTTTGACTTGTTGGATAGATGGAAGATTTTCTTGTACGTATGAGTTTGATGGAACTGAGTTGCTTGATAGAGAGCGAGACTTGCAAACAATCAGCAAGAGCTATCATATATACATCGAGAACGGCGCATAAATCAACCAGATCGCCCACACACGTCGACTGGGCCACTCTAGGTGTGAATGCAAGAGCCTTTTTTGCATGGGTTCGTTGGCAAGGTCTGCTCGCTCTTGTGGACCATTGAAGGGACCAGTACAATTCTCCTAATGCCGTGCTTTTTGGTAGCTTCGAGCATGTCTGAAGGTGAACAGGCGAAACCTGGCATCACAACACAACCACCCTTGGCCAATATTCCGACCGAGACGACTGGAGCAATAATTCGAAAGTTGGCGGTCTCTAACATGTTGCGGGATGTTGCATCATTTTGGCTGCCCAGGATTGGGCAATGATGCTATGTATCATGTTCTGACCGTACGTGGACAACCCTTTGGGCGACCTGTCGTGGTTCCAGAGGTTAATGAAATCAATTGAACACGATCGGGGTCACTTTTCTTTTGCTTCAGCCTCGATTCTTGCCCTCGAAGTCATGTCCAGATGTGATGCGAGACTTCGGAGGCTTGTCCAATCGGTGCTTTGCACATGAGATGCTAGACATATTCGAACGGACCGAGTCGGTTCAAGGAAGGCAGTACTCACCACATTTCCGCTCTGCTTTTCGGCTACTACAATGACATCTGGGTGTCGTCTTTTCAGAACGTTACCTAGCTCCAATGATCGAGGTTAGGTAAGAAGTCCAGCGTCAAGTGCGCTAAAATTGAATTTGCCGAGAATTGATGCCCAGAAGAGGAGGGCCTATAGGATTCCATTAGAAGTGAGAGTCACGATCGTTGATCCTGATCTGATGCCTTGCCTATGAAGACCGATCCCTACCTTCAAGGCAGCATGGTGTATCTCAGCGTATGTCTACCTCAAACACGATGTGTCAGTATGACTTTCTGATTGTCTGTCAATCAATTCCACTAAACGATCTGAGCTCTGATGAGCAACGATGATTGCAGGACCATTAAAGTTTGAGGCGAGTGATGGCTCAAGATAGTGGAAGATTGGAGGCTCGAAATCAAGTAGACCAGCACCGATATCGGCTAGATCGGAGACAACTATGTTAGGGGTGATGTGAGGTTGTACGAAGGACACAAGAGACAAGCTGCTTCTGCAAGTGCGTCGACGCTGCTGCAGTGTAGCCCTTCATAGGTGCTAGTATAGATGGCGGCTATAAGTATGGAAAAACAGAATCGACTGTGGGTTGTGTCGAAGCAGCACTGGCCTGGAAACGGGCTGTATGGGCTATGTCGATGAGGTGGTCAGTCAGCTTTTGGTATTGGATTTGGTGTAGTACAAAGGATTTACACTTGTAGCGTTCCTGCACCACCCAGTAGGAGATCCAAAAGGTCACACTGGGTCCGAAAAAATTGGCTTACGAGGACGCATCGTCCTGCTTGACAATCAGTCGATTTGGAGTTGTTTGCTTCAGCAGGCGCTCTCCGCAAAATTTATATCGAGGCCAACAATCTGTCTTTTCGAGCTTAGAAACTGGGGTGTCTATATGGCGTAGATTCTGTGCGACAGTGTTGACAGCAGTGCACTACTTCTCGAGTGACTTCGGACTTATTTCGGATGGGATGGCTAATGGCCGCCTGCGACATCGTCGGTGTGGGGCGCGACTTCCCACTTTTAGCGTGGTTACAGCGGTTTCCTGTCTTTTCAAGACTGGAAATTATCTTATCTTCTTTCATACCACTCATACTCGAATAATACAATCATATCCACTCTCTTCTTCTTTCCATCAGGAATAGTTATTTGACTTTTAAGTTAAAGGCTTGTCCAAAAGCCTATCTATTTCGAGCACAGCGCAAAGTATAACCACGTAGCCGAAGTCATTGGTTTGATGAGTGCGTAATTGCCGGGTCTGAGAGTGCTGCAGATGGAAGGACCTTCGTAAGGGCCAGAAATGCAACGTCGAAAACCACTATCTTCCACTGAACGGACGATTGCACCCATATTTGATGGTTCCGTGTAGAGCTAGCCACGAAGACACATGAGCGACTGCCTCAGCACTTTGTGCACGACAGCAGCAACAAAATCATCCCAGCGTAGCAGGTCCGTCTCAATACACACCAGGCCAGATCTTCCACCTCACCTTCTCACAGTACCTATCCCAATCCTTGCCATACTTTCTCCTGCACTTCTCCTCGTCCCTCATCTCCCTGTGTACCAACAGCACGCCAAAATAGACGATGTAGAAGTATGTGAATATTATTCCCCAACCTCTGGCCTCGCCTTGCTCAACCTCTTTGTGAACAGTGCCTGTCACAGGGTTTGTGTATCTGTTGATAACATATCCTGCAACACCAGTCGGTAAGCAGTAACTCCAGGCCATAGTCCAATCGCCAAGATAATTGATATGACGAGCTGTGCCCCACCAGCCAGAAGTAATCAGTTTGGTACCAGCAGCAGTCTCAATATACTTGAGATGAGATACACGTGGATCATTGGGATCTTGGCGGAAACGATTCTTCTCATTGTTGGCGGAGCGGAATAGCCAGTAGCCCAGAGCTTGAACGCCTAGGACGATAGCAATCCCGAAAGGACCTAGGACATGTGGGTGGACAGCAAGATAGCGGGCCTGGATCGTGTAGATGAAAGGGACCCAGACCAGGTCACCGAAGGAAAGCATATATCCGAAACCATCGTTGGTAATGTCTATGGTACTGGTGACTGAAGATTCCATGTACAGAGCGTCGAGGACATAGAGACCCTGAAATGCTGTGATGAGGATGATGCTGTCTGAGATGAAACCATGTGTTCGGTACTGATGGGCGACGAAGGTAAGATTGAGTATGAGCCAACCAGTAAGACCCGGGCGCATTTCGTTGAAGAGTTTGATGTCAAGTACTTGTCCTCCTATTCCGAATGGCAGTCCTTCTGGAAATGTAATACGAGGATTGAGCTCACGACCAATAAAGAAGTCGTAGAGCATATTCCCACTATGTCCACCTTTTGCGAGTTCTCTGTGTTCAGGATTTGGTTGACCTGCGCGAGGGACACTGAAGGAACGAAGGTAGACGAAGACGGCGGTTGTGCTTGCAATGAGCATATTGGCAGTGAGGATTTGAATGAAGTTGTCCCAGATATATGTCCATACCACAAAATCACTGCCTTGGATTAAAGTGCCGAATGCAAGTCCCGCAAGCTGTAGGATAGCACTATTGAAAGCATTGAATTTGTAGGTATGTCGACCACCGCAGGAGAGCTGTAGACCTTCAACATACTCACCAGGTAGGAGCAGCTGTAGGAATAGACTGAGAAAGTAGTATGCCGATACCCATGCAGTAACCTCCCACGAATGTACACCTCGTATGCCATCTTGTGGCCATGGGATCTGATGTTTCAGTTTGGCCCAGGTGAGAGTGCTGGGGTGTAGTAGAGCTGGTGCAGGACAGCCAGAGACATCGTTGCAGAGGAATGCCGTAGCGTAGACCAGAACAGGAAGACCGAAGGTGATCAGAAAAGCACCAGGAGGACCAAAAAACTCGTACCCGTGTGGAGGTTCAGGTATCGAAGGCTTGCGAGGACGTATAGACATAGCTGGTTCGTTAGAGGAAAGAGAGAGAGAAACTTGGTCTTGGTCGACCAGTGGTGACGAGTTTGAATGAATGAGTGTTGACCACGTCGACGGCTCAGGTGTAAAGGAAAGACATGGCTGGCGCAGCTGAATGCACCTACCCTAAGCTGTCTCTGGAAATTTATTTGAGCTCGGATGGCAGTTGCCCGAGTGAGGTCAGCCGCGGTCGAAGCCGCAATGGGAGCCAATCATACCACTTCCCGAATCCTGCAGTCAAGCTCGAAGCAACCGAGCTGCGGGTAAGGAATAGGCATTGATGCCTTGAAGCCTGCAGAACTTTCGACTCCTTCTAATGGCTGGTCAATGAAATCTGAATGTCGATAGTCCTTCCTCATCCATACGCAACAGTCTATTGTCGGTCATATCCCACGCTGAAGACTGAGCCTGCATTCGTTCCATACACTTCCGAGACTTCCACTGTCAGAATGCGCCCCTTGCAGAATAACGGACTGCCTCTCCTCTCACTCATTCTATCACTCTCCTCAACCTCGATAGCAGCCTCATCTGACGATTCCAAAACCCCGGCCACGTTCGCAGGCTGCACGATTCATTCCTCTCTCTCCGGATCCTTCTACGATGTCCGTCCTCTCACCCTGAAATCCTCCTTACTCTCGAAAAGTGCCGGTACAAACGAATCCTACCACAGTCGCGGCTATGATTACGGCGCAAACTTCACCCTGAATATATGTGGACCAGTAGTTGAAGAACTCGACAATGTGGTAGGAATCAGTCAGAGCCATTATGCAAATGTCAGCGCTTTCTATACAGATCGAGACGATATCTACAGTCTGGGCGAGGTCAACCAGAACCTCACGATACGAGGCAGGAAACTCCTGCTAAACTATACCAATGGTTCGCCATGTCCGGAGTTGGACGAGTACGGAGACCCTGTCATCGAGTCACGATCGTTGTTGAATGTAAGGGAAATCGTTGGAGGCGGTAATGGTAGTGGAAGAGGTAGTAAATCAAAGCCATCCCGTCGGAAGTCCGCACTCCTCTCATTCATTTGCGACACCTCCCCTGCCCTTTCTACGACACCGCGTATCAACTTCGTCGGCACGATGGATCATTGCACATATACCTTCGAAGTACGGTCACGCTACGCCTGCGCTGGTGCAACACCTAGTCATGAGAAGGGAAGTCTGGGTCCTGCGGGTGTATTTGGGATGATTCTAGCAATTGGTGTGCTCGCATACCTGGTTGGAGGCATCGTCTACCAGCGAAATGTGATGCATCAAAGAGGTTGGAGGCAGTTGCCGAACTATGGTCTATGGGCAGGAATCTGGGACTTCTTTTCGGTAAGCATGACAGACATGACAATTCGTTGGACATTACTAACCATCTCTAGGACATGTTCCAGATCATCCTAGGTCCATGCCTCAGCCGACTCCCGAGCACAGGACGTCTATTCAATTCAAAAAGAGGAGGATATGTAAGAGTTGGAGCAGATGACAGGAGAAATGTAGGCAGAGGTCGTACGAGTGACGATGAAAACAGGTTGATAGACGACTTAAACGAAGAATGGGACGATTGATTCATTTGATGTCACAACAGCTGTATATTAAGTAGAATAGAAAAGACAGGCATTCCAACACATTTCAAATGCCGTGTCTCACGAATCGAACCTGCAGCTCATCCCCTGCTCGACCATATTGAGTATGCTAAACTCGAAACCCATCTCGTCCGTTTGATTGGGAAATCATTTGACTAGTCGAGTAGAGGACTAGATGCTGAATGCCTCCGCAGACCGATCAACGAACTCTATGAATGTTGCTAGCAATACAGCCAAATCTTGAGTATCGTCAGCACGCAACTGTGGCTTGTGCGAAGTAGGCATGCTAACGTTGCAACAAGATCTTTTCTTCTCTGGGTTGTCAGTGTCGCTCTGCAACGAGGACAGATTGGACTCACGTAGCCGTGTTTGCAACGGAAGACATGTCTCTCACTTGCTGCAGTCGTCGACAGCTTCGTCGTTTGAGTCGATCAAGCTGGTCACGAACGTTGATTGAGCATCTTGAGAAATGTGCTTGCAGGAAATCGTCTGCTTAATTTGTTGTTAGCCATAGAGATGGACTGGGCTCTCGACAGAGGAACGGGTAGCGAATGTGGACGTTTGCAATCCCTCAGAAGGCAGAATGATAAACGTAGACAATGGCGGCCCCAAGAGAAGCTATTCCCATCCACGGTGGGACAGTGACCGAGGGGCTGGAGCCTGAATGTGGAACGCCTGGCGAGGTTGTTGTAACAGGACCAGGCTTGATTTGAGGAACAACCAGATGTCGGTAGGCTAACGATGCACTATCTGATACTTTCTTGACCCAAGCTGACACAGGAATTGATCGAGTAGAGGCGGAGTTGGCTAAGGGTGGGACGATGACAGGACCAGCAGGTTTGACTTGTGGTTCGATGATTGAATCAACGTGGTTGCTTACCTGATCGTCCGCCAACCACAAATCAGATATTGTAGAATACGACGCCATCTGAGCCATCTCTTCTCTTTCTTCCTTTGACTGAGCTGTCTCGATAGCATCAGGTAGGACTGTAGCTGTGCCGGGGTCGGTGGGTCCGAGACTCAGTGACTCGACGATATCGTCATGTGCGTCTGTATGTGGGTTTGCGATCTTGCTGGGATGGATATGGCTATGTGTGTTCAAGTAGCTACGAACGTACACTGCTTGTGGAAGATTTACGTCTCCCGCCGATGTTCTGAGAAGGGCGCTCGAGATTTGAGGGCTTGCATTGCTAGCTGTGGCAGTGACAGTGGGTGCTGTGCCTGTGCCAATAGGAACGCCGTTGATCAATCCTGCTTGACCGCCTTGATGGCACAAATCTCCCAAGTAAGAGTCCAAGGAGCATGGAGGGTGGACTACTGGCTTTGAAGAGGAAGACCCCATCTTGTCCAACGAAGATGTGTTTTGTAGATCAAAGATTCGAGTTCGTTACGGGTAGTGGAAGTCGACGATCAGTCTCAGTCGATGCCGCAGTACTGCGATAAGTTAGAGGGAGGTACCTTCTTAGATTGAAGCTGTATTGTAGGGGCTGCAAGATATACTCAAGCAGGCGCTTTGTTGGAACGTGGAAACGAACGAGTCGTACACTAGAGCATGGTGACTACGAGGCTCACGATTTGTACGCGAATGCTTTGCCTCAGAGTCCTCACTAATGGATCGATGCTGCTGCTGGTCAACGCACTCGAGAACAGATTCACGTTTCAGACCTTTGCAACGTAGCAGACGGGTGAGGAGTACCAACGCTCCCGCCATGATACCTCGTGGCTGTGTCGACTCGGGCAGGTTGACTACAATCGCTGGAACGAGGCAACGACGTGCACTGCGCATCATTCTGCGACCATGTAGACGTTTGTACTCGTGATAGCAGTCTGATGGCGAACCTCAATATCACCTGATTATGAGCATGGTTGTTGTCCCTACACGATGTAGTTGCTTACGCGTGACGTAGATTTGCTGAGAAGGATTGTGGTGATCTCTGACAGCTTGGCTCGGATCTATCTGTCATGCCGCTGTTCCTGTCGTACCTCATGATCGCATGAGGTGGCCAGTGGCACAGTCAGACTATCGTAAAGCGGCAGACATGTGGTCAATTGACGAAGTAGACAAAGTCGGATAAGTCGGCGGAGCAGCCTGGTCTCGATCTAATCTCGACATACATACTGATGCTGGTATCAGAACCGCCGGAGTAGCTGACTGATAGCTGCTTAATGTTGACAAGACAAGCTTCGAAAACTGTGGCTTACTGATCCAAAGGTGGGCTCCACTGGCTCCGCGTATTTGATGTTCCGATTTGTTGTTGTGTTGAAGTCGTCCGCCTCTCCCTTGGCTTGCCTACAACTCGGAGACCACTGTGAGCCTTTCGTTGTTTCCTGCATATCGCCGACCATTGTTAGCAGCCGGGCCTTGACAGACTTACGAGCCTTTGACTTCAAGACACTATAACCTCTAATCATTCGGAGCGTCTGCATCTCTACTGATTGCCATGGTTGACGCTCAACAGGGTACTAGTGCTTCGCCGGCAGAACCGGAGAAGAGAAGAGGTTCATTATTCCGTGCAGTGTTTCCATTCAGATCGTCAAGGAATACCAGTCCACGAAACTCGATAGACACAGGAGCCTCACGATCTAGTCTCGACCTTGATCAAAGTGATGCTAAACCACGAAAGCTCAGCAGACCGTCCAACTCAACGAGCAGTACAACAACCAGGACCGACAGCTCAATAAGTGGTGGAGGCAACAAGTTGAGAAAGAAATCAATCTTAACCCTCGAGAATACTAGGACAACCACAGACGATGGCTGGGATCGAGACAAAGTCACTGGCGAAAGGAAAGACCCAACGAATATGATACACAGCCTCGCCCATGAATTTGACGTACCCAAGGCAGGTAAGGTTGAGATAATCGACACTGGCGAGCCAGCTAGGCCAGCATCTGAGATCGTTTCGAAAATACCTGTTCGGATCTGGACGACAATCCTTTCTTCTCTCTCGCTAGCTGAAGAAGCCAGCCTATCTCTATCTTGCAAACCCTTCAGAGATATCTGCTCTCACGACATACTGAGACAACTGAATGATCCGAAGAACTTCCGTGAAAGATGTCAATTCCTATACTACCTCAACTATGCACTTCCCCATCATCTGCTTTGTTATATTTGTGGACTTTACCATGTTCGTACAAGTAAAGGCGACGAAACTCTACGACCCACAAATATCGCAAATCCACTATTCATATGTCCTTACGCTACCTCTAATGACCCAGCAGAACAAATGTCAAGGACCAGAATCACCTTCGGCAGACATCTGCCTTACTCCTTTGTTCAATTAGCACTACGTTACCATCATCATGGACCGAGTTACGGCCTTCCCTACGACAAACTCGGTCGTCGTTACAAAGACAAACCAGAACTAGGACAATGGTTACATCAAACTCGATGGGCAATTATCGATGATCATCTTTACATGCGCGTTGTTAGTACTGCATTCGTCACACCAAATCTACCACCAGCAGGAAAAAGACATTTACTATACTGTCGAGAAGACTTTGTCCCATTCTTCAGTGTCTGTGCTCATTGGCGAGATGGTGAGCTTATGCCGGCCTGCAGATGTGCTCTTGATCATGTTCCTGCTCCATTATCTGGTAGTGGCTTGAATCGAGTAATGAAAGAGGCACAAGCAAAATGGTTGACAGGACCTCAAAGTCAAATGGTTTCAATGTGCGAAAATTGCAAACCTATGCGTCGTTGTCCTGAATGTCCAACTGAATACCTAATTGAGATGAAGATGCAGGAAGATCGAGGAGAACAGGACTTGACCAAACTCTTCAAGCATGCCATTGTCGTAACGAGATGGTCAGATTTGGGTGATGGAAGTGCACCATGGACATCAGAGTGGGCTGCCGTCAACGGTCATTTCGACAATCTGCCCAAGCAACAAAGGTACGACTCTTTCAAGACACTTGGACGACGAGCTATCAGTGGGACCTTTGAAAGCTTCTTCAACCTGGAGCAGATCCCGCCAGCAAGGATGGTGAATTTAAATCCGAACGGGGAACGACTTGGAGAGAAAGGACACAATTGGTATTGACGAGATTTGTCGCGCTTCCATAATCAACATTCAGCTTGTAAGACGACAACGTCTACGAGCCAAATACTTTGACTGTGGCCCCTTTCTGAGCATTCTGCGAGCTCGGTCGGCTAACGAGCTTCAGTATCCGGCGTTGAAACTAGAACTCGCATTTTCACGTTGTACACCTGGTTAAGAGCTCAGTCTTCCGTGCTCAAGAGTATGGCAATGCACTCCGCATGGCCGTGCAGTCCGCTTCAACGTTCTATTATAGGTGCTAATTTTGACACCCTCATCGCGATACTTGGTTGTCCGGAAATTCTACAAAAACCCCTTCATTTCAGTCTGCTAGCTAAACCGACCTCAATCATGCCAGAGGGTCACCAACGAGCGCTTTTCATGTTTGAGATTGCTCTCCAAACATCGTGATGTGTCTTCCTGAAATGTCGTTCGAGTCAATACTGGAGCCCGACTATCAACTTTCTGAAGCAATCCTCGTTACGTTTGTTGTTGAGAGCTGAAATGGTGAGAAATACCAGACTAAGTGCTATGTTTGACTGCTGAATTGTGCCTCTTATTCGTCACGTCAACGGTAGTGCCGGACTTGACACATATACCAATCTTCATTCCATCTCCAATCTCGAAATCACACACCCTGCTGGTCGAGTTGACACATACTCGTGGAATCCGGTTCAGTCTAGTCAAAGCAAGAAGTGTTCTTGGGCACAGTGAAGCAAACAGACCAAAACTGGGGGAAAAGAATTAAAGGAAACAATGACTGTGCAAAATTCCAGATCTGTTTTTTATCATGGATTGCCGTTGTGTAGCGTGACGAATGCGAGAGGGTACGTTCCTTCACGATGACAAAACGAAATTTCTCAGCCTTTGTTGATGCGATCGCAAGCCCGACTCACTAGTGGTTAATGGATCGACATCGGTTCAGAGTGGTCACCTATTTCGTATGTTTGATATGCTCTGTTTTACGTATCGATAATTCGGCTGTCATTCTATATTAATTATTGGCTCTAACAGCTACTCGACTCGACGATCTGTTTCGACTCGACCTACCACTGTTCAGCAGAATCTCGCTTCCCTGCTCTATCTGTGGATAAAACTTCATGATACAGCCCTTGGTTCCCTCGGGTGCAATTTCGTCTCCTGCTACCTCGTACGGATGGATACTAACCCAACCCATGGCTGCGTATAGTGGCATTCCGGAGTCTGCAGCTACCACCCCCACTGGTTCGATATCGAGTTTTGCGAACTCCATACCCCAATTGAGAAGTGCTTTGCTATGGCCACGTCGCTGATATGCTGGATGGACAACGAGCATTTGCAGCCTAAGACCACAATCTGTAAGGTGTTTTCTGACCAAATTGTATTGCAGGTTACCCAATATACGACCATGATCCTGATGCTGGTCTCGTTTCAGGCATTCAAACGGGGTAGCGGGAATATTAGGCCACGAACTGTCATCTGTTTCGTGCTTCATTCTGTATTGTTCGACTCGTTCAACAACACTATCGTTCTCGAGGGACCATATCGCGAACCCTACCACGACGTTCTCACTATCTTGCTTACCTTTAACGGATGATGCCACAGCAGGGTCATCAGCAGGAACTATCGCATCCGAAAAGCTAGCCTCGTCTGCCATGGGAGTGTCCTCAATCACTATGCAAGCGGTGGCAGTATCCTCAAGATATTGTCGAGTCATGACCCTCTCGAACATCAGTGCATCTTCGGGATATTGCTTGTGATAAGGAGATAGCCAAGTGAAGTCAGGAGTTGACTGAAAACCTACGTAACTGATAAGACCCATACGGAGTATCTCGTCTCGTTTCGCCCAGCGTAATGGTGCTTTTAGGTTTGGCATGATTGTTGGTGTTTTGGACATGGTTCTTTATTTGCTTACCTCAATCTGATTGGAAGTCTTCGTAGTTCTACCGTGCTTGTATGCTGAGAGTTATAGGGTGTTTATATGATACATATGGGGCTGTGGCCAAGCCTGCACAAGGCCTAGGCATTGTTCTTAGCGATAATGCTTCATGTATATTTAACAGCTGATTGTTCGTCGCAACGCACTTGGACAATGGGTCTTTTCTTGGTATAGGCGCCACGCCGAGACTCGGTCCGACTCAGATAGTTGTTGACCAGAGGTACGGAGGACCTCCTTTGTTATGACATCGATGTGCTTCATCCTAGTGCGATGCTTTGCCGGGTTCATGCCGATGTACTTATCCGTCTGTTTGCACGGACAAATGACAGTGTAAGATTGTCCTCATGATTGCTGCTCGATCAAGCACGAGCAAGTGCAATCAAGAAACCGATTTAGCCAAAAAAGGCAGCAAGTGGTTCTTGCGAGATCAAAAGCGCCGACATGATCCTTCAATTCTGATGACCGGAATGGTCGAAGTGCGCCTAGCCATGTGACCGAACCAGTGACTCGCTGGGTTCTAGCATGGGTCAACTATTGTGGAATCGGTGGCTGTGGTGCAGTCGAACGACCCCTTTCAACGCCGCCAGGACTAGTAACATTGAGGCCTCCACAAACTGACCTGAACTCCAAATGTAGTGTCCAAGGTCTTGACCATCTTCACCGACGAATACTTGCTGGTCAATATCGTCCATGAATGCAGGGAAGTTGCACAAAGAGCTCAGTGGGGCAATGGCGCTGATCAATATTTGCGTGATCAACAGCGTCACGATCGAAAGGAGTACACCATGCAGGTTCATTCTCTGGCTGTTTGGCAAGCAAAGGCGGCCGGAGTGTCATGTTACTCAACAGTAGTGTATTCTGCAGGAACAGGATTGATTCTTGCTTGAACTCAAACCGAAGGCATATTGCAATGATTGAGGGATCTGATTGCGCTCGTCGAGGAGAACAATTATCCTGAGAAGCGACGAATCCGTACTCTTTCGATGCTTTTGCCGACTTGACAGGTTTCCAAAAAATTTGATTGTATCAGGAATAACCTTGTATTCGGAGAAAACAATCGTGCTCACTCTCCTTGATATTCTGTGAACACAAGAGCTGGTGTTGTGACATCTTTTCAGCCGGACGACTTGAGATCGTACTTCTCCTTCCATATCCACGTATTGCCAATCACTTTTGAACCACTCTTTTCAGCCAGTCTCAGGTATTGAGCTGCGACGAATTTGTCTTTCTTCCCACCAAATCCAGTCAGGCAACACCAAGCTAATTCCTGCATCGCGTCAACATCATCAAGATTTGAGGCTGCAGCATAGAATGCTTTGGCGTCTTTCGCATCAATAGCACAACCCCAGCCCCAACGCTTTGAGCTTGCAATCTCGAACAACGCTAACCGAAGTTGATCTTTTGTCGAAGTTGTGAACCATTTCTCTTCTCTTTGTATGCTCGTTTCTAGCATAATGGACAGACCTGCAGCAGTAACATGGTATGCCAACGCTAACGTGTCATTTCTTGGACAACCCCAACCATGACGGAGAGACAGTGCATACATGTTTTGTGAAGGAACATTGCCCAGCTCAGCTAAATCTTTCAGCTTTTCTGTCGCAGAAAACATATCACCCTCGTCTCGAAGTCGCATGGCTTCTTGAAAAGCGTCGACAGTTTTCGCGTTGTTGTTCTGGGGTGCATAGGTGCGGCTGCGTTCAAGAATATCCTTGTCATGATGATCGAGTACCACACGTACAGCTTGAAGTTGATTTGTCAACGCATTCAACCACTCTTTGGTCACTCCTGGAGAGATCTGATTGAGTATCGTCACACTATCAGATGAAGAGGAAAATACCCTGGGCTTCAGAAAAGGTATCGAGAGCGCGGAGTTCTTTCTCGACACTGCTGGAAGCTTGAGCAGCACATTTTCAGGATTTGGCTTCTGTAGATGTTGTTCGACTTGAGAATAGGACAGAGGCTTAAGAACGCGTGAAGTGTTCGCAGATGCTGGTTCTCGTCTTTGTTCTGCAAAACTTTCTTGACTGAGGGAACGCGACGCTGAAGCCCCGTACTTGTCGTCAGCACTGAAGTTGCGCACGACCTCGAGTCCTGCTTGCTCTACTACCCGTACGTCCAAGACTGAATCCTGATCCTGAAATGGATCTTCGTTGCTGTACAGTCTTGTCCCGTGTGATGTTGCACTGCCGGCCCGTCTGAGTGTACCACTGACACTTTCAGTATACGCCTCCTGCAAAAATCACTCCATAGCAAGATTCAATGGTTGTCTCCGTAATGGATTGGCATCATCTGAGGACTGGATAGCTGAAATCAAGAGAGCGAGCTGATTCTGAATTTCTGGAATACGGGCTGTCTTACTTCGTATACTCGAGGTGTCAGACTTGATGCCATTGGTCATTGACATCGATGCGAAAGCAATTGCAATAGTGATAGCTGACTTATGGCCTTCTAGGTTGCGGTGTAAGCGGACGACTTCGTCCCGAATAGTGAACGACCACTGAAATCGCTCCGCGATATGAGCCGATCTAACCTTGTCAAGCAGCGTATCAATCTCCCTCACCACATGCTGGCATTCACGAACGATGGTGTCAAGGTCAGGGCGAAGATGTTCCGGATAACTGTCAGCCATACCACTTCCGTAGAACATTCCTAGACTGCGTTGGAATAAGTCAAGTTCTTTTTGAAGAGCGATCACTTCGGCACTGGTATTGTTCGCTTCGATAGTCAAAGACCGAATCTTGGTTGACACAGTTGTGAGCCCACTTAGGAGACCAACACATGCTGCAGCGATTGATAAAGGATCCATCACTGCGACTGCGATGGAGATCGATCTGAATTTTCTGGCTCACGCGAAGTAGTCGCGTTCACGAAGATCAGAAGTTATGGCCTTTGAGGTCCGCACAAGGAAGAGACCAGAAAGGTGAAAAGAGATCACATCTCGAGTGACACCTGCATAAGCGCGCGACCTGCATTAGTCTCTTAGCAGGCTCCGGAGCCATACAGCTCCTCTCCGTCAACATCTTGAACTGAGTCGGTCAAATAGAAGAAATCTAGGTCAGAGAATAGAGAGCACATTCCGACAGTGGCAGTGATACAAGTAAGTGGACACCCATACACCATTCTAAATGCTGGACCACGGAGCAAACAATTCAATGTGCATGAGCAGGTGTGCCGAAAGCTCTTTCGCTTCGACGTCGAGTAACCAAAAGTGGTTTAACAGCGAGATCTGGCAATCTTCCAGCCATCAAATTGTCGCGAGCACATCGCCAATACTAGTCATTGCCAAGAAGCAACATGAGATAACGAGCGTGACAACGACTAGATGGCTGAGAAGAGGATTGTAGCCCTTAGAAGTCTCGATGATAATCAGATGACCACCGTGCTCGCTTTTCGAACTCTGAACGCCTTGCGACAAAAGAGTTGTTAACAGTAAAAATACACCCACTAATTATAATTACTAGTACTTTACACGCCGTAATAGCTATATCCAGCCAAAGCCTCATCTTCCTCGTCGTCCTCGTCTTCATGTTCAACGACAGGTTGCAACACCTCGGACTGTGGACGTGGTCTTCTTCTTGTGCCAGTCTTGCCTAAAGACCAATTTCCAACCCACCCTGTGGAATTCACGTCCAATTGCTTTGAATGAGTATTTACATCTGGAGTCTCTACTCCCTCAATCCAAACATCCGGAGCACCATCAGCACTCATGATTCGCTCTAATGGGTCGACGTCGAATGGATCGCGAACGATATCGACAGGAATCGCTGTAACTGTGAGTCTCCTAGGCCTACCGCTGTTCCCGCTTCTGTGTGAAGACCGACTTGATTGATAACTTCTGGTACTGATTTGAGACAATGGTCTTCCCACTGCACCTGAAGCAAATACTTCTTTTTCTCCCTGTCTATTCTCAGCATCTTCCTCGATGCGCAGTACGACGCCAACGGCTTTCTCATCTTCTATGATTCGAGGATGTCGTTTTGCAAAGTATTTTGCATACTGCCAAAGACTCCACCAACAGCTGGCAACGTTGACAAAGGTAAGCACAAATTTGAACGGCATGTAGTAGAAGATTAACATATTTCTTTTGACCATCCTCCCTGCCAATCTCAAATGTACTTCGTTGAAGATCATCGCGTTGAGGAAGTATAGGCCTAGTGTGGCAGCAAACAGATAAGATGTGTATGTAGGTCGGACGAAAAAACTGATTGGCAGGACGATCGGTGTGATGAGGTACAGGAATGTTTCGTAAACTTCCTGAAGCACGAACAGCTTAGCACCAATCTCCCACCATCCTAACTTCCAGGAGAAGAGAATGTAAGCAAGGTTGTAGTAGCAGCCATTCACGAAGAAGAAATTCCATCTCTTGAATCGTTGTTTGAATACTGTCATTTCACCGAAGCCACCTCGACTACCACCACCAGCGAAGAACACCGACGATGGAGTTTCAGTCTCAACAAAGACAGAGCTGCACATGGTGATTCGGGATCCTAGCATTCGAGCGACGTGACCAAAGAACCAGTCCTCCGAAACTGAGAATCCAGGATGCTCCTTAAACGTTCGAATCAAGAACTCGGTATCCCATAGCACGATTGCACCGTGTGGAAATGTTGCGCTGCCGATTTTGCCAGCAAAAAGTCGTTGTAACCCTGATAACTTGTACTCCAGATCCTGAGCCTGTTGGCACCATGTTCCACGACTACGACCTTCGCCGATACTAGCCAATGTATAGCCTAGGCACTTGATTCTTCCAGTCAGTCGCTCCGAAACGATAGGAAAATTTGGTGGAAGGAGACAATCATCGTCAATGAGTAGTTGATAGGGAAACGAACGAGCAACATATGCTCCAACATATTGTGCTACAATCTTCGAGCCCACCGGAATCCAAACATGGTTGACGCCAAAAGTATTACAAACCTCTTCTGTGTTGTCGAGTGGTGTTGGTGAGTTCCCATTAGCAAGAATGAAAATGGATGATGTGGGAAAGACTTTGAGAGCGTGTTCGAGTGTGGCGGGCAAGAGTCCTGCTGATTTGTAACAAGGTATTAGAAGTGCAGTATCTTGGTTAAGCAGTGGTTTCTCGGTGAAAACAGCATCTCGTATTGGCTCCATAGAGGGTCGAACGAAAGGTGCCGGAGGAAATCGAGGTACGTCATTCGCTCCATTTGCTGTCAGTACATCTGGTGCTGGTGATTCGAAAACAGTAAGCAGTGGGCCGAAGGCATAACTGAGAAGTGTCAGTACATTCCGAGAAATCTGAGAATCTGAACTCACAAAGTAGCAAGACCCACGAAAATAGCCGTACCACCGACAAAGGTAAGGTGAGATTGGAACAAAATATAGATATACCATATTGTACCACCCCATAATGGCCGACCAACAAGAACAAAATAAACAAATGTAAGCAGTAGAAGATAACAAGTATAGGTGAAGACAATTTGAAAAGTTTTGCTCCGTTGTAGCTGTTTCTGCCGCTGTTGTGCTTTTTCGTAAGTCTGTCGGACGCTGCTTCGACGAGTGGATGGTTTGAGCTTTTCAGCAATTGCAACACTTGCTTTGCGCAGGAATGATTGTTTTCCTGTCGTATCATTTGTCGCTGTTCGGTCCACTGTCTCTGGTGAGGGTATGTGACTGAATCGGACACCAGATGGTCGACTAGCATTACTTGTCACAGGTTGAAAGTCAATCTGTCTCACTTTTCCAGCTTCTTCCTCCGCAGAAGGATGTAAGCCCAAGCGTGTTTCTCTGCCATTTCCCCTGATTGAATAGCCTGATACTGTCGATAGACTAGAAACAGATAATACACTTTCCGGTCTGGCTGGTCGTACAAGTACTGGTGATGGTGATCTATTTGATCTCGATCTAGTCAGTGTTCTGTCCCGCTGACTTGGTCGTACAAGTACTGGCGAAGGTGTACGAATGTCCTCACGCAGTGAATTGAGACGTTCTATTGCACTCGATCCAGCTCGTAGTCGTTCAGATATTGAAGGACGGACTATTGAAAGACGACCATCTGTATGCTGGCTTCCAAACCCTATTTGAGCTCTTCCTCCTGGACCAAGATCAATCGTCTTAGAACGTTGGACTGGATGGGTTGCAAGGATAGCTTCTGTTGGTTGTTGAACAAGCTGAGTTAGAGCACCTGCTGCTGCTTCAGTGGTTGAATTATGTCGACGAGTGTAATCATATGGTCGATTGCTCACACCTCGAAGAAGTCCAGCAGGTATCAAAAGGTTGCCACCAACAGTATCTCCTTCAGCCAGTGACTGTGTTTCATCCATTGTCATGGAGATGGTTGTCGAGTACACGTCGGAAGAATTGCGTTGATGTCAGGTATATTTACCCTCCCCAGCACGTTACAGGTTGAGGATGCCATTTTCTTCTTCAAGAACGACACCTCCATCGGAGGCCTCACGAAGATAGAGTTCAATAACAACACACCCTCCCACCACGTTTCTCTTCATCTTTGCCATAATTCTCCTCATGCAAAATTATGCATCGGTTTCCACCATGACATGATGATTCGCCAATATTGTCAACATATCACTGATGTCGATCCGTATACATTGGAGTCTGGAATAAGTTTTGCTGCTCGAGTGCCGGAACGCCATGTACCAAGTGGATGTCTGTTAGTGTCCGAACAGAACCACATCTTACATTATTCAGAGTATTTCCACAGCGACCCGACCAGGCTAGTGGCCAGTATGAGGACGGGAGTGACATGTTTGGACATGGGTGTCAGGTACGGAATACTAAGCACTGGTTCCAAAGATGAGTGGTTCGAACCGTCTCAGAAATCGCGTCGTCATGGGAAGCACTAATGACGCGAACGTTGAGTCTGTACGTAAAATTGCCACCAGATCTATGGCGGCAAACATTTCCTCTTGACTACGGAGAATGAGTTGCCGGTGTCGGCTCGCGGAGCTAGAGAAGCGATGTGATGATAAAAGTTCTACCCTGGTCGAATCTGTGACAATGATGTGATATTGCAGTCGACGTTGATGTTGAAAGAGACGCGAGATGCTGCAGCGATTTTGCTTGTCTTCGTGGCACAATTGCAAGGAGCATCTCAAGTGGCAAATGGTCTCTGAATAGAACTTGACTCCTCTACACTCCAGTCAGATATGGAAGGTGTGTAAATCAGAGAAATGTTTCTGGGCGCGATTAGACTATGGCACTTTCAGTCTTTTCAAGGTCGTTGCCAAATGAGGATAGATGTGGCTACGGCGGGACGGACGGGGTACTTCAAAAGGCCCCAGATGGCTGTCTATTTGGCTCGCTCACCGCATAGAGATTCAACTACTTATTTAGATCGTGTGAATCTCCATCTACAGCTGTTTTCGGAAGTGGCCAAAAAGATTGCGACGGAAAGAGCGTGGAATCGAGATGAGATCGACTTTGCTTGAAGATAGGCGACTTCGTGCATACAATCCTGGACCATGAAGCACAAAACTTCGAGGTACCGATGCTAAATCATGTAGGTCACGATTTTGACTGTACCGTGCAAGGATGTTTGCACCCATTAGCTTGTTGTTTCGTCATTACCAAGATCGACTGCTGAAATGCCTATTACGCTTGCAGTTGATCGGTCAACCAGCAGTCCCAACCGGGTAAAAGCAGATATTGTAAAGTAACAATGTGGATGTATTGTGCTGGTGATAACTCACTTGAACATCGACGTTGTAAGCTCTAAGTGGACGGGACTAGTTCCCTGGTTGCATGCTCGGCAGAGGTAGATACTGCTACACGACCATCATCTCGTGGTGACCATCTCGACTGAGACTTCGTGCTCCAATTGTCTGCATGCATACAAATTGGCCGATAGTCAATATCGCGAAATTTCTGCTGCAGCCAAAAGCCCGAACTCGTGCAGGGATGCATGGCCCAACGGTGTCGAACGACATCGAACAGAAGGAGGTGATGCCTACTTCGGTGTTCCGCGGAACAATTTGTGTTTGTTCGACTTCTGGACCATGCAGTCTTGACGACTTGTTAACCATCATCGTTTACCAGGGCGAAAAGAGCCGGAGACAAATCGATAATGGTTTCGTAGACCCACTCCAGTCAAGTCCAACAAGTTCCACTCAGAAACAACTTCCGATCTGAACAATACAAATCGCATGGCTGGTCAATGTTATAGTCTAATGCTGTCTTGAGTCTGGTCGACCAGGGAGTTTGTACACTCGTGGACGACCAATATCTTGGCGATAACTTTCAGTCTTGAAGAGGTAAGCTCAAGATTGGCTTTGTGGTATTGACCACTCGCACAGGTGCGTCCCGTGATAGATCTATTCGCTAATGCTTAACCTTCCTTTCACTTTCGGCTGCGGGACAAATTAGCGCAGGCAAATCCCAACTTCACTAGTTGCGCATGAACTGAGTACCTCGACCATCGTGAAGCATCTAAAAAAAAAAAAAACATCCGGTATGGACCGAGGACACAGAAAACAACACTGTTAGGGCAATACAATGCTTTGTGCGACAGTGAAAGATGCTCGGTACCTAAACTCAGGCCCTGTCGGATGGCCTCCAAGTGTATGCGTTTCTGCTCCGAGCTCAAATATTACGTATGACTACAGCGCTGTCTATGTTGGAAAACATAGAGATCCCGACGCCGAATTACTGAGAAGTGTCTGCACTGACTATGTTCAAGAACAAGAAATTGTCACTAGACTGGGCGACTATGCTATGGCATATCCGAAGTCTTTACAACACAAAACTGCTCTCTGTGACCAGCAAGAAGTGTCGAAGGTATTACTTGGCTGAGCAATTGCATTGTTGGCAGAAACTAGCAGGATGATCAGCCAAAATTGAAGTTTGAGCGCGGGGACAGAAGACCAGGTAATTGTCCTCGATGTCACCCTCTTCACATTGAAGGTCACATTGGTGGAAATCATCGGATAAGCAATGGTGTAGTAAGGCTCAACCGAGAACCATTGATCGTGCTGTTGTACTAGCTCTTCCCCTCATCGCTCGAGCAGACTATATAACATGTACTTCCCATTAGGGACAAGCCACACGAACGATAGTTTCAAACTTGGACACAGACACAAGAACCAAGTTATGCATCCATCGGATCGCGAGTGCTGTGGGTTGCAAACTGTCCAGTCTCGAAACCGGATTGAGATGATTACTTTTACAGACAGCTTGGAAGGCGTCCAATGCAGAGTCATTAGAACATATGTCAATCGCCGGCAATATCGACACTCTGGCCAGCAGGGCAATTTACTCGACGTCAGGTTAGACATAGGCATGAACAGCTCACGCATCCAGGCACATTGCTTGTTGTGGTGGTCGATACATTGAGTGAATATCGTGTCACTGTTGCGGGGCGGTAAGTTTCATACTACCAATATAGGAAATCTTAACAGTTGTAATCCAACCAATTATACGCTACGCCCCGACTAACATTTCATGACGAACGGGCTGCAGACTTGTCCGACATAGCAAGGACAGCCTGATTGAGTGAACCTCGATGGTAGAAGCAGGACCTTTCTGATGTTTTTATGAATGGCCACTATGCTAGAATTTGAGCTGGTCTGTATTTTCGATATGTCTGGCGAGATCATGTCCAGATATGGCTGTTGATTCAATGTGGACATTGACAGCTCGGCTGCAGCTTGAACGTTCGACGACACCAAGAATCGTACTTTTGGTGTATCTTGGTGAAGCCAAAGAAAGTGCGTCGTGTCTCGGCGACAGGCAGGACTCCATGCAACGAAAGGTGCCAGACTTCGAGCCGAGATGTGGTATTAACCAGGTTAGTATGATGCATAGAACTTATTCGATCTGGTTCTTGAATGTGCCGTGTGACTCAAATGAGATCCTGTGATGTATCATGTTAGAAGGACTTTCAAAAGAGTGCGGAGTGACATCCCCTCGGAAGGGCTAGTGAAAGGCGTATATTGAGTTTGCTGATGCGTATGCACACTATCTAGTTTCATCGCGTGGGGAGGAGAGCAGTTGAACTTGTGTTCGAACCATTGCTCCGTGAGTAGAATTCCACTGAGACGTTAGAAGCAGAAGGCGTATTGCAATATTGCGGGACGACGAACCTTAGTTTGAGTGGCGGCTTTCTACTTCTTCTCTTCGGGTTAAACTTCAACGTAAAATCTTACTTTAAATTCACAACATTGTAGAACAATAACTGTCAGTGATGTATTCAGTTCTTTATGTTGATGCTCGTGTATGAAGGAATGCAATGGTCATTCAGCTGTAGTCATTCGCGACCCTTTCTAGGACATATTTGGCCTTACGACTCGGCGTCATTCGTGCTAGCTGTGGCCTTGACAGATTGTCCGTCGGCGTCGCAAGCAGCGACCTTAGTTCAAATCATCTTATTCACTTTGTCCGAAGGTGCTGCTATATGAACCAACTACCTCAAGTTTGGTACGACGCGATCATCAGCTTAAGTAGGAAGCTCGACCGAGTCCGGACGATGGCGGCAACGTTCCGCCAGTGTCCTCAAAGAGCAAGTTTGACGATGGTGAGTGCTGCCGTTGTTCTTGCCGAGGCTACGATTTGTCTTCTTTGGAGTGAAGAGCGCATGCTTCGGAAACAGTCCTTGCTATTATCGACCGTTGCTTTCCGTCGCATTCCAAGTCGTGTTCGATCTCCTGTTCTGCAATTCGTAGGTCGTAACAAGCTGATCTTGAAGCGCTATTGTCCTTCGAGCTCTTCATTACTAAACCTTCGAGCTCAAGAACAGCAGGTTGGCTAGAATAAGCAGCATAACTCACCGAATCAAGGTCAGGAACCGTGAAATTCGCGTGCACAGTCAGTCCATTCCAAGGCCAGTATGCCATTGACGGCGTCCACTATTCGAAGCGCCACGAGAATGTCCTCTACCTCAACAGCTCGCCTTGCTCAAGTTCAACGGCATTTCTCAAGCACACCTGTCCCACGAAAAGAGATTCAAGATGCTTACATCCTCAGTGCCGCTCGTACACCAACAGCAAAATTCAACGGCTCTTTCATGACAGTCTCTGCACCACAATTAGGCGCGGTAGCCATAAAATCCGCCCTAGAAAAGTCCAAAGTCCCCATCGAGAAGATCACAGACCTCTACATGGGCAACGTCCTGCAGGGGAATGTAGGTCAAGCACCAGCCAGACAGGCAAGCATATTCGCAGGTCTTCCTCCAACCGTGGAATGTGTAACGATAAACAAAGTCTGCGCTTCGGGACTCAAGGCAGTGGCTTTTGCAGCACAGAATATTCAGTTGGGTGTTGCAGAAGCTCAAATTGCTGGTGGAATGGAAAGCATGTCTCGTGTACCTTACTATCTACCACGAGCCGCACAGAATCCAGCTTTCGGACACATGAAGATTGAGGATGGTTTGATAAAAGATGGACTCTGGGATGTTTACAACCAATTTCACATGGGCAATTGTGCAGAGAAGACCGCAAAAGATTACAATGTGACCAGACAAGAACAGGACAAATATGCCATACGCTCATTCAAACGAGCTCAGCAGGCTTGGGCAGAGGGTAAATTCTCCGAAGAAGTTGCTCCGGTCACAGTCAAGAGCAAGAAGGGAGAGACTGTCATCTCCAAGGACGAAGGATTCGAGAATCTGAGAGAAGACAAAGTCAGCACACTGAAACCTGCTTTCGTCTCAGACGGTACAGGTACAGTAACAGCAGCAAATTCCAGCACTTTCAATGATGGTGCAAGTGCACTGGTTCTGGGCTCAAAAGCGATTGCTCAACAGTACGGAAGCGGTAGTCGTGTGCTTGCAAAGATTATCTCTCAGGCTGACGCGGCCGTTGACCCTGTTGACTTTCCCATCGCACCCGCCAAAGCTGTGCCTATTGCACTAGAACGTGCAGGATTAAAGAAGGAAGATATCGCCATCTGGGAGTTCAATGAAGCCTTTGCAGCAGTCATCGAAGCCAACGCTCGTATTCTGGGCCTCGAGAATGCTAATGTGAATTTACTTGGTGGCGCGATCAGTCTGGGTCATGCTTTAGGAAGTTCTGGCTCGAGGATACTGACGACTCTGCTACATCAACTGAAGCCTGGCGAGTATGGCTGTGCAGCGATATGTAACGGTGGTGGTGCTGCGACTGCTATGATTGTGCAAAGGATTGAGTCTGTGTAGTTTTGTAGTGAGGGAATAAAGTTGTCATGTTCAAAATTGTAATTTCTAAATCGCTTGGTTTCTTAGAATTAAAATGCTGCTGTTCTGGCAGGCTGTAAGTAAGTCGAGTTAATCCACGTGGAGAGTCTGCGAAGATGGGAAGACAAAAGAGACACGTTGCGCAAGAGTTTCAAGGCACTTCGCTTGTACAGCGTTTTATCCACTAAAAGCAAATATGTGAACATATCGTCGATAACTACCTGTCGCATCCAACGACTCTAGCCTTAGCTCGAGCAAATACTGCTCGAAACTGCTCAAACGCTGGCTGTGTACTTTCTCTGAGCAGAGGCGAGTGAGCATTCAACTAGCTCAGCGTGAGAGTGACGCTTCTGATGCTGCTTGCATTTCCGCGTGCAATTCATCGACCAGCAAGCCTCGCTCTGCAAAGTTTGCTCTATCCGCCTCCTTTAGCTTCCGCGCTCTCGATACCATATCAGCACATCCCACCAATGGCCAGTGCAGTGTCCGACGTTTTAGCGCCCACATCCAAAGGAAAGATGCCGAGTTCGAAAAGCTGAGTCCACACCACCATAATCTGCTTAGATAGTTCTTCGCGAACACCATTCTGTCACAGGAATATCTTCTGATTAGCAGGAAGAGTCAAATCGCAACAAACGTGGTCCTGGGTCAAACTAGATCGTGAACAGAGATGACGGGACACAGGATTGACTCGAGGGTTTCAATTGTGGTATCACACCTGCCATGTAGAACTCCATGCATCACGACCGACTTATTTGCCCCTCTCGATCACATCTTTCTGGAACAGCGGTCAAAGTCTCGACATCTTCTGTTAAGTGTTGAACTTTCACTCTTGCAACTCGATCGTCACGGTAAGGAAGCGCATCTCACAGCGTCGCAGCTACCAGGTTGGATCCCAGCGACACACACAAACTCAAGGAGAAATCATAGAACGCGAGTCATGAACATCGACTGGGCCGGACTGATATACCTGAAGCAGCGAAGCCATCCATTTCAAGACTGGCCTGCAGGTTTACGTTGTAGAGATTCTGGTGAGACCGATCCTGAGCAGCGATGTGTCGCAGTTACTGCCTCAGGCATCAAGCAGCACCTGCCTATCGAGGAAACGTTTCATCGCTCTGGTGCCGAGGCAACTTTTTCAAAAGTGACGGCTCCGACTTCCGTTAAGCTTGATGGCGTGGTTGACCTCTCGACAGATGTAGTCGAGATGAGACTTGCATTGCTTGAGTCATGCCACAGGAGCTGAGCTTGTGAAGTAGAATTTTCTAAATTGCAAGAAGCGTGACAGTCTTGACAGCATCAACGTCAAATCTTCCGACATGGCTCCTAAAGATGCACACAATTCATATGGCCTGAAGGGTGCCGAGGATACGGGGACCAAAGACTCTGGCAGCAACACGGCACCGGCAGAACCTCATAACTCATACGGTCTGAAGGGTGCCGAGGATACGGGGACCAAAGACTCTGGCAGCAACACAGCACCAGCAGAACCTCATAACTCATACGGCCTGAAGGGAGCTGAGAGCACAGGTGTCAAGGATTCCAAAAGGAGATATGTTTCGCCGGACACAGAAGATCTGAGTGTGGCATCTCTCTTCTCTTTCAGTGACTATAATTGCCTCGTAACAGGTGGTGCTACAGGTCTAGGTATGCTTGAACCTTCTCCAAATTGCTCATTTGTCTCGCAAGATGAGTTCCCTCGACCTGTTCTGACTGTAGGCAGGTGAAATGGCAGCACAAGCATTTGTCCAAAATGGAGCACGAGTCATCATAGCCAGCCGAAAAGAGTCCGAGCTTAAGAAGACGGCAGACAGACTCAACAGTATTGGACCCGGTAGGTGTGAGTATGTTGTGGCTGATCTGAAGGACAAGGCTGGTTGCGAGAAGCTTGTATCGGAGGTCAAGAAGAAGGTCGATTACCTAAATGTGCTGATCAACAACTCTGGAGCCACCTGGTAAGTCGCTTCGTCTCTCACAAACACATCCTGACGATGCTAATTATGCTAGGGGCGCTCCATACGATGATTTCCCTGAGTCAGGCTGGGATAAACTCATGGCACTCAATGTCAAGTCAATCTTCTACACCACTGTTGGTCTCGAATCTCTGCTCCTAAAACGTGCCACTGCCGACAATCCAACTCGTGTGATTAACATCGCCAGTATGGCAGCTATATCCACTAGCGATGTAACAACGACAGAGAGCGGAGGACTTTCAGCCGTAGGATCAGGCACGTACAGCTATGGCCCTTCAAAAGCAGCATGCGTACACCTTTCCCGACTGCAAGCAGCCAAACTGGCACCGCAGCACATCAACGTTAATGTGATATGTCCAGGAGTCTTTCCTAGCCGAATGACGAGGTTTGGGATGGACACAGCGATGGATGCGTTGGTAAGCCGACAACCAGGTGGGAGAATAGGAACACCGAAGGACTTTGCAGGTCTAGTCTTGTTCCTCAGCGGACGTGCTGGAGCTCATATGGTTGGCACAGTACAAGAGATTGATGGTGGTAGTACAAGGACGGGATTCAAAACTGTTGGGAGGGACTCAAAGTTGTAGGGACTTACCATGTACATGGCCAGGCAACGGTTCGTAGCTCGATCGATGCCAGGACTATGATGTATGTGCTTCGATGTGACATGAGAACTGGTTGGCAAGAGAAAAGGAAGGTGGCTATTGGATCAGCATCTCATTGCACATCTGGTCTGCTTTTCGTTGTTGTTCTCAGGCCGTTATTTCTAAGTCGTCGTAGTTGTTAGCAGGCTTGCTGCCAATCGTAGGCAAAAGCATCGTGTCGCGAAATGCGGTCTTATACTATTTGTGGCACCATCGCCGCGGGTGCGGCCTCTGCCGACTTTCCTCTACCAGACTGTGTTTCTTCCGCACGTCGACGATCAATTCGTGACTGCAGACGTGGCCAACCCGACTCGCAGACCTCATGATCCTGTCAAAATGCAGGTGTCAACATCACACATCCTTTGTCCTCGAAAGACCTTTGCCTTGGGACCAGAATGCTCAACCTTCGTGCGCCGTCTTCCTGATGCTGAAATAGAGACGGTTTACTGTAATCATGGACGAAACTGCGTCTAGCTGGAAGCAATATCTGACAGCAGGCAATTCTCTGAGCTCGCCTAGCCGATCATTCCGTTCTCTTCACCGACTCGTCTTTCTGGCTTCATGAAAGGAAATGCACCTTCGTCAAGCGCCCAAACTTGTATAGAACGTACACGGCGGAGGGTGCACCAACGACTGGCTTATCTGCCTCTGTCACTACTTGATCCCGTGGTGAAAGCGACCAATCGTCTGCACAGAGTCGCATCGGAAACCGCGAACGAGTCCAAGTGTTTCGTTCCAGTGGTTGACACAGCTGACGTCTGCCTTACAACTGATCGCGCAGCAGGTATAGATGGTGGTGGCTACGCTCCAGCCTCCCTCAAAACCTCTTGAGCGAATATCCGTCCTACACACACGTCTACCTCAAATTACGACCTCAAATCATGCCTCATGCACTCGATGGGTGGCCAGAGACCTGCAAGTTCTACAAAAGATAGCGCAAGTCGAGGGACATATAAGAGCCTATGCCATGTTAGTGGACCTCAGATGACACAGCATGTCATGCAAGGCGATTCAGTGGTCGAAGTGTCTACGGGGTTACAGCTGGGCCATGCACGAGCGCTTATCTGCCATTGACCACGGCCATTCGAATAGACCTGTCACAGTCCAGGATCGGGCTATCGTCTACCTTCAGCGATGTCTAATGAATGAACTAGAAATAAGAGCTCGAGGAGACAAGCGTGTCTGGACTGAGTCCAACATGTTATTGAAGATTAACACTGAGAGCTATGTTGAATGTGAAATAGAGCTTGGCCAACTGACACAGTTTTTGCAATCTGAACAACTATCCCTCTAGCTATGCAAGTCATCTGTTCAATATTACCACGCGTTTGTCTGACCCTCTCAAAGGCCAGCAAATAAGGTTGCTATAGCTTCTCACACTTGATTGTCTCAATTCTGTCTCAAATCAAGCGGCGCAGCATAGTGAGTGGCTGAAAATCTTGAGGTAGGTGTAAAGATCCTCGCAATGTCACCAGCTCGGCCTGGGTTGCCAGTTTGTCGTGTTTTGCTAAGGATACGAGAGGGGACCGATCTGGACTTATTTTCCACAACGAGCTCAGGAGAGGAGCGTCGCGCCATACAAAACCATAGTCGAATTGATACGTTACAATATGGGGTTCAGGTTTCTTGTTGAGTAGCGTCGGATCCTGTGTTTCAAGGTGGAAAAGCTCAACCTCTTTTCTGTAGCATTCCAGGGCTTCACGCGCAAGCTTGGACTCTCGATCAATTTCATCGGCATAGAATAATTTTTCTGAGCTTCTCTGCTGTACTGGAAGGAGAGATTAACCCCATCTGACCTGCCGTGATAGATAGCTGCATCGCAATTGTCTTTTGCGTACTGAGCGTGCTGCATAATATATGCTTTCGGATACTGTCTATTCTTGCCAGCCAGGTAGTGCAGTGACATGCGCTAATGGTCAGACATCCCTGGCCATGCCCAGGCATTATGGAGGAGACAATATTGTCCATCCAAATTGGAACATGCTCTCGGCAGGTAGACATCTGTAGATGCGAGATCCTTGATTTTTCGACCCAAAGCTCAAGCGTGATTGATGGTGACATCGAGCTTTGAAGACATCAGATTGTTCAACTCTGGGCCTGCAAATTTCCATTCTGCGTCATCTTTGTGAATTCGTGTTGTCTTTTGACCAAAGTTGAAGACGAAAGCACACTTATACTAGGCTAGTCCCAACTCGACTTGCTCGTTTGCTAGGTGACAGTCCGCCGTTTTCTTCATGCCGAGGAAGAGGTTGTGCCAGTTAGCAGGACGATTCATCACCTTGACCATGTTCTTTGCTACCACTTGCAGCTTTGGTCTTTTAGAAGTGTTCATGAAGCATACACTATCTGGAATCCTTGTAAAGGACAACGGTAGTAAGAGATCAGCTAGCAAAGTTGAGTACACTGTGTCGTCTTGATCAAACTTGTGACTCAATTGAAAGGTGGCATTGAAACCATGGTCCATTTCGAGATCTTGCAATCTTCCACTGAAGCAGACTCATGCAAGCTTGTTGTGAACGAAGAACACGCTTGCAAGAACCATGCCAGCTGAAGCTGAAACTTCTGTCCCACAATCACGTCCAAGATGGATAGTCGGAGCAGTTTGCCGCTCGAGGTATTGAATGTACGATGTTGAGAGCTTATCAATTGGCGCGGAGAAAGGTTCGGAAATTTCCAGTACGGTGTTGTCTAGTCGTTCATTTTCGTGAGCATACACAACGACTTGAATCCATGTATTAGACGTAGCGAGGTATAGCAAGGTTTCGCTGCAAGGGTTGTCGAGGATATCGCTGGCGGCAAATTCGAATTTAGAGAGGGGGTGAGCTTCACTGTAAACAGCTTCTTCGTCGACGTGAAGGGACTTTCTGTACAAGAAGAGCCGCTCATCGGGCGAGAGAGCTGACAACGTCTCTTCAGGAGGTAAGGCCTAGTATGGTGGAGGTGCACGTAGCTATCAGCTATTTTCGACTTGATTCAGTAAAGTGGCACCAACCTGTGGCATATGAAAACTCCGCCTCCTCAGAATTCATGATCATGGCGTTGGCTGCAATGGATGCTTATGTCCGGCTGTCCCAATACTAGGGTTATGAGATTAGAAGCATGAGAAATCATTCCTAGAGTTGGACAGTCATATATGTCTTGCTCTCTGCTGGGCGGCTGTTTATCGCATGCAGAAACTTGTGGTTTGTGACAGATAAGCAGGTCTGTCCAGGTAAAGGTGGATCCTCATCACTTAAAAGAGTTGGAATTGTCACTTTGAAGCCTTGAGATGCCATGAAGTGAAGATCTCATACAGTGTCAGTGGTTGTCGAGTTTAGCTGTTGATTGAGTCCTTTTCGTGAGCATCTCTGTACCGCCGAAAGTTTAGACATTGCAATGTAAAGTCCTCGGACCGTATTGACGATAAAAGAATCGTTCAGTGTTCTTGTGGACCACTCTCTGAGCTCAATGTGAAGCATGAAGGCGTTTGAAGAAGACTACCCAGAGACAAGGCCAAGAACATCGTGCCTCCTAGCTCTAATCAACGACATCGTATCTCAGGACAATTGTGCAGAATTTAAATACTGTGCCGACGGTCGCTGTATAGACGGAGCTCTTCCTTCAGCTCAGACGTTCGAAGTGGAAGCTCAGTAGTGGTTACAACGCAATTCCTGGTCGGCTAAACAAGTTCTCCAGAACCTCTAGTGCAGTTACCGCATCCGTCCTTAGAATCGTTTTCCTGATGCGGGATGGGAGGAAGCGAGCTCTAAACTCTGATCTTTGATTTAGAAGAGCAATCAGCAACGGTTTTGGCGTATCTGTAATGTACTTATCAAGAACAGCGGCGTGAACCTGAACGCATACAGCAACAGGTATGGAAATAAGACCCAAGGTACACCTTTCATCACGGATGAAATGACTCATGGCCCAAGTTGTAAGCAAGATGGCCCAAATATGACAGGCTGTCTGTAGGGGGCAACCTGCTACCAAGTTGAGAGACACTCCAGGGTATACATTAGTGCACATGCTCATTTCGCGTCTATCACTCAACGCCACAGGAAGAGAAATTCCTGACTTGTAACCATGCAGAATAGGTACATATATGATGTGTTCATCCAACCCATGTGCTCAATATCGGCTCAAACACAACCATCCGGGATCAGTCACTTCGTACTACTGTCTTTGACCTCTTGATTATGACGAACACCAATGACCTTCGAGCTGAGTTGCTGCTCGATATTTTGAATCTTGTGCAACATGACGATATAGGTCCTCCTCTAAAGTGCGAGCCTCCTCCACATGCAGCTGCCAGCATGGTCTGGTGCGAGTTGTCCCATCATATTCACTGGAGAATCTGGGGCTATCATAGTGAAGACATAGTGACCAGAGAGAACATGTTCAACGAATGGCTCTCATATACTGAGAAAGGCCAGTGGAATTTTTTGGTAAGTCTTTCAACACGGCAGCAGTCTTGTGCTAACAAGCCAGAAAGGATTGTCAAATATGAGGCAGGGAGATACGTCCTCCAAGAAGCCTCCTTCATGATAGTTGGCTATTTGTCCCGGAAGCCCTTCCGCCTTCCATACCCTTTTGCATCGAACTCGGGAAAAATCCTACATCAAACATTTCAGTCTGGACAGTACTGATCTTGGTTGAGACCTATTCAGAAGACATGACCTCCCTTAGATGGCGCAAGTTGCTCTAAACCTTAAGACTTTGTCGTGGTCTCCTTATGATCCTGAACGGAAAGGTGTTCGTGGAAACCTAGATATGCGATGGGATGAGAGCGCACTGAGGCTTCCTGCAATCTTTCGCTATTTAGTGGCTGAATTGACGTGTGCTAGAAGAGATCGTCAGATGTCAATGGTAATTGTCTCGAGTTTCCCTAATGATGGCAAGCATGGACCTTCGACGTTGATGCTCCGATGTAGTAAGAGAGGCTATGGTCTGATAGTTCTGCACATATATAGGTGCATACTTAACCCTATATCCTCAATACAATACCTCTTACAACTTCTGATCATAATGCAGTATGCTCTCCACAAAGCGTGACAAGATGTGGGTTATCGACTTCGACAAGACCATATTAGAACACCAGCAATTCGCAGAACCTGATACCAGAAAGTCCAGAGAGTTGATCTGTAATCACAATGAGGCACTGCTTGAGAAACTCCATCCCAATGGAGTATAAGTACTCCGAAGCTGAGCTCGTGCAGTGTGAATCCCAAGTTTGGTCCCAAATAGATAGGTCTCCCGTATAATGCTCCAACACAAAATATTCCGTAGTGTGAGACATGAGAGCTGCGTGTGTATGCATACCGACTCAGCTTTGCAACGAGCTGAGAACATCGCAGGAACCATTGAATGCATACTCTGAGAAAACTGTGAGGACTATTCAAGGCATTCCCGTTCACAGCCACAGTTCAAATGTAAGACCTCGATGTGTCTCTGACCACGGTGGGATACTGACAAGTTTTGGATTCTGGCACTCAGAAGATCTGGAAGGCCGTGTACCAGAACGATTTGATGCTGACGAAAACCGAACAGTGACGTCAGGCACGAATCTGGTTTCAAGGTAGATTTGTTGTAGGTAGAGATATGCTGAGAATGTGTGGAAGACACGGGAATGAGGATTTGACGTCCGAAGAAAACGCTGGGCCATGTTAACATGCATGTGCCTTTTCAACACATCCAGTATCTCAGGAGGACGCCCGACTTGAAAAGGCATCTCCTCAACAATCTGTGGTAACGGATATCTCTTCCCATCAACACTGACCTGAATTATGCCTTCTTCGCAAAATAGTTGCCCAAAGTATTTTTCTGAGGACTCTTCTCAATCATCTTTGTCTTCTTCGTCTTCCTTTCTCTTTCCTCTTCACTTTCCGTCTTCTCGACCTTCTCACCAACCCTCATAACCTTGTACAGCTCTTCAAACGCCTCCACAGGCACAACACCACCGCTAGCCTCCTTGTGACCTCTTGCAAAACTCTCACCCATTCGCTCTCGCAAACCGTCGGTACTCAAATCGGCAGCGGCCTTGAGACTCTCGATGATATTGACAGGAGGGTCTTGTGATCGAGCCGTCCTCGCTATACGACAGCTGAAGTTGACCATGCCTTCAAGGTAACCGTAATTTGCGACCATGACAATTTCGAGTTTCTTCGAGGAGAGGTAACCAGCCCATCTTGTGGCGATGACAGGATGGACTTGAGCTTTTGTGTTTATCTTCAGAACTGCAATTTTGCCATCAGGTGTGAATTTCGGCGGGGTATGTGTATGTGCTTCAACTTCAGCATTGATCTCAGCACGAGCTGCTTGGAGACGGCCACTGGTGAGGAGATCTGACGGTTGAGTTGATTGCAGGAGGGCGTTCCAGGCTGTTATGACATCGTACTTCGCCGTTCGACGAGGTGCATTGACGAGAGAGACCGCATCGTTGATCGACTTCTTAGTATATTGCTTGAATGTGGCGGACATGTCTGGGAAGGGCGGTGACCATTTGAGAGTATTGCCGAGGTCGCCGTGAGTGCCAACACAGCAGAGATATGCGAGACTCTCGGATAAGGAAGGATGTAACGTTTTGCATATCTCGTAAGTGAGTAGGGACGATGTCGCGACAGGTGGATAGTGGCAGGCTGAGACTACCTGAGCACGATCAGGAAAGACGTCGCTGAGATGATGATCAAGGAGAAGGGTTTGAGTTTCCGGATTGTCGATGATCGGTGGCGCTTTGATACTGCCTTGATCCAGGACGATGACAAAGCTAGGATCTTTATCGGACATAGCTTGACGTTCATCTTCAGCATGAATACTGCTACCGCGTTTGTGAAGGTGCACATCCAGGAGATTCTTGTCAAGTCCCAGAGTTGTAAGTGTCCGATGTACGATCACACCAGAAGACAAACCATCAGCATCCTTGTCCGGCACAATTAGCACTTTCTTGTTTGCCTTGGCGCATTGTTTCAAGAATGCACGAGCTCTGTCAAGCACTTCGACTGGAGCAGGCCAGATTATCTCCCCATCATCACGCTTTCGAGGTTCAACATCGGTATAGCCAGGTACTTGCGCCTTCGGCTGTGCTTTCGGCTTTCCATTTGCTGCGCGTTTCATGCCTCGTCCTCCGTTTGGTGGTAACAAATGGACATCCTTGAATGGGGGAGTCAGTCTTAGTGGTGGATCTTTGGATGAAGATAGTAGAGGAGCATTTCCTAATGGTGAAGAGTTCATGAGTACATTTCGGCGCGAAATCAATCTCCCTAAAACGCGTGCATACATGTAGCTACACGTGAATGTTCGAAGTCGAAGTTCGCAACACGCGTTTGGGTATAATTTGGTGGTGATGTCATGTGAAAGAGAGAGCTAAACTAGTTTGGGCGACGACCTCGATGAACATCAATTACACGAGTGTTGGTGATCAGTCATCCTCTCGAAAGAGGAGGAGTCTCTTATTGCCTTCTCTATGGGAACACTAGCACAGAGCTGAGCAAGAGTCGTCTTGTTCAATACCATCTGGAGATGTAACCTTGGCAGTGACCCCGGCAACAATGAGGTTCATCAACTATTGTATCATTTTATTCACGAGCCTCACATCTACACTTTCAACAGCACAAACAATTCGCTCCTACGCTGCACTTGGTGACTCATATCCAGCGGGTGATGGTGCCGGCTCATCTCGCCTCCTTCCTCACCTAGACGCAACCTGTGGTCGTTTCTCAGAAGCATATCCAGTCCAGATTGCTGAGACATTAGGCCTTACCAATCACTGGTTCCATCCTCATTTCCAGAACGTGGCCTGTTCAGGCGCTACTACAAAGACAGTGATATGGTATCAGCTTCATCACATCCTCGCCGCTGATCTGATCACGATACAAGTTGGTGGAAACGAAGTCGATTTCTTTCCTCTACTGAATGAATGTGTACAACAATGGCACCCTTTGTCGAGCTGTGATCGTGAACTGAATCGAGCTAAAAAAGCGTTGCAGTCAACAGATTTCATGGAACACTTCGATCGCACGGTCAAACTTACGACGAGGTTGAAAAAGAGGGATGCTAGACTACTTATCCTGGGTTATGCTCGGTTTTTCGATGCTGAGACGAGTCAATGTAATAGTGTGTCTTTTAGTGTGACGAATCCTGTCAACGTGCTTTCGAATGAGTTGCGACGATCGTTGAATGAGCTCGTGGTAATGCTAAATGACGTGATCAGGGGAAGTGCTGAGGCACATGGTGCGGTCTATGTTGACATCGATGCTCTTTTCGAGGGACACAGATTCTGTGAAGAAGGTGCTGTTGAGCCTCGACCTGACGGGGAGGGAACGTGGTTCTTCAGAGAAGCCCCAGCGAGAAACAGGCAAATGCGTGAACAGGGTTTATCCCCTACATATGGAAGTGAGCAGCAGAGAGTCTTAGCGCATCCGCTGAGCAGATTTGCGGGTCTGACAAGGACTTTTCATCCTACCATCGAGGGACATGCAGCCATAGCAGAGAAGATTGAGCAGACTACAAGATGAACAAAGACGAGAACGGTGAGAATGAGATCAGACACAACAAGGATGTAGAGCACAAAGGGCGACTTTTGACTACTGACTTTGTGCACTATTCTCAAACATTCCACGCGTCCCCAGTTCACCGCGCTGTTATCGACTTCTTTCACATTCCTTGCTTGATTACTTCGAATCCCAGTGACATGTCCTTCGCCAGGAACGCACCTAAACCTTACACTAGAACGCGATGTGCCACGTAGGTGACTAGTACTGTGTTGAGAACAGTTTCAATATATTGTACCTGCTCGAGTACTGATGCAAGTTCCACCTGGAAAGCATGGCGACTGAACCGACCCGCTCGGTAGCACAGGGTTGGCGATATAAGATTGAACAGTGCCTCAATGACACAATACACAACACGCTGAAGTCGAAATGTGCACGGAGCTCGACCGTGGTAGATGAATAGCTTCCAAGAAAAGTCGTGGTCACGACAGAACTCATAGAGAGTGGCGCCAGCTAAGTGGAGGGCGTTGAAGCCCGGGACATCCTATGGACACGCGAAAAGGTTGGAAAGGCTGCACTAGAGTTGGATGATGGCTGCCTACCTTTGTACCAGTATCATTTGGCTCACTGCTCGTTGATTGTTCATTGACAGCCTTGACATTCTTCTTCGGGTAGGAATGACTTGCCTTCAGAGCGATCGAGCCGTCAAAGTGTGCTGCTCTCTCTGTTTCTGACCTACCACAGTCTTGACTTGGTGTGTTTGTAAGCATATCGATGCGGCTGGATGACTTGTTCGTAACCTTTCGCTTCTTTGCTGGTGGTCCTTCTAAACATAGATCAGGTTTCTCTGTTTGTGCAGGCGGAGTGCTCAGATGCAGATCAGCATTTTCTTGGCCCGATATTGGAATAGGCGTGTGATTGCTGCACATTCCCGTTCTTGCTCTGCGTAAGGCAAGTGCTCATAAAAGCCAATAACTTTGCCATCTTCCCAGGTCATGTAGTGTGTCGGAGTGATTATGACTTCCTCGGTCCTTAGGACACTGCCGTCTTCTGATAGTACATTTGAAGAGAAAGCAACATTACCTTGCTGATCGCCTTGCTCTTTTCTGATTTCCCGGCAACCTTGGCACAAGACTGAATCGTAGCCCTCTACTGTACCGTCTATCTCAGCCATCAGCTTTCGTTTCTTGGAACAAGTACATTGTGGTGGAACATATGTCTTAAGGCTTGGGTCTTGTTCTCCATCGATACTTGGCGTCTGACCTCTCAGTTGGTATTTGCGCTTATACTCCGCAAGCACTGGATGATCTGCCAAGGGCTTATAGACGGGCACTAGATGATGCTGACTGAGATTCGCGGCCTTTCTTGCTAATCTGTCGGCATGGTGATTACCAGCTATACCTGTGTGAGCAGGAATTTTTCGAAACTGTATTCTCACACCACGATCTTTCAAACACTGCAACAATACCTTTGCGATTATCAACTCCTTCAAGAAGGGGATAATTTTCTTTCGCCCTGCGGGTCTTTGTCTATTGTAGTGGAAAGTCCTGAGTGCCCCGGCGCTGTCACAATAGACGACAATCTCGATAATTGTAGCATTGGCCAAGCAACGATCGTACATCAACTGCGTAGCCCTACACAGAGCCATGAATTCAGCTACATTGCTGTCTAAACGCGGAGGAAGGAGTCGGCAACCTAGCTCGGACCAATGCTCGGGCTGAGTGCGATCTTCTCTCCAGACAACGCCGAAACCTGCCGTCGGAACCAGCAACACATCGTTTCTGGATACTTGATTGAGAGTATCTTCCTCAGCACTTGATTGCATACAGCGCACCTTTACACAAACATTGGACTCTACCGAAGCTTCGTGGCTCTGACAAGGTGATTTGAAATGCCCAGACGGAGGTTGTACTTGATCTGCGGTCAGCAGCGAGAAGGAATCACCGACCTTAATCGTTTCTGCAGCAGTCGTGCATCTCTTAGCTTCTTCCAATTCAGGTCGAAGTTTGTGGTGTTGTCGTGAGCCATCAGTATAGAAAACCTCTCTGGCACTCTGATGGGTCTCACCACATATATCCCACATCTTCACGTCCTCTTTTGCCACACGCCTGTGCATGTGATGATAATTTTCACCATAAAAGATATCAGCCGCGCATTCAGAATATACAATCTCTCTTTCAGCTGAATCCAGGTTCAGCTCAGCCCCCAGTATTTCGCACGATTTGATCGGCTTGTTCGGTAGTTCTAGCGATTCAGGCAATCTGACAGTGCTGTCTGCTGAGGTGGTATATGTGTTTGAATCGTTACCAGTAGTAATCTCTCGCTGATGGACAGGAGTACTAGTGTCTGAGCCTCGTGATGAGTGTGTATTTCGCCCTCGCTTGCGGGCCATTGATGCGCCTGTGACTTATCAACTGAATTACTGGAAGGTCCACCAGTTGAACCCGAAACTGGAGCTCCTGACCGTGAAGACGCCGTCGATTTATTTCGCACGTATCGGTCGCTGCCATGGGTCAAATCAAGATCAGAAGTGCGAAGTCGTGTGAACGAGACGAGAAGACTGGTGGAAGACTATGCTTGACCATGACTTGCGGAGAGGTTGCAGAGACGCGCACGAGATGGTCAGTGAATGGACGTCAACCATGCCGCGATCGCTCGAGGCGGGCGGCACCTTCACTATCGTTTTTCGTTGCAAGGTTGTAAGTGACAAGTAATGTGTAAACACATTCGACTGCAAAAAAAGTGACAATCGGACCCACAAATGTTAGCTGGAAACACGGCCATGCATCGTGCTTTCTCTTCTCTGCGACTTGAGATTCTTTCTTGCTTTTTTTCCCTACAGCAACTCCAGCTATTCCACAGGATATTCAGTCTGCCTAAGTACGGCAAGTTCTGTAACCACAGAAGCCCAGGTAGGTAACCTGAGCTCACTTTGAGTATTAGAGAAGAGAACTGACCATAACGTGCAGCACCTCTCTCCTTCACGCTCATAGATCAGAAATCCTTCTTGCGACGGACGTGGTAAGGCAGAAGCAAAATGCGAGGGATCGAAGGTTATCGAACACTAACAACAACAGCGCACAACACGATCAAGTCGAATGCGAGACCTTCATGAGGTCCGTGTGGATGTGTTGACAATGGGTGAAGAGAAAGTCTGAACGTATCGCAGCTTGCCCAGTGTGCCTTATTCATTTGTGTTTTGTTGATAAAGCGTTTCATCTTGCGGCAATTCTGGGCTGAACTCGTCGGGCCTGCTAGAGAGACGAAGGGAGGTACGCCCACTCCCGGACAGGGTCTAGCTGTAAGGTGGTATCCCCACGATCACCAAACGGGAGCTGTCTCTGCCTGAGCAGGGGTAGTGTGACGGACCTAGAGAGGGATATCTCCGAGGTCTTGCAGTGTCGAGAGCAGCTTGGTATAGACCGCACAGTACCCCACACTTTGTTTGCGGTGTTTACGGAGAATGGAATATATTGCTAGTACACGATGAGTGGTTAACTGAACTTGTGGAATGGCTCGAGAGTTGAGGGGATATCATGGCGAAGACGTGCGACTGCTGCTTGAAGACAGATGTGAGAGCATGCTGATGACAGTATTTTCGGTCCAAAGAAAAGGCATAACGTATAGTCAGGACGTGTCCGATGCCAGTGGCACCGTCCTGAACGTGCCAGCATGCTACATGATTTTGAAGAAGACAGCGCAGACAAAGAGTCATTCTGAAGGTAGAGATTCATTTGGCTGTGCTCTCGCGTGGAAGCTGCTTTCCGAAACTGCAAACTGAGCGGTAATTGCCATGTTGATAGTACGGCAATCGAGATCAGTCATCCACGCAATGACGACGAGCCCACCTCATGATGTAATTTAAGGTTGTAAGGCATTTCAGGACGCGTCGAAACGCGCCAAAATACCATGCGGTGCGCGTCGTGGTCTGCTCATCTTCTAGCATAGCAGCAGTAATACCCATTTAGAGCTATAGTACCACGAAGACAAGATTCTTACAAGTCAAAAAGCAGTCACGATGCAATAACCATTCAGATTCTGTACAGCATGCACCTTTTCCTACCTGGTCCCACGATCCGCATTTCACTATGTATCTCCCACGCGAGCTGATCTCGCACTTGTACAACAATCTACTCAGATCTCATCAACCGTCTTCATCCCCTGTTCTGATCATATCTTCTCTCGAAACGGACGCGATATGTGCGTGTCGAGTCCTTACAAGCCTCTTCAGACGCGACTACGTCTCCTATCGAATCCAGCCAGTAGCAGGATACGCAGACTTGCAGAATGTTGGAGAGAGACTAGTCCGACCTATGAAAACAAGTGAAGGAGGATCTGGTGGTGTGGTGATATGTCTTGGTGTAGGTGGACTTGTCGATTTGGCCAGTCAGCTTGGATTGGAATCTGAAGAGGAGGATGACACGGGAGATGTCGAAGTCTGGGTATTGGACGCAAGAAGACCGTGGAATTTGTCCAACGTGTTTGGAGGCCTTTCTTACGCAAGCAATACGAGTTCGACCTCCTTACCACGACGAACACCTGGAGTAGAGAAAGGCTGCATTCAAAAATCCTACAGGTCTGGAAGAGGTGGTATTATTGTCTTTGACGACGGCGATATTGTCGATGAGCTTTCAGCTGAGCAAGATGCTTTCTATTCGTTGGCTGAAATGCCAGAAGTGGATGATGACCTAGAAGATGAGGAAAGTGAGGATGTGCAGGACGATGATTCGCATGGCAGTTCTCAGTCACGGAAACGTAAATCATGGTCAGATCGAGACGAGTCGGACGATGAAGAAAGGCCACAGCAGCGACGGAGAAGTAATTCAAACTCAACCATTGCCTCACACCGAAGTCATTCACAATCACCAACACTACAACCTAAACCGAAAGAGCCGTCGGCCAAAGACCTACGGAAGAAGTTACAATCATTAAGAATATCACATGAAAAAGTGTTGCAAGACTACTACAGTCTGGGCACATCCTACTCCGAGCCAATATCATCACTAGCATATTCTCTGGCGTCTGAGCTAGGTAGGGAGGACAATGACCTTTTATGGCTCGCAATTGTTGGAGTCACATCTCTCGAACTTTCTGGTCACACTAGTACTGGTTTAGGTACACCGCATGCTAAACCAGATATCTCGCGCGGATTGACACACAGTTGGCGAATGAATAGATCATCGAGGACTTACGCTTTGCTCAGAGATGAGACAAGACGTTTGAATCCTCCTACAAACGGACGACAATCACTTTCGAGCTCGAGACCACCAGTCACATCAGCGACGGATTCCTCAATACAACTTGTTCCCGATCCTAGGTTTATGCTTCTGAGACATTGGTCGTTGTACGAAAGCATGTTACACTCACCCTACCTCGCGTCACGGTTGCACGTATGGAACGAATCTGGAGTCAAAAGATTGCACAAACTACTGGCGAAGATGGGCATCAGCTTGCAACAGTGTAAGCAAGGATATATGCATATGAACGTGGCTGTTAGGGCTGATCTGCGGGAACGGCTACTGAAATATGCAAATATGTATGGTCTTGAAGAGCTCGTACCAGTTGGAGAAGGATCAGCCACATATGAACAAGAAGGCTGGGGATTTCTTCGAACTTGGGGATGGAAAGCGCAACTTAGTGCTGTCGACGTCAGTATCATTGTGAGCGCTATCCTTGAAGTCGTCACTCCGGCAAAGACAGCAAGAACAAGTGATTCATCAACACAGCAGACGGACGTTGATGAAGTGGCTGACAGATCGGAAGCTCTTGTGCAAAAGTATTTCCAGGCATTCGATGCTCTTGCACCGAATCATCCTAATTTACTCCTGGCAGCTGTACCAAAAGCCCAAACTCTTCTACGATCAATTCATCGAACTGGATCGCAATTACTGAACAAGCATCAACTTCGCCATCTCCGAGCCTTTCGTATGGGTGTTGTCAAGGATGGGCCTGATTTGAGTCTTTTCGCAAACTCACCTGGTGCGTTAGTCAAGCTTGCCTTGTGGGTAGCAGAAGCTGTGGCTGTAAGCGAAAGAGACAAGAAGGGTACAAATGCTGCAATACCTTTCGTTTTAGCTGCACTCGATGAAGCCAGGGGAACATACGTCGTTGTTGGCACCGGAGGTGGTATTGGTTCGGGAGAAGACCTCGAAGCACGTAAGGAGAAAGCTGATAGGAAAGCTAAGAAGCAGGCGGAACGAGAAGTTAAGAAAAAGGTTAGGGAGGAGAAACGAGCAGCACGACGATTACAGGCCGAGCTCAATGGTGAGAGTGACGACGAGGAGGAGAGCGAGGAGGAAGAGGAGTCTGATGATGAAGAAGTGGAAGAGCAAAGGACTAGAGAACAAGAGAAGCGAGGATATGGAAGGAACAGATTTGGTATTGCTTTCCAGGAAGTTGTGGAGGAAACACAAGCACGAGTCAAGATAGATAGTTTTGATCATTGTGTTGTTGAGGTAAAGAAGGAGGATCTAGGCGGATTTCTGGAAGGATTGAGTCTGAAAATTGTCGTTGGTAAATGAGCGAAGCGATATTTGGTTACCATAGCATTAGTGAGCGTTGAGTTCGTTGATCTGGTCTTTGCGAGGTGTAAGCAATAAAGGTATCAGTCATAGATCTACATTCAAACCTTTGTAGCGGAGTGTCAAATGTGGCTCTGGACAAGATTCGTCCCTGACAAATCAAACCCCGGTCCAGCGGAAGTGGGGCATCAACCTTGGCATTCAGTCTTCACTATACTTCTTAGCATCAACATCCGCCTACTACCATTCTTACATATCTCACAACCTCTTCAAAATGCCACAATCATCCCTCTGGGTCATCCCACCTCGTGACGATCACCCATTCAACAAATCGCTCCTCTCACTAATCCAAGAAACCATCCCCTCAGATTTCCCTCGTGTGCCGAAATCCAACTTCAGGTTTCTCCCTCATGTCACTGTAACTTCTGAGATCTCACCGTCAACATACGGCTCCGATGCACAGTCCTGGCTAGATAACTTGTCCCTGCCGACTGAATTTCAGAAGGAAAAGGTCGAGCCGACGATCGAGCTCGAAGAAATAGAGGTGGGGGACGTCTTCTTCAGAAAACTCACGTTACGCGCAAAGAAGGATGAGAACCTAGTCAAACTTGCGAGCGCGTGTAGATCTCAAGGTTTGGGCATTAGCGACGAAGAAGGGAAGAAGTGGGCGGAAAGTGAATACGCTCCTCATCTGAGTCTGATGTATGCTGATCTGGAGAGAGCCGAGGTCCAGAAGAAAGTTGGCCTGGTGGAGTTGCAGCTGGGCTGGGAGTTTGGAAGTCTTTTCGATTGTTGCGGGGGGACGTTGGCCATGGGTGGACGATTGGTGCTAGTCGACACGAGTGGAGACGTTGAAGGATGGAAGGTGTTGGCTTCCAGGGAGTGTAATTGGATGAGGTGGACGATGGCACGAGGACTAATCTAGTGGATCGGAACCTGGTGTCGGTTGAACGAGGAGAAAAGTGAGGAAGACATCAAGAATGAGGATACAGAACGTAGGAAACGGGCGAGGAGGAGAGTAATGGAAATGAGCAGAAGTCGGCCAAGTCTTGACCTTGTCTGAAAGGCTCCACGTTCAGATTGAATGACGAGTAACGCATCAGGTGTTTCCCATGTGCAGTAGCATTAATTTACCACAATCTGACTGTATCAAAATGAGATTCTGACTTCGCCTCAGCGTGTGCACCAACTGCTCTATCGTGGTGACCATCTTCTATGTGTCTGTGCTGCAACCAGTGCCATCAATTTGTTTCCTGTTATCTGGAATGCCACCTTGCCCGATAGACTCTAGAGCATCCTCGTCGTCCTTCTCATTCAGATAATGCACAATCCCACCTGCAGCACCAATACCAGTGCTCAACGCAGTAGTGACATGCGTCAGAACATTTCCAGCATCGCCAGCGACGTATACACCGGGTACGTTGGTTGCGGGCATCAGCGGTTTTGTTTCGATGATGTCTCCAAACATGCCAGGCGTGATCTCTAAACCCAGCTGTTCTATCAGGTTTCTAGCATTGAGCTGTGTATTTGGTTTGTGAACAAGGAAGGCGAAGAACACCTTCTCCGTTTCACCAGTCTCGTGGTCTTTGAGGTGGACATATAGACCTTCGTTCTTTTTCGTCGTGTCTTCGAGCCTGGTTACTCCCCGTTGGTCGAGCTTGACACCGCGAGCCATGACTGCTTTCAGCTGCTTCGCCAGAGCAGGATCCACCTTATTGCTCTTATACGGGCCATTAGTAAGGATCGTGACCTTTGCTGTACCATTTTTATTCTTGGTAGTATCCTGTCCCAAAGCCATGCTCGCCATCTTCACATCTTGTATCTTCAGCTCAGGATAGCACAAAACAGCTTTTTCACTTCTCCTCCTCTCCCATCCATCACAGAACAGGCACTGGTAAATATTCCTTGGCCAGTTCTCACGATAGCCTTCCAGGCTGGGGAACAGGTCGCGAACGCCAGTTGCTAGTGCCAAGGTCTTGCCATACCAAGTTTCCCCCTCCCTGCTCTCGATTTTGAATCCTTCATGGCCTCTCCATTGTGGGAGTGCTACCTTTTGAGCAGAGATGATTTCTGCAAGGGCATAGGATGTGTTTTGATAACGTGCTATTTGATCACGAGCACGAGATAGTACGATTTGCGGATGAACATGATCGTGACCGAGAACAGCATGCGAAGCTTCTATGCCGTCGTTGCGAAAGTGTTTGTGACTGATGACGAGGCAGGAACGGTTTTGACGACCGAGTCCCAGAGCCACGCTGAGACCACCAGGACCACCACCGATTATTAATGAATCGTAGACCTTCGAGGCTGACATTTTATGTATCCGTTTCGTAAAGGTTGTTGAGGTCTCCTCTTTGAGACAAGATAGATTCTGTTACTGAGTGTCCTGCATATGTGCTCGACTACCACGGGAAATCTTACGAGGCTTTATACCCGCAAGTCTGCTCGGCATTTCATGGCCCCGCGCTGTGTTCGACTTATCGTTGGCTTTAGGCCGCAATTGCACTGGCTGTTGTAATGTTACCTCTTTCGGACACATCTAAATGTCTCCGAGAGGTTCGAGCATCACGCGATTTTTGACTCGACATCGTAATGCCCCGGCTTACATGGTTTTCCAACACAAGAGATTTCTTCAGAGCCTATCAAAGGTAGACCGTCGTTCATACCTGCAACGGTGTGGCCGACGCATGGGCCGTTGGTAGTGACAGTAGCGAACATATATTTCAATTCGCAGATATGTGATTCGACTTCGTGCCTGCTCAGTACTATAGAGCCTGTCATTCATCAATGGGCTTCTATATCGATGTTGTGTCGTGCCTTGCTCTGTCAAAAGCTGTCCAATCTTTTGCGTGGCTCAAAACACCCAGAAATAGTGCATATATAATGACTGGAGGACGGAATGAGGCCTTCGCTTCGGTGACGGACTCACGTCAGACACGTCTACAATGGAGTGTCGCGTATGAATAGCATATCTCAGCAAAGTGTACGATATTCGTTGATGATGGAGAAGTGTGTTCCACGTCGGACTGACGGCTTCCTAACGCCATGAGTTAGCATTACGTAGTATACACACCACAATTCGGTATTGTAACTGAGAAAGAGATAATCGTTAATACGATCAGCCTACCCACACTGGCTGTTCGGACTGCGGAACGGACACGCTCAGGTCCAATACTTCTCATGTCGAGAGTGGTCATACCAGAATGGTCGAACTTTTGAGAGAATTGAACAACTGACAACGTCTGTCTTGATATGACTGTGCTGCGGGTCCACAAACTGCTATTTTATTCAAACGCTTCATGCAGCTCAATACATATAGAACAGCGCAGTCAGCAGAGCATCTTCGTGGTGAGGAACTTGCAGGTAAATGTTACTGCATGAAACCATCAACAGACAACCTTGCAAAGTACATGCGAGGGCGGTGACACTATAGCGCAGTAAATGCCAGGGGCATCATGTCGAGCTTGAAAGTAAATCCGTCATGGTCAGTTTCATTCTACCATGTCTACTATCACATTTTGCTCGTCACAGATGGTACATTGTGTCAATTGATCATCATCAACATTTAATAGCCACCATAGATTGCTCTCTTTACTTCGTCGCCTCACTAGCATCACTAGCTGGCTTGGCCATCCTCAACTGCTCTTCTCGTGAATCATCCAGACTGACTTCCGCTCTTGGCACTTCCGTCCCCGGCTTTACATTGCCCTTGGTATCAGGATTAGCACCTTCTGCATCCGGATGTTCAGGAGCGACAGCACTCTCAGGGATAATGTTTCCATGCTCATCAACCACCTTGGTTTCTGTCTCGTATTTTGTGCTGAAAGAAGCTTTTCCTTCCGCAAGGAGAGCAGAAACTTGAGCATCGTCGAGTAGATTACCATCTTGATCACGATACTCAACGCGCTCCTCGCGACCCAGGACCTTCTGTTGATTGGGGTGCTCGGCATCTGGAGGAGGAATACCTGCCGCTGGCTGAGCTTGAGGTGTGACTGCTTCTTCAGCACCTTTGTTCGAAGGAATTTGGAGCGATGGAACAGTGGGTTTGGCATCGCCTTCAGGGACGATATTGGCGTATTCAGAATACTGGTAATGTTAGCTATGTTTTCTGGCAAATAGAGCCTGGTAACTTACATCATTAAGGAAGGTGCTGCAGTCGAAATCCCAAGTATCGAAAAGCTTGACCATCTTGCACTCGTTCTGAGTCCATCTATTGCCATAGGCTAGAGGAGCGTAAAGTGTGAATACACCGATAGAGAAAGCAACGAACAGAACGGCCAAGCTTCTTCCGATCATCGGATTTTCTCTCAATCCTAGACCAGAGACACGATGAAATCCAAAGTCGTAGATTTGGCATAATGCCATAATTGCGAAATAGAGGGCTGGGAAGTAGTGGTGAAGGAAAAGTTGTCGTGCCATAAGGAAGAACGGAAAGTAGTGCAAAGCCCAGCCGAGCACTGTTTGACCAATTTCATAGTCGAATCGCTTGAAGGTGACATTCGAGTAGTCGTTGCAGCTTCGTTGCCATCTGATTACAGCTAGAGCCTTGAAGGCGACATACGCAAGAATTGCCAAAGTGGATGACCACCAAATGACTGGGTTACCAAGAAGATAGATCTGGCGATGGTCCTTGCCCCAGAAATTAATACCTCTTCGGAGAATTGGCCAGGATGTAGGTCGCGAGTCCCATGCGTGTGATTCAACAAGACCGGCATTGGTCTTCCACATGACTTTTTGAAGCTCCCAGAATTTGCCAAAGAAACCAGGGTTTCTGTAGTTGACTTTCTCGACATCGCCTTCGAGGAGTGGATGATAATTCTGCTCAACGTACCAGACGCTGTTAGGAAGAGTGCCACCTTTAGCGCAGGTTACTTCCTGCTGTTCGAAACCCCAATCTGGCAGTTTGACCTTGTGAGAGAAAAGAACACAACCAGACATGATATGAACAAGCTTGAATTTCGTTTGAATCGTTCTAAGACGTTCTTTAGCGAGAGCGCCGTCTGACATGTGCTTGATGATTTCGACTCGGAAGAAATCGTTGGCGTCACCCTCGAAACCCTCATAACCATAAGCGGTGACTTCTTGTTGCCAATCAGCCTCGGTGACTGGTGGGCGTTGATCGTGGGAATGTAGTCGTCTGTGGGTCGTAGTGTGGTATAATCTGAGGACATCACCGTCCTTGATGTATTCAGTCATGTTTGCCCATGCCCTTGGTCCGGCGATTGTCTGATTCTCTCCAATCACTGGCTGAGTTTGGTTTTCAAGTAGCCATACATTGTTCTCATCTTTGTGTGGGTATAAAGTGATCTGCTGCTGCTTGCTGCCAGTAGGGTACATGTGTGCATGAGAATGCAGATATCCACCTTGAGTATTCCAGTGACGCAGACTGATCTCACTTCCAAAAATGACATCCGCAGGAGTATCGGCCATTGCTTTATTGTTGAGGGTGGCCTGGAACTCTGACGACATGAAGCCATCGCCATCACCAGGATTGACAAGGCAGAGGAAGTGAATACCGAACATGCCGACGTAGAAGAAGACTGGCAGAACGATTAAGCAAAAGGCTCGGGCAAAAAAGTGCTTGAGCCACTTGCGGGGAGTAACGTTCTGAGTATCCGCAAGGAGAACCCAGAGCTGCAGCAGTGTGATTACACCAACCCAAGCGATTGTGAAAAGTCCGACCCATTTTACTGAGACAGTCGCGCCCAAGCCCAGACCGGTCGCAGTCAGCCAGAACCACCACGATGCGTCAAAGGCACGGTCAGGACCCAACTCATGCTGATTTGAGAAACAGATGAATGCCAGAGCAGTAAAGGCTGTACACACCACCAGAGGAGAGTCCAGCAGGATGAGACGAGATTGTGTAAGAAGACCGTTCTCGAAGATCAGAAGCGCAGCGCCCATGGCTGCTGTGAAAGTCCGACAACCGAGAGCTTTCAGAGACAAGAACATGAATGGAATCGTGGCAATACCTAGAACAGCAGGAAGCATTCGCATGGCGACGTACGGAACCTGCGGCTCGAGATAATCCTTGCCAATGTCCTTGAAGTCGAAGTCTCCGTCGAATCCAGCCAACCATCCAGCAAGTGTGATTAATAGCTTCGCCAGAGGGGGATGTACGTCCATGAAGAACTTGCCCTTGATGTATTTCGAAGCGAAGCCTCCAAAGTGTACCTCATCGAAGACGACACTAGTAGGCTGATATATCCTGAACAGCCTGACAAGTGCGCCGATGATTGTGATTAGACCGAGTATCTGGTAGTCAGATCCTGGTAGTAAAAAGATATCATTATCCCTGACTCCTTCTGAGGCATAGCTCTTCTTCTTAAGCTTGCTCTTGCTAGGCTTCTTTGTAATTGTGGTCTGAGGCTGTAACGAGGTTGGCTCTATAGGCATCGCTGGGCCGGGCGCAGGTCGAGTCGTAGGAGGAGCAGGAGATTTACCTGCTTTTCGTGCCATGTTGGCAAATGGCTTGACGAAAAAGACAAAATTAGAATTATAGAAGTGGTGAAGGAATGACTAGGACAAACGGGAACATGGACAGGCCGAAGTGACAGGACACTTTGCACATTAATGTCACACATGTGAACCCTTCAGCGGACCCCTTTGCACAGGGGCCGCACTTTCCTCTTTCAGTGCACGAGGCTACGATGGGCTGATGGTCTTGGCATCAAGTGGGAGGTTGTCTTCTCCTTAAAGGAAGCTTAATTTGAACCCCTGGACTGTGGCTAGACAGAAAGGTCACTGTAGTTGGCTAACTCTCACTGATAGTTCTATCAAGATATCCGCTTGGAAGTTCAGACAATTATCAATCTTTGTGAGGCTCAATAGCCGTCTTGATATAATGTCCATGAGCAGTGTGTTCGCTCGTTTTGTACAAACCACAATCTCTTATATGCGAGCGGAGATCGAGTCAGCAGCACACTGTATCGGACCTGTTCAACATCCCTTTCAGGTACTGTACTGGTAGTGCTAGAATGAACTTATAACTTAGACCACAGCTACAAGAAGGGTCACTGGCACGCGACCACTACCCACTGCCGTCCCCAGGATCAGAGTCTGTCTCGTCGTTCCCAAGGACAGACTGAATGTATTGCATATCGTACATCGTACATCTGCACCACGGGTCAACTCTTCGCCAACAACAACGCACGTCAAGGGTGACCGAGTAGCCGCTAGATTCCTTTCTGAATGACTGTTCTAATCGCAAGCACCCACAGTCGCTGAATTCGTGGGAGTAGTGTTTGACGTGGTGCAAGCCCCCAGTCTAGAGGAAGTACCAAAACGAATGCAGCCACTAACCGGGTCCAAGTTGAATGTGCTACAACCCAAGCCTGTCCCGGCATTGAAAGACGCGACATAGGCACTGACCTTTCTGGTCCGCGGTCGCACGCCGTCGGCTGCTGTGTCCGAGCTGGATGCGAGAGCGTTGCATGCGGATAAAGGTTGTGCCACTGTAGACATGGTTGTTGTGCTCGGTGTGGTAGTCGTTGTAGTTGTGTCGAAGCTCGTCGTGATTGCCGTAGTGGTACCGGCTTCTGAGCTTGCAGCACACGACAACATCGTGGTTGTCTCTGAGCTCGTTGTACTTTGTACGCTCGATGTAGGAGTTGAAGCGCAACCCGTCATCCTAGATTGGACAAGAGTTTCGCGATCCATTATAGTAAATATTAACATCGAAGTCGCACACATTGAGCATAGTGTTCGACCAGATATGATCTATAGTTAATTTTTGGCAGGCAGGAAGTCTGAAAGACGAATACGAACTTGCGACTACGGAAAAACTTATGATTGATCATCTCGAACGGCAATGGCGCACGCATCATGGCCACGTGCTGAAGATAGACGTTGCAGTGAAATCATTCGTGGATTTGAAAGCATCCTATGCAGCTGAATAAGAGACGAAATCCTGAAACCAGACATACCAGAGACGGGGACCATGTTCGCAAGCTGACCGGACTGACGGGTAGATGTTTGGTATATGTAACGAGAATTGAGTGGCCCAGGTCTTGTTGACCAAATCACGTTGGAGCGTTCAGTTTCAATATCACATTCCAACGTATATAGTCGGCATACGACTGCTTTCGCTGACGTGATAGCGTGTCTGCGCAATAAATCTCGAGATGATCAGGACGTGAGATTGTTCCGCCATTGACTTCTTTCTACGAGCAATTTTGAACGATGTCTTTGGTGCATGGCAGGCAGATTGAGTGGTTCGCTGTCACCTGTCGCGTCACCTGGGTGTGCAAGCTCGTATGCCGATGCTGAGTCAATGATTGACTTGGCGGAGGTCGAAAGTCAAGGTCGAAAGTCGAAAGTCGAAAGTCGAGCAAGTTGCAAGAATCGAAGAGTCGCTGCACTTCGCGCTAGAAGCTTGACAAGATTTCTTGCTCGGCGTACTTTCCCAAAGCTCCAGACATGCGACAAGGCTCCGCTCAACGAGGCTCTGCCTGCAACAATATTCTATACAGGCGACGACTAGCTTCTGCCAGGCACCACGCTTGAGAAGAGAATCCTGAGGTCATTCCGGTACAAATCGTTTCTCTACTATCGGAATTCTCAGGCTCTCTGTACCACGCTTTTAGGGTCTGTCAGCGACGCGCTCATGGCACAAAATGGAACAACTTCAGCGATCGATACCACAGGGAAAGTACCTGACGGCATAGTACTACCTCCAAAGGACATCCGAGCCATCGTAGAGAAGACTGCTGGCTATGTGGCCAGAAATGGAATTGTCTTTGAGGATCGAATTCGTGATAAGGAACAAAACAACTCGAAATTTTCTTTCCTCACTCCCAACGATGCATACGCGCCTTTCTACCAGTGGAGGTTATCAGAAGTAAGGGCTGGTCGCAATGCAGATCTGTCTGGGAACATTGGGAATGCAGCCGCGGCGCCTGCGAAGCCAAAAGGACCTGAACCACCGCCAGAGTATTTATTCAGTGCAAGAATGCCAAACATCAGTGCGCTGGATCTGGAAGTCTTGAAGCTGACAGCACTACATGTCGCAAGAAAAGGGAAGAGCTGGATGACCAATCTGTCGCAGAAAGAGGCTAGGAACTTTCAATTTGACTTTCTCCGGCCGCAGCATTCATTGTACAACTTCTTCCAGCGCATGGTTGATCAGTACTCCTTACTACTACAAACAGGACCTGAAGGACAAAAGGCGGAACAAGCAAGGATACAAGACATCCAAGCAAATATACAGGACAAGTTCAGGACGTTGGAAAAGGCTAAGAAGAGATCAGAATACGTAAAGCACCAAGCAAAGCAGAAACAGCAGAAAGAAGAGGCCGAAGAAACAGAACGAATTGCTTATGCTCAAGTCGACTGGCACGATTTTGTTGTCGTTGAGACAGTCCTGTTCACCGAAGCTGACGAGCAAGCCGAGCTACCTCCTCCTACGACCTTGAATGACCTACAAAGTGCAAGTTTGGAACAAAAGGCCATGATGAGTCTTTCGAGACCAGACATGCGCATCGAAGAGGCTATGCCAGATGATGATATGACCAATTACACCGCATACCAGGACAGTTACGATTCGTCATACAATTACCAGCAACCATATGGCAATCCTTATGTTCCTGTACCTAGTCCAGGCGTACCTCAGCCTTTTGAAGCGCAGCAAAATTATGTGCCATTCACGCCTCCGCCGCAGCCGCAACCAATACCTAGTCCAGCTCCATCACAACCCGTACAGCAACAGACTGCTCCAATGCGTATACGACAGGATTATGTTCCGCGTGCACAACAGAGAACGCAACAATCCGCACAATCTTCGATATGTCCCAATTGTCACCAACGTATACCAAATTCTGAGCTCGACGAACATTTGCGTATCGAACTTCTCGATCCAAGATGGCAGGAGCAGCAGAGAAAGAACGCAGAACGATTTTCGTCGACAGGAATTGCGGGTATCGATGTCGCTTCGAACCTCAAGCGCTTACGTGCACAAGTCGATGGTGGTACTTCTGACCCCGTTGCAGCTGCAGCGGCTAGAGTTCTCGATGACGAGGAAGAGCGCAGGAAGAGAATGAAAGGAACATCGGGCGACGCTATAGTCTATCCTGGACCATCAGTCGGTGCGGGAGCAGGCAGAGAACAAGGCAAGGGGTTGAGTGTCGAAGAACAGCTCAGTCACATACGATCAAGATATGGCACGTAGAGATAATTTCACATGTCCTTGCTTCGACCCATTTCGGACTAGGCATTTACTTTGACTTTGACACTTTAATTCCCGAGCTTAAAATACGCGTTTCTTCCGTGCCATTGCCAAAATCTCCTTTCAACCATTTCCCTCCGGAAGTGATCAATGCTCGTGCTCCTCAAAATGCCGTGGGCAATTATGCAACCGAGCCTGAAACTTTTCAAGGAGTCGATTGTGGCACGAGCATATTATCCTCGACACATTCTGGCCCGTCTTCGAGTACAATCGTCATCAAGCATCAATTAGCCCCATTAGATATTCCCGAACAGGCATGGCTCACCATCCATTTCTCCCACAATCGACGCCCCGACCGGGATGGCTTTTTCCTCTTTCTTGCACGCTTTGACCACACCGAGCAAATTGGAGACGATCAAGCAACGCCCGCCTCTTTCGCTAACTCGAGCAAGGGTTGTTCGTTTTGCTCTCGATGCGGCTGTTGCTTCTCGATAGTGAGTAAGCCGGCCAGCCATTACATTCGAGACTATGACGATACGGAGTGAGTTTATTGGCCGAGCCTCGCGTCTGCTTCTACTTGTGGTGTTAGTGTGGAGAAAGAGAGGGCGAAAGGTCCCGAGTCGATTTACCACCAACGCTTTTGAGGAGAGTCGTGGCGTCTATGATCGTCAGAAGTCGTGAGGTGAGGCAAGGTGTTGATGAATTGCTAATGATTTGCCGCGGGTTTGCGACTCCTCTTCTACAATTTTCATTCCTTTGTGTTGAAGTTGTTTGATATTTCGTATCACTTCCTTGAGTTCGACCTCTACCAAGGACATATCCTGGTCTGTTGCTTTCTGATTTGTCTTTGCTTGGGGCTATTGCTGTCTCAGCCTTGTCGTGTTGGTCACTTTTCAATAGTGGTCGAACAGTTGTCATCGGCTGAGCCTGACAGCTCATCTTCGCTAACGTGATCGTTATCACTCAGCAACGACGCGATGGATAGGCTCGAGAACAAGACCAGTTTCCTACCAGGCCTTTTTGGCCACAGGAAGCGTGATGGCAGTAGCACGACATCAACAACAGCTACTGAGAAAGTGACGCCGAGGTCTTTTTGGTTTGTGGGAAAAATTCCTTCTGGACCTCGTAACCACTTCATTGCTATGTGTGGTGAATTTGTTGGTACATTGTAAGTGATTACTCTCGTCTGAAACGAAGATTTGCTAACGCGTATTAGTATGTTTCTGTGAGAATCAGCCTTGTCGACAGCCACCATTTTTGATGCTAATACATACTAGATTCTTCGCTTTTGCTGGCACACAGGTAGCCAATACACCACAAACTACAACAGGAAACCAAAGCTCGACTATCCCACAGGGACCGAACCCGATAGCTCTTCTCTACATCAGTCTTTCGTTTGGATTCTCACTTGCGGTTAATGCATGGATCTTCTATCGAGTCAGTGGTGGGCTGTTCAATCCTGCCGTGACACTAGCATTATGCCTGGTAGGAGCAGTCCCATTCGCACGAGGTGGTTTCGTCTTCATTGCCCAGATGTTGGGTGCCATGGCAAGCGCTGGCGTTGTCAAGGCACTCTTTCCGGGACCATTGGCTGTTACAACTGCACTAGCTGGAAATACGAACGTGGCTCAAGGATTGTTCATTGAGATGTTTTTGACTGCTCAGCTTATCTTCACTATCTTGATGCTGGCAGTAGAGAAGCACAAGGGCACGTTCTTGGCACCAGTTGGTATTGGTCTTTCACTATTTATTGCCGAGTTGGGAGGCGTCTACTATACTGGTGGCTCCCTCAATCCAGCTCGCAGCTTTGGACCATGTGTTGCAAACGTGTTCTTCCCAGGCGAGCATTGGATTTACTGGGTTGGTCCAGCTCTAGGTGCTCTTATGGCTTCAGGCTTCTACTGGTTCATCAAGGGACTCGAGTTTCAGACCACCAACCCTGGCCAAGACTTTGACGATCTGGAGCACAATGCATTCAATCCCGATGAGGATCTTTCACGGCCTGTGGTATCACCAAATGCAGTTGTCGACAGATCTGAAGCAAGAGTACTGGCGCAACTGAACCAGGAGGAGACGAGATCAAGTGTCTCACCTGAAAGGACGAGAGCCAGCAAGGAAGGCAGACGTTCGTCCCAGACACTCGGTAATGCCAACTCGGGAAGATATAGTGACAAGAGTGAGCCTCCTCGCCTCTGAGAGACTTGATCTGTGTTTGTTTACCCAAAAGTTAGCGTGGAGTTTCAAGGCATACACACATCCGGGATAGGGTTTTTAGGTAATAGAGGCAGAACTGTTGACTGGATTGTTCTTATGTAGTGTTCACAATCTAAGCTTGTATGAGTACATCCTGGTTGACAGAGTTCCACGGTTGTCTGCAGTCGAATGAAATTGGAACCATATTCATATCCCCCTTGACGCGTCACATGTGATATCTAAGTTTCGTGATCGGAACGATTGTGTGGTCAGGAAGAGTGGTAAATCACGTGTGTATAGAAGACAACCTTTCCGGCCGCTTGTGGCTTCTTTAAGCAGCACTTTGCTGGCCAGACCCTCTACAACCTTGCCTATTTCTCACAAGCGTCAGCGGGACATTTTGGTAGCAATTGGGCACAGGACATCAACGAACGATCCAAGCATCATCACCTGCAAATCGAAACTGCAACTCGTGCCTGCCTGTCCACCACCTTGTCGCCGCGCACCTGCCTCGTTGCCTCTTCCCGATGGGCACACCTTCATTCTTCCTCTCGACGCCGATGTGGCATTCAATTCAATAATCGCCCACAATGCGACCTCACCGATTTGTCTTGCTTGTCGCATGTTTCATCGCCATCCCTGTCTTCCTAACATGTATTTCATTACTCGGGAGCGGCAACAATGATAACGCTGATGTATTTCAACGACCCCAGCGCAGTAGATTCCGGGCTCTCTTCTCCTTCTCAACTCCTTCTGCGTTGTTCCCTCCATCAGCAATCATCAGCCTGACGACCGAAAACTCTACCTTTTTCTTAGCCCGACCCGCTGCTTTTGGTCCGGCACTACCTTCAAAGGGTCTGACTGGTCGACTATGGGTTGGAAGAGGATTTGGTGACGATGCCTTGCTATCTGAAGATGATCTCAAGATCAGTGGCTTCGAACTCGGTTGTTCAGATGTGCCAGGATGGGGCGACGATCAGAAGAATACACCAGATAACCCCGCCTTGAACGAGAGATCATTTAAGAAAACGGCAGACGACTCTGCAGCAGTCGATGTGCCAGATAGTCAAATCCTATCCGACCTGAACAAGGCAGAAGGTGTGACTGGTGACGGTTCACCTCTGGCAGATTTTGAAGATGGAACTGATGATCATCTGCATCGACCACTACAAGACTCAAACCCTGCTCCTGTCGTCAAGCATGGACAGCCTGCTAATGTCAATCTGCAGGACAAACAGCAGAATCCAATTCATGCCGATATAGAGTCGTTACAGGAAAGCGCAGACATTGCTGGCAAGATTGTTATGCTGAGCCGTGGTGGCTGCGGCTTTCTCGAGAAGGTCAAGTGGACACAAAGAAGAGGCGGAGTCGCTCTCATCGTTGGCGACAATGAGCGCAATGGACAATTGACTATCATGTATGCAAAGGGCGATACCTCCAACATCACTATACCCGCTATCTTTACCTCCTATACTTCAGCTCACCTGTTATCCTCCCTCGTCCCCTCCGAGCTGGATATGGGAACAAGTTCCGAGGCCAACAAAATCAGTGCGACCTCAGGCAAAGATAGCAAATCGGATAATGGCAAGGCCAAAGCCAATGCAAAGAACAAGAACAGTGGACCTGTCTTCACTACCTCCACTACGGCAAAGGTCGAGCCTACATCTAAACCTGATTCAGGCACAGCTGCGACTCAAAAAGATCAAGGCTGGATGCAGAATGTCCTGCAGGTCGTCGGCTTAGATGACTCCAACTCCCACGGCGAAGATAGCCGCCGACCACCGGGCAGTGGCAACATTGAGTGGGTGCAAGTCAAGGATTGGGACGAAGATGCCGATCATACTACCAGCACCGGTACAAAGCCATCGACCATCTCGAAGATGACCTCGACCACTACCAAGCTAGTCAAGCAATTCACAACCACAAGCAGGCCAGGTGACGACTTCGTGATTGGTGTTCAAGACTGGCGGGATACAGAATTGATTGCTCCGAAATCAACTCCATCTTCCACGGACTCAAGAGGCAAGAATGAGAAGACCAAGGATGACTCAACCAATACTATGACTGCAGCAGCGAAGGAGACAAATTTCAAAGGTGGAAGCATCATTCCCGGAAGTGGTGAATATCAGAAACCTGACAAGGGTCAAAAAGCAACGCACGATGAACAGTCGAAGAAAGACAAGAGTGAACAGAAATCATCACCTGGATTCTGGGCCAAGATAAGATCGTGTTTCACCAAGTCTGCAAAGCCTGCTTCTGCACGTCCAGCAGCCATTTCGAAGAAGCAGTCCCACCAGAAACCCAATGATGAGGAACAAGAAGGTCTTTGGATCACACTCACTCCAACTAGTGTTTCGACAAGTCCTTTCTTCGACACCCTGCTCGTCCTGGTCATAAGTCCTTTGGTTACATTGACCTTTGTCTATGGCTTACTGCTTCTGCGTTCTCGCATTCGACGACGCAGATGGAGGGCGCCGAAATCTGTTGTTGAGCAACTGCCTGTCAGGACTTACCACACCTTTTCTCCTGCATCGTCAACGACAACGTCGTCTCTTGCGACACCTGAGAGGTCTCCAGCTGGTTCACCACAACTGCGACCCGAGTCTATTCGATCTCGACAGCGTTCCCAGACCACTACTGGTGTCGTGGGATCCAGTGCTAATACCTCACAATCACACAGCCCGCCACCAACCGAGAAGGTGAGGAAACAGAAACGTTACCGTGGCCGTCAAGTCGAATGTGTTGTCTGTCTCGAAGAATATGTTGACGGGGAGTCCAAAGTGATGTCTTTACCATGTGGTCACGAATTCCATGCTGAATGCATTACCCCGTGGTTGGTTAATCGTCGACGAACATGTCCTATCTGCAAGGGTGATGTCGTACGATCCATGCAGAAGAATAATGCCTCCGGTGAAGAATCCGAGGACAATCGTGAACCAGGCGAGCAGACGGCAGATGATGTACAGGAAAGAGTGGCGACTACCGTACCTGAAGACCCAGCTGTAGCAGCGATACCAATACCTGAACGTCAAGACACACAAAACTTGATGGATGAAGACATTGAAAGAGGCAATGACACTTCACATCAAGAGTCGGAAGCAGGCACCTCACGCCCTGTTGCAAGTAGGTGGCGGGGCATTATCAACGCAAGTCTGTCAAACTTGAGTGGCGACACGTTATGGAGGGCAAATTCAGAAGACCGAAACAGGTAGCGCAGTATGGCATGTTATGTCTTCGTTATTGTTGTGTCACAGACCACTATCCAATATGCATGGTGGTATTCTCTGTAAGAAGTCGTGAACGACCTTGGCATCGTCCTGATACTCATTCAACTCACTTTCCTCAAACAACCCTGAGACAGAAATCATTTTCCATATCTAGATACCCACAAACTATTCTTCTGATCTTCAGCTCAATCATTGAACCTCGACAAATGCTCATACTCTAGAGAACGTTGAAAGGAGCTTCACCTAAATCACCAGCTGTGACAGGCCACACTGGCAAAGAGAGACATTCATAAGGTGGTCATGCTACGCTCTTTCAGCGCGTCGTTCGAATACGTCCTCGAGTGTACGTGAAAGATCACACCTTGGACTGAATCCATCCGTTTTACTATTCGAGAGTGACCTTGAAGAAAGGTGCATTCATGAGCAGGTCAGTAGCAGGATCGCCATCGAGTTCATCGCGAGTGGCATACCTATCCACGATGTACCCATCACAGCGTTGTATACAGTCTTTGCTTCTGCGGGCTAGCATGAAGACTCGTGGCAGGGACGTTGTACATCATCCCCTTGTCTGTCTGCAATCTTGACTGAATATGCATGGCATTTTGTCGTGATATGGTGCTCGTTACAAACCTCGTCGTATCGTTGTAGAATTCTGGCTAGCGGGCAGTTCCGCCCGCGATCGCGTGTATCCTGTTCTACGCGCCGCACACCTACGATTTCGCTGAGGCAGCAGCAGTCTTTCAAGCATTGTTAGATGTCTTACAATACTACACAGCAGCAAAAAGCACGATTGACATCACAACCGTGCTAGATTCTGTAACCAGAGGTAATTTCTCAATGCAGGCCAATTCGACATAAGACGGTTCTGCTGGCAATCAAAAGCCACAAAGTCAAAAACGTTTTCAGCTCTTTCAGCTGGACTGGATAGAAATGTTACTAGGTCGCCATATAATCAACAACTTCCTTAGATAGAATTCCATGGTGGATAAGTCTCTGATCTTTCTTCCTCTGGTTGTCTTCACAAGTCCTCAGCATTCCACACTGTCCAGCTAACATGGCAGAGAACATTCCTCGACAATGGACCGTTCTTGGCCCCTCTCCACCTCATGGCTCAATCGAGGCAGATCTCGACCAGGAAATGCACAAGTTCATGGTCGACAATAATGTTCGCAATGCTCAGCTAGCAATTGGTAAGAACGGCAAGGTCCTCACTAGCAGATCATATTCGTGGTCATGGGGAGAACACGTCACTGAAGACGCCGATACTTTTCTCCTAGCCAGCGTGAGCAAAGCCTTTTGCTGTGCAGCCATCTATGAACTCTTCCCGGACGAGAATGTACGCAAGGCAACAAAGGCAGCTGATGTTCTAGGCTGGGGGTCTAGCAGCGTCGATAAAGGTTATGATCAGATGACAGTGCAACAGCTCGTCGACCACACGGCCGGGTTTGGTTATGACGAGACATCGCCATCGCCCAATGAGTGGACATATCTCGCCCGCAAAGCTGCTGCTCACTTGCAACGCGATGTCACAACACCTGAAGACCTGGTAGACTATGTCCGTACCATACCACTAGCTTACGAACCATTTGACAGCGAGAAGCATGACATGTGGAAATACAGCAATATTGGCTATGTTGTTCTAAGCATGATTGTCGCTAAGAAGAGCAATAAGCCCTACTTTGATTTCCTGCTTCAAGACGTCCTGGCGAAGAACGGTTTGGGCTCTATGAACCTATACACTGTTGATACCCGACCATCGGAATATGGCTACGACTTCATTCGAGCACCACCCTACTCCTACGATGAGGGACTGCCGTCTTATGATTACAAAGAGCAGACTAAGACGGTGCCCGCCGTATATGGCGGCGATGGTATGGTCAAAGAGGCTTGTATAGGTCCATGCAGTCTTGCTTGCAGTGCCAGTGATCTAGTCAAGTTTTCTGGTAGATACAGTAAGTTTCTTTGTCCCTCAGTGCAATTCTCTCCGCATCTATACCATCGAGACTGCTAGCTAACACATCCCTTCCCAGCTGCCTGGTTCTGTGGTCTAAACATGCACGCTGGCTACGGACGGACCGGCTCAACATGGGGTGCCAGCACCTTCATCTGGAACCGACGCGATGGTCGTGATCTGGCCATCCTTATGAACACACGCGAGAGCGAGAAAGGTGGGTTTCGATTCGATGCGGAAGATTCTCAAGGAAACGGAATTGGAGCTGTGAATAGACCTCAAGGTTTGTTCAACTTTGAGGGTAGCCCTATCCACCACGTAATGGAGAGACATCCTCAGTGACTTGAAAAATGTATGCGTATATGAGTAGCTGAGAGAGGCACAAGAAGCATGATAGAAGAGGGCAAATCCATTTAGCATAGATTTATCAGCCAGGTAGACAAACTATAGCGACCAGCGTCTTCGGGACCCCGGCTTGGACGAGTACATCTCCGTCATCATGCAGACTACCTATTCCTTTGACCTCTTTGTTTTGCTAACCATTGCTCCTTCACACTAGAATAATCACGAGTAGGCGCGACAAATACCATCTGCATGGGCGGCAACATAGTCAAATCGCCATGGCTGTAGTCCTCCTGGTTGTGGAGTGAGCCTAGTGAACCATGGGCTGTCCGAATTCCAGTCGTGATGGTGGGCTGGGATTGCATTCCTTCTGCATTTCGTGACTGTCGTGGTAGTGTCGACAATAATTGCGCCGGAGGCGTGGCTGGAGAAGAAGCGATGGTGGTGGTGGTGGTAGGTCTGACCGCAGCTTGAGCAGTTTTGTATTGCTGATAACCGCGAGCGAAGACAGCTTTGTGGCTGGTCCGGGAGAGGAGGTCTTGAAGGTCTTGGAGGTGCATTCTCATGTTCGGAAAGAAAAGACAAAGACTGTGGTGATTTGTGTATGACTGATTAAGTTCACACGGCTAGTGCAGTAGTGTTTTTCAGGCTGCAGTGAATCTTGAGATACTGTTGACTGTAATAGAGATGTGGTGAAGATATCGGGACGTGGTTCGGTGCATTGTACTTTGAACGTCTCAGCGAACTGGAATATATACTTACAAGTTGTCGTGATGATCAAGCATAAGGGTCCCGATCTAGTACAGGGACATTTTCTACCATATCGTAGCATGAACAAGAACATGAGCTGCGCCATGCTTCCTGTAGATATAGTCCGTCATTACGCGCACGTTTGAGGCTGACCAAATATTCTCATGACAAGGCGTGAATAACAAGACAAGAAAAGCTTCAATTCCAGTATGTAAATAGATCGCCCCCACTACCGCTTTCGTTTCCGTGTTGGGACAAATTTGCGAGCAAGGCGACCGTGGAGTGGAGAAGTCGTCGATCATTGTGGATCAGAAGGATTTGTGGATGAGCCTATAGCCCGAAACAAGCTGTGCCATTCTAAGCTCCAAGCACTCCGCTGCATTAGCGCAAGATCGACTGGCAAGTTCGAGTATCAGCTCGCACTCGGACAACAGATGTTCTCAGCCAGTGTGAGAGAACTAAATCCTGGTTCAATGCATTGATTTGCAGCAAGGTCTTGACTTCATGGCAATGGGTGTCCTCTCCGAATCTTGTGTTCGCGTAGCCAGGTTCGCTGATACGCGCTCTGCGCAGAGCTGCGTCAGCCGATAGTGACATCTTGTGCGTCCAGACCTTTTACGATCCCCACGAAAACACCTGCCATGTAATATGGCTGCTTATCAATGCTGTAGCAGGCAATACCTGGTGCTCCAAATGTCCAACGCAACGAGGTCGATACAAAGATGCGTTTAACCAGGTCCTGGATAGATCTGTCTGCATCGACAAGAGGCTCAAGCAGATCTTGACCTCTTTGACCTATGTGGAAAACGCCTCTCTTGCAGGATATTTGTTGCGAACAGCCATGGAAGCCTAATGAACGAAGGGCCTTGAACATGTTCGGACTCTCGGCGTCAGGCAGCAGCTTGGTCAGCCATTGCTTCGAGAATTCCTGTGCCTCCACTGTTATTGTACCAATTTCGAGCTGGCTTACTTGCTGTAAAGTCAAGAGTCCATCCCCACATACATGACCAGGTTGCCTGGCGCCATGTACCTGCCACGGTAAGATCGCAGGCAATTGGTGACTTGGGTCTGCTGTTGGCCTCCACCTCCATCCCGCAACGGTCTCCCTGGGTACATCTGAGAAAATGAATGAGTAATCGCCTTTAAGCTCACAGAGAGTCATAAAGCTCTCACACGGGTTCTGGGTTCCCACCTCGCTGGCTCTTATCTGACTCAATGCTCCAATCATGGCGAAGAAGTGGTCGTCAGGATGATGCTGCATTCGTCTATCCATCATAGCCATGATTTGCAGGGCTGAGCGTTCTGCATAACCAGCAATAAGATAATCGCATAGGTCTTCCACCGCATCTAGTCGAGGATATCTTTGACGCAGGACTGAGGCTGGAAGTTTGAGTTGAGATATTGCATATCCTACATGATTGAGAAATTGGTCTGCTGGGAGAGCGTCGTGATCATAGCCGCGGCATGTGACGGACAAAGATCTCGCGTTCACTGCCTCTTGATAAGTCCATGCTCTGGTAACCCAATCTTCTGCTTCCAGAAGCGGGATATGGTCCCGATTGAGGGCCTGGTGCTCGAACATATAGTCGAGGACTGGTCGCACAGTAGGTGAAAGGACTGCGATGACTTCCTGAGCTTGGGAGTAGATATAGCCCATGCTTTCTAGATTGTGATAACGATCATCGACTTCTTGAGGCACACAGAGAGCATCGATCCATATTCGGTTAATATTAGGCCGCAGACGTGCTACTATATCAAGTGCAGGAATTGTGCAATCAGAAATGTGAAAGTCAGCATGGATTGGGCTAGGTTCACGGCCTGTTCCCCAGGTATAGGAGACGCAAATGTAAGTCAGCTCCTCGAGCTTTGATCGGTCGAGGTCGTGTCTTTCGAGCTGCCATTGTCTTCCACCAGCTTCAAGTGTATCGCCCGAAGATGTTGAGACTTCAACAAGGATGTAGAAATACATGCTCAACTTCACGATCAAGACAGTGGTGGAGTGCTGTACTAGGATATTGGGGTCTTTCAACTTCTATCTTGTTGATGACTTGCATAAGCGAAGGCAAATGTGATTGGCTTGACGTGTCGTGGCACTTGCTGATACTCACTCTCGTAGCTTTTTAATGATTCGACGGAGTCAAGGCAATATGTTTGCCTTCTCAGGTGCTGATGGCGGCATCCGATTCGACATTGTTTCACTTCTGGGTTCGCTGCCAGCTATTCAAGCAACCACTTACTGGTTTGATTGCTGTGGTCCAACGACAGAGTCACAACGGTCAGAGGCGTAAGCAACAGAGCAGCATGAATGAACAGTGGTAATGAGGTTTGTCGCTCTAGCTCGCTAGAAGCGGACTGGTAGTATCATCCTGTCTCGGAATTAAGACAATCAGCAACCCAGCTGAGAGGTACAGGTATTGGAGCTGCTTGTGAATGTGTCCTGGCTGATCAGACGGGGACAATCGGGTCTTCGCCGATGGAAAGCTACCGGAGCTCAGCTTGGCCGAGATCGGTGGCATACCGCAGGCTGTTGGTCGCTCTACTCAGCAAGACGGGTCTCGATCTTTCTCGACTAAAGGCAGCAACTGGCACGCAAGATATTCTCGGTTGCTTCACGACCACTTAAACTTGCTTAGCCAATCGTGAGGTGCGATGCGAGTTGTGAAGAGTAGTGAGAGCTGTGCATTATTGATGTTTCACAAAACGCGAAAGAATACGTCATGACGCGTCTCGAAAATAGGAAAGCGGTAACCGAGGTCTTTCTCACTCCTCGAATTTGTCGTTCTCTACTCTGAGGCGATCCATACACATCGCAGGGCGCTTCGTGTGGAGGTCCGATATCTGTCAGCAACGTTTTCGATGCGTCCGAAACTGTGCTTTATCCCCAGGCAATTGTTAGAGTGGGGAACATGGAGAAGCAACATGGTTTCGAGTGAGGGGTTCACACTCTGCTGTGTGATGTCTATGAGAGTAATGACTTTTTACAAAAGGTTCGCGTAGAAGTCTTCAGATCACTTTCTCAGGTTATTATCACATAGCAGTAGCTGGAATTCCTACCCAACAATCAAAATGTCCTCCCACAAGGTTCCTTTCGAGCTCAAGAACCCCGATCTCCTCAAGTACGACTCCTATATTCACGGCGAATGGAAGAAGGCAAAAAGCGGCAAGACCTTTGAGGTTGTTGACCCTGGTTCTGACAAGGCATGGGCAACATGCCCAGACAATGACGCTCAAGATGTCGATGCCGCCATGCAGTCATCTCAAAAGGCATTCGATCAATGGAAGATATCGAATCCAAGAAAAAGAGCTGAACTTCTGCTCGCATGGCACAAACTCATCACGGACAACAGAGATGATATAGCTAAGATTCTCACACATGAGACTGGAAAGCCTCTGGCTGAGTCTCAGGGTGAACTTACATACTCCCTCGGCTTCACATGGTGGTTTGCTGGAGAGGCAGAAAGAATAACAGGCACAGTCCAAACCCCTGCAGCCCCAAATCGACGAGTCTTTGTCGTCAAGCAGCCCATTGGTCCTGCTGTCGCACTTGTCCCATGGAACTTCCCAATTGCTATGATCTTGCGAAAGGCGGGCGCAGCTTTTGCCGCTGGTTGTACCATGGTCGTAAAGCCATCCCCAGAGACGCCACTTACATGCTTGACGTTGGCTCACCTCGCCAGTCAAGCTGGTTTCCCTCCTGGTGTGTTCAACGTCCTCACAACTTCGCTTGAAAACACCCCAGCCATGTCCGAAGCTATGATCCTCCATCCTCTTACCAAGAAAGTCACCTTCACCGGCTCGACTAGAGTTGGCAAGCTTGTCGCAGGTCTTTGCGCCAGAAATCTCAAGAAGTGCACACTTGAACTCGGTGGTAACTGCCCGTTCATCGTCTTTGACGACGCAAACCTCGACCAGGCCCTTGAGCAGTTCCAGGCTTTGAAGTGGAGACATGCCGGACAAGCTTGCATCACAGCTAACAGACTGTATGTACAATCTGGTGTCTACGACAAGTTCACTCAGATGCTCGTCGAGAAGACCAAGACCCTGAAGATGGGTCACGGTGCTGTGGAAGGCACTACACTTGGTCCGGTCACCACGCCGAGGGGTTTGGCCAAAGCTCAGTCACAGGCTGAGGATGCAGTGAAACATGGTGCTAAAATGGTCCTTGGTACTGGTAAGGCCGAGAAGAACTCAACTGAAGATGAAGGTGCGGGTCAGGGCAAGGGTGTTGGTGGATACTTCATGTCTCCCACTGTGCTGACTGGCATGTCTCATGAGATGTTGATGGCACGAGAGGAGACTTTTGCGCCTGTCATTGGTCTTTTCAAATTCGAGACGGAAGATGAGGTCGTCAAGGCTGCAAACGACACAAGTATGGGACTTGGTGAGTTTACTCTACAAAACCTACGCCTACAACTGCTAATGCTCCACAGCTTCTTACGCCTTCACCAAGAACGTCGATCGCATGTGGCGCCTCCTCGAGAACCTGGAAGCCGGCATGATCGGCATGAACACGGGAAACAGCTCAGCTGCCGAGTCCCCATTCGGTGGTATCAAAGAGTCAGGTTATGGCAAAGAGTCGGGCAAGGATGTCGCTGTAAGAGAATATCTAGTCGAGAAGACAGGTACATTCACACTTGAGGGTCAATATTAGTTTCGAGATCTGTTGCTATAACAACTTCTTGTAGAATTAAATACGTGTGGAAGGAAAGAAGACTACGGACGCATGATCCTCAATAACATGTCAACATGCTGCTTTCACCCGTGCAAACTACGTACATGTAGCGATGGCTATGCTGGACGTGTGCATCATGGCCCGTCGTGTGTTTATTAGCGCTGGTAAAGTACCTATCATGCAGTGTTACAGTGAGACAGCTTGCGTTCGCAAGCATTTAGCATCTTATGGGAATGAGCTTGCACGCAACACGCTGCGGCACCGTCCTTGGCGAACTCAATCTCGAAGACATCGCAGCACAAAATACCTGCCGGCGACTACGTATACGTAATGTTCCTACCATCCCAGCTATTCACTACGTACCTGGCACTTTGCGTTACTCCGTAATCTGACAGATCGCGCAAAGATTAGAACACATAGCGAAACCTCGAACCTCTACGAACATCGGCCCCTACACGATTGTTCCAGACCGCACAGCTAGCACCGTGATACCACTATTGACACAGTTCCAAGCACCAGACTCAGTAACAAGAAACCCCTACCAACTCTTATCGGAGCAGCCGCGTTGAACGTGGATGTGCTAGGCAAGGACGACATTGTGCTTGAAGCCGAGACCTGCAAAGTCGGTGAAGATCCTGTCTCTGCAGGACCAGAAGTGACTCCAGCGGACAGCATATCGGAAGGAATTCTGACCGTTGTCTCTGATCCCAGACTTGCTGTCAAGGAAGGTTCGAGGGTCAAGACCTGGTTGATGTTGCTGCAATACCTATATCCAGACATTTGATCCAGGTGGCCAGGTATCTGGATGCATGATACATTCCCTAGAACGCTGCAGGTGAATTCCATCGACAAAACCTCTGGCGCGCACAGACAAGAGCTGACGGAGAGAAGATTGCTATCGCTGTCGCTGCCGTCGCCTGTACAGCGATTTCGTGAGACAATCATACTATAGCATGCTGAAGAGGCCGTGCGGCAGTAGCTGGGGCTGTAAGGCGCAGTAATTGATGAGATAATTGGTGTGGTTGGTGAGTAATTCACTATCGGATCGCACCAGCTATGCCACAACGAGGAGGCGGTCATAAAGTCTTTATCTAGTTCGTCGTTACCAAGACACAATCGCTCTTCGTTGTTGCATCTGTTCAACATCGAAGCTTAGCCACTGATGTCCTCGCAGAAAGGGAGATGAGGTCTTACTGGTATATGGCATTGAGGTAAGATTGACCGCAGTAGCAGTTGAAAAAGGCCGATGGGTTGTTGCACCCAGTCGTCGTGGGATTGATGGTGCACGCGCCGACTTGATTACACGATGAGACGAGCCGATCCCATTCGTGGCAGCCTTGAAATGTGGTTATACCACTACCGGCCACACACCGTCTTGGGTCTTGCGTGTGCTGTGACATTGCATAGCCAGCGTACACAACAAAGGATGAAATCGGCCACACGTATCTCATGACGGCTCAAATTGGGGGTTCGCTAAATTATGGGAAAAGTGAGGAAAGATCTTGCTTGACAACTACCGTAGCATAATCAAGCAATGAGCTGAGACTTGTGCCATATATGAGCACCACTCAAGCTGCTTATCTTCTCCGCAATCATGATCAATCGGTGGAATGGGACGACAGCTGTCAAGTTTTGTGGCGTTCGCGATGACTGGCCTGTCAGGTTTGAGCAGAAGCTATCAGATGATGGTCCCTGCCGAATGTCTTCACCTAGAGTTCACCTAATTGAGATACGTGCCTGCTTTTGTCCTGTATCTCAAAGCTGTGCTGTGCCGAATTGGTACAGCTGAATGTGACAATCTGGTAGTACGTGCATAGGCAACCTTTCTAATTGGTCGCACTCGCACGACATCTCGTGTTTCTGCTTGGCATGATGGAAGAGGCTCGCCCAGAGCGTTCGCGAACGTGCAGATCGGGCAGATCACACAGACGAGGCTGACAGCTCCAGACATCTGGGACAGAATACAGTCTGAAGACGCAGATTAGGAAGGTTCCGCCTGTGTCGTTCAATTCTCTTCATGTTGCACTTGAATTGTTATCACACACGTCTTCTTAGTGAAACAGCCTATCCGCCCCAGTCGCCAGCGAATTCTTCTTGCCAAAAGCACAATGCGTCGTGATTGGAGGTCATGGAAGCTGAAGCGTCCGACATTGGCTTTGGCATTGTGCGTTGAAGCAGGATTGATAGCTGGAATTGCTACTACCGCAATCCTCACCAAAAGAAGGGATGGCTTCGTAAATGTGAGCAGAGATCCCATAGGTACCTTACGGGGCATACCAATCAGCAGTCGGCTAGAGTGGTCAGCGGTCCCTGCAGTTGTTATGGCTCTTTTCAGTCTGCTCTATAGTGCAATAGTCACGTCAGCTGCTCAGCGCCAACCATTCGTCGAGCTGAAGGCCGATAAGCAGGAGTCCAGGTCCAACGCTAAGCTCACCATCCTGTTGGATTATCTGTCCTATCCAATTTTCTACAGCTGGTGGGTTGCTGGGAAAAACCGTCATGTTCACCTATGCGCGGCCTTGCTTACTCAGTTACTTGCCAGTATTATGCTGGTGCCACTTACTTCCAATCTCTTCAGTGTAGCAACAGCACGAGTGCCATCGGACGTGAAACTCGAAACAACGGGTGTACTGGATCTATCGCTTCTGACACGGGACACCAGTATCCTGGCTGCGCTAGATCTCTCCAACGCAATCTGGGGATATGGAGCAGGTCTTCCTGTATGGATGACAGCAAACAGAAGTTTTGAAACATTGGTACCCTCACACCAAGTTACAGGCGACATCTTGGTGTCGAACGTGGCGTATGGCGTCAAGCCACAGTGCGTGTTGGTACCGTCTTCTCAGGTCAACGCTACGTATGCAGCCAACTCGGTCTTGGGTTCTATCCTAATCAATTTCGCCGATCGCGGCTGCGAAATTGATGATATCGACCCATGGCCAATTACGTCGTCACGTCTCCTGTATACATACACCTGGAAGCAGCACTGCACCGGCAGTTCGGATGCGCAAGATCGTATCGGCATCTTTGCAGCAGCTTTTGATGCTGCTAGCGGAAACAAGCTATCCAACCTGACAGTAATTTCATGCTTCCCAACGTACTGGAGTACAAGCAGGGCTTTGACAATGTCATTTGACAACTCTGTGGCCAAGCATATCGTGAGCGACGAGCATGAAGAGGGCAAGGACGATATTCAACTGACAGGCGCAGTCAGCTCTGCCTTTCGTGCGCTTCATGACGGTCTGAGTTTGACCCGGACACAAGAAGGCTCAGGTGTTTTAGAGGCAGACAGTTTTGGGAGAGTGGTGCACGGGTATGCTCGGAGACTGAGGCCTGATGTACTGATCGATCGTGGAGCGCTACTGCAGGCTACCGAAACAGTGTATTCGACATTTTTCGCCGCACTCGCTACGACTGAGCTCATGCAACAGCCAAGGGAGGTGCGGATGCTCGATGCTCAACTGTTCTCAGATGTTACGAGGCTGTTTGCTAGTCTGCCGATTGCTTATGTGCTAATTTTCTTGCTCTTCTCCATGATGCTGTCGACAATCGGTATCTTCGTTCATGCCGAGCGCAGAAAATCCAGCTTGCAGGAAGAGCCCCGAGGTCTGCTTTGGTGGGCCATGATCCTTAGCAGTAGCGACCTCATGACTTTTGTGGAAGATTTCAAAGCTCAACATCCTGTGGTAGAAAAGCCAGGAGAGCATATCGAGAAATATTGGGATGTCAAAAGCGCAAAGTGTTGGTGTGAACACCGGACAGATGAGGTCGGTGGTCGAATTCGTCTAGAGGACCTGGAGGAGAGAATCCCTGGTAGAAGCAGTTGGCAGAAATTCACACAAGGACTCCGCTGGTCGAGGCGTGGAAAGAAGCCTTCAAAGAAGTCAGAACTGGTTGAGCAGGTGCCGTTGAAGGCGCAAGCGGGATCATTGACTGCCACTGCAGATCAACATGCGATGAACTGAGGTACGTAGGATTCCCAAAGAGCGTAAAGAGAGGTATTTTAGGCCTGCAGTTGAGCACCGCTATTATTGACATATTTGGACCATCATATTCCCGACACTTGCACTTGTTGCTGCAAACAAGCATTGGCAGGCTCAGCATATATGGCCCGCAGCAATCATGTCATAATGATACGGCGCGTCCATAGCTCTTCACCTCCAGGCTATAGCTCTCCATTTCGTTTCTTAGAGCATTTCTCGTGTTCATGATGGATATGCAGGAGTGCAATAAGGCACAAGGTGGTTGTTGGTAGGCAACATGGCAACGTAAGAGGCTTAGCTCATCAACGGTATTAAATCATTCGAGCTGCTGGCCTGTCATTGCCTGTATCGTTCGTGTATCAGGATTGATTGCTTGTTGAGTCGTTCGGGTCATGATGCTGCTAGTGGGGCTCTCCTCGCGTGGAGGAGGCAGTCGTCAGGGTCGGATATTGCTTCCTGATAGATTGCGATGGTAGTCGCATCTTTGAGGATACCAAATCTTGGTCGATGGGAACAAGGCTTGTTGCAGTCCTCAACTTCAAGCACGGACAGGCTTTGAACATTCAAGTTGGTCGTGATTACTTATAGGCTGCCTGAGGCATGAAAATTTGCAGCCTCTAGGTGTTTTTAGTGGCTCCTAAGGCCGTGGTGAAGCTGCTAAATGGGCCAATAGAGCTTGTTCAAGTCTTGTATCAGCTTTCCAGCCACTTACAGGCTCTCTACAAACGAGCAATCGGATAAAGTATTGTGATCGCTTTGTGTTGACTTCTGAGTGACTTCCATAGCATGGTATATATGAGTTGTCGCCTTTCGAAATCTCTGAGCGATTCGTACCTGCCTATGCTACTCGTATGCTCGAATAGGTGTCGCTCCCGCCAATTGGACGAAACCATCAAGGTTTTTTCTTATGGAGATGTTTTCTCGCCTTCACTTTCACCTTTACGTCCCCTGACAACCGCACGAGAAACTTGATACCGACTACGCGCATCTATGCTTGCCGTGCCGTACGGCTTGAACGTCGGCCGTGCGACCTGGTTGCCCTTATCCGTCAATGGTAATTAATCAGAAACATAAACATGGCGACCTCAAGCTCGACAGAATGGTGGCAACGAGTTCTAACGTGGACATCCCTACTCGCGAATAGTAGTAATATCGCAGCAGTCATTGATGTCGAACCAATGGCAGCTTTCTCACTGGATCCTCCACAACCTCAATACATTCCTCCTGCTAGTATTGACCATGGCGCCCCGCTGATACCCAACATCGAAGATCCCCTTGCTATTGATGCTCAAACAGTCTGTCCTGGCTACATACTCAGCCGCCTCGATACAAGTCCATCCAGCTTGACCGCACACCTCACTCTGGCCGGCGAGCCTTGCAACCTCTATGGCGACGATATCCACGACCTTGACCTTACTGTCGAGTATCAAGCAAAGTCACGACTGCATATCAACATCAAGCCATCCTACACTACCGCCGTGAACGAGTCTTGGTATGCATTACCTGAGCATCTAGTACCACGACCATCTTCCGAGCACATAACCCTTGACCAAAGCGATTTCGACTTTAGCTGGACTAATTACCCTACCTTTGGTTTCAACATTACGAGGATAGCCACAGATGAGATTGTCTTTTCAACTGACGGTGCTCGTTTGGTGTATGAAAATCAGTTCATCGAGTTTGTCACATCCATGGATAGCGGTTACAACATGTACGGTCTTGGTGAAGCTTTTCGAGGTCTACGTCTGCAACCTGGTCTGACCAGAACAATCTATGCCGCCGACACTGCAGATCCGATCGACAGAAACATGTATGGAAGCCATCCCTTCTACCTCGAGACCAAATACTACAAACTAGACTCAGCTACCGGAACACAACGTCTCCTTACCAGCAGTGACCACATCGATGCAGCGACAAGATACACGTCCAATTCCCACGGGGTCTATTTGAGAAATGCTCACGCTCAAGAAATCCTCATGCACGACACGAACACAACTTGGCGGGCTCTAGGTGGTGAAATTGACCTTTACTTCTTCTCGGGACCATCGCAGCCCGAAGTCACAAGCCAGTACCTACACCAGATCGGTCTACCTGCGATGCAACAGTATTGGACTTTCGGCTACCACCAATGTAGATGGGGATATGCTAACTGGTCAATGACAGAAGAGACTGTCGACACTTTTGCTAAATTTGGTCTACCACTGGAGACTATTTGGAACGACATTGACTACATGAAGGGCTATCGAGACTTCGAAAACGATCCTATACGCTTCCCATACGCTGATGGTGCTCGATTCCTCAGCAAGTTGCACAAGAACGGACAGCATTACGTGCCGATAGTGGATGCGGCAATCTACATACCCAACCCCGAGAACGTCTCCGATGCATACCAAATATTCGAGGATGGCAGAGACAGTGACTGTTTCTTGAAGAATCCCGATGGCTCCTTGTACATTGGACAAGTTTGGCCCGGCTATACTGTGTTTCCGGATTGGCTCACCTCTCGTGCCAGTGCGTGGTGGCAAAAGTCGGTGTCAGATTGGTACAACAAGATTCCATTTGACGGGCTGTGGATTGACATGAGCGAAGTGTCTTCGTTCTGTGTTGGTTCTTGCGGATCTGGACAGTTGGAAAGGAACCCCGTACATCCATGGTTTAAAATTGAGGGTGAAGAGTGTGAGGTTGTCTACGATTATCCCGAGGGCTTCAACGTGACAAATGTGACCGCCGCCGCAGTGGCCTCGATAGCATCGTCGGCACAAGCTGCATCGTGCTCATCGACTTCGGCTCCTACCTCAACCACGACAAACTACCTCCGTACGAAACCGACTCCGGGACTTCGCAATGTTGACCATCCACCCTATGTGATCGACCATGTCCATGGCGATCTTGCGGTACATGCAGTCGCACCAAATGCGACTCACTACAACGGTGTTCAAGAGTACGATGTTCACAGTCTCTACGGTCACTTATTACTCAGGAATACCTACTCAGCCATCCTCAATACCAATCCTACTGTACGACCCTTCATCATCGGCCGATCGAACTTCGTAGGCAGTGGAAACTATTCTGGCCATTGGGGTGGCGATAATCGAGCACAATTCCGACATATGTACTGGTCAATTCCGCAGGCTCTATCATTCTCGTTGTTTGGTATTCCAATGTTCGGCGTTGATACCTGTGGCTTTATTGGAAATACAGACGAAGAACTTTGTAATAGGTGGATGCAGCTGTCAGCCTTCTTTCCTTTCTATCGCAATCACAACAGCATTGGCAGTCTACCTCAGGAACCATACCAGTGGGCTAGTGTTGTCGAAGCGACAAAGACTGCGATGGACATACGCTTCCAGCTGTTACCATACATGTACACTTTGTTTCACTATGCTCATTCTCGTGGCGATACGGTCATGCGAGCTCTGGCTTGGGAATTTCCAAATGATCCATACCTGATCGATGCAGACCGACAATTCTTCCTCGGTCCTGCCATCCTAGTCATACCTGTATTGACACAGGGCTATACTACTGTGGACGGTGTCTTCCCTGGTCTCATGGAAGGAACAGAGGTCTATTACGACTGGTACAATCAGACTTCAGTGCCCGGCACAGCCAGGAAGAACACTACTATTGAGGCACCACTGGGTCATATCCCGGTGTACATACGTGGTGGCCACGTTCTCGCGACCCAGGCGATGCGCATGACAACTCGCGATGCTCGAACGGGTGACTGGAGTCTCATCATTGTCATGGATCACGCTGGTCGTGCTAATGGCACGCTGTACCTTGACGACGGAGTCAGTATCGAGCCCAGCGCTACGAAGCTCGTCACTTTTGGTGCACAGGCTGCAGTATCCGAGATCAATGGACAAAATGTTACAAAGATACGACTCGATGTCTTTGTTGAAGGAAGCTACACCGGCTTGGATCTACCAATAGCGAACATCACAGTGCTGGGAGTGAATGCACCACCGGCAGGCAAGGACGTGTTGATCAATGGAAATGTCGTGAATGGAAGAGGCACAACGGCTGCGATGGACTATGTCGCTGAGAACGAAAAGATAGTCATTCGCGGGCTGCGAAGTGTGCTTGGAGGTCACGCGTGGAGATCAGGATGGAGCTTGACAATCTGATGAGAAAGTGTGTAGCGCATCATGTGCTAAGGATAACAGTCAATAGCTGTATATCCTAGAACATTTCAGCAGATACATTTGATCACAGTCAAATGGCCGCTACTTTCGTACTGTTCCCGAGCCGAAACCGGCTACCGATGCGGCAGAACAACAGCATGACGAAGGCTGCCTTGCGTAGTATAGCCAAATAGCTACGACGTGGATTGCAACAGTGGCACCGAATGTCGGTGCTGTTTTTGCTGCCAGCTAACTTAAGGCTAATTTTACTTCGTCCAGAGGGTAGAGAGTTAAATGAGAAGCATTGAGTAGCATGTGGTGAATCAGAATTGAATCACTTTGAAGCACTTTGAAGCAGCAAATAAAATCGCAGGGTGAATGTTATCACAGTCGCACCACAGCACGGGTCTTGGCAACGCTGTCACACCGATTAATCGAAACCACTGTAGCGACTTGGTACACCTAATGAAAATCAATAGCATAGAGCAGTGATTCCAAGAACAAGTCGTATCTCATTCGCGTTTTACATAGAGAAGGTATCCTCGACGTTACTGCGAGCACGTTGCTCATACTAGTATGCGAACGAGAAACGCCTCAGGCATACACGTGACGGTCGGAAGAAGCCCCCGCTCACTTTGGTGTATTTGTGTACTTTGGGTGACCACTCCTCCCGCCCTCTGCGTGGCACACATGATGGCGCCAGTGGGAGACGAGATTGCTCGCTTAACCAAGATGTAAACAGGTTTTGGTGGCTTTCACCCACCACTGCCACGTCCTCAACTTCAAGGAAACGATAATTCGCATCCTCTCTATGCCATGCCTGCACTAGCCTGGCGCAAGTGTCCGCAACCGTTTACTCTTGCTGGTAATGTGCCTCCGTCTAGTCTCAGTCAAGTAGAGGTTGTGTTGACGGAGCAACGTGAAGACCAAGTGCAACAACACAATTCTAATCCATAACTCTTCCGTGTCGATTACGGCGTTCCAATAGTTGTGCAGCTTGAGCCCGTTTGTCCCAGACATGTTGTTATTGCCTTATGAATTCTTGTATCAACGCGATGTTGAAGCCGGGGTGCTCTAGCAATAGGCCCTGAAAGTCTTCCACTCTTTGCCACAGCATTTGACTGTGATGTCGCTCGACTCAGGATATCGGAGGAGTCTGGTTGTTTAGCGGTTTGGCCTTCAAATGACTTGGAAAGATCGTTATTGATCCGAACACTTACTCTGTCTGTGCCTCGATGATATTGTCTTTCACTGCCATATTTGGTGCGATTGAGGGAGAAATTTGGAAACATGAAAAGGAGGAAAGGAACTGGGCTGATTTAATCGCGAAGATAACAAGGTCCCTACGATTAGGCAGTAGAGCACAAACAAAAGGTGAAAGAAAGTGACATAGAATAGTGAGGGCGTCCTCCCCAGACTTTGTTTGAGGAGTTAGGATTGCTGAGTTTGACAACACACTTCCAGGCTGATAGACTGATCACGGGTGCCCTCCTAAGAATATTTTCGTGCCAGCAGGTGTTAAGGAAAACCACATCTTGAGAATTCATGAATAGACTGCGGGCGTCCTCCAGGGACTACTGTTCTGAAAAAGCATACCATGTTTTTGAATTCACGGATTGATCAAGGGTGCCCTCCCTAGTATATTTTCAGGCCAGAGGGTACTATATTTCAGAATTGACAAATGAACAACGGATACCTTCCTGGGACTGTTTTGTGTGACAATGATGTACGATTTCGAAATTCGTAGATTGATAATGGGCGTCCCCCCGAGAGTGCTATTCCAACGAGATATAGCATGTTTCAAAATTCATAAATCCAGCACAGGTGCCCTCCCGGAACTACTTTCGTGGTAGTCATATGCTATTATTGAGTTCGTGATTTGGTTACGGGCGTCCTCCCAGGAGTGCTGTTCACGCAACACATCGTCAATGCTCGGCTAGCTTTCCACAGGATGTTAGAGCCTTGGGGATTAACGAAAACACAGTAACCGTGGTGGAGATAACGTGTTTCCATTGTTTAGGCCCCACCCTACGCGACGCGCCCGACGAGCTTTTCTCTCGGTCGTGACTTCCTTGACTTTCGAGTCCTGCTCATCGACACTCGCACCTTCCAATTTGCGAAGTTTCACTTCGAATTCTGTTCCGCCTCTGTTAGTCAGCACTTCCTAATCAGTTGAGCCTCAGTTGCACGTGCTAACTGAATTTAGACTAAAAATAAACAAAAAACAAACGAAAATGGCATTCTAGTGGTTTGCCTTGCTTCTTCTGAAGCTCTTTATCGTCTTCCCATGGAAGACATTCTCCCGATTCTCCTTCTTGCTTGCCTATAAGGCATTTCTGTCCTTCTCTCCCGCTTTCTTCTTGCCAGTAGCTAAAATGGCTACAAACCTCCTTGTCGCGACCGTTCCCTGGATTTCCAATGAAAAAGCTGCAGCAGAAGCCTTTTTCGTGCAAGAAAAGCAAGAATCCGCCTTTCCCGTCAAAGCACAATTGCTTTGGCTAAACGAACACCTCTCTGGCATCCTCAAAGATGAGGCCAGGTACGTTTTAACCCGCTATTCGCTTGAAAAAACGTCTCTAACGCGTAGTAGCAACGTATTTGCACACTTCAAAACCCCTGGTAGACGCCAGGGCGATACAGTAGCACGTCCTTTGGCAGATAAAGCCATCCGTAACAGCATCGAACACTCATCTCCTCTGAAAAACACGATTACGCGTGATACCTCTACAAATAGCACTCCAACAAGAGAGACTGCTACACCAGCTGCCATTCCGGACAATGCTCCTCTACAAGACACTCCTATGCACGATTCTCCTATCTACGATCCTGCCGCAGAAGAAGACAATGGCACGACACAAGAAAATGTCGCGGCTATACATGAAGATGGCGAAGCCACTACACCTATGGATATTGAGCCTGTCTCAGAGATGAGCCTTGGATTGTCCAGCGAGTCAGACGTGGTATATCTGCGTGCTCCAGAATTGGACGCCCATGAGCAAAGAATGGCTGCCTACGAAACCTCGTCACCCACACTACCTCAAGCTGCTATCGAAGAAGAGCTGCAAGAAAACCCTTGGGAAGAGCCTAAGGAAGATCCTCTAGAAGAATCCGAGGACGAGCCCATCGAAGAAGCTCAACAAGATGTCGAAGAAGACACTGAAGAAGAAATTCAAGAAGAACCTCAAGAAGAGGTCGATGAAGAGATTGTTGCTCCTGTCATTCCACGACCATCCATCAAAAGACCTGCCTCCTCTCTACTGAGAGCTCCAAAGAATCTTGGACGCCCAGTTAGACCTGCTATGGCTGCTGCCAAATCTAAGACTCAACCACAACCTATTGCCATCAAGATCAAGACACTGTCGACCTCAAAACCTGTCAACTCTGCTCCTGTTGCTGCCCACAACCTGGAGAATGTTCGACCAGGTCTCGTAAAACCCGAGCTCAGCAAGAAAGCTAGCATACAATCCATCAACACCTTCAATAAATCCACTACTAAAGGCCAAGCTAATGCAGCAAAGGCCTTCTCACTTGCTCAAAAGAAAAAAGAGCTTGACGAACAAGCTGCCGCTAGAGATGCTGCTATCAAACAGCAACTCAGGGAAAGGCGTGACCAGAAATTCGAGGAGCTCAAACGTAACAAGCTCGAAGAAGAAGCAGAGCTTTTCAAGAAAGCAAAAGACCATGTCGCTGGCAAAAGAAAAAGCCACTTGGAAGATCTTGACTATGCTGAAGTCAAGCGTCGCAAGTCTGAAGAACGTCAAGAGCGTGAACAGGCTGCAGCAGACGCGAAGAAAGCAGCATTCCGTGAGATGCAATCCATGCGACAAATTAGGCCAGCTGTGAAGTCAGCTGTACCCAAACCACAAAACATACCTGCACGACCTCCTGCAAGACTAGATCTGCACGAGGATATGATACAAGAAGAGTCTACACCTCCACGATTAGGTGCTCATCTGAGACAACCTAGCCTTCAAAAGCAGCCAGAGCCTGAGCTGCCTGCATACCCAAGTAATCTCTCTAAGCCTCCTGTTCGAGTAGCTAGCTTGAACAAGAAGCCCTCTATCTTCACCAGCACGCAAGCTGGTCCTTCTACTCTTCATGGCTTTCCACAACCTTCACGAGCTCCAACACAAATGCCACAGATGGGCCACTTTGCTACACAAAAGATTCCCTTTGCAACCCAGGCTCCTAGCAAGACTTCTTCTATGGATGTCGTAGCACCCATGAGGAACATGCAGAAGCTTGCGACATCTCCTATGTCGCTTCCTGAAATACACACAGACTCCAGTGATGACTCTGGCAAAGACAGATCAGTTGCGTCCTGGGCCACACCCGGCCATGTATTTGGCATGCTATCTCAACAAGAAGCAATCAATGCGGACAGCATCTTCCCCCGAATCAGACCCATCGTTATGGACGACGTCTTTGCCGCCAATCCGGAAAGACTGAAGCGGTTGAGAGTCAGAACATCCAGTGCTAATTGGATTCGCACTGGTGATGGACTCAACCAGGTCGAGGTGGTGGAAGATATTATAGGCCGCCAGGCGATTAAGAACGCTGGCGGATGGACTTATGGTGCCGTTAACTGAATATTGAATACAGACATTGGACATTGGAGCATCTTGAGATGCATGGACTACGAAGCATGAATCATGAGCATTGTTATGATGTATGAATACTTGATCCTCGAGAAGGCAAGATGCATAGATATTTGGGGCCTTACACGGGGCAAAGAGAGGCGTTTTGATTTGGAATTCTGGATGATACCCCAGCGAAGCTAGGTGCTCGCTCGTTTGTATAGATGAACGAAGGCGTCCTCCTGGACAGCATAATGACTTAATCTGTTCCTTCTTGCTTTCGACTGACATATGGTCGTGTGAAAACGTTGTCCCATCCTACACTAGAAGCGCTTCCGTTCCCTGCTCAGGAGATCTGCCAAGTCATCCTGTTACAGATTCTTGCCCATAATGTTTGGCGTCTTGGCTCGCCAGTCAAGGCGGCAACCTCGCAGTACCAAGCAAGGTCCTGTCGTTGCTCACCTCTCCTTAAATATCGCTGAACGGCACTCTGAAACGATTATCTGCCGGGCCTACCGACGCCGAGTTCGGAAATCCTGGTAAAAATTTCGATACTGCCTCGCCTGCACACTTTCGTGCTCAGGCCAAACGTCAACACGCTGCCCCTTCATCTCTCTTCCAATCATGAAACTCCCTGTCCAATATTGCGTCCACGCCCAGGGCACTGTGTAATGTGTCCGTCAAGGAAGGCCTTCCAGGTCGATCTGATTATGCATACAGGTAGGTAAAGTACATATTGCGCGTGAATTTGCATTCCAACTCATTTCCATCGTTCATCCAACATCGCTCACCACAAAGCCGGTCTTTCTTTGAGTCTTTTCGACCTTCATTCGTTCAATCACATTCATTTCTAGGCTTCTCTGGTAGAGCCTCACACTCCTTACAACCCATTCCGGACATTCTCTCAGTCTCGCATCGACTCTAAACCACGAAAATACCAAATGTCGTTCCTCAAACAAGCTGCTATCCTGGGCACGGTCCTCCTCGCTGGTAATGCTGCTGCCCACGGTTTTATCCAGGGCATATCAGCTGGTGGAAAGTCATATGCAGGTCAATCTCATTGGTCTTCCGAAGCAAGCCCAGGCTGGAAAGCAAACAACGGCGACACTGGCTTCGCCTCAAGCTTGACTGGCCCAGACATCATCTGTCACAACAGTGCCGTCGCAGGAACACAATATGTCGCAGTTGCTGCAGGCTCTGCAATCGAAGTCACATGGAATACCTGGCCAGAATCTCACAAAGGTCCTGTGCTCGACTACCTTGCTCCTTGTGGTGACGATTGTGCTACCATCGATAAGAGTCAACTAAGATTCACAAAGATCGACGAAGCTGGTTTGATCACGGCCAATCCTCAACGCTGGGCTTCTGATGATTTGATCGCTGATAACTTCAAATGGACTGTCACCATTCCGTCCAGTGTTGCACCAGGAAAGTATGTCCTCCGACATGAGACTATCGCCCTGCACAGTGCTGGTTCGCAAGGTGGTGCTCAAGCTTATCCTCAGTGCATCAATATCGAAGTCAGTGGTTCAGGAACCAACAGTCTCTCGTCCGGCACACCAGGAACTCAGCTGTATAGTCCCACTGAGCCAGGCATTCTCGTCAATATTTATACTACCATGACTGGATACGACATTCCTGGCCCAGCAGTCATGGCTGGTGGATCTAGTGACGACTCAGGATCTCCTCCAGTGCCCAGCAGTTCATCTCGATCTCCACGTCCTTCATCCACTACTCTAGCTACCAGCACTAGACCCGTTTCCATCACCAGACCTGCTACCACGAAGGTCGCTGTCGTCTCGACTACGACTGATGCTCCACCAACTACAAACCCAGCTCCCTCATTCACTTCCACCAGCGCAGCTCCGTCTACCACCTTTACCATGAAAGGCAGAAAGTTTGTCTGTCACGAAGAATAGGCAACTCATGGCTCATCCAGACGTCGATGGTGGGTGCGCATGCTCTCTTCTTCCGCTTCAGCATGGCAGCTGCTGTAGTGCCGTGAATCTGTTTGGTGCTGTGCTTTGTTGACCCGCGACTCGACGACAGCGTCGACGTTTGCTATGTTAGACTTCTCTGTATTTAGCACTTTTGGAACGACGATAGCGTCGAGACACAAGTTAGCAAACTCAAAAAACAAAATTTGTCTTGCTAGCCTCCTGCTTGCATGTAAAATGATGTGAAGTAGATTGACTTATGTAAGGAGCACAAACATTTTGCGACAGCCATCATGCAACTAATCGAGTAAATGCTAAGCCCAAGAATTCGAGTCGCTGCTCATAATCCAGTTGCGCCATCATGCCTGTCTTCATTGAGTGAGGCACAAACGCTAGATCTGGGCTACGAATATTGTCTCTAAACTACCGAACATAGCAAGCACTTAGACTTGATCGGGAAACTCGGCTGAGTTGCATGTCTATTTCCGTACGCGTGGTGGCGCTACTCCAATACGATGTGCCTTTGCTAGTGCCTGGATACTGTTGTTGGAATTTCTGGAACCGTGCTTCAACAGATAATTTGTATTGTGCAACGCATCAAACTTGAGCATGCTACGATACATTCGCGAGCATTTTCGCAATTCCCACCGCCTTCTCCTCTTCAAGTCTTCCCGTCACAATCTGCACACCCACTGGCATATCGTCCAATTCTCCATCATTCAGCAAGATCTCATAATGCTTGTGATTATACTCATCACTCTTGCTCACGCCCTGGTATGCCTTCCACTCATCACCTAGGACGTCCAGCTTCCTATCTACCTTGATACTCGGTATCACTAAACTTGTCCAGTTCATCAAGTTCCAAATACTCGTGTAGCCAACGTACATGTCTGCTTCAACCCACATTTTCGGCCTCAGTCCGACCCATTGCGTGACAGGCATGACAAGCGCGTCAATACCTTGGTCGCGCCAAAGTTTCATGTACGTGCGTTGAAAGGACCAGATCTCATCGTACAGTGCTTGACGACCTGCATTATCGAGGGTGTCTGATGGTTTGCCGACAAGCATGCCAGGTATTAGGGGCTCGCCACCACCGGGACATTGTTGACATAGAGCAGCGAAGCGTTCTCCTCCATCTGCGAGGACTGCCCGGAGCCAGAGAGAGTATGCTGTGGCGTGGTGCTTGGAGGCGATATCGTTCCAGGATATGCATTCGTGGCCAGCTTGGCGGAAGTTCGAAATGGTATGTTCGACAGCTCGGACGACAGGTGGTTGAGGACGGATGACGGAGTCATTAGTGATGTAGGCAATCTTCAGCCGTTTCGTTGTTCTCGATTGTGATGATGTAGCAATTTGCAGACTGGCATAGCTGTCTACGATATCCTGACGCCACGGGATAGGAAGAATAGCAGGGTCATCGAGCCAGGGCCGCGTGGAGTGGTAGGAAGACATGAAAACGTCGAGACTTTCGATGTCGCGAGTCAGTGGACCACTCACAGGTGGAACGACATATTTATCTCTGCGTGTGCTTTCACGATTGCCGACACGACCAATTGATGGCGAGAGGCCATAGAGACCTTGAAGAGTTGCTGGGATACGAACGCTACCTGAATCGATCAGTTAGCTAATGCTATAAAGTTCGTGCTCTTGAAAGGCAACAACTCACCTCCAATATCGGTACCGATACCTGTAACTGACCCACCACCAGCGACGAGAGCACCTTCGCCACCTGAGCTACCTCCTGAAATCAGATTGCGATTGAGACTGTTCACAGATTGGCCGTACAAATGGTTGTAGCTATCACTCATCATTAAAGATTGTGGAATATTTGTCTTACAATACAAGATTGCGCCGGCTTGTAAGAGGTTCTCGACAAGAGGAGCCGATGCCTTGGCTGGTCGACCGACCAGACCAACCCAGCCCAAGGTCGAATCAATGCCAACGATATCTTGATTGTCTTTGATGGATATAGGAATACCGTGGAGTGGACCGAGAAGGTGACCAGTAGTGTTGAGGTGTTCATCTTGAGCTTTGGCTGTTTGTATGGCTGAGGAGAAAAGAATCTCGGTTAGACATCCGGTAGTCTGCTGGAGAAGAGCAGCGCGGTGACAACATGCGGACGTTATTTGTACCGCTGTATATTTCCTGTCTCTGATCCACGACTGTATGTTTAGGAGGGCCGTCGAAAGAGACGTAATCTGGAGTTCTTCAGCGGATAAATGAGCCTCTATGATGGGTACAGCCGATTTCTGATCGATTGAACTAGGGATTGAAGTCGTTTCCAACTGCCATTCGAGTGGTATTGTAGCCAGCTGATCTTTGCGATGCTGAAGAGCAAGTTTTCTCCAGGTCGGCAAATCAGTACCGTTGACTTGCTCCTTCAACGTCGACGCCATGTTTGCAGGCGATACACATGAGCTAAATGGTTTTGATGGGTTGGCCAGTAGTGATACTCGTTCTCGGGTAGGTCTACGGATGCGATATACGAGATGTGCAAGGTATTGTTGCTGGTGACAGAACTGTGCTTTTCAAGTAACCAAGAGTATCAGTGGTTATCTGCTTCTTGTCAGCATAGAATAGCGATATAGACAGTTTCGAGGAGCAATCAGCCAAGTGGAAAGATCGTAAAAAGCGGCAGTGGTCAATTCCGCTGCATGACGATCCTGTGGAGCCTCGGTATGAAATAGCTAATTTTACGTAAGCCAGGAACCGGGTCAAATCCGAAAACGGCTGGACTGAGCAGAGCGTGGATGAGACCTTGTGTTTGGGAATACCCAATGTATCGTCGTGTGGATTCTCTTCAGTACTGATACTGGACTAAGATCACTATTTCGTCAGTTTCTTGATGAAGTTCGTTGTCGCTTCAATAACTTCTTTCGAGGCTTCCTCGGGCAAGTAGTGACCATGACCATCACCAACACCAATAGCTGTATGATCAGCTCCAGGAGCAATCCATTCTTTCCAAGTACCTGCCACATCGATTCTCGCACCGAGCTTGGCTTTGGACCACATGATAAGGGATGGAACATCGACCTTGCGACCAGCTTCTTGGTCGGCTTTTTGATCTTGATATTCTGGTGCAGCGCCATACGCATAGTCTTCACAGCTGTACCTCAGTGTCTCTTCTTTCTCAAAACATGCAGCGTACACATCGAGTGCTCCATCCTTTGAGATAGTTTGCAAGTCAGCCTCGCCCCCACTGATGCGTTTGTGAGCGTCCCTCGCCCATTGACCACCACCGTACTTAGAGATCATTTGGACAGCAGAATCGACATTGGCGAGTAGGGGCCAGTGGAAATAGCCTTGACAGATGGCAGGATTCTTGAACTCGTCCCACTGTGCTTTGGTAGGCACAATATCGAACATAGCTGCTCCTAGTAGATTGATTTGAGGAAAGTTTGACTTCGAAACGGCCAATCGATGAACGATACGTCCCCCTCTGTCATGTCCCACAGCTATGACGTTTCGAGGAGAGTCCTTGTTGCTCTTGAATATGCTCGACATAGCTTAAGTCCTTAGTTTGAAGAATTGTAGGCAAGAGTAGATGCTCACCTTCAACCAAGGCACCAGCAATTCCAATCCGCGTGTTGTCTTTGGAAGGTGAACTAATTCCATAACCAGGTAGTTCAGGAACGAATAGAGAATATTGATTCTGAAGAGCTGGAATAACCTTGACTTGTCAGCATAAGACTGACGCGGATGGTGGGCAGCTAACAAAACGCCATTCGAAAGCTGATTGAGGATAGCCATGGATAAACATGACTATTGGTGAGTTGCTGCCATGGTCAGTAGTGTAGCTGACTAGCTGCGAACCCGAAGATGTGGGGGTAGAATTTCGTGTTAGGTCAGGAAAGAAGTTTCTGGTTTCCACCCTTTCTGTCATGTTGTGTTAGCAGCTTGAGGTGACTATACAGTTAGTCAACAAGTAAAAGTCACACAGCAAGCCAGAAAGCTATATATAGGGAGAAAGGCAGGGCACTGATTGACTGGGTTGCTGGAAGATCAGAACAACCCCACGCAAGGAATTTGGTAAGCAGATCGAGCTAGACTTATGAACCTCACGCCATGTTGCTGCTCTGCTGTCAAGGTCTAATCATCAACTCGAGCTCACGAGTTGAGTTGGAGGAGAAGTTGGAGTTGTGAAAATGAAGTGGAAAGCACAAATAGTGAGCCTGGGGCAGCCATGCAAATACGTGCTCAGCCGTGGTTTCCCCTGAAAGACTTGGCCGAAAGTTTGGTTGTCAGGGAAGACCCTCAGGGCCTAATCGGGGTGGGTAGGCTCCAAGAGCGGCTCTTTGCGAGAGTGTTTCGGGCCAGTCGCAGCGCGTCGGCCACTAGTGATTGGACTGGAGTGTCAACATTGCAGCACGCTGCCAACCACGACAACCACCTGTCCCTTGACGTCGCACTGCATTTTGCAGCACGATCGTTGCTCTACTTGTTACGATCTGGGCTGCATGTCCTGCAAACATCTTTAACAGCAAAGAACCTCCCTATACCCGCGATCCTGCGACGTTGAGCGGCCCACCAGTTCCATGCCCAGAGAGCAACCTTTCGAGCCACGATCGTTCCCATAGACATTGCTGAGTTTCTATATCGTCTGCCTGCCAGGCGCAGGTCGCCAACATGGCATCTAGTGGCAGCTCGGGAGCTGGAGGCGGCAACAACATCAAAGTCGTTGCTCGCTTTCGACCGCAAAACAAAATTGAGCTTGCAAATGGAGGCCAAACAGTGGTACAGTTCGAAGGCGTCGATACCGTGACTGTCAGTTCCAATGAAGTAAATGCGCCCTTCACATTCGATCGAGTCTTTCCCATGGAGTCCCAGCAAGCCGAAATTTTTGACTTTTCCATCAGGTCAACAGTTGCAGATGTTATGAATGGCTATAATGGAACCGTCTTTGCGTATGGTCAGACTGGTGCTGGAAAGTCGTATACCATGATGGGAGACATGACCGATCCTGAAAAGATGGGTATTATCCCACGAATCGCCGAACAGATGTTCGAGGCGATCAATGTTTGGGGCAACCCTGACATCCTATACACTGTCGCTGTGTCGTACATGGAAATCTACATGGAAAGAGTCAAAGATTTACTCAACCCAGTCAACAACAATCTCCCTATAAACGAGCTGAAAGAAGGTGGTGGATTTATAGTCAAGGGTCTACGAGAGATTTACGTACAGTCAGCCGACGAAGTCTTTCAGGCAATGACTCACGGCCAGAAAGCAAGAGTGACTGCCTCTACGAATATGAACCTCGAATCTTCTCGATCCCACTCGATCTTCTCCCTGACCGTCAACCAGAAACATCAATCGACGCAGCAGGAAAAGAAAGGCATGTTATATCTGGTCGATTTGGCTGGCTCAGAAAAAGTAGGCAAAACTGGTGCAACCGGTCAGACGCTGGAAGAAGCAAAGAAGATCAACAAGAGTTTGAGCTGTCTTGGAAATGTCATCAATGCACTTACAGATGGCAAATCTTCACACATCCCATACCGTGATTCTCAACTGACCAAGATCTTGAAAGAATCGTTAGGTGGAAACGCAAGGACATCTCTCATCATCAACTGTTCGCCGAGCAGTTACAACGACGCCGAAACCATCAGTACCCTCCGATTTGGTACTCGAGCCAAGAGCATCAAGAACAAGGCCAAGGTCAATACTCAGCTGAGTCCCGAAGAGCTCAAGGAGAAACTTAAAGCTTCTCAGCACCAGATCCTCAGTTTCAAGCAGTATATCAAATCACTTGATGCGGAAGTATCTCTTTGGCGTAGTGGTCAGACTGTCCCGCAAGAGCAGTGGGCCAAACCAAGTGCGCCATCGAGTGTAAGTACGAAATCCGAAACCAAGTCGAAAGCCGAGCGACCTGATACCCCTTCACGCCTCCTCTCCGACCATCTCAGATCCGACACGCCGTCCAGGCCAGACTCGAGAACAGGCGATCGAGCTAGCACACCAAGTATCATACTAGAGAAAGACGAAAGGGAAGAGTATATAAGACGTGAAAATGAGCTGCAGGATCAGCTTACCGAGAAAGAGAATCAAGCTGCGGCTGCTGAGCGTGCGCTACAGGAGATCAAAGAAGAAATGCGATCGTACCACGAAACGCAAGCCCGAATGAGCAAAGAGAACGAGTCAATCGCAGACAAACTCAATAGAGCACAGATGGAACTGCAAAAGATATCTTTCGAACGTGGCGACGAGAAGATCGAGATGGAACGACTACGTGCCGACAACGACGAACTGGATCGAGACCTTCATGCTGTACAACAAGACCTGCTAACCCTCAAGATGAGCGCGAAAGAGACAACTGCTGTGCTTGAAGAGAAGGACAAAAAGAAGCAAGAACGAATGGCCAAGATGCTTGCTGGTTTCGATCTTGGTGACAATGCCTTCTCTGAGAACGAGCGCAGAATGCAGGATATGCTCGATCAAGTCGACAGCCTAGAAGAAACACACCAAAGAAATGGAGGTCTGCCAGTAGAAATACTAGCCAGTTTAAGAGCAAAGATCATGGAGTCGCAAGCACTATCCAAGCAGGCTGAGTGGTCTCTGAACCGAAGGCATGACATGTCTCTCGAGCAGGACAACAAACGCATCGAATTGGAGGAGAGGCTGATGGATCTTGAGAAAGAGCACGAAGAGCTTCTTTCGCGAAACTTGAGTGAAACTGATCGCGACGAGATTAGAGACCGTCTTACACGTCTGTACGCCGACAAAGGCGAGACACAAAGTGATATGATTGACGACCTTCGGAATGAGCTTGCAGCTAAAGAGGAGGAAATGGTCAAATTACAAAAGTCAATCTTAGATGCACAAACCAATGGTTCCGCCAATGGTGCTTCTCGATCCCTTCAACAACAAATGGCTGACTTTGACATGATGAAGAAGAACCTTATGCGCGACCTCCAAAACCGGTGTGAAAGAGTGGTTGAGCTTGAGATCTCCTTGGACGAAACACGTGAACAATACAACAACGTCTTGCGCTCAAGCAATAACAAGCAACAACAGAAGAAAATGGCCTTCCTTGAGAGAAATCTCGAGCAACTCACTGTGGTGCAGCGACAGCTCGTAGATCAAAACACATCACTGAAGAAGGAGGTCGCTATAGCAGAGCGCAAGCTACTCGCTCGCAACGATCGCATCGTGAGTCTGGAGCAGTTACTAAGCGAGAGTCAGGAGAAATTGACTCAGGCAAACCATCGCTTCGAAGCACAACTGCAAGCTGTGAAGGAACGGCTCGAGTCTGCCAAAGCAAGCCAGGCTAACAGGAACGAAATGATGGCACAGCCTGCTGCAGGAAATGCTGGATACGGTGGATTGAGCTTCGGTGCGAGGATTGCAAAACCACTGAGAGGAGGTGGTGCTGCAACCACAACGGATGGAAGCTCAAACGGAGCTACAGGACCATCGATACCGTACTTATCTTCTTTGACTGCGGGCGAAGTGGGCAACACAGGTAACAAGAGGAGTAGCTGGTTTTTCAACAATCGATAGCGTAAGTATGTAGAGCTGCGATGTATGCCTGATGTTTGATGTTTGTGATGAGAGTATCTGATTTGACGAAGCATGAGCTATCTTGGGCATGGTCGATGTTAGAATAGCGAAACGGGAGGATGGCGCTGCTGGCGAGACGAGCATCGCAATTACACTATGGAGTTCTCTGCTACGATTGCAAAGTTGATCGTCTTTGTTGGTTTTTCCCCAAAGTGAATCATTGCTATTTTATTTACATCACTGTTCACCAGATTCCTATATGGCAAGTGGACCGAGCTGCACTCCTCTAAGTCAAACTGTCCTCCTCGACTTTCGTCCTTCAGGATGTATCATCACACTTCATGAAAGATCGTGTTGAGCTTGATGCCAGCAATTTGACCTAGCCCCGCGTATTGCTCGAGAACGTGGTGTGCGTTTATGTGTATCAGCTTAATCCATTTGCCTGGATACTCAAGCTAAGTTCTTATCGACTTGTTGACTCTGCCTAGCAGCACAGCGATCTCGTTCCTAGCCCTTCCCGTTCTGCCACAGCCCTCAGCGACGATCATGACGATTGCTTGATTTATCACGAGAAGTGCCTCTGTAATCCATGAGCATATTCGATGTCGCGCGAACCAATGGACCGAATTGTGGCCAGGCTGTGCCAGGCAACTGACAATCATACTTCTGCTGACCTCCAGGATGCAGATATGCTCAACTCGATGTGAGACACTGCCTCGAACGGTCGAATGCTAAGCGACGACACTGTAGCGAGAATTTTTCTCGATCGGCAGATCGCTGCCGACTATGCCTAAGGGTTAGAGCTGGCGAAGCTTTCGTGCTTGATGGGCCCCGACATTTGCATCCTGTTCTCTCTCAGCATGGCATCACGATATGCCATCCTGACATCTATCATGTACTGATCTTGTTCAGCATTCCTCTCATTGAATTTCGTCTCTCCCCAAGTGCCTTTGCTAAAGACCTTCATTGCACTGGTTCGGTGAACACCATAGCCCATGGCTACCAGGAATGCTGCAGCAAGAAGAACGAGGACAATCACCACCGAGGGATCCAACGCTTCGGCCATGGTCGAGAAGTGTGATGACAGTCGAAAAAGTGGTGGAAAGATGCGCCTTGTTATACGAACGAATAATGGAGTTTGCTGGGGACTACAAGAAGACAATTTACAATGCCTACTGTGCAGGAGGGGGTATCTTATACCAGCCACCAAGTACAGCAGCTCGGAGACATTGGGCACATGTGCGGCTATCCTTCAAATGAGATGTACCATTGAGATGTGTGCCGAGCTGCTGGCCTTGGAAAATTACTTATGCTCTTTGGCATACGGATGCCTGGTCTTTGCTGGTAAGTACCATTCCTGTATCTAACACTATTCTCAAAGAAGATACCAACACGAGCAAGCCAATCACGGAGAAGAGTCTCGTCTATCCGTGCTCCGCCTTTGACCTAGGTGGATCCTACGACAGGGATACTACAAGACAATTTTAGTAACATGCAATTTATCGCTACTATCACCCAGCTTGAGATCTGAACTCTTTCCAAACATCTTACTCGTTTCGACGTGCGACACAAACCAACCAATCACGTTATCTCAGGCGGCGAATGGCTACGAAGCGGAGACGTGCTCAACACACAAAGTCGATAAGAGGCTGCAAGACCTGCAAGTACGTAGGCCACATCGCCTAACTACACCGAGGCCACACATCGCTGATTGATCGGTCGCAGGATACGGCGCATCAAGTGCGATGAGACCAAGCCGCAATGTCAACGGTGCTCAAGCACTGGACGTGTCTGTGACGGACCACCTCCGACCACTATCATTTTGATTGAGCATAGGAATAACCCAGATCCAACTAAGCTACCATCAGCTATTACCTCTGTGTCTTGGACTGACTCTCCTGCAGAGCTTCGTGCATGGGCGTACTATCTCGACCAAGTCGCTCCAGTCTTTTCCGGCACCTTCGATCACAGTTTCTGGAATATATTGATACCCAAACTAGCCGATTATCACGCCAATGTCCGATATGGGCTCCTCGCAATCGGTCAGTTTTTCGAGTATGGTGTACAAGAACGTAAGCATGGCTTTCCGACTCCAGCGCAAGAACACCTGACAGCATTACGATGGCACGCAAAAGCTCTGCGTCGCGAAGAAACAAAGCCATCATTCGACCACCAAAAAGTCGTGCTTGTAATGTGTGTATTGCTTTCGACCTTAGAATTCATGCAGAACAATATTCGTGCTGGCATACGACTACTACGAGTTGTCTTCACTTTCCTGGCCCCACTGCTTACTGCAGGTCACGACGGCAACGTCTCCACGAACGACGAGACTCTCGAAGTTATTCTTCCCATCGGCATGCGAACTGTTGGATTACTGTTTACATCACTGGACGAACTCGATGCTGAGACATTACCACGTCTCTCGGACCAGGATATGGAGGTACCAGTCTTTCGCGGACTTTGTGCAGTATATGTGACACTCAAAGATACATACTTAGCATTGCAATTGCAGCTCAGGACGGCAATGCGTAGGCTGCAACGAAAGCAAAAACAGGTAGAGGCGTATCTCCAATCAGCACGAAACATTACTCGAGCACATCTACCACAATCGCATAGGCTGTGCGCTGGCCGGCTTCCTGCGTTGACCGACTACTGCGATATCGCTCTCAATTGGCTAGATCTCACTATCAACGCAACAGACACGAGGCTTGACAGCACCTCCTTTCTAAAGAAGATTCTTGCCAACCTTGTCCATCTCTCCAACACCGTATCAATAATCTATCCATCAGCATCGTCATCAACATACTTCCATCACATGACCATCACTCCCGTTGCGTATTTCGTTGCCATCATTACCCCGATACCGTTTCTTCGCCAACGAGCACTGGAACTGATGAAGTACAGAAAGACCGAGCATTCGAGAACACAGCTACATGCTATTGTGACCAGCCTGGAGGGCATCAAGATCAATGACGAAGATTCATTTGTCCCTCGAAAAACGACAGAAGTTGACATGGAAGGCGTACGTGGAAATGGAAGTGATGTGCACAAGATGCTCACGGAATCCCTGACGCAAACTGGCCTATCGCACGAGCAGGAAGATTTTGTGCTTGCAGTGAACAGCGTAGGCGGTGAATTTTCTGAAGATCCACAAGTGAAAACATGGATCGGCGGTGACATGTTTGGCGTTCACAAGAGAACAGTCCTGGCCTTTGCGTAACGTGGGAATACGATGCGTGCGTTACGATTCGCTCTTCACATCATTTGGAGATGTGTATTGTAAGCTCCGCCGCAACTGTCAATCAACTTGAATATACAGATTTCTGGATTAATACACGACAACGAGAACAAGCAGAGATAAGAAGAAGAAATTTGGTGATCATTACCCCAGCATTTGGAGTCAAGGCCTAGAGACAGAGACGATCAGACTATGATGAGACCTATTCCGACTTCTCCTCAACTCTTGGGTTCTCCTTCACAATCAGCAATTTTCCTTGAATAATGTTCCAAGTGGTAAAGCCCAAATTGATAAAGAACATGATCACGAGAATGATTACCAAGGCAGTAGTGATCGTCCTCCATGCTGGCGAGTCCATCTCAATACTCAATTGCAATGTCGAAGTGGTCAGTGTGCCAAGAGGAAAAATGATGCTGTTCCATGTTGGTGACCAGGACAAATTCTTGTTGAAAGCCTTTTCAAGCATTGCGAATAGTGCCAGAAATGCCCAAACAGTTGCCATACCAGTGAGCAGCAGTGCGAGAAGGACACAAGCAGCATTGAGAGGTGTCGCTGCTGAAGCTTGCAAGAAGATGCCTTGACTATAGCCTCCGAAACGGCCATACGTGCTTGCCGCTGAAGCGAGAAGCTGAAGTGCTGCTGCTGATTGACCCATAGGTCCGACGAACAAGAACATGGACGCGATTTGCATAGGTGCCGGGAAACCAGTCGTGAGGAGTTTGTGGAGTAGGAGTGTGTACAGGAAGGTCGCCATGAACATGCCGATACCGACATAGAGGAAGGAGACGATGATGACGGGAACAGCCATGCGAGCTGAGATGCCGGCACTATAGCATGCGATCAAGCCACCAGTTGTCGCTGTTGTCGCAATGCTGACGATAGGCAGCAGGATCATTGGTGGTAGCTGTCCTCCTTCAGCTTCTCCTTTTTGTCGTCGGATGACGATAATGAAGACAAATAGAAGAGTCAGTATAGACCATGCCGCACCGAACCACCACATGACATATCCTACGATCGTGAAAGCATGTCCACCCCAACCTGCCTGGCTGACAATCAGATTGACCAGGGCTGCAAGTGTCAACCACGCAATAGTCCAGCATGCCATTTGGGCAAGTTGTTGAACATTGTCTGTGATTTCCCAATATGCTTGCCGAGTGTACAGCGCGAATCGCGTGAGCATTGTCAAGGAGAAGACGATGAAGATGAGGAAATCAATCATGAAGGCGATAATCGACAATATACCGAGGCCAGGGAATTGGTAAGGTAGCTGGTGTAGCAGGATCGCGATAATACCTGCGTTCATGCATTCGGTGAACCTGTTCTGCAGTCAGTGCGTGGTCTTCAGCCAGTTGAGTTGGCTACCATACCATAATGGTTCAAAATCCTGAACCAATGCTCTCCATGCTGGGCGTACTCGGGGTTCGCTCTGCCTTTCCTGCTCGCGCAGAGTTTTGTTGTCCTCTTCACTCATGATGAGTCTGTTGTTGATGTCGACTATGGGCAACGAGACCAGCAGCTCAGGACAGATTTGATACCCTTGTGTAGGGACACATGCGCCTGGACGCACAGCTGCACTATTTCAACCATATTGCTTTCTTGCAAGTACGTGACGACACTTGTCGATCAACGTTTGGGTGATGAAAGTGATGATGCCCACGTTGTCATTTGTTGCTGATAAACACGGACAGCGGAGATACTAATAGCGCAATGACATAACCTCGTATATCGGCACGCTGGGAAGTGTTTCGATTGGTGCAGAAGCAGGAACCATTGCACTCTCCCGAGCCTGTGACGGCACTACGTTGAAGTGAAAAGCTTAAAAAGCTAAAAAGATCTCAGTAATCACAGATCATTCACGGTTCGTCTATTTCTTTTTTAGACAGTCGCAACGCGCATGCGAAATGTCCAAATATTCACGTTGTATGGACAACGGGTCAGAGACGGTCTTTGAACGGACTTCTTCTCGCGTCCCTTAGAGCATAGAACGCGTTCCTTGTACGCGTGGTCGTGAGATCTGGTGTGATGAATGCCAAGCACTCATGAGCTGAGTCTAATTCGGTTAAAAGCTTGGTGGTCGAAACGCCTTCCTGACACTGGTTTCGCAACACCGCTGCTCACATGGGATCGCGTCTTTCTCGGCGTCGTCGAGATCTCCTTGTCATCCCCCTGACGCGAGTTTAAGAGACAAGCTTGAAACACTCCAAAGGCGTGCTATGTATGCCATTCAACACAGGATAGCTCAATAGCTCTTCGGCAGTCCCAGCACTCTCTCACTTATATAGTTCAGTATCATCTCTCGACTCACTGGTGCCAGTCGTGGTACGAAGCACTCCCGCATCCATCGTTCAACGTCGTATTCAGCCGCATACTATCGAAGATTAGCTCGGACCATTATCTCGCTGAAGTCACTTACTCCCATCCCACCATGACACATCACAGCTCTTTCGCAGGCCTTGAAGGCTGCCTCACCAGCCAAGTATTTAGCTGCGTTTGCCATGGCGCCGATAGTGATCTGGCTGATCGAGCTATCCTTACCACTCTGATCATAGAGTCTTGCAGCATGGTATGTTGCTAGTTTCGCTGCTTCCAGGTTCATGTAGGCGTCGGCTAATGGATGCGCGATCGCCTGATTCTTGCCAATCGGTCGACCGAAGACGTTCCTTTCTTTCGCGTACGCCGCCGCCTTTTCTAGCGCGACATAGCCCAAACCCAGCGCTTCACCAGCAAGAAGACAACGCTCAGCATTCATTCCATGTAGAATGACCTTGAAACCTTGACCTTCATTCCCAACAAGTGTGTCAGCAGGAACCTCGTAGTTGTCGAAGAAGACTTCATTCGCGTCCACAGCACGACCGCCCATCTTCTTAATCCTCCTCAGCTCAAGACCAGATCCTGGTGTCCTCTTTGCTTCTTCCGGCAGATCTATACAGAACATACTTAGGCCTTCACTCGGCTTCTTCACTTCTTCGACCGGGGTCGTCCTGGCAAGCAAGATCATTTTCGATGCCACTTGAGCACAGGTGATCCATATCTTCTGGCCTGAAATGAAATACTTGTCGCCTTCCTTTCTCGCAAAAGTCTTCAGTCTCAATGTATCGAGACCCGTATTCGGCTCCGTAACACCAAAACAAGTCCTGTACTGCCCATTGATAATTCCCGGAATCGTACGCTCTATCTGCTTCTTGTTCCCGTATTTCGCAAGTGGTTGTGTAGCATAGACATTCGCATGTATCGATTGAGCACCTGCCATTCCAGCACCACTTTGCGCGATCGTCTGCATCATCAAAGTGGCTTCACTTATTCCGAGGCCCGCACCGCCATATTCCTCAGGTAATGCAATACCTAGCCAGCCGTCCTTGGCCAGTGCAGCGTGTAGTTCATGTGGATCTGTTGATGTCTGATCGTGTTCCTGCCAGTAGTTGTTGTCGAACTGAGAGGTGATTTTTTGTATCGCGTCACGGACTGTGAGTTGTGATTCAGTGAAGCAGGAGAGGTCCATGACTGTGTCGGACTTCATGTTCAGAGATGCTGAGAAGTGGCGACATGATTGTGCTTGTCGTCTGCGTGGTTGTACGTGACGTGGTATGCTGTTGGATGAGCGTAGCAGCTGTGGTGATGTGCTACTGCAAGCTCGAAGAGCACTGCGAAGTGGTATTGGTGAAGCTAGCAAAGACATTGCCACAAAAGCAACTGCTTGGAATAAATGAAGCCACTTTTTAGCGGTATGTGTAATGTGCTGTCTAGATTCTTCTGCTCAAATCTTCACAGCTTATGCCAGTAGTCGACGAGAAACGTATATGCTAAAAAGTTACAACTATATGATCGCAATATTCACAACATATAACCTGGATATGGTGGCCATGGCCGCCGATGATCTCTTTGATGAAAGACTCCGAGAGCGGTGTCGAACGGCGAAACTCGAGACCTCGGCCCTCTCGAAATCGTGCAGTCCTCTCGAGTCGCAGCCAAGCCGGAGCCCTCGCATCCAAACCGGCATGATTGTGCGAACGCCGAAGAAGTTTTGTTCACCAAGTCTGTATGTCGACTGAATCAGCATCTTCTCTATTCTTTAAAGTATTACACCCCTGTAAGACTCGTGGTTCCGGCAGGGAAGAGTTCAGATTCACACTAGTCAGAAGACGCTCTACGAAGAATACTGAGCACGGACCAAGTTGTTTTATCGTTCATATATATTTCCTATTCATTCTACTCCTTCACTCCATCGCTAATTATATGTAGACGTCGACCTAGCATTCAGAACTCCGAAAAGCCATTCCGCAACTACTAATATGGTCTCATCTCCTTCGTGCTGCACGATGTGCTTCACCCCTCAGTCGGTTCCTCTCCCTGAAAGCCTCGAATGCTGTAGCAGGGTCCTCCAGTCTTCGCGCTGAACGATGTGCCTCACCCATTCGTCTGTTTCTCTCCCTGAAAGCTTCCCATTCGGCAGCCCGTTGCTCCTCATGACGCCTCGTCTCTGCACGTCGCTGTTCAGCGCGTGCACGTCTCACGTCATGGACATCATCGATAACGATGGCGTTGCGGCGTGATGCTCCGGCTGTCGAAGATCGACGCTGTTGAGGTGGTGAGCGTGACCGCTGTCGACGGGACTGCAATGGAGACCGTGATCGATGTCGGCTGGAGACTCGCGTTCCGCCGTTCGATGTGGAAGTGTTGTGACCATAGTAGTCATCGAATGCGTCGTCAAACATGTTCCGTCCTGTATGGGAGGCAGACGCACGTCGTGAACTTGTGTTAGTGTGGCGAGAACTGTGGCCTGCCCCAGACATTCGCCTCGAGCTGTGTGACTCGTGACCATGGTATGGAGAGCTTCTACGGCTGTGCTCGTAATAGGTGTTTGTGGTTGGGTCGTAAGAAAAGTGGGAGTGGTTCGACATTTTGTATACTTGGGTTCTGTGCTCGTGTAGTATGCCTACTTGTATGCTGACTTGTATGCTTGTATTGTAAATATCGATGAACTGTGAGCTGATAGCCCATACCGTGCCGCCTATATATCTAATATCTAATACCTGCAAAGTATTACGTTTGTACAAGGCTCATTGTATCAATACTGACAACGAGAGGCATTGTCCTAGACACTATGGATTGTAAATTCTGTGACAGGTAGCAAAGAAGACAAAGAGCTGCCACCCATTCTTGCTAGTATGTATGGTACATTTCTATGCTTATCGCTGCTGCTCGCATGAACGTGCTCAGTTTCATGAGCTGAATTAGAGGGAGCATGATATATATGTCTGAGAGGCACTAAATGTAGTCGTGGTTAGTGAGATGCTCGCGGTTGCTGAATTGCCACTCTTTCGTTGTTTTCCTTCTTGCGCTGTTTGAGAGTAGCATTTTGAGATGAAACGTTGAACCGTCGTCTGGCTGTAGTTGACCTGGGCAAGAAAGACAGATTGAAAACCAATTCGCTGATGTCCTTAACCAGGCTATAGTGCACGAAACTTGCGACTTTCGATAGCAGAATTGCCTCGCGAGGCTGCCATGGCTCTAGGGTCAGACAAGCCCTCGTTCACGTTCTGCCAAGTTGTTCGAAATCTCACGATGGAACAGCCAATGGTGCTGTTCAGACACGATGAGACTTACCTCGAGCAGCCTTGTGGTCAGTCCACCAGAATCCAAGCTTCGACTGCTAGGAACTGCCCATCTGCGACCTGGGCCATCACATCGATCTGAACTCGCCAGTCTGGTGTTCGAAAACGTCGGCGCTGGTTAATAGCACTGCACAGAATTGCGAAACGAGACAAAGAATGATACTCGAACGGCTAACCTTCCCAAAGCGCCTCAACACTTTAGAGGTCAAGCATGCTGCCGTGGCTGCGCTACTTCCCGCCTGCACAATGAAAGACTTGGTCGTTGATGAGTATCCGTCTAGCAGGGTATACCAAATGTGATATGAGACCGAAATTACTCCGGTCATGATGGCTGTGGGGCCCTACAAAAACAGTCTCGCCTTCTCCCACGCGAATGGAAAGGAACCTGGCACGATCCTTGAGAGGATGTGAAGCCACTTCATCCCGACGATGTCGGTAGAAGGCTCGATATGGGAGCAGCTAGCAGTAAGGAACTGACACCATATTTGCACGCTTTCTCGCGACACTGTCTGGTCGTTGCTGCAAGAGTGCGATAGTGTGCGCAGTCTTAGCAGTTGGTCGCGAAGTGACGCGTAGTCGTCATGAATCTCTCGCAACCAAGCAGTGAGTGTAACATATTAAGGTCGTACTGGGTCGAAGCAAAAACATGACTTCGCAGAAGAGATCGAGGATACAGAAGCGTTTCAACGTCTCGTGGACATCTAGAACCATGGTTAGCTGCACAACGGCATCAACGCGAGGCATGGGACAAAGAGAGTGGCATCAACGCCAATGGCATAGCATAGCGCAAAAAAGAGACAGTCATTGGCCTTGTCGTCTGTTCTTCTGAAGTTGACTTAGAGCCAAATACAACACGAGATGAACGCCACGTTCGTACGCAAGTACAGCTTCTCTATTTTTGCGTCAGCTCTTATCTCAATCCCTATCTGCACCTCTAGTCGTGGTAAGGCGTGGAAAATACTGCCTAACCACGAAAAGTCGATATGGCTTTGTTTGAGTAACCGCGATGACCTTACCGAGATTGAGATCTGTTGACAGATATGCACAATACCAGACAAGACCTTCGCCAGGAGTCTGCAGGAAACCGCTACGGAATGTCCTCCCCAGAAAGCCAAAACTTGCTGTTTCAGTAATATTCACGGATCCTGGCCATACCTGGCACTCACCCCACCCGTGCACGATACCACGAAGGGCTTTATTCTAGAACAGGCACTCGAGCACCGGATGATGTGGAGGGGAATGTGAATCGGACTCCTTACCTCAAATGCGGATCATGGCAATCTTGGCAAAATGTCTTATATGTGTAGACAAGACAACGAGGGCCCTCCGTTACCTCGAGAATCTGATCGTAAAGAACAACAACATCACAGTCTATGGAAAAAGACAACAGTTCGAAAACACCACTATTCATTTATTCAGCAATGCTGAGAGCTCCAAGGTCATTACGGACAGTCATCCTGTTGAGCATCAGCTCGTGCGCACTGCTCATAGGATCATGGACCGGATTGTTCAATATAAAAGTATGATTGGGATGCCATAAGATCAATGGTGACTAACAATATTGCGCAGTCGACGATATATTACTCATCAGTTGCACTTGGATCCCATTTTTCGAAAAATATTCTTTACGAAACACTGGATGTGCCCGGCTTCGCGAACTATCGTATACCCGATGGGCCAGATTGCGGATCATTACATACCAGTTCTACACTGGAAGTCACTCCTAGCCTCCATATTGAAGACGATATTCTAGATCTCGCAGCTTCGGTGGAGCACTCCATGGTGGATTACTCGGGTCAGCCGAAAGGGCAGAGCTTCGCTAATATGGTTCACAAGACATGGGCACAGATGTCAGGATCAAGTGTCTGGTTGCAAAAGTATGGAGTCTACCTCACTGTGACAAGAGCATACTTCTTCGATAAAGGTGTTCAATCATGGCCAGTGATTAGTTTCATACGAGCACAACTACACGATGCGAACTGGCAGCGCCTGGTGAACTACACTATAACCTGGCAGGGAGAAGAACTCACATTTCCACGCATGCTCAATATCGATATACCGCACAAAGCTGGAGGCGCTTTTTTCGGTCCTGAAGATCCTCGAATTGTTATTGAGTCTGGTGTGGAAGATGCCGAGCCAGTTGTTATATTTAATATGATGGATGATCTCAAGTCACTCAGAAGATCCATGCACATACATCGTCCTTTTTCCAATTACACCACCAGGCTTCAACTCGGGAACCACGCACCACATCTAGCCGAGAAGAATTGGGCTCCGTTCTTCTTACCTCAATCGGAATTTCCTCCTTCTCCTCGACATGCAGGTCACGAACAATACCCCAACAAATATGTCCATTTCGTCTATGAGTTCCACCCTCTTCGCATCGTGCGCTGTCATCTGTTCAGTGGAGATTGCACGCTCGCCTACGAGCAGCCACTGTCAATCCCGTATCTAGCAGACCATAAGTACAATGATACTGGAGGTGTCATGCGTGGGGGTACGAACTTCGAACCTCTTCCAGCCTCCATTCAGACCAGACCAGGAGTGTTTACTTTTGTTGGCATTCCCAGAACACACAGCGGGGCCGGCTGTTCAGGAGGCGCATTTTACCGTCCTGAGATCATGCTACTCACAACCAACGGTACACATTATTATTTCGATTATGCCAGCGTAGCGCTCACATTCGGTTCCGCACTCTTTACACAATCTCAGGCAGGTGCACCATGTGAAGGTGGTCGCATTTTCATGGCCAACAGTATTTCACGCATACACAACGACCAGTATGGTCCTAACAAGGATGTGATGGAGGTGACCTTCTCTATTGCAGACAACACTGTGCAAACTACGAAGATCAAGGGTCTACAAGCGCTTGTTAAGACTTTGCCACAATTCAGAATGGCTATCGATGGTAGCCACTGGCAGGAGTCAGATATGCAATGGAACATCAACGTGACGAGTGACATCATTCACTGCTCGACAGGATCTGCTGCCGAACATGCAAGATTGGTATTGCACTTGGACGAGAAAGAAATGGAGAAGGAGAAGGGAAAGCAAGAAGAGAATATGAAGGAACTGATGAAGCAGATGGACAAGGAGGAGGAGGAGGAGAAGCAGAAAGAGAAGGAGAAAGGGAAGGGGAAGGAGAAGGAAGTAACAAGTAGCCAAGCACCTGTGGCAAGAAATCTAGGCTAACAATATGCTTGCATGCTATGTTCCTCGACCAATGAATCACAGTCTATCTCGGGTCACAATGCTGCTCAACCACGTTCGAAACACATATCCTGCAATACTCTTGTCCACGCAACAACCCGCACATCCATCCTCCTGAAAAGTTCTGCAGACCACACTATCAATACCGTCATCACAAGGTATCCTGGAAGCACATGCCAAAACTCATGAGCCGCAGGCCCCCAGTAAGCCTCTCCCCACTTGACAAACAGCTTCTCCCATACGATCCATCGAATGGTGTTGTGCATGGCATAGATGCCAAACGATAGCTCGCCAACAAATTGCGAGACTGGCAGCAGAAGCGGTTTTTGTAGCAGAGGAGCGTTGTCCAATGAGTACACCAACATAATAGCCCCTATGGCCAGAGGATAGTGGATATGAGCGCCTTGATCATAGTTCGGTGGCATGAAAATAGCAATCAGATTGAAGGGAAACTCGGAGTCTGTTCCAATGAGCATAGGGCCAGTCAAAGGTGTGAGCGAGCATATGAAGAGGATGATATATGGTATTTGCTGGATGAGTGTGGTAGATCTTGTCGGTGTGATTGCTGTTGGCGACGGCGACCTTGCTGAACCTTGTGGAGTCTCGTCGGTCGAAGTATTATCGGCAATCGTTTTTGAGCTAGATGATGGCATTGTCAGCGGCAGTGGCGTAGGTGAAGTGGTTTGACCCTGCTGCTGCCTTGACTTCCACATCTTGAGATCTGCAATCCACATGCCAATGAGAAACTCACCCGCCCACTGAGCTTCCCACCAGAAGAACATGGCAGCACATACACAGGTGAGACACAACCTGATCCTCGTTGCCATTGTGCATGTCGCAGCCAAGAACGTGAACAAAATCACACTACCCCGAAATTCAACAGGAATTGTCCACATCTGTGGTAAATACTTCGTGCCAAAGCACCCACCATACCACCAGCCAACAACGTGAGGAAACGGACTGCTTGCCTGGACCGTATCCGCGATCCAGAACTGCAGATTACCCCAAAACGTTGGCTGCAGAACCTGTGGATCTTCTCCTTTGACGGCCAGTCCGGTGCTGAGAACGATCATACAGACAAAACTTGCTACTGCAGTTGGAACAAACAGCCGGAGATATCTTCGGAACGTGGAAGATGCAAGAGAATCCAAAAACTTGGTATGTTGTTTAGTATGGATGTAACCGAGCATCCGATAGCTGAGAGCGTAACCAGAAATGACGAAGAAGACGTCGACCATTCCATGCCCATGGAACCAGATTTTGAGAAAAGTGATTCTCAAAATACCATTTTCTGGTCGCCATGATTCAGGAATGATATGACTGTTGTATACAACGAAGGCAGCGTAGCCTCTCAAGGCATCGAGATAGGCTGTCGAGTGCACCTCATGTGGTTTCTTGTTGCTGGCTGGTCTTAGTGAACGAGGAAATATCCAGCTGACACAAGATATCAGTGCGAGGATGAAAGAGAGTATTTTGTTGCTGGCAGGAAAGCACAATGTTCTATATGGCTTGGTAGCGGCAAACATTGACTCTTTGATGCCTTGGTTATGGTAGGGCAAGCCGGAGAGCAGATGATCTGATGCCGTCATCTCGTCAATGGTCAGATATAGCAGTATAGAACGATGATAAGGTTGACAGGAGAGCTTTTTTGGTCCAACGGTGTATGGTAAATAGCCAGGCTGTCACATAGGGGATTCTCACTCTGGCTCAGGTGGGCTGCTTCGCTCTATAGACGAGCCAAGGGCTGGTGGGGAGTGCTCAAGCATAGCAGCACGACCACATTCCTCACAGAGAGTCGTCCTGGAATGCCCTCCACCTTGGCTAGACCTTTTCGAAGTTGAGCCCGTACCACTTCTTAAATGTATGCCGAAGTTTTGGTACGTACATGGCATAGATGGCCACACCACAGGCACGAATGTGCAAGTCGACGACGATAAGCGGATTGGTGTTTGACCAACATCACTTAGTTAGCGTAGTTGTTGGTTAGAAAGCTAATAGCTTACATCCTCGATTTCGCAGGCTCTATTACGATCGTCTAGGTTTTCCAGCGAGACCCCATAGCAGCTACGCAAGTGTGATTTAAATGTCACTATACTCTCAGGTGGTGATCGTCAGGAACGTCACGTCAGACACTGGGATACGAGAACCACAACTTTCAACGACCAATACGTGACTCTTCATATTGCTCGAACGATGGTTATATGTCTGCCGTACGACCTATCTCTGCAACAAACTCCGAGCGATCATGTCTACAACGTATAGACAATCAGGCACGTTGCCGCACAATGATATCTGTGTATCACTGCCTCATGGAAAACATCCCACATTCCTGTAGAGCAAGGCTATCAAATTGTTCAGATATCTTATTCTTATTTTCTCTCGACTATCATCACTGCCTGACTGTCTTTCAACGAAGGCTACTGCTGCCCACTGGCACAAGATAATGACCAGGTTTCGATTTCAGGCACACTTCGAAACGCACCAACATGTTACTTACCAGCCGCCAGCCGCTGTCTTTGCATTTTCCGCTAACATTGATGAATTGTTCTCCTACCACAGCGTTTGAAGAAGCTCTCCTATGAGGAACCACTTTCACGCTTCTTCTGCGCATAGCGCTCGTTCCTCCTCGCTCTCCTCTCTGCGACATAATTAGGGTTCTCGGCCATCTGTCTAGCCTCCCAGTCTCTGAATGTGGCGTTCCTCCTTTCGCGATAGAGTTGAGGATCTTCTTCTCTTCGTTTTTGGCGTGATTGCCTCTGATACGCGTTATTATGTTCTAGTCGCTCCCTTCGTTCTTCCGCAGTTTCAGTATATCCACGGGGCTTAGCCCTCTGGCGCAAGGGAGATTGTGAGCGTCTTGACCCGGTGCCATGCGACGATGAAGGACGGCGGGTCTGTGGTGGGGGTGTACCAGAACGGTGGTTGTCTCGAGTACGGCTGGAGCTGCGGCCGTGCGTCTCACGGCCGGACGAGGATTGCCGGCGCCCAAAGTAGTTATCGAAAGCATCGTCGAATATGTTTCGTCCAGTCGTAGAAATTGATGGACGACGTCGACTTGGACTCGCTCGTCGTGGACTGCGACTTCGTTCTGAGGTTCGGGTGTGTGAGCGCGATGGACGACGATCTCCAGTGAAGAATGAAAACATTTTTGTAGAGTTACTAGCGGTTGATCTATAGTGTGCCTACCTTGTTCTTTTAGTTTTGGCTGTTGTGAGTTTTGGCTGTTGTGAGTTTTGGCTGTTGTGAGTTTTGGCTTCTGTGAGTTTTGACTTGTGAATGCTGGAATTATAGTTATGATCTGGAAACCGAAATCAGCATTACACGCATTCCAGCAATATATATGTATATCCGATTCATGCTGCTTCACAGCAGATCTGCCCGATGTAGCACCTCTTTGTGCGTAATTGTTCTCGAAGACAAAGCAGTTTTGTCGTTCTGCTGGTGAATCAAAGATATGAAATCGAGGCACAAAGACATTGTTCCTTGGTTAGGAAAGGCATCTTCATCACTATGGCATGACCTTTATCGCATGAGCCTCGAGCTTCTTTGTGACTAGCCTGTCATTGGTGATGAGGCAGTGGATGTTCGTTGTGGAACAGCTCTTGCTCTACCTCTATGATCTCGATCTAGGCGAATTAATCCTCAGCCAACATCCAAGGATGATTTTTCACCATTTCGATATCCAACCGACCTTCAACGTCTCGATTCAGCATAGCCTGAACCAGGTCAATACAATCGTCACTGTATGGGTCTTCCAGGGGTGGCAAGCGTAGTGGATGGTCCAAGATTTCGTCGATGTTGTAGAAAGGATTCTCCTTGAAGACAATAGTGTATAGTAGAATACCGAGAGCCCACACATCCTGCTCTGGACCAGCATATGCCCGACCTTGGAGGACTTCAGGCGCTGCATAATCGATGGTGCCGACAAAGACATCAAAAGGTCCATTCCGGATGTAGGCCGCGCTGCCGAAATCAATGAGCTTGACTAGATTCTCGCCATCCAGGACAACATTCTCGTCCTTGATATCACGGTGTACTATCGACGCCTTCATGTGCAAATGGTGAACAGCATCAACGACTTGACGAAAGATGTGCCGACATTCATTTTCCTGCATCCCCATTCGAAGTTCGATGTAATCCTGCGCGAAGAGTCAGTAACAGACAGATACCAATATAATGCAATCTTACAAATAGGTCCATGCCAGGAAGACCATGTGGCAGCATTTCAATATAGTAATTGATGTCGTCCTCAAAGAAATCAATCATTTCAACAATATTGGGATGTCGATAGCCATCTCTTCTCAAGAAGTCAAGGACATGAATTTCCAGTGGTGTTGTTCCTAGTCGACGATCTCTGATCCAGGTATCTACAAGAATCTTCTTCTTTGTCACATATTTGATGACGACCTTACTGTTTCGACTAGTCTTGTACCTTGCCAACTTGACTTCACCATATGCGCCTGAACCCATATCTTCAATTATCACAAAGTCTCTTATTGTCTTCTTTTCCGAGACAACTTGGGCGATGTTTTGAGGGGGATGTTCGAGCGGCTCGGCGGGGCTCAGATCTCGTGAGTGCGGCATTGATGCAGGTACTTCCATAAACGTCGGCAGTTCGGCTGTCTCGGGTGGAGATGGTATATCTTCGTTGGGTTGTGGTTGGGGTGGTGGCGTTGCAGGTCTTGATACCAGAGGATGTTCTGGTCGTGCAACACCCATACCAGCAGAGTGAAGTTGTCTCGAGTAGGTGATCCATAGTGCATAGACTGTTTCCGCAACAGCGAGCTGTCTCGGAGATTGTTCCTCAACACCTTCTTCGACAATCACATCTTCTGCTGGAACAGGAAAAACCGTCTCACTTCGAACCACCCTCATCTGAATGTCAACTAAAATATCAGAACCATCTCGATGTCTGGCGATCAGTCCAGCTGGCCGCAGAAACAAATTTGCAGCATTCTCTGCACCATCTCGAAGAGTAAGCAGAGCTCTAGCTCTTCTGAAGCTATGCTCAGGTACGACGAGACCTTCGGCGAAAAAATTGTCATTGTCCTCTTGTAGTAGGTCGAGAATCTGACTGAAATTAGGGATAAGATCATCAATGTGTGTGCCGTTGGGATGTTGATAACCAAAAAGAGACTGAGAAAAGATGCTGTTCGAACTGCTGATCTTGAGAGTATCTGGCTGCAAAACCATTACACCAGCAATGTTTGGCAGACTGGAAACTCTCAATTCCTGTTTGCCTTTGACTTTGGCTACACAAGTCGGGACATTGACACCACCCATGGTCGAGACAGTGTAATAACCTAAAACTGGCTCGCCATCGAAAGCAGGATTGTCCAAATCCTCGAAAGAGAGCTTAGGTACCAAGTAGCGTAACTTCGTGTTGTTTCGTAGCGATTCGCCCCAAATATTTTCGGTATCACCACGGCTATTAGTGAGTCGACGCGAGTTGTCAAATTCGAGAAAGGCGACGTCCTCAACGACTTGCTCGATAATCCAGATCAAACCTCCGCGCTTTTCCATAACCCAAAAACTGGCAGCTCCCAAAGTGCCATCTCGTTTCTGAATTGGCAAGATTTCACCACAAAGGAGCACTCCTCTAGATTTCTTAGCCACGTGGTTCTTGTTAGGGAGGGAGGTGAAATTTCCAGCAGCAGTTTGTGCACCATCTGCTGTTTGGGCTCTTTGAGATTTGGTGGATCGAGATGGAGCCTTGCTAAGAAGTCTCGCTGTAATTCCTCCTTTCGACCCAATTGATGATACACGGCCGTTTAGTGATTCGGTTATTGGCGGCTTTGAGATCACAATCACTTCTTCGGCCGGACGTAATTTGTCCTCCAGCCATTTCCTCCTTTCTTGTTGTATCAGACCTAAAATACTTAGACTCCTGACTTCTGCACGTGTGACTCCAAAAGCCAAGCATGCAAGATCGTTAGCAGCTACAATTGTCCATGGAGAGTCAGCATCTGTGCGGAAAAAAGCCTGTGCAGGTGGTGACCATTTACTGCTTGGAACATGAACGGTCTGCGGGGGAGTGATGGATTGTTGCGGGGGAGCAGTTGCCCCAGGTAGAAAGGATACTGCATTGCTGCCTTGGGCTAGAGGAGCGTCTTTGGAGGAATAGGGCTGGGCTAGTGTGTCGACCAGTTTCTGCTGCAAAGAAAGCATGTTAATATCTGTCATCGTTCGTTTCAGTCCAGGCTTGCGAGGGAGTTCAGGTGAGGTTACGCGAATTTCTCTTTCTGGCTTGACGTCCTCGTGCTCCTCAACTATAGCTTCAGCATTATCTGCGGACTGCCATGGCTGAAGTGCTTCCTCATCTGAATCCAGCTCCGTCTCTTCCTTCGTGTCCTCCAGTCCAATTCCGAAATTGCGATCGAAAATGTTGCGACCGTCTAGGTGTGCGGGACCAGTCAAGGGCCCTATTCCCAATCCTACTTGCGCATTCGCTGCCTTCAAGTCTAACGATGGCACAACTTGGGCTCTCTTCAGCAAATCCAAAACGCCTTGTAACTGCTCATCTCCAGTCACTTTTGCTTGAGCATTGGCTATACCAACGTTGCTTTTCAGTGACCTGTGACTGCGCACAAAATCCATAGATTTTTCAATGATTGCTTGCCTACTGTGCAAAAAGTCTTCAGATTGTCTAGCAAAGGAGAAAGAGTGAAGGGACTCGGCTGGAAATCTTTGTAAATCCTCCATAATTGGTGAAGTAGGTCCGCTTACGAAGGCCTGATGGATAGAGGCAGATCGAGAAGCAGCTCGAGAGTGTGATGCCGACCTAGAAGCCACACCGGAAGCAGGCATGGTGATAGTTTTGTGCAGCAAAGGGGCAAAAAAGGCATCTTCGTCGAAAGCCAGGACAGGACTTCGATATGAGGGAGCTCTTCGTATGCGGCGAAGGCCTGAAGCTGCGACACCGCCATCGTGATCAACGCGAGCATTTTTCCGCAGGTTGTGAATTTCCTGAGTAGATCCAGCGTCGAATGAGAATCTCTGACGTTCGGCTGGTGCGCTCGGTTCTTCTCTTGTGGCCAGAAGGTTGCCAGTGCTCTTGTTCTTGGGGATATGGATGGCAACCGGAGCCAGACCGTTCGGTGAGGTATCTCGAGGGCTTATATCACCTGCATCGCAAATATATCAGCATTTTTTACCATATGAAGCTCACATTTTGAAGCAAGCGAGCTCTTGTAGTGGTTTGTCCGGGTCAAAGGGATTCAGACCATTGTGAATAGAGCTTGCAACCATGCTGCTAGAAAGCTCAACCATGTAGGATCTCGCTGCTGGGCAGCCAAATGAGGCAAGAATTCGAGACCCGTAGGCTTATTGATCCAAGGTCGACATCTGTCCTTTTCTTGCTGGTTACTGATGTCTGAATGTGGGGGGAAGACACTGAATTGTAGTCCGCATTCGGGCTGAACGTTGGTCGTATACAGCTAGGTATGGGTCAGGTATGAAGGAACGTCGTTGAGATATCAAATAACTTGAGGTATTTCTTGGCTGTCAAATGTCAGGAAAACAATCCGCTGTCAATATGAAAGGTGTAGATGCTGTGTATTAAGTGACCTGAGAGCAAAAAAGCATGTGGATGTGAGTGGCCGAAAGGACGCCCACATCAATGTCCACCCAAATCTTCCTGGGCTGCAAGGATGCCTGGAGCGGGATCGATTGGTAGTGGAGAATGCCCTTAACCCTCCGAACCTTTTGAGGTTGTTCCAGCCGAAATGCTTGTGCCCACCGCCGCACATGCCTATGACGCCACTTTGCAGCTTGTCAGTCCCTGTGCTGGTGATTGCGATCACTGTCCTTGCTCTATTTGTTATCTCTGAATGTTGTGCACTGTCAGGAAGGCACTGTCAAGATAGTGGTCACGCCCTCTAGGCTTTGCGTTTGTATGAAGATTGACACATTGAAAGTGCGTGATGAGTAAGACGTGTGTCCACTCAGAAGTCAAACATTTCAATTTGTGGGGAGGTGTTCGGGAAACTTGCCCCGAACGACGGTTCCTGATTTGTGCAGCACGTCGATTCTAATCCAGCAGTGAGGTCAGACGAGCTTTCCACGTTACAATGTCTGCCTTTGCATCAGCATTGACCCGAGCCATCGTCTCTCAGGCTCAATCATGCAGCAGCGAACATGACCAAGCAACGGCTGATCCCTCGTTCCTGACGGTGTCAGTGTGATGCCGGACCTTTCAGCCACAAATTACTACACGGCAATTGAGACATTGGGAGTCACGATCAGAAACGTGGCAATACGCATATTTAATGTCTTGTGCTATTGCTTGTGAGCATATGGATTCGATTGGCTTAGGGACTCCCGGTTCGTATTTTAAGACACAAGAGGGGTCACACTCGTGGTTAAAATCCACACGCAGTGATTTGCACGCGGGAGTTGTGACCCTCAGCCCAAAGGATACAAAAGCTAGCATTAACAGAATGGTTCACAATCTGATCACGTCGAAAAATTGTGTCGCGAGCTCTTATCTGCTCCTCCACAGAAACGTCTGAATTCTACCTACCTGTTTCAACAGATCGTGTCGTTGTGATCGCCGTCCATTCTCATTCCCACCCAGACCGACGGCCGCGACTTTTAGGCACCTTGGACTGGATTGAGAATTGGGGACCAAAAGACGTAGTCCAAATAAAATTGGTCACTCAGAGCAGAGCCAGTGTATATGCTTCAACAGCGTGAAACTGCGATAGAGACGAATTTGCGGACGCTCATCATGGACCATTATGATGGTCCCATTTCGTTACAATGTTTTCCACCGAATGTGGATCTGCCCAGCCCAGGTCGAGATAATAGCAATCTGAATCTAACTAGAACTAACCAGCATTCAGAGATCAGATTTCGACATGATCTAGCTCTGATAGCCTCACTTTTACAAACACGACCATCGCCGCAGGCTAAATACTGCGGGTCAAACAGGGTATTCTGTATCTAGATAAACTGTCTCCTCGATCCTGGCCATGCGATGAGATGCATGAGATTCTACACTGAAAGAATGGCATCTCAAAAGCTCAAATAGAAAACACGTATTATCACGAGAACTGGTGCATGGATACGAATGTGAAGAGGTTTCAAAGAAGGAAAACTGGAGAATCGAGTCGTAAGTGAAGTTTGAAGAATAATGCTTGGACACGTTCATATGTGTCACGATGACCTACTCAGTAAAGAGGAAAGGACCTTCACTTTGGTCTCAATTGCCGACTTTGCGGACGCTTTGTTTCCAAATCGTGTCACGAGTGGAAGCGTGTCTCAAAGTGTGTATGTTGCTCTTCTTTTTCTATTTCCTCCTTGAAGTTTGAAATATTAGCAGAATTCCGTCGCATCTCTCACATCCACCTGCTGTACCGGCATAGCTCGCAATCATGTCAATTTTTAATACAGAGCATATGTACCCTCGTCCTAACCCATACGCACGTCGAAAGTACACAATCGAGAAGATGCAAAACAGGTTGCGGGCGTAAGAAGATCACGTACCACCTGTTTCGAGGGAGTTCTAACTTTTGATAAGCTTCAGAGCTGCAAACTTGGATGAAAACAAAAAAGACTTCACCACCAAACTAGGGCGCCGTAAATGGCATGTCCACGGACATCTGTTCGTTGAGGCATCTGGCTTTTTTTCGGTCGGCCTGCACTCGCAATTCCAAGGTAAGAAAAAACACTTCGCAGCCTGGACAACGTAGTAATTGTTGCTAGGCATACAACAATCTGGAAGTCGTCCTCCAGGATGATGATTAATGGGACTTCAGTAGACTCATACAATTCGTGTACTTGGGTGAATTCGACAGACCCCTCATACACAATTCCTTCGCAGACAGACTCACGTTACGTGAGCTGGTCTCGCAGGGTGACCATCTTACTCAGCAAGATTTTGACTCTGACGAAGCACGATCTGACTTCGAGGTTCTTGCAAGGATGTGACAGCTTGCTGAAAAGTATGATGTGCCACAATTGAGGTTGTATATTGTAAGGGCTCTGGTGCAAAGACTGAAAGACACATCGAGGACTGGGTGGAAGAACCGTCACAGAAGCGGCATGGCCAGCACTGATATACTTCTTGAAGCATTTCCTCCAACTTACGAATTGCTGTCCGATCGGTTTGATGAAAGTGAGGAGATGGTGGCACTAGAGGACGATATGGTTCAAGTGCTGCTAGATGCAAAGTCCACAGGGAATGAGCCACACGCAAGAGAGGTGTTCTCAATACTTACATGCGTAAAGGAAGAGCGGATACCTGGGAGGCTTCCAGTATTCCAGACACGAATCTTAGGATATATGGATGAGAACTGCCACTTCGCAAGGAAATATGCTGTGGGTTCAGAGAGGATGGTCAATGATGGCCTTGCGTATCGCAAACACATGGAGAATAGAGGCAAGGTATCGGCGACTTGACAGGGGTTGACTGGGTTCGTCGCTGCAAGGACGCTAGGGTGTATTGTTGGTGATGATCGCTTTATGGTGGAGGGCAAGAGAGGCCAGAAGGAGTTCCTCATTCCGTGAAGCCGAAATATATAGATGGTCGATCAGGCACACATATTCTCGCCGACCAAGCTCGATGTTATGGCGCGTTGGCAGCGAAGAACAAACACAGGATGTGCTTGGAACATGCCGAATTTGCATGAAGTAACTGCTGTCTGGGCGACGGGCGATGGGCGATAGGCGACAGGCGATACACTCGGCGTTCATGGTCATCGCGTCTGAGTTGGGACCGGGTCGACAAATAGAGACGAGCCTAAGGTCGTCCGTAGAATTTCTTGCGTACAATTCAAAAGTCGTGTCTGGAGGTATAGAGGCTGTCGCCGCGAACGCAATTCCCCTCTATGTATCCCATCAGTTCTGTCTACTGTAGCTCCTATCTCTCCAGGCTACAAGGTGTAACGTTCAGTCCTTCCAAGATCTCTCCACGTATTGAGGAAGCGGATGAGGGGAAAGGCGTTCCGTACCTCATTCATACTTATCTGTTCTACAATTATGAGTGGAACATCTTCCCCTCGCATCTTTGCATCTGCCGAGACAGATTCTTTCCGAGATCAAAACATGAATCATGAGACGCACTCCAACTTGGTTGGAAAGAAGCGAAGACGAAAGCCTTTTCACTGCACACATTGATCATTTGTAGCAGACAATAAGTTCTTTCAAATCGATAGCCAATTCAACTTGTCCGTAACTGTCCGCACGACGTTTCCCTGGTGCTAAGCCATAACAAGTTTGGCAAGCGTCATGACTTCAACCCTCAAGCGCAATCCTCCATTTCGAGCTGAGCATCTAGGCTCGCTGCTCAGAACCGATAACCTGCTCGATACGCGACATGCATGGGAAGCTGGCAAGGATAACAAGGAGAACGTCCGTTCCGTGGAGGACAACGATGTACAAGAAATCGTCAAGATCCAGCAAGACCTTGGATTCCATGCTATCACTGATGGCGAGTACAGACGCCATATGTTCTGGGGCGAATTCTGGCCTGGCCTTGAGGGTATGACTGAAGTCGCAGAGCCAGACCCAAGCATCTTCCGCATGTACATTCCGGATATTGCAGCTTTCACTGAGGTAGGCTTGAATTACCATCGAACCTAAAAACGATTCCCAGAAACTAACCCGTTGATGGACAGGCTGGCTACAAGCCAGGTGAGACAGTAATCTGCACAGGCAAGATCAAGCACGTCGGGAGTACTTATACAGATCAGTTTGACTATGTCAAGAATCTTGTGCCAAAAGAGGACGTTAAGAACATCAAGCTGACTCTCGCTGCCCCAAACTGGTACCACCTTCGGTACAAGCAGGGGCAGGCCTACCCTTCCGACGTTTACAGTAACGACGACGAGTACTTTGGCGATATTGCCAAAGCCTACCAGGCCGAGCTACAGACCTTGTATGATCATGGGCTCAGAAATGTGCAATTTGACGACCCAAACCTTGCATGTGAGTGAACCCATCTGCGCCTATCTGCTGGCATTTAACGAGTTTCAGATTTCTGTTCCGAAGCCATGCTCGAAGGATGGAAGAAGGACTCTCATAACACATATTCTGCTGACGAGCTCTTACAGAAATATGTCGACCTGTACAATGCCTGCGTCAGCAAAATCCCGTCTGACATGCATGTTGGTGTGCATCTGTGCCGTGGTAACTTCGTCAACTCCAGGCACTTCTCTGAAGGTGGATACGATCGAATCGCAACCAAGCTCTTCCAGGAACTCAACATGAACACTTACTATCTCGAATACGATACTCCCAGGGCTGGCGGATTCGAACCACTACAGTACCTTCCGAAGAACAAGAACGTCATTTTAGGCGTGATCACGAGCAAGTTTCCGAAGATGGAAGATCTTGGGGAGATGGAGTCTCGAGTTCGTGAAGCAGCGAGATACATGTCGAAAGGCACAGGTGAAAGCGAGGAGGAAGCCTTGAAACGTGTCGGAGTGAGTCCACAGTGCGGTTTTGCGAGTCATAGTAGTGGAAATGCTATCAAGAGACCCGACATGGTCGAGAAACTCAAGTTGGTGAGAGCCCTGGCAGACAAAATATGGCCTGGTGAGTCATGAGAGATTCAGTCGGACAGCGTGGCAACAAAGACGGCAAAGTAAACCTACAAATCACACTCATCCTCGTGATCGACGCAGGGTTCAGGATTATGTGAAAGCGGAAATAAGCTTATGAAACAAACTAGAGACGATTCCTTTTTTTTGTACTCACAAAGACTTTCTACCCTTTCTGCGTCTGCTTCGCCTCCCACTCCCTTTTTCCAGCTCGCACAAACTCCGCCGTCGGCCTCGAATATGGAGGTCCACTCTGCCACATCTCCAGCACTTCATCCACATTTACATACATCAAATACTCGGGATTTCTAGGAAACCCCGGCCTCGACACAAAGTGCAACCACTCGTGGTTCTCCAATTCCGGAAGCTCATTTGGTCCTGGTTGTGGTTGTCTTTTTGCATATGGCGAGTGGCGTAGGAGAAAGTCATATGCGTTATTGACCTGCTCGAGGTGGACCAGATCATCGACATCGGTGTATTCGAGTTGAGTTTGTTGTTTCTCGTAGTGCTCGAGGAGAAACTTCTCGTAGGCTTGGTAGATTTTGTGTAATTTGCATGGTCGTTCTAGATTGAGGACTGCGAGTGCTTGAGACACGTTTGTGATGGTGGTATTGGTGGTAGTGGTGGACATTTCTTGACAGATGTGCTATCTGTGAGGTTTTTGCCAGTCGTCCTGAACCTTGAAATTGGCGCTATCAGCATATAGTGATGGCCATCGGGCACAATCTGACCCTGTACATCTTTTTCTATAGATAGTTCCGAGCACCCAAAACTTTGTTGGTCATTGTTTTATAACTGTTGGCTTCTGTTTGGCGATGACTGAAGCCATTGTAAGCTTATTTTTCGTCATAGTCAAACAAAGACCAACGAAGCCCGAAATTACCATGTCTCGGGACGAAGCCATAGTCACTCGAAGACATCCGATATATCAACATAGGCCACTGCACCTGGAAATGGTTGTAATCACACACGTGAGTCGTTGTATATATAGATAAATATAGATGCGACTGATAATCTAGTCGGACAGATCAAGCATTTTCATATTTGGCTACTTGCCATCTCGCTTCCGAATCTCTCGTGCATATCGACCTTGACCGTCCACTCCTCGGGTGACATTCCCTTTGCCAATGTTGCATGAGATACAATCCCTGTCAAGACGGTATTTCCATAGAATCACATCTTTGCAGGAAGGATTCTGGTGTTCGTCGTAGTCCTCGCAAGGTACTGTGATTTTGGTACAATATCCACATCCATATGAGTATTTGGTTTTCTCACACATTGTGGATCTGGTCGCAATGTTGTTGGGGACAAACTGTGAGATACAAGTGCTAGTCGCTGGTACCGACGGTTGAGTGGCTTCAGATGAGACTTGATACTAATTTTAGTGGAAATGGTCTTTGTCTTCTTCGTGGTTGAGTTGTATATGTCTGGACTTTACCTTTATTAGGTCAGCGCCAGTATCTTTGTAGTATCGATATAGTCATGAATAGTCGTCTGAGCGTGATTCGGAAGGCCGTGCCTACGTAGTCAGAAGTGATATGTATCATTCTGCGACACCGTCAGTCATCGTCTGTTTCTTCTGACGTTTGACGTTATCATTGGCGGCGTCACAAGAATGTGCTCCCTTGTTGGAAGACCCGATACTCATAGCATTACTATGCGAACTTGCTGAAGACAGTGCTGTAAATTCGCCACCAGGGTAGAGATGGGGCAAAGTCTCAAGACAACAGGACGTAATGGCGTGAAGATGCGGACCCAGGAATTTTACTGGGGCCAGTGTGTCATCCTCACAGATCTCCTCGAGCAAAAGCTGAGCGTCGTCACGTTTCGCTACCCATTCTTTCACCAATCTTTAGTGCGTCACCTCTTCTTCGGCGAGCATGTTCTCGAGTTGAGCACCGTCCTCATGTTGTGCATACGGGCGCTCGCAGTCTGCCTCTTCAGAGCATGAGCTGTGACATCTGCGAAGCTCTGATGGAACGACTGTCTGTTTTTCCACTCTGTTTTTTCCAGCTGATACATCTGGATGCACTCCGACCGTTCGCTTAATGTATTTGATCAGCACGTTGAGGACCAATGATGCTTTAGCCACTGGTAGGTCTGCTTCGTTCGCATCCTCCATGCTGGGAACGTAATCCAGCACGATTTCACCAACTAGGGGCATAAGCTCTTCCCGAAAATAACGGAGTTCAACTGAATCAGTCACATTTTCTAGATCGGACAGGACTGACACCATAGAAGCCGAAATCGTGCGTGATGTAAGGTCAATCCTGTTCAAAAGATCTTCCCCTTAGTAGGGTAGTCGCCTTCAGAATCAGCCCCATATGTGAATGGAGACGATCATATCCTGCGTACAGCATCACAGAAACATGTATACTGGAAACCAGAGAACTCAAATATATCACTTTGCGCCATGGTTATTAGAAAATTCCAAATAGCCAAGCCACCAGCTAGAAGACTATCGATCTTTGGGATAGGATGGGTTCGCAACCAATCTTCACTCAACCATTTGCATGTCATTAATTTCGCCAATATCGCTTCATTGTCCTCAGTGTTGGTAATTTCCAACTCTAGCAACTTTTGTGCCTCACCAATCGGACACTGTTCCTCGAGCTCAGTGTTGGCGTCCGTCGGGACTTCGTGGGACATATCGAGATCACGAAGTTATCGTTTCTTCACTGATTCGATGTGAGATCTGATGATGGCATGATAATCGTGAAGATAACCCGCCCTTGAGGCAACAAGCACACGCGTTACGCGTAGTCCTGCCATCGCAGTAGTGTAGCGAGCTAGTAAATCCAAAACTGTGTCTGCGCTACGCCAGATTCGATCAGCAAGGACTTCCACAGATTCCAACAAGGCTAACCGCCGGCGGAAAGCGCATCTTCGTGAACACTACGGCAAATATAAGCATTAAGATTTTACAGAGCGAGTGGAAAGAGCAACTTGAACCAAGAGGATACAAGCAAGACGTCTGTGCTAGGCAGATGGCCATCAGCGAACCCAGCAGATTCTGGCCATCTAATCATCCAGATATCTCAGGCGGCAGCTTTTGTTCGCCACCATTTGCTGACATTGCAACCAGCCTCAAGCAAACACGCACTGCTCGACATGATATAATGCTAGTTGCTTCTACCATGTTTTCATTTTTTCATCCCATAAGCGAGTTCTTCTCTGCTCTTACCGCATCTTGTCTCGTAATCAAACACATACACAAGTCTTGGGCGACAGAAATGACTTGTCGCAGAGATAGCAGCGTCAACCCATACGGTGAACTAACCACGGCACTCGACTGGTTGGATCGAAACAACAGCACCCAACATGCAGAGTCTGAGATTCAGACCCAGTCTCAAGCTGAAGTCGAAGCTGCACCTGACTCTGAAGAGGACAAGTCTAACTCTGGCAATGAGCCAAACCCAATCACCAGCCTGGTCACCAGCAACGACAATGACAATAACAGGAACAGCTCTATCGCCGAGAACCCCTCGACACACAGAGAGCCTCCAGCCAACTGTTCAAGCAGCAGAAGAAGGAGAAGGAGAAGAGGAAGAGGAAGAAGTCGATGCATGGTTCAACCACGACGAGTGACCTTTGCTGAAAGACAATACATCGCAGAGGGAGTAGCACATCTTCCTGAGCTACCGATGGCCCTAGCTTTGCGACTTATTCAGGTCGGTGTACCAGCTCTATCCGACTCGCGGGCAGGAGAGATTGAGCTCGATATCGACGATGTTCCAGACGATATCTTGCTGCAATTACTGGTGCTGGTTAGCAGGTATCACAATAGACCGGCGCCGAGATAAGCGAGGGAGCGACTATTTGGATGATTTGGGGTAAGCTAGCTTAGGTCGAGGAGCTCGGCACAGGTCAAGGAGATCGAGTCGAGGTATTCGAGCAGTGCAGAAGGTGATCCGGAGTTCTTGTCGTCCCAATACGTACAATCTTTGTATCTGAAGATTCCCGTCCTTGAGGAATGTGAACGTGTGCAGATAGATACCAAACACTGATCCTGCGCTTGACTATTGTGCATTTGTTGTTCTGCGGCTTGTTTGGTATGAAATTGTCGACGATGCTTGCTAGCAGAATGCTAGTATGTTAAGTTCTTCCACAATCATGTTACTACTGTGTTTCCACACTTGTACTCTGTAACACTGGTGTAGAAAGAACTTCAATGTCGGATCCATTTAAAACCCCTCAATTACCACTTCATGAACGCGTTCGTCTTGGTCACACGCGGCTGTAGCCGTCGTGGCACACATGAACGTTAGCAGCACAACAAAATCAAACAACCAACGCTAGATCGAACAGCGATCCTGCCAGTATGAATCAGCAAGCTTTGGCTGCTGCGCATGGTGCCTCAAGCGGTACCACCGTGCCTGTGCATGAGATGGTGCCTATGCAAGCAGACCAGGCATCCTCCAACGATAACACTGACCACGCTGAGTTAGATACGACGGATGCTCCGGAAAGTGGCCTTGAATAGTTCCTGGCAGCACCACAAATAGAGCTGATCCCGCAACTTCAGATACTGCCAACAACAGCAATCACGACGGCCTCACTCCAGCTGCTGATTCGAGCGCACAAGACGAGGCCTGGACAAATATCGACGATAATGCCTCTCCCAATCCCAGTGGGATTGACGATGATTTTGTCGTTGTTGAGCACAAGGACCGAAAGCGTTGGTGATGTACAAGCATGTGACGGGGTATCTGAAGTTCGGTGGACGTTTGGTACCTGGATAAGCTGAAAATAGTTGGAGGAATCAGCGAGCATTGAGCAGTGGGTACTTGGTTGAAACTATGTGCTGGAAAAACTTACAAGCTTTGGAGCTGGTCTTTCTTGCCTGGAGGAAGCAGGTTGTTGTGACAAAGTTCAAATTGTCTGCCTAGTCAAGATCAGGAGTAATTGATCAGCTGAATGAAGATGGTTGGTCGGTGTTTCTTCGATTTCGCAGGACAACACGATTGGCTTCCCACTACCAGGTTGTGCCGGTACCAATGCACAATCGTGTGCCTTGTATCTGTCTGCTGTAAAGTTTGACAACGACAATAGGTTCGTTACCTCCCAGACGGAAATCATATTACCGCCGTAAAGTTTCTCATTTCAAAGGGCTAAATCTTCTTCAGATAGACTGGTCTGCTCCAATGTCAGCGCCAGCGACAAGGCAACGTCGTTTATCTCTTCTAACTGGTCGACCAGATTTTGAACCCCGATGTCATTCTTCGCGTCCTTCGCGTCTTGATTGCAAGCCACATTTGTCTCTGACTCAACCTGCCAATCTTGTCCGCCAGCCTGTCCACTTGTCTGCTCGGGCTGCGTGTAATATTTCATGACACAACCGCTAAATCCTTCAGGCGACACCTCATCCGCTGCCATTCCGTATGGCATTATTTTGACCCAACCCATAGCTTCATAGAGCATCATGCCCGAGTCAGCAGCGGTAACACCCGCTGATTGCTGGTCAATCCTTGCAATTTCCATACCCCATTTGAGGAGTGCTTGTCCATGACCTCGTCGCTGGTATGCCGGATAGACAACAAGGTATTCTAAAATAACCCCACAATCCTTGAGGTGCTCATCGCCCAACATTATGAGCAGCTCGTACGCTGGATCTTGGTGATCAGAATGCTGGTCCCGCGTTGGACAGTCATCTGGTGTGGAGCACACGCTAGGCCATGCGCCATTAAGATGCTGGCGGTCAAGACTGTATTCCTCAACTCGTCCAGGCATGATGTCCTTGTTGAGCACCCATACGGCATACCCAACAACTACTCGGCCTTGATCTTGCACTCTCTTTCCATGCCGAACCGCGGCGACGTCGTCGGATGGAATTACTGCACCTGTGAAGGAAACCTCATCAGGGTTGGGGTTGTTTTCAATGACGATGCATAAATAGTCCGGATCTGCCAGATAGTCCTGAGCAGTGGCTCGTTCGAAAGCCAGCATATCGCTGGGATACTGCTTGTGGTAAGGACTCATCCAAGCACGGAAATTGATTGGCTCAAAGCCTGCGTAGGAGACGAGGCCCATGCGTAAGATGTCGCATGGTTCTGCCCAGCGCAGTGGCGCCTCTAGTGCTGCCATGGTTGTTAACACAGACATGTTCGTTCGACTGCTCATATTGATATTGTAAGCTCCAATGGAGGTCTTTTGAGCAGATTGTATTCGTGAGATGATAAATTTGAACGGCTATCTTGTGCTGAATTAGATATCAGGTTGAGATCGAAGCGTGTTATAAGACCGAGATGCGGCGCAGCATTTCGTTGTTCTGATTGTGCTAAGTGATATCGAGTCGTGTGTCCTACGTGTTTCATCAGATATTGCAAAGCACTTTTGCAAACAGCGACGTGTGTTGGTAACGGCATTATGTCGAGAAGGATATTAACCGAAGCAGATGCCAACTGCATAAAACGAGGAGGATCCGGTGCTGGTCGGTATATACCATATATTGGCTAGATATATCAGAGAAATTTTGTCAACAGAAGCAGCTGACCATGTTTCGATACACGAACGGCATTCGAAATTGCCCTGTCGATTGCTGACTTACAGCTTGACCAACCGCAAGTAGTACAACCAGACAATCAGATAATCTCAAGCAAGGACGTCGTTGATAGTGGCGGCCTGCCTGATTTCACATCGACAGAAACTAGTCCAGCACAAGCAGCAAAATCAAAAGAGGCAAAGCACAAAAGGTCCGTGGACGAGAGTAATCGCAGAGAGGTCAATGGCAATGAGCCTTTTCACTTTGAGTTGGCTGGTAAGCGAGTATTATCCAGTTTCTGGCAATGGTCGAGGTTCCAAAACGGGACAATCCCATGCTCAGGGGATCGATTGCAAGCATGACAGCGGTCGGAGAGTCGTCAGGGATTACTGCAATGAGTGTCGTGAAGGTATGGAGGGTCTACTGAAGACACGAGTTTCCAAGTCGAATGTCGAGGTGCTGCCAGATATCGAAATTGTAAGCATCCTCAGACTACGTCTTTTCAGTGAGCATAGCTGAAACCTTGCCGACCTGCATTGTTGCCCAACCAGTCTCAGTAAGATCTTCGACGATTCTCTTCATGGTCTCTAGCGTGGATGTAGCCAGATCTGGAATATTCATTGGAAGCAGCATGCGTTGCACCTGAATCCCTAGCCAAGTTCGCCTTCTTCACTTCCACTTTGACCGTCATTTTTCATGTCTTCATCGTGTATTTCGTCATGGTTACCATTAGTCTCGTTACCTCCATATGTGGTTCCATTAGCGTCGGAGTGTACTGAACGATCGTGCAACTGCTGGCCAGGCGTGTTCTCGCCATCAACACTTGGAGTAACGTGTCTTGTATGTTCAAAGTTCATGGTGTCAATGTCTCTTGCATAGACTTCAGGCCCAGCTGACCCTCTTATCTGTGGATTTTCATAAGTAGTAAGCATGGTCTCTAGCACGACCTCCATCTCTTTAGGATCCAGCCTCAGGGTATCCCACCAAGGCCTGCCAAATTCATCGTCTGGTAGAGTAAGGCCTGTATGCTTGAGACCCAGATACAATGAACCAGCAGCAATACTTTGTGGCTGGACCAACAGACACATGGGGGTGGTGAAGCTGTCAGTTACGACAGCCCAGCTAACGTTCCGTAATCTCTTGTTGTCCTGCACGTTGTAATATTTCAAAAACTCGAAGAGGACGGGATATGGCAAGCCAGGATCGAGATCGAAGCACAAAACTTCCAACATAAGGTTCTCATGGTGCTGGATCGTTTCCCTCCATTTCCAAAACTCTTTACTCTGCTCGTCAATGAGAAGGTTCGGATCTTTTTGAGCGACACGGGATACGGCAACTATGAGCTCGTGCATTTTACGCGGATTCTCCTTGCTCTTGTACGCCAGATAGACTGAGGTCGCAGCAATCTGGTAATGATGGGCACCCTTAGTACCGATTTGCAATGGATGGCGCATGTAAAATCGTTGGAAATAGATCGAAGCGGTCGCGATGGTGATTTGATCCAGTCTGAGGGCTATACCGACCGAAGTGATGAAGTTAATTCCTTTGCGACGGTTCAGCATCTCTACATCTTCAGGCATGCCCTCAACTCGTGATGGTGTAGATTGTTTTAGTTCGTCGGATGTGAACAGCCATTGTGGTGCCGTTTCTTCGTAATAGACCGGAGGCATTCCAGATCGAGGAGACATCGAGGATGATGGAGGGATGACCGAAGGCATGGTGTCGGAAGGCTCACGACGATGCGTGTTAGATGGTTAGAAGATAGAAAATTGGCGCTTCCTGCAACGGCCGGCAACGCACAGAGCAGCCTATCAGTCTCGACAAGCGAAGAACTTCATGGGCATCGCACAAACAATTTGCTGCGCTCAAGGAATGATTATGGACGGAGTGAAAAGAAACGAACGGAAAGAAGATGAGAGAGATAGATCAGGTTTGAGCACAAAATTGAAACAAACGAACACGCGTAAAGGAGAAACTCGGCTGTAAAGCACAGGCCTATCACTCGTCTTGCGTAGATATCTATAAAGTGCTGTGCATAGATCGAAGAGTATGTGTATGCGTTAGCTGTGGTGGTGTAAGATATTGTACTGTATCTCTCTCACAACACTCAGGTGGAATAAGCGGACGGGCAGAAATTAGTCACGTGTTTAGGGCCGGCTTTAAAAACACAAGAGGTAGATCGCTCGCTCACTTGGAGGACATAGATTCAATTCTAGGCAGGACTTTTTGCACTACCTCTTTCTTTCTTCAACCTATCATCGTTCGAAACAGTCACATTCTCGTTGACAGTTAAGAGACGGCCTTGAGCCGTCTTCGCTCCGTTCCGCATTCTGCTAGCAACAGTGTGCCGTGACCTAAAATGTGATTCATCAGCAGCGAGTAGGGTTGCAATACCCATGCCTTTTTTCCTTCAAGATATTGCTGCGAGAGCACCAGGTGTTGTCTGACAGGAGAGTGTCAGCTACTCTTGCATGGGATTTACCACTGAGTCCGTCGGCAAGTCCTTGATACCAATTCTATACATAGCTGTCTATCATCGCGTCACCACTCTCTACATGTCTTCAATGCTTGCATGGTCTCCTAACCATGTACGCATCCTTCATCTGACTCTACTATGGAAATTGATGCAGCTTATGCAACCCTGAATAAGCATCATGTCATAACAGCAAACACAACTGGCGACATCCAGACTCTATCCTGTGCATGGCCGCATGGCATCTATCCACTCTCATTGAGCATCATGTTGATCAGCTTGCTGCTGGAGACTTCAAGTCTTATCACACCGACTTTCTTGCTACTTCCGCAGTATGGGTGCTAGTCTTACGTGTGGCTGGAAATAAAGACGTCCAAGGAGCTGTGGAGGGGCCTTCGACACGAGTCTGAGATTCAGCTTCCTCCTGGGATCGTGGTGTGGTATAAGGAAGAGCCACATCTATAAGAATCACATAGGAAGGCTTTCTGAAGAATGTATTGTTGCAAATATCTCCGCTGTAGCAAGGAACCTCTTTGCAGAAAACCAAGATTGTCAATTTGCCAAGTCTTTATTTCATCTACAACTTAGTGCCACTATGGGTTTCTTTGACTTCATCGGCAAGGCTGTCGGGGCTGTCAAGAATCTCGTGGTAAGTCGTGGCGATATCAAACTAATCCGATTGACATAAACTGACGCTCTTCTCTTACATCAGCAACAGAATCCAATTGTCAAGGAGATCGCCAATATTACCGGCGTGGTCGCTCATGCAGTTCCTGGGCTAGGTATACTATCTCGGGACGCATTTGATAACTCTTGCTGACTGCACTAGGACCTGCCATAGATGTGGCTGTGCCTGCGACGCAAGCTATATTCAGTGACAACTCTCCGTCTCCTTCTGCACCTTCAAATCCGCTTGATCAGCCAGCCAACATAATCAACCTTCGAAAGACCGAATAAGATATCAAGAAGATCCTAAGCAGTGTTCAAAGTCTCGAGGACAACTTGGAGAAGAGGATCAGTAACGCGGCCGAAGCTCTGAAGAAAAGCATCGGTGACCTCAAAAATACCGTTCATCACCAACGATACAATCAACTGCAATCGGGTGTGAGCTCAGCTGTGTAAGTTCCTGCTGGTTAGAAATGAGGGTTACTACCTTACTCACAGCTTTCATCATAGCATCGTTTTTAGCGACAAGAGTGACGTACTGAAGTCGACGACTGCTTCGAGTGGTCCCAGCAAATTCTCTCAAATCTTTCCAATCCAGCCCGATGAGCGTGGCTTAGTATCCGAGAGATACAACCTGTTCAGAATTGTAAATGACATCCGAACCGAGCTTGAGGACGCTTCCTATGTCGCTTCTCAAGACATGTTGGAGTTGTGTCTTCTCGGAGTTCATTGGTTATTGATGCTTGACAAAGTATGTTTCGAGAACCTGTTGTTCATCATGACTGCTAACCATTATACAGGCGTACGTTTAGTCCTGCCCATGAGGTATTCTGCACAGCAGTAGAGACCATCAACTGACTCCACGAAAACAGCATTATTGTGTGTCGCGGAATGCTGTCAAAATCGCAAGAAGCATGGGTCCAATACTGTGAGGATCCTCCTTTGAATCTCATAGCCGTTGCTGATTCAGAATCGCTTAGCTGCTTACCTGACCACACTCGCCAGTTTAAAGACGAATATTTGGGATGTAGGTATCACTTTCTTAGACACGAGGTGCTCAACAACAGCTAAGACAATACCCAGGTCAAGAATGACGTGGATCGAGCGCGACAAGTTCTCCTCAAGTTCAATACTCGCATCCTGGAGACAAGAGCCGCGTCGAATGTCGTCACTACCACACAAGACAGCGGTAAATTTCTCGTGACAGATGATTGGCAGCCCTTGGGTTTGGGCTGGGTGCCTATAGGCAAGGTTTGCAAGGAATGGAACATTGAAAAGCTGTGAGTATTCATTTTTTATGACGGCGGCAGGAGCTAGTTCAATATGATAGTGAAGGTGCTGACCAGGAGATTGCCGATTTTCACTTGAGTGTCTATAAAGAGCTCATCACGAATGCTGTTCAGGAATGTCTAAAGCCATCAGTTGCAGTGATTGACAGCTTGGAGGATAGTAGTGAGTATATAGCCCGGAGGCACGAGCCATACTGATGAGATATAGTACAAAGATGGAATAGCCGACTGCCTGTGGTACCCAAGAATCTTGAAGGCGAGGAGAGGCGTGCTGTACCAGTCAAAGAAGTAGTCAATTCAGGAAACAGCAACCTCGCCAAGGATGGGCAGAAGTCTCAATTTTGGGGCAAGAAGACCTCGTAAGATGTCCATGTGGAAAGGTGTTTGTAGTAGCTAACAGCGGCAGTCATGCTTTGACGTACACGAACGCATTCGGAGAGTCAGCAGAAAGTGACTGGAGCCCTCTCTGCAAGGCTCCCACTAAATGCTCGAAGATCAAAGTGAGTGAGACCATGTTCAATGCTAGAAATCCATCCGCATCGATAGAGACTAACGTGCATTGAAGGTCAAACTGCACCCAGTTTTGTTTGAGGGCGATCCAACCCAGGGCTTGCCTTCCATCAGAAATGCTGGAGGAGAGGTTGTTGAGCGTCAGCGAGGGATCAGACGTTGTGGTAAGCGTCAACGTCAATCGTGTACTAGCTTTCAGACGACTAATACTTTTCTAGTTTATGTCCGTATTGAGGATGATCACGAGCCCAAAGTCTTGCGCCCACCTGCTGACCTGGGGGAAGGTGAAACAGAGTGTATTCACGATTTGATTGATACAAAGGAGGCCGACGGTCTGCGTCTTTAGCTAGAGGTCTCAGTGAGAGGTCTTAGCGGAGAAGTGATTGCTAGCAACGATGAAGTTTACAGCTTCATGTTCGGCCTGCTTGTTCAGGACATTAAAGTCGAGAGCGTGTTGGTATACTGCTCATTCTGCAGGAAAGCAGCAAAGGGTCTTGATTTTGAAAAGTTATCATGAGCTACAGTGATAAGAGAATCACTGCTGTACTTTGCGTTCGTATTGGCCAGAACGCATAGTTTGAAAACAAGCTGAAATGGCAGGTACAGTGACGCGTAGCTGCACCTTCCAGTGTTGCTCCTTCCTCCGTTCATCGTGGCTTACTGATTCCAGTGCCTTACAGCTCTGTGCTTCTTCTTCATCCTTGGTCAACATTCAGACTGTGCTTCACGACACTTGACGTGGCCTGAGAGAGATCAATATCTGAGAACCATGACATCTGCAGACGATATGGTGCCAGAGATCCATTGCGATATTTGGACGCGTATAACTCAAGCAGACAAGGTTCTTGTCTTCACCAACGTCATTGTCGCTTTCGCAGCTACTGGCTACCTCATCGGCACCACAGCTATCTTAACGACCTTGATGGTGATATTTGGCCCACAGATCGTTATCACGTCAGAAGTCTGGTCACGAATCACCAATCCTACCTTCACTCAAGCGCGATTTTTGCTAGCCATCACAACCACTGTCTGGCTTGTTGGTACTAACAACGTACTGCTCTTGGCTGGAATCCTGAGCATCCTAGCTACAATCATATATCATTACCTTGGTAAGTGGCTTCTTGAATCCCTGGGTCTTCACACATGAGCTGATTCAAGTTCAGTGTATCGATTCTCGAGCGAGGAAGAGGAAGAAGATGTCACTGGTCCGGGTAATGACCATTCAACCCAAGAATTCAGCAGTAAGTCAAAACAACTGCCTGCTTGCAGGTCTTGCATCACTGACAGAGACTCCCAGAATCTGATGCTCGCCCATCTCGTGCAACAATCGGACCGCCACGTGCAGGCAACCCTGATATGATTAACGAGTCGCTGGAAATGAACAACCCCCTCGAAGACTACTTCAAGCAAACAAATTGGCATGGTGTAGCACCGTGCAAACGAAGAGGCACAAGTTGTGCATGCTGTGGCAAGAAGTTCAAGCTTGGAGACAAGATGTATTCTATATCGTAATGAGCGGCAGAAAGCCTGAGTGGATGCTCAAGGAAGAAGCGAATGCTACCAGAGAGACATAACTCAGCTACATGGTCGAAGGTCAACGAGGGTCAACGAGGTCCAAGGAGGTGCAAGGAGGTATAAGGAGGTGCAAGGAGCGCCGAAATGTTGTATCTACTCGAGTGACTGTGGTTGTATCGATTGCGCTCATGACGATTGTGTTGGGTCAAGCCCAGACAACGGCTGATGAGAGGCTTTCCTCGTGCCGAGGTACAGCAGGGCCGCTACCATCAGCGGCGAACGCGAACTATGCTGTACCGTTCTATCACTTCTTGATTTCATACAAGTAACGAATCATTGCTTGGAGTCTTCATACTTTTTACTGTTCCTGATCTAGTGTCATCCCTCGATCTCGTGATCGCTGTCAGCCGCGAAGCTTCAGCGAACCTAAATCTATGGGTACCGGTGGCGGACCTCATACAAAGTCACCGAAGCCGCACCATAGCCGAGATGGCTAGGAAACAGAGTGTACACAGAGAGCTAGCTAACGTGATCTTTCCTTTGACAGTAAAGCCATTCACTGGACCACACCAATTCCGATGCACTGCTCAATTACTTATCAATGATAGCCCACAGCACAGGAGATAGGACGTCCACATCACGACAACCGTTTGCATGCTAAGCTTTAACACAAAGATTGCCCAGCAACATGATAGCTGGAGGCACAACTTCAGTCGAAGACGTCCCCAAGGTCGATCTGGACTATGCTATACACGAAGCTTCTGGCTATGATCAGAAAGGCGACTTCTATCTATTCAACAACATTCCTTATGCAGCACCACCTACTGGAGACCGTCGCTTTCACCCACCAGAGCCACCTCTGCGTCGGAAGGATGACAATGAGTCAAGTTATCAAGGAGACATCCCTCCACAAGCCATTCCGATATGGGCTAGAGGGTCGATAGAATGGCCGTATGCAGGTGGAGAAGATTGCCTCTGTCTGGATATTAAGGTTCCTCGAGCAGCCTGGGAGGCACGTGCGGCAATAAGTAAAGGTGTACCAGTATTGGTATGGATATATGGAGGTGGCTATACTGCAGGATCGAAAGAATTGTTCGGCTCAGGCGCTGGTCTTCTTGCCAGATCTGAGACACCTATCATTTACGTTGCGATCAACTATAGAGTAAGTCCAATTTCGGTCAACCAACTCGATACGTGCTGACCACCTTAGCTTGGTGTCTTTGGCTTTCTTGCAGGTCCCGACTATGTCAGTGAAGGAGGCACACCAAACTTGGGCTTATTGGACCAGCGTGCAGCGCTTGAATGGATTCAGAGCAATATCTCGGCTTTTGGTGGTGACCCTGGTCGAGTCACTCTTATAGGCGAATCCGCAGGGGCAGGCTCGATCTATTACCAGATCACAGCATATGGTGGTTCAGCAGGCAAATCTCCATTTTCGCAAGCTATTTTACAAAGTCCCGGTTTCTATCCTATTACCAGTCACGAGGTCATGAACCGTCATTATCATGCAGCGTTGAGACACGCCAATTGTAAGACTTTGGAAGAGCTAAAAAGCTTGTCGGAACAAAGACTGAAAGAGGTGAATCTTGCTGTCGTCGATGAAGCACCATATGGTCAATTTCTGGTATGGCATTCTACCTTCGAAGTGATAGTCTGTATGGAAGAACCAGTCAGCTAATAATTTCACAGCTTGGACCTGTGGTTGATGGGACATTCACACCAGACCTACCTGGCAAGCTTCTTCTATCCGGCTCCTTCGACACAAAGATCAAAGTAATGCTGGGCCAATGCTACAATGAAGGATGCGATTATGTAGAACCAGTCGATATCACTTCCTCGTATCTCTCAATGTATCTCGACCGCACCTTCCACGGCATCAACCAATCCACCAAGGACTACATCACAGACACTCTTTACCCTGCAGTAGCAACATCTGACTTGGAGAAACCGATAGGAACAGGCGTAAACAGCATCCACTACTCCAGCAAACCACCATACTACACCACTCCACGCGCTCGTCTACAGCGTCTCATCAGCGATGCAATCTACATACAACACAACAACGCGATATCAACAGCCCTCAACAACAACACCTACAACTACCTAATGAGCCTTGAACCCGGCAAGCACGGCACAGACGTGCCATACACATTCTACAACGAAGGCAAAGAGGAAATTCCAGCTGTGCCAGGTATGGCGAAAGTGAAAAGTAAAGAGCTCGCACATGCGCTGCAGAAGTACTTGACCAATTTCGTGATTTATGGCGATCCTAATGGGACGGGAGAAAGTGACCTGCCTAAGATGAGGGTTAGAGGAGGTGAATGTGTAATGCTCAATTTTGCTGAGACTGGTATTGAGGAAACACGAGATCCGAGCGCGAAGGAGCAGTGTGTGTGGTGGCAGAAAGGTCTTTTTGCTTGATGCATACGCGGTCAGAGCTCGACCTCGTTGGCTCTCAACATACATGCCATGGTTTCACATATATTTGAACCTCCCGAAATCGCCATACACTTTTAATAGATCCTATCAATAGGCCGAGTAGCGAGCTTTTCATGGCAAACACACTCTCGCAGTAGCACGATCGCTAAATCAGGATGTACCGCTTTCACACGGGCGACGATTCGCTTGCCCTACGATCCGCCACCAGTATCAATATCGTCCTGTAGACCTTCCACAACTTCTCAAAGTCACATCAAAAAGTCCAGCCTCTGCTGAAGTCAAACCGCTCCACTACCCTCATCTGTTTCTGTCAAATGCTCAATCAGTGAACTACAGTACGACCTACTGCTAGTCTGATCCGAATCTATCGAACTGTCACCGCAGCACTAACCCAGGTCGTGTGAGCTGCAGTGGTGGATGCCAGCGACGGTGTACTTCGGAGGAAGCGAAATCTGGGGAAGTGGAATGGATCCTGTAGCTCAAAACGTGGGGAAGGCAGACATCGACTGAGCCGAAGACCAATCAAAGTGTGTTAACCATAGGCGAAAGTCGACGCGCCATCTGGATTTGCGACGCTAATATTCGGCTATGGTCGTAGCAAACGACTGGGGATCCACCTACTGCGAGACGGCGGAGACATGCAGAGGAGGACTTTGAGAAGGAGGAAGACAACTCGATTCCAAGGTGTATAATAGAGACGTCGCCCTGCTGTCCCTGTTCAAAGAGTTGATAGATTATTCGACTTTGGACAAGAAGTATATCGCCAACAACCACAACCATGGCTTCTGCTACACCCATCAACATGAGCCATTATGGCGCTCGCCACAATCTCACCCATAACTGGCGCCTCCTGATATCTTGTGAGTGGCCCGAGAGATCTCATCTCGCTTCTTCTGTTTCGATGCTGCAGCGCTGACCTGTAGATCATCAGGCATGCTCCTCTCAACCTGCTACTTTACCTTTGGCTACGACGCCTACATCTACGCAGGTGTCATCGCGATGCCAACCTTTGTCGCGAACTTCGGCACCCTGACTCCAGAAGGATACCTCCTGACCGCAAGAGATACTTCCATCGTGTCGTCCATTCCAACCATCGGAGCCGTACTTGGCTTTGTGATGATAGCTTTGATGGCTGACCGATTTGGTCGCAAAGTGACCATCTATACTGGCTGTGTGATCGGGCTTGTGGGAATGGTGCTGCAGACTATTGGTGTCAGTCTGGCTGTGCTGACTGTCGGGAGGACCATTGCAGGTAAGGACATCTTTTGACCTCGACTTGCGTATTGCTTGCTGACTTTCTGATCCCAGCCATGTCGACCTTTGTCACATTGAATATGGCCATCACCCTATCCGCAGAGCTTGCACCAGCTTCGATTCGCGGCTCGATCATGACACTGTCTGCCGTGACCATCGGTATTGCTGGCGTCATTGCCTCTGGCATCAACTATGCCACATATGCTATCATGACCAACTTCGCCTGGCGGCTTCCCGTTGGCCTGCAGCTGGCTGGACCAGTCTTGATCGTCATCTCTGTCTTCTTCGTCATGGAGTCGCCCACATTCTATCTCATCAAAGGTGAAGACGCCAAGGCTCGCCAAAGTCTTGTCGCTGTCCGCCAGGGCTATACAGACGCAGAAATCGACAATGAGCTGGAGAACATGAGACATCAACGAGCACTCCCCGCCAAGGAAGAGAAGGTATCGCCAGTGGACATCTTCAAAGGTGCGAATCTTCAACGCACTTTCCTAGCCTCCTCTTTTGTCATTATCACGCAGCTTTCTGGTTTGGCTTTCAGCACTACATATGCTGCCATATTCTTCATTCAGATCAACCAAGCCAACCCGTTCCTGATGGTCCTTGCACTGACAATCTTGCAACTCGGTGGAGCATGCACGGGTCAAGTCTTGATCGAAGTTTTGGGCAGGAGGAAACAGGCCTTGTTGGCGACAAGCGTACTTTTTGTCCTCAATATCGCTATTGGTGGACTAGGCTTCGCGCAGGCAACCGACAAACAGGCCATGACGGCGATCGCAGCACTTTGCCTTGTGTTCGGATTCTTCATTGCAGCCACCATGAGTCCTCTGCAATGGTGCGCCATCGCGGAATTCCCCACAGCACGTCTTCGTAACGTGACCACGGCATACTCCTTGCTCAATGCCAATTTGGCGACACTTGTGATCTCATATGTGTTGCCATACATCACAAATGCTGATGCGTAAGTACAACCCTTCACAGATGTTCGTGCGATTTGCTGACAGTCGATGTAGTGGCAATTTGGGACCAAAGGTATACCTCATCTTCGCCGGCTTCATGCTCATATCCTTTGTCTGGGCATTTTTCCGCTATCCAGAAATACGTGGAAGAACGATGGCTGAACTGGACGAGATGTTTGAAGCTCGCATTAACCCAAGACAATTCCGCAAGCATGTTTGTCTCAACAGTCTTGAACATACTGCCACAATCATTAACAAGCAGGATGGTTCGAATTTGACTGTAATTCCCGACGAGAAGCACAATGCTCGCAACCAAGCATCAGTGCAGGAGGTCGAGATTGGCACGGTCTGAGCTGCTTAGCATAGTAGTCATATGTAAATCAGTAATGTAATTGGACCAATGCAAATAATTGGTTGGAATTTTGTGTTATTTAAAGTGTCTTGTCGCTTGGTTTCGCCAAACTCACACTGTCTCAGGGGTTTGTGTTACCCTCGAAGTTTGACATGCCGAGGTCAGCTAGGAAATACAGCGACTGAAATTGCAACGTGCTAGGTGATGGAAAATTGTCGAAACCTGACCACCCATACATGCTGTTAGGTTGCGTGAATAGATCGTCGACAAATGACGTGTTCATAGGTCCAGTGGACGATGCGTGGTCTAAAGCTGTTCCACCTGCAATCGAGGAGTCATGTAGATAAGAATTTGGCGATTCGAATGAATATGACGAAAGAGAGGGTGTCCCAGCGCTGACAGGGCAAGCAGGCTGATTGACAAAATTTGGTCCACTGTGCAGATTTGGTATTGTGGCTGCCTCATCTGAAATGACATGTTCTAAAAGACACGATCTCAGCCTGCATTTTATGTGAGTATAGCACAATGGTGAGCACTTACGACTTTCAGATATCTCAGGCCCACTAGTGGCTCCCTCCGCCTGAGTCCCGGCCTGCTGCCGCTTGCTAGACTGCCGATACCGACGTGATCTCTTACTTGATCGACGCTCCAGCCGTTGCAAAACGTCCATGAAGAGCGTGCGGATCCACCGGGCGGTAATGTGACAAGTTTCGAACTGCTTCAGCGCCAGAAGGCTAGGACGCAACTTAAGTGAGAGCTGTTCTGGCTGGTGAGTTCCATGATCGGCAACAGCCGTAGTCATGGCCGAGAAAATGGCGGTCACGAAGATGAGCGGGAAGTGTTCAGGTTGCCAATATAGTAAAGAGTCTTCTATGAGGCCTGTGATGCTGTCAGCTGCGTTTCTGACGTTCCTGAAGATAGTGTATGAGTTGTCGTGGTGCATGCTATGGTGGATACGTTGAAGTCGCTGTTGCAAGTTGATCGTGTAGAAACTGTCCACTATCAGCACTGTTACAGAACCTCCATTCCTGGTAAGATGCAGGAGCGTAATTCAGGCGCGAACTTACTGATAGCAAACCTTCAAAATCAGTACCAGACGGTCTTTGATGTCGGATGTAGGTCTAGCGCCGAGCTTTGAGTCGGCATACCATAGCTCAAAAGCCTCCTGAATCTCAGCACTTGCGTTCGCATGTGTTATAGAACCTTGTTGTGTTGATGGCGAGCAGTATCGGAAATACAGGGTCGACGCTGTCTGGTTAAGCGTCGCTTGCGCGATCATGTAGTTTGCAGTCTCTGGAGATTCATCAGGGAAGTCACCTGGTTTCAGTTCCTCGACGTCGTGATCGAGGTCATTGATGACCATAGGAGCTCCTGCCGATAACGATATTTGCCTATCTCGAATATAGAGGCACCACCATAAAACTTTGAAGTAGGCCTTCTCGCTGGACGGCATCTTACTATCCTTCGTACTGCGATGGTAGCCCATACATTGTGCCGAACGAATTGCGCTTGCAAGCCACCACAAACTATCTCGATAACTGGTAGGCTTTCCGAACCAATAGTGAAGCAGGTAAGAGGAAACGATCAAGGTGGTACGATCGACCTTGGTGTCATTGTCGAATGCCACACACGCTTTGCTGAACAGATCATCGCTGGTGTCGAATCGTGTCGAGTATCCCATCAGATGGAAGATCTCCGCATCGCAGTGGATCGAAGCCACGAATAAAACACATCGCAATAGTGTGATAGAAATGCTTCCGTTCTTGACTGCGGCTAAGAAGATTGATCGGTCCAGGATCGGACAAAAGATATGAAACCTCGTGAAGTATGCTTCGAGTAGTCTTTCTGTAAGATGTTGAGTGGGAAGATCAGTAGGCCGCGGTTGCCATGTGCTTGCTTGATATCTTGAAGACTTCGATTTCGTCGCCTGGCCCGAGCCTCGTTCAACCGTCTGATGAAGCTCTGAGTGACTCGCAGCACTCGCCGATATGATATAACTTGCATACCAGCTTTCACCAACGAAGTTGGCTCTCCCACTGTCTTCTTGCACAGCCATGTGTTCGGGTAGTACGTGATCTCCTTCGTCGGACTCGACTGCTCGGTCCACATCTGAAATACCTGGTGAAGCATGTCTGTCTAGACTTATCAACCTAGTCAGGTCTAGTGGTGCTTCAGGCTGCTGAGCTGTTCTGTGCATCTGAGCGCCATTTTCGAGCTGTTGGTGGTGATCGGAACCTGGGGTAGCAGGTTCAATCGAGATATCAACCGATGAATCCCTGGTCTGCTCACGAGTGGCGACACTCCGCTCACTCTGCTCAAACTGAGTATACCGACCCTTAGGCCCTCTGTCGATGTCGGATCAGAATTCTGCTATCGCAAGCTACGTTAAACTCACCGAGTTCGTCTCGACTGAACTAGTTTGCAGTCCCTTGACCTAATTTTGTTGCATTCGGAGCATGGTATGCCTCGAGTCGATGCATCGCATTTCACACGTCGTTTGTTGCATCTTTCGCAAGCAGTACTCCTCTTCTTGCGCGACACCGAGGTGGCAACTGGAAGATTGGACGGTACAGCATGAGCAGGTTCAAGCATGTTCAAGATTCAAAGTCGCCAAAGTGTAAAGTCCCCCCATCACCAATGAATGCTGTTCCATTTTCATTACGAGCTCTCGACAACTCGACCTGCGGCGGATGAACATGAAAGAGGTGGTCGCGCCCAGTCGTCGCGGGAGCTTAGGCTTCGCCGATCTTTGTTGCGGGGTAGGTGTTGCGTACTTGCCTCTGGAGGAAAGGCAAGTATCGTTACCGTCGGCAGGCGCGACGTCGAATCTTCTTGTACCAACGATGTGAAATCCTTGCTCTTTCACATAGAGGAGAGAGATCTGTGTAAGTTTTCATCCGTAGTTCAGATGGACGGCACTGGATAGCAAGACCATGTATTTTTGCTGTACCCAGTCTACCTTCCGCAACCTGAGGGCCTGCATCCGAGCCGAACAACATGAGGACTCTTCGTTCACGAAATACTTCCCAATTACAGTATGGTAGCAAGTCCCGCAGCGGCGACTTGTTGGCCCTAGCTCTGACCGTGGTGTTCAAGGCGTGATTGTCGTCGAGAAACCACACAGTGCTCATGTAGGGGTCAAAGACGCCATCAAAGTCCATGCTTTCTAAACATGACTTATTGGTACACCGCAAACCTGCCATATCATATCGTTCCAGCCGATGGTATCAGTACATGGTTGCTTACCTATCCTCAGCGATCCAGAGCGTGTATGCAATATGTATCTGCGCCCGAAACCTGTTATTCCGCCCTCATTTTCTCTTTCCCCTTTGTCTCTACTATCCCATCGAAAACCCGCTTCGATCCTCCTCCTCACCTTCCCCACTCACAAATTGAGCATGCCTCACTAACCTACTCACTAACCTCGCCACAATCAAGCTCAATTCCACCAATATACTCTCAATTTCTCTGATCTGATCTCTTGGCTCAAATACTTCCCGTATCCGATCGAAGATTCCTCTGTCTTCCTCATCTTCATTCAGACCCAGCACGTGTAAGTGCACAAGATGCTCGACCAAGAACGGCGGCAATGTGCCTGTGGCTGTAGCATAGAGGTCCTTGATCCTTTGTGTGATTTGCGTTGGTGGCTCAGGCTCGCAGATTGCCGCATGGTAAGGTAAGGCAGTTGAGTTATTTGACGACTTCCCAATGCTTGCTCCATCGGTAATGACCACTTTTGGTTGACCTGGAGGTGTGATAATCAAAGCGAATGGATGAATTGGGTATTGGTTGCGATCTTCCTTTTCTTTGTAACATGGTGGAGGATCATGTGCTGGAATGACTGGAGATCCCGGATGCCAGAGGAAGAGTTCACTGTGAGAGTTTTAGCACTTGTTAGCTGGGAAACTTGGAAGAGTGCTATTAGAGCAACGTATTTACCTAAGTGGCCGGTTCAGCATCTTGACTATCTGTGAAATAGGTCTGGAGTCGCACTGATAGGACGAAGACCGTTGAGCACGCAAAAGAGGGTGTGATCAAACTGGCTGCTATGCTGCGAGAACACTTTATGAGGGTATGTCCTCGCAATCGAGTCGATTCGGTATCTGTAAGCACGCCGGCCTTGCACATTACCGATAGATGTCCTATTGCATGTTCGCTAAGTTGTTTGTCGGGCACCAATTTAAAAACGCTATCGTCTGGCATGAACATTCATCTTGGTTTGTTGGTTCGTACTTTGCAATGATCGCTAGTTCCGCGAAAGCCTTTTGACAAGACTGGTGCGCTCTTGCTGACGTGGCGAGCGATACTCTTCTCCTCAGCTGCACCTTGACTTTGCTCCGACTGCACTTGCTGTTGCATATATGCAAATCGCCATATCTCGAGGATGAACAAGATTGTGGCTCGAAAGGTGGACTTCATAGTGCCTCGGTCACGTGGTTTTGAAATAGTGCTTGAGTTTGGCCTGTGCTTGACGATTGCGAAAATGCCGCTTGATGTCTGGTCAGTGAGGGGATCGTTCTTGGTTCGCCGTCTATGGCTGGTTGACTGAGACTAATTTTGTTCGTCGTCAGTAGATGGTCTCGCAAAGAACAAGAGACATTTGGTTCGAATGTCAGGTTTCTTTGCAAGGATATACAGCTTCAGCTTGGCAAGTACGACTTAGTGAGAACGGTAAGGAAGGTGTGATGAAGATGTGTATGTTCATTCGTTTTGGCCTCGTGGCTCAATGTCGCTGATCCCTTACGACACGATTACCCATACACAATTGTTAACCATTATTAGCCCAACCATCTCCGAGGTCGTCCTCGGCCTCTTCCACCAGCAGATTTCCAACCACCTGTTGATCAACTTTCTTCAACTTCTTGCGTAGATAGGATTTCGTAACAAAGGAGAAAGTCGCTTTATACAGCTAGCTAGCAACGACGAAGATGTTGCTAAAGACATGTCATATGGTGGTCGTGACTGCAACGTATTCGCTTCGACTCCTTGTTGCAGAACACAGTCCAAGTCATCCAGATAACCATGATGTGCTATAATCAACAACGCCGGCCCGCTTCGTCACACGTCTTCGAATGACAGAAGGTTCGGGTTTTATCGAGGTAAAACGTAACAAAAGGAAAATGCTCAATAATCTTCAGCTTTCACTGAGTAGGTGGTGCTCGATCGGGCTTAGGTCCGGCAGCCTTTTTCACATCCTCTCCACCTTTTCCAGGTCCTCCTGGACCGCCTGGCCCTTTACCTGGCCCTCCAGGGCCACCAGGACCTCCGGGACCACCCATCTTGGCCATCCTAGATAATGTTAGCAGATGCTCAAACTGGGTATTGTTTTGTACTTACATAGCTGCAGCCTCTCTAGCCATACTTGAGCGCTGTCGTAGTTTCTTGCCGTAGATCCAGAGTAGAATTGGTGTAGGTAGACCAATACCAACAGCAGCGATAGCTAGGACTGTATTACCCCAGCCGTAGCCCAGAGATTCATACATGGCTGGTGCGAAGATTGGGAACGCGAAGCCGAACAGGGACCGAAGAACAGTAACGGCAGCGACTGCAGATGCTGCAAATCGCATAAATGTATCGACAAGGTAGGTGGTGACGCACTGGAAGGCAGCAATAGTGCCGACAGCGAAGATAAAAGCGCCGATATTGGGAAAGATCCAGTGAGTTTTCGCATGAGCAGACCAGCCGTAGACAAGGAGGCCTATAGGTACAAATGTCGAGAGCACGATGACAAGTGGCATACGGAATTCAGGTTGACCTTTACCGTCTGGAGCCTTCGCCTTGAGCTTCTTGTAGATTGTGTCGTTGGCTTTGCCGCAGAGAGGAGCGCCGAGAAAGAAACCCAGTCCGAGAGAAATGTAGTTCAAACCAGCGAAGCCAGGAGATTGACCGTATTGTTGCTTCCATAGTGCTGGGTAGGTAGAAAGCATAAGATAGAGGATACCATACGAGAAAGCCATGTAAAGCGCCATGACTTGTACGATTGGTTGAGTGAAGAGCATACCGAAAGCACGACCCATTGTCTTAGCAACCTTCTTGTATACCGGTTGGTTCAAGTCGTCTTCGCCTGGGGCTCGGAAACCCTCATTACCAGTCTTCTTCCTGATCGCCTTTGCTTTCTTGTGGAGTAGGTAGGGCGCATACGTTTCCTTGAAGTAGACGATGCCGACGATCAGGATGATAAGATTGACGACGGATGTACCGTAAAACATCCATCGCCAGGTTGAGTACTCAGTAACCCAACCACCTATGAGTGGACCGATGGCAGGACCAAGCAAAGGACCCATCGCGTACAAACCCATGGCTTTTCCTCTCTCTTCTGGTTTGAAGATATCGCCGAGTACACCACCACCTAGCGCGAGGGGAGCAGAACCACCAAGACCGGCCAGGAATCGGAATGCCATCAGCTGTTCCTTGCTTTGAGCAAAGCCGCACAACGTGTTGAATATCAGGAAGAAGACATTAGAGCATTGCGAAACTATGACACGACCATAGAGTTCGGATAGTGGACCGAGTAGCATAGGACCGACGGCGTAAGCCAGCACGAAGATAGAAAGTGTGATTTGCGCCTCGAGTCGTGCTGTGATGTCGAAATCTTCCATGATTTGATCAAGCGCAGGCGCAATCATGGACGAAGCTAGAGGTGAAAGGAAGGTAAAACTGGCAATACAGGCAGTCGCGGCCCATTTCTTCTTCGAGGGCCAGTTCTTAGGATTTAGGGGATCGTTGGGACCTTCGAAGGAGACCTGTTCACATGTTAATCACTTCTGCTGGAGATGATGGCGATGTCAGATATAGCATACCTTTAGCTCATCTGGAAATCCAGGAGGAAAAGGTGGCAAGCCAGGCGGACCACCACCTGGAGGGCCTCCTGGTCCTCCTGGGCCTTTTCCTCCTGGACCGCCAGGACCACCGGGACCGCCGAGACCTTTAACGCCTGATGGAGGACCTTTCTTTTCCTCGGCAGGTAGGAATGGTGTAGGCGTCGAAGGCTCCTTCTGCGCTTCTATGTCAAAGTTTGGACCTCGAGGGCCTTCATTATGAGCATGACCATGATCATCGTCGCATGTACACCAACTTTGATGCGAATGCGAGCTTACTGGGCGATCGTAAAGTGGCATGCCGAGAGTGGATTTTTCATTAGGATAACCATTATTGTAGTTGGTGCTTGTTAGTGTTTCTTGTGAATACATGTTGTATGCTGGTGAGGGTTGGTCCATATATGGATCATTGTTGTTCATGTAACCCTCTGCTAGAAGTCTTTGGTTTGCCAGTAGGTCAGAGTGTCGATCGATGTCGTGGTCATCACTGAATACCCGACTGTCTCTGGTGCGGAATGAGGGAGCAAAGGAGGTCTGCGATTCTGGTCTTTGACCTGTGGCCATTGACTCGGCTCCATCATAATGTCCAACATGATAATCTGGTCCATCGTCGTGAAATACTGCGAAAGTCGTCTCGCTCTCGCCATCAGATGATGTTGGTTCACCTGGAGGCAGCGACCTGTGACGGTATGGTTCGCTGGAATTCAGCCTCCTCAATGATGGGAATCTCGACGCAAGTGTAGGTTGTGAAAGGGGTCGAAGGCCACCATTGTTGTTACTCGCATCTTCCTCCATGGCGGAGAGAGGTAGTGCTAGGCCTCGTGTTGCTCCTCCGTCCAATGTTATTACTCCTTCTCCTCCTCCGATTCTCGATACTGATTAAGATTTTACAATGAGAATGGTGTAAAAGCTCCTTGGCTGTCCCGTGCGCGGTCTCAGAGTCGAACTACGTGCTGAAAATCGGAACGAACGTGTGCAGGTAAATCGTATATGGAGAGTGAGCAGCGAATGTCTTGGTGGGTAAGGACGTTACAGACCACGATAAAGGACGATCGGAAAGACAGGCGTGGGTGAGTCGGTACCAGAAGTGAGATGGCGAAGCAAGGACCACTGAGCAGATAGGCTGAGAAGGATAAGAGGAGCAAGTATGGATGACGAGACTGGGCAGTCAGACGGGCTGAGCCCGAAGGTTACAGGCCAAATCCTCAGAAAAACAGCTCCCTGGATCGGGGTTCGGGCTAATGTAAGGGTGGAGCGATGGGCTGCGACCTAGCCAGTGAATACATGCGCGAAAGCGAGAGTAAGCGATATTGAGATTAGTGGGAGCCGAGCTAAAGATCGCCATGGGGGAAGCGAAGGAGTGGCCGGGTTCCTGAGGGCTGAAAAAAGATCACAGTAGCATGATCGAACACGCGAAAATGGGGCAACAAGCAAGGACGACGAGCGGAGCTGAGAGGACAAGCAATTTGAGCAGACTTCAGAGGCGAGCTGGCATGGCGTAAGGCCCATTCTTTCGTTAAATAAACAGAAAGCATGCAACGGTGAGGTACCAGTGTTAGAAGTAAAGCTAGGCCTCGAGCGGAATTCGGTCGTTTGAGCTTCCTACTTGTCAGCTTTGTGACCACTGCTTTGTTGAGCATGACAAGGTGCAGCAAGTCCAGGTTCACCACAAACTAATCAGAGCGCACTACTGGTACCACAACAAAGAGCTTGCTTGAAGCTCATCAAAAGAACTGCCTGCAAAAAAAGAATCGGTAACAGCACTAATCAGTGTCGTGAGACTCTGAAAGTATATCGCAGCTGTGGACAGAAACCATCAGATAGGAGGTCAAGGAAGATCGGATTAGGCCGTGTACAAGAGAGCTTCAGGCCACCGTTTGTGATCGACATGCTTCTATTTTGGGTTCCGTAGCTTGCGCCGTCGTTACTCAGAGCCGGATTCGGTTAGTTTCGAGCACAACTCCTGTTGTCCGCCAAGGTTTAAGCCCCCGGACTCAGTGCCAGGTTTGCGGCTGACCAATGAAAATCTTGCTTTCTTGTATTTTGTCCGTAAACGCTTCAACCACAAAGGAACAAATCAGAGTGTATCTGGACATGATAGCGGACTTTGGAACCACTTCCAAAAACGTGACGTCTCGCCTTTGATCAGTGTCACCCTACAAGCTTAAACTCGCGGGCTTGTAGAGATTAGTCGGGTTGTTTGCATCAGCGGCGATGATGATGCTCGTAACAAACCGCATGCCACTGACAAGATGAGATTGCGCTCTTGGCTACACATCCTGCCAGGTTCTCCTCAACAATTTTCATTTGTCATCGAGCAACATATACATGTATATGTAGTTTCTGGACGCGTCTTTGTGCTTGCTCGCTCACGGTTTCGCTTTATGTGTACTGATGATATGCAACAACCAAGTTTCGAAGCTTGTTTTCAAGCATCATGAGGTGATGATGCTTTCTTGCGGTGACACGTCGCTAGTTTCAGGGCATCCGTAATTGTTATGCAAGCTAACGCACAATATTTACGATGTGCAGCAAAACACTTGCGACCCAGGCTTCATGGTGGATTGCAGGTGTACATTATCAGGCGGATTTTTGGTGTTTGAATACCCGAGCACTGCTCATAGATGAGGATTCTGCACACCTCACTGAAGCGTTTTACATTCCTAGATTTATTGCGTTTGATTTTCATGACGCACACGAAACGATCCTGCTTTAGTATGCTCGGAATTGCAATTGCCTTTCCCTTACGGAAAAAGCATCACGGATGGATATGATCACACTTCCATGCAAGTGCTTCCGTGAGGAATACGTCGAGGAACAATGCATTTGAGGAGTGAGAAAGCACACAAGTTGTCAAGAAACGTCGCCCACATTGGAGTTCGGCCGGCATACCGTTGCCGATTTTATTCCCAGGCTATTCTCAATATATCGCGACATTGATCGCTTTGAATGTGATAGTCTCGCCATGATGTGCAGGACTTCCGGCTAAGACAAGCGTGGACGTCAAACGTTGCAAACACTTGTCACACCTTGGCCTGAGGAGTCCACATAAGTCTTCCAAGTTAGATCAGTAATCACACAGAGTATTGCTGCAGTTTGCGGACGTCTTACAAGAATCATTAGTTCGCTGCAGGTTTTGGCTAGCTTCGTTCGGCGCATTACTGTGCAATCTTCATGCTCCAGCAGGCTGGCACGTTGCATTTTGTGGTCCACTGAAATGTCGAGCTCGTTATCACGAATCGAAACCTTCTTGGCTTGACAAACAGCAGTACCATATCATGATGTGCCACGTGAGGCGTTGAATATCGGTATAGTAGATTAGGTTGGCCTATTGTTGAAACTGCCACCATACCACATGGTAGCCGAAACTTCCAAACAGGGAAGCCCTGTCGAACCACCGGCGAGATTAGTGGCCGTTGACCGTGGTCGCTAAATTTGTCTTCGCAGCTACTCACATAGCCACTACAACGGCAACTGACTTCAAATTCGCCAACCGGTGATACTAATCTTAGGAATATCTCTGGCGTCAGGCTGAGTCTGGCGACCAGAACCATGTGGTAGACGGAGAGAAAGTGAATTCATTCGGCATCACCAGATGACAAAGTTTTGTACGCAGGAATCGTCAACCTTTAGCATTGATTGTTAGTTGTCAAACTTCCACCATGTCGCACGAGCACCTCGCACGAGCAGTATCACCAAACGACAATGTCCACCAAGGGAAAACCATGCACGATAACCTGTAGGATGGCGGCTAGTACGCAATATGAATTCCGCGACGATAATGCTCGAGTTACCAACAAGACTCCACATGATGTTGAGCCATCCACCGAACGCCGAAGTGTTGTTCGTTGGACGAACCATTGGTGCTAGAGGACGGCTTCAAACTGCAGGACAACCCAAGAGGAGTACCGAACTTCTATATCCAGTATCTGAGAGGCTGCTATGACCTTGCGAGACGTTTCTCAGCTAAGGTTTTATGCTTCTCACTATGTCTATCTTGTCAAAACCTGACAAACAAGGATAATGTCTGTTTTGTGTGTCGCTGGTGAACTCGAGTCTTTCAAATAGGCTCATGTAGGAATCGAACGTCCATGCTGGTCTGTATCTCTGTTGGCTTTCCATACAGCCTCGACTTGACCATTTTCTGCTTGGTTGTCAGCGAACCACTCTTGCTTCCAGATCTCCGCTCTTTCTTTAACACGTTCGAGCATTTCTTCTGCGCCCTTCCACCCTTCTCCTCGATGGCCTGAGCTGATGCCAACAATAATGCTCTCTTCTTCGATCGGTACTTCACCCAAGCGATGTACGATTATCACCTTTTCCAGAAAGTGTTTTGCTTGGACTTCTGTAGCTATCTTTAAGAGTGTGTTCAGGGCAAGTTTGGGATAAGCTTGGTAAGCAAGATGCGAGACAGGTCTGTTGTCGAAGTTGTTTCTTGTAGTTCCTAGAAAGAGGACATTCGCACCTGCTGTAGGCGATCTAATGAAACGTGACGCGAAAGGAATGTCAAGAGGGTCATATTGCAACTCAACATGAACACGTTGGTCTTCCGATTCCAACACCTGAGGGAAATTGGACGGATCTAATAACGATCGCAGAGACGCAGATGTAGTCATGCCGTGAACTGACCTCTCAGCGATTCACTCACACTGCCAGTGCTTTGTGCTTCTTAAGTCAAGTTTAAGTATAATTTGAGCGAAAGCTGACGGAGTGGACGAAACAAAAACAACGGATTCAGCTTTGGCAAGTGCAACTCTGACGTCAGTCACGTGCTCTGTTTGACTGCTAGCAAGCAGCCTTGCATATCGGGCATCAATACAGTTATTGTGCTGGCAACTGTCGCAGCTAGGTCATTGAAGCGGTCTACAATATTGCTACAACGCACAATCATTATTTCGCATCACTTTCAAGCTTAATTCACCGCCAGTTGATTCATCATTTCACTTCGGATTGTCTCAACTGGGCAAGATACCTGCTCAATCAAGTAACTGCAGACCAACTTCGTCCATACAGGAGTTAAAAATCAGTAGTTTGTCAGGGTTTCACTGGTTGAGCATTTTCTGCCATCTACCAATGAATCACAAGACGGTGAAGTATTCCCAAGAGCAGTGATGATTTCACACGTTCATTTCCGCCTTGAACCATTGGTGTGCATTGGTCATACTTACCGAGCATGTTCGTATGCAATTTTATTCACTAGTTCGGTCTTTACTCCATGACGATAGCTACCAACGAGTACTTGAACACAACAACAGCCCTCGACCATACCTTCAATGCCACTACCTTTTAACTAGTGGCGGTCGTGACCATGCGCATGAATAGGTCATCACCTTCAACCCTGTCAATCATCGTATCCTTACTCATATTAATTCAAGTCAAAAATTTGCGCTCACGTTTACACTTGGCACGCAGCAAATGATGGGATGATCCAGGAAACAGTCGTTAAGTTATTCAGGTCTGGCGCGTACGAAGTTGATTCCAGCTTCGGTGAGTTTCAATGGACGTCTTGTATTTTGATAGAGTGAGGTCGTATCGAACAATGGAAAGGACTGACGAAAAGGTTCAGATAAAACTTGTCCACTGTCTTGCGCTGCCGAAAGCGTCGTTTCTCCAGTCGAGTTTGACGAAGATTACTACTGGCACATAGCACTAATCGATCGAGGCGATTACAGCAAGGCACCGCTTCTGCGCACGATGCCATCACTCATTCCTGAAAGGGGTACCGGTTGTCCATGGCCATCCCATTCAGGCGATGATGCTTTACACGGGACTTATTCCTGATTTGAATTTGCCTCACTACTAGACTTTGCGGCGTGAACATTCAGTCTGCTACCGACTGTCGACGTCAACTAACCTGTCATCGTGTAGCGACTCATTTCGCAACAACCGTTGAAATGACTACGACAACTGAAACCTCTTGTGTTTGGTGATGCGCAGTCAATCAACCAAGACCTTGGTTCCGACGAAAGGGCCCTTCTACAGACTCGAGGAGATAGCCTGACAGCCAATTGACCAAATTCACAGCCACTGACTGGGCGCATTCTTCGTGCTAAATGTGAAGGCTCTACGGGACGCATCCATAAACGTTCACAGTGCTCTCGGCGACGAATTCTTTGTTTTGTCACAGAAATCTGCCCAGCATCCTTTTAACAATCAGCAGGGAATGGTGGTTAATATACTACATGGATGTCTCTGGTACCTCGGCCTGGAGGTGACACATATTCCCCAGGCGACATCGATCAGGCATCATCTTTTTTCGCGCATACGACAAGATGGTGGGGTTTGTCGACTTCGGCTTTGCTCTCAGCTAATAGCTTGACCAACGAAGGTACTCGAGTGACCTGAAGCTGTTTCTATGCATTTGCTCACTTTTGCATCACGTAGGCTAGCATTCCAATTATCAACACCTTAGACTCCTTCTCATTGTATCAACTCGTCTCTGGTCAAAGCTCGATATCGCGTCTGCGAGTAAAACCATCCAATGGTTATCTGTGAAAAACGAAGAGAAAAGAAAACAGGAACAGGAATAGGCCTCTCGGAACTTTGCGATAACCTACAGCACGAATGACGACTTCGCGTATCGAAAAATGCAAGCTTGTCCTTGTCGGTTTCACGGGGCGTGATGGCGGTAGTGGTTGGGCCGCATTAGCGGCTCCCAAGTCCTGCATCCTCGCAGTCACTGCATTTCCCCATAACTTCCTACTTGTGGTAACCAGACAGGCCTGTAACAGAAAAATATGCGATCCATTGAAACCAGAAGGATACGAGTCTAGTCTACACTCAAAGATGTACTGCCTGTGCATGTCGTCAAATATGCCTTCAGCTGCTGACTCCTCGCTTTCCTGCCGCTCAACCAGATACGACACATGCTGCGGCTGCAACGTACACCTGCTAGCTGGCCAGTGTCTTCCTCAGAATGTCTGTTGCAGGTATGTTGAGCTCTCTACAACTCACGTCCAGTGGTTGACGAAAGTCAGTGCCACCGTCTATCATGGCAACGTGGCCCCAACCGAATTACATCGACCCTGAGACACGAGGTCCAGCACTCTTTGTGGTGTCAATCCTTCTCACCATTCTTGGTGCCATTATCATTTCCATCCGAACATATACTAGACTGAGGATAACAAGAGCATTCGGGCTGGACGACGGACTCGCCATTCTGGCCTACTTATTGACTGTGGCGTTGACCATTCTAGTCGTAATTGGCAACAAGGTCTATTACAGTGGCCGTCACGTGTGGGATGTGCCACCTAATACCTGGATTCCGCATCGACGCAGCGTCTGGTGGTGCGAACTTGTGTATATCTTCGCCAGTTCCTCGATCAGAATCAGTGTGTTACTGTTTTACAGGAGGCTCAGCATTGGATTTGCCAACAACTTTCTACGGGCAACGTACATTGGTTTGGCGATGAATGTACTGTACATGATTGGATTCACTGTCTTCCTGTTTGTCGTCTGTATCCCACTTAATGCCTACTGGAACGCTCTCAACCCTGCATGGGCGTCGACTCATAACTTCCAATGTCTCAGTGAGAACATCTCACTACCCCTTTCCTCAGCTGTGAGCACTGGCATCGACCTCTACGCAACGTTAGTGCCGATTTGTCTGATTGCCACAATACAACGATGCAAGAAGGATAAGATAGCATTGTAAGACATTGACGATCGATGAATGATCTGATTACTGACGCTACTATAGGTACTTCATCTTCTCAGCTGGATTCCTGGTTGTTGTTTTCGGCATTCTAAGGACTATCTATGGTTATCGGGTGCTCAACACCACATACGACTATACATGGGTCGTCTGGGACAATTGGTTGTACACATTATTAGAACTCTATACCGCGATCTTGGCAGCTAGTGCTCCTTCATTGAGGCCACTAATTTCCTACTGTGTGGAGACATCGAGGAATCAAAGCAAGCGCATTTCACGAGCCATAACTGGGTCAAAACTTCATACATCTGACATCGGCAAAAACCATTCGACAGGTACGAGTAACGCAACAGCAGGTCCAGTCGACAGCAAGAACCCTTTGAAAGACGCGAAGGAACTCGAAAATCGATCGGACCACACGGTAGTTGATTCAAAGAGCAGTATGGTGCGAGAATCCAAGCATTGGACTGATGATGCTTATAGCAGCACAGGCTCGCCAACATTGGCTCATTTTCCTGTTACAGAACCTGAAGATGCATGGACAACGGCGGACAGAAGTACATGATAAGTACAACACCTGGAGCAACGATACAGCTTTTGGGAACGAATCGACTTCATCTACCATCAATATATGTATCCAAGATTCACGTCTGCCAATACCAATACGACCTTAACGATTGACCAGTACCAGCACTTGCGGCAATTACTTTTGACCAAAACCCCAATTCCCTTAATCATCCTCCCCTTTTTCAGATCTCCTCTGCCGTCTTGCACTCACTTCTATTCTAATCCTAGCCATGATGGCCTTATGCACATCCCTGGGAGACGATCTTCTTCCACCATCTGCTACTATGTCTCCACCTCTGACGCCGCACACTCCCCAATTATGCTCCAGCCTTCTTGTCTGCCCGTTAATTACAAATGACTTTCCATTCGCATCGGTCAGCACGCCCCCGCTTTCAGTAAGAAGTAGTTGTCCTCCGGCATGATCCCACACTGCAGCATGGTAGCTCGACGTTGGAGGTGTTCTGATCATGGCATCTGCAGCCCGCAATGCCAGTAGGACGTATTTCATCTGCATGGACCAGATATCTTGGAATGGTGCTGCCTCCGAGTGAGACTCTGGTTGAGGAGGATGTGCGAAGTGTCTGAAGATGCGTTCGTGTATGTCTTTGCTGATGTGAGGCGAGGCGCTGGAGTCCGTAAAGTTGAGGTTGAGTAATGTGCTGCCATTCTCCGACGTTTGTGACATATTGCTCATGACGCGATGTGCTTGCTCTTCTAAGTCCTCTTCCATGACTTCCTTGTGCGATAGAAAGTCCTGTATTGATAGCCTCGTCTCATATGTCCTCACAGCACTGATATGGGTTCCTTCTCCCTTCACCGCGCTCAAAATCCAGCCACCATCCGGTGCAGGGTCAACGACAGTTTCACCAATCACAATCGTTCCATCCTTGACATCCTCTTCCGCCAGATTCATACGCTGGAGATCCAAATTCGGACAGCCCAAGACCGCCACTTTCTGCTCGCCCTCGTCAACTAGGCATAGACACACGGCATACTGATGGCCACGAATATACGTCTTCGTCCCGTCAATCGGATCCAAAATCCATGTCCTCCCACTTCTACTCCTCTCAGCCTGCCCGCCCTTCTGCCCTTTATCAATAATATCAACCATGTCCGCCGGACTCCCCGGTAAGCTCATCGTCACATCCCCACGCCTCAACTCATCCACGGCCGCACCGTCACCTTCATCGGTCCTCGCCGCAATCTCCATCGCCTTCTCTACCAGATCCCAAACCCTTTCACTCAAGCCCTGGTCTTCACGTAACATCTCGCCGCTCTCTTCAGCGATGAAGTTGTCATCTGGGAAGGCAGCATGAATGGCGGCGATGATCACGGCTTGAGCCGCGAAGTCAGCGACTGTAACTTCGCTGGCATCGGACTTTGTTTCCTCGCTGACAACGGATTGCTTGGAAAGATATGTCAGGAGGTGAGATTTGGTGAGGAGAGAGGCTAGCCGCACGGCTTTGAGCGCGACGGAGAGCTCTTCCGTATACGTTGGTGTAGACATGTTTGACCGTTGAAATTCATGCAATCCCGGTGATATCAATGCTGGCTGAATTTTTGTGTGACGATTGGTATGCGATAAGATATTCTGTTGCAATGAGTGAAGGTGTCGCGTATGCTCGTAGTATGAACTCAATCCGTGTTTGATAAGGCTTCGAAATCTAGGTTGGGACCGAATATCATGCGGCAATCGACACAATGGTATCGAGGGATGTGGAGTTGTGTCTGACTGAAGCAGCACCTTCTACAAGCAATTCCGTGCTTTTGGTACGCTATCCACCTTGGTTCCTGTAGGCAAACAGAGAACGACGGCGCCGTTGGTGTGTAATAATATTACCGATGATTGACGACAACTAGAAGCCTAGAATACTGTATTCACGGACACGGAAATGCTTAACGATCAGCCCAATCGATCGGACCCGGAAACACGACTGAGATCCGCTTGCGTAAAAGCCTTGGCACGAGCGGACTCTTGTTTGTCTTGGAATCAATAAGTCTTGAGTCATCATTCGAGGAACTCTATCTCTCGCTTAGGAAGTCACAGAAAGTCACCACGGATTACTTCCACGATTACAACATCAAATGATACACAAAGCCAACAACCAAATCAAATGCTACTCCACAGCCACAATCCACCACTTCCATCAAGCACCTTCGCTTGCTCCAGCATATTCATCAGGTGCTTTTTGTAGCATTCAACACACTCTTTCTCGTTCTTGGTCAAAGTCGCTCCTGCCGCATGAATTCCTTTCTTCTTTCGTACATCTTGAATTCTGTCGGCAGCTTGAAGGATGGCTTGTACAAAGCAGATACACATCTTTCCACGACCACCGTCTGATCCCGAGCTGGTGATGTCTCTATCGTCCTCGACATGCGTCTCGTCTGAGATGCCTGCGACGACCTTTGCCATGCTGTGGAACAGTGAGAGCAAATTGATTCTGGATGGAGGTAGATCTCTTTCCTGGCTTCGATCGACAACAAAGGAAGCATTGATTAAATGATCGAGCTTGTGGCAGGTTGTGCTTGTCTCAGATTCATTTTTGCTGATTTGGCAGCTCTTATTACGTTTGTGTTTGGAGCGTCGTGATTTATGTGGAGGAGAGGAAGGTTGATCAGGCGAAGAAGTACCAGCTGGGGATTCCTTGGTTGTGCAGCAGTCATTCACAAGCTCTTTGTCGAGCTTCTCGGTCGCCTTTTCGTGTAAGACCCATCCTTCGTGCTTGAAGCGCGTTACCCGATCGATAGTGCCGTAGTCGAATTTAGGCTGTGCCTTTGCTTCGTCGTCCTTGCCACCTATGTTGAGGCCAGCGGTCTTTTTTGCTGTATGAGAAGGAACAGCCATACACCAAGTTTCTTTGTGATCTTGATACTTTTTGCCCTTGCGAAATTTCAGCCTCGCGCCGATGTATCTCAACCAGCACATCATGAAACCAGAATCAGCCCGAGTACCGGTCGTATATAGGATATCGACAAAGCTATCACATAGCTCTTCCAGGATAGGGACTTTTTCGAGTCGCTGGAGTTGCGTGAGTGCCTGGTAGCAGTGCAAAACACCTGCCGTATATTGCCGAAAATGAAAGAGATACATGCCGTAGTGCGAGCATGAGTCAAGGATTTCGAGCACATGATTGCCAGCGACAAGTGGAGATTGCATGAGGGTGCTCCAGCATTTGTACTTAGCAAATGCTTGTAGATCACTTCTCGTCTGCGCCAGCCGATGTCCAATAGTCTTGACACACTGACATGGTATGATAGTCTTGTCGTCAAGGAAGCCATCAATCGAGGTGATTGCTTCTTGAGCCAACTTGAGTGCACAGATTCTCGGCGTAGCTATGAACCTGGGCTGAGAGAGAGCGCTGGAATATGCGGCATGGCTCGCTGCAAGCAAGTAGAGATCAACGTAGGACTCAAGAACCTCTGCGCCTGCAAGATTCACTACCGTAGATGCCACGACAGGATTAAAGTGTACCAGACCACTGTGAATGATCGACGAACAGTGTTCCTGCTCAGCTTCATCGCAGAGGCCACTCGCAAGACCATGAAGAAGTCTTCTGTACTCTGACAGTGGCGGAGATGCATCCGGTCGCTTCGTGGTTTTAGTAGGGTCCGAGTCGGGCAGTAGTCTCAGATCAGTGAGTACCTGCTCGGCGTGTCCAAGGCCTTCAAGAACTCCTATCGCTCCATTCTCGGACACCGCGATCTGATCGTGTTCTATGCAAGCATTGGCTATCCGTGCGCCGATTGCAGCAGGACTCGACAAATCTGGTTCATTCTCGTGAAAGTTGCGGACATGATTGACTGCTCGCACTACCAACATATTGGTGTACGCAGCCGCAGCAGGTACTAGCATCTCGCCGTGTCCCGCTTTCGTCCAACATAGTCTCACAGCAGCAGCAATGCGTTCAATACTCTGTCAAGAAGTCAGTAGTGCGTGACTGCGTACTGATGCGCGACTTACGTCAAGAAACATAACAGCCTCGAAGGCAGACCCGACTTTGCCCTCAGTATCCAGGAAGTCAGTATCGTTGTCCTCGACCTCGCAAGCACAAGCGCGGTTGACGACTGGCGAGTGTGAGCACTCAGAAGTATCGTCTGTGTCGTTGTTACTCAAAACCTCATCGTCGGAATCATCCACGACGTGGAAGGATGGCTTCTCAGTCAAGCCTAGGTGAAAGAAGCCATTTCTAACGTCAGACGACGAGCTTGTGGAAGAGTTGGAGCTGGACTTGATGCTCTGCGATTTTCGAGGCGCTGCTTTGACTGATGTCCTCTCAGCTGTTAGTAAAATCTGGTGAATCTGCTTCAAACTGCCCTTGTCAGCGCACTCCATATATTCAGATAGTCCGCAGACCTTTCGGTGAAATGCTCATGATTCACAGTGTCAAGGTCGTCCTTTTCACATTGATCACGGTGCACGCGATAGTATCGACTCAAGTATGTTCTCTCCCTAATTACGTCTCTGAAGAAGTAGTCGACATCGGCTGGCAGACATCCTATGTCTTGCACCTTATCGCACAACATCTTGCCCAGAGCCACCAATTGCTTTATCGGTAGCGTCCTCTTGCCTTTCAAGTGGTCAGGGCCATATCTGATCATCCATGCCACAATGGCTCTGCTTCCTACAATTTCCAATCAGCACCACGCTTTACTGTAAACTCGTACATAATAAAAGCTGACCTTGCTTATAGCGCACATAGCGCTCCCGAATATGCTGTGGCAAGCCGCAATTAGTGATCTCATGCGAAGGATTGAGAAGCATTTTGAAAACCGCGGCAATTCTAAGACACAGCAAAAAATGAACTCCTTTGTGCACGGATTCTGCAATTTGGACAACAGAGCTTTATTCAGGATATGAAATGTTTGATTCAGATCGCAAGCGAACAATTGTTGACGAGGTCAGATCGCAACTGCTGCTCTCGAGAGCAAGCAGCATCTTTAGCCTAGTCATCTTGTGGCTTGAAGACTTTTGAGGACCTTGTACAATTGTTTGCAGGCGCGTCACTGGTACTCAATGTTATGGTCCACTGGCACAATGAAGTCAAGCGAGTGATAGAAGATGCGTGAAGTGATGTGGACAAACACAAGCAAGCAATGACGCGTTTCCGAGTGTCCTCAAAAAATGTGACTTCGCGACTCATACGCGTGATCTTGGCAGAAGGGAAGCAATCTCGCTGAACCGTCTCGATCGAGGGAGAAAAATCCTATCCGGGCTCACGACGCCTACAGCTACCGCCTAGAAACTTTTTCCCAGCAGTCATCTACCGGCGCTGACCCACCGGAACCTTTGCGAATTCGTTGTCGCACAAAATAGCCCGGCCATGCTCTCTCCTCATTACTTCGCATTGCCAGTGTACTAGTAGGTACCGGCATCAAGTCATGCTTACGATCGTCGTATCGAGAGCATGAGATGGCTCGCCGGAATTTCTGCTACAGAGACAATACAAGGTAACACCGTGCTGACAAGTGCAACGAAGCATGACGGTTGTGCTCAGAAATAGAATCGCATGTGTGCGTCTGCAAAGATCATGACCACTATGATATTCACATTTTCACGACAACTCGCTCACATCTGACCCAGAGATGACACCCAGCAGCCCACGCCTCCGTGTACGTGAAGTCCTCCCAGACCTCTTTCTTGGCTTCCATGCCACTGGCCCACTGAATTCTCTTACAGACGTACCTGGCGTCCTTGTCCACACCCAATCTATTCATCGTCCAGCTGGCCATGACCCCGCTCGCCCTGTGAGCGTCATCAACACAGGTGTCACCACTATCCTGCCTCGTCGTGACTGGTTTGAAAAAGGCTGCTACTCAGCCGTATTCAGCTTCAATGGTAGCGGCGAACTGACTGGGTCTCACTGGATCAATGAAACTGGACTACTGAATAGCCCGATCGTGCTGACGAATAGCTTCGGTGTAGGTGCATGCTACGATGGCATCTACCGCTATGCTGTGCGGGAGTATGGAGACAAAGTCACAGGATTAGTGGATTGGTTTCTCTTGCCTGTTGTTGGCGAGACCTATGATGGCTATCTGAATGATATCGGAGCTATGCCTGTCACGGCAGACATGGTAGTTGAGGGTATCGAGCAGGCGAGTGCTGAGAAGGTCAAGGAGGGAAATACTGGAGGCGGCACAGGCATGACAACAATGGGTTTTAAAGCTGGTACTGGAAGCGCGAGTCGCAAAGTCGATGCCATCATCAGAGGACATAGAACGGAATTCACAATCGGAGCACTTGTACAATCTAACTTCGGCAAACCACGGAATTTACGATTTGGGCCTGCACCAGTCGGGAGGATTTTAAAAAAAGAGAAAGACGAACACAAGAATGCAGGAAACGTGCCAGAACGAAAGAAAGACGGCTCTATCATCGTCATACTAGCGACCAATGCACCTCTTCACCCGACTCAGCTTCAGCGTCTGATCAAGCGTGCAACCGTTGGCATAGCAAGGACAGGAGGTTTCGGCAGCAATTCCTCCGGCGACATCTTTCTTGCATTTTCGACAGCGGCAGAGGTCCCACGAGAACCTCCGATACGTGATGGCATGACTCCCCTTCAGGCTCAGTTCACCGCGAACGTGGAGCTGGGTGTGGATGTCGTGCAGGACACGACGATCAACGGACTATTCGAGGCGGCGGCCGAGGCAGTTGAAGAGTCCATACTGAACGCGCTATGTATGGCTGAGACGATGGAAGGACCTAATGGGGCTCGAGTCGAGGCTATTGATCTCGAGAAGTTAAAGAGTATCGTCGAAAGGTATGACGGAGGACGATGATGAACATTGAATGTGGCTGTGATCAAGCTACAAATGATATTGGCTGAAGCGCAAGATTGTCGTCACATCAGTGGCATGAGCAAGCTCTCGAGTGATCAATTGGAAAGAGCAAGAAACTTCAATATCGAAATGTCTGTTGACCTGTCCTTTACTTCGTTAACCTATGGAATTTTTAGGTATATGATCTGTTTCTCTGTTTTCTTGACCTTGTATCGTGTGCTCTCAGCTGTCGATCAGCCTTAGAGAAGCACATCCTCGTTTCCTCACATCGTCACCTTTGATGTATAATAGTGTCTCTCCAAGCCTTCTCTTCAATGGTAGAAATTCCTGACGCCGAACAGCTGCACTCCAAAGACCTGAAATTTTTCTCTTCTCGATGGTTCCTTCAGGCAGACATGTGAAAAACTCTCGTCAGACATAAAGAATCGTTGAGGCACGAACATTGGCACTCAGGTCGCGCGTGGGCGGATAGTAGGTTTTGTGATGTGATTCGGTTGTGACGTAGCGAACGCATAAATGTTAGAGGACACAGAAGTACGAGGGACATCGACGTTCGTTAGAGCGCGCTCGTACATATATCTGTCATGCGGTAGGATATGTCAGCCTGGCAACCAGTACGAAGAAGAAATCGTTTGTTCACGACTACGCTTGTAAAGCTCTCTCGCGGGCCAATCGAGACCATAGCCTGTGGCATGCTGTGGTGCAATACTCTCTCATTGGGGGCAAGTGTTCCAGAAGTCCAGACTCATGCATTCGAAAAACTCCGGTCTGTATAGGTGGCCTGTGCTATAGGATGGACCGGTAAACGTATTTGTCATGAGTCTTGTCAAAACGAAGCAGCAGTGAGGAATGATGGTGCCGATGTCGCAAAATGCTACGCTAATTAGGCAGGAACGCCTGCTCCGCAGCTTCCAGTTCTCCTAAAATAAGCTCACCAAGCTTTACACTCAGAAACGTCAGAGTTTCCTCCTGCGAGACACGTCAAGGTGATTTCATCATAGGCAGCAACCGACGATGAGGTCAGGCTCCGGATATAAGGGAAGTCTTGACACGAGGTCAGTGAGTGGACACAATCAAGTCCTCGATGTACAAAATACGTTCTGTAGATTATCCCACAATGCTGTTAAACCTTCTCCTGGTTGTAGCCACAGGTAGGCGTGCTTGTTCCTCTAATTTAGCTATTCCAACTCGACAGCATCATGTCTGACCCACGCATACCCAAACTGTACCCTCGCAGCACTCCATCATGGCAAGATCGACAGCGAGAATCATTCTGGATGCTCAATGAAGGCAGAACGCCCTCCTTCAACACCAGACCTGATCTCCTCGAGAAACTCGCTCGAGAGTGCCTATCTCGAAACGGCCGTCTCTATGCAGAAAGCAACGCTGGCTTTGGCTGGACTCACGGGGCAAATAGACAGGCTTTCTACCGACATCGCATCATCCCACATATGCTAGTCGACACTAACAAGCGCGACACAACAACGACTCTATTCGGCCACAAATGTGCTGCGCCAATTGGTTTCTCCCCTGTCGGTATCAACAAGATCTACAACAACGCTGGCGAAATTCCAGTCGCCAAAGTAGCAGGCGAACTTCACTTACCATACGCCCTCTCGACAGCCGGCAGCTCCAGCATTGAAGCTGTTGCCGCAGCCAATGACGAAGGCCGGAATATTCCTCAAGCCGTCCACGTCGAAGGCGCCGATGAGAATAAGTCCATCCGCTTCTTCCAGCTCTACCTGCCTCACGATGACGAATTGACCATTTCCCTACTCAAGCGTGCCCACGACTCGGGCTTCACAGCATGCATCCTCACCACAGATACCTGGCAACTCGGCTGGCGCCACGATGATGTTGCAACCTCAAATTATGCCTTCTACCGTGGCGTGGGAGCAGAGCTCGGTCTCACTGATCCAGTCTTTCAGAAACGTCTTGCCGAAAAAGAAATCGACCCGCAAAAAGACCCTGAACGAGCAGCGCAGACCTGGATCGATGAGAATGTCTGGCACGGTCGCGCTTTCGGTTGGGAGAAGATTCCATGGGTCATCAAGACGTGGAAGGAGATCTCAGGTGGTGCACCATTTCTAATCAAGGGGATCCAATCAGTAGGCGATGCGCAAAAGTGTGTTGATATTGGCTGTGATGGAATTGTGGTCAGTAATCATGCTGGAAGACAGGTTGATGGTGCAATTGCAAGTCTAGATGCTCTGGAGAATATCATCAATGCTGGTATTGGCGAAAAGATCGTGGTGACTTTCGACTCTGGTGTGCGCACGCCAAGTGACGCGATCAAGGCACTATGTCTTGGTGCGAAGTTCGTCTGGGTGGGAAGATTATGGATCTGGGGTCTAAGTATAATGGGAGAAGAGGGTGTCAGACATGTCATGAGGTGCTTCTTGGCCGAATTCGATATTGCTATGGCAGTGGGTGGATTTAAAAACATGGACGACTTCACAAGAGACAGGTTGGAAAGCTACCCGAAGAGCTATTCCATTTCGGAAAGTTATACGGCGAAGCTGTAAGTATACATATACTCATTCATTGCAGATTAAATTATTATTGCACAAGATTCAAGAGATTCGTCTTTACTGCTTTTGCTCAAGCTTGTATTCTGGTTCCCGATAATTTTACAAAGTCGACATAATCTATCTCAATATATCTTCGTTCGGCTTGTTCTTGCCAATTATCTTTCGTCTATTCTAGCGCCACTGTTGCACACCAAGCAGTATCTCACCGCTATACATATCGCCACAACTCCGTCAACCATGCCCACATGCTCGTTGTAGTCGACTCTTGCTCTACCTCTGCGTCTGCCTGGTTCTCTTGAGCCTCGGGCTCTTCCAGTGCAAAGGTGACTTTCTTTGCCTCCTTGTGTTCAGCTGCAGGCTCAGTCCCTTCTGTCTCCGATTTGTGGCAGCTGACCGTGTCGTGGAAGTGCTCCTTCACCGTGTCAGTGGACCCTGCGGAGTCGTCTGCATCGACCTTATGGTCAGCTTCGTCATCATCGTTGCTTACAATGTCGTCTGTGTTTTCTGTGCGATCTATTGGCTCCTCCACATCAGAGTCGTAGTTCAATGGACGATAGCCAGTCATGTCGACATCGTCTTGTGGTTGCAGTTCCCAACCAGGATGGTAATGCGAAATCCATGGTTCTGTCTCATCGATGGGACCATATGACTTGTTGAGCCACGGATGCTGGAGGACTTCCTCAATGGTAATGCGATCCTCCGGCTCCCAGACAAGCATTTTCGATAGCAGGTCAGTGAAATCTGCAGCTTCTTCAGGTGAGAGTCTTGCTGGAGGTGGCGGGTCTGGTTTGTTGATGGTCTTGGCTATCATATGTCCCTCATCATCAACGTTATCTTCGTCGAATGCCGCAATGAATAGCTGTCGTCGGTCTATAGGGGTCATGGTAATCCAAGGTAACCAGTCCCCAATCCTGTTGATCTTCTGCTGGAGCCTGTCATCTGTGTCAATGGATTCAGCTGGGACGATCAGATCTGCTTCCGGTGTGTCCGCTTCAATTCGAGCTCTCCACTCAGCGGGTGCTTCACCCAGGAGATCCTGCATCTGGTGTTGTATGCCGCTGTAAGAAGTCTCAAACAGAGCGCGGGCTGCTCGCATCTCGTAGAAGATGACGCCAAGAGCCCAAATATCACTGGCTTTGGTGTGTTTGTTGGCCACTCCGAAAGCCAACTCTGGCGACATGTACTCCTGGTTGAAACCGCACCCTTCATCTTCTACCATGGACAATGGCATCGAGCTGCCAACAAAAGTGGCTTCGTTAAGATCCGTCAGAACAACCTCTGGCTTCATGAGGTTGAGGTCTGTCTTGTGCCAAAGGACATTGAGATAATAGTTTCTCGGCGCATGAATGTACAAATCCTCTTTCAGCTGGTCAGAATTGTTCTCCTCAACTTGGTCTTGACTACCGCCCTCAAGCTGGCTCGAACCATTACCGTCACTGTCGTCGTCCTCGTTCTCGTTGTTATCGTCGTTCTCGTTGTCTTCATCCTCGTCTGAGTCATATGGTTCCCAAGGTACAACTTCACGAGCACGCGGCTCGCCAAGTTTTTCGTACACTTTGTCTACTGACCAACCTGAGATGTCCTGCAACCCCAGTAATATGTTGTGCAGACTGAGGTCCCCGAAAGCGATATCTTTCATGTGTACCACTGCAAGAGTCGTCGCGATTTCAGAATTGAGTTTACGCACAATGTCAGGTCGGAACTTGATCAAGTTGTCCCTGAGAATATGGAGGTTCGGCCCATACACATCGAAGACGAGACACGTGTGTAGTCCGTTAGGTCCTTCGTGCTGGAAGTGTTGAAGGACTTTCGATATTGCGAGATCGTTTTCACGGGTCGAGTCGCTCAAAAGGAAATCCCGCACCACGTTTTCTCGCAGGTTTTTGGAGCTGTCCGCAGTCAGGAACTTGATAGCAACATATCGATGTAGTCGTGTATCTTTAGCGAGCCACACAGTCGAGAAGCCACCGTAGCCAAGCTTGTGCTCAATCTTGTAATGGCCGTGATCGAACGTATCACCAATTTGGACAGGATGGAAGCCACCTGCCTCGTACTTTTCTAGGTTTTCTGCATTTCCAGGGCAAAACTTGAACGACATCTTGTCTGTTGTAACTGTAAACGTGAAGGACTGCGTTAAGTTCTCTTTATGCGAAGATTGTGTATGCACCAGTAGTTTCGTGTGTGAAGGAAGCAAATAAGTTGTGAGAAATTCGGGTAGTTAACAAGTGACGTGCGGTGCAGTCGCCGTAAGTTCTGCAAGTGAAACTATTAGTGATCAGTCTTTGTTTGCATTCACTCCAACAAACGGTGACATGATGAACTTCACAACAAAATTCTTTGTACAGTACCGTGTGTTGGGGTGTAAGCGATACGAGTTGACACTCGACACTTGCGTCGCATGATACTTATTTTCTAGCAAATATGGCTCGAGTCTCATTATTTCCCCCGTACCACGGAGACATTGAAATCGCAGGACTCATTGCACAGTCCAACTACCACTTCAACACAAACCCAGATTGCCCAAACTGCAATCTCAACACAAACTCATTTCTGTCAATCCTAACTCAAGATGTCGTCGTCTTGGGCGAAGGTCGCCAGCACCTCTTCAAACAACAAGGATGGCAAGCAAGGTTCTGCGAAGGAAGTGAAGCCAAAGGAACAGCAGTGGTCCCAGGTTCTGGTCGAGTGGTACACACCCCGAATGGATGACCGAGTCAAACAAATGGCCGCCGAGATGACATTTGCTAGGAAGGGCCTCCTCGCTCGACTGCGTAGCGACATCCACGATACAACACGTGTCACAGATCCCAGAACGAAAAAAGTAACTTACCCACAAGATCCAGACGGACCCCACTTCACAATCGAGATAAAGAACAGGTCAAACAGATGGGATACCTACCACCTCTACGTAAAGAAGGTCAAAGATAAGAACGGAAAGGAAGACTGGATCAAGAACTCAGACGTTCGTCCAAAGAATCCCAAGAAATGGGACGGTGCCTCGTCCTGGGTGGAAGACAACAACAAAACCTGCTTCGGCTCCGAAGAAAGGAAGGTCTATTAGTAGTTGGGCTTTACTTCGTCGTGAAGTCCATAGTACAGAATCATCGGCCAGTATCATAGCCAGAAGTCAGCAGTGCGAGAGGGGGACAGGGGGTCAAGCCCCACGGCACTCATCAACCTTGGCCATTCTGTCTCTTCTCGACTAGGCGAGTATCCTTTGGCCCAGCAGAATATCGGAGGCGATAGAAAAAAGGTATACAAGACTGTCGCCTCCACGAGAGCTGTAGTTGTGTCAATGCGCTATGACTTGAGTCGAAGTCTCCGAATGCTAGGTGAGCTTCGACTTGAGCAAAAGGCAAGCTAAAAAGGTGAGCACATCTGATGACATACTGATGCTGACCTGAAACTCGTCGAACTTGGTATCAGACCATTGACATACCAATTTTTCCGCATGGAATAACCAGAGATCCCTGCTTGGAAACAATGCGGTATTAATACAGTATCTTTTTTAATCCAGAATCGTACTTCCTCGTAACAATGCTGAATGAGTGGATTCTGCGTAAATAGATTCTGTATGGACTAGACGCGACGCCAGTAAGAGTGAGAAGCAAGCAGAAACCAAACAGGAAAACGAGATACTTTGAAATGAAAATGATGCAAACCTGCTGCGACACACCTTTCATTGGGTTCGAACAAGCAGCAGCAAGATTCGCGGTACATGTTCAGCGCAACCCTGTAATTAGGTGGTCGAGTGAGGTGAAGTCAGAACCACCTTCGTGTCTGCCATACTGGCTAAAATGTTTGCTTTCAGCTTGGCATGTTTGTCTTTAATTATTCGGATCATTGAGTCCATGCAGCCATAACCCAGAGCTTAACCCGAGGTGTTCACGCCTTACTGTATCAGTGATTCATGGGATGTCAAATCTCCATGGAAATTCGGCGGCAACAACACAACACAGGGTACAAACCAACACTCGAGTTGCGTGCACACCGTCATTGATCCTTGGCACGTGATGAGGCGTTGCGAGTAGATGAGTTGGCTTAGCATCTCAGGGGCATACGATCGATAGTGCAGAGGCTAGAAGACCACAAGATCTGCTGTGTAACGCGTCGTTGCTCATATCAAGGTCGACTTGTGCATACACAAGGTCAGCCTCCACGTGCAAGTATGCTTCGCTACTTTCTCTTGGCCTCTGGACTCACTTGTATGATCATCCTCTTCTGCGAGTCCAACGGCCAGCTTTCGTGTCTCGTGTCCCCAGTGGAATCGCAAGATTCAGGGATTTTCTGCTTCAAGATCGTCATGATGCTTGCGCAACCATAGGTGCTGTAAGACTTCCTCAATTGTGACTCTGTCCTTTGGTTCGTACCGAAGCATCTTGGACATTAATTAGAGAAGGGTCTGCACTCTTCGTCTGACAACTTGGCAGGAGGAGGTGGTCCTATGTTAATTTGGCCTTACAGAAGTGAGGCAGAATCCTCACCTTTCTCAGCGAGCGGGTAGGCTCTTCGCCCTCCTGTGCTCACAGTATGCCGCGGACTTCAGTTGCCATCTGTCGAATATTCACTTAGATCGTCTCTGTGCTAGCCTCAGGCTCTTCTGCAGTGCACAACTAGTGGTTCGTTATCGTTGGAGCCTTTGACCTTGTCGACCCTGGTGTTTGGAATCTAACCTAACAAGAGCTGAGTGGAATAGACAGCGTCGGGACCAAAGTAGTTCACTCCCATGAGTTATGTATTTGATCGGAGTTTGAAGAAGCAACATGCTAGACTCCGGATGTCGCTGGCTTTGGTATACAAACGATCAATGCCAGAGGCCCATCGTAGAGATGCATAGGCGGTGTTTACACCACACTGTTGTCGCTGAGTCGACTGTGAAGCTATCAGTGGATTTGTTTGAAGCCAAACTAGCACAGCACGACGGTGTACAGTCGGGCAGCTGTAGGTAAATCTCCACATTCGGGAAACATACCATGAGCGAGATCGAGTGTACAGGATAATACTCAAGGGAAAATCGCCCTCTTGCCACGACCCCAAATGGCTGGAATTTGGTGGACATGAAATGTGAGCTTGTTGTTTCAACTACTTACGCGACGATATGCTAACAGTGACAGGCTTCAAGTACATGGTTAGATGTATTGGTTCGTATCCAGTTTAATCAGAAGGATTCCATTATAGTGTTGGACAAATCTTCTAGGTGATCAACGTGCTCGAGAGTGACAGTCATGTAGTGTAGTGTATGGCAGGCCAGTGCCTCCAAGTCGCAACGACTATTTTGAAAGTGAAAAAAGAAAGAAAGAAGAGAGCAAGGTCAGGTCGATCATTTGATGAGGCCATGTGCCGGGATCCACTACACGCGACGCGTTCGTGGGGAGACGAGTCGAGCCGAAAATGCTACATGAGCCGTGCGGCTCTTCTACACTGCAATACGTTCGGGCTGAGGTTAACTTCGTCAAATCCATACTGCTCGTGCTAGATGCTAAGGTCGCAAAGATGTCTACGAAACCACCGACCATGCAGGAGCGCTTGATACATCCCCTTAATACTTTTGAAGCTTCACTGAACACACTAATTCAATCACTCACCACCACTAATACTTTCTCGGCTGCTCCAAAGGCTGCTACAGAGATTGTGACAGCTGATGATGACCTTGATGCAGCCCTACTTCTACTTGTGCGACACCAGCAGAATCACCAGACAATCCTACATATGCGCGCAGAGAAGGAAGCTCTTCAGACCAAGATTAAGGACACTATCTTCGAATGCGTGCGATTTAGGAAAGAATTGCATTCGATCGACCCACGGATTACGGATCTAAGCGATTCAGAAGACGAAGTACAGACCCGTAACTTGAACCCTGTTGACTATAAGCAGCTTCTTGCTTTCTCAAGCCGCATAGGACGAACGAATGCTACAGTCTTCTTGGAAGCACAGAGAGAGAGCCAACGTTTAGAAGCAGAAGCACGTCAGCAAAGAGAAGAGGAGAGAGAGAAGGAGCGGCTTCATAAACAGACTATGCCTGTTGTCAATGGAATTAATCATGCTGCTACAGCTCCGGCCACTAATGGAATCACAACCGCCTCACCGAGACCAGGCACATCCCACACCGAGCCAACTCAGGAGGCACGAACACAAATTCGGAACGCGCAGATAGAGGCAACGAACTACAAATATTACTCAACCATGCCATATCCATTGTACGAAATACGTAAAGGTAGACTAGGAAGGTTGCAAGAGATGCTAGAACAAGATGGCGAGCCCGCAGTAGAAGCGGAAGTCGAAAGACTGGTGCGAGAGTCAGAGCTACGGAAGAAGCCCGAGCCTGCTCTGGAGGTTGAGTCGGTGGTAGAGCCGGAAGGACGAGGAGATCAGCGTCAGGCACAAAGACCAAGAGAACCAGCACCACCCAGGAAGATGGTTAATCTTGACTTTCCAGAGGATGATAGTTCTGACGAGGAAGGTTAGAGACCGCCTATTACAGACTCACCGTCTTCAGGGTTTGAGGCTCATCTTCCAAGAAACATGGCCACATTGAACTTGAGAAGCGAATATCACATTTTGGATCAAGAGCCAGATAAGGGGGAGATGGATTGGCAGCCGGATTCGAGACGATTGTCACCAACAGTCTGTCAAACGTCAGCCTTCCAGCTTGGCGTGGCAGAAGAGGACAGCGAAGTAAGTGAAGAGATGTGACCAAACGGTCAGCACAACGTGCTGGACAACATCAACGATGCGTTCGAGTCACCAATATGTGTTGTGTACTGCGTTTTATGTGGCGTAGGGCCCATCGTTCTGACTGCAGAGGAGACGGCATACGTTCATATAGTCGTACCTTGCGCACGGAATACAGGCTCAACGCTGTCAGAACGATAGCAACGCCGTACTCAGCAGCGTCGACAACCCAACGCGTCCTTTGCATGACCATGCATGGCGCTGCGAAGACTCACGTTCTAACTCATTACCGTTGGTACCATTGTTACTCACCTGCGTACCCTCCAACGCCAGTTCCACTATAAATTCTCTGCCAGCAGTTCCTCCACCTAGCCATTCCATCTTCTGCACCAAGCAAATCTAACTCACACAATTCGATATCGAAAGTCAATACATTTAGTTCAATTCATACTTCTTGACTAAAATATCCATATATCGACTTCGCAGACTCCAGTTTGACTCAACGTCAAGATGTCCAGCTCAAATCAGGGAGGTCAAGACTCGAACAAGAAACTGAAGCCTCCTTCCGAAAAGCCAGTCTGGTGGATACCGCCGAAGGACAAACCCCCCACTGACAAGAACTGGTACGACAGCAAGGACAAACAGCCAAAGCCTGACCCCAAGAAATGAGGGCGTTGTGTATGTGCCGGCTAGCATACTTCGAAGCGCATAGAGCGCGAGTAATGGAAGGAAGTGAGCTGAGGTAAACAGCGGAGGATTCGGAGCTGAAACGACGTCTCAATCACGGCTCATCCTGATGTTTGACTTGTGGGGCCAATGGAATATATAGCTTGTGCTGCTCAACAAACAAAATCACCGATCGGACCGAGCTGAGCGGATGGGCAAAGCAGCCTCAACAAAAGAGCTGGAGCAGCAGCAGCAGGAGCTCGTAAGCACTTGGGCTCTCTACGTATGGAAGATAATGGCAGGCTATGGTTAGCTCTTCAGTCAACGTACTTGAGATACACGACGAGCTTTCGCTATTCACCAACAGCACAAAGTGATTGCAATTCTTCTTCTTTCTACCACTCTTTCATTGTAGTAGGTGAACTGGACTAACCTTGTGCGAAGACATCTTCTGTGTAATGAATAGAACAGCTTACTGTTTGTGCCAGGTAAGCAACGGAGCTATTAGAGAGCTTGCTGCTTACACAACACTAGTCCATCTTGCAGACTGTTAGTCTAACTTGCTCGTGGGTCCTCTTGTGTAAAACGTATTAGTACATACGTGGCTCGAAGTCAATCAGCACTCTCTGTTTCGTCTCAAGTTAAAGCCGTGAAAGACGGAAGTTTGGCAAACCCATGTCGCAGCAGTCGTGCCAAAACCAACTGCCGATGGTTGCTAGCCGAGATGAACAACGATCAGGAGCATCGAGGCATGTTGACAATGCTGGTACCTGACGCTTGCCTGGATGCAGTTGATCAAGCGCAGAAGTTCCGCGAGTTACAAGTACGGCACACACCGTCAAAGTGCCGGTGACTGGTGGAGTCCCCGTGCCAAGCTAATCAAACCTGGAGAACTCTGGGGACTCGACAACAACCCCGACCCATATGGACGATTCAGATGCCAAACACGTGGCTATTTATCCTTTCGAGGCTTGATTCATTCCTGCATCTACTCATGTCAGCTTGAAAGAGTCAGACAGTGTCAAAGTCGACATGCGTACGGCTTCCAATCTGCATTAGCGATGGTACACAATTCCTATAGATCAGAAAGAGCCGAGGATAGAGATGACCGATTTTGGTTTACCTGACGTTCATGCTCGTATCGAAAGACCTATCGAAAGGTCCAAGATCTGACAGGGTACTTATCCGATCCTTGCAACATGTCGAGAGTTGGGGATAACTCGTAAGTACAAGCGGAGGAAGTACCGACAGACTACCAGCCATGGCCTCGACAGCTTGCTCGTAGCCATACATATTCTCATCTTAGCTCAGTCCGTCAGCTAACCAACCAGTCTTTGGCCTCTCTGTCTTCTGATTTTTTGCTCGTTGCCCTGATCCTTTTCCACCTCATCGCCGACAAGATGGAGATGAACACCGATGAGAACACTCTTCACCAACTAGAAGATGAGCTACACACGCGCATCTACCCCGGCACTGAAATCATGTCAGATGTCGGATCCGTTCACTTCATCTCAGATCATTCGCGTGTCCTCGTCCCGCAGCCTTCTGCCGACCCTCACGACCCACTCAACTGGTCACCCTTCTGGAAAGCCAGTGCAATGGGTCTGGCCACGGCTGTGAGCTTCGCACAAGGATTTGGACCTTTGGCATTAGCGCCCATGTTTCCGCAGCTCATGGAGGCGTATGATGCGAGTTTGGCGGAAGTGGTGCAATTCACGGGTGTGTGTATCTTGGTTTTGGGGTTTAGCAACTTTTTCTGGTAAGTGGGAAATACCTCTGTGAGAAGGAAAGCATAAAATGCGAGAGAACAAAGCTAACGATACTTACGACAGGGTACCAATTCAGACAGCTTTCGGCAGACGACCAGTGCTGATCTTCTCGACGCTTGTATGTCTTGTGAGCAATATCTGGAGAGCCGAAGCGAAGACTTATGGAAGCTACATGGGAGCATGTGTCTTAAATGGGTTCGGAGCCGGACCAGCAGAAACAGCTCAACCTCAGATCACCGCAGATGTGACGTTTTTGCATGAGCGAGGAGCCTGGAATACGTTGTAGTAAGTCACTGCCTTCGACATCACAACGTAGAAGACGTGGCCTTGTTCAAGGACATCCCGCTAACACACTGCCTCGCAGCTTCACCTTCTACTTCGGCTCTCTCATGGTCGGACCCATCGTCGCAGGTCCAATGACGGAACACGTTGGCTGGCGCAGTTTTTGGTGGCTCAACGTCGGCCTCCTAGGCATTGTCCTCATCCTTCTCATCTTCCTCTTCCCAGAAACGAAATGGCACCGTCAGCACCCTCGAGAACTACTCAGACAATCGATCGATGCCGGCAATCCAATCGCACTCGACGACAAAGCAACCGCCACAACCATCGAACAACGCGACGGAGAGAAACAGACCCCCAACAACACCCTCACCCAAACCCCAACAGCCCAACGCGATCCGCATCTCCACCACGGCACCCCCTCCAAACAACAATTCAAACTCTTCCAACCAAACTCCCACCCCCTGCGCGCCATCATCCTCGACCTCTGGATCCCTATCAAACTGCACATCTACCCCATCATTGAATTCGCCGCCTTCGTCGTCTCCTGGTCCGCATCCTCCTTCCTCACCATAAACCTTACACAATCCCAAGCCTTCTCCGCCCCACCATACAACTACTCCGCACAGACAATCGGATTCTTCAATTTTGCCATCTTGGTCGGTGCGATCATCGGGTTGTTCAGTAATGGGTGGTTGAGCGATTGGTTCGCTGCACGGCTGACGAAGCGAAATCGAGGCGTAAGGGAGCCGGAGATGAGATTGCCGACGTTATTGCCGTATGTTCTCATTATGTTGTTGGGGAACTTTGTCGTCGCATTTGGATGCCAGTATAAGTGGCGGTGGGAAATCATTGTGTTGATTGGGTATACCTGTGCGGGTATTCAGGTTGCTGCAATTCCGGCCATTGCTACGACGTACGCGGTTGATAGCTACAAGCCAGTTGCGGGGAGTATCATGGTGACCATTACTGTTAACAAGAATGTCTGGGGGTATGGGTTCAGTAAATTCATTACGCCGTGGGTTGAGGAGGCAGGATTTGTGCCGCCAATTATGTTGAATATGTGTTTGATCTTTCTGTGGTGCTCGTTTGGACTGGTGTTCTACATCTTTGGGAAGAGGCTGAGAGGGTTGACGGCGAAAAGCAGTGTGCATGAGATGTGAAACTTAGAGTATATAGACTTGAGGGAGGAGAAGAAGAGTCATTACTTGATATATAGCCCTCACTTCAATAGCAGACATTCTAAGTACTGGCCGAATCAGGTCCGTTTCCACAATAATCGTCAACATGGAGAAAGAACCATCATATATCATTCACACAGAAAGAATATTTATCATGTCCGCTTGCCCCATCCGGAGAAGAACCCACCTACACTACTCGTCGAAGGAGCATGAGCATGTGTAGCAGGTTTGGGCATCTCAGGAGTCTTTGCTGATGCGGACGGCGGAGTGGTCCCGAATATTGACGCACTACTGCTGTGCTCAAACTTTGCACTCAGTGTTGGTGTCATAGCGCCTCCACTGATGATCTTTCGCAATGCATCTAGTTTGCCTTTCGTCTCTTCCAGCTCCTGTCTTGCCACAGCCTCCGCAGTCTTCGCGTTGACTAAATCAAGCAACAAAGCTTCGTGAGATTGAGTCTGCTCAACTGGTGGGGGTGCCATCATAAGACTGCTACAGCGTTTCGAGAATTGCAGAGAGGAAGCGCGAGGATTGTCTGCTCGGCCCAGTCTGAACTCTCTCAGTCCTTTGGCCGGAGGTGGTAGCTTTAGCTCTAGCTCCGTTTTCTCGCTGATAGGTGTATAAAGGTCTTGAGGAGACTCGAGTGCAGGACTCGACCGATTTTGAGTTTTGAGATCTTGAACTTGCCTCTCCAGGCGCTGCTTGTCCTTGTGAGCATCCTGAATGCGTTGGCGGGCCTCCCTCAGTTCGTCCCGTAATGTGTTGTGTTCGGAATCTCGCTCGTCGAGTTGTCTCATCAGGTCTTGACATCTAGCAGCTTCTGTTTCATGCTTTTCCTTCCATTCAACCGCCGCGTCTCGCAATTGGTGCTTGGTTTGGATTATGGATATCCTTCGGGATTCTGTGGGGCATAACTTCTGGCTTGCATTATTGATCAACTCCTCGATCTCATCGTCTGCCTTTGCCGACTCTTCGTCATAAGTAGATAGTCGCCTCTCTTCTCTTTGCTTGCGCAATTGGTGAAGAAGAGAAGTTGCCAATGTTCGTTCTTCCTCTCGTTCCTCTCGTTCACGTTGCAACTCACGTGCCAGTTCCATTTGCTGATATTGCAACTTTCCAAGCGCAGTAAGTAAATCTTCTATTTGACTGTGTAAACCTTTGTCCGACATAGTGGTAGGTGCAGTATCAGATGACGCCAAAGAAATGACCTCGCTTTTCGCTCGACCCGCGTCAGAAAGATCAGTGCTTTCCGAAGTTTTATCGGAGGTGGTTATCTCGATCGAAGCCACTGTTGAAGTGAGACTGTTGCCAGAAGAAGTCTTACGTAACGTGGTGACAGTCACAGATTCACCAGGAATTCTGAGGCTCAAATTTGACTTTGTTTGTTGATGACTGGCACCAGCCCAGAACCTGCCAAGTAAAGAGGTCGCAGCACTTTTCAGTGGAGATGGTATGACAGGCGTTTGTGATTGTTTGAAGTCTCCTTCGAGGTTTTGTAATGTCTCGCGGCTAACAAGATTGGTGAGTGAGGTGAAATCTGTGACCATATCGTCGGCGTGTTGAGCATAGGTATCCCACAGACTTCGTGAGAGCAGAAATTGCATGACATCCTCGAATTCGGAGAAAGCCAGAAGTTTCTTTTGGTTTCTTTGCATGAGTGACAAAGCCACTCTCATTAGAGTTTCTGTAGCACCTTCTGCCAAAATAATGTCGTAAATCCGTAATAGCATGGGCAAGGGACACGTAACTGCAAAGAATGACAGGAACCACTGGGAGACATATAGTGGCTCAACATTCAGCGCGGTCAGATGAGCAGAAAGTTCTGGCATATGTTTGGTGAGCAATTGCTGAAACTGGTAGATGCGTAAATGCAGACCAGCCAGATCAGGAGTATAGCAGGATCGTAGGTCGTAATGCTCCATGAGTCTGACCAATACAGCAAAAGCCTCAGGTTCGCTCATGTGCATCAATAGAGGACCGACCACAAACCCAAGACCTTGACAGTAGCCGATCTTTTCGTCATACAAGCTGAAAGCTTTGAGGACTCTTCTAAGCATTTGTTGACCTTCGCCATCCTTCTCTTTAAACATATCGACATTGGGAAAGCTCCTGCCTACGTCTTTTCCTATTAGACCGTCATAGGGGCTCGTCTCGATCGATAACCTTTGGAAGTCTTCGTGAAGTTTTGGATCGTGAGCACCAGCAATACTGGGCCATACCACGCCTCGGAGCGGTGGAGGCACACCTCCTCGAATCTTATTGGAGGTAAGGGTAGGTAATCGTTGGACGGTCTGAGGATAATCTTGCACGAGGGCTGCCCAGAAATCGAGCTCGGTCATAGCAGGTGCAGGTACGAGAGAGTATCGTAGAGATTGTCTTTGTGGGCCGTTGACCAACTTCTTCAGGCCATGAACAGACATGGGCCTCGGCATGGGACGAGTGTCAGCTCTTTGTCTCTTCGGAGAAATGCCCGATTTGGGATCGATTGCAAGAGCATTGTTCTCCTGTTCGAGCCTGGCCAGAAGAAGGGCGGTTGACTGAAAGGAGGTTAGTAAGTGCATGCTGCCTGTGTAGGAACGAACGTACCTCGTCTGTAGCCTCATCTTTGACCTCTTGCTCCTCAGTCTTGTCAAGACCTTCCCAGTCAACCGAGTTGGAAGTGCTCGACGCGTTTGAACTTCTGCTAGATGGTCTCGAAGATGAGGTAGATAGTGAGGAGACTGTACTAGAGTGTGCAGTCCCTGTAACGACGTCGATTGGGTGCTCCTCTACTGGCTCTTCCACAATTATGGGATGAGTATTCAGGTCGAGGTCCGACAACCGTACAGTGATCATTGAGTCGGTAGGCAAAGGAACATTCTCTGGTTGAACTTCTTCTTCCTCAATCGTTTGCACAATAGGTAGTGCATTAGAAGTTTCGTCTATCATTTTGAATCGAGCTGTGCTGTAATTTGTGATTAATGAAAGTACGGGCGGTTTCTCCCAATCAGAGCAGAAGGAGTGATGCTCTGGCTATGTGCTGAAGGGTTGAAGGAGTGACGGGATACAAAGCCTCGCCAGCGAGACTGCGAGCACGACTATTGACAATATCGACAACGTGGAGGAAGAAGAAGAAGAATTGAGGGCTGCAACTGGAGTTACAGTCGCAGTTACTGCGGGCCAGGCGATCGATAGTGGTTTGGTGGCTTGCCTCGCTTTTGACTGGTTTGCCCACTCACGGTGCAGATGGAGCCGATCAGGGGTGACGAAACTCTCTTTGAACCAATCTCGGAATGGCCTTTGGAGCTTTCAATCACGCTGGTTACAAGCTGTCGAGCATTACTGAATCGAAGATAGTACAGCATTCCTGGGAGGCTCGTTCGTCGACTTACCCCGTGCTCATGCCGCGAGTCATCGTCACTCTCTTTGTACGGGAAACATTCTACGTGGAGAAATGGGCTGAAAGAAGATCAAGAACAAAGCAGAAGAACTCCAAGGTTGTGAGACAATGATGGGAACAACTCACGTGGTGTTATGGAGGCTGAACACGAGTTCGAGTTGCGGTCGCTCCTGCAGTGGTTCTGAATCGGAAAGTGCGAGTGAGAACATGGTACAGCTGTGATCAGTAAATCAGGCAGGAGCTATGAGTAAGTATACGACATTGTCGTCATGTAAGCACCTTTCAAAGGGTTCGTCAAATATCTTTCAGTAGTTCTTCTTTCTTCATAGCCACCCCTCTTCTGTTAACTGCAAATGCTCGAGCAGCGGAATAGAGGGAACAAACAGTACGAGCATCCCTGCGTTTGGGTCGCAGGTCGATTTGAGTCTGGCAAGCTGATTGGTAGTGCTTTCACGTGACTAGAAGACCTGCGGGCGCTAAGAAGTAGGCTAGGCCGAGTTTTGTAAAGTGGTAAACATTGACGACGCGAGGCAGAAATATTGGTGAAGCGTGAGGCCTTGTTTATTCAGAACAACCAGTCGATTATGTCGACCACGTACTTCACCCATTGACCTTCGCGACTATCTCCACGTTCGCGATCGCGTTTCTACCTAACTCTCACGCTCCTTTTCGCTCTGTCTTCCCTACCTCGACTTGTTTCCTGTCACAAATTCACGATCAACACGAGGCGAGTACGACACGATGAGTGACGAAGAATCAGCTTTCGACGTCCTGTCGGAGGAGTCAGATTTCGCGCCCAAACCAAAAGCAAAGGCCAAAGTAGTCAAGGCACCACCGAAAGAGAAAGTTCCCAAGAAAGCCACCGTACCCAAGGCAACGAAACCTGCCAAACCCAAACCCACAATCCCTAAAAAACGCGTTAAGGACGAAGAGAACGATTCCGACAATGAGCCTGGTGCTTTTGACGATGAGTCCCTGCTCAACGACACTCCTCCCAAAGCAAAGAAGCAGAAGATGACAGCCAATGCGGTTAAGAGCCCCCACAACAAGCCTCTAGCCGAGTTGGTCCAGGAGAATATGGAAGCATTGGGTGAATCATCGAAACAGACTAAGAAGAAGCGAGTCTCGGAACAGTATCAGAAGCTCACCCAACTTGAGCACATCATCAAGCGTCCAGACACTTATATTGGCTCCATTGAGAAGACGGAAAAGCAGACATGGGTTTACAACATCGAGACCAGCTCTATGGAGTATCGCGAGATTACTTATGTCCCTGGTCTCTTCAAGATCTTCGATGAGATCTTGGTCAACGCTGCAGACAACAAACAGAATGACCCAAACATGAAAGAGATCAAGGTTGTGATAGATCGCGAAAAGGGCGAGATCAGCGTTCAGAACGATGGAAAGGGTATCCCAGTCGAGATCCACTCTAAAGAGCAGGTCTATATTCCAGAGATGATCTTCGGTCATTTGTTGGCTGGCTCCAACTTTGACGATAATCAACAAAAAGTCACTGGTGGTCGAAATGGTTATGGTGCAAAGCTCTGCAACATCTTTTCCACCGAATTTACTGTCGAAACTTCAGACAAATCGCACAAGAAGAAGTACAAGCAGACATGGTCTGACAATATGTCGAATATGGGCAAGGCAAAAATTGCTGATACTACCTCCAAAGATGACTACACAAAAGTTACCTTCAAGCCCGACTTTGCTAAATTTGGCCTTGACGGTTTGGACGACGATCACGTTGCCTTGTTCACACGTCGAGTCTACGATCTGTGTGGTACTATGCCTGGTGTCAAAATTCATCTTAATGGCTCGCGAATTCCTATAAGCAATTTCAAAAAATACATTGAGCTGTACACGAAAGCCATCAAGGACGAAAGAGGTGAAGAGGCTCAGCATGATCAATCTGAAATCATCACTGAAAAATGTGGCGATCGATGGGAAATCGGCTTTGCTGTATCTGACGGCTCTTTCCAACAAGTCTCCTTCGTCAACTCGATCGCAACCACTGTTGGTGGTACTCACGTCAATTACATCGCAGATCAGATTACTGGCAAGCTAGCCGACTTTATGAAGAAGAAAAACAAGACGGGAGCTCAGCTAAAGGCGAACCAAATTCGAAATCACATCTTCATCTTCGTCAACTGCTTGATCGTCAACCCAGCCTTTAGCTCTCAAACCAAAGAACAGCTTACCACCAAAGCTAGCCAGTTCGGTAGCAAATGCGTCGTCTCCGACGAATTCATCAAGAAAGTACAGAAAACACAAGTCATCGAGAACATCATGGCTTTCGCAGAGAAGAAAGCTGATCAGATACTGAAAAAGTCCGACGGCGCACGTCGCAGCCGCATACACGACCCAAAGTTGACCGATGCCAACAAGGCGGGCACGAAAGATGGCCATCTATGCACGTTGATCCTGACCGAAGGTGAATCAGCCAAGGGTATGGCAATGGCAGGCAGAGCTGTCGTTGGTGCTGATGTCGTTGGTGTCTTTCCACTACGTGGCAAACTGCTCAACGTGCGTGATGCAAACCCCGAGCAGGTCTCTAAGAACAAAGAAATTCAGAATATTAAGAACTTCCTTGGTCTGAAACACAAGACGGTGTACACTGATACCAAATCTCTCAGATATGGCCATCTCATGATAATGACCGATCAGGATCACGATGGCTCTCACATCAAGGGTTTGCTTATCAATTTCTTGCAAGTGTCTTTCCCTAGCTTGCTCAAGATTCCAGGCTTTCTGGTCGAATTTATCACACCAATTATTAAAGTCTGGAAAGGTGACCCGCGAAATCCTACCAAGGCTAGAGCTTTCTACACTATGCCCGAGTATCTCGCCTGGAAGGAGGCTCACAAGCACGAGAAGGGTTGGGAGCACAAATATTACAAAGGATTAGGTACCAGTTCCATTGAGGAATCCCAGCAATATTTCAATGACCTCGACAAGCATCACAAAGACTTCGAAGTCATGGAAGATGAGGAAGTCGAGCTCATTGAATTGGCATTCTCGAAAAAGAAGGCCGACGAGCGAAAAGAATGGTTGAGACAATTCAGACCTGGTACCTACTTCGACCATTCGGCCAGAAAGATTTCCTACACAGACTTCGTTAACAAAGAGCTCATCCTGTTCTCCATGGCTGATAACATTCGATCGATTCCATCAGTCGTTGACGGTCTCAAACCAACTCAGCGCAAAGTCCTTTATACTTGCTTCAAACGAAACATCAAGAAGGACATGAAGGTAGTCGAACTGGCAGGTCTAGTTTCTGGTCTGACTGCCTATCAACACGGTGATGTCTCTTTGCAACAGACCATCGTAGGTCTGGCTCAATCGTTTGTCGGCTCGAACAATGTCAATACACTCTTTCCAGCAGGTCAATTTGGTACGCGTTTACAAGGTGGTCAAGATGCTGCCAGCGCTCGTTACATCTACACTAGGCTCTCGCCATTTGCTCGCAAGCTCTTCCATGCCGCTGATGAGCCGCTACTGAAGTACAACACGGACGACGACAAACAGATCGAGCCCGAGACGTACGTGCCTGTTGTTCCTATGGTCCTCATCAATGGCTCTGATGGTATTGGTACGGGTTGGAGCTCTTCTATTCCCAACTATAGCCCTGAAGATATCGTGGACAACCTTCGGCGGAAGATGAAAGGCGAGGACTTTCAACCGATGCGACCCTGGTTTCGTGGGTTCAAAGGCGAGGTTACTGAGGCTGGGCCAGACCGCTGGAAGTTCACTGGTGTTGTCACACAGAAGTCTGACCAAGAAGTCGAAATCACTGAACTGCCAGTCCGAATGTGGACGCAAGATTTCAAGGAGAGACTTGAGGAGATCATCAAAGCTGAGAAGGTACCCTCCTGGATCAAAGACTACAAGGACTACAACACCCATGCGGATGTGCACTTTGACGTGACACTGGATGAAAAGCACATGGAGCAGGCTCTGAAGGAGGGACTAGAAGAGAAGTTCAAATTGTCCAAGACAATGGCAACATCAAATTTAGTGGCATTTGACCCAGAGGGTCGCATCACAAAGTATGCTTCCGTGGATGCCATTATGGAGGAATTCTATGCCTATAGGCTACGATTCTATCAACTTCGAAAAGACCACATGCTCGAAGACATGAACAAAGATCTGAAAAAGCTCAGCAACCAGGCCAGATTCATCAAGCTGATCATTGAGAACAAACTCGTAATCTCTCGCAAGAAAAAGTCCGTCCTTATTGCAGAGCTCAAAAAGCTTGGCTTTGATGCTTTCCCAAAGAAAGAAGACGCTAGCAAAGCTGGTGAGCTGGAAAAGTTGGTCGACGAGGCCGAAGACGATGATAATGATCAGAATGATGAAACTCTCCAGGCCAGCTCGTATGATTACCTCCTTGGTATGGCTTTATGGTCCCTGACCCAGGAGCGTGTCGAGCGCCTCGAGAAGCAGATTGCTGAGAAAGAGCTGGAAATCAACGAGCTCTTAGAGAAATCGAGAGAGGACCTCTGGTCTGCTGACCTTGATGAGTTCATCACTGAGTGGCGCTTTCAGCTTGAAGATGAAAAGAATCGTGCGAAGCAGGTCAGAAAAGGACGACGAGAGTCCAAGAAGTTCGGCGCTGGCAACAAGAGGACAGCCCGTAAAGACGATGACGATGATTTCGCGGTCACGAAGACGAAAGTATCCAAGAAGCTGGCTGATTCGAAGCCGAAGATTGCAAAAGACAAGCAATCGACTCTCTCTGGCTTTGTCAAGACACAAGCTGAGAAGGTCGATCGCACAAACAAGGAGTATGTTCCCTCACCCAAGAAGCCGGCCCTATTTCAAAACCATATGACTGCTTTTAGCAGATCTCCCCAGGCACTATCCCGGAAAGTTGACGTGACCAAGCCCGCACGTTCTGATGAGGATCCTGGCCTTGAATCCCTTTCTGGCCCTATCCATATGAAGAAGCTTGCTAATCCTATTCGTGGTAGTTCCGATTTCGAATCTGATGCTCCTGCTCCTGCTGTAACAAAGACTAAACCGATCACAAAGTCGAATGGCATTAAGCATGACTCCGACGAAGACGACCTCGACGATGTACCAGTAAAGGCTGCCTCGAAGCCTGTTGGTCGTGCAGCTGCGACGAAAAAGAAGACTTATGCTATCGATAGCGAGGACGAAGACGATATCAATGACATCGTCAAGAATGCATCCGAGTCTGAGGTTGAAGCACCAAAACCTAAACCGAAAGCAACTGCGAAGGCTGCTACAACCAAGCCAATAGCGGTTCCAGTCAAGAAACCAGCGATTGCAGATGATAGTGACAGTGGCAGTGATGGAGACAGTTTTTTAACAGGACTAGGTACTCTGTTGGGTAAGAACAAAAAAGAAGATGGTTTCACAGACCCCAAGACAGCTGCGACTACCAATGGTATCTCCGTGGACAAGACGTCAAAGGTAGCGACCAAGAGTAAGCCAAGTGTGAATGGCAACACCAAGAAACGGCAAGAGGACGCTGCAGTCAAGGCCACGAACGTAGTGAAGGCACAGAGTCGTCCTGCACCTCCGGTCCATGACCTGTCGATATTGGATTCGGACACAGATATGCTTGATACAGATGCTGCGCCGAAGCCCACGAAAACGAAGGCGAAGATACTTGACGCTGAGAGCGGCATCGACCATTCAGACGCTCCGATTGACAATGACGAAGACGAGTCTATCGTCAAGCCGAAGGCAAAAGCAGGCGCGGCTAAAAATGCATCCGCCAAGCAAAAGACTGAACCTTCTGCAAAGGTAAAGCCTGTGAAGTCTGCACCCGTAAAGAAGCCAGCCGCAGCTGCAAAGAAGACCTCATCTTCTGTTGCTCCGGCTCCAGCAAAGTCGGCACCGGCTGTTCAATCACCAGCCGCAAAAGCATATGCTAAGAAACTCGAGAAATCGAAGAACAAGAAACTTGACGTGGACGACTCTGACGAGGACATGATGGACGCAGATGGTACGGCAGATGTCGTTGACGACTTACTAGATTCTGATGAGGATATTCAACCAAAACCTGCAGCTACCAGACCAAGTCGAAGAGCTGCTGCAGCTCCTAGCAAGGCGAAGAAATATGATTTTGGGGATGATGGGGATGAGGATGGAGGTGACGGCTTTGGCGTGCAAAGTGAGGAAAGTGAAGCATTCAGTATGGATGATGATTGAGCGCTGCGTCGTACTTAAGTTACAGCGTTCGTGGCATACTAGGAAGGGCTTCTCCGGCCGTGCAGGAGATTAGCATGAGTAAATGGAACATTAGATAGTGCTGTCAAGCAGGGTGTCAAGGTGTTCAGGGAGTTTAGTCAGGAGCAGAAACAGCAAGCCTTTGCTTCATGTGTCGAGTTGTATTGTTGGCTCTTTACTGGTCAAGTGACGCTGGAGATGATTTTCTACTGTTTGCATATACATATGTTATGGCGTAGGTACCTTGAACCAGTGAAGGTCAATCCTGGTCCCGAATCTGAATATAAATTTAGTTCTTTCCAGATTGTCACCTGGGTATACGAATCAGCGTTATCACTCTACCGTGCTCTACTGTCCTCAAGGTCGCAGACTTAGATTGAGAACTTGAACAAGACCACAGGGTGGTTCGCAGCCGGAGCAGTGTGGTTTATTTCCAATTTATTCGTGGGTGCAAGAGGTGAGCACCTGATTGCACTATATGTTGCTGGTTACAACCTACGAGCACTTCTCGATACTAGGTCAATTGGCCACGAATTTATGCGGTTCTACTCATACCACTTCTTTCGCTGGTCACACTCGTCGCAAGCATCGCATCCATGGTAGGTCACATATCTTCGTAGATGGAGATTGACATGCGGTAAAGCATGGCCATTGAAGGACTCATAGCTACAGCAATAAAGCTGGTGGGGTGGCTCGGAAGGATTGCTATCAACAATAATTTCCAGGCAGTAGTTCAGGTACGCATCCGCACGATCCGAATCCTGGCATCACGCCACGTGCACGCGTTCTCGTACACATCTTATTGTGTGGTATCGTCTGATATTTTTCTGCACCTTCCTTCATCCTTCCGACTATGAGTAGAGGTAAGGACAGATCTTTCAACCCCGCAGCAGGTCGTCCTCATCACCTTCGACCTCCTGCTCTCATGGAAGATCGACAGCAGTGGCAGCGGAAACGTTGACGCAGATATCGCGTAACAGACGCTTCCAGCTGGTTGATTCACAAATTGAGTTATCATGGCTGAGCTGACTCTCACTCACGAAGAGAGTTGTTGGAAACGCGATCGCGGTCTGGCTGAGCGCCACAACTTCACTTCCACCAATCGAGCATGTCTAGCTCACTTGGCGTCGATGTTTATTTCAGCTGACCCACTCAGAGCATCCTCTTGCACGCAAGCTTACTCGTTTTGGTGCACGACTTGACCCTTTACAGGTACGTTTCCAGTAGGCTTCGAATTGCAGACACGCGATGTCTCGAAAGTTTGCATCTAGCCAGGCGCTGTTGTGCAGAGCCGCTCATGATCAACCAGAAAATATGGATGTCAGACTCTTGTCTCCGGCTTGAACAACTCTTCGCAGAACTAACGCTGCCACATCAAATTCGCGCATCTTAAATATCTTCTCTTGCTCTCCAGCCATTCCCTTGGTCTTTCCCTTGCTGGTCTCTACACACTACGCCTCAATATTCGCCGGCATGGAGAAGCACGAAACTCAGATTGGCAGCTCAGAAGTCAGACCTGACAGTGAGCATAGTCAGGCAGCCGTTGTTCCAACTGCTGCAGCATGGCCAACACAACCAAAGCCTCTGGTTCTTTCGAAATGGGAGCGGAACTTGTGGTTAGCGTACGACATCTTTCTCGTATTTATGCCAGTTGCTCTGATTGTGAAAACTGGGTTGGTGATTCTGGCTTGGAAGCTCGACAGCGGCAATTCAGGCTCATATTTCGACCAAGCTAGTCAGCTCTCCTGGTACTTGGTAAGCTTCAACAGTCAGCTGGTCACTCTCTTCACCATCATTTTTGTCACCATCATCTCGACATGCGTGAAGCGATATGCACTATGGAAAGCACAGAAAGGAGCATACCTCTCAGAACTCGAACAGCTTCAAGGAAGTATTAGTCTGCCAAGTACCCTCAAGCTCATCTGGTCTTTACGATCCTTCAGCACCATGTCCGCCTGCCTCGTCTGTATCTGGGCATTCTACTATCTGGGTAGTCAGGCTGCCAAGGAGGAGTACGTTGCAAGTAATTCCGATGCCATCAAGGATCGTTATGCCTTCGTTCAGCGGCCAGATGGACCAACGATTTTCGACTCAGGAGTGAACGACTTTCTCAATTCTTCTGGTGCTTCGAATGTCACGTATGCTACCTACCGAGATCTGAACTACCGCTTTGCCAATGCTCTTCTCCTGAAGGGAGATATGACTCGGAGACGAGATGATCCGACCGCGGGCACAAACGATGGACCATTGATACCAGACCTCGATTCTGTCATAGCGGCCCACGATCCAGGGAGCACATTGAACAAGGTTGTTACCCATGTTACAGGCTGGATCGATGTGTCTCAGCAGTCCAAGAACCAATACCTTTACACGAGTCATCAGGGTGTTTCACCACTTCTAGCATCTTGGACCCCCAAGAACAAAGACGATTTAAGTTATTATGACCAGCAAATTCTAGGTTCGTACGAACTTAGCACGAGCTATCTATCAGTCGCATGCTCCGATCTCGAGGCACTGCCAGTTGACATGTTCCCCAACGGTACAAGCTATAACTCTTCTGTCAGTCTCAACGTCACTTCCTATCGACCTGACGCTCCCCGCGATGCAGCCGGTCACGCTCTACGAGAGTTTGAATACTGGTACAGGACGAGTATGCTCGTGAATGCTACCGTGGAACGCTTCGAAGGAGGAGGATTCCAGATAATTGGCGGCGTCTCTCAGAATTTCGCTTTGAGAGGGGTTTGCAATGTAACGACGAAAAATATCGACCTGAAAGTATCATGTGTCACGACTGGCTGCTATCCTCACGCCATGCGATGGCACAACAACACAAATGCCACAGCAGCAACGAGCTACAGCACGCCCTTCGACTCCTTGGAGTTCGGTAACAATTTTCTCAGCAATCTGACTTTGTCCACAGGGCCAGCGTTTGACTGGGTCATGGACGCGCCCTTGGTCTACAACTATCTTTCTACAAGTGGGACTGGCTTGTACGATACCTCCGATCCGAGTGCTTGGATTGGCACTCCACCTGCTCTATCAATGACCCAGGTTTTCAACACCTATCTTACGCTTTCGCAATCAATGATACAACAATACATGCCACAAGACATCGCTGCCATCATGGAAAAAGGCTCAGACGCCGTGAACATGAAACTGACCGTGGATGGCGCACCATTTGTGCGAGCATACAGAATCGATTGGCGTTGGGTTCCCATCGATTTCATTTCCTCAGCCATTCTTCTCGCAGCTGCCATCGCTTCTTGGTGGCTACGTACCAAGACTTTGGCACCAGATATCTTCGGCTACGTCTCCTCTCTCACGCGAGACAACGAGCATGTGCCACTACCCACAGAGGGGTCAATGCTGTCAGGTATTGATAGGGCAAGGATGCTCAAGAACGTCAAGGTCAAGATTGGGGATCTAGGAGCCGGACCTTCAACACACGAAGGAAATGTTGGCAGGATTGGTCTTGCGCCTGCTGATGCGAGTGTATCGGGTCTGAGGCAGGAACGTCTATATGTTTAGAGATGAAGTTATTGTTGTGTGCTTGAGGTTAGCGATTTATCATGAGCATGAAACAATCTATATTGTTGGTGGCAGTTATGTACTCTGCCCTTATCTTTGATCACGATTATGCATTGGCGGTTTTGTTCTTCGCGGTATTCGTAATGTGCAGCCCGTGTTTGCCGACTTCCTCTTGATCAAAGTACTGGTTTGTTGCTAACATGTACTTGCACCAAGGTCCAAGCACTTCGAGACGTATCGCCTTGGTAGACGCCTGCCGTTACGAGGAGACACCTCCAAGTCTGCCTGATACACACGTATTAATCAGCATTTCCTGACGGTCGGATCACTGTTCAATGCCTCTCTGCCAAGCTATATTTCGAGCTTTGCGCACTTGTCAGAGACAATTACACATATCAAAATTGTAAGATTGACCTTCAACTACAAAAAGTGAAACTGCTGTCTAAGCATCTGGACTAAGTATATGCTGAAAAACAAATGTGATCCATCACAGATTCATCGTACCAACCTGCACAATAGGACCAGTGAAGTGCTTGTGCTGTCGAATAAAATACCATCCCAGGCCCAAAATCATGCATCCACTCCATAGTGTCGAAGCCCAATTCATCGAGGCTGGAGTCACAGGAATCGCGATTGGGAAGAAGGTGAACACCCAAGTTACAGCAAGCCAGACGATTGCTACAATGTTGATGGGCAGACCAGCCCTACCGAGATTCCAAGGACCCATCTTCAGTGGCTGGTTTGTAGCTCTCCGCCATGCAAGGAGGGCGATCGGGATCGCGTATGAGCCCCAGTAGCATGCGATTGTGAGTGAAACGATGGCATTGAATGCTACTGCTGAGCCAATGTTGATAAGACTGAGGAGGAGAGAAATCACTGCGGACAAGGCGATAGACCACAATGGCAGATGTGTTCCCTGATGTACTGCACAGTGTTAGTCAATTTCTAATACGCAACAGAGTGACATACCTTTCTTGATCCAGGTCGAACCAGGGAGACCATTGTCACGTGCAAAAGCCCATGTCACTCTCGATGTCGAAGCCAACACTGCAACCGTAGCGAAAATGAACATAGCTACTAGCAGTGAAGTGAGACCTGTCGCAAAGCCTCTGTCGTCCAGCACAAAGTAAAAGTAGTCGACCAGAGGACTGCCGGACACAGCTGCAGAAGTGATGCTTGCGATGTCGTCCAGACTTCCTAGTGTGAACAGGATAGCAATCGCCATTGCCATGCCGAGAACACCGTTGATGGTCACGCTCATCATCAGGGCCCTTGGCACGTTCATACGGGCGTTCTTGACCTCCTCTGCCATATGAATGGCACCGTCCGCTCCTAGGAAGGGAAAGACTGTTGCGACCAATCCACTATTTAATGTCAGCTTTGCACTTCGTGAAGGCTGACAACTTACACAAAGAAGGCTGTCCCATCAGAATATCCTCCAGACGAGACGAATTGGTTCCATACATCTCGTGCAGGAACATGAGGTCCCTATCCATTCGTTAGCTCGTGAACGACGAATGCCTTGGCTGTGCTCGGGTTGCGAGACCCCCAGTGTCTTTTCGAGGGCAGACTCACAAAGTATACGATCGGTACCAAGACCACGATGAATCCCAAACAATGGCAAATCAGAATGCTACCCTCGACCCACGGCAGCAGACGAGCTAGAGTCGTGTTGAACGCAACAGATGCAACGATGACAGCCCATAAGATCAAAGTCGCTTGGTATCGTTCAGCAGCATAATTCGGATAATTTAGCACAGCCATGGCCTGGATAAGGATGCCACACAGATAGAGCACGGCAGCAAAGTCTGCTTGCCAAGCAAGAACAATCTGCCAGCCAGTAAACCACGAAATGAATTTACGGTATTTTGGCGGCGACAATTCGAAAGCCCAATGATACTGACCGGCAGCTGTGGGGACCATGGACACCAGTTCGGAGAGCGAGGCAATGACAGTTGTGTAGCCTCCCCAGACGAAGAGGAATCCCCAGAAAGCTCCAGTACGACCACCGTCGATGACGGCGACGTTGAATGTTCTATCGCCAGTCAATGCCGGCCTGCATCGGTATCACTGAACTTACGTAAACCATGCTTCCCACGTTACCATGATTGTGCATGACAATCCAACCATCGACCACAAACCAAATCTACGCTGTCAAGATGTTAGCACAGATGTCCTTAGGCTTATCTGTGGCATACCTCGAGCTCTGGCTTGTAGCCGAATTGACTCAAGTCGTGGTCCTCGGACTGGAGCGTAACATCTCCATGAAGCACAGTCGGTCGATGTATATCCGATTTCATTTCGTGAGTTTCAACACCCTCTAGGGACTCTGAAGGGGACGACATTGCTGCTGGGATGTCAATGCTCAGTGTGGTGTTCGAGGGGAGAAGAAGGTCGGCAATAACAGAAGAGTGACTTTGGTCTGAAGAGTCGAGGACGCCCTTGCCCAGATGTGCTCAATTGGCCAGCACTCTGAGCAATCTAGTCGAGGACTACCTAGACTACCTCGGCAAGCGTGGCGCGAATCGTCAAGCTAAGAGAGTGTCAAGTCCCGCGAACCTTGTCCGACTGTGAAGTCAAGTGTCGAGGTACGCGGAGGCTCACAATCGCGTGGAAAAAACGTGCTACTTTTCTTCGAGAACAATGTCATTTGCTGGCATGAGGCCGACGAGGAATCTTCGAGCGTGACAGATACTGGGCTCACGAGTTAGCTTCATATCGTGCGGGTTGGGGACACGGGTGATGTTGCTAGCTAGAACTATATGCACGTTTCAGTGCGATGCGAGCGTCCCTGATCGGCGAATGAAGTGCAAGCTCTCGTTCCCATACTTGATAAGCTCCCATGGAAGAGAGCTTGTAGGCGCCAAGGAGTGGGCTTGCAGCTTGATTCAGGCCAGGTTGGGCTTGACTCAAATGCATTTATCCCGAAAAGACAAACCATATCCAAGGAAGATATCCACAGCTTCAGTCCTCTAGACGAAGTCCAGTGGGTACAACCACTACTCAAAGTTGTCGAATTACTGTCCACTGTGCATCACGGCAGCTTGTATGACCACTTTCCAGACAATATTCAGCCATGTCTTCCACACTTATGCCCATTAGACAACAATTGTGGTGCAACACTCCCGCTCTGAAATCTGGTTGAGAGATCAGCACATGTGGAACTAGCACCATCGGGTATCATCCATGCTGCCATATGAACCAAAAAGCTAAACATAAAGTCAATCCATCTCAGGTTCCAGCTCCCTTGGCATTATTGCAGACCTGCTTCGATAGAGTCCCTGCTTGTCAGTCGCCCCTAGAGCACCCTGCACTGCCCTCCAATTGCACCACTATCTGAGTGAGCGTGCAGTAACAGCACCTAAGCCGTGTTGCGTGGAAACCATGTCTGTGCAGATCCTTATTTCTCACTGGTCCTCAAAGTCGCAAAAGACCTGGAGCTGGTTCGCTAAGTGCCGATCCATCTAGACGGAATTGGCGGAGAATCTCCGTTAAGCTTTGGCTAAGTAGTCGAAAACCTTGTCATGCTTGTTTGCACTCATCATTACTACTGTCGTTAAACAAGTCGAGCGTCTGTATCCAATCTCTTGTCGAAGCCAAGTCCTTGGGCCATTTCTCTGCCGTCCCGCAAGCCACGAGTCTGATATTGTGATGTACAGCACCTTCCTTGGCCAGTGATGCAAGGCCTTGATGAGGTCGAACTTGACCTTGTTGGCTTGCGTAGCGCAACTAGAGGAACTTCATGCTTATCTTCAATACTTCGTTTCGGATACTGCAAGCAGCACATGTGTAGGTTCACTAGCTGATCGGCAGGCACATCTTTTCGAGTCCAACATGAACAGCACGAGGGTCTGCAACAATGTAGAAGGCAGGCCTGCTTGCAATTGATCTTGCAGTCATATAGTCTTCTATCGTCCCTGTCGCCTCTTCTGCAGTCAGCACACCGTTCATGCTGATGATAGCCAAGACATGCCACTTCCTACAGGACGACCTCATATAACTCCAGACACTCCGGGTCCTGCCTTGGCAGTCCTGTCGATATGCAGCGCAGGTGCCTCTGCTCTTGTGGTCGGCAGCTCGCTCGCGTACCAATTTAAGAACAGGCAGGTTGTGGCAGGCTCAAAGCTAGGTCTTGAGTGGAATGTGCTGCTTACTCTTGCATTGGTAGGTTAGCCTCGGGGTTTTGCTGTTCTGAATACTAACGGAGAGCAGATCGTCTATATAGCACAATCGGCACTCACTGCAGATCAAGTTACATATGGCTTGGGTTATACTGTTGAGATGCTGACAGCCAGCGATGTTGCAAGTTTTGTCAAGGTGTGTTGACAAAATATTACATGTACAAGCTTTCACTGACGATGCAAGCTCGAATATGTTAACAACATACTGTATGTAACATCGTTACTCTTGCTCAAAGGAGTACAATTCATGCTACAAATTGCGACAACATGGGATCAATCGAACTATTGGGTGCCCGGCGGAGTGATGCTGACTATGCTCGGGTTCCTCTTCGCTGTCGTCTTCGAATGTCAAAATCCATTCTGGGATGTAAGAGGTGGTCAATGCATCAATCAGGTACGGCTTCTTTCCGAATAGGAGTATCTGTTACTAACCCTGACAGTCTGCTCTGTGGTACGCTTTCGGTATTTTTGACATCGTTAGCGACATCTACTCGATCACGGTTGTGATGATGGTCAGCAAGGATCTCAATCTTCGGACTGACAGCAAGATCAAGCTCCTGGTCATTCTTGGCTCAAAGTTCTTGTATGTTTATCTGCTCTAGTACTCTTGCATCACTGACTTTTGTTCTAGACCTGTAGCTTGCGCGATAGCTCGACTACCATTTATCCATGCCGCGTACACGTCCGAGAACTACACCATTGCCCTATACAGACTAAGCATGCCAACACAGATCCAGCTACATCTGTCAGTCGTATCACTTTCCCTTGGGAGAATCTTCCGCTTCCTCGCTGCTCTCGACGTTGGCTACCTCGCCTCATCGATAGAACCAACCACTGCAAAAGGATCCAGAAGTCGGTCACAAACAGCCAGATACGGAACTTATGGGAAAGCCAGCAAGAACCAAATCTCTCAACTCTCTCAAAAGCGGAGTATCAGCGACCACGAGAGCAGTAAAGGTCTTGTACTTGGTCGTGAATGGAATCGTCTGGACGGTGATATACCACTCGAGTCTCAGCAGTCGAACACACAGATAAGCGCTCAGTGGACGCCCAAATCGGCAGACGCAGCCACGATTGGCGAAAGAGAAATTAGAGTTACGAAAACAATAGAAGTGACGAGGACTTGATCACTATGTCGGAACATAATATCATGTACAACAAGGAGACGGCAGGAAATAGATACAATTTGAAGTATCCTCAAGGACACATATATCTTCGAGTTCGATTCTACGCTACTTAAAAGTGCGCTTTTATTCCAACGTGACGTTGAGTCCGCATGCGACCGGCTTATGGATATATCGACAGTCACTCATCCAACATCAGGAAGCATGCGTGCTATGTAAACCATCTACGACTTGTTCCGAGCTGGCCTCACCATGTACGTCCAAATCACATCACCTTGACCTTTGGCATACTCCCCCAAGTCATCATATCTAAGAACAAGTCTTTCGATCCTCTCAAACCCGAGCCTTTCATACACAGGCCATCCCCTCGGACTTGCTTCTGTAAATGCAGTCCAGCCCTCCTTATCCACTCTCTCAAGACCCCAAGCAACAAGTGCTGTGGCAACACCTTTACGCTCATACTCAGGCACCGTATAGCAGAGATGCAATAGACCATGCGGCATAGCCATGTCCCTAGCCCGTCTGCCCATGAACTCATCCATGACCTTCTGTGCAAAAGCATGCTCGTGTTTGCCGTAATCTGTCGAGGTGTCTATCCAGTCCACCGGCACATTCGGCGAGCGCTTGGGATCCTTTGACCAGAATTCCCAGTTTGCACCACCCATGATTTTGCCATTGGAGGGATCCCTGATTTGAATGAAGATACTATTCTCGGGTATTGATCTGAAAACTGCTTTGTGTCTTTCTGCGGCGACTTCAACCTGTGCTGGAGTTGGTGGTGTTACTGGTGGGAAAAGAACATCGTGTAGGACGTTGCCAGTGCCGACGAAGGATGAAAATTGTGCTGCCGTCCATGACAGTAGTTGATCCTCGTTTGTCAAGACCTCGATCTTGTGTTGACTGGCTGCCATGGCTTGGAAAGAAAATGCTTGCTCCTGCTAGAGGATCAGTAGCTTGTAGCTCGCAACTCTTGGAGCAAGAGGCAATCTTTTGTTACTATCGGATGCAAGTATTTAGCACTGTTGTTTAGCGCCGCCAATTGCCATACATCCGTGTGATCTAGAACGAATGTGAGCTTGGGATGCTACAGAGAGTTTGGGCCGCGCTTTCATCGCTAAAGCACGGGGAAGGTCGTCCTTCCAACGCCACATGCAGCTGGGAGGATAACGTGAATCTATTCCACTCCAATCTTTGTAGACTTGTTTGTAACATGATACAAGATCAAAGCTTTCAGATCACTGCAAGCTGACTTGTGATTATAGGATGATCAAAGAAGGTTGAGATCCAGTTTGGCTGCCGATGTGGGAGCTCTAGTGGAACCGCCCATCGTCTTTCCGTGAACGCTTGTAGTCTCTACGTTCCAGGTTACTCAAGCACTCAAACATCCCTCTCAATCAACGATCACGAGATTGATTACTGCAGACGATGTCGTCCATGCACGAAATTGGCCAGCAAAGTTATGCTCTCTCGACACAGCGGAGATCCAGGAAGCCAAAGTGTGTCGCGATATCATCTAAGAACATTAAGAGCAGTACTATGCCTTTGAATGTTGCCTTCTGGATAAGCTAAAGCACTTATGGCAAGGCTTCGTCTCGAGAGATTGCCTCTCGAGCCGAGCGCGCGGTCGCAGCTTCCTCACCGACACACTCCGATACGGAGATAAGATCGCACTCTCCTAAAACGTGCTGCAAGAACTTTACCAGCAGCTCTTTTTACTTGACAGTACTATCAGATAAACTGAGGCTCCGACTACAAATGCTGTTCTGTGGGCTCTTACCTCAAATTCGTGCCGAGCGGTTGCAGGAAGAGGGATCGAAGAGTAATGTCAGCAATGGTTGGAGTGCTCGCTGACAAACCTGAGTATCACAGAACGGTGCAAACACGACCATCATTTCAATGTTCTAATTCTGCCAAGCACCAAGGCTGACGAAACTGAAAACTGATACTTGTCAGGACGACATAGTGGCAGAGTCGAGAAGATCGAACACGATTACAGTCCTAGATCGTACGATATTGCATGCTAGCGAGAGTGCCATTCAGCGCACCTGCACGTGCATGCCATCGGTATCTTCAAATATCTTCGTCGCATGGCTCACCAGACGATTGCCAGTTCGTGCTGCGCACCAATGCCTGCTCTGAGCAGGATCACCGGCCAGAAAACGCAGGCGAGCTAAAATCGTCCTGCTGCCTAAGTCTATGCACTTTACGACGAATGATGTCTTCGCCAAGTAGAGTGACTGTTGTCCAAGCAGCAGCTTGACGAATTGTATGTTCTCGGCTGATGACTGGCGAGCAACGCTACTGTTAAAGCTTGAGGCCAGCATACTCCAGCCATGTCAAGACACTCAAAAGTCCGTAACTGTATGCAAATAATCCCAGACACACGGCAAGCTTGCCCATATCGAAAATGCCGTCTCAGAGAAGTTTTGCCACTGCCATGCGAGGCAAAGGGCAAAGCGAGTGCAGACGACAATCCTTGTTGATGTGTTGTCAGAAACAGCCACATCCATTTCTCAGCCTTACTTTCTCCCGCAGTGATTGATCTGTATTTCAAGATTAATCTGATCGTACAGCATCATGAAAGGGTACTATGGTAATCAACCAGCTAAAACCGTCTCTTCCTCTAAGTTCACGTCTTTGGTGTGGTTTCGTTCAGTGGACAGCACTTTTGTCGTTCGTTTGCCCTCCATTGACCAGGTCGACGGTCATCTCTGATCAATATGTCTACGTGTCATAAACGACTTCACCAGAGAAGACACTGATGAAGAGTTTACGCCAAGGGACCTATCATCCCAAGCCCAATACTATGACTTGGATTCTATGGTGAGCTCAAACCTGTGGGACTCTCCTCGACTGGGCAGATCCTCCAAACCTGTCAACCCCCGACACTCAGGTCTCCAGACCCCTCGCATGCCTCAAGTCTTTGACGACAGTCGTGTCAACATTGCCGATGCGAGCTATGCTACCACCTCACACGGCGACCGCCTCCAAACACAGACACTAGCGTCACGTCTCAGGTCAGATCCCCCTAGACCTGGTTGCGAGGTAGCAAAAGAAAGTACTGGTACACGCACAGGAACGTTCACTCGTGACGTCTCGACCAAGACGACTGCAACCAAGTTACCTCGTGACGCATACACTGTTTTGTGGTTGAACACTACCAGCGGAGGGTACACGGCTGCCCAGGAGAGCATTGATCAATGGTTAGAGTCGCCAATTTCCAAGCTTTCTGCCATTTGCAAGTTTGGGAGTATTGACAACATAAATATCGTCCTGACAAAGTCTCTGGAAGCAACGGAGATTGTGAGGCTCATCAAGGCGCTGGCCCAGCCCGAGTATTTCTCAAATCTCGGAATCGTGCTCGTCACTGTTCCCCAAAGCCCTAAGCAGGCGGCTCAAGTCGCTGAAGAGCGCTACAACGTGCAAGTGACATTGCTCGGTAAGCAGAAAGATCAGGCTGGTAAGACAGGCAGCGAACCAAAATAGGCCTGTCAGCACGAAACTTCCTCCCGCGTCGATGTCTCATAGCGGTAGAGACGAACGCATATTCAATGATGACAACACCAGTTACGAGCCAGTAGATGTCAGTGATATCAAGCCGGGTGCTATGTTTCGTGGTGAGTCACATTTCCTCCGTTTTAACAAAGACTGACTGTTGGTAGGAATCTGCAAGTTGTTTTTCTATTGCGAAGGCAACCCTCAGGTAAGGTTTGAGGGTACAGGCTTCATGATCAGTCGGAACACATTGATAACTGCGGGTCATTGTGTTTTCAGTGCTCAATATGGGTATGCCACCAAGATGGTTGTTTTCCTTGGCTATCGGGCAGAGGCCAACGGGTCTATCAAGCAGAGCAGCGAACCAGAGGAGCGCCATGCAACCAGAATGGGAGTTCACAAACGGTACCACTCAAATGCAGCTGAAGCAAACGATCTGGCAATAGTAGAGGTGGACCCTCCCTTTTCTGGGGACGTGCAGCCATTCCGCTTTACTGATACGCTAGTGGCCGGTACAGAGATGCTGACGACAGTCGGTTTTCCCGGTCGCGACAGATACGGAGGCTTTAAAGAGGCAGGCAGGGTCATGTTTGAGAGCAGTGGCACCGTGACCTGGAACTTAGCTACAAACAAGATGCTGCATCACAGGCTTGACACGTATGGGGGTAAGAGCACTTAGCACTACTAACGTAGCTTGCAAAGTTTTGTTAAATGCTGACTTCTGGCAGGGATGTCTGGTGCACCGGTACTATGGGATGACGATGAAGGCGGAATGGTGGTGATTGGAGTGCACACCAAGTGGGGGAGTAATGCCAACAACGCCGTCGCTACCAATGCTCATGAAGACACTCATGGGCTCGGCAACGTTATCACAGCTTTCATGAGAGCTTTACTCGCCCAAGCAGATCCTGCGTCGCAAGGGAATCGTAGCCGCCGGCGCGAGCTTACAGGCATCAAAACAGCAGTGTCGAGATTGGCGGAGATATCAGTTCAGCTGGACTAATCATATCGTGACTCCGCCGAGACTCGCTGTGCCAGAGCACAGCGGTAATGGTGGTCTGTCCATCTCGAGTACTACAAGTACTTCGACCTCGACTCAGAGCTGGTGCTTGGACAAAGGTAGCGGTTCAAATCTGATCAGTGTTCGAGAAGCATGAATAACCATGTTGACGCCCTTGACGTGAATCAGACAAACTCGCAGAATATCAGCTCAAGTTGAGTATGGTTCCACCCTTGAGACTGTATGAAGTTCAATAAAGTTTGTCTTGGCGTCTGCGTTCACATACATTACATAGATTCTACATCACCAAACTTCTGCAATGCGAGATCTGCCTTTCATGAGGGACGTGAGCTGCTCTTGCAGATATGTTTACTGTAACATCGGCTCCTTTTCAGCTTCGACACAGATTGTGTGACTACACACGATATCGTGGTGACTTCTTCGTTGCAATTAATATAGTATCACAATGCTAATCTCGATTTCTCCATCCTCCACGAAATGTTCGGTGGAAGGTATCACGTAGCCTATGAGCCTAGTAAACAAGAAGAGATCCAACGGCAGAGGTTTCTAGGGAAAATGTGACTCGAAGACCTCATCTCTAGGTCCACGTGACGACGAGCCGCAACGCATCCATCCACAGTTACTCTACCCGTTACTGTAGCGAGTCGGTTGACCACCACCATCATCGAAGTTATTATTACACCTCATCGGTTCCGACCCAACACTCACGCAAATTGCCTTTCCCGCAAGTGACTTCCCTTTTCTGTCGATCTGAATACGTACCACAACGACGTTTTAACCTTCTTCAGAGGCAGTACCTACCAAATCCGGCAAGCGTATAGGAAGTTTCTCGTAAACTTCAAGCGTAATAGAGCTAGCTGATGAGAAAGCTTATTTGAGAAGTCACCGCTTCTTGCTTGGTCGCTTGTAATGTTGCGTCATTGCTACATGTAAAATTTGACCAGCCATGTCGGTCAGTCTCAAGACGTGCTATCTCGCCTGACTTGTGGAATGCGTTGGTGGAAGAGTTATGCTGGTGAAAGAGGAAACAAGTGATCAGAGAGTAAGAAGGGAAGGAAAAGACTCGGGAAAATGCTTGCGGAATAGTCGAAGTTTATGTTTGATACATGATATACAAAATGCCCACTCCACCAACATTGCAGTACAGCGCTTTAGCACGATCTAAAGTCCGCAGAGCCTCCACCTGTCCTGGAGTACCCGCGACAAGTCAGAGCCGCATGAAAATCCGAACCACATGGAAAAACGACTGCATGTAAACTGACAGTAGATGATTTTCATGAGAGGGACCAGCCTGCAGACATGACGATCGTTGTAGACCCATAGAACCATGAGCTTGCTAGCATCCACATTCAGATAGCCACCGTTTTGGTGGATATAGGCGTTTCTCGAAGACTGCATGGTCCAAAGACCAAATCGTATTAAATTGGAAATTCCGATCCTTCACTACTGCACCGATGGTCCTTAGCATTCGATTAGTATTTAAAAATTATCCTCATGGTTGTGATACGTCTGGTAGATAGATTCCATAGCTACGAGATCCTCGTAGGAAGGCGCAAAGGTGGTCGCGGTGAAGCTTGCCGAAGTATATGGCATCGAGACTGCCGGAGTGGCATATGCTAGAGGGTGATGTGGTGTTTGATGAGATTGAAGTGTGTGGTCGATACTCATCTCGTCATCTGAGGAACTTGTGTCTTCGGGTTGGAACGCAGTATGTCTTTCGTGTCTGTGACTTGGTATCTCAGGATTTGATTGGATCCTGGTTGCAGGAAGATTACCACGCTCACTCGAAGTACTGCCTGCGATACTCCCTGTTGGTGAGGCAGGGCCACTCTCAAAGACGTGTCTGAGACCTGTGCTTTCTGCAAATTCCTCCAGGCATCGTCGAAGTGCTTGATGGATAATTTGTGCATTAGTACGAAATAATTTTGTGTTCGTAGGTTGCTCGTCTCTCGTCAAAAGTTGAAACTGAATTGCTGCCTGCCACAAAAGTACTGGTAGACGTTTCTGAAGACCTCGGAAGCACTGTCTGAGGTTCTCACCAGTAACCCACTCTGCATACGGCGATGCAGGCCTTCCGTCGTCAGGGAAGAGGATGCTGTAAAGATGGTACCATGCTTCCGAATTGTCCTGAGTCCGTGCCTTGACTAGCTCAACCTGCTCGGCGTCCATTTTCTCGACGGGTTCGGCGTTACGTCTGCAGGTTGCTGCGCGGATGTGATCGCGATACTTGTCGTCGTTCGGAAGATTCTGCCAGCACCTTTGACAACATCTCGTAGTCTTGTCATGAGTACGATATAAATGTTGTTTGAGTCGTGCAATAGACGTCCAATATCCAGTTGAGCAGTTGCGATACTCATGATCACCACTTGTGCTTTGACGAGAATGAGAGTAAGTTCTAGGATCATGTTTGGCATAAGGACAAGCATAAGGTAGCTTGTCATCTGAGGAATCTGTCGAAGCGTCACGTCCACGAGTACCTTCTCTAGTAGTTGATGGTCTTGGCCGTCTGACATCTGGTGAATTCGGCACTTCTGGAACATCGTCAACTGACCGTTGCATAGGTATTAGTATACACATACGTCCGCGTACCACCTGGTCCCCGTGTACTGAATTGGATGCTCTCTGTAGCTGAGGACGGGCATGTCGATCCATGTCCCGACTTTTGGGCGTCTCGGATTCGGCACGCGTACGTTTGCGCTTGCTGCCTGTGATCGAATCCTGCGTAGATAGGACCACAGTGGATGATCGTGATGAGCTTCGTGAAACGGTGGTGTCCATGTTGAACTGGTATTGAGAGACTATATACAGCAAAGGCAAGGTCTTGTATAGGGTGGAAGTGGAGGGAGACCAGAAGGCATCTATCACAAGTGTGCTAAGTTTCTGCCTTCGTCTGGGTGGGAGTCATGTCATTGCACAAAGCAGCGATGTAAACAAGCGCAGCGCAGTGTTCCAGCGTGTCCCGATGAGTCGCTCTATCCAGATTCACATAAGCATTGTGGCTAGAAATAGTATAGTAGTCCACCAAGGTCTTCAATATCCGTGCTGCGCAGTACTTGCATCAGATATTGTCCAGAATAATCACCAGATCAAGTGCAGCCAGCACGCAATGTGATTCTGGCTCATTCGAGCTACATCGCGAAATAAGGATATTGTGTCTGGTTGGAGCATCAACCGGAGGAACATGCTGTAAATGGCCAGAGCTGATGATGAATGAGCACAACGTCAGAGGAGTTTCAACGAAAGTGTAAAGAACAGTGGTCCTGCTGGAATCACTTCGGAGCTGAAACTGAATTCTGGGAGTCACGGTGAGAGGGACAGCCACCTTCGTCAGGCATCAAGCTAATGGAGGCCGTCAGGATCGGCTAAGTTGCCAAAGAGCTTCGAAGCACTGCCTCTGCGCTCCAGACCTGGCTACTATTTTTCGTCACTCGCTGCAGACGAATGAGGTAATAATTTTTGTATTCATGGTACATCCTGCGCTGCTGCTACTTTTTTCTTGTTGACATGATGCAATTCAGCGCCGACACTTGTAAAGAGGTTGATGGCTAGATCTCGCAGGACTTTTTGCATTCAGCATCAGGAGCACGATTTCATGCTCGTGCCCACGCCAGTGCTGATTCAGACCCGATATCGATCATCAGCTTTGCAGATTGAAACATTGAGCGACCCGCACTTCAACTTTGTCTTCGCTTCGCATGTGATAGATGATGGAGGAAGCATATCGTGCAGTTGAACTCCTCTGGTACAATGCAGTACAGTTGCTGGATCCATGCTTCAGCTTCGGCAAACTCGTAGGAAGACTTTCGAGTTTGGTTTGACGATGGGTGACATTTCCGGCTAACGGTGAAGGAAAGAGTTTAGTGTGAAATCATGCATTAGCTTGCATGAGCGACTGCAACTGGAACAGAAGAGTTCTAGTTTGCAAGTTTAAGACGGCTGAATTCAGTTTGTAGGACGCAACGAATGATGGTATTTACAAACTGCTGACTAGTGCTAGATTTCTGGTGTAGTTGAGCAGCAATATCCTGCCCAAGACCGAAACACCTCGAAGCAGATTGTCACTTTTGACAAATGTGTCTGGCATTCTGCATGCTCCGAAAGCACTATTTAGCCGTGTGCCAGTGGTCAGTTTTTCTAACGAGCCTCGATCTTTCATACCACAAAACAGCTTCCCACTATCATGTTTGAGGATCATATGTCACTGAAAGTCAGCTGCCTGGTAGCACTCTTGAGCATACCAGCTGTTCTGCAGCGATGATCAGCTGCTTGGGGTCAATAGGCTGGTCGTAGCAGCCGAATTTCATAGATCGTAGATCTACAGAGCAATGCTGGACCAACATCATAGAGCTGATATTCCATTCGGATTGTGTTGAGTAAGAGTCTGCCCAGTTGCCTGCTTACCTGCAGTTGGAGTGCATAACCGAATGTTCTGTGGACCATACAGACGTCAAAATCTGGGAATAGCTGTTCAAAAGTGAAACCATAGTCTATGCAGGTGCAGGCTTCCAAAGTATGTATCGCAAGGGCAAGGATACACTTCGAAATGACTCATGATGGACCGCATGCTTGTTTCCAGGCTGAGAGAGGTAATTGAGACTTTGCACCAGGCATATTGTTCGTAAGCACGAACATCGAAGGCGTGCCCAGCTGATGGTCGCCTCTGTCTCTTTCTTGATAGGGTGGGTTCCGTTGTACGTCCTGGTGAGGCTTGTCCACCGTAGACGCAGATGAGACATAAGCGCTGCAAAAGTAGCTCATGTCAGAAGGACAACCGCCGTAAAGTACTGGTGAACTAGCTTTTGCGTGAAAGCAGCCTTTGATCTTGTAGAAAGATTCACTGGACTTATTGTCATTATATGAAACCGCCTGGACGTGCCACAGACACCATTGTAAAGGCTATCCCCTAAATCTGCATCGCATGAATGCCTGAGGCTCGAGCTTGAAGCCTACAATTGGTGTCTAATTCACTTTTTTGTCACCTCTTCCGAAGAATTTGTATCGGAAGCCATCTTTCTTGTTAATCTCTTTCAGCTTAGGTGGCTCTGGTATGTCCTGGTTCTTTGGAGGCTGCAAATTCGCTCTTGAGGACTTCTTTCTTAAGCTTAGTGGATTCACGAACGACCTGCCATTACTCTTTGGCCGCACGTTAGTTTGATCTTCGCGTGGGGTAGGTTTCTCGAGAGGTGGAGGAGGCGGATGTGGTATCGCTGTTCCGATCGGCACTTTTTCTTCGGCTGGTTGAGGTAGCGCTTTCATGTCTGTAGGAAGTAAAGAGGGTAAAGGCTGGCCAAGAACACCATTTACATGAGGTTCTGTTTGAGTTGGTGTCCGTGCGCCTTCTTCTTCAGCCTGTTCTGAATCCTCGTCATCGAGTTCGTCGTCATCTTCGTCAGAGAAGGCACGATCCGGGTCGCCATTGTAGACGACCCACCAACCAATCTTTTCTCCTTCTGCGAGTTTGTCTCTTAACTGAGCTAGTGCTTCCCATTGCTGTGGGGTCACAGCTGGTCCACTAGACATAGCATCTTCAATGCTCAGGGAGAGGGCCGTAGGGCTATTGCGAGGTGTAGGTGGGGAAGAGGTCTGCGAAGAGGCGGAAGTAGACGTCTTCGAAACAGTCGATAGAGGCTGCGAGGTTGTTCTGGAGTGGGTAGTCGCTGGGACAATCGATGACTCTGGTCGCGCTGCAGAAACCAACTCGGAGGCGCCACGACTTGCGCCCACAGCCATAGTAATTACCCTGTCAGCTACAAACGCGAACTTCTGGCTGACTGCGTTCTCACTAAGCTCGTCGTCAGGGTCGTATTGTTCGAGGAAATGTATTGTTCGTCCTGTCCGTGTGTCTTCTAGCTGCTGCATGAGCTTGGGGAATATCTTTCGAAAATTCTGGAGCAGAGTTTCTCTACTGAATTCATTCTGAATGTATTCGACAGACATGTCTTCCAGGTTCTGGACAATGGCGTGAACACGTATACCTGTGAAGCCCTCGCGTTGCCAGCGAAAGCCATGCGCGAGATATACAGGCATTGCTTGTGTTGTTCGTGTCCAAAAGGTAATCTAATGGTAGCTCAGAGCTCCGTGGTAGGGAAGAGCATCAACGTTTGCGATCTGAAGAAGTGGCAGGCATGATGGGACACATTGGCATGTTTGACTGTGGCAAGAGCGAGTCAGTCAGCGGTCAACGATACGAACCATGTCTGGTCAGACTTTGGAGTGTGACAGAGCTCTTCCCTGCGGACTGGTTGTTGTGCTTCAATATGCATCTTGCCGGATGCGTGTTGCTGCGACTCGCTGTAGGTGCGCGGAGAACCAAAGCGGACCAGCCGTTAATAGGGCTAAAACTTTCCTACCCGAAACTCTGAGGCTTGGCGGAGTTGCGGCTCAAATGTGGGAAACTGCATTTTGCGGAATAACTTCTCCTGCTTGTAGTGGTGTATGGATCAATCGTTCTGGCAGAAATGTTTGCTGCAAGGCTTACTGTCATTCCATGAGATAACAGATACTGAATCGACGAATGGTTATTGCTAGTTGAGCTTCTGGTCATCTTACTGTAGGCGACTCTGAAGACGACATCCTCATACTCGGTCAGGCGAGATTTCTCTTCCTAGTGGCTGCAGTCGAGCTGAATTTTAATATTCTTCAACCACAATCGAAACGACAAGATTTACTATTCATATCGGCGATCTAGCACCGCGGCTGTACTCCTTCGAAGAGGTGTTTTGTGTTTGGAAACGGAAAGAATTAAGCGTCGGATCAGGACAGGAGCCAATTTTATACACGGTGACCATTCAAGAATATTCAGTCAGAGTTGAGCATTCCTTTCATTAAATTCCGTCTGCACTAGATATAGTAACACAATGCAACAGTATACCTGAAGCTGTTCCACATAAACACGCCGTTACTGCCTCTTTTCCAGAAGTGGCATTATAGCCACTATTCGTCCACGACTCCTGACGCCAGTCTATATGCGCGCTTGCTTGTATCTTTTCCCTTCTCCTAGATCTTCCACCCCAGCAAGACGACTGCCACCTCGCAACAGAGCGAGCTTCGTCTCGAATCGTGTCGTGCAAGGGGACTGACATCATCCTCTCCAGATCGTCGTGCCAGATTGAGGTTGTGCATCCCCTGCTAATATACTTTTTTATACACAGACGCTCGTACCGATGTGACGGCGTCTCTTCTCTTCTTCTCTTGTTTGCATACTTCATTCTTATCTCTTCGCAGCTGCTCACCTTCTGTTGAAGTCTCGTCCACCACCTCTACCACCAAATCCACCACTTCCACCTCTTGGTCCACCTCTCGAACTACCACCACCCATACCCATGGCATCGAAAGCGTCGCCACTACCCCTGCTCCCTCCGCCATAGACACCTTTGCCACTTGGAGGAGCGTCTCTACCAAACGATCTTCCTCCATCTCGTGATCCACCACCATAGCCTCGGGTACCGCCATCTCGTCCTCCAAATCGATCACCTCCTCTTCCATCTCTGTCGCCAAACTCCCTAGGTCTTTCTTCCTCGAGACGCAACCCCTGCAGCCCACCAAAGCCAATTCTCTGTGCGAGTTTCGGACTGATTGGTGGGGGCTGCTGCATGCCCCAGCCATACTTGGCCAGGTTGTTCATCATATCCAATTGAGCCTGTTTCCTTCTGTTGGGGTTCTGCTGCTGCAGCACACCCAATAGAGCAGCGTAAGTGGCTGCCTTGGTATTGTAGGGCACACTCTTCACACCGACCTCGACATATTTCAGCAGCCTGCTGATGTGAGCCGGTATCTGTGCAGCTCTTGTCATGTCTAGACTTGCAGTGACTAGGTCCGCCTCTTTGAGATCTACACCTGAGTTCCGCATCTTGCGCTCAATATCGCCTCTTTCGTCGTTGTTGAGGACGAGCCAACCCTCACCACTCTTTCCAGCACGACCAGTTCTTCCGACACGATGGACGTAGTCGTCTGAGGAACGAGGAAGACCGATCTGAATGACATGCGAAACGTTAGGAAAGTCCATTCCTCGAGCAGTGACATCAGAGCTGAACAGAATTGCAGATTCAGCACGACGGAAGCCCTCTGACTCACGTGTGCGCTGAGCCTGAGCAAGCTTGCCATGCATCTGGTAGAGGCGGCAAGGATCAAGAGGATGCGGCTGGAACATTGACCGTGGTGCATCTGGATCACGCATCTTCGTAAAGGCGTCAAAGGCCATTGCAACCTCTGCAGTACTGCCAAAGTAGACGATGGCTTTGAATGGCATTGTGTTCTTGGAATCTTGCTTGTGCGCTTGCATGGCGTTGTATGCTACCTCCATGATAATAGGGATCTGATTCTGCAGGCCTTTGCCGAAGACGACTTGCTGAGGAATGTGTTCGTGGGTTTGAACTTCGTTGGGATCGACGGTACGGATGAACTTGAAATCAGGTCTGAGGGTTTCGCGGACGAGTTGGACGACGGACTTGGGAACGGTGGCACTAAACATGAGGGTTTGTCGATTTCGTTCGGCGCGTGGAGGCATATAAGATTGAATGTCGGCAATGGCAGGGGCGAAACCGATGTCGAGAAGACGATCAGCTTCGTCGAGAACAAAGGTTTCAATGTTTTCCAGAGAGACTCCTGTACTCCTGTCTGAGATGATATCGAGGACTCGACCTGGTGTACCGACAAGGATGTGACAGCCTTCGAATTGCATCTGTCTGAGATGCTGGCTTTTTTGCGTGCCGCCAACCGCAGTTTGTACCTTGACTGCAGTATTGGCTACAACTTTTTTGGCTTCGACCGCGATTTGTTCAGCAAGTTCTCGGGTTGGGGAGATAATGAGAGCACGAATATCGCCAACACTGGCCCTTTGTCGAGTTCGTTGCTCGAGACTACCATCGCGAAGTATCCGCTGCACGATAGGCAAGAGGAAAGCCAGAGTCTTTCCTGTACCAGTCTTTGCTTGCGCTATCACATCGCTACCGTCCAGACAGTGATTGATGGTCATTTTTTGAACCTCAGTCATGTCGTGAATATTCATACGCTTTGTCAGTGTGTCAATGACTTTAGGCGATATGATGTTGTTCTCGGCCAGTTCTTCAAAACGAGTAAACTCATGTTGACCCTCTGATTGCGATAACTCTTCGGTCTCTGCTTCAGCATACTGCTGTAAGCGAGGAAAATATGATGTAAAAGATCGTATATACTGCGGCTGTATCGATATTGAGGGTAATGATAATCTTGCAATAGGCTGTCTAGTGATACATCGTGAAGAGGAGGCGGCGAAAGTAATGGCCCGAAGAGCACTTGTCGCTCGACGAGTGACGGGTAACATTTCTCTATAACGTACAAATAAGTAGGTAATGAACGAATGTGAAAGAGTTGAGGCAATGAAACAGCGATGCGCGAGTCGATGTCGCCGAATTGATGGTGGAAAGATAGGACAATCAGAATGCGCGCCCAAATTTTTGGAAAGTCTACGAAAGGATCACCAACGGGACTTTCCAAGTGGAGTCTCAAGGATCAGGAGCACGATAGGCTTCGCGCCTGGGTTCCGAGGCATCTATATTAGTTCCAACGTGGTAACTGTACCGAGCCAGAATCTACGCTACAATGGACTACTAGTAGCACGGTAAACGTGAAGAAAGTGTAACACTCGACTGCGACTGAGTTCACAATACTGCTGCTATTGCCAGTTATGTATAGGCCTTCAACGAGAATCGATAGTCGAGTCGATTTCGTGCGAGCTCCAATTTGAAAAGCTCGTGCTCAAACATCGTGTATGTTGTTTGCTTGACTGCTAAACTCCTAAGCTATATGTTCCAGCTAAACCCGTTCCTCCTACGCTTTCCTTGCTGGGACAGCTCTCCGAGCACGGTCGTGACGACAAAACTGAAATGGCGATGAGATGTGAACCGGAAGACCAAGGACCCTACATTTAATGAGAGTCAGAGTTGATGTGAAGAGGCCTTTGTTATCAAGGCTTCCGTCCAGATCTAGGTCTTAGTTGAGTTGTTAGGTGTGTCAAGGAATCCTTGTTCATTCTGCTACCTTAGAGTTGGTCCGCCAGGCTTGGGCTTTTCGGGTGTATTGGGTGGTGGTCTTGGTTTTGGGTTTGGCTTGCTCATCTTGAGTATGTTGAGGTACAAGAATGATATTCTTGATATAGATATGCGTTACTTAGTGTCTTGGTTTTGAGAAAGTGTCCAAAGCCGGATTGGAACGTAGTTGGATAGTATGGAAGGGGAGATCAGAAAGGAGGATTTTAGAATACCTATTTATACTGAAGTGGTGCGTAGTCGCTACGAGTGACTCGTTGTCTAGGCGTTGTCATGACTGTGGTTGGTTGTTGAAATAGACCTCCATGAAACGTCGTGAGGTTGCCTTCTTGACCAACGTCAGGTATTTCTTGCTCAGACTGCGCTGTAACGTGCTGTGTGAGTCGTGTAGCTCATGCTGAAAGCTGATGTTTTTGGAAGTTGTCAGAGTACTGACTGTCGCTACTAAAGAATCACCCAGACAGCGTACGCGATCCACGTGTTCGGCCACGACTCTGAGCACGACTTGACTGTACTGGCTGTTCAAGCTCTAGCGGCTCTTCCTCTGGCGTATTCAGTTCACTATCGGTCGCTAAAATCGAGGGCTGCTGCGTGTTGTCTCGAATGAGTCCGCTGAAATGCTTGATGACCACGTCTGCTGGCATATGATAGTCAGGTCGCGGCCACTGCTTGTTGATAGCCTTCCCACCAAACACGTGTCTTGCAAATGCCAACGTTGCATAGACTCTGTCGCGTGCGTCTCTGCAGTCAAAAGCTTCGGCGCTTTGAAGCAATATCTCGAAGAATTTCCAAGCACGTTGCTGATCTGTCTCGAGCTCGAAATTGTCTCTCATCCAGGTCGTGTATTCGTTGTGCTTGGGGTGCCACTGTGGTGTCGCTCTTAATCTCGCCACTGGTCCAAGCATCTTTGTCAGAGCATTCGATGAGATCTCCTCCTCTTCAGCACCATAGTCGCGCAAGTCGTCAAGCCAGCCACTCAAGCCCAAAATCATGCCAAAGTCGATTAAAAAGTTGTATTCCATGCAAGCCTCGCCCCACAAGAACAGAGCATTTTTGGCAAGCGATAGCTCGAAGAATGCCCAATACCTAGTAAACCATCGTAATTGGCAGAAATCGTGGACGCGCCTCCACTGCTTTAAAGTGAGAGGCTCTATCCCGATACTTCTGAAGAACTGAGGATCCCGAAAATTGTATGGGCTTGCTTCATGAATCTTTCGCCAGTCCACAGCGTTGACCAATTTCCGCATGAATAACAAGACCTCATCCGCCTCTCTGGGCTTCTTGCCAAGCCATACAATTACGCTGGCTGCTCGTGCATAGACATGTCCCATAATCTCCAGATACTCGATCCTCTCCCTCTCATCCTCGTAGTTGATACACAACGCATCCACAAAGACTGGTACACCACTCTGGCTATCCCTTATTTGACAGAGTGCATCGTACAGGTTCTGACCAATTTTCACGTCCACACCACCTACTGGAATGGTCTGCGTCCCGCTCGCCACCCCACCCACAGCATCGGATCGGGCTGTATCGTCTAGATCCCAGGTGTACGACAAAGCGATATATTTGAATTTTCGTGGATCAACGACTTGAATCTTGACTCGTAAAGGATGCTGTGCCGTACCAGGTTTGATACGCAAGACACGTATATGGTAGTCAGGAAGTGGTTTATATGGCGGTTCGCCCACAGGTTTTGTAAGACGATCCCACAGAAAACCGAGCCGAGATTTTGGTTTGGCGACACCAGCCTGAGGCACGTGTGTTTCAAGTTTCAAGGTGCTCATTCTGCTCACGCGCAGATCTTGTTACTCCATTGCCACGTACAAAGAACATCTGTCAACTCGGGCCATTGTTGCAAGAAGAGATTGACATTGTTGACGTGGCCGACAGCCCTTCGATCAGATGAAGTTGGGGATTTAGCGAGGTGTTTAGCGATCGTCAAGACAATAGAAAGCAAAGACACGATAAGATGGGAAATTGCATCTCGGGCAACGGACCTGTCCACAGACGTGCAAGCCCAAATATAAATAATCAAACACTGCGCCGGAACTGCAGAAGGACATGCATGTTGATAGGACTTTGATTTGTTCTTGAAGAATTTCTTTCGAGTCCAGTCCGACTCCGAAGCCTATCTGTAGATGGAGTCTATGTGAAACATACAACCTTGAATGTTCCAATAGAGGATCAAGCCACGAAGTGATTGCAGCAAGCTATTCTATCACACTATTACAAGCCGGTACACCTGACTATCTTGCGAGTGTGGCCGGCAATGTCAACCGTGACTGTACTGATAGCTGGCCACGATTCTTTGAACAAGCATTTCGTTTAGCCAAAGGAGATTGGTCGTGCAGCCACTAAGAGGGCGCTCGTGCACAGGAGTCGTGAAGGCGACGCGAGGCATACCAGTCGTGAACATTGGAACTGATGAAGCTGAGAATCTGACAAGTGCGATGTGCTCCGCTGAAGCAGCATTGTTCATCACACAACACGACGAGGTACTGCAGTGTTAATGCGTGCCAGGGAGACGAAGGAGATACGCCAGAACAGTCTTGCAAACGATATGGCAGTTCAGTTAGGGCGGATTTGTGAAAATTACCATCCATTGTACTCTTGATTATGCTCCGTTCGTCGCACCTTCCACACCGATCATCGCGCTTGCAGGCTAGCGCGTCAACTTCAAGTTTGATCCGAGGTCGGATAATCACCTGCAAGCTAGTTGGCTCTTGCCACATCTCTGGTCGTACTTGCTGTCTGGGGTCGATCCGAAAATCTGGAGACTGACAGGATCGTACATCATGTAGGAAACAACATTCACCACCCCAGCATACTGTTGTTCATCGAAGACGAGTGTATGCTCGATACAGCCACAACATACTGGGGTTGCCTTTAATGCGTCGGCTGGATTCGCTTCTTCCCCTCTTTCGATCTGGCTTGCCGCAAAGGGCCTGAAGCCAATAGCATTGTGTCAGATCTTGGTCCTGGGGTTATCGGCGAGGGTTACTGGCAAAGTCCTTATATCCAATACACTGCTCGTGGAGCTCTCGAACAGCCCGCTGACTGCTTTGCTCATGATTAGCTAAGCCTTCGATTTGTTCCCACAGCTTATGGTTTGTTAGCTTCCGCTGCCAAAAATCTACGTCGAGCATTTTCAACGTTGTGCAACAAATATTCTCCACTACCCACGTTGAACATATTGCCAAAACCCGCAAGACAAGACCCTAACTTCTCGACCGAGGTCAGACAAGGTGTTGGCGCGTCAGAGAAGGGCTTGAGGACGCTTCATACCACGCCTTGCCATAGGACGCTGTGGGCGGAGGTCGAGCTGAAATGATTGATTGCGATCAAAACCACGTCAAATGAGACACCTCTCCGCCTCAGGCTTGTAAACATTGACTTGACTCAATTTTCCTCCAGCTGCGTCTACGATGGATGGTGGCTCTCCTGTAGATCTCGACTCGTCTTGGCAATACGATATTCCGCCTGATGAAAATGACAACGACCACGATATACACATTGAGACATCTGGAGTATCGGCAAGTCACGATGCACCAGATGGAAAGCAGTATCGACCTACTATGAAGGCCATTGGTTCAATGACCGAGAACACCAGCAATCAATCATCCCCAGCCACGAAGTTGCAGCAGCACTTGAGTGAAAAGCCAGACGATGGGGAGGAACACACTCCCGCATGGATCGAGCTCAAGACGAAAGCTGGCAAAGAACGGAAAAGACTGCCCCTAGCATGTATCGCTTGTCGGCGTAAGAAAATCAAATGCTCCGGAGAAAAGCCAGCGTGTAAACATTGTCTCAAGGCACGAACGCCGTGTGTCTACAAGGTGACAACTCGGAAAGCAGCTCCAAGGACTGACTACATGGCAATGTTGGACAGGCGCTTGAAGAGGATGGAAGATCGTGTCATCAAGATCATCCCGAAGGAGGATTTACCAGATACTTCACAAAGATCTTCAGTACGTCCTCCACTTCCAGGGACCAGACTTGACGAAAGAAACGAAGAGACTGGCAAGCGTCCACTCGATGAAGCTTTCGAACGAGAGCTCCGAGATTGGTCTAAACCACGAACTGGAAGTACTCAACTCGACACAGCGGCGAAAACAAAAACGTTTCGAGACTCCGAGAACAGACTCTTCACTGAAGGTGTCGATGCTTTACCACCGTCACAGATCCAGGAACATCTAGCAGAAGTGTTCTTTGACTGCGTATATGGCCAAGCATATCTTCTTCTGCACAAGCCGAGTTTCATGAGGAAACTGAAAGCAGGAGCCGTGCCGCCTGTCCTGATGCTGTCAATATGTGCAATCTCTGCACGGTTCTCTACCCATCCTCACATGGATACAGAACCTGCCTTTCTCCGTGGAGAGCAATGGGCGACCCCGGCACGTTCCATAGTTGAGAAACGCCATTTTGAACCAAATATCACAATCCTGACGTGTATGGTAATTCTGGGGCTGCACTATTTTGGTACTTGTGAAGGTGGTCTTTCTTGGTCTTTTGGAGGACAAGCAATGAGAATGGGATATGCTCTACAACTGCACAAAGAGCTTGACCACGACTCTCTAGGCGTGGCACAAGCAGAAAGAGCAGCAGCATCTGGGAAACCGGTACCACAAATACCAGAATTGTCATTCCTCGACCGCGAGATACGAAGAAGAACTATGTGGGCGTGCTATCTCATGGACACGTTTAATTCTTCCGGCACTGAACGACCCTCTTTTCTCAACGAGGACTACTTCTTCATCCAGCTTCCAGTCAAAGAGTTGCATTTCCAGATGGAGATACCAAGCCATACGGAAGACATCAACGGCCATACTCCACTCAATGTACCAAGTGATGCGCTGGATGACTCCACGAATGATGTCAAGTCTAACATGGGTGTTGCCGCGTATCTTATCAGAGCTGTGGTAATCTGGAAACGTGTTGTCAGGTATCTCAACCTGGGTGGAAAAGAGAAGGATCCGTACCCAATTTGGGATCCATTATCACAGTTCGCTGTTCTCCAGAGGCAAATAACACAATTGAAATCTTCACTACCACCATCACTGGAGTACAATCAGGAGAATTTACAGATCCACGTGACCGAGCGCGTAGCCAACCAGTTTATCTTCCTTCACATCATCATCGCTCAGAACAGCTTATTCCTACATCGATTTGCGATACCAACAGCACCAAATACGCATCGACCGTATCCTCCTAACACACCAAAATCGTTTCTAGCGACTGCAGCAACTACTGTTCTAGATGCAGCTTCACATATCTCAAATCTCTTGGGAGACAGCACAGGGCATACTTTGACAGCGCCATTTGCGGGATATTGTGCATACGCAAGTGCCACCGTGCATATTTGGGGGATCTTTAGCAGGAATCTCATGCTTGAGAAGAGTTCCAGGGATTGTCTCAGGCACAATTACAGGTACTTGAACAGGATGAAGAGGTACTGGGGAATGTTTCACTACATGGCAGAAAGTATCAGAGATGTTTACCGTTTGTTTGCTGATGCAGCTGCTCGCGCGAATAAAGCCTCGCAGTCCAATCTTATACCAATGATCAATGGTCAAGCTGATGTACTAGGGGACGGCGCAGTCGCAGCTGAGCAAAACTCGAGGGCCGCAAGTCCTAGTCTGGGCAAGGATCTGGACGCCGATTCAACACGATCAAAACCGGAGGCGGCGAAAGTGCAAGTCTTCCAATATGGTGACTGGTTCAACAAATATCCGCATGGTGTGTCAGAACAAGAATGGGAAAAAACTCGTCTTCCTCATCGTAGCGAAACACAGAAAGGCACAGAAGCAGTCATGTCACAAAGAGCAGAGTCGCAATCGGTTGAAGAGTTTTTCGCAAGCCTGACACCACCAAGTAAAGCTGATGAAGGGCCAAGCAAGAAGAAACCAGCTCGGAAAAGGGGTAAGAGTATGGCGGAATCAACTAAAACCAAAGAGTTGAATACAGAGCATAGTCGGAAGCAGCCACCTCCCAGTCGAACACAATCGTTGATGGTAGATGGAACAAAGACACCACGTCCGAATCAACCACTCTCATCAGCCAGCTTATACCCTCTGTCAGAGCGCAACTGGCCTCATCTCGGTAACGCGAACCCTGATATCGATGTCCCCATGTCTGGCGTCTCAGCAGGTCTACAATCTGGGCAAGGTAACTCGGCATTTGACTTATCCTCGCCTTCTTCCCTCTTTCCGGCCTTCCATACTACTACCGCACTAACTTCAAATCCTCAACAAAACCAACACAACTCGCCTTTCGAGTATACATCTCCTGCCTCCTCGTCCAACACAGCCTCTGTTGCGAACAACACAAACAGTTCAATCTCCGGTATGAGCTTTAACTTCAACTACACTTCTGCAGTACCGCAACTCGACCGCGCAATGGTCTTCGGCGGCTATAGTGGCATCGATCCTGCTCAATCTGGAGCCACTAATGCTCTAAACAACCCCAACATCGACTTCTGGATGAATCCTTGGGACGCATCGATCGGTAGCGTTGACGTGGATGGCTTCTCTGGTTTCAATGACCCTTCCCTTGGTCTCAGCGCAGGCACCGGGCCGTTGAGCGTCTCGTCTACCTCCAATGCCGATGATAGACGGCGCAGCAGCGTCCAACAGCCGCGTCCGCAGCAGCGAGACACAAAGTCTGTCTATGAGGACATCAACAGGAACTTGGGTAACACCTCTCAGCACCAAAACATGAGCAGTACAGCGTGGTTTATGCCTTTCAACATTGAGCCGCCCAACGCTTCGCTTTCGAACCATGCTGGTGGAATGACTATGGACACGAATACAGGTCTAGGAACTTCAGATCTGAATGACTTTAGTAATTTGGATATGATGGATTTGAGAGAATGGGCACCTTTCTCTCCCGGGTTGGGGTCGAATCATGGGGGAGGTGATCTATAATTTAGAGATTGTGTATACTCATGACCATGTATCAATACACTCGTCTCATTGTATGATCACGCGATATGAACTTACCCAAGATAGTTGTCAAAGTCCGTAGACTAAAGTGGTAACCTATATGCTTATAATCGTACTCAATGTATTATGAGATAAGGTATGCACCTTCGTACACCTATGAACTGGGAGAAACGAAGATATGTTCTGGTCGATTTGACACCAATGAATGCCAAGATTGGATTGTGGCAAGTTGACCGCCACGAAGCAAAATATGACTCCATAAGACTTCATCTTCAGCTTGATCGTTCCTGCGTTCTTTAGGGGATTTTCATCTCTGACAACCTTCGATAAACATGCTTCAAGATTCTCGACTAACAACGAAGACCTTCGTTCCAAACGACCAGACTTGGTCAGTCTAGCGCTACCCCGCAAAATGCAGCCTGCCCGAGGTGCAGCTAGTCATGCCTTCGAGAAGCTCGCTACTTGGGATCTGATCTTCTGACTAACAGTTCCACGATCTGAGATCCTGTGCCTCAATGCGTGCTGGGTCGATCTTGACGATACCTCCTCAATTTCGGTAGAAAGGAGTACAACAACCACAATGATGGCTGTTTCGTGGTTTGTGCTTCTACTGCTTTTGCGCAGCTCTTACCTGCCACTCACCAATATTCAGCAGCCATGACCACTACTAATTCTAACGGAGACATCCAAGCTTTTCCGCCGGTAGTATTGGGAACGACGCTATACGACTTACTTCGTGCTGAACAGATCCATGGCGAGGAGGCACTTGAGTCTTTGTGCCTGCTCAAGCCTAATTCAGACCCACAATATGGAACGAGTGTACCATTGTCGAACAAGTACATCATTCATTCGGCGCAAGTCGATTCCGAGGAAGACCTAGCTCCTCTTCAGCTCGAGAACTGCAGTCATTTGTTGATGTTCTTCGCCGGTCCGCTCAATGTAATTTTTCTGGCAGCTGAGGGGGGAGATGATACAGCTAGTCTATCAAGGGAGAGTGTGGATCGTAACGCCCGCAGAAGCTTCGGAGTCATTCAGCAGACTCAGCGACCAAATATCTAGTAAGTTAAAGATTGCCAACCTCTATCGATTTGAGGACGGGCAAACTATCAAGCTACGTTTGGAGAATGATGCATGGTTTCCATCAAGAATGCGCTAATCGCTGCGGTGCAGCACTTATGCGAATATCGAAGACTTTGTCGCTAACCATGATGGATCGAAGATTAGATGGGGTTTTGCTATGGATTTCGCAGAACGATTACCATATCTTTTCCATCCAGAACTCGTATACGAGCTGAACAGCAAACGATGGCTGGCAGAGTGTGATCTGAAAAGCGCCAATGACCGTATACTCGACTGCGAGATTGACTGCAAGCACCATCAGCACAGAACGACAGATCACAAACAGAGATGGTATCACAATCAGAGTTGCGAGACTTGTACAGCTGGGGTGCGAGACGAGGTCCAGCGTGTAGTCGGCATTTTGAAGACCAGGAAACTACCCTTCGTGTTGAAGTTGACTCAGAGCCTCAGCTCAGTCGGAACTATCATCGTGAAGAGTGAGGAAGAACGCAGTGACGCAATGGAGCAGATCTCGCAATATCTGGCAGACTATCTCCCTCGGATTACCAAGCAGAATGTGCATCTGAACACTACTGCCCTTATACTGTCAGATTTTCTTCCTGGTGAAACCATGGCTCTTAACTTTTTCGTTCGCCGAGATGGTACTTCGATCTTCTTGGGTGCATGTCATCAGCTGGCGACAGGCGATAGCGGTAGGCAAGCCACTGCTATCACCTATGCCGATCAAGAGAAGTTGGAGAAGAAATTCAGGGACATGCTTGCGAGAATTGGTAAAGTCTTGAAGGACGAAGGATACTATGTGAGTTCTCCTGGACTGTATCGTCTTCCCAGATTCTTTCTTCTCCTGTCATTAGTGCCAATAGGTTAAGCTAACCAGGTCGAAGGGTGCTTGCGGAGCTGATATAATGGAGACTGAGAATGGCACCCAAAATGTAATCGACCTCAATGTCAGAACGCCACTTAGTTTGGTGCTATACCTGTTGGGTGACCATTTCCAGCAAAGAGGATTGGGTATGTCTCTGGTCTATGAATGTGTCATGTTAAGCATTTCGAGAAACGAGCTGGAAAAGCGATTTGTAAAAGAACTCCACGAAGCAAGAATCGTTCTGCTTGGAGGCACGAAGCTGGGAGGTAAGGACAGGTATGGCTACGGCATGGTATTGGCAGGGGAAGACAGGGATGCTATCGATGAGCTCAGCGACCGAATCCTCAAATTCGAATTGTGATCGGTTTCTCGTTATGCAAAAGCAAATATTTTGCACAGGAAAATGAGATGTGGAAGGTTCTATGCGAAAATACTCACTTCTCATCAGCCTTCCATAATCGCTATTCACTGCCTGTCGGTGTCACTTCATCCGACCTGATCGCCTCATGAAAGATGTAGCAACAGTGTCAGCCTGGATCCATGCTACAACTAGTATACGAATAGCCCTAATCAGACTGATATGCGAGGAGAGTACCAGAGCAGCTACACATTGAGTCGATCTTTCAAGCTAGCCACTAGCGAAAGCCACTAATACAAGCAGCGTAGCAACGAAACCCAGGTGTATGGTTTGCTTCATGTTGATAGTGTAACTATGAATCAAGCACCTGTTGCCAGACATCTCATCCCAGCCTATACACAATCACGCATCGTCATCAGCCAGCGCTTCCATCGCCGGTCTCACCGCATCCTGCTCCATGTGTGTTGGCAAGTCCACAACCGCCAGATACAGCGCATCCTGCCGCAACAACTTTTTCATAGGTCTCAGACTTCTTCACCGTGTCCTTCTAGCGCGTCGCTTCTCAAGTGGCAACTGTTCACTTTCACCTATGATCCCCAACCTGCCACGCCTCTGCTTACGTCTGTCCATGAACCTCAAGCTGGGACCCCGCAGATAGCTACGAGGCGGTGCGAGGGAGAATGGCGAATCTACTTTCCAGAGAGCGTTTTAGCTGCAAAAACTTTGCCAAGCTTCTTAGTGCTTAGCATGAGGCACAATCTCCACAATCGATCACGATTAATCCCCACAACTCCCTTCCCGCACATGAGTGGCTTGTAGCTTCCCTGCTTTCGAGGTCGACACTACGAGGAGTAAGAATGAGATCGGTCGTTGATCGCTGAAGCGATGTTAAGATCATACCTGCGATGCAGAGCTTACGACTCCATTGCATTGCCCTCTCACGGTCCTCAAGACCTTCTCCAGTGATCAATTCAGCAGCTTCCACAAACTTTGGCGCTATGGCCGTACTCTGTTACATGGATCATCATTGGTATCACGAGGAAGAAGCACACGACTCAATGCGATCTGAACACCTCTTAAGCAATCACTCAAAGCATCTCAACGAAGTACTTGTATAGATGTCTTTGATAAAAAATAGATATTTCCGAGTTCATCACAGAAGGATGTCACTGGTGTTGGTAGAGGTATACATCTATCTGCCAAAGATTCCGTTGCTTCAGAGGATAGCAGGCTTGCTAGGATGAATTGTCGACGCTGGTGTTGTTTAAGATATAGAACATACGAGCAAATGTTTGACCTGTCGGTCGTACTACACAATATTGAAACCCTGGTCAAGGCGGGCTCGGGCCCAGGCTCTGGTCCAGAAGGCCTCAGAGACCACAGTATGGCAAACCTTATTCAGCTTGTGAACGTCTGTTAGGAAATGTTTGAGGTACTTGACAACAGTCTCGTCCGAACGAATGGCCGACAGCCGGTCGGACGAGACAAAAAAGGCTGATGTCAAGCTTACTTCTCTTCATGACAACGGTACTGCTTGTGTAGTGAATCACAGTATTCCAGGCCATCATGAAGAGACCGTAGGCCGTTACGTTCGTGTTGTTGGCTCTGCTTTCGCCGATACTCCGCGCGACAGCTGCTCCTGTCGTGGATCCAAGCTACGGTCCCGGCAGGCCACCTTCAATGTGAGCAACACATCTGTGTGAACTGACGGATACTCTGCTTACAGTCAGTGCCAGACTTCAGGAGATTACTACAACTCCAGCAATATCCGATATGCCCAGCCCCGGATTGGTAATCTGCGTTTCGCAGCCCCACAACCCCCATTGACCAACCGAACCGTGCTCAATGATGGTCAAGGTGGGCGTATCTTTCCTTAAGGGTTCTCTGGCTGGCAAAAAGAGAGAAACCTGTTCATTGAGACTTACCTCCAGAACTCGAGCAATATCAGCATGTTCGCAGATGGAATGCTTTGGTCAGACAACAGAAGTGAGACGCAGGAGCCTCAGGATTCTCGCACAAGCGAAGACTGTCTCTTTCTTGATGTTTTGGTTCCATGTCTAAATATAAGCAATTGCCGATGAACCTTTCTTGCGGCAATAGGTGCGCCTCAACAGCTGTTGCTTGTCATCCTCTCTTGATACAGAAACACGATCAGCATGGCGAATGGATGGATTCATATGAACTCAGTGCGCCAACTTAGTCGCTGTAATACTCAGCATAAGACTAGACAACGCGTTTGCAACTGGAGGACACAATGTTAATCCTTGGATAGCTGCAAATTTTCCAATACATCATATCAAATGATATCGATGACACCAAATTTTTTCTTCTTCGCGATCCTTTCGAAAAGACCTCGTCACAGTCGACAAACGGATCAGCACTGACACATGAGCGAGATACTCGTTTGATCAAGAGTTCGGCCATGCACACTGAAGATCTGTTGGACGGCCACGAGTTATAATATCCGCTTGCGTATTGGCTTACAAGGGACCTATGACTGTACAGGGCCGAGTCGAGACATCAATGCGGCAAACGCAGAATAACCATAATTATAAGTCCTGCCCTTCTTTCTCTATTCTCCTTGGTAATACTTGGAAGTTGCTACGAGATATCAAAGATCTACGTATGAAAAGTTTACAGTTCATCCTATTGAGTTAACTGATTTTAGCACACTGAGCAGTATTTGTCAGTACACTGTATCAACCCTACAAATCCTCAAGCTCGTGTTATCAGCTGCGTTAGCTTGAATGGCTGGCGCAACTCCTTGTCCTGATGGTCACAAATCTGAGCCTCAGGTAAGTTTCACAACGCTTGTATCCCGTACTTACTTCTCCATTCTCACATTTTCTAGTCTGATTTACCGACTGTCTCAGTCTATGAGCTCCCCATTGAACCTGGATGGTCGAGCAGCTACTCTCGACTGCCGAAGACAAAGTATGTTGTGAATGGTGTAACCTACGACGATGGCAAACCTCGTCTATTCATCGGCAATGGTAGGCCCGGACCAAATACTCAGACCCCGCAGGCGACATCATGGCCAATTCATCAGGACGAGAACCAAAGTCTTACAGAGACGGAAGCACAGAATGACGCAGAGCAGTTTGAAAGAGCTGAAGAGAGGTTTCCTCGTTCAGGCAGCAATCCTGGCCGTCATTATCACGGCATACATCTCACGGGGTCTGGTTTCACACATCTCGGTAATACTATAGGCATGGGTCAAAGCTCTGGAAAGAATACCTATTCAGACGTCTATGTATCAGGAGACCATCACGCCATGTTAGGCAACGTGTTCACGGACTATTTGCCAGGAATCAATTCGCAGCATACCAAACCAATGGCTTCTGGTTCCCAGGAGTCGCAACAACAGTCATGGAAAGGGAAGGAGCGATACTCTCCACCGTATGGAGCTTCAGTCAACTGCACTAACCAAGCAAAGACTACTGCCAACCAGGCTGCGGTAGCAGGAGATGGAACTGCTATGCGATCAGGTTGGAGCCGTGCAGGCCAGGTGCTTGGTGAAGAACCACGAGCTAGGCTGCACAAGCAAGATGGCAAGGGACAAGGGAAAGCACAAGACTGTAGGACAATCTCGTGGTTGAAACGACATGGATGTGACATTCCTTGAGGTCGACTGAGCATCTGAGCTGTCATCCTTCTGAGCTGGTCACGATCAGTTTGATCATTGGGCTATGACAGTTTTCAATATCGGGATAGACATTCAGCACTTACCCTGCAACGGCCTTGTTTTTGGTCCTCGGACAAGCATGAACTTTGAGCTGCACTATCTCAGGCTGATGGTCAAGTTTTACCACGTCAGTAATCATGTTGTTGATCCAATGCCTCGTTTGTGTATGACATGCTGTTCAGAGTCTGTCGCAGCGGTGGTCTAGTGCAGCCAAGTAGTGGATCTGTGTAGTGATCTCTTGATGCTATCCAATACTTGGTGGAGTGAGAGCTCTGTAGTCTGTTATGAAGCACTATCTGCGAGTCAGGCAGCAAATCAGGCAACTTAACCATTCGGAGACTCCAAAAATCGCAGACAAGCTTCACGAGCGATGTCGAGGTCTAATTCCAGTACAGAGCTAGATGTAGGGCTCCTGTTTCCTTGTCCTTAAACTGGCAGCAGCAATGTGATAGAAGGAGAGAATGACCCTCCACGCAACCATACTTATGTCCGGCTCCACGTCTAAGCCACTTCTCTACAGTACTGTTCCACTAAGTTTCTGGGGCGGCGTGAACACCTCAACGGGCCGGATTATTGACCACACTCACCCTTTACATGGTCAATATCTCGAAAACCATGTTCTAGCGATTCCATCAGGACGAGGCTCATGCTCTGGCAGCGGTGCGCTGTTAGAACTCATTCTCAATGGCTGTGGTCCGGCGGGCTTGATCTTCCGCGATCGAGAGGACATTCTCACACTTGGGGTTCTGGTCGCGAAGATCATGTTTGAAAAGTCAATACCGGTGGTCAGACTAAAGCAAACGAAAGATTTCAACCAGCTAGGGACAGGATTGTACGCAAGGATTGATGAACATGAAGTCAGCTTTTCAAGGCAGCAGATCCCAGGACGCTCGTCTACCTGGTTAGATGTTGTTCGTCCGCGAGCACCTAGTCTGAGCACTAGAGACAAAGGAATGCTTGATGGTGAACATGGCGATGCTATGAAAATGGCAATGGAGATTTTGATCGAGTTCGCGAAGGTTCAAGGAGCAGAAAGACTGGTAGATGTCACTCAAGCACATATCGATGCCTGTGTGTACATCGGCTCCGCCGGTCTCCAATTCGCGCAGAAGCTTGTCTCTATGGGTGCAAAAGTCAGTGTTCCGACGACTCTGAATGCCATCTCAGTTGACAGACGCAGGTGGAAAGAATTAGGAGTTACGAAGGAAGTGGCGCAACCCGCAGAGGCCTTGGCGCAGGCTTACCTGGACATGGGTGCAAGTATGAACTTTACTTGTGCGCCTTATCTGCTAAAGACTGCGCCAGGTGTGGGTGAACAGGTAGGATGGGCTGAGTCAAATGCGGTCGTGTTTGCGAATAGTGTTCTTGGCGCAAGGACGCAGAAGTATCCAGACTTTCTCGATGTTTGCATCGCGTTGACTGGCAGAGCGCCTTTCTCGGGCTGTCATACAAATGAGGGTCGTATGCCGAGTATGGCGATTACTCTGCCGGAACTGTCTAACATAGATGACTCTCTATATCCTGTGCTAGGATATTGTATTGGTAAAGTAGCAGGACCAGAGATACCCTACATACACGGACTTGAAAACGCTACTCCACGTATAGCAGATCTCAAAGCTTTCGGCGCAGCTTTCGCAACAACATCTTCCGCGCCTATGTTCCACATAAGAGGCGTCACTCCAGAAAACCCGAATGTGGATGATATTTTGTGGCGCATGGAACACACCTCAGTGACACTCGAAGAGCTCGCGGCATGCTTCCGTCAACTGACCACAGCGACCTCTTCCTCAGTCGACCTCGTGTCCCTGGGCAATCCCCACTTCTCTCTCGAAGAATTTGCACAGCTGGCTCGCTATTGCTGCTTACCTAGTCATAAAGAACACCCTAGAGTCTCAATCATCGTCACCACATCCCGCTCAACACAAGAGCAAGCAGGACATGCAGGCTATCTGAAACGGCTGTTAGACTTTGGCGTCGATGTAATCACTGACACGTGCTGGTGCATGATTGAAGAACCTGTCATAAAGAAGAACGTGAAGAATCTGATGACTAATTCGGCTAAGTATGCACACTATGCTCCTGGTATGGTGAAGAAGGGCGTTCATTTTGGCAGTCTGGAGGCGTGTGTTGAGGCCGCATGTACCGGTGAGGTCAAAGGTGACTTGCCAGGCTGGCTTGATATGTCGAGGGACACAGAAGGCCAGCCTTTGAGAGATGAAGAATAGCTTTTCTCATCCAGAGAGTCGATAAACCACTTACTACACTCGTTCTTAGAGTCTGTGGTGAGACGGATCATGCTTTCGGCAAAATGACTGTCGATGGCGTAAGGAGCATCGGAATGAAACTGCGGCGAAGAGGAGCATACCGCCGCAAACAGCTAAGAGACATCAGAATACAAGGTTCAGAACAATACAGTGCTCTTACCCAGCTTGAATCCAATGTGATACTCAAAAGGACTCGAAGGTGTGACTTCTCCGCATCAAGCAATTCGTACTCCAGCACGCTATGTGGAGACTCGGAAACAGAGAGCTACGTACATGCTTGAGAACTTTTTGGTGCATTTGAGTCAGCTGTGAGACTATTCGGACATTCTGGTCGTAATTGATAACTCCGCACGTCTTGAGTTAAACCCAGTTTGAAACTTCCTCATCTAGACCTCCGCTCAGAGGGTATATCTGAAGTCAACATTGCCCTCGATGACCAGTTCGCCTTTTGCAGCCTTCTTGTTTCGTTGCCAAAAGACCCCGCTCAAAACAACACATGTCACGATGATGACAATGTTGCAGACAATTGTGCCCACGAAACCCCAGTAATAGCCTGGCGCATCTTGACTGCGAAAGATCAGGCTACCTGCGATACCACCAACGCCACCCAGTCCAGTCAATGTAGCCGAGCAGAAAGCACGCTTCCATTGACCACGAATGTTATTGGCTTGGTAGGCCATGATAGCAGGAATATTAGCATTTGCACCTGCAACGCCAATGAAAGCGCCAATGTATCTTGCGGTTGGGCTCGGGTGGAAGCCCATCAACGGCAGACCGACGAGGGAAATGATAGTATTGAGGATGATAATGGGTGCACGTGTGCGGTATCGGTCCCCTACCCAAGAGGTTGCATACATCAAGATTGCCGACAGGACATAAGGTGGCGCAACGAGACATTGCGATGCCGCCACGCTGAAGCCGATATTGTCTCGCAACACGATCGGCAGGAAGAAGGCGAATGAGTATGTGATGGTTGTCGTGCAGAAAAAGATTAGGGCAAATCCCCATATTTCGAAGTCGAGGGCAGGTCTGAGGAACTTCTTGAGGTTGAATGGCTCGGTATGTACGTCTGCGCGATCCCGGTTCAGCTTGTCGATGATGAAAGTGCACTCGTTGGTATTGAGGAACTTGAAGGAAGGTCGATCACGTTCCTGATCTGGAAATCGCACGATGAGGAGATAACCAATGATGGCAAATGCAACAGTAATTACACCTTCGATGATGAAGATCCTGCATAGAGTCAGTCAAGGATGCATCAAACAGAATGAGCCAATCGTTACCATCGCCAGCCTCTAATGCCCGAAGCACCTTCCATCTGCATTATGCCGTAGGCTAGGATACCCGAAAGAGCAGAAGCCAAGCTACCAATCAGGTAGAAGATAGAGTATCGGCGAGCGACTTCATATCTCGTGTACCAAGTTGACAGAAGGTAGACGCAGCCTGACTCAGTGTTAGTTTTACAAATCTAAAGGAATGAATAGCTTACCAGGGAAGTATCCTGCTTCCAGAAGCCCGAGTAGCAGTCTGAGAGCGACCTTGTAGCAAACCGTAAGAAGGTATACATATGTATTAAATACTTTAACGTACCAGAGTCGTCCAATTTTGTGCAAAGCCAAAACCGATGATAATGCAACCCCATAAGAAGCACAGTCCAGGCAAGAAGACGGGTGGACCAATCTTCCTGCAAAGATAGGTCAAGGGCGGCTGAAAGATCACGTATGTGATAAAGAAAACAAGGGTGATCAAAGAATAACGGTAAGATATGGAGAGCCTGAGGTCAGTTCGCATACCAGCGATGTAGGCGTTTGAGACGTTCTTTCTGTCCATTAAACTAACACCATACATGAGGCCGAGAGCAGGTATGAGCCGCCAGTCGACACGATGTCGAAGTTTCCTCTCCTGCTTGGGACTGAATTGAAGAGCCTCGTTAACATCATGGTTCGAGGAAGTGGAACCCGCACTATCAGAGTGCTCGACATATGTCTTCTCTGCATAGATAGCAGCCGCCGACGTGGTTTCTGGCTTGGCCATCGTGGTCGTATCAGGATAGAAATATCTGGAAGAATGTCGAGAGAGGGCGTAGGCTGTCCAGCGGCCTAAGAGGGTTGTGGTTGTATAAGATGATAGAAGTCGCATATTCGGCAGGAGTGGGAGTCTTGTAAGGACACAAACGGCTAGTAGCCGTGGCAGGATATCCAACTGCCGCGGCTCACGAGTGAAGAAGAGTCATGGTTGCAGACGTTAGCAAGGGTAGTCAGTCCGGGGACTGCCCTGTTAGGACAAGGGATGCAGCTGCTTGTGGCCAGAGGCAACAGAAACACGGAGACCACCTTCTCGAAAGGATGTCCGGCAGCAGAGGGTACAGGCAACGCTGGTGCAACGGCAAGACAAACAAACAGTGAGTGGACGACGCAAAGTGCCATGCCTTGGCAAAGTCTTGGACAATGCAGAAGACGTGTGGCAACCCCAACATTCCCCGCCTGTGGTCAAGGCTTGTCATGGCTAAAAGATTTGGCGAAGGACGGTGTGAGTTCTTTGACGCTTCAGCGTATCGTGTCCCCGAGATTCGTTAATGCCACTAGGAGATCAACTAGCCTGAACCTGTCCAGACACTTCAAGCAACCTCGATGTGCCCCAATGCCAAGGATGCGCCATAGTACAATGGGGGAGCATGTCCGAAGACTTGCAGTAGTGAACAACAAGAAAGGTCACTCCTCGATTCAGTCCGAGTCAGACGACTGAGAAACGTGCTAGGGAGTGAAAGTACAGAATGTGGTCATCTATTAGCTCAAAGAGGTCAGTCTACCGAAAGAGCAGACGGCAAAGTTCCTGCTTGCATTCGAAGTGAGACAAAATCAGGATCGCGCATGCATGTCCTGCAAGAAAAGAGGCGATAGATGTCGTTTGCTGAGAAACCCATCGTTCGTCAGACAAGGCGTCGATCAATACGTGTAGGGCGACTTGGTTGTGCCAGCATGAACTCGAAAGGCAGGTTTGCTTCTTATATCGAGATGAGACAATTCTGGAGGGTACTCGAGCGCAACTTCACGTAACATCCATGTGTGTGCCAGCGATCACATCGACATATATGTGTCGTATGAAAGGAGATGGAGTTGACTGGACGGCAAAAGCGGTGCATTTCCTTCTTCATGGGCATCGAGGGCAGATGGAATTGAATTATGCAAAGGTACATCGTCAATATATTGTCAGATCTGTCATACCTATCAGTGATACTTACAGCCATGGCCAAGATGGTAAGTCTGAATATGGTGTAACAGCGTATCAATGTGAATGCCGGATGATCGCCGCGCGTTCAGCGACCTTTTGTGGTAAGGTCAAATTACAACACCTAAGTTGTGTGGCTTCAGAGGAAAACGCCTGAGCTAAGGACAACGTACTCCGTACCTTTCCTGCACAGAGAAGTCGAGAATTTTGAACATTCAGATATAATGAAATGGAACAGGATGTTGTCAAAGAAAGAGCACTTATGGTGCTGGTCGTAAACAGCCAGGCAGGTAGGCAGCCAAGTTTTCATGTCGAACCTGCCCGCATCTGGGTGATAGACTGGACCATAACCAGCAAGTTAAATCCTTTTTGTGCGGCCTGTCGCTGGGGAGGCACGTTCGACGCTCGTAACTGCCACTTCGAGCCTGCGCGTCATTGTGATCGGCTGTATGTTATTTCTCTAGCCTGAGCCCTCCACTCAACCAAAGCAGATACACATCGTAACCACAATGGCGGGAGAGTCAAGGTAAGGATACATCATACTTGCGCAAAGGTCGGGCTAATGATACATGCCAGACAAGAACTCTTACATTGGCTCAATAGTCTGCTACAAATCAACATCACAAAAGTCGAACAATGCGGGACAGGGTAAGTATGCATTGAAATCTCCTGCACAGTTTCTCACGTCTATCACAGAGCGGCGCTTTGTCAAGTCTACGATTCCATCTTCCTCGATGTTCCCATGAGCAGAGTCAAATTCAACGTCAACTCTGAATACGCCTATATCCAGAACTTCAAGATTCTTCAAAGTGTGTAACGGAGCGACAACTGCGAGAGGCTTTACGACTGATACAATACAGACACATTCACCAAACACGCAATCGAACGAACAGTGCCCATTGAAAGTCTCACAAAATGCAAGATGCAAGACAATCTGGAATTCCTGCAATGGTCGAAGCGCTTTTGGGATGTAAACTTTCCAGGTCACGATTACGATGCGGTCGCTCGCAGAAAAGGTGCGGGTGTAGTTGCCCCAGGACCTGCACCAGCATCAGGTAGAACCTCAACAACTTCCGCACGCAAGCCAGCTCCACCTGCGACTACGAGGGCAGCTCCAAGAGTCGCAGCAGCCGCAGGAGTTGGTGCCGGCATTGGGGGTGCCACATCACTGGCCTTGAGACAAGAAAATGAAACGCTGAAAGAGGCCATAGGAGGTCTCGAGAAAGAGAGGGATTTCTACTTCAGCAAATTGCGGGATATAGAGTTGTTGTTGCAAAATGCATGTGAGGAGGATCCCGAAATCGAAAAGGACGAGAATGGCTTTGTCAAACAGATACAGGCGATCCTATACAGTACAGAAGAGGGCTTTGAGATACCTTTGGAAGGAGAAGCTGCCGCGAACGGGGAAGAGCCCGATACCTTTTAGCGAGCATTGGCTGCTCGATCTGAACTTCTATGGAACTGCTTGCTCCTAGGCAAGATTATGATACCCACTCTTGATGATCATGTTTGGTCCATCAATGGTTTCGAGGACCACCTCCTTTGTGCTCGTGAAATCGCAAGACGAATTGTTGCGCCACGAGGGCGTCCAAGAAGCGGTTGGAGAAAGCCGTCAGTATTGCGTGATGTGTTGGTGGGCTGATATCCGTAGTCGGTTTCTCTTTGCTGAATCGCACGGGTAAGAGGAACGAACACAGGGAGTGGTGGCAGCAGTCGCATCTAACATCCCATACAGGAAAGACTGGTTTCCCACACCCTGTCGCTGAATGTGTTCATCAGCGCTCGGCGCGGTCCCAGTACATAGATGACTCTAAGCACAACAAAAATGGGTTAATATCTCATATGATACCTCTAGAATCGGTATGGACTTCTTGAAGGTTTATTTTTGGTCCCTGGTCCCTGCTTGGCATGTACGACTCGGGTGGCGCCGGGGAGTTTGCTGACCGACTTCCGACTCGTAACGTGCGGAGCCTTTTACCGAGCTGAGCTGAGCTGAGCTGAGAAACATTGAAAAGTCTTTCTGACAATAGAGTGACCACGAATTAGTTTCTATCCTATAGGTTAGCCATAGAGCATCATCTACCGACAGTTCGTCTCTGCGATCTCGAAGCTGTCTGAAATTCGTCAGCAACGACTTTGCACTGCGTGTCCAATTCGTGGTAGTTTGAAGTTCAGGGGCGAACAACGACAAACAGCTTAGACTCAGACGCATTCGTTCCATCAACTGCTAGCTTTCTCTTATCAAACATCTGTTGGCTACATCACAACAAATATGTCAGCTCTGAGAGCAGGTATCAAGGTCGCCGGCCTGACAACACTCAGCGCCAGTGTAGCCTATTCCGGCTACCAATACTACAACACAACCAATGTCATCTTCACAGCACACGCAGAGTCTCTCCCATCAGACTCGAAGGCCGCCCTGAAGAAGATGGAATGGAAAGGCTTCACAGAAATGAAGCTCCAGAGCGCCGAGCAAGTGAACCACAATGTTAAAAGGCTGACTTTCGCCTTGCCTACAGATGACTCCACAACCGGTCTATTGCCGATCACGTCTCTGTTGACGCGGCATACTCCAGAAGGTGCTTGGATTCCAGTCTTTCGCCCTTATACTCCAGTCAGCGACAATGATATTCCGGGCACAGTGACGTTCATGGTCAAGCGTTACGAAGGTGGAAAGGGCTCTGGGAAGATGCACTCCTTGAAGCCGGGTGACAGTATGCTTTTCAAGCCACTCCAGGAACTCGAGTATAAGCCAAATGAATTCAAATCCATGCTGTTCATCGCTGGTGGCTCCGGAATCACACCTATCTATCAGCTTACAAGGTCTATCCTACGCAATCCCGAGGACAAGACAAAGATCTCGCTCATATATGCCAACAACACCGAGGAGGATATCTTGCTACGGAAAGAGTTTGAGGAGTTCGAGAAGCAGTATCCCGATCGATTCAAGAAGCTTTTTACGGTTTCCAAGAAGAGTAGCGCGGATTCCGATGTCGAACAGGGCTATGTTACCAGAGAAATGATCAAGAAAGTCTCATCGGACGACGGCAGGGTTGGCAAAGTGCTTTGCAGTGGCCCGCCCGCAATGATAGAGGCCGTAGCAGGAAAGAAGTCTCTCGGCGGCTGGGTACAGGGCCCGGTGAATGGCATTTTGAAGGAGCTGGGATATGGCAAGGAGGATGTCCACAAGTTCTGAGGATCGGTATGATTATGGTGGTGGTACAACTGGATTTGCAGAACTTTCTCGTGCTATGAAAAGCTTCCCTGAATTCGAAGGGCAAGATTGCGCATTGGAGAATAGGGCCACAACCATGGATCGACATGGGTGTCGAGCATGACTATCCTTGTCGAGGCCTTGAATGAGGAGGATGCCTGGTGAGTGAGGCGCGTTTTAGTGGATCATTATTTTCTTCGACTTCAAAATCTGTTAAATATAAGGCTTATATACAAATGGCCATACACGTATGCCGATGGCCTTGCATATGTGTAGACTCATCGAGTAGAGATGTGTAGAGCGTATATTGCTTGTGAGATTATATGGTGCTGCCTCAGGCATTAACAATCTGAGCAAAACCAAGCGGGAATAGCTCTGCTCTAAGAGTTAAGTCCAGTCTATTTGCGCACTAACATGTGCAGGACTTTTGGAAAAGCTTCGCCGTCATCACATCCGAGCATGCATATTGCACTTCCCTACACATCCGGCACGTTTGCATACATGGACCTGGAAACTGGCAGGTAGCACTCTCGGGCGGTGCAATGGTTTATAAACTGCAATCACCCGCTCCTTCCACCTACAACAACCTGACTCCACCCGAGCTGACACTGTGTTTACCGACTGGCTGGCCCTAAAGTTCACCTCACTCGCTTATCTTCTCAAGATAACATTCGTTCCAAATATGCAAGCATTTGGTACGTCCGCATTCGTTCTTCTGTATCAGTCATTCACTGCTGGTATCATGGCTCTTTGGCCTCGACCACAACCATGCTGCGAAAGCAAGCGCTGAACAATCTCTCGTTTACAGTACCCAAGAATCGAAAGGTGCCATGATCACTATATGCGACAGATCGAGTCAAAGCTGACTATGATCTTCTAGCCCAAGTTCGAATTGACCTTGCGAGTTATAGACCTCACGAATATCCCTCTTGTCGTTGGTCATGTGGGTGTGAAATGGCATCTACCCTCTTCCAGCTCCGCCGAACATAGAGGCCGGACTAAGAAGGCTAGGATAAGAGAACATCGAGCGACTTGGGAATATACAAAACACCTATCTGTTCGTTTGACCATTGACAAGAATACATACCTTCAACCATGCGACGTCTATTTCGAGATCCTACAGGAGTTCGACTCAGCAAGAGGAGGACGTGTGCATTTGGGAAACGTCAAACTTAATCTGGCCGAGTATACCAATATCCATGAGCATGGTCCAGCTATTGAGGACCTGGCGGACGGAGAAGATGGTATGATAACAAGACGTTACCTCATGCAAGACAGCAAAGTGAATGCGACACTGAAGGTTGGCATCGCTATGAAACAGATCGACGGAGACACGAACTTCATCGCACCACCACTCAGAAGTGCTATGGTCATTGGCGGAATTGCTGGAATTATCAGCGCCGAAACTGGTGGAGACCCGGACGACATGCCTAGTATCGCAAGCAAGTCCCGAGAATTGTCAGAGGCTCAGGACATCTATAGACGCACCCTTGCTGCTTCTTGGGCCTGCGAAAAAGGTGAACTTCCGCCAGACAAGTTGATTGAAAATCTATTCAGTGGTGGCGATGGAGGTACTGTACACTTACCTCCCACAAGCCAGATGAGCAGACTTGGTCTTGATGTGGGGCTTGTTTCGAGAGACGATAGTAGCACCTCGAGCGATGCCGATTCGAGACGTGGTCGTGGCAATACACAGACCGGCCTGACACCTGACATGGCAAGGTCCGGCCATCGAAGAGGCGGGAGTGGTGGAGCTCTTAGCTCGCAGAGCTCTGTCATCAGCACCGTTAGTGGGAGAGGCAGTATCGAACAGCAGATGAAGCACAGCACGTCTAGTCGGCACACTCACAACAATCACCAGAGACGAAGAGCTGGACCTGGGTATCGCGAAACGACCGAGTTTGATCTCCGTGATGACTTGCGAAGCTGGCACGTCGACGTTGAAGGCTAGCTTGAATCATATTCTACATAAGTGCAGCTAGAGCTGAAAAGCTTGACATGTCTTGGGCAGTCCACGATCGAAAAAGGAACAACACGGCCAGACGTGTCTGCCTGCATCTCCACACTTAACATTCGACCAATCGGAGACGCGGTACTTGAACGAGGCAGCTGCAGCCTGGGCAGAAGTTCTTATTAACCTCTTGTCAATCCAGATCTGAGAGCCATTCCACGACGCTTCCTGCTCATGAATCACCCGCAACTGGGTATCATCTTTCTCCAATTCCAGCACCATCTCTGAGCTTGAGCTCCTATCGTTCGAGTCAGTGGATAATCTCAGGGACGAGGCACCATGGATACTGAAATCGATTACGGGCTCGAGAATCGTCTGATCGAGCCGAAGGAGCAGCCACAATCAGCAGAGGTGGAAATTCAGACGTTACTGCCATCTGAACTTCTGCAAGATGGCCTGCCTGACGACGATGACGATTGTGTCATATGTTACTTGACACTGTATAGACCAGTGAGGACGGAGTGTGGTCACTCGGCTTGTGAACCGTGTATGCTTCACTGGGCAATAGCTGCAATGGACATCAAGACCGATCATTCCACTCTTCCCTCAAACTTGGCAGTGGACGGCATCAAGTTCAAGTGTCCTACCTGCAGGACATATACGCAAGCGACATTCGATACTGAGCGGAGTGAATCATTGAAATCTCGCCACCCCGAAGACTATGCCTCCCGAGCAGCTGAGGTTGACGACATTGAAGCGAGCCCTGACGACGAATTCGGAACCCAGACCATGCTCATCATGTTTGGCAACTCTCATCGAAAGCTTACATCGACTGCCGACTCTTCCCTCATCGCCACGTCTGCGGAAAAAAATACTCACGAATGGACCTTTTTCGTACAATCCTCCCGACAAGACCTCGTCGAGAAGGTTGACGTGATCCTGCACCCAACATACCGAGAAAACCGCTTGGTAACGCTCTCCCATCCACCATTCGCAACCACGCATCAAGGTAGGAGCTATTTTACGATCTATGCAGGTTTACAACTACGCGAAGGATGGCAGTGGGTCGATGAAGCAACGGCCGTAGATAGTGACGCTAGTAAAAATCGGTACAAAGATCTGCTGCCTATAGAATGGGCTCTAGATCTTCACGAGAACGGCCAGCAAACAAATAGGCTTGTAAAGTTTCGGAAGATTCAGCCGGAGAAAGGAAAGATGATGGACGATCCTGTTGTGGACGTAGAAGAGGAAGAGGAGCTGGACTTGAGAACTCTGGCTGGAATCATAAGTGAAACTGAGATCGAGCAACTCAGGCACACCAGAAGATTTAAGAGAAGAGCGAGCTGATAAGGAGCTCCGCCTCTGTATTCACCATCATCAGGTCTTTTTATCCCAAATGGCTTGAGCTAGACTAAATTTTCCTTCAGAACTGGCTCTTTACCCGCGAGTCGCAGATGAAGTCCATATCGCTTACTGCATTGGGTAATAGAGTGTACTTGGGGTGGTGATCGAAGCCAGACTCTGGTATACTGTGACTGGTTGGAGAAACACTTCCGCGAGTGTCGTCGTGGTACGTCTCAGGCGCGAATGGACCGCCGGAGTCTCTCTAAAGAACCTTTTCTCGCTGTCGCCGGAGTCGAAGTGCGATGAAGCAAGCCCGCCTCCTGTACAGCATCCATCCAACCTCTAACCTTTGGCTGTCTTCCTCCTTCAGCTGGCTCGATATCAATGCTAATACAAAACTCATTGCCCATTCTCTTTCAATGATGCTGCTGGAAAAAGTGCTTGGAATCCATGTACAGACGCGCAATATCGGAAAGGGTCTGATGCTGAAGTGTGTGCCATTCAGTCACTTCTATCACGAATGACAAAACCATGCAACTGCATTTAGAACCACCAGATTTCTTTGCAAGAGTCATTCCTCGGTTGAAGAGGTGGATATGTCTTGCAGACCGGACTTATGGCTCTTGATCGTCGCACTTCGTAGAACACGGTGGATGACAGAGTTGCAAGCCTTATAGTTCTTACTCCGGATGGATCCAGATATGCGGCTACCTGTCTATTGCCTGCATGGTATTGCAACAGCAGGTTTGGTTTGACCAATATAAAACCACGTATGATTTGCTAATGCAACACAACAATTGCTGCACACAAATAGCCAAGCAACATGGTGATCAATCAATAACGTCGCTCAAGCCTATATTACCGTGCTGCATGACGTTCTCTTTCAATGGCGACCTTCCTCCAGTACCACCGGCAAAGCGTCTGACCTGCAACCATGTCAGGTCTCGGGATTGTTTGTGCCATCAGTGGAATAATCACGCTCATCGAAGCCTCAATCTCGGTGTGGAACAAGGCACATAAAGATCTCAAAACAGGCAAAACTTTCGATACTGTTGCAAATCAATCACCCCTTCTTCGTAATATCCTTGATACCTGCCTCAGGCACTTTGAGTCGATCGAAGCCTCTTTGCCAGGTCACACCAAGCAAGCTATAACGAGCGCCATCCAAAGCTGTCAAAGCAAGGCTCGGACATTATGCATGATCCTCCGACAAACAATTCCTGACAAGGATACAAATTGGTACGGACGGTACCGTATCGCCGTCCAGTAGGCAGGTAGAGGCAGCAGAGTTGAAGAGTTAATGCAAGCGATACTACAAGACACACAAATTCTAGTCAACTACAGCCTGGTGAAGTTAGCAGGTCCGGAACTCTATGACGAGCTTGCAGAGATTACCAAAAACGATAGAATCTCTGGAGCCTTCGCTGCCGATCGAAGAAGCCAATCCACACACCTTCAACAGCTATGAGGGTGCTCAAAACGTCAGTACAGCCAACAGTACTCAGCATAACAACATCGACCAGGGCAGTAGTACTATGAACAGCGTTGCTAATATCACTGGTAATCCAGTGTACGGTCCAGGCTATACTTGATACGCTCGATCTAGACGTGCTCGTACCTTGTAGACGCCCTTATGCTCAAGCGCGCTGTAGTCCATAATGGCTGACGGTGGTACTAGTAGTGCATGAAAACATCGATATGACATCGCGAGCTGCTAGTCCATAGGACACAAGCTTTGCTAAGCTTATATCGGCCATGAAGATCTTCCGGAAGCATTCAGGAGAGCACTCCACTTCAGTCCCATATCGACATCAATCGTGTTTCTAGTACGAAGATCTGCATGTATTGTCGATCTCGACCTCCTTGCTGCTGCATGTTGTCCTGAGCTCGGGGGTCTTGCTAGCGTAAGATATGGCAGATGCCTGCAATCTGATCTGTTGTCTCAATGTTTTCGAGTCGTTCAGTTTCTGTTGCTACTTGTTCGTCCCCCAGATCTATATCTTTGGGTCTACTTATCGTCCTTGACACGGATTAAAGGTAAGATGGCTAGGCACGCAGCATCTTCAGAGATATTGCATGAACTCGAAGATCAAACTAATCAATGTCGAGCGTCTGAGCCAGCACAACCGCCACCACCAGACTACTCTGCTATAGACACAGATCAGAAGACGCAGCACGAACGATGTGTGCCGCTCAGTCAAAGTCGCAACGCGTCATCAAGCGCAACAATGAATGTCATACATCAAAGCGCTGCAATCAGAAGGTTGCAAAAACCAATAGCAATCCCAGCCACAACACCAGCCCCAGGCTCGTCTTTCCTCCGCGCATACCCACCATCTTTGGAGTCTTATCAAATCAGCCGATCACGATTCCTACACTTCCTAGATGAAGTGAATCGAGTCGCTGTGGAATTCAGGTCACTAGAACCCCTGAATCTTGCTGAAACTATCAGAGATTTCGTATATACGACAGCAGAAACCGTCGGCACCGCGGTACACTCAGCTATCAGTGCTGGTGGTACGACCTCTGGTCATGATGAAGGACGCACGGAAGTATTTCTGCGAATGGCGAATGAGGAGATGTTCAACCCGAAAGGGCTGAAATGCGAGATTGTGACGACGGAAGTTGTCGTACAGGTGGCTGGCGTACCAGCACGGTTGAACTCTTATGGAAGAGTTAGTAGACACCAGACTCTCCTCCGCCCACTGGAATACGTCGAGTCCGGAGATGTTCCTGCTATTTGTGGACAGCAGAGACGGTTGGATGCGCTGGAGGGGTACATTGCTCCACTTGAGATGAGGCCTTCATCGCTGTCTGAATATGGTGCATCAGGTAGCAGCAACGGCTTGAGCGATTGGAGCAGGAGCGAGATCGAGAGGCAGAGAAGAAGAGGAGAGCAGAGAATAGTAGAAAAACGGACTGACGGTGTGGGAAGATCTTCGGAGAAGAGAACAAAAGCTGAAAGAAAATACCACGAGGAGATGGCTAAGCTCGATCACAAACTTGAAAAGGCTGGTAGAAAGGAGAAGGATGGCAAGTTGCAGAAAGAGCTGGCGAAAATCGAGGAGAAGCGGGTGGCATTGCGTAGGGAGTATGATGCGGACACGGTTGATGTGAACACGAACGGTGCGAGGGACGACAGAGAGGAAAGAGATATGCGTAGGATATTATGGTTGTTGATTTGCGAGATAGAAACGCTTGATAGACATCCATACGAACTTGAAAGTTGACATGGAAGTTCGTGGCACTGGTCTTAGACTAAGGAACCGCCAAGGCTGACCAATATCTGCACTGTAGATGCTGAAACAGGCCGAGAGATAGAATACATCATCTAATGTTGATCACAATTGTGGAACGCTCACATACCTGAAATGAGATATTCCTGGGCTCAAGCTCGCGCGCTGAGTGATGACGCTGATTTAGGCATTACTCAATCGTGAAGGTACACTCTGAGTACTGCGTAATGAGGGAAGCGCGCATGCTGCCTGTCTCTGGACCATGATCTTCGTCCTGGAACGGCTCGGTCGGGAAATGGCGTAACCTGTGTAAAAACAATTGGCACATCGTTTCCGAATGTGCTGAAAAAGGGAACTCCAAGCTGTTACGGAGTTCGTTTGACTTGATAGACGCGTTTTGTGCTTCCCAGATGTAGATCAGAATGGCATACGAATTGTGTCATTATTGTCTTGCGATACCCGACATGGTCAAGACTATTCATCTTTAGGAAGGGGCTTTGACACACGAATATGAGCATTGATAAACCTGCATAGTGGATAAACACAACGCGTTGTTATGGTAAGTTCCAGGTGCCGCGGGCCTATCCGTCCCGGCTTCGTCCATACCGTTGCATGATCGCCGTCTACATGCTCGGCTTCACTCCAGGTGACCTGAGCAAGATCGAAATTTGCTCTTTCAAGCTAAATGACAGCACCAGTAATGCTCTGGAGACGTGGCTCATATTCTGTAACGAGGCATGCCATCGCCCCTGGCTGAATGAGCTTGCGCGTGCATTCTACATCTTTCCACTCAATACAATCAACGAAGGCTTTGACCACATCGATCGGGCTTCAAGACTGGCCGACTAACGTCATTGCAGAAACGCGACGAGATATAGAGACGAATAATGGTAAGCGATGAAAGTTATGAAGAACTTGAATACCGACATATGGCGCTAGTAAACGACGCTAAATAATTTTGGCTCATTATTCAGGAAGGCGCGACCTAACTGTACTGCACCTCTCGAACGTATACTATGCATTCACAATCAGCTCCCTTCTTTTCGAAACTTTCTTTCAAGAGTCCAGACACATAGCGTCTTTCGTAATTCTAATACATGTTTCTTCGTGCATCTCGGCGCAGCCATGTGTGTCTGAGATGCGAGAGCAGACTCATTCTGCAGGAGCAGGTCTCATCAACCCAGCTTGATTCTCTCCAGCGCAGTCCTCCTGTTGCGAAGCGATGGCAGTCCTCATCAGCAGCAGTAAGAGTCGATGAAGAAGATCAGGAGACCGAATCTGCGCCTGTTCCTTATGCGGGTCAACGTCTCATTGCACACGAGCAGTTTGGATCGAGGAGAAGCGATGGCCAGGCCAGGGAAGAAGACGTTGACCGGAATGGCAAAGTAAAGCAATCTGGCTTGAGAGTACGTCATTGGCGACCACCACCTACCGCACAGTTGAGTGTCAATGTCCTTGGAAAGCCAGGAGAAATCCTTGTCCTACCTGATCAGAAGCACAGAAGGCGACGTCGCTTGACAGAAGCAGAAGAGCAGGAACCCCGAGACAACACAAACACCACAGAGACGGCACAGCCACTGACAACTAATCGTCCCAAGCGAACGATACGCGAAACACTCGCCGCCGAGTCGACGCCTTTGTCTCCTGTCGAGGTCTTTCAAAATGTCGAAAAGTTGAGAAAGAAGTTGGAACGTCACATCGATCTGGCAAAATGGAAGTATACTCGAGTCTCCTTGCAAAAGGGCTTCACAAAGGCACAATTGCGACAGTATGCTCACGAAAAGACCGCGCAGTTGTCATCACAGACTGTCGTTGAAGAGCCGACACGAAAGATTGATAGTATGGATAAGCACGGTCTGCCAAATTACATCATGAATAATCTGTGGAAGATTTCTGATCCTAGCAAAACCACAATCGCAAGTTCAGCACCTCATTCTAATGCGTGCAAGAAGAAAGTCAGATTGACTGCGGAAGTCGTGGAGCTGATCCTAAAGTCCAACAGACTAAGCAGACTACATGAATTGGATGCAGCCACTGCCTCAGCTGGAAAGAGCTCCCTCACCGTGTCTGCAAAGATGAAGATGGAGGGTTCGCCCGGGTTTCTCATCGCTGGTTCCGACGAAATGGCAGTCAAACAGACAGCCTTTACTATTAACTCTTGGAAGCACGACGTTGTGCAGCAGCAGCTTACTGCACCGTCCATGACCTTGTTAGCGAAGATGAAATCGAAAGACGGAAGCACATTCCGTTCAAGCTCAGAGGTTGCCTCAGGTGTTTCAATGCTCCTACAGCGACATCCTGTTGTGTTACAAGTCCGAGGTAGGGAATGGCAGGTTTCGGCCTTTGAATCAGTGCACCTGAAGAACTTTGAGCGAGAGCTAGTTCTCCTGGCTCATGCCTACGAGGATGTTGAAAGGCCTACCCCTCAGCTTGTGAATCTTCATGGCGACTCCGCGAGGGTGCCTGTGTATCCCCAATCTGATGTGAAGTCCGTCGAGCATTACCGTTCTGTCGATGGAGCAGCAGGATTAGGTGGTACTGAGTCTTCCGGCCTCCAACAGATTCCAGGCGATTACTTGTTAGAAATCACGAAAATTTTGCAAAGTGCCATGTCAAGCGACGAAGCTGTTACGACACACGATTCATCAATGTTCAATGGCTCGCCGTCCAATGTCATCGTCGAGTTCGGTCAAGCAACATCGCCTCCTCAAAGAGCCGGTGATAGTGTGATCGCTGCCAAAGCACGGCCCCATTTTCAGTCACAAATTCCTTTATTGCCTCAATTTCTTGCTGACCAGCACCGTTTGCAGCAGGACTCCCCTTCTTTGAAATTAGGCCCGCGCAGCTTTCGACTCAAATTTAAATCTTCAGATCTAACACAACCTTCTCTGGAAATCCACGGCAGTCCCAAAAATGATTCCGGTATTCAAGTCCAGAGTATAGCTCTACACTCGGCCGAGCAGCAGCTGCTTGTTGGCCTGCCTGCTACACCTGTCGACCTCCAATACTTCTACGATCGGAGATTGAATTTGTTCGAGTCAGATGCTCCGCCTATCGAGAAATATGCTCCGCTTATGGCCCAAATAGCAGATCAGTTAGTGCGATCTGATCAAGTTGAAGTCGATGTCAAGAAGCGACCACAGTCAATTCCAATGCCTAAACTCAGCCCTCTACTCCAATTGGACCTGGCTGTGTTATCGAGGTCAAAAACTGAACCACGCGATAACAACACAAAGCAGACACGAGCAACAACTGATGACAAACACGAAAAACCAAGTGGTCACGAGAATTTTTCAAAGATTCTTCTCAACCAGCAATCTGGTTCATGCTCGATGTCGGAAACGGGTCTGAAGTGGAGACTCGCTGATGACAACAACACCCTGAGTCTTGATAGTTCTACGATTAAACAGGGTATATGGTCAAGAGCGGCCAAAGGCTTCCAGGTCACGATCAATGTTGAAGACAACCAGGAAGTTCACCTCGAAGGCTTTCTCGAAAAGGTATGTACACCTCCACAACATACTACTCCGTGACTAACCCACATCTAGGACTTTGGTCGTGCCGCTCGCGCTTTTCAGACCTTCTACAACGTTGATCTCAAGCTAGACCCATCCTTGAGCCATTTCAACAAGATCAATAGAGCAGAACCTTCAAAGGTCGCTCCAGCTGTCGTTCGGTACGCACTTGACCGAGCTGAGTGGCTTGATCGGACAGTTTACGAAACTCCTGCACGTGGTCAATTTGCGCTAGAATATCTATCACTCACTCCAATGACCGACGATTCAATTGGCAAGTCGAGACAGGCGCTGAGGCTTGTTGAGAAGAGCAAGGTATTAAAGTCAGCGCCTTCACTCCGCGACGCAAGCCAAGACATTCCGGTCAGTGAGAACGATGACCAGAGTGGCATGTCGGACACCCAGCTGATCGAGGGTATCACCAAGGCAGCATTGGACACAGCATCCGCATTGGGGGGATTTGTACAACAGAGAACAAAGGAAATGGTGTCAAGATATCCGGCAATCACTGCTGAAGACAAGACATCTTGAGGAACAATTTTTGTTTGACAGTATGCATACTCGTCGTCAGACCAAGCTGCTGCCTCATACTCTGTTTCCAGGAGTATGCATCGTTGTTCGAATAACAACGATATTCAGCTCCTCATCAATGTAAATACTATGTGTTCCAGACCTGATCATATTCTACTCATCATACCTCACTATCTCAATTCACTCCCGCTTTCCCAGAATGTCCTCAGCACAGCCAGACAGAACTTCAAGCTGTACCACCGAACCAGTCTCTGCCCAGAATCAGACTCCCACCAATTACCAGTTCGAATACCTCTTTGCCATCCACGACGAGCTGATCAACCTCCTTTCCGCCTGCAAAACCCGCACAGAACGAGAAATCAGCTACTTCGTCGCAGCAATAACAATTGTTCTCGACACAAAAGACTTTTATATACAAATGCCTATCAGGGCCATGATCGACAAAGTCTACGCTCGCAGTCATGACCTGACGCTTGAAGAGGTCACTTTCTTGATCGACCAATACGAGAAAGTGGTTGTGGCGTTTCAGAGCTTCAACGATGATCCTATTGTTCGTGGAGCTCTTGGTATTGTCCAGGCGTGGTATGTGGGGATGCTGAATGAGGTTGCGGCATTGCAGGAAATAAATGACGATGGGACACCTCGATGACTGGGTGCTGGGTTTGAAGGAGATTTGATCTGATGTGCTCGCAACAACAAAGGCTGGTTGGCCGAACAGGACACGAAGTATGAACCTTGAATGGCAGCTGTTTGATGTACAACTAGATATTCTTTGCAATGACAGACATGAGATGTGTGACAATCTACATTCCTCTTTCCTCATCGTGCGCAATGTCTACCTTCTCACCCGCAGTCTTTGACCTCACATCGACAATATGATGCTCTGGATCAACCTCAATATCTCTCTGATAGATCGCCACCTCATCTGCATCACCAAAAAGAGCCGCTACTTCCTCAAGAGGCAGACCTTTCGTGTCCGGAAAGACGAACCACATTACTAATGCACCAATAGTTCCGGGGATGATGAAGCAGAGGTAAAACCTCCAGCCTGACACGGAGACGATCAGCCCAAAGTACACGGATACATGCGAGATAACTTACCAATCGCCAGAAACGCTTCCGGGGCACTCTGCAACCAGATGATATTCATCAAACTGATCATGCTGACACCAAGACATACACCCTTAGCCCTCAGATGTGTCGGAAATAGTTCTCCCAGGTAACTGAATTGGGTACCGTCCAGACATGCGCCATAGAAGATCTGATAGATGAAGAACATAGCCACTGCAGCCTGGAGTGCTGCATTGTTGTTGCTAGGGACAAAATTGGCGACTAGTGCAGCTTCGATGATGAGCGTGGCCATGCATCCCATAACACCGAAGGACATATATTTCGGCCGATTGAACCGGTCGACGAGGAACATTCCAGCAACATTCATACCGAGCGCGAAGACAAGCCAGGCAGCAGGGTAGAGAAGTTGTTTGACAGGACTAAACCCCAGAGATCGATACAGAGTCGGACCGTAGTTGTTAATCACAAGCACACCCGAACACTGAATGATACCTGTAGTGCCAATCGCGAGGAAGGCACGTTTGCGATACGATGGTTTGGAGAACAGGTCCTTCCAGCTGGAGCCGAGAGTGCGATCGATAGCGATTTGCTTATTGACCTGGTAGAATTCTGCTTCGGCGAGTTCATGGCCAGGGTCGTTACGATTGCTGTGCAAGCGAATGAGAATTTGATGCGCCTCTGCGGTTCGACCTTTCATGCACAGCCAGCGAGGTGATTCTGGAAGCCAAGGAAGCGCGATCAAAAGAAGGAGAGGCCAGACACATTGGATGGCAAGAGGTGGACGCCATGACTTGTTCCCACCGTCGGTCCAGAAGAAGAAGCCGAACCCAATCCTAGAGGAACATGTCAGACACCACTATCTACTGCGGTCAAAAGGAATATCATACCAGCCCTGAATCACATAACCAAGAACCAACAACACCCCATGCAAATCAACCAGCGCACCTCGAAACCTACCAGGCACAAGCTCATTCATCAAAATCGGCACAGCAGCCAGAATCATAAACGCGCTTGCTCCAGCAACAAACCGAAAGGCAATGAACATTCCTATGTGGACCGATCCTGCCATGAAAGCACCGGAAATAACAGCAAGCGAAGCGGAAAGTGCACACGCCCATTTCCGACCATATTTGTCGGCAAACCAGGGAAGACAGAGGGTGCCGATGACTCCGCCGGCCTGGAAAAGGCCGTTGGTGGTTGCGATAAGATCTGTGGAGTTGGAAACGGTGTCGAGCTCGAAGTAGGCGGTAAATGAAGGCTGACCTGCAAATCGCGGCATTAATTAGTCCTTGAATTCCATCATGTTGTCGCAGTCAGATCGCGGTTCGTACCTAGAGTAGTACCAATTATCGACGCAGTATAGCCATACGTAAGTGATCCTAGTCCTAGGAAACACAGAACAAGAACATTGTAAGGATTGAGTCCCTGCTTGAGACTGCTAGCATTATGAGGCGACATGGTCGATTCTCAACCACGAAATTGTGCCTCGCACTGCTAGTAACCTAGAAGCAACACCATGAGTGAGGCGCCTTTATCTTTATGTATTCCTGCATGACAATGATCTGCCATGCCATGTCATGCCCGAGGTTTTGCATCAAGCCACAGCATTGCAGAAGGAACCAGGGTTTTGATGGTGCAGCCAATAGGTTCCTGGAGGTTAAGCCAGTGACCTCCAGGAACCCAAGGAAACGTGGGAGTACCCCGAGTTTTGTCCCCGCATCCGCCTTAGGCTTGCCTTAAAGGGTACTCGGCTAATGCAAGCTCGTGTCAAAGATGTGCACAAAAGACATGCTTGAGTCAGAAATGCAGAGTCAGGGCTGCAGCGTCAGGAACCTCGACTCGGTGTTCGAAATTGGTGTCTGAATATGTTGTGATTGATTCAGCATGACACTGAGCCCAGTTTTTCAGCACCATCGACGTCGCTTTGTCGCATGCAGGAGTCGTCGTGCGATTGGCGATACCCGACTTGTGAAGAACAGCAGTGCTGCAAACTCAGATTCAACATTTGTCGCAGGATTGTTCAATGCTTTCCATCAAGGAACAGGCTGGACCACTCCCTAAGCGCCGTTGCCATTTCCATTGCTATTCTTGTTCCCACTTCCATTTTGCAATCCTTTGTCAATCCACTCCCCATCCCGCTCCTCCATCCCAGCATCACCCATAATCAGATCAATCTCATCATCCATACCGTCAAAAACATCTTTCAGTTTCGTTGCGAATACTTTACTGAAATCCTTGAAGGCCTTCTGTTTTCCGTTGAGCACCGCATTACCTCGCTGCACTAATTCAATAAAGTCTCTAGTGAAGATATCTGGGTTTCGACCGTCGTCAACATAGTCTATTATTTCTGGAGCGACGTTCACGTTGTTGAGTGGGTTATTTGGTAGAGTTACGATCTCTTCGAGTCGACCGATAGAACGGCCTACTTCCTCGACTTGATGGTTGAGTCGTTCTTGGTTCTCCGATCGGAAGGCAGAGACGTGTTGCTGAAGGGTAAATAGTTCTTGAATGACACCTTTGATAGAATCTTCGACACCATTCGTGGTGTCAGGACGCGCAGCGTCAGCCATACTTCCGGGTCCGCCTTCGTATGATCCTGATACTGGAGCGTACAGCAGTGATTGCCTCCTTGAATCATTAGAATCTGCTGGTGTCAACGGAGGGTGAATTCCAGGAGCGAACTGGAAGATCGATATGTTCGTTGAGATGGGTGAGATGCCAGGTCTTTCGGTCGAAGGATGACTGGGTTTGTCAAACGACTTTCGAGCTGCAATACTTCCCGCTCGCGTCAGTCTCCCTCGTTTGTCGTCTATGAGTAATGATGTCGTCGCTGATGCTGCTGATTTAGCAAGAAGCACGTAAGCTGGCCAATGTCCAATTTCCTGTCTATCTTCTACCGATCTGCCATACTTGAAGCTCAGAAATCCAATGGCGTTTTCTGCAGCCTTCTTCGCAAACTTGGCAGCTTCTCGTTGTCGCTGTTTTTCCTCTTCCTCAAGTTTTTTCTTTTCTTCAGCTTCTCGAGTCGCTTGTTGATATTTTTGGTGTAGATCGATGCTGAGGCTCTTGCTTTTAGCAAAGTAAATGTCTGCCCGCCTAGAAACGATTTCTAATCTTTTTCGTGCGACAAGAGAGGCAAGTTGTGGTGAAGGTAGTGTAAGGAATCCATTGTGGATCAAAGACTCGATCGGTTCGGTCTTTCCTGGCTTGTGAGAATCAAGGATGGGTTCCAGAGTTGTCTGACAATCGCAAAAGGCATGGCCATTTCGCGATAAGAGTGGGACTGTTAGCGCTTCGGGTGTGCGCCCAGAAACGCCAGATCCTTTTGGGTTGGCGCCTCTTACTTTCTGTCTAGGTGGCATTTCAGGCAATCCTGTCAATACTTCAATACCCAAGGAAACTGCGATGCTTCAGAATTGTTAATAAAGATCAAAGAACGGTGTCAGCGACTCTACACAGTAAACTTCGGTAGGCAAGAGGAAGGGAAGGACTACTGAGAAAAACATTCTCTGGTTTGAGACGATTCATTTTCACTAACATTAGGCAAGTGCAGGGCTGCACCGCACTTTCTTCACTTGTTGGTACAGCCAAGCACAATGTAATGATTTGCTACTTCATTCTCTGTCCACTTACTGATAACAGCTGCCAACCTATATTTCTTTCATACGCAATTGTTGCCTATGCCTTTCTACCAGAGGAAGTGTCTGTGCATCCACACCTGATAAGTCTGGATATTTCTTTTGGAAATCATCTTCCCAGTTGTCTGGAGGGAGCGTTTGCTGCTGCTTCTGCAAACTGACGGCTTCGTTTGTGCCTGTACGTAGAACTTGTGGTTTCGGAGGGGCCATGGGTCTTTGCATTCGACCCTGTGCCTGAAGGTCGATAGCAGAGGCAGGCGCCGATATTGGTTTCGAGTCGCGCTGATCAGGTAGCGGGGTAGGCTCTGATTGCAACGTTTCTGCAGTGAAGCGTCCATAACCTGTAGCGGTCTTAGACGGTGATCTATCATTCTGATTGAGGAGTGACTGAACTCTGTTTTGTATGGATGCGGCTTTCGTACTGATAAGTGGTGGTGCGGATGTCTTGCCCGCCACTCTTTGTCGATATTCTGCCGCTGCCCGTTCGACCCTACGCTCCTCGGCCTCTAGTTTTTGTTTCTCTAACTCTCTTCTCAATTCAGGTGGAAGTTCTTCTGTTTCATCCAATCCTCGCCGGTCATCGCTAAGGTCTGTCGCTTCTGATCCAGCTATAGGTGTCAAGATATGATGTTCTTCAGCTGTTGGAGAATGTGGCGGTGTGCGATCATGTTGTTGATTATGCGACCTTTCACCTCCAGCCGTCTCGAACTTTCGGAAAGCTTCTCCAAAGCGTCCTTGCAATAGGTTCTTTGTGCCTGACAACGCCACAGAAGGAAGACTAGACCTTTTCTGATGGTGGCCTTTACTGCCACTTAGTCTTTTCATATGCTTGTGCCTTTCCCGCTCTTCCTCTTCACGCGCTCGTAGAAACTCGATATCAGATTTGATATTTGTGTTGGAGTTTTCTGATACAGCATGAGTCAATGGAGCCATATCCGCAGCAATATCTGCAATTCGAGCCTCATCTATCTTCTTGATTTCTCGGTCGTTGATATGTGTCGGTCTTGCGCTCGCTATATTGACGCTGACAGGTCTATTGCGCACATTAAGTGACTTAGATCGCTTCACATCTGAGCTCAAGTCTCTCAACAGTGGTCTCGCACCCTCAAGGGACGGTCGCGATGACGTCGGTGAAATTGCCTCTTCATCGTGGCTGAGTTGAGAACCTACAGCATCTTGCTGAAGCAAGTTTGCAAGGCGAGAGCCACCTCTGTCCTTAGCAAGTATAGGTTTCGTTTGACTCGAGGCTTGCGTGATGCTGGATGCTCGTACAGGATTCTCAAGTTTCTCGGGGACTTTCCAGATTGGTTTCTTCGATACTTGAATTGACATTGGACGTAAAGGTGGTGAAGAGCCGACTGCGGTAGATGTCGTCTTCGACCCTGCTGTCGCAGGATCGAAGCTCGCAGGTGAGGCTCGGGCATTCGTGGTTTCTGCTGACTTCTTTTTCTGTAATCCATTCGACTGACGGGTTTCCAGTACCTTGCTTGAGGACAAAAGTGCTGGCTTGGGTGGACTTGCAGGTCGCCTGAAAGCATCATCTGCAAGGGCTTCTGTCACTCTTTTTGCCAAGTCATTGTCCGACTTCCCAGCCGGCATTTCAGCTGCTGGCTGGAACGCAAATTTCGAGCCTTGGTCGTTTAGCAGTGAGAATTCCTCAAGTCTTGGAAATCTTGAGGAGAGTTCATCAGCTCCAGCACCGCCATCGAGATTAGCGAAAGCGTCGGAATGGTCTACCATCCTCAATGGAGATGGAGAAGGCTTGGCCGAAGTATGGTGAGACATGGGTTTAGTCGGACGGCCTCTACGCATTGGCTCAACATCTGGTATTGCTCGAGGAAGCTCATGTGCAGGAGGTGCCAGACTAGCTCCCGTCCTTGGTTCTGAGGTCGCAGAGATGTCTGAGGTCTTTGCACGGTTGTCTTCTGAATGTGCTCGGTTACTGTAGATGTCGCGAATAGTTAAAGGCCTGCCATCCAACTTGGAGGCTTTCGCGAGAACTTGATAAATGTTTGGCCTTCTAGACGGCTGCTCCTGAAGCATTGTTGCGACCAAAAGCTTCAGTTCATCTGAGAACCTGGGGTAGCCTGGGTATTTGAAGCTGGCATTTAAGATGGCGTTTTGACCTACGGCCTCAAAAGGGGTTGTATAATAGCACAGTTTGTACAAAAAGCAGCCTAGAGCCCAAATGTCACTCTTCTCGTCGATGGGCTGTTTCCGATATACGTCAATCATCTCCGGACTTCGATACTGAAGAGTGGTATGACGTTTCACATCGTCCTCGATCAAGCGACCTTCAGCAGCAGTCGTTGCGGCTGGTCTAGCTGGAGCAGCAGAACCAAAATCGCAAAGCTTGAATGTCCTCGTACTTCCGTTGGTCGAGATGAGTACATTCTCAACCTTGAGGTCTCGGTGCAAAAGAGCTGGTTTGAGATAGTGCATACACGCTACACCATCTGCGACGTCTGTGAAAATCTTGATGATTTCCGGCTCTGTCAAACGATTCTGCAATCTTGTGTTCATGAAATCAATCAGACCACCTCCATCGCACCACTCCATCAGCAGGAAGACCTCGTAGCCTCCATTCTTCAACGATGAGGCATGCGAATCAATGTATTTCACAATGTGCTTGTGTCCTCTCAACCTCTTCATTGTTTCAACCTCATTCCTCATGTTGGCCAGATGGTCCTTACCAGGTACCGCCACGCGCTTAAGCACCGCTTTTGCACTTCCATCGACAGGTCTCGGTAAAGTGACGACGTAGACATGGGCGAAACCTCCTTCTGATAGGTACTTGTCGATCACGACTCTATGGCTTCCGACTTGTACTTTTGTCCCTGGCAAGAAAGTGCCGGCTGGTATAGCTGGAGCTGCGGGTAGAGGGGCGACGGCCTGAGGCACTGCTCTCGGTGGCAGTATATTTGTCTGGAACGCTGCCATATTTCGGATGTAGGAATTGGGAGAGGGTTGTGGTGGGCTATGTTATGGTAGTTTCAGCATGTCATCGAGCTTACGTCCATACTTGTTGGACCCATCAACGCATAGAGGTAGTGTGATCAATCCTGATGCTGGCGTGAACGTTCCTAGCAGGCACAATCGGGGAATGATGAGGCCTGCTGGTACATTTGTGCTGAAAGTGATACACATGGCCATCTGTCGCTTTCGAGCCGAAATGGAGCTTGGCGACCTGCCCTGCATGCAGGACTCGCCGCCTGGGACGACCCTTGTAGTCCTGTTGGTTGGGGCTCTGTCGTAGCCCCGCCAAGCCGTCTCGGGACTCCATCGTCGGCGACGGTATTCAACCCTTGACGTAGCACATGGTTTCCTACCAAAATTTCTAATTCAATTACTGCTTTTCATGTACTTGACCTAGATTTGCAGAATGGGCAAAAGAAAGAGAGAAGCCGAGGCGCAGACTGCGAACACACCATCTGCTAAGAAACAAGCTACCGAGTCTGGAATATCAGCTGCAGAACGAAGGCAACAGCGATCCGAGCGCAAGTCGAAAAAAGCCCAAGAGTCTAAGCAGAATGCAGGAACCAAAAAGCTGGCGGATGATCCTGGAGTGGTTGGTGCGAATCAAACAGGTGACGATAGTTTCGCGGTAGGCGATGACTTTGTTTCTCTCAACGACACCCCAGCGTCTACAAAGTCATCCGAACCTAAGCGCAAACCAACAGTGCAAGAGAATGCCACGACGAGCACATCTAAATCCAAGCGGAAGTCTCCACGATCAGAGCGCAAAGCGGCAAGAGAAGCAAAAGCACAATCCTCCGTCGTAGGAGAACATGGCCCTGCTGCTCCAGACCCAGCGAATGCCAATGCGACAGAGACAAAGTCGAAAGCTAAGTCAAAAGACGACAGTAAAGAGACCAACACCCCACGATTCATCGTCTTTGTCGGAAACCTCCCTTTTACCACGACTACTGCGCAAATCCAGCAGCACTTTCGAAAGCTTTCACCAGCCTCGATCCGTCATAGTACTGACAAAAACTCGGGAAAGTCGCGAGGGTTTGCCTTTCTTGAATTCGAGGACTATAGTGCTATGAAGACATGTCTCAAAGTCTATCACCACAGTCTTTTCGATCCAGTACGGACCGCAAAACTCCCCGATAGTGCTTTCGATGAGAACGGTTTGGAGATAGAGAAACCTGGACAGGACAAAACGAGCAGAGGAAGGAGAATCAATGTTGAATTGACGGCTGGTGGCGGAGGGAAGGGTGGTCAGAGGCAGGACAAGATTAAGAAGAAGAACGAAAAGTTATGGGAAGAGAGGGAAAGAAGAAAGAAAGAGGACGTCAAGAAGGAGAAGAAGAAGAGGCTGGAGAAGGGCAATGAGAGAAGTGAGGCAAATTCGACAGAGATTGGTAGCGAAGCTGTACATCCGAGTCGTATGAAGAGGGTGAACGCTGCTTGAGATGGTTTAAATGCACATGTTCTCACCGAATTTGAAGTCCGTTCAGAGCTTTCACAAGTCAGGAACAACGAGTAATCCTGGTCAGATCAGCTTACTGAGGGAAACAGGAACCCAAATTAAACTCCTTCAAAATGTGCATGCATCTATCTAAGATCTCACGCCTTCTCGAGCCTTGTCGACGAAGCCACAATTCCTACCCTGACCATCGCAATCGCTTTTCGATTACTGTTAGTCTCGTTCTATTTGACTCCCAAAAAAAAACGTTTTCTGTCATAAATTCGATCCATCGTGTTCATTTCGCCGACGCCATGCGCCCATTCCTGCCATGGTCGCCAGAAATAGGTAGAGATTATCCGAGAAAGCTTGCTTTTCTTGCTGCTGTTGGTGCAGCGAACTTGCGTTGTGTATGTCTAAGTAGACAGATAAGAGAGATGCTGGTGTTCGGTGATTTTCCGTGCGCCCGCGGCAACCAGTGCAATATGAGTGAGCTAAGATGGGAAGATATCGTAAGGTATTATTCTTGGTCGTAACTGGGTGTCTCGTGTTGAGCATTACGTGTGCTGTCTTCACATGATGCGGCACTTTGATTTCTTCTTGGTTTGCGTTGGTCTTGGGTTGAGGACGGCCCTGTGTGGTATGTCAGCTTCGTGTGCGGGTATCAAGTTGTCTTCTCGTACCTGATAGCCTCATCAAACACACTCTTCAGATTCCTCTGCGTGAGGGCTGAGCATTCCAAGTATTTGACTGCCCGGATCTCCTTTGCTACTGCAAGTGCTTGCTCATATGATACAGGTTCCATCTTTTTGGCACGTAACGCCTCGGCTGTGCCACGGTCTTCCCTCAGATCCAGCTTTGTTCCGACAAGAATGATCGGTACATCGGGTGCATGATGTGCGATTTCAGGATACCACTACCGGAGATTATTAGTACTGCTGAATGTCCTCGCTCATCTTCAATAGCTTACCTTCGCCCTGACGTTGTCGAAACTAGGTGGACTGACAATGCTGAAACATATCAGGAACACATCGGTCTGTGGATAGGATAGAGGCCTGAGACGATCGTAATCTTCCTGTCCAGCAGTATCCCATAGCCCTAGCGATATGGGCTTGCCGTCTACCATGACTGATGCACTGTAGTTGTCGAATACCGTAGGTATGTATTCGCCAGGAAAAGCATTTGTCGTGTAAGAGATGAGCAGACACGTTTTCCCCACAGCGCCATCACCAGTCACGACACATTTCAAAGACTTGGTCGCCATAGCGGTGGGCTAAGGAATATATGGTAGGCTTGTAAACAGCAGACGAGGTGACCTCGTAGCTATTGCGGTGAACGTGGTTCAACGACACTCGTGAAGCTCAAGTATCTTAGGTCGCTTCTATAACTTAGGTAGATGCGCCCTGCGCTCGTGGATTTTGGCCGTATAAAGATCGTGCTTCCTCGTCCCTCTGCAGTTTGATGGTAGCACAAATATGCAGGCACGTCGGCTCTAAATCGCAGGTATCTGGTTCGGAACTGGAATGAAATGTGACGTAGCAGGACAACGTTGTCGTACTGTCGACAAACAAGACAGATCAGTAGGTAGCAGTCAAGGATATATTCAGTGACAATTCAATGCAGGAGAGAAGGCTCCTTGAAGCATGGGACGTCTGGAAAATGCGATTCTGAGGAAGCCAATGAAGCGAACGATATGCTTTTGTCTGGCCGAACTCGTTACCAATTGGTTGAGCCATGGCGCTTCTTGGGTTTCCACGTGATAACGACCCTCAAATCACACAGGCACATCCCGACCTGGGCGATCGCATCTGCGTGGCTGAAAGCTAGACCCAACTTGAAGCTATCATGATGCATTGGCGGGTGTGGTCGGCTTCTTCCGAGCATGCATCGAGCTCTTCCCAAAGTACCAATGCTAGAGCTGCGACTTCCGGGAAGAGTCCATCGAAGAGCACAGTACACATTTTCCCTCCTTAATACTGACATTACACGGAGCGGTTGCTCTACACAGAGGGTGTCGTGATAGACCTGATCGACAAAGAAAGCTGAAAGAGACGCGAAGTCATATGCCTCAATGTCTTCAAATTTTTCTACAGGTTGAGCCTAGGATCGCACACTCTAGCATCTATTATTTACTTCCCGTACCGACAAAATCATGGACGAGGCACCATATCGATGACTGCACGACTTGTTGTCAGTCATGAGTAATATAGACGTAACGAAGCCAGCTTCTTAGTTTCCAGTAAAAGTAATTGGAATTTCGGATGTTGAGGCACCCACGAGTCGGATGGTTTGGAAAGAGCCAGACTTCCGTGAAATCTAGTCCATGGCCATCACTAACAAAAAGGACAATATTTCCTTTGATTGGACTGTGTTTGTAAGGTCTCGCAGCAGGACTAAGGCACATCGGATGTACGACTATCGCATTCTGCTTCTCCTCGTTGAGGACAGGTACAAACTTCTGAAGACTCAGAGCTTCCTCCTTACTTGGCGCAGAAGTTCGCTCCCCGGCCCGCTACCTTGTATCGTAAAGGCTGCTGTGAATTGTACGTTTACCAGGGGAACGACCGAAACAAGGTGGACTGGTAGCAAGCTTCGCGACAACTTCTTAGCTCTATCGGATCATGCTTGGCTCAAGCTGGCCCCGAGAAACACGACAACAAGCACGATGCCCTAAGAAATCCAAGTTGAGGGAGAAGAAGTTGAACTCATAACGGACAATCAAATGCGATGCACCACAGGATGGGGGCATCAGTGTATCCGGCAAGCTTATCTGAATTTGAGGTATATGTCCTTATGAAGAAACGAGTACCAACCGCCTACTATTGCCGACGATGAATAGATTGACAGGTCTTGAAGGAAACATTAATCACAGCTATCGCGAGCTCGAAATCGCTCCTCATCCTCGTCAGACTCAACCGCAATATCCATCTATAGGACAGAACCGCCAGGCTCTTATCAGCAACTGTAGCCACAGCTTTATCAAAGGTGTTCCGTCCTCCCAAGTCCAGGTCGACTATGCCTCGCCTCCCCTGCTTCAACATTGATTTCGACCGGATTCTGCCCTTTCTGACTAATACTGTCCTGCGGCACGGCAAGTCTTTCCAAGAAGCTCAGTCCTTCCCAAGCTCAATATGTTTTCTGAAGAAGCCTTCTGGGCGCTGTTGTTGCAAAAACCCTGCACAGTTCTCTAATCCAAAGTCAACCCCGGCGTATCCCCTTGTATGTGCAACCTCTCCAGATGATGCTGATGACATTCGATGTGAGCAGCCCAAATCTCCCGCTCGAGCTTGAGATAAGTGGCTGCTAACTTTTTGGCCTGATGTGATTCAGCTTGCCTACTGGTTTCTCGATCCGCGATATTTCTAGCTAAGTTAATGTCGTCCATAAAACCGTCGTCATCGGAGTGGAAACCTTCATTCAGACCCAATCTTCTGACCAAAGAGGCGAGCCACAACGCTTTGGTCTGTCAGCAAGGTCAGCATCATTGTTGGCATGTTTCGTGATCAGGCCGGCTCTAATACCTTTCTGCTTCTCCTGAGCACGTGGTGACTCTTCGGACACTTCACCTGTGGCAGATCGATGCACCTTCAACCAATCATCCTGCAAATCATCCTCTCCAGAATCTTCGTTCTCGTCGTCGCCATCATTATCAGACACTGTTCCCATCTCCTCCTTCTTTCTCTCACTGTCGCTCTCCTTTCCCTCTTTGTCCTGTACAGCTGCGACCACACTCAATCTGTTCTTCTTCTTCCTGACATCATCCAAACTGATATTTCTCAGCTTTTCTCCAAATCCTTTGTCTTCGCCCAGAGCTCCAACGGGCTCAACAGCGGGTGTGTTCGGTGGTGCAGCGAGCGATACGCTTTCGACTCTACTTCGACCCAAACTCGTTTTCGCCTCGAAGCCTCCAAATTTCGACGGCGTGGATGGTGGCGAGGGTATGGTTGCGCTCACATCATCCATACTTGGGGTCGTGGTGGTAAGAGGTGCTTCATCGTGTGTTTCTTCTGAATTGGTAGCGTGGATCTGAGCCTGGGTCTTCGCATCCTGGAGAGAACAGTGATCCGCGTTCGTGCTTTTAGTGGTCATCCTCGGTATGTAGTGTAATTAGATAGTTTTCTCGAAGCGAGCAGATGATTAGGTGAGTTTGTGTGAAAGGGGAAAGGCGCCTGAAAGGTCGGATGGGTCTACACGTTGATTGAAGATTACTTCAGAAGGGAATTATACAAGAGTGGTACGAGAATACAAATTGCTTTTGGAGTTGATTCCAGTGTGCTTTCTGGTGACTGAATCGGTTCACAACTCGCAAGACAGTTGATCCAAGAACCACACAACAGAGGAGGTTAAGGAAAGGATTTCGCGGGTTTTTTTCACGTACTGGATGATGATACAGTCATACGTAGTGACAAACGACAAGATCTATCAGACTATCACCTACATAGCTCGAATGACATGTGATCGTTCGAACCGACAAACACAATCAGATAACCAGTCAGTCACAGCAAGAATAGCTTCTGAAACTCTCACATTTAACACTATGACCACCAAATAAGGATATTACTATACAAGAACTTTTGTCTATCGTAAATTCGTCACCTATATCTCCTCCGGCACTACTATTACTTTTCTCAGCTACCTCAACCCTCCATGACGTCTGAAGTAGTCGTACGACCCAGGCTGTTCACTCTGTGTCGGCCCTGGTGTCCGCCAGCGATCCATGTCCATGAATTCACCATTCGGACTACGAATGTCACCGACCCCGTGTAGTAAATTCGCTCGATCGTCATTCGGATCTGTGTATGGGCCGTGGCTGGGATGCATCGATAATGATATGTCGGCATCATCGTTGTTGTCGTCGAGCTGTGTCAGAGAACTGTAGCGGCTGTGTTGTGTACGTAGGGCTGGGTGAGTGCCCGAGGCCACCTCTTTACGTGTGACATTGGCAGGTGATGCTGGTCGGGATGTGTAAGGCGTTGTATTGTAGGGTGATTGAATACCCTTGGTGCCGAAAGATGCGGGTGTGCCGGGTCGAGAAGTGATCATGTCGTATCTACTCAACCTGTCGGCACCAACATTGCCAAAGTCTGACCTGTTCTTGTAAAAAGCATAGTCTTGTTGACCTTCTGGCACGGCTTCGAATTGCTGGTTTTGTGGTGGCTCAGCACCTTGCTTAAGAGGTTGCATAGGTATTTCAGAGAATGCTGGTTGATCCATGTCAACCTCGGAGGAGAGTCTACCTGCGTAAATCTGGGATACGATATGTCTAGCCTTGGCCGGGACCATTGGTGTCATCAACCGCTTGTCAAGAACAGGATGATGGAACTTGGCTGCAGCACGGTTGACCGACTTTGCGGAGGGTTCGGAATTGACGCTTTCGTTTGCGTGATTTAGATCTCGTGAATAGTAGTCTATACCTGCATCGAAGGTTCTCACACAGTACCATTTGAAGCCGAGCATGAAGAATAGCAGCGGAACCAAGGCATACACCATCATCCACTCGCCTCGCGCCTTAACCGTGACACCTATAATGATGTCGGCCAAGATGCAGGAGAAGATGATCCGATTGATAAGTGTTCTCCAAATGTGTCCTCCCGACTCTGTCTTGGTAACGAAGACATACATCAGTAGATACTTCTTAAGTACAGAATCAATAACGAAATAAAACGCTGTGCAGACAAGGATAATCGGTTGAAGTGTAGAGAAGCACAAGCTCACGGCCGTGTAAAAGAGGAAATAATTGTAGTAGGCGGCGTATTCGAAGCTTGCTGGGGCTGTCCACTCGATGTATTGTCTAGGAGTAGGTGCCAAGAATGTCTTGGCAAACCACTGATAGAATAGTGTCCAAAGCTGAGCGATGTCGACGCATGCACCCAAATTCCTTTGCAGAATCCAGTTGACCCAGAAGGCCGAAATGGATTGGCATAATTGAGTAGTGACAGTCAGAAAGAAGTCTCCGTGCTGTAAAGCTTCCCATACACCAGAGTTGCTGTCATTGATCACAGCGGTAATGTATTGCCACAGCGCCGAAAAGAGCGAAAATATCAGCAGATTATTGACAATGAAGAAGTTGAATAGATTTCGAAGTACATGTCGTTCTCGAGCTGTCTTCGTGACATCACCAGCTCGAATTTGTAGTCTTCGAAAGATGACAGGCAGCAGCAGGTATACAGTCGAGGTGATAGCTGGCGCAGCAATGCCTTGAACTATGGACCAGAAGGTTTTGTTCCTTTGTAGCTCACGCTGAAAGCTGGGCCACAGTGCTCCGAGGTTCGACAGATTAGAAAGGAAGACAGCGAGTCCGGCATTCAAAGGTGTCCACGCGATTGTTAGCAATGTGACCCAAATACCGTTCCTGAATGATTTCCGTCTCAGTTGACCTTTGGACAAAGGCATGTTCTTCCATATTATATCGTTAGGTCGAGGCGCCAGGCGGATCTTTGCCCCTTTCGGGCTCTTCTTGCGGGCGTTATAAGCCACAGCATGTGCCTGTGCAATATGATCCCATGAAGCGAAACCGTATGGCATTACATCCTTTGAGTCAATGTTCTGACGCATGCCATTGATGTTCTGCTCCAGTATCTCGATATGTCTCCTGTAGTAGTCAATAGCATCGACTTTGCCGCCTGTAGTTGGACCCTTGTAGCTCCTTGGTGGCTTCATCATCGGTCGTCGTGCTGGTAAACGGTCTGGATATTTCAAGTACTTTGCGAGGATAGATTCAAGCTTCCTCACATCCTCCTCGTGCCGCTCGATCAACTCTGGAATGTCCTTGACGTTGCGAAGCGCTATTGGGATTGGTAGTTGTCCAGTAGGATTGGCCTCATCTGTGATTCTTAAAATTCCCTCTTCTCCACGCATTTTGGGTGGGATATGTCTGATCATGACACTTCGAGAAGAAAGACTACCCTGATAATCCGAGCTGTTGAACCATTGCCGACGTAACGCATACACCCGACGGTAATTGTGCCACAGGAAATAGACCACCACGATGTTGATGGCGTAGGCGACCACGACTTGAGCCCATAGGCCAGATCCAAATGTATACAGAGGTGTCATGATGGCGAAGACATTCGACTTGTCTCGGATTGCTGAGACACCAGTCGTGACATTCACTGGTATCATGATACCCAGACCCAACACTCCAAGTACGATGAAGATGTTTCGTAGCATGCGAGTAAACCTCAAGAAAACGACCGCATCTAATCCCAACTTCTCGACCAATAGCTCCTCTTTTGCATTCCATACTGGCTTGATCCATCCGAACAACCCGCTACTCATCGGAGGTAGGGAGTGTGTAGAATCTGCATATTTCGTCCGTGGAGCATAAACAAGGTTATGTCGAGGTCGTAGGAGGGAGAAGAGGAGGGTCAACGCAGCCGAAAGAGCAAGTGAAAGAGCGAGAGAAGCCCAGAAGGCATTGATCTGAATTTGTCCCTGAAATGGATTGGCGAAGAGTCGGAGGAAGGTGTCTCCTGTGTCCTCTTGTCGAGCATAGAGGCCTGCCATTATCGCGTCGTCAACTTGCAAACTCGCCCTCTCTTCGATCACAAGCTCATCGTCTGCGAACACGAATAGCTAAAAGTCTGGACACGTGCTTAATAGAAAGGTCAAGTAAGAAGAATGAAATGTCGAGTCAAAGCAGCGAACTATACAAAGAACGCTAGCAACAGAACGAGTGTCAATATGAAAAATGTATAGCAAGTCTATTCTCAGCAAAACAGGAAGAAACCACGGACAATAACAAGACAAAGTGAAGGTCGCACCAGCAGCCAGACTGAGAGAATAATCCATTACTCTCTTCGCCATGGGTGGGCGGCGTTATCGTCATTGTTGGGGGTCGGCCGCAGAAAGACGCAGGCGTTTCCTGCAGAAGGAGCCGGAGGCTTATTTTCTGCTTCGTACCTGGTGTGCACACACCTGCCGCTTCCTGAGAGCAGTAAGTGCTTTGACTCGGCAAATGTGTATACAGCGAAGACGTGCCAGGGCAGAGAATTCGGCGATAGAAGTGGCGCAAATCCTGAAACAGCCAAGACAAATCCACAGGCACCGATTTTCTTGGTAGCCGATGGCGAAATAAGCTCTTCAAGGTCTTCTCTTATCCAATCGTTTCCAAGCCAGCCGAACTCCCATGCACAAATTTCTCCATCCAGTCCTGTGCCCAGGATCATCCCCACAGGCCTGCGTAACACATCTTCGATCTTACAACGTCTTTGTCGGCAACACAAGTCCACGCACGAGAAGCACTATGACATTGTGACTTGTACAGTAAGAGATGAGCTGTTCGCACATGGAAATTCGGCGTTGCTAGTGTGGATCTGGTTGCATCGGGTTCGGCGATTTGAGCTGAGAGCACTCTGCTTGCTCGGCAGTGCTATGCTTGTATTGATCTATTTCCCCTGAATTTACATCGAAATGCGTGTAGTCTCACGCCGTAGTTGCTTTCAATGGAATTCAGCAAGACTACCAGTCAGAGAGCTCAGCTCTGAGGTACCTCGACGCTCAAGGGTGCGTAATGGTTCATTGCTTAGTCGTGAATAAATTTGCAGTATTTTCACGACGTAACAATACTGAAGAGTCAACACTCGAGATCCTAAGACTGTACCGCAATCCGCATTAATGTTTATATCGTCATGCCGTGCAACCAACATGGCACAATCCACAACTGATCGTGTCGATCGTGTCGCTTGTTGACAATTTCCCTATGTGTATGGATATCTTGTCAAATTCCAGCCAGCAAGTACACAAACACGAGCGAGCCGAGATTCAACTACACTACGGCGGACCGAACGTTGCTTCTGCTGTCTTCAACTTTTGGAGATGTCTACCGCCTGCTCAATTCCACTCCAAGCACCTTGCAAACCAAACATCCTGCTCCATGTCCGTTTGCTAATGCTGATTGAGAACTGCGAAGCGACGATCATGGACAATATGGGCTGATGTACGAAGACTCAGGCCACGCGATATCTTGTACCTTTCCATGTCCTCGAAGAACCTCCAAGTCGTCGGCTATGCAGCAGGTGCCTCACTGGCAGCTATTACGCTGTTCTACGTCTTCGGTCCGACCTTCTTCATCGACGGTGACGAAAGTTCCGGTTTCTTCGACAGCAAGAAGCGCACCATAGTCGGTCTTTCTAATCCTGCAAACGACTGCTTCATCAATTCCACCTTACAAGCACTTGCCGGCTTGGGCGATCTGCGACTGTACCTGATCAAAGAAATACATAGAAGAGAACTTGACGGGCCGGAAGTATATGATGGGCTCCCCGCAGTCCTGCGAAAGGGCGACAGACCGCAGAGGGTACAGGACTTGCAGAGGGGATTGGTCACCAGAGCACTCAAGGACATGCTAGACGCCCTGAACGAGCGCCCAATATACAGGAAGACCATAACTGCTCGGCCGCTGATAGAATCTTTAGAAAGAGCCTACAACACAAGAATAAGCAGAAACCAACAGGATGCGCAGGAATTCTTACAGATTGTACTTGAGAGACTAGATGACGAATACAATGCAGGCGAGAAGGCCCGAAGTCGCGCTCGAGGACCAGCTGGCGAAACGGAGTCTGTAACGGAAGAATCTCCAGCCACACAAAGCTTGTCCTCAGCTGCGATCGGTGCTTCTGAAGGATTTCCATTCGAGGGACGTCTTGAGTCGCAAATACAATGCATGTACTGTGGCTTCAAAACCAAGCCTAGCGGTTCAACCTTTGTATCGCTCACTCTTAACGTGCCTCAAGGCAACTCGACCACTCTAGACAAATGCTTCGACATTCTCCTCAAAGACGATGATATAGACGACTATCGCTGCGATCGATGCAGACTGAAGCATGCCCTGGATTGGAAGAAGGCCAAGCTTGTCAGAGCGGCGCAAGATGACCAACGCAAACAGCTTCAGTCAGATATCGTCAAGCTTGAAAAGGCGATTGAGGCGGATCCGGAGACTCAGCCAGAGGGCGTTGAACTGCCTGACTCTGCTCAGGCACCACGTCGGAAGATCAAGAAATATACGCGCATCACCCGGTTTCCAAAGGTGATTGCTATCCATCTGTCAAGATCGGTCTTCGACGAACGCTCATACTCAACCAAGAACATGGCCAAGGTCAACTATACTGAACGGCTGCGGCTCGGTGGCATTCTCAATGTCCACTGGTACCGTCTCCTTGGTGTTGTTTGCCATAAAGGCAGCCATAACAGCGGACACTACGAGTCTTTTCGTAGGAACCACATCTATCCGCCCTTCGCCACGGTTGACACGTGGGGAGCTTATGCAGCGTCCAGCAAGGCTCCCAGTGCTGCTAGTTCTCCCAAGGTGACGATAGACGCCAATGGCCATTCATCCACTACCAGTGAATCAGCACCTTCAGTTTCCTCTGCAGCACTTAGTCCCGAGAACAGTCGTCCAAATACCACCGACGATCCTTCCCATGCGATCTCCTCCAATGCAGACAGGCCGCCAAATACTGTACACTTAAAGCGAACGGTAACACAGACTTCGCAGCCACAGATAAGAAGCCACGTTGGAGTGCCGACGAAACATAAGAAGCGAAAGAAGCAAGACCGATGGTGGCGTGTGTCTGATGACAAGATCAAGGAGGCCAAGACGTCGGAGGTGTTGAACATGCAGAGAGAGGTGTATCTGCTCTTCTACGAGCTCGAACGACCACAAGCCGATGCAGAGGACTAAGACAGTCGGCTCAGTAAATCGGAGGAGAATGCGAATCATGTGACACAAGGGCGTGGTGATCGGCTGGGAGACATCAGATAAACGGCACCCCTTCTCAAAAGGATCACCGAGACACTCAACAAATACAGAGACACTGTTCCACTCATGACTATCGCTCTCATTGTCAGCGCGTCGGCAATCCTGCCATCGCTTAATTCTACCAATTTGCCGCTTGATATTGCAACCGCCCGCAGCCGTGTCGAGATAAGACGCATGTTTTTCTGCCCTGTTTGCTTCCATTACTGAGTATTTTCGAGCTCGCATCCACACTGCTATTGCCCATCTGTCAATGGTTCATTTTTAGGAACTGTCGATGAACAAGACTCGGCCTGCTCGGTGTTCTTGCTTTGGCAGTTGAAGTCGGGAAAGCACCGGCTCAAAGACTGCCTTTGCACGAAATAATATCGGAGCAGCAATGTCGGAAGCATCCCTCAAAATGGTGCTGGGCGGTCGTCCATGGAGACTTCAGGGGAAGCAGAAGTTGAAACGCAGCTGTCATTACATTTGAATTGTGAGTCAACTGAAATCGACTCCTAATAGTTGACGAGTCTTTTCGCCAAGGACTTGCCATTCATGGTGAGCAAGTAGGAATGTCGACGCGGCAAGTACTCAACCTCCGCCAAGAGGTGACTGTGTTTGTTACGAAGCCGTCCGAAACGGAAAGCAAAATCGTGAGGGGTGCGACTTCCGTCATGTTGTGGGGCGGGGTTGTGTTTACGGTGGGCTTTGTGTCGTTCGTTCATCTATTGAAGAAAGGCATACTCGTAGCTCTTAAACCGCAAATTCTTCACCTCCTGTATACAAAGCGAAGAGCTCGATCCTACTTCTTGTATTCTACAAAACGACATCTATACCAAAAAGCAAAATGGGTGGTGCACAAGACGTTCTCTCGCGCAAGACCGGTGTCATCGTTGGCGACGATGTGTACGTTGTGATAGCTCGCAAGGTCCGTTCAGAGACTGACAGTGCGACAGGCTGAAGCTATTCAACTATGCCCAGGAAAACAAGTTTGCCATTCCAGCTATTAATGTTACCTCGTCATCCACTGTTGTAGCAGCTCTTGAGGCTGCTCGAGATAAAAAGTCCCCTATCATCCTTCAAGCATCACAAGGTGGTGCAGCATACTTTGCAGGAAAGGTACGCGAACCAAAGATAGACGGCTCTAACAAGTGGTTGACATGAGATGACAGGGTATTGGCAACAAGAACCAAGAAGCCTCTGTTGGTGGTGCTGTCGCTGCAGCACACTACATCCGATCCGTTGCTCCCCTATATGGAGTTCCCGTCGTATTGCACACCGACCACTGTGCCAAGAAGCTATTGCCATGGCTCGATGGCATGATGGACGCAGATGAGGCCTACTTCAAGGAACACGGCGAGCCACTCTTCTCGTCCCACATGATCGATCTGTCAGAAGAGGAGGTCGACTGGAACATCGAGACCACTGCCAAGTACCTCAAGCGGGCTGCTCCAATGAAGCAGTGGCTGGAAATGGTGAGAATAACTAGACAAATTTTGCGTCAACACAGCTAACTGGTACAGGAAATTGGTATCACTGGTGGTGAAGAAGATGGTGTCAACAACGAAGATGTCGATAACAACTCCCTGTACACTCAACCGGAAGACATCCACAGAATCTACAAGACTTTGAAGGAGATTTCCCCATATTTCTCCATCGCAGCTGGCTTTGGCAATGTCCACGGTGTCTACAAGCCAGGCAACGTCAAGCTTCACCCAGAACTCCTCGACAAGCACCAGAAGTACGTCAAGGAGCAGGAAAAGCTCAAGGAGGACAAGCCTGTCTTCCTCGTTTTCCACGGTGGCTCAGGTAGCTCGAAGAAGGAATACCTCGACGCCATCAGCTATGGTGTCGTCAAGGTCAACCTAGACACCGATCTGCAGTACGCCTACTTGACAGGTATCCGAGACTACATCCAGAACAAGCACGACTACTTGCAGAAGCAGGTAGGTAACCCTGACGGTGAAGACAAGCCAAACAAGAAATATTTCGACCCTCGTGTCTGGGTACGTGAGGGAGAGAAGACCATGACTGCTCGTGTCGCCGAGGCGCTGGATGACTTTAACGCTTCCAACAAGTTGTAAATCTGTCAAACAAGGTGTAAAAGTATGCTCTGGCCTTTTCGCAAATTGAACAGCTTTCCTCATGGCCCTTTGCACATAGCTTTGAGTATTACCTAGCAGAATCAATGGAATTGTTAACCCCACCTCAAATATGGCCGCAGTTTCATTTCCAGGGATTTGACATGAATCGTTAGAAGATCTCCTGCTTCACACCCCAAATGCACGAGACTCGATGCTGCTGAAAGCATGCGCTTTCCTCGAACGTGGCTTGCCTAAAAACCTTGGATGATGCCATGTTGGCGGCTCGCCTGTTTGCTGGTGGGCTGTTCGTGCCCATGACATCACATTGCAGCATGTGGGGCACGTATCCATAGATCAACGTTGTCCTTTCACATCGCTATGCACGGAATGCAACTGCTTCGCATAGTTATGCGACATTATTGATGAAGATAGCTAGTAGCAGGACCGACCCAGGAACACCTTCTTCCGTGAGACTACACTCGTTCTCACTCGACCATTACGGTTCTCACTTCAATTGCCTGCTCCAATCAATCAATACCACATATTGCAGAAGAGGTTAAGCTCAGTCCGAAATTTCCAACAGAGCCGTCAATCCTGCATCTCTTGCGACACCTTACCAGTCTTGGTTTCTAATCCTCAAGGCTTCCATTCATATCTTTTGTTTCTCAACATCCCCCCACCAGACCAACGCCGCAACCCTTGCCTTGCCGAGATACCCAGAACTCGCTTGTGCCCTGCTGACTCATACTCGGTTATCTCGCAGCTAGATAAACACCGTTCAGCATGCCGGCAGAAGTAGAAGGAGGTGCAGTGCCTGCCTCCAGCCGTGGCTCTTGGACATCTTTCCTGAAGGTATGGCGCCCGATGCTTCTAGAATCCGAGCCATGCGCTCATTCCTGCAGTCTATCGCTTCATTTAATGGCGACCTATCCTCCCTAACCGCTCCTGCCTTTATCCTCTCCTCTCAGTCACTCGTTGAGTTCTCGGCATACTGGACCGAGAACCAAGAATTATGGATCGCACCAACCCGAGAACCCGACCCGGCAAAACGAGCCCTACTCGTGCTAAGATGGTTGATAAACACTTTACATCAGCAGTATTGTTCTAGAAGTGAGAAGTACGGCAACGAGAAGAAACCGCTGAATCCCTTCCTTGGTGAGCTATTTCTTGGTCACTGGGAGGAAGGAAACCTAGGCCGCACCGAACTCGTTTCCGAGCAAGTCTCACATCATCCTCCGGTTACAGCCTACTGCATCACCAATGAGAAGAACAGGATAAAGCTGCAAGGGTACAATGGTCAAAGAGCGAGTTTTAGCAGAACCATACACGTCAAGCAAGTTGGCCATAGTTTATTGACCCTGTATCCGCCAGGCAGCAACGAGCCGGAGACTTATCTCATCACCTTACCAGCACTCCATGTCGAGAACCTCATCTACGGCGCCCCATTTATTGAATGTGAGAAATACACCCACGTTGTCTCTAGCTCAGGCTACATCGCCAAAATTGACTATGCTGGGAAAGGATGGCTCAGTGGTAAGAAAAACAGCTTTAACGCGGCGCTGTGGAAAGAGGGCGATGGCTCTGAGAAGCATCCCCTCTACTCCCTCGAGGGGCAGTGGAACGACACTTTCGTCATCAAGGAGGGTGACGGTGGCAAGAGGAACAAAGAGCTTGAAACAGTTTCCGCAAAGACCACTCGTCTCAGCAAACTCATTCTGCCGCCACTAGAGCAGCAAGATGTGCTGGAAAGTCGACGAGCCTGGAATAACGTAGCCAAGTGTATCGAAAGGGGCGATCTAGACGGGATCAGCCTGTACAAATCGCGAATTGAGAATGCTCAACGTGCTCTCCGAAAGAAGGAAGCTGATGAGCACCGTACATGGAAGAGAACGTTCTTCTCCCAGCCCGACGAGCAGACTGGCTCGATCAAGAGCACTGATCTCCTTGAGAAACACTTCAACAAGCTCGCCAAGGATCTGACGAGCGGCCAACCGTACTCGAGTGCTTGGGATGGTGCGGCGCCAGATAAGACCAATGGTGTCTGGCGGTACGACGCGGCCAAGGGGAGGAGTGCGCAACGTCCGTTCCACGCTGATGGGCTAGAGGCGCTGGGAGAGACTGGGAACAATATTACTCCTCCAACTGCTACGACGGGTCCGTAAATGGAAGCGACAGTCTCTTGCAGATTTCTGGGATTTCCTAGATATAACATGTGCAAAAGAACATCATAATCGCCTGTGTTTGATTTTCTTTTCGACCTTGTATTCTGCAGGCTAGACATGCCCTTGCCCTCCCATAGTCCAAGACTTCTCATTCGTTCAAGTCCTTCAATGCAATTCAATATCAGATAACCATCAGGCAGCCTTTGCTCTTTCTTCCTACTTTCACGACGCCTAGTTTCTCGTCGTTCTCCCAAGCACATCCCCTTCACAGCTCGCTAGTCCGTGCTGTCTTGTTTTCGTCTCGTCTCCCTTTCCATCTTTTCCAACGTAAGATAAACACACTTCTTTTATACCTGTCGTATCCTAGACGCTTGATGACTTCTCGCTCCGATCTTCTTTTCAGGTTCATCAAGTCCCGAAGAACTCAAGGCTCTCTATGAAAAGACTCCCTTTCTGGAATCTCTTCTTCTTGTTGTCGATGATTTTGTCAGGACTAACAGAATGATCGAGAAGTTGTCCAGGAGTGTCGAGTTCTTGCACATTGGGTGCAATGGAGGTTATGCTGCACACCTCTGTACTGTGAGAGGAGGTGTATTCGTAGTAGTCGTCTGGACGTTGTTGAATGTTACGCGAGGACAAGATGGGAAGTATAACATCTTTGCATATTGCGTGGGATTGTAGTTCTTTATATGCTTCTTGTAGTGAGTACTGTTGACGATTGAGCGCACAAAAGCCTCACCCAGGAGCGAAGGTAAAGGAAAGTTCAAGTTGAGGCTCAACTTCCTTCTTCTCGCGAGGAGGCAAGAAGTCGGGATAGTGGTCGATGGCAAAATCAAGTAAGAAAGAAGCCTGTGCTCTCTTGCCCTGCTCAAGTTGTAGTTTTGAAGCATCTAGAAGAGCGGTCATGACTGTTTTGCGAGAGGTAGGACTTGCTTTCTCTTGCCGTTGAACGAGGAGAGCGGCTTGTGATTCGGTTTTAAGGTGTCGGTAGAGTGGTTTTGCAGATGGCTGTGATGGATGGTACAGCGTGCAGAAGGCCTTGCTTGTGGCGGGATCAATCAACCAGGAAGGAAGGCATTCGAGTGCAGTCGAGAAAAGATCCACATCAATACCGTGGTTGAGGCGATGGTAGATGATAGCAGAAGCCAGCCGTCTGCCAGCAGATATCATAGGTACATTATGCTCCGCAGAAGAGTTTGATTGGAGTCGTGGATCAGCACGTCCTGAGCTGAGTCGATATGCACAAGCTTGATTGAATTGTGCAGTAGCTTCGTTGAGGTCGTTGTGAGAGATTGCCAGGCGCATCAAGGCAGAGACCAAAATATCCTCGACATGAAGCCATTGTTTAGATTGCAGGCTGGCATCGATTGTTTGCCTTTCGTAGACGGTTCTAAGCCAATTCCATAGTATTGATTCGTTTTTCTCGTGGTTGAGCATAGCAATAGCAATGCCGAGACTGTGCCCGTCCAGAAAGAACTGCTCTCTAGCGGTGTGGTTCGTGGAAAGCAACCAGGTATTCAGCTTATCTCCAAGACGTTCGCTGGATACAACACCACCATCACCTTGGACTGCTTGATTATACCATTTCATGAGACTTGTCAATCTGGCAGTATCGATCCGAGATTCGGCAACCAGTTGGTCGAACTTTCTGAGCGCATCTTGCTTGGTCTGTAAGCCCTCGAGGTTACCAAGGATCGAATGTGACAGTATAGAGCCGAAATGGGCGGAAGTGGCGTACGATGAAGTGCTCAGGTTGCCAGTAGGTATAGCATGGTCTTCTTGTACGAATTGTCGTGGATTTGGGTGATGAGCGTCCAATTCCTTCTTGAAAGAGGTCTGAAGCACGTTGAGCAGGCGCTGACCCTCTTGTGCAGTGAGCGGACTAGGTGGGTGAAGGTTCGCGAGTAGCTTGCTCATACGCGCAGCAAGCGCGGTTGTTGTCCTCATGGCTGGCGATAAACCTCCTTGACGAGGTCGTCTGTCACATCATAACACGTCCATAGATGCGCGATTCCTACAGCGCTTCGTAGAAGACCCCGAAACCGATCTGAGACGTGGATTCAATCGAGGACAGCGCAGTGCTGATCATACATCCGCCGCATCCAAGTTGGAGATCAGGTTACGTGAGGCCATAAAGTCTTGGCAAGGACCGGACGAGGATCTTGCGAAACAGCCCTAGTTACTGCGTTGATAGTGGGTCTAGGACGGCCATTCGTCACAATCTCGACGCGGCCTGCCTCAGCGCGCAGCGAGCGAAGCCCTTTGAACCTTCAGCGTGTTCTCTTTCCACGTTTACAACAAACACAGCCAGCTTCTCCTACCCTTCCAATGATCATTTCCTGCCTGCACTTGAACCTTTGATAATTTCGGCGTCTTACTCAAGGCGACTTGCTCTCTCGGCAAGGACCTTAAGTTTCCTACAACAGTCGTCATATTTACCTCCCATATCCACCAATTCCGTAGGCTACTGTATTAGCCTTTCCACTCTGTCCTCACGCACATAGCAAGCACACACACTTCCACATACAACCATGTCAGAAGTACAGGCACGAGGCTCCTCCACAAGGGGCCGTGGTAGTTTCCGAGGAGGGAGAGGAGGTTATCGTGGTACAAGAGGTGGAAAGTCATACTCCTCAAGAACTGAAGATCAGGAAAACATTGAACCTCAAGAAGATCAGGGAGAGCTCGGCGAGTTAAAATCCAAGTATGCTGACAAGCTGCCTCTGATGAGGGAGGTTTGTGAAGGTTGGAGCGATGAAGACCTAGTGTTTGCTCTGCAGGAGACAAATGGCGACGAAATCACAGCCATGGACAGAATTACTTCTGGTATGCCTGCCTACTGCCTGTCCCTTTCAGCGACAATCCACTAATATATCATAGGTACAATTTCCCAATGGGGTGAAGTCAAGAAGAAGGACAAGACGAAAGTGACCACGACCCCTGCTGATGCAAGCTCCAGAGGTCGAGGACGAGGTGGTGTGGACACTCGTGGACGTGGCAGAGGCGCTGATAGAGGTACTCGAGGAGGTCGCGCCGGTCGCGCCGTCTCTACAGCCAACGGCACCAAGCCTGCCGAGAAGTCAGCAGCTACGAACAATGGATATGGCGAGTCTGCTGCTGCGACGAATGGCGATGCTACTGCGCATGCACAAGACTGGGCCAATGAGCCAGGCAAGGACGCTCTTGATTCCCTGGAAACCAAGAAGCCTAAGCCTGCTTCTTCAGCTGCTCCCAATCAGAAAGCTAGTGGTTGGGCCTCACTATTTGCGAAACCTACTCAAGTCCAGACCCCTATCCTGCCCACCACGAATGAACACGAATCTCCATCCGCACACGAAACCACTCCAGAGCACGAGACAGTCCCCGAAATTCCAGTAGCTGCACCCGAGGAGTCAAGCTCAATTGCTGCTATCGAGACACCGATTGAGAAGAACGTTGCATCCCCAATTGAATCGATCGAGGTGGATGATGGTCCTACCGAACTGCCCTCCGCGCCTCATTCCGATATCGCGCCTAGCGACATGGTTCCGCCTGGTGATGAGCTGACTAAAGAGAATGTGAACAAATTGCCAGATGCTTCCCATCCCCTTTCATCTGGCACAGTTGTGAGCACAGTTGCAAGCACTCAAGATGGTCCTGTCAATCCAGCTTTGCCTAATGTGCAGGCGGTTCGTCCAGGCATGTCAGGCCACGCTGCAAGTGCTCTCCGAGCTACGACCGGCGCAGGCAGATCTGCAAGCTATTCGAGAAAGGTTATGGACCAGCAAGAGGCTGTTGTCATGCCCGGCAATCATGCAGTTGATAGGGCAGCTGTACAGTTTGGCAAAATGGGTATGGACAGCGAAGATACTGAGGCCGATGAGGACCGAGAAGAGCCAGAAACTCGTACACAACTTCTCGATGATTCTCCTGCTGCTCCACGAGCTTCACTTCCACCCGCGCCAGCCACTGCTGAATCCCAAGTCCCTGCATCATCGACCGCAGTCGAGCCGCCCAGCGAACCACAAGCCCAACGTGCTCCAGCTGGTCTTCCTTCGGCCCCGCAAGCTATCCAAGACCCGTCTCCTCAGCAGCAAAGCTCCTATCCAGATCAGTACCGATATGCTCAAGGTCAGAAACCGTATGATCCTTTCAGTCAGCAGCCTCAACATCCTCAAACCGAGCCTTTTACGAACCAGTTGCCAGGTCAATCTCAGGTGCCAACTAGCCAGCAGGAGGCCTATCAACACTACTATGGTCGCGATTATCAACAGTACTACCAGTACGGTCAAGGTCATGATCAACAACGTAGTGGTAGTGCGTTAGGTACATCAGCACAAGAAGTGCCCGCACAGTACGCTTCTGCTGGTCCTCGTGGTTACTCAAATCAAGATGTTCAAGCTAGTGGCCACAACACTCCCAACCCCAACGTTGCAGCTCACCAGCATCAACAGTCTTCTCACATGCAACAGGGTCCCAACGCTCACGCCGGCTACCCATACGGTCAATATGGCGGCAGCTACGGTTCTGGTTATCCTCAATACAATTCATACGGTTCAATGGGTCATGCCGGTCATACAGCTCCTGGCGCCCATGGAGCTCATGCCAATCACAGATATGGTGCTAACAGACCAATGTTCGACGATGTGAGACGACAAGAGGACTTCTACAACAATCAGTACGGTTACGCTCAGAATCAAGGTTATTCCTCCAGCTATGGCAAGTCAGGCATGTACGGCGGTCCTCAGCACCAATACTCACAAGAGTATTCTTCTTCGCCAGGTAATACAGCTTTTACTGGCCGCGAAGGCTATGGTCGAGCAGGATCTACTCAACCACTGGAAGGTCCACAATCAAGCACAGGCTCGAACGCGTATGGAGGTGGAATGCAAGACCCTTTCGGTCGAACTCCTTCCGGTTTTGGTCAAGCTCAACACGGTGCTCATGGTAGTGAAGATCCTGCCAAGCCAACAGGTCCCAGCCCGTCACTCCAGGGCGGTCGACCAGGCTCCGCAGCACAAAATATGGCAGGCCAGCACCAAAGCGGTCTGCCACATCAAGGACAACAGGCGTTTAGTGGTTATCCCCAATATGGCGGCTTTGGTGGTAACCAGAATAATCACAATCATTCGAGCTACGGTGGTTATGGTTCGAACAGTGCTTTTGCTGGATATGGCGCAGCATATGGTAGGAACTGGTCGGCGAATCAGTATGGTAGCGGGCAACACTAGAAGGGTCGCCGATTGCTACGATCTGACTGAACACATAGTATCATCAGATACAACAATGACCAAATAGGTCGAAGATCGTTTTTTCTCCACTATTCGGTTTTGGGCAGTGTGATGACGATGGCCGCTCGATCTGCTTCAGATGTCTTACCTTACAGACACGGCTGTGTTAATTTGTACAATCATAAGATAAGAAATGCTTCGATGGAAATTGAAGTAATGGGTTAGGACGGGGAAAGGGCTTGATCGGCCGCAGAGCATAACCAAAATCTACCATATTTTGGCTGAAGGTCGAGGAGATCGTGTTCCCTTGACAATGTATTGAATTCTCCCGTCTTTTATCTGTGCAGTCTTGGCTTCTATCGCTAATGCTCGAAGTAGTGTTGACGGTCGCAACTGCTGGTATTACGGTTGATCGAAGGCGTGTGAAGCCATTGATGTTGGTCTGGCAATAGGAGCTGTTCGACTCGTATGTACCTCACTCAGAGGCTGGTCACTCACCTCCGTACAGAATGTCGCATGCTTCACTGCTTCAGATCCACGCGAGAAAACGCCAAGGAAAATAATGGCTTACTCCTCTACACCGCTTGGACTACTCCGTAGACTTGAAGTAATTAAGCGTGCTTGACCGTATTTTCTCTGCGACCTTCTTAGAAATATATGCCTTTTAAATACACAGTGTATGTGGTAGAACCAGTAGTAGTAAACCCCCTTAAGATCTAGCCTTCTAAAGATATAGATAAACCGTACTTAATCATCTGTGTATCAGGTGTCAAGTATAAATTAGTGCTCCTCAAACCGGTAAACACTGCTTCCATGGTGGAGGATAGTGCCTATTGGTGCATGGCTAAATTGCCTGATGAGTAGAACTCGCATTTGTCGAAGCCTCCTTTAGCGCGCGATAAGTCGTTTCTATGTATAACATAGCCAAGTCCAATCCCTTGAGGATGGGTATCTGTAAGCATCCTTGGTGGTAACGAATGTTTCAAAGTGATAGAGAACCGACATGTACGTCTGTACCTATCGACATTGACCCTCAGGAGAATCTTCCTTCGAGCCGATAATGCGATTTCTAACATGGAACCAGGATGGCCAGATTGTCCTCTCCAGGAAATACAATAGTCGCGAGGATAAGCCACCATATGCCATCTTATCACACACATGGGAAGAAGACAACGAAAAGGAAGTCAAATATAACGAAGTCGGGACAGCAGCAGGAGCTAAGAAGCCTGGATGTGCCAAAATTCAGTTCTGCGCGGAGCAGGCGGCAGAAGATGGCATCGACTACTTTTGGATAGATACCTGCTGCATCAACAAGGCTGATCTTACAGAATTGAGCGAGGCCATCAACTCTATGTTCAGATGGTACCAGAACGCGGAGAAATGCTATGTCTATCTGTCTGAAGTAAAGAGTGAACCAGGTTGGGAGTTTGCCTTCAAAGACAGTCGCTGGTTCAAGCGAGGGTGGACACTGCAGGAACTTCTTGCTCCACAGGAGGTCGAGTTCTTCTCGTCTGACAAAATGAAGTTGGGAAGCAAGGCGTCACTTATCACGCAGATTCATGAGATCACCGAAATCCCCGAGTTGGCGCTACATGGAGAGCCTCTCTTACAATTTCCGCCTGCGGAAAGACTACGCTGGGCTAAAGACCGCAAGACGAGTGTAGAAGAGGATGAGGCTTACTGCCTACTCGGCATATTTGGTGTCTTTATGCCACTGATATATGGCGAGGGTAGCCAGCATGCCAAGGCACGGCTGAAGAAGGAATACCACAGCATACACTTGACGCAGCCACAAGTGGTCAAGTTGCACGATAGTGGGAATCTCAGCAACAGATTGTTCCATCGCGACCAAGTCAATTCAAGCAAAACGGAGATCTCAATCGGCTTGACAGACATGTGGGAGAAGATGGGCTTCGGAAGGAATATTCGGACACGAGCGAATGCTTCCTCTTCAAACTGTTTGCTGACGATCGATTCTTGGCCCGATACTGTGCTGTTTAGGGCTGGAATCACGTTACTAGCTCTTTCACAAGATAACCGGGACTTTCAAGGTATGCCCGCTTGCTCAGCTATGGATTGGCTTTACTAACACTCTTGCAGTGGGAGCCTGGTCCAATAGCTTCCCATGCGATTGGCCACGTTCTACTACCAAATTTCCATCGCCTTTTGAAGAGCCTCCAAGAGTGCTTGTTTGGTTATCGGGTTTCGACGCCGGTGACACGCAGAATCTCCGCATTGATGCGACCGTTACAGATATAACGCCAGAGTCTTTCCAGCTCCATGTCACGCCGTGGGATGCAAGCAAGCTATATTTCGCGAGTGCGACTTGGATAGCTTACAGAGCTGACCTAAAAGGTGTTGCAAGTGGTACAATTGCCACTTTGAATTACAGGGTCAACACGAAAATTGTGGCTTCAGATGATGGTATCGTAAAGTTTGAGAAGCCCTTTCCGAGAGCACCTAAAGTGGCTATTGCCGTGAATCGTTTAGACTACTCGGTTCACCGTGACCTATGTTTTCGAGCTTATGTGGACAACGTGACGGCTGATGGTTTCCAGTGGAAGATGAGTCACGAGTTCAATGCTGTTTGCTTCACGGCGGGCCTCAGTTGGATAGCACTTGACACGATGGATGTTGATGTCGATCTCTATCAGGCTGCCTTCAGCAGAGGAGGCCGAGATTGGGAATGCACCAAGAAGAACTCGTGAATCAAGGCCGCACACTACGAGTAGGAAGTCGAGGGGCATCGTTGAGGCTGAAGAACTTCGGGCCTATGCTGCAAGCTTTGCCATGATAAGGGTATGCGAGACTGGTATGCTGTTAACGTTCGGATCTTGCATACTAATGCACAATTCGTAAATTCAATAGGAAGTCGCCTGCGAGGGCAGGATACGCAGCACGATATACAGGCCTCGATGTCGTGTAAGAAGTGCTGCGTCGCAAGATGTAGCGCGGAGTAATTGGGGACATTGAGAATACCACCGTTACCGCCTTCAGCACAACGATAGGATAGAAGACAATTGTAAACATGATAGACTATAGATGGTCTGTCTATGTCAAGGCCGCCGACCTTGGGGCCCGTCAAGAAACCAGTCACAGCGAAGACCACATCTTCAAGGTACGGTTGCAAATCCTGAGTCAGTCGAGGTATCCCTATTGAGTATGAGGTTTGTCGACGGTAGCAAGAATATCATGGGTTCCCATGTCTGGAAGTCGGACAAGTTCTCGGCATCATACCTGACAGCCTCATACGAGGCCTCTTGCCTTTCACTTCACCTTCACCATCTTTGACCAACAGCCCCTCGAGCAAACTTGTTCCACAGACGAATAGTAGCTTGCTTCGTGTAATGTGAACGTTAGGAATCCCACTGCCCCCTTTGTATCTGTCCCAAGTGGCCTTCTATTACATCCTCGAGAGCCCTCCGTCATCTGCCACCAACCCTTCGGCTCTCATATCAGGTGCCACGGTGAGTGATGAGGGGTGTTCTCGCTTTCGTTGGAGCAGGCACGCCACTTTTACGAGGGGATGCCTGATGATCAGCCGCGTACTGTCACTTTCTCAGAAGTGATGCCTATACTTTATCACTACTTGTAACGTGCCAGGTCCTTGCAACAGGATAACTTTGTATACTCTGTACTCGACATTTTGATCCACTAGGTACCGATCTATCCATCTGAATTTAGTCTCTAAGCAGTCTTAAAGAAAGGAGATCCGCCAGCGGCTTATACTAGATCGGAACCGGACCAACCTACGCCAGACCAGGGGCGACCCTTACTTTCTGAGGCGTATTGCTTCATAGTCATCCATTTCCAGATTGATTCGTCTTTGTTGACAAGCTGGTTATCGTTCCCAAACCTATTTTCACTATGATCGACACGTCCCTCGCCCATGAGAAATCTGATATGCTGTGAGGGGTCGCTCGTCTCTGTATTCAATGTCCTTCTTTTGAATTCTGGTAAGTCTAGCTCAATAATACGGATCGAAGATGAGCCTGCTTTTTCCATGACCTGCGCGATATCTCGAACAGTAACTGTATCCCCACCTAGGTGCAATTGTGAGGGAACTGTATCGACAGGCATACGGGAGAGTTGTGCAACAGCCTTACCAACATCGACGAGTGCTGTAAACGAAACTGGAGTGTCTTGAGACCCTATACACTCATAAACAGCATCCTTCGTATTGAAGCCGAACCACGGCCCTATGCTATCTTCTGTAAACAATCCAATAAAGATGCGACATATTCTTGTGGTCCTCAATGTCTCGTTGGCAAGGTTGAAGTGAATCTTCTTGTGGTCCCACTCGGGATGGTCAAAATCGTGGACTGTATGATCCACACCGAACTCGGAGGGAATATATAATTTGACGTTCGAAACTGCGACTGCAGAGAGAAGTTGATCTCTAAAAGCATAGCCCGAAGTTCCAATTGTATTGATAAGCACATCGACATCTTTCAGGGAGTCCGCGAGGTTGGCTTCGTCATAGTATCGCGTTGTCGACTCTGCTGACTTCTCTTCAGCGCTTTTGTTTCCTGTTTTGCGCTTGAGCAAGATAATATCTGAAAAACTCGATCGAAAGGTTAGTGAAATGAGCGCTTTTACAACATACTGACCAAGATGTCCCGAGCCACCTGCAATCGCGACAGTAGGTAGGCGCTTCAAAGGCGTCATCGTCTGGCGGTAATATCCTAAATTAGAGAGGCTATTACAGCTGGCTGATCATGTATGATAAGCTTATATCGCAATATTCTTACGTAGTAGTATTCGTATAGCCACGCGAAGGCGATAATATTAAGCTGGAGACCGAAGACAGGGGTGATACGAAGAGGCTTTTATGTTTTATGTATGGATTACAGATGATCCATGGAACATGTTGAATAACGAACTAGACGATCAGCCGAAACGATTGCTGACTCGATAAGATTGTTCGAATGGATAAATTTCACTCCGTTCGGCGACTTTTACATAATCTTCCCCATCTGCCATTGCGTCTGTGTTGGTAATTGAAGAGGCACTTCCTGCGGACGAAGTTGCGTTGATCAATGCCTCTAGGTCAACTCCATGCCGCTTAGCCCAGCTCTTGACAAGACTAGGGTGCTTGAGGACTCTTATTGTGCTCTGTTCTTCGGATAAGACCTGCTTTACACCATCATGCATCAGCACTTGCGATCACAACCTTCATGATTGCATTCATACCTTTGACTTGTGCATATGCACAAGCTGCACCTAGATACAGATACGTGAGTAACCATGCTGCAGCTTCTCGGAGTTCTTCGCTAGGACAATGGAAATGCCAGACAAGATGTGCTGATATCCAATTGCGGATAAACTCCCAATTTTCGTTGTAGAGGTGGACAGCGTCGAGGAAGTCGTGGGAGGGCAGGGCCTTCCTTGCTGCTATTCCCGGGTTGAGACCACTTGCTCGAAAACAAGCCAAGAACCTTTGGAAAGCAATAACTTCAAGTCCTGCGACCTCCAGCCATTTCGTCAGAAGAAGGACTGCGACCATAAGAAATCGTCAGGAAAGCGTGCATCAAGTATCTGCAAATCTTTTCGATAAAGCCAGCTGTGGAAATCTGAAAGATTGCAGGCTCAACGTGGCTGTACTGTCGCCTCGAGGACAGCGCCTCTTCTTTCACAGCTGTGGAGCGTGTCAAGATTAGGCGAGGTAGCAAGCAATAAGTTCAGGTGAATACCATAACCGCTATGTTCACCAGTAATTCTTCCTGGGCTAACCTTTATCATGCTGAAAGAAGTACCATGTTCGACATCAAGCGGTTGTATCCAGGCATCTGCTTGCGGATCGCCCATCTTGAAAACCAAAACCAAAGATCCAGCGGTCTTCTGGATCCCAATATGGTAGCGTCAGTCAATCGGTGCTGAATTAACTGTGTCGATATCTCGGTGTTAGTAGTGGAGGAAAGATACTGGTTGCTCGCAAAAGAAGACATGCTAAAAGTTGCACCTGGAAGTACTATTGTTCAGATAACCAATTGATCTCATAAACCGTTGAATTGAACGTCCACTATCTCAAACTCTTCAAATTACAAGGATTAGAAGAAGCCAGGTTGAGTGGAAAGCGAAGATATGTGGAAGTCTGCTGTAGCTTAACCTCACTTTGCGCTTTGTTGCGGCAGATAGAAAAACTCCAGACATTAATGACAAAGAATGACCTTCGAATCCGTTGACCCAGCTTTGGGTCCATGGATCCCTCCAAGAACGAATACACTAAGCTGGATACTGCATGCCCTGATGAACAGGTTGATATGCAATGTTCGTCTTCGGATTCATACCAGTGGTTCGCACGATACTCTCTTTGTCCTCTTGAACTGCAGATGATGTCAGCAAACTGACACAAGGAGCTGATATGTAATAACTTACTGAGAGCGCAGCAGGAGCAGCAGCAGCTGATGCAGAAGTCGTTGAAGGAATTGGATTCGATGCCGTACTTTTCTCTTTGTTGAGATCTATATGGGCTGTTAGTGTCGAATTCATCATCGAGGCACTTGTCAACCCAGGAATGTGTTTATTTGCGAAAAGTGATAAGGAATACTATGGGCAACATACCTCATGATGCACTGAAGACAGCCAGCAAAACCAAAAGAGATTGCGCAGCAGTTACCGATACACATCATGTTGAAACCATCGGTCTCACCCTCGCCATGTTCTCGAGCGTATGTCTTGCCAGCAAGGATACACTACACAGCATTAGCATAATTTTCTGGCCACGGTTCGAAGATACTCACCGGACACCAAGTTCCAAGACAGCAAGTGCCAAATGGCGAGAAACAATCAAAGAGTCCAAAGAGCCATTTGTTTCCAAACTTTGAGCCCGAGTGTTGTTGGCCGACAGCATGTGCGTGGACGTGAGGCTGGGGCTTTTCAGAGACTGGCTGCTGGGGCTGGTAGGCCATTGTGGGTGGTTGAGTGTTTTGTGGATGAGCGCCTGGTGGGAAAGACTGCTGTGCGTGTGGTTGAGGATAGGCGTCTGCATTATGAGGATATTGTGCCTGTTGGTATGGTTGATATTGCGACATGGTGATTGGTGTGACTGGCGAGTTTGAAGTGTCAACAACTTGTGTGCTTGTACGCACAACTTGTGAGCTTGAACAATGAGCGAAGGAAGGGCGAACAAAGCGACAGACTACGGTCGAGGCAGGCGCGATCAGGACTCGAGGAGTGACGGTGAAAGTAGACGAACGAAATGAAAACCGAGTGCTGGAAAGGCAGACGGGTTACCACTTAACACTCGGTAGGTGGCTTGGGATCACGACAGTAGTATATTTGAACCTCGTATTCGACAATCTCGACTGCGCCGTGTTTGCCTGGTCAAGTTCATGCAGTTTCAGATCCTGGTCAGTGCGCATTAGTGCATGACTTGTGGCATTTCCAAATAGGCAGCCTGAGTCTTTCGAAAAGAGCTGGAAGTGTCAGCCTCACTGATGGCACGATGTGTCTCAAGAGACGTGGAAATGTGCTACAAGGAAGTAAAGGCTGCAGACCGGTCAAGATTGGCGATAGTGCCGCAAGTCATCTGCAGGGAGCAAAAGAACAGTTACCGCCACAGTTTCACGATTATGAGCTTGGCACGCTAAAACAGGACGTGTTCCGCCCCTGAAGATCAAGCTCGTGTAGCGTAAAGTGATGGATTCTTGTTTCTCTTGAACAGTGTATTTGTCGCCTCCCTGAGCTTGTCGAACTTATGTAACAGCTCTTGTAAGTTCGTTCTGTCATGTACTCTATACCAGTACAATATCTTGACAGGATAGATGTTTTTCAAAATAGATTGCACGTATGCAGCCAATTTCAGGCCGAACCTTAACGATCCTGTTGTCCCTGGAATAAGACTAGCTTTTACGACCCAGGCAGGTTCCGCCTAGTTGGACTTAGCATTTTCTGTCTGCGATGCTGACTTAAGCTTAGCCTGTCGCTACTGCGCAAAGGTTTGGGGTTAGTAGAGAGCTTCAGGAGGGGCCAGAAAGGAACTGGCAATTCATAGGCTGGATTGCAGTGCTCAAGAAGCGATTGCATTGTAGCAGTCTTATGGAGTGGCCACCATGCCATTCTGTACCACCTTCCCATGATCTCTCGTGCTCTCGAAGAACGTTCGGTCCACATCGAGTAGTTGAGACCACGCAAACACGATGAAGGCTTCTAAGTAGGTCCTATCGTAGTGGCACCGCCCATGAATGGTCTCAAAACTTCCGGTATGGCCACTACCCGATCGTCTGATCGCCAGTGGTTTTCCAGTATACAAGCCATGACACGAGGAACGGCCAATGCCGTGCCATTGATGGTATGAGGAAAGCGGGTCTTGGCACCGTCCACATCCTGGACACGAGTATTCAATCTCCTGCTCTGATAGTCTGTACAAACCGAGACAGAGGTCAATTCTCCCCAACCTTGATCGCGGCTTAATCTGGACGGGAAGAAGGCTTCAATGTCAATCTTCCGGAAGGCCGAAGCACCAAGGTCGCTGGACGGCATTTCTAGGATGCGGCAAGGTAGACCTAAAGAAGACAGGATCTCGGTTTGTATGCTGACCATTTCATCAAAGACCTGGGTCGAATACTCGGTTGTATTCTCTGCTGACAAGTTATCACCTTGAGGTGCATCAGCCCAGGCGAACATTTCGACCTTTGTGAATTCGTGTACACGGTAGAGACCTTTCGTGTCAACACCTCTTGCTCCAGCTTCGGCACGATAACAGCGACTTGTGCCTATTAGTTTCAAGGGCAGAGACTTTTGAGGTATGGCCTTGTCAGCCCAGAGAGCAGCAAGCGGGATTTCGGCAGTGGCAGCCAGACTTCGCTTCGGTTTCCCAACATCACGATCCGCCTGAGCAACTTGCCATATCTGCTGTTCATCATTTGCGTCTCTCGGTTGAAAGCCGCAAGAATCAGCGATATGAGAGTATACTAACGAGGGCGGCGTGATTCGCTTCCAGCCATGTTTTAGAGCAACCGAGGTGGCATATTGAATCAGAGCTTGTTCAAGAAGGACAGCGTCGTTCAGCAGGTAGTAGAAACCCCAGCCGGTTGTAGTCGAGGCAGAGGAGAAGTCCAATAGTCCTAGCTCTTGCCCGATAACTGAGTGATCTGCTCCGGCAGCTGGTTGAGGTGGGCACACTGGATCGTAGTTGATATAGCCTAGGACTTTCGGCTCGCCATTAAGAGGTGTGTTCGGGGAGGTGAGATTGGGTAGAGCTAGTGCTAAGTCAGCAGCAGTATCTGAAGCTGACTCTTGCTGTGTAGAGCCATCGTCAACCTGCTTTCTTAAGGCCTGTATGGCTGAGTATAGCTGTGTAGCTTGATCTTCCTGTTTCGCAGCACGAGCAGCTCCCAGTCTTTTCTCAAGATTTTTCAACTCTCTTCTGGGCTGCACCAGATTTTTGTTGATTGCAGCGACAGTCTCAGACAGCTCTGCTATTCTGCGAGGACTATCTTTGTGTCTGTCATAGTTCCGTGTGACTGCATTTTCTGAGTACAATTTGGGATTGTTCCGTATGCTCTTCAAGTCCGGAAACTGTTTGGGCGCAGTTGTCGGTCTGACATCTTGATGCAATTGCGTGCTTGCAGACAGTTTTCTTGTGAATCGACGTGCGAGCGCTTGACCGCGCCTTCTGCATGGAAGCATCGATTGTTCAGTTTGGAGAGAGTTTCTGGCCAGCACGAACGCGACACGCCAATGCCCCAAACTCGCAGGTGGAGACAAGTGAGGTACTTTGCAGTCACTATACATTTACAAACTGGGTCCAGTACTTTGTGAGAAAGCCTGCCCTACTGATTTACTCCTAGATATACTTTGCTAACAATACACAAACTGCCTCACAGCTAGCCTCCGCTCGAACGCCCAAAATGCCTCCTTGAAGTACAATCGACAATCAACGGTCCCACTACACTTCCTAGAGCCCTAGTTTCCTCTTCTTGATTCTTGGTACAAGGCCAACCACGACCAGAACACTGGCTACGATGGCCGCCCACAATCTGATGTGCAGCACGTTCTGGTTGAAGCCAGTCTGTGTGGCCAGGCAGACTGTGATGACTGCAAGAGTGATGATCACATAGCCGGACATGCGGTGATACTTGTATATCGACTTGGCTTTGTCGACCGAGCCAAACACGTTAGGTGTGTAGAATTGTGCCACGCCAATCAAGAACTGAATGATGAGCAAGATATAGACCACAAGGCCGACCTTTCCATGAACGCTCTGGAACCGAGTCTCAGGATGCGAAGCTTTGTTCATCTCGATGATGACCAGACCGGCGATGAAGAGCCCCAATGCAACGACATTGAGCCCAGAATGAATATAAGTACCTTGTACTTTCTGCTTCTGCGTCGCAGTTGGTTGGAGGAGGAGGATTGAGTTCACAAGGACCAGAATGGCTGCTGAGTTGAGAAGCTGCAAACCGAGTCAGTACGTTCACGTCTCATGGCCGAACACACGTACCGGATGGTATGAGAAGAACATGAACTTTGCCTCAAAAACGGCTGCCCACACCAGCGCTGCCAGAATCCATGCTCCGGCTTGAGCGATTGTTGCTGTGCCTGCATGAAATCATCAGCCCCGATCCGTTCGAACTAAACCATTCGTCTTACCAGTCAAGATGTTCCAGTGAAAGCCTTGCTCCGGCTTCTGGGTCACATCTCCAGGTCGACCTAGCAGAGGCTCTTCCTCATCTCGTGCTGGATTGTGCTCTGGAATACCTGTAGCCGATGCCATGTTTGCCTGTAGACTTCTGTGATCATTAGCTGAATCGATGCAGCGATGGTGCGAGCACTCCAACGGCAAGCTACACAAAAGTAAACGAGATCGCAAATTGCTTCACTACATGGTCCGTGTGATATATATACTCTATATCTTTTTGCGGGGAGGGCATGCAGCTGCTCCGAAACACGACTCTAATGATTGGTCGATCGAACTATATGACACAAACGATCTTCTTGCCGCAGGAGCTTATGTAGGCTAATTCAGAAGCTTCACAGGCAGCAGGTTAAAATACGCAAGTCTATACAATACTTTCCATAACTAATCACTTCGACGTTGAACGAGTCTAAAGCCTAGTATCATTGTCGAAACCAATCGTTAGTGCGCAATGACCTAGAAGCCACTTCTGGACAGACTTGCCAAGCACTGGCGGACGATTGCATGAATTCTCTTTGTGGCAGCTGCAACCCCTACTCCTGCCTGATTAGTAGAAACGGACTGGAGATCTTCACTTGCTCATGAAGAAACAGCCCAGTGCAGTCTAGTCAGTCATCGCTCTCCAAACCATGGATTTGCCTGCCTACTTGACACAGTCATCGGTCGACCCATACACAATGTGAACGACTCGATCCGCTGAGATAGGCTTACCTAGCCGCGTCTCTCGAGCTACTACAATTCCAATGAGCATGCATCTCCTCCCGTTCGTCTTCCCATGACCAAGACGGGCGTGCGTGTTCTCGTTGGCAATATGCAGATAGCCTTCGCGCCGTCTAAGAAGAGCATCTGGCCTGATGCTTGAGACATGCTTCTCAGACGGATTGACCCGCAGGAAGATTCGTATCAGCCGCACGAATGCCTGGTGAGAGAAAGATCTGCGCATACAAAGAATTTACTCCAGGACGATAGGATGTGGTTTGCTGCCCGCCCGCGCTGCACACGACAAACTATCAGACGTAGAAACGAGGACATGAACAGATGACTAGCTGATGATTCCTGCTTCTGCCACTCTTCTACCTCCAGCTCAACAGATCTGGTGACCCAGAACCGACCTGAAGTCATGGCTCACTTGCTATCCGAACCAGTGACCTCGATTCTGTGCTCCTTCATAGGCTGCTCGCTTGCTCTTGCATTTCGAGAGGGAGTGCTGGCCCTCATCAAGCCCGAGAAGACAACAAAGGACAAGACGGATCTCCCTCGAATAGACTACAAGAAGACAAAGAGGGACGATACGAAGCTTAGAGAGCAGAAGCTATGTCGAGGAATGCGTTTTGCAGATTATATGCTTGGGGAGAAAGCTCTTGTGGACAAGCACCGTCAAGCAGCGTCATCAGAAGACAGCACACCTCGGCACACCCCTAGTGACACAGACTCCGCAATCACGGGCTCAGAATCTGATGATATTGCCCAGCTCGTTCCTCTTCCTGAAAACAACGAACCTGAAGTCGTACGAAAGAGGAAGAACAACAAGGCCGGGAAGAACAAATCAGAGGAGGGCCTAAGGCGAATCAGTTATGGTAGCTTTGCTATGAACTCAATGCTAACATGTATCAGTGTGAAAGCGGTGCCCTCAATCAGATGCAAGGATTCTACGCGACACCCTTGACCCTTCCCGAGCAGATTGTCCTCCTTTCGGATATTCACGACTTCGGCCAACCTACTGCCCATGGAGTTGTCTTGGTCTTGCTGCCATATCCTTTTTTCCATGCAGTTTGATTCCATGGCCAGGACAGTGACAGATACAAGTCGATTGATACACTCCAGATCACTGGCGCAAGCAGTCCAACTTCGTATACAGCACCAAATATCTTTCCTCACCAAGCAATGCCATTCTTGCCATAGCATGTTCTCCGATAATTCTATCTAATTCGTTTTGCTAAAGATTTCACCTCAAGATTCATATATGTATATATGTCATATGCTGACTTGTACAGAACAATGGCACCTATTTCGAACCTACAATACCTATCAAGAGCTAATCGTTCTCCTAGATGAGACGACAAGGACAAGCACAGAGAGCCCCAAGTGACTGAATCGCTTGTGTAGCGGAGGTGCGAGCCGGAACCAGAACACAGCCGCTAGGACAACTCCCAAAAGTAGATGCAAATTCAACGAGCGGCGAATTAGATTGTGCCGACAGGTAGGCACGATGCATCGACAACGGACTCGGATCCAGTACGAGGAGTGAATGCAGTATGATAATGAACTACACAATAGTATTCTTTCTAACACAAGGCCATCGACAATGACATCTTCAGCACAATGAAGAAGGACGAGGAGGACAAAGACAATGGACTGTTTGTTTACCTCATGGCTCGGCTCGAGAACAATCGTTCAGGAATGGGCGAGTTCATATAACATCACCTCCCAGCACGTCTCAATGTCTCGAGCCATCTGTACAACAATACGATAATCAACATAGCCATGGGATTTAGCGACCTATTCAGCAGGCGAAAGGAGAAGAAGGAGCGAGAGCTCTACGGCCGGCCTGGTGCTGGAGGCGCATCTCTCAGAGTCGATACTAGCAGATACGGAAGCGGGACAGAACCCCGATCACGAGCCCCGACAAGACGATACACAGATGCTGAGCCGGAGCGCAAGCACAAAGCTGCAAAATCTGAACCGCGAAGACAAAACACTGTGCAGACACGGCGTGCCGAATACGAGATACCTCGTAGGCACAAGACGGGCACCCCGCCCCATAGTCCTCAACATTCCTTCAAATCACCAGCCAATATCAGCACCAGGAGGAAGCCCGTTCCCAGGTATGCTGATGTACCGATCCACAGCCCAAAGCCCCGGAAGCCGCCAGGCTGGTTCGTTCCACCTGTCGTCTACTACGACGACAAGGAGCGATCGCGATCGCAATCGAAATCTCGACACGGTCGGCGAGGGAGTGCATGGTGAGAGTTCCTCGGCGAGGCACGTAATACCTGGTCGGTCAGGATAATTGAGCCAGTTTTACAAAGAGACTCGAACGGTGAGTTGAGGCTGATTATAGTTGAGCTACAGTATTAAGTTAGGAGCGAGCGTCTGAAAGCGTAGCTCACAATTACGTATATATACATAATCGCAGATTTATCAAAATCTTAGGTCTTGTCGAACTTCATCGCAATCACTCGTGATCTCATTCTCAGACACGACCTACAATAATTTGCTCGAAGGTCACATATCGTGTTGCGGTTAGTAGCAAAAGCCGGGATTCTAGGCAGTAAATAGATCAAAAGAATCAATATTTAGAGAGCGAAGCGGAAGTTACAGAACGACCCGTTGCCCTGCTCATTGCTCAGCTGACTGGCAATATAGACACGGTCAAAATCTGTTTTCTTCACTAGTTACATGGTCGTCGTGCTGCTCGAGAACGTGTTGAGTTTTGTCGCAGTAAGCTGAAGAGTCACCAGCACGAGTAAGCTCGACAGTAGATGAAAACGCTAGCAGACTTTCGAGTAACATTTCTCCATTGGATAGGCAGGTCTTCCAGCCATCGTCGTGTATCCAAATCCGTATCCTGTCCGTATGACCACATCGCATACAATACTTGCATGGCGCCTAATCTTCATCCAGTCTGTATCATTTTCCTCGGTCATATCACAAATCATTGTATCGACCGATCAGGTTGTCCCTGCCACACAACCGTCACCAGTGGTCAATTGGTCCAAGGATTCGTGAGAGTTCCGAACGGTCGATAGACTGGTAATGTAAGGCAACATCACCAGTGTATGTCTTGTGGCTATTCTCAGCCCTGCGATACTAGCTCAAGTACTGTCCTCTGCTATTTTTGGGAGCACACGACACTATCGGCAGGCCAGCATAGCCAGTGAGGAGGGCTAGTGTAGTCACCCTTCAACTCAACTTTGAATATTACTCCATGTTCCTTCCATAGCTCCTCGCCCAGGGCTTTCAAACGTGGCACCCCACCATGAAGGCCTTGGCAAAACCATTTTGGCAGACTCACATTTCTCAGGTCGGGTAAACCTCTTGCAACGATGAATTCAGGAAGGCGTTCAAGTTCTGGTAATAGGCTACGGTCTCCCCTCTCAATGCAAAGGGTTCGTAGAGACGACGGTAGTTTCCACAAGAAAGGACTAGACGGTCGTTCAAGGATCTCGAGTGCTCTTTCGACACGACAGCCGTGCAGGAAATCAAAGCAGCCGTTACGACCGCTCTCGGTGTACTGCCTTTCAACGCCCCAGCTTGACACCAGGTCGTAGCGGTCGATCGTTAGCTCCTGCAGCTCTGTCCGTTCTCTGAGATCGCTGATCATCCATTCCTGTGGGAATTGGTCCAATTTACATTGTGTAGCAGGAAATGACATGGACAGCTCAAGGGACCGCAAAGTTTTCTGTCTGGGTACCAAACATTCGACAACATCCTTTGCTGTCATGCGGGGTGGCATGGCATCGCTGGGCTGTTTATAGCAATATCCATAGTCGGAATACGTCAAGGACTGCAGGTTCGGACACATCTGAATCAACTTAGTCATTTCCTCCTCATTGCAAATGGGTGCAGTCAAGGAGAGCTCTAGAACATGTGTCAGGACCGATGATCCATCAGGCAGGTCGCGCCAGATCATCCAGTCTTCTGGAATACCTTTTGAGACTTCAGATGCCGACAGAATCGCTTGCAACCAGTTTTCGCCCTTTGCGTTTGTGGGAGACTCCCAGTCATCGTAGACACGGAGAATGTCTAGAGACGGAAGCGTAGACCCTCCTCTTCGCTGCACCATGCCAGAGATCAACGTCATCTCTTCGAAAAGAGGATCGATTTGTAGGTATCTCAGTTTTGGAAGGATAAGAAGAAGGACTTCGAAGCTGGTGGACGACGTATTCATATATATACTACTCAGGCTGCTACCAAGAACCTAGTAGTGAAAGATTTTGCGTTGAATAGCCACCACTATCTGCTGCAGGTAGCAGTGGGTAAAGTGAAAGTTGACAGAGTGTGCAGTGCGTCGTCGACTTATCCTCCTTCAATCAGTGTTCTGGCCACTCGTCGCCCAATCCTACTAACATCATTATTTGGGGGACTTGTGAGAACCTGCCAAGTCATCAAGCTCAGGTTTTGCTTGCTCTCTTCTGGCCTTCTCTTGCTTTTTCTTCTCCATCTCAGCATTCTTCTTGTCTCTTTCCTCCTTTTTCTTTGCCTCTTCGACTTTCTCCTTTTCTTCCTGTACTCTGTCTTGTCGTTCCTTCTCCTCCAAGAACTTCGCTCTCTTAGCTTTGATGTCTTCGAGCATGGGATTCAGCAAAGCGTTTTTGGCAGCGTTCTGGCCCGCTTCAGCCTTGCTTTCACCTTGTCCACTACCAAGATGCTGATTATCGTAGCCGAGGCCAGTGAGATATGCTCCAATAAAGTACGTTTGCTTGCCTTGAGCTTTAAACATAACAGGATCTTTTTCGTCTACATAGGATACCTTGGCACCTTTGACTAGAACGGCTTTAGCCAATTGTTCTTTGCTCAAGATGTCCCGAGGAGCCATTATTTTTAGACCCAGCTGCTTCAAGGTAGGCTCCCAGAGCTGAGACAACCATCTTGTGGCCGTGTCGAAACCGACATGAGGGTCGACTTCGGAAAGAATAACAGCAGCAACATAAGCCTCGAACAAATCACCATGAATCTTATTCCATTCTCTTGGTTGATAGTCTCCCACACTAATCTTAAGCCGCTGGTCTAGACCGTAAGCTCTTGTGAACTTGGCCAGGGACTCGTTGTTGACCAAGGCTTCTCTGATCGAGGACATTTTGCCTGGAGTGGAGGTTTGGAATCTTTCGAAAATGATGACGCTCGCAATATGTTCGAGTTGGGCGTCACCCAGAAACTCGAGTCTTTCATAGTTGACTGAGTGTTCTGTCTGAGCTGCTGTGCTGGCGTGAGTGAAAACGGCCTTCTCATACTGTCGTGAGATTGAGGGAAGAGGAGGCAGTTCCTGCGGAAGTCCTCCGTTAGACGAAGGTCGATCCTCAGAACGTCTCTTCTTCTGAATCTGGCCATCTTCAGGAGAGCGATGATCAGCTTTGCGCTTATGAGACGGCGGATGGTTTAGATTCGGTGTGCGATACATGACTATGAACGAGTAAAGAAGTAGTTCGACGTCAGTAGTGTATGCAGTCTGATGAAATGAGGTGTACGAGTATTCGAGTGCAGTTGATTGCGGATTAAATGGATGCAACCATAGCCGGATGCACAAGCTAGCGGCAGTTTGACGCAGCCATCAGTTGAACGCAGTCAATCACCAAGTTCAAGTTGCCGCATTATCGTGCTGATCAAGGATAGACACAAGCAAGTGCTCTCGATACGTAAGCGGATGGCTTGAGAGTCCATCCTTTCGACATCGTTGTCGATATCATCTATCAGCGGCTCGGTATCGTCAGCCTATTGTAGCGAAGATGGCTACATCAGTCGCTAAGTCGAGACTTCTGGATCTTACGCGGGTAGGTGCGCGAACTCCCAGAGACCTGCCGCCCTGCCGATGTTTAGTTCTTGAGAAGAACAAATCCTAACAGCATACCAGACACAATGTAATCTATTCCAAACTACGTTCAACCCCGAAAGGCTACGGACGGGGAACAAGATCCTGCGACAGAGGTTAAAAGGTCCATCGTTGGCCGCATATTATCCCAGGAAGCCCAGCACACTACGCGATCTTCAGGACGACTTCAATAAATTAGACTTGATAACATATGACGAGGACGAAGAGTACAGGTTAGAAGGCATACAGATTGCCAAATTCAGAGGGAAAGGTGCTCCGAAGAAGAAGAGGGTGGCTGATAGTACGTACACTGGCGGAAATGCGAGAAATGGGTTGGTACTAACGACTTGCAGCAACGAAGAAGGGCAGAAAGAGGAAGTAGACAGTATTTGGATATATGCGGCAGCTCTAGAAATGATACCCTGTATGAACACTTCACCGAACCTCTATGCAAACTCCGCCTGGAGCGGAATAGCTCTACCAATATTCAGACCTATGCGAGACGGCTCTGTGGTTGCAAGGGCAGAGATTCGTGGCACATCGTTCTGCATCCTGCAGGGATATATTCGCGCTCACGCAATCTAAAACACAGTGCCGACAAGGACAAGAATTCCAATTGCAAGAACTCCCATGGATTGCCTTTGAGCTGGGTGACACGATGCCACACAAGTATTCTACGGTCTCGACACTCTCCAGCCTTCGAGCTGACCAAGGCATCTATATTTGCTTCTATATCACCAAGGCTTCTTACTCCAGGAAATTGGTTGCACGTGACTCCAAGCGAATTCCTCCGCAGAAATGGCTGATTGGGGCTGCTCCTTCTCCGCAGACGCGTTCATGCGTGAGAGCACGGTTTAACTCCAGCTTTCCGACTCTGGCTACTACTCGTACTCTCGTCATGCCGCTGACTCGAACAGACGCATTGCGGGGTGTGCCCTGTCTCGAGCTCTATTCACCTGGAAATAGCCATCCCAGCTTCTGTCTATAACAACTTTACGTTGTCTCGACTGCTCATTCTGCAACTCACAAGCCAGACCTCACAATGTCCCTTCACCAGGTTCAGACTGGCTCAGGCCGACTGTCGGGGAAGGTCGCTATAGTAACAGGTGTGATTCCTTCCATCTCAGTGCGATCGTTCTAATGAGTTGCAGGTGCTGCGTCCGGCTTCGGTCGTGCTATTACTCAACGCTTCGTCGCCGAAGGCGCGAAGGTTGTGGCTACTGACATGAATGGTGACGGACTGACAAAGAGTTTCCCTGACTCTCCACCCACCCACGTCCAGCTCGTAACTGCAAATGTGACTAGCGAGTCAGACTGGAAGAAGGTGGTCGATCTGGCAAAGGACAAGTTTGGAGGAGTTGACATCCTCATCAACAATGCTGGTCAGTCATTCGCCACGAAATGCAGTTCAGCTAAGCTCATGGCCCAGGCACCTCGTACAAGAACAAACCTACCCTCGACGTGACAGAGTCTGAATTTGACAAGGTCTTCGCTGTCAATGTTAAGAGTATATATTTCAGCGTTCCTGCTATAATACCTGTCATGCAAGAAAGAGGTGGTGGTAGCATCGTCAACATCGCCAGTATAGGAGCAATGAGACCACGGCCTGGTCTGGTTTGGTGAGGCTTTACTTTACCACTCCGAGTCCCGTACTGATTCGTGCGCAGGTACAATGCCAGCAAGGGCGCTGTTGCAAACGTATGCAAACCCACGACTGTCTCCGGGACAGACTGACCGTATACAGGCTACCAAGGGACTCGCTGCCGAGTACGGCAAAGACAATATTCGAGTCAACGCCCTGTGCCCTCTCCTTTCCGCAACACCACTGTTTGAGAGCTTTGTTGGTGTCCCACCGACTGACGAGAACATCAAGAAGTTCCTCAGCAATGTTCCTCTTGGCAGACTTACAGATCCCAATGACGTCGCTGCCATGTGCGTACACCTGGGTAGTGACGATGGCAAATTCATCACAGGTGCGTCAATGCTCGCTTTCCAGGCTGGACATTTCACTAACAACAACAGGTATCAACCTCGAGATTGATGGCGGCAGAGCTGTTGGCGCATAGAATATATTCCTGACTATCTAGACGCTCTGTCGTGATGTCGAGGTCACGCCGAAGCTTAGAGGGAAGCACAATCACAGGTATGCCATATCAAAGCTCTTGGCCTCACATCACGCAGGTCTTGTGCAACGCAAGCATCCTCTCGCTTTCCTCACTCTCTCTTCATCTGCTCTTCTACTGCTGTGATGCCTCATGCCTTATGCCTCATGCCTGGAGTGCTAGCTCCATTTGTTCGGTGTTACAGAGATGACTTTGACTCACTAGATAGGATTGAATCATCATGCCGTCGGGCCTTGGGTCACTGCCTGGATCCATTGTCGTTATCAATCAATCATCCACTGCGGCGCAATGTCGGGGCGATGGTGGTCTCATTACTGCAAAATATTGATTGCCTTCAACTGAAGCTCAAAACTGTCACAGATGCGGAACGAGCAATATGCATTGGGAATTCACAACCGGCATACCCTTCGGTGTGTTCGATGATGAAACTGCTTGTGAGGCAGATGTCAGTTGCCTGCGAGTCAGATTAGCTGGATAAGTAAAGATCAGTCATGGCGTGAAAATCTTTTCAGACTTCGGTTTTAACTACATCTCACAGTGTTTGCAACTTCTTCGATACAGAAACGCCTCAAACCCTATTACTTGCTTTTTCCTATCATTCATTTCCTTTATCTCCTATCTCTGACTAAAATTCCAGGCGAAAAAGCCGAAGCTTCTGCCAGTAAAGGCAGAAAACAGGTATTCATTAATAGTCCTAGCACCCCACTGGTCCGTCCTACCACAATTCCGTTCTCAAGCCCGACCACAGACACAGCACATTCGAGGACATGCCTCGTTCTCGTGAAGATCATCCGCCTGAAAATTCCTCCGACAACCAAGAATACCACTTTGTGCCTCCTAAAAGATCTCGACATAGGATGTTGGAGACGCTGCAAGGTATGGCAGAGAAGAAAGTGGCATCTGGCAAGAACTCATCCGTCCACCGCACTGTTCAGAGAAAGTCGCAAAAGAATATGGCAGCCGGTGGATATCGAATTGACATGAGTAGATACAATTTTGACAGGGATGCTTTGCCTATTCCTGATGTCTCGGCCGTATTCGAGAGGTTCCAGCCACGAGAGACGCCACGTACGTTCAAGAGTGAACCTATAGAACCTGAAGAATGGAAAGCAGAACTCGCCCGTCAGAAGCAGGAAGCAATTGACAAAAAGCAAAGACCAAAGCAAGCACGGGAGGAAGCACGAGTGGTGGGCCCTGAAGCAAGAAGAGCTATCTCCCGAGGTATGTTTATTGAAAGCGCCGTCGACGACAGTGTCAAGGGCCACACTCGAAATAAGCAGATATCACGACCTAGAGCACAAAGCATTGTTGATTTGACCGATGATGTTGAAGATATGCCCATAAGCTCGACACTCGGAGAACCTACTGCTACACTGACTCGGCCAGTGTCACAGACAAGCCCTCACACGCCTGCCCGAGCAATACGCCGGCCAAATCCACCTAAGTACCGAAAACTAACACCAGCTCAAACTCAGATGATGGACCGAACTGCTGTGCCAACCAGTATTCTTCAGCAAGCACGAGATGCTTACATGGAAGAGAACATCCACATGCCGGACGATATTAAGACATGGATCGAGTTCAAGTCCTTTGCCGCTCGAAATCCCATACCTAGAGTTCGACCTGCACTTGTTGTCTTTGCTCAAACTCATACTTTTCGCACTGCACCTTGTAGACCACCACAACGTACTCACAGTGTAGTCCACGAAGAGGTGCTGGAGAATGACCTCGACCAAGCAACTGCTATTCCGTCTTCGCCAATCGGCATAGAACAAGAACAGCCTACAACAACCACTTTGGAAGAGATGCGACAAATTAAGCTCGAATCAGAAGAACATGAGCAAAATCGCGGACTCCGACAGGAGGCTCCTGCTTTTGCAGACTCCACATACTCGCAGGTTGAGAGTGAGCAGTCGATGGGTAAGAAGACTTCTACAGCTACCCAGTTCAACCACGATGCCGGTGCCACACATACCAACCAAGATGCTCCTCTTGCAGCTGCTGATTCTTCGAATTTGTCCGATGCTGAAATTCGAGACCTCGTCACACCCATTGGTTATATGCCAGACATTCTCCCGCTGAATGCTCCCGAAGGTCATGCACATCTGATTGCGTTGTGGAAAGCTGCCTTGCTCGACCTACCATTGAACAAGCATGACCACCTAACTCTACCAGATACTGTGGTTTCGATCCTTGCCAAGTATGATCTGTACACACAATCCGCCGTTAAAGCTTTCCTCGATCTTGAGGGTACGAGCCATTTCTTCTTTCTCTTCAAGGCCAGAAACAACCACTTGCATTCATGGAGCATTGAGAGGGAGGACAACATTGTCACGGTATGGCCCAGACCTGGTGAAATAAATCTCGGCTAACCTTGTGCTTGTAGATTGGTATCGAAAATTGGAAGCGCTCACGCTCTGATCAAGGTGCTTCCTCTGGTCAGTTCAATCTGACCATTCAGTATCGGGTCTTGCCAGCTTCACCATCCGCTCCCCTCGATGCTTTGTCAATATCAAACCATGGCGAACAAGTCTCTCGATGTCAGGAAGACGATGAACAGCCCGAAGAGAATGAAATCGAGGCAGCACCAAGAATTCCTGGCCTGTGGACTCTTTACAACCTCACAATCATTCCATCGAATCCAGATCTATACACATATCTCTACCACACTCCCGCAAGCCGTGGCGCAGACACTCATACCCTTGTGTCTCATCCTACACAATCACATCTCCTGCCACCAGATGACCTCAGCACCTTCGCCCGCTATCTACAACATACATTTTGTACGAGCAAGGTCATGGATGCTGAAGTTCAAGTTGCGTGGGGTCGAAAAGTCCGTTATGATAATATCTTGGGTCGTGTTCGACCAGTTTGGGACAATGCTCTCAAAGGTGCAAAGACTCAGAAATTGAAGAGAGAAAGAGGTGAGTATAATCGACCTACTGTCAGCAAGTCATCTGCGAAAAGAGTCATTGGATACGATGGTCATGATCATCCGAATGCTAGTGAGGGTAAAGCTTACCTTGGTAAGTTGAAGCGTGGGGCAAGTATGATGGATGATCTTGATGGGTCGACTGCGGTGGACTTGGACTCACTTCCACCAGCTGAGTTTGATGAGGCTGCGGCCGATGAGAGTCAGGGTGGAGGTGGAGCAGACGTGGGTGTGCAGGAGAGGGTGAAGAAGAGACCGAAGTTGGGGACAGGTGATGAGATTGAGAGTGAGTCTTCGGACAGTGGCAGTGATTAGAGGATAAAGACGATGTTGGTGGTGGAGATTGCGGAAGGCTGGAGCTTGGTATGGGCGCAAGAAGGAGCTTTGTTGTGTGGCAGGCTGAAAAGTTTTGTGTCTTTGTACAGCAGGTTGGAATTTGGAAGTGCTTGGAGCTTTGCAATTGGATTGGAGCTAGAGTTTGAAACCGAAGGACTCTTGCAGTCCTTGCGCAAGACAGGACCGGGCCGTGGTGCCTTTGTGCTTGCATTCTACATAGCACATATCTTTCCTTCATGCAGAACAAATGCAGAATAAATAATCTCGACTCGCGGTGCAGCACTCTTCATATATTGACACCAGTACCCGTCAATCGTTGATACTGACCTAAAAGTAATCCTCAACCAAGCACATCCTGAGATCTATACCCAAGCTCACAAGACCTGCAGCGATTCAAATATAGTTCAAGTCTAGTTGTGAATCTCAAAGCAAACGACGTGACTATCTCAATGCAAACGACGAGGGTTCAGAAGCGATGCTAAGGCTGGATAGAAACAGGTGGGAAACAGCCTACCCGTCCCACGAGGATAAATGTAGGAAAAGGTCGGCGGTCTGGCAGGCATAATTCAACTTGTGGCTTCTGCTTTTGGAGATGTGATTATCGTAGATATGCATACGGAGAGCTGTCAATCGCGAGAGTGCTTGTTCGTGTCGGAGCTTAAGATTGAGGAGATGAACGTCATGGCATGGATACTGACGCCAGGTTCTACATGTTCTTCTCAACTCTCAAACCTCAAAGTTTCGGGAAACAACATCTGATATTGCCAGCATACAGAACGACAATTCCCTGCCTCTAAACTGTGATATGAGAGAGAGAGAAAGAGAAGCATGCCAAGACGACAATCGTGATGTCCCAGGTCTGAGTTGACATGCGAGGTGCGGAGAACCATGTCATTTTCTGTAAGTTATCTTGCGTGATGTAGTGGTCCGTGTCGATCGTTTTGAAAGCATGTAAATGAGTATATATAGCAAGATGTGGGTTATGATGTAGCTACTTGAACCTCACATATCGGTGCTCATCTTCAGGAAATCGAATAACGTCTGGCTTTGATCACTCAACACACCTATCACCAGCAGCTAGTTTCTACGGACAGTCACTCAGCCATGGCCAACCTAACCTCCATCCTCATAAACCTCATCTCCGCCAACCACATCCTCCACAACCATGCCGTCGTCGACGCCTACGGCCACGTCTCAGTACGGTCTCCCACCGACCCTGCGCAATTCATCATGTCCGGGAACCGCGCTCCAGCCCTTGTCGCCTCTCCGTCCGACTTCGTCACATACCACGTTTCAAATGCAAGCGCAGTAAATCCTGACGCACCGAGGGGATATATCGAGCGCTATATTCACAGTGAGATGTACAAGCGCTACAGCAATGTGACTTGCGTGGTTCATGCACATGCGGAGGACGTTCTGCCGTACGCGACTAGTGGTGTTCCGTTACGGCCTGTTTACCATCTACCAGGTTTCTTGGGTGGCGAGGAGGGAGATGTCCCGGTTGTTTGGGACATCGAGACGATATACAACGCCACGGATCCGCATGATATGTTGGTGAGGAACGAGCGGGATGGTGCAAGTTTAGCTTCGTATTTTGCGTCGGACCCGAGCAACGCGACGAGTAGTGTGCCTGATCGTCGGGTGGTGTTAATGCGGAAACATGGCTTTACGACTTGGGGGGATAGTATTGAGAGAGCTGTGTTTCGAGCAGTGTTCACGGCGGTCAATGCGAGGGTGCAGACGAATTCTGTGCTTCTGAGAAATGCGTTCGCAGGACAGCTGGGTCAGGGCATTCCGGAGGGGAGCTGGTCAGGTGCTGGAAATGGAGGGGATGTATTCAATAATGCTCTAGAGCCATTGACAGCGGAGCAGGCGGCTGCGACTGAGAGGTCAAATGACGGGACTATTGATCGACCCTGGGGTCTTTGGACTGCTGAGGTTGAGGCAAATCCGCTGTATCAGAATAACGGAACTGATGGGACTCTGCCTGCGTGATGTAGCTGAAAGTATGGAGCAATTAATAGGCCTTGCTAGTTAGAAAAATCAACATCGAACGACTAAGAAAGTGTCGCAGTCGTCGAAGGCTACGAGAGACTGCCGAATGTAGTCACAAGCACGGTCATATCATTAAAGTCTTCATTCAGACCTAGTCCAGTTCTGCCGCGATTCAATCACACTATGACTTCTTCTTTCCCAACCGTCTCTGCTCATGCAATTTCCACTCCGCCCTTGCGACTCTCATGAACAGATCCTCATCTCTTATAGGCACCCAGCTCGTAAGCACTTTCATCGCGTTCTCAAAGTCACTATCTAGCAATATCCCTCGCATCCCATCTATCAGTGCAGCGCTAGTAGCGTGCAGCACGTCAAGAGTGGTCCCAAAATTTGCTTTTTCATCCTCTTTCTCATTTCCACCATTAAGTTTAGCATTACCATTCGTCATACCTGTATCATCTCTATGCACAGCTGTTGGGGTCTGTTCATCATTCAGATCATCGCCTAATAATATGAATACATCCCAGACTCGTAGTTGGCTGGGAAAAGGAATACTGTAATTGAATAAAGTCAGATACCAGCGCGTCCCGTAAGCTGTGGGACCGATCATTAAATCATCAAGCTTTTTCTTTAGCTCGCCTTCACCGAGCCATAGCTTCTCAAAGTCGTCAAGTGCTTCCATCAATCCACCGAACCCGTATTTGTACAGTTTTTCGAGACCGCGTAGTTCCCAAAGCCGAACCAGCATGATAAACGCTTTCTCCTCCTCATAGTAAGCAAGGAACGTGGCGGCCAGAGCGGCCATTCCTTGGACGTAACCCGTCTCTGCAAAATGCATAGACATTGCATGTAGTACCCGGAATAATAGCCTCTGTCCACCACGATAGCGACGACGAAACATGATGTGTGAAGAGATGGTACGAGGAACATCTATGTCTATTTGAACATCGTCTGGAGAATTCCTTTCTTGATACTCATCATACATAGCAACAAGGTCTTCGTCGGATAAACAAGGATTATGTGGATGACGTCTGTTGTGTTTTTCGACGGAAGTTGCAAGGAAGCAATACCAGGCTGTTGCGCGCCAGGTATCTGGTATGCCTTTCCACGTACGTTCTATGAGCTTCGGAGAGGCTGTATCAAAAGAGAAGGTCATGCCTCCGCCAACGATTCCAGGTTTAGCGGGAACTTCGCGAGCCATTTTCCGCCACTTTTCTTGACGTTCAACTTCTTTCCGGCGCGCTTGGGGTGTGGATAGAGGAGCGTATGTGCCAACTGTTGTGGTTGTCCCCTCGTCGGTCAAAGTCCGTGTCAAAGTACTTGCAGTGGAGGATCTTGGCAGGGTAAGCATATCACCTGCTTCGTCCAGTATGCGACGATCCCTGTTATGCGGAAAACGGTTTGCCAGATTTCGTGAAGCTGATTGAGGGCGATGTAAATTGACACTTTTCGTTGAGCGAACCGAGTGCTGGGAAGGCGACCTTTGAGGCTGATGGTCCGATTTAGTGCTACGAGCATTACTAGGGGCACGTCTTATGGTATGTTTCCTCCTCGGGGTTTCAGCAGCCAGTTGTAAAGAGGTCGAGACTCGTTGTAAGCCTGGACCTGAACCAGTAGGTGTCCTCTTTACACCATTGATCCTCGACGCATCCGCAGCATTCACTGGAGGTGTCTTAGGAACGATGAAGCCGTATCTGTCGACCTCGGAATTATCCACATCCTGCCAATCTTCAAGCCCGCCTGCAAGCTCATTATCCTCTCTCAAGAAAGTTGGACTGGGTGGCATCCTGGACACATCAGTCGTAGAGGTAGCTGGAGAAGTGCCGCTGAGTAGGCTGTCTCGATTTTCAGGAATAGCATCCTGCCAGCGCAGATTTGCTCTTTTCGCAGTGACTGAATTGTTATCCTGGTCTGGAACGGTGTCTGTACCGAGGACGTAGAAGGCTCTGACCTTCTCAGCTAGAGCTTCTTCATCGGATGACATAGAGCGCGTTTGTGGACGTTCTGAGATGGTAGTGACTGCACGCTTCCTAGTCGTGCTCAGCTCATCCTCCTGCGCACTAGATTCCTTGAGTATAGGCATTGTCCTTGCTGAAACGACATGAGTCCCAGCGCGTGTGCCATTGGCCTTCTTCCCATCAATCAACATACTGCCACGAGCAGAAAACTTCAGGTTGTTTGTTCCAATCTCTTCACTTAGACCACTTGAAGGAAAGTCGAGGGATAGGCCTTGAAAGGTAGCGAAGGTGGGCGACGTGTGGTTCAATGGTGGCAGCCATTTCTGAGTTGCGTCGTTCGAAATAGGACCTGCTGTGGATGGGGTTGCAAGCTCGATCTGTGGAACAGTGGAGGCATGATGAGCCGTTAAGTTGGTTCCTGCATCGCCCATGTCGGCATCTGCACCTTCTCCTCCACGCCGTTGTGCAATGTTTGCGGCATGGTCGTAGCCCATGTACGTGGACGGTCCAGGTACAGGGCTTGGTAGTCCAGCTGTGTCCGAGGGCAAGGGTGTCGCTGGAAGTGGAAGATTTGCATGCAGGGGATCGCTGTCAACGTCGCTGCCACTGTCGAGATGAGTTTGTGGGGCGAAAACGAGGTTGTGGGAGGGATTATACGAGAAATGGATGGGCTGTCGAGAAGTGTTACCAGTAATCAGGCCGTCAGCCACGTCAGGATGTGCCTCGCTCGCTCCTGCCATCCTGGTCGGCCAATTTGCTCCTTCCTGCTGCTGCCGTGTCGATCACTTACGCCTTCCGCTTTCGACCACATCATCTCTTATCACCACAATTATCATAACATCTTATGCTTTCTGGTCATTTTTCGCGTGTAGTACGGATTTGAATCAAGCTGATAATGCAGAAGAGTGAATTATGCTGCAGCAGGAGTTACAGACATTGCTTCCTGAAGCCACAGCTGCCTCGGACCTCGTGGAGCTGTTAAAGCCACACTCTCGTGGTCGCGTTAGTGTTCTCCGCAAGCGCCAGGGGTTAGTGGACCTCAATCCAAACTTTATAAACGCGCCGGATATCCTAGTACCAAGCAGTTGCCGACCGAGCAGCTATCAATTAATCGGATTTACGATGCATTCTTGAGATACGTAATACGACTTTACACACAATCTATAGCGCAGTACATGATTGAGAACATAGAGGTGGACTTCTTGTACCCGAGCTTTGCCTTTCACTCTCCACTTAAGACTCCCCCTGTCTGTCACCTGCCTCATCTTCACCATTGTCCTCCCCGTTATCCTCATCCTGCTGCGTTCGTTCGATCTGCTTGTCTTCGCTTTTCTTCTTGGCTGCTGGTGCCTTCTTTTCTGACCTCTTCACAACATACTCATCAGGCTTCCAGCGTTCGGACCACGTTTCTGCTCTCCGCCACTTCCTCCATACGTTCAGTTGCTGTGCCTTCTTCTTCTTTACTGCCTGATCGAGCGGCTCGTCCTTCAACCCCTCTTTCTTCAGATCCTCCCTGATTTTGTGCTCCTTTTCGTCGATCTCATGCTTTGCTCGGTCCTCAATCGCGGCGTCCCAGAACACCTGTGCTAAATCCAGTTTCTTACTGTTGTGCCCCTTCTGTTTGCTGCTGACGTAAATGTTGGCCTCGAAACCAATTCCTCGTTTCGTCTTGACGTTGTAATGATCGAGTTCGATGGTAGGTAATTTGTATTCGTGGTTGTCGATCAAAAGACTCATTTCGATATTGGCGGGCGGGCCTTTGGTCCCTCGGAAACTTTGCATCGATATTCTGTCAACTTGAGAATTGGCGTTGGGCTCTGGTGAGGATGATCCCTCTGTACCAGAATCTTGCGGCTCAACGGCATCTATCTGGTGAACATTGGACATTTCCAGTTTCATGCCATTGTTGTCATTCGCATTCAGAGGCTGGCCCTTAGCTGCTGCAGTTCTACCACCGTCGGTCGCAAGGTTTCTAGTGGCAGCATGGGCGCCTCCCAAGTCTGTGTGATTAGTTGCGGATACGACCCTAGGACCCGTATGCGTGGATTTAGAACGTGTCAGACGTGCTGTTGATTGTACCTTTTGAACCTCAACCGCTTCTGTACGTGTATCTGTCGGCTGTTCTACACTTCCTGTGGGAGTGGTGGGAGCAGTGTTGTAATTCTCAGCTCCCTCTCTGTCTGTTCCGATTTCAGGATCGTCCTGTACCGTCGTATTCTCCTCTCCAACGCTTGCTTGTATGAGTGGTTCGGTCCTTGTCTGCTCTACAAGTTTCGCTCCGGCTTTTTCGAGGTTAGCGTCATTTCTTCCAGGCACAATTTTCTGATTCATGAGGTCTCGGTCGTAGACCAGAACAGTCGGCACGAATCTGTGCTTGAACTCATAAGGACTCAATTCTTCCGCATCGGCGTCAGATAGATCACGAAAGTCAGCTCCCTGAACTTTATCATCGTTTACTTCGTACCACTGGACTCGGTCCGTGCCTCCTCGAACGTAGGACACATAATGTCCTTTGCCGGAACTGGTGCCTTTATGCGATATAACAGAAGCAAGTCTATACAGAATTTTAGAGCCTTCGCCAAACTCGTGACGATTGAGCCACTTGCTTACGTCGAGAACTTTCGGTATCCGCACAGCCGATAGGTCTTTGGTGATTGCAGACTTGGTCATTGGTTGCCCATTTTTGTATTTCTGTCGTTGCTCTCGATTGGGATCTGGTTTTATGATTTGGACGGCTCTGTTGAAACTGATGGTAAGCACGGCTGGCGGATGTTGTATCCTCAAGAAGCTGTGAGCAGGGTGTTCCCCTTCGCATTCATCGCAATTCATGGGTTCAGGATCTTCTTGCATTGCTGCATCTATCACCCCATCCAAGGAAAGATCCGTATACCAGTCCTCAGTCCTTTCGTCCTTCCGAGGCAAACGAACTTGCCACACCTTCCATGGCTCGACAGGATATCTTCTTTCGACTCGTTCGCACTTCGAGCATTCAGTTCGCCTAACCAGTCTGAGATGTGTGAGCCACTCGAAACCCTTGCGACGTGAGGCGTCAAGGTCAAATTGATCCAAGCTCGTTTCGAACAGCCAGCTGTAAAACTCAGAGGCATCTTGCTGATTTCCGTCCTCACCTTTTGGATGACAATGTTCCGACCACGCCCCGCTTGGAAGGTCTCCGCCTGCTGATGGATCTTCTTCACGAAAGCAGACTGTATCCCAGAAGAACTCAAGCGCTTGTTTCAATTCGGAAGCACTCTTTCGTCCACGTAAGTTCGCCGCCCATCCAAAGCTGTAGAGCCACTTCAGCACCCAAGTCACAGTATGCCTGTGCCAGACTCGCAGGTAACTTTGAAAACGATCTGACCCCATGAGTGCCACCAACACTGAATTGCTATAACATTGATTGCCCTTGTTTGGAAGACCCAGAGGCTTTTGATACTCACGCTCACGAGCGATAGCAATGTCCGAGATGAAGTCCTCGCTGACGACCGGTGCTGGTTCGAACGCTTCACCGATTGACACCCGTCGTGCTTCTGAGGTCGTTTGTAATTCAGTACCAGGCCCCTGCACCGATATGGTGGTGGTTTCATCGGCTGGTGCTGCTGGTACAGAAGCTCGTGGAGATTCTGTAGCCGACTGTCGCGTCTCATGTCTAGGAGATGCGGAAGTAGGTGCTACTGGCTGATCATCAGTGGGAGCGATAGCAGGACTCGCTGATCCGTGCTGGTCCTCTTCATCGTCTTTAGCTTTCACTCTCTTCGAGCGGTGTGATTCTCCTTCATCCTGCGCTGGTCGCTTCTTTCTCATCGTGGCTTTCGAGTTATTCAGCAGGGTAAGTGCAAAGCCCGTTACAGATCAACTAAAGTCAAGGTACACAAGCCAAGCATGTTTGAACACAAATCCCTCCCCCCCCCCAAAAAAGCAAGAGCAACTCACAATCACCAAGCAGACATTGACAAAGCAATAGATTAAAACCGAATAGTCACCTGTTCCATAATTCCCTAGGTTCTTCTGTCTGTACGTGTCTGAGGTACAACTTTCACTTCTTCTTCCTCCTGTTTTTCTTACTGCCTTTCGTGCTATCCTTTGTGTTTGCATCTGTAGCAGGTTTTGTCTTTGGCGCTGCCTGCACGACCCTCCAGCGACTTGACCACGTCTGCCTGTTCTTCAGTCGCGCTTGTTTCTCAGCTTTGTCTAGATCATCAGCTCCTAGAAGATCTTGATCCTGTGTCTGACTTCGAAGACATCTGCGTGTACCGCTCTTGGCCTGTTTAGGTTGCTGTGCTGTGCTCGGTAGGAGTCTCTCCTTTCGCTCTATTCGCGCATCAATAAAGACTTTGGCCAAGTCTAGCTCTTTGATCTCTAATTGGTCCTGCTTCTTACCCTGCACGTCCTAAGCGCTGCCGGTGGGTACCTTGATGGTGGCCTCAATCTCGACCTAGCGTTGCTTGTTTCTATTAAAGTGATTGATGAAACGCTTTGGCATCTTGAACTCTGCTCCGTCTATTCGAAGCGTCAAGTCGACCTCGGCCTGTGGGAAAGTTGTTTCATTGTCGAATCCACCAAACGTAATTTTCGGAAGAGCATTCACAGCAGCGGCTAGTATAACGGGCCACACAGAAGACATCGCAATAGGCTGAGTAGATTGAGTAGGTTGAGCAGGTTGAGTATCTGAAGTGACATTCACTCCTGATGGAGGTAGTGCAGTAGCTGTAGCATTGGCATTGCTTGATTGAATTACTTTGTCGATATACGGTGTAGTTCTTGTTACCTGAGCATTGCTTGGTTCTGCTGCAACAGTGCCAAGCTGTGCCACCGTAGTATCGTCTGCTTCTTGTAGCCACTCAGTAGGTGGCTCATCGACTTTTTCACCCTCATCAATGTTTCGAAGCTGTCTGCCAGGCAACGTGACAGAATTCTCATGGTCAAGTTCGTAGATCATGACACATGGCTCGAATCTGGCGTTGAAGTCCTCTTCTTTCTCATACCAGCTAGTGTGTGAATCGTTGAATCTGTATAAAGAGCAGTCTTCCACCTCAGTGTTGTTTATTTCCAACCATTCGAATCCATCTTCGTGGTCGACGCGAATATACGAAATGTAGTGACCACTGTCCACAGCTAGTCCTTGATGGGACACAACGCCTCGAAGACGATATTGCACTTTCGATTGTGCTCCAAAGCTGCTGGGTTCTAGATACTGGCTGAGATCGAGATATTCTGGGATGCTTACTGCACCATGGTCTTTCACTGACCCTACCTCCTTGACATACTTGTTACGAGACAGGTTCAGAATAAGCAGTTCCGGGAACCGGCGTATCCTCTTGATCTCCTGTGCTATATTCTGAATACCTTGTCCACAACGGGTACATGTGTTTTTGGAGTATGAAGTCGCCATACTGTTCGCGACGAGCTGCTTCAGCGGCACAGTTGTTGCACGTGCTGCGAAGGCGGACACACCTGCTCTTTCAGGAATTTCCAGAAGCAAGTGCTTCGAGTCTGATTCTTGTGTTGGATTTTCGCGTCGCTGTACAGGCCATTTGCATTTTGGGCAGAGGACACGGCTCGTCTGCTTCAACTCGAATAACCATTTAAACCTCTCCTGCTCAGCTGTTAGGAAGCCAGGGATTGTTTCATTCTCAAGTTGCTCATCGATGCTGGTCAAGAGCCAGATTAGCCACTCGCTCGCGTCTTCCTGACCTTCAATGACGTTGTTATGTTCGTCTCTACTGGCTCTTGGTATTGTCCATAGGGTTGAAAGTTGGCAACCCTCAACAAGATCATTTGATGAAGGACGGCCAGGGTTGCAGACTCGTCTCCAAAGCAGTCTTGCTGAGTGATCATGGGCGTCCTGCGAGCCATTTCTCTCACGACGCGAGCGAAGACGATCGGTGTCCGGGTGGTTGAGTTCGGGCGACCCCGATTGACTGGTATAACTCATAGAATATAGCATTTGCAATATGTGAGCGCGGCGCGTATGGAATCGTTCTTCATGTGGGTATTCCATTACCATGTGCCATTTCCGCAAGTATGATACGAAGCGGGGGGAGCTCAACAGTACAGCCAAGCAGGCATTATAATAACAGCTGGTCCCATTGTGGTTCGACAAACCTAGCGGCCGTGATTGCGAACCAGCGCGGATAATCTCAAGAAACTCGGCCGTCGCTTCGGAAATATCACCAAACGCTGGCCCTACAGAAACTCTTGGAGCGTCAAGTAGAGATTCCGCTGTAGAAGTCAAATCCACAATATTGATGCTGTCATCCGTAAATTTCACGGCTCGATCGGCAGCTGTCAGTTGTCGTGCTGGAGGACTACTAGGCATTTGCGGAGTAGGTGTGACCTTGACCCTCTTCGATGGAGGTCCATCAGCTTGATCGGAGGGGCGCTTGCCGCTCATCGTGAACGGAGTGTGTTAGCTTTTCTCGAGATTCAAGCAAGTGAATGCCACAATGCATGCATGCACGAGGCCAACAAGAGGTGTTAGCAAGCGACATGGTGAGATATACAATACACATTGGCTTCCAAACAAAGGGTGGTCAAGGCAGTCTTTGTTGTCATATGTGAAAACGATATGTTGAGTCCTGTCTGGACAAGGAGAGTCTGCCGGATCCGGTCGCCATGCACGTTTGCGGAGAACCTGCTATGGTATACCCTCACATGCTGTTCACCAGCTCAGATGTTAAGCCGTATTCTGAATATGTTATCGCATGGTTATTGACGACCCATTCGTCGGCCAAAGACTGGGTATAGCATCTCGTCGTTATCATGAATCATAAACTTCCAGGTGCCTCATTTCTCTCCCAACCTCGTCTCAACACCGGTTCTAATGCGCTCCTTCTCGGCAGCAAGGTCATCCTTGGAAGCATCATATCGCACATTTCCGACCTGATTGAAGGGGTTCTCTGGACTTCGCTCAAACTCTTTCCTGCATATTTCCACACGCTGGTTCTTCCTCAGGCCTTGATACTCTTTCTCAATTTCGGGTAGTCTTCTTTCTTCAAACTTGGCATAAGCAGCCTTGAACCGTCTTTCGGGATGCCTTTCTAGTTTCGTGTCGTTGGAGTCACTAGCCAAGGCTAGGGCATCCAAAGCGTTGTCAATGCCGGAAGCGTTCAGGGTAGTGCTTCTCGAGGTGGCGGGCTCGTCGTCTAGTTGTCCTAGATCCAGTGTGCCTTTGGATTTCTTCTCGGCAGTCTTCTTGTTGGCGCCCTTTGGTTTCGAAGGTTGTGAAGCCTCCTCTTCAGCTAGCAGTCGATCTCGTTCGGCTTTCTTTGCTGCAGCTTCCGCCTTCTTTGCTTCAGCGTCTACTTTCTTTGACGCATCTTTGGCACCTTTCTGCCATTCGGCTGATTCTACTGCGGCGGTTTTGGCGTCAACTTGTGCTTGCTTTTTAGCAGCTGCATCGGCCTTCTTCGCATTGCCTGCGACTTTCTTAGTATTCTCGCCACCTTTCTTGCCTCCCATGATTGCAGTCGTGGTAATGTAGGTAGTAATGTTGACAATGACAAAGATTCGTATGAATTGAGTGGGTGAGAATGCTCGCCAAAGTCTGCTCATAAGAAAAAAGAACGAAGGAAGAGTGGGCTCACTTATGGACTTATGGGCGACGCGAACGAGTCATCATGCCCACGTTGTTGCCTGGCAATTTCACAGCATGTGCCGCTGTTCGGATCTACACTGTATGCACGTGACTTCGAGTACTCTTTCGGAAGAACTTTCGCAGACGTCAAGTCAGTATATACACCTAATCATGAATCGCGCAACCATAGTAATGCTAACTACACAATGTTATAGCTTAATGGCACGTGAAGTCGAGACCCTTGGGAGCAGCCGTCACGTCCTCAGCTGTGTCCCATCGTCTTTGCAATCCTAGGCGAGCGTCTCGTTGCTACTGGCTGCTCTTTCTCTGTACTCTTTGCAGCAGATTGGGGGTTGAGCCTATCACCGACCACCTTCTTCCTCGAACGAGGCGTTCTCGGTACACGACTGCGAGATACGGTATCACCTGAAGGTTTCTCCCCTGTCTCGACGTGGTGCTTGTCTGCTGCCGATGCTTTGTTATGGTTTTGCCGTGACTTGGCTCGACTTGGTGTGGTCTGTGTTGTCGCTTGCGGTTCTGGCGAGTCAACTGTCATCTGTTCAGGTGACACTGTGTTCCTCTGCCTATTGCTTCGTCTTGGCGTCATGTTCGCCGGCCTGGAGGCCTTCCCTCTAGCTGAGCGCGACTTTTTCGAGGGCTGAGCACCACCACTGTTGACAGTTATCTCGTCCTGCTCTAAACCACTGTCTTGCTCAGGAGTTTCCGGGGGTGGCTGTAGCTCTTCTAGAGGAAGATCTATGTCGACATCCATATCGTCCGGTACTTCCGGTACTTGAGAAGTGGGCCGAGTGGTCGTAAGCTTCACGCTTCTCGTTACTTTGCGACTTGTAACTTGAGACTTCGACACTTTCACGCGGATACCTTGCACCCCAAGAGCTGTAGATTTTGACCTTTTGCCAGCCATCTTTACTAGTCCACCTTGTTTAGAAGCCGCAGAGTCGTTCTCTTGAGTTCTTGCTGGGAGTCGACCAGCCGTGGCGCTGCGCTGACCTGCTCGCGCTTTGGCTGGCGGTTTCTTTTGACCACGTTTCGCCTGGTGGATACTTCCCACAAAACCTGTGAGTAAATCCAAGGGCTCTGGCTCCGAGTCGGTAGCGGGAGCGAATGAGATCAAATCAGCGCCTGACGCGAAGGGGTCCGATTGGCTCTTTCTTTCCGTCTCTGGTTCCATGAACGGTTTCTCGCCAGGCACTGAAGGAAGCACGAGCTCGACCCCATGCTCGGAATGCTGCCCTAGGCCACGATCCTTGTGGGAACGTAGATTCGACTTATCGGCAGTGCTTCTAGGTTCTTCCCATGGTGGAGCGAGTTGAGGAATCCTGTTAGACGATGTAGCAACTCTCGGTCTAGTGTATGATTGCACTACGGACAACCCCTCATCATGCAGGTGTGGGATTTCGGGAAGGTGATCGTCTTGCCGACCACCATGCGCCATTGGGTTCATAGGATCAGGATCGATATTGTCAAAATCAGTAACCGGCTCAGAACCAGAGAAGCCTTCAGCTTCGAAGTGTGGTGACGAGTCCTGTGGTGACTTCATCCCATCAAACGATGTGTATATATTCGGATCATCAACAGGTGAAGTTTGATTTGGGTCAGGCATATTTATGTCTTCGTCGGCAGACACACATCTCTCAACAAATGGCGAACTCAAGAAGGACAGGTGATTTGGCCCACAAACCTCCATGAAACTTTGTGAATATCTGTCTGTCACTGTCGGCCTCGGAGTATCGGGGCGTGACGGAACTTGCAAGGGATCAGGGGCAGGGGATCCTATCAACGCTTTTGTGCTGGCTGTATCGACGCAGTCGAGGTGTCGCCTTAGTGGACTACTTCGACCGGTCGAGGCACAGCTGGCTGAGGCTGTTGGCCGCATGAAGGGGCTTTCAGGTCGGCCTGCAATGCCAGGCAACCTGAAAGGTGTGTCGTCTTCTTTGGGAGTGCTACTCGTTTTCAGTGCAAGTGCTTCTTCATTCAAAGGTTGCGGTTCGTCCTCATCCAATATCGGCCGAGTTTCACTAGCTAGAGAGCTTGTACGAGAAGGACATCTTTGTGGTGATCGAGGTATCGTTGAGGGATGATGTCCTTGCACTTCAACAGGAGTAGGGTCGGATAGGTATGGCTTAGCGTGCATCAACGAGGAGTGTCGACTGGTCGCATGAGTAAATTTGGACGCTCGGTAGTCGTCGAGCGCAGTCTCAGTGCTGACTGACCCAATATGATCCCGAGAGGTGTGCTTCGAACTTGCTAGCTCCTCCTCGCCTGAAGCCACGGCATGTTTGTAAATATTAAAAAGGTCTTGTCGTGTCAAGGTTGGATCAGCATCGTGTAGAGCTTGCCGGGTATGTTTCGATTTGATTTGTTTCAGCACGCGGTCGATCTGCGGGCTCGTTCCATCGAGATCCAAGTTCACAGCGAAGGAATTTACTGACTGTGTATCGGGCGACTCTACAGATTTACCATTCGTTACATTCGTGGTTTGGGGCTCGTGAATGTCGTTGTGGTATTGTTCAGTCTTTGAAGTAATTGTATGGCTACCGAAATGTGTCTCGAACGAGAAAAGCATGCCGTCACCGCCAGCACCAGAGATTGCCCGTGCTGGAGGAATAGAAGTTCGTCGAGCTTGGTGCTGGCCTGTTTTTTCAATTGAAGACTTTTGAAATTGCTCTTCCACCTCATCCTCCGCTTTGACTTCAAGATAATCGTCGAAGGCAGGTGCAGGATACTCCCCTCCATAAATCTGTCTGAGCTCATCCTCAAGAGTACGACGGGGCGACTGATCGTCCCGGTTCGACAGATCGAATTCCTCATCGTGCGAGTACAAAAGTTGGTCTGGCTCTAAGTCACCTTCAAACAAGTCATCCACACTATTCTCTCGCAGAGACTGAAGAGTTGACCGCTTGGGGGTCCCGGTAGTCATGATGTTGGCGTCGTAATAATTCCTGCAAGGACTGACTGAGATGTTGCCAGAAATCCAGACCTACTGCAACTAGAGTTGCAACAAAAAAACAGAGCAAAACCAATTGATGCCTGACCGTTCAAGCCGCCAAGTAGCGAACAACAAACAAAGACTTCTGCGTGAGTCCATAGCACAGACCACCGTATGGAATGTATCACTTTCCTCGACATTCTCCTTGAGCAAACCAAATTTGGAACACGCCTCCGGTGGCCCTTGTTCGTAGAGCCACGACACCGAGGAGTGTGACGACCTTGCGTGTCGTCATTGTAGCAATAAGATGCGAGAGACTTTGACACAAAGCAGTCTCGTGAATTGTTGGTAGTTCTCCAACCAACATGAAACACAAGCAGTCAGTCAGCAAAGCCGCCGCGTGACTACCCTTCTTTACCCAGCTTCCGGGCATACACCTTTCTTTCTATTTCACGTGTTTTCTCTTTCTCGTCCATATCTCGCTCGATCTCTTTACTCTTCCTCTCATTGTCGTCCAACATCTTTCTCAGGTCCCTCGCTGTATCTTCCCGAGCCTTCTCAGCAGCCTCAGAAGTTGAGTATTGACGAACAAGAGCCTCCAGATGGTACGAGCGCAATTCCTCGATTGTAAAGGGTTTCAAAGTGATCGGGTTTAGCGTTGTCGTTAGTGATACAGACCCGTTCTGTACGCGTAAGCCAGGGCCTTCGGATCCTACAGTCGTAAGAACGTCGCCTGCAGCAGTGGGTAGCTTCACTTCATGTACGATAGGGTGAATTGGCACAGCGCGACGCGTAGAGCTCAGAGGCACGACCTCGTCAGGTCTTATCCTGCTCTTCACATCATCAAGCATGACTGTGGCGCATTTGCAGTGAGAGCCACTCTCGTATAACCATAGCCTGAATCTTGGTTCTTGGGCAGCGACCGTGATAATAGCATTGAGACATTGATCCGAGATCAAGTCACGCTCTGAGCAGGATCGCTACACCTGCCCGGCCCGAACTGGGCAAGAACTGCTAGCTTTGATGTAGAGAAAGTAGCCTCTCTTCTCCACCATAAAGCACAAACGGCACGGCCCTTTTGTTTTGTAAAGCATTGCTAGTAGCATAAAAAAGCAGTCCATGTCAAAGAAGAATGCTTTCGCTTCGTTCTACCAGAACGTCAAGAACATACTAGGATTGAGAAACAAAATGCATTATGCCGTGGTTCCAGGGTATCTCTAACGCCATCGCTATGCAGTAAGATTGAACGCGACCATCGTTACTGACATCGTATTCCATTCAAATTACCCAAGAAATCTTTCTATACCTCCCCTTACAGTCATCCATACGCTATTGCTTTCATCTTGTTCCTGATTAACGTGCATGCTCCGTATGGTCTCGACGGGTCGTTGATTGATGATGTTCTTTTCGTCAACAAAAGATCCGTGCAAGCCGTAAGTAACCCGCATCGGCAGATGGACTTTTCCAACGACAGTTTTCATATCTCGTGCGTTGATGATCCAGAGTTCCGACTTGGCATCCGCAGTACATTCACCGTCTTCGTCAAGCTGGGATTCATCGAACACATATGTTAAGAGCCATCCCTCATCTTCATGTGTACCACCTTTCTGGGCCACGAAACGTGGTTCCTGGGCAAAATGCCTCGGTGGGAGCTTAAAGACCTGTATTGGATCATTGGGGTCATCCGAAGCCATTACCTCTGTAATACTACGCATGTCAACACAGCCGGTCACTGGTGTTATGCCGGGATCCTTTTTGCCTCGTCGAATTAGTGTTTCGGCGTCAACCTTGACAAGACAATCGATCTTGCTAGCTTTACCAAGCGAAGTGTTGAATGTTGTGTCCGATGCTGAACAGCCGTAGATATATCTGGCAGGACCCATAGATGTTTCCTCGCTTGTGCTTGGGAATTCAAAGGAGACCGCAGAAAGCCCAAATTGATAGTTGATCTTGTTTCCTGCTTCTTCAAGATCGAATTGATAGTAATAAAGCCGACATTGTTCCTCCTCGTCAGTGGCCGCAACCAAAGACGAAGGGGGAATGGCGATATTTCCGGCTGCGTAGACCACAGAAGCGGAAGTTAGTCTGCATGCCAGCATATTGACGGTAGAAGTCTTGACAACTCCGGTCATCTTGTCGTTGTAGTTGTCATCCCAAGTATTGGCAGTATGAAAGATGCAACATGCTTTGGTCTCAAACCATTGCGTGAGCTCCGGTTGGTGCCGAGGGAAAACACCAAATCTTGATCTTCCTTTGGCGTCGTAGTTTAGAGGTGGCTTGCCTTTGGCAATATTTACAGGATCCAAAGATAAAGGAAGGTCCATAATGACAGTGTGTCGAGAAGAAACTCCAAAGTCGTGCATCATCCGCGCGGACGAAACGCCAGGTATTGGTGCATTGAGCAGGCGAGTAGGCTTGTCCAGAGGCGCGATTGGTGTCATAGGTGGGTGTGTCGAAGGGATGGTGGAATAGTGAACAAACGGAGGTGCAAAGGTGGAATGAAACAAGATCAGCTCTTGCGTCTTGGGATCAACTCGAGGGTGAGCAGTCGTCCATTCCCTCATAAATCCTATTATGCCTTTGCCTCCGAACCCTGTACCTTCTTCACCACCTAATTCGCCCTCAGCACGCTTGCCATTGTACCAGCCCACAGTTTCTAAGCTGGGCAAAGCGATCCTCATGGGCGGGCCAGACTCGCAGGTAGCCAAACCTCGGCCATCGTGGAAGATGAAATGTGTGTTAGCTACACTAATCTTCTTGATCGCCTGCACCGACCCAGGCAATCGAGATAAGATAACGAGGAATATGGTGCGGAATATGGCACACATCACTTGGAGCAAAGTTGTGGCGGGATTGACGAGCGTTGCAATACTGGGCAGTATTGGTTTTGTAAGGTTCTTAGATGTTTGTGTCGATAAGAAGACATCAGTCAGGATGTACTGGTTGACAAACTCTGGCTGCACTCCTTTGTCGGTCCTCCTGAAGCTGACACCACTGAGCATACCATCGCCATCAAACCAATGTGCGTCTCTTCCTAAGTCCTTGTTCAATACTGGGTTGCCTCCATTGCGGACATATTCTCCTCCAAATAGCTCTTCCGGAATCTCGCCCGACCATGTACATGGCGTTAATGGTAGTGTTCGTTCAATAGGTGCGAAGTTTCCGCTGAGATATGGATGAACGTCGTCTCGTTTTCTCTTCCGAGGATTCGGTAGGACGGTGGCTTCCAGCATTGTAGATCTCTAAACACAAGTCTTGCTTATTAGAGTAGCTCAAACGGAGATGGTGTGCAGTTGGCAAAATGCAGTATATGAAGCGAACGTTAGTGGAGATGTGCTACCACAGGCACATGACGTCTCGAGCGAAGCAGCTCGGAAGTGTACAGGAAGCTTGAAAGGTGAAATACGCGTGTCGAAGGTCAAAGGAAGGCAATGTGAAGAAGGATAAACAGGCACGATATTACCCATATCTTGGACAAGCTTCCCTACAAGCCTTGGTAACTCGAACATGGGAACCGCAACATGCGGCAAGCTTCGAGCTTGTGACGTGCATTGTACGCAAACCCATCTGCGAGATTTGCACATGCAAAAACTTGAACTTGAAGCTCGAGTTTGAAGCCACATCGAAGTCACGCTATTCCGTTTTCGTTCTCGCTCACGTCTTGCCGCTTTGAGTCGGGCTTCGGAACGTCTCTCTGCGAGTTCGGCAAAGTCATGATGTCACTCATTGCCTAAGCTTGCAGCCTTGCATGGAAAGTGCAACTCAAGCTTCGTTGTTGCCCACCAAAAAGTCACCGTGGTGTCGGTCACTTGAAAATTGTTGAAGCGCACATTGGTCTGGGAACGCGCTACCGACAGTGCATGCTGGCTTCGAACCTGCCATATTCTGCTTGCACCGATGTCAACACCTAGCTTTTAACCCCGATTATGGCAAAATTGCACATTACCACTGCATCACTGCAATTGCTGCGTCTCGACCATGTCTAAATCGCGTTATCTGCTTCCAAGACCGTGATTTCCCAAGCTCGTTTGGATATCCGTATTGCGACGCGTGCTGCGAACATGTACGATTATGCTTGGGTGTAAGTGAAAGACCTGGTGAATTTTCTGTCTATGTGCTGATCGACGTCAAAGCCATGTGGTTTACACAATCCCCATTGCACTCTTCTTGAGTGTGGTCCTGGCACCATTGCTGACACGCTTGGATGTCTACAAAATCTGCTTCCTAGTCGTGGTCGCATTTTCATACACTCTCCCATGGTAAGCCTCTACAGTAGTCCTCCTCAGAAAAGACTAAATATTGAGAATTTAATGTTCAGGGATTCGTACTTGGTCAGAAATCGCATATGGAGTAGGTTTGCCCTGACCTCCGAAATACAGACCTGCAAGCTAATTGCCCGGCAGCATACCCTTCTGAGGCTGTCATTGGGCCTACCCTCTTCTCAGTCCCGATTGAAGAATTGTTCTTCTTCATTGTACAGACATATATTGTGAGTCCAAAGCTGCCTTCCGTGCTGACAATCCTGACGGCCCCAACAGACCACCTGCTTGCACATACTTCTAAACAAACCAGTGCTGAATGCTATCCACTTACACAATGAACACACCCAAGGTAAATTTCGAGTCCAGAAACGAATGGGCCAAGTGTTCTTCGCAGCCTGCTTCGTCGTCCCGTTGCTGTTGCCGACAGATCATCGTGAAGGCACGTATATGAAGCTCATCATCTGTTGGGTTGCTCCCATCTTCTATATGCTATGGACCTTCGGCTATCAACTCCTGCTAAGTCTGCCGGCGTCCAAGACGCTGCTTCCGATAGCGGTGCCGACACTCTTTCTCTGGGTCGTTGACACCCTTGCCCTTCAAAGGGGCACCTGGAGCATTGAGTCAGGCACGAAGCTTGGCATTCACGTATGGCCTCATCTCGAAATTGAGGAAGCCATGTTCTTCCTTGTTACCAACTCGATGATTGTCATGGGATCGTGCGCGTTTGACAATGCGGCCGCCATCCTTGATGCCTTCCCAAGCTTGTTTCCGAACGTTCCGGGCATGCCTTCACCACTACTGATGCTCCAAGGACTGTTCACGTCAACTTCTCGTTACGACCAAGATAGATTAGTTGGCCTCAGGAACGCTTTGGTTGTGTTATCGAAGAAGAGTCGGTCTTTCTACTTGGCTTCGGGAGTTTTCAGTGGTCGGCTTCGTATCGACCTCATCCTGCTTTACGGCTTCTGCAGAGTTGCAGATGATCTAATTGACGATGCCGCAAGCGCTGAAGAGGCAGAGTCTTGGATCGCTCATTTCACCAATTTCCTGGACGTGATGTACTCCAGTCATCGAGATTCTGCCCGCCTAGAGAAGGCTCTCGTACCATTTCCTCCATCCGCACAGACTATTCTGAGACTTTTGCCAGCAGAAAAGCTGCCCTCACAGCCTTTATACGCATTACTCGACGGGTTCCGAATGGATCTGGATTTCACGAACGAGAAAAGTACAGGTCATCCACCAATACAGACAGAAAACGATCTCGAAAAGTATGCTACATGCGTGGCTGCCACCATCGGCGAGCTTTGTTTGAGTCTTGTCTATGCACACGATCCTGATCAACATTATCCAGGGGCTCACGACAACCGAGAAGAATGCACTCAGGCAGGCATCAATATGGGGCGAGTGCTTCAATATATTAATATTGTCCGAGATGTGAAGACGGATGCAGAGACGGGCAGGTGCTATATACCCAACCAATGGCTCGCTAAGAAGTCTTTGACGCCTCATGAAAGGGAACAGGAGATATTGGACTGCAGGCAGCGGATTCTAACAGGCGCATTTGTGACTTATGCGGCAAACCGAGATGCGATTGAGGAGCTTCCCGCATATGCCAAAGGCGGTATCCGTGTCGCAGTGGAGAGTTATGTCGAAATTGGCAGAGTCTTACGAAGTCGTATGCAGAACGGACAGCCCTTGGACTTCGCTGGTGGGGGCAAAGCTGGTCGAGCAAGTGTACCCAAGTGGAGACGGGTGTGGGTGGGCTGGAGAACGATGGCAGGAAAAAGGGGAAGTATATAGTAATGTCCGTAATATCCTCTTACACCACCCTCTGCAGCATGTTGTTGTGAATCCAATATCGACATCTGTGGTTCTGACAAGGCTGAGTTCTTGGCTGTACCTTGCAGCCGACCAGGATGTAAGACCTTGGCCGATCTTGTGGGGCTCGCCAGGTGCGATCGCGTCAGTCCGATCCGCGCTAGCAGTCGCGGATTCCGAATACAGTGGTAGAGATCGCAAATACTTCCTCTTTTGCGAATATTTCAGCTCAACGAAAAGCTGGGAACTTTGTGGCAGGAGTTTTTCGAAATTTTGCCGAAAACGAGCGAAGGCATGAAGTCAAATTTTGGTAGCCGAGAACATCCATCGTCGGCTGTAACAGGACTCAAAAGTCATGAAGTCATCTTCTGCCATGCATCGAGTTCGCATGCATGGCAAGTTCCATAGCATGTGATTGACCGGTCGCCTTCGAATATGCACCAGAAGCTTTCTAGATTTATTCTCACAAACGTGTTGGTGGTGAACAAATAAAATCAATAACTGAACATGGAGAAGTCAAAGAGTGTGATTATTGTCGGTAAGTCAACTTTACACCGCTACAACAACTGGCACAACACTGACTTTGAAAGGTGCTGGTGCTGGTGGTATTGCAAGTGCAGCACGCCTCGCAAAAGCTGGCTTTCGAGTTACGGTCGTGGAGAAAAACGACCACAGTGGCGGACGATGCAGCTTAATCAACTGGGATGGCTACCGCTTCGACCAGGGACCATCTCTTCTTCTACTACCGGATCTCTTCCAAGAGGTCTTCCACGATCTCGACACCTCGATAGAGGCAGAAGGCGTAGAGCTGCTCAAATGCGAACCCAACTACAACATCTGGTTCGGCGACGGCGAGTCAATAGAGCTCTCCACCGATACCGCGCGTATGAAGAAGGAGGTTGAGAAGTGGGAAGGCAAAGACGGCTTTGAAAGATACCTGGCTTGGATGAAGGAGGCGCATGTTCACTATGAGGCCAGTATCACATACGTGCTGCGCCGAAACTTCACAAACCTGCTCAGCATGGTTCGTCCGGACTTTCTCGGGTATTTGGGTGCCCTGCATCCTTTCGAGAGTGTTTGGGCTCGCGCTTCCAGGTATTTCTATACGGAGCGATTACGCCGAGCCTTCACATTCGGAAGCATGTACATGGGTATGAGTCCTTTCGAGGCACCGGGCACATACAGTTTGCTGCAGTATACTGAGCTGGCTGAGGGCATATGGTATGTTTCGAAAGATTCCGGCATTGTGCAGAATACTAATTGGAGCTAGGTATCCTCGTGGAGGCTTCCACAAAATTCTTGACGCCCTTGTCAAGGTGGGCGAACGATTCGGAGTCGAATATCGATTCAATACCTCCGTTTCACAAGTTGTTGTCGACGAAAGAAACAAACGTGCCACTGGCGTCAGGTTGCAAAGTGGCGAAACACTAAATGCTGATATTGTCCTAATGAACGCGGATTTGGTTTACGCATACAAGAACCTACTGCCACCCTCTGCTACAGCCACAGCACTTGACAAGAAGCCAAGCTCATGCGCAAGTATCTCCTTCTACTGGGCTATGGATACCATAATATCACAACTGCACGCGCACAACGTCTTCCTCGCAGATGAATTCCAGGATAGCTTCGACGATATTTTTAAACGACAATTAATACCGAAAGAGCCCTCGTTCTACGTACACGTACCTGGCCGAGTCGATGAGAGCGCTGCTCCAGCTGGTAAAGATAGTGTTGTCGTGCTTGTGCCTTGTGGTCACCTTTTGGAGGGTGAGGCAAAGGCAGGATTGAATCCCAGCTCATTACAAGACTGGGATGCTATGATTTCAAAAGCCAGAGATTCTGTTATTGCCACCATCAAGGCACGATGTGGTGTGGATTTGAGGCAGCACATTATAAACGAAATGATCAACACACCCGCTTCGTGGAAGGACAGATTCAATCTGGACAAGGGAGCTATCCTAGGACTGAGCCACTCTTTCTTTAACGTTCTCAGTTTCCGACCCAACACCAAGCACGACTCCATTTCCGGACTTTACTTCGTGGGTGCGAGCACTCATCCTGGTACTGGTGTTCCGATCGTACTGGCAGGCAGCAAGATCACTTCCGACCAGATATTGGACGACTACGGCATGATCAAACCTTGGAGTCCAGGTGCACATAAGAGGAAGATTGTCAGCGAACTGGATGTTGAAGGACCAGTATCGTTCGACCTTGCTCGGACCTTGCTAGGCTTTTTGGTGTTTTTGATATTAGCGGTTTTGTACTTCAAGCTCCGTTGAGAAGTGTGCTCATAAACTCGGGGTTTCAAAATGTTTGGTGTTCAGGTGCACATAGACAACCTTTTCTCGAATCGCAGCAAATGGACATTGTTTTCCACTAACGGCATATTTGGGAGGTGTGGCTGGTGCGGGAGGAAAAAGCAGCAGCAAATTCTTCCTATAGCAGTTAGAACTCTAATGAATAGATTACGTACCACATTCAAGTTGCCAGCAGAATTCTGGTCGCCGCCTCCGATTTTCCGACGATTTGTGTTTGTGGTGTGATCTCATGCTTACGATCCTCACATATGCTTTACTGCTCATACATAGGTCCTTTGTCAATGCGGTCAGACTGAAGCGAATACTTGGGATATTCTAGGGATTTCGTGGTAGTCGTTCGATGGATATCGTCTTCGAAGGAACAACCAGCGACCTCTAATGATTGTTACTCTCGAGAACAGATTCTTCAAAAGCTTCGCGAGACCTGCCAGTCCTGCTCGAAGCGCAAACAAACATCGAAAACTGGCTAACGCCTTCCTTGAGGGCTCCTCTTCGCTGAACACTGGCAGCCTACATGCCGACGGTGCCGTACTTCCAGGGCTGTGACACGATGTCGACATGTGTTCATCGTTTGTGCTACAAGCTCGTACTGTTGTCCAAACAAACCTCTGCAGTGGAGGTTTGGTGCCATCAGCCCTATTACAGTGCGGTTTTGGTCGGACACATTGATTGAACAGCAGGCTTTATTTACCTGTCACAGCATACCGTGTAGACTGGTTTGACACAGTCGACATGGCAAACCATTCCACAGCGTTTGCTGGCATTCTTCTTCATGCCTCAGCTGTCCTCGTCCGTGCCTCGTTGCTTTGCTCAACGTGCCTCCATGATCTTACACGTTCATGTTGCGTGCAGGATACGTCCTCGTTGTTGCTGCTGACATGACGAGTTCCTAGTGCCTGCAGTGTCTGGACTTCGAGTCTGGAAAAGGTTGGGTTTGTTTGGTGATTTATGAACATGGCTTCACTTCTTATGTGACCACCTATCCAGCATAGAGTGGTTGCTGAAGCTCTAATTGTTGCCCCTCAGGTCGCATTGTCGTTGCATTTGCTCAAGGGAAGATGACTTCTCTTGTGGCTTGGTCGTGAGCGAAAGCAGCGTGCAAGGATGAGCTTGTCCGTGGTCAGTGCCCCAAGTCCCAAGCGTTAAAGACCTTCACATGCGTATGAACGGCATCAACTACATCGGCTGCACTGTTTGAGGTGGTACATCGACCATCGCATTGCATCACACTTGCCAGCACGTTCCGTCACACATCGTCCACACAAAACCCTTACAGCCACGAGGCCTTCTTATAGCGTGGGCTAAATGGCCAGCGAGTGGTCCTCTCTCCCAGACCTGACCTAATCGACAATAACGAAAAAGTTCTTCACGACAAAAAGAACGCGTACCAGTACAACCTGTGGACCGATATTCCATGCTCCTAACAGCCATGTCTCTCGTTAGGCGCAATGACGCTCTGGATATCAACGGATTCAGCAATACCGTCACAACCAACAACCACATCACTAGTCGAGGCAGCAACTGGTACTTTACTGTCTGTGCACTAATGTCTGTTAGCACTCTTATATTCATGGGTCTCTCTTTACGAAAACCGCAATCGCACAGGCTCTTCCACTATATCGCAGCTGCCTTTGCGCTGGTCGCCGCAATTGCATATTTCTCAATGGGCTCAAACCTTGGCTGGACTGCTATTCAAGTTGAGTTTCGACGACGAAGCCCCAAGGTTGCTGGCATGATGAGGCAGATCTTCTATGTTCGGTACATTGACTGGTTCGTGACCACACCACTGCTACTCCTCAAGCTACTCTTGACCTGCGGTATGCCAACTCCGACTATTGTCTATACTATGCTCATCAACGAGGTGATGATTGTTTGTGGTCTTGTTGGTGCGCTGGTCAAGACGTCCTACAAGTGGGGATACTTCGTTTTTGGGTGTTTCGCCTTCTTCTTCGTTGCCTACACTGTGGCTTTCCAGGGACGATCGTATGCGTGTACCCTAGGTCAAGACATCAGCAAGATTTACACTATGGCTGCTATTCCCATGATCGCTGTCTGGATGCTTTACCCAGGTAAGTCCCATACAGACTTGTATATGAGACACGTCCTTGGACTAATCCCTACCAGTTGCATGGGGCGTCTGCGAGGGTGGCAACGTGATCGCACCTGATTCTGAGGCAGTGTTTTATGGCATTCTGGACTTGACTACGAAACTTCTAATTCCTGGACTGCTAATCTGGAATCACCGTAATATCGATCTAGCACGACTTGGCTTTCACATTCGGAATGTGCCCGAAGGAGGTTTGCCCGGTAGCGAGAAGCGTGGTCCTCATCAGCAGACAGGCGTTGCTGCACCAGCAACTGCCAATACAGAAACTCCTGTCAATACTGTCTAGATTACCTCATGGCATCGCGGCTAGATAAGTTATCAAATTTCTACCACAACCGAATCATAATTGCACACCTACCTAGGTCTAGAACCTCGACGACCTTCCACCTCTAGTGGAGACACCATACTGCAATGACTTATGTTACTGGTGTACCGGCGCCATGCTCATCTTGCAAGATAGCCAGCAACTTCGAAGCATTGAATGTAATTTGAATAGAATCTAATATACCGTTACACTCACCACGTCTGCCTCGGTACATCTTGAAGTGCCTTCACGAACGGGTGATAAGAATTCACTACGTCCTAGCGCAAATCTCGTGATCCAATGACCCGATTAACTTGTATCCAGTAACCATGAGAGCGATCTGCCGGCAAACCTACACACAACCACTTCGATGTCGAAAGCATATCTGCCCCTTTACTCCACGTAGTCGAATAGCAGCCGAGCATGAACCGAAAAGCTACCCCATTGCAATAATCTTAGTGCGCACCCAGTGCAGAGGGTAACAGAACGGCAGGCTATTAACTTACGGCTCAAAATCTGACCAAGTCCAGATCAAAGGCCGACGTACAAGCAACAACAGCAAGATAGGCAGCCGAGACTGTGCCTTGCGTTGACAACGGCTGTTCGGGAATTGCAAAATCACGATCATATCGCCATGATAGTGTCAAAAGCAAGGACAGCAAACCCCATGCTCTCTCTTCACTTTCGAGGTCCTGGTGCAATCTGCTTGCCTTGGCATTTCTTCAAGCAAAGATGGTCTTGGTTCGAATTCTGACGCCGGTCGTAGCAAACTCTCCAGAATTCAGAATTGGCCGACGCCTAGCACGGAAGAAGCAAGGTCTTCGCGCCCCTTCAGTGTGGACGAATCGGGGCATTTGGAAGCACACCACAGCAAACTCGATCTAGCACGTCGATCTTGGAGATAATCCACTTTTTCATTTGACCTATGGAAAGATGAGCGCAAATGTCCTACGGCGAGAGTTTCATCTTCTCCCTGTAATCAAACTTCAGGCGGACTTTCCTAGTCTGCGCTTTGCGAAATTGCTGAACTTCGTTCTAACGCAACTGCACCCAATCCTCGCTGACACCATGTACTGCATTGCAACGTTCATCTGTGTACCGACAAAGTTGCAATCTCGTATGATCTTCGTGCTCCGACTAGGTCATGTGCTACGCATCGACTCGTTCAAGGTAGTTCAAAATGCGGGTGTCCAGCGTAGTGGCACAAAGGTGAGTGACAAAGTTCAGAATCATATACACCCTTGCTCTGCTTCGCTTTGAATACGACCGCTCTGTTATCTTCCTTTCCACAGGGTCTACTGTTGCTGTTTGCTACACCGTCTGTTTCAGACTCCTCTTGGGGTCGTCCAGAGTTACTGCGCTCCCTCGCAGGTCCAACTGCAAACACTCCTTCATGGTGCAGCTTTGGTGGTGACTACTCTGCACACCTCACGAACCTACACGCGACCATAGACACCGCAGAAGACCTTCGCTGACCGAGCTGGTCGAATTGCACGACATGCGCATGATCAACTTTACAGCAACAGCTGTCTTACCAAGCCTTGCACTGGCTGATGTTAGCACCTGGAACTCATGGAGTGTACCAACATCTGTACCCGTAACAACGACTATTACTAAAACGCTCCTCCACTTCAACTACAACGAGACCACGACAATGACGTTATCTTCACCGACCGGGAGCGCTTTCACGGTATCGAATGTGACGGCAACCGCTACCCCCACTGGATCTTTCAAACCTACTCTGTCACCCAGCAGTACTACAGCAGCCATTGCAATGTTTTCGTCTGGCTCTGCTTCCATTCCAGAGATGAATGCCGCCATTGCAGCGATCGCAGGTATTGGTGCTGTCGCATACGGCCTGTATTAGACCAATTCTAGCTGCCATACAGTCTGTCGATCCGACTGCAATTGTTCTTTGCACAAGCTCTCCCTCTTCAGCCAGCGCTGTCGAGCTCTCCTTCCTTGCACATAATCTTTACCGACCTCTGCGAGTGTTCGCATTACCTATACCACCTCTCCGTGAGAAGCTTTTTTCGCCCAGTGCGCATCAACAAGTGGTTCGAAGCTAGGCTTCACCATGACATATCACAGTCTTCATGATCACGACCCGGTTTAAAGTCCAGATATTACTGGAATATTACGAGATACCCCCATCTATGTTCATCGTTATAGCATAGCGACCGTGCTGCGACTTTCGACAGCATGGTAGATACTTTTTGTTTTTAGCATACACGACCGGTGTGATTAGACAGGCCTTCTGTTGAAAGAGGGCCGAATGCAAAGCATATCAGGTCAAGCAATAATAGCGTTCTTGCAGTATAGGCAGTTAATGAAGCATTCTCCTGCACGTTGAGCGAAGGTGTTGAGTGGTTGTTTGGTGGTATTCTCTTTGCTTATAGCTAGTTACAGTAGTATCATACAACCAAGATGCTACCTCGAACATTATTGCTGATGGTTCTCGCGTGGCGTCATCCTCTACTGATACGTGCAAGCTATCAAAAGCTGTCTGCAAGCAAAGTTCGTGCTGCATCGTGGAGCCGGATCCTTCCTTGCTCCTGCCGATTTTGCGGAGCGAGACATGGAGTGGCGGGCGGAGAGAAAACGCGCCTTGTGGCCCGAGACGCGTCGGCGCGTTGACATCATTCGCCCAACATCCTCAGTCTCGATCGTTTCTTCCTCACGCGAGCACAATATTTTCTTAGCATCACTCGCGCCTTCCTTGTCGCTGCTTTTGTCGACTCTACGCGACGTCGAAGAAGTTATGCATTATTCGAGACCTCGTGGCTGAATTGTCGAGAGCTTTCCGTGCTTATAGTCGCCTCCAACATACTGGGCCATTGGACGCCCACAAGCGTTTCCATTGAACGTGTATCTGGACCTCGCACCTCCTTGCATCATCAAGATGGACGACGAAGATATTCAACTACCAGCACTTCCGTCAACCCTACCAGATCCCCAGCTTCCACGGTTGCCGTTCTCTCAGATCAAGTCCCGCAAACGCTTCATTCGCTCGGACGAAGTCACTGATGCAGATATCTTATCTGGCTCAGCACGTACCTCATCGGACCCAGCACTTTTCTCGAGTGACGAAACTCCCGACGCTGAGAACTATGCTGCTCCCAAACGGCGCAAGAAGCAGACGTACGCTGGTACTTGGTGGGGTGCTCGCATGGCACGTACAAGAGCTGGAAGTCATGGTCTAAGCAGCGACGGCAGTTCCCGAAGAGGTGGGAAACGCAGATTCACGCGTAACTTCGACTCTGGCATCTTCATGTGCAGTGACGATAGCAATACAGAACCTAGCTCGGATTCTAGTTTTGGTAGGGAGCTGGTCGAGGAGCAAAAGCGCAGCGTCAGAAAGAGCTTTCTGCAGCAATCACAATCTCCAGTCAGATCGCAGCCACCAAGCCCACAGGTTATATCGCCACAGCGCATGCGCGTCAAGCAAGACGTGATGCGTGACTCTAAGGAAGACCTTGTACTCTCCGTTATTCGCACGTGTGTAGAGCAATGTAAGGAGGATGTGGATTTATCGTAAGTTCGTTCGAGATACGTGGAGCTTCTTGCTAATTCGACACAGGAATATGAGCATAGACACACTGCCAGCCGAGCTTCGCGAACTGGCGACTATAGTCAAAGACGACCCTGCAGATCTGGCACAATTTGAGTCATTGGTAGCACGTCCTCGGCTATATCTTTCCAATAACCTCATAAGGGAGTTCCCAACTCCAATCCTTGAGCTGAGCAACCTTCGACTGCTCAGTATTCGGCAAAATAAGCTCACTAGGTTGCCACCTGGCATACGCAACCTAACCAAACTAGAGACACTGAACATCTCTGGGAATCGACTACAGCACTTACCTGTGGAAGTACTCGACTTGATGGCACATCATCGGCTTTCCGAGTTGCATAGCGAGCCAAACCCGTGGATGTGGTACTCCACCAACCACGTGGGCAACTACGCCCCTTACTCGACAAAGCGGCGGTTGAGCTACGACAACAAAGCTCGCAGGAACGACATGACATTTGATATCTCGGCAGGCTTAGTGGCAGCTCGCGAGCAAGTCAACGAGATGACAGCCGCAGCCAGCACAAACCAGCCGAAAAGCAGTGTGCCACGCCTATCAGAACTTGTCCTCCGCCAGCTCTCACAGGTCAACAACTCGAAAACTGATCTTTCAGCACTCCTACCTAGCGACGCTCCTCCAACGGTCACAACCATGCTCGGAGACTTGTATACTGCTCAGACAGAAGGAGGCCGACGTTGCGCATGTTGTCAGCGATTGTACATCAACCCAGCGCGAAGATGGATAGAGTGGTGGAGGGTTTGGGTTAGGATGGCAGTAGCGGAAAACCCTGTGTCGGGGTTGCACAGACCGCACCTTTCTAGCGATCAGACCTTGCCGTTTGAGGTTGGTATATGTGAGGCTTGTGCTTGAAATGGCAGATCATGTCCAAGAGTTGTTCTTCTACGTCTTCTGACCACTCAATATACATACTCCCGTGCCGCTGCATACTTATAAGTCCGATGCTGTCGTTCCTCCTCAATACGTAGTCTAGCATGACCCAGCATGGGCCCATTGTACACATGCTCAGCCTGCTTACATGGCTTCTCATCCCCCGTCTGGTCGCAGCACGTCCACAGAAATCCCTCTGGATGACTAATTCGATCGCCGTCGTTGTCACGATCCGGCTCTTCCCAGTCATCAGCCCAAACTTCTGAGTCGTCGTCCCTCTCCGATTCTCCAGGATGGTAGTTGCACACTTGATTTGAGTTGTTGTTGCGCTCGTCGTACTCTCTACCGCAATTCATACAGCGTACCATGAGAGGAGCAGGATTCGACAGCTTTTGCCGTTTGGTGCCTGGGTTAGTGGTCTGGCTGACTTTTTCGCTAGACGCTGCACGTTTATGTGGAGGTTGAGAATCGTTGTTAGCAGTAGCTAGACTGTTGTCCTGATGATTAGTACCTGTGGTATCCTGACTTTCGGTCAGGTCAATAGGTACTGCTTCGGATCCACCACTTTCGGTGCTCGGTTCTTGGGAAGTACAGAGCTCTTCGTGAAGGATTCTTGCTAAGTCTGAGTGATGCTGGCATAGGCTATTGAGGATTCTGCGAAGATTATCTTCGTGAAGAGTTTTGATGGCTCTGGATAGAGCTTGATGCTCCGGGCCTGTCAGGTCGGTAGACATATTTATTTGTACAGTGGTAACATGTAGTGTTTTCAGTACAGCACCTGCGAGGCTGGCGTCTAGTCGACTTCCTACCTAGAAATGTATCGCCTATTGCTTGTTCCGAAAAAGGAGTCGACGATGATCTCTTTTGACTCCACACTTTCAGTAGCTATGTTTGATCCCACAATGCTCGCATTCTCAAATTCATCCTTCTTCAGCCTTCATTCGGAGAATTTTCTCAAGGCGAAGCTGATGGGGATTTGATGATTTACGAAACAATTCTAATGAGCTGTCCTTCTGGATCTAGGAGGTTCTGACCCACAGATGATCCGCTTCTGCTGTGCATTGTTCTTCGTCATCGCGATACATCGTATCACTTTGAAGTCTAAAAACGTACCAGTTGAAAGTAGGTAGCAATACTACAGGCAACAATCGATTGAGTCTTGAGCTGACGAACTCGAACACTAACCAACAACTCGAAAAGCACTGATGAATTTAGGCGACTGCTTCGTCATGTTCAAACGAGCATTGAGCGCTTATAATCGAACCTGGTTGCCCTAATGACTGTACGAGCAAAGCAAACGGCCGGACTTCCTTCTGTACTACACAGAACACTACCTCAAAGTTTCCAAAACGTTCATGCCGCAAAACGACAGCCTAGCCGAAAACTTCTCGCACTTCGAGTGCCTTGCATAGACTTTCGAACTCCAGAGACACTGATCGTATACACGATCCAACTGCGGATCAAGGAGCACTAACCTACGCATGCCAGCCTGACAGCAAGTATTGTCAGGCCGTACGAGCAAAGACCATGGCGCTGCCTAGCAATCCCTATCAAACTCACCAGGGGTCAAGCACAGCAAGTAGCACAGCTATTCAACTACACGAGCCCACGCCCCTCTTCACAAGCATGGACTAAGCAGTCATCGACGCGATTCACTCTGGAGGCCGACAGGTCATTAAGGATGTTCTAGGCGGATCAGGCAGCTTTTGCACAACTGGGGCATGTCTTTTTTGCAGTGATGCAGAATCGAGGGCTATCGCCTGGATCATTCATGCCGGAGACGATTTTCCTGCTAAGGCAGAAAGCCAGATACGCAAGTGGCAAATTAATCTATCTTTGCAGAAGACTAAAGGTATACTGTCAACCTGTGGTCTTCTGGTTTACAAAGATGGAACCTTCGGTCGTGCGTCGGAAACAGCCTTATGCAAGAACTGGTCCGTATTGACATGTGTATAGCAAAGACGTTTCGATACACAAATCCAGTACTTCAGGTCAAGCCAGTCGACCTGCAAAAGACCCAGATGCTATTTTCCAGAGTCCTGCATTTCCTGGCTAGTCCTACAGAGCTTCAATCGCAGATGAATGACTTAAGAAGACTCGGGGCTAACTCCGGCGGGAACAAAGATGAACACAAGCAAAAAATCCTATGGGAGCCAGCGCCACTGTCCTGTTCACATGAAAATCTTGTTGCGTGCTTTGCAGCTGCAATCATGGCCCACGTCTTCTCACCTAACCATATCGAACTTATGGCTTTCTTCGGTATCAGAGAAGAGCCATTTAACTCTATTGTCATTGACTCTTTGGCGACTGCATTCTTGAGATTAAGAGTAGGAGAATCGAATAAAGGTATCGTCGTTATTCGAGCTGGCGAGCATGGGTCGCTGTCCATGCAAATGGGCAGATCACTACACTGGCAAAGACCATATTACGCTTCTGATTCAGATAACTCGAGCAGCAAGATAGTTGACACTACTGGAGCAGGTAAAGCCTTTCTAGGAGGACTTGCAATGGGCTACTTGAAGAGTAGGGATCATGTCGAAGCATCGCATTATGGTGCTGCAGTGGCTAGTTTCATGCTTGAACAAGTGGGTCTTCCATCGCTCACTTACGATGAGGTCACGGAGAAGGAGCTCTGGAACAATGACAACCCGTACAGGCGCCTCGAGTCGCTCGAAGACTGACATGAATTGTGGTCATCAAGTCATGGGGTCCTTGGAAAGTTGTCCTTCTGCAAAGAAAAGTCCTGCGTCAATTGATCTTGATCAGCATGGCTTGTTACCTCCTTCTTTTGCATCAACTTTCTTTTCTCGTACTGACACGAAGCAGACACAAGGAGGTAGTCATGTAGGAAATGGATGTTACCATGGTTGCGGGCCGCAATGTGCAAATGGTCAAAGATGTGGTCCCACATACTCCACGGTCAGCCGCCACAATCGGCACCTTAACGTGGCTGTACGGCATACCACAGCAACATTGTTACTATCGATAACCGGAAATGCTCATGGAAGCAACGACCTCCTCGCGCGCCTTTCGCATCGATTTATGAACGCGTCTCATTCGCGTAGAAATGTCCCTTCTTTGTATGGATCTCGACCGCCTTCAAGCCTTCCACCACCATTGTCTATACATGTCATCGATACATTAGCGCAATATCATCCTTCTGGAAAAGAGCTTTCAGTTTAGTGATTAAATGAGACCAAGATGAGCTATTTTTCTCGACCCCGAGCCTACTCGAAGCCAACAAAGGAAGAAGTAAAGGAGCTTGATTATCACCTTGCAAGAGTTTCACCACATGAATTGCACTTAATCTGTCAGATGGCAGCGTCAGAGTCGTCCGAGGTAGCTAAAATTCTGATGAAGGTCATGGTGAATGCCAAGCTTGTTGCACAACCTGTTTATGAGACAGTCCAGGAAGAGCACGAACATTTCAACTTCGGTGGTTCAATAAGGCACGAGCATGGTCTACCTACTCCAAACGAATCTTGTGAGGATAGCGAGATGAGTGGCATAGAAGATCCGCAATCTGAGATGTCAGAAACTTTGGAACGAAGTGCCAGAGGAGCACAAGGTCTTCAGCCTGTTATGCCTTTATCTCACTTCTCGAATCGTCCTTCGAACAAGCGCAAATCTCTGGCTGATAGGGACGACAAGCCACCGACTCTGTCACCACGTACCAATAGGTCCAAAAAGCTGCGTAACACTTCTCGTGACCTGGCGATAAATTGTGAAGCCAGCAACCATACCTCACATGAAGCACATTGGAGGAACAAACATTCGTGTCGTAATTGTGGTCACTTCGTCGAATCTCATCAATGGGACAATCTTCACGGTTGCATGTATCATCCGGGAAGTCGTCAGAGCAAGCAATGGTCATGTTGTTTGTCAGACATGAATGTGCCTGGATGTGTGATCACTCGACATCAGGAGCTCGATGTAAGCTGACAGAAACTTGAAAGGGAGCACAGTTTCATTCGTCTCTCAGTCTCCAGGCGTTCGTTGAAGTATGGGTATCAGTCAGTTTTGGATGATCTTGTTCATGCTCAACCTGTTCGAACAGTGTAGTAATGGCATTGTTGAGTACTAGCGCATGCGCAATAATAGTCTCTCCCGAAACAAGCATGGCCGGGCTTCTCTCAGGCCTTTGACGTACAGAATACATTCCTAAAAGCCACAACATGGCATTTGAGCGCATGCCAGGGACGAAGATAGATCAACTTCAAGTGTGAAACATGGCGCCTGCAATCGCGGCTCGCTGCTGACCTTCAACAACTATCATTGGTTCGGGGAACCTTCTCCCGACATTATGGGTACTGACTGTTCCCACCCCTCCAAATTGTCCTGTAAACTCCCCATCCTCGTTAACACGATCTTGTGGTCGATATTGTCTGTCTTTAGTAATCCGCTGCAGTCAATCATGCGGTCTACTAGTTCGCGGCCCCAGCGGTATCGCTGTCCCAAAAGAACGATACCTCCGACACTCTGCTCATGATGCAGACCGTCCGAGCCACGAAACCAGGTCTTGGGGCGGCTGCATTAGCTTGACATCAGAGAGCCTTCCTATTTCAGGCAGAGATGGGCGCTTCAACATTGTATAGATGGCGGTCTTGCCAGGGACACTTTAGCGCCCGTCGCTGCTATTCTTTATGTATCTTTCGTCTCATGCCTCACATGTCGGAGATGGTACTCAATTGAATCTCCCTCGAGGCAGCTTGGGAGCGACTCCTGACCGAGCTGTATCTTAATTCAGCCCGGTGATTCTGTGGCAGTCCAGTCATCAGCAAAAGCCTCTCCTGGTTACCGATCGACGAATGTTGATTTGTCCTTACAGCTCTAAAAACTACACCGAGCCACGAATTCTCGACAGTCCTTCCGCGACAACCATCAGGACACTCGAACAATCGTCTCTATTGTCCGCTGTCTCTCGCGCAATCCAGTCAGGCAGTGAACAGGCCGATCCTGGTCCGCTACTTATTCTCCGTTACTACACTGCCCGGCCACGTCAAGCCATTTCCTAAAATCAGCCACGCGTTCGCAGGAGCCTGTACTGTATATGAATGAGGACAAACTATGTCGATTGCTGGACTGAAGGGTCCCAAACATGGAGCTTATCCTGTAGTAAATACTGAAGAGAAGAGCCATGACGATTTTCAGCCCAGCCTTCACCACACCTTGACCTCAGGAACCAGGTCACAGAGACCGGCTGACTTTTGGACGAGATGGCAGAACCTGGCAAACACGTATTGGCTGTATGAAGCAATAAGCTGTCTCATCTCATTGGCTGCTCTCGGCGCCCTGATCGCCATACTAGTGATTTTTAACGGTCGTGCACGGCCACAATGGCCGGACTTCGTGTCGATCAACACTCTGGTTGCCATTATGACTGCTATCTTGAAAGCTTCGTTGATGCTTCCTATTGCTGAAGGTATTTCGGAGTTGAAGTGGCAATGGTTCGAAAAGCCACGGACGCTAAGCGATATCAGCACCTTCGATTCAGCGAGCCGTGGTCCCTGGGGATCTTTCTTGTTTCTCTTCAGTATTAGACGAAGTGTTCTGGCCAGCTGTGGAGCGATAATTACGATATGTGCTCTGGCCATCGACCCCTTCTCGCAGCAGGTTCTGAAATATCAAAACTGCCTGGAACCAAACACTGCTGCAATGGCGCAGATCCCACGTACCAACGCTTACAGTGCACGAGGGTTACGTGCGGGCGCGGGTGTTACTGTTCTCGACACTACCATGACGCTGTCAATTTACAATGGGATTTTGGCACCACTTACAAATGCTTCCTCTCTTGTGGCGACCTCATGTCCGTCAGGAAATTGCACCTTCAGCGCAGATGCTGGTTCATCATACTCGTCCATTGCTATATGCCAACGGTCCGAGGACATCTCGCGCTACATACAAAACAATACATCGCTCATGAGAGCAGAAAATTACTCCCTTCCAAGTGGTCCGACTATTGGAAACAGGTATGTACTGAGCTCAAACGTCATTGATTACCGCTACTCCGAGGACTTGGCTATTTATCAGAGTCCGGAGGATGAATATCTCAAAGATATGCTGTTCACGACCGAATTTCTGATGTTACGAAACTTCACTCAGCCTATCGCATATCGGTCTTCGTTGTATCCCTGCATCAAGACCTGGGGTGGGAACATAACGCTTGGCGAGCTTGTAGAAATTGAAACTGCTAGCGTGCCAGCAGAATTCGTGGACGGATATGTTAGTCAAGTCGCAAAAGAAACCTTGCGCAACGGATCTCGGCAGGCTTGCCAACCAACAACTCAGGAAACCGACATCAATGTGATCTCTGTCAAAGCTCACAGCAGATCGTATGCCGACTCGCCAATAAATGTCACCAGCGTAAGCAATATTCCGAACGACACAATACTCTGGTATCCACCTGACTGCATCTGGAAATTCGATGCCACATCAGCCAATGCTAATACAGAGTTCCTACGTACCCTGTTTCTGTTCAATAACGTTAGCCGTGCAGATCGCGGCGGCGCAGTCTTGGGTGACCTCTGGCTGCTCAATATATGGGCCAATGGGCTTGCAAACATGAGCAGCGTAAATGATTACATGGACAACCTGGCAGCGCACATGACAGCAACTATCCGCTCTCGCGGCGACGAAACGACACTACCCTACACCAACTACGCAAGTGGTATAGTTCTGGAGAACCAGACTTGTATTCATGTACGCTGGTCATGGCTGGCGCTTCCTTCATCTCTTGTGGTGTGTTCAGTACTCTTCCTCACAGCGACCATCGTGTCAACGTCTGCACGACGACACGAGAGCTATGCACATGCATCACTGACTGCAGCTGGGCCCTTGAAGTCCTCACCGTTGCCACTGATATTCCATGGCATTGAGCCGAGCACCCTACACGCACTGGATCATCCTGGTAATTTAGCTGACATGCAAAGGATAGCTGGAGGCCTCGAATTCAGGCTCGGCCGTTCGCTTGCGGACGAGAATTGGTATTTTGTGCATGACAAGCAACAATGAGGTGGATGTATGCTTCAGACACAATAAATAAACTTACTCCCATATTTAAACCTCTTTGCACTGCAAGTGTGTGATTACCTAAATAAGTCGCTTCGTTTGTTACATCTCTAAATCACAAACTCATTGAATATATTACAGATATCAAAGCGATATTTAACACATATAATCCACTAATAAAACTGTGAAAACTTAATACTGCACTTAACGTTAAAGTAAATAATGATAGGCTTGTATATAAAGGTCACGGACTGGGTGATACCAAATGAAAAGGATGAGGTTTGTAAAGAGGAATGAATTTGATGTAGCCATATACCGGATTGCTAGCTATGAGGAAACGATCTTAGAGAACGTAACAATTGTCTTGTTGTTACTACATCGCCGAGAGTTTAGGATTCAGTGGGCTCTAAGGTTCCGGTCGGGTGTACCAAGACAGCATCAGCCTACAGGCAATGCATAGTGACTGCTATTATCGTAAAGTAGAACAGTCTCGTCCCTCGCCTGCTTCAAGAATTGAATAGGCGACGACCCGGCAGTACCAGTAACCTTCATAGCGCCTCCCTCTAACCTCCTAGCAGCCTCCTGTGCAGGTAGCATGACATACCTTGCAACAACAGAGATATGCTTGTCGCGCCACTTCTTTAGCTCGAGCCTACACTTCTCCAGCTTCGGTAAGATGCTATGACTAGCACTGGCGCTACCAGCAACAGCGAGGTCAACCAAACTCGGCAGTCGTTTCACGTCAATCAAGAATTGCCGATGTCCGCGTGGCATATATGCTCGCATCTCTTGTAGTAATGTTGATTCGTGCTTGATACCGAGCACATGGTCCAGGAATTGGAAGAGTGAGCTCTGTCCCGCACTTCCGCCGACGAGCTTCACATGAATGGACTCTTCTTCATCATGCCTTTCCAAGGCCACGTCTATACCTCCGATATATGGTCGTATATCATGGTAGAAAACGTCTGGTCTGCAGAGGTTGAGTTCACTTAGTGCATTCACCATGTGCTTGAGTATTGCAGAGCATGTATCAAGATAATTCGCGACCTTATCCCATTGATCGCGTTGTGCTGAAGCCACGGCTTGTAGAAGTTGTCCTGGTAGACGTCCCGCAGCACGCTCGACTAGGACTGGTACTAGGTAGAAAGCTTCTTCATCGAGTGTACCAGTAAAGCTAGCTATTGTTCGCATGCCTGACAGGGTGTTTTTGTCCTCCGCATCTTGCCAGTTATACAGACACAACCCTGCATAGCTCAAGACTGGCTGCACGCCGAGATGCTCACATACTCGTAGGAAAGGCTCGGCCAGCGAAGCCGGGATATTTTTCTGCTTAGCACCATGAACCAAACCATGGATGATGAATCCAAGCAGGACGTAGGCTCTCTGCCAATCACTTTCCGAGCTGAGATGATCAGTCTCGAGAGCCGGCAGCAGAGCTAGAGCATTTATAAGGCTAGCTTCTTTGAGCAATCGAGGCAGGTTCGCCACGATCTCTTCCCACGCATTGTAGTACTCTGGCAGTGGTTCAGATGAGGTTTCAGGCACGAAACCTGTGGTAGGAGAGACTCCGCACTCGTTGAGTTGTTTGAGTATCATAGTTGTTTTGCGAAAGGCATGACTATAGTCAGGACGAAACATCCGGATTCGCCATCCTTATCATGTCGAGATCAGACGACGCGCCCTTCGATGACAGTCGTGTTCTAAGCGCTCAGATGGTGCTTGTGCACTTGGCATCGTAAGACGCATAGCTGTAACTGGCTGCATCCGGACTCAAACAGGTTGTGGACAGACACATTAGATTATGAACGTCTGTGAGATGATAGAACCGCAACACCAGTGTGGTGCACTGGGGGAAAGAGTAACTCCACATGATCACTCAAAGAGAAAGGAAGATTGTAGACCTCAGATGTACGACGTCCTGAGATTTTGCACTTTGCAAGAAATGTCATGGTCTATGATCTGCACAGGTTGTTATGCCTTGCTCTCCTCTGCATTCCTGAGCGCTTTCCTCCTTGCCTTCTTCGCATCCACCTCATGCCTCCATTGCTGTCCGTACAAACATACGAACCACAATGCGACCGCACTTGCTGACATGAACGCCGCCGAAATAGTACTGAACCACCCCACACCAATTTTCTCGATCGCTGGCAGACAGACTGCTGAACCAACAGCAGCGAAGACATATCGTATCTGGTAATTACCAGCAACAACAACAGAGCCCAGACCTCGGCTTTGCATGACGTCCACACAGTACGTATTGAGACTAGGAAAGCACATCAATTGCGCCACACCTTGCACAAACATGGCAATAACTGGTAGAGGGATACCACCAACAGCTTTTTCGACCGACCAGCCATAAATCAGCATACAGGCAGGAATAACGACACCGAGGAATGGTAAGGCTGTTCGAAGTCGGTCCTCGGAGACTCGATGGTTGCGCTTGGCGATGTAGCGTTTCACAACCCAGTCACTAGCACGGCCTCCAAAGAACGTTCCGAGTAGGTAGCCACAACCTGGCGCAACAAAGAAGAGACCTGACTGCATAGGTGTAGTCAGGTGAAAGCGTGGATTCAGAACGTACCGAATTGGTGTAAGTAACTGTATGAATAGGTTAGCTTGTGACTTCGCATGCTTGGCTGTTCTGACATGCGACTGTAAGGGACAAAGAGGACTTCTTACCGAGTACATGTTCCAGACTAAGCTTGACGATGCCAGACCCGCGATTAGGAGGTTAGGATAGGAAACAAGCAGAGCCGATACACGAATGGGATTGATGAGGTGGACGATATGTGCCACTCGTTTGCTTCTGGGTAGATCCTTGAGGTCATCAATGCCTTTGGAGGGGATCGTCTCCGGCAGGAGGAAGATGACAAGGACAGTTGCTAGCGCACCCATACCTGTCTGCATCCAGAAGATTACTCGCCAGCTCACGTATGTGACGATGGCACCACCCAAGAGCGGTGCGAGACATGGACCAACCAGCGTGCCAACAAGGAACCACGAAAGAGCTGTGCCACGCTCAGTCGGTGTGAAGATATCTCCAATACAACTGGTTCCTATGATTAAGAATGAAGTACCTTGAAAGGCGGTGAGCATTCGGAAGATGTAGTAAGCTGTGAGATTGGGAGCCAGTGCAGTTCCAACACTCATGGCTGTGAACAAGGACGCCGATGCCACACATTGCCACCGCCTGCCATAGATCTGCGACAAGGGACCCCAAAAGCAAGGCGATAAGCCCATGAAGACGAGGTATAAAGCATTGCTCAAGTTGATGATCGAGCCAGTGGTATTGTATGTCTCGGCGACTTCAGGAATGGCTGACAGTACAGCTGTTGAGCTGACTGGAGCCAGGAAGCCACATACTGATAGCACGAAGGTGATGGTATATTTCTTCCTCAGACTGAACCGTTCATACTGAGCAGCATTAACCTCGACATACGAAGAGGCGTGACTAGCTACTGCATGTATGTCGTGATGAGATTGGTGGCTGGTTATTCGGGACAGGTCCGGGCGGTCGTCTGTTGTGGAAGGTCGCTGCAGTATTGATGGGTCAGGTCCCTTCACCATCGGGTCGTTTCGGTTGATTTTCTTGGCCTCAACCTCGTCTACTGGTTGCTCTGATATCATTTTATGTACATATGCCGAGAAGAATGAACGTGTTCTTCGTCTGTATCGGTTTTGTATGATTTAACCTCATCCAGTCGATTAGTAACGCACGTCTTGGGAAAGAATGTGTTGTTAATATAGAAAGAATGGAATTACTGTGACTCTGAAGATAGTACACAATTCAACAGATAGACGGATACTACCGACATGAGCGTACGCCCTTGTACGGAGTTTCTCACCGTCGTTTTCGAAGGCTCAAGACCAGGATCAAAGATAGATAGCCCAAAATTCGGTGTTGGAAGTGAGAAAAACGGCAAGAGCGACGAATGGCAAATGTTGGAGCAGCTGCGGTCGAGGGGGGCATTATCATGTTGCCGCTATATTGATAGACTTAGAATTTTCGGGCGGCAAAGACTCTTTGCGGCGTTCATGCATAGCTGCCGACGCTTGAACACATAGAACCTGAAGCACTTGCCGGATTGCCGTTTCAGCCAATCATGCTTGTATAATTTCGGTGCATTCGGCGACCATTAATCTTCACCTTGGATCGCATGAAAAAGCCCACCAGATCGGATAGGAGAATCATACATGTCGAAGTCAGACAAGAATAACGAAGGAAATGAAAGCATCTTTGTAGAATATATACGCACGTGCAAATAGGATAGATCATTGAGACATCTATGCAAAGACTTCTGGTGCGCTTTCTCTTTCCATCACATCGAAGGCTGGTTTAGCACTGAACCAACCAGCACGTGGAGTGCCAACAGCCTTATATGTGAAAGAAGCATCTTCATCGTCGATTTTGATTGTAGCACCACCTCGACCTGCAGCTGCAGCATCAGCCATGAGCTGAGCTCGACAGCATTTCTCGAGTGAGCAGAACCAGAAGATGGTGGCTTCGATGGTCTGGCCGACTGTGAGAAGACCGTGGTTCTGTAGCAGGACAGCCTTCTTGTTGCCTAGAGACTTCGCGATGTTCTCGCCCTCCTCTTTAACCAAGACTACACCGCGGAAAGAGTTGTAGACTGCCAAATCGTCGTAGAAGGCACATGAATCTTGTGTGATAATATCGATAGGTCGACCCAGAGCACAGAATGCTCGACCGTAGATGGAATGTGAGTGAGCTGCACACATGACGTCTGGTCGTGCGGCATGAACAGCGGCATGAATCATATATGCTGCCTGGTTCAGAAGACGAACTGGTCCACCATCCACCACCTTACCCTCGTGATTGACAAGGATAAGATCCGACTTCTTAATCTGACTGAAAGCGACACCGAATGGGTTCACCCAGAAATGGTCAGGCTTGACAGGATCTCGCAATGTGATATGGCCTGCGACTCCCTCGTCAAACCCTTCCTTTCCGAAAATGCGGAAGGCTAGGGCGAGTCGGCCTTTCAGGTATTCTCTCTCTTCATATTTGTCCGAGAACTTCGGTGGCGCAGGAAAGTGCTGCATTGAAGCCTTGACGCCTCGTTGACTCGGGCCGGTTTCATGTGCTACTGTGCCTTCGGGCTGCGAATCTGGTTTGTCGTAGCCGTTCGACGGCTTAGTTTGAGGGACCTCGTACGACTCAGTCATAGTTGCGGAAGGTGGCGCCATGATTGTGTAAATAATGTGATGTGAGGCTGCTTAGAATGCGGGTCACTTGCAACGTCGTTTATCACAAGAGAGGGAGGAAGATGTGAACATATATCAGACGAACCATAAAAAGTCAGGACGATGAGCGCATCCACGAACCTCGGCCTTCTCCATCGTACCACGATAACGTGGTCTCGGAACCAATCACACGGTTGTTCTTCTTCAGCATATTGAGCGCCCTTCAGTCGAGAAGAGACGACGGAGTGCGGGGTGAGAACATTTCGCCATATTATTGGTGCTTAGTTGACGGACCCTAAGACTCAAATGGCGACCACTTGATGATGGTCCTCAGCGCACCAGATATTGCCTGGTATTGGTTGCCTTCGACGTCAGATTTGGCTTATTCAGCGCACAGGTTCCAGCTCGTCGATTGAGACAGGCCAGCCTGCCGTAGTTGTTACGCACTCATTCTGGCCTTCAAGCCATGCCATAACGTTGTCCTACCACCTTTCATAACGGGACGCCCTGCCAGACATGTAGTCTTATGCAGTGGTGACACACGACTAGAAAACTGTCCTGCTTGCGATGAGGATGCATCATTTTGTGACGTTGTCGAGCATCTAGCAGAAATACCATGTTATCGATAAGCTGGCCAAGCATCGAATACTATCTCGAAACGAACTGATAAGATCGGCATGGTCGCTGCTTCAGTCTGACAAGAGCACGACTCTCTGGACATGTCTTCAATTCGATCTGCTCAACCATTTCCTGACAGCTCTTCCCCGCCACCAGCGTACACTCCGACAGTCAAGGAGGTCGACATCCTTCTGCTTGGCTCTCCAGGCACGGGCAAGTCTACATTTCTAGCTCGTCTGCCTCAGGTGCGCAATGGTGCAGTCACATCAGCGACAGCCCTCGAGCGTATCGATCTAGAGAAGCGTCCGTTCACCTTCTCCGTCTCCCTCTTCCGCCGCCCCTATACCTTCCACATCTGGCCGTCCACAGGCACCCTCTTTACCGATTCCTTCCCTGCTCACCCACGCTTCGTGATTATTGCCTACGATGTATCTAGTCGTGCCTCCTTACACAATGCACAATATTACTGGCGAAAGCAGTTCATGTACCACTTTGACGCGCTCGAGCATGCAACTCCAGTAATGCTCCTGGGCTTAAAGAGAGATTTAAGAACTGATGAGATTGACGAGCAGGGGCAATATGCTTGTGTCATGCCAGAAGAAGGTTTCAAGACTGCTATAGAAATGAGATGTGACAAGTATGCTGAATGTTCGGCACTCACAGGTGAGCTCTTGTGGGAAGCAGTTGAGGATATCACGAAGACAGCAGCAAGAACTACAACTGACAAAGGTGGACTAAGTGAAGGTCCTGGTTGTGCTGTGATGTGAAAAAGATATTGCTGAAAGATGACAAAGCCCTTATCTAATCGTGGGACCTTCAAACACGTTCCAGGTCCTTCTTGACCATAATGTCTGGTGGTTTGTAGTCGTTCTGGCTATGCCACTTCCTCAGCAGCTCCGTTGCCTGTACCTATTCCTCCAGTGGCACCTTTCTCAGATCTCGGCCCAAACACATGGTCGTCCTCGAATCTGGTTTTACTCGTGTAACAACGTTGAGTGGATTGTTACAATTGGACTGGTCGATGAAAGTGAAGGTCCTTGTATGTTTCAGCGAATTATGAAGAAGTGTTGCTGCAAGGTGTGCTTCTAGAGAGTTACATTCAGGTCAGGGACTACTGCTGCAGAATACCCCGAGCTTTTGCCGTGAGTCTCCTTGGTCGCGTCCGCCTCATCAATCGTGCACACGTCATTTGGAAACACAGCATTTTCAGGGTGCTCCAAGGATAATGTCAGAGACCATGAATCTTGTCGCACCTGCGACGAGTATGTGCTCGAGGAAGATTCGCGGACAGGAAGAGCTACTGAGTTGGCTAAACTTCTACGATTTCCTAGTGTAATTGATAATTGACTGTATGTCAACTTGTTTCAACGTGCGATAACTTCCACTAACTTGTCCCAACTTATCTCAACTCGTAAAAACCTTATCTACCTTGCGGTAACACAAGTGCCCAAGACAAGCTGTAGGAAGAAGAAGACTTCACGTCACGTGGCAAGCCTTATTTATATGTCTTTTCTAGTCTTCCGTGCATGCTTAGCATCACGCTTTACTCTTCAAGATATGGAGCTTCTCCGAGACTACAGACTCTATCCCCAGCTCTGGCATCCAAGTAGTCATAAGTAGCGGTGTGCCAGACTGATCTATTGTCCCAAACTGCAACATCGTTCTTGTTCCACTTGAACCTTACCTGTGCATCGTGGCTATGCACTACCAGGTCGAACAAATATTTCAGAAGCATATCGGATTCGTCCCTAGTGACACCATTGATGCGTCTTGTGAAACCCTTGTTCACGAACACAGACTTCCAACCAGTTACTGGGTTGGTTCTGATAATGGGATGAACACTAGTCAACCCTGTCCCAATGTTCAAGGGATGACCTCTCGGTGTTTGGCGCAGCGGGTTCCCAAGTCGCCTTGCCTCATCATGGAAGAAAGTGGCATCATGTGTGGCTGTTAGAGTTTCGAGGTATGCAGCCATCGATGGGGATAGTTTTTTGTATACCTCATATCCTGACGCCCAGAGCGTATCGCCTCCTGTTGGTGGCAGAGTGTGTATTTTGAGCATAGCATAGTCTGATGGTACCGGCTCGAAGGTAATATCAGCATGCCAGCCGACACTAGCTAGTCGAGACGTGTCTGAAAGCTGGTGAGTGAGACCGCCACCCTTCTTCTGCTTCTCGCTCGATATTTGACTGATTTGGTCGCCAAGCTCAGATCCTTCCTCAGTAAGGGGATGAACATGAAGTTTCGAAGATGAAGGTGCTCCAGCTAGAACGCTCATTCGTTCCACAAAAATCTTCATCTCTTCGGGGGTGATATCCTGGTTGCGCAAGAATACAACGCCACGACTAGAAATCGTACGTGCAATATCTTGTATCAATGTGTCACATTCCTTGTGTGCTAGAACAGCTCGTAGCTGTAGGCTAGCATATTCTCTGCCTATGGCAGGGGTGACCTCCATATGCTCGAAGCCATCTAAACTTCCACGGTACTCTAGTGGTCCCATGCGAGTTGTCCGTGCATCTGAATGGCCGCCAAAGACCAGCTTCTTGTTCTGGTTGCCATCATACTCGTTGCCGTCTAGTCTAGAGTTTTCATTCGTAGTCTTGTCCAAGATGATGGAGGGCATGATGTGATTGCTGTCAGTACACTGTTCTGTACACGGTCAAGGTAAGGATGATCAGCATAAAACCAGGTCAGAATATCGAACATTCGATGCACTTTGTAAGCAGATAAAGCTCTCAGCTTACCACTACGAACTCATCGGAGTATTTCTCGGGCTATGAAACGCAATGAGGTTTCGTTACCCTCTGGAACAAGGGCTCGACCTGTATGTTGCTACATGCCTGACCGAGATATGAATATGGCGTACTGCAGGAAATTGTCAAAATTCCAACCATGATCATAGACATCAGGTAGGAGAGCTTTTGACCGTTGCTTGAATGTAAACGAGGAAACCATTTTCGAGATGAGACCAAATCATGGTTGTTTTCGAATCGGGCACTTGTTGGTGCAGGCATTGCCGACCACGCGTATGACGTGCTCAAAACTTGAAGTCCACAAAGAAGGAGCTATTGCCGCGACTTCCCCAAAGTCACAACAACCATGGGCACGATGCTGAGGACTTGTTGTGTAAATTCGTGATGCTGCAGGATTGTGTTTGTACATCGCGGATTTGTGGACCATTCGTGTACGTTTGTATCTATGCGCGGATAGAGCAATGGCATATTTGGCTTTGATGGACCTTATTACTAAAACGTACCATGGCTGGACGTAAACTAGCAAGAAGAGCGTGCGATGCTTGCAAGATTCGCAAGGTCAAATGCTCCGAGACGTCACCGTGTGATGGGTGCAGAAATGCGAACATCCCTTGTACTTGGTTAAGGCAAAGTCAACCTCGTGGCCCTCGTCGACTGAGGGATGCCACACTTCAAGAGATTCGGAAGGCACAGGACATATTGCAAACTCAAAGTCTCACAGGACGTAGAGGCAACTCGAAGAGCAACAATGTCCATGACCCTGACCCTCCTCCGGAACCTTCCACAGAGGTGGCACAACTAGTCCTCTATTTGTGTGTCTATCGAGTGCAGCTTTACCCTGTTTGGCCCGTTGTGAAGGTAGAAAGGTTGATTGCTTCCCTACAGAGTGAATCTCCGGACATCGAGGTTTTTGCGCTCGCTTATGCACTGGCTGCTGCTACAGCGACTAGGACGCAAAGTACGGATTTGAGTATCTCGAAGAGGAACCATGCTCAAATACTGGAGCAGAAGTGTCAGAATGCTAGGTCAAACGTACCACCGGGGCGTCCACCTAATCTGACCACAGTGCGCATTGCATTCTTCCTTCATATTTACTACGAGTCAATCGAACCAAACAGTATGAGGAGTATGCTGTATTTACGAGAGGCTGTAACCATTGCCACGATGATTGGGCTTCACAAAGAGTCTTACTATTCTGAAGTGCCATCTCAAGAGCGAGAGATACGGCGGCGAGTTTTGTGGTTGCTTTTCATTACAGAAAGGGTAATAGCCGTGCTCTACGAACAGCCTATCACTTTAAGAACAAGAATTGACTTGCCTTCAACGATAGACACTGACGAAGCAGATGTTCTTGCTGGCTTTCGACGACTAGCCCTACTGTTCAGGACGCTAGACGAAGCTGGTATGTTCTCTCTTCTTGATGAGTTGGACGTCCAAGCTTCTCCGTCTTCCAACGGCTTTGGAACGCCAATCCCTTCCACTGACTTTTCCTCCCTGATCGAGCAACATATCGTGTATAGAGGCTATGTTCCTCCTGTGCAAGCACTTGACTTTGCTACAACGAGGTGCTGGATGCATATCCTGAACTTGCGACTGCACCAGTTATCGGCTGTGAGCACGACAACCCACATTGGAGATTACCTTAGCACAGTCTTAGATACAGGCATGGAAATGGTCAACGTCATCGAGACGAGTCCAATTGCTGTGGTCGAGGCTCACGGGAATGCCTTGGTAAGTGTCTCTAGCTCTATGCACACTCACTGACAAACCGCAGAAGCTAAAATTGTCAACCATTACTGCTGTGATTGAGGACTCGACGTTCATATTTCAGAGAGAGCTCCAGAATGAGGATGGCCTGTGCCAGCGTTGCGCGCATCTTGCGATGAGGCTCAAGCAAGCTCTTGCTGCGAGACTAGTCGAGATTGCGCCGTATCATACTAAGTCGCCGATTTCCATGACGAGGTCCTCCCCAGGAGTATCAAGCATCTCTCCTCTTCGAGACAAGCCTTCCATAATCCTGGATGATTTTGCCATTCAATCGCCCACAAGTACGGCGTTGAGCCCCTGGCTGACACAGGATTTTGCACTCACGAATAACTATGAAGGTCTTTTCGATGCTGTCGACCAGGCTGGTGCTGGTGTACCATCTTCTGACTCCGTGGACGACTTATTCAGCTCGGCTCATCTCGAGCATCACAGTACTTTCGACAATCCTTGGCCAAATTTTGGGAGGCCTCAACTCGTAGCGACGGGTATTTGTTCAGGAATTAACCAAGGTCTTTCATCTTATGTCTGAGATCTGCACATCTGCTCACCGAAAGAGACGTAGAGACGCGCCTCGCTAGATTCCAGGTATACAGACAGCATCACGACACTGTTGACTGTTCACAGTCAATGGCCATGTTGCGTGTCGCGTCTTGCTGCAGGTATACAACCAGCACTGAAACCGGGATTTTGCGATATCTCGGAGGCTCAATCGGAGATACTCTACTGCATATCGGTCCGGTTCGTCGGCATGACCTTCCAGTCATGGTCGCGCCCCGCAAGTGAATGCAGCCAACATAGTTTACAACAGCTTTTCAGATGCCGAGCTTCGTGCATACTCCGAGTTTGTCTCCATTAGGGAGATTTAGTGGACCAATGAGCCGTGAGGCACGGGCGATCACGACATTAAGCTGCACGGTGGATTGCCATGCGGCTAGGATGTGACAGTATATGAAAGCGGTTCAAGATTTCTATAAGAATCGGTACCAATCCGCCAGCTACCAAGTATATAAGCTTGGTGTCGCGCACGATCATTGGAGAGAAGTTGTTCAAAGGCTGTGTAGCACTCGATTTCTCGCCAGTGGTAATGAGTAATAGAGCCAGTGATGCTGAGAAGGGCGTCCTCCAGAGTACAGCTAAAATTAGTCTCGAGGCAGCTTCCAGTACAGCATCAGATACCCTACCGGCACCAGGCTCACTCCGCGATGTTGTTCGACCACACAAGTCCTACGAAGGTTATGGTCACTGGAATCCCACTTTCGAATGGTCTGCACAGGAAGAAAGCAGGGTCGTTTGGAAGATCGACCTCTACCTCCTCACGGCATTGTGCTTCATGTTCTTCGGTCTACAACTTGATCGAGGAAACCTGTCCAATGCATTGACGGACAACTTACTCAAAGATCTTGGAAATCTCTCAACTAACGACTATGTAAGGTTTGAACCAAGTCCGGATGAACACTAGCTAACACCTCTCTAAGAACAACGGAACCACTATACAGCTCGTGTGCTTTCTGGCGGCAGAGTTCCCCGTGCAATTGCTTACTAAGAGATTTGGATTCCGTCGAGTACTACCCATCCTCATGATGATGTGGAGCACAGTCTCCTGGACTCAAGCATGGATGCATGATCGCACAACTTTCTACATTACAAGAGCGCTGATCGGTGCGTGTGAAGGAGGTGAGTTTGACGCTGCTAGATCACAAGACAGGTCTAATTGTTGCAAGGCTTTATTCCGGGCACGATCTTGTTCGCTACCTACTTTTACAAATCGCGAGAATTGGGGACTCGTCTCGCGGTCTTCTGGAGTACCCTGAACATTGCTCGCGTGGTATCCGCGCTACTCGCTGCTGGTATCTTGGAGATGCGCGGTGTCGGTGGCAAATCCGGATGGTTCTGGCTATTCCTGCTTGAGGGTCTGCTCACTTTCGCGATCGGAGCCTTTTGCTTCTTCTATCTGCCACAGTCACCAGTACACACCAAGAGTGTAATTTGTCCAAAGCCGTGGTTCACGGAGCATGAGGAGAAGATTATGATCAATCGACTACTTCGAGACGACCCAGCCAAAGGTCTCACAGCTATTAAAGAGCCGGCTCGCCTTAGCGACATCTGGGATGCATGGACCGACAAATCGATGTGGGGAATGTATCTCCTTGGGCTTATTGCGTACATTCCTGCAACGCCTGTTCAGGCATACCTCGGTTACAACTTGAGAGTCGTTGGGGGCTTCACAACCTTTCAATCCAACATGCTCACCACAGTGTCGGCCATTTGTCAAGTCGTTACCATGCTAGCTCTTGCGAAGTCGTCTCAGTGGTTCAACGAGAAGACTTGGCATTGCTTCTTTGGCGAATTTTGGATCCTTCCATGTCTAATCGCGCTTCAGACCCTGCCGGACAAGAACATGCCATGGGAGCGCTTCACTCTTGCCACTTTGACAGCTGGCTATCCATACTTCCACCCAATACTATCTGCATGGATCTCTGAGAACAGTTTTAACGTCAAGAAGCGGGCACTTACTGCAGCAACGTACAACGTCATCGTACAAGTAGGCAGTCTCATCGGCTCTCAGATCTACCGCGCAGATGATGCGCCATACTACCACAGAGGAAACAAAGTCCTTATCTCATTCTGCGCAGCAGCTCTTGCAGGAATCGTTGGACAGAGTCTGTGGTTGCGGTTGTTGAACAGGAGGAAGGAGCGAGTTTGGTCGAGCATGAGCGAAGCTGATAAGGCGCAATACCAGGCCGATAATAAGGCGCGAGAACAAGATGGGAATAAGAGACTCGACTTCAGGTTCGCGTATTGAAACAAGAATCAAAATATTTCATATTCTTACCTTGAGAACAATTCAGTAGATGTGGACGTAAAATATGTATTGCTGTGGTTGATGAGCTTGGAATGAGCTAAATGTCTGAGTGCCGAAAGTGAATCGGAAGCGAACAAGCTCCGAACCTCTTCGTCTCAACCTCCACCAATAGTCTCTGACTGCGAGACTTATGCTGAGCACGAGGGTGAAAGGTCGTTCCGAGGATCTTGGGCTTCTGTCTAGATCGCGGTTGATTAAGTGGAATACGCAGCGTGCTTAGCAATGGTGTGTAGTGAGGTATATCGAGTCAGTAAGTGGAGATTGTAAGGGAAATTAAAGCCAGGTGGAATCCCCCCAGACGAGGCACTTATATTTTCATGTTACTGTCTGCCAACCTCAGCCTCAATGTCAATGTTGAAGTGGTATCGTGAGTAATGGTTGGTGGGGCCTTGAGCCGGTTCCTTGCTGATGTGGAACTCAGCGAACACAGTGCGTAGGCTTGTCCAAAGCATTCACTATACACTTTGCGTGGTTGACAATCTCGAGACATAGATGCTTTCCAGGATTGTCTTCGTCACCAACAAGGTGTCCGGCCTGTAATTCAGGAGTTACACGGTCCGGGAACTCCGATGTAGCCTGGTTGCATGTGGTCAGCTCGGCTCTCCAATGTGTTGAGAATCTATAAGAGTGTAACGCTGGTATTGAGAAGGCGCGACGGAAGCACTTACCTCATCAAGTCTATGCCACTGTCTCTGGCGTCTCTCAAGCGCGTTGCAGAGTCCATTAAGTGTAAGAGGCGGATAGGTATCTGGAGCTGAGGCAGGCACTCCTGGAGGAGTGGGAATAGCAGCATCACCGAAAGCGTATGCTCGGATCATATTATGCACAAACAATCTCCACTCCTGACCTTCTTTCGTGGTCACGAAGGACTTTTGTGATTCGACTGTGCCGAAAGACTTCCGTAACTCGTCAGGCACTAATTTGCGAAGCCTGTTCCACTGGTCTGCGAGGACATTGAGTAACGTACACGCCAACATCAGATTTGATGAACCTGTATCGAACTTCTGCGGACACACAGGGCAGTATATCACACCCTTGGCCGTCTTGTAGGCGCTCTCTACAGTGTTAATAGTTTGACGCGTGAATGGGAAACTGGAAAGCGTGGAAAGTGTTGATAGAGTGAGGTATAAATTTGGCAGACAAGGGCAAGCTGGTACGGACGGGAGGTTACTGAGAGCCTCTGGATTCACATCAGGGTCAATACTGGACAGTCCATCTGGTTCCACACCAGAAAATTTGTCTCCAACAGGCAGCGGCAACATTTCAAGCGTCGAAAAGTCAGGCCATTGAGCAACATCAGTAGGATATGCGGTGTTGAAAATATCGAACGTGTCGGGTGTAGGCGCACGGTTCTGGGAGGGAGGTGTACCTGTATCGAGAACCGGTGTGCCATTGCTCTGGTTTGATGTTGTCCTCTGCGAACGGATGGCCTGTGCTACTGGCGCAGTGCATATGTTCTCAAATTGTGACCGCTCGTTGTGCATAACGGCCAGAGCTGGGTCGATAATTTCTGCCTGGCATGGCTGTTCGAGACCTATCTTTGCAACCGCAGGCTGTATTGGGCGAGGAGATGTGGCTACACCTCTCTTCTGTGAAGGAGTGGGCGGCTCATCGTCTGTCTTCTGCCGCTTCCTAGGCCGTCCCATCTGTTTCTGTTCGGAGTAGTGACATGTCAGCTTTTGCTTCAGGCATCTAGCACATCCTGCCGGCTCCCCGGAACACTTCAGTTTGCGTTTTCCTGAGTAGAGTCAGACATGATCAAAGGTGTCGTCGAGTATTCAATCGTACGGCATTCGTCGCAGGCAGCGTGTCTCTTAATATCGACTTGAGCATCAAATGCTGCACTATATGCAGGCTTGGACGTATCAGCCATATTGCCAACAGTATCGTTGCTGGAAAAGGTCATAGCAAGTGGAAAGTGCCCATAACGGTCTATCTGGTTGCGCGCAGCTTCAACTGACATGATCTTAAAACCTTTCGGAGTTGGGCTTGGTGTTTAGAATTCAAAGGGTCGATTCGACCGCTCTGCATACATACATACACGTCTTCTGCTTAGGCAGATGGGCAGATGGGCAGATGAGCAGATTAGCTGAATATATGCAAGCAGACTATCCCCAACTCAGTACCGAACGAGTGACAACCATTCACTTTTGGGGGCCAGTCCGGAGGGACGTCCGCATCAAGAGTACCTTAGAAGCCGCTAACCAGGAGCCTGGGGAAATGTCGGCATAACTCTTATCGACGATAAAGGGCTTGGCAGAAATTTTTGGCAGCTGCGGTTGTAGGTAAGCGCGATTTGCACTCAGCTATGATCCTGCGAAGCTGTAGACACCATGGAGAGATCAAGTTCGAGGAAGCGGAAAGCGGTGACCAAAGATGTGGAACAGGACGCTGCGGTAGCTTCAGGTGACGAGTTTGAGTTTGGACAGCTAGACGGCTCTCTTCGTGATGGAGACAGCGACCTCGACATTGGCGACAGTGATATGGAATCGGTCGCAGGTTCTTCGGATATCACAGGCTCAGGGAGTCAGGATGATGGCGTGACAAGTTCCATAGAAGAGGAAGGTGAAAATGGTGGACTGGAGCGGAAAAGGATCGATATTGCCATCGACGACAGCCCGTTCGCAGCCGATACACTCAAGGATGAAGATGAGCACACGGACTTCAAGGTGGTGAAGGATGCGAACGGCAACGACAGGTTTATCTATCCTGAAATCGATCCAGGGGATGATTCAGATTACTCTGTGCCTGACGACGAAGCTAACACTATCGGCGATATTCCTCTCTCCTTCTACGAGTCTTTCCCTCACATTGGCTACAACATCAATGGCAAGAAGATTATGCGTCCCGCGACCGGTCAAGCACTTGATGCACTTCTCGACAGTATAGACATCCCGAAGGGTTATACGGGCTTAACTGATCCCAATACTGGCAAGCCGCTGCAATTGAGCAAAGATGAGCTCGAACTCCTGCGAAAGATCCAAACCAACGAAGCAACCGAGGCAGGCTATAATCCATACGAACCGACCGTTGAATGGTTCACGAGCCAAGTCGAGATCATGCCTCTCAATGCTGCTCCTGAGCCCAAGCGACGATTTGTTCCATCGAAACATGAGCAAAAGAGGGTCATGAAAATAGTCAAGGCAATCCGAGAAGGTCGCATTCAGCCGTATAGAGCACCCGAGGACGAGGAAGTCGAAGAGGACGACATGCCTAATTACGACATCTGGGCAAATGAGATACCTCGCGTCGATCATGCTATGCACATGCCAGCCCCGAAACTGCCTCCACCTGGCTTCGACGAGAGCTACCATCCTCCGCCTGAGTATCTGCCTGACGAGAAGGAGAAGAAAGATTGGGAACAAGCAGATGAAGAAGATCGAGAAAAGGACTTTTTACCGACCGACCACACCGCGTTACGAAGAGTACCTGGCTATGGTCGTTTCCTCAAGGAAAAGTTCGAACGATGCCTGGATCTCTATCTCGCGCCCCGTGTGCGGCGTACCAAGTTGAATATCGACCCTGAATCTCTATTGCCGAAGTTACCCAATCCAGACGATCTGAGACCATTCCCTAGCCACCATTCGACCATATTCAGGGGCCATGACGGTCGTGTCAGATCCGTGTCTGTTGACCCATCTGGGAGCTATGTCGCTACTGGCGGTGATGATGGTACAGCTCGTGTATGGTCTATCGTGGATGCACGCCAAGTGTGGTCTGTGAAGTTTGGCAAAGATGATCCTGTGAACGTCGTGAGATGGAGATCTGGCAAGGACCACCTCATCCTTGCCATTGCAGCTGGCGATAACGTGTATCTCGCCGCTCCTCAGATTCCAGAAGGCCTTACATCGGAAATCGGCACCGCTAGTCAAGCTATTCTGGATGCAGGATGGGGTCATGCTGTCAATGGCTCATCGACAAAATCTTCGGTCGCCTGGACGCGACCTACCACTACCCATCAAGCAAAAGGAGTATCTGTTTGCATATCGCTTAACCATACCGCTAAATCGATTTCTTGGCATCCTGCAGGCAATCACTTAGTCGTTGTATGCCCTTCTACCACTGTTCCAGCCTCTCATGCAGTCAGCATTCACACTCTGTCCAAACACCAAACTCAGCTTCCGTTTCGCAAGCGCGTAAAAGGTGGTGGTACACCGCAGACGGCACATTTCCATCCCACAAAACCAGTATTGTTTGTGGCTAACCAGCGTGTCATTCGTTCATATGATCTTGCAAGACAGTCACTGCTGAAGATTGTACAGCCAGGTGCTAGGTGGATTTCCAGCTTTGCTCTGCACCCAACTTCGTCAACTATCTCCGGCTCGGACAATCTTATTGTTGGATCCTACGATCGTCGTCTCCTGTGGATGGACCTTGACCTCAGTCCTCACCCCTACAAGCAGTTACGGTACCACGACAAGGCTATTCGCGCCGTAGGGTTCCATCCCAACATCAATCGATACCCACTGTTTGCTGATGCGAGTGACGATGGCAGTATCCAGGTCTTCCATGGCCTAGTCACAAGCGATATGATGAGTAATGCTACTATAGTCCCATTGAAAGTCCTAAAGGGGCACAAGGTTGGCAGCAGTGGTCTAGGCGTCATGGATTTGTGCTGGCATCCGACAGAGCCATGGTTGTTCAGTGCAGGGGCTGATGGGACGGCAAGGTTATGGACGAGTTGAAAACGTAAGATGTAGCGAGAACGATTCAAGCTTGTTCAATCATGACGATAACAACTGTCTGTTTTGTCTGGTTTGTGCTCTAGTTTTCAGTACCTCTTCGTAGTACCTTCGCTAGGAGATAGTCGGACTGATATGAAGAGCAAAATTCTGTATGAACTCAAAAGCAGGTACGCCACGGAGTATTGTAGGAGGCATAACCCGTGTCACAGAAAATTCTAAGTATTGTCACCTACAGGGTCTGACAAAAGTGGAAAATGTGCGATGAGAAACATTGAGCAGACTCAGCGAGTCGAGCGCCTTACAAAGATGGGGTTGTCCCCTTATTTCAAGACAACGCATTCGTTCCCTATGGCAACATCGTCCGGGACTTTGATCGTTCAGAGCGAAAAAGCCTCGAAAGCACGACGACCGGCAGTGGCCTAACATACCACATCAACAAGAACTAAAATTCCACCAAAGATATCGTTCACCGGTCCATCCCTGCATCCTGTCAGTTCGTGGGGTTCTGCAATCCGTCATTTTCATCTGCTGGAAGCGCTTTCGAGCTCATCACCGAGGCCACCCCGGATACCTAGCAGGGTATGCTATTCCATCAGCTCCGTAGAAAGTGTGTGGACAGTGTTGATTGTAGTGCATAGGATCAAGCCTCGGATAGACTATGGCAATAGGTTGGCTTGGTCCTTGGGCTTGGGCAGCGGCAGCATTGCGAGCTGCTGCTGCTTGAGCTGCTGCATAAGCGGCCTGGGCTTGGGCTTGAGCTTGCGCGGCGGCTGCGGCAGCTGCAGCGGCAGCTTGGTAATCTTGGTAATTGCTCATGGTTTCTGATTCGCAAGTGTGAGAGCTGTGGGTGATGGGAAGGAGAGGCAACCGCTCTTACTGGGGTATAAATATTCCTGATGGCTGTTTGAGCTCTGTTGGAAGCAGTCGGCGTCCTAACGACGGCGTAAGAGATCATTGGTGATGTCAATGATGTCGGGATGGCGCCGTTGAACATTTTGAGCATCTCCTAGCACGTAAGGTATTTGCTGTTGCCATAGGATTCCACACGAGCTGGTCTGGAATAGCTGCTACCTGGCAAGCTTCCTCAATTCCTGTCTCCTTCATCTTCTACTTTCGTGTCCTCGTTCCTGCCTTTGTGAGCTTGTCATGAGTTGCACAACCATTGCTATCCGTTCGACAAACTCTCTGGCACAGTGGTTAGTGAGCACGGCTTTGGCAGCAAGCACGAGACTGTATCAAAGACATAGCGTCACCGTTACTGCTACTCAGTATATTGCTGCTGGCGCCTTCTTTGATGTTGTGTTCGCGAGAATGGTCAAGGGTTCACGAGACGATGGCTGCTAGTGCAGCATTAACCAGAACCATCGTGATAATCAGAACACAATATAAATTGTCGTGCAGGGAATATGAGGATGAAGGGCATAAAGACCATCTCACTCGTGGACTGTACATACACAATGTCCCTACCTGCACACATATGCATACGTTCCTGTGCTTCTCGTGTGCGTCCACAGTCTCCTTTTCAATCCATGGTGTCCCGGCGGATAGTTGGCTGGTCTGTCCACGATTCAAATCGAAGAGCTACACCAAAATGATTAGCAAGACAATACCTTGCAGGCGGTTAAGGGACAAGTGTTAGAAGAGATAGGTTTGAGCTCGTAGTGGCGATCAGACGTAGAGATAGCCAGCACGAATTCACTTCTAGTCTTGGGTGGTGATAGTCCTGATTGATAGGGAACTTGAGATTGTCCTTAGGGTGGAATTGCGAAGGGAGCTTCGGCGCTTGGATCGCATCCACACCGAATGCAAGCCTTTGGGTATCCTTGCGAAAATTCAACTGTAAGCTACTAGGAGCGGGTTGTCGAGAGATGCATGATATCAAGAGCCATTTGATGAGTGGTACGAGTAATATTCTCGGAGACCTCTGGTCATATGGCAGCCACATGGACGAACTTGCTGAAACAGCAATTCAACTGACAGCTTTGCGCAACCAATGATAGGTAGGAGCTTTTACCAATTCGTGCAAGATCCGAGGTGGTGGAGCTTTCTAATTCCAGATTCAACGGCCAACCTATCCTTGGACTCTCCAAGCGAACGTCTATTGCAAGCCACTCCTCAAATGGGTCGCGTCGCCCTGGTCGATGATATCTGCTGTCACTGCAGACGTCGCAATCCTGGGGAGGCACGTTGTACAGTACTTTGGTGACCAGGACGTGGCTAGCCCGCGCATTCGTAAACACATCAACTGCTGGCCAGTGATACCACATTCTCTTGTTACATACAACCATTCTGGCCCCAAATCTTTCTCGCGTGACCTGAACGCGCGATTCTGTACATCGACCTTTTTCTCGACAGCTCAGCCTGACTAACCACTTTTTCACGATCGACCCAAGATGTGGCAGAAATGGAACAGACAACCGCAGATATCAGCACCATCTCAGTTTGTGGAACTGGATAGAGATGATCCCTACGAAGACAGATATCTGGAGACAATCCATGAGGTCGACTCGATCAGCAGTCGCAGACAAAGCACTCATCTTCCTGGGCTGCCTGAGCTGCCATTGTAAGTTTCAGGACATTTGTGCCTGACTTCCTCTAACAACTAATAGCAGAGCGGTACCTCCCATGGCTGAGATCGCACAACCAATGAACATATATTCTCAGCAACCGTCCGCAATACCCGCGGCGACCCCAAAAGACCTTGGCCTGAAGCTCAACGTACATATGCAGCAACAAGCCTACGACTACGACATTTCACCTATCACTCCTCGAGAACCTCAAGACCGTGTTGCTGACGACAAACCTATATCCCCTATAGAAAATGCTGTGCCCATCCAAGCACGAGCTCCGCTACCGGAACGTCATTTGCAGAGTCAGATCCCCAGAAAGGTATCCCAGTCGGCAGAGGAAAGAGCACAGACCAAGTGGGACGAGTACTCTGGGGAACCTACGAATGACGAGCATGGCAAGCCAGCATCTGTGCGTCCCGGCGCTCAGCCTGTAGAGGTACAGTACCCACATCTCAAGGAACGCACGAAGCAGATACTGGCTGGCATTAGGGAACGAGAAGCTGCGAAGAAGGCGCCCTGGGGAAAGATACCTCCACCAGTCGCTGCTGCTCCACCGCATAATCCACCGCAACGGGAACCTTGGAGAGGTGCTAGTGGCAGGACCGCCATCGTTGATCCAGTTAGAGATACGCCGGCTGCCAGGAAACAAACTCTGCAGGCACAACGACCCCTGCCTAATGAAGGAGGTCAATCTCCTTTCTATGCTGCTGTGACAGCATCGCATGGGACAGAGTCGTCGGCAGCCGTACCTCACCTACGGACTGCACCATCACAAGAAAGCATCAAGCCTGTGGTTCCCCTCAAAACGAGGAATTTGACGCCCGATCTGACTCGTCTTTCACCAGTACAAAACCCGTCCAAACAAAGAAGTCCCAGTCCCACACCGAGTCCAGAGCCTGTTCTTAATGCAGACTGCTTTCCTCCGGATTCGTCTCATCCACGAGTGGAAAGTCCGCAGGACGAGCTAGAGCCCACAACGCCGACTACACCAGTGCCAGCACACGATACTCATACTGACAGATTTGTATCTGCTCCTCCCTCATTCGTATCCGCCAGTCTAGGAAGAGAACAAAGCCATTTTAGTTGGACCACATACACCGATAGCGTCGAAGATTCCCCTCGGTCTCTGGCTCAGATTGTGCGCGAGTCCTCTCCACCTCTCTCAATACCTGAGCTGCCACCTGCCATCACAATCAAGAAGCGACCGATTTCCAGCAGTCCTTTTGTGCAATCTCATCTGTACATGCGACAATACTATGCGGACCCGACCGGCAGTGTCGTTCGAAAGCCTTTGCCAGTTATTGGAGCGCCTCCATCGCCAGCTATGTCTGCCACGTCCCGAGCATTTTCAACTTCCAAATCCCTACCACCAACGCCGACTGTGACAGAAGCCACTGATAAGATAGAGAGCTTTGAGGCACAGCTACAAGGCCTGGAGCGGCGGAAGCGAAACACGATGAGGATCATAGCTGACCTTGAAGCATCGCTCAAGAAAAACGCCGTCGTGTATGATATGTCAAAGAGGAGAGAGGTCGAAAAGAACATCGCCAATCACAAAATGTCGTTGGACGATATCACAGCTGAGGTTCATGAGCTCAGTCTTCGACTTCATCGAGCACAGAGGAAGAGAGATCGTGACGACAATTATGAAATAAATACAGGACTTTGGATCAAAAGAGTCACAAGCTAAACAGTGATTGAAGTTACACGACCAGCTCCAGACAATTAGGAATGGTCGCAACACATACGGGATGATCTTTTGGTTTCAGCATTGCATACAGTCGGGGTTTAGGGTTAGGTTCGGTACATTGGTCATAGCAAAGATACCCTTCATTGGTTTAAGCGATTTTCAGGCGTTCTCCTTAGTCGACACATGGATAGTTGACAAATGAAATCATCTCTGTACAACATTCCTTTGCAAAACTCCTATCCAACGCCTTAGCTTTTTTGTGTATTTGTCCAATCCATGAAGCGAGCCAAGGGACAATTTGTTGCATGAAGATTTATGCCAAATACTTATGCCTTGTGCCCTGTTGCTGACAGTGTAATCAATGTCGAACTACATTAGGGATGCATTTGAGCTCCGTAGTCGTAACTGCCATGTTGTTCATTGTCGCGTTCTTCACTTCTCAAGTCTCTCATTTCTTGCCGCTCTTCTTAATACCCTGTCCACCTGTGTTCAATGGACCTTTGCCCTTGGCCTTATCGGCCAATTCCTTTTTGGCTTTCGCATCTTTAAAGTACGGTCAGCATTGCACTCATCGATGCAGCGCACTGGAGTAGACTCACCAGCAGCCTGCTTGGCCTTGAACGCTATCTCGTCCTCGTCCATCTCCTTCTTATCTTTCTTAGGTGCCTTCAGAGGCTTAGCCTTGCCGCCTGCGGGAAAACAATCAGTATATGAGAGAATATCGGTATGTGTTGAGTCGAACCACATACCTTCCCGAGATGCGCCACCCATCTTCAGAAGTAGTAGTCCGGAAGTTCTGAAGAGTCAGGAAGGAATTCAGTAAAAAGATTTGTAGAATTGTCGCGAACAACGAAGTAATCTTTTTGCGACAAGAACGTCGTTGCCCATTGTCTAATCGATAGAGGCGCTGTGGTGGTGGGGCTGCCACGTTACTGCCTGAACCTGACTGCGGAAAGTCTGGCGGCATAATTCTTTCGCGGCAGTGACGACTTTGTGCCTTCTACTTGTCTGAACAACCACGCATTGTCGCTACCACGATCGATGTATCTCTACACCCTATTATTACCAAGAGGCTATTCAGGAATCATATCGGAGCAAGCAATGGTGAATACTGCCGGTCGGGCTTCTCAAATAAACAAGAAATTGTGATAGATCTTGAGGCTAACCATTCTTTCAACTAAAGGCTAGGACTCATACCAAGTTCGCTGCCTTCACCCCAGCATTATGCATTCGAGATCTGCAAGTCGGTCCGAGGGCGAATACCTAAGTTCCGACTCTGAGACGAAGGCAACTAAGCCACTATCTTACCGAAATGACTCTCGCATTAACCGTCATTCCAGAATACATTCATATACTCGATCACGACATTCACGATCTCGCTCAAGATCCCCGTATCGTGCCTCGAGAGGTGAAAAGCGCCGACGACACGACAGCCACGGTAAATCCAAACATGATCCAAGATCGTTCAAAGTGAAGTACGAGGACGATAAGAGTTCAAGTTACGAAAGCCAAGCAGGACACAGGTCCAAAAGATCGAGAACGTTCTCTCCAAGCCGCAGCAGAAGCCGTTCACCTTTTCGACGCGACAAGAAGGTGGAGAAGAACGGACCGAGCAGTCTGCAAGACCAGCAATCAGAGTTAGTGAGCACTCAAGAGCTGAAGAGTGATGGAGTGCCACATTCAGAGATGAATGCTAAGACTATAGAGCAGACTCCTTTGCAACAGCAATTAGGACTGAACGGGGACAGGTATAGTTCCATACTATATCGTATACACTTGCTAACGAAAAAACAGCACTAGCATCGATTCGACTTCACCTGTCCTAGACGCCGCAGCAGTGATTGAAGCTCGCAGAAAGCGGCGAGAGGCTATCAAGAATCAGTATCGCACCCAAGCTCCGCCACTTCTTGTTCAAGCCCTGGGTGCTACGTCTGAGGTTCCTAGCAACTCTTTGAGCACAACTCCAAATAGATCAGGTATGAGAAAACGTTGGTGTATGTTGTTCTCACTAACAATTCCAGTCTCACCCTCTCCTGCTCCGCTTTCAGTTCCTGGAACTCCCACGGCTATGGAGAGTTCTGCCACACATTCACCTCTCTCTAATCTCACAAAGGACGAAGCTGCAGGCTCGGACGATATGTTTGGCTCTCCTCGAGACGAGGATGAGCCTTCTGCTGCTGACTATGATCCGACTGCTGACATGCAGGACGAACGAGCAAGGCACGACAAGCGAATGTTCAAAGAGGATGAAAGATCCGAGGAGAAAGCTGGCCAACAAGTCCTCGAACAGACCAACGCTCTCATCGAAACTAAGAAACACGACGAATTTGATATGTTTGCTGAGGAGGACGATGACATGTTTGCCGAACAACCTACGCAGAAGTCAAAGGTGGCCACAGCAGCCAGGACACTCGACCAAGGCATGATGGATAATTGGGATGATGCGGATGGGTACTACCTGACCACCCTGCGGGAGAAGATCGATGACCGATACGAGGTGACGGCAAACCTCGGTCGCGGTATGTTCGCATCTGTCATTCGTGCTATAGACACGAAGGCCGATAAGCCCGTGGCTATCAAAATCATTCGCAACAACGAAAGCATGAAAAAGGCTGGTCATAAAGAGGTGGATATCCTTAAAGACCTTGCTGCGAACGATCCAGATGATCGCAAGCATGTTGTTCGGCTCCTTCGATCGTTCGAACACAAAGGTCATCTTTGCATGGTTTTCGAGAACATGGACATGAATCTGAGAGAAGTTCTTAAGAAGTTCGGTCGCGAGATTGGTCTGAACCTCAAGGCTATCCGAGCTTATTCACAACAACTATTTTTGGGTCTAAGTTTGCTCCGGAAGTGTCAGTACTTGCACGCTGATCTCAAGCCAGACAACATTCTCGCAGACGAAAGTAGGATGAAGATCAAGATTGCGGATCTGGGCTCCGCTTCTCCAATCACAGAAAATGCTACTGCACCATATCTTGTGTCTCGGTTCTACCGTGCACCGGAGGTCATCCTTGGCATTGACTATGACTATGGGATCGACATGTGGTCGGTTGGCTGCACTCTATTCGAACTTTATACTGGCAAGATTCTGTTCACAGGACGAAACAACAACAACATGCTCAAAACGATCATGGAATGTCGCGGTAAATTTCCGCATAAGCTGCTCCGAAAGGGTAGTTTGACATACGAATATTTCGATGATCTTTTGAACTTCAAATCGCAAGAACAAGACAAAGCTACAGGTCGGATTGTTACGAGGAATATCGATATCAAGGCCAAGCCAGTAAGAGATCTGAGATCGAGGCTGATTCCAAAAGATCGAAGGTTGAATGAGCAGGATAAGAAGGAATTGGAATCATTTGTCGATTTGCTCGATAAGTGCTTGGACTTGAGACCTGACAAGAGGATCACGCCTACTGAGGCTTTGAAGCATCCATTTATCACGAAGGCGAAATAGTGCGATCGTCCAAGGATCAGGTTACGAAGTCTTGTGCCCGAGAAGTGGCAGTAGCTGCAGAACCTAAGAATACAATAGCGGTGCAACTTTCGACGGTGAATCATGGTATATAGAGCTTTGAGTAGTCCATAACCGCTATTCCTACAAGACATCCCTGTGACTGGTTCCATGCTCATAGTACTCGCAATTCTGAGAGCTTGAAAGGAATTCAAAGCCACTGATATATATTCACCAGCCACTAAGATAACGTTATCAGTAGCTTGTAACGACGACTGCCTAGACCACTAGATTAGATGACCTGTCACCTTCCTCTTCTCGCTTAAACCATGACGAACTCGAGATATGATCGAGCAGCAAAACAGCTTATAAGTTTTGGATTCGGGGAGTCACGAGATAAAAAGGGATCGTGATAACTCTACTGGAATCACGACGGGCACGTCCGCAAATCGTACCGACTTTGCCCGTGGCGTTGTAGGAGGCTCATTGAGTCGTCTTCGCATTACGAAGTGCATAGAGAGAGACTACTCTCACAGGCATAATAGCCATGAAACATCGCCCTGAGTTTCAAGCTGAACTCTGGTATTTCGGGTGTTTGTAAATAATGCACGTACATGGTCGCTGGGTTCAATTTGGTTGCCATGCAGTGATCCACGACATCAACATACGTTCTCTCTTTCTCTGTCCATGTACGACCAGTCAGCGAGTCACCCATGCCGCATATTCTTACAATTATCTCCATACGACAATCAACTCTCTATCGAAGGAAGTAACAACCGCATTATCGAGATTTACCAATTTTTTTGACCCAGCAACGGCAAAAATCTAGTTCACGTGGGTCCTTCGGCTTGGCGCCGCGCCTGGGAGCCGTTCTCAGTCTGGAACAGGAGAGGTGGGAACTCTGATGTCTTATTTTTGGGGTTTTAGGGGTAAGGGAGATTTACGGTACAATACTGGTACTTAGTTCATTGATAAGCGAAGATTTGAGAAAGTACTCTATCGGGACTGCACGAGTAGTGTATTGATCTGCAAGAGATGATGTGCGTTGATCTGCAATATTTGTACTGTAAATCCGAATGTGGGTCTATTTATGGTAAGCAAGTTATGATGTGCATACATGTATGTATACACTTTAGGACGGTAAGCGAAAAGTCTGAAAGATGTAGGCGAAACTTTGAGAAATGATGTGCATACGTGGTGGTCGCGCGACATGGCTAGGTGGTCGAGAGCCAGGCCGGGTTGTTCCAGGATGTGCAAGCATCATGACACCTCGGGCCACGTGAGCTGGTTGACAGTCGTATACGTAGAGGAGATAAAATAAGCATGTGAGGTCGCTGTGATTTCGGTGTCGACTATATCATTGCTTCAAGAAGAGATGCGAGAAATGCAAGGCAAGTCTTCGTGTTCACATCAAAAATCTGTGTTCACATCTGTATCAACGTCTATACACGAATCTACTCAAAACAATCTCGCTGTCCACAGTACAGCTATCAAAATCTCTCCTGCTGGACTGGAGTTTTTCATGCAAATCAAACAACCACCAACTTGCACTGTGGGTATCATGTAAATCTTGTAAGGCCAAAGTATATCTGCTAGTACATAGCGACACAAATGTTCTCGAACCCCGACACCATCATGCTTCCCTAAGTGCACCGTCCACAACACGGACGACTGCGAAACCAGAAGGACGAGGACAAAAGGAATTCATCAGCAGTCCTGAGACGGCGAGGGCGAAGACCAAGACAGCGCAGCGGGCTGGTCAAGGTCACCAGCCTCCAGGATTGCAAAGGTTGATATCGTGACAGAACGCTGGACAAACTCAGAGGACATCAGGCTTGGTTCTGATGTTCTTGACATTTAGTTGCCAAGGATGGTCTTGAGGTTGGCACTGTTGCCCATACCACCACAGCCGCCACTAGCAGCACCCAAGTAGTCGTAGCCAAAGTAGGCGCCAGGTTGAGAGTTGGTTGCACAGTTCACAAGCGAGTAGCCAGTCATGCATGTCTCAACACCGCCATCGCACTTGAAGACACAAGTGTTCATGTCTGATGTGCATGTTGGAGTAACAATGGTCATGCTTCGACCTTTCATGTTGACTTCTCGTGAAACATCAGCAACACTGAAAGGCGCACTGAATGTAGCTTCACCCCAGGTATCGTAGATCTGGCCCATAACCAGTTTTGTGCCTTTGTGTACAGGAGCCCAAGCGCCGGACCAACCATCAGGGAAGGAGACAGTTTTGCTTCCACCCTTTGGAATCGAGACTGTGATTTGTGGCTTGACGTTGTTAACCCATGATCCTACTGGACCCCATACAGCGAGGACGATATCATCGTCAGACTCATTTGTGAATTCATTGGTCCATTTACCATCGTTTCCGAGCCATGGGACGGTTGCACTGGACGCAACAGCATTTGTACCAGAGCTTGTAAAGCCCAAAGTGGTGAGCAAGCTACTGTCGGTGGCACTAAGGAGAGCTGCATCTCGTCGCTCACTAGACACCAGTCAGTACTGTGTTGTGTGTTGATGTTTCATCGAGACACTCACCTCTGAGCCTTCATGAACTCTACGTGACGGACAGCGTTGTTGTGACGCTTGCCTTGCTGGTGAGCATGGCCGTGGGCGTGGGGAAGGATGGAAGCAGCGAGGGCCTGTCCAGCGGCGAGGGTGCTTAGCACAATAGCTGTAGTTGAGAAATGCATGGTGTATGTTTTTGGTGGTATATATTGTTCTGCCTGTCAAAGGAGTGTGATTTTGTAGGGATGCGAGTCACAGACCGCGTAAGGATTGAGGGATCGAAAAGCTGGAAAGATCGTGAAGAGAGTGAACACGACCTTCTTTGCTTATACAAATGAGTGTAGGAGGACGAAAGTCCGATCAGATAAAGAGCAAGCCGCAGACGATATAGTGACGAAGAATATTGAACCGAAAGGAGGAAAGAAAGCAAAGCCAAGTAGCAGGGGAACGAAATGAAGCAAGCACAACAAGTGGACCAAGGTGGTATAGCGCCAACGCAGTGGTCAGAGCCACGTCGGTGTTGATGAAACAACATGGTCGAGAGCAATCTCCAAGACCTGGACGAATGAGCGTGCAGTACCTTGCATAAGTCAATGCGCGGAAACGGAGGCTAATAGTAACCTAGAGAAACCTTCGTTCCTGTCAATCATGCAGATCTCGCTTTGTGGGTGATGAGGTGGCTGCTTCACCTAGATTAGCTTTTGAGAACCTGCCCATTGAAGAGTATTGGGAATTCCGACGCCCAAGGCAAGTGTTTCTGAATTCTCAATCGTTCGTCGCAGGTAATTGTACACCTTGATTCATACTGTAGAAGCGCTGCAGGACTGATTCGGAGAGCCAGGGGTGTGTCCCAAAGCTAAAACGGACCAGATGGAAAGTGTTCCGGAGCTGCTGCCATGCAGCAAAAAGTTTGCGCATCCCAAGAAAAGCTGTTCCAGCATTCAGCAAGCGACGAATCGTTTTTCGAGCGCAAACTGCGAACACTGCAGACACTTCGGCTTATCGGACCTATCATGCATTTCCGGATGTGCTAGAGGGCTGCAACACGAGACGAGCGCGCTGGTGAGCTGCTGCAGACTGACACTTACACTATCGATGATGCCGCGAGTTGTTCCTGCGTTCAATCTGTACCTCAGGAACTGCTGTGCAACCCGAAAAACTTTTTCTTTACTTCGGCAGGCTATTGCGACCGCCTAGGCTCGCTTGAAGCATCCATTTGCAAAGACTTTGACAGAAGTCAGCACAGGAATTGCTCGTGAACAATTGCAAAGCGGGGTAGTTCCTCAAAGGTTGTCGCAACAAGGTCCGTCTTGCATTCGCGACGCTGCACGTTGTCAAGAACTTTGCTGTGTGACCATGGCGGGCAGGTGCGATTTGCGCAATCGACAGTTCATGCCTTTGTGCACCCAACGGCAAGGCACATCAGACTATTTTGGTAATCGTAGACACACGCGCCTGCTCGTTTCAGCAGAATAGCAGTTCTGTCTCAGGCAAAATGGCAACTGTGCGCACGACTCGTTTGACAGCCACCTTGGCAATATCCGGTATGCGCTCGTGCTCTCATTCGGCAGATGTGCTGTGATTCTGTAACAGGGATGGTTTGAAAAAGCCTCCCGGCAAGCGGAGACAGGAACGCAGGAACAACGTTTGTACCTGCATTAGGAACAACAGTCGTTCCTGAATATTCGCCCTACCTTCACCTCTTAGAGCTGCATGCACTTGAGAACTAGAAGCGTCCGTTGGGAAGTCTGGAAGCTATTGTGCTTAACACACTGCAGAATGATGATATTTCTCGAGTAGCGTTCACTAAGTGCAACGGCGTACATATGAGTCCGGCACACCATTCGACTATGCAAAGACGGAGACATGGACAAAGTGCGCACTTCTATAGAGGAGGCTGGTGCTTGGCGAATTTTCACCGTACTTCGAGGACTTCGTGTGTGGTCCGGCTTTGGAAGCGAGGTGTTACTGCAAGCTAGCAAACTAGTACATGCACAATGATGGTCCTTCGGAGCCACATATCCACGGCAGCAGGAAAAGCCAGCAAAAGAGTATCTGAGTAACATCGAGGGTTTGTTCATTACACATAGCCTGTGGACTACTGTACTAGTAGTGGTCCGAAGTCCACCATACGTTTGCGCTCTGATGTGTGCAGAGGGTGAAGTGCAGTCTATCTGAAAAGCATGTCGCCAACCTGTGAAAGTCCGCGACCAATCATGCATACTGCAACGTGTTAGCAAGGATACACCAGGATACAATGTTCGCGGAATGTTGGGACTCACAAAGTTGACCGTGTCTTTCTTCTTCGCCTGGACCTCTGCAATAGCGTCCACGTAGTGCTCATGCGTGATTTTCGTCTGACCTTTCCTTAACGCTATCATGCCTGCCTCAACGCAGACAGCTTTGAGTTGAGCACCACCGAACTCATCCGTGCTTCGAGCCAATTCGCCCCAATTAATGTTCGCTTCGTCAACGGTCATTTTGCGGGAGTGAATTCTTAGAATCTGGGCACGAGATTCTTCGTTCGGTAACGGGAACTCGATCTTTCTGTCCAATCGACCTGATCGCAGTAGAGCTGGGTCCAGCACGTCTATTCGATTCGTGGCAGCCAGCACCTTGATCCGATCATCCGAGGCAAAGCCGTCCAGCTGGTTGAGAAGCTCCAACATGGTTCGCTGGACTTCTCTGTCACCACTCTTCTCCGAGTCGAAACGTTTTGTTCCGACGGCGTCAAGTTCGTCAATGAAGATGATCGCAGGTGCTTTTTCCTTGGCCAGCGCGAAAGCGTCTCGTACCAGTTTGGCACCGTCTCCAATGAACATTTGTACTAATTGGGGTCCGGCCAATTTGAGGAAAGTAGCATTAGTCTGAGCCGCGCATGCTCGGGCAAGCAGTGTCTTACCCGTTCCTGGCGGTCCATACATCAAAGCGCCTGCAATCGTGTTAGTGCTGTATAAGAAATATATGTTGAGAATTGACCTACCTTTGGGTGCTTTGATACCAATTTTCTTGAAACGTTCAGCCTCCTTCATTGGCCATACAACGGCCTCAACAAGTTCTTCAATCTGCTTGTCCAGGCCACCAACGTCGGTATACTTTTCCGTAGGCTTTTCGTCTACCTCCATAGCTTTTACCCTTGAGTCGTATTCGGCCGGCAATGTGTCAAGGACGAGGTATGAATCCTTATTGACACCAATAAGATCGGCAGGCTTCAGCTTTTCATGGTCAACAAGACCTATGAGTGGCAAGAAGATAGTCTGTCTTGTAGAGGTCTTAATAACTGCTGATTTACCCACTCGTGTTGCGTCGAGGTCGATATTGGCGCCTTCCTCTGCCGCCTCAGCTTCGACGTCCAGATCGAGAAGTTCGACAACGTTGCCCACAAGATAGGGTAGTTGTCTGCGGAGAGAGTTAGTCAATGTCAAGCCAACCTTACTGTCCTTTGCTCACCTGTTGTTCTCTATCTTTTCAAGGTTATCTTTGATCTTCTCCTTCATAGTGCCCTCCTCGTGCTTTAACCGCTGGAACTCAGATTTTAGGATCTTCATCTCGTTCTCCAGTAACCGCCTTCGGTTGATGATATCTCGTGTGCTTGACTGAAAGATTTCATCGTCTATGAATTCCTCTTCCTCTTTCTTCTCATCATCTTTCATCTCAGCATCGCCATTTGCGGCGCCATCTTGACCATTGGGCTGCTTCTTATCCTTGTCGTCTCTATCCTTCTTTTGCTCCTTCTCGTCGCGCTCCAGATCATCGAGATCTTCCAGGGTAGACATGGTGAACGATGTGGCGGATGTGTTTCGACTAGATAGGCTGTTCTCGCTTAAGGCGTATGGTGAATGACAGTGATGGGGATATTAGTCCTAAGGGAGTGGATACAAGACAAGTGATCGTGTTGCCAGTGTCGTAAGTAGTTGATTCGGCTTCAAACAGAATATCAGTGACGAAAGGCTAGATGCTGCAGGGTGAGGCTATGGGCGTCCCTGCAACTGACTACATCATTTTAGGTAAGCGACTTGCCGCGCATCTTCTCTGGAGCCTGTTACAGCTGAATTCAATATGGCCGCCTTATACACATATAAAGAGTCTACATCAGCAGTCTTGTATGAATCAACTTGAACCTGATTCGCAGACTGTGGTAGACAAAAGCCACGAGCAACCAATATAGATCAGCAGCTGGCAGCAAAGGGAGGGCATAGAAATCATTGTGAGAGTCATTTAACGATCGTCATGTTCTGAATTGAAGCTGCTGTAACAGATGCTATACGTAATCTATAGTGTTAACTCCTCCCAAGCAGGAAAATCAACGGGCTGGACTTTTGCTCGCCTCCCAATGTTTGAAATGAATGCACACCACCCGCTCCTGCTTCCCAACCCACAATAAATGATTGACATCGAAATCTTGTATCGGTATAAGACCAACCTGTAAGAGGCGCCTGATTAAAGAGGATTAAATTTTTGGAGCAAAAGAATGCTGAAAAGAACTTTCTAAGGTGCTTGTGAACTCTCCCATCCAGTAACGCTATGCGTGAATCAATTCCAGGCGGTATATGGGGGTATCCTCAAATCGTTGGCAGGCATGCTCGACATGATCCAGACTAGGTCTATCCTTTATGAAGCTGCTCAGTCAGACGATTCGAACCAAGTCTTGCAAGGCAGCAGATATTCTCTGTTCTTGTGTCTAACTTTTCCCTCCCAAGACTCCTTTCCAGTTGCACCGTGTGAAAATTGATCGAAGCCGAAAAACACCAAGCCGTTCTTGCAATTGCGCACATGCTTGAGATATCGTCAAATAAAGGATTGTTGACCCCACGTCGTGAAATTCGTAAATCGAATGAAAATCAAAACAAAACGCTCATTACATTTTCAAAGGTCCGATCTTGACAATGACATGTACAGAGCGAGCAGTATGCTCCGTCATCATATACAAGGTCTATCGTAAAACATGGCCCAGAGGCGTTATGTAAAACAGAGGCGAAGAAGTTGAAGAACTTTTGTCGTTGTGCCACGTAGCAGTATAGCTTTACCCAACGACGGGTTGTACCGAGTACGGGTGGTGAGACATGTAGTACTCAGCAGAAGACGACTTGCTGCAAAGGTCACAAGGACAATGTGGGCCATGTGGTGACCAAGCACTGAGGTGTTGGTAACCATGACTATACTGCGGAGCGTAGTAAGGTGAGAGCTGAGCTCTTTGCGACGCGTAAGCAGATTTAGCATGACCATTCCATGAGGCTCGTGAGTAGTTGTCAGGCATGGTAGCGTATTGCCAGTTGCTGTTATAGTACTCTGGTGTAGTAGGTCCACTGTGATGTGTTGATGGTGGCGAATGCTCCAAAAGATGAGGTCGTCCCCAAGTGTTGTCGTATGGTACCTGTTGGTACTGAGGTGGGATCGGGCCGTCCGGAGACATCATTGGGTTATGCACGCTAGAGTGACGGGAAATGTTGGTATTGATCGGTGCCAACTTGTGCGCAGTCTTGGCCTGGACGAGTTGAGCCTTCTCCTCATAGGCATGCCAATGCTCTATCCACATGAAAAAGCCCTGGTCAGGATCATACATCAAGCCATGAATTTCCCAGTTGAAGTCTGTAAGCCATTCGAGTTCCATTGCATTGAGTTCTCGAACAGGAATGTTGCTGACTTCCGCCCACGATCGATTCTGGAAAGTATTGTCGTCGAGAAACTTACTACCTAGGAGGAGACAGGTTGTCAACATTCTCATCAAGGCACTCGAAGAACTCAAGTCGCCTTTCTCGAACTTCATGCGCTCCTGCAAGTAAAACAAACCCAACATGATAGTAGAACTTGGCAGGCGAGTCGATGACAAGATCTGCGAAACGTATTTTCGAAACTGTGATGTAGGCGACGCACTGATACGCGTAACCATCTGCTGGCACATTTCAGCTACAAAATTGGACATCATGTCCATCTCGTAGTCAAGGTGTTGTGCAACACCGCCAGTTGGTTTTTCCTCTTTTTGTTTAGGCTCTGGGTGTGCATGCAGGCTATGAGATACATAGCCCATCTCATCCGGAACTTGGATAGGTGGCAATATCGGTGCAGCGGCAGGTACATACTGGTACTGCATGGGCAGTGGTTGAGGATAGTTCATTGTATAGTCCGCCATAGCAGGTAGCTGCTTCGATCGACTGTGAGGTTGGTGTGTCGAGTAGGTAGGAGCCTGGTAATAACGATCACCGTGGTCTCTTGAAGTGTAGCTGTGTCTTGAGGGGCGTGAGCGTGAACCATAGTATGCGTGCGCTTCCTCACTGACAGCGGTCATTGGCGTCAAGTAAGTGGTCTGGTACTCAGGCGGTGTCGGAGGCAATCTCGATTTGAGGGCATTGGAGCCCCATCGATTGTAGGTGGCCATGTTTCGAAGGGAGGTCGGCGGTACAGACACTGCGCCTACCCGCTGCTGACGCGTGAAAGCGTCGAAAGCCGAAGCTTTTGATCGTTGTCGAGAAGATTTGTTGCTAATAGTACATGAGTAGATCAGAACTTGGCCTGCAAAGATGACAAGGTCGTAGAAGTTCTGTTGTTGGACTAATTAAGACTCAAAGCCGATTGTAAAATCTGAGCAAACGGATCTAGTGTCGGGTTTGAGGCGCGTTGAAATTGTCGCGTCTTTGTATGTGTCGTTTACGGCGACGATGGATGTGTGAGGACAAGACTTAGTGAAAAGCTCGTCGTTCTGAAGCTGTCTTGTGAGTTGATGAAAGATGTCCAGTTGGTGAGTCGGCGCAGGTCGAAAAGCGCAGCAAGGTTCAGATCAGAATTTGCGAGGCAGGTAAGTGCAACTCAGCCGACAGGCACAGACCTGGACTCAGGATGCTCCCGGAGGCCGCGTATGGGCGGCGACGATTGCAATAGGCAACTGCGAACAGTCTCGCAACAAGTCTCCAAAGACAAAGAAACTTGACTTCCTTCGACGGACGGAAGGTCGAAATGACCAGCTGAGGCAACCTTTAGGCCAAGGTCAACCAACACAGCCACTTAGCTTAGGAAAATTGCGGCTTTGTAGGGTTTGATGGATTTTTGGAAGGCCAACCTTAGTAATGCGACACAGAACAAGTGAGGTAATTTGCTGGCCAACGAGCCCAGAAGCAACACTGGAGGCGTGCGAAACGATCCTACTGACTTTGAGACGGTCTGGAGCTGTGGTCGCAAGTGGGAGATTGCAATTTCCAGCTTGTTGTGTGAGAGGTCCACCCGCAAATCGTTTCGACACAAGTCCTTGAGGTTGGTCGCAGGATGTCGTTGCTTAGCAAGTCTCGACGTTGTTTCTGAGCCGTTACAAGGTGCACAATCTGAAGGAGAAAGTGGGAAGATGGAAGAGCACGAAAATCCGAGGGGATTGTGACTACGTAGCAGCAGACAGCAAAAACTCTGTGGTGGCAGCCCAATGAAAACTGTTCCCATCGGCCCAGTCAGGCTTTTCGCACATGATTCCTCCAATAAGGACCTGATTACGCCCCTGAGGCCCTTTCTCTCCTCGTCTATCCGATGATTTGAAAGCCAAGTAATCCGATATCCGGCATTTGTCGAAAACGACAATGTTTAATGGGAATATCGCGTTGCGTCGTCTGTATAGTTGTCTTCAGAAAAACAGCCACCGTCAGTCAATGGATATTTGGTATATTTAGAACCTCTTCTATTGCCAATATCGGTGACCATTCGGAACTTTGACAAGCTTCGGTCGCAGGCACATGTTCGCTGTGTGCCAGGTCATTTGCCTGTATTTGCATCCATGTGTGACTAGGCAACGGCCTTTGTTGTTCGGGGCTGCAAGCAGTACTATGATCACATCGTGCATGATATGCGCACGCAAGGAATCCTACCGAGCCTGGCATATAATAAGCTGACGGCTGGATAGTGATGATCGCGACGAGCACAGCTTTTCGAGCTCCGCAAGCTGTCATTGTGTTGTCGTCAGCAGGAAAATGAATTGGCATCAATACGACTGGGCACTGTTTATTGACTTTAGTACCGTCGGTCTTAGTCCTCAAATAGATCTGCCCATTTTATCAACGGATGTGGTTGCTGCTCGGCAACTTCCTAGTCGACAGCAGAATCAAATTCGACGAATACCACAAGCCCGCCATACTATAGCCTGATCGCCATTTCTCTGAACAATGGAACTTCTCCGTCAACTGTTTCTACAGTACTCGAGTAGATCCGACACAGCCTGACAACAATGAGAGAGAGCCTCCGGACGGCAGTTCCATTCGTGCAATAGGCATACTGCGCTCAGTCGCGCCGAGTTCGTAGCTGAAATAAAAATGCAAACCTCGGTTCAGCATCGATCCGATTCCGAATCTCTATCGAAATTGGCGTGCCGAAGAACCAAGAACGTGCGCATTGTGCAGCGCGGGAGACGAAGCATTGACATTTGCTTTTCTTACATAGATTTGACGCTCATCCATCATCGTCGCATTTGGTTGCAGCGCCCAAGTGTGCACCACAGTACAGTCTGGACTTGGACTTCATGGCCAAGTGACTATTGTAGAATCATACTGGAGTACGTGTCTCAACTTTCAAGGATATGTAAATGACGTTAAGCTGAAGAGCTTCGTCTTAGCTGTATCGGAATTGTACACTTAATCAGGCAACAGACATCATGCTTGAGGCACTGGCAGTGGACTTCATAATCTTTCAAACCTTGACCTGACATGAAGGCTCAGATTGAGCCCACATGATCTTCGAGATGATTGTGTAAGCTAGAGACACCGAACACTCAAAATGATAAACAATAACCCAATGTGTTCCATGTGCGAATAGGTCGGACAGACAAGGCAAAAGAATATTTTCACTTGAGAAGAGCTGGTACATATATCATATTCCACTCTATATAGATGGATTTTGTGTATTGTACAACATCAACATGTATTCCTCTCGTATATGTTGCTACATTTTGTCATCTAAGACTTCTTGCCGCCCTCGGTAGGGTGAATACTCTCTGGCAGGGCTCTTTCAACCGATTCTGGGACGGCTTGCTGAATGCTCTCAGGCACGATGCTGTCTTGTGGATTGGTGGCGTGGCTCTTTGAGCCACCACTGCCAGTATCGTGGACTTTATTGGGCAGCGCATCCTCGACATCCTTTGGCACTGCTTCCTGTACTTCCTTAGGGACTATTGCAAATTAGCGAGAGCTGTTCCATCTTCGACAAACATAGTTACATACCAGCAGACTTGTTGTTTGGGTCGGTAGCGTGGGACTTGTCGGTGCCTGACATATTTGCCCTTGTTGATAGAGTAGTGCTGAGTGGTCGGATAGACGAGTTCTGAATGCGAGTTGCTCTTGTGATTGAAGTTCTGAAAATGCGTGTAGAGAACATTATGAATATCTAAGTCGTGATAGCTGGTTCAAGTCAATTAATATATGCAAGCAACGAGGATGTATTTCCGTAGATGAGCAAGGTCAGTAACATTGATGAATCACGAAACGAATCCGTATATACACATCCTGGATCTGTCCTGAAGAAATGACCTCAGCCATTGCAGCTAAGCAGCAGAGCTCTGTGAATGGCCGTCATCGATCTCTGTATCAGGAACGCCCAGTGCTGCTGTAGTGGCTGAAGTACTGGGAATTGCCGCAGATGAGATCAGGATGTCTGGAATCCATGCTGCCTCGTCGTGAAACTAAGACGAGTCGTTCGCCTAGCTGTAGAGAGAGCCAATCATGTCGCGCTATTTGCTTGACCTCCGCTTACACCTGACGTCGGCAGGAGCTCCGCAAATGAAGTCGTTACCTCATATGGTTTTTGACATCTGGAGCTCGATACAATGGACCGAAAGAAGTCAAATGCTACTCGTGATATCGGATTTGTTTTCCATTGTGTTGGCTGTAAATTTGAGGCAAACCAGACCAGGTCACCCCCGTCTTCCCATGATCACGACTATCGTGCCCGTTGACGCCGTCGCTAAGCACTCGTAAAGGTAAAAATCACCCCCACCTATTAGTTACTACCATTGATCACTTTGGATACCATTCTAGACTCGTCAGAGGTATTGAGCGATGTCCATCTATAGATTCATTCAGCCATTTCGCTCGCCAACTCAGCTCTTTCTCTGCAGCTTCAGAAAATGCAGCACGGCATTCAACAGGTAATTCGTCTAGGATATCCGACGAGATACCAGCCAAACCTGGATTGCTAAAGCCTAGGCCAGGCTCGGGCATGTTTGATTCAGGCGCGCTCTCCAGACAGAGATCGTGAATGCGATAGTTGCGAGAGTATACTGGTTCGAGTTTGGAGAACCTCGCGTTGAGATTCTCAACCTCGTCTTCACCTGCATGTTCCTTGTCGTCCACCTCTTCCCATCTTGCGTGTGTCGGCTGAGTGTTTCGAGGATATTGCATGGTATTGGTATGTATGTCGTAAACACCGTTCATCATATCATCTCTGACCAGTCTGAGCATGGAGTTGAACCTCGCAGCTTCTCGCGCATGTTCAAGCATCCAGTTGTCGCTCGTCACTGCAATCTTTCTGCGCTTCCCCTGCTCAGGTTTACCATTTTGCATAGGGACACTCGGTAGGTTCATATGATAGACAGCGCTTGCGCCATGCCATGCAACGTACTGATTTCGATTGTAGCCTTCTCCTGCTTGTGGGATTCTGTCCTCTGGTACGGCCAGTTCACCTTCAACATCTCCTCGCTCTCGAGCACCAGCCACATCATAATCGTCCGTGACCTTTTTCCCTCCAATGACTATTTTCGCGCCGAATTCGCGGAAGACAGATCGAGCAGTGACCACTCCTATTGATCGCCCTTTGTAAGAGTGCGGTATAAGCTCCCTTTCAATCAGATCCTTCTTCTCTTCGTCGTCGATGATGATTTTGTAAAGATGCTTGTGTTTCTGGAAGAAGAGGTAAGAGTCTCGAAAGCCAATACAGCGTGCTGGCTCTGTGGACAGCATGTACAATCTGTTGCCTCGTCCTAGCAAGGTGAAGGTGCGCACACGATACTCTCTGCCATCTTGCAGCTCGCCGTCCTTGTTGATCTTTGTTTCTCCTTCAGCGTCTTCGGGCAATTCGACCTCATCATTGAGAATAGTCATCACGTTTCCCTCATCGTCAACAGGGGCTGCCACAGCACGTTGGGCTCCACTTCTTTTATTCGCCCATCTTCCACCACGATGACCACGGAAGCCTCCTCTACGTCGTGGTGCTGGGGTATCTGACGCGTCGTTACCGTCATCAGAGCCTTGGTTTCGAAGACTCTGAATTCTAGCGGATGGTCTGCCTCTTGCTCTTCCTCGACCACGGCCTCGTCGTCTAGGTGTTGCTGATTCAGATTGTCGCAATGCTCGTGAAGGAGTCGGTAGTTCTTCATTTTCGTTTTGCTCTTCTTCGTCGTCAACTTCTTCTTCGTTCCCTTCCTCGTCCTCGTCTTGTGGGGTTGGCACGTCTGTTGGTGGAGCGTCTGCCATGTCTTCATCTTCGTTGTCGGATAGTCTAGGGACAGGTGTTTCTAGAAAGTCAGTATTGAAAGCACGTTGTCAGTGGTCAGATAGTCTTACGGAGAGATGCCCTAGCAGCCTGTGCTGCAAGTCTAGGGCGACGAGCCATGCCTGCTAAAGTTGTATCTGTCTGTTTGCGACGATTACCTGAACTTCATTCTTGCTTCGTAAACAAGGCATGAAGGCCGCCTTCTTGAGGCATCAAGCTGGAGTTGAGTCCTGTCAGCCTGCAAGCACATCATTATGTCCGCAGCACGGAGCAACTTAGCCGATCACTCCTTCCAGCGCTTTGTTTGGTATGGGCATTAACACTTCTAATACAACGCTCTGTCACGGTCCAAACATCTCACCTGACGAGGTTTATAGAGGACTACTATGGAGTGTGACTAAGAAGTCCGAGAAAGGACTACCTGGGCACTGTGTGCTGTCCAGTGGCAATGTCGAAAAGCCAGTGGTTGGAGAGGAGTATCAGTGGTATCATCAGGCAGTATATCAAATGGATTGCAAAATTTCTTGGGTATCATTGTATTGCGGGAGCTATGCTCGCAATAAATACTGCCTCTTTGTGTGAGCGTAGTATATAAGTTCTACCTTCTCGAGTCAAACGACGAGATCGACACATCCGCGTGCAACGGCTTCTTGCCTACTGCTTGCAAAGCGACATCAGCACCCCTCTGCAAATCGACACCCTGTAAACCAGGTGCTCTGAACGCCGCAGCTGTCTCAAAGGGACTCAAAGTTGTTCTGCGATCCAGCTGCCAGAATCCGTAGAACAGCGGCACAACCATGAGCACGATGGTGACTGTGATGGCGACAGAAGCACCCCAGTATCCGTACCGTATCCGGTAGAAGAGCACGCTCTGAGTCTCTTGAGACTTGGGGACTGTAACTGCCATCTTTCTGAAGTGCGGGTTCCAAAACTCGTCATATGTGGATTTAGTGTCGTTGTACCAGAGATTTGAAAGAGTTTCGTCCGATTGTAGATCTGACCAATCTTGAGTACCTTGCGCAGCGCTAATGCTAAGCATGAGTCTGTTCACAGTTGTAAAAACATTGTCCGATGGAGGGCTGCCGTAGTATGAGGCGTTGCCCAAGTCTGCCATCCAGTCAAGGCCAGAATAAGTGTTTTGACACCATGACTCGTTGTTTGGCTTTGGATTAAAGTCTAGAGGTCCTGGGTTTGACTCATCAGCCCACATGATCGGGTTTCCATCTTTGTCTGTCGAGTATAGCTGAGTATTCAACGAGTACGAATATGTGACGGGTCCCGTCCTGCTTGTCGACCAGGATCCATCCTGCAGCGTCCAGTCAATAGAGCCATTGAATCGCTGCCCGAGCCACTTAGCAATGCCCCCGTAAGTTGAGTTCTCTTTCCCTTCATTCGGAGGAACCGGCAGTGGCTCATGTGCAGTGTAGTTGACGACCGTAGACTCCTGATCGATTGAGATGACTGGATAAGAATATGCGGCGTTATTCCATTGCGTGCCGACGTAATAACCTTGGTCACTGTTGACCTGAATAGGCATGGACATGCTCGCAGCTGTCAGGATGCACTTCTTATGCTCCAGGCGTCCTTGGCAAGTGGCATTAGGCTTGTAGATGAGATCTAAGCCGATTGTGTTGGGACTGGCAGCATTCCAGGTAACAGATGAGGAGTATACATTGGCTGTAAACTTGCTTCCAACGTGCTGACTTGGTCTAAGATCATACTCTTCAGACATCTCTGAAGTGCAACTCATGCTAAAGCCGGGAATGGTAACACTTGTCTTGCAGACTGCTGAATTATCCTTGTTGGTGCAGCCAACAAGGTCGAAGCTTGATCCGGCGATATAGGAGACACCAGGAGGCAGAGTTACGGATCCGCCACTAAGTCCATCCATAGAGCTCGCCGCAGACGAAAGACCATCCGACCAGTCTCCGAGAGTGCCATTGACCACAGACGCTGAATAACCTAATGGTAGCTGTTGGGAGACTGGAATGTATAACGTGGTCAAATTGGCATGAGTATCCTGCTCGTACGCGATGGCGGCTTGCAGTAAGAAGCCATTCAATGGAACTGTTGCAACGAAGATACCGGCCAGTGCAACATAGTTGAAGCTTTTGCCCGCCGACAAAATTGCCCATTTGCTGGTACCCAACCTCCAGGTGGTATGTAGTTGTTCTAAAGTAACATCAGGGCGTGAGGCTCTGTACCACCAGGCGGTAGTTACACCTTCAGCAAGAGCTTGAGAGAGGAGTATACCGTTCAATGATAGTATTGCTGAGAGCCAGGACGCAGGCTTTAGGTATTTGCTTGTAATCTCGGGCCTGCCGTCAATGAAGTGAAGGATCAAAAATGAAAGGACCATGGTCAGTAGCGCTCCAATAAGGCAAACGAGCCCGTACCAGGGGAACTGCAAAAATTAGCATATGTGGCATGCTCTGGCAGGCACTGAAATACCGATGACCGTTTGTGAACAGCATTGAGTTGGCTAGTTGTCGTTTCGCCCACCCAAGGGAAAAAGCGCTGCAACCATTTTCGAAAACCTTTTGCTTTAACGTGACCGGCGCCGGGAGGCTGATACGTCTCTGCACGAACTTCTGTCGTCGTGATTGAAGTGTCCTGCTTAGCATCAGACGACGTCTTGTTAGGCTCCATCTTGAAGAAGGAATGAGGGCCCGGGACAGTGTACACAACGTGCCAGCGTTGAGGAAGAGTTCCCGAACATCGCAGAAGGGCACGAGCTATTCATAGTCGGACGACAAAGCTTAAAGCATGGACCAGAGAATTGTACTCGCAAGCACGAGTCTAGGTGCCATTCGCAAGGACGACGCTAGAAGGCATAGCCTAGAAAACCACACGTGGCTTGCGCCTTGACCTAGTGTCGCGGCACAAAAGTAAGAAACTTCCAAAGTCGTCTGAAGGAGCAGTCAATTTCCAGAATGCTGATTGGCCTATTCAGCCAGCCATGGTGGTTCTCGACCAGCTGAAGACGTGCAAGACCGCCCAGCTGAATCTGAGGCTGAAAGATAGGGGCGTTTTAGAACGGCTAGCGTGAGTGACCATGCTTGATTGAGACACAAAGCCGTGACTGGCATGACCGATTTTTGATTAGTGGAAACCCTGATCAATTTGGACATTCGATCATGGTGGTGACGGATGCTTGCTTTGAAGCCGGCTAACCAGGCGAGTACTGAGTAGAAGTCGCTTGATCCTTGAGCGAGATCTGCATTCTGAAACGTGATGACTTTCACATGATCCACGAGGTTGTGTTTCGATGGAAGAGGTAGCAAGAACGTGCTGATTGTGGGTGTCAAGTAGATATCGAGCATAAGGTTAATGCTAAGCAATGATGGTCAGTTAGACTAGCAAACCTTACTTTTGTCTTGTCTTGTGATTAGTCTTTTTTTGCGGTACTGGACCAGTAGTGTATCACACTGTTGAACATGGTGAACTTTTGCAAACTGGAGATCGTAGTTTGAGGAACAGCTCAATCCGCTCTATCACCGGTTGGTGGTCAGAATATTACGCGTCACGACCAGCAGCCCTACCGAAGCACATCGCCTTTTCGCCAAGGCATGCTGCCAGTCACGCACACCAACAGCCCTGAAGGTCGACTTTGGCAGGACAATGGATGTGCTTTAGAAAGTGGCCTGAAGAGCTGTAGGCACTATAGTCATGGAACAAAGATGGCTGTTATTACCCTCCATTCTGCCCGCCGACCACCTTGTAGGTAACTAACAATTGACAAACAGCTGCTAGTAAGCGAAAGGCCCCCTTCAGTACTATTTAGCAATGATTTGGCGCTCACACTGTGTAAAAGTCTTGGTCAGCGTCACATCAAGCCAATCTCTCGGCAGTGAGAGCACATCGCAACCTCACAGTCAACCTGCTACCACTTCCTCGATCTTGCTTATCAACCTACCGACGCTCTGAGATCCGTGGTGGAATTGAGTATTGCTTGACACGTGTAGGTGTATCAACGAGTTTCGAGATCTCATTCTGTATTAATGCTACTTATGACCATGTCAAAGTCGCCCGCACCACAGGTGACTTTGAATTCAACTGTCAGTGAGAAAGATAAAATGGTATTCCTACCCAACAGCCTTCACTCGCTATTTCTGCCAGGAAGCGAAATGTGCATCGTAGCTTTGATGACTCAGGAGATTTGTAGCACAAGAAAGACAAGGAACTGGTGATATCATCTATCAATGAGGTATCAGTGAGAAGGGTCTAATGGTATTGTTAATAGGATGAAATATCCTCGATAGCACTGACAAACACGAAGACGCGTCGATTGGGACGCACTTAACCTAAGACGCGTAGTTGCGACAAGAACAGTCTTCGATCACTTCTTGGAAGTTGTCTGCCTGCTGCCTCCCACAATTTGGAGAATACTACCTTTCTCGAATATTTTGTCACTCCCACACCTTGACTTATCGAGACTGGCCAAGTGTTCTACTCTGAGTACAGCAGCCGAGCCGGTAAGTTCCTCCAAATGTAAAGTAACCCCCCGAAGGCTTACTGACAGCATGACTAAAAGTTAGCTGTTCACTTGTACCATTCAACGATGCTAGACGCACGGGATTTCGAGAGGCAAACGGACCCTCAGGGGCAGTCCGACTTACTACAACTACCTGGCGAACTTCGTCTGAAAGTACTTCGATACCTTCTGAAGTCCGAAGATGGCCGCATTCGAAGTTACGACGAATCGAAATTATGTAGCACGAACGGTCGTTTTCCTCGTAAGCGCTACAACAAGGAGTTGCCTGGCAGTGCACAACTCCTCAGAACCTGCCAGAAACTCTTTTGGGAAGGACGGGATGTCTTGTACACTGAAAACACTCTATCAATCTTCATATGGGGTAATCCCTGGTCGAGAGCGCTGAAGTGCGGTGTTCTGGGTTTGCAGGTAGAATTTCACCGTCCACACCAAGAGACTTATTACGACTTATTGTGGAATGCACTGGATTATAATCCGGATGACATGTCGCAGCTTCTGCGGGTATATGATGAAACTCTAGCCTGTTTCCAGCGTTTGGAAATCAAGATGGATGAACTCAATGACCACGAGGACTGCTTTATAGCCTGCCGTGTACTCAAGAACAATCTTCTTGGGAAGGATGTAACGATTGACCTCGATACAGCCAAAGGCAACTTTGAAGAGCACCATTGTGGCTTAGAGGACGGTCTGTTGTCGGGTTTCAAGTTCTTGCGATGCAACTCAATTCATTTCAAGAACTACAAAGTTCACACAGAGCTGGTCGCACAAATAGAAAGCGAGATACCTGTGAACGATACATACAGATCGTGGTGGAATCTTGAGCACGGCGTCTTCGATGACCTACCTGTTAACGAAGAGGGAGGGCCTGGGCAATTCAGCGAAGTCTACGAAACGGAAATCGAGGATTTGTTCGATGCAGCAGTTCATTATGATCTTCATAGTTTCAACACGCAGCGAAGCCAGATATTGAAATTAGCAATAGAGTGGAACGAGCAAGAGGCGGAGCGTCGATGCGGTTTCCTCAACGACCTGAAGAACAGAATCAACACGGACTTTGGGGCTCTGAATAAAAAGATTTCTGATCTATCGAACTCAGACACATCAGTGATCTCATTGGGAGATACCTGGGATACGACCCACAGCGACATGTGGCCATTTCTGGCTACTTTACGAGTGACTTGACAGAGGTTGCAGCGACGCACGAGATGACACGACTGCGGCAGTTTTGGCCACTGTGCGGCAATGCCTCACGACATTCCACAAGATGTGCAGCACGAGTGAACGCTCGACATGCATATTGTAACTTATTACTACCTTTCCCAAACATTACTGCGAAGGCGCTCATGGTTTCTGAGCTTAGAGCATGATATGGAGTTCAACTGTCAGCGCAATACGATTTCCCGAGCTCAGAAAAGGGCTTAAGCGCACAGAAAACTGAACATGAAAGCTAGAAAAGTGATCATAAATTACATTGGTATCGTAAATAGTCAATCAAATACTGATAGACCTTGAATGGCGGGACTGAATCCGCATAACTACACACAAACTCAACCAGGAGTAAGTAGATCTGCCTAGTCCCTGAATCTCGCAGACCCAAGTCCCGTCTCATCAAAACGACTTAAACCCCTCTGCCTCGACACCTCATGTGCAAGACCGAGTCCCATACCTCCTCCACCACCCGTATCCGACCCACCCACTATAAGCCCTGGACTCGGCAACGGCAGATCCGGGACATCCTCGTCCATCGTCACCGGCGCCTGAATCGGCAGCCTCAAAGTGCTCGTACTCGGGCTCTGGATCAGCGGTGTCCTCGCCGGACTATTCCGACTAATCGCGAAGCCGTCCGGTTTACTCATATCAGCCATATTACGGTTGAAAGCGCGGTTGAAGTCTTCCATTGCGAAGTCGCGACGGTCTGTGTTTGGATTGCTGGGGCGACGGGGGGCTATGCTATCTCTGGTGAAGACGGCGGGGTAGAGTGGTGAGGAAGGGGCAGAGCGGGATTTCCGGCTAGGTGAGCTGAAGTATGAGGCGTCTTCGTCGCGGTAAAAGGAGATTTCATTAGGGTCGTTATGCGGTTGATGTCGTTGGAAGGGGCTGCGGCCGAAGGAGTGTGCTTGGGGAGAAGGACTGAATTGCTTTTCGAAAGCGCCGTAAGAGCCTCCGTACTGGTCACCGCCTGTAGCTAGCACAGAAGGTATCTTGCGGCCGGAGACGCGTTGAAAGCCTTTTTCTGAATCGGTTCCGGTCATAGATGTGGTGTCGGTAAAGAATGTTTGGCCAGACACAGGCCGCAGTTTCTTGATCGTGGGGAAGAGGGATGTTCTTGAGTTCTGCGACATAGGTGCTGCCATGGTTACGAGTGCAGCATCGCCGAGATCTCGGTCCGTGCCCGAGTTGAGCTGGGCAGGCAGTCGACCTTGGAGCTTCAGCCTCTGTCTGTACCATCGCAAGACGTAGAGGAGGACTATTAGAACAAGAGCTACGCCGGCAACACCACCCACGATACCTCCAACCATTTGCGTTTGTTGTGGGGTGAGTACTGTTCCTGTAGAGCCACCTCCGCCATTGCTATCGCTACTCGTTGGGCTGGGGTTGGCATAGGTTGAGGTAGCAGCAATTGCGGGGTTGTTGTTATTGTTGTATGCAGTCCCTTGTGGGACAGAAGTAGTGCTGGCTGCAAGGTATGTGTTTGTAACGTCCTGCCCGAAGATGTACGAAGAAGAGCGAGTACGACCGCCGGATGTGGTAGATTCGTCCCCACTCACACTCGAGCTCGAGTCTGAACCAGTTGTTCTTGACCTGGAAGCTGTTGTGGTTGTTGCTGGTATTATGAAGGTGCCATTGTGGAAGGACACGTGAAAGGTGCTTGTATCAGTAAGGGTGACGGTCCGCTGCGTTGAGGTGGCTGGTGTAGTAGAAGCTAGGGTGAGATTCCCAGTTGGATACAGAGCACTAGTAGCCGTTGAAATGGTAGTCTCTCGTGAAGAGTTGTTGGCTGACGAAGAGGGCGAGGTCGAAGAGCTTGAAGAGCGAGACGACCCAGACGATTGTGATGAGGCAGATAGTGCTGTGGATGGAGAGGTCGATGCATCTTGTGCTGGGATCGTCAATGTTCCCATTCCACTGACTGCCACTGGGACATCGCCATTCGATGCAGTAACCCGGATGGTGGTGCTTCCTGAATTTACTGCCACTTCAACAACAGCGGCTGATACAGTGACATCCGGTGATCGTGGCAAAAAGGCTTTGTCGACATTTCTTTTCGAGAAAGACAGTCTCTGGAACTTGTTCAGGTTGATTATTCTTGTAGGGGCGCGTATGCTAGTATCATGTCTAGACAGCTTCTGTCTCTTTGCTGGAGGTTCCATCACGGACTGCTCATGCTGCTGCTGCGATTCTGATAGATCTTGTTGGGCTTAGATCACATCTACTAGGTTGTATTGCGACTCAGATACCACGAGTGGCTGTTTGTATTGTTGTGGTTTCCAATTGCCTTGATAATAATCCAGCTGGAAGTGATATGTTGAGCCAGGGGCGACTTTGATCAGAGGAGGCGATTCGCTACGAAAGAGTGACTCGAGTTGGACGGGGATGCAAATTGTTGATGGCGATAGCGAGCGACGATAGATACAAGCGCAGTGAGAGGAGCGCACGACAGCAGGAGAAGCGAAGGGTGAGGAATACTGAGCATTGAGCACTGAGCACTTCAGAGGGGCCATCTGTCAACCATTTCGATTTTCCGTCTCTCAATGCAGCTAAAATTGCGCTAAGGCTTGGTTCCTGCGCAAAAGGATTTGTTAAGCCCGCTAGTGTCGGCAAAAGAAATTGTCCCTGCAGGGATGCTACAGGACCTTTACCTGATCTGTAGGAGGCCATATCCGATACCACAACGTTTTGAAAGTGTCGACAGGTCTTCAGTGGCTACGATTAGATGTCGCGTTTGTAAAGGTGTCTCAATTGCATAGCTGTCGCCGGATCGATAGAGTGAGTTGTGTATGTGCATAATTCACTGAGTCCACCAGTTTGACTAATCTGAATGCCCAGCCAATAATAGCCTCCTAGCTGCCATGCAGGGGAAATGCGGTCACGCGAGCCATGCCGCATCGCGTTGAGCGACAGTCGCCAAAGTGCTTGCTTTAGCGCAGTTCGTCTGGCGGATCCGGGAAAACGAAGCTCTTCGCCTACGAGTACGTCGTTTCAGACTTGCTTTCTAATATCTCGCCAATACGAGATTTCCACTTCTGACCTCGGATCCGATCGACAACGCTACCTTCACCACTTGTCGAGTGCAAGCACTTTCGACACTCTTGTGCTGGTTATTTGATTGTCCTTCCAACCAGACCGTTGGTGGATTCGCCTTTGTGAAGTTTCTTTCGATCCCCAGGACAGAACCATTTCACTGTCCGTGGTGGCATATCATGTAGCGACACACAATCCATATGAAACCATTGCCCGAATTCGCACTAAACCCATGTCAGCATGGTGGTTATGTAAAGCTTAGTTGAGAGGCTTACCTTGTCGTCGAGCTCACAACAGATCATCTCTCCCCAACTCACATCCCCACACACACAATATCGCTCTTCTCCGGGATCAAGAAGTTCTTGGTTGCCGTCAATATCAATCCGCACTTCAGGCTCAGGCTGTGCCTTGGCATCTGGCGTGGATTTCGGTGCTTGCGCCTTGCTTGCCTTGTTCGGTTTCTCTTTGCGCTTACTGACGCTGACAGCAGCACCTCCATCTTGGCTAGACTGAGTGACCGTACCTGGTGGCTCACGCTTGCTGCGACTACTAGCTGCGGTGACCACTGCTTTGGGAGTCGTCTCTAGTAGAGGCGTCTTGCGGAGAGGTGCCGCCGTAGTAGCAGGTGTGACTGACGACCTCCTACTTTGCCTGGTGGAATGTACCGTACTGGGCTCTATCGAGGCAGCAGCAGATTTTCGTGATGATGGCCTTGTGGGTGGGGGAGTGGCTTCTACTTTGGCTGGTACTGGCGTAGGGGTAGGAGCAGGAGCAGGCGCGGGAACGGGTTTTTGCGTACTGACAGATCGAGAGGGGGCAGCAGGCCTCGTTGCTGCAGGCGCACTCGGCTGGACTGACACCTTGAGCTTGATGGGAGGGATTGTAATGGTGTTTGTGTTGGCAAGCGTGGGTGTGGCTTGCTCAGGCAGGGCGAGTGGTGATGGCTTAGGCAGGATCTTCTGTTTCTTCTTAGCCTGTGACTCGGGCTCAGAGGACGGAGTTGTCGATGCTGTCTCCGCAATCTTCCTCTTCTTCGGTGGCTTGCTCTCGACCTTTGGTGTGGTTACTGGTGAAGCTGTGCCTGTAGCTGTTTTGAGCGACTGAAGTGCCGTCGAGAATGGACTGAACAGATTCTTAAACGTGGAGCCGATATCCCCAAGCTTTCGAGCCGCCAATTCAGCTTCGTGAGCTGCTCTTGCGGCAGGGTCTTTTGGTGTTTCTTCTTTCTTCTCCTTTTTCGATTCGGTTCTTCTAGGTTTGGGTCTAGAGGATGGTTCATCCTTGCTCGTGGACTTAGACGCCTCAGTTTGGAGAATCGATGGAACTTGCTCCTTGTCGGCATTGTCGACGTCTAGGAACGGTGTGCCACTCGCCTGAGCCGCGGCTCGTGCCTTGTAGTAATTGTCCCAACCTCGACCTTTCTCTGCAAGCTCTCTTCGGATCATAACGTCGCTTGGTTCCCAGGCATGGTTCTTCTTCATCTTTTTTCGTAGCTTATACATCTCATAGTCCGAGAGGCGTGTCCAAGGCTTCCAATTGCTTCCTGCTTGTGCATCGTCCGGAGGAGGGGTAGGCTTGCGATAACTTGAGGTCTCCCGATGTTCTCTAGGTTTTCGTTCATGTTCAACTATGGGACGCTGTTTCGGCAGCTTTAGGACAGGTGCTTTGACAGGGGATGGAGGATCAGATTCCCAATCAGACACTTCTGTGCTAGCTATAGGCTCATCTGGATCATAAGGTGGCATTACCTCACCAGGAACTGTGATACGTTTATGGCGCGGTCTTGGAAGCACAGACGAGGCAATAGTGCCTTGGGGACCTTTCAGGAGCAGTCGAGGCACTGACCCGTTGAGCTTTCTTCCTGTACGCGACGTCTTCCCAGCGCTTGGGGCTTGCGGTTGAGGGGTAGGATCTCGAGAAGGTGGTTTGGGAAGAGCATTGAGCTTGCCTATAATGCTCCTCAGTCGATCTTGATGGCGATCCGTGAGGTCAAACAGCCTTTTTGCTTCTGCATAAGCAGACTCTCTTGCATTCAGGGCCAAGTCTAACTGGCGCGAAATATCAGATCTCAACCCGAAGGCGTCCGGCCGCTCGTTGAGCTGAATCGTGGGTAGAGTCCCATAAGTGTGTGTCAGAGCATGCACAGTGTCTGCATGGTGAAGATATGTTTCGTCCAGTTGTTGGATGAGAGTCAAAGAGCGAATAAGGTCGGCGGGCAGGTATTCAGTGTAGTCCAGGAAATCAGTCACTGCCGCCTGCGCATCTGGATTGACTGCCACCTCTTCACTGATTTCTGCCATGGTGGCAGTCATATTGATCTATGTACGAGGGCATGCGTGGGTTGTTAAGGCCTTATGCGCAACGACATTGATCGTGATCATGCATACTGTCGTCGCAAATACCGATAGAGTGCAGCGAGGTTGTCGATAGGTATCTGCGATCAAAATGCTGGTAATTTAAGTACTGATATTGCGGTTGTCGTTTTGTCGCTGGTCGCTGGTTGTTGCTTCCAATGCTGAATGTCACGGTTTGTTGATGCGTTGCAGGCGCGTCCGCGGCCTCAATGACGAAGTCACGCAGGCATGCCAAGACATACAGTTCGAGCTTAAGGATGCCTGGAACAGCAGCAGATAAGCAGAGAAAGTACTATTGTATAATACTCCTCTTCATCCCAGCAGTACTGTTTGTCAGAAAACAGCGGAAGTGAGACAATGCCTGCCTCCCGAAAAGTCCTGGTTGAGTCGCGTATAGAGAGATTCGTAGCTGGATCACTATGAAACTTCACTGATTTCTCACTTCGACTCTTGACAGCTATTCATCCTTGTCTCGTCCAGACTGACACTCTCACCTGCTAGGAAGCACACTACAATGCGCATTGAAGGTCTCTGATGGTAGTATCACGAATCGCTCGTCGTACCCAATGTGTCAACTCCTGCAATCCGTGTCTATATTCTCGTAAAACCATCTTCCACTTCCTTCTCTTTCATCCTTGCGCATTGTCTCACTCCTCTGCAGTTTCTTTCTCCACGCAACAAGTGTCACTCGCGACTGCACACAACCCGGCGCGGGAGATCAAAATGGCCAGCCAAGCACAAGCAAGATTTGACAAACTCTTCCAGAACAAACCTAAACCTGCAAAACCGATAAAGGATGGCCCAGGCTTTGCAGAGAGGGAGCTGGCAGAGTACAAGCGACGGCAGCAGGAGCTTGAAAAGGCACGACATCAGCCTGATCATGATGAAGATACTGACCAGCCATCGGATAAAGAACAGGCCTCAGTACCAGCTGTTAAGCAACCAACACGCCTGATTAAGCCCAGTCATCGTTACCCTAGGTCTTCAGGTCCAGGTCGCCAGCTGGATCATATCCCAGGAACCGATCCAGAAGCAATGGTATTTGTGCCTGGAGGGATCTGGTCAGGTGGGTTGGCTGCGACCAAGCTGGACACTGAGCCCAATCATGAAGACATTGAACCCGCTTCGTCAAGCCCAGACTGCATCGGCCGTTTTTGTGTCTTCAATCTGGTCACCAAATTCCCCTACAAGTATCTGCAAGATCCAGGTAATCGTGTCTCGAAGCACTTCTTTGCTGGGGGACAAATCTATCAAAGAAATTGGAATCTGTAAGTTCCGAGAGTAGCTGCTCCTGCACATGATCCCATAATGTGTCACGAGCAGAAATTAAGCCAACCTTTTCTCATGCACCAGAGAATTGACTAATGTTTGTGTGAACCAGGTACTACATCTTTGGTCCAAACTCTGTGGGTAGGAAGATCCTATTGCTTGTTCCTTACGATCAGGTCAAAGTTCTAATCGACCAAATCAACAATGAGTTCAAGCTCAAAGTCAGTACTCCCGAATACCCGTTTCAGCTATCCTTCTACAAAGATGGTACTCCTTGCCCACGATTCTTGGGAGTGGTGAACTCTAAAGACGACTGCTTCGCCCTTCAGCAGAGCCTTGGAGACCCACCAGAGAATTACGGCCAAGTTCCTTCGTCAGCAAACGACATAGTAAAGCAAGATTACCACGCATGGCACGAGAAGCTTGAGCGAGCTTGCAGCTCCGAAAAGAAGGGCAAGAAAGGAGGTAAAAAGAAGACCCGAGCAAGTCAAGGCTGGACGATTGCGCAGTATGCCGATCAACTAAGGAGGGCTCAAAGATATTTCGGACTCAAGCCAAGTGGTCCAAAAACACAGATAATGGACGGCAACAGCAGTACAAGAGTTCTTGTGGAACCTCTCAACGTGAATGCACCAGCTCCATTCGCATTCGAGGACGGACCAATCATCATCACGATCGACGTCGAGGCCTATGAACGTGATCACAGTATTGTGACCGAGATCGGCGTCAGTACACTCGACACAGCAGACTTGCTGAATCTTTCACCTGGGAAACAAGGAGAAAATTGGATCAAAAAGATCAGGTCACGACACTTTCGAATCAAGGGTCGCGAGCGCTTCCGAAACACAGAGTTTGTACATGGTAACCCAGACATGTTTCAATTCGGCCTCTCAGAATTTGTTGCAATTGATGAGGCTGCCGATGCTGTAGATGACTGCTTCGAGTATCCATTCTCTGCAGGATTTGAATGCGAGGGGCCAGTTGAGCGAGACGAGCAGGGTCTGCCTGTCAAGACGTCGAATAGAGTCCTGGATACCAACGGATCTCACCTTAAGAAGGACAAATCCCGAAACATACTGCTTATAGGTCACGACACGGGTACTGACATTGAGTATCTCGCATCGATGGGCAGCTCCATATTCGGTAAAGGCACGGCGATGTCGACGACACATCCTTCTACAAGCCGTTCACAGCATGTTCGCACTTCAGTCCGAGAGCAGCTTGACACGGCTGTGCTCTACAAAGCTCTGACCAACAATGCGCAGCGCATGTCTCTAACCAAAGTATGTTCGGAATTGGAGATCGATGCGTGGTACACTCACAATGCAGGTAATGATGCGCGGTACACTCTAGAAGTTTTTGTCAAAACTGTCATCAAAGCCCGCCTGCAAGAGGACGCTGGTGTTGTGCAGGAAAACGCCGCAAATCCCCCATCAGCAGATACGTCTAGGAAAGGAGTGAAAGAAGGGCAGAAGACTAATGTTGACCTCGAAGCCGCTCGTCTTCAGATGGCGACGAAGTCAACAGACACAGCAGCAGCTCAGTTTGACAGCTCGTGGGATACACCGGCTGCAATAGAGGGCGAAATCGCCGAGGGTCCGCAAGCTTGCTCTGATGGCGAGTATCCTTATTGATTCGAGCATGTGTGGTAATAATGCACATGGGAATGCTCTCGTTCTTGCATGTTTGCAGGTCAGATGGTATACGACAGGACTAAGAAGGTAAAAGTGAGGTAGTGCAAGCAAGGATGAAGTGGCCTGATTGGTGAAATGCCAACCAGCTATACTGTGATGGGCTCCAAGACAGAGAGCGTCGCTCTATAGTGTGGTCCAAGGAGCAGACTTATTGCAAGGTATCAGCAACTGCCTCCCCTTCACGTAGATCATCTCTCATCCACCCTAAATGTAACAACAGAAATTGTACCATACGTTGGTTATAGAGAACTTGACCGGCTATCATCTTCTACTTTTCATCGACGCTATGTATCATTCCCTCAACCAGGACGGACGAAACTTCGGATATAAAGCGAGAGACTGACTTCTATGAGTCACCTTAAGCCTACTATAAGTACCGTTGCATTTTCGCCTTCATCTTCTTCGCACCACCAAGACCAATCCCAAGCAAAAAGCAAATTCTCAACGTCGCGCCACAATACACAAATGCAATATTACCCCAAGCAATTGCATTCCAATTCCCAAAGTCATAGTAATAGCTCACGCCTAGTGGGAAACAGGAGTACAAGTGACCAAAATCTGCCACCAGCAAGCCAAGAAGTAATGTCTTCCAGACTCGGACATCGGTTGTTGCTCGGAGCACCAGCGCCTCATTCAAGGTGAAGGCGAAGTAAAGGTTTGCGAGCTGCTGAAGGGCAACTTCTGTGCCGAGGGGCACACCTGAGAGTTGAGACGGAGCTGAAGCTGCATGGGTGAGGTGTAGATAGTACTGTGGTTGGAACCAGGCGTAGTAGGCGCCGACTATGGTGCTGATAGGCTCGATGTAGAGGAAGAAGGCCCGGTATGGCCAAGGTATGGCCACCATTGTGCTTTGATCGGGAATAGGTAAGACTTGAGATGGATTTGCTCATGTATCGTTGTGCGAGGAATGTATTAGTGGAGTCAACGAGATACTAGAATGAGAGATTTAAGCTGGCTCAGCAGTCGACGCTAACATAGCGAACAGATCCGGAGCCATTGCAGGCACATCATCAGCTTCCGAAACATCAACGGCTAGCATGCTATCAAGGCCATCTCTATCTCAGTCTCAAATGCCTCACTCTGACAAAGATCGTCGCGTCCTCCGATGTAAAGCCGTTGAAGGCGTGCAGACAAATCCATTGTTGACATGACGATTGGCAAGGCAACTGACGACTTGGAACCGAAACATTCTTTTTGTTGCAGAAGGTTAGTGGCGATCTTCTGGGGATGAAACGGCACTTCTCCAATTGCAAGCAACTACGGCTTTGTCTGGTGGATGGAAACTCAATAGGCTAACCATGCAGGAACAAGCCTGGCAGGAACGAAGCAGTCTGGGCCACTTCAGGCGGTGATGGGCATCTCCACTCGATCCACAGGCGATGCTCCCTGCATTTTCTTTTGCATTGCTGGGCTGCGAGCTGGCAGGGATGTGTTGGTAACGGAAGAACAACAACTTGAATCTGGTGCTACTCGTTCATCCTGCCTTGCTCTTTCCAACATCACTGACTGCAGTCGTTCCCTTCCTCGATTACATCCACTCTCACTAACTCAGTACACGAGCTCCCTCACTAGCCTCCTATCACTAACACGTGCCTCTTGCGCTATCCTTACCTGAACAATAAACAACGTCCTCTCACCAACAGCCAGTGCTTTTCAATCAGGCAAAAAGTTACAGATTGGTACGTGTTGAGGAATAGACGAAAATTCATAGACCTGCCTACCCATCATGCAGCAAGATGCATCAGCTTCATTAGCTCCTGATAGGAGAACTTCTCTTCAACCATGGAACCGTCCGATGACATCCGGAAGTCCATATTCTACCACTTACGTGGCTACCACGAACGATGCAACATTACCACGAAACAGAATGACCTACCATGCTCTCTCAACCTATCACAACAACGAGTGGGATTCAACGAGACCTTTGGAAGTCGCTGGAACAGCGTTTGCAAACGAAGAAGCCGTCTACGCAGACCCTTTCTCCGCACCCTCAGACACTCCCACCTACAGACGCCATGCGCGCAGACCTTCTCTGGCAGAATCTATCAGGAGTAGTATTTCGAGTGTTCGGTCATTAGGCAGGCGTATGTCAACAAGTATGAGAGGCAAGGGAAGAGTTGCATCAGAAGACAAACCCGAAGGCCATGACGTTGGACAGTCTACTAGGGAACAAGAACATGTACTGGAAAGACCTGAAACCATGTCTTCCGCATCCAGACCTCTTTCAAACATGATAGATCACCTACGACCGCGCCGTCGACCTAGTATGCCCATCTTCAAGTCCGCATCCTTGCAGAGTGCTCCGACGAAACAGCCACAGAGACCAGAATACCACCGTGCTACGACAATCAACAATCGTCCAGAGTGCCCACCAGGTGGTGCCGGGGCTCGTGCTTCGGCAGCTGCTCAGAACGAGGCTCTATTTATGGCCAGAGCCACTCCTCTTCCTCCATACCGCCCACGTTCCTTCGAATACGACGAATTCAGGGATTCCGAAAGTGGTATAGGTATCGTGCTAGACACCTTGGACCGCTCAGACTCCAGAACACAACATCTGGTTCGACAAGATCCTGCCGATGTTCTGGCTACAGAACTCATCGACCACATGCTCTCCTTCCTAGACGCCTCAACTCTGGTTCAATTGGAGCTAGTCTCAAGAAGATGGCGAGAATTGTGTCAATCACAATCTGTTTGGCGTCAGGTTTTCTACCGCAAATATGCTCCCTCAAGACCTAGCAGAGTGCTCCGAGGTCAAAACACAGCAGGGTTGGGCAAGAATGTGGCTGGTCAAGATTATCGGAAGCTTTACTCAGTGCGAACACTGATCGATAAGAGATGGGCAAATGGCGAGGCTGCGGCCATCTACCTCAATGGTCACAAAGATAGTGTCTACTGTATTCAGTTCGATGAGGACAAAATTATCACTGGTTCTCGCGACAACACCATCCGCATCTGGGATGCTCGCACGTATCAGTGCATAAAAAAAATCTCGCCCCCGAACAACCAACGAGAACGAAATCCTGTACTTCGACCAGCGGTTGAGCCTTCAGGAGTCATACCCTTCTTCAAGATGGATGCCTCGTCTCAGGAACCGAAAAGCATACCGGCGAATTTGTGGCACCATGCATCTGTCTTATGCTTGCAGTTTGATCACGAGTTCCTTGTGACTGGATCATCCGACTTCACGGCCATCGTCTGGGATATCGAGAATAACTACAAACCTCGCTTTCAACTTGTCGGACACAAGGCTGGTGTTCTTGATGTCTGCTTAGACTCTAGACGGATTGTGACATGCTCCAAGGACACTACTATCAAGATCTGGGATCGAAGAACAGGCACACTGGTCAAGACTCTGACTGGACACAGAGGACCCGTCAATGCGGTCCAGATACGAGGCAACTTGCTTGCTAGCGCTAGTGGCGACGGCATGGCAAAGTTGTGGCGCCTGGATACTGGTATGTGCATCAAGGAGTTTCACTCGAGGGAACGAGGTCTAGCTTGTGTGGAATTCTCCGAAGACGGTAGGACCATTTTCGCTGGCGGCAATGACCAAGTCATCTTTGAGTTCGACACCACAAATGGCAATATCAAGCGTGAGCTCGCTGGACATGAAGAACTAGTAAGGTCTCTACATCTCGATACAGCAAACGTGCGTCTTATCAGTGGGAGCTACGACCACTCCATCAAGATCTGGGATGCGAAGAGTGGTGTAAATCAGCAAGACGGTGGGTTAAAGATGAATCTGGAGGGATGGACTTCGAGCTGGATGTTGGCGGCCAAGAGCAATTATCGCAAGATAGCCTGTGCTAGTCAGGATGGAAGAGTAGTCATTGTGGATTTTGGGTTTGGTATTAACGGTGTTGAACTTGTCGAGGCTTAGCGAAGGAGTTCAGGAGGATTGAAAGAGTTCTTGCTGAGGATGGGCCTGGCTGGCTTTTGTAGGGCAAGCAATTCTGCAGGAGTTTCCAATGTCTAGATTTCTTGTATCTCCATATCAGTGGACAATGTTTCTTCTTGTTTACCTAGACAGGTGCCACCGTTGACCGATTCTATGTTTGCCAAGCACTAGAAGACATATTGCAACTCGTCTGAACTAAACATCATTTGGCCATCTTGTATTTCCTTTAAGAGTATGAGTAGATTTATCTCTGACTTTATGCATGTTTAAAGTTTCGAAAGTGATTTTCGGGTTGCGATTTGAGCTTGTGCCCTCGCAACAGTTATAGAGAAGCAGGAAGGACGAGAAAAGCAGATCCATGAAGATGTCAGACCCCTTACTAGACTTGTTACTTAACCAAGACAAGACCACAGGTGGCGATTCAGCACAATCACAGCCACAGGCAAGGACATCAACCTCAACACTTGGCAAATATCTGTCTCGTCTTCTGTCTCTTCGCCCATCAGATCTCACGACAACCGAACCTCAATCTCTGGAACAGTCATCGCACAGCAACACCCTAGCATTACAAGCTCTGTCATCACGTTCACATCGCTCTACAACCGCGTCTTCCGATCAACTGTCTACTCTACAGGAGTCTCTACCAGCCTTGACACGGGTAGTGGCCGAAGTCAAGAACAGCGTTCCACAACTAGACAAGAGCACAAGCACCTTCGCAGAGACATACAGCAAAGCTCGCCCTACGACATCCAGCAGCAACGATGGATCGAGCAATGTCCTCAGCGCACGCAAGGACAGCATGCTCTTATCGCGTCAAGCACCGCAACTTCAGGATATACTAGAACTCCCAGTGTTACTGAGTACAGCCATTGCCTCTGCGGCGTCGTCGCCGTCTGGAAGTGCGAATTACAGTCAGGCACTGGATTTGTATGCTCATATCAAGCGGTTGGCGATACTGTATCCGGATTCGAAGTTAGTGGCGGATGTGCAGGTCAAAGCTGAAGAAGCGTTGAAGGAAATGACGTCTAATTTGCTGAGGGGTTTGAAAGCGCAGAATATTCGATTGGCAGCCGCGATAAGGACTGTTGGCTGGTTGAGGAGGGTTGTGCCTGAGCTTGGGAGGAATAGTATTGTCGAACACGGTGCGAAGGCAAGATCTGCTACATCCGGGATAAGCAGTACACCTTCCTACACTATAGGAGGTCAAGATGAACAGTCCGAGGGAAATTTCGGGGCCTTGTTCTTGGCTTGTAGGCTGAGCACGTTTCTATCCTTGACAGAAGATGCACTCGCACCTCTACGGGATCTGGCTGACCAGGAGACGGAGAAGAGATTACAAAACCAGCAGAGTGAAACGGGCACAAACAGAGGAAGCGGCGCCCCTCCTCAACCCATTCGCAGAGCCTCAGCACACAGCACGTCAATACAAGGACAACAGACTGAAAGATACCTGAAACGATACATTGAGATCTTTCGAGAACAGTCATTCTCCACCATTCAGATGTACAGGAACATCTTCCCTGCCTCAGCGACTGGTAGCACTGCCGCCCAGGCAGAGGACGATATCCTCAAACTGCCCTCAGCACTAGCCTCGTTCCCACTACATCTAGTCAACTTACTCATGGAAACGCTGCAGAAATACCTTCCCAACGTCACAGATTCGGCAGCTAGAGAGTCGTTGCTGATACAGGTTCTTTACGCGGCTAACAGTTTGGGCAGGCTGGGCGCGGACTTTAGCATGATGATTTCACTTCTTGACTTGCCACCAACGACGACAGAGTCGATATCTGAGCAATCTGGAGATGGGGAGCCAGAACCTGAGTGGTATAGGATTATCAAGAAGCATAAAGTGCAAGCAGCCAGGCTGGATGCGCTGGCGTCTGGGCAAGAGAGACGAGCGTCGCAGGATGTAGCTGTGCGGTAGTCATTGTGAATGTTTGCCATTGATTCGAGGAGGCCTTACCTCAGGACTTCGAGATCTGTGCCGGTGATGGCGATGTGTGTGTCTGTGTCTGTCCCTACTCCTATCTCGACTCCTATCTCTTCTGCGTCTATCTCTGTGCCTTACTTCTCGCCTCGCCAGCTCTCTAGGACCTTCGAGATCTCTTTCCCTTTCTTTACGCCAATCTGCTTTCTGCTTCTCCACCTCCTTCAGCTGTTTGACGCCTCGTTTCATCACTAACAGTGGATCGCTCGAACCGAGTCTTGCCTGATCGCGTGCCTGACGACCTGCATCTTCATTGCCCCAGACATCCCTGCCTGTGGGAAGCTGATCGGCGCCTGAAAGTGTACTGTACCATGGCTTCTGTGCACCCGAATGTCGTCCTGCAGCGTCGCGGAAGCGCATATTTGCGATGTTTTCGAGGGAATCAGAGACTTCATTCATTTGTTCGCCTTTCGTCGGCTGCCTTTGTGTTCTTGTAGGGTTTCTGGCCAGATCTTGCTTGTCGGTGTTGGTGTCATGGTTCCTCTTTCTTTTTCCCAATGTCGCGGGACTGTCAACATTCTTTTCTGGAACAGCCTCTCCTCTCAAAAATGCAAGTCGATCAGCAGCGTCATGGTCCTGCCTCCTGCGCTCTGCATCCTGCTGTTCATCTCGTGCCCGCTCTTCATCTCGTTGTACGCGCTCGATGTTGTCTTGGTTGTAGACGTTCCATGATTTCTTTCCTAGTAGGTGTCTGCGCTTGTCGTTAATTGCCTAAGTTCTTTGTGCACTACGTGCGACCTACCTACAAGGGCATGATTGTGTAGAAGCTTCATAGATCACGAGCTGATGCTCGGAGGACAAAGGCGATGCCTGAAACTCGCCTGAAACTGTAGTTCCACAGAGGGGAACATGAACTTTCCAGAGACTCGTGTTGGTTTGTAAGGGCTGACGTAGCCACGCCTCAGACTGCATTGACAGGCACCACCATTTACAGACAATTGATGCCAGTGTTTGAACAGATTTGGCTCATCGCTGACCAACAGTTCGACGAGTCATTCGGTAACCAGTCCTAGGAGACGCCTCATTGCTCCTTCGCTCCACCTCACAAAGAGCACTCAGGAGGACACCTATTCATGCGTATGATTCGTGTATAAGTGATTCAGACCATTGTCCTTGCGCGGACTTCAACCAAACGCAACGTTACGATGGCTGGTCTCTTTGGCAACAGAGGAAATCCTTCAGGCTATGGACGCCCTCCACAGCCTGCAAGACCGTCCCAGCCATATCAAGCCGGATATAGTGACCAACCTACGGGAGGATATGGTGCACCACCACCTCAACCAAGACTACCAGCGAGACCCTCGGGAGGTCGCCAACAGGGAGGACACTCTCTTCACTTACAGCCTACCAAGTCCCCCAACCCTACTTACACCTTCACCAACCTCGTCGCAGTCTCGTCGAGGGACATACCACCTCCACAAGGTGCTAGTCCAGACGTCTACCTCCTGCTCAATGGGCAATATGTGGTCTCTGCTCGTCCAACCGAGGAGATACAACCCGGTCAGATTGGTCTTTCGACCCCGCAAAGAGAGTGGATGAACATAGCACTTACCGATTTTGTGAATGTCGAACCGTTCGATATATTCGCTCATGGAGGACAGGCATATCTAGGGACTATGGATGTTGAAGTTGGGTTTGCTGGGAGAAAGATACACGAAAATCCTTACGATCAAGATGAGCTGGCCAAAACTGTAACGAGGATCTTTCACGACCAGGTGTTCGCTCCTGGCCAGAAGTTCTTGATGGATGATAGGAGTACACCAATAGCCTTTCAGGTAAAGACAGTACAACTTATGAACCTGTCTGAGAAGCCTTCGACGAGTGGCTCTCCTGTGACTTCGGACCCCATGGCTAGGGGCATGCTCACAAACCAGACTCAGATCAACTTCTTCAGAGACCCGAAGTCTCCGATAAATCTCAAGGCTTCTTCGAGGAGGCCCGCTACCAATGCTATCGTCTCCCCTGACTTCAAATTCGAGGATATGGGCATAGGTGGTCTCGATACTGAATTTAGCACTATCTTCCGAAGAGCATTTGCTTCTCGTATCTTTCCTCCTGGTCTCGTCGAGAAACTTGGCATTCAGCACGTCAAGGGTATTCTGCTCTACGGCCCACCAGGTACGGGAAAGACCTTGATAGCACGGCAGATAGGCAAAATGCTCAATGCACGAGAACCAAAAGTTATCAACGGTCCTGAGGTACTCAATAAATACGTGGGTCAATCCGAGGAGAATATCAGAAAGCTATTTGCAGATGCAGAAAAGGAGTACAAGGAAAAGGGAGACGAGTCTGGTCTACACATCATTATCTTCGATGAGCTCGATGCTGTATGTAAGCAGAGAGGAAGTGGTGCTGGTGGTGGCACGGGTGTTGGCGACAGTGTGGTGAACCAGCTGTTGTCTAAGCTGGACGGTGTGGATCAACTCAACAACATCTTACTGATTGGTATGACGAATCGTATGGACATGATTGACGACGCTCTATTGAGACCTGGTCGTTTGGAGGTGCATATGGAGATCTCCTTACCTGACGAACACGGACGACAGCAGATCCTGAAAATTCATACAACTAAAATGCGGAACAACAATGTCATGGATACCGACGTCAACATGGCTGAACTGGCACATCTTACCAAGAACTTCTCAGGAGCTGAAATAGGTGGTCTCGTCAAATCAGCGACCTCGTTCGCCTTCAATCGACACGTCAAGGTCGGCACCATGGCTGGGGTGTCAGATGATGTTGTCAATATGAAAGTCAACCGTGACGATTTTATGCATGCTTTGGAAGAAGTCAAACCTGCTTTCGGTGTTTCAGAAGAGCAACTATCAGAGTGCTTACAGGGAGGTATCATCCATTATTCGCCATACATCAAAGCCATCCTGGACGAAGGTAGCCTATTCGTCAAGCAAGTGCGAGACACCGGGAAGGACGCCAAATCGTTGCTATCTGTTGTTTTCCACGGTTCTGCAGGTTCTGGGAAAACAGCACTTGCAGCTCAGATTGCAATTGACTCGGGATATCCTTTCATCAAACTACTCTCACCAGAAGACATGCTGGGCTATGGTGAGGCTGCAAAGATATCACACATAACCAGAATCTTCATGGACGCTTACAAGAGTACAACGAGCTGTGTGGTTATCGACTCTATAGAGCGTATATTAGAGTGGGTACCTATTGGACCCAGATTCAGCAACCCTATCCTTCAGACTCTTATTACCTGCCTACGAAAAATGCCCCCAAGTGGACGTCGCCTACTCATCCTTGCTACCACGACTGAACGCAGTGTTCTGCAACAACTTGACATGTTCAGCCACTTTAACAGTGATGTTTCCGTACCGACCTTGAGGACCTATGACGAGCTAGCTCTGGTCATGAGAGAGTCTAAGGTCTTTAGCCAAGAAGACATCAGGCAGGCGATCGACGAGATTCAGCAGATTACTGGTTCAGAAGATGTTAGAATTGGCATAAAGAAGGTGCTGCTGGGTATAGAGACAGCTAGGCAGGATGAGGACAATATCTCCTCCAGATTTGCTAGTGTCATATCTAGAGCCATAGCTGAGAGGGCATAGATTGATAAAGCAGTAGTCTGAAGCATTTGTAGCAAGCGACTTTAGAGGCTTTCCTTGCTATCATCACAAACCGTGGACAGTCATTCTTCGTGCATTTATTGCACTCGTGGACCGCCGTAGATTGAGTATTTGTCTACCTTGCCGTAGCAATATTCCTGCTAAACCCTTCACTCTTTTATGCTCTCCTCTTCGTCTGCCAACTTCTTCAATCAGTCCGAGTCGTCATATCGAATATGTCAGACACTATGGATGACGATGGAGCTGACGCTGCTATGAAAGAGATGATGGGCTTCAGCTCTTTTGGTAACAACAAAAGACAGAAACTCAATACAAGCAGCGAGAATGCTCAACCAGCAAGTAAGTCATGACAAGTCACGGTAGAGACTGAAATTTGTGTCATACGAAGCTCTGTCGCATCTAGTGCATTTATTATCGAGAAGTACTACTTGCATGTCAATCCATACCTATCTCATTCGAGGAAGAGGCTCGTCTCATGTCCTTCAAGCAAGGTTTTCGTCACGGTCCAGTCGATCTCGAGTGAGATATCGACCACAGCTGAAACAATGTTCTACGAGGTTCAATATTGACTAGTCATAGGACCTCCAGCAACCTCAAGCAACAATACACCGCTTGGGCAAAGACAAGAGAAAACAAGTAGAGCGACCTCAAATCTGAGATTCGTTCCAGCAAGTCTTCCTCCATCAGGTCGAAGCTCGAAATCTCCTACTCCAGGTATGATCTCTCGTGCCTGATACATTTTACTACAGACTACCATAAATGACCTCCGGAAGAACACAGTAACGCTCATTGATCTCAGCAAAGCTCAACAGTACAAGTAAGCTAACCCAAGTTTATGATAGATGAGACCCCAAACCAAGAACCACCACCACTCGCCATCGACCAGAAGCAGGCCGACCTCGAATCCGAAGTACAATCTCACCCTCAAAACCCAGCGTCATTGAGCGCATCGAGTCAAACCTTCAACTTACTACCCTCAACCCCTCAACCAGAACCCTCACACCATCACCACCAACTCCCCACTCGTCCCACAACGACCACCACCACATACACCTCCTCCGACATCCGCTCCGACCCATCCTACTGGTCTCAAACCAACACCTCAGCCACAGTCACCACACCCACCAGCACAAATACCACCACTAACAATCACCGTCCACAATCCTACTTGCCCTCCCGCATCGACAGAGAAACATACGAGAACGAAATTGGATATACATCGCCATGGACCGGTGCCACAATGACTCGGAAAGAACTACTCGAGTACGGGAAGGGGAGGATGGAGGAACGAGAAGATGGGAGGATTGAGTTGGTGTTTTTCAAGCCGGGGTTTGTGGATGAGGGGTTGTGGGATCAGTGGGAGGAGGGAAAGGAGAAGGAGGTGGCCGTGTAGACTTGAGGGAGGAGTGAAAGGAGACAAAGTATTGTTGGTCAAAGGTGAATGTGAAGAGGGGATGGATGTGTGAGGTTGCCATGAGCTACTAGGCAGGTTATATACATACTTCTACCTTGGGTAAAGGAAGAAGGTCAGGCCAGCCAGACAGTCAATGACCTTTTCCAGAGACAGAAAAGTCAACAAGCCCGAGCCGGGTTTCAAATGGAATGAGATAAGAAGCTCAAACTGCGCCCACACAGTACTCACATATCATGACCTCCTGTTCCTGAAGCTACACACTCCCTTGGAGATTTTTCATGCGGCGTCGACACTTCAACCAAGCTAGACCACGAAGGAGGCGTATAGCACTTCTTCTCCTACCAATCGTCCGTTCACGATTTTACTGTGAACACATCATTAACGGATACCGATCTGCAATTATGGTATGGAAGCTAGATATGTCGACAGTAATCAATGCGTGATCAAGCACAAGAATGTGAGTTGTATTGGGCCGTCAAACAGGGTTCATGTAAAGACATCATATTTCTTGGTGTTATTCCGTGTTTTGGGAAATCCCTGTTTTACCTCGGATTTGTCTGGGCGGGCAGGACATCGCTTTTCATGTTTGAATCACAGTGGGAAGACATCCGAGATACGCCTGGAGGTGAAGTGTTTACCAAGTGCAGGAGTGCTCGGTGAAATGTGGTTTAGTGATCAAATCTAGATGCTTAAGCATTGACATATAACACCGCTTACATGCTACGGATGCCTAAGAAACCCTACTAGATAGGCTCAAAGTCCCTATCATCCTCCCTAATGAGACCATGAGACGTATATCTACACCGTATTGCTAATCAAGCTAGAGCGACCTCTCTCCTGCAATATAGAGGTAACACTTAGTGACCGCAGAACCATCCTTTGGGCATGTCCAGGCCACAATCAGAAGCCCTTTTGTGCCTAGAGTGCCTAGGAATCCGCCCACCATCGTAGCACTACAGACTCGTCTCGAGGTACTCCAGGCCGTCCATACAGCTCGCAACAGCCGTCAACTACCTCTAGAATGACAGTACATCAATAGAAAACCTCGATATGACGAGTTTCACCAAGATTCAGAACCCAGGTCACACCAAACTCATGGTACCTACAAGGAAGCAACCACAAGACCGTAAGAAACCAGCCAGGAAGCACGATCGGCCGCTCACCGAAATGCGTCATGCAGTGCATCCTGCAGGTCACCACACAGCTCCATCTCCAGAAATAGTCTAGTCAGACCTTGACCCTCGCACGAGACCTGACGTGCAGATGCTTTGCCGAACCAGCGCCAGGCGCAAAGTCCCCACTGCCATGGCTGCTGGATCCGGACGGTGTGCAGGGCTAACGAAGCGGCAATGCGGCTATGCCATTTTGAGGGGGCGGAGCGGAAACCGTCTTTCAACGTTCTGACGTTCCACTTCATGATGGAGATGCTTGTCCGCACCAATTGTCGTCGTTGTGCTGCCGGTGGAGAATCAATGTCCGTGCGAATGACAGACGCAGTTGAGTTGTGTTCTGTTGTGATTTGCTGCTGTTGGACTTCATGTGGTCGCTAAGTGGTCGGAACGTTAGATTGGGCATTCCCGCAGCGGACAAAAGCTTGAAAATGCAGCATCCCAGAGTGCTGAAAACTCCGCCGATGTCCAAGAATTGTAAAACGCTAGAAAGGGCAAAAAGACGATGTTGTAGTTAAAAGGAGATTCGTTCAATCGTGAAATCGTGAATTTGTCGTCGCAGCTCATCTACGCGAATGTCGACTTTTTCGAGCAGACTCGTAAGCGTCGGGATCCTCTTTCATCGCTCGTGCTTTCATTGCTGCGATTTTCTCTTTCGAGTATTTCAGATCAGAGCGCGCTTCTTCGACGTTGGAGAGCGTGGTGTCAAAATTGACTCTTGTCTTCTTTATTCGTCGCTGCATTTGTGCTTGCAAATCTGCCAATTCCCGCTGTTTTGCATTCAGCTCGCCAGATCTACGATTGTGGTTAGCATTATCCAATTGCTGGTAAGGTACATGTACTCACGTCTGTGCCTGTCGCGCAATTGAACGGTCCATCTTCATGGGATCGAAAACTGTGTTCATTCGCTCACTAAGTTCGTCCATGACATCGATGCCGCCAGGGAGCCGCGACTCATATTCATCGCTGATATCGCTGAGGGTGCCGCCAGAACGTCGGCTGCTGTAGACTGTGCTGGTGTCTGAAAGCTCGGGTGGTTCGAGGGCAACTCTTGACACGGGCCGGCTGTATGCACTTGGCGTCTTTGTCGATGGCATGGCAATGGGTAAGGTCTTTTGTGGTCTGGCGTAACTGCCATGGTGACGAGTCAATGTTGCAGCCATGTTGTATTGTGTTGGTAATGCAATAGTGCTTGAGTTAGCTAGGTCAAGGTATGATCAGGTGAAGGACTCGTCGTAAAGTTTGGAAGCTTTAAGTCAGGGAGGCTCTGGGGAGTGATGAGAAGGAGGGAAAGAAAGTGCAAGTGTGCCATCTCACAAGAGCAGGCTTTTATAGCCATTTGAGAGGCAAGTTCAAACCATCTGGGCGACCAGGGAGAGTGCCAGCTCATTCCCACCCTAGGAAGGAAGGACCAATCCACGATGGAGGGCATGTCTCATCTCGTCAACATGCTTTCACAACCCCGCTGTCTGACGGAGGCAAAGCAAGGAGTGGACCTTGGAAACGGTGTCCGATGGAGAGATTGGACGAGGAGAGGAGGGCGTGCTCATGGTCGGACCAGTCCGTCATCAGCCGTCCGCAGCGGACGGGAGTGGGGAGTAATACAAATTGACCAGTGAGGAAGTTGGCTAAGGGTCGAGAAGCGGTAGTCAAAGTCAAAGTGGTAAAGCAGCGAGGATGACAATCACACCATGCCATGCGAGGAGGGAGCTAGGTGGAGAGGGATCCAATAGTTGGGTGCCAGCAGAGCAAGAATTCGCTCAGGTCAAGCAGGGATATGTTGGATTGGAGAGTTCAGATTTTCAACCGTAATCCCCACTGGTGGAAGCCGTTTGTAGCGAGGATCATCATTCCTGGCTGGGCGTAGGCTCGAGGAGGAAAGGCGCTCTGAGCTGAGTTAGGTGGACAATGTGGGCGGTGACAGTGAGATGATAATTGGTGCGATTAAGCAGTGAGCGGCAGTACCCAGGCATTAGTTTCGGGATCTAGAAGCGGACACGGAGGCAGAAGATTAGCCACGATTGAGTCAACTGTGGTGATATGGCATGCGTTGAGTTGGTGAGGTTTAATAAAGGGGTTGAAGACGACGGTGAGGTTGACAAGCAAAATGACAGAAGAGGTTTGAGAAGCGCAGCCGAGCTAGCAGGGGTCTGACGTCGTTACAAGATTGATACAAAACATAAGCACGATGCTTGTGGTAGACGCTGAGGGGAGATGCGCAATTCCAAGTACATGTGCAGTTTCTACGCCCTGATCGAACCGTGAGCACTCGTCTCAGTGTTGTAAATCTGTGTTGAAAGGCACGTCTGCCTACCAAGACGGCAAATGAGAGGACGTTACAATTGAGGTTTAGTGCACAATAGAGCCTGCAGCACGACCGCAGCCGATGAATGAGGTAAAGCGTGGATTTTTGGAAGCACGCACGTTGCGCGTGCGTAATGCAGCACAGTTTCAAGAAACGGTAATGGCGCATGCATAAAGCTAGTGCCGAGAGGAGATGGATCGATGACCGCCGGCAGTGAGAAGCTGTATTTTGAGCGATGAACGATTAGCGGAGAATTACACAGTGCCTGCGTCACGACGTAAAGTGTTTACAGATGCAAGGGAGCCGGCGTAACAGCCAAGCTGAAAGCCACGTTGACGAGTGTGAATACATCAGACATGGCTTCTAGCAGAAGGTGGGACCCCACGGGAGAAATGAAACCATGGAATTGTGGCAGCGGAAGTTGGGAGATGCTGTAAATCCGTCATTCAAAAATTGTAATGAAACTCTAACAAATTACCAAGAAGCACCGATGGGTGACTAAGCAGGAATAACCTTCCTACCGGTGTGTTTCATGCTTAGCAGTTTGCCGCGCGCAATGGTGTATCACGAAGTATATCTGTTGATGTGTAGAAGCGCCAAGTTTCCAGCCAGAGAAAGTTCATTAGGCGCTGAAATGAGGTGATCTCGGAACGGGTGTTTCGACAAGGACGCCTCACCCGCAGTGGGAATGGAGTGCGTGTTCGGAAAATAACTATCGAGAATTTTATTCACAACGCAGCAGCAAAGCAAGGCTGGCTGAGCAACGACCGAAGAAGAACTCGCTAAATGCACGCAAACAAATATTATGAGCGATTCGATACACCACATAATGCCCTTGCTCACAGCTTCGTCCTGCAGCACCCATAACACTCGAGTCAGCCCTAAAGACCACGAACCTGAACAGAGTACGCTCGCCGATTGCAAGCTGTGAAGAGTTCAACGCCTCGATGACCTCAGTACAAGTTTTGATATTCATCAATCATGACATTACCCTCCCATTAGGCAATGATTCATCCATCCCACGCCTGCGTGTCCCATCAAAGGATGTGTATGTCTTTTTCAATCTTAGCACTCAAGCTTTTTCTCACGTCGTCCTACTCGTGTTTGCTGGTCATGCAACAGACTGACTCGTTTTCGGTTCCAAAAGTGTCATCATTAATCGTCCTAATCGATTGAAGTCAACCGGTTTGGTCAGATAGTCTGTGAAGCCAGCAGTCCCCGCAGCAGCTCTTTCCTCTGGCATCGCGTTCGCTGTCAGTGCCATGATAGGCAAGTTGGGATATGCGTTCTCGCGTTCCCATTGTCGTACCTCGACACAAGCTTCGTACCCGTTTTTCCTGGGCATCTGAATATCACAGATGATGAGATCGTAGTACCCATGTGGTTTGCTAAGGACTTTGTCGATACATTCCTGTCCATCCCGAGCTTCATCTGATGCAAGACCTACCCGTTTCAAATAACGTTGTATGACCATACGGTTTGTGTCGGAATCTTCCACAAGAAGTAGACGAAAATCTCGATTGCCCACCGTTTCCTTGACTTGATTGGCAATCTTCTTGAAGTCATCAGTACTATTCTGTACAACTTCTCGAGCTCGATCTTTGCTGAGATTCCTCAGTTGCGCCGGGTCAAAGATCATCGCAAACACTGATGGTTTGACAGGTTTGTGAATTAGGAACGCTTTTCGACCATTAGAAGTGAGCGTCATAAAATCCTCGGCGATGTCGCGTTTTTGGTAATGATCAGTCACAATTACGAGTGTAGGTACCACGATACTGTTGAACGTGGCAATCTGCCTCATGAACAGCATGATGTCCGATGTCGCAGGTGTATCAAGCACGATGTGTGTGAATGTTGGCGGACTGGCGCCATGTCGCATGTCTAGGAAGGCGTTTATGCTCGGCAAAGCAGTGACATTGACGGGAATCTGATGTGGTACAACATGCTCGATATGCTCCTTAATAGCTTTCCTTGCGTAATCAGCTGGGCAGATAACCACGATCGAATATGTTTGAGGGTGCGCCACCTCAGGTAGCAACTTGGATCCAACATTATCAGACTGTGCTCGTTGCAATGAAGGTATCGACACTTTCCGAGTCTGGTTTGGTATTGGCTGATCGAAAATGTTGACCGCCATGAATTTAGCTGGACTAAGGATCGATTCTGGTGTAGGTAAGTTGGACGATGCAGAAGGTGGCGTAACAACATTTGCTGAGTTTGATCGAAACGAGACTACACTGCCTGTTCCGTCACCTGCAGGAGACAGCATTGCTGGCGAAATTGCCATGGGTGACTCTGTTTGTGGAGAAGCATATTTCGATAGACCAGGTGTATGAACCACGGTTTTGGCTGATGACGGTATGGTGGGCGTGCCAGCTCCCGACCTGGATGGGCTTGTGCCAAAAGAGACGCTGTGTCGATGGCCAGGACGCGCAGGGTGTTCTGGCGAGTTGGTCGGCTGACCTGGTTGTGAGGTCTCCACTCGAATGTAAAACGAGAACATCGACCCTTCGCCCACTTTGCTGGCTACAGATAGTGCTCCACCGTGCATTTCAACCAGCTGTTTGGAGAGGAACAGTCCGAGTCCTGAACCAGGATCATGCTGACTGGCCCCCTCAATTTGTCCGAACTGCTTGAATAATCTCTTAAATCCACTCTCGTTGAAGCCTCTTCCTGTATCAATAACCTCAAATAGGAGGTGAGCATTGTTTTCGGGAATTTCTCCTTGAGAAGTGGGCTTGATACAGCATCTCAAATATACCTCGCCTTGTTCGGTAAACTTGACAGAATTGCCCATGAGGTTGAGCAGCACTTGTCTGACACGGAAAGGATCACCCCTGACCGTGGTAGGGACATCTGTGTCCAGAGTATAGTTCAGCTCAAGCCCTCGCTCTATAGCTCTTGAAGAGACAGTATCAACGACTTCTTCACACAAGTTTCGCACATTAAACCACTTGGGCACAAGCGTCATCTTTCCTGCCTCGACCTTTGTAACATCAAGAATGTTGTCTACCAGTTCTCGAAGGTTGTTTGCGCTGTTCTGGATGGTGTCCAGTGTCCGTCTTTGATCGTGGTCAAGCTGTGATTCGACAAGCCACGGCATACTACCCAAGATGCCGTTGAGTGGTGTTCGAATTTCGTGTGACATGTTAGCAAAGAATTTCGTTTTCGATTCCATCTCCTGGTGTACTTTGGTGTTGGCTTCGTTCAAATCGCGCTCGAGCTTCATACGAACTTCGATATCGGTGCAAGTGCCATACCATGAGGCGGCACCAGTTGATAGCAAATCGTTCTGAACCTTGACAAGTCGAACAAGAAACCATCGAAACTCACCTTTCTTCGAGCGGAGACGAATCTCAGTCGTGTAGGATGTGCGGCCGTTCTCGTCCTTCTCTGCCACCATTGACCCCTGCCGTATCATGGTAGCCAACGCGCTATCGTCCGGTGCAAAAAGACTCATCGAGCGAGAAGTCTTGGCGGGCTTCTCGGTTTTGTTGGACGATGAACTGTTTCCGCTGGATTCACTATTCACACGTGTCAAATCTGCTGGCGAAAGCATTCCACACTTATGCAAATCTTCTCGATGTACTTGTCTTGCAAATCCGAGGCCTCTAGCCTCCTCAAGTGTCTGCCCAGAAAAGTTGTGCCACTGCTGATTGACGGCTACAATACCTTCCCCTTCGACAGCTTCAAACAGAACCTGTGGTATCGCATCGGCGAGAGCTCGAAGCTTGGCATCACGCGCCATGCTAGCCTGCATTTCTTGAGCTTCAAGGTTCTTCACATATTGCTCGTGAACATCAAGGAATGAGCCAACCCAATACAACAATCGACCATTACTCGAAAGCATTGTGCTTGCGCGAAACACGAACCATCGAAAGTCGCTATCACTGTTAAAACGTTTGACCCTAATGTAGTGGGTAAATTGGTTACCGCCCTTTAGAGCCTCGTGCCACAACTTGACAAGATCGGGTCGGTCTTCGCTGTGAACATTCTTCCATGGGTCACGGACTCGACCTTCTCCTTGACTTCGGAAAGCGTCGAACTTGCGGTTAGTCCAAACCAAGTCACCACTCGTCGGCTTGGCCAAGAAGAGCTGCAATGGCACGGCGTTCAACATGAGCGCAGCGATGAGTTCTGGCAAGTTGCGTTCGCCTTCTTCTGGTTTCAGAGAATCTCGATGCGCAGCTCTTTTCATCTCGTTTCGCTCAATACCACTGATTGGCGTCTGTTCGAGAGAGCTCTCAGATGCCATACTTGCGCTTCGATGCACTCCCTGTCCATACTGGACATCTGACTTCGCCTTACCTGTATCCACTTGTGGCTTTTGCTTCTGCGTTGAGCTTTGTACCTTTTCAGCCCTTCGTTGACCTTCAGGTGAAAATTCTTTGGAGCTCTTGGCTCCAGGCGTGGTCGGTTGTTGTGAGCCAAAGACCCCAGATCGATTACGTTTAGTTGTAAAATAGCTATCAACCATCTCTTTTCCGGTCCTACTGGGAGTTGGTGGAAGCTCATTCATACCTAGCTGTTCAAGATGAGGAGTGCTCGCAGCTGACCCAGGGTGGCTTCTGCTGGGCATACTCGCTCGGTCGCTGGGACTGTAGACACTACCAGCAAGACTTGAGGCTTTGCTAAGCGCCTTTTCATGCTGTATTTGTGTACTCAGCTCATTGACAAGCTCTAGTTCCGAACCCTCGTCAGAAAATGTTCCTCCTAACCCAAAAGAGGTCCCCTGACGTTGTGTCCCGCCTCTTATACGTTCGTGCAAAGACGAATACTGCTGTGCTAATGAAAATGTACTCGCTAAGTGAGGAAGCAATGCATACAAAGAATGTCGAAGATTTCGAGGATACGGAGTGATTGGTGACAGGAACGACAAGATGGCGACCGGAAATCTCAGACTAGAAACGAGGACTTTTCTCGAGGGTACTGGCTGTATGAGTGGGATATGCACGAGTGTCTTGTCGTTGTCAGTGCCGATGGCGTTAATGAACTGCTGTGCTGAGGCTGCATAATCATAATTCGGAGGGTTCGGTGAGAAGGCTTCTTCATCGATTCTAGCAGCCTGTGTAAAGAAAGGTGATTCTGCAGGATCTGGTCGAGCAGCGGGCGACGGAGCAGGGCTTTGTGACCAGGGCGATGGTTCTGGTTGTTCGTACTCTTCAAAGGTTCTTACAGTTGTCACTGAAGCTTCTCTTTCTCTTGCAGGATGTGAACTACTTTGCGAAGAAGCAGGTAGATCATTGTGGCTCGTGTGGTCATCCGAGTACGCTCGCGTGAGCACCACTGGTTGTCGCTTACCGAAGAGGGTAGAGACACCTGTTCTAACTAGTAGAGGTTCCGGCTCAGCCTCCAGACGCTGTAAGGATCGGAAAACATGACAACGAGGGGCAGAGGTCGCTTGACTGACAAGGTCCTGGGTCTGACCAACATTCAATGATTCCTGCGTCAAGTTCTCGACATTTGGCGTTGGTGATTGTCGAATAAGTCTCGGCACCATCGAGACGGGCGACAAGTCTTGCGACTGTTGAAGTCCGGACACAGTACTGATTGCTCTGACAGGCCCAATCGGTCTTGCCCTAATAGCCGGAGTCGATCTTTCAGGTAGTACACCTGCGATCGAATGGCGACTGGTCAATGGTGGTCTCCTAGGCGGGTATCTGTCTAAATTGTTTGATGGCGAGCCAAATTCTCTTTCGGTCATGCTCTCAATGTCTGATGCCAGTTGTGAGGGTACAGCCGAGTCACCACTGTCACTGCCGTAGATGTTGAAACTTGCTTTCTGTCCCCATGGCACATTCTCGAGATCAGTAATATCACCAGGCAATGCTAATGAGGCTCTTTCTGCACCATATGCTTCTGCCAGAATTTCAGTAAGGTTGGCCCACCACGACTCCAGACCGGGTTCAGTGCTTAGCATGAGGACGATATCGTAGAGATCGGGTGTAGGATGATCAGGATCTTCTGGAAAGATCTGAGAGTCTGACTCACTAGCTATGGGTGTAGTCATCTCCGATGCAGCGTTCTGTGCCTCCTGTTCTTCCATAGTCATACCATGCATCTCTGGTGGCTCGTTCGTGGGCGACAACAGAGTAAAGGGTCGATGTTGTGGACCGGATCTCGAGCTCAAGCCGCGTTGCAGGCGCATGTTCATCCTCGGAAAGGGGTAGGATGGTGTTCGAACAGTGCCTGGAGTTGTATCAAAGGGAGCGCGAATGGTCCTTGCAGAGTCCGAGGACATGGTTGCTGAGATACTAGGCAAAGACTCCGAAGAGCCTGACTCAGTTGGCTCGTCCGACAAAGTCGAAGCCGTTCTCGCCAATGCTGGGGCAGTGCTCTCAGCAGGACTCGCTTCTGGAGATTTACTCATGCTTCTTTGCTCCTGCTTCTTAGCTAGGGCCTCGCCCATCCTGCGTCGCATGATATCTAACCCTTTAGGACTCTGTGACATAACAGTTGTTATCTGAGAATGGACTCCAAGAGGTCGATCGGTCACGATGCTTCCGCTCTGTGACCTTCCCACATTCGCCCTCGGCTCCTGCCCGCCTGCGTCGAGTGGTTTCGAGTGGGTTGGTGATATTGGTGTTCCATGGCTACTTGTATGACTTTTTGCAGATTTATTTGGTTGTACGGAAGGTCTAGAAGGCCTGCTCGATTTCATGTCGATGGCGAGGACCTGCTCGGAAAGGATTTCTGCCGCAGCCTCATGGGTATAGACAGTCTAGGCATAGATGCACACGACTAGTTGAATGAGGTAGGAGGGCTGGAGCCCTTCTGAGCGGCGACAATGCGACTTGTCGTCCTGGAAAGAAAGGCAATTCGGTCGTAGACGTGTCAGACAACGCGCCAGCTCTTTGCTCGAGGGTCAAAGCAGGACACCGTGGATGTTGTGCGGCGTGAGTAGAGCGGTGGACAATTGGCGGATCATAGACGCGAATGATTCAAGGTGGATGGACCAGATGGAGTGACCAGTGACGAAAGAGGATGGCCAAGCGAAGGTAGCGAAAGAAATGAAGGCAAGGGGAACTGCTGCCACTTCTTCGAAACACACCAGCTACTGAGAGTTCGATAGTCAGGGCGCATAAACAAAATGGACGGTGCTCGTGTGCGAGTTTCTAATCCACCATTACTCGCACCAAGTACATTGAATTAGGGAGTGAAAAGCCCTGAGTGAATCCGACAACCAACCTTCAACTACCAATTACTGCTGCCCTTGTGCTGGCCCTCGCGACTGCCAGGAGTGATCCACCATGATATCATACTGCCCTGGAAATCGTTCTCCGATTCGTGGTTCGCCATCGCATGGCTTGCAAAACGGGGTTTGGCTGACTCTAAACCCTTCTTAGACGACCCCCGTCCACTTGTTCTGCTCGATGATCACATCGACGCCTGTCTGTGTTACTGCAGAGATTCAGTCTGCTTGTTTCTATGTTCGTCTAATTTGTTTTCTATTCCTGGTGTCGTTGGCCTTTCATTGTGTTGCAATTGAGCATAACTAAAATCGTATAGAAACTATGGCCTGGCGCAAGTGAACCGAGTCACTGGCCAATTCCAACATTTTCAAGGACCTCAAATCGAAATGCTGTGCATTAACCATGCTGGAGACCATGTCAGTGGTAATAGCCGTCTAAGGGTGCCCGTAGCTATCCTCTATTCAAGCAAGGTTGAATATAGGCGAACCTCGGGGTATGAGACTATCGTCGTAATAGGAGTTGACCTTTACTCGGAAAGCGGAAGTTGGTGGACTCTTTACGACAAATAGTGATCCACTGCTGACTTGTTCTGTTCCCCAGCACTTATCGAATTCGGCAATTTTTCACGTTCCACACGCTCAGTACCACACGAGCTGAGCACAGACATACAGTAAAACGCTTCTCGTATATGCTTGGCATGCAGGTTGCGTCCACAGGCAAGGGGTAATAAACTGTGCCTGCATGAGCAATGCAGCGAGTCAGCTTAGGCGACCTCGTGTATCCACGGGCCATACTCAAGGAACACTAAAAGTGGACTAGAAAGTGTATAAATTATGGGTATGTCCGGAAGTCAAGACAGACAAGATGGTAGAGGTTCCGAAACATGGTTGTATCTACTGCACTGTGGGTCGATAGAACAGCTTGAATGTAGGCGGCGGCACGATAACCCATCGGACTGAATATTTGTAACCTCACTGAATGAGGTACTAACATCCAGCACCTACTAGCACACAGACCACGGGGGACTGCACACAAGCTCATGTGCACAAAGTGATTGGTAAAGGCTGCTTCTACAGACATTGCTTGATACTATCCTTGCTACAATTTGGTACATAGTCTCCCATTCTTCTAATCGACCTTGATAGATCCATATATACGGAACAAGAACCAATATGAAGACACAAAGCCAATCGAACCTGCAAGTTCACAATTGTCAGTATACCACACTTTGCTAATGTCAGGAACAAGAGAGAGAGAGAAAAGAACTTACCAGTAAGCACAAACACCAAAAATCCAATCAGCGCCGAATAGCCCACATACAGAATCGCTCCAGTCAGCCCGCCAAATGATATTCTCGTGGCCCAGAACCACAATGCAATAACGAAGACATAGACACCAGTCATCCCGCTGCCCAGAAAAGCGCGCCATTGCCACCGGTAGTCCTCAGCGCAGAGTAAGAAGTATACAAGTAGAATAGTTGTACAAGCTGTTGTAAGAACCATGATGCCATAACAGATGAACAAGAAGCCAAACATATAGTAGATCCTGCCAGTCCAGAGTGAAGAGAGTATGGGATAGAGTTCGACAAAAATGGCGCAGAAGGGCAGAATACCAGTCAGGAGCATGCTGGGTAGAGGTTTGAGAGAGCTCGGGCCTGGAGGAATTTGTCGTGGGATTTGGTTGACTCGAGTAGGTGGATCGGGAACGGAGACACGGAACCCGGTCCAGCTGCCAAAGATGCTGAGAGGAGCACTGATGAAGAACCAGATGCCCACGAGAGCAAACATGGTAGTCAGTGGAACCGCGCCGGCTGAACCTTTGGCCCAGACGAAGAGGTTCATGACAAAGAACATGATGAAGACGATGCCAGGGACGAAGAGTGGCGTCGAGGCCATGTTGAGTTTCCAATTCTCACCACCGTACGTCTTATAGGCGCGAGCTGAGACGTAGCCTCCGACGTAGCCCAGGACGGTGTAGAGCAGAAGGCTCACTGTGGTCAACCAGCCACGGTTGGACGGAGACAAGAAGCCAAGCAAGGAAAGGGCAACTGTCAGGCCGACCATGACGAAGAGCTGAGCACCACTACCCAGCAGGACACTGAGCAGCATTGAGTAGCGAGGAGCTCTGAAGACATCTCCGTGAACGAGCTTCCATCCTGAATCTTCTTGCACATCATCGTCCATCGCGGAAGTGCCGTTGAAGTCGTCAAGGTTGATGTTATCCAGCCTATTATACCTCTGAATGTCTTTGTGGAGAGCTCTCGCCAGAATAGAGCTGACCAGTGCCAGAAGTAAGACGACGAAGCAAATACTGCTGATCAGAGAGAACCAGTGGATGCTGGGATCAGTAATGTGCAGATACCGGTCCCAGCGAGTAGCCCAGGCCTGGTTGGATGGTCTCCAGAAGACGCTGTAGGTATAAGTTATAGTCTGACCACCATTTTCGTTGATGACCAATGGTCCACCATCAGGACATTCGCCCTTTTGTGGACTCGCGTATCTGTTCACTGCCGTCGAGCTAGGGACCACCAGCACATTGACAACGCGGTATTTCCCTGCAGCTAACGTGGCCTTGTGATAGTCAATATAGATGTCCCAGTGGTTGTACAAAAGCTTTCGCTGTGCATCGCCTTCACCTTCGACTGTACCAAGAGGGAAGCCAGGACTATTGAACAGTTCACCGGTGGTCAAGTCTTCAGCAATTTCTGCGCCTGGTAACCCATCAATCAGAAGATTGACCTTGTAAGCCTGTTCAATCCTAGCTGCCATAAACTGAGCGCTCTTCTCGTCCAACTCTTTTCCCGGACATATCGACTTGCAAGTCTCATTGATGCCTAGCGTCAACTCGAAGGGAGAGGTTCGAATGCGGTCGCCAAAGAGAATGCTACCTAGGGATTCGCGGACCCATTTGGGCCCTTCTTCGGGCTCGCAGAAACGGAAGCCAGGATGATAATAGTCGTATGAAACTACGGCGTGTAGCTGCTGGTCATGTCTCGACAGTGAAGGCGTGAGCGTATTGACTGTAAGCGGTACACGGTCCTTCCACGAATATGATGACGGCGCAAGGCCTGGTAGATAGAATGCTTGCGCAAAGTGTATCTGCAATAGACCCAGCAGAATGCCGAGCCACCTGTGCTCTCCTAGCATGTCGGAAACAGCTGATATATCCTGGTAGCGACCATAGGACGATTTGCTATATGCTCATGCTTCGAATAGAGATGGAACGGCTGAGGTTATATGGGCTATACTGCGAACAAGCCTGATTGGCTTCCAGCTATCAGCGAGCTTCGTTCTTATTGTGTAAAAAGTGCTGCCGTACGAACTTGTCCTTTGCGCGACAGCCTTCCCGTCATATAGAGTAGCATTCACAGTTGAGCGAAAGGCGGGCGTATTTGGAGAAGGGCTCCAGGAGACTGTGTTTCGGATTTCTTTTACGGACGCGCATTGAGACATTCTATGCATTATGGTATCGGCTAACAAACCAGACCTGAGGAAAGACCAAGCCTTCAGCCACGGTATAGTACGTTGCTTTCCAAGCGATGGCAATCTTCCTCACTGATTTCGCTGAGTCGTAAGATTTCATTCTATCGTTCAATCCAATTCATCATACAAGGCCATCATACAACGACAGGGCTGACACAATTGTCTCGTCCCTCTTGCTTCCCTCTTTGAATTCATTCATATCCAGGCTTCCATTCTCGTCCTTGTCCATCATGCGAAAGATCTTCTTGACTCTCTTCTCCGGCGTGTCTTCGTCCTTGGGTAGTTTGACCATCGATCCAACCTAGGCAAGGTTAACAAGCGAAACATTGAGGAGGTATAGACTTGCTCACCATTTTATATATGGCCTCAACAATTTGCAACATCTCTGCATAACTTATCCTGCCGTCCCCATCGATGTCGTACAGCTGAAATGCCCATTCTAGTTTATCCTCCATGCGCCCTCTGCTGGTCACACTGAGGGCGCATATGAACTCTTTGAACTCGATCGAGCCGTTATGATCAGTGTCAAAGACGCGAAAGACATAGTCTGCGAACGAGGACGGGTCGCCGTGTGGAAAGAAAGTCCTGTATATGTTCTGAAACTCTTCCTTTGTGAGAAGGCCAGACGGACAGTCCTTGATAAAGCCTGCGCTTGATTAGGTCCTGGTCTGATAGTGGTGGGAAGAGCACTTCATGACATACCCTTATACCACTGCTGCAGCTCTTTCTTGTCGAAATGTGTCGACCTTGCGAGATCGTCCAGTTGCGAAGGTGAGAGTTTGGACTGTCTGGATAGCCATGTTCAGCCGCTTGCCATCTTCAGGAGTCCATGTACATACTTTTGGCCCATTGTGACTAGTTTACATGCGCGAGAATACTTTCTTACTTTCACCAGCCGCAAAGTTCTCCCGCCTTGGGGATCGAATGCGCTGTGTTGTCTGACCTGGTTGCCTGGTTCGACTTATTGGCTATGGGCAAAGGTGGGGTGCAATCAACCTCCGCAACTGTGACGAAAGAGGTAGTTACGTGCGGTTTGAGTTTCTGGTTATGCAATGCCAATGGTTGGCAGAGTAGTTAAGAGAAATGCTTGTTTGATTGCCTTTGTCAAACTGGAAAAAGTGATGAATCTCCAGTTCCTTGGACCACGAAAAAAGTAGAATCTGGGAATGAAAGAGGGTCAAGAACAAGCAGCATCATTCCAAAGCTTGACAACCGGTGACCAGGGGGCCGCTTGTCGCGCTAGCGTGGCCAGGTAACGAACTCCAGAACAGATCGTCACTCGTGTTGCACGTGTTGGACAGTTGACGCTCGTATGTCCTATCTATCTTGTCTTACAACGCAGAGCAAGGCTTGACGGGTCAAATACATGTGCCTTGCTCCGCCTCCTACTCCAGATTAGACGCCTGGTTGGTATACAGTACATCGACGACGTTGCTCAGCTTGTCAATCGTAGCCAGAGCCGCATCATATCCCACGTCTCTTTCCGTCTCTTCGTACACAATCAAGCAACCAGCTCCTTGGTCGAGCACACCGATAATGACCTTGTCCAGAATCATCTGTGACAGTTTTCGTTCCACTTGCACAGTGTCCAGACCAACCATTTTCGCAACGTGATCGATCTCGACTCTGCTGAATGGCTCAATAACCTTGATAAGATTATGTTCCAACATGTTGTCGTACAATCTGCGCAGATGGTTGCGAATAAAGACATCGCTGCCCAACTCTTGTCTGTAATCGGACAGAGCTTGTTCATAATCTTCTAATGATCGGTTGGAATGCGCTCGAGCAACTGCTTTCATTGCTTCCATCTTCTTACCCTGATATCTCTGTGCTTGTTTCGAGGCTAGGAGAGTATTAACATCGTCGACCAGATTCAACATGATTTTGCACAGCAGCATGTACTGTAGAGCAGCAGAAGCTCGGGGCGTATCGTCTTGTGAGTGGTAGCCTTCTAGTGCCTCAATGAAGTACGAGAAGGCAGTATTGAAATCTTGATCTTCGGCATGCAACATCCCACTCTGCATGTCCAGACCGGCTTGCAGAAGTGGAGGCGTGTAGACAGAAGCTGCTGATGTTCTTGCTGAGGTCAAAGCTGCTCTCGCTTTCGGCTGATTTGTTAGAGCATGGTAAACTCTCGACTCGAGCAGTTGCACTTCGACCAAAGTCAACTTGTCGTCCAGTCGTTTCAACTCTTTCAGAAGTCCATTGATTAAAGTCAGAGCATCGTAGTAGGCTTGCTTTTGCATGTAGAGACTGACCAGCCGTGTCTCCAGGTTTTGCCGCAGGAAAGCTCGCTTCTCTTCAACGGCCCATTCTATACATGACTTGGTTGTGCTGATCTGGTTCTCAAGAGAGTTCGGAATGTCGGCGAAGAGGTCAAGTAATTGTCTGACTGCGAGGCATTAGTTGGGCTCAGAGCACGCTTCCGTCTTCGACATACTTAATTTTGCAGTTTTGGCTTTGGCAAAGGAAGATAGAGTTGTGCTGCTCGTCCTAACAAGCTCAGCCAGTTCTTTCTGTTTCTTATGTGTCTTGTATAGTTCGCCGAGACCTAGAAGTGCATTTTCATAGTCGCGGGACGCTGTCTCGTTCGCTCCTGGTTGCTGAGATAAGACTTGTTTGTACAGTTTCTCTGATTCTGCTGGGTTGTCCTTTGCTACCTTCTTTGCCTCTTCTATAATCTGCTCATTGCTTGGGGGAGGCGCCATGACAGTCAAGATCTCTTACGGGTGGTGGGTTGAGATTTGAGGTACAGTAAAGACAGGTAGGCAGTATGATTGGTAGTAGGATGGGTGTGTAGAAGACTACTTTGTACTGCCAGTGCTCGTGATGAGTACTGGTCTCAGGCACTAAATGATTGCGAGGACATCGTTGAGGCCTCAGGCATTCGATAGGCTCTGGTTTCGCCGCACCTACCCGGATCAGGAGTGCGCAACTGCCTGTCCCAAAAAAAAAAAGTTACAGTCGCGACTGGCTCTTGCCGCTGAAGTTAGAATTGTGGTCTTCCACATCTACACTTCTAATATGCTCTAGCAGCATGAAGATCAAGTCGCTGTCTAGGGCGCCAGCGCCTGCTGGAAGTGATGTCGTCCGCCAACCCCGGAATCTGGATCCGTCTCAGCACCCATTCGAGAGAGCACGAGAGTACACACGAGCCGTAAATGCAGTCAAGATGGAACGAATGTTCGCCGCGCCATTCGTCGGACAGATGGGTCATGGTCACGTCGATGGTGTCTATACCATGGCCAAGGATCCGGGTTCGTTGGAACGTTTTGGCAGCGGAAGTGGTGATGGTGTGATCAAGGTTTGGGATCTAGTGAGCCGGGAGGAAGTCTGGTCGGTTCGAGGTCATGAGAATATTGTGAAGGGAATCTGCTGGACGCCAGATCGTAAACTGTTGTCTTGCGCGACGGACAAGACTGTCAAGCTCTGGGATCCTTACAACACTGAAAGTAAATCTCCACCACTAGCGACTTATCTGGGCCAGGGCGCATTCACAGATATAAGCCATCATCGTACGGAGCCAGCCATAGCTGTTGCATCGGGTGCGATTTCCATTTATGATCTCTCTCGACCTGCCTCAGCGCCAACGCAGACTCTTCGCTGGCCAACCTCAACTGACACACTAACATCTGTCTCATTCAATCAGTCGGAAACTTCTGTCCTCGCCAGTACTGCCCTCGATCGTGCGATCGTTCTCTACGACCTTCGAACGTCTTCTCCTTTGCATAAAGCCATACTCAATCTTGCAAGTAATAAAGTCACCTGGAATCCAATGGAACCTTTCAACTTTGCTGTTGCAAACGAAGACCATAACATTTACATATTCGATATGCGCAAGATGACGCGTGCTCTGAATGTGCTAAAGGATCACGTTGCTGCCGTCATGGATCTCGAGTTCTCGCCTACAGGAGAAGAGCTCATCTCCGCGTCTTACGATCGCACCATTCGTCTATGGAATCGAGACAGAGGTCACAGTCGGGACATTTACCATACTAAACGAATGCAGCGCGTCTTCTCCTGCAAATGGACTCCAGATAACAAATACGTTCTCTCAGGTAGTGACGATGGTAATATCCGACTTTGGCGCGCAAATGCGTCCGACAGAGCAGGTATAAAATCGGCTCGACAAATGCAGAAAATCGAGTACGATCAGGCTCTAATCCGGAGATACTCACACATGCCCGAAATCAAACGCATAAAGAGGCACAGACATATGCCCAAACCTATCAAGAAGGCTGGCGAGATCAAGCGCGAAGAGCTCAACTCCATTAAGCGAAAGGAAGAAAATGTCAGAAAACACAGTAAACCTGGTTCTATGCTGAGACAACCTGAAAGGACTAAGATGGTGCTTGGAACTGAAAGATGAAGAGACACACCCCGATTCAGCATCACTTATTTATGATACTACACCATTCTGAATAAGCTGCCTCGATCCCTTCTTCAGCTGAGGATGCGTTGATGCCATAAGAACGGTATTTCGCTTTGCCACGCCACGAGTAACATACACCCGGCATGGCCAGCCAAAAAAAAACCGCATAGTCATCATCGTCGATTCTCTACCATATGAACAGGGCAAAAACGCCTTGTCTACACACATTCTCTCGGTCTGCTTTGGATCGAAAAACGCACATCGCATGGACCGAGCAGGTTTAGGACGCTACAAATAGAGGCTGCATTGATTCCGTCTGTGTGAGACGAGAACAACAAATACCAAGGAACACACGCTTGGTTTCGCAGCAAAGACGCAGCAAGCAACGAGGAGTCAACACTTTCGAGCGTGAGAACGCACAATTAGTGAGCGACAGAAGAATATGGATGAGCAGGGGTTCGACGTGTAGTGGCCAGATTCAAAAGATCTACCAACTCGGTCTTCGCAACGAAGAAAGCGAGTATCGCACGGAATGGGGCGGGAAAGGAAGAAGAGGATGGAATAGAAGCAGAAACGAATAGTTCAATGCCTGTCCACAGCACTGAATAGAGTGGTTGCGGACCTGTGCCGTATTGATAAATGCCAATCGTATACCCAATATCCAGCCTGAAGACTCCGAAGTGTGCTGATGCCTCGCTATGCATGATCGTAGCAATTCGTAGTCTGGGTTTCTCCTAGCTATCTCTCATCTCTTTCTTGCTCTTCGCCACTTTGCTTTGGAGGGACACCCTCTGCGAAGCCATGGCATGTCCTATCTCATCCTGGACGATATCACCGAAACGGCGGCTACTGTGAGACACGACGATACCACATCAGATCATCTCATTTCTTGCCCGTTGCATACCTCTTCGTCCACTCCTTCGCCTCTTTCTCGTAGGATGCCTTGTCCTGCCTGTACTGGTCGGCTATCTTGGCCTCAACAGCATCGTCTGGATCTGGCTCTGGAAGTCATTAGTTAGCATCATATCAACCTCGAACATCCACCTCTCCGATGCTTTCCCTCTCGTAGAACATCCGAACAGGAATAGAAATACTAGAACAACATACCTCTCAACAGTTGCCTGATAAATTCCAACACAGCACTCATCTTCGTACTTGGCTTCCACTCGCTGTCCTTCAGCATACCAAGACACATCATGCCCGTGTTCGGTGGAGAATCATTGCTGACGTTTGGATGATACATTTTAGTTTTGAAGGTGACAGTCGGTGGTTTGAAAGGATAGTTTGATGGAAGATTCAGTTCGAGGTCGAATTTGCCGCCCTGTAAACGTTTCGTTCTGTGTTAGTAGAGGTCAAGATGGCAAGGAGGACAGTGTGATGATTAGTACGTACGGCGTATGGTGAGCCTGCAGGGCCCTCCATGGTGACTTTCCAGCCATGTAGGTTATTGTCGTCTTTGAGTTCGACAGTCACACCTGAGGGAGGCTTGGTGGTTAGTTCTGCAAGTTCCTGACGATGTTAGTCTCAATGTATGGTCTTCAAGAATCGTAAATCGTGCCTTGGTGATGCGTTTCTGGCCAGCGCCCGCCATGCTGAACAAGTTAGTAAATATCTAGCAGTCGAGTACTCGAGTGGTTTTTGGGAAGTGGTCTATTTATTCAAAGACCACAAAATTAATTTCTGTACCTGTCCAAAATATTCAAAGACAATATACAATTTTCAATCTGAAGAACGAGAGCAGTTGTCAGTGGATGTAGACAGAGTAGCCCCGATTGCTTGACATCTGCTCAAAGCAAAGAACAAATGATGTTGTACTGAAGTTGAATGTACTAGTAAAGCGCTACCCATGAGCTCAACCAATGAGAAGCGCCTGAAAGCTAGAAGTGCAAGGCACCATGGCACTTGCCTTGTAAACAGGCAAAAGGACCGAGAGAAGGTGGCACTAGTAAGATTCATATTACAGCAGGCTTTTGTCACTGCATGTCTTTTGCTCGCACCATCGCGATTAAATCTATTTGTTCCCGTGAATCATGCTAAAGATATGATTGGCTACCAGCTAAACAGCAGTGAATTGCTCCTATCAATCTGACTCATGTCTCCGTCCCTGTACTTTTGAAGGCTGCACATAATTGGCAGTACTCGTGAGTGAGATCAAGTACGTTTTGCGGCAAGTTTGTTGATTGGACGATACTCCTGACCTTCACAGCTCCTTCATCTTCGATGAGTCTTCGTATCGAGTAGAGCAGATCTGGCGAATATTCGGAGTACCACCTGTACTGCCAGGTAATGAGTCGAATCAATGTCGCTAATGTGTTTCTCGTGTCTCCTCGTTTCTCGTACAAACGTAGAAGGCCCGTCATAGCTTTGGGAGAGAAGCGAATGTTGAGACATTGTTGATACGCCTCGATAGACTCCGGACTGTGATGAAGTCGCTCGGCCAGGTCGCCTAGGATCTCCCATTCCGTGGCAGACTTCTTATATTGTAACTGCTGCTGCTTGTATTGTCCCATTTCCGTCCGCCAGATTGTGTAAATCCGTAAATCTTCATACAGTACCATGAACAAGTTGTCAAGCCAGCGTTCACACAGTCTTTTGTTTTGAAAGTTCGTGTAGTCTTTGTGTGGCGGATCCGGGTCTTCGTTCCCAGCTTTTACTTCTTGGGCGTTGACAGTAGGAACGGGCTTGGTCATGGAGCTCTCCGCTGCCAACATGCTATTTTCAACACCGTTGGGTTGCGCGGTTGAGCTTGGTTCTTCGGTTTCTTCTTCAGAGTCTTCTTCTGATACGTCAGGATCGGCGTGTCTCGAACCATTTGGTGTTCCGGACAAGGCTACAGTGCTGGCGTTCTTGCTGGTAGGAGCTTTGGGCGCTATGGAACTTTGCCTTTCCGAACGGTATTCCTCTTCCATGACAAAGACACGACTTCGAATCTTCAACAATTCGTCCCAACCTATGGCCGCCGCGACGGATGTAAGTATGCTGTAGGCTTTGAGGAATGTGCCTTGGTAGGTTGCGGCTTGCAGTTTACGAAGTGATATGTGTACTGAATCATACGGCTCTCCTTGTTTTGGCTGCCCTTCGTCTATCTCTTCGAGGGCTGTTTCAGGAAGGATGGGTAGAAGCACTCGAGATGGTTCGGGCATACGGGGCGAGTCCTTGTCTTGGTAGGAGAACATTGGACACGAGTTGAGCGTCAGAAGAGCCAGATCCCACTGCTGGAGGGCGACGTATACTTCAGCTAGACGAGCCCATGTGCTGAATTCACTAGGAGCAGCAGTCACACTTCTTTTTGCACATTCCAACGCCATTTCACCTTCACCTTTGCTCAGACAAAAGGCAGCCTGACAATCGAGAAGAGCATAGTCCATGGGGATATCTTGAACTGAATCGTGTAGAAGTCGAACAGCTTGAACTTCTTCGTCCCCTGCGATCAGAACTTGGGCAAGGAGCGAGGATACCTCGACATCTCTTTCTCTTAGTTTCTGGAACAGGTTCACCCCGGAGGTGTAGCGCCCGGTTGTCTTGATGTACTTCAGTAGTCCAGCTGTGAGGTGGTTTGAAACCACATTGGGCGTCTGTATTTCAGGATCTGAGCCGAGTTGTCTGCCGTTGAAGAACAGCTTCTCAGCCGCGTCCAGGAATTTGTGTTCCATTTCAGTGCTGATAATGGGATTGAATCTTCGAACTCCTATAATCTTTTTGATCTCGCTGCCGCTACCATCATCTCCGTACGAGTATGCTCTTAGCACGGCGCAAAGAAACGTCTCAAGCCACAGGCTATCTGTAGCCACCCTTCTGTCTCCTCTTTCGTCCACGCAGTAGCTTTCCACACCACCTGGAATCTTCACTTCGACTCGCATATCGAGATGGGAAAAGGCATTGTAGCAGCAGTATAGACCTGATACCACTTTGTGCGTCTTATCGGTTGGGTTGAAGGTCAAGGTGTTCACGTAAGCAGCAAGACTGGCTGAGGAGGAGGCATCGATACCGGTGACATGGTGATAGACGCCAGTCTGCTTCGAAGAGCCTTTAGCAGTCTGTTTCGTCAAGTGGACAAGATCAGGAGGACCAAGCTCGCGCAGACCCGGCAGGCTCTCTGTACGAGCGTCAACTGCAACGCCAATATCTTCGTCCTCTATTATTCTGAAAAGGTCAGCACCTTTCTTCTAGAGTAAAGCAGTCCGCATCACGGGTCTTCAGCTGCAACTCACTCTGGTATGGCCGGCGCAACCATTCTCGCAGAAGGTTCAGGTGAAGAGACTAGCCAGTTCGAAGGATAACCTGTGCTGCGAGCATGTGCAAGTGGTGTTGTCCCAGTGATTACACGAGCTTCACCAGCATGTCAATGTTCCGTGGAAGGTATAAGGGTCAGGTACTTGTGTACTGGTCTTTATCGTAGTATCGCATCTCGCTTTCCTAAAATATATATCTGGTCTGCTTCAGCTTCGCATGTCAATAGTTTGACAAGTATATGCCGTGTCCAAGTGGGCATAAAAATACCGCTGCGGCAACTATAGTCTTACTCGATGAACGTGTCCGCACTCGCGTTTGACGCGTCTCGAGGCGTCCATCAACCCTCTACTCTTTCACAATTTTCTTGGACCGCCTCGCCCTCGTGGGCCCAAGATCAGCAGATTTCTGAATGATATCCCCAAGAACTTCAGTCTTGTCCTGTTGTCTGGTCATGACAGAAGGAAATCTCTGGCGGCGTGAAGCTAACACACTGGGATTCCACGAAACGAGGGATCAGTCAATATGTCCAGCTGGTCTGCCATCAATGTCGAGGAAGAAGACGATACATCGCCCGAGGTCGACGACACAAAGGAGATCCAATTAGAGGAGGCTCTGAAACTCTACCAAAATGCCCTACGACTTCACTCTCAAGGACCAGCCTATTACCAAGCCGCAAGAGAGGCATACGATGAGCTCTTTAGCTCCGAAGTGTTCAAGTACCCAGAGGCTGCCTCTGACTTCGACCATGACTCGATAGATGAGGTCTCGCCTGTACTCACACTTCCTGTGAATGCTTCCATTGTTCCCATTGCAGCAGGCGGTGCTTCCGATAATGCCAATTCTTTGCCCCAATTATTGTATTTGGCATACAAGAGCCGTGCTCAATTCGAGATCGATACCACCTATGCCCGGCTTGATCAATCCTTGCCTCATGATCGTCCCAGTTCTTTCCAGCACTACGGACCTGCCTGCCAACGTTCGTTAGCAGATGCAGCAGCTGCCCTGGAAAGGGACGATACAGATCTGGATCTGTGGAAACGAGCCGGCAGAGTCGCCGATGTCCTGCAGACCGCCCGTGTTGTCCGCTTCTGTCTTGAGAGTGTCCTTGCAGGCGACGAGGAGGGCGACGATGCCATTGATCTGTCGGGCCTTGATGAGGCATATGCCAAGGGCGAACTGCAAGCTGTTGTCGATCTTCTTCAGGACAACTTGACTGGATCCAGATCTTCCAGCGTTCGTCCGAGAACTAGTTTGCTACACCTGCTGAAGGGAAGCAACGATCCTTATCCATGTCTGCCACCGAAGCCACACCACCTAGAGTACGTCAACGACAGCAGGCGTCCTTTGGCCATTCAGGCTGGTACAACATGCCTGCCTCTTTCTTCAGTCACATACCTGGCGGTGACTGAAGGCTTACTGCAATTACTCGCTAGTCACACATCCCTCACGTCGAGCTTTACATCAGGGACCTGTATCCAATTACAACTTCCACAAGGGAGTTTGGCAGAGGCCACTGACACGGAAATGGAAGAAGAGAAAGGAAGTGGCGGCCCTATACCTGTTGTGCCAGAATTTGACTCGCCAGCAAGCTCTCACTTAGTACTAGATAATGCTGACTTTGCACCACGATCATCACACGACAAAGCAGATAGTGATCGAGCGTCAGAAGCGATTCCACCGGCACAACAAGACGGCGAAGAAGGATCCGATCCTTCCTTGACGTTAGCAGAGCCAGTCACGTTACCGTCGAGAAAGCGCTCATCCACAGCTGCTGGTATAGACGAACCCGAAGCCCGTAGTAAGAGTAAAAGGATCAAGGCAAGAGAGTCGCTGGTTGGTACAGTTGCGCAAGAGGACGAAATACCTCGAGACCCTTCTTCGCTGCCGCAAGAACGCTTTCCCTACATTGAGAGTGCCGACGAGGACACGTTCAAGTTTGTTGACTCATTGCTTGATAGAATTGGGACCAATACTCTTGGAAGTGTTGAAAGCCTTGGACTATCCGGTCACGACGAAGTTGGCAATGCTCGTACTCTTCCACAGTCAGCTTCACAGCCACCTCTTGCACCAATCCTGAACATGAAGCAAGTCCTCAAGACATGGAACGAGGAAAAGAGTAGCGCATTCTCTTCTGGTCATGGAGGTCGTGATCATGTGGAAAAATCAACAGGTTTAATGCTTTTTCTCAAGCACTCCAAGTCGAACGTGACTAGTGAAGCCGCTGTGCCAGTAAAAGACGACGAGAAGCAGATACGCGCATTTGTCGACTCCGTCAACTGCAGGACGACGCATGTTGAGGAAGCTCTTTTCTCTTGGTTGCTAGAACTATTGACGTCGTCAGTCGAGAGAAGAGAAACGTGTCCCTACCTCCAGAATCTGTGGTCAGAACAGCTCAAGCAGGCTGTCGTTAAAGCCATCGTATTTGCTCACGAAGAACTTGTATCTTGCTTTCAAAGGTATGCGCCCCCTGCGTTATCTGCGGACGCGGCCAATTCGACTAGATTGATTGCCACATTCTCTGTCGACCGGGCAGCTGAATTTGCGCAGGCTATGTTTGAACTGCACCTCGATATATATTCAGAGGTCACCAACCCTGCCAGCACAATCGATGAAAAGGTGCGTAAACAGGAATTGTCCCGGCTGCAAGCTTGGACACAATTGGCAATGGACACGGTACAAAACCTGTCAGTCGACCGATCTAGCGTCAAAAGGCACATAGACCAAACGATCATACGCTTTCTGTGGTCGTCTGTGGCATACGCAAAGCATTCTGAATCCACGAACAAGAGTCATGTCTTGCTTTGCCTCGAAGATTTGCGTGCAATACTCAGTGAGGCGCAAGTGGAAAGCATTCGTTTGCCTAACAATACTGCAATGCCAATAATATCAGTGTCTTCTATCGAGCAGGAGGTTTCGAGGCTGAAGACACTCGACTTCTTCATGAGTGTTTTCGATAGCGACAACGATGACCCTTTATCAGTTATTCTTAAGTTAGAGCCTATCTTGGATTATAGCGAGTATGCCACGTCAACCCACTCAGACATCGACAAGGACCAGATCGAGAGTTTTCGCTCCTTCTTGAGTACTGGGGATGCCTCTTTGACACTGTTTTTGTGGAAGCGGCTTCAAAACGCCTATACTGCAATTTCATATAACACGAAGGTGGTTTCTTGCCTTTTGCGGTCGCTGGAGACAATTGTCCGTGAATTGAGCTCATTACGCACGCGCGACCTGGAAGATAGAGAACACGAAGTCACATTTCTCCGATGGTTACGGGATAGTGAGGAGCTTGTCACCAAAATCATGGGTAAGGTCTCCGACGATAACAACCCTTTCGAATGCATTGATGAGGAGCATCTGAAGTCATCCACGTCGGCTGTCGTGTACCTCACCTGTGTTGTGCATGAATTCGTCTTGGTTGATGACAGTCTCAGGTGTGGCATTGCGACGCCACCTACTCATCGTAATACAACAGCGGCCAAGAATTTTGAGAAGGCCCGAGATAGGTTTAGAGAGCTTTACGTCAAGTTATGGACCTTGCTATACTGGATGATTAAAGAAGCCACATGCCAGATGGCGGAACGTTTCGAGGATTCTACACAAGATCTGATCTTGTTCCTTCGATATGTTCATACCTCTTTAGGTCAACGACAATACTGCAAATACTGTAACAAACTCTTTGTACGTACGACAAAAGCAGAGCTGTTCACTTTCGACGTTGACCAGGATTTGTCTTTGGATATAGCCCAGGTCATCTATGATCTTTATGGAATCAGACTGTCTGCTGGCCATGGCGACACTGATCATGGCTGTCCAGCAGAAAACCTTGATCGTGACAAGCGTACAGCCCACACTCTTGTCCCGATCATCATGGATTACGTAAAGCGTCTAAACGTCAAAGACCTGCTTAGGAGTGACCTCAAAGCCACAATCGACAGAATACAGAGCGCCTTGGGACAAACAAAGTCTTCGACGGCGCTGACATTCAATCGCAAAGCAGTATCGAGCTATCTTAAGTCGGTCATCAATCCACAAGCTCTGTATCAGTGCCTTAGAGGTATTGGAGAGCTCGAAACGAGAGCAGTGCATGGAGACTTTGCAAGCATAGCTGCAACTGGATGGTACCTCCTCTTAGGCAATATGACACTAGCCAAGTACAAATCAGTGAAAAGAGTAAGCCCTATACCAACAGATGAGCTAGAGAATGCGCAGCTGTTTCTCAGACAAGATATAGAGCACGATGTCTCGCATTGGGAGTCCTGGTATCGACTTGCCCAGGTGTATGATGCCAAAATTGAAGATAGCCTGATATGGAACTCAAACAAGCTTAATGACAGCAGAGCCGACCTTGCAACGCTTGAGAGAAACGCAATTAATGCTTATACAATGGCCACCGCGACGGCGATGAGATCAGCTGAGGACAATGTTGTCACCACGAAGCTGATCAACGACATGCTCTTCGAGTTCGGAACACGAATCTACTCTTCTTCTCGACCGCCGCTCAACAGGGAAGCTTTCAACACAGAGAAAGCAGTAAGACATCTTAGTAGCTATTGGGATCAGACAATGTCAAAGCAACCCATGTTCAAACCTATTTCGGATTATAATGTGTGGTCATTTGCTGCACACCTGATTCGCAGAAGTCTTTCAGGCGAGATCAAACCATGGCTGAGATATTACATCCTCGGAAAGTGTCTGTGGAAAATGCTCAATCATCCTCTTAACCAGAAGCACAAGGAAAGGGGTCAAGGGTTTGTGGATGCGGAGGATGTCGTTGATGCTTTCACCGAAGCTGTAGCTCGTGTGCCTAAAAAAGAAAGGTCCTCGGATCCTATTCTTGAGCCACATTACAAGCTTGTATCTACCATCCACAAAATGCATGACAAGCAAATGATCACAACAGACATTGCTTTTAACTGCTTGCAAGCGAGCCAGTACGCTCAGGGTGTTCGTTTGACCAAAGCTGACCATGACAGGCCAGATTGGAACGCCTACATATTGACGGTGCTCAAGAAACTACAGAACGCTGATAAGTCAAGTTGGCATCACCGCATTACAGCTCGTGCGGCTCACATCCTCTATCACGGCGATGATGATGAGGTCGCGGCTGCCTTGGGTGCAAAATACCAGTTCCTGGATTCTATTTTCACGAAGAGCATGATGATGCAGGTCTGGAAGCCAGAATATGAACGTGCGGGTAGACACTACGTATATACTGGTCGCTATCTTCGTTTCTTCACTAAAATCTTGGAGACACTACGCGACCGAAGCAATCTTGAACAGGTAGTACGCAGAATCAGACGCAAGACAACCGATTTTGTTGATCATCCAAAGGTATGGGAGGATGCAGTGACAGCCTATGTTGAACTGCTGAGGGCTATAGGCGATGTGCCTCGTGGACGAGAGCGTGCTTTATTCGACACCATCTCGTTCGATGATTTCACCAGGGCGTCTGACAAACTTGAAACCTGGGCGCATGAATCCACAACAAGCACTCAGTACCTCGACATCATCAAAGATGCGATTGAGATGAAAAAGCTCAACAACAGTCTCATGAAGGGTCCAGCCATTGACGACCTTATTGGAGATGCCTACGCTTGCATGTATGAAATTTTCGTCTCTCAGCTTCCTCCCGAAGAGAAGGAACCAGCCGTATCCACGTCAGCCCAAGGCACGTTTGTTCAAGTTACCTCCTCGAATGCTCCTACTGGAGAGGATAGCCTCGACCGAATGCGTCTGAACAACCTTTTGGTAGGACAAATAGATGGTACAAATGCTTCAACTGACGAGTCTGCACCAGCGGCCTCAGGGCTGGGCATAGTCCCGCCTGGCAGCGAAGCTGTTGATACGCCCCCACCAGAGGTTTTACGTATGCCAGCTGCTGCGAAGCCGGGTCGTGCAAAGACCATTACAAGAAGAGAAGTACAACGCAGAGCCGAAGCAGCAATAGGCAAACCTCCGCCCATCAAGACTCCCACACTGATGAAGCGTTCGATATCGATCAATGTGCCGAGCATCAAGATGGAAGATACGACAGAAAGAGACGACGACGCTGAAGGCAGTGCTAAAGATTTAGCACATGATGCAAGCAGAGCTGGCTCGAAACAGCCTAGTATCAGTCCTCGAAACAGCCCAGCCCAGGGAGTCCGTCGTACAGAGAATGAAGGCAGTGACGGAGACAACGAAGATGAGGAAGACGAAAACGAAGACACCGAAACTGCGTCTGGGGATGAGCAGCCTGCCTCGCCTAGGAAGCCATTGTTCCCTGGTCTTATGCCGTCCGAGACTAGAGACGAGGATGAGCAGGTCGAGAGTGACGAAGAGGAGGAAGACGATGCAGATGGGGACAGAATGGCTGATGTCGAAGCTAAACAAAATACCCCTCTCGACGATGATGTCGAGATTCCAGATTCGCAGGACCCACCAGTATTGGAAAGAGAAGGTAAAGATACGAACGGGATGAGAATAGATTAGAAGGCATTGTGATAGTCCTCCAATCACAAGATGGGGCAGACTATACAATGTGGTCATTCCACCATGATCTCTAGCACGGCACCAGGCACAGTAGCTGGAGTACTTTCTGAAGCGCTAAGGACAAAACAGCATTTGCATAACTGCTGCAGGAATTGCTGCTCTCGCGTTACACGAGCTGTGGTCCCCCAGTACTGTGAACGATAAATGGCTGAGGCGAGACGCTGCCGCCTCGGGGATGCAGCCAAGACAAGGTTCGTACCTGTGAGCGTGACTTCTCAGAAGAATGCAAGGTACCTTGTTGCCGAATTGAGGAACTATGTCCACGACCTTGAAATTCTTGTTGTCTGCCACATCACATACTCGATCGTCTGCATCTCGCTCTCCCTCGATTATTCTCTCGCCTTTTGATTGCTTAATTGTTACGGAACGGTTTACTCAGTACTAAGACGATCACGATCACGATGTGCGAATATTGCTGTTCTGATTCGCAACTGCCACTGGTTCTACATCGAAGTATGAGTCGTAACGGCTACAACAACAATAACTATGTCAGCTCTAACGCCTGCCATCACCACTACCAAAACACAACCACGACTTCGTCCTCACCAGCATGCTTTGAGCTTGACAGCTGCAACAACCTTCTCGTCCCATGGACATCACAGACCTGTAACAATAGCAGCAAGAAGATCGAGGTCCTCCTCAGACAGCTTCTCAATTGCTGCATTGAAGACAGCTATTCAATTTCGCAATGCTGTGAAACCACGACCTGTGAGCAAGTCTGTCAGCATAGCAAATGCAACTTCTGCGAAAACGAGCAACGGACCGTCGTTCTCGAACTCGCCGACCTGCTGGAGCGAGTTCAAGGCGGTGGCTTCCGATGCTCCTGCGAACGTAGTGGACGATGCGGAATCCGACGATGTCATTTATCACACCACGAAACCAGGATCGAAAGCCAGGCGCTAATGGATGTATTCACCAGAATCATCGAACGTACGACTCATACACATTCACATTCGCACGCGAGCCACATGCATTGCAGCTCGTCACGGGTTCGCAGATGTGCAGGCTTTCAATTGGGAGAATCACACCTTCGGCGCCTGGTCAGCCAGCTCCTCGACGAGCTCGAGTGCAATGGACGTGCTATCTGCGAGTGTCAGAACTGCTATGAGTATCTTGAGGTCAATTCTCGACGACTGAAGCGTGAGTTGAGACAGGTTGATGTTGAATGTACTGGGCGCAAGGAGCGTTGCGTATGTGCGTTTGGTGCGACGGGTGGTGGCGGCTGCTCGTCAGAACGTTGTGAGACAATGGTGAAGACGGTTGTACGTGGGCCGGCTCCGAGGAAGCAAAGAAGTGGGAACATTCATGTGGGTTGGAACTTGTGAGCCTTCATGTAGGTCGGTATCTTGTAGCCAAGCCATCTTTACGAAGCTATTGGCAATTGAACTGGAAGCTCAGTATGAGAAGTGGCCATATGGTACGTATGGAGACAGTGCACACTTTGTACTACAGTTATGAAACGATTTGAATGACCACAGATCATTTTTGATAATATACTACTAAGCAGCAATGAACGTTTCAGATCCAGTAGTATGTAAGTATTCCCAAAGCAAGGTCAAAGAAGCTATAGTAAACAGCGTAGCTCAGAGCCGATATAGCAAATCTCCCCTTTGTGTCCATCTCATCCCAGATTTTGAAAAAGCAGATGCAGTCATATGGACTTCATCGCACAGGCACCTCATAACTCATGATCCTCCACCACCTCCTCAGCTTCGCCCATGAACTCTTCACCTCTAGCAAAGTAGACATCTGGGTCGTCGCCTGGGTCCTCCTGATCTTCATTCTCATTCTCGTTCTCTTCTTCTTCCTCCTCTTCATCATCGTCATCATCGTCATCATTGTTATCGTCCGGCTCATCTGGTACTGGATGTTTTACTTGCTGCTGTAGCTGTTGCATAGGCTGAGGCGTATTATGTGCACCTGAGCCATAGCCAGCAGGCGTATGCGTGGAAGATAGTGGTGAATCGCTCTCATCGATGATGCTGGGAACGGGCGACGGTCGTGGCATTGGCGATACTTGTCGTAGAGGTGCTGCCTGCGAAGGACCAGGAGTGAGAAGTTGTCCTGTGGTATCAGCTTGAGTTGGTCGTTCGCTCACTTCAGGTGTGGTTTCAGCTGCTGCTGCTGCTGACTCGTCGTTCGGGGCAGAGCGTGATCGAGATCGTGCCCCAGGGCTAGGTGCATCGGTGTCTGTTTCTCCCTCTGTATCATTTGAGGTCAACTTGCGCATGGTGCCGGCAAGCGTTACTCTTGCACGTCTGACATTGGAGTTTGCTGCGCCTTTGCTCGTTGCTGGTCGGAAGAAGTGGTCTGCTTCGTGGCGGGTGTCTGGGCTCTCACTTCGGCTTTCGCTGGAATCCTCGAAGCCGGGCAGGACGTATGCTTGACTGAGCTTGTCGTAGTCGACTCTCCGGGAGAATGTGCCTCGCTGCTGAAGCATTACCTGTACTGAACCACGAGCGCCTTGGCTGATGCGTTGTCTTCGCGCGTGGTCATCCTCATCTTCTTGGCCTTCCCCATCATCTTGTACATTGGGATCATTCTCGCCTCGGGCACGTTTCTTGTTTCGTGCTTCTTCGAGGTAAGCAATGTCTCCTGAGCGGCCTGCTCGCATCATTCCGTCCTTCCGACGGAGCTTTTTCAGTCGTTCTTTCTCAGGGTCTATACCCTTCTCGCGCAGCTCTCTATCCTTGAGCTCCTTCTTGATCTTCTTCGAATGTTCCAAGCGTAGCCAGTCTGCGTTTTCAGTGACCCAAATAGTCTCCTTGATGGTCCGTTCCGTCTCGTTGAGCACACAATTTGCGACGTCGGGGTCATCGTCAAATTCGTCATTCTCAATTTCGGCATTCATTTGAACACCTTTCATCGTGTTTCCGACATCGCTGTGTACGTGTGGACCAACGCCCTCCTTTGACTTTGGCGCAGGGTACATTATGTTGACCACTCCAGGCGCAGGGGCTGGAAGTTCCCTGGCAGTCTCACTTTGGGCGATGCTACCAGTCGGATCTAAAGACGCGTTTCGTCGGAGCTGATCTCTGATGTCTTCTGTGAGATCTTCCTCCTCTTGCAATTCTGCTTCAGTAGGGGCGGGTGGCTGCCAATTCTTTGCGCCCTTTGGTTTACCAACTTTCCTCTTCTGGGGTTGATCCGGTTGCGGCGTCCTACTTGGTCTGACAGGCAGTTCAGGGACAGCAAAGCCATCAGCATCGACCCTCGGTCGTTTGGCTGGCGGCTGCTCAGTGTCTTCCTCCTCGTCCTCTTCACCATCCCCTGAATCGTTGTCTGTGTCTGTCGGCGGCTCTTCTCCGGTTTCGATCTCCGCAGCAGTCTCAGGTAACTGTCCACCATTCCGTCCTCGCTTCCTCTTCTTTGCAGCTTGCTTTTCTTGCCACTCAGGCAACTTCTGGTAGTAAGAAGGAGGCATAGTTTCCTGATCGACTTGTGCTGTGTCCTGATCAATTGCACGAAAAGCTTCCACAGACATCTTACTGCTCTTCGTCTCTTTGAATTCCTCTATTCTTTTGCTCAAGGTAATCTCAGTAACCTTGGCCACTAGCACGACCTCACGTAGTGTTCGACGGAAATTGTTCATTCGTGCTGCAATAATAACGGCAGCTCCAGCCACACCAGCTGGACGTCGTCCTGTGGTCATCCAGTCTCTGTTCATGGTCTTTGTGACGTTCACGGCATCCTTTTTCACACGCATGGTCATCTCGCCAAAGTCTAGTTTGTCGCAAAACCGTTCGATGAGGTCTTCCGGATCTTGTAAGTTCAAGCTGTGGTTGTCTCTAGACATGGCTTCCTGCTCCTGAGTCAACTCTGCTTTTCGTTCTTCGGTAGCATCTTTCTTTTTGTCCTCAAGCTCCTGCCACTTGTGACCCAGGCTTTCAGTGAGGTAGAGCATGCGCTGGAGGTCTTTGGCCATTTTTCCTAGCTCGAAGACATTAAGTTGAGGCTGTGACGCCTCGGCAAAGTCAATGAGCATCAGTGCATACTTTCCACCGCCTCGCGCTCGCCGTACAGCTAGATAAAGGCTTACAACTGCCATGCTTTCCAGTGTTCGTCCTCGGTAGAAATGCATACTGTAGGCTGTCTTGAAGATCCACATCGCAGTCTTAACTGCTGGTTCATGGATGCCCAAAGCACTTGCTAGAGTCGTGAATTTACTTCGAGCCGTGCTTTCCGCATTTTGCGCAGTGGTATTACCTTCATGTCCAACATGTCCTGTACCAGACACTCTCAACGCGTATTGACGCTGATGAGTCTGGTCTCCACGAACGACTTGACCTCTGGTTGTTATGCCGGCTGATGTTTCATCGAATTCAATTTCAGCTCGAAAATTTCCGTCTTGCTCGAGGACAACACCACACGAGCGACAAACAAGAGAACCTTCTTCACGTTCGATGGTCCTTTGTCCGCAATGAGTGCACTTTGGAGGACCTGGTGTCGATGATCTGCTTCGTGATCGAGCCGGGGCCAGGGATGGAGCTGGAGATGCCCGGGGTGGTCGAACCACACCCGGGCGTCTCTGATATCTAGGCGGCGCAACTACGGCGCTCATAGTCAATTCTTCAATGGACTATTTTCCCAGCATTTTCAATAGCCTGTTCGGCTACAGTGCAGTACCAATAGTCATGAACGCGCTCGTTGCCTGGTTTCGTTTTCAGCCCAGTGGCAACAGTATGCACAGCAAACGATATGTGTTAGTCATTGGCCTCAGAAAGAGAAGTGATTGCTCGCGAACGACGAAAGGCTTTAAAGTGTCTTAGCGCGTCAATACAGCGAAGCACGGCGTCCCTATGCGCGTTGCCTGTGAACTTCTCCTTGGGACAACACTTTGTTAATTCGGGCAGTGTCTGAGTGCAAACATGGCAAATTTAGGAGAGAGGAAGGAAGGAATACGTGGCTATCTTTCATTCAAGCAGTATAACTTGTGTTCCATGAGTCAGCGACTAACCCATGAAATGCCGGCTCAGACACTGAACCTGAATTTCTGAGCAGATCTACGTTGCTATATTGCGTATGCTAACTCGCATCAAGGTCCTTGGTAGTACTTTGTCCATGACGCATCAAAGGTCTTCTCATCGATTGCAAAAGCTCGAATGTAGTCCCTCTCTAGGTCGTGAGCTCTTTTGCCAAGCAGTACCAGGCTGTGGAGAGGTGGTCCCAGATCTGCTTGCGACAATTCTTGCAGGGTGCCGCAAGCCAACCTCTGTTCCTTCGATCCTACTCTGGCAGCTCCGACTGCAAGACTGTCAGGTGCATATACTTGCTCTTTGCGCTCGTCTTCTATCTCAAGCATCTGGGAAGCGCATTGCGCAACAGTCATATACCTTGGTGGCTGGTATACTTTTCGTCCTCGCGCCATGTCCTCGTAGCTTTGCTCTTTGACCTTAATGTCAACTAACACCAACGTGTGCAGGCCAATGGACACATTCTCTTTGATGCGATCGTAGAACGATGATGGACGCCAGTTGTCCGTGAAAAAGACCATGCTCACAGTCTGACCGAAGTTGTACAATTGCAGGCCTGTGCTGCCGATGGCCGACAGGATAGAGGCATTGGGTATGCTTTGTATAGGTATAGAGAGCTCTCGCGCTCGAAGAACAAGATCTGTGTGGGTTGTAGCTCCAAATGGATCACCTACCACAAGGAAGGCTATATCTTTCTCTTGTGCATCTTGAAGAATATCGTCACTTCCCGTCTCAACAGTCTCACGATCGGCGATGATCACGTCACGACCATAGAACGATTCCTACCTTTCTGTCAGAATGTCAGCACCAGAGACATACTCGCCCACCATGCTCAGCCTACCAATTTTTCCTTGTCAACTAGCAGAATGCTGGTATAGGCTTCCAAGTAGACACGTTCGGCGCGCTTCACGATCTCAAGACCTTTGACAGTGATATCTGTCTCATCGGCAAGCCCTAAGCCGATGAGGTAGAGCATTGTGTACAGATGTGGTTTAACTGCAGAGCAGACACACCAAAAGTTCAGCAAGCTGCAACGGACAATTGTTCATTGTCAACGGTGTAGCACAAGAGCAGAAGCTGCAGACGCGCCTCGAATGCCGTCCGAGTTCAAGTTGCCGGTGTGTTCGCGCTTGACTACGAATAAGCAAGGAAGCCTGAGTTGACGTTTCAACACCTTTTACTTTTCGACTTCGATTCATACATGCCCAGACCAAAGTCGACGTTCTCTCGACCTCTTGACCATTGTCGCGGTGCTCTGACTGCTGCAATATCGATGTAGCGCTGCAACAGACTTTAGTTTTCCACACAAGAAGTCGCAGAATTGGTCAGGGGCCTGAAATGGTCAAGTCACCATGGCCGCAGAGAAGAATGCCAAATATCGGCAGGAGATTCAGATGGTGAGTACTTGCATCCTCACACTTGGACAGTTTCTTGTTTGGAGGCCTTTTGGGGTTTTAGTAGCTACACTGCCTGTGGCCTGTACGGAAGATGTTGCATTTTTAGCAAAACCTACTTCTGGCTGTACTACTTCTCTATGGCCGTAACAAGCAGATGCAACGCTCTCGCAAACAGGTTCGTGAGTATGGTACCTGCGACTTTCTTTGGGAACCAGAATGGCATTCACCTGTTACAGAACTTCCTCGTCTACCCCAGTACGAGTTGTAGACGATGAGCGAGATACAGAGGCTGACACCGTGGATGACATAGATGATGTACGTGAGTGGAGAGACGGCAGAACCTAGTGCTGAGACAACTTATCTCATCGAGGAGATTGTTCGTGAACAAGTCGTGGAGATGGTAGGTGAGGAACTCCGAGCAATCCTTACGAGGCTGACTGGGATAGCTGAAAGAAGCGACAGCCCTGGCGAATAGGCGTGGCTCGAAATCGATCTCTATCGTAGATCTCATATTCCAGATACGCCATAATGCGGCTAAGGTCTCGAGGTTAAAGACATTCCTTTCGTGGAAGGATGTCAGGAAAAACGTCAAAGACTCCGACGATAAAGGTGGTGGTGACGCTGATGCTATCGATCTAGAAGATGTGAGGGTCCTCGCGACTTCAAAATACGTCCTGCTAACTCCGTGCAGAGCGCCAACCTTCCAGGAGCTAACTCTGGTCCCACGCAAAAATCGAGCTCCAACAAGAAGGCCAAGCTCATGCTACCCTGGGAAATTTACTCATACTACTCGGAACAGGTGCCAGAACGAGAAGACGAGGAAGACGAGGAAGAGGAAGAGCAGAATGATGCGACACTTGCACGTCTAGCTGCAGCTGACGAGCGAACGAAGAATATGACCAGAGACCAGTATGTATATTGGTCTGAATGCAGACAGGCTAGCTTCACCTTTAGAAAAGGCAAACGTTTCAGAGAATGGGCCGGTTTTGGCACGGTCATTGACAGCAAGCCCAACGACGACGTAGTCGACATTCTTGGCTTCTTGACTTTCGAGATTGTTCAGACGTTGACAGAAGAGGCACTAAGGGTCAAAGCAATCGAAGACTTGGCGAATAAGAAGGCGAACAGTGGACGTGGAGACGCAGAAGCATCGAAGAAGCGCAAGCGTGAAGGCTGCTCGCTGTTTGAGATGCCCGAAGAAGGGAGATCTCCAGTTGATTGCAGACACGTCAAGGAAGCCTTTCGTCGTCTTCAGCTCATCCCAAAAAGATACACCTTCTTACGACCAAGGAACGCGGGCATGAGGACAACATTGCGACTGATTTAAGGGAGACCATGATGTTCAAGACCAGGCGCAAGGCGTTTTTATGATTATGTTTTGTCTAGATACCCTCTTGGCCAGGATTGGTGTGTGGGATTTATCATTTACCAAACGACCGGGAACGAGCTCGGGGCTTATCGGGTACGGCAAACCGTTACTCGATCGTAAAACGCTAATCATCTACAGCGACCTGCATATGCGTGTAGATAAGAACCGTGTAGACATTCGTCTTGAGCATCCTACCGACCTGTATCGATCTTCCCGCATCCAATGGATCGTGGGCAGGAGTTGTCTTTACTCCCATTTCTCCATTATCTAACCAGCATCCCTTAGTCGAGTGGAGGGCATGGACTGCAGCACTTCCCACAAGTAGCACTCTATGTCTACCGACTCGCACTCCCCGCAGGCAGGACTCAAGAGGGCCTATGCACCAGACGATGGTGCTGCAGAGCCCAACGCGCCGGCATCCTCTCCACCGACCAACGCAGCGAACGCAACGTCGGCGTTTCGTAATGTCTCTGCTTGCAACCGGTGTCGCGTGAGGAAGAACAGATGCGATCAGCAACTGCCCGCCTGCTCGGCCTGTACCAAGGCCAATGTTCGTTGTGTTGGTTACGATCCTATCACGAAGCGAGAGATCCCTCGCTCCTACGTATATTTCCTTGAGACCAGACTCAATTACTTCGAGACCCTTTTAAAAGAGCATAATGTCACCTATGATTCAGCGACTGTCTTTGATGCTGATTCTAAACAGCTTGGGAATCCACCAACTCATGCGCCAGCTAGGCGGACAGGGCATGGCACTAAAGATCGTTCACAAAGCACGGACGTGGAAAGTACGCGCGAGAAACAAGAAGACGAGAAGCTGAACCGCTTGGTTTCGAATATTGGCATGGTATCAGTTCAGGGAACCTCAGACTCTCGGTATTTGGGCTCAACATCTGGCATATCCTTTGCTCGTGTCGTTCTTTCTGCGGTCAAAAAGGCCAGTCCTGCTGGAAGTGGTGACAAGTCCGGTTCCAAGCTGAATAAGTCTGTTGCAGCTACAGGCACAAAAGGCAGCTCGATGCGTGATTCGTACTTTGGCCTACAGACAAAACCACAGATTAAAGAAGCTCCATTTCCAAATCGCGAACTAGGAGAGCGGCTGGCCACGTTATACTTCGAGCATGCTAACCCACAAATACCAATACTGCATCGTGAAGAGTTCAGTGACATGTTTGAGAAGGCATACTCCGTTGATGCAAGCTCTAGAACACCTCAGCAACTCTATATCCTCAACATTGTCTACGCAATTGGTGCTGGTATTATCTGGGGTTCATCCGACAATGAAGGAGGCACTAGCGGATATAGTACAAAACGTGCTCGACTAGACAATCAACAAGCACAGCCAGAAGAATATCATGCATCGGCGATCGTGCACCTAAGCGCTTTCCTCAGTGCGAACGGTGCAAGCAACGAAGAAGGTGGTGGAGGTGATCTGGAAGAGTTGCAAGCAGTTCTTCTACTCGCAGGCTTCGCCTTACTTCGTCCTGTCGCTCCAGGTTTGTGGTATATAGTTGGTGTAGCAATGAGGCAGGCTATTGACCTCGGACTGCATTATGAAGACGGCTCAGGACTAAACAATGTTGGACCGGCTCTACAAGGATTTGACGACCCTAGCTCAGCCCGAGCTCAACTGGTAGGTAAACGCCAGTGGATCCGTGATCTTCGGCGGCGATTGTGGTGGTGCACTTACACGTTCGATAGGCTGGTTAGCACCTGTGTCGGACGACCGTTTGGTATCACGGATCAAGTCATTACTACAGAGTTTCCATCGGCATTAGATGACAGATATATCACCAGATCTGGCATTTCTGTTGACGCTGCCAGCACCGAACCAAGCTACAAGCGAGTTTCCTATCACTACTTTCGCTTAAGATTGTTGCAGTCAGAAATCCTTCAGGTTCTCCAATATGAACAGGCCCAGATGGCACGAATGAAAGGCTGGAATCGTCATAATGACTACATGCACAAGAACCTGCCATCCCCTTTCCTGGTGAAGCACAAATCTTTCAAATCATGGCGGCGGGATATTGATCAGCGTCTCTTTGAATGGAAGGAATCAGCGCCAACCCAGGCTGAGACAGGTGTCGCGTTCTCTCATCAATTTCTCGAACTCAACTATTGGCAGGCTGTCACGATGTTGTACCGCCAAAGTTTGTCGGTGCCTCCTCCATTTGCTAGTGAGCTGAGTCCAACAGAAGATGTGACAAGCCCTTCCAGTGTGATGACGGAGGACAAGGAGGATGAAGATTTGGTGTTCTTGAAGTGCGCAGAAGCTGGTCAGAAGACATTGAAACTCTATAGACAGCTTCACAGGCAGAGACTGGTCAACTACACGTACCTTGCAACACACCACCTGTTCATGGCGGGCATCGCGTTCCTGTATGCGGTGTGGCACTCGCCTGCTGTTCGGAGCCGCATCACCCTCGATGACTTTGACTTTACTGTGTTAGCAGCCACGTCGGTTTTGGGAGACCTGATGACTAAGTGTCCGCCTGCAGAAGCATGTCGAGATGCGTTTGAGAGAATGTCCAAGGTCACGTACCAGATCTGTATATCCGCATCAGGTTTCGGATTCGGTACGACAGAGCAGCCCGGCAGGTTACAAGCAGAACCAACCATTTCTAAACAAGGCGCATTCACGCAGCACAGCTCAAGTCCATTGAATTCCAGACCTGCCATGCGACCACTTGCGAAGAGACCTCCTCCTAAGTTCGACATGGACCTCAGGGACCTGTTTCCCGAAGGACTCCATTCCACGTCGAGAACAAACACTCCTCCGCAACGACAACGGTCGAATGCTCGACGGAATGCTCGTCCAACTGGAGCTAGCTTACACAGAAAGACCTCTCATCCACAAGCCCCGCCTTTGACATCGATTCCCTGCCAGGATACCACGATGAGCGACACAGACGAGTCAGGCATGCAGAATAGCATGGCTACTTTTCAGGGACCTTATGAAGTGTATGCTGGAGCTCAACAAGACCTACAAGAGCCTTCCTTCTCCATGGATCCTAGTTCAAACAGCTACAATCCTGACTTCATGTCTAATCTCCCAGGGCTGGAATTTCTAGGCAACTTGGATCAAGATCTATCACGGAACGTATCTAATCTCGGCATGGCACAGTCGGCTGGGCAATCGTTGATCGATCCCAACCTCGATGGAGCCTGGCTGGATATTGGATTGAGTGGAAGTGCAGATGGTGATGCGGAATCTGAATGGGGGCTGGGGTCTGGATTGGGTGTAGGTGTAGGCATGGGACTGGATTTTGGGCCACAGCACGACTGGTCGAACGGGCAGGGAGGGTATGATCTGTTTGATGGTTTCTTCTTTAGTGGCGACGATGGTGGTGGTGGTGGTACTGGTACCAGCACTCGATAATGAGTGTGGTGCATAACTCCAAAGTGAGCTGCAAGTACTCATTAATCACTCTCACACATCCACAAGCCGGTCGAAAGGTTCACAATGTCACAATTTGGCATATCGAAGCTGACGAAAGCTGAAACAAGGACCACAACCCCCTCGTCCATTTCGCTCTGGACATAAGAAAGTTTTATCTCGCAAAGTTGAATCAAGCTGGTTGGGATTCGCGGATTGGGCAGGAGCAGTTGACGTTTTTGCCAGAGTTATCCACTAGTAGCCCACTTTCCGTTTTCAATGCCCGCGATATGGATTTTCTCTCGCATTTCTTCCGGCTGGCCATACCCAAACAGGAAACGCAGGAGCTCGACGATTTTCGTAGGTGAGAGACTAACAACAATTGCTGGTAGTCGCAGTGCAGACAGCAAGTATCTTTTTATGCGCACAGCCAGTGTCAAGTCCTTTTCCCATCGCTGCTTGTCCAATTTTCAACTTGTCGTCGAGGTCGTTTTACAATATTGTCCAACGATTACTGTTTCCAATTCTGTATAGTACGACAGGGTTGCTATTTACGCCGCACACCCAGCCCCAGCAGCATTGCAAGTGTAACAAGTGCGTCATTCCGAACCTGACAGCGATCTTGCTTCTCCAACCTGGTAAAATCAGCGACGTTTTCCGAGCATCAGTCAAGTCATTGACACACTTGCCGACACTCCCCCGACTTTGTCCCAACCTGCGCCATCGACCTCGAGACTTACGATCTGAAGCTGTCTGCGGAGAACAAGGTCGACTTGACCGTGTGTGAGCTCATGAGAGAGAGCTAGGCCGCCGTTCGAGCGCACAGAAGTAGCCAGGTGCTCTCAACACCTCGCCCTCCGTCACCATGGCGCAGGCTGGTGTCAACCCTCACACCGCAGCAGACTTGCTCAGGCAAGCCATGGCTCAAAAGTACGTCCGTCACTTCTTTACTATCCCAAGTGCAACGCAGACTGTTTGAATTGAGAAATCCTATACTGCATGTGCACTTTTCGAGGTGAATCACATGCCGCGACCATGCACATGAGAGAAGCGTGTGCAAATTCTCAGCAGGCCTCAGTCGACACATTCGTCGCGTCTCCAAGCCTTGAAAAGCCTCTCGTCACTCATGTCTTATTGTTGCTGACCCGCTCGTAACAGTGTTGCTCGACATAGCGGTGAAAGAGACCCGATGCACGAACAACTCCTCTCCGGCGCTCCTACGCCCTCAGGCGTCGAGACACCTCGACCCGATTTTCAGGACAAACGCATGCCTGGTATAGTGCATGGCTATTTTGGACAGGTGGGTAACCGGGCTCTATTCCAACTGCCTCGATCCAAATCCTACAAATCATCCATCACCACTTCCCAGCCTGCTACTACCCCCACTGTCAAAACTGGGCCCAAGCCATATCCTGCAAAACCTGCGCGTAGAAACAGCCAGCCTAGCCGCTGCGTCTCGACTGCTTCCATGGACTCTCTGGTCAAGGTGGATCGCTACCGGAATATCGACACACCACCTGATTCTGACGACTTGAATTTCGATGCACAAGAGCTGGATCAAACACAAGACAAGTCAACTCAGCCGCCGACACCTATTTCTTCTGATCCCTATGAGGTACAGAAAGACGGTGGATCCGCTGAGAATGGTGGCCCACTCGTCGATGGAGGTCTTGCATCCATCACACAAGCCCTCAGGAACTTTGTCCGGCCAAAAACGAGTGCGAACCGCCATCAATCGTTACCGACCTCAGGCATATCAAGAGATTCCGTACCTGCTGCTCATATTTCTAGCCCTATCTCATCCCTGCAATCTCCGCAATCTACACATCCCTCATCTCCTCCACCTCCTAAGAACATGCACTCCTCCGTTTCTATACAGGATCTGAATAAGCTGACTTTGGACGCGGCCGAAAAGACTACGAATACTCCCCCTCTTACTCCGAGGGCTCTTTCTCAAACTGACGAGGCCCGTGCTCGATCACCACGATCCAATGTAAGCCTTGCCGCATCCGATGATGGCGCAAGCAGCCAGAATACCTCGGCCGTTCGACCAGGCGATTCCGTACCGATCGGTGCTCCTAGAGGCAAAGTCAAGGTTAGGATAGCAGAGGGAAAAGGTTTGCGACCATCGGTAGAACCTTATTGTGTTTGTGTCTTTGAGTGGAACGAATATATCTCGCAGGGCCCTAAGCAAGACCAGATGGATATAGATGAGAAGAAGCCATCTATGGCCAATCTATCCTCCGTTCACATGAAGCGGACGGACAGCGATATTGCAAGAACTATGGCCATTCCCATGAGAAGTCGCCAGAGCAGTACCAATGGCCTAGACGAGAATCGAGGCCTGGAAAAAATGACAGATCCTCAATGGAACAACGAAGCGACGTTGTGAGTTTTTTACAGATTTTCTATCTGCACTTTCACTAACACTTGTCTTAGTGACGTAGTCAGTCAGCGCTCGGACGTTGATATTTCCGTTTACGACAGACGATCTGGCTCCAACGAAGACATCTTTCTCGGTCATGTCCGCACAAGTGTGCAACTAAACGAGCAAAACCCAACCTTCGAAAGATGGATGCCCCTCCAGGCTCGCGCGCCTGAAGATCAACACATCACGGGAGAAATACTTATCAAGATGCAGTTTTCCACGGGCGACAAGAAGCAGTTTGGTCCCAATGATTTCCAGATCCTCAAATTAGTCGGCAAGGGCACTTTCGGTCAAGTCTACCAAGTACGAAAGAAAGATACTGGAAGGATATATGCCATGAAGGTCTTATCGAAGAAGGTTATCATACAGAAGAAAGAGGTTGCGCATACTTTAGGAGAAAGAAACATCCTTGTAAGAACAGCAACAACTGACTCACCCTTCATTGTGGGCTTGAAGTTCTCCTTTCAAACGCCACAAGATCTGTATCTCGTCACAGATTTCATGTCTGGCGGAGAGCTGTTCTGGCATCTTCAGAAGGAAGGCAGGTTCAAGGAAGATCGAGCAAAATTCTACATCGCAGAACTGATTCTAGCTTTGAAACACCTCCATCAACACGATATAGTCTACAGAGATCTCAAGCCAGAGAACATCCTCCTCGACGCGAACGGGCACATTGCCCTGTGCGATTTTGGTTTGTCGAAAGCTAATCTCACAAAGAACGATACTACGAACACTTTCTGTGGTACCACGGAATATTTGGCCCCGGAAGTATTGCTCGATGAAGCTGGATACACCAAAATGGTTGACTTCTGGTCACTAGGTGTATTAGTCTTTGAGATGTGCTGTGGATGGTCACCTTTCTATGCGGAGGACACTCAACAGATGTATAAAAACATTGCGTTCGGCAAGGTGCGATTTCCACGAGATGCTCTGTCCACCGAAGGTCGAAACTTCGTAAAGGGTCTACTCAACAGAAATCCGAAACATAGACTAGGAGCGAACAGGGATGCAGACGAGCTGATCGAGCACCCATTCTTTGCGGATGTTGACTGGACTGCGCTGGGCAAGAAGAATCTTGTGCCACCATTCAAACCAAAACTAACATCCCTGGCCGACACATCACACTTCGACCCCGAATTTACAAATGCACTCAACACCTCCCAATCGCTAAACGCACGAGCACAAGCACTAGCTGGACAGGGCGTGCCGGCCTCGACACCATTATCACCGACAATGCAGAATGCCTTCAAGGGCTTCACATTTGTGGATGATAGCGCATTGGAACAGCACATGGGCGACCGCGGCAATGATTATGGCGACGACCTGAACCTAACAAGAACCAGGACCAATCAGAGTACAGCTGGAAATAGAATGTCCGGCATACAACGAACTGGCACACAAGACGATGGCATGTTCGATGGGGAGAACTGGGAAATGTGAGAGACATTGTCTGACGAAGTTTCATCCCTGAAATTGCAGCAAGCCAGAGCAGCATGATTCGACCACGATGTATACGATGGGATCATGATGCATGTGACAAAAACGGCCAACGAGAACTCGATTACTGATGAGACACGATATCTATTGATAACTTGCGGCGTTGGAGGGCATTTGAAAGATATGACTCAAAAGCACGTTCGTATTGAAAGAGTATGTGAATGAAAGTGTGGGAATTGTCCTGACCTTTGCCTGGGTAGGGCATGGAGGCTGTAGTATAGCGCTCGTATAGGTACACCCAAGAAAGTGTGGACATAAGGAGTGGCTCACGTATTCATAATTAGTGTTATGGCAAGCACTTTAAGGTGTTGATTCAGGAGTACATAAGTTATTCTTACACTGCTATGTGGTTGATCTCGCACCACGGAGCGTTAAAGCATGAGCTATAGATACTTGTGCAATTTTATGACAATGGAGTAGTCCTTGATGTTGTATATCTTTTTTACTGGCCGCTATTGAGATTGTGTGATGTCCAACCACCGGCAAGTCAGCGATTACGAGCTGACCATCCATTCTTTCCTCCTCGAAGTCTGTCTCTCTATGAGATCTGATATTCACAACGTCGACACCTTCGATGGATTTCAGACCGTGCGGGAGCAAAGCTGCAGCCGTGTGTCTCGATAGGGTTCAACGTGCTCTAAATACCAGTACCTGGTAACCGCTCTATCCTTCTACGACAACCTGCACTCCCTCTTCACCTGAAGCAAGCCCCTCGGAGACGACATGGTCGACGTCGCCTGTCTGCCCTCAAGAGTGGAAGTCTTTGATAAGGTAAGATCCAAGACGACAACCTCACAATTCTCAGCCGACCGACAACGCGGCTACCGCCCCATCGCTACACCCCTGTCGTTGACGTCACCCCGCCATGTGGTCTCGCAGAAAATCCTGGCACAAGTTCTGCTGTTCCTTCGCACCACAAGGAACCCTGCACATGCTGCTGCTTGACGCACCTGTATCATCGCACATGAGACGATCCTTGTGTGTTTTTGCGACAGGGAACATGGCCCAAGCCACGGTTGGCAGCAGGACCTGTGACATCAGCCACAGGTTTTGGCTGTGACGAACACTTTGCGTGTTTGGTTAAAGGTTGGGACGTCGCGTGTGGTTATCGTGGTTTTCTGCTATTGTTGACTGATATACTTACTTGACACTTGCAATTTCGAGGATTGTGCTGTTTGTCGTCGCTGTTGATCGCTGATTCAAAAGTTGTTACCTGATACCACATCAAACACACAATCTCAAACATGGAGTCCGCAAAGAACTATTACAACAAACAGTATGAAAACTGGGTGCCATGGCTGGAGGATAAGTACCTCGCCTGGTTTGGCCAGAATAAGACGAGCTACGTTGCTCAAGGTTAGCATTGTCGTCTCCTACCATCGCGTCGCAAGTGCTGATTTTCTCCCAGATAACCTCGACAAGACCAAGATCACTGGTGATAAGAACGTCGACGCAATCCAAGATGGTGTAAACAAGGGCGTGACTGGACAGTTTGAGAAAGGTGGTGCGCTGGAAGGTGTTGGCAATTTGGCAAGCACAGAGGTGTTCACGAGAAGTGAGAGAGGTGGAAAGAATGATAAGGGAAGCTTTGGACTGTGAACATGATTTTTAACGTTTCTGCTATTACGATTGATTTGATGGTTCATAGAACCACAGGTTATGATGGTGTTTAGGAGTGGGATTGTGGTTCGTCAAGTGTTCAATTCAAATAGCTGCTGTCGGTAGTATTTGACCTTCTTGATCTGAAAAACTGCAGCAGTACTGCTCTGATATGTTCTCGTAAAGTTTTGTCGCACATACAACGCTTTCTTGTGTACAATTTGGTTATATAATCTGTTTAACCAGGGCCAGTCTTCGTGCCGAGTAGAGTAACGTACTATACCTGTCGTTGCTCGACGCGAATTATTGTGTGCCTGCCCTTATGGTGATTGCTTTACCGAATCATACAGTCTATGACCTGGCAAAGACTGTGGCATGACTACCACACGTTCCAATGCCAGCCGTGCCAGCTTCTGCTAGACACAGCGACTTGCGGGCTGGATTGTCACAACCGTCGAAGCTAGCTGAGTGGGGTCCACCACGAGGTGAACGCGTCTTCTTCAGGGTTTCTTGAAAACCCAATTTTACCTACCTTCTTTCCCATACGTGATGCAGCGCTGACGATGCGTGTAGGAGTCTTCCGTCAGTACTTCATGGTAACGTTCTTGGTCGGCTCTGCTGTTGTGGTCGAGGACATCGGCGAAGGAATACAACAATCAGATGAGGAAGGATGAAAGAACCCATGTCGAATAGAGTAATGAGCCTTCTGCTCAGGATTCAGTGTTTGCAGCGACTATTGCGTTCTGTCCTGGTCCTTGTCTTATCATACTATGTGGGTTGAATACTTCGCTGGTTCATACCATCCAGACACGGCATACATTCAGGCATCAGGAGGACATCTTCTCTTCATTTGCAATGCGAACGGCTCTCATAGGTAGGCGCCGCCGAAAGAATGAGGCAACAGTATTTCCGGATCGTGACTTCCACTTCGGACTGTACTCACATTTTCAGGTGACATTCAAACGACTGTCCCAGTTGAGTGCCCGGGATGCTGTTCTATGTTACTGGAAAATACTGGTACCACGGCGTGTTTCTACAGCCCGTTATGCTGACTGATACCTCTTCATTACGAGTACTCCTTTTGACGGTCTGTAGCACTTACACCAAGTAATACCAATCAGCAATGGATCCCACTCCAGCACCCAAGAAGTCTAAGACATCGCGCAAACGCAAGCGAGACAATATAGCACGACAACCAAAACGATACTGTTTCCCATTCTTTGCGAATCAGCAATTGAATCCGAAGGAATTCCCTCCGAGTATACACTACATATTCGCGCGACTCAAAATCGTCATGACGGACTGACCTATAACCACAGATCTTAGCTTGCCAGTTGGCAAGCCCGGGTGGACGCCCGCACCCAAAAAGGTCGCGGAAACCATAGACGAGTTGTGGGAAGAAGATGGAGATTTCCAAGCCAGAGATCATGTTGACATCGATATTCAGGTAAGTGGGCACCAAAATATACTCGGGAGGACGTCCGTACTCTGCAGGAATTCTTCGCATATGTTGTCTCAGAATAATTAACAACCTCACTAAAACTTGTCTTTAGGGTCACAATCGACTCAAATTATTCACACATATGCCTGCAAATCGCAATTCTTACAAGACGCTGAAGATGACTGGAGGGCATCCCGCACTTGCAAAAAAGGTCACGGCTGAACTGGATTCCGATGATAAGCTCATCGTACGGATGAAGAATGCTAAATACCTCGAGAAGGACATTGCACAGAAGCTAGTGGACGAAGGCCGAATCAAGTACAATGCAAAAACAATCGGGACACGTTACGCTCGACTCAAAAAGAAGCTTGAAGAGAAGCAAGACGAGCTTCTAGATGCCGATCTCTCTGACTGGCACGATGGAGATGTAAAGCCACTACTCCCCTAGTGTCTCACTATGTTTTAACTGAAGGCAGGACGATGCTCTCAAGCAGGCTAAGCAGCAGGCAGACGCTATCGTCGACAAAATGGTAGCTGAAATCGAAGCCAAGAGGTGGAAGATTGTCAAAGAGAATCTGAGGAAGATCAAGGTATATATACCATGAATCGGATGTGAGTCTTGATTAACGTGTTTGCAGCCTGTCACGAACTTCAGCCAGAAGGCTTGCAAGACAAGGTTCGACGCACTTCAACAAGGAAAAGCCAAAGCAACCCCAGAATCCATCTTGAATCCAAACGACGAGATTCGAGCACGAATCGCTGCACGCATGGAGAGAGAGGCCATGATCGAGAAGGATAAGGAAGATTTCAGAAGAGACAAGCATACTGATCCTGAGACTGCAGCTCTCCTCATGGCAAACTTGGAAGGGAACGCCTGGAATTCTAAGATGAAGTCGTAACACTAGCAGAGTTCACGTCGTCGAAGAGCTGAACTCGCAAACGCAACATCATAAAGGAAGCTTCGAGAACACAAAACAAAACAACTAATAAGGGGAAAATACGGAAGCAAGCTGGAAAATCAATATTTAAGAACGACATACATGCGGTGAGAGTATCCCAATGAGTCATATAGCAGCGAACATACATATCACATCAAGCTCTCGAATAGCATCAAAGCAATGAAACAGTTCTCATGAAGATCGTAGTCACGGAGACCTAACAGTGGCACTTTTTGCAACTCCTTTCTGTGGCTTGTTGCACGATTCTTCGCCTATTGTTACAAGGCAAAAAGGCAAAGCTCAATTAAGAGATTGGCCTGGAGAGGATCCTCTTTGCGGGGACCCTTCGCCGTCCGCCGAGCACGCGCCACTGGAGTGATGCCTGCACACCTCTTGCTAGAGCTGCCACATTGATAGAGGGAAATGCCAGTCAATACGGCAAATAGACTGAGATTGTCTCAATGTTGACAATTAACCTGATTCGCGATGCACTCCGCCAAGCGCGTCTGGCGGACATACAAAAGTCGTGCCTCTTTCTGCAACTCTCTCTTTCCTTCCTTCACGCACCCAGAGCAGGCAAAGCAGTCAGCGTCCGCGGTCTCTACTCATCATAGAGACTCGTACGTTAAGTCATTCGTTTACCTTTCAACGTTGCTGTTGCTTTCACCGTAGCAGCACCTGAAGGAGTCATTCGATTGACTTCGCAGCTCCCCAATCACATGGTTACTCCCTCGTGTGTATAATTCAGCGTCAACTCACCCTCTCGACCCTCATCACGCTCTCTACTTCTGCCTAGGTTTCTTCCGCCGCCCGATCATTCTTCCTGCTCAGCTTCACTTGCTCAGCTCATATTAATCCCACGATTTCCTCCGTCAACCGCGCGATGTTCAAACGATCGTTCACTACCGAGAATGGTCGCGTGGCCAAATCAAAGTTGACTAAGAAGTCGTTTCCTGAACACGTGAAGAGGAAGATGCAAGACAGTTTGAGCAGTCCGAAAAGTCCGCAGGGTGAGAGGTAGGATTATAGCCACAATGATCGCAACCTCTGCTAACGAAACATAGCCAACTCAATAGCCCTATCATCACAATGGTGGTAGGTCGTGATCAGCGCTTGTTCGCTGCTCACGAGGACGTTCTCTGCCGTTCACCTTTCTTTGTAACTTACCTGAAAGGCCAGTTCCTGGACGGTAATGCAAAGCAGGTGGAGCTGCCTGACGAAGAACCCGAAATCCTATCCTGCGTTCTCGAATTTCTCTACAAAGGCGATTACTACCCTCGCTTGTTGCACGACAAGCGCCGCAATACATGGGATCTCGAGAATAACCAGGACCTAAAATCTGGTGGTCGCGGAAATAGCGAATCTACAATCTTTATTCTGAATGCTTGTGGCGAAGTCCTCCGTGACACTGTCGTTTACTGTGCTGCAGATAAGTACGGCTTGGATGATCTGAAGAAATTGGCTCTACGGAAACAAGGTCTTCAATCTGGAGTCCAGGTCGATGTTATCCTACGCTCAGCACGATATGCTTATGACCACACTCCAGACACGGAATCGCGTCTCCGCGCTCATTACCTTGCTCTGATCATCAGAAGTCGCAAGACTTTCAAGAGGAGCGGAACAATGCAAATGGAGATGGAGAAAGGTGGTAAATTGTTTTTCGATCTGTTCGTGGCAATGTGCAATCATATCGATGACATTGTGGAGATCAGGTAGGTCTTTTCTGCTTCTTGCACTGCTGACGCGTTTGCCTGTGACTTACCAGGCGCTTACTTTTGTGCCCAACAGCAATAGCAGATCGCCCAAAGTTATCTAACGAACGCATATCCTCACTCAGACTCGACGGCTCGGAGCTATAATCGCAGGTGTAGGAGAGTATCTGCACCGTTTGTGTGGGCACGAAAGCTCTGGACGCCGTCGCTAGACGACAGCATTCCACTTCTCTCGAGGTTGGCCGACACATTTACTGGTTCTTTGAAACCCTACTCTTTCTAATGACAATATTGAAGCCCGGACTTGGCGCAATTTGGCTATTCTACTCAATGTTTAAGGTTTGAAGGTCTCTGCTTCTGAGAAGTGGGTGTCTTCTAGCCTGGCGAAAACGGAAGAACAAGGAGATTCGTGGAAAACGACTGATAAGTCTGCGGCTTCCTTCGCAGCTCATTTGTTTTTTATGTGAATATTTGCGTGCTTTCAGCTTGGCACATTCGTGCTTTCCATCACTGCTAGTTCTGCATGTTGATCTAGAAATCAGCTTGCTGGTACAGATTGATATCCTCATGATGATCAGATAGGAAATGAGAGATTCGGCCACCTCTATGCGTTTCTGAAAGCTGTACTGCTAGATCAGGTTCTTCTTCAGTTCACTTCGTTGAGCATCATGTTCGGAACTCAAAAGTACATTGCTGACTTGGAAGACAGTTTCTGTTTACGTTGCGCTAACTCTATGCATTAGTGAGCGATTCACGAGATCAATCTTCTACGTCTCTCAACGAAAGTATTATCGAAGCCTCGCCTCGACAACTCGCAATTGCTGCAACCCTATGTGCTGCAACTCGCGATTGATCACGTCCTGTTCTGAGCCGACATATTCAACTTCAACCAACGAAGTCATTTTGTCTGCAGTGAGAGGATCCACCATTTAGTTATACAAGCCTCCACTGCCTAACCTCCATGCCAGATAGTTACTTAAACAATTAGATCTTCTGATCCAAAAAAGTGTCCGACCTTCTCCTTCCTCAACCACTACCACAAACGCAATCCACCAGATCGATTCCGAAACGGATCGATGTCTTTCGGGTCCTTTCTCGATCACCTCCGGGCCGACGACACGAACAACACGAACGGCAGCACTAATCGAAAGCGATCAGGTGCGACATACAATGGGTTCAGTGCCGCTAAGCGACAACAGACTCAAGGGCCCAATATCAACGACGTGGACTCGCTGTTTGTGTCAGAAGGCGAAGAAGACCCCGATCTGCAACCTGAACCCGTTTTCGAGGACGAGAACTTGGGTGATATGCTTCATGCTATTGACTTAGAAATGGAACCCCATCCACGTTCTCAAATGCCTGCACCTACAGGTAACGTCACTCAAAACCGAAGTCAGACCAGCACCAAGAGAACGAATACGGTCACAAGTCATCCAGGTACAACCTCTTCCTCTGCACACAGGAGCACAGTCCTGAGACCGACGAATGGCAATAGCACATCTCACTTCAAAGCAACTAATCCAAGCTCTTCATCTGCACCCAGTGCCGCAAAAGCCCAACGTCGTAACGAACCAATCGAAATCAAGGACGAAGCTGACGAAGCATCCATTCCTCAAGACATGCAGACTGTTCCTGAGCGCGATCGCATCAAGATCTACGTAGGCAGGAAGAACAAGCAATGCTTCGTTGGACGTCCAAACCTCCTGAAGTCGCCCGTCCTGACATCGTGGATCACTGAAGAAGAGCCTGGTCAAAGTCCCTACATCATGCGCCCACAACTTCTCAAGACCGATTTCACAGACTTTGATGCTGTTTGTCAGTACCTCCACTCAGGTGAGTATGCACCTTTATTACTTGAGACCAGACCAGGTAGTGCAGCATGGATTCTGGACGGTAAGGATGGGGAAGACATTGATGCTGAATACAGTCGCCAACTCATTCGGGCTGGACGCATTCACGTTATTGCACAAATGTTCAAGATTGAAGGACTTGACGACCTCGTCTTTCGCAAGGTTACAATGGTCGACACAAAGAAGTACTCTCTGCACTCTCTTGTGAAAGTCGCCGAAGTTGTGTTCTCTGGCCAAGCAGCTAGTAAGGCCACAACTGCTGAAGGACAAATCAATGGTGATAATGGTACTGCAGCTGCCCCTGATACAACTGACAAACTCGAAGAATGGATCGTTGGACAGGTTGCGAGCAATCTTCAAGAGATTACAAAGACTCGATCAGAGGAGTTCTGGCCTATGGTCAACAAGACCAAGAAGACCATGTTCTATGCTCGAGTACTGGAGGAGGCTGCTGATCAGTATCGAGCTACGGGTGGGATGTTGCCAGAGGCTATCGTTGAGCTGGAGTAGGAGGTGTAGGCAAGATGATGAGGAAAGGTTATGACAAGAAGATGGTGGACGGCATCGGTGGCAGGTGAAGAGTGAGCAATAGGTCAGTGGACAACAGCCATACTTATATCTCCTGAGGTACAAGTGAATTAAGAACGGCGCGACAGGAAGCACGAAGGTCTGAAAAGCACTTTATGTGGCTGTAAGATCTGGATCTTTTGAGCTCACCGATAAGTTTTAACTCATGAAAGATACCTTCACCAGCATGTATATTCATAGTTTCACTTGAGACTGTGTACTGTAGATGTGCCCCTGATGATCTCTACATTCACGTGCAGATCCTGTCTTCACACAGCAGGTGGATCCGACGCTATAGTTGCCTCTTCAAATACCTCGGTTTAAGTTCTCCAACAACGCGATTCCTCCTCTTCCTCCGCTTCCTCCGCAACACGACGCGCCCTCATCCCCGCTACAAAGCAAATACGCATTCTCAATGTTCCATCTATGGAGTTGTACTACACGGAGCCAATGACCTGCTTTCAATTCGCCGTCTGACTTTGTGTCTAGTCGTTGTCGAAACCACTGACTCGTCACTTGATGGAACGCTAGAAGTACCCCTCAAAGCCGGAACTGGATGCGCATTGCTCTGAAAAGGTGGCATTGAGCAGTGGTATACCTTTTCGAGAAAGGATATAAGTTGTGCTGAAGACCTGCCGTGCTTTCCTCTGCTCTTCCAACTACGTGAATCCGTGATACCCATCTGTTTTTTGTTCTCTACCTTGTACCCAATATGTCTTCAGATTCAGCTCCTCCAACCTTTGACATCCCTGCAGAATGCACCGCCGGTGTGGTGCGAGATGAGGGACCAGACTTCTATATCGAGGTGACCAAGGTCCCTGTACCAGAGATCGGTGAGCTAACGTCCAAGTTATCTGTATCTGCCTCAGCTAAGACTTGAAATAGGTCCCAAAGATGTCCTCATCAAGCTCAATGCTACCGGCCTCTGCATGTCCGATGTCCACTTTATGATGGCCGACTGGGGTCTACCCAAGATGTCCGAGCTCGGCACTCAATGCGCTGGTCACGAAGGTGCTGGTGTCATTGTCAAGGTTGGCTCAGAAGTAAAGCAACTGAAAGTCGGCCAAAGAGCTGGACACAAGCCAATCCAGGATGTCTGCCATACTTGCGAGTATTGCAAGGCAGGCAAGGACTCATACTGCGCCAAGGCTGTCTTCACTGGTCTACATTGTGATGGTATTTCTACCTACGAGGAAGCTAAACGAACATCAAGATGCTAAAGTATAGTACAGGTTCCTACAAACAGTACATCGTTTCACCCGAAAACTATACCACTCTCATCCCAGATGGCGTAAGTGACTATATCGCAGGTCCAGTCATGTGCTCCGCTGCTACAACATACACATCCTTGAAAGAAGCAAACCTGAACCCCGGTGCATGGGCTGTCTTCCCAGGTGGTGGCGGTGGTGTCGGTATTCAAGGTGTTCAGCTTGCGTACGCCATGGGTCTTCGACCTATCGTGGTTGATACTGGCTCAGAGAGAGCTGAATTGTGCAAGAAATATGGTGCCGAACACTTTGTGGATTTCAAGGAAGGCGACCCAGTTAAGCAGGTTGTTGAGCTCACAGGTGGTGGTGCGCATGCTGTTTTCGTAACAGCTGTGCAGTCATATCCCATCGCACCACAATATCTCGGCTCGCGAGTCGGAGGTCAGGTCATGTGTATCGGTCTACCACCTGCTGGAAAGTACAATATCGACCTTGCTCCAGCTTCACTCATCTTCCGAGGTCAATCGATCAAGGGAACATTGGTGAGCTCATTGGGTGACCTAGATAAGACTCTGGAATTTGCGCAAAGAGGTAAGTCCACAAATCAGTGCTTATGATGTCGTGTACTAACAGAAAATGCAGGCAAGCTACATCTAGAGCCTGCTATCGTCGGTCTAAGTGGGTGGAACGACGCTGTACAGAAGCTGAAAAGATCTGAGATCGCAGGTCGTGTCGTTGTTGACTTCAACAAGCCATAGTGAAATACTCGTCGATTCAGAATCAAAGTGTACAACCAAGTTAGTTGCAGCTGGCGCATCTAACTATATCCGACAATGAAGTTGCTGTTACACGAGTCGATATTTTCTCCGCGCGTCTACTTACCTTGCCACCACGGCACATGCGTGATCGAATAACGTGATAGTAGCGATTGAGATAACTGTAGGTGATCACGTACATAAGAGTCAATAGCGTTCGCTATTGTCCACTCTCAGCTCAGGTCTCTTGCCGTGGAATTGTGAGGAGCAACATGTGTTGACCTTGAATCGTGTATCGACTATAGCTCTCGAATGCTTGCGAGCTGTCTTCCTTAGCAACGTGTCATGGTCTCGAGCAATTTGCATGTGTTTGCTGGCCAGATATCGGGTCGCTGATCAAGAACGCCCAATTGCCTGTACAAACCACATGTACGTCGGTTGTAGCGGTAGTGTCTGTCCGCACACAGATACTGCTTGGCATATCCTTCTCGTGGCCTGAGATTCTCTATAGAGGCCAACGCTGGCAAGCGAGATCCTTCTCAGGATGCTGAAGACCCAAGGAAGAAAAGCATGAGAGCCTTCAATTGGTGGCATCCCGAATTGACCATTCTGGGGAGCCTCAACCTCGACACGCTACTCGACAACTTCAACAAATCGAAGGACGTATACAATCTCCATGATGAGCGACCGAGATCTTGCCCAATGAGAATGGTCACCGACGCGCTGGTATCTTCACGGCAGCTTAGACGCGCATCCATTGGCTCAACCAATCCTCTTCCTTCCTTCCTTTCACCTGCAGCGTCCATCGATGTGACAGTCTCACGTCTGCTATTCCTGTCTTTTGTAGCCGCCTGTCGATTGCCTTGCATACATGCATGGTCTGAGTTCGGGAAGACCGCCAAGTTATGCCAGGAACCATGTACGGGACATATGCAAGATGCAAAGGTATTCACCTGGTACATGGTGTTTCCCTTGTCCCTTCTTTGTGCCTGCTTCATTTCTGTTCAGTGTCCTGGTGACAACCTTTTCCGTGTTTTTCGTGTTATTGATTCCCTGGGAGAAGCAGACGCGCAAGTCGTGCACCTAATGTCAAGCAGGAGACCTTGGGCATCACAGCAGTACCACCAGCCATGTCAACACCGATAGGGACGCCAGTCACGCCAGTACCTCGAATAGCACTGCCTAACCCTCACTTTCGCAAGCCGAGCTTGTCGTCGACTGTTGCGCAGCAGGACACATTGAGGAACAGTACTATCGACAATGTACCAGTACCTGCCATACCAAAAGAGCATAGGAGGACGGATTCAGGATATGAGATAGGACAGGCAGTCACATCCTACTCGCCCATCAATGCAACAGGCTATGGCTCACCACCCTCCTCAGCTGCTCACAAGTACGCTCCACCACCACCCTCCAGGCCATACGTCGCTTCGCCACAGCTCAAGTCGAACGACTCTGGCTACCAAAGTGGTGGCGCCGAGTCAGCTAAATCACCTGTCGTACCCATCAGATCCATGTTTCCAGTGTACAACCCTTCTATGCCACTCCAACAGCAGCATTACTACCCTCAACGCCCAATCGCACTAAGAACAAAGTCGTCTCAGACACGTATGAACAGACTAGATTATGCATCGCCAGTTTCAGCTTGGACACCAATAGATCGAGCTCTCGGCCCTCCTTCTGCCCCGGCAAGTGTTGCCAACTTTCCTCTTGACGCTTTGACAGCTCGCACATCGACCCTAAAAGAGTTGCACGAATTGTGGGAAGCCACGCATGGTATGGAACCAAATCCAAGGATAAAATCTTATGACCTAGAGTTGACGAGGTGAGAGTGTTCTGCTATACCGATGAACCAAACTAATTTTACCAGGACTGAAGAAGCCAATTTCTCATTTGGCTCAGATCCACTACTGCCATTCTATTCCCTAATCACCTACGACACGAATGAAATTGCTTTGAGCAAGACATCTCCACGAAAACAGACAGTCAAATGTGAAATCTCAATCAACAGCATAGAACCAGCTTCCCGAAGGTCACCACCGAACGATGGACTCATCACTTTCATCTTTCCAAGAATGGCTGCTATGCTCGCCATCAATCAAAGCACAGCACTAGCAAAAGAGCATGGCTTAGCACCAACACATCGTGATGAAGTACAAGCAGCTGCTGTCAAGCGAGCGGCAGACCAGGAAGCTTGCAAGCTAAGATGGAACGCTCGTGCTCAGCATTACGAGCTCGAACATCCAGCAGTCGGAAGAAAACAACGAGAACCTGCCTTCGCCAAATCTCCAGAATCAGCACGTTCACCACCAATGACCGGAGCTAGACCCATCCTTGAGATACACGTTTCTAAATCGACTGGTCGATCGTTACCCGTTATCACTGTGGCTAATCCCAAAGCCTCAGACCTCGAGTCGACAAGTGAACCTACTATACCCGGCATACGTATGTCTACCATCCCACAATCGGAACACAATAACGATCTAGTCAGTCTTGACTTTAACACAAGGATGATGCACATTAACGCTCATCAAATTCTCGAACACGTTCCGTCTCTGTTCGCAATAGACGCTATCGTCTCAGCTCTACTGACAGTGGCCATCGCCGACGAGGTGACCAACCCGATCATGGCGGCTATGGAAGTCTGGCAGTCCAAACCTCAACGAGCAATATCACAATATGGTGGTAGTGTAGCAGGAAAATCTACAGCCGGCTCCGTATTTTATGCCACCCTTGCAGAGCGCGAGGACGCTGAAGCCGAAGCCCGAGAACTTGCAACCATTCACGAACGGGATATCAAGAACAAGGGGCGACGCAAAGGCAAAGAGCACAAGAAGTGGTTCGGTAAAACCGCGAGAGAGCCAAGATCCAAAACCAAGAAAGTTGTCGTAAAAGAGTTTGATCTCGAAAAGCTCGGACAATACCAAACTGGTGAGCGAAAGGGCCAGCAATTACCTAGTGGCGTAAGACTTATCCTCAGCGTTATGGTTGGTGGACTCAGGTTTGTGGTCTGGACATTAAGTAGTGTTGTGCATTTCCTGAGTTGGCTGCTGGTCTCGATGACGAGGTGTTTTACGAGCGAGAAATTCTGATAGTACTAGACGTTTCTTTCTGGTTGTGCATAGCTTGAGCTGGATGCATAGAAGTGAAGGATATACATGTCTAGAGCTAATAGTGTCTACGGGATATGATGATGGATGACTATACAGGTTGAAGAACGGTACGCCTCGCTCTTTCTAGAGCTGATGGCTGATGGTACAATGGTCTTTGCTTGACTACCAGTCTGTCTTTTGTGTGCTGCTGCCTACTAATGTTGCAAGGCTTCATTTTGAAACAACGTTAATAATGCTACTGACCACACACATTACGAACATTCTCTAGAAGATACTCAGGAAGGGAGGTGCTGGTATACCTGCACGGCTCAACCGTGTAGATTTTGCACATCCTATACATCAACAAAACACCATTTCTGAAGTCAACAAGAGCAATTTAGCCAGCGTGTCGTCCACGACCGACAGAATGTATATCCCCTATCAACACGTTAGCCAACAATTCAGTGTTCTCGTCTTTCGATTCACTAATGTGTTCCCTTTCCTGTCCAACCTCGCATCTGCTGCCGTTCTCGATCCTGCTGGACTCCACCATGGCTTCCAACAATACCAAGGTAAGTGACAACCAAGACTTCCTGAGACTACAACACTATGATTGACCTGCCATTTAGAGTTTTACCTCTTGTCACTGTCTGTGCTTGGAACTTGCCAGCTAGCCATTCCTTCACAGATATAAGATGCCAGCGCACGTTTCAAACCGGTCTCCCTACCTCAAGCATTCATATACAGCCACCCGGATCACTAGCAGATCGAAGCAGATTGAAATCAAGATTCTTCAACAAATCCTCCAGTGCAACAACCCGACCCGTTGCACAGACAGACCAAAATGTCTTTCCTCTCAGGCTTCGGTGAAGAATTTGCTGTTCCGCCCAGTAACGAGTTGATGGATTTCAACGCATTTGCTTCGGCGATGATGACGGATGACATCGACAATCTGCACGAGTACTATGACAGTGAAGGTGAACAAGATCTCGAAGGCGACTACGACGGGACAGATTTGGATTCGGAGGCTGGAGGTGGCGAAACTGAGAGTAATGGCAACAGCGAGAGCAGCGCATCTTCCGTAATCGACTTCAACCTTGACGATGACAACGACGATAATGAGTCCAGCACCGAGTTCTTCAACCTGCCAAATGGCGTCAACGAAGGCCATCCATACGAATACTTCGACGACGACGGTGAAATCAAACAAGCAAAAGCACCCAAACTCCCTTCCGACTCCGACTTTGTCGACCCAGAAGTTGAAGCCATAATGAAGAAGACCGAGCAAGTCCTAGCTCAACTGTCCTTGCAAGCACAGCCCATCATCGAGGAACAACCCATGTCGACGCAGATCCTTCTCTCAAACCAAGCCCTTGATCAAGTCTTCAAACCTTATGGCAAACATGGTAGTCAGTTGCAGTTCAGTGCAGCTGTGATGAAGTTCTTGGATGGAGGTGATACTATTCGTCGTCCGGGGAAGGCTGGCTCTGATAAGAGGATGGATGGGAAGTTGAAGTTCGCGCCACTTGATCCCATGGCTGATGCTATGGCGAGAGAGAGTGTGGAAACGAAGCAGAAGAGGTTGAAGCTGAAACGCAGAGGTGATGGTCGTCGGGTAGCGAGCGATGGTGTCGAGGACTTGCGGATTAAAGTGCCTAAATGCAATGCAAAAGATGTGAGCACAGTTGTCAAGACCAAGAAAGACCAAGAGAAGGCCAAGAAACCCTCATACGATCTGATGGTGGTTGATGACAACATCAAATCTGTTTCTGTCATCTCAGGAGTCAATACGGACAACTTGGTCGATGGCATTGTTTACAGGAAGACAAGTGATCCGCTCGACCTCGCAGGTAATCCTATCGTCACAAACGTGATGGAAAAGGTGAACCTGTACACTGCCGACCGGGCCGACCTTGAGCTGAGACCTGCCAACGAGGCCGTGCCTGGACATCTGGACATCGCCCTGCAGGCTATGCAGAACGACCACACTCATCTCAACTCCATACCCTTCACACCGTTAGCAGCAACATTCTCGGGAATCAACTTGCGGACACCAGCCACGACGGCTCTTGCACCCTACCCTTCTGCTCCACAAGCATTACGGGTCATGCAACCTGTGCATTTCAACCCTGGCAACAGCCTACGACCTGGCACTGCGACATCAACATACTCCTGCTCAGTCGACCCTCGCGCAAACACCCGCCTCGCCAGCCAACCATACAACCCAATCAAATTGCAATTCGTATGGCCAGCAACACTGCGTTCGGACGGCCAACCTTGCAACCCCACACCAGGCCTGTTAGACTCAATCAATCGCATCCTGCAGCTTTACAACCATGAAGCACGCTTCACTTTGTCGTACTATACTCGCAAGTACGGTACACCAGCACACTTGAGCGGTCCATATCGAAGACGACCGGAAGATGAACCGCCTCATGCCCTGTTTCGGTTAGGTATTGCCCAATGGCTAATGAGCCAAGTCGACACCATCATCGAACACAAAGAACGTGATGAGCTAGGGCTTAATCCCGAGGCGCGGAAACTACTAGGTGCGGTCTGGGAAGCTCATCCGAGCATGCAGGCTTGGTTCGAAGATGTCAGCATGGATGAAGTCGATTATCTGCAAGAGCTGGTCGACGCAAACAATTATAAGTCAGCCTCGGACGTTGAGATGACCGATAGTGATGGTGGCGAAGGCCTGTCAAGTCCGCGTTCACCAAAGAAGCCTGACCCTAGAGTAAAGAAACTTGTCGTTAGAGGTGGTCTTAATCCAATGGAGAAGATGTTGTTGGCGCGAGCTTGTAGTATTCCTGTTGATGCGGTGGAGGCTTACTGGGATCAGATGAGGGAGAAGACGAAAGCATGGGCTGCGACGAAGGCTTGGTGTAGAGCGAGAAGTGCAGAGAAAGTTGCTAGGGCGAAGAGAGAGGGGAGGTGGTAGGAGTCCTGAGGCGAAAGTAGTTCGCGCTAGTCCATCGGTGTAGAGGGTAGAGCCTGGGAAGTTCTAACGATGTTGAGTCAGGGAGTCTTGTAGCATTGAACTGTCCCTCCTATGATACTGTGCACGCTGTAGTAAAATCTCGAAGATGAACGCAAAGCAATATCGGCATTTCCTTGACCGTAAATTAAGTTGAGCCGACGGCTTTCCTTCTTAAGTCCGGGTCCTGCATTAATTCCGACGTGGTGTCTTCTTGTGACAGCACGACAGCTTCCCATCCTTGAAGCGTAACAATATGTATCATGATGACAAGCCTCGTGCTCGAAAGCTTCTGCGTTCTTCGCGATATCGTCTCCACTATATGCTGCCTCCATCAACGCTAACCTCCTCTCGTTTACGAAAGCGTTACGATTGTCGACAATGTGTCTGTTTGTTCATGGTTTCGAGATAATCAATGCTGTGCATGCTATGGTATATATGTCTGGTGTGAGACCGTCGAATGCCACAGATGATGATTGTTCATCTTCTCACTATACCAAGAGCTTTGCTTCCGACGGCTCCGTTGCCTGGAACTCATCTCTCGAATTCGCCCTTGAGTATTTGATACAGTGCTTAACTCAGTCTCAATTGATTCCATGGCCAGCAATAACCGTATCACGAAGGTCGCCATAGTAGGCGTACGTTCAGAAAATCAGTCACTTCAAGTTTTTGCGTTTCGCTGACATCCTTAGGCTGGCGGCAACGTGGGCAAGTTCATGACAGAAGCCCTTCTCAAACTGGCAAACATACAGTCACCGCCATCACCAGAATCGACAGCCAGACCCCATTACCCGAAGGTGTAAGTGTGAAGAAGGTTGACTACAACAAGCCCGGGACAGTTGTCGAAGCACTTCGCGGTCAAGATGCTCTAGTCGTAACCCTCAGCGGCCATGCTCTGAGTCTGCAAGATAACCTAACGAAAGCAGCTGGTGAGGCAGGTGTGCCATGGATCCTGCCAAATGCATGGGGGCCGAATGTTACGGACGAGGCACTTGTCCGCGACGTGCCCATGTTCAAACCGTTCGGTGAGTGTTTTTTTTTTGTTTCGGCTCGAGCCTGCTGTATATGCCGTTGGAATCTTTGACAGACAGAGCTGATGAGCTGACCATGTGTGTACTCGGGACCAACGTTCAAAAATATTGAGGGTCTTGGCAAAAGCTCTTATATCGCAGTCTCGACCGGATTTTGGTATGAGTGGAGTCTAGCTATACCTCCAGCCTTTGGGTTAGACCTGAAGAACAGAAGCGTTACTCTCTTCGACGAGGGCAGGACCAAGATTTCCATCTCATCATGGCCACAGGTATCCCGTTTCACACTCACGTGTCTGAAGAAGTCGAATACTGACGTCCTTAGGTCGGTCGAGCCGTTGCTGCATTGTTGAGTCTGCCCATCAGGTCTGAGGGTTCCGACAAATCCGCTTGTCTGGAAAACTTCAAGAATCAGCTTGTCTACGTCAACTCTTTCACTATCAACCAGAAAGACATGCTCGAGTCTGTACTCCGTGTAACTGCTACAAAGGAGAGTGATTGGAGTATTGCCAAAGAGCCTGCTCAGGAGAGGTATGCGGCTGGCCAGAAAGAGATGCAGGCAGGCAATCGTGCAGGTTTTGGCAAAGTGATGTACACCAGGGTGCTCTTCACAGATGGCGTTGGTGATACAGAACACAGCAGAGGGACAATCAACAAGGTACTTGGTTTGGAGAAGGATGATGCGCATTTCGACGAGTATACAAAAGTTGCGCTTGAAAGGTCGAAGTCACCTCAGTGGCACAAGCAATAAACAGGGAAAGACCGATGTTACGTGCCTGCAGACTTGCACAATATCTTCCATCTCTGAAATCAGAGGAAGTACATGTTCGTGTGGTGCGCTGTTGCCGCAAATATCTATCAATGAACAGTTCCTTCCTGCTCAACAATTATCTTCACTATACTGATTAGCAGCAGAATTCAACATACAAAATACGGTCTCTACGTCTCTACATTCAACGTATACACAGTCATGGTATCATTCATCTAGCAAAATTTATGCCTTACCACAGTCGTTTTGTGAGACAGGTTCTAGTGATGAACACAAAATACGATACATTGATAACACAGAGCACGAATCGGACTATTGTTGATTCTCTTCTGGCAGTTGCAACACGGTACAAGAAGTCTTCCTCATCTTACGTTGAGGTGTCGCATAACCTATCGTCAACTTCTGATTACCGTCCAGCAATGTCGAGGCATACGGTCCTCTGGGGTTGTCGAGGCTGCCCAAAGGCAAGCTTTCGGTATCGCTCGTCTAAGGTCGACCTAGACAATTTTAGAAACCATATGCTTTTTGACCATCCAGAAGTCGCGCAGCCAGAAGTTACAGAACCAGCAGGTATGGCGATTAGATGGGGTCAGGTGGAGAGGGTAGAGGGATCCAGGAGTGTTCGTGTCCCATATGTCCAACCATATCAGAGTGAGCACTACCGTCGAGTACTATATCGAACAGCAGCCTCGCAGTCTGGCCAATACAAAGTCGTTCTCCACGGCTGCGTTGCCTGCTTGGATGTTTATTTCCTATACCGTGCCTCAGACGAAGCACAAGATGGACAAAGCAGTGTTGAGGACCATGTACGAGCGTCGCATCCTGGAGTGATGGATTGGAGAGGTATGTGGTGCAAATGGGGTTATCGAATTCGGTTGGCAGACGGTCGTGTCAGAGACTGCTTTGAGTTTGAGGACGTACAGCTAACAATAGACGGCGTGTCCGATCACATCTACACCAGAGAGCCACTAAGAGATCGCGAATGGAATTTTGAGAGCACCAACCACCAGTCCCGTGGAAGCGGCGAAGTCGTGGAGGAGGATCATACGGCCGCTATCACTTCTGATCATGACGACCGCAACGATGGTTTCGTTGGTGAGGACCTGCCACGAACATCTTCTTCACAAGGCATACACGATCCTGGTGCTACCCAACTCGAAGAAGCGGAACAGTTTCTAGCCCAATATCTCCTTGCTTCGATGGATGGTTGAAGTGTCTCGTACAGATCATTGACATATGTAATCGGTCACAACATCGAAGCCGTTCCCTGCTTCCACAAAGCGCGACGCTAAGCACAACGGATCTTCGACGAATGATTCTGCCTGACCCAAAGGATTGACGGACACGAAGTACGTGTGGCACTTGTTGATATTGCTATCAGAGTAGAATCGTAGGACATGGCGAGTAGTATAGTAAATACATGTTTGCAAAAACCTTCGACATAGGACTGATTAGATTGATACCACAATAGCGCTTGCCTAATTCTACGATAGCTTGTTAGCACGAAATCATAGCTTTCGCTTGGGGTCCTCGAAGCCTTCATAAAATGTCTCAAGACGCGATACTCACAGTTGGACGGCTGCTTTGTAAACAAAGACATATCCATATTGAGAACGTCGACGAGAAACCTGGAGCGTTCCTTTATTCACTCAAACGCGTGAAGTCGAAATTTACGCGATGCGTCTTTCAATTTAATTGTGGAGTCGCGAAAATGACACGTGCTGAACACGATTAATTCTTGAAAGAACGAAGCCCTGAAGATGAGGAATCATCGCGTATACATTTGTAAACATTTTCTCGCAAGCTCACGCCTCAACTCAACTATCACTATCCTGCTATTGAATTCTTCTGGGGCAAGATGACTATCGCCGTTACCATCATACCCCACCTCTTGAATTTTCACATCCCTCGAATGACTAGCACCACTACTGATTTTGTAGTCATGGTAGAACAGATACCAGTCTCGTGCCTTCTGTGCCCTCAGGTTCGCCAGCCAACTTCCTTCTAAGCACCTCGATGAAACTGTGATGTGTTGTCCAGCCACCGACGTACTTTTCCTCCAGTGCCCAGCCTCGATACGTGAATGGTCCAGTTGGTGGGTCACCAACAGCAAAGCATTTGAATGCCTCCGAACGAGCTTGTTGCTCCGGTCCGAATTGTCACCGTACGCTGTCTCGCAACAAGCACGTCACAGATCCGAGATAAGTCCAGGATGGCTCGGACCAGAGCTGCTAAAGATCCACGTGAGACAACCGAGGATTGCGCAAGATGAAGCTGTAGCCCTTCCATCTGCTTCAGATAAGCGAAAGTGGCTCAAGACATCTTGGCAGGTCGAACGTGCTCTAAAGTTATTGTACTCGAGTACACCTTTCCATGTATTGAAGGAGGAATATCCCATCACAGCAGCCACATGGGGTGACGCCAAGATTAAAGACTTGTACCTGCTGCCACGGACAATACCGAAAGGGCTTTCGATTTTGTACAATCGGAGTTATGGGGAGCCTTTGAGGGCAAAGTTCTGCCCAAGAAAACCCCTCAACTGCATTGTGGCATGATGTTCCCCGCACGTGATGCCATACAACCGGACCAGGGGTTAGCTCATGTCCAGCTGGACTGAAGACAATATATAAAGACTCCCGAGGTCTTGCGGTAGGCACAAACAGATTAGGCCAGAACTGAAGATCATCAAACATGCGTGCACTTCGATATCACGGCACAAAAGATCTTCGGGTCGAACACGATGTACCAGAGCCGAAATGTGGAGATAACCAGATCAAGGTCAAGCCTGCGTTTGTTGGTATCTGCGGCACCGACCTCCATGAGTATAGCTCAGCAACATTCATTCCAACTAAGGAGAATCCACATCCAGTGACCAAGGAATCCATGCCGGTCACGATCGGCCACGAATTCTCAGGAACAGTGCTCGAAATTGGCTCGAAAGTTCAGACGGATATCAAGGTAGGCGACAAGGTAGCAGTGCAGCCGACAATTGCTTGCTTTGAATGTGGAGCTTGCAAAGATGGATTGATCAATTGCTGCGATTCTGCAGGATTCATTGGTTTGAGTGGTGGTGGCGGCGGTCTGAGCGATGCTGTTTGCGCTGGGGCCGAGTTTGTGTTCAAGCTGCCTCCAAATATTGACTTGGATATCGGAGGTAAGTATTAGCTTTGTTACAATAATCTTGCTGACCCAGTAAGCACTGGTTGAACCACTCTCTGTGGCTTGGCACGCAGTCGAGGCTGCCGGAATTCAAAAAGGTGATGACGCCGTAGTCATGGGCGCGGGACCGATTGGTTTAGGCGTAATCCAGTGCCTAAAGGCAGAAGGAGCGAACAAGATCATTGTGGCAGAAGTGGCAAAGGAGAGACAGAACTTTGCTAAACACTTTGGAGCAACACATATACTCGATCCACGACACGAGGATGTTGTCGCCAAATGCAAGGAGTTGACTGGCGGCCAAGGTCCACAGATTGCTCTCGACTGCGCTGGAGTGGCGGCAAGCGTGAAGACGGCATGCCTAGCAGTGCGCGCAAATGGAAGGATCGTGAACGTGGCCATCTGGGAGAAGGAAGTTCCTTTCAATCCCAACAATGTCGTCTTCGGCGAGAAGAAGTATTCAGGAGGTGAGTCAGCAACTCGAAACGTAGGTAGACGGAGACTGACCAAAACAGTTCTTGGATATCTGCAGAAAGATTATCGTGGAGTGATAGAGGCGCTCGGCTCCGGTGCACTAAAGCCAGAGAAGATGATCACAGGCAAGATCGCCATAGATCGAGTCGTGGAGGATGGGTTTGAACCGTTAATCAACGAGAAGGAGAAGCATGTGAAGATATTGGTAGATCTGTCGAAGTGATGTTGGCGCGAGTCTGTACGTGCTATATAGAGGCGGAGGAGCCGAGACAATTTCACCATGAGCCATGTGCTGCTTGGTCATGAACACTGGTAATCGACAAAACATTGTGCAGAATTCGGTTGGACCCCATGTAGCTGTAACTTTGACACCTATCATTGATTTCTGTAGGGTCGAACCACGGCTTGCAAGATCGACTGGGCGTTTGTATGCCTCTCCATTGGTACGATTAGACCAGCTACTGCCTCCATAGTATCCCTCATCGACTTGTTTTGCTACCTGGTAAACAACCGCCATGTAGCCAGGCCATTGATTTCCGGCTTTGATGCGATATTCTTCTTCCCAAATTTGCAGGATTTGCTCGTTGCTCAGCGATTTTGCGTCGATTGCTGGGTGTATTTCCAGCCTGCACTCCAGCTCACCAATTTGCTGTGTGCTTGCAGGGTCTTGCTTCTTCTCCAGCTCATCGATCTTCGCGAGGACTTACTTCCTCCACGTTATCCTCATAACGACCTCTCTGCACCTAAGAAGATTGACCATCATAGCTCCACTAAAAAAGGCTCCTTGTTCTCGACCCTGCACGAAGGCTCTGGTTATGATTGCGTGGTCGGCAGCGAAAGGGCTTTTTTTGGCAGATCTTTCGCCAACCGACACGCCCACCAAGCCAGCACCAACCGCAGGCAAAAGGGCGCGAATCATGAAGTGTACGATAGTCATGTTGAGGTGTTCAGTGGATGGCACAGGTGTTTTGAGTTCAGACAGGTAAAACCCTTTCCGCAACACATGAGATCGATACAGACCGCCGATCCATGCAAGGGTGATAGACTTGCAGCGATCAAAATCGCTGGGCGAGGCCTCATATTGGTGAAAAATTTACTGTAGTCACTATGTGCTGTGGTGCCGCGCCGTTAGGTAGGCAGATTTCCGGGTTCATTTCGATAGAGGAGATCTTGTCACAGAGCATATTGTGCATACCTCGAGAGGTCGACAGCGAGAGTACTGTGAACATCGAAGCACGAGTCAGAGACATCTGTCCGACTTGAAGCTACTCGTAGATAGCATGATGACTGTCGACGCGTAAAGTGCCCGAACGCGTGCGCCGGTGGCTAACTATAGGTAGCCTCGCAGGGCTGACCTGCCTAAAATGATAATGGGTTCACCTAAATTCTCCCGTGGTAAGGACGACCGGTAATCCACGTTCAAGCTTGATAAAGCAAGACTTGGCATTGCTGCGATAGTTGCCCTCTACTTCAAATTTGCAGTAATGGACGAGGTACGAGATATCGTCATTGGCAACAGGCACCGACAGCGACGCCAGACGTATACGTGCTAGGTAATACAGCAGAACTCTAGTCCGCCGGAAGCACATAAGCACAAGAAACGATCCCATAGTATACGACAACATGTGGGTACCACAACGATCACAAGGCGAGAGGAGTTATTGAGAAGCTGTTGTCTAACAGCGTGATTAGGAAGAGGCCTGGCTAACAGGTTAGACCACTTATAGGCGACCGGTCCTTCCTAGGTGGTGTGGCTACAGAGGAGCGCTATGCATAAGATGAAGGCACCAGGACGGCATGGCAAGCACAAAACCCAAGCTTCCCAAGACATCTCGGAGTAAGAACAGTTTTCACGCTCATCAGCACAACCAAATACCTCTTCAGGTACATTTTCATCCGTGCATCTGGATTCCGTTGAAGTCCCGGCAGTCACGACAATGGTCTCGAGCTCAAATGGAGAGTATTACATCTCAGAACACGAGCGTTAACATAAACGGAGTCACTCTGCTTGGTAACCACGGTGAAGCCAAGTTTGCCAAATCCACAACACAAGCTATTCGTCCTGCCTGGCAAGGATCTGGCAATTTACTGTCTTTGCTTTTGCTTGGAAACTGACTAGAACCGGCAGCGGCAACTAGTCGAGCTGCTCTGATGGAAGAAACGACGAAAAATATACACTTTTCGGCCAGCTCGGTAATGTAGGATTTCTCGTGTGCATTCGGGGGTTGTGACTAGATAGAAAAGTCTAGACGATTGCTCAGGTTCACACGAGGCAGGGCGGTAGCAGCACATGTGGCTATCTTGCATGGTCAGCGGATCCACAGATGAAAGTTGAAGAAAAAGCCCAAGATTAGATCAGCAGGCATCTCGTGATGCGCTTGATTGTCGTCGAAAACTGGAGTCAGGGCAACACCGGGTAGGCCTTGTCCCTTGCGATAACCTGTACAACAGAACTTCGAAATGAAGTTCCAGTGACGTTCACCACTTGGTCACGGCACTTTTCCCGCGTTAAGTTCAGCTGTCAACAGGCGCTTTGTTCAATTAGTTCGAAAGATCTATCTGCTGCGCCGAAGCGGTCAGAAATTGGAGATTTCAATGATCACGATTTCAGCTTGTGGTTTCAGCTGAATCAAGCTTTACACCATCCTGAAGCTTCTGCATGCCAAGCCTCTCTTTGTAGGAACAAACTGCGAGCAAGAGTGTGTTGTCATTGCCAGCTCATGAGCTTCATCTTTTCAGTCTTCCTCAGCCTCAAAAAGTCAACTCTGGGCCGGTCTATTCACTTACCCATATCGTCACCCTCGGCACGCTTCGCTGGCATCAAATGAACGACCAAGACGCGCACATGGATTGCCTCAGTTACACGTGCAGCGATGGATCTGACAAGCCACAAGTCCCGCTAACGTTCAGCTCTGTGGACATACGTGATATATAGTCAACAAGTGCTGCAGTCCTTTGATACAACGAGCGTTCTCTCAATTTGATATTCTCACGAAAACTCTTCTAGACTGTGTCAACACCATGCAAACACAGGGAGACAGCGGAATATCCGTGAATAATGGCGGTATTGCAAGGTCGGAGGCCAAGCGCGTTGTCGTTCTGAAGACGGCCGAAAACTTGCAACGGGAACCTTCCTCGTTCGCCTCTTCATCCAAGATCTGGAAACCTGGTTGGCCCATCTATGGCTCTGGTTCGACGGAGACCATTAGCTACTCCTCACCGGCTGTATTAGAATATGATGATTGGATGCACATCGTCGTTCAAGGTACGGACTCGGAATTGTACTGGGCCACAGGAACTCCATCAGGCTTCGGAGTACAAACGCTGGCTTTTCCAACATCCGGTGCCTCCAAACCGCAAGGCTGCGCTGCTTTGGCTGCTGTGTATCAACCTGGCGTGCGTTCCAGTACAGGGGGGGTCGAACGGTGGAATCTCCACATGATCTATCAAGGGGCGCAGGAATTTACCATTCAAGATTGCACGAGGTACCCATCAGCGATGGTCACAATATAATCGGAGGTTTAAAGACAACTTGGACAACGCCAGTACCCTTCAGCGCAACCGCCGGTCAGGTCATTGGTACCCAAAACCAGCCAAGTCTCATTAGCTCTGGTGGCAAGCTGTTCTGTGCATTCCTTGGCTGGGGCTCCGACGATGTGTACTTTTGTGTATGGACGCCCGGTACTAATGCTTCGCAACTAGGAAGTTGGAGTAAGCCAATTCCCACTGGTGTAAAGTCCTCGCAAGGCCCTGCACTTTACATGAAGACTGGTCAAATACACATGGTCACTATGGATCCCCAGACTGAGAACAACCTGACTGATGTGACACTGCAGTATTCGTCTTCCGCAGGCACATTCAGCGTCGCGAACACCTCTCTTCTCAGCCTGCACGCCAACAGCTGCACCGCTCTGAACAATGCTGGCACAATATTTCTTGCTTTCCGAAACTCACAAGACAATAATGTATGGTTCTGCGAGCTAAGCGAAGACGCACCAATAACCATCAATTATGCGATGATGGTGGATACCATGTCCGCTGTCAGGCCTGCTTTAGTGGTTGACAACGGTGTCTTGAGCTGTATCTATACATCTCCAACAAATGCTGTTACTTGGTCTCAGGCGACTGCGTATCAAACACAAACAGCGGGATGGATGTCACTGATCCACGACAGTGTCTATTGGACAGAGCTATCTATACCCGGAACGCACGATAGTGGCGCAAGATTTGGACCTATAGTCCTAGCAGATCAATGGCAAGCACAGGACATGGATATATCGCAGCAATTGTATGCTGGCATTAGGTGAGTAAGGCGATCCATGTGTCCTTAACCCATCATACTGACGAGATGACAGATACTTTGACATTCGACTGGCCAACTATGGAGGTATCCTGACTGTCTATCATGGTGATCCAGCTGGTATCGGATATGGTCAAGGCCCGTTCACTGACGCGATCACTGCCTTCAACAATTTTCTTGCCCTACATCCACAAGAGGTTGTCTTGTGCCAAATCAAACAAGAAGACAGTACCGACTATCCGACGTTTCTGCAACTGGTACAGTCGGTCACGAGGTCACAACCGAATTGGGTCTTCAACTCCCAGCCCCAGCAAATGGAAAATCTACGCGGCAAAGTGCAAGTACTGTATCGTGGTAGCACAACAGTGACGTCGCGGCTTGGTATAGATCTTTCTGCCTGGCCAGACAACTCTCAGGGTGACACATGGGCCTCGAATCTGCCGCCGTTCAATATCTGGCTGGAGGACTACTACAGTGTCCAAGGATTTAGCGCTTCCACGATGTTCCAGAACAAGTGGAACTCCATTCAGAGTATGCTTGACCGTGCTCGGGCAATGCCTACCAATCCCATGGATTTGAATTACATACTAAATCAATTGACATTGTTTCTCGCATACACAAGCTTTGCTGGACAACCAAGTATCGACCCCGAAGATGCTGCACTGGGCATACCCCTCATGCCTGGTCAAGGCATCCCGCTCAAGGGTATGAATACGAGGCTCAAGGAATATCTTACCCAACAAGTTCCTGGTTCGGCACGACTTGGAGTCATCCTGATGGACTTTCCTGATGCGGGCTCTACTCCTGACCTGATACAGACAATTATTCAGAAGAACAATTTCTCGATGACCAGCTAGTCTTGGGCAGTGGGCGCTGACTTCTGACCCAGCGACTTGCCGTGGTTGGGACCACGTTGTTATGCAGCTGATCGAGGCTTGAGCACGAGGATCAAGATTGTGTATATCCATTGTATGGCTCAGCGTGGCTCCTTAACGTGTCTACGGAACATCACATCTCTCAAAGTCACGTACTGCACTACTAAGTGATTTCGTTGGGCAACCATTGTTATAGTGGTCATGTTTTGATCCCTACTCGAGACAAGTCTTCCTCTGCTACCAAATTCCGGAAGTTGTGGCTTCTCATATCTACTTTCATCGCGCAATCTACATATATATCTCACTTGACTTAAGATATCAAACAAGATCCTTTCCTCGCCTCGCCTGTACCTTCACCCTTCTGCTGCCCTGCTACATACAGATAGTGACATACGGACCTTGAGGCACGAGTACGGTTGCTAGGCAGACTGAACTACAGCAGTCGCTGTCAACGTTGCAGCCGTCACCAGATTGCGCCAGAGTGCATACTGGTGCCGTTGTTGTGGTGATCGGTGCAGCGGTTGTTGTTGTTGTAGTGAAGGTAGGTGGGGTGGTGGTCGTTGTCGTTGTCGTCGTCGTTGGTTTGGTTGTGGTCGTCGTCGTAGGCTTGGCTGTTGTGGTCGTGGTCGTCGTTGTCTTTTTTGTAGTTGTAGTAGTAGTGGTGGTGGTGGTGGTGGTGGTCGTAGACTTCTTTGTCGTAGTGGTTGTTTTAGCTGTGGTCGTCGTCGAGCTTCTGTCCCACCGCCAGCGGGCCTCCAGAGCTTCAGGCTAGATCTTCATGAGACAGATAATATGTAGTCGTGAACATAAGAGCATACCTCGCGGACTACCAAGTTCTTGTTGGAGAGAGTGTCAATAGCTGCAGCTTGGGCAAGTGAGACGACGAGGAAGACGCCGAGAAGTTGTGAGAACTTCATGTCTTCTGACAATAGTTTATGTGAGCTTCTCGAGTGGCTAAGGGCATACAAAAGCCAGCATTGAGGCAGCTCATCTTTATATCTCTGAACATGGGCCACAGCGGGCTGTTCCACAAACACAGTTTTTGAATTGAGTTTTAAAGTTGATAGAGTTTTGCTTAGCATGCATGACAAGCATGCTCGACAGACTCTAGATCATGAGCTCCTCACTATAGCGCGTTGAGCTGAAAGAGATACAAGTCGAAATCAGTCAGTTAGTCCCGCACAAAGTGATAGCGACACTATTAGTCCTGACAACGATCGGGCACACACGCTCGATATTGATATCTAGCATGCATTTATTGTGCATTTTGGTGGTGTATAGCCTGTCGTTTAAGGTCTATGGCTGGTCAAAGATCAAATCTGTTCTTGGATGTATCAGAATCACAACATGACCAGACATTGCAATGACCATGTGCCACATCCAGTGCAGCACTGAACTTTGCCGCCCATTGATTGTGACTTAGAAATATCACAAGTGTGCAGCTGAGGCCAGCGGCGGACAGAAGACACACAGCTTAAGGCAATTCCTATCGCTCATCCGGTAGCGCTTTCCAGATGCGATAGGCACAGCAGAGCTCTTTTCAGCCGTAGCACACTTTGGCTTTATCATGGAAGCGTGGCTTTAGAGAAGCGGTCTGTGGCAGATCGATGATGCGGTGCAAAGACCACTCTCGAAGCAGCTCTCAGCCAGCCAGCCAGCCATTTGCGCGGTGCAGGTGAGGATGAGGCAAGAAGAACTTTCGATTCGGAGGCCGCGAACTTCGCAAAAGGCCATTGTGTTCGACGAATGACTAGCTGCAAGCGATGTTGGACATCGCGCTACTGAACTATCGTACCCATATTGTACGGTGGCCGGTATGTGATGCGGGTCTTCGTTGAGTGTGTACTGTACGTACTGCTGGCGGTAGTTCACCACATTTGACAGGTATGAGCTCTAAAGCTGATGGCCATGGTATCTGAGCTGACCATACGAGACAAACCTGGAAGGATATGTTACTGTCAATGACAATGATTGGGGTGAAGCTTCGTCTTGTCCTAGTATAGTTGAAGCTGGATAAGAGCTAGTGGTTAGCTCATTTCTGTGTATAGCATCGGCATGCTAGCGTGGGCGATAGTACATTGCACCACGCACTTGAATACTGCTGGCCACACTTCAGACATGCTCTGATGTCCATAGTCGTACAGAAAGTCCTATGATATGAGGTACTACTGTACTGTCTTCAGCTCCAGCATCCTCAAATGATTGTTGTCGAGCTGCTCCATCATTATCTTCAGTTCTGACCTGTTTCGAGCTTTATTCTCGGAAATGTGATGTGGCCACTTGCCACCAAATTTCTCAACATACTGATGCAACCTTGATTCCTGCTCATATTTGCGGTGCAGCACTTCCATTCATTCTCTCGTCCACAGGACGGAAGCTTCAATCACAGAGATCTTTTTCGGCGCTAACGTGATAGGCTGAATTCACTTGACATTGGAGCCGGCGTTTTGCGGCTCGAAGTCGGTGTTCTTTCGCTCAACTTGGTGATAGAGAGAGTCTGGCCTGGTCGACCTTGGATCGTGGTAGTGACGTCTTCAGTCTTTTCAAGTACGACTTGATCATCGTCCGTCTACTCAACTCAATTGCGCGACCGACGTGTACCTAGAGGTAACGGTGGAAGTGAACGTCCTTGCCATGCTGAGATCCACTTCATCAGTGGAAGATCAAGCTGAGCATTGGTTTCACGTGAAAGGCCTGAAACTCGATCTTCTGTAATGCCGAAAGAAACATGCTCACGAATCACAGAATCGGACAGCTTGTGGAGTCCACGGTGTTTGACACTGTAGTAGAGCAAGAGCAGGTCATCAAGCCTGTGCTCGAGTTTGCAGATACATTTCAGTTGACGCGCGAAAGCGAAGAACCCCGGTCGGAAAGGGAGGTATGTGGATGGTCTGTACGTCAATGACTCAACGCAATGGATGTCCGTAGTGTCTATGCTGTCGTTACAGGATATGATGACCTTTTCAAAGATACATGTCCACAGATCAGGCGCAAATGCTTTTCTGAATGACACGGGAAGCGCCTGGTCGACCCATAAGGTTGTCTCGGTGAACGTCTTGACGGTCTCGTGCATCAGTCGGACAACTGTATGGTCTAGGTCTGTGACATGGTCTCGGAATGGCGCACGATGTGCATGGCTGGGTCTCATCACAGGTTCAGGCACTGTATCTGACTTCAAGTTCTCAAGAATTTGTATTACAGCTGCGTATCGCTCAACTTCGAAAAGTTCTGATAGTCGTGTCTCCAGAAGGCCACCCATTGTGGCTTGCAGCCTGCGGCAAAAGTCTGCAGTCGACAAGCAGGATATGGCTGCTGCATGGTCGACATGGTTTAGCTGAGCGAGGACAAAGCGAAGCGCAGCTTGTAAAACGGGAACCGAGACCTGAAAAGTGGCAGTACTTACCAATTCATAAATCAGTGCTGCTTCCAGCTTCCGTTGCTGTGGTATTCGCACGACAATCCTGTCATAGAGTGTCGAAATCTCATCGGGGATGGCGTTAATTCTGTGGAAGACTTCCATAGGACTAGCTCCTTCTGCACATGCAAGAAGGACATCTTCGATAGCCAGGCAGACCCAAAGAAACACGCCATCAGCTCTTCTTTGCAGTTCGTGGTTGAGATTCGGTAACTTCAGTGGATCTAACACTGGCTTGAACTGCTCGATTGTAGTGTCGATATATCGATTAATACCTGGCATGTTGTAAGCTGATACCTGCAGCTCCGGCACAGCCATCTGCTCGAATAAAAGCTTTATCAGGGGCGTGGGGCGACTGGCGATGCACAGCTTTATCCTGGAGTTGTCTTGCAGACCTGAAAGAAACTCGATCATTGTCCGCGCGTTGCCCGAGAACTCATCCAGACCATCAATCAAGATCAAGAAATGATAATCCAGTGTATGGAAGATTTGTAACAAGATGTCACGGAGTTCATCTAACGAAGGATATTTCGAGCACAATGGAGATGCGAACCCGATGTTCTTTTTCTGTACCTCGTCTAACACCTGATACAGGATTGACCTAATTAGTCCTTCAACATTGTTACCGATTTCGGTTGCTTGTCTGAAGTCAAAGAAGAAAGCAGAAACGTGCCAGCTGGTGGCGACATGCGGTAGTGCCTGCTGCAGTGCCGCAGCGTGCGACAGATATTTCATGAGGGTCGATTTGCCCGAGCCAGGCTTGCCAGAAAGCCAGAAGATTGGTTTGTCGTCATACAACCACGCCAGAAAGTTGGTGCGGAATATCCAACTGCACGTTGCATGGCCAGCAGACACTATCTGGTTTCGGCGGGAGTTCATCAGCTCGTAGTATAGGCCACGTAGTGCCACTGTGCCCATCAGCCAGCATTAAGTTGTTTGTCCCGAACACAACCTACCATCTTGACGTGCCTCGATTTGAGGAGACAGAAAGCCACTATTGAAATTATAGACATTACCGAGTATAGCTTGAGCCTGATCCGACAGATGTACCGGCCCATACTTGTGACTGGCACCCGCTACATGTCGTTCCAGAGGTGCAACTACAGTATCGCGAAGGCTGCTCGGATCATGTAGTGGTGGCATTGCCGCAATGTCATCTCGTGCCACGCCTGGTACAAGTACACACTGGGTGAGCACAACTTCAGTGAGCCGTGGTCAACATTATGGCCTAATTTGGCGAAGGTAGGTGAACAGTAAGAAGGCACGATCGTGCTGGGACAGTAATTGCGTGAACGGACGCGTTCGCTGAGATTGCCAGATTTGGAGCGAGCCCATAGAATGTGAACCTCGTCACACCCTCCCCATAAAACTCCAGGTATGCTTGCCTAAAGCCGCACGATTCTAGCACTACAGTAGTAGTTGGAGGTGATGAAGCTCAAGACAATGCCTACGTGTTAAGTGAAGGTGTCGAGTGAGCTGTAATTTGACTATCAGATCGAGGATACCATCTCTTCTTCGAGATGCTATGAAAGCAATTGCCAAACGTTATTGCGTGAGTAATAAGTGGTTGCATCGCTCCTTCCTATGTGCTTCTTTGTCAATGGATATCATTTCTCACAATGAAAAGGCACCGCACATTTGGCGTCCAGGCACATAGAGCATTACACACCAGTAAGTCTGTAGGTAAGTCGAGGTTCCTAGAGGTTTCCAGAGGTTACTGCATTAATCCGCAACAGCCCGCCATAACCCGAGGAAACCCTGCCAAGCCTTCAGTGGCCTAATGTGTCTACTTGAATCGAATGCCATCCTGACTTGAAGCGGGACTGCTTTCCTTTTGCTCATAGAAGTGTTCTGCGAATCGCTGTCAGAATTCAAGCTAAGCATCAGTACCTCGGTCGTCGCTGTGGACCGAGTTCTATGCACTGATGATGGATCGACCCGTTGTACAAGAACAGTCTTCAACAAGAGCATACGACGATCGTGGTTTAATTAAATAACAACAACCAAGAACACAACATTATTTCAAAGCGAGATTGTTTCAGTCTCGATCATGCCAGCAATTCTGTTTGTGGTGAGGATCACGGGCAACAGTGATGGAGAAAGTGCCCCAAGGCAAACGCTTTCCGGTCCTCATTCGACCTTCTCTCTAGCATCCCCATAGAGCCACCTTTGTCTTGCCCATTGCATATGAAACCTGCTCTTGCTACTCATATGGCTGGTGCAACCAGTGCTGGCAAGCTAGCCTCGCTAGCGATTTCTATCTATGAACATAGAGCAAATTTCTGCCTAAATTTGCAACCTAGTATACAGGTCCTCACGGATTTCAAATCTTAAGCTTGTAAGTAGTGTACCACAACGACGTTGAGGACCTTTCTGAAAGGGATAAGTATCTTGTTCCCCACCAGTCGCTTCAGCTCTTCCATCACTAGTTCAAATCCGTACACCACTGACTGAAGGTACGTCAGCTAACGCTCACTTATTGACAACACAAGTCTGATCAACGCACAACAGAGGCATAACATAAAGGCAATTCAAAACACAACGATACCAGCACTTCAATAACTTACCTTCAAGATGAAGTTCCTGACTGGTACTTCCTTCTCGGCTCTCACTTCACTGACAAGCATTGCTCTCGTCACTGCCAGCCCCTTGCCAAGGCTCAACAGTACTGCATCGGCTTGGAACAATACTATCAGTAGAGATCTCATGGCTCGGGAGGACAAAGGTGGCGGCAACCCATGGGTTACCAATAATTGGCCAGAGTGGGACACGCAGGAGTGCGACTGGGATTTGTACACTATGTGTCCTGGAGAGGCTGAGATGACCACATATACGCCAAAAGAGACGGCTTGGCTAGAATTCTGCGAAGGTTCGTGGTACAAGCGGCCTTGTATACTTGTCCCAGTGCCGGAATGGGGCAGATGTCAAGAACTTCCGGATTCCAATCGATATGGTGATATTGGATCCAGCTTCAAATGGGTAAGTACATCCCAACATGATTATCCACCCGTTTGTATTGGAAAGTGGCTAACATAATCTCTTCTGCACGCAGTTCAAAGTGCCACCTGAGGGTGGTCATTGTGAGTTCTGGGACGATCATGACTGCTCAGGCAAGCAAAAAAGCTGGACCTACGATGGTACTCCGCAGTGGACTCCGAAACATACCCACGGTCGAAAAGGAAACATCTGGAGAGCCTTCAAGTGCAAGACTGTCTTTGGAGATTTGAGTGAAAGTGGAGATGGTGATTACTATGATTGAGAGGTAACAGTGATCAGGTCGAACGTGAGGTCTCTTGGCTCTGATTCGACATGTTTGCGGATTTGGTGCTTGTGCTCGTGATCATGGCATGCGGTTATAGAGCCAAGTATAAAGGTGTTCACTAGAAAGGCTGCATTTCCCATCAAAGCTACAACGACAAGATATTTTTGGTTTTGTGATGAACGTTGTCTGCTCTCTGCATCCATGCAATGTAAAATGTTGTGCTAACCTGAGGCCATATCTCTGTTGATGCTTTGGTTCCGCGCGCAATCATAGAAGTTAGGCTGCTCTGTCGCGTGAACAGGATGTTGCTAATAGAGGCCTCTACTGTAAGGGAACCTTTTTTGTTTGTGTCTAATTGTTCGTATTCCTCAAGAATGGTAATGAAGATGGACTTGTCGATGTCAGTACAATACATACGGTCTCATCGTTGTAGACCTCTGAACTCGATCGTCTTTCCACAAAGGTTGAGTATACACTCAATGATGAAAATGTTATCGTCGGCAACCAAGTTTGCTATCGATTCGTCATACTGCACCAAACTGGCCACGTGTTTAGCTATAATTGCCAAGGAATCAGTCCCTGGCACGCCTGGAACAAAAATCTCAGCCCTAATTTTCAGCTCCGTCATCCACTAGATGGCAGCCAATAGAAGGTCGGTGAGGACGTCCTTTTGGTGCGTGTATTTCCGTAGCGTGATCGCGATCAACGCGATAATCTGATTTTCAACTGCTATGATATGAGTGGAAGAGGCTGAGCTTGCGAGTACCGTCGAGTCTCCCTTCAATATGAATTTCTATGGTTCCATAGTCTGTAGCTGATATATTCTGTCGTTGGTATGGCAGATCGGAGACCATGGACGCCGACTGAGAAGCCAGGTGACGCGTCTTACAACGCGCCAGTCGTGTATCATGGCGATCATCAGATGCATGGAGAAGAGTCTGACGCATCTTCCGATGAGGAAACGGGTCTTATCCAAGTCGTGTCTCCGGCTGGCAAGGAAGTCGTGACAAAAGATGAGACTAGAGAGCCACAATCGCTTCGATTCCGAGCATCCCATGCTTATCTCAAGGAGGAAGCAGCGGTACCAGCACCAGAAGCAACAATATATATACCTTATCGTCTGCCACCTACTTCGGACACATCAAAAGACGATACTCTTCATACACTGCGTCCAAGAGGGAATTCCCAGGTTCTAAATCCCGCTCCAGATGAGAGATCACCAGCTGGTAATCCATACAGACTATCGAAGATTCTTGGTACACCAAGTGACCCTGCCTTACAGAAACAATTACAGCAGCAGAACCGGGAGCTTCCTAACAGTGGACGACCGGAACAGTCACAATCAAACAATCCTTACAGGCTTTCGCAAGGGCCCAGATCCGAAAGTACTGAAGACTTAATAATACAGCCACAAAAACCAACGCAAGCATCAGATGCTGGAAATGTAGCTTCAGCACCACTCGCTGTCATACATCGTCTTTCGGAGGGATTGTTATCGCAACGCTCCGACTCGACAGCGACGATCAAGCCGCGACACGTACCACAAGTGCCAACCATAAAAGCAGGTGACGATTTACCTTCCATAACAGGCATATCTGCAAAAGAGATCAAGATCTTGCTCGTTAACCCCAATTCTACAAAGTCAGTAACAGAACGATGCCTAGAAAGTATCGTAGAGACACTTCCACGACACGTAACAGTGTACGGATTCACGCCATCGAGACCAGCTCCTACTGCCATCGAAAGCCACACAGATGCTGTGATGTCAACAGCAGCATGTACCAAGGCGATCCTACCGATAGCGGCTAAATACGATGCCATCCTCGTTGCCAGTTTCGGTCATCATTCGCTGGTAACGGCCTTACGCGAGCACTTGATGCAGCCTGTCATTGGTATCATGGAGGCGTCGCTATATGCATCACGAATGTGTGGATCGAAATTCGGTATCTTGACGACCGGCATGCGATCGATGTACACGTACGATGCTGCTGTGAAATTGAATTATGGTCTTGGCGCATTCTCTGTCGGAACAGAATCAACAAGGCTCAGTGAGTATCAGCTCGAGAATAGACCAGAGGAAGAAGTTGAAGAGAGATTGTTACTCGCAGCGAAGAGGCTGCAAGCGCGTGGTGCTGATTGTATCTGTTTGGGATGCGCAGGCGTGACAGATTACAAGAAGGTATGTCAGGATGCTGTTGGCATGCACGATCGTGTGGCAATGGTTGTTGATGGTGTCAGTATGGGCGTGCACTTTTTAATTGGTCTGGTGAGAGAAAATCTGGGTACTGCAAAAGGTGGCGCGTACAATACGAACAGTGGGCACAAGGCACTCAAACCGAGAGGCTGAAGAGCAAGCACGATATGGTCAGTCGTGGCCGATTTGGTTATGAATCAGAGCATCGAGTCACAGGTAGGCATCGTGCCAACCAATACCACTTGACAATCACCTCAGCCTCCACTCATACGAAATGCCAGCAAGATCGCAGCGTCGAGAGACCTGAAAAGGGTGGCAAGGCGCGAAATCGGACTTCGCGCACCATTACGCAGCTCGGCCAGGCTTTAGAGTCGAAGGACAGTGACTAAAAGCCTGAAGAGAAAATCGATATTGGTCCGCAAGGTCAATCAAGTGATTGCGAAAACGGAAACACTAGCCAATGGTCGAATATACGCTCAGAGTCGGTATATCGCCCCACAATCGTTTGTGATCAATCAGTCACTCAACAAGCAAGAAACGGCTTCGCGCTGCAATCTCGAGAACCCCAGCTCGCTCAGTTGACATAAGACACGCAAGCTCCGGCTCGACAGCAGCATGTCTGAGCATGCCGTTTCTTCAACGTCATGGGTCACCAATCAGTAGCTCTCACTGACCAGGAAGGGAGTGGCCGGTTCCAAGTCGAGCCGTGGCTGTTTCCATACCGATATACGCTTGCGAAAGCAAAGCAATGGCTGTCATTTAAGATTCAGCTCTATTAACGATTGACTCACTTTGAAGATATAGCAGCTCAACAATAGTCCACCTTGTGGCAGAGAGGCGGAAAATTGACGGCGATCGAGTCTCAAAATATGCTCGAGATAGGAGCGTCGTCAGACCTCTCTTCTTGCTTGGTATACACGGGCGATAGAAATCTTCACGGAAGCACATCATGGTGAAAGTCGATAGATTATCATGTATATCATATAATGGTTATTTCGCGTGTTCAGTCCTTCGTATAGTGTCCCAAAGTAACCTAATATGCAAGGGCACTCGAAGACGCTGGTCTCATGACTTACTACATCTCACGACGCAAACACCAACCACCCAAAACACCCCAAAGCCGGCAGATCAGTCAACAAAGTCCTCCAAAAATGCACCCTCAACCACTCTCTCTGCCCCTCCAAAGCCTTCTCCTCCGCAACTTGCTCCTCCGTCTTCCCAGCCTCCATAGCATCTACCCTCCTCTCCCACACCCCCGCCCTCTCATAAGCATATGCCATCCCCTGAATCACCTTTGAAATTCTTGGCGCAAACGCAAAATGTCCCGTCGCTAGTAGTGTGCCCGCAACGGCGACCCAGCGCCTCGTGCTCCCAGTGGGAGAGGCGCGAATGGTGCGGATACCGGTGATGAGAGACGTAAGGCCGAGGGAGAGGATGACGGCGAGACCGGAGGGGAGAGATTGGCTCCACCAGAGGGCGATTGTGCGGGCGACGGATGAGCTGTATTTCTGAGACTGTGTTTGTGAGGCTTTGAGGAGACTGTTGAGGAAGATGTATTCGTAGAGGGCGAGGGAGGCTGTTGCTGATGTGCTGAGGAGTGGGAAGATGGCGGGATTGATGGGGTATGATTGGCGTTGTAGGTAGGTAGACATCGTAGGATTTTTACGTCCGTTTTGACTTGGTGAATAGAGTACTGTTTACAGTGTAGGCCTGGTAAAATCCTCGAGTTGGTAAAAGAAAGAGACAAAACACTGAGAACGGGAATTGGATCAATCTACAACACTATCGGTGGTATGAGTGGGAGTAGTCGTGGAGCTCGTCAAGATGGTATTGACGAATCGGAAGCTGTAAATAATGCTTGGCTTTGCGTTCATATGGTGACTTGGGTGGCCTTGGGCCTCTGATACTGTAGTCAGCTGAGCACATATGTCCATGTTGAGATACGACGTCGAAGAAGGATCGCGAAGAAAGACAACCACAGTTGATCTACAAGCATGCTTTCATATATTGAAACAGACTATAGACTCATTTCTTCAACAGACTATCTAGTACAGCAACAGACTAAATAGACATTGTATCGCAGTATGTGCGGATATAGCATATATACCAGGAGCTGGCAAAGGTGAGCTAAGCTCAATTGTACCGCCGATGTATGTTGTGTGTGTGTAAGAGTATGGTCTCCATGTTCGCATATGTAAAACGCTAGGATGTCCACAGCCATTAGTACGATTATGTACGACCTAAATGAGCATCATTCGTGTTGACTGAGCCTCCAACGTATTATGCGAAGTGTAGGCCTTTGGACAAGGCCAAAAAGAGATATAGCTCCTCAACCATGAAATCAGTGAACCTAAAACCATGGGCTTGATCGGTTGAAATTCTCAACCAGGTCCCAAACATTTGTCAGATGAGAAGCTGGCTCCCAAGTATCGTGTTGAGGTCCATAGCCTTGCCATCTCACCAGCCAGCGCCTTGATCTACCTCTGCCACGTACTTTGATGATCTTTTCAACCTCGAATAAGTCTCCCTCGATAGCATCGTCTAAGTGTGAGCTTGTTGTTGCTGGGTCGGCCGCTAACAACGTAATGGTGTCCTCGTCGTCGTCTACTATGCTGCTTTCCTCCGCCTCAGCACTGATTTGTGAATCGTATCTTGTTCCGACATCTCTCTTTCTGATGCTTTGAGACAAGGCCAATGAGTTCCCTGTAGCTGCATACGGATCCGAGCTGGCGACCTGCACGCACGACCGAGACTGAATGCTATACAGAGGTTCCCGTGAGCTGGTAGTACTTTGCCTAGCGGGTAATCTCTGGTCAACTTGCTCATGAACTCAATATCTTGGTCTGGTTCTTGAACGACGTGCTGGCAGAGAGGACTTGGTCTCCTAGGCTGATGGGACAATTGTGTTTTCGAAGTTGTACTGGCAGAACCTTGGCGTGGTGCTTCAATAGCTTCTGCAGAATTGTAGGCTTCCCTAGAGAGCTCCGGAGCATAATTAGAACCAAGACCCTTTAGATATTGGTAAAGTCTAAACAACTGGAATTTGGTCACAATCAGTAGCGCACCGAAGCAGTTCTGGACACCCATCTTGTCGACTGGGGCCAAAGTATACTGCACAACGTGAGCTTGAAGGTCTGACACGTCCTAAACAACACGAGCAAAGAAGGAAGGAACGGTGTGATGCGAGCTGGTGTTGTTCACGAGTTTCTTTCGTCAGTTTTGCAACCAGGTTGACTGCCACGAGACAGGGTAACCGGGAAGGGCCATCATCGTGACTGTCAAGTCGGGGGGACATCCTTGATATGGCATGTACGAATGAAACTTTCACCTGCCTTCGTCGAGAAAAGCCAAGAGGAATCAACAAATATGTGCCGCGATATTGCACGATTTGGAAAGTACGACCGGCATATCTCTTTCACAAGCTGTGTCAGCGAACACGGTATGGAGAGCACGTTGTGGCCCGTGCTGCGCGGTCTGCAAACAGCTCAATTCTCGGGTGGGAAGCCAGGGACAGAACACTCGCGTTTGGATATCCGATGGAGGTATTGTAGTTCTCGTCAAATTGCTTTTGACGATGATTGTGCAGAGAGAGTTCGTTGTGAGCTGTTAGGAGTGGGTAAGGCGACCAGGCACACACTTCAACTACGTGACTTCCCCGCATCGCTGCGATCCAGCTCTTTGGTGAACTCTTCGCAAGCTTAAACCTTGCAGCTTTTCCCGTTACAGACATGGGACGCGACCACAAATGCGCATCAAGAGTTAGCCGAGGATGCAAAACGGATCGTCGACTATGGCTCTGATAGCTCAAACTGCTTCGAGGATGAATGCATTCTATGCTGTAATCCTTGAGATTGTGTGGTGTTGCGTGTGTGCTGCCCTTGGTTCTCACTAATCTGTGTCGCGTGACCGAACTGCCCTCAACATGCCCATCTTCAAGTCTCAGCAGCCGGATATCAGTGTGCCCTGGCATTTACCGATATGGACGTGGCTGTTTGACTCGGAATATTCACCATTGACGAAGTTTCCAGCTAAGGATGTCAAGGGTTTCACCAATGCAGTAACCAAGGAGCATCTCTCATATGCTGATATCAAGACTCATTCTACACACCTATCGACAGTGTTAAGGAAGAATTATGGCTTGCAGGAAGGAGAGACAGTCTCGCTGTTCAGCCCAAATACCGTCTGGTATCCTGTTGCCATGTTCGGGACCCTGAGAGCTGGCGGTGTGGTCAGTGGTGCGAGTCCAGCTTATGGTCAGCTTCGTCGAGTTTGGGGAGTGCTAGTCTTGCTAACACCTGGTGCAGGTATTGATGAAATGACATACGCTCTCCAGAAGGCCGAGTCGAAGATATTGTTCACCGTCCCATCGAGCATTGAAATCGCTGCCACGGCAGCAAAGAACGCAGGCATACCTAAAGAACGAATCTTCCTTCTCGAAGGTCAACTCGAAGGCTACAAGACCATGGCAGAGCTGCTGTCCGAAGGCAAAGCATATGGTGACGATGAGCAGATTCCGCAGTTCAAACTACCGGCTGGCAAGAAGAACAAGGATGTCTGTGGTTTTCTGAGCTTCTCGTCCGGCACGACGGGTCTACCAAAAGCCGTGATGATTGCGCACTCCAACGTGATTGCTCAATGCTTGCAAGTCGAGCAGATCACGCCGGAGACGTTACGCCGTATCTTGGCCGTGCTACCGCTATTTCACATCACAGGTCTGGTACACCAGCTACATCTGCCTGTGCTACTCAACGCCAATGTCTATATGCTACCCAGTTTTACGATGGATTCGATGTACCAGACAGTGCAGGATTATAAATTGGAGGAGATGCTATTAGTGCCGCCTATTCTGATTAGAATGGTGCGTGAGAAAGAGATACTCAAGAAATATGATCTCAGCAGCCTGAAGCGCTTCTCGTCTGGTGCTGCACCTCTATCTGCCGAAATCCTAGAATTGCTGCAGCAGACTTTCCCACAGACAGCAAAGGGGGATGGTAGTGGATTCAAGCAGGGTTACGGGATGACCGAGTCATGCTCGTGTATCACAGCTCATCCACCTTCCAAGTACGACTATAAGTATGCCTTCAGAGTAGGAACGGTAGTGGCATCTACAGAGGTGAAAATCCTTGATCCGGAGACTGGCAAGGAGTGCGACATTGGCGAGCCTGGCGAAATCTGTGCAAGAGGTCCACAAATCGTGATGGGATATCTCAACAATGAAAAGGCAACCAGCGAGACATTTGATAAGGACGGCTTCTTGCACACCGGAGACATTGGTAAGATAGACGAGGAGGGATTAATCTCGATCGTAGATCGTGCAAAGGAGCTCATCAAGGTCAAGGGCGAGCAGGTAAGCAGACTATGGAGGTGTTGTAGTGACCACGCTAACGTACACAGGTCGCTCCTGCCGAGCTGGAGGACTTACTACTCGGTCATCCAGATGTTGAGGATGTAGCAGCACTAGGCATTCCAGATGAATATGCCGGTGAGAGACCTAAGGCATACATTGTACTTCAGAAGGAGAAGAGAAGCAATCCTGAGGAGTCAGCCAAGAAGCTGTTCAAACATGTCCAGGCGAAGAAGGTACGGCATAAATGGGTCAAAGAGATTGAGATTGTGGATGAAATCCCAAAGAGTGCCTCTGGCAAGATACTGCGAAGAGTGCTCAGGGATATGGCCAAGAATGGAAACAGAGGCTTGGTCATCAGAGACGACAGTCCTAAGGCGAAGCTGTAAATGTACATGAAATAGGTGTAGTGTGTCACTTCGGTTGTGCGGAAGGAGCAAGCGTCAATACCTGCATTCCATAGTATGGTTCAAGTTCAATGGTCTTTCCCTTTCTTTTTATTCAACGTAGAGTCTTGCGATGCTCTGCTGCGGGTATTTTCAGCCGTGTCTACAATCTCAACACAGCTACGGTAAACGAAATGTACGGCTAGTCAGCCATGCAATGACTGGCACCCGAATTTCGAAAGAAGTCAAGTTGCACGCATTTCTACCTCTCTGCGGGCTCAGTCTCAGCAACACACAAGTACAACGTCCTTCCACCTACACACGACCTGAGACAGAATCAAGCCGTACAGCATACAATGAAACTCTTCCAGCTGCGCAATGTGCCGGACTGCAGATCAAAAGATTCATCAACACATAATTATTCAAGATACCAGTTGCTGGTGTCTTATAATTGAAGTCCGCTCTCGATTGCTCAAACACCTGTTCGAGCGGCCACTTTTTGAATGTGGTCTACCGGCTTCTACATTGCCGGTCCATCGCGGAGGATGACGAAATTCGGTGTTCTTACGAACGCGAGCTGAAGATTCAATCACGGTCGGTAATACTCGAACGTGACTTTGTTGAACCTTGGGCTTTTGCAATGCCTCGATTTTGCGGTATGCGCTCCAGCGTCAGCGAACCGCTTTTCACCATGGTATCTATGTGTCTGTTGACACACTCGAACGGGGCTGGTCTACGCTTCTGGTGATGCTGACTTGTGCGTTTGTTCTTGTCAGACTCTTCGAAAATGTCGTAGCGTGTTAGGTTGCTGCTCCACGAAGTTACTCACATCCTGAGGCGCATTTGAACCAGTCTATCCACACGAGCAGGACTAGGCCTCGGACCAACTAACCACCGAAGTGACGTGTTGCAATACCATGGGTAAGCAGCCTGCAGCGATCATCATCGTGAGGTAAGCGGATGAATCCACGGTGTGGGATCAACGGCAGCTGATCAGACTAGGCATGGACTCAGATTAGACCAAGCAGACACTTCATGGAGAGCCACCGCAGATTTCCCATGGGACTCACCTTTGACTTATGGTGGCTGGATCCAGTGCCAGACACTTGGTGCGAGGATAGACAAAGAGCTTCAGCTGATCGCCAACCAGATATCTCCGGATGATCTATCGTGGGAAGAAGACGGAGTGTCTGTGGAGCGTCCCAAGAAGAAGAGAAGGATCATCATACATACTTCTCCCTACAAACGATGTATTCAAACTTCGATCGCCATTGCGGCAGGTCTCAAATATCCTCAGCCCGAACATGTACGCCCCGTATTAAACCCTCACCAGACGGCCAACACTGCAACGAATAAGCCTGAGTCTGTTCCTGCGACCTCAAATGGCAACGGGGTTCACAGCATGCCCGCAAACACATTCCAAGGAAATATAGAGAAGGACAAGATTGCCCTCAAGGTCGACCCCTGGCTGAGTGAATGGTTGTCGACAGGCTATTTCGAAGAGGACGGTCCTCCTCCTCCAAGCGAGAAGATTGTGGAAAGAGCAAAGGAGACACTGACCCGACCTATAGAAGAGATCAGAGGTGCAGATTTGTCGGCTTTTCTACCTATCCCCGAAACACCTGATCCTGATGACGCCGATAAGGAGAACGAACTCAAGCAAACGCTGCAAGAGAAGGGAGGTCTGCGTGCCATGGCTGCCGCTGGTCATGCACTTCCTCATCGGAACCGTACCATATCCTTCAATTTCGAGAAAGGCAGTCTCAGAAGTCAGTTAGGTCAAAAGCTACGACAACGAGCCAGGACTTCAGTGGTGTACAGCCCACCTGTGCCGCAGTACGCATTGGCACCACAAGACTCTATCCCCGCAGGTTATGTCGCCCATGCTCGAGACGCCTGTGTGAGTTCTGATTTGAATTGGGATAGCATCGCCATGGGCTGGGGTGATGCTGGTACCTATCCAGAAGAATGGAGCGCTATGCACGTGAGATTTCGAGTGGGTCTTCAAAAAATGCTTGTTTACTACCAGGACGACTATCAGGCTCATGGTGGAGAAGAGGACCAAGACAATATTGGAGACGACGTAATCCTTGTACTTGTCACTCATCAAGCTGGTGCAAATGCACTTATCAGACTGGTCACGGGAGCTCCTGCCTTGCACGATGTAGGTGTGGCTTCTTTGACCTTAGCAGTTCGGCGGCCTGTCCTACATCGACTACCCTCACTGGCAGGAACTAGCCATTCACCACTCGGCTACGATCGAGAGTCAAGACGAAATTCTCGTCGCGGGTCGCTCGACCTCGGCCTCGCCGACGACTTTGAAATGCGCATTATTGCCTCAACAGACCACTTACGCTACGGATCCAATCCACTCGGCCTCAATTCGCCACGTTTTCGACCGAGTCCTGCTGTTGCAGCTCGCAAAGGTACTGGCAGCGACAACCTCGATGGTTTCTCTATTGGAGATCCACTGGCTTGGCGCTCGAATACCTCTTCCAATCCCTCACGAACTGTATCTTCACGCGGACGAACCGGCGATTCCACGAGACCAGCCATAAACACCGGCCTCTGGGGAAGCCCTTCTATCACTCCCCTCTCCAAAGAGACAATCGAAGAAGATACACCCATGAGTCCGAAATCACGACCAACCACGCCAGGAAGTGAGCATGATGGGATACTTCCTGAAAGCAAACTCAGCTCTCCTGGTAGAAGCAGGGCTAGTACAGTTGCAAATGCTGGGTTGTGGGGTGTTGGTAACGCAAATCTTGCAATTAGAGCTGGTTCTGGTGAGAGTGCTATGTGGAACGGCTCGAGTAGTGGAGGGTCGGGTACTGTGAGTCGAGCGAGAAGTCCGGCAAAGAGAAGGTGGGCTTCGCTTAGTACCGATTCGATGTGAGTAATGGGACATTGCCTTCTAGGACCGTGTTCCAAGTACCTCAGCGCACAATCCCGGGCAGTTTCAAAGTTTCAAGATAGATGATTCCAATCTCTACATCCTCTCACATGAAGGTCTACCCAGTAACACTACTCAAAACTCTTGCGCCTCCTACTCTGTCCCTTGTAATCCGCCAACTCGCTTGCCCTCCACAAACACAACAGGTGGCGTGTAATGTTTCCGCCCATGCAAAAAGTACGTCACAACACTCAAGATAGCCACAGCGCCCCAAACGGCAGGCGCCCAATTCGCCGAGCTGGTGTCCGTCGGCACATAGGCCGGAAAGCAGCTCAATACCACAGCGAACAACGAGTAAAAGAAACCAAAGACATTGATTGGTAGACCATAGCGACCTAGACTCCATCGTGCTGGTGGCAGTGGCTCGCCTCGAAGCCTCTTCAATGTGATGCAGCCGATTGACAGGCTGTAGGTGCTCATTAAGGCGAGCAGGTTCAGGGAGACAACAATATTGAAGCCAATTGTGCTTCCGAGGTTGATGAGGCAGATTATGCCTGAGACGATGGATGTGATGTATACTGCGTTATCTGGGACATGGCGCTTCTTGTTCATCTTGCTCCAGAGGTGAGAGAAGGGAAAGCCTTTGTCTCGTGAGAAGGCGAATACTTCTCTGCTTGCTGTGGCGAGGCAGGTAATGTTGCCGGAGTAAATGAGGAGGAAGAGTAATATGAGCAGGACGTAAGCTACGGCGTGAGAGCCAGTGTTTAGGAAGAGCTGCAGGTAGGGCGACTCCGAGTTGATAGCGTCGTCGAGACTGCCGATACAGAACAGCATGGTGATGAGTGCAACGAAGCCGAGGGTGGCGTTCAGAACGTATGACCACCACATGACGCGTGGTACTGTGACGCTAGCGTTGTTGACCTCTTCGGCAATGTGGACGATCGAGTCTGAGCCTAGGAACCATGTTAGCTTTGCCCAAAAGCGTTCGTAAGTATTCGTATGGTAGACCTACCCAAATTGCAGTACAGTATAGACACCTGGGTCACAAGACAAGCAGCACCAAGGTTCCATCCACTAGTGCTGGAGAAGCTTGTGAAGACATCACTTGCAGAATTCTTGGGTGCCATAATCCAGATTGGGATAATGGTGACGAAAAAGCCTCCCACATGTCCAAAGAGCGAGATTGTCTCAATCAGAGGAAGTGATCCCGAACCTAAAGTGTTGAAAAGGATGGTGACGGCAAGGAAAGCTAGCATGAGGAGAGTATATTGCCAATTTGAGAATGCATACTGCTCGTCCCTGACTCCCACAAGCGATTGAATTAAAGTTGTGCAGACAAAAACTGAGCTCGCCGTACTCGCGAACCAGCCCAATGTGCTCATCCAGCCAGCACAGTAGCTCAAGAACTTCTGGCAACTAGGTGGTGCGAACTGTAGAACAATAATTAGCTATTTTCTTCGACTGCATCTGTTTGCCGACTTAATCTCGAACACACGATGTCAAATTCCTTTCGACACTTCTTGGTCAAGCAGCATGAAGCACTTACCTCACTAGTCCAATGGTACTGGCCACCGGCGGTTGGGGCCATAGAGGCCATCTCAGCTAAGCTGAGGACAACGCTGCTATAGCATATGACGGTGCCAATGAAGGTCCAGAACAGGCCAGCGAAGCCACCGTTCGAGAGGCCAATGGCGAGAGATACGAGGACGAACTCCCATGTGGCCATGTAGATACTGATCGGGAAAACGTTAGACAATTAAACGACGACTGAAGCTGATCAGTGAGAAGTCGAGTTTGCCTCTTACCTGATCCAGCCAAAGACAGATAGATAGTTGAAGTTTCTCTTGAAGACCTGTCGATAATCAATCAGCATTGTCAGGTCGTGCCTGTCTGTGGCATGATGGATCTTCTGGGTGTCGTCAAGAGCTCTTTCAACGACAGCACATCCATAAGCCATATCGCCTAATTGCTGCCATGACGCTCTTGAAGGAGGTATAGTTCTCAAAGAATGGTACCAACCTGCTTCTTGCCCAATCTGGCCATATCGGCAACATCGTTGCTGTTCCTGATGTCGAGATCTGCATCGTCCACAACGGCTGCCGTGACAGCTCGTTCACGAATACCCATCTGAAAGTTCTTATCGTCCATGATGATGTTTTCCTTAGTATCCGGCTCAAACAATATAACAGCACAAAAAGCAGAAATATCTCTAGGTATACAATGATAAAACCTGAAGCGATATACTTGAAAATTTGATCAACGATAGAACACATCGAGCAGTGCAGATGGTGGCATCGGTGTTGAACCCCAGGACATGGGTGTGCATGTTTAGCGGCGACATCGTGCAGGAGCGACTTGTTGCTTAACGTGAAGATTGTGCTTGCTTCTCTTCGCAAGCTCCAGACAGCATTGAACGGTTCCACGACTGGTGTGCCTCACGAGTAGAAAAGGAAATTGACACGAGAACGTGCCTGCCGAACAAGCCCTAGAACTCAAAGCTCCACCGTAGGGTGGACTCGCTAAATCGAGCTGCTTGTGCTCCGAGTCGTGTGTGGATTATTGTTCAGTCCTAGCACACCAACCTGTATTTCGAGCATCCCTGAAAGACGCTGACACATGAGTAACGACAAAATACTGTAGTGCGTATCTTCAGGAGATTTCTTGTACGAGCATACGTAGGAACCTGTATTATATACACGTGGATGAGGACCACGTCCGTTCTCATGCTATACAACAAGGGTCTACCCCAAACATATGAGAAGGACTTCAAATAGTCGTTCGGGCTTGCATCTCACATTGAAAGCCTGGTTCTGGTTCAAGCGTCATTTCTCGGAGAGCCGCCATCTCAATTCTTTAGCCGATAGCGATCTGGCACGGGAATCTTCTCAGCCATCAGCTTCTGCACCTCAGCCTTCTTGAGTGTTACCCCAAGCATAAAAGGAGGAGGTAACTCTTCAGCCCTCAACATAGTCATCAGCATGTTTCTCGCTCTATCCTTCAACGCAACTTGGTTTCTTCCTTGCAGCATTGGCGTTGGCATGTCAGCATCGGCCGCCATGATAGTCGCCCACTGACAAGAAAAATTCGCCATAAGCTCCATCAGCCGTTCGTTCTCTGCATCCGTCCAGCGTACGGTCGCCTTGCGTGTCTGTATCCTCATGCCTGTATCAGCCTCTTGTATCCGCCGTATATCCTGCATATTCTCTCGAGCAGTCGATGAGATCTCGTTGAAGTTTGGGAAGGACGAAGTTGGAGGGGCAGTGCTAGGTATAGCATCGTCTTGAAAATGTGCTGACGAGGCAGTGCGACCGGTGTGTTGAATTTGTGGCGCAGAAGAAGGTCCAGGTTGACCCTGCGGCTCTCTATGATGGTGCTGGCGTCCTGAGGGCTTATCCGAGGCGCCAGGCTTGCGCGATTGTTGCACTTCCGGCTCTGGCGATGGGGAGACCATTCCAGCATACCCAGGACTGTCGCGTTGTGCAGGAGATGGTGCTCTAGCAGCAGGCACTTTGCTGGTGGCACTGCGAGGTCTCTTCGCTGGTCTAGAGTCCGACTCGTACCCAGCATCACTCTCATCATCTTCGACGACAGGATGTTTCTTGTTGTGGTTCTGTGCCTGAGTGTCTTGGTCAAATCTTTCTCGCACAGCATCCAGCTGGCGATGGAGAAAGCCCGGTTTCTGTGCTCCGAGCTCTTTTCCTTTTTGGCCGATTTGTTCCTGTCTGTGTTTCTCAGCAAGGACTTCACGGACTTCTGGCGAAGGATTATCTATCCAGTCAGCCGCGTTCTTTTGAGGCGCCACAACTCGAGGAACCTCGTTTCGTGCTTGTGATTCTGGCCTGGGCACAGACACTGCTCTTGTCGACTGGACTAGAGATTCAGGCTCGACAGAATGCTCGCTTGTTGCATCAGGAAGGTCGATCTCATTGTCGTCTTTTACGGAAAACACCATGTCGTCTTGATCCCCTAACTGTGGTTGTGGTGACTCAGAAATTGCGCTTCGATGTTGAAATTGTTTCCCAGGAGAGTTTAAAAGAGTTTGTGCTGCAAGTCGGTACCGTTCTACGCTCGCAGGATGAGGGCCTTGAGTGTTGATCGTGTGTCCTGGAGATAGCCGCTGTGTCTCTGGCTCGTAGACCGACTCCTCCTCCGTGTCCTCAAGTCTTCTATCCACTTCTCTGTTGTAAGCACTAGATACTTCCAGCGCGATGTCCTCCTTAGACTTGCCCTTACGCTGATCCTCATTATCCTGTACAGCCATGACAGATATTTCCTCGCTACCTTCACGAATTCTGATATTCGGGTCCGCAACTCCTCTTTCTGCTATGCGTCGGGCGAGCTGCTCGTCTCGAGCCACAGCCCATCGCACTGCCATCGCTACAAAGGACCTCCATTCATACTTCTTTCGAAGTCCAGGAAGATCAATGTGTACTCGTTCGGAACCTGTAACATATCTTCTGATTTCACTCAGTCGCTTCTCTTTCACTCTATTTAAGCGGACATTCTGTAGTAACGGAAAGCCATTGGAACCGTCTTCCGAATCATCGAACAATGCGTCGAGGATCTCTTCAGGGTCAATATCGCTTGCATCCCTCGCGGATTCTGCAATGATAATGAAGCATTGCGTCAGTATCGAGACGCCAAGCCTGATTGTGTCACTCCAGAAGTTCTTGCCTTCGTCGATGGTAACGAATGAATGCGGAAAGAGCTTTGACAGACTATAACCAAGGTATTGCAATAAAGAACGCGCTTCGGATTCCGGTGCATAGACTCCTGCGTCGACAATTTTAGAGACAAATATGGCAAGGTTGGCTCTAGTCAATATCTCTCGTGCCTCAAGAACACTAGTATGATCATCCAAGACTCTCAAAAGACGTTCCACTTGCAGGAATTTTCTATGTTCTCGGCCGCATACTTCCAGATCGATATCGAGCTTGCGTGCAAACCTATTGATCGCACGGCTGCGGTCTGTCGTGACGTCTTGTGCTTCGCTGATGACTTGATCGACCGCGGCTGAATGGAAGTGTTTCATGAGTTTCGATACATCCTCACCGATTTCCTCAAGACTTTCAAGGATGGGCTCTCTTTCCAGGTCATCACTGACATCGCTGTCGCAAAGCGCGATATCACTCGCTACGCTGTCCTTGTCGACGTCACTGAGGTGTTCGCTACCAGCATCAAGCACAGGCTTGCTCGGTACGACGAGGATTGTATCCGCATCTTCAACCACTGGTTCAAGGATGCCTTGATATTGGTCATGCTGGGCTCGATGTACGTTCCGAGGCTCGCGGCTTGAGATCCGACTCGATTGGCGGGTTTGGTGTGGAGAGGTGGTTGTTTCTCGGCTCTTTGTGGGTGACAAAGGCGCGCTCCTTCGTCGCACTGATCTGCCCATTCTACTCTGTGTATTCTGGAAATGACCTAGAACGATATTGCGCTAGACTCATATAACATTAATGTTTGTAAACACTGGCCTCGGTCTCAAGTGTCCTGCAAGTGGAAACAGCATTATGTGGTACAAGACGCGTTGTGAAGCTCCAGGTTGTAGAAAAGGTAAATAGGAGGATGTTTAGGGCATAGGGTTACACGGCCACCTTGATTGCTGCTAGCGTGCCTGGACATTGATCACGTGAAAAATTGCCGATGTATGGCCGGCGCAGTTCGGCTTCGTTGACCTGAATTCTGATACTCCTCTCCTCACTGACGCACAACATCTCTAGCAACACGGCACAATTGGTCGACTTTATGCTCTACCAATACGGTCGCTGTCGTGGGAGGCAACGTCACCGTATTCGTAACGATCAACTGCACTTTTTTTCCAGAATATTGCCATATAGAGAGACGCGCTTACTTGTCGCAATTACACTCAAGCTTTTCACCTTCCCCAGATCTTTGATGATCGACATTACGGCTCGTTACTAGTCACGCGCCAATGGCAGAGGTCTTAGACAGTGCAAGCGCCTCATGATCGTCACTTAAGCTCGTCATGAAATGGGCCATAATGATTGCGACAATGCGGCAATGAAGGTCTCGCTCTTCACAGCCTTTGCTAATATTAGACAGCTCTGTCTTTCTCTACAGAAGTACTAATAGACATCGTCATAGAGTGCTGATATATAAAGCTGTACTCGGGTCCTCTATTGAACCAACAGCCAACAGTATATCGATAACTCAAAAGCACATCATCAACATGCGCAAGCAGTCCATCACGAGCAATGCACAGCGCACGCAGTCTGTCTCCTCAGCACCTGAGACGGACGTCGTCACTGTAGCAGTCTTACCACCGAGGCTGCCAACAGATGTCGCGCCTCCAACAGGCATCGCGGCTGCCACAGCCTTTGACTGGGACGAGAGAGTCAATTGGGTACACAACGAGAAGATCAGTGAGGAGGAGGCTACCAGTGCGAAGAGATGGACGCGCAAGCTTGGCTTCACAACACAGCGCAAGAAGGCGAACGATATGCCTCCTTTCGTCTTCAGGAAGATACCCTATGACACGTGAGTTTTGTCGCGAACAGGTTTTGACCAGGCTGACCTCAGATAGATGGCGCAAGCATTACGCCAAAGACAAGGAAGGACGTTATAGAGGTACCTTGGCACCCGCTGAGGACTGTCTGCTACTGCCTGAAGACGTTGAACTTTGGCGATTGGGTGATCCTGAAACAAAAGCAGATCTATGGACACGAGGCAAAGCTGCTTTGCCAGTTTACGATGAACATCATGAAGAGCTCCTGCCACAGTACAGTCGGGACTATGACGGTCCGTCAACTCAAGAACTGAAGCCCGAATCAGGCCGGCCTCATGTTGCAGAAAGAAGTTCCAGTTTTATGGCTGATGGCAAGACCAGTGAACAGATCATTAGTGAAGCCAGAGCCAAGCTGGAGGCTGACAAGAACAAGAAGAAGAGCTGGAAGAATTCAATCAAGAGAGGCGCTGAATTTGCGATGATGGGTACCAACACTTGATCGAGACGGTATTACCACACATTGGCTCAAGCCTATCGAATCAGCGCTCTGAAATGCCTTGGCTTTTCTCTCTCTTGGTCGGATATGTACGTATATGTGATGTGGACAGCGAATCATGTATTGTATTAGCCGTTGTTTGTTGTTAAATACATTGATCCAGCGGTCATTATGTTCGATTATCGTGGCGCTCGTCGTCTTGCAAGCAACCAGCATCATCGACCTAGTTCGCTGTGCATTGCGACATACATACTCCACACTCGTTGCTTGTATCGTCCCGCAGCTCGTTATCCGAGAGCCGGAGCAATGGCCTTGGGCTTGATGTCCCTGACGATGTTGTCAATCGTCAATATAGAGATGAGCCTGCTCACTCACTACGGCAGGAAAGTCACCTGCTAAAGATGGCGCCCGATAGAGGCTCAGCACCAGTCCGCCGAAGCTCGTCCAGCTCACTCGATCGAGCACTCACTGAAGAAGATCATGAGTTGTCTCAAACCACGCTCCTCAATGAAGCCACGACCGAAAATCCTGTCGCAAAGCAGATCACTCAGTCTGACCTCGGTCTTTATGCCACGAAGTCGAGTCACCATGAGAGCGTGGTCGACGCCACGAACTTCACCTTCCGAGGTGTAACTGCTGGTCTGCTCATTGGGGTCATCATCTGCTTCTCAAACACGTACTTTGGTCTACAGACAGGATGGGTCAGTGGAATGTCTATGCCTGCCTCGCTAATCGGCTTCGCCTTCTTCAAGAGCGTCTCGAAACACCTTAAGCTACCCTTCACTCCGGTCGAGAATGTCCTTGTGCAGACAGTCGCAGGTGCTGTTGGAACGATGCCGCTGGGATTGGGCTTTGTGGGAGTCATGCCCAGCTTGGAATTTCTACTCAAGAAGAGCGAGGGTGCACCTGTCGACCTGAGTCTGTGGAGACTGATTGTCTGGGGCGTCGGCTTGTGCTTGTTCGGAGTAGTGTTTGGAGTGCCACTACGCAAGCAGGTCATCATAAGAGAGAAGCTCAAGTTTCCTAGTGGAACAGCTACAGCACTCATGATCAGCGTGCTGCATGGCGGAGCCCACGAAAAAGGCGAGGTTCAGACACAAGGCACTGAAGAGCGGGAGCAGTTGTTACACGGCACAGAAGAGGAGGACGATGATCGAGATAACAGCAAGCATACAAATGAGGAAGATATGAGACAAGATTGGAAAAAGCAGATAGAGTTCCTGCTGACTGCATTCGCAGGTTCTGGACTCTACACCCTTATTCAATATTTTATACCAGTGTTGCACAGACTGCCTATCTTTGGCAGATACCTGGCTGATACCTGGGTCTGGACGCTGAATCCTTCCCCAGCCTATGTCGGACAAGGCATCATCATGGGACCTGCGACGACGTTACATATGCTCTTGGGAGCTATAATAGGTTGGGCTGTGCTGAGTCCCGTTGCAAAGCACAAAGGTTGGGCACCTGGACCAGTTGACGACTGGGAGACTGGAAGCAAAGGTTGGATAGTATGGGTCAGCTTAGCTATCATGCTTGCAGATGCTGTTGTTAACCTTGGCTGGCTGGTTCTTCGTCCTGTCATATACTATGGACCTCAATTTGCCAGAACTACAGCCGAGCGGTACAAGGGCAGTTCTGATGTCAAGGAGTTCATGTGGTCCCATTTGTCCAGCAGTCATTTTGACTACAGTCGAGTCGGCGACGAGGACCGCACAGCGAAACGCGGTCAGGACGATATGCCAGACGATGCACCAGCACATCACTTGATATCTGGTCGTGCCGTTTCGATTTGGCTGCCAATCACCCTGATAATATGCGTCGTGTGTGTGCACATTACGTTCGGAGAATACATGCCTCTCTCGTTGAATATATTGGCATTGTTCCTTGCTCTCCTTCTCAGCATTATGGGCGTTCGAGCTCTTGGAGAGACTGATCTCAACCCAGTCAGTGGCATATCAAAGCTTACACAGCTCTTGTTTGCACTGGTACAGCCAACAGGAACACACGCTCACCATGCAATCATCATTAACCTCTTAGCAGGTGCAATCTCCGAGTCAGGAGCGCTGCAGGCGGGCGACATTCTCCAAGACTTAAAAGCAGGCCACCTCATTGGAGCAAGTCCGAAGGCACAATTCTATGGTCAGCTCATCGGGTCAGTGGTTGGCGCAGTACTCAGTGCTTGTGTTTACAAGCTCTATGTCAATGTCTATGATGTGCCTGGTGAGCTTTTCCAGGTTCCTACCGCGTACGTCTGGATCTTTACAGCACGACTAGTCACAGGCCGAGGCCTACCCGACATGGCGTGGCAATACGCGCTGGGTGCTGGTGGGATATTCGCATTAACCACAATCATTCGCATTTATCTTGCAGCAGGTGAAGAAGGCAGTTGGAGAAAAAAGTTGCATCCTTGGATACCTGGCGGAATTGCTGTTGCTGTCGGCATGTACAATACTCCTAGCTTCACGTTGGCGAGGACTGTTGGTGGATTGATAAGTCTATGGTGGGTGACGTTGAAAGGTAACGCTGAGACACGTGTAATTGTGCTTGCTTCCGGATTGATTCTAGGCGAGGGTGTGGTCAGCATTTTGAATTTGGTGTTGGCTAGTTTGAGCGTGCCTCATCTATAGCATTTAATTATGATTGAGGTGCTCTACTTGAATTCCGAAGCTCTTTCTGTCCAATATTTCGTGTCATCTTGCAATGTCTCTTTGACCAGTAAAGAGGTTGTCGTGTCTATCGTGGCATTAGTTGAAGAATGTTTCGTAGATAATCATTGAGCTGGGAACCTGCAATACGTGTACATTTTATTCAACGATTCGGAGAGCCGCACCTGGCACCTGCTCCGCCGAGATCAGCATTTGGCATGATCTGCATCACTTAGCGAGCTGCGATGCCAGTGGTGGGCTGCCCTCATGACTGGGAAAGCAATATCTCCACCACTTTCGTATTACAATCCTCCTAATGATACCGCCTGACAAGCTCTCTCCATCGTCGTGATCCCGAGAAGTTCTAACAGCGAGATACAGAAAGTCCTTCGTGCCTGCCCCGAGCTCAGCCATTGAGGAACCTGTTTGCCATATCTGTGATTTAATACAAACAACAAGCTTTGCCTACAAACACCTACTGCCTGGTGTCGATTGCTCCAGACCCTTTAAGAGACAAGCCTCAGAGGTTGGCCCATGAGCAGAATCACTGTACTGATTGAAAGACCATTACATTCGTGACAATTACCTTTCCTCGAAGAAACCACTCTTGACTGCCTTCCTGCTTTACCGAATACTAGAACACCTCTCTTTACAGACAAGGCCCTCCACCTGTCAATTCCTAACGTATCACGAGACCAAAATACACTACAATTGCGATCTGTAGGCTTCTTCCCTTGAGGCTGTGTGAGAAGAGGCTACGGCAGGAGAAGGAGTCAGTTGAAGTGGGAGACATGGGTCTCACGTACAATGTCTACCTCAACTCGCAGAAGATCTTTGGCTGCAAGGTGAGTCCCCAAACCTCTCTGCAACCACATCCGCATGCTACACACTCTTTGATTCACAAGAAACATCGTCTTGTATGCAACTGCCAGAAGTTCACATCTACACGTACATCTGTTTCTTTCTACATCTCTCTCTGACACCAAACCACAGCGTTGTAAAACTCACCTTGCCGACTTCGACGACATCATCTCTCGCAACTTTCGTGGCCAGCACGGTAAAGCCTTCCTCTTCTCGGCAGTCGTGAATATCAAACAAGCAGAAGCAATGGAACGAAACATGACTACAGGCCGCCACGTCGTACGTGATATACTGTGCAGTCAGTGTAGCGAGACGGTGGGGTGGAAGTACGATAAGGCTTATGAGGCGAGTGAGAAGTACAAAGAAGGCAAGTTTATCTTGGAGAGTGAGCTGTTGTGTACGGTGACGTGAAGAGGTTGTGAAGTTGCCGTAGCTGCTGGGCACGCGGAGGGCAGATGAGCAAGTGAGAAGGAAACAAGATTGGGTTGGTGAAGAGAAAGCACAAGTTACCATATCCTGGTACAATACAACAGCATGGCAGCTTGGACAACGAAGACAGAATGGATGTTGATGAGCTGTGCCCGGCTTACTATGGGACATTAGGCGAATCTTGGATACGGTTATTGGTCCTTCACATTTTGTGTCGAGAACCGTGCTTGAAGGCGCATCGGCAGGCATAATGGGCTAGATATAGCTTACTTTACAACGATATAAAGGGACACTAGTAATTTAGATATTGGACAGCATCTCCCGGATAGAGCTCAAGTAAATCGTATAAAGGAACATGTTTGAGAGACCGCTATTTCCTCTGCAATTCCACTGAGTTCAGAAACCGTAACATCCCGTCCCACGACCAAGAGTCGTTGTGCTGCTTATCTGACTAAGGGCCACATCCTAAGTCAAACCCGCATCTCTTGCTGCAAATGGAAGGTGTAATCTTCCTCAACCAAAGGATTCGATACAGGTATTTATGTACCTCGCTCCATCACGAGTGGGCTGATCAAAACCCCAACTTCAATCAAAACATAAATCTCCAAACCAACGTCAACCCCGCAAACACGCCCTGAGCTGGCAGACATCGATGGAAAAAGCATGAGATCTCGAATCTGGAGCTCTTCATGAGCCTAGGTTGATTATTAACGCTTGTTCGATGATGTATTCCCCCAGTGAATTTGTGTGATTGTTTCGCGAATTCTTCTTGTTTTCCTTTTCGCGCTGAGGTTTCGTGAGACGAGCTGACACCGTTTATCTAGACACATTAGGACGGAAAAAGAAGGAAACAAGACAGGACGAAATGAGTAAAGACACGATGCAGGCGGTCATCTTCGACGGACCACTCAAGGTCAAGATTGAGCAGCGCCCTGTACCTAAGATTAAGGAGCCTGGCGATATTATTGTCAAGGTTCGATATACAGCTCTTTGTGGCAGGTAAGAAAGAATACTTTGGTCCACAAGTGAAGCTATTGCTGATAATCCATGAGCGAACTCCATGTTTTTCGAGGCCATCAGCCTTCACCGACTGGCTTCATTATGGGTCATGAGTTCACTGGTGAGGTGGTCGAGATGGGAGACGATGTGAAGAAGTTCCAGAAAGGTGATACGATTGTGACACCATTCACAATCAGCTGTGGAGAGTGCTTCTATTGTAAGAAGGGATTCTCGTCCAGATGCGAGAAGTGTTTGCTGTATGGCACAGCTGCCCTCGATGGAGGTCAAGCTGAGTACGCTCGAATTCCTCTAGCCGATTCTACTGTGGTCAAGGCACCACCGAAGATCGACGAGAAGAAACTCGTCCTTATGGCTGATATCTTTCCCACTGGCTATTTCGCTGCATACAACGCTTTCAAGGGCTTTGAGCATGCAGACATCTGGGACATGACGGTCGTCCTGATCGGATGCGGACCTGTAGCTATGTGCGCGCTGGTCAACGCTCTTGAGTATGGTCCCAAACATCTGCTGGCTGTCGACTCGGTTCCAGAACGTCTTGAACAAGCTAAGAAACTGGGTGCGGAGCCATGGAATTTCAAAGAGAATAAGGATGGACTAGTCAAAAGAGTCAAAGAGCTTACCAACGGCAGAGGCGCAGACGCAGTCATGGAATGTGTCGGACACAGTGATGCTCTTGGACTGGGATTCGAGCTTCTCAGGCCTTGGGGTCGAATCAGCAGTATCGGTGTACACAATGGTGAAATCCCATGGACCGGCAACCAGGCTTATGGCAAGAACCTCACGGTCCAGATGGGCCGATGTCCAGTACGATCGTTATTTGAGAAATCTTTGAGTATGCTGGAGAAGAACCAGGACAAGCTCGAGTAAGTGTCGTGGTACTTCGTGCTTACGAAGAAAGTTTACTGACCGCTCCTGCAGCTTCATGATTGACAATATCCGCCCGCTTTCAGAAGCTGTTCCTGCGTAAGTGCTTGATAGACCCCACTGAAGTCTGCTCCAGTCGCTGACCAATACTTGCGCAGGTACGATGAGTTCAACAATATGAAATACCACAAGATCGTGTTTGAAGCTGATAAGTAATTGCAAACTCGCTTGCTGTTGCATGAATAGCTAGAGAAGGGAGATTTTCGAGGTCGCGACCCGATTCGAGGACTCGGCTTGCCTACAAGACTATGAACGGTGCCTAAATCACCCGCGTATAGCCACGCTTCGACGGCAATTATGCAGTCTGGAGTGGAAACTGGTTCTTTTGAGCGGCAGGCTACCTAATTGGGGTTGTCGATAGAACTGTACTGTACGCATACCCACAACGTAAAGCTCTAGAAGACAAGAGTCAGGACCACAGAATATTGATGCTTCATTGAATCAGCCAGTATCACAGTCGAAAGTTCTGCAAATCCTAGAGCTCTGGTGGGTTGTCTAGTCGTTAACTCTGCAATCAGACGTCAGTGGATCACCTACTCGGTGCTTGCCCGCTCGTTAGTTCACCGCATAAGCAAATCACATAGTCCAATATTCATAAGTAGGAGTGGACTTTCAGGCACTTGACATGAACAGGACAAGTCTGGTGATTCGCGACCCGTTAGCTGAGCAACTGGAGCATCGTTGCGGCAGGTGCTAGTGGTAGTCGTGCAGATAGAGTGATGTGCTAGGGTTGAAGATGGAAGGTGCGTTGGATGCAAACTTCCAAAATTCGTGTGTTGACCGACCTACCAGCGATCGGTTATCATAGGACGTGTAGCTAGATATCTTTCGGGCAACAATTTCAACTTCTCCTCAACCTCTATACTTCCTTTCCTGCCATTCACCTTCCCGCAACGTAAACCCGTCACCTTTCGTGTCTGGACCTTCGTCCGTCCTCCTCTACCTCCAGACCTCATATCCTCCGTCTTTACCACCGCGCAATCTTGCCCGCCACATTTTTGCTACAGCTCTTGTGCCATACAGGACTGCTCTCTTCATACTACCTTTGACGGCTCGACGACTTTCCCATTCAATCCATCATGTCTACGTCAGAAGGTCATGGCGCAGCTCAGCTCGATCCTACTGCGGTTTTGACCGAAGGTATGGGCTCGATGAATGTCGGCCACGATTCTCAGCCCAAAACAGAGGAAGAATACGGCCAGTCACAATTGACCATCCGAGCCATCGTTTCCTCTCGAGAAGCTGGTGTAATTATCGGCAAAGCTGGCAAGAATGTGGCCGATCTTCGAGATGAGACAGGCGTGAAAGCTGGAGTATCCAAGGTCGTTCAAGGTGTTCACGAACGCGTCCTGACCGTCACTGGCGCCCTATCTGGTATTTCCAAGGCATATTCCATCGTCGCAAAGGGCTTGCTCGAGGGAGCTCCTTCTATGGGTATGGGTGGTGCTGTTCAGAACAATGGTACCCACCGTAAGTCCATAACATTCCACATGAGTGCTGTTGCTAACTCTTTGTCCAGCCATTCGACTCCTGATCTCTCATAACCAGATGGGCACTATCATCGGCCGACAAGGTCTGAAGATCAAGCAAATTCAAGACGCTTCAAGCGTCCGCATGGTTGCTCAGAAGGAGATGTTACCACAATCCACCGAACGTATTGTTGAGGTTCAAGGTACACCTGAAGGCATCGAGAAGGCTGTATGGGAGATCGGCAAATGCCTCGTGGATGATTGGCAACGTGGAACTGGCACAGTGCTCTACAATCCTGTTGTTCGTGTCCAAGCTGGTGCTGCTGGCCTTCCTGGCCCTCCCACGGGCCTTCCTCCTGCAACTGGTGGATATGGCAACCGTTCTTACAACAGAACTGGAAACGGAGCTGATTTCAGTGATTCTCGACCATATCGATCCGGTGGTGGAGACGGTCCTCCCATCAGAAACAGTGGCATCCCGGCAGTTACCGAAGACGGTGAGGAGGTTCAGACCCAGAACATCAGCATTCCTGCCGATATGGTTGGCTGTATCATCGGACGAGGCGGTTCTAAGATCAGCGACATTCGCAAGACCTCAGGTGCTCGAATTTCTATTGCCAAAGCACCTCATGACGACTCTGGCGAACGAATGTTCACCATCATGGGAAGTGCAACTGCTAACGAGAAGGCTCTCTATCTTCTATATGAGAACCTCGAAGCTGAAAAGTCTCGTCGACAGGGCATGTCTTCCGAATCGACCTAGAGTGTCGGTTCTCCGATAAGCTCTCTGCATATCTGAGCTACCCTTTCCTATTGTCCTGGTCGTCGCCCTCACCACTGTCTTTCACGAGGAAATCTTCCCATACGATACCCATCGGTTTGCTGTTTTCTTTCGATAAAAGCGTGCGACATGACTTGTTGTTTGTCTTCATTCATCGGCGTCGGGCATAGAGGTTATTCTAGCGCAAAGCAAATCCATTCACGTCGGTTTGACATCGACTTACCTACACGATCACGATCACACGGATACACTTGATGACCTTTGACGGCTACGATACCTGATCTGTTTCACCGGAACGATCATTGCATGCAGCAGAGCTGCTCTACACGACAGTTGACGAATCATGACTTTTACGTTCCTGCACCATTAACTCTACCAATGCTCTCCTTAATCACGATCACAATCGCAATCCAACAAGACGATACCCAGCCACATATCATGGCACGACAGTCCCCCACAGACATTGACCGATAGCACATGGAGCGGATTCCAGCCAGGGAGATATACTACTGAGATGGACTGAATCTTAGTGTTTGCGGTTAGCTAAGCCCTTGCAGATGAGAAGCACAAGAACCACGATCTGCTAGTAGAATATTGCTGGTCTGCTTGTCAATCAACAGAATTAAAAACTGCTTCTTCCACAATCATCCTCCTGTCTGTAATACTTAAACTCAAGTTTCAGTGACTGACAAATAGGTTGTGCGACCCCATGCCATGCTTGCAACCACGAAGTGGTTGCGCACAAATATGTCCTCATTTGACCCACTGATACTACTCGTGAAAGGAAAGGAGGAAGACCTTCTACCACGAATTTCGTTCAATTAATCTCCCTATCTTGTGGTTCACCGCTGAGCCATCAACATACTTGTGATTCATTGCCGCGGTATTACACTCCAACACATCAATCTTCGCCAAAGGTATGATCAGAAGTCTTGTTAAGCAACGCAGTTTCTTACATTTGCAACAATATGCTAATTTTTCACCATCTATCTGCAGCGAGCTCATTGACTCACTACCAACCCTGTGCGCAACATGAACTAGTCGCGTGTCCTGTGCGAATCACCAGACTCAGGAGCAATCTCACGGCCTTCATTTCACTCTCTGATCATCCAGCTCCATGCCGATTGATCATATATAGCCCAGTCACGCAGCTTTTTGACGAAAGAACTCCGTAGCTAGACAATAGCCCCCGGTCGAGCCGCTGCCGCCGCATCCAAAAGTTCCTCGACATTACGGAAACGTAGATTCGGGAAATACTTGGCCCTATGTCTTTGAACCTTGTCCTTGGGAAACATCGACGCTCCGGAATAGCTCAATACTTCGAATTGAGCCGTCAGTACGGACTCGGGTGATTCATTGGCGACGATTTGATTAATGGTGTCTGCGAGTGGTTTTGTTCGACTGGTCCATTCGGGGTCTCTTTTCGAGATGATGGTGAAGAGGTCGTTCCAGGAAAGTTGCTGGCCGGAGAGGTAGGTGTAAGGGTCCCAGGGTTCGGTAGTAGCGAGGAGGACTGCGACGGCTTTTGCGACGTCTCGGACGGAGACTATATCGATGAGTTGAGTTCCAGGTCCGTAGATGGTGAATGTCTTGTTGGCGTGATCCATAGGCCAGGGAGCGCCGATGTCTGGGAGGTAGCGCTGTTGTGCTGGGTAGATGTAGTCGGCGAACCAGGAGTTGCAGACGATTGTGCTTCTGATGTCTGTTGATTCCTTGAGCTTCTGGTGGAGGGCTTCGTTGGCGTTGGCGAAGAACATGGGCTGTTCGGGGTAGTCTTCTACGTTCGATGTCCACTCGGATGGGACGAATGTCTTGCAGCGTCTCGATTGCTTGCATGCTTCGAGCATTGTGAGGTGGATCTGGAGTGGGATATCGAGGTTCTGATAGTCTGCGACAGTTGATACGAGTGCGTCGCAGTCCTCTAGGACTGTAAGGAGTGAGTTGACACTGTAGTCGGTTTGTCTCGATTCACATCGTTTTTCTTGAGTGTTGCTGCGCCGACTGAGTACTACGACTTCATGGCCGTACGATACAAGCTCTTCAACTAGGTACTGAGACACATTGCCTGTGCCAGCAATGGCCACTTTGATTAGTTTGCTTGCTTGCATTTCGGATCGGGCGCATTTTATTGTGAAAGGTGGCAGAGTAGTCCGCTGGTGAAAAGGCTCCCTATATAATAGCTCGACGCAATCGTCTTGATGGCCTAATGTTCAGTTGACTGGGCAGTATTTGGAGACATTACAGAACGGATGCAGGCCATTGGAGTAGCCAAGACCGCATTGTTCTTGGTAAAGAGTCTCAAGCGGGCAGGTAGTGGAACGAGAAGACATTCATAGGAACACATTAGTAAGGCATACCTTGGTCTCGTCAGCAATCGATTCTGTTCTTGCCTGAAATTTCTCTTCCGGCCTCAAACCGACTCTCGTTGCGATATTCGCGCCGTCCCCTGAATCAGTGCGACGTAGTATTCGACACTAAGATCTGCGCAGAGACTTAAGCTGAGGTCGAAGAGTGCACGTCAATCACAAGCTGTCCTGATGAATCCTCAGGATTCTGTATATACACGAACTGAATCAATTGACATCGTATCGTCAGTATAGTAATACTCTTGCAGCGTCCAAGCTCCACTTGCATATGTCTGCGAGAAAACATGCTAGGGCAGACCTGAAGATACCACTAGCGGGCCTGAAAGAAGTTGTTGAAGTGCTACAGTGAGCCTGCCCTCCAATTGGTGAGCCGCATACTGTTGCTGTTCGCAGCGAGGCGGTACAGCTGCCTTCGAAGCGATAGGAGTCCGCGGACATCTCAATCTGATACAGACTAGAAGCGATCTGATGAAAGACGCGTACAGTGAGAGACACGCGCACTCGGACAACTTGCCTGGTAAAGCGTTGGTTTTTACCTTTAATTTCTTTTTTTTATTTGAGACACTCGGAATTATTGTCGACCTACCTACGACCATCTCATGCACGATCAATCTTCTTCGTTGTGAGCGGTATCGACTCATCTACAATGTAGACATATACCTCGACTTGACTAACGAATTCGAAAATTCTTGGCATCAGGTTGTTCTATGCAGCTCATCAATGGGTCAATCCTGATCCCTGGATAATCCGGATTTAGGATAGGGATTCGAGATTTGGATCAACTGATCTTCTTCAATGCCACATTGTTCCGTCCAGACTTGCACGTGCGACCCAGGCACTCTGTGAAGTCTGACCTTATCTTCTACTTCAGGACAACCACTATCGCAGCTCATTAACATAGTCCGACAGATGCTGAACCTCCCACGCGAATCCCTCCCATGCACGAAACGCATAATCGTCCGCTCCCAGCCCAGTACTAACCTGCACCTCGTTCAAACTCAGCGCTTCTATGCTGCCGAGCGCTTCTCCACCTACTGCTCTTCTCGCTTCCAGCTGAGCTGTTTGCACCACAGCGTTATCCGTCGCATATATTGATTGATAGACGACGTTACTCAAGCTTGTTGCGGCAGTCGAGAAGCCGTGATAACGTTGAAGCACGAGTGGGTAGGTCGGTAAGGTAGAAGGATTGTCTGATGTTGAGGTGGAATTCGAGAATGCTGCGGCTAAAGCGGAACCGAATCGAGCATTGTTGACAAGCATATCCTGTCGTTCGGTGCTATTGTAGAGAGGTGTGATGTCCCATAGTGGGACGTTGAGACCCATGAAGGCTGCCATGTGGTAGACTGGCACGAGTGAGATGAGGCCAGTAGCATAGGTAAGCATTGGTAGAGCGTGGCTGTGCACTACAGCATTAGTCTCAGAGTATCTACGCATGATCTCGCCGTGGATGAAACGTTCGCTTCTCGCACTGACACTCCCAGGCATGGTACCATTTGGGAACGGCAGTGGTTGAGAATCGTTGACGCGGTAATAATACAGGTCGGCGGCACGAGAAACGGTGTTGCCGGCCGATGCTGCCATGATATACACGCTGCTGTCATTGGGATGACGAATAGAGACATGGCCAAACGAGTCGATAATCGATCTATGGTGAAGGATATGGTTGGCGGTAATGAGATCGCTAAGGGCTCGACGGGGCGCTTCTTGCGGTGGTGGAAGTTGAGTTGCTGCAAGCTGAGCGACAGCGAGCAGAGAAAAGACAACTCCAGCGGCTAACATGCTGTATAAAAACTGCTGAATGTCGTTGATGGTCCAGTAGATAAGAAGAGTGGTAACCTGTGAGAAGCAATTTCTGCGGTCTGCCTCGAGGTAAAAGTTCGTGTCCTATGTATATCATGTATGGTATCTGACGGCCATCTCGTCGGCCCTCTTACTGGCAACAGTAGTCCCGGATTACTGTATTCACATTCTCGTGACGTGAAGCCACTGATGTCACTCAGTATATCGATCCACAAGCACAGAGTTTATGTCGATCTCTCGTGAATCTGAAGCGGAGCTCTGGTACGGAGTATCTTGGCGTGATACAGAAAGCCGTCTCCTCCTTGGCACAATATGGAAAGTCCGGCACCCGTTTCTGTCAATCGGGAAGCAAAGTTTATAGGAATATTACTTGTTCAAGAATATTAGTTTTGCAAATCACTGATAGAGTCAATATTCGTGGTAACAAACAGGTCTTCTATTCTTTCTTGGCTTTTCTTGATGCTCATCAAGTCAAACAGATCTCATACACTGCCCTTCCTACTCCTCAGTGCTTCATCATCGGCGTCTGCCTTGTCTGCAAATTTCGATCGTGATCTGATCACTCTGCCGTACCGGTGGAACAGAAACGGCAAAGGTAGCAGCAAGATAGCCAGAAAGCCAGGGACAGCGCTTGCCCAGTGAATTCCAATGCCTTCATATATGTAGCCAGTAAATAGAGGGAAGACAGCTCCAAAGACAGATCGCATGACGATCTGACCAGCGATTGCGGATGCCGCATACATCTTGTAGGCGTCAACAATGTAATTCGACGAACTCGTCCAGATCAAAACCATGCCACAACCAAAGAAGGAGCCCGCTATGACACTGCATGGCCAAGGTATGGAAGGACCATTTGTAAAGGCGAACCATAGGATGCCAATCGGAACCAACACAGCTCCAACCATCGACGGCTGAAGACGAACTTCAGGGTGTGCCTGTTCCTTCTTTACCTTTACAACAAAGCGCTTGCTGATAGGAACGTTGACGATACATGCCACCAAACATCCCACACCTATACCAAGAAGTGCGAGACCACCAATGCCAGGGGACCAGCCTCGTGCGTCTTGATAAACGTATGGATATCCGGCTAGAAAGAGATAGAGCGTTCCGTAGATGGATGCAACCCAGAGTGAAAGTAAAAGAACTATCGGTTCCGTGAAAAGGATTACCCATGGCCTAGTCAATGCTTTCTTGAAGGCCACCTTTGCTGAGACACTGCCTTTCTGAAGATGTAGCTGTGAGACATAGCACTTACCAGTCATCTTAGACATGGTCCTGGCTCGGCGGTCAAGCAAAAGCTCGCCTAATGTCTCAGGTACGAATAGCAGACCAAGGACAAGACCGCTCGCTGCCAGTAAAGTGAGAATGCCTAGGGTCCAACGCCAACCTAGAGCAACTCCAAGAAATCCTCCTGCCATTGGTCCAAGGACAGGACCTGTATTGAGCATGAGTGACTGGTGTAGCCTTCGATGTACTTTGCAAACTGACCTAAGAAAGGAGTGGCAGCGTAGAAGCCGAATGCCAAGCCGCGTTTCGCTGGCTCAAAGATATCCGCCAAGATACCCTGTGCAGTTGTGAAAGAGCAGGACGAAAAACAGCCAGCCAAGAAGCGTAGCACGATCATAGTCTCGATGTTTTGTGCTGCCACAACACCTCCGAGGAAGACCACAAAGCCAATATAGCTCGCAAGCATAGTCGCTTGTCTTCCCAATGACTCGGCTAATGGTGCCCAGAACAAGGGACCAATCACAAAACCTAGCACATAGAAAGAGACCCCTAGTATGGCCACCTCTCTGCTTGTTTGTGTATACTCTTGCACCTCACGGAGAATGCCAATCCAGATTGACGATCCCATTGCTGTCATAAATGCCCACAACGAACATGCAGCTACAATGACCCATTTCCTCCACTGCGGCAGTTCTTTGGGGTCGCCAGGATCGTTCTCAAGGAAAGAGATTGTATACGGATGCTCTTCGGTTCCTTCGCCTTCATAGTGTTCGTGTAAAATGCGGTCTGTAACCACACCTCGAGGACTCAGTAATCTCCAGTATGAGACTTGTTCGTGTTGTAGACTAAGGGTCTTGTCTGAGTCTTGACTCTGTGTATCTGACCTAGCCAGCATGTGCTGCTCCTTCATTGTACCAGGACTCGAGGACGGGAGGTGTCACTTAAGAAGTGATGGACTGCAGGTAGCACAGCCAGATCCTTGTCTTCATATCTGTGTGATAGAAACAATGCCTGACTTCATTGAGTGGAGTGAACACATCTGCACAGAAAATATTGCATGCTGATAATCAGCCAACGAATTGGCTGAACTGGAACCAATGCGAGTACATCCGTTGATTGTTAACCTTTGCGCGTACTCATCGGGACCCAGTTGTATCAGGTCATTATCATGCAGCAGAGGCTCAACAGATCGCTGGAGAGATAAACCAGTGAGAACGTTATGCGAGGTCCACGATCCCGACAGATCCTTGGTTGGAATGGAGCTTGGAGCGTTACGGGTCCACATGTACGTGATGCAGGTACGTCATGCCTCGATAGGCATTATCACTATGACTTATTAGTAGCGACAGCCAACATCTGGAAGGTCTTTCCATCAGTCGAGCATAGTCGAGACCAGAGGATGCTATGAACCGGGTAGACGAGGACAAAAGATAAAGCGAAGGAGCTTTGGGATTAGGTTTCCGCCCATCGTCATTCTTGGCACGAACGGTGGTCTATACGAACAAAAGTTGCAACGAGTATTGCTCCAAGCATTCAAGTTCAGGAAGCATCCCATATATTTCTCGGTCAACAAGTTTGTTCCAAAATCCTCCACGCTACCAAATCCATATGGCTAGCTATCTCTCATCATACAGATCATATATTAGCTCTTCCCATGATGTCAATGAGATTACATCGCCCTCGTATGACATTTCAATAAATTTCTTCTTGTACATGGACTTCTGCGAGCAAGTATTCGTAGACTGCATCGCCTCGTATATGGAACGTGACAGGCTTGGGATTGGGTACCCTCTGGTGCTTACCCGTTACCTGAACCGCCGAAAACGACTGCTAGATCCTCCTGATGGTAAGATTATAGTGTGCAGTATCATTGACTTCATCGTCATTCTGATAGGTTAGGCATGCACATTGACATACCTCCACTGGACGTCATTAGACGCTCTTTGCCTCTTACATCGTTCCGTCCTCCTGGCGTGCTTCAATTGGCACTAAAACTGTCAGGCGAACCAATACACATTTTGGCCCGATTTTGGTTGAGGTTTCGTTAGGATCGAGGAAAACGGTTGTGGATGGACCGGGAAGTTCAAGGCCAGTCCCAGACTTGCTTAAGGAACGCCTCCATGTTGACTTTCTTGCCCTTCATCTCGACAATCCACGGGTGCTCCAGCATTCTCCAAGGTGTGGCTCTTCGTGTTGGTGTTTTCTCCAAACAACACTCAATAAAGTATTTCATACCTTCACTCCACTTGATGCCATTGTCTGGTTCATCTTTTAGTTTCGGTATTGGTTGCGCAACGATGTATGTCAGTAGATCGATCAATCCTGCTCTGGGCTGCATCTCTGTGCCGTCGGCTGGGAATGGAAATCGATGCTGAGCAACCTCCAGAAGAGTAACTCCTAGTGACCATACATCGGAGGTGATAGTGTAGGATTGACCCTGAATTCGTTCGGGTGCCATGTAGTAAGAGGTGCCAATAAAAGTGTTTGCATCGCCCTTGGTACCGAATTCGCCCGAAACACCAAAGTCACATAGCTTGACTTGACCGTTTCGACAGAGGAGGATGTTCGATGGCTTGATGTCTGAAGGTCTGTTAGTGGATGCTTAAAAGATGTGCTCAGTCTGCTTACCTCGATGTATGATCTTGCGGCTGTTTAAATATGTAAGACCATGAAGTACGCCCTCTGCTATTCTTCCAAGGACTTTCTCGCCGGTACGACCACCAAGCTTCTTGACTTCCTTGTATATCGAGTCGAGTGAACCTCCCTCGCAGAACTCCATGGCTATGCTGATGGTTGAGCTGGACTTGTCCATGAAAGCACCATAGTAGAGGCAAATATAGTCGCTTGTGCAATTTTTGTTGAACTTGAGCTCCCGCAGAATCTGCTTCTTGACGTCCGGATCGGGACTTGTGGTGATGATTTTGAGAGCGAAGACGGTTTTCCCACTGTCTAGCTGACACCTCGTCACAGCTCCACCTGCACCTTCACCTAATGGACCGAGTTCTATAATCTTCTTCTGCTCCGAGGCGGCTGCCCAACCATCATCATCTAGGTCCCCGACATCTATCGGGTGACCTCTTTCTATTGATAACTGTCCAAAGTCTATGCTGATGCCGCTCATACTGTTCTCTTGATCCATAGAAGCACCACCTACCGAGATTGCGGAGGAGGGATCTGGCGTGTGACGGCTTTGACTTATGAAGGAAAGCGATGAGTACGTACTCGAGGAGGCAGACGGAGGCATCGAGGGATCGTGTTGTGAATCTGATCGAGACCTGTTGCTATTTTCCGATGAAGTAGACATGGACAACTTTGGTTTTGTTGGTCGAGAGCCGACCTGCTCAAGAGGTTGTCCTTGTGAACCCATAGGTGTTGCCAGTGATAGCTTTGGGGCACCTTCTCTTGACGCAAGACTGAATCTTGGAACACCACCAGCATTCTCTGCTTCTGGTGGAACAGGCCTTTGATTCGGAGATGGTGGTATAGCGAGGCCCAGTTTGAGGTTGGGGCGACCTCCCTTCGCACCACCAGGCTGCGGTGGCCTCAAAAGTGGCACTGGGGAAGCCATGACGAAGTTTTCGAGCGTACTTCACGCGAGGACGGTATGTAGGCTGTCCTTACGCTGTACAATGTATATGTCGTGTTTCGTTTAGCCTGGCAATATCTGGGATTCGCAGTGCACTCAAATCTTTGATTATGGTAATCACACAGGGTCTGATATGTCTCCTCGAACAGATACCTAAGCCTTGTAAGTCTGCAAATAAGGATGGTGCTCGGTAGGCGATCGCACAAGGGTGCAAGCGAGCGGTGGTATGGCCGACTGTGTATATAGGTGCCCAATACTGGCGTCACTTTGACCCCAAAAGTCTACGAATGTGAAGAATTCGAATTCCTCAGACTTGCCTCTGTTTGCGGCCTCGTTAAAGTGATGATTGGAGTGAGGGAAGGCAACAGAGCTCGACTATGCTGTGTGAGAGTTGCAAAGACTGTTGCTTTGGCGTTTGCACTGAAGATTGGGCACCTGTGTAGGCTCTGATCTGCAGCTGGACGGCGGCTATTTGAAACACAAAACACTCGCTCGAATTGCGTGGGGGCCGTTATTACCAACAGAGTCGATCCGAGGGTCTTTTCACTGCTGTTTATTGGTAGCTCTGAACCAGCTCGCTTTGGGCGTTGTGTGATTCGTGTTGAGAGTTTTGCGCGAATGTAAAGCTGAGCTTACGTCGCTGACCAAGCCCAGCCAAGCGAGAAGATGGACGCCGACGAACTGGTCGCATCAATCACAGGACCGATTGACTTTAAGGCCTCGTAACTTTCGCGGGTCTAGACTATCAAGTCCTACATATCAAGCCTACGTGGCAAGCTGGCGGACACATCAAGTACTTTCACACTTATCGTGCTAAGACATGGTGTCCAGCTGAGCGCAAAGGTCTTGTGTTTGACGTACGGAAAAACATGCAATGCCCGTTCATGGCGGCAGAAGGACCGATCGTACAACTTAATTACCCATCATCCGTAACGCCATAGTCAGTAGTGACTCGTCATCGACGGCAACAACATTCCGAACGGGACTCGACCCTTCATGCAACTGGCTATACTGCCATTCACCCATGGAGGTACAATACGCTTGTACAGTATGCCAGGGTGGAGTGACGGTGGAGCTGTCAGCGGGCACATCCTGATGGTACCATTTCTCATGCTTGACTACAATCGTCAATACCTGCGCACGCCTGAGCATTCGGACAGTGTCAGTGTGCGCTATACACGACAAAAACTGCTTGTAGGCGCAAGTGAGTCGATGTCAACGGCAACAGCCTCTCTGCTGTTTGCTGGCGATGCAAAAGATAATAATGCCACCAACTGTTGAATTGAATCTCATTCTCTCACTCGAGTTCGTTCCGATGTTTAGTGACGGGGCTCTTCCCCCACTCTATGCAATCAACCCCTGCCGCATGATCGCTTGCCTACCAAACTCCACTTAGTACCACATTTCTTACCGCTCTTTGAAGCTGATCCGCTGCGCAACAACGCATGTTTAGGGTCATGTTCATGCGGTGACCAAACTCCTTGGTGGATTTATCGCTTGCATGAGCGCGTTGACTCGGTGACATAATTGCACGCCCTTCCCGTCACAAGAGAATCGTTCGGACACTGATCAACTCGGTTATCAGGCACACAGACCAAAAGGACACAAACACAGTCGCCATGATTTTCAGTATGCCAAAGGATGTGACCAGGTAGACTGGCCATCAGATGTTTTAAGGGCGCAGGGTCATGTGAAGAATCCTTAGGCGTTACTCACGAACACAGTGGTGAATGATTTGTGTTGTGAATTTAAAGCTTGAGTATTCCTTGACGTCTTTGACAATTCCGAATCGGGTGTCATTCGGTACTACGTGGAATATAGACTGGGAGAAGACCATGGCCTGAGTCGCACAAAGTCGCTTTGCGCTGACTCGATGGTGGCAATCCTCCACACAGCTGTAAGACCTTGCCCTTCTCTTTCCACAAGACTTAAAACAATGTATATTGCGTATAGGCTCTTGGTGGTTGGAACTTGGCTGGTACAAGACTCGAGAGCGCGCTAGCACACACACAGGCACATGCCGACTCTCATGGGTTGAAAGGAGCAGGGCAGACGGAGTTCTGATCGTCCCGGACCTCAATGCACTCCAACTTCGACCCTTTCGTGGCTTTTGCGTATGCTGGGTAGATGTAGTTCTTGAGAGGATGCGCCAGCAGGTTTGTGTTGAACGTCGTGCAAGCACTGTTCTCTGGGCCGTAGTGGCAATGCCTGTTAGATTACTATGTCAGCAGGTTCGTTCTGTCGTCGAGGATTGGATGATATACCAGCCACAGATGGTCACGTAGTAGTACATCTGCAATATGAACTTGAAATAATAGCCGCAATTGCCGGGTCGATCATAGCCTTCTTCCGTTTCACTACCATCTCTGGGGATCACGATACTGAAGGTATATGAGGCAACTGCCAAAAGTCAACAAGAAATGGCAAGAAGTACGCTAACACCCATCGGTCAGTGACTTCCCAGATCCGAAGTGATAGCATTTTGTCCCTCCAAGCTTGACTCGTTGAGTTAGAAGGTTTATTAACACAACCTTCACTGCATTGCTATCGAAAGGTCCTCTGCTGTGATGAAGTCCGTGCCTATACTATTTTCGGCTTGTCGCATGCCCCGTTTTCTTATCTCTACCATTATGTGTCTTTTGACCACACGTGCGTCTTAGGTCCTGGAAGATTCATCCATACTGTGCCTTCTGAGCTTCTGAGGAGCATAAATCTTGCATCATTCATGAGGCAGTGATCGAGGCACGAAGTGAAAGTCTTCTTCCAAGGGAGAAGAGTCATCTACCAAATGAGCCAGGCAGTTCCAAAGGGTCGTTGCGATATTGCAACCATGTGTAATACGACGCGTCGGCCTTCAGGAGAAAACGGTTTTCACAAGCGCAATGGGTCGTGCGATCAATCGATACGATTTTGAAGTTGAGTTTCATCATGATTGATGCCGACGCGTCCAAACAGCTTACACAGTAGCGTGTTAAAAAGCGGAGTCTCGATTTGAATCAAAACTGGCAGATCTGAGTCCGAGTCATGGTTAGCGCTACTAGCACTACTAGTATTAGTAGTAGGCTCAGGCTTTTAGCGCCATGCATTTACATCTTACTCGAGCAGGACACTTTGTACTCTGTAAATCTTTTGCTCGGAAACCTCCCTACCACAGTACAACGAGACCTGTATTTACCTCCCATATCCTGCCGAATCTGATGAGTACGTGCTTGCGATGACCTGTGCAATTGCGCATCTTGACGAGCGGAACCGCAAATCGTACATTGATGTGGTATACCAGATACTCGAGTAAAGTTGACGAATCTACACAGTCATCCACCTATCGTTTGGAGTGGAGCTGAGCAAATAGGGACGGCTGGTCGTACTTGTACTCTTTCTAGAAGCCACTTACTGTACTTCGAGCCTCTGATGCTCACTATCATGGGTAAGCCTCAACACCATGTAACGTAGGGGTCTGACCTGCTGCGGGGTAGAGGACCATCCCGATCGCTGCTTGGATGCTCACAGGAGCAGGACCCTGGCTGCATACTATCAGTGTTGGCTCCATCCAGCTGCTCGATGTCGAGAGGTGTTACCGCCATGATCATGCGCAAGATGTCACTTTGAAGTACAGACTAGCGCTTCTTGTCATGTTGGTGGGGACACCGAAGAAGACCGAGCAGTTTTGATGAACGGGTATCAAACCTGACAGTTCTATCCTCCAGAATCTCCGCTGTGATCTGCGAGGCTTTCCTTGCAGGAAGGATCCTTGGCAGCTATCAGATGACATCTCAAGGCGCGCTTGGTATGCAAGCTGTAGATAATCAACTCGGACTGTGTACTAGTACTGAGAGATGGGCAAGCCGGCTTGCCTATTAGGGGCTAATGGCAACTACCAGAATTGGGGTAGTGACGAGGCAGTTTCCGGTTCACAATCGGTCCCAACACATCAACTATTCTTTCGCAGACAAATACCAGGTCATAAACGACAGGGATATCGATGCTTGAAGGGGAAGCCTGCAAGACTTTCCATGCAAGTTCAAGCGACATAGCTCTGATAGTAACAGATCTTCGAGTAAAAGAGGCAAAGCCCATGACTGTATGAGTGGAACTGTAAGGCAGGAAATATCTTGGCTTGGGTTACAAGCTGTTTGGCAAGCTCGAGCCGAGAGAAGCTTGTGCCATCTTGTCGGGGCTTGATCGTATTAAGTCCGTGTTGCCCCTCGCAGATCTCGTTCGCGCTTGCATTATCCTGGAAGCTTTCCAGATGAGCCTTCGTCTTGACTTCCAGGCTGACACACACGTTTCGGGCCAGGGCGTTCTTCAATGCCATCGTGAGACTGTAGGCGGAAAAGAGCAGATGGGGAAGCTACTGATCCGCAGCTCTCGCAATACAGAAATGCTGATTGGGTTCGATCCGTCCTTCCTACTCGGGTACTCACTGGGGAGCTTTGACATTTCATGGCTTCGGGTTAATCGCTCAGGCAGAACCATGTCTTTTGATACGTTTTTGCGACCTCTGAACGCCACCAACAAGGTTCTCCATCTGGGGATCTCTAGAAGTAACCTTGGGGACTCCATGGTGCATTGCTGGCCGCAATGGCTTGGGCAGATCAACCATTCAGCGTTTCGTAGGACAATGGATGCTTGCTCACGGTAAGATTATACAGCGTCATCCACCATGGCAGACAGCCGTTCTAGCTCAAGCTCCTTCGCTCGGCAAGGCTTATCATCGCTTGGTGCAATGCAAGCATGGAAGGGAGGCGTCTTCACGTCGTACTTGGTCATTTGCGGATCCCATCCTGGCTAAGTTGCGGATGAGGTGACAAACCTTCTTGTTTACAAAGGTGTTTGGGTGAAGATTTTCGGATCGCATGGCTGCTGAGGGCATAGCGTGAGGATACCTCTCCGCCTCACGCAATCTACACACCACAATCACTTGATATTCAAAAAGCCTTCGATCCCTTCTTGCCTTCTAGACATCCTTCAGATCCGTTTGACCCTCCTCCATCACAACCACCACTATTGCGATGTCAGAGAAACAGATTGATACAGATGCTCCTCATCTGTGAGTTGTGTAAGTGAATCGATTACTAGTCACTAATGCGATCAATAGTACTGCGCATGATGCAGCCAAGACACACCACGCAGAGCTAGGACAGCCAGACAGGGTTGATCTTAACAATAACCTCTCCGCAAAGATCAAGAATCCTCTCGCTCATATTCCGTACAACGAACTTATTGCAGATGTGGAAAATTTTGCCAAAGAACACAACCTCGTTGCGATCACTCCATTGCTGATCAAAGGTGCTCAAATAGCTAAGGACCCTCCAAATTTTGAGTCCGTCGAAGGCATCACAGAACCAGAGAAAGAGGCCATCAGAAACGAGGTTCTACACAAATGGCGTCAACCTCGAGCTCTTTATTTCACTATCATTCTTTGCTCAATTGGTGCTGCTGTGCAAGGATGGGACCAGACTGGCTCAAACGGAGCTAACTTGTCCTTTCCCTGTGCTTTTGGCATCTCAGACAGCGAGTATGGTTGTGATGGTGTGACTTATAATCCAGATTACCAGACCAACCAATGGCTTGTCGGAATAGTCAATGCTGCGCCATACATCGCGTCGTCCTTCCTTGGTTGCTGGATGTCTGACCCTCTCAACTACTACTTCGTATGCGGCTCGTTATCTTGATCTTGCTTGGCACTAACAGCCTGTAGGGTCGAAGAGGTACAATCTTCTTCAGTGCAGTTTTCTGCTGTCTTTCTGTGATTGGTTCAGCCGTGACGCAGAACTGGTGGGAACTTTTCATAACTCGGATCCTGCTCGGTATCGGCATGGGCTCCAAAGCATCTACGGTCCCTATCTTCTGCGCAGAAAACGCTCCCGCTGCAGTCCGTGGCGGTCTTGTCATGTGCTGGGTAAGTGCTACGCTTCAGGTGTTCAGTCCTCCTGCTAATAGAGAACACAGCAAATGTGGACTGCTTTCGGTATCTTCCTCGGATTTTGCGCTAATCTCGCTGTCAAGGATACTGGTGACATCTCATGGCGTCTTCAGTTTGGCTCAGCCTTCATTCCCGCCGTCCCTCTTTGGATTGGTGTCTACTTCTGCCCTGAATCCCCGCGCTGGTATATTAAAAAGGGTCGTCTGGGAAAGGCATATGAATCACTCAGACGATTGAGAAACACCGAATTACAGGCTGCACGAGATCTGTACTACATCTTCGCTCAAATCCGCATGGAAGAGACCCTGGTCAAGAAGTCGAACTATGTCACCCGTTTCATCCAACTCTTTACCATTCCTCGAGTCCGTCGAGCAACCCTTGCTTCCTTTACTGTTATGATTGCTCAACAGATGTGTGGGATAAACATTATTGTGAGTCTACTGTCAGCGTTTCGTTCCTACAAGTATGAAAGCGATCTTTCAAGGACCATGGCCATCTTCAGGAGGCCATGGATGTGAAGATACCCAGGATGTGCCGACGATGACGCTTATTTCAAATGGGTAATATCCTAACCATCTAGAGCTATCGTCTGTCCAGTGATGGGTCGATCTCGTCAAGCTAGCTCTGAATGGTTAGACCATACACCTATTCTGGATTAGTGATTCATACGGCATGTCTGTAAATATAGGGATCTATACACTGAGTTTCAAACACTGCTTGCTACGGGTTATGATCATAAGCTGACAAATATTAGGCGTTCTACTCATCCACAGTATTTGTACAGGCAGGTGCATCGCCCACCAGTGCTTTGTTAGCGTCTTGGGGATTCGGACTAGTCAACTTTCTCTTTGCCTGGCCAGCTATCTGGACCATCGATACCTTCGGACGGAGATCGCTGCTCTTGTTTACATTCCCACAGATGGCCTGGACGTTGCTCGCGGCCGGAATGTGCTTTTTCATTCCCGACTCGAGTGCTGCTCATCTTGGTTTGATCGCACTGTTCATCTTCTTGTTTGCTGCCTTGTAAGTCATTATCCAAACCTCTGAAGGCAAGACACAAAATAACGTCTTTTCCAGCTACTCACCAGGTGAAGGACCAGTACCATTTACCTACTCCGCCGAGGTCTTCCCTCTTTCCCACCGAGAAGTTGGCATGGCATGGGCCGTCGCAACATGCCTCTTCTGGGCCGCAGTCCTCTCAATCACCTTCCCACGAATGCTCAGCGCCATGAGTCGTAAGTCATCCCCATATCTCCATTCCCACCTCTCATCCTCTTTACTGACGTTTGCCCCCTCTCCAGCCCCCGGCGCATTCGGCTTCTACGCCGCTCTAAACGTCACAGCCCTAATCCTGATCTTCCTCTTCGTCCCCGAGACAAAAAAACTCACCCTCGAAGAACTCGACTACGTCTTCAGCGTGCCCACCCGAACACACGTGAAGTACCAGGTCGGAACTGTGCTGCCATGGTGGTTCAAGCGGTACGTCCTGAGACAGAAGGGTGCTGTTTGCCCGAAATTGTATCATTTCGATGGACATGTTGAGAACGATGATGCATTTGCGCAGAAGATTAGACAGGAGAGTGTGGCGGGTCCGGAGAGTCGGAGGCAGAGTGTTGCGGGGAGGATTGTGAATAAGTTTTAGGTGTTGTGATGTGATGATGGACGGGCGTGTGCATCAGAGATGTATATCCGAAGGCTGCTTGGCCGGCGTCCGCGCTGCTGAGATACTTGGTACGGCCTTCACAGTTTGCCTCCAGATCAACGGACTTCTTCTGTGTACAAGCCTTGATGTAAGCAACACTCTCACAAGTATGACTCCACCAGTATAGCAATCAACGCAGTGGTGTCCCCATGACACTCCTATTTCAATCCTCCTCTTGACCTTCGTCCTGCTCAATTTCCAATCCCTCCTCAACCCTGATACGCCTCCTAGCCTCCATCAACGCCCTCCCAAGCAGATTCTTCCCCCACTTTAACCTCTCCTCCTCCCCATGCCCACCCGCCTCCTCAGGGGAGAACCCAATTCCCCAAATTCTATCCAACGCACTCGCCTCCACCAGCTCTCTAGTCCCTGTGCTCAACAACATCTCCCTCAACCTCACCACATTTTGATCGTGACGACGTCCGACCCCACCGTACGCAAAGCTATCATCTGCTCTCGCCTCACAATTTGCTTCCACGCCAAATTTGAGGAGACTTGCTTGGACGACGACGTCGAATTTGACATCGTCCCAGGCATGATCTGTGAAGCCGTGGACTTTGCGGCCAAGGGCTTTCATCGTTTTGGGGTCGTCGGTGGCTAGAATCTGTTCTGATGTTTTTGTGTCATTGAAGGTGAGGGCTTTGTGGTACATCATCTGTGGGAGAAAGTGTCAGTCAACAGCCTGTCTAAACTTCAAGATTGAGCTGTTGTGTTCATAAGTATCCAAGGTTCGAGACAGAGAGTGGGTGTCTTCTAGGGGTTGAAATGCTGCTTACATATTGCTCAGCACAGCCAAACCTTTTCCTCTCTGCCTCACATTGCGTGCAATCAGGACCGTCGTGGCAGAACTCCGGAAGAGGTCCCTTGAAAGATGAAGGGTACCATTGTCCGAGGAAGCCCCATGCTTCTTGTGGTTTCCAGAAGAAAATTGGCGCGGTATTGTTATTGTCGCGATCCGTGAGCCACAGAGGCGGTTCACTAGATGAAGAAGCCTGTCCTTTCTGCTGCATGTTCTTAGCATGGTTTTTGTTTTTCGTCATTATTGTCGATGTTGTCGTTAATGTCTAGCAATTAAGTTGTATATCATATGTTGGATGTCTGATCTGTGGTCAGTGAATGAGACGCAGTCCTTTTTATGAAAATCTGCTGTGCAACGAAAACGAGACATGTCGGGATCAAGGCAGCAGCAGCGTTCTTTATGGAATGCTCAGCTGAACACCATGATCGGTACTCAGAGTCTGCATGCGAAGCTGCGGCTGAAGCACCTGACTCATAGTTAGGCACAGTCGCGCCCGTATCCTGACACATTCGTTAGAGCTCGAACTCAAATTCTGAATCCGCTCAACACCAGGAGTCCAGCCCGCATCGTGTATCGGTCTGGCGCGATTTCAATGACTGTAAGCTTGACTATCACGCATAGCGATGAGGAAAGCGCGACTGTGGAAGTACTTCCAAGGCAACGTTGCTGGTTTTGGTCTGCTTGGTCCAGTGGTTTGCCAAGAGCTAGAACGCAATGCTCGTGTCCTTAAATATTCAATCACGTTCCTACGCTGGCTGGGTATCTGAAAACAAACAAAACTGGAAAACACGACGATATGTAGGTCTTTCCAAAAAGTGAGTATCAATTATATGCCTATCCACTGCATGGCAAAAGGAGACAACTGAGTAAGGTATACGCATATGCCCTTGATGAGCAGAACACTCAATGCTGCCCTACCATTTACTAGGACCAGGCGGTTGTGGTCTGAATGCCTGATGCTGAACTCCTTGTCCAATGCTTCCAAAAGATGAAGCTTGGTGACCAGGTGCTGCAATAGGGCCACCAATATCGCCCACGCTCCCTCTTATTCCTCCATTAGTCTTGCTGTCTTCAATGAACTTGATGATCTGACCTCGAGTAGCATCTACCATGACTTCGAAAGTTCCTCCTCCGTTCTGAACATTCCCTTCCGTGTCACAAATACCTAGGATCTCGTCCAGGGACACAGGAGGTTCGCCTGGTTGCTGAAGTTGCCCGACACGTCGTAGGACTTCTTGCGCTTGATGATAGCCATCGCCTTTTCCAACAGAGGCATTTGACAATTGTCGACATGCCTGCACGAGCAACAAACGAACTGCTATGGGTCTAGGCACGTGTGATCGACCCAATCCGGCTTGTGCTCCTAGAGGATCGAAAACAGGCTGCGACCAACCCTGACTAGGCCGTGGTGTTTGCCCAAAGGGTCCTGCAGGCAAGCCGTTATTGAATGCGCTCCAATTTGAAGCGCCCGTACCGAAGGCGCCAGGTTTTTCGCCACCAAATGTGCTAGCAAATGGTAGACGTCCTGTGCCGGGTGGCGCCAATGGAATGGTAGGTACACGGTGATCAAGTTGGCTTGAGAACGGTTCGTCGGAATCGTCGAGTAACGCGGAGCTGCCAAGTTGTGTTGTAATCTTTTCGACCCCAGTGTCGCCTTTACCAGAGAACCCCTTCTGCCTATCAGGCGTTGTGCTCGTAGGCCGCGCTATTGGTCCGGGTCGTGCGATTGGTGCAGGCTGGGATGAATTGTCAGACCCAGAAGGTTGTCTCGAATGAACTGCTTGAGATACATTTGGTGGATGTGGCGAGGCCATAGGAGGAATTCCAGGTGGTGGTTGGTGGAATGGCATATGCTGACTCGGCTGGAAAGGTCTTTGCATGTTGAAGCCAGGAGGAAAAGGAAGTCCATTAGGAGGGTATCTTTGCTGATTTGCTAAAGGTGGTGCTGAATACATATGCACAGGAGCATTCATGGCCATAGGACCGGGCATGCTTGTTGGAATACCATTGATGCCAATACCATGCATATTACTATAGCTGTGTGGTGGAAGGCCATTTCGACCATGGAAGCCCAAGTTGTTGAGTGGTGATCTCGGAGCGTTTGGCTGAGGATGATGTAACGGCGGTCCTTGCCGAGGATGTTTAACTGAATGAGTCGGCGCAGTGGGCTGCAAAGAAGGCACACTAGCAGGAGAGGCCGAATTCAACGACGTTTCGGTGGTAGCTTTCTGCGATCTTGGAGAAGAGCTATGCTGTGACGGTTGGGACGTTTGCCTGCTTCGACCTGCAGGAGTTGACATACTTGGTGGCACCACAGGAGTCGCTACTGGTATGTAAGGAGACTGAAGTTGTGCATTTCTCGACGGAGGTACAAGGCCTGGAGGTAAAGCGATTGCCTGAGGACGTGATGTTTGTTCGGTTTTCTGGCGTTCCTTAGCTTCTCTTTCGGTTCTGCCAGCAGTCTCTCTCTCCTTTCTCTGTTGCAGCTCCTTATCCTTGCGCTCGTTCTCCTCCTTCTGCCGTTGCTCCCTCAGCTCGGCCTCCTTCGCTTCCCTCTCGTCCCGCTCGCGCTTTCTTTGCTCTTCACGCAGTTTCTTCTCCTTTTCTTTGGCTTCTTTAGCTTTCCTTTCAGCTTCTTGTTGACGTTCACGTTCTTTGATGGCTCTTGCCGTCCTCTCGGCCTCTTTCCGAGTACGCTCATCCTCTGCTGCTTTGCGCTCAGCTTCTCTCTTACGGCGCTGCTCGTCTTGCTTAACACGCTTCTCCGCCAACTTCTTCTCCTCGGCGTCACGAATTGCAGCTTCCTGGGCAGCTTTTTCAGCATCTTTCTTGGCCTTTTCTTCGTCCTTGACCGCCTTCTGACGCGCTTTTTTCTCCTTCTTCTTCGCAGCATCTTTCATCTTTTTTGCCTCGCGTTGTGCTTGCATATCACCCTCGGCCTCAAGCTCTTCGAGAAGCTTTCTTTGACGTTCGGCCGCGACCTTTTCCTTGTAAGCAGTAAGTACACGTTGTTCGAACATTCTGGCAGCAAAAATCTGGAACATGCGACGTCCTTCCTCCATGCGTTGTTCTTCAGTCATAGAATCCTGCCATATGTTAGGATTGGATCAAGCAAGTAGTGTAAATAGCCGTACCATTTCGTCGCCCTCGAATTCGTCCTCTTCTTGACTGTCATAGTCTTCATCGTCTTCTTCATCGTCGTACTCGTCATCCTCGTCTATCGGGGGATGGTTGTGACCTTGACGAAGAGATTGATGAGCTAGTGGTGGGGCAGGATAATGGATTTCTTCCTCACGTTGCATACGTCTTTCAGCCAATTGCTCCATCATATCGATAAAATGCTTTCCATCGTTCTTTAAGAGGTCGTCAGCGACGGTCAAGATACCATCTACAAATATTAGCACTAATCACCACAAAGCCATTGTCCACACCTTTGACGGTCAAACTGTTGCCAAATTGGAAGAAGTCAGCAGGTCCGGGAGGAAGATCGTCCGCGTATTCATCACTGTAGTCGTCTTCGTCTTCCTCCTCATCGTCATACTCGTCCTCTTCGTCGTCAAGCTCTTCACCATCTTCGCCGAGCTCTTGAATGCGACCTTGAGTCGGGTAAGCACCAGCCATAGGATGAGGTTGATTCCTGTAGGATAGTGGAGCTCTTGAAGGAGCTAGAGTGGTAGGACTGTCGAGACCATCATTGTTGTGATTGGCGAATTGTTCAAGTTCCTGGTAGTATGCATCGTAGAGGACTTCGAGTTCTTCTTCAATGGCGGTTCTCTTGCGACCACATACAGAGCAACTACATGAGTGTTTCTGCTGCTCCTTCATCTTACGCAGGACAGCTTCCTTCTCGACTCGGACCAATGAGCGTCTCTCGTCCTCACCCAACTCTAGCCAGAATTGCTTGATGTTTTCACGCTCGGCCTGAGTGGAGGTATTCCAGATATGGTCATTGGCGTTTGACATCTTATGCGCCGAGCGAAGAGCAGCATTGGACAAGGTCGGGAAGGGTTTCTGTGCTGTCGAGCCGGCATTCGAGATGTGGCTAGTATGCGGACGTTTTTTCGAACCTTTTTTCCGTCTACTCGTGTTCAGCCAGGAATGATCGGGTCCTTCGTTGTAGGCCTGATCGTAGTCTATGTCTTCGTCGTTGGAGTAGAACTCTTCCTCGCCCTCTACTAATTGATTTTGGAAGTCCGGGTCAACATAGTCTGTCTCTTCCGTGAAATATCCTTTGACGGGCCCCCTTCCCTGCTTCACAGCTGCCACATGACCGTTCTCCTGCAAAAACTCATCTCCATGTCCATTTATTGTCTGCGCTTGCTGCTCAGCCAGACGTTTGGCAGCTTCCTTTTCTCTGCGCTTCTGCTTCTTTCGATTAATCGAAGGTAGAGGTGCAGGTTCGTCTACGGACTCGGTGGTATCTCCACTTCTCTCTGGTTCAATTGGGGTTGGTACTGCAGGCTCGTCTTCTATGGGAGGTGGTGATTCCCGTCGAGGTTGGTGTGAGGCACTTGGCAGGGCGTGTGCAGATTTGAGGGTCGGTCCAGTCTGCGAAGACTTTGTCTTCTTCGATTTGGGAGGCATCGTCTCGAGGTTTGGCGTCTACTGGCAACGGTAGGTTCACGATGCTATGTCGCTGGGCGGTCGGCTCGAGTGGCAGACTGACATTGATTTGGTAAAAGAGGCGGCGGGGAAACAACGAGAGTCTTTCTTTAATGGCTGATGTATTACGAATTTGGTAGGGAAGCGACCATATGCATATATCCAATGGTGCTCTATTGGCAGGGTAAGGAACGTGGCACTGGTGTTGTCGCAATAAATCTGGATTCGTGGGAGGACAGTGTACATGGAAGTGTACATGGAATTGTACCTTAAGGAATGACTGCCATGCGCTGAATGGAACTCGCCAATCACGATGCAGTGCGGTTGGCGTAGGCTACGGCAGTGGAGGTCTTCGTAGTCCTGGCTCGCCGCCTCAGCACCTTGGCTTGATCAACTCTTAACTTCATGCTTCCACCGCTTTCAACCTCACATAGACTAGATCTTACCCTTCATGATATGAGATACGTTTTACGACAGCGCACAAAGCTTTAAATATACCGCAACCTATCGACTGCGACTTTTAGGAAACTTCCTTATCACACCACAATCAATCTCATTCGCTCCCCGAAGTTGCGGGTGAAAAGTGACCACCAGCAACTGTCCGCCACAAGACAGTCTAAGTGTGCTAAAGACTGTGCAAAGAGCTTACAGACTCGAGGAATACTCCAGATGGACTCTGCTTGAAGCTCTGTGGGGGAGTTTTAGCTCTGTCGACCTGTACGCGCATTCACGGTACTGATAGAGCGGTGCGCTGCTACACTTGACCAACCACTCCACCAATTGTTGTTACACCACCGGACCGATCGATTCCTTCCCGTCGTCTACTGACCGCTTCTCCATCCTATTATCCTCTTCGACCCATCAGTAGTTCTTCTTCCTTCTCACATTCGTGTCTGGAGAGTCCAACTAGCAACGAGGCAACCCCACCACCGAGTAACCCCTACTGGCTAAGAATAAGCATGGCTCAAAATCAAGCACAACAAAATGTTATGAGAAGGTACGGAGCATGTGTCTCAGGGAAGGTGCGCATGTCGTCAGACTTTACACGGGTCCAGGACAATCGCGCCTTCCCCAAGCCCTCTTATCTTTGCGGTGTGAACATATGGCTAATTCACGTTCTACAGGAAACTGGTAATTATAGGTGATGGTGCTTGCGGAAAGACTTCACTTCTTTCTGTCTTCACTCTAGGCTATTTTCCGACTCACTACGTACCCACTGTGTTCGAGAACTATGTGACTGATTGTCGGGTCGATGGTCGATCGGTGCAATTAGCGTTATGGGATACAGCTGGCCAGGAAGACTACGAAAGATTAAGGCCGCTCGCATATTCAAAGTCACATGTTATCTTGATCGGCTTCAGCGTCGACAGTCCCGACAGCTTAGAAAACGTCCAGCACAAATGGATAGAAGAAGCCCGCGAGAGATGTCCGGACATACCTATCATATTGGTTGGATTGAAGAACGATTTGAGGCAGGACCCTATCGCAATTGAAGAGATGAGGAAGAAGAGCCAGAAGTTCATCACTCAGCGCGAAGGTGAACAAATGGCACAGATGTGTGGCGCTCGCAAATATCTTGAGTGCTCGAGTTTGACAGGAGAGGGTGTCGACGATGTTTTTGAGGCTGCCACGCGAGCCGCTTTATTGAACAGCGGCAAGCAGAGCGAAGGTGGCTGCTGTATAGTTTTGTGACGGACAATCAGTCAACGATATTCGGGATGTCATTCGTTTGAGCGTTCGGAGCTATGGAGTAGATTGCTCGGGCCACCGAGAAAGGTCTCGAGACGGGAAGTTGTCGTGCTAAACGTTCATGTTTCTTAGATCGAAGCCACTTTATATATACAATAATTGGTAGCTTTTTGACCATGAAGCCCGTGCCTTGGGTATAGTACAACGTGTTTAGTTGCTCTTCCTTTGTTCAAATTGCGCGACACAAAATACCCGTCTTCAAGCCCCTACTCTTCGAGCAACGCATAATTTTGGTCCAGAATTCTGCATTCATTCATCGTTGCACTATCACCTCACATCACTCAACAGGTAGAGGCGTGTCGTTCGAACATGCTGGATAAATCGTGTGGTGAGCTTTTTCATACTCCTCACCAATAGAGGCGTGTCTAGACCATTGCAAGTTATCTCTCGAAGACCTGCCCTCAGCGCCATATACCTCTAGAAATCTCTTGGAAATGGACGTCGATTGCTCATGCCCTCTTCCAGTCATGATCCCAGATCTTTGCTGGACCTCCTACACCACCTGCGACGGTGCCCATCCAATCTACCTGGCCCCTGGCATACTCGATTGGTATGCCACCACCTCTCTCGGGTATACTCCATATTCCTGTCTTCATCTGCGCTTTGCGGAACAATCGTCCGCTGTCTCCTGCGCCTAATCTCAGCTCCTCGTTGGCAGCCGCCATCGCATTGTATTGTCTTTCAAGTTCTAGTTCTCGACGCTTTTTAATTTTCATCCTGTACAAAGACCATGCTCGGTGTATAGTCCAATGTCGTAGGGCACGATTACGAGAGAAACGCAGTGGTCTAGGTGTGAGTGTGGTTGGATGGTGTAAGTGGTATCGAATTAGAGCTGTGTTCATTGTTAGATTCCTGCATGAGGTATATATGCTTCCCTCATTACATACTGACTCGCTTGTCCTTCAAGACCTTGCCGCCTTTCTTTGCCAACGTAGGTGCCGAGCTAGAGAAGGACGCTGTGGCATTCTGAGTTCTGTGTTGTCGCGTCGTGCGGACAGTGTTATGTATCCATGGTATCGATGTCGCTGGCGACTGTCGCACGTTCAGCCCAAAAGCGCTAGCAAGAGCTCCGCGCAGGGAGAGACAGGCCATCGCAAGCAGTAGAAGATCTCAATCGCAACGATACACAGCGATGTTGTGCTGCAAGCGACTACGAGACCTATTCCTCAATGCAACGAGGCTTGCACCAGAAAAGGATGGCACATTAATTTGCGCTGCCTCGTCTTAAAGCCGTACCGTATACTGTTCATACCTGAGGTATCATAACACAAGCTGTTCAGCAAGTGCGGAGCAGTCATTACATTAACGACCACTCCGCACTTGCCAGATGTATTTTACACTAGCGGTATAGAGTACGAACACAAACATAGTGTTTCATTTCAACCACTCAATGCTCGTTCCACGTATCTGGTTCATGCACGCTTTGACACAATCTACTCCAGGACCTTGAAACGACCATTGACTGCTGCCGATCCCCTAACCACACGTCGGATCTGACATTAATCTATCACGACTGCCTCTTTGAACTGTTGCCCACTCTACAAAAAACATTCCTGTCACCAAATCGTGCTTGTTTGATAATCGTTGGGTTCGGCGTCCATGGGTTCAAGTTAGATACTGCGTTTGTCGTCATTTCGGACGTGGTCATTCCACTCGGCTTCGACGACATTCCCACGATATGCTGCTTGGACAACGGATATCCTCGAATGTCTTGCATATTGCTTAGGTACTATATACTCGGGTACCAGGATGTGGAAGCAGCCAAACCTCGGAACGGGTCGAGGTTTGACAACTTCGGCGTCATCTTCTCCAACGTTGCAAGGAAGATCCAGAGTGATTGTTCTTGGTCGTGACGATCTTGCGGTAACAGACCGCCAAAAGCTAAAAGCTGCGGAGTTACAACTTAGTGTGCTCGGGATGTACGCCATGGAAAACGAGCCTACCTTAGTAATTGGTTCTTCGCATACTGAGACACATAATCGGTTGCAGTCGCCAGCTTTTTGTCACTTTCAACACCAAAATGCACGTCTTCTGGAACCCTTTCCCCTTCAGACGATGCCGATCTTAATAGCTTCGTATCCACAAATCAAGCCATGGAGCTGCCTGTTGCACTACGTTGCTCTCGGCTGGCTCGCCTCTGAGTGACAGAAAGCTTCTTCGAGGACAATCAAACTCCCACTCTTCCCTACTGCGTGGTTGAAATGTCCTAGTCAGTGATAAGTACACTGTGTCCCCACGATCTGCAAGAATGATCTAGACTACACTTTACTTGTTACAGCGATGAGGTGGATGCATTTCATACTTACGACCGATAGCACACCTGGTGATATACGTCCATTTTACATTGAAGCCAATCTGGCAGGTCGATGAGTGATGTACATTGAGAGACACGGGAATGCCCATCTCGGCCACGTCGTCAGCACCATGTGGTAGCGGTCTCGATCTCGACCCACTGCCACATCCAATCACTCACATTCGCCTACTTGAAGTACTGCCGTTGGTCAACTCAACCGATGCTGCGATCCGCTGTCGGCTAAGGTGTGTTCGATTAGGAGACTACGATCAGTGTTACACAGCACTATCGTATACATGGAGCCACAAGAATGTCAACAAAGTCATCTCCGTCAATGGGCAAGAGGTCAGCATAAGGGCAAATCTGTACGACTTTCTATGTACGTACAGAGGGAAGCTAATGCTAAATGCCCTGCCCACTGTTTTCCTCTGGATAGATGCATTATGTCTGGACCATAAAAATGTCCGCGAGCGGAATTGTCAAGTGCAGATCATGCCCAACATTTTTGCCAAGGCGAAGACAGTTTTGGCCTGGCTGGAATCCGATGTTGATGGGTTCAGCATTGACGCCAGCGCAATGCAGGAGTTTACCAAGTTCCTCAAATCGGTCAGACACGACATTGACAGGCCGCAGCATATCTGTCATGATTACCAACTCATGACAGAATACTGCCCGAGCGCATCTAGCCTTTCAGCTGATTCAACAAGAGCATGGAAAACGATGCTCCACCTGTGCCGACACAATTACTGGACTCGACTTTGGATACTGCTTGAAAACAGGTATGCTCAGAACTTGATGTATCTGCATGGCGATGCATTGTGGACGTGGGCAGATTTCCGGGCACCTTTCTTACTGATGTGGTACCTGCTCAAATGGAAGATTTTCAACCCTGTTCAAGCAGCCGAGCTCGACCCTAGTCAAATTTTGAACAGCCCTGCGGCCGAGATTGTCAGATCACGCTTGTTCTTCGAAACCACTGACAAACTAGCGCCCAACTTTAGATACACCGATGTTGCAGCTGAGAGCTGGCACTTGATATCTGAACGGAAGCCGCTGCCGGATCTTCTCAAAGCACACGAGGACAGAAAATGCATGGATACGCTTGATAAGGTCTACGCTTTGGTCGGGCTTTCCGATACTACTCTAAGCGTGGACTACGGACGTAGCGATATCGAGCTTTTCTGCGCAGTTCTGCTTGACCTCAAGGTGTCTCCCGAGCTTAGTTTCGTCTCGATGCTTGCGCACCAGTTAGGGGTTGGTGCTTTTCAGTACCGTATGAGGCGGAGGAGCTTGCTTAAGGGTGTGTCGCCTACTACTCCAGAGCAATCGATCGCTGATTTGGTTGGCTTTGGCTGCCGTCGGGCCTACTGTGTCAAGGCAATTCAAGCTCGGACAGAGATATCAGATATTGTGCAGGCACGTCTGGGAGTTCAGAAGCTGAATTACTACCGCATCAGGGCCAAGCAGAACATTGAGGAGATGCAATTTTGGGATGACTTTCCTCAACCAGACGAGCAGGAGATGCCTCGGATCTCAGGGCATACCCCTGGAACATCGATGCCTATCGTTGACGGCTTCGATCTTTCTGACACAAGCTTCCGACCAGCCATATTCCTCAATCTAAATACTTCCAGAGGCAGGGCCGTCTTTGGCATGGCTTCCACGGACTACATACAATCTGGAGATCTGCTCATCACATCAGACACTATGCACTCTGGCATCGTTGTCCGTATATCTGGTCTATCGAGGACATGGCTAACAGTCATTGGCGTTGTTCTCTTCGCTCGTAAAGTTACGATCGAAGCAGGTTTTCCCTTGACGAAGACCCTGTTACCGCAGGGAAGCACTATCAGAAGCACGAAAAGCACTACACTAAGTGACTTCTGTGATCGCACGCAACCAACGCCATTCACGCTATCAAGCTGCGACGGCAATAACCATGTGACACTAAGACCCGACGATGCGCAGATCGAGAGTCTTCTCAGTGGGTCATCGGGATTGATGAGCGGGCGTCAAAGCAGGGCGAGCGGCCATCATAGCAGAACAAGCAGTAACCTGACAAGCTCTACCAAGAGCAGCACAATGTTTGTCGGAAACGAAAAGGTCGTTGACCGTAGGTTTACTAGCAGAAGTGAGAAACTAGAAAGAATGTTTGAGGCCATCAGCTTGAACAAGAAACGACATACGAGATGATCGGCGGAAGATTGACTAAAGACAAACTCACAGCAAAGGCTTTTCTGTTTGAATGGGATGTGTTGATCCTGGCTAGGTAATAGAATTAGTTGTTTAGCTAATTGACAAAGCCTTGCTAGTTGACCCAGACTAGTTGTTCGTATCTGTACAGCCCATGATTTTCGTAGGACTTCTGCTTATCAGGTGATACGAAATGGACCGACATAGTACTCACGTCGACGTGCTGTCCTTGCATCGTGGTAGGTTTCCTTGCGAAATTGCCGCCATAAAGGTATATCATACGAACACCTGAGGTAGAAAGACCCAATAGAAACCTGCAAACGTGCAGTACAGCGGAAGAGATCACGAAATTCACCCAGATGAGAAGCGCAACTATTACAACCTGGAATCTATTCTGCAGTGTTCTACATTTCAAGCCAGATCCGTTATTTTGGATATTCTCGCTCGATACGTTGCTCCAACTTGTGACAATTGCCGAAGCACACCTGTGAACGAGAACGAAATTCAATCACAATCACTCGCACTAATTACTGCATAGCTGCTGGCACTCCCTCACCGACTTGCCGGAGCCAGAAAGCCATTTGACTTGCAAGCTCATTGTTGTCAACACTCCTTGTCTTGTAGCTATCCAGCCATCCCGGACACCAGCATCTGGAGTAGGCATTCTCGAGGTAGTCTGCAGGACCAAGGTTGATTGTGGACGTTCAGGGTCGTGACAGCGCAGCCTGGTGCTTTCTACGAATTGCAAACCAGTAAACACCACCATTCTCTAGAATAGTCCGATTCAAGCAACAAAAACAATTCACACTTTTGATTGCGCGTCCCTTCTAATCACCAATACCACGCCCGAGCTGGCTGAAGCACAATGCCTTGCTTCAAAGGCCTAGCGGTCTCGATTCACACTCCAGATGGTCCAATTTCAGAGCACTCAGTCCAGAAACAATCCAGAGTATCGCGCATCTCTACATACATTCCAGTACCTCCTCCTAAAATACCTGCCAACGGCGATACCACAAAAGCCGAACAATCTACCTTTGCAATTTCCATAACGTTATTGACACCCAACCAAGAGGTGCCATATTCTACACCAAAACCTACCCCCGAAAACCCTCATCCCAAGCCACGAGTCGTCGGCGCATTGCCTGGACATACAGGAGATAGGTCAAAAATACAAGGCGCAGTTGGTCCCTACGTTCCTCTGACCACAAGTCCTAATGAGACTATTGCTGCTTACATCTACTTTGATGGAAGAGCAAAGGAAGAAGTCGCAACTCTGCTGAGAAGATCCGAGGAGGTACGTCAGGACATTCTCACAAACACGGATCCGCGCTCTCCTAGCTAGCACGTAGTAGATTTGCTAATATTGCGTTACAGACCTGGGTCAACTCGCGGTGGGTGTCCGTGCCCGAATCAGAAGGCGGAGGTCTTGCAGAAAGAGAGTTTCTGTTTCGCGAAGTTGGGATAGAACGCTGGTTGAATGGCCTTGATCTCGAAGGAGGAAAAGATGCCGCTGCCATTATTGAGAAGAGACGTCAAAAGCTTGAGCGCAAGCGTAGGAAGAGAAAGCAAGTCACGACCAACGGCAGCGACGACGAAATGGAAAAAGACAAGGACAAGCCAAAGAAGACTTTGAGATACGGCAGTAATGGTGAACTCGAGGACGTTTCCGACGATGACGACAATTCCATGACCGATTCGAACACCTCTGACGATGATGACGACCCAGTACCTGAAGCCGCAGGTCAAATTAAAATTGCTTTGTTCCGAGTGCTAGCCTCGGGGGAGATCAAGCGAGGAGAGTACTCTCCACAATTCGATGCTCACGACGACGACGAGGAATCTGGGGGTCAAAATGGAGGTACTGACTCCAAGGATATCGACCACACCACCTCTTTCGCGAAGCCCAAAACATTAGATCCAAAAACAATCAGCACACAGACTGTTACAGGGATTGACCCCACAGACAAACCGTACGCGACCTTTACATTCTTCTATCGAGGCGAGCGACAGCTACAGAAAATGGGAATATTACCTACACCAAAGACAGAGAAGACACCTACCTCAGCCAAGCGGAAAAGCGGCATTGACGCTCTCTCGTCTCTGGGACCATTGAAGAAAGAAGGTACCGTAGGCTTCCTCAACTATCGAGAAACGGACGTCACACCAAGCCGCAGGCAATCCAGTTCAAAGCCGAAAAAATCCGTGGACGATATGGAATCCGACGACTCTGACGACGAGACTGAGGTTACAGGCAAGATGGAGGACATCAATGACGATCCGAAGCAAGATCCAACCCTGCTATCTGTCGAGGATGCTGAGCGTGCAGGGCAAGTAAGTGAAGGCATTCGCAAAATGAAGGTACGTGATATCACAGCTGATGCTATTTTCGATGAAATCTCTGGTACCCGCGTTCGTGTTTTGAATCACAGACATGGGCTAAGATATTTTCAGCTCAAACGTCAGCACTCTGCCGAACCACTAAACCAGAACGGTACACTCGGAAGCACGAGAAAATCCTCCAAAGGCAACTCGGGCACTGCTAGTCCCAGTGCTTCAGGCAGTCCTGCTATCAAGGCTGAAGAAGTGAGCGGTTCTGTGTCAGCTGAGGGCACGACCGGTGCGAACATCTTCGGCTCAAGTGTAACAGACATTAAGAAAGAAGACGACCTGCAGGTTGGGAGTCCCTTCAAGAGACAGAGATCGAGTATGGCAGATTTTGACAGTGGTATCAAGGAACGTTTGGCGTCTGCTGGAGTCGCCAATGCGAGCAGCTCGATCAGCGAAATAGTCGGTACACACGCATCGAACGTGGCAGCCACCCCGACAAAGGATGCGACACCATCACAGCAGCTGGATTCAGCTACGTCAGCGCCTGGACTTAAGTTCGGCGGTGCATTATTCAAGAAATCAGACGACAATGACGAGGAGCTCTGAGCGGAAGGATCCTGGTGCGAAACGAACTGGACAATCAGTGACCGTCATACAGACGAGCCTAACTACACCAAAATCATCTTGGTCAATTGTGCTAGTGTCCCCATGGACGTTCGTCTCTATCTGACGAAGGTAATCTTGCTTCGATATAAAGGACGAAGAAGGCTCGGAGAATGGGACCACTGGACAAATCCAGCAAAGAAAACGCCGTTGCTGTTACGGAGTCTGGTCTTCATACCGCTTTTGTTTTACGCTCGGCCTACGTCCATCACAGACTCCAATCGCGAGCACTCGACGACGCCCTTAGCAGAAGATCCAATATGGACAGTAGCTCGAGGACTTAGGTGGCCATGTGTGGCTTGACCTTGATTGAGGATACCATAGCAGTGTGGTTGAGTGGGATGGTCGAAAAGAGTCAGGGTACTAGACAGATGTGTGCTTGCTCTGTACGATACACGAAGACTCCCTGACAATTCGCATTCAGTTGCCTGGCCTGAATATGAAATGGGTATCTTGCTGTGCCACACTATCTTCGCTCCTTTTTATTAAAAGCACGAAGCAGTCTTTGTCCTTTGTGCCGATCTAACCTTCACGCTTCCCGTGTAGTAGCGGCAACTTTTGGATGTGGACTTCTTCAGCTATTGAAACAGTGAAGAGTTGCCGGGCGCGAAGTGGACGCTGATGGAATCTTCCTGTACTATCAAAAGAAGGTGTGACGCACTGGTATAATGTCCAGCAAAGAGTCATTTTTCCTTTCTGTGTACTCCGCAACGTGTTTCAATGAGGTTCTGGCTATGCTATGCAGCTTCGGGACACGAGAACTTGGCGAGAAACTGACAGGTCAGCAGTACCCCACGTAGTCAACGTCCGACCAATCGTGTCTGGACTTCTTCGCTTCACTCGCTTGTTCTCACGCGACCTTTCCTTCTACGTTACTCAGCCAGGCACATTTTCGAACTTTACCTACACGAATACATCCTTTATATCGCTTGTTTTCCGACCCCAGTGGTTAACGTCTGCAGCCAAAACACCATATCGTGTTGTTGAAATGCGCCTATCAGCACTTGAACAGCCTCCATGGCTTTGTGACGCATCCTTGCTCAACAATGGCGCGCCCCCCATCACTGTACGTGGCTAGCGACCAGCTTCATGGGCTCTCTGCCAATCAGCACAATTCTACGAAGCTCTCGCTTGCTCTGCTTGTCTTCGCCGGCTATGTTGGTCGGAGTCTGCCTTGCGGACATGGCACTGGCTCGTAACGTCGTGCTCACCAACACTGCGTTGGACTTCTGATCTCAACCATCCAGAAGCCTGCGCGAATGCATGCTTCTCAGCTGGCGACGATAGCGAAGATCAGCTGCAGACTCTTCGCTCGATACAGTCTCAGTCGACTACCTAGAGTCTTTGTTTTGACCACGCAGGCACGATGCCTTCCGCGTCCGCTCGAAGACCTTACATGGCTGTACCCACGAACGGCGAAGGTGAGCATTGCGTAATAACCTGAGTGATACTGACGCGCGAGCAGCATTACAGACAACGAGGTATCCTCGACTTCGCAAACGGGACCAGCAATACAATTACAAACCGATACCATTACGGGTGCCCTTCCTTATTTGCTTTGTCGTGGCTTTTGCTACTTGCATAGCTCTCATCGAAGTTCTTCTCCGAAGCACTATCGAAGAGCTATCTCCTTCAACCATCGCAACTACCAGTGCGTCCACGGCCACAACACCACAGCGCTACAAGCTCAAGCCTCGAGGTTCTACACAAACTGTGTATCCTAGGCAATATGAGACCACAAACTGTGACAACCCTGCTACTCTACCAGCACGTATGGCCAGCTCGAAGGCCATCAGTTCAAGCCTTTGTCAGGACTTCTCAGCTTCGTACAAAGCTCATACCGCCAATATGTCCTATCCCATGCAGACTGAGGTTAGTCAATGGCTCGCAAACTTCATATCAGCATCGAGTGGCTGGCGCTCAGCACTCAACTCGGATGCTTACTGCTCGTCAGTAACAAACACGGTAACAACGAGTCGAAAACCATACAACTGCGACGGTACTTGGACCAGTATGATTGATGTACTTTGCACGGAGTCTGCCATCGAGTTGAGCTGTGATGTCTGCACTGGGTTTGGCAGCGCCTGGATTTCGAATTTCGCGCTCTCTTCAACAATTCTCCCAGTGTGCGGAGCTTGGACAACTAACGTTATTGACGAGACTACCCCAACAGGTATTATGGAAGGGGCACCATCTGCCTCTGGTGCCGAAAAGAGCAAGGTCGTCAATTCTGCAACACCTTCACCTACTAACAGCTTACCCACAATCACGAAGACAAATAGTCTGCTTTCGCTGACGCCTGGTGATACTGCTACTCGGACAGCTGCCGCTGCCACACAACCAGGATCGAGTACTATGACAAGCGGAAGTATCTTGTCCCTGAAGCCTGCCGATAGTGCCTCCATAACTGCGTCAGCTGCCAGTCCTACCATCTTGAATGCCGTGCAGCAATCTGTGAGCAGCAAGCTGGAGGATACGATCATTGTGGCGATTGCACCTGTGGCCGTCACTTTCACGAGCACGAACTCTTTAGGTCAACCCGAGACAATCATTACACAGACCACGATCGGTCTAGGTGTATCGTCCATTACCATCGTTGCAACAAATTCACAGGGCATGCTTGAGACGATTGTAACTTCTGTGGCCGCCGTTCCTGCACTCGTTCCTTCTTCCGCCACTATCATACTAACTAACGCGCAAAGTGTTGTCGAGACGGTGGTAGTTCCGGTCGCAGCCATGGGTGTACTTGGGACATCTTCAGTCGCCATCTTGGTAACAAACGCTCAAGGCGTAATAGAGACTATCACGACTGCCGTTGCTGCAGTAGCTGGATCTTCGGTTACCCTTCTGTCAACAGATGCACATGGTGTTGTTGGGACGGTCACAAGTCAGGTCAATGCCGTACCTGCAATTCCGGCGACCATCGTCATAACAGACTCTCGCGGGAACTTGAACACCATTACAACGCAGATTGCAGCGGTAGCAGCAGCGACTCTTTCTGCAACCGTTATAGTAACAGATTCTCTAGGTGTGGCTGAAACTCTCGTGGTTGCTGCCAATCAACTAGTGCCCATCACAAGCACGTGTCTTACCACAAATTCACAAGGACAAGTGCAGACCTTGACAACTGTGATCTATGGTCTTACCGGTTCTCTTCAAACCTTCACCACGACTAATGCTCAGGGACAAACGATCACTGTGGTTAGCCAGCTACCATCATCAACGCAATCCAGATACACGACAACTACACAGTACACGTCCCTTGTTACCACCACAAATACTGACGGAAGCGTTAACAGCTTCTCGGCCGTGGTGGTTGAAACGATTGTGGTGAGCACGCCTCCAGCTCAAACCGTTATGGCGACCAGGACGAGCACTGCACGAGCGTCTGCGACTAATCTCGTGCTTGCCAAGAACGAAAAGGTGGTCAACGTGGAGTACTCATCATGGGTTTACACACTAGCTATGTACATCCCACCACTATATGCCGTGCTTGGAAAGGCAATCTGGGAAATGGTGTTCGCTGCCATCAAGCTGATCCAACCCTTCGAGAGGATGAACACTGAACTTGGATCGACTGCATCATACTCAATCTTCGCTGAATACCTCTCGAGCTCAATCTCATGGGACGCCTTCACATCACTGACCCGCGGAAACTCATTGCCGATGCTATCTGGGATTCTCTACGTCGTTGGACAGATTGCACCACCACTTTACGCGGCATCGTCCACGATCAAGGCACGTAGTGTGTGTACATATGCGGATGGACACCAGCAGAAGTGCGACCCAGCTTGGGTAGTAGATACGTTACTACTGCGCGTTGCTCAAGCTATTGCTGGTGTGTGTCTTCTGGTGGTATTACTCATGATCTGGTTCACGCGCAGGAGTCGGTCTGGTATTGCTTCGGATCCTTCGTCGCTAGCTTCATTAGCGACGTTGATGAACGACGAATCTTTGCTGAATGACATACAGAAGATTGGATCAGAAGCGGATCATTCGAGCTATGCAGCAGCTTTGGAGAGATATTGCTTTATGCTCGATTACCACAGCAGCTCTGAAGGCCAGCAGATATATGGCATCATGGGCGTGAAGAGTAAGCAGGACACCTCGGATTTACCCGAACTTGCAACTCGGGCAGCCTCGACAACTTACAACAGCGACAATGTTCGACAGCGGTACAATTACCACTCTATTCGAAATCCTGAGTCAGCTGCAGTATCGTCTTATGGTCATACGTCTTTCACTTCTCGTCAACGCAAACACATTGCTGCTGACATCTGTGGCTTCCTCCTACCTCTCACGCTTCTTGCATTAGTGCTGACGTTCTACCTCGACACCAGCCATGATGCATTGAACCGATTCTTTAACTCAAACACATTGGCGCCCAAACTCCTACTTGTCGCTCTGGCAACATTGTCGAGCTTACACCTTAGCCATTTGGAACGACTCATTCGCATTTCAGAGCCGTTCCGTCGACTTGCAGCCAATGACCCTCGTCTAAGTCATGGAAGGAGCACAGAGAAGCCAGGTGTGCCTGCTGAGACAACAGTGCTGATCACAAGATCCGGTACACCCTATTCGACGTTACCGAGCAATATCCTACTGACAGCGAAGCACGAGCTTCATGGTGGACGGATGATGTTTCAAACGCTAATGTCTATCACCGTGATATTATCAGACCTGAATATCATCGCTGTGGCTGGTGTTCCTGTCAACGACGCAATGACTTGGAAATCGTATTTGCTCGCTTCGAGACTGTCCATCGCACTCACAGCATGGATCGTGCTAGTATACTTATTTGTTCTCTTATGGTGGCGTAGAACTCCTGCAGTAAAGTACATGGAGGGCAGAAGCATGAGTAAAGGCGTTGGAACAGTAGGCGGATGCATGCGGTGCCTCTGTGGTGGAGAGAATGGGAGTGACATGGTCGACGTGGTAGTCAAGTTGAAGGAAGAGAAGGAAACCTGGAGAAAATGGGACAAGAGTCACGGTGGAGAAGGTGGAAGCGAGGGTAGCACAAGAGTGTGGTTTGGGAAGACAGGAAAGATTGGCGTTAATGGCAGGGAGACTTGGAGTTTGTTGTTCGAACAGCCACAATATTCCAATACGCCGAGCCAGAGGACGCGTATGGTAGAAGCCGGGATGCATCACAGTAAGAAAACGAAGAAGAGAGACGCGAGGTGGTTTTGATTCAGCTGCTGGAAGCGGCTGCCTGCGTCTGGTTTAGCATTGCAAGTTACTCAAGAAGTTGCGGTCTTCTGATCGCGATGCCTTCTATTCAAACGTATTCAGAATGCGGTGAACGCTATTTCAGTCAACAGATTGTTCATCGGTGCCTCAGGCTATCGAGTCAATCTGGAAAGAGCCATTACTTCGTCAAGCTTGCAGCCTTTACTACCTTCACTCGCAATATACCCCATCCACAACCAAATCCAAAACCAAAACAAAAACAAGAAGTCGCACCCGCTATTCTGGAACTTCCTTTTAAGTCATCTTCTGCATTGTCGCAAGAACTTTCTTCTTGTTTCACAACCACGTTCGATATGGCTGAGCCTACGCTTCTTGGTTTGCCTGCGGAAATACGATTGCAGATCTATAGACACGTCTTCAAGGGCATTGGGTACAAAGCGTCGGATCCAGGACGACTAGCAGGACTTACTGCGAAGACCGGCATACTCAGAGTTAACCGTCAGCTGCGTACCGAGGCTCGTACGATACTGGATGAGAACATCACGGTCGGGCTGGACTCATCTCGGCTTCCTCAAACCATGCCTTCCCTTGTAACGGGGGCCAGAATGTTGGGCATTGCATTGCCAGAGCAAAGTATCAAATCCTTTCTTCGAGTCTTGCCTCATCTCAAGTTTGTCGAGTGCTCGATCTCGTTCGAAGCGTGGGAGTGTTACAATACGGCACACCTTATTGACACAGTGGCCGAGGTGTTCAGAGGTAAGAACGACCACGCATATCTCGTACATCTTTGATCGGAATCTCACCCCGACGTTCTCCGACCCTGGTCCATCGAAACTTAGTACGCAGATATGGTAAGAGAAGTCAATGAACCTGCTTCCACAGGAAAACAGATCCTTGTCGTTGCGAGGCACTGTGTTTATATCGACGTGACTCTTGATGCACACTGGCAGGGATCTGCACTAGGACAGATGTATTCTACTTACGTAGATCATATTCAGTACTCCGGCCCAGTGAACTATCCGTGCTAATGGTCTTTCAGCGAGTGGGATGTGGGGTCACCGACCCAAAGACAGCCATTCGAGAAATCAACATTGCGGAATACAAGGACCATTACCGGTACGAAGAATGGATTCCGGCTGCAGGAGTTCTCCTCCTCACGACAGGACTGTCGGTTCCGACATTTTACGTGCCTAAGACAGGCAAGATGACCATCCTGGATGCAGATTTCGAAACTATGCCTGTAGATGGAAATCAGGATACGCTTCAAGAGGTTACTGCGGAGGCATTTAAGAAAATGAGAGCAGAGACACGAAACCGATTGAGCAAACCAGATATCTTTCAAAAAGCTTTGGCAACGGCGACTCGATGTGGGTGATGCAGCGAGAGAAGTCAGCGTGAGAAAGAAGCAGGTGTCTAGTCAGTGGAGCTAAGAAAGACACACAGGAGATCGGAGATGTTTATGAGGAAGTGGTTGGTATACAGAATAGTCTTGGCTACGATAGACGAACGAGTGAGCATGGACGTCTTCATTGATGCTGCGGTACCGATCTCTACAATCGTTTCATCGTGGTGGAGATCTTGGGGAGGGAGAGAGAGGTGATACACTTGTACTGGGTTCAAGATCTTGCAACACATCATCCAAGGATGCGTTTCTGACATAATGAGTCTAGTCGACGGAACAGTTTCGAATCGATCGCGCTCCGAAACTGGCTAGCTTCGCAGACTTGAGACAGCGAAAGCTAAGAAGAAAAAAGAATGAAAGATTAAATGCCACTTTCATTACACGCTTCTACGCTATATCCAAACGAAACGCTCAATCGCTTTTTATCCAATAGTTGTCATCGTGCCGCAGCTGTTGGCGGTGCGGCCGGTGGCTGTGGTGATGGTTCATCATGTATGTTGAAATGCATTGCAACTCCGCTAAAAGTCGACGAAGTCAAATTGTTTTGTGGTTTGTCCAGTGGCTGTGAGGGAGGTGACGATGGCGGTTGTGATGATGGTGATAATGACGGCGACGGTGACGGTTCACGTGTGTTTTCTGGCGGTGTCAGGTGCGTGGTAGCTTCCAGCGAGTCACGACTCGTGGGATCGAGGAGACGTTCTTCCAGATCGGAGCTGAGTATTGGTATCTCTGGTTGAGAAGATGCGGCCACGGGCCTGATTCGTCTTCCATCCTCCACGCGTTTCATGTATGTTTCGGCTAGTCGACGTGCTGTATTCTGGAGCGCGTCTCTGACTTTGGTCGTTGTTCCGTCTGTATTCTCAATCTCGCCAGTCTCGATGTAATCTCGCGTTGCGTTCTCGATTTCTTGATTGCGCTCGAATTCAAAGAGTTGTATTGAGTGAATGTTGCCCGTGTCAGCGCTGAATCGGTCAAAAGTGAGCATTGGCCCGAGTAGCGCCATTGACTTCATGGTACCGCCAACGTTGTCCGACTCTGTCGCTAGTTCCTGCAGCCTGGCAAACAGAGTTTTGAAGTTTCGAATTAAAGTAGACCTGAATCTGTGTCTCCAGCTCGGAGAAGGCGCAGGCTCCTTCCAGCCCCTTGGTTTTGAGCCGGTACCAATATTGACGAATTGAATGTTCCCATATATCTTGTGGTTTTTCTGGAAGTAATGGTCCCATGTGGCTTTCGAGGGATTGTTAGTTAGACCAAATCCACCGTCAATGAGGACTTTCCCTATGAGTTTGATACTATCGAAATATGTTGGTGCGGCAGAGGTAGCACGAGCTGCGTCGGCGACCTTGACCCGCATTTCCGGCTGGCGATGGTGGCGGCATTTGTGATCGCACATTTGGGCTGTATCAAGCTCATCTCGATGACTGCACAAGAAGACGGGGTCGCCACTGTTCTCGTCGTGGCAAACGACCGCACTGCTAGACTTAGATTTTGTGACGTACACGGATAGTGTTGGGATCACTTACCAGCAAAAGTCCTGATGAGTCAAAATGTTTTCCAGCTCATACTCAGCATCATGATGCTGCACGTTCGGAGCCTTCATGATTACTTCGTCCACGATAACTTTTCTCATCTGGTTACCAGAGTACTTGGGCCAGCGGAGACCTAAAGTCATGGTACCCCAGAATTGGGTGTATCCAAAGATCTGTTGGGAGAGTAGTTTGTAGAGTTCGATGCATTGGGAGACATCGTATCCGAACTTGACCAGCATCAAGGCGATCAGTCTGTAGAGATTAGTCGATAGCAGGTGGCGAGATGTCAGACATCACTTACCCGCCAGTGCTAGTGCCGACAACGAGGTCGAATATATCCTTAGGTACCAGAGGGATGTCGTTATGGCAGGCTGGGTCAACGGCTTCATTCACAAGCTGCATCAAGACTTGAAGGATGATGCATGTAGACAAGCCTCGTACACCACCACCATCTACAATAGTCAGGCTGATTGGTCAGACAAGTCAGGTGGCACGTACCTAGGGTCAGCACATTGAAATCCTCCCATTTGTGCCCTGCCATTGTGTAAAGAGACAGTGTCGGCTCGGAGCGAAACACAAAGCGTGTACTTCTGGCAACGATCTCGAGCGAGGCGCTCGATGTGTTTTAAGGTGTTCCATGCCTTTGCTTTACACTCACCGCGTGAGAAGTGAAATCATCAGGAGGGGCTATTTCAGCCTTAGACTGTTGGATGGTAGCCAAATCGAGGCATCAATGGCAATGCATGCAAGCCCTTTCGCTACTTGAGACATCTTCGACAGAGCCGTTGTCTCTTCCGATCAAGCCAGGTTGTCCAGGTCAGAGTGTTGGACTTTTGGTTGGGTCGAGGAAAGAGTCGAGAAATGCTGAAGCGACGTGAATGGGTCGCTAACGGAGTGAATAGGGAAGTGGCGCTTCTAAACATGAGGCAGACAGGGACGTGAACGTTGCTGCTTGAACCGTCGATTTGGGTTACATCGCCAGCAACATATCAAGCACTGTCAGATCGCAAATATGCCTGACTGTACGTTTGAGGCCATGCCTATTCGTGTCGTCCAGAGGCTAGCGCGTCACCTTCACTGGCTGCGCCTCCACCCGCAATCACCACTCTTCCTGCAGGAGCTTTTCTTAACACTGTATCGTCCCTTTCTCGCCTTGTGACCGGTTCGCTTAGACTCGACAGAGCCATGCATTTGCGACTCCAAAATAGCAAGTACGATTCGAGAGTGATCGACGAACACGAACGCCAGAACCATGAGCCAAAGTGCCCGAGCAAACTAACACGTGTGCGTATCGCGTGTGCACCCGCCCACATATCGTGAGGCCGTCTACAGCCCGACAAGCAAACGACTCGACATGCGGCGGCTGTGCACTGAATACTTAGGCTCCTATTTCTGCTGTCAATGGCCTCCGGTCTGCTTGCAAATAAGGGCTCATACCATTCAAGTGCGGATTAAAGTCTTTAGTACATAGAAGACATCATGAAGCTTAGAGCCAATGGTCCCCGAATATTGACGATAGGTGAGCTAATCATATTACTTTATGTAACTGCTGCTGACAGACAACAGACAATGGTGGTCTACAGGCACTATCCATATTACGTGTATTGAGCGATGTATGTCAAGCTTTGTCTACGGCAGATGGTCTACCGACTTCAACCGATCCACATGAGATCTTCGACATCATTGCTGGTGTAGGCACCGGGGGGTGGCTGGCCATTCTACTTGGTCGCTACAAACTCAGTATTCAGCAGTGTATGGGAATATACATTTCCCTGGCCAATGCAATAGATCCTACTCGTAAAAGCCCATCTGTTCGAGATCGGGGCTTACCTGCTGCTATTGACCAGGCCAAACTCGTGGAGAAAGTCGACAAGATCATTGCCGAGTACGAGATGGGTGATACCTTGCTGGAAGACATGAGCAATATTGACCTGCAGACTGGTCAACATGTTTGTCATGCCTTCGCTGTTGGTGTGGTCAAACGTGACAAGCACGAACAAGGACACAAGTATCACCTCTTTAGAGCATACAGGCCTGTCGAAGGATCGAACCAAGCAGGTCCAGACCCGACCAAATGTAAAGTGTCAGCAGCATGTGCAGCGACTACAGCCGCCAAAGACTTTTGCAGAGAATATGCTCTGAATGGAACAACCTATTGGGACGACAGCTTTCCCAACACGCACAACGTCTCAGGGCTTGCGCTCGACGAATCAAGCACCATATTTGGCGAGCATGTGGCACCTCAGTTTGTTCTCAGTATCAGCCCTGGAATACCAACCGACAAAGACATTGACACACTGCGTGGAATTGCACATAAAAATGCTTCGACGACGTTCAAGGTGAGGCACGGCCTGATGTCTTTACCTGGTCTTCGTCGTGTGTATTCGGGCAATGGTACCATAAAGTCACCCGACCATCGACCTGCATCGGAAATGAGATCGCAAAGTGCCCCTACATTCTCCCGATTTGGAGTCAGCGTTAAAAGATCGAACACCGGCAGCAGTATAGAGAGCTTCGAACAGGAACGTGTACATCAAAAAACTATCAAGCACCGTTTGACAGATCAGTTTCGCGACGATACGATCTACCATCGGTTGGAGCTGCTGGCTGACCAATCGAACGAGAGGCCGTATCTCGACGACATCGCAGCTCCTGAACGAGCAAATAAGCTTGCGGATAGCTTCCTCAAGCTACCACAAACGTCACATGAGATTGATCGCCTTATCTCGAGATGCAGGATACAAGTACCGGATCACGAGAATATTACAGAAAACCCGGAGCGGAGCCCTTCGCCTGAACAGATTGAAGAAGTCCAGGAGATCGCGAGGGACAGGAGTCTTGATAGGAGGAATCATAACACTTCTATCGTCCGTGAACGCGAGCTGGCGCTAGCATGGTGAACCAGAATTGTGGCGCTTGATCTCCGAGTCTTCCGCCTCATCGATTAGATCTGTAGACGTTGCACAACTGACGAGGAACACCTCAGGGAGAAAGAGTGGCCATGTTCTCAGCTTTCAAATCCTGCGAGTAAGTAGTTTGAACACTCACTACGAGTTGTTTGTGGACTGGCGTCGGCACTAAACGGTCATCTTGGATAGCATTAATCCTACCTACGTCGTCGCTCGACTTATTACGAGCTGAACTGAAGTTGCACCCTTGCCGTTGACGCATATTTTAAGGTTAATCAAGCCTAGCCGATGTCTAATCACAAAGTGACAGCAAAATCGAACTACAATTCTCGAGTTCACTGCGACGAGTGTATGCTCTTTCATTTGCGGCCTCTCGTCGTGTTGACATCTCTACTCCAGAAGAAAGCCTGCGTCTGCGCAGGAAGTCAGTCGCTAGCATGCGTGCATGCCTGTAAGAAATCGGCTTACAGGCTTCTTGAGCTTAGTCGTAGTTGGTGGGTGTTCAAAGTATGCTGAGGAGAGGCGATGGAAGAAGGGATGTCACGGCTGCCTATGACTGTGTAGCTTTGTCGATACAGATCTATCAAAATTCATGGACTGGCGGGCCAGTTCCATTCCTGCACTCCAGAAACAAGATAAACGCGTTCCTCACAAACAATGTTGTACTTGTGCACTCGGCATGCCTTTGGCCAACTCTTAAGCCCTATATCACTTCGCGTTGATCCTATCAATGAAATTTGTTTCCAACAAACATTGGTCGCTTTTCATCGTCGCCGGTCAGTCGACACCATTCTATACTTGAATGACACCTGTTCTCGCAACATATCGGGCGCTCCCGCCCTTATTGCCAGCTCGTCGGCGCCTGGTGTTACTTTCGTCCTATGGAAATTCGCAGAACATGGTGGTTTCTGGTCTTTATGCGCGGTCTGGTTGGTGCGTGCTGTAATCCAGACAAGCATTTTGTTCACTCCTTTGAGTTACTTCCGATCATCTGACTTGGGAAAAAAGAGAGTCTGGGAATGTCGTTACACACATGTGTACGAGCGTCGTCTCCGTGGTCGCTGCATGTACCACGCAGTCTGGTAGGATTTTCGAGCCTCTGAAACCTAGTTGCAATTGTGGCCTTCAGTACGAGCGTCAATGTTCTTGCAAGCAGCTTGGCAAACAGTTGCTGACGCTCTAAATCTTTGCATGAGGATTTATTGAGCGTTGTTGTGCCCATGATGGAGATGTAATGACCAAGTGCTGGCTAGATTGTTGACTCTCAGGTCCGAACTCTCAGTAGGCAATGCTCGCCCCATATTCTGCGGTACTTCTGTGGTAGTATGCTGTTATCTGGTAACCAGATGGTTCTGGCCAGAAGTCCTGTCGCAGCGTTGTCGAGAAAAGGTTCACAGCGGATTTTCTCCCACCGTTCATCTTCCATATAGGCCGGCTCCAGCTTCGTGGCTATTGTGCTCGGAAACGACGAATCGACTAGGAAGGAGCAATGCCGGATGTCGGTGTACTTGCTCATGTCTTCTTGGTTTTGGTCGTTCATGCCAGAAGGTACCATCCATGTGCCAGGGAACAGACCTAGCTCCCTGTTCTCGCTGAATTCGCCAGGTAAAAGTCCGTCAAACTCGCTCTTGATGAACTTGGCATGTACTCCGTGTGGCAGGAAGAAGGAAGTAGGGAAGCGATACCAGTCCTTTCCGATACAGACTGTATCACCTGCTTTGGCCATATTGGGTTGCTCAAGAGCGTCGTAGATTCGTAAAGGTGCCTGATAATTCACAACTGTGCCGAGGATACGCAGAAGTCCAATGTTGATGCTTAGGAGCACAATAGGAAGAACGACTGCGAGCTTGACTTGAGGTGGAATCCGGCCAAGCGACGTCTTTGGATCTGAGCTACCAAACCAACTCAACAACATGTGCAGTGCAATCGCAGCATTCAGAGCCAGGAAAGGGTATGCAGGAAACATGAAACGTTCCTCTTTATGTGGCTGCAAGGTGAAGATAGCAAACCAAAGATAGAAAGGAGTTGTGAAAGTGACGGTGCGGAGTACTGTCTGCTTGGTCGATGACTGAGTCCGGAAGAGCACTTGTATCAGAAGTAAAGGAGCAACAGCCATTGCCAGGAGGAACCATAGATTGAAGTTGAGTAACAGATTCCTGACGTAGAAGTGCCAAGGCTCTGTACCGAAGATGTCTGGCCCACGATCCTTGCCGCCAAAGACGTTGTAAGCGACAATTCGCCAGGGCACGATTGTGAGGTTGCGATAGAAGAAGGCATCAATGCTGATTTGAAGGCCGAGAACAGCCAGGCAACGGACAACACCGTCCAGATATCTCAGAAACGTATCGAAGATATCGTTAGCAACAATAGCCACAACCCAGTCCTCAATGACGAAGGGTATGATTAGAGCTCCAGCAAAAGGCCAGCCTAGCAGAGCGCCTATGCCAAAGAACATGATAGCAGGCGCAGTCTTTGGGCCACCTTGCCAGTCCATGAAAGCAGTCAAGCCTAGAGTGCTAGTGTACATGGCGAAGCTCGAAGGTAGAAAGGCGGCAGAGGCGTAGAAGAAACCTGGGGTGAGAGCTACAACCATGAGGTAGAAGACACCTATTCTTGGATTGAGGTTTCTCGAGATGGCCGAGTAGAGTCTGGTCTCAGTAGCAGCACAGATGGTAGCGAGCAGACATCTCAAAGTGTAGAACTCGAAGGTCTTTGACTTGGGTAGCAAGCTCACGAGCTTGGTTGGTACAGCATGGACAAGGATATATGCCCAGCTTCTAATGCTGAAGTCAGGAGAATACTCCCAAGTCTGGAAGCCATAGCCATGGGTAAGATAATGTAAAGGTTCCCAATAGTTGAAGGTTTCATCGCAATCCAGGATTGGAGCGTTAGAGGCTGCGATAAGATGAGCTATAAGACAGATATAAAAAGCAACGTTCAGTGGAAGGAGGAATGGAGGGGGAGGAGGTCGAGCTTTGGTCTTTGGCTGGGTGCCAGACGAAGGTCCAGTACGACCTGGCTCGGCAGACGCGAAAGAGCCGTTCATGCTTGTCGACGGCAGTACAGCGACGACATTGGGCAGAAGTTGTAGGTTTTGTTGTTGGGTCGTTTCATAATTCGAACCTCCGAACAAAGTGGAACTGTCCAATCGGAGTGAAGCTGTCTCCACAGTGACGATCGCCGAAAGATTTTGAATCGTTTTCGAGACTGTGAGAATGCAAGTTTATATTTAGTCCAATTAATGATAATATTGCATGACTGACAAATTATCATGATGGACGAGCAAGATATTGAGATGCCATCACCTAAACGGCAGCGAACGAGTTTGCCTGAAGATACTCCTTCGAATACAGCACAGCCAGCAATATGGACGCCAGTAGCCGTACCTGGAATCACGAACGATGCGCCTACTAAGCAGGAAAGGCTCGAAGACAGAACAAAAGAGTCACTGGCAACAGATACAGGAGTCCTTCAAGCGACAAGCCAATTGCCAGAAGAAGCCAAGCCAGATGGGACTGATATGCTTGACTTCCTCATGCAGCACGTCGAGTCCGAGTCTACCTCGATTCAGCCAGGGGAGCCAGTCTCCAATGCTGCCCATTCAGTCGAAGGACCGCCTGCAAGATTGAAGGACGAGGAGCCTATATCTGGTGATGTGGAAATGCAAGAGCAGGAAGTGACAGCAAATACAGCCCAAGATTTAGGACAGAATGAGGACGAGCAGCTCTCGAAGCAAGAAAGTCTTCAGCAGAGTGCTGAGCAGAGTTCATTGTTCCCACCTCCAGGCTTGGAGGCCGCGGCAGAACCTGTTCTTCAACAATTGAGACAAGCTGCGGAGGCCAACAACCTTCCTCCTACCGCAGACACCCTAGTGCAAGACCACATACCTCCTGCCACTCACCCTGTGCCTGCAGATACAGTCGGCGACTTAGACTGCGACACGGGCGGAGTGGCTTTAAGAGCACCAGACACCGAAGAACGTGAATGGGCCACCGATTCCTCGCCTTACTCCTCCGACTCGGACACGTCCTCAGACGACTCCAGCGACGACTCGGACGATGATGACGGAGATGAATATACCCTACTCGACCCATATGAACAAGCTCGTATACTCATGGCAGAAGATGGTGGTGGAGCAGGAGCTGACAGCGACGATGAAGGTACAACTCGTCCGCAACGTGTAGCTGGCGGCGGAGGTGCAGGTCTACGTACGACAAATGAAAAGTCCGAAGACATCCTTCCCAAACCAGGAATCGTGGTCACCGAAGATATGTCTATAATAGAGTTAGGAAAAGTCGAAGCTATCGTCGAGAACACTGTCCTAATCAAGGCCACTGTCAGTGGTGAGTATCAGGTCCTCGAGTCTGGCAGTGTGCTCTGTCTCGCACCACCAAATCGAACTATCGTCGGCGCAGTCTCGGAAACATTGGGAAGAGTTGAACAGCCCTTATACACTGTTCGGTTCGCTTCAAGCGACGACATCTCCAACACCTTCAGTCTCAACCCCGAACAGAACAAGGAGGATGCCAAAGGCACAAAGGTGTACTACGTGAAAGATCACTCTACCTTCGTCTTTACTCAACCCCTCCGAGCTGCAAAAGGCACAGATGCAAGCAATATTCATGATGAAGAGGTGGGCGAGGACGAAATGGAGTTTAGTGACGACGAGGCTGAAGCCGAGTACAAGAGACTGAAGAAACTACAAAGAAAAGGTATAGATCCCAACAGTCAGCAAGGACAAGCTGGTGGCCGAGGCAGCAGAGGTGGACGCGGTCAAAGAGGAAACAGAGGACGAGGCGGGCTTAATCACAACAACATGCCCGACTCCTCAAGCTTCGACACCGCCAGCATGTACTCGTACAATGGAGGCCGCGACAACGTACAAATGAACTACGACGATGCTGAAGATGGTGAGACGAGCATAGACTATACTCCTCTGAGACGTCCCGAAACCATGTCAAATATACAGATGTCCCCTCCCGGCCAGACCTATCCCCAAGCCCAATCACATCAACAATACAACAGCAACAATAATAATAGGGGCAACTACAACCAAAACCGCGACCAACGAGGTCGAGGAAGAGGCAACAACCGCGGTCGCGGCAATCGAGGCAATTTTCAAAACCAAAATCATTCCGCAGCTAATAGAAACAACTACTCTCCCTCATCCTCAAATTCAATGTACTATAACAACAACAACATCCAATACCCTACACAAGCTCCTCAACAACAGCAATATCACCCTCCCATGCCTCCAGCACCACCACAACAGCAACACCAGCAACAAGGAACATACTACGCCTACTCACACGCACCAAACGCACCACACCTTCCACCTTCCTCTGCTCCAAACCTTTACGGCAATAACACGAACATGCCGCCAAGTCCTATGACGCCTTTACCGCCTGGAGCAGATAACTATGCGTATCAGAATCAGTGGGCGCAGTATCATGCCAATCAAGCGCAGCAGGCGGCGAGTCAGCAGGGCCAGTATGGCTCGAACAGCATCAACGCTGATGCGTTGGCGCAGGTCCAGAGACAGTTGGAGGAGATGAGGAGGCATGCTCAGGGATCTTAGTTACACAATGTTCTTGTGTCAATGAATGTATTTGTACACCTGTATAAGAGTTGGTCTCTAGTCCTTTACTTTGTCTAACCTATACCACTTGTACATATTGCTTTTGTCTTCTCATGGCTTAGCGAACGATACTCCAGCGAATGATACCCTATCCTTCTTCCTGGAACACTACTTCCATCCGCGGTAGTAAATCCATCTCAGTCCAGTGGTGGAGGCACATTCTGTTGCCTTCTGGCAAACTCCATGACCGACGTCTTCACCCGTCTTACCGATCTCATTGTGGCGTTCCTTCCGTTCCGTAGACTGCCGCCAATCTCACTCGCGATATCTCTCGCACTTGAACGACGTCGTTCCTGACTGCCACGCTGGTCGTTTTCATGCTGTTGTGGCGGCGTAATTGCTGGTTCTGAAGTAGCTGCAAAGTCGACTACGTCGGACATGTTTCGTGGCTGAGGAGTTCGATTGCGACGAAACAATCTCGAAGTACGCTCTCTTAACCTTCGTACTCGAAACCGCAAGCTGGACCGTGGGTTTTCTGCGGCACCCCCATCCACCTGGGCATTGCTGATTTGTTCTGCATCTTCATCGTGTACAATCTTGTCTCCCGCTCGTGCGTCAACTTCTCCCGGGTTCACACAAGTCGTCTGTCTCGTTACATCTTCCGAATAGCTGCCAAATCGTGTATCGGTCGTGCTCAACATACGAGTGCTTGTAGGTACTGTGCTGACTTGACCTTGAGTCGAGTAGGATGCACGTACTTGGTTCTTACAGGAGAAACTCAAATTGCTGCCAGAGGTACTGCTTCGGTGATCAGGCGTTAACGCACTCTGAACGAATTCCTGTTGAAGAGGGTTAGTCGCTTGAAGCTGAGCTAGCTGATCTCGGGACAGCTTGTTGTTGAGGTCCGAACCGTGTATTGAAGAGATATCGCCTTCATCGATATTCAATAACCGGTTCGCACCGCTTGAACCTTCTTGAGGGTCGTCACGACTTTCCACAGTCTCTGAAGTATCCAGCAGGGGCGTATCAACAGTTGGACCCATCGCGAAGTCAAGCGTGCTGAACTGCCGATCGAGACGTGCACTCAAAGCGTCGGGATCCAGCGGCGGCGAGCTATTGATTCCTGCATGTTGTAGTACCGGAGTAATAGAAGGGATTCGAGGTAATCTTAGTCGTCCTGGGTACTGTTGATGACCGTTCATCTGAGGTGGTGTATCGTCAGGAGGAGCAGTAGGAGTTAGAGTGAATGTTCCTGACTCCGTCAAGGTATGGTACATTTCTGGCGAACTTTGAACGGAGTCATCGTCATCAAGTCCATCTCGAGCGGGACCGTCTTGAGCAGGCACATCACCTCCACTATGTTCCAAGTTCGAGGTTGCATTGTCTTCTACCTCTCCATCTATCATACCGCCTCGCAGGGTCAGAACTGACTAGGTGCTGTCACCTAGCACGACTTTTCGTACGATATTGGTACCTACTCGGACGTCAATTCCGGTCCAGTACAGGAACTGCCAGATGCCTTGAGTGACCAGTGTTTCTAGTCCTTGAATCGTTTTCCAATGGCCCAGAGAGGACGCCAATTGCATCAAGGCAGTGTTCTGCGGTTTGTAGGCCATTTCCAGGAGAACTCCACGTGCTACACCTGGCCCTTGTTCCTCGTTGGCTACTGTGGAGAAAAAGCTTTCCAAGACAGTCTTCAAAGATGGCTCAATAGGAATATCCGCCGGTATAGTTGCGATTGCGACTTTTGGGAAGCGTTTGCTCATTGTGTCCATTGCGGTGGACCCTTGTGTTGTCAGTGGAATAACGTCGTAAGCAGTAGGAAAGGAGGATGCAAGTGCCGAAATCTTCGAGCCATCTCTGCCTAGCAGGTATATCGGACTGTAAGCCATAGAGTGCAGCGTTTGGATGGCCGCTCGAGCCGTACCACCACCACCGATGACCAGGCCTGCTTGAACGCCTTCTCCTAGCAGTCCTGACGCGCCAGCAGTACGCAGACAATCCATCATGCCGAGGTAATCAGTGTTGAAACCTACAAGCTTAATTTGATCTGTGCTATTATGGCTTGTCCTAGGCTGCAATGGAACGATTGTGTTGACGGCACCGATGACCTTTGCATTCTCATCCACCTCGTCAAGATGAGCCATGACATCAAGTTTCAGTGGAATTGTAACGCTCGCACCACCGAAATCTGGTTCTCGAATGATGTCTGGTAGATCAGCAGCATCGGTAGTCTCATGAGCTTGATAGAAATGGGGCAAACCCATGTGCTTGAACAAAGTATTGTGCATCAAGGGACTCTTGCTAGCTGATATAGGGCTGCCAAACAGGTAGAATTGCTTTGGCTGGATTTCACCCATCAAGTTTAGTGCTGTTCTAATCTGGGTGGCAGAGAGCTGTCCTGGAGCAGCTTTGAACGGTAGACTAGGATGTGTGACTGGCGTCATGAAGCCGTTCAGAATTCGACTGACTTGGCCAGCGGATCCCATGTTTATAGCAATGAGAGGAACACCGGGATATTGTGACGCCGACCACTGTTTGAACTTCCGCAGTGCAAAATTGTCGTCGATACTAGTAGCAACACCAATAAGCTTGATGATATCGCCATATTGTAGGCATTGATTGTAGACTGGTATCCAAGAGCCGTTCTTCGACCAGGCTAGACGACCTTGTGGATCGTGATGTGACGCGATGATGTGACTATACGAGTTCTCCGCCATACTCTTGACTTCGTCCAGGAGATTCTTAGGGAATGTGGTCACTTCGAGGTCAACAAATTCGCAACCCATGCGGAAAGCAAGCCGGTATAATGCCAAGGCTTGCTCGGTAGCATCTTCGGGAAACAACCCGCCCTGTGGCCTCGTTCTGATGGTGAAGACGACAGGGAGCGGAACGATCGACCTCAACAATGACAGTTGCGACATCACATATTCGACCGATGGCAGCGTCGCAGATTGCTCAGACTCTTTAAGCAAGTCAACTCGCAGTTCAACAGCATCGGATCCCAGACAGACTTCTGGTAACAAGTCAATGTATGGACGTAGGTCCGGGAATGTCAAAGACACGAAGAAGGACTGCGATTTGTCCTTGATCGTGCTGAGACTCTCGATCCTTCCTGTCTGCATCCGTAAGAATCGGTCAAAGTCTGCCGCAGCACGGGATAGATCGTCATTAGGTGTTCTTTGACTGTAATAAAGGATGTTGCTGCATTCTTCGAACCATGGCTTACGTCGAAGCCACACGCCCATCATGTCTTCGACATATGCAGGTCGTGTCTTATCGATTTGCAGAAAATCCATTACGTGTTGGATGTTTCTTTGGACGAGTAGGACATTTCCATTTTTCTTGTGCCAATCGACAAGCAGATGTCGTGCTTCTGGCATCTCAACTATGCCACCACCACAGGCGAGAATGTGTCCCGTCGCGTTTTCCTTCATAACAGCTTTAAGTACTCTCAACTCTTTGTTGCGAAACTCATCCCAGCCGTCTTGCCGAACTATATCAGGTATCGAGCGCTTCTCTCGTTCTTCAAGCTCTGTGTCAAGGTCAATGAGCTTTCTGTTTAGAGATTTGGCGGCCCATCTGCCAGTCGTGGTCTTGCCAGCACCTCTCATGCCAATGATGAAGATCGAGGCATCCCGTCGATCAACTCGCTTTGGTCCAAGAAGAGGAAGATCTGCTGGTTCTCTGCCTTCAAGATCGACCTTGAAAAGCTGAGACATGGTGTCCCACCATCCGGGCCAAGTCTTGCCTGTACATTCCTTCTCTAGAATCAGTGTAGGTCGCTGAGCTGCAAGTGCAAGTACACTGAACGACATCGCGACCCTGTGGTCATCGTAGCAGTGGACACCGTCAAGTGGACGCTGGAGTTTCGTTCGGTCGATGCCATCAATCTCAATCCCATCGTCAAATTGTCGACATTTGACACCAAATCTCGCTAGTTCATCTTCCATTGCTTGTATGCGGTTGCACTCTTTGACTCTCTGGTTAGCAATACCATATATTCGAGTGGTCGAGGAGTCATTTCCATGTGCGATGGCCGCGAGTACGGAAGCTGTCAAGAAAGCATCTGTCATTGATTCCATATCGACATTTGGCAACGGCTGCAACGCACCATTTGGTGGTCCGACGACAGTTGTTGAGGTTGCTGTTTGAGTTACTGAGCATCCCATCGGCTTCAGTACATCCACAGCAAAGGCAGAATCGCCTTGGAGCGAATCTGATCCAATGTTTGGTATCGTGCATGTCGTTCCGGTAATGGCGGCGATAGCTAATGGATATGTTGCAGAGCTTGCATCACTTTCAATTGTATAGTCGGAAGGATTCTGGTATTGACCATTAGGGATATGGTAAGTATGCTCTTCTGTGCTCGACCTCTGCACCTTCACACCAAATGCCGCCATCATGGCTGTTGTCATATCGATGTATGGTTGAGATACTGGCTTACCTCCGACCAACTTGAGGGTAACAGGCTGTTTGGCATAAGGAGCACACATCAGCAGCGAGGACACATACTGTGACGATACTTTTGCTGCCAGACGAATCTCGCCGCCAGCGAAGCCTTCGGATGCAGTCACATTCAATGGAAGACACCCTGATGTTCCAAGGTATTTCATGTCAGCGCCATTCTCCAAAAGTGCATCAACGAGGTCACCGATTGGCCTCTGCTTCATCCTGGCATTACCGGTAAGAACGGTAGCGTCAACTTTGTCAGGTCGCGCTAGGGTAGCTACAGTCGTGAGGAAGCGTGCAGCTGTGCCAGCATTTCCTAGATACAGTTCGTTCTTGCTGGCCTTCATTTGACCGCCGTTGCCATTGACAACAAGCACTTCACCATCATCCTCCCAGGAGAACGTTGCAGCTCCCAGTTGAGTCAGAGCAGCTAGCATTACCTCAGTGTCAGCCGACGTAAGAAGGTTCCGAATTTTGCAGGTTCCTGAGCCGAGTGCCGCAAGTACAAGCGCCCTATTGGATATACTCTTGCTGCCTGGTGGTGTGCATGTGATGTTGAGCCCCTTTGCAACGCCAGGACTGACTTCAATACTGGGAGACAATGTGACTTTGATGTCTTTGTCCGCGATGATGCTGGCCTTCTGCTCGTACGTGCGGCCAATGGCTGACAAAAGTACGATTTTCTTCTTTGCACCTTCGTTCTTCTTGTCGACGCCCATCTTTTTCAGTAAACCGTCGACGGTGCATCTCTTCCCACCAGTGAGCTTTCGAATTTGGTCGTCGTCCATACGGGTAGGCAGACCGTAAGAGGTTAGACATTTCTGAAGGCGACCGACGGCATTGCCTTTCAGCACACCAAGGTACCTAGCGAGTTCGGCTTCCTTGACCATGCCAATGGCAACGCACTCTCCATGCAACACTTGAGGTGTCAGGAAAGCCTCAATTGCGTGACCAATGGAGTGTCCGAAATTCAGGAGGTTCCGTAGTCCAGTTTCTCTTTCGTCAATTGTCACAACATGTGCCTTGAATCGTGCCGAAGCAGCGATGATTTTCTTGAGTATGTGCTCTATGTGCCTGAATCTGCTGGCACCAGCTCTAGAATCTGCTCGAATTGCCGTCATGATGATATTGGCGTTCTCTTCGAGGTCGGCAAAATCGTTCTCATCAGAGATGGCAGCGGTCTTGATCACTTCTGCCATACCATTGATGACTTCTCGAGGAGGTAAGGTGCCCAGAAAGTCGAGGTCAATGTAAATGCGTTGGGGTTGCCATATTGCTCCGACCAGATTTTTGCCCAGAGGAGTGTCGATAGCTGTCTTGCCGCCGATAGATGAGTCTACCATGGCCAGCAGTGTAGTAGGGACCTGGACAAATCGAATGCCTCTCATGTAAGTAGCCGCAACGAAGCCCGTCAAGTCGCCAATGACACCACCGCCTAGGGCAATGATGACTGTATCCCGACCACATGGCGGACTTTGGCTCAGCAGCCAGTCTTCTATCTCATCTTTTGTTTGCCGTGATTTCGAGCTTTCGCCGGGTGGAATCTCCAGTGTGAGCAGTCTTGAGGTGCCTGATGATGCATTGTGAAATGACTCCGAGAAGGATTTTGTGTATAGTTTACCAATGTTTGTGTCGGTGATCAGGACATATGTCGAGGATGGCAGAGTGGAAATTAAGTCGTTGGCAATAAAATTATTCCATAAACCAAAATCGATTATGATGCTTTCCTTACCCAACAGATTGATGCGAATCTGTTTCTCAGCGCCGTCGACGGACCCGTTTAGGGTGCCATTGGCATGAGGCATCGTCCTATATGGGAACGTAAGAAAATGCTTGGTACAAGGAGCATGTAGACAAAATTGTACCGAAGTCGGTGAGTCGGCAGAAGAGCTCAAAAGACTCTGAATTCTGAACGGTGGTTTCCTACTGGGTCAGTTGCAAATTTAGGAAGGTTCAATCGTCGCATGCAACTGCTCACACCGGAGCAGTCTACAGTCAGGTAGCCTGAGTTTCAGCCTCGTTGTGCATTGACTAACGGCAAGTACGTCGTAAAGAGATGTTTGAGGAGCGCTAAAAAGCAACGCGACCGTAACACGCTAACAATACCACTAGTAGCAATTTGCGAAATCTCGATCATAGCACAAAAAACTTTGCGACTGTGCATAGTTATTGACTCGGATGATACAAAATGTCCTCATCTAGATCACTGGAGAATGCGCTCGACGTTTCATCATCCTCTGAGAGTCTCTCCGAAGACGACGGCGAGGAAGGCTGGCAAGACGAAGAGAATGATGAATTGCCTGACACATTTGTATCATTATATGACAATGACAAATTTGACAGTGTGATCGCGATGTTCCAACATTGCAAGGCTAAGTATGATTTTGACATCTGGGCGATTCAACAAAAGTTCGATCTTGATTTTATAGGTCTCGTCAAGCTTGTAAATTATGTCCGCAAATCAGTAGCGGGAGGAGATCTTGACCCAGATGTTTCGCGCAAGGCATTGTTCGAGGACGATTTTTACCTCCTACCTGTAATGGAAAGTGACGCCGTTCTGTACAACCTTGAAGAAATACTCATGGCGAGCAGAACAGCCGGTAAGAGTGAACTGGAAGAACTGAAAGACCAGATGGCGGCTCTACAGTCGCGTTTTGATGCCTACAGAGACGAAGTATCGAAATTCCTCGATCAGAAACTCATGGCAGACGCAGCCAACTCGATACCGTCGAACGGCGAAGATCCGTCTGTCGACGGCCTTAAGCGAAAGGACGATCGAGATGCGGACTATTTCCATGGTTACTCCTTCAACGCTATTCACGAGACGATGCTCAAAGATCGTGTAAGGACAGATGCTTATCGAGATTTCATCTATGACAACAAAGACATCTTTCAGGACAAGGTTGTGCTTGACGTGGGCTGCGGCACGGGTATTTTATCGATGTTCTGTGCCAAAGCTGGAGCCAAGCAGGTCATTGCTGTGGACAACTCAAATATTATCCACACTGCAAGAGAGATCATACGCGGTAATGGCCTTGATGACAGGATACAATGCATCAAAGGCAAGATAGAAGAGGTTCAGCTACCAGTTGGCCAGGTTGACATTATAGTATCGGAGTGGATGGGCTACTGTTTGCTCTTTGAATCGATGCTCGACTCAGTCATCTATGCACGAGACCGCTACCTAGCACCAGGAGGGTTGATGGTTCCCAGCCATGCCGCACTAGTGATTGCTCCCGTGGCCGATTCGGAAATTCGACAGACCCATATTGACTACTGGGCCGATGTGTACGGCTTTGATATGCGGCCGATGATTCCACGAGCAAGCGAAGAATGCCTGATCAGAACACTGAACAAGGACGATGTTTCTGGTGAGGGAACCAGTTTCAAGATGTTGGACTTACACAAGGCGAATGTGAGCGACTTGAGTTTTGTGTCTAAATTCCAGCTGCAGCCTGCAACTTCCTCAGAGACGCTCGATGGATTTGCGATATGGTTCGATACCTTCTTCATCAGGAGCCCAAACAACGACAGCAGTGACTTGAGCATCGAGAATGCTAAAACGAAGGGTATAGTTACTCTATCGACTTCTCCGTATACAGAATTTACACACTGGGAGCAAGGTGTCTGTTTCGTTGACCGCGGAGGCAGGCTCCTAGAGGGAAAGGCCGTGCACGGAACCGTAGCATTCAACAAATCACAAACCGACTCTCGTGGACTGGACATCCAGATCCAATGGCAGATTGGGGGCTCAGATGCGCAGACTCAATCATGGCGATTGTAGAAATGCGAACCATGAGTCAAGGAAAGAGCATTCGGCACGGTTGTGGAGATTCATCGGTCTTCTTGTGTGGTTGTGAATATTAGGCATTAGACGTTATACATTATGTGTTGTTCATGATCTGACAATTGCGTCGCCACGTGCCGCTTTCTCCTCATGCTTTCGAGAAACCTGTCTGATCGTCAAGCTCATGGAAAGAGTCTCTGTCTTTTCTCGATAACTTTCGCTTGACGTGCACTGCGCAACACGCCTTGACGAACATAGAAATATGCAACAACCTGTTCTTGTTAGTCCGCAACGGGTATCGGGGACATTTTGCGCCTACCCAGACAATACGATCAATATGCTCGCGATTATTTGTGATGCGATCAGTGCCTCTCCTTTAGTCTCGGTGCAGTCGTCTTGATAGGAGTAGCAGCTATACCCGTGCCTCTTTATCGTGTCGACCCACCAAATAAGTATCCATACCATGCCGAATGCTAGGCCAATCGAGATGATCTCAAAAGCTATATCAATACCAGGGTGGTACAATACACCACCCAAATTGAGTCCAAAAGAGATAGCCGTCCAAAGAATTGACCAGCTGGTCTGCACCACATTATTGTGTCAGCCTCTGGGTTCACATAGTCGAACGAGCATGATCAAGGCGACAATACGTACCGGTGCGAACTGAAAGGCGCTGGCAGCCTGCTCGAACCCATCAGCTGGAAATGAGGCCGCGAGGAAGAAGGCCGTGATGAGAAAGACCAAAGCTACCGCATTGGCCGTAATGATAGTCAGCTTGGTGTAGAAGGTCAATTCGTCTCCTGTGTACTTGGTACGCATATTGAAGACGATGTGAATGTGGTAGCTGGAAACTTGAACAGGCAAGCTGGTCAAGTGTGATGCTTGCCAGAAAAGCACAATCGAGAACTCGCATTTGAGGTAGCATGTAAAACTAGGCAGTCACGGTGGCAGTGCACCACTCAGCAAGAAGGTGTGAAACAACCATCTCTGGACAAGCATCTTTCCACCATCCATGATCGCGGAATTGTGCAGATCGTTCTTGGCTTTGCATCAGCCAAGTTTGGCCCTAAATCTCGGCAACTCGTCCTGTGCAATAGCAGTGTGCAAAGTAAACTGGTCATGGCAGTTCATTGTTGCTCGTATCGGTATCCAGTCATCGAAGGATAAGGTTCGTAGGGTTATACAAAACCCCACGATCTGCAACAGCTTTCCACGGATCCACCCCTACCAGCTTACGAGTGCTCGAGTACGATATGTACATCCTTTTGTACATACCATTCCATCTCGAAACAGATTGAACTCCATGGAGACAGGAGCATCCTGATAAGTCAAACAGCAATTTAGCCGACATGGTTGTCTAACACAGCCTAAACAAGCAACAGGTGGGCGGAGAACTCTTGCTTGTCTACCGCCGACCATCCTGCCTTACCTTCTTCGATCCCTTGCGGCACGACCTCCTCTGTATACGTCTTTTCCTCTGCCGTGGTCTTCTCCGTTACTTGCTATGCATGAGACACGAAGCAAGCACGTCAATTCGAGGCAAGAGATAAGATCTTGTCGGTATGATAGAGATCGTTGAGCCCAGTGATGGGACGCGCAGTGTCACTCCATACGGGGTAGTAGAAAGAATGTGGTGCTATTGAAAGCGGACAAGACACGGCAGACACGCAATCATACCGCTGTAGCCGCACAGCGAGTTCAAATAGCGAAAAGTTACCAGGAGGTTTCGAAAGAGGTTCAAGTGCTACATTGTGTACGATTCGCTTGTAGGAACAGCACGACTTCTGACTGGAAGGCACCATGTCAACCTAGCCCCTAGCTTTTGTCGTTATATGCAATCTTGGATCTGGCCCTAATCCTGGGACCGAACCAGATAAGAACCCACGGTACAAACGTCAAGACAACTCCAATGCCGCCTAGCAATGAGAAAGCTCCCCCGAAACCCAACCGCTGAACCATAGCCTGAGCGAACAATGGAAAAGCGCCACCTAGCAGCATCCGAAACATGGACTGGGCTGCGTTGGCCGAGCTGGAGTACTCTTTGTAAGCCGTTGCCAGGTACGCAAACACGGCCAGGTACACGGAGAACATGCCCATGGTGGCACACCCCAATCCAAGTGTAGGCACAATCCAGTGAGCTGACGTTTGTGTCCCCCATCCGTACCAGAACAATCCGATCGGTAACAGGACAGCTTCGACTGCCACAGGATACAACATTCCTTCTGGGCTATCCAGCTTCTCCCGCGCAACGAAGAACTCAGCTAGTCTGTCGTGATGTCTGCTGATTAGCGCCATCAGCAACGTTGCAACACACATGGCCGCAAAAACTGCACTGCTCGTCTGGAAGTCGAAGCCATAAACTGTTTGGAACGTGTATGGCACAACAATGAGCATTGCGTACATGATAGACCATGCGAAGGCCCCCCAGCACGAGAACCAAAACACAACCGGTTCCGTCAAAAGGAGATGCATCGGTCGTTGAACCGATATGCCAATCACCTGTACGATGCTTTGCCTTTCTTCATCTGCTTCGACCTTCCACCGGATCTGAGTTGACTCCCTCTTCACCGCCGTACCTTGCTCAGCGCTATCGCTATCAAGTCCTTCTTGACGTCGATTCAATGCCTGGGCCTTCCACGATAGGATGACTGAGTCTCTGGTTTCCCTGAATGTGACAATGATGACAGCAACCATCACAAGACAGAACATCCCGAGCACTCCGAACAGCCATCGCCAATGAGTATTCTGCACGATGAATGCAGAAACCAAAGGCCCGAAGCCAGTCCCAAACATCGCTCCAGTAGTGAATAACGACAACGCCCGATACCGATCCCGTTCCTCAGTGTGGATATCTGCCACGATTCCAACTATGACAACGGCGAAAGTTGAGCTAGCTATTCCCACAAGCACTCTTGCCAGCAACATACCAACGTACAGCTGAGTAACTGCGCAGCAGACAACACCGATCACAAAAGCAATCCCAGAAAAAACCACGACTGGCCGCCTACCGTTGATCTCACTAAAAGGTGCTAAAACCATAGGCGCAAGCCCGAAAGCAACAGTGTACACTGTAACTCCAACAAGGATAGCGACGTTGCTGACACGCCAATAATTTGCCATGGGATCTACTGCACTGGTGTACGATCCTCCCGCGTACGTCGTCGAGAAATTCGCGACCAGGCCAAGAAAGTCCAAATACGACTTGTACCGCCGCGACCATAATGTAGGCTTAGTGAGACCCGGTCCTGTGAGTGTGTGTCGACTACCAGTGCCAAACGATCGCATCAACGTCGCCTCCGGCTCGTCAACGGCGTCCCACGACAAATATCGCCAGTCGACGTTATCATTCGATCTGACTTTCTCATTCTTCATAGTGGCAATAAGGTGATCCTAGGCATCGACTGGCAGGTTGTTTGGGTTGTCAGGGGTATTGAAGACTGCCGTTGAAATGGTAGCAGCAAATACTGATTGGAGATCTTCGAAGCTGGTCGATGTTCTGCTTTTCCATTGAGAGATCCATACTGACGTAACGAGCAAACAGTCTTGGGAGCTGCACATCGACGACGATGCTCATGGGGAGGGTCCGCTCCTACATAAATTCAGATCCATATATCGGAGAAGATGCTCCAGAGGGTCCGCTTCTACGTAAATCGGAAGCCGCTAGTCGGCCAGCTCGATCCTTTCTACGCTAAGAGCGTCAAAGCGGCGCTACTCGACGACTCAAGGAAGTCAATACGCGCTAACAGAGCCCACTTGACTCCAGAGAAGCACTTTCAAGGCTCAGATCACCGGTGATTCGCTACAGGAGATTTGCCTCACGATGCTCATCAGTTGTGGCTTGCAGATTCTGTTCGCGGGTGTTAATTTCCCGAGTTGTTGAATACGTCCATGGTTCAGCGAAGCTCGGTTTCGTTGGATACGATTCTCGACCGCACACTGTACAATCAGCTGGTGTAACATGTCCCTGCGCATCCCAACTTCAACACACAGACCACCCAATGACGAGACAGAACGACTTGCTCATGACGATGTAGGGTGGTGCTGGATGGACTCTGGCTTTTGGTTGTGCAGCTGATGTACTAACTTGGTGGAAGAGGCTTTGGAAGATATGCCGCCAAGCCCGTTGGACTTGAATTCTGGAGTCCAGGAAGGTAGACCGTCTCAGCCTTCGACCGAAGATACAGTCCGCGCGAAGCTGTAGGTGCACATCCAGAAAGGGAGTGGTGTACCAGAATGGCGCACCAATTGCAGATCTCCGAAGGTGTTAGTTGTGCGCGCCACTATCTCCATATATATTGCCTTTTGACCAAAATCTACTGTCATTGGTGATGTGGGCGAATATTCCGTCTTTCAACCCTTTACGCTCTAGGAGAATTTGCCGGCTCAATCTTGCCCTTACACTCTCCAAACCACAACAAAACTTCTCTACTCTGTTTATCCTCGACCCAAGCCGTCAGCACAACCTCATCTCCATCCTCCAAGAACCTCTCTGCAAGTCCATCCGGCAATGTCGACAGTTTCGCATCGTCCAATCGTCGTTCTAGCAGACAACTCAATCCATTCTTTTCTCCGGCGTCGTTCTTCCGACTCGAGCTGATAGTCCCTGTGCCAAGGACGTCTCCAGGAGACAGTCCAGCACCTGCAGATGCCGAATGGGTAATCTGCTGTAATGGCGTCCAGTGTAATTCGTTTAGGTTACTTTCACTCACGACATATTCTTTCCCGTCCCGGACTAGCGTTGCCTTGACGTTGATGTTCCACGTTGCGTGCTCTTGGTCCTTCCAATCGAGGTGTGGCAGCGGTGGTGGCGATTGTGGTGTATGCCGTGGGCAGGCGGCGAATTCTTCTAGTGCTTCGATGGGGACGATCCAGGGGGATATTGAGGTTAGTGTTCCTTTGGAGTGGAAGGGGCCTAGTGGTTGCATTTTATAGGATTGGATTGATCGGGCGGACCAGTCGTTTAGTAGTGTTAGCCCGAAGATGTGTTCTTTGGCATCGGTGATGTCCAGTCTGTTGGCACGGTCAGCCTTTGAGCTATCTACTATTTACAGTTCGACATACCTTTCAGCTCGTTCAACCGGCCTACTCACCCAAACTCCCATTTCCAGCTCAAAGTCCAACCTGTTTTCCGCCTGAAAGGTCGCCGTCTCTCCTTTCTTGAGCGGGAAAATCCCATGAGGTCGCTTCACTGGTGTCCCGCTAACTGCTAAGCTAGACGTTCGCCCGTTGTATACCTGTGGCAAGACGAACCATGAATTTCCTGAATCAGTATTGAACGAGATATTCATGACCTTTGAACAATTGGACGCATGTTCGTAGGAACACGCGAAGTCAGAGTAATTCCGTGTATCAAACGGCAGATGCATCGTCACTTCTGCAAGTGGCAAATACGCTGGATGTCTGGAAGGATTGAAGCCCGTCGAGTTAGCATGGGATGATAGCACGAAGCGAAGTTGTTTGCGAAATGCACTGCGGAGGTTTGAGGGTAGGCTGGCGAAGGCATTCCATGTTGTGTGATTGGACAGGGTTGAGTTGATTGTGGTCCATTGCTCGTTGTCTTTGAGGTGAGTGAAGTCTGTGGTGGTGAGTTGTCGGACGTCTATTGCGAAGTCCTTGTAAGCTACGGCGAGTTTAGGCAGGCCTTGTGTTCGCGTCTCGTGCGAGATGACGCCGTAGGGAAGATTCTGGATCGCAAAGGTTCTGTCACGCATCTTGAGAGACTTTGGGGCCCTCGACGTGTGGATGAGCTTGTGATGTTACGTATCAGTCCTGAGACTAACCTGGGCCAGCAGATGATGGTCAAGATTGAGCAACAGTTTTATTCACAAGGACGTAAACCATGAATGAAAGACAAGAATTTTCCTTGAATCTCGGAATGCTGGAACTAGTTATGGCATGCTAGATCGCTCACAACCTTTGCAAGCCTCATGATCCTGTCACGACCATCTGGCGGATGCCATGCCTAGTACTCAACCGAAGTGTTTCCGCACCATATCCGGATTAGGCAAATGCGGGAGGACAATCCTCCACATTCCGAGATATGGGGTTTGGACGTGCAAAGCCACTCCACGAGAAAGTCGTTCGCCCGTTCTCAAAGTCCGTTTCATGTCTGCATATCTGACGCTGGAAAGATTTTGGCAGGCACCTGGTAACTACGGGCTCGATCAGGTGCCCTAAAGATTTGATACAGCCTGGGAACACTACCTGCTCGGACTTCTTCAGAGCTGTAGGCGCAAGAGACGCTAAGCCTATCATCCTGTTTGATCGCGAAAGCACCGTCTCGATGGAAATGAAGTTTGAACAAGTTCATTGACATCAAGAAAGATTTAATTCCCGCTTGGAGGAAGATCACCGTGGAATCCCAAATCCTCCTTCATCTCCTTGCCCTCCACAGTCAAAGGTTTGATGTCCTACGGGAATATGGTTAGCAACAACAGCAGGTCGATTGTTGGCTCTATGCGTGCGTTGATATGGCTTACCTGCAACACAAACATCATACGCGCCCATTCTATCAGGACATCGAGGTTAGCCAAATCCAGTAGCGCCATGACTCAAGGAGCAACCTAATCGTCTAAGCACACCAGGCTGGTCGCGGTCACTTACCTGTATCACTTTTGTTCCTCCATTGGTGTTGTGTAGCTCTCTGCACCGCCACATCGCCTCGCTTCATCTGATGCTTTTCTCCAGAGTCAAGCAGCATCTCAATCTCACCTTCTAGCACAATACCGTAGTCAAGACTTTGAGTTCGATGCATAGCGCAGGAATAGCCTGGCTTGAAGTCGACACAGCGAATCACGGATCCCGATGGATTCACCAAGCCGAGCTTACCAGCTGCCATGAGATCGTTGTGAGTGGACAGATCTTTGTCGTTGTTCAAGTCGGCTGGCATGGATGAAGTTGTGTAGACGACGCTGAAGGCCATGTTCTGGTCATCGTAGGGCTTCCATTGGAAATCGTTGTCTGTCTCGACTATAGCCTTGCCAGAACTGTTATGGCCGGTCACGAATCGATGGAGTTGTGGGAGATTAGAGAGCTTTCCGGACTCAGATGAGGAGGAAGAGGACATGTTTGTTTTTTCGATTGTCTGTTGTGTCGGACTCGCGGTTGTTGAGTTTCTCGAGCGGAATGCTATAGCCAAGATTGTCGCTAAGGATTCGAACGTATAGGAAAGAATATGCTAACGATCAGGAGCAATGACAGAAGTTCGTGCTTGCCCCACTGGGGGTACATAGCCAACACACTTGACCTTCAATTCTCCGGAAACCTTGTTGTGTAGGACGAGCTCCATGATTGTACATGGACGTTCGATGATGGCGCATGCCAATTGAGCGATACGGGCGTGACAGTGCTGGAAGTTTTAAACACAAAGACTTGGCCTACCCAGTCCATGTATCCAAACATGTGATGGAACAAACCTGAGTCCTGCTATTCTCGAATTTATGTTAATTATTCCCAGCTTTTGGTGATTGGTCGTGCTCCAAGGAGCTATTTGTGGAGTGCATCAGCCCCAAGGACCTCCCAACCCCACATCGTCTCAGCCAGCAACTGCAATGGTGAGCCTTCGAAGTTGACCTCAAGGACCACCGGTACTCATTGCGGCGTTCGAGGTCTGCCAAGCTCACGCAACGACAATGCCTCGATTTGTCGCAAGCACTTTGCGAGGCGTTCGACGCGCTTCTCTGCTACAACGTAGATTTTATCACCCTGAACCGCGATCCTTCCCAACTTCACGGCATGCTGGTGCCAGAGCATTCTACAGATGGACAGTCCAAGCTTTCGGTCTTCCATTCGCTGTCGCATATTTGTGTGAGCTGATTGGGAATGTTAGCGAAGGAGCAGGGCCTAGCTGGAAACTTGAGATACCGCAAATCGAGGCTGGGCTGCTGACTGACCCAAGAAAGATGAAGGCACAAGTTTGGGGACAAATGAGGGAGTGCTAACCAACACTCGATCTGTGGTACAGCCTAGCCTGTCTGCCATGGCCACAAGATCTACTCGTACATTTGAGTCACTCCACTAGACGTTGACACAATCGCCTCAATTGGAATACGGAAGATTTGGTACCGGCGATCTCGCTTTCGAGGACAAGAGGGTACAAGCATCGGTATATGGACGACTCGGGGTCGGCGAGGTCTCTGTATCTATAGACTAAGGGCGCGATTCCTTTATTCAGGCAAATGGTTGCAGTACTACCACTCTGGGCCTGTCTCTACCTTGAGAAGGTCTTGCAATTCTCTCTCTCTCGCTGATGTACGTATTTGCCTTGTACCGGTTCTGCGAACGACATCTGAGTAATGAGCACTGCTGAACTGCATGCACTGTCTCCACGGGACCCAGGAGATGCGTTCCTTACAACTGTTTTGTCCCAAGTAGCTTGTATGAAGTTACGGAAAGTCCTGTAAGCCACAATAAGGAGGATCAATTTCTACGTGGGACTATACTGTAATTGCTCGAAATGATGAGGCCAATTTAGCAGGAACATTTATACTGTACTATCATTGTGCAACAAATTTATCACTTTTACCACCAAATTTGTTTGAAATGTGGTACGGATACTGTGATAAAACCGCAGGCATACCGTGATACTCTCATTTCCACCATGTCCTTGGTCGTGGTCTAGAAGCCTGCTATTGGTGAGGAAATGTTTTACACGATTGAAGATTCACCTTGAATTCTCTATTGGACGGGATTGATGAAACAGTTCTGCTGCCTTGATCGACAATTGTGCTGCGAATCGACGTCATGGGCGATTCCAATCGTTGCTCTCCGCACCACTAATTACTTGTTATGGGCAGGCGCATCCATGTGCCCCTCTACCCAAATATTTGCTGAGGGCAGGAACGAGTCGCAGGGTCTCCTGGGTCCGTTACGAAGCGCAAGCTATTTCCGCATCCATGTTTTCGTGACCTCGGGTACTCGTATGCTAACCGACTATGGTTCCATCTGATAGACGACCGCGAGTCATGCTTCCACTGCATCCTGACTGGTGAAAGTATCGTCCGAATCGTGGCCATCGACTTCTCGAGTACCAGAGGGTCTCCCTGTGCAAAGTGCTCGATGATGCAGTAGTGTTTACAGAATCAACGTGATTTGTTCTGGCTGCAACAAACAATTGTTCCGCTGAACGCAATTGACAACAGGATGCCCAGAGTCTAGCAAAATTTGTCGACATCACATCATTCGCCCAAGTTTCACATCCGGAAATAGGATTCCGTATATCCTTTACCAGTCCTGCATCCTATCATAGCCCTGGCTGGAGGCTAATCTTGTACGAACTTAGGACTGCCCACACCCATCAAGTGTCAGACGAGGTCGGAAGATGTTATTCAACTCAACATGTCTGAACAACGCCAGCAACCAATTTCGCGTGGAGAGGGACCAACTAACAACCCAGCTTCCGTTTCACGGGACGACTCCTCTAAATCAACACCATCGACTTCAGCCTCGAGCGCACCTGCTCCAGGGCGTGCTGCTTCGGCCTCTGCCACCCCACGAACACCCTTCACGCCCATAGGCGAATCTCCTATCCCGACCCAGTTTAGAGTTCCTCCTTCTCCACGCGACAGCGCGACTAATATGCCGTCTGGCGAGCCATCGTCCAAGGCCGCCAAGGTCGCAATACCTAGACTTAAGAGATCTTTAGAATCTGGAGAAGGAAACACAAAGCTGGGTGGAAGGCATCGGGTCACTCATGCCTGTGAACCATGCCGGCACAGAAAGACGAAATGCAGTGGCGAAAGACCCACATGTAGGCACTGTCAAGATTTCAAGATTGCATGCTATTATGCCGATGGCAAAAGAGATCGCGTGAAGAAGTAAGACCATGTCGAACCTCATCAATGTCAGAACTGACATCACTAGACAATTCGGGAGTATGCAAGATAAAGTCGCCGACTATGAGAAAATCCTTCGAGATCTGCAGTCTCGTGTATCAGAAGCGGATGCAGAGCTGATACGTACTACACTTGATCGGGTGAGACAGTCTTTATCTGTACTCACAACAACTAAGCTAACCGCTAGAGGCTGCCCAACTCGATTTCGACGAAGCGATATTGACAGACGGCGCCGGTCCTATCCAAAGCGTCGAAGCTGGAGCCGACGAAGACGAAGCTAGTGGTGCTGAATCCGATGTGAGCGGTGGAAGAGGTTCGACTGGAGCCCTCGACAGAACCGAGGAAGACTTCACTCGCGAAGGAGCCAAAGTAACTGGTTTCATGGGCAAGAACTCCGATGTTACTTGGATGCAAAGACTCCGACAGGAGAACAAGTATGGCGAAGGCACTCCCGAAGCCGGCGACGAGAACGCTCGAAGACTCAACAAAATATCCGGTCCGTCCCTAAGATCTCATGCTATGGGCTCGACTAACATAGCTCTTCCTGAAGCCGATCAAGGCTTTACGGTCCAGGACTCCAATTACCACCTCAATGATCTGGCTATCTCTACCTATGAGGCTGTTGATCCTTATGAAATGCCTACCCAAGAACACGCACAGATGCTATTCATGACCTATATGAACCGAGTTCATCCATCTTTCCCTATCATTGGTCGTGTCAACCTTCAGAATCAGTTCGCCAAGTTTATGGCAAGACCAATCAACAGGCCTCCTCCGAAATGGTTAGCGATAATTAACATGATCTTTGCCATCGCCGCCAGATATTCTCACCTGATGCAGGCTGACTGGCAAGCCGATGAGCGAGACCATCTCATCTACTTCACCAGAGCGAGAATGCTCACCATCGATTCTGACACCATTTTCAATCATCCCGACCTGCAGATGATTCAGATCATAGCCCTCATGGCTTGCTATATGATGGTTGTTGACCAGATTAACCGCGCTTGGAACGTTCTCGGCATGGCTATTCGAGCTTCTACCGCTCTAGGCCTCAATATGCGTAATGACAGTGCCGAGTTGCCAGATGGCCTGAAAGAGATTCGTTATCGAGTATGGTGGTCAATGTACTGTCTTGAGCATCGCATATGTGCCATGACTGGTCGCGTCAATTGTATCGTCGATGATCATTGCACTACTCCGCTGCCTGTGCCACTCAACGAAGAAGAGTTTGAAACTGAGCAGGGGCAGAAGTTGCTCAATCATGAGCATCAGAAAACAAGTCGTGCGCCAACCTCGAATGGACCTACTCCTTCGAGACCAGGGAGCACATCATCTTCACGATCCGACTCCAACAAAGCTGATGCTTCGAATTCGCCCTCCACCACGCAGGCTTCAAGTGCACCCGACTGGACAAAAGACGTTACGCCAAATACCTCCCTATACTTTTTCCACTTTGTACAATTGTGTCGCCTCACACAAAACATCTTCACTAAGTTGTACAATCCAACAGCCATACAAGGTAAGTGGTCGGATCTACAAAACAGCATCAAAGATCTCAGTACCCAGCTCGAGAGTTGGTATCGAAGACTACCTGCCGCTTTCGACTTTCGGAGAAAACAGAGAGATAGAGATTTCTACGAAAGCAGACTGGGCCTGGGTTTCTACTACTATAGCACAAAGATGATGTTGCATCGACCCTGTTTGTGCCGACTGGATCGGAAGATACCTGGTCAGTCGAACAGAAGTAATGAATTCAATCGCATGTCCGCAACAGAGTGCATAACGGCGGCTCAAGAGCAACTGGCACTCATTCCCGACGAGCCTAACGCTGTCGGTCTACTTAGAACAGGACCTTGGATGAGCATCTTGCATCTAATAGTCCAGTCGGTCACTGTTCTGACACTAGAAATCTCTTTCCGAGCTCACCACATGCCACAACAAGCCGACGACCTCATTGAATCAGCGAAGAAGGGCGTTCGATGGTTGCATGCACTAGGCGACGACAATCTTGCTGCTGCTCGCGCATGGCGGCTCTGCAGTCAGATGCTTCAGGGCGCCGCTGTCAAGATGGGGCGTGTCATTGACGATATGCCGGAAGTCCCACCAAGAACTGCGGGAACCACAAGTGATGATACCTCTATGTCAGGAGGAACCGTCACCGACTCTCGACTGTACGATCGTTCTTCTGGTGACAACCAGGCACACCAATTTGGTGCAAATTATCCTGCAACCACTATGCCGTACGCTGCCATGAACATGTCTAACATGTCAGCTTTTGTGACTGCAGGTAGCGTGAACCCTTTTGCCGATATTCATGACCAGTACGGTCCATATCCAGGTGCGAGCAATATGGACCCCTCCCAAATGCACTATTCACAAAGTCCATCACACATGCAGTATGGCAGTATGCCGATGGAAGCCGATATGAGCTTTATGAACCAATACACAGAGTAACAAGATGAAGCTACACGAGATCAAAGAGGTGGTCGGCAAGGGTTTAGTTAGTTGCTGAATCAGGCTGGTCAACTTCCAATACCAGGCCAACCTGCGAGTACAGCGCTCGGAGACTACAACAATTTACTAACAGAGTTCCTACCAGACTTGCCATCTATGCAACAAGGCGCCGCGTCTGCTAGCAGCTTTCCGCTTCGAGAAACATCAGAACCTGCTTCTCGATCTGAGCAGGCAGGAACGACGACAAACTCGACGGTAGCATGGCGCGTCTAAGCAGAAAAGACGACAACGAAGTGATGAGGATATGGGTGGATGGTCGTACAGAATTACGAGATGACGGAGAGAAGATTTTCTTCGCTGAGCAGGTTTAAACGCAGAGGGCTTTTGGAGCCATGACAAAATGGCAAATTCGGAAGATTTTCGCGATTTTAGATAATTGCTGATTGCTACCACGAACAAATTCATACTAACCGGTATCTATCTGCTTGCTAGAATCACATTCACATGAGTGAGCGAAGGGATAGCAGTCGAATTCCACATACTACTCTCCACATTCCTCCCACCCACAGTTCAGTCCGTGCATCAATCATTGTTTCCAGGAGGTGTTTATGATTGCTGACCAGTGTTTGCGAGATTGACGGAGATGATTCGCAAGCACGGATGTGATCACGATAACAAACTGCCGCTGACTGTCCTGTTAGAAGTTCTGCTTGCTTTTGCCGGTTGACCGGGCTGGATCTTGGTTGAGGAACTCTTCACCAGGGATAACTTGATCACAAGATGAGCTTCCTCAAAGTATTCAGTTTCGCAAGTTTCATCGCAGCACAAACCCAGGCAGTTGTCGGCATTGGTGCCCCGATCCCTCCTAACCAGCTTACACGCGTGGCATACATCCCGTCCGGCACTGGGACATCATATTCGTCGACAGCACTCCTAATTCCTATCGCAACTGTATGTCCAGGTAACAACACAGTTGACACTCCTTTCCCAGCTGTGACTCTTCCTACAGTCGCTCTTAGCAATGTCACAGAATCGATCGTTACCGCTACTGCCATCATGCCAAATGGCAGTTCAACAACTTTCGCAAGTCGAATGCGAAAAGATGCACAACGCCCTGCAAGGCTTATGACCGCAGCTGCTAGTATGTTGCCAGACGGATTTTCAGCACTGCCTCTTGGTAACGTTCCGGATGATGAAGGTCAACTGATAGCTGGAGCGGATGGTTGTCAGACTCTCTTCCTGCCTACAACGACCGCAGCCTGCTCAACTGTCATTACACTTGTGGCAATGCCTGCTGTCACGGTAACAGATTGCAACCAGTACATCACGTTCTCAAGCGAGACCTTGTTAAGCCGCGTGCAAACATCCATCATACCCATACCCATACCGGCGATAGAAGCCACCAAATCTGGCTCCTTCACTACCCGTCCTTTCTCCAGAAATGACACCTATGAGGATGCCACGACCACGTATACCCTCGATCCTGAAGAGGCCGCTACAGACATGCCTTCAAAGCGGCAGATTATGATATCGAAGGGCAGACCCGCAATGACTGACTTGGTTATTGTAGCCCCTGCTGCACCAATCCCGGTCGAGGAACCTGCAGTGATGGAGTCGATGTCGGAGAAAACAACTACAACCACCATCATGCCTCTCCCAGCAGCGCTAAAAGCCAAGTACAAGCGCGAGAACATCGTACTGGCTCACCGTCACCAACGACGACTACATGACCGCGATAGTCGACCGTCTAGTTCAGCTAACATCGATGTCACGAACGGTACCAGCAGTCTTCGAGCCGGACTCAGCAAGTTCAACTCTGTTAAGCTTGCCAATGTTGCGCATTTCAGCCCGCCTCAACCAACAAAGTATTATGCTGCTCCTTGGCAGGAAATTGCAGAAGGTGGAGTACCCACCACAGTCCTAGGAATCACCTGTAATGGAGGTCTACAACCGCTAGGCGAATGTACAATACCAGACACCGATGGTGATGCTGAAAACTGCGAATGCAGCACTGTCACGGAGAAATGGAGCGTCGCCACACTCACCGCTACACGATATGGGACTACCATTGTCAGCTTCGATGGCCCAGTAGCCGTGACTCTTGCCGAAGGAAGAAGCACTACCACCAGCATCTCCTTCGTCGACACAATCAGCACCACAGCCACGTTCCTGGTTGAGCAAGTGCGGCGCACTACCCTCACCACGCCAGGAGGCACAGTCACAGCGACCGCGACAGTCACACCCTCCGCTACAGTAAGCCTATTCGAAGTCGACAGCGAGAGCACAACCGTCGAAGCTGCTGCACCACAAGATCCGCCCAGTATCCTTCCAGCTGACATGGAGCCCACTACGATCTATGAAACGAGCTACGTTGCCACCGCCACCATTACAGTCACGACAGAAGACATGCCTACGGACATGCCAGCTACCCCTCAATTGGCTGATGGCAGCCAGGGCATAGAGATCGTCGATGTCCTAGCTGCGGCCAACAAGCAGAAACGAGATGTGAAATCTTGGCTCCTTCGTGCGTTTGAGATGGACGCTGGGTCTGAGGCTGAGGAAGGCCCTGAGAAGCGTGATGAGGTGTGGCCGTCGGATGTTTGGCTTGCTCATCTGTCGTCTCTACAGGATACTGATACTGCGTCTGGTGAGGATGTTGCTGATGATGAGGACGGTATTGTGGGAGACGAGGTTGTGGCTATGGTCGAGGCGTGATAAATCTAGACTGGGCATACATGGGTATTTAGGATAGAGCGGAACGGAGAGCTGGGAAAGAGGCAGATGGTTTGTGTTGAGTTGGGTATGAGACGGTGCATTGTAAGGTATTCTGTTGTATCGCAATATGGTTGCAACTTTTTCTAGGGACATCTTTACAACTCGTTTTTGTCAGTCGTTTCAGGAGGCTTGGATGTCAGCGCTACGAGGCCTGGAGGGGAGCTACGTAAGAGATAAATGTTTGATCTTGATGACTTCAATTTCTATCTAGCACTTTCGTTCAGGTATTGCCGTCATTGCGGTTTATCTATGCTTCTCGGCGGCCATATTCAACGTTCGAGTGCAGAAGTTCGCAGTCTGCCTTGCTAACAGATTCGTAAAGGCTTACACCGACATCAGCATCAAGAATCAGCCTCTTTTTCTTTTCATTGTGATGGACATCGAAGAAACAACGTTACGCGCTGAGCAGCGCCTCTCAACGATTATGCTCGCTGGAACGTAACGTGTTCAAATCTGGTGGATCAGATGTTCCTGTGACATGGACTCGACACCATCTCCAATCACACCCGTCTACGACTTCATACCTTTCCCAGATGATGGCTTTGTTCTGGAGCCTAGCAAAGGAAGCGACCCGAACCCGCATTCTGCTCAAAACAATGCTTCCCTGCCTCAGTCCGTGCTTAGCAGCAGCTATATCTTCGAGTATCCTGGCACGATCGATTACTGGAAGCCGAGCCCCGCAGGCAATGTGTACGGTGATACTGCGTTGACTGGGAATGCTACAGCCATACTGGGAAACAATTATGGCGGTCTTCATGTTCAGAACGCTACGTTCCTACTACAACCAAAACCTACCACGTGGTCCGACCGTCCACCTCGCAGAGTCGAGCGGCACAACACCCCATACCCCAATTACACCCTCGAAACTGTTACCTCGTTTGAGAATGGACCGAATCCAAGCAACCAAGGGTCGTCATATCGCACCGAGCTATATTGGCAAAGACAAGAGGACTTGGGCGCCGGCATCTTCGGCGAAGTCCATCGCGAAGAGTCGTGGAACGGTCTGACATGCCAAAGTCGAGCTGTCAAAGTCCTTCGACTGCGTCAGCTACAGCGTCTGAAGGTCGATTACAAGAAGGAGGTTGGCGCATTATTACAACTATCGCAGGTTCGTCATTGCCTTATCTCGATCCCATCCACTCCTGACGTTGTATAGCCCGTCTATGTCCGTCATTTCGTGGAACTTTACGCATGGTACATGGACACAAGCAACGTCTATCTTGCCATGGAATATATAGCCTGGGGTGACCTTTCCAACTATATTGGACCAGGACTGGTCGAGAAGGATGCAAAACAGATTGCCTGCCAAGTGCTGGAGGGCATCAAGATCATGCATCGCTTGGATATCGTCCATCGCGATATCAAACCTGCGGTATGTTGTCCCTCCTGAGATTCAACGTTTCGTCTAATAACCATAGAACATCTTCGTCGTTCAGCGTTATCCAACCTGGTGGGTCAAGATCGGAGATTTCAGTATCTGCAAAAGTACAACGACGCAACACACCACGTTGCACACCAATGTTGGAACCACTGGATACCAGGCGCCAGAAAGTCTAGGGTTCGTCCCCACGGAAAAGGCCAATCACTACAATGCCAAATGTGATATATGGTCCTTTGGCTGTCTAGTGTATGAAATGCTTACCTGCAAAGTACCGTTCCCAGACCACTACTCATTAATCTCGTACTGTCGTGATCAGCAGCATTTTATTGGGTCTATGCGGCAGCTCGGCACCACAGACTCGAACCTATCCCTCATCTGCGCACTCTTACACCATCTACCTGCAAAGAGACCAACCACGGAGCAGGCAAGCAGTCTCGTACAGCAGTGGACGCAAGAAAGTCTTGCTGCTCGTGTCGAGCAGACTGGCATTTTCGGATCAAAACCCGGACAAAGCCTAGGGCTGTTCCGTACAGACTCACCTACTAGCAATATCTCTGGTACTACCCCCACACGTTCTACACGTAAAGTTCGCAACGAACACAAAGTACACCAAGCGTTTGTGGATTCCCGCAGTGGAGATATCCAATCGACCCAGTTTCAACTCGATACAGGCTTTAAAGAAAGCGCCGCTCGTCAGCGGCCCAAATTTGAGGTCCCAGCCAGTGTACTAACGAGAATCGACCTGAGACTGATGGGTATGTGGGACACTAGAGACCCAAGCTCGGAATCCAGGCCACCAACGAATTTACCGCCCCGGGCTTCTGCAGCCTCTGGGCTCTCGAGATCGTGGTTGTCCTACTTGGACTGAATGCAAGCCATGTGACGGATTGCACAATATGCCGCCGTATCGTTCAGAATCAACTACATGAGAAGAATCGGTGACCACAGCAAATAGACAGCAGAAAGAGTTGAAGTCAATATGATACTATAGCAGTCACCGAGCCGAGACGCAGGTTGCGACAACCGAGTACTTCCCCAATACGAGCTCAAACTGACGATTAGACTTCGACATTGTATACTGATCAGCCGAATCAGCGGCTTCCTGTTCTTTTTGCACTGTACTCTTTCACTCTATTTCCAATAACACTAATTGTCCATGATCTTTTTTTCGTGTTTGTTCCTATTCCCACAATGCTTATTGCGCTCCATCGTCAATTCCAATCAATACACCAAAACCCACGAATAACAACAAATACGACACGAGTCAAGCGATCACAATTGAGATACGCGTCTGATCTACTCCTCGGAAACGTCTTCAATAATGCGAACCGGCTCTTCCTCCACAAATATCCGATCTATCAAAACAGTTAGCAAGCTGCTCTCACTTCCAGATATGGTCAGGACTTACCCTCGAATTTCTTCAACACCGCCTCCCAACAAAAATGGCTCGAAGCAGTGAGCGTGCCATCAGGGTGCAAAGTAATCTCCAAAGTGCAGTTCCACGACTCATGGTTAGTCAGGGTTGCATATGGTCCGGAGTACGTCTCGAAACTCGGGTCGTAGCCTGGCCTGTTGATGCAGGCGAGGTCCATGGTCGAGCTTCTCAGTCTGAAACATCCGGTGTACTCAATGCCCATGGCCTTGAATACTGGTCTATCCATATCGATTCTCCACAGGAAATGTTTGACTGCGCGAGCGTGTTTGTTAGCAATGGTTCTATGGGGTTCGTGTGGAAAGAAAGGGTGAGTGTTGAAACTTACTTCGTCCGATTTGATTCAAGTCAATACGGGCAGTTCCGTGTTCTTCGACGAGGAACCGCTTGAGATTGATGCGTCCATGTCGTCCGAAGTACTTTCTATGGACACATAAAGCGCGGCTTGTATTGAGGTCGCCTGACATTGTTCGAATGGTCTGATTTGTTTCAAGGGCATGGAGGACTCCTGGGACGTCGCCACCCTCCATCATCTTGAAACGGAAATTGGCCTGTTGTAGGAAGGCTTCCCTTGCTGCCGGGCACGTGACCTTACTGATCAGGAGAGCATCAAGGCATTCTTGGGTGAATGGTCGAACGTAGACCGGCTTATTGGCCTTGGCCGCCTTCTTGCGCTTGGCGATCCTGTGTTGCTGCAGGGTCGATGCATAGTGTTTTCGGAAGATCTGCAGGAGGATCTCTTCTGGGAGGGTAAGGAAAGACAGAGGTGCCGATACGTCGACAGACATTCTATCAGCTATCGCGACAAGGCAGGAGATGACAATCTGAATCTGGATCGGAGAGGTTGTGATTGGATGGAGGGATTGGTGAGTGAAGTATTGTGGATACTGAAGTTGGAGAGGAGGAGAGAGCGGGTTATTCGAAGTTATAGCCACGAGCAAACGCTAGGCCGTTGACTCGAAAGTGATAATTGGTGCTGGTGACGGAAAGCATGTCACTTGCGTTCTGACACAAGGACGACACTTGTATATACATGGGCTCATGGTTCTGTCTGGCTTCGCCGCTGTGCCTTGAGCTTAAGGGTTGAGCTGTCCTTATCTTCACACTGTTTCGTCCTCACATATCGATAACCCTTTCCACCGCATCCAGGCCTGTAAGTGTATTGTGAGGGCTATGTACCGTAGAGTAGGATATATTGTTAGTCGGACGAAATTCTATACCGCCCCAAAACACTCTAGAGTCGCAATGCTCGGTCTTTGTCGGAAAGAACTCTTTGGCCGGTTTATATACGTTGACCCCAAAGGTATCGTCAATCGCAGTCTTTTCTCTGTAGAAGGCTGTCTCGTCCCGACAATCCGTCACGCACAATATGACTAAGTATCAACAGTACCGGTGGAAGAGAAGCCTCTCTAGCCTCATCGAAGACCTTGTCGTGGGATCTGTGACAACGGTTTGATAGAGACAAAGACACAGCTTGCACATTTCAGAGAGGTATGTTAGCCTGACAAATAGCGAAACCACAGAAGGAAGGAGCGAGTGCTGACACAGTGCTTGCCCGTCGATACAGTATTTGCCTTGTGCTAACCTGGGACAAGCAAAATCAGTTGTACCAATTTGAAGATGTCGATAGGCTCAATTCTGGGGAAAGAACGAGGTGCAGCACATAGGTTGACGTTCACTGCCTCCGGTAGACTATCGTCGAATTGCTGGCTGCTTGCTAGAAACCTAGCTTGTCAACGTTCTCTCCTTTCGATTCTGTTACATACTGATCCTCATTACCATATCAACTCTCGAGTAAAGCATCGAATTACGACTACGCGGCTGTCTGATTCATACCACCATACTTCTCGTAGAACTCGAGCGTCATTGCTGCTAATAGACATGGAACTTCCTTCTTCTCACCAACCCAGTAATTGACTGTCTCATTGATATCGTTTCCGAATGGACCATCACGACCACCTCCGATCTTCATTGTGCCTTGGTCACCATCAAACTCGATGAAATCCTCGCGATCCTCCTCAGCAACATCCTCCTGCGTCGTGTTCGTGTCATCGGCAGAAGGATTGTAGTACATTGAGCGAACCTTGACCTTCCCATTGGGCAAAAATGTGACCTTGTAACCAAGGATACTGGAAATGACATCGCGAAACTCGGCGGCCTTTTCAGTCCAGATCTCCCGCTGTCTCCGCATACGTTTCTCCCTATCTGCAATAATTGTATCCTTGGCTTGAAGGTCCAGCTGAAGCGCATTCAGACTCGATACAGGTACGACCCGAACACGGTTCAAGGCTGCCTCGTCTCCACGGAGTTGAGCCATCAGGTCCGTATTCTCCTGCTTCATAACCCGCAAAGTTTCCATCTTGACAGCTTCGTGCTGGGCAGTCGGATTATCTCTCATTTCAAGCACTCTTGTTTGCGCTGATGCTCGTAACGCTTTCAGCTGCGACTTCGTGGCCTGTAGCTCTTTGGCCAGCATCTGAGACTGCTGCGTTATCTTCTGTAGCGCTACTTGCAGATTCTTGTTCTTTCGTAATTGATGACCCAGCTGCTCAGACTCAGGCTCTTCCTCGGGCTTGCGTTTCTGGCCTGCTACCTGGACAGGCGCAGCAGGAGGTGGTTGCTGTTCCAGCATCACCATTCGTGAGTGTAAGGTCTCCATCTCTGATTTATATTCACTGACCAAGGCCTCGAGTCGCTGAATTTGCTCGGCTCGTTGAGTGTCGAAATTTGCATTATCCGTCATGGTAACTTCTTCGGCATTGAAAGTTTCAAGTTGAGCTCGAAGATATTCGATTTCCTTCTTCGCGAGCTGTTGTTGCCTTTCCATGCGCTTAATAGTCTTGCTCTCTGGCTCGGCCGGTTGTGTTTCTTGTGTTTGGGCTTGTTCCCTCAGCTTCTCGACTTCTTGCTTGAGAATTTTCTGTTCTGAGTTGAGGGCTCTAATAGCTTCATCTTTGCCAGCGACCTCGCTTTCAGCAAGACCAAGTCGTTCAAGGACAAGAGCATGTTTAATACGCTCATTGACAAGAGATCTGACCACGGCCTCAGGAGTGTCGAACTCCTGTTGATCTTCTTCTCCTTCTCTTTCCAGCAAAGAGGTCCAAGTTCTCTTCTCATCCTCGAGGATCTCTTTTTGCAGCTCAAGCTCGCCAGCTCTCCGTTCTGACTCCTTGAGAACTCTAATTTGTACCTCGAGAGACTTCTTCTCCTCTAGAACGACATTGACGTTCCGTCTTTCCTCTTCAAGTTTCCGAATCTTGATCCTTTGATCTCGCTCCAAATTTTCCAGGCGTCGCACGTTTGCGATCTGCTCACCAAACTCTCTCTTAAGCACTTCGAGCTCCTCACCACCACCAGTCTTGCTATTGAGTTCAAGGACCTTTTTCTCAAGATCCTCAGAATAACGCTCCATCTCCTGTAGTTTTGTGGTTGCTATCTCGACCCTACCTTTCATTTCTTCGAGCTCGGCAGTAGTTTCCTGCATTGTTCGTTCGAGCCTGCTTCTAGCACCCTCCACTTCCTCAACCTGGACCCGTCTTAGTTCTCTTTCCGCATCACTCAATTTTGACTCGAGGTCTTCTTTCTCTTCACGAAGGGAATCGAATTCGGTTTGCAAATCTCGTGCACGTCTCTCGACTGCGGCACTACCGGCCACTTCACGATCACGAATGTTGCGTACCTCCTGTTGCACAGACTCGAGTTGTCGCGTGAGCTTGAGACGATCGGATTCGGCGTCTTGAAACTTTCTGTAATCTGCATCTGCTCGGGCCTGTGCTTCGCGTAACTCCTTCTCATGCTGGAGGGCGAACATGCCACGCTCCTGCTCAAGACTGGTAATCTCATAATCGAGTTTGTTGATCTTGGCCTGCAGAGCGAAGATATCTTCCTGATACTTCTGCTGAGTCACGCTAGGGACTGGCTTCTCGTAGGCACTTGGTTGAGGAAGCAAGGACTGTCTGCTTGCCGATTTCCTTAATGGTTGACCTTGAATATTGGTAGATTGGGACAGAGAAGGTCTTCGCTTGGTAGACAGCTGGTCTAATGACTGTCCCGAGACGGTATCATAGGACGTCGAAGGAGCAGTCACCGACCGGTTGGTAGTGTTAGTACTGCTTCGAAGGGCATTTTGTGAAGGTGTCGTGACTGTCACACTTTGTCGCAATTGGCTGTTCGAAAGCGATTGTCGCTGAGAGGACAGTCTCATACGCTTTGCTGGCGAACTCATGGCCGATCGAACACATATGGAACTACGTTGGATAAGTGCTGATTACTGGTGGGTATCATTCGAGGAAAGCACGCACAGCCAGAGTTTGGTTTGTTTGTTGTACGATGCATGCGGAAGGTATGACTGCGATCGATCGAAGGAGCAAATCACGTGCTGCATGGCCATGGCCGCAGAATGGACGATATCGTGCCTGAGGCATAACGAGCTGCTGACAAACTTGGGTTAATTCGGAGACCTCGAATGACCCAAAGGCGGGGACAATCCCGAAAATGACGTTTCGGCTGGCAGGGAAGTTCAGACTTTGGATCGAGAAAGTCTGCACGTCTCGGAGATGTCGCCATCACAAAGGATGCCAATGGGTCGCCATTCTGACAAATTGAGTATTGATTATGCCTCTGGTATAAGCCTCGGTATGCATATAAGTAAAGCTCTGCCTCTGGAAGGTAGGCTTGTCTTCGTATTCCTCCATATCTGCTCCTATCCTGCTATTTGAGACTTAATCTAGACCATGTCGTCCACAACCACACAGACCGCGACCTCTACCACCTTGAACGGCGCTGCATCGAATGACGCCAGCTACATCCCTCGAGGCCCAGTCAACGCCGTCCTAAACTTCTTTAAAGATCCTGAAGATGGCAGCAAACCACATAACTACGTCGAGCCACCTACAGATGGTCGGCCACAGCGCAATTTTGGCAGTGAAGATGTCGAGGTCAGAGTCGAAGACATCCGTGACCGAGAAAATCAGTTTCACCTAGAGAAGGATGCGTTTCAGGCCATCAAGGGCATCCCCTCGGACGAGAAAGACTTCACAGACGACGAGCACATCAAGAAGGTCTACTATCCTGAGGTCGAGAAGCTATTATTAGAGCAGGTTCCTGGTGCGCACAAAGTCACACTGTTCGACCACACCGTACGGAGATCGAATCCAGACGCACCAAGAGCACCAGTGACAAGAGTACATGTTGATCAGACAGCAAGGTCTACCGAGTGGCGTATCAAGTTGCACAACCCAGAAGACGCGGAAGAGCTGCTCAAGGGTAGATACAGAATTATCAATGTCTGGAGGCCACTGAACGGCCCTGTGCAGGCAAGCCCGCTCGGCTTCGCAAGTGCGGACACCACCAAAGACGAAGATTTGGTGCCAGTCGAGCATAGATACCCCCACAGAACAGGCGAGACTGCTGCTGTAAGACACAACAAGGGCCAGCAGTTCTACTACTGGTCTGGAATGCAAAACGATGAGAGATTGTTCCTGAAGTGCTTCGACAGCAAGGATGGGGTCGGTCAGCGAGTTCCACATACTGCATTCGTTGACCCAAGGACTCCTGAAGGTGCTAGAGGACGAGAGAGCATTGAAGTGAGGGCTCTTGTTTATGGTTGAGAACAGACTCCTTTTAAATCTGAGTGTAACAATATGTATCGTTCAACAGTGAAGTTCTAGTCGTCAATAAATTCACCATTTCCTCATGCTACCCATCCTCTTAATATTCATGACGCCTCCACATTCTCTCACTGACATCGACATTCACAGCGTGATGATATCAGATTCTGTGGATGAACCATAACACAGTCCTCTCCGCAATGATCCGACAACTTGTCACCATAGAATATTCATCAATAGTGAATGTAAAAAGGAAGCATGAAGAATGTCAACGTAAGCCAAGCCTGGGCCGTCTTGAGGCCTTTAAAACCTCCGCAACAAGGCTACTTCTTTAGACCAGAAATCGTGGCAACAAAGTCCCTGCACAAATACTGCCTGACAGCCCTAAAACCCTGTTCTAGCCAGCTGCACACTTGCATCAGTGCCTCTCAGTCGGGCCAGTTGTCCCAAGGGCCATTTGAATTCATACACAATATTAGCCACAACCACAATCTCGACATAGGCGACTTTACTTCCATCGACACTCACTCTACCGAGACATATATCGACTTAATACTACCTGCGCCTCCTGAAGAAACTACGAAAAGCCAGGATCTACACATCCCATCCTACCACATCGAGACAGTCGAGAGACAGATAATCAAGTCACAATGTCGGACACATTACAAGAGTTGAAAGACATCCCACAAGAGTTCTTCAAGGATGGAACGCAGTTTTTGAACAGGTGCACAAAGCGTAGGTCTCTCTCCTGAATGGAAGGCATGGTGGTTGTGCTGTGTGCTTCTTTCTCCTTTTTGCGATTGTGTCGAGAGTGCGTGGAGGTAAAGTTGCCTACGGATGTTTTGACAAAGATGTTTGTAAAAATTAAATCGCAATCGGAACGAGAATGGCCTCGTTGTTGCGATGGCAGTTAGCACAGGTAGCAAGCTGCAGCCAGGACTGGAATGAAAGAGCTCAGTCATGCCAAAGCCGGAACGAGCGCGGAAGCTACAACGCGCGCTAGCTATCCTGCTACTTTGCATCAATGTCAAAAAAAAGATTCGGTCCAGCAGCAGGACTACAAGCACCAACACACCCCCTTCCTGAACACCCACAACGAGCACAATCGTTGCGCAGATGAGAAGGGAAAGAACTTCTATAAAGAGAAGCATGTGCTGACATATCTTCTCCCTAGCTGACCGAAGAGAATTTGTCAAGATCTCACAAGCAGTTGGAATGGGGTTTCTGATCATGGGTGCTATTGGTTATTTCATAAAGCTGAGTAAGTACACTACTCTTTCTTTCTCAAAATCCCAGCCACAGGCATCCACGAATGTTCCAGAGACAAGACTCTAGGGCTCTCGGCAGAGGACCGACATCACAGTCTGCAGAGTGTGATGCGACGAAGGGAAACGTTCAGAATCCTAGCCCAAGACCTCCTTCCACTCGTCCTCACTCACATGGTGGCGAAGAATGCTAATACTTCTTCTTTTTAGTACATATCCCCGTCAACAATGTATTAGTCGGGTAGCGGGACAACGCCAACTATGAGATGCAAAGTTTCACATTCGAGCAGCCACGTGGGTCGTTAAGACAACACTTACAAGAAGACGAGTGAATAGAATTTTTGACATGTGATGAGAAGGATCGATGGAGCAACCAAACAGCTGGAAGACTGTCCATTCTCCACAGTTCAAAAAGATGCGACTTTGTGAGATAAGCTCAAAAAGGCATGTACCATGCATGGTTCGTGGAAAGCAGTCAGGTCAGATGATGCTTCCACAGGCAGCAGAAATGGAACAAGCAATATCACTTGGAAAAGACCTGACACTTAGCGGCAGAATATGTCTCATTCCCACCATATCTTGATTTTGTTCTGCTGTCTTTTTTTCACCCCCAATATCCCAAATACTATTGCAAACACCTGGACGCCATTTGAGGTTGAGAATCAAAGCGCCACCCGAACGATGAATGCTATATACAGTCCAAACCCAGTCGTGAATCATTTTGGTAGACACCATTTCGAACGGTGAACATGATATTTGAGTCGTGGTCGAAGGATCGCCAACTTGTGGTAGATATTCGTAGTCCAACATGGTGAATCGGCACTCGTACTCATACTCATACTCGTCTTCGGCTGTGACCTGTCTCAGGGACCTGTATCCCGTGCCTTTAACTGCAGAAAAGAGATATCGAGTCTATGTCTGCACGCCTGCTCGTGGTGACTTTCCGTCTTTGCACTTATTCGCCTCTCGCCTCATTCGGCCAGGCTCCATCACGTAACGTCAACGCGTCTGCGATCCTCCTTCTCACACTCGTCAACGTGTCCCCCACTACCCGTCCTAGTCACCAACCATTCTCCTCGTCTGCGTTACCATACCGCTGCGCCCTAACAGGGTTACTCCTCAGACCTCTCCCAGCAGCTCTACCCCAACCTCTCGTCTGATTGGCCGCGTCTTTGGAGGAGCGGAAGCCGTGTCTTGGCTCGAGCCGAGCGTTGAAGGACTGACCCATTTCTGGGTCTCCGTCGTCTTCGTGGTCATCCCAGTAGCCAGGAACTTCGCCTAGAGGGCCGTGCTTGGGCGGTGAAGCCGTTCTCTTGCTGGGTGGAGAGGTACGTGTGAATTGTGAGTCGTTCCAGGAGTGGACGCTGACTGTGCCGGTTGACATGCCCCAGCCGTTCCAGGATGTTGCTGCGAAGATATTAGCAAGGACAGAGAAATGAATAGAGAACTGCTCGACTTACCTGCAATGACTGGCGCAGTAGGACTCCAACTTGCGTCACGTACACACGTCTTCCAAACATGGGAAGCGTAACCCATATCCCAGTCAAAGTTGTCGTGCCCCCCATTCATCTTCGGTCTAGTGTCTTTCGTGGCAGTGCCAACATCGATCGTGGCTCTTTGTGTGCCATCGAGATCCCAGATATACACCTTGCCATCCTCACTACCACTGTAGACGTATCTTGAGTTTGTGCTCGTCGGCGGACTGAAATGGCATCGAATCAGTGTCTTGAGGACACTATGACCACGGAAAGTTACGATCGAGTTGTCCGCTGGGTTTGGCTCCCAATCGCTGTGGGAGAACTCGGCGAAGCGATAGTCGAAGCTGGTCGTGTACCTAGCCAGATTCAGCTGATCGAAGTCGTTAGGTTGAGTCATCTTCCGCAAATCCCACATCTTCATCATCTGATCTTTACCATTACTCAGCACATAACGTCCATCACCCTTGCTATCGACGTAGGTGAGACCTTCAGTATGACCGACAAAGACACCAGCCTCACGGCCATCTGCCATACTTCTTCGATCCCAGACACGAATGGTCTGATCGTCAGAGCCAGAGAAGAGAATATGCGGACTGGACTTGTCACCGAAACAGACTGCATTCACATCGTCACCGTGCTTCCTGAGCTTCAAGATCGTGCGACGTGTTTCGAGGTCGTGTACGAGCACACTGTGATCACTTGTGCCAGCTACGATCTCTCGTCCATCACCACTGAATCGAAGTGACCAGATGCCAAACCCTTGACGGCCCATGTAAGCAGCATGTCTCTGGTCACCCATAATTGCTCCAGGTCCATAATTGGTGAAGTCGAGAAGAGTGTGCTCGTTGCGGTCGTTTGGATCAGTAGGTGCAAGACATACAGTATGCCTGATACTGCTGTAAGCGAGGAAGCGATTGTCGGGAGATAAGGTGGCGTCTGTGATGGTCCATTGACCGAAGGGGAAATCAACAGTCTTGTAGTACTTCCAGTTGTATGGATTGGAAGTGTCGTACATTTGAACTTTGAAGTTCTGAGTACAACTGAAAAAGAAGTTTCCATCATCACTGAATTGACCTGAGTAGGCACGGCTATCATAGTGAATGATCTTGTCAGCATATGTAGTGTTGGGAATCAGTTCTTGTGCTATTAACTGGTTGTGGCGCCTAGCTGTTGAACGAGGTTCGATGCCCAAACGTCTCCAGAGCAGTCGTTCGGAAACCGATCTCTTGCGTTGACATATCCTCTCCGTGCAGGTATCTACACCTCCAAAGTAGCCTGATTGCATCAACTTGCGGCCGGTCTCGTTGGGAATCTTGGGGAAGCGGTTGGGATCGAGGTTGCGTTTCGCACGACGGCGGCGATGGTAGCGGTGTGGATAGTACTCTCCATCGTCCTCATCCTCGTCCTCATTGTCGTCGCCATAGGTAACTATCCTATAGTTCCCACCAGCCAGAATCCGTTGAAGACCATCTCTACCCTGTATTAGAGCTCGCAGGTCCAGCATCACTGCTACAATTTTTAGTATTCAATAGTGGCGAGTACGGTGATGGATTGCTTACACCGTCTCCCTTCTGCAGTACCAGTTGCAGTCGCTGCAGCTTCGGGCTGAGCTTCTGTCTCTGTGTCTCCGTCTTGTTCCTGGTCTTCGCCTCCATCCTCATCGTCGTCCTCATCATCTCCAAATACGATTTCTAGATCTCCATTCCGTAACAGCTCGCGAGCATCTGATCATAATCAGCGTTGTCCTTCACTAATTTCAGACCACTGACCAGCAAACTCATCTGTCTCGGTGTCGTCCTCTTGACCATCGATGCTTTGCTCACTTGCAGGCTCAAACGACATGTCGTCATCTTCATCCTCCGGGAATAGATCCGATATCGACCTTTGCAGGCCGGAATCTCCATTTGTGCCAGAACCAGACATTATGATTATCAAATTAGTAGAGCAGAAGATAACAATAGAAACGAAAGACCAGAAAGATAGCCTGTGGTAGGCCTATATCAAATGCTAATGAGATGCATGCGCTGGAGCTGATATAATGGAGCGATATGCTTATCACCGATAAAAGTGGCACCCCTCACGCTAGTCGATGGTGTGTGGTCCGAGGCTTGTCGATCCCAAACGAATGGATGTACGGGTACAAGTACCCTTGCACATTCTTGCTACTAGTGACAAGCAAAGATACAAGACCAACTTTGCGGTTGAATGTGTATGCGAAATCTATAACAACGTAGGAGCAGTACATTATCGAGACAGAATTGTCGTAGCTGTAATCCGAGATCGTGCAGTTACGCCTGCCTGCTTTACGACCTCTAAGCTTCGTGCCTTCCCATCAGGATATCTTCAAAAAAGAGCCGTGGGAATCTTGCTCAATTCATCAGTGGAGAACCGTATCTATGTGTCCTATCCATCCAATGTGCAGGTGCTAGCAGCATCAACCCAGCCCATCAGCCTGTTGGCAATATCACTGGCATAGCAATGCTTTCCAGAACCACCTTTTTCCAGGTCGTCCGAGCCGTCAATTGACCCAGAATTGTACTGCCTTGAGGCTCGATAGTATGCCCACGCAACATCGTGCCCAACCTTTCCAGATTGCTCGTTGATGTCCTCCGCAAATCCATTGCCCTCAGTGCCACCAGCAACTACCATCGTTAGTCCTTGCTCTTGCTTGTGGTACTGTAAATACTTACTGCCGTCCCTGATCATCCCCACAATTTGATCTTTCGGGCAAGGGTTCTGTACTTTGCCATCCTTGTTGCAGCTATAAGCTCCCTTGTAGTCTTGCAGTAATCCATGCTTGTCACCATTGCTGCCAGCTCTGACACAACCCTCGCTCTCTTGCATTACAGCTGCGAAAATGAAGCGATGATCAACTCGGGTTTCGTGCGCTACCTGCTTGATAGCGTCGTATAGGTCATTCGTCTCTTGAGCGTTGTTGTTGGGCTGCTTGTATCTGAGGTCGCATGAACGAGCGATAATGTGAGCGTTTGTGATCCACAGCTCATTGAAGCTGACCCAGGCTTCCTGACCTGGCCATTTCGCATCACGGGAGCCATCGCCCGTGTACATCACGTAGGCGTTCGTGCCACCTGGGGATCATGTTAACAAAGGACTGAGGTTGCAGGACATGTGAGCCCTACCATCATAGTCATTCCAGAAACCATCTGTGCCCAGTAGACCTTGTACAATGCTTAAGTTGTCATCGTCTCGCTTCTCGTAGGTAGGGGCTGTCCTCGAACTGGCTATCAGTAGGCATGCGGCAAGTATCTGGTTCTGATTAGCAAGGATCTGTGGGAATCAAGTGTAGTTCCTACCAAAGACAAGCGGAACATATCGTTCGTGGCTTTCCAAGCAGACGCGGTATGGTCGAACACCAGCGAGCAAGGAAACCGCTGGTTTCTAAGCCTGTAGAGATCAATCAAAGTAATTCAATACTCTCAATCAGCTCGAGAACGGATTTGGGATAGCAGGTGCAGTATGGGAGATGGTCGCGACACAGCACGATGCAGGATTCAGATGGACATTTTAATATGGACGGACAGTCCTGTAGCCCATAAGCACAAGCGACGCCGAGCATGACTATGCTTCACAGCCGCAGTTCCCTTGTCGTCCAAGGGTAGGCTGAGATGGAAGAGGTTGATCTCAGACTGTAAGCAGTAACCAAAGAAAGGTCCAAATTCTCCACCACGGCTCACCCCGAGCACCGTTCTGTTCTGTTTATAGATAGCGCCATCTTGGACAATCCACTCTATTTGGTCCGACTTTCCCCATGTTCACTCTCTGACGTTCCTTCCGTTACGAAGACTGATACCAGATTCAAGCTATACTGGATCGTCGGCAAGTCGTATGGCTAGGCACCGTGTCCATGCTATGTGACATATACTCTCTCCCTTTCTGTGCGGCTGTATCGCATCCTCCGAAGTAATGTCTCTACGCTGCGCGCAGGATTGACATACAGTATCTTATCCTCGACTAACACTGAACATTGGCCTGGGCAACGCGTTGAAGGTCCGAACCACGATTGGCTCGTCAAGCTTCGGTACATGGAACAAGCTCGGTGTCCATTGTTTGATCTTTGATCCTTGATCCGCCATCCGCACTTTTTTGATTGTCGATTGTCCATACCACAATTTGGACAATCGCTTTGTGACAGAACCATGGCACAAGCATGTCCGAGAACACGAAGACGTCACCCCGAACCCCACGCTCTCTCGCAACATGTTGTACGATAGCTTGCGCTCATGCAGACAGCATTACGACCATGACGTTTCGCTTGCATCGCATGATTGTACCAAGTCATCGTGCTGCGAGGCATAATCAGGCATAGAAAAGCACGAATCTTTGCCCTCAGACATACGGCCAGCTATGCACCTCTCCATTGTGCAGACAGCAGGCATAAACTCTTACCCGAGCGCTCACTGGACTGGAGCAGGCAAGGATTGACCATCAGATGAGTTGAGATCATTTGGCAGGAGCGACTGCCTAACAGACCAGTCTAAATTCGAGTCACATCCTGTGAAACTCCACGAATCAACCATTCGATCAAGCGATAGAATTTTGAACTCAATGCTTCATGGTATCTGCCTCTCGCTCAGTCAATCAAAGATGAATGGCTTCTCACCAGTTGAAGGCACCGCTTAGTAGGTCGAATACTTCACGATCGAAGCATACATGTTCCGGTCTTCCCCACTGTCAGAAGCTCGACCCTCGTAGTCAAGCTAGCGTCCATTCAAATAGTACGCCATGTCGATAGGTGGTCCGGCTGAATCTTGAGCCACAATCTCGCTCCTTCTAGCTTTATCGGTGATGCTGAGCCATTATTCCACAGGATTTCGTGCTGCAGTGCCATGCCTTCCTGAGCGTGTCCGGAACGCTGCAGCTTCCTCTGCAGAAGGCCAAACGTGCGACGTGCTGTCTGTCCTGAATATGGCACCCATTGTGGCCACTCTCCTGGTAGAGGCTTGCCTTGTGAGTTGATTGCTATGCCCAACATCCTGGAGCTTTCACCACAGGTAACACCGTATTTTGTCCACAAGTTGTACCTATGCTGCTGGATACCAGATCGGGTGGTGAAGAGGACACGACATCCTCGGCACATCCATGCCACCCCAGGATACTTGACGTTCTCTCTCAGCTCCTCGGCGGCCTCTACAGGATCCAGGCCTGCAACTTCGCGGTCTTCGCGTGAAATTGTCGGCAAGTTCTGACCTTGCAGAGGGGCTCCAGCCCAAACATGTCGTGGAGCCACCTGATCCGAGTATAGTATGTTGGCATCGACCTGTCCTGCAACAGGCCTGCCCCGGTGGTCCACCTTCAACAATAGCGGCCCCCAGCTGTAATTGCACTGCTCACGGTGGTAGTGAGCAAGCATTTGCGGCTTTGTGGCACAAATCTGACGGCAGCCACGACAGACCCATGTTTCTCCTCGACTAGCACCACCATAACGATTGTTGTGGTATGGAGTGTCACTCCACTCACTATCCTGTATTTCTGCTTCGATCGACGGGGCATCTGTAGCCCACGCCGTCGGCGGCGCCGTTTGACCTAGGTAAGGTGGTAGCAAGTGGCCAGACCAGCAGCCGTGAATGACTCGACCGAAGTGGTTGATTCTGACTCTGACTGGTGGCAGGACAGAGTCCACACACCTGTCTTGCCTGTGATGCTCACAGGCTGCTCTTGGGTTTTCTGAGAGGTACCCACAGCCCCTGCAGGCATATGCACAACCACTGGTGATGCCGTTTGTCGTTGGCTGATTCATTGCGAAAGAGGATTTTCGGAAGAGACTGCGCAGGAAAGATCCTCGATTGTTCAAGGAGACAGGAGGGGATGAGTTGAGTGTGAGAAAGACTCTTACTCTTCTTGTGCGACTGTAACGATTTTCTGAAAGACAATCCTTTGACACAAGATTCAAGCTGAGAACTAATCTGGAAAATGTTGTGGGCAAGGGCTGGAGCAATACATCCTCACAACAGGGCCTTGGCGCAGACCACCAAAGTAGTACTACACCTGATCAATGTTTGGCGCGGAATGAGTGTTATATACGCGTCAGGAGCGCAGTACATTCTTTGAGTGCTTGGAACCTACACAACGTTCGTTTGTCATATCCCTACGGCACAAGATTTTCAACCTTTCAGCCAGAAGCATTGCAATCACGGTGTAAAGCCTTGACCAGAGCCTCAATAATATTGGCCAGTAGTTGTTCCGATACAGGAGGGGATGGGCCGATTTCAACCACTTCACCAGGTCACGCCTTGACATGCAACTTTAGCTGCAATCAGGGAACAAGTACATTGATTGAAGGGGACCTACTCAAACTGGCTGCAGTCTAGCTATATTCACGCTATGGGCAGCTGACTCTCGCCAAAGTCCCGCAACCCTGTCAATCAGAATATGATCAGGAGATCAGGCTCTCGTCCATTGAACCGAAGCACAAACAAAAGACGCACCGTAAGCACATTCAAGCTAGCTTTGGTCAAAACGACCAACTAATATTTCAAGCCTGGCAAACCGACAACCTGAAAAGCTTTCGCATCCGATGGAATTTGAAATCTCTGCTGGGCTTTTGTTATTGCTTGGAAGCAGAAATTGAGAATGAGAATGCACAGAACAGCTCAGGCTGGCACAAAGACCACGTCCACAAAAATCAGGAACTCCTTATATCTACTTTTACCCATCCCAGACTCTCGTCCGACCTCAAGCCATCATCGAGACCATGCAGGAAAGACATATGACTGCGTCAATGGTAAAGGAAGGAGGAGGACAAACGATGCAGTCGGTTCCGATACATCAAGAGGTCGTTTTTGTGAATCCCAAGCGTGCAAAGATACGAGATGATCTACTGCTGAGCTGGAATAAGCCTCGGTACATAAGCCTCGGTACAAGCATGTCAACTGCATGTCCTCCTCTTCCCTGCCGTTAATGTTCAGGCGAAAGCAAACATTGTACACAATTCTAGGCAAGCGGCAGTCTACTACAATGGCTGAGTATAGCATGTCGATCAGCTGGCCTTCGAAAGCCCAGGGTGGTCACGCTTGCCGAACAGTAGTGTCCTTAGACGAGCCGTGAACCTAGGTCTCAATTTGTCACAAACATACACAACCAGCTCTACTGAGCTCTGCACCAAGAAGTAACATTTCGCCAAATGATCTAAATACACTTGTAGCGGGACTGGTCGCAGTGTTGTAGGCTTCTACGGAAGATGTCTGGGATCAGGGCTGCTTTCATTCCAAAGCTCTATATAGACCGAACCAGAGTTGTATTCGACAAACCATGGTAGACACAGGTCCCCGACCAGCGCAATCTCTGTGAACCAGCTTTGAAGGAACACAGTAACAGGGACAAATGAGTGGAATTGAATCAAGATTATCGATTGACTACAAACAAGCAAAGTTCAGAAGCCTCATTGCTACACCTAGAGCAGAGACGAGCCTTCAGCACTGCTTCGCTGCAGTCTTGCAGGTCAATGAAGACCACGAAGACCGTCACGATCTGCAGCGGAACGAAGAAGCAGTGGCTGCAGTGTGCTGGAAATGTTGCCGAACGTCGTCCTTGCCGATGGCAATCCGCTAAATTTCAGGACGCTCCTAACGTGTGGGACTCAGTCGATGGGTTTGACCGTCAGCGATGTCTACACCACTGCTGCGTGGTCGGCAGACTCGACAAGAGAACACAAGGACTTTTTAGCAGTATAGGCCCATTGCCACCACGCTGTTTCCACTTGACGACATGACCTTCTGAAGAATGACTAAGCAACACTCATAGGTGAGGGGCTACAGCGTAGTGCTATCTTAATGTCGATCAGACTATGCAAACGACACAGGCATACACACAGTGAATATCAATACAAGTCACCCGATAGCCTCCTTGGAAGGTGGTTTTACAGTAGCAGTGGCCAGCTTCCCAGCCCTCCTTGTATGCTGTCAGGCGACCTGGTACCTGCCCACTATGTCTTTATCTCGATACGAAGGATCTTACACTGCTCACTTACAAGCTGAGGGGCCCACATCAACTGGAAGTGACTAGTCAGACACATCCCTCAGGGAAGATTCGACCTGACACTGTCACGACTGAAGCTCTTGTGTTTACACTATGGTCTCTCGGGCCTCCTCTTCCGTGCCAAGCCTCAATCAGTCAACAAGTCACGAAATTGCGACCTGAAGAGGACGGAGAGAACACTGGACTATTCCCTACTGAGACGATACTAATCTCTATCCCTCCGTAACCGCACCTCTGCTCGGAATCTTCGAGCAGTCCACACATTCAGTCAACACTTCAGCTTGGTGCTCCACTCACAGAAGTAAGTATTTAAGCACCTCTTCCTCTTGCTCGAATCCTCGATCACAAAATTCTTTCCATATCCCACAACCAGACAAGCCACCGGATCCAAGAACAGAAGTTTGCAATTCATTAGCAAAGGTTTGTCTGACAATGCAAACTGTTTGAAAAAGCTTCTAATAGTTGTCAGATACACGAGCGCAATTGAAGCAATTCTACCTGAGAAGTACTTTAGTCTCAAACCTCCAGACTTTCCAAGGTTCGTCACACATCATATTGGTTATACCGTTATACTACCATACATATACGGACGTGATGGCTGACAACAGGAAAACAGAGACCAACCCTTTCAAAGATGTCTTCAAGGAAGAACACCACACAGCCAAGCAACGACAAGGCCGACTCCGACACTGACATCGACGCCGAGTATGTGAGTGATGATGGAGCTTTCGTTATCAACACACAGGCGCCGCGACCTGATCTGGAAGAGGCAGCCTTCAAGACAGACCCAAGAAAGTACTTTCCTGTCCCACCGACAGGGTACATCTATCACAACAAGGTGCCGAAGGTGCCCATGGTGATGGTACTCACTGGTCAACTCAAGCGCAAGTCAAAGTACAAGGCCAACCCAGAGACCAGGGAATACTACGACTCCAAAGGTTCCGTCGAAGAGCCTCAAGATGGGGACAAAGTCAAACCAGAGGCTGGCAGATGCCTGAACTGCATCAAGTCAAGCAACAGATGCCATGGAACCTCAGTCAAGGATGGGAAGTGCCTCAATTGCCAAGGCTACAACCTGAAGATGGAGCGAGCGAGACAATCCAGAGTCTGCCGCTGGAAGACTGCCTCGAGAAACGTCTACACATACTCACAGCATGTGCAGACTTTCGGCGGTACCGAGATCCGGCAGAATACCGCGGCTGCAAAGAGACAAAATGAACAGCCATATGTCACAATCTTCCAGGCGCCATTCGACACTGGCTACGAGCGACAAGTGCTGGGTTGGCTGGTCACAGGCGCCCTGGGGACTAATCTGGCGGATGAGGACACGTCACTCAACCTCGACATCCTTTACAACGTTGTTCGGGCACGGTACATGTGGGCCAGAGACTTGACTCCGGCGCAGGCTCAGGGTCCGTTCAACTCTGAGCAAGACAGGCAGAACTTCCTCGCTGTACTCAATCATATGTACCGCCGCCTCCAGATGATGATGAGAGATGGCGATGGTATCGAGTACAACGACTTTCTTGCCTGGCTGCCGGAGAATCACCAACTGTACAAGCGGCGATGGGTTTTGTTCCAGAGTAGACTGTGGTGTGAGAAAAGTTTGTGGCAAGATTGAGGATGGATTGGTAGCCTTGTCACTTTGGATTGAGGTATAACGCTCTCGAATTTTAGTTACACGAGCATGAAGAAGACGGGAAAATATCCGCTATACATGCGCATGGCATTTTGTGCATGTTCATAAAATACAAGAAAAAGAATATTTCTACAATGACTGCAGTTCCCACATAAATTTTGCACATGACGTTTCCCCTCGTACTCGAATGCTTACTCCAACCAGCATCGAACCAACACTGACTGAGCTTCAAGGCCATCATCTGAGAGACTGTCGTCTCTTGTTCTTGCTCGTTGTCCGAGACAGGTACCGAATCTCTCGACCACAGTCTTTACCAGAAAGCATGATTAAAGATCAGTAAGTAAGCTCAAGAATGATAGACAAGACTCAGCCCAGTCGTGACAAACGCCGAGCTCACGTGTTGTCGAACCGAGCACAGGTATAATCCTTCGATTAGCAAGATCTTGAACATCTTCATTTTTCTCTCAAGCGAAAGATCTTGGACGGACCCGTCATAGTGGGAAGTGTGAAACTTTCTTCTATCGTTTAGACCAAAACAAGAGCTTCAATGCCAAGGCAAGGTCCGTTATTATCAGATACTTTCTGACGTGAGGCGGACTTCTTGTTCTGGAAATGTAAAATCGGTGAGCTGGAGATCACTCTTGTCTGACGGTGCTCGACAGTGAGCATGATGGCGATCGGGAACCACTGATATCGATTGCGTTCTCGTAGACGTGACCGCCATGTTTCGTGGCGTCAGTATGCATTCACTTCGTTCGAGAAGTGTGCTAAGCGGATGATAGACGTGTCAAGTGCTTACCTCTGGTCGTCATGATAAGACAATACTGCTCATGGGTTTGGTCATGTCTGTATGAAATTGACGCCCGATGCTGCAGATAGGTTGAGGTTCACGATACCTTCAGCGAGCTGTCCTTGATCTTGGAAACATACACGATCGCCACAACCCAACACTCCTTGTGATTCTCCGTGCTATGAACCTTGCTCCTTGAATTCGCGAGACAATACCTCGAGCCGACAGGTCATCTACTCACGAGTCGTATATAGTACCATAGCATACCATAACCATTGTGTCGGTGATATTGACATCCTGAAGCGACTCCAAAGATGTGAGGCAACATACGGGCGACGAAGCCTAAGACTCAGGGGCGGCGCTACCATCCGAAAGAAGTTTAGGGACTTGCTGCAATTTCTTCGGCCTAATTTGCATCTACTCAAGAATTTCGAGCAACTTTGAGATTAGTACCTAGGTATACACAAAAGAAGCTGGTTTGGTAATCTGTCAGCAAGCTCTTCTCACGCAACAGCATGGATTGGACGACCTCTGTGCCGAAACGCGCTCGCGTCGATGAACGGATACAGCCAGCTATGTTTTAGCGGATGTGCTCCGTGTCGAAAGGCCATACGGCGATTGTCCCGACGGACCATGGCCATCACTCGAGCTTCGCCGAATGACAAAACCTCATGCTCAATTCGATACGATCATTTCGGTTGATACGATGAATGACACTGACTTATACTGAGTCGCTGTTCTGTATCAAAGCTAAACTGCAGTGTGGCTTGAGATAGAAACCATTTGCCAGTATGGCGACCAATGGGACAAGTTCGGCGAACAACGAGGACTATGACCTCGACACCCCTATTGCGGCCACCACTGGCATAAAGCAAGGTCTGGCATCATATGGCGACGCGCACTTCTCACTGTTCTTGCGAAAAGTCTTCATCAAGGCTCTTGGGTATGGCGAAGATGCACTCTCAAGACCAATCATCGGTATCATCAATACCTACTCAGGCTTCAACCCTTGCCACGGTAACACTCCTCAGCTTATCGAGGCAGCTAAGAGAGGTGTTCAGCTCTCTGGTGGGCTAGCCATTGACTTTCCTACCATCAGCGTGGCCGAGTCCTTCTCGTCGCCTACAAGCATGTTTCTCAGGAACTTGATGAGCATGGACACGGAAGAAATGATCCGAGCTCAGCCAGTAGATGCTTGTATCATGATTGGAGGTTGTGACAAGACTGTTCCAGCTCAAATCATGGGTGGTATCTCTGCCAACAAACCAATATTACCTCTCATTACCGGCCCAATGATGCCAGGAAGCCACCAAGGCAAGCGCATCGGAGCCTGTACTGACTGCAGAAACAACTGGGCTGCCTTTCGAGCTGGCAATATGGACGTGGAGGAGATATCAGCCATCAATGAGGAGCTAGCCCCAACCATTGGCACATGTGGCGTGATGGGCACAGCAAGCACAATGGCCTGTGTCGCAGCAGGACTCGGTCTCATTCCTCTAAAAGGCGCAAGCGCACCAGCTGTCTCTGCCGCCAGAATGCGAGTCGCTGAGGAGACAGGTAAGAACGCAGTCGCGGCAGCGTTGCACAAGCGCACGCCGCAAAGCATTCTCAGTAGAGAATCTTTCATCAATGCCCTCATTGTCCTCCAAGCCATTGGGGGAAGCACAAACGGCATTGTCCACATAATGGCGATAATCAATCGGCATCCTGAGCTACAGGGCAAAATTACGTTGAATGATATCGATGAGATCGGCAAGAAGACACCTCTAGTGGTCGACCTCAAACCTAGTGGTGACAACTACATGACGGACTTCCACAATGCAGGCGGCATGCTAGCGCTACTGCATACTCTTCGACCTCTTCTTCACCTCTCAGCCATGACGATCAGCGGTCAAACACTGGGCGAACTCCTAGATGCGAATCCCTTCAAGTCCTTCCCATACTCCTCCGAGATCATCCGCCCACTTTCGAACCCCCTATATGCGAAATCCAGTCTTGTTGTGCTCCGAGGAAACCTCTGCCCAGATGGCGCGATTATGAAGGCTTCGGCATCAAAAGATCGCTCCTTGCTCAAGCACACAGGACCTGCCGTGGTGTTTGCTAATACTGCAGATTTGGCAAAGCGTGTCGACGATCCTGATCTAGATGTCACGGCGGCATCTGTGCTTGTCTTGCAAAGTATTGGTCCCATCGGCAATCCTGGCATGCCGGAGGCTGGACTGATACCTATTCCGCGAAAGCTTTCGAGTAAAGGAGTTGCAGATATGCTTCGGATCAGCGACGGCAGGATGAGTGGAACGGCTGGTGGTACAATAGTCTTGCATGTCAGTCCGGAGTCGGTCCTCACAGGAAGCGTGTTTGGTATTGTCAGGGATGGGGATATGATAAGCTGTGATGTGGAAAGCCGGATGCTCAGCTTGGATGTGAATGAGGAGGAAATCAAGAAGAGGCTCGAGGAGAAAGAGCAGGCCAGGAAGGGCACGAGCAATGCGAAAGAGGATGTACTCATTGCACGTCGAGGCAGAAGAGGGTATAGGGGCTTGTACGAGAGAAGGGTGAATCAGGCTCATGAGGGTGCTGACTTCGACTTTTTGACTGCGAGCGGGCCTATAGTGGAAGAATAGCAATGTCGGGAATGCTTCATAGCTATAACTCTTTGAAGGCGAGGCTCTTCAACGAGATGTTCTTTGAAAGGTATTATTTGGTTACTGACTGCCGAAGTGCTAGAGAGTGATCCATAGTCCTCCAGTGCCAAGACGTGTAGCAGACACCCTAACAGAAACCCTACGCCTCGAAAATGTTGTTCTCGCTGCTGCCGAAACTGAAGAATGGCTGATAATCCACGAACATACTTTCCACGAGGTAGCCATTGTCATTTGTCATGGAATCGGAGGTGCCTAAAAAGGACGCGAGGTCACACCTGCCACCGATGAGTGTGAAGCATAGCACCACCTCAATGTCGCTGATTCCGAGGAATATATAAGACGTGGCGGGTCGTATCCGTACGTAGCACTTTCATGACCTTTTCGGACTCACGGTGCTCGGATGTGATCCGATAAGCTCGTGGGCTGCAGTATCTTCATACAGTATACTGCTCGGCATCAAGCAGCAGTCTCATCAGAGGCGAATCGGACACACTTCACAGTATCAGACCTGCGAGCATTTCACTGAATAATCCCAGATTGAGCAGTAACGACGAAGAGTCCGAGTCGTTTTGGCAGCTACGATGACTGTCATCCATATTGGTATTTCTACCGTGCCGTATTTGTACTCTAACGTACATCCTGCTAACGGAAAACAGTTCTATTCAAATTTCGACGAGATGCCGGTGAGGCAATCAGGAGCACATTTGTATCCGAGCTTCGTAAGCTCAAGAATTTGGATTGTGTAATGAACCAGAATCTGGTTGTGGGAGGACCGTCAATCACGACCCCTATAACACGAAGTCAAGGATTCCACTATTGTCTGGTGAGCTATCACAAAGATAGAGCTGCATTGGATGCATATCAGGCAAGCCCTGAGCATCATCAGTATGTTTCTCCCACTTCACAACCCATCCTTGTACTGAGAACATGCTAGTGTCACAAGTAAGTACATGTGGCCATTCAACGAAGATTTGATGAGATTCGACTTCGAGACTGAGGATGGACTGGACCCTATCTTCGGCAGCGTTGTTCCACCTAAGGCCTCGAGCTCTTCGAGTGACTCCACGAGTACCTCAAGCTCTTAGGAATTGTCTGAGAGTCAACTGTTTAGAAAGAGTATCATCTTCAGCAGAAGTACACAGCTTGAAAGACGAATATCCTAAGTTGGGCTTCAGACTGGCGTAGAGAAATGTCGATAAAGCACGGAGTACAAATTCCAGGAATGTCGAAGTTTTGGGGCCCGGAAATATGCCGTGCTTTCCATGTCGACGCCTGAAACAGTCCGTGGGAGGTGCAAAGAAGCCGCTGGTTGACACGGTCACGCGTCCGTCGCTTTCCGTTTCTTAATGTGTGCTTGTTACACTTCGATACAACAAAGAGGTGCTCCAGCTTGCGCGCCTCTTGCTCAAGACACACTCACCTCATGAAGGGTCACAAGAATTACGAGATGCTACAACAATCAAACCAATGTCTAGAACCCTGCTAGGTATTCTCCGTCTTCATTCGGAGCTTCGTGCAGTGAGCAATGTCACACCCACCTTCTCTGCTTCTTTATTCAAGGTCTCTACTTCTCCCGCTGCGTAAGGAATGCCTTCTTTCTTCCTCCTCTCCTCAGTTATCTGCTCAATCTCTCCAGGGAAGTAGATACGGTCAAAATCCGGCCGCCTTTCGCTATCCACAACGCGTTGGTAAAGATAATCCATCCTGTCCTTGAACTCTTCTAATAACATGAATAGGTCTGGCTTAATCACTACCAAGAAGTGACCCACATCTGCGGCTTTCGAAGGATCATATGGGCCTGTAACATTGCCAGCAAATGCTGATCCTGACAGTACACCAGAGAAGACATCCATCATTATCGCAAGAGCTGAGCCCTTCGGACCACCCATGGGAAGCATAACGCCTTCAAGCGCCTTGGCAGGATCATCTGTCGGAAAGCCTTCACCATCCAGAGCCCAGTCTGCGGGAATCCTCTCACCTCTCCTCTTTGCTTTGTATATCTTCCCTCGTGCTGCAATGCTAGGAGCCATGTCTAGAATAAACGGCCTGCTCTCACCCGCTGGAGCACCACACGCCAGCGGAGATACTCCTAATAACTTCGACCTTCCACCCCATACTGGCATAGCAGGCGAAGAATTGGTAAAGACGAGGGACATCATATCATGGTCGATCGCTCTTTGACAGATCCATGCCGACATGCCGAAGTGATTCGAGTGCTTGACCGCCACCATACCAATGCCGAATTCCTTCGCCATCTGTATGCCACGTTCAATACCTAGCGAAGCTGCCAAGAATCCGAAACCGTTGTGTCCATCGATCTGTGCTACCACGGGGGTTGTCTGAATAATGGTCGGTACTGCCTTGGCATCCAGCACTCCCTGCCGTATGCGCTCCATATAGGAAGGAATTCGATTCACACCATGCGTGTCAATACCTCGAAGGTCAGCCGCAATAAGGCATTTGGCAACAATTTCGGCTTGTTCAGCTTCAACTCCGTTCCCAACAAGCACATCACGAGCAAAGCGGTGGACTTCTGTGGGGTCAAAATGTCGAATTTGCGTTTCGGTGGCCATGATGAGTCGACCTTTGTAACCAAGGTCCTATATGAAGACTAACAGTGAAATAAGAAATGTGTCACAGAATACAATACTAGTAGCTATAAGATTATTACCAAAACGGCAATCCCGGAGTGGAGCGGAAAAGAAGGCGGTCGGCATCCGACTGGTTTGCGAACAGACGGTAGCGCTCCGCACCAATATCAGACAACAAGTTAAGGTATCACAAGGAAGCATCCGACAACCAACCAGTTTGAAGAGGACAATTCAGACGAGTACAATAGTCTGCAAGTGTGATTTTTCTCAAGCATGCACGACCTCACAGGCAAGGTCGCCTTAGTCGTGGGCCTTGGTCAGACATCTCAAGAGGGCTGGGGCATAGGCTGTGCTATTGCAGTATTGCTTGCACAACAAGGTGCCAAGGTATTCGGAGGAAATCGAAGTCTAGAGTCTGCTCGAGTCACACAGGAGAGGATCCAGGCCAAGGGTGGTGTTTGCGACATCTTTGAGACCGATGCCACCTCAACGGAGTCAGTCAAAGCTCTGGTTGAGGCGTGTGTAGCTCGCCATGGTCGCATTGACATCCTCATCAACAACGTCGGGAAGTCGGAGGCAGGTACCATGGTGACAATGAACGAGGAAATGTGGGACTCGCAATTCGACATCAACCTCAAGAGCATGTGCTTTGCCTGTCATTATTCGATACCAATAATGGAGCAACAACATGATGGACGTATTGTTAGTGTTGCAAGCATAGCAGGACTGAGGTATATTGGCAAACCGCAGATCGCATATTCCACCAGCAAAGCAGCTATCATTCATGCCATGAAGACCTCAGCTGTCATGTATGCCGATAAGGGCATTCGGTTCAACACCGTTGTCCCGGGCTTAATGTATACACCCTACACCGAGCAGCTTGCGATTCGCTATGGTGCTGGTGGCGATCGCGATGCGTATATGCGCATGCGGGAAGCACAAGTACCCATGGGCAAGATGGGTGATGCATGGGACGTTGCGCATGCTGTCCTCTTTCTAGTGTCAGATGAAGCCAGGTACATCACAGGTCAGGAAATTGTGGTTGATGGTGGCATTACGGCGTCCACGGGAAGGACGTAGGCTCATTCCGGCACAGCTTCATAGGGTACGCTGGCGTCAATAAAGGTGGGTTTGAACATTGTTTGAATATCTCGACCGTAGCTCAAATCTGCTCACGACAGTCTGTACTCGACTTCCTGGTTAAATTGCAGACTGTTCCGGGGCAACACCTGACATTGTAGGTGACACGAAAGTGGTGAGGAGGCTTAGTCGTCGAGGTCTCTTCGAGATGTGCTTTAATCCAGTACGACGACTTTTCGCGATTTCGAGTTGTGGGCATACCTAATTAGGCCTAAATTAGTCTCCTCGGTCCCTGAAGCCAAGCCGAGCCAACTGGTCGACACCTCCTAATTGAGCCGCCACCAATCCTCGAGACTCGGGCCATCGCTCAATATCTGGAAAGAGCGCTTCATGAGCTTGAAATCAATGCCTTTTCCTGATGTTAAAACTATTAGCGTCGTGAACCCAGTGCTTTGTTCATCAGAGTAAACAAAATCACTGCGTTCCTTATGGCATATCATTACCGTGAAGTCTCTTGGCAAGACCATGACTATTGCATCTATACACAAGATCAAGACACAGCTTGCACAACATCGAAACTTCCAGTACCAATAAGACCTCTTTGTCCGGCAACAATCCTAGCACTAGGACCTAACAAGTTATCTCCCTCACCAAACATGACCGCATCCTTCAAGAATCCCATCACAGTCTCAAATGACATCTTTGAGAGGATACTTCCATTCTCCTTGACTAGTCCGTGTCGAGAGAAAGGTTTGTAAGATCCACTCTGAGTCATAGCATCGGCAATCAGGCTGATGTGTCGATTATCAACACTGATGCCATGACCCTTGAAGACGTTGTCGATTTCTTTGACGATCGTCATGCGAGCAGCTTCGACTCCGTACAAGTTGAGCATGTCGTGTACTGAGTTGGTGTAGATTGTGTGCGGGTCGATGATGTGTTGATATTCGCGCATGGCCAGAAGGTTTACACCCTGGCAGGTAATGACTGCCTCTTTCAGAGGAACCTCCTTGCCAGTCTCGGCTTCTCTTGTCTTCACGGGCTTGCCATCCGCACTAAGAACTTCTTCCATGAAGAGAGTGCACAAGTCAAGCCCAGGTATTGACTGCACCACTGCAGCATGAGCGCAACGTTCTAGTATTGGCAAAAGCAGTAATTTTGGCTGATCAAGGTCATACTCGAGCGTGAACTTGCACACTCTACCCTTTCGACGTGAGAAGTCGAATCTCTTGAGGTTCTTGACCACTTCCTTGACTAGGTTTTCTCGTGTACGTCGAGACATTTCCTCTTCAGTATCTTCGTCTTCGGTATCCATCTCGCTGTTCTCATCACCGGAGTCATCTGGGTTTTGTTCTCGTAGTGCCTGCGATGGCCTGTTGCGCTTTTTCGATTTTTGTGCGTCGGTCAACTCCTCATTGTCTTCCTCCTCGTCAGAAGAGGCAGCCACGGCAGCATCATCCTCGTCCGGTTCGTCGAAATCATCGATCCGCCGAGCACGTGCAGCAGCGTCCTTGGCATCGTCAGGGTCCATGTCTGAATCGATATCGTCCTCACCAGCCTCTCGCTCCTCTGTTCGCATGCCTTGTGGTCGCTCCTGCTCGATCACACCAACTGATACGCCAATCTCTGGTACAGCTGCTGTAGCGGTCGACAACGAAGCCTCCCTTTGTTTCTTTTTTAGCTCTTCTCTAATTTGCTTGTTCAATATAGGCAGGAATTTAGTCTCGATGGCGAGGGAGACATCTTCAATGGTAATAGCGTATTCCTCACAGTATTCCTTGGGATCGAAAAGCTCAATCCTGACCACGTAGTCTCTATGCTCTCCATCTGACTTCTCAGTGACGGACATCTTGTCGATAGCGTGAGCAAGTGGTAGTCTGCTGATAGATTTCGCAAACTTTCGGGCATCGTCTACCGACAGTTCCTCAATTGGCTTGATTGCCATAGTCGGAGTCATAAGTTTCGTCGAAGCCGTCATTATGATTTCTCGGAGTCGAGGGATACCCAGAGTTACGTTCTTTGCTGAATGCCCTGCCAAGTGGAAAGTGTTCAATGTCATCTGAGTTGACGGTTCACCTACAGACTGAGCAGCAACGACACCTATAGCCTCACCAGCATCAATTACCGATCGCATGTACTTGAGTTCCATGAGGAGCTTGAAAGACTTTGCTTTGAGGGCCTCTCCGAGCACGTTGTCGGGATTGGTCTTCGTGTACTTGTTGAGCGCTTCCGCGAACTTCTCTGAGGTGCTCCCAAAATAGTTGGCAGGTGGATAGTTTGCCAGTATCGGTTCTACTTTGGGGTTGCGCTTTAGCTGCTTCAGCAAGTCCTTCTGCACGGCTTGCACGCTTCTGCCATCAATTGATCTGAGCTTGTTGATAACTTCTTTAGCATTAGTCTGTCCAGCAATGGTCAGGTTGTTGTCGGCCAAGAACGTGAATTCTTTCAGGTGTCTCTGTTTGGTTACCTCCAGGCCATCTTCACCATACAAGAACTGGACGAGAGCACCATTGGACGATTCTCTTACGGACGTGTCATATTCTGTTCGCAACCCTTCAAGCCCTTTGATAATGCATCGCTGCAGATATCCCGACTTAGCAGTCTTGACAGCAGTGTCAATCAAACCCTCACGACCAGACATGGCATGGAAGAAGTACTCTGGCGGCTTGATACCTGTCAAGAAACGACCAGTGACATAGCCTCCAGCTGTAGGATGTGTCTCGAAGGCTCGATAGAGAGGCAAAGATTTGCCACTGACCATGACAGGGACACGTCGGCCTTCCAAGACCTGCTGGCCCAAGTTACAGGAAATAAGATTGGCATTGACATTTGAGCCCTTGGCACCGGATGTTGTCATTGCCTGCATCTGATTTCGAGGGAATGGCTTCCTCAGACCCTTTGGCATCACTTTCGCTACGGCATCTGTGATGACCTTTGTACTTGCGTTGTAGAGTTGATCAAGAGTATTGAGCTGGTCGTCGTTGCGGAGAACATCTTCAAGCCGATTGATCAATTGTTTGCTGCCTTGCTCTGTAGTCTTCTTGTTCAGCTGCACATATCCAACAGAAACCTCGTGGCCAACTCGTGGAGCTACACTTAGTGCTTGCCGTCGTATATTGTCACCTTCAGGAGTCAGGTAAAGATCGTCCATACCACAACTCCATGCTCTTTCACGAAGGAAGCGAGTGAGAAGTCGACCAAGAATACTCAGTAATTGTCCGGCATGCTTTTCGCCATAAACCTCGTAGCAAGAATGAACCAGTCCACCTGCCGCTGGGCCTAGCTGGGCTTTGTCGAGGATGCCACTTATGTGTTCGCCGTCACTGAATATGACCACTTGTTCTGTGTCTCGGTGGACCGACTCATCAGCAGTAACTTTCCAATTTGCTGCGTCGCCAGGTTGCAGTGTCTTCTCGTTCCATCTCTCAGCGGCAGTCTGTGACTTACTTGTAAGATTAAGACCATACAAGTGTTGAGGCGTAATGTTCCTGAGCACAGTCGAGATAACTTGCTTGCCAGTCCAGAGCATTCTGGGCTTGAGTATCGCAGGAGGCAGAGTCTGGATTCGGTCATATTCTATATGACCTTGCTCTGGACGTATACATTCGTAGAGCAACTCGTGGTACTCCTCTTTGTCGAAGAAGACATCCTTGCTGGTGAACTGCACGCCCATTGAGATGTGGTCCTGGATTAGACCACGTAAGGGCTTTCCGGCAGTGGCTGATAGATACTGGTTGTCCGTGTTAGCTATGTGGAAGGCTTCAGCTCGAGCCAGCTCGTTCTGAGGGAAATGCATGTTCATCTCATCACCGTCAAAGTCAGCGTTGTAGGTGTTGCAATTCGCGTAGTGCATACGAATGGTCTTCTCGTTCTTCAAGACTCGTGCTTTGTGGCACATCATAGATGGTTTATGTAGAGTCGGTTGTCTGTTCATGATAACGACATCGCCTGTCTGTAGGTTTCGATAGACTTTCTTGCCCATGTCGCCCTTGAACCCCTCTGGCGGAGTAAGTAGTTGTTTAGCCAGAGTCTCACGCTGAGACCTTGTCTTTCTTCTCAAACTCATGACACGACCTTGTTCGTCCTCAATCGCAGCTGCTCCTGGGTACTTCTCCATGCCGTTAATCACTAACCTGCTCAGAGCCTCGAAATTACTGCTTGTGACCGGTTCAGGGTAAGTCAGCTTCTTCGCAAACACGAGAGGCACACCGATCTCATTGGTCTCAATGTTTGGATCGGGAGAGATAACAGATCGCGCAGCAAAATTGACACGCTTCCCCATCATGTTCATACGAAAGAGACCCTCCTTCTTCTCCAAGACCTGCTTGATGCCTTGATCTCGTGGTGGACCCGTGGGAGTTGCAGGATTGTCAATGAGCTCGTTGACGCATTCCTGCATGGTAATACCAGCTTGGATCAGTTGCTGGTGAGTCGGTTTCCGTACATCATCGTCGTCTTTCTTGGACGCGCGCATCATGCTTTTTAGGGTGTTCGAAGCATTAATCACCCGGTTGAGGGCACTATTCATCTGTGATTCCATCATCTGGTTTGGACCCTGTCGTGCTAAAGGCCTGAACTTGTTGGGTGCGACCAGCACATTTGTCATGAAGAAGATATCTGCTAGAACTTTCACTTGTCTCCTGCCAGGTGAGGGGGCAAACAGAAGATCAACAATCTCCTGCTCTCGATCGAAGAGTAGAGTCAGAGCTGCATGTACTTCAGCTGGAGTCAGATAAGCTTGAGTGTCGAAGCCGCCTTCTATCTCAGCGATCTTGGAAGAAGCAGCTGTATCAAGCGCATTCCGCAAAGCGATTTCTTCTTCTGCACCATGTGTTTGATCGGTGACCTGATCAACCATTTCGACATCTTTGTCGCCATTTACCATAGGCTTTTTGGCCAACTCTTGCTCCTTTCGTTCTTGCATGAGGTATATCAGAGGATTCGGGGCTTTTCTGTCGAGTACTTGCATTTGTTCACGAGCACGTACTGGCAGCGGCAGACGGAAGATCTTGATAGCTCTATCTTTTCTGTAGGAAGGCGAGATACCCTTACACCTAACACACTTTTTGACCAGCGCAACTTCTTGTAGGAAAGCTGTAATAACATCTTTCCTAGCTTGTATGGCGATGTGATTTTGTGCTAGAGGCAGTACATCGGTCCTCTTCTTCGCTTTCTGAATACACTTCTTGACATACTCTTCTCTTCTATCCATCAGATCGTCAATATCCTCTTCGGACTCGGCCGCTTCGTTGTCCTCTTTACTTCTCTTTCTCTTCGAGCCCAATTTGAATCTGGTCAACTCATGAAACTCTTTCACCAATCCATGTTCCAGCAGTCGTAGCTGACAAGTTGTCTGATGAATCTTGTTCGGTACCAACCTGAAATGATGGCAATATACACATTTCGAACGTATTAATCGCAAGGTCGTGTCAATATACAAGGGATGGTAGCAGTGAGTAGGTAACTCGATATGGCCACAATGGCCTGGACAGTTCGAGGCATTCATACGACAGGTTGAGCAAGTCGCATCGAGGGTTGAAATAGCACCCAATGACAGATCGTGAACACCTCCTGGCATAGGACCAAACATCGAGTCGAGGGTAGGTGTGACATGAATTCTCTTTACACTCAGTTTCCTGACATCTTCACTGGCATATCTTCCAAATTCGATACCGCTAGTCGCGTTCGAGAGAGGAGTCCTGAACGCCATGGCTCGAGGCTCGTGCTACAGCCACCTCTGAGGTCTTGTCAGCCAAAGTCGCAGCTTGCTGTGAAAGCTATTGTCTTGGAGGTCGCGAATGCTTCTCTACAGAAAAAAAGTTTCGAGGTTCGGCTATTCCTCGGGCGTCTTCCCACTTCCGCCATTAGCGCGTTGCGCATCCACTAATTTTTGTCACGTTCGGAGGAGTGAAGGGAGCACACTCTATATCTTCCACTATTGATCCTTGGGACGCGACTCGCGTGGCGAACGACATCGGAGTTGCTCTACAGCTCCGCACGGGGAAAGACAGAAATCTTGCGACGCGTACAAGCAGCACCAAAGCAACGAGGGACAGGTCTCTACACGTAAAGGCTGGCGCCTGTCCGGATCTATTCCAGGCATACATGGAATTATACACGAGCATGAGTCCACAGCTCGAGCCTTTGGGTCAACTAGGCACATCCCCAGCAACTGTCCATACATCTGAACCTACTTCTCTCCAATGATACCCAAAAGCAGTTTCTCATAGTCTCCCTTCGTCTCCTCCTTGATATCGTTCGCCAGACTCTGTCCATACTTCTTCTTGTATGCGTCCTTGGCTGCTTGCAATCTAGGCTTATCCCAGTACAGTCTCACCAATCGATTGATCACCAAACTGTCCTGTCTCATAGTCTTGTTCAGAGGGGTATGAATGAGCTTCGCGTCAGCTCTCGGTCTATCAATGGCATTCAAGAGCATGCGCATCAATACGTCTTCCATGTCACCTCGGAATTCCTTCTCAATCACATCCTCGAGCTTGCGATGATACTTACGCTCATAGTCACTGACCATGGCTCGGATCTGAGCGTCGTTGCAGGAGGTGAAGATCTGTGCCACAGCAACTGCATTAGCACCAATCGTGCCTTCAGTTGCACGGTGAAGCTCGGTGATATGTCTGTCGATCTCCTGTGGAATGGTAGGAGCTGCATCCTCTGCACGCTCGGCCTTGAGTACCATGCTGTATAGTCGGAAGAGGTCATCGTTAACATCATCCTTGATTACGCTCAATAGATCATGTCCAGTAATCCTCTTGTAATGAGCCTGAATGATCTTTAGATCGGCATTGGACCGACATAGTACGACGTCCATCAATGCCTCCTCGTCTGTACCTGCTCGGACGAGTGCCTTCTTGAGTATGAGTACATCTTGATCAAGAGGTGTACGAAGAAGAGCTAGACAACCCTCCTCAAAGTCACCTTTCGTCTCGCTTTCGATGTCCTTAAGCAGATCTCGCATAAATCGAGAATTGTACTCCTTGATCAGCTGCTGCATCGTCCAGGGGTTGTTGATCTTGGTGATGACACCAACAAGCGCTTTCTCGTCACAGCCAAAGCCCTTCATGGCACGGCGAATTGCTTCGGTCTCGTTACTGAGATTTGCTGGTGGTGGCCTCTGGCTAGCTTCGTCATACCCAAGGGATGGTCTGGCAGCTGGTACTGGCGGATGCTGCGGAGCACCATATGGTTGTTGGTAGTGTCCAGGCTATAAGAACGTTAGTGGATGCCGAACTGGAATATGAGCTGGATCTTACTGGCGGAGCTCCCCAGCCTTGTGGTAGTCCTTGTGGTGGTGGCACTTGAGCTGGATAGAATGCTGCTCCTTGCGGCTGCTGGCCATACTGCCCGTGAGGTGGCTGAAACTGTCCTGGTCCTGGTTGCTGTGCATATTGTCCTGGTCCTGGTTGCGGAGCATATTGGCCCGGTGGTGGTCCGTAGCCTTGATACTGTTGAACAGGCGAATATTTTTGCCCTGGATGTGGGTAACCTTGCGGAGGGGGGTGTTGAGGATAACCTTGTGGAGGGTAGCCATATCCAGGCTGTTGATAGCCTTGAGGTGGGTAACCTTGTGGGGGCCATTGCTGGTTGTGTTGTTGGTTTGCCATGATGATATGCGGCTGTCTTGCGCTGTGTTGAGCTGGCTGTAAAGACTCTCTAACCACTATTCTTCAGTTAGGGGTAGGCTCTCAATCGTTCGACTTCCTTGGTTGTCTTATGATGACAACTAATTGATGGAATATAAAGACGAGCTGGGGAGTCAGCTTCGTCTAACCGTTTGTTCCGGCCCCCATCTCACTCGAACTGCTAGTACTCATTCGGCTGTGATGTACCAACATTGCCCCTCTCTGATTAGACTAGCAACACTGCCAAGGAACCATTCACGACTTTGGCCATCGCATCTTGCAGGTCACAATAAATCCACGGTTCCACTTTGTTTCGGTTCGCAGGACGCCTTATCATATTCTAGAGGCTGCTATAAAGCTACTGTACAACCCTCCTAGTGAATCTTGCCATATTGTCTACATGAGGAATTGATTAGCTTCATGTTACACCTTTGTTTGACGCTTCGCGAATACTTTATGTCTACGTCGCATCACCTGCCCACAAGGCGAATGCTGTGTAGCGAGTCCAGAATCTCGAGAGAACCTGCCCTCCTTGTCGCACGCCATTCGAGAACATGCAACAGTTTGGGCAAAGCCAGACAGAGTCGCTTGCGACTGAGAGCTGGAACTATGTGTTGCCTGTTATGCTTTGGGCAGGTAGTTGGTGCCGTGACTGTGGCTTGGTATGGTCATAGCGAGTTTATGTTTTCTTTACTACGTGAGCGTCCGAGGTTGTGGCTGCTTGAAGGCAGAAAGCAGGCACCTCAGCACCTTCAGAGCGAATCTCAATTGTTCATTCCAATCTATGTGTTTGTATGTAAGCAATCCGTTGAAAGAGAAGGAAAGGACGCCTTTGAAGCTTTCTCAGGTTTTGCTACCCTCGTTCAAGGAATCATTGCTCGGCCACCATAAACAATGAGTTTTCGTATCAGTCATCCTGACTGGCCAAACATGTAGCAGAGCTGGTCACTGCTCAGCTCTTCCCAACGCTGCATTTTTGTGCCTTTAACGACAGCAATCTTACCTCTTATGCTGACTCTTACAAGAGCTCTTTATCACTGTGCCATAGCTCGATGTGAATATCATCAGGATGTTGATGCCTTATTGAGCGCTCCCAGTCAAGGATCAACTTGGCGATGTCAAATTCCGATGAAATCAGCGTACGTGGTTGATTACTTCCTCTGATCTTCGCGTATCGATTCTTCAGTGGTACGTAATGCTTGTAGCCATCGTCTCTTAGGTTTAGCGCTTCGTCGATTTGTTCAAGTTGAGGATGCATTGGATCCCTGCTGTGGTTTAGTGAGCGCAGTGGTACACAGAATGCTCTCAACTCCGGTCGACCTCCTGCACAAAAGTACACCATGACGAGCTGCCAATTCGGCTCTCCATGCACAGGCTGCAGCTCAGCATGGCGATCTTGCATTGAACTCAAACAACTGTAGTCTGTGTGCTCCTCAAGTCTCTTCTTCACTGGAGTATGAGTCAAGTCGATCACGAGCTCATCTCGTGCACGTTTCCCAAGTGTCGTCGTGGTTGTAGACGGATCTGCCTCTGTCATATCCTCAACTGCTGCTTTCTCCTCATTTGGGTATTGACACTGTACGATGGAGGCCTTGTCGTCTTGAGTAGATATGGAATCAACAATGACATTGCTATTCAAGCGCTTCTTCCAGCCATCAACTTCGATCTTGCCTGAACTGCTAGCCAAAGCAAAAACCTCACGGCTAGGATGAAGTTTTCTCCACTTCGGTACTTCGTAGTTCAGAAGCAGTAGAACGCGCGTTACATGCTGCTTATAATCAACTGCCGCTCTCTGAGCGTTAGTGTTTTGCTTCTATTGAATATGTGCTTCTAGGGCTTTCATCTCTGCTGCATAGACAGTGAAGATACCTGTACGCTCCAGAGCTTCCTCTATTGTGCCATTACTTGTGACTTCATGTTCGTCGATGTATGAACTCATCGGCAGATGTCGTCGGCAGAAGGTCAGGAGGTCCTCTCTCATCTGCTTCATCGTCGCCTGATTACATTTTTCATCTTGCGTGCAAGCTGTCACCATTGTCGACCAATTTGGTGCGATATGAATGGTCTTTATTTTGTCCACCATGTTGACTTGCTCACACACAATGCCCGCGCTGTCCACGTGTAAGCGTTGAGCTTTGGGTATGCTGAGGGTAACAATGGGACCTGCTTTGTCAGGTATCTTCGATGGTTTGAAAATTGGAATCTTTGCTGCGACAGGCTAACTTATCTTTCGAGACTGAATGACTAGACAGTGAAGTGGCAGTCAGCTAAAGTGATGGTTTTCATACTACCGACACCTTCACCACAGCTGAGTGAAAACGTGAATGCTACTACCTGCTGGATAATGTGTTTTCCTGGCTTAATATAGCTCTCTTGCTGGTGCGAGCATTCTGCTTTGTCCACCGTCGCATCGTGCAAAACAGAGCAAAGCCAGAGGGATAACAGAGTTTCCTTAGGTGTGCTTGATAGTCCTGCTCAGAAGAAGGGTGCGAAGATCAACCACAACTTGGCCACGATTCTCTTGTCAAGAAGTGAGTGGCCAGAGAGCTTTTTCTCGGCCCGGGGACTCTGTCCTCCTTTGTGCCTGCTACTACTCCTATTTCCTCGGCCTGGCAAGAAGATTCAGACGATCCAATTCGAGTCTGCTCCCATTCACTTTCATCCGTACGTCTCTCGCCTGAATCTTCCACATCTCATCCAGATGTTTGTACTGATCTATCGTTACTTTGAAAGTGATCTGTCCTTTCACCAAATCCCTGTCTCCAAGCACACCTGCAATCTTTGTATCGAAGTGCTCGAGCATCTTCCTGGCAAGCTCAGGCGGAATGGTACTTGATTCAGCCATATCGTCCAGTGCATCGATGAAAGTGCTGCCAAGGGTAGATAGACTAAATACGTGGTCCGGATTTAAAGCTGGGGAGCATCTAAATTGCTCGAATCGGCTTCAGGCTGGTCTCCAGATGCTTCTGTACTTTCTTCGTCTTTAATCAGTGGGTCTGAATCAGTGTCCTCTTCTCTCTTGATGTATCGAGCCTCTTCAGCAGGCTCCGTCTTGATCATCTGCTTCTTTCGTGATGACATCGTGAGGTGCCTAATATTGGAAGGAAGATTGTAATGTGCCCAAATACCACCAGGGATCTTGCATCGGGAGTCTACGCGGGTATTAATGGAGATGAATTCGTGTATGCAGGGGATCTAGAATCAGGCTGAAGGCACAAGGAGCTGCTTTATGTCAGGGCTCTTGCAAACAAAGACCATGACTTATTCCCGGTACAATCTTGACATTTGCTTGCCAATGACTCTCGCACTTCAACCTGGGCAAACGACCAAACCACATTGTACAAGCTTCAAGTCCGTTGGGCATGTTTTAATTCAGCAATATTTGCTGGTACGGACTGTCAAATGGACCGTCTCAAACTGCTGGCACAGAATCTCGAAAATATGCCCGTCTTCTAGTCGCGTTCGCCTGTCGAACTAATGGTGTCAGCAATGTCCTCCATGGCTTTCGTTTTCATGTCATGTCGTGAGCCTGGATTTGGCAACTCGGGCTGTTGTTGAATGAGTAGGATACCATCTAGGTGCATTTTTATCGAATAATCCCTCACCCATACACGCCCATTCGGAAAGTCCATCTTGGGTTGAACACCAGTTTTTTTTGCTGTGGGCTCATGCCGTGGAGCTCAGTAAGTTCTTGCCCTCGGAATCCATTACTGCTTGAACGAAGAACAAACGCGCAGACGTCGAGTCGCATCGTGTAGGTAACTTCATCAGCGCCGGATCATGTGACCGAAACTAATTGTGCTTTCGTGCTCCACTGAAGTTCTTTGAACTCATTAAGCCTGTGTCGAGCAGCATATATCATGTACCTTCAACTAGCACAATATGTGAAAGTGTAGAAGCACATCCTATACATATCGTCTTATACTCAAATGCTTATCGAGGCCGCTGTGAACATAAAGAACAGTTTACCGTATCATTCGAACGTCATTCCTGAGACAACTATAGTGTAAAATCAAACAAGGATTAATTAGATACTGTCGTGAGGTTCACGAGTGCATGTGGAAATGCCTGAGGCGTTAGGTCATAGGCTCGTGAGGTATCTGGTATGATGCCTTAGTCATTACGGTGATGCCTGAATCAGGAGAAGTAGGCATTCAGTACATAGCTGCTACCTAGACACCACACACATAGCACATAGGTATGACACACATCACCGTCGACGTACAGCCTTACTGCGCAGCCTTGCCATCGTCCTCTTTATAGAGCACCCGTACTTACCACTACAATACTAAGCTAGAAGTAAAGGCCGTAGTAGGCCGCTTTAAGTAGTTATATAGCACTAAGTCGCTAGCCTATTTTATATCCTCTACTACCTAGAAAATTATTCTAACTTTTATCTTATCTATTACTTTTACTTTCCCCTTTTTATATTACTCGAATTCCCATATACTAGCTATACTATTTTTTATTTTTTTATTTTTATACTAATAGTTAAGAAGTTCTATAAGAATAACTAAAGTGCACTTGTTCAGCCCAGCTTCTTAGATCTTGAGATTGGAGCAATGGCTACCATCGTGGAGTCTGCATACGTTAGACAAGCAGGCACAGTTCAGCAAGATATGTCGTGGGTAGTAGCCGTGCGTGGCTGTACACGATTCGACATCAGAGTCCGACACAAAGAGATTAATGCGACACATTTTGGTGATCAGTACTTGTCTATACTTAAGGCGGTCAGAGACGAGAAAGACCTATTTATCAAGTCCGACAGGCCACTTGACTATCTCTGCAATTATTGCTTGCCGCTTATGGAAAGCCTCGCTCCACGGATGTCCTTTGGAGGTCTTACACTCGAAGACTTCGTACATGCGCCACTGTATACTCTTGAAGTTGTTAGGACGGATGTTCCGGGAGACACTCGAATTACGGGCGGAGATGAATGTTCTTATACACCAGCTCAGTACATATTGCCTTTAAAGACCGAAAACTTACCGTTAGGGTGCAGTACTTTACCTCGATTTGCTGCTCGTCAAATCAGGGTCGACGATCACGACCCTCGAAGAGGCGTTTATGGGAAGGTTCCTATACCAGAAGGAGGAAATATGTATTTCAAGCCACGAGAAGAAGCCCGTGAGAAGGAGTTCGATCGCGAGCTTAGCATTTTAAACGATATCAAGAAGAAGTGTTTGGCTAAAGGCGAGATCAAGTTACCAGATCTGCAGGGTATCGTGGTATCTGGAGACGTTGAGGAAACATGTATTGGCATGCTGATGAATGTAATCCCTACGTCATCATTTGGCATAGACCTAACAAGGCCCGAGTGCTGGGCACAAGGCGAGCTACACAAGAAGTGGGAGCAGCAGGTAATTGCCACAGTGGAAGTGCTACATACTCACGACATTATCTGGGGCGACGTCAATGCGGGGAACATTGTCATTGACGAGGCGTTGAATGCTTGGGTCATCGACTTTGGTGGGAGGAACAACCCCGAATTTGTGGACGACGACAAAGCAGAGACAATAGAGGGTGACTGGCAAGGCGTGGAAAGATTGTTTTATGTGTGGCTGCCGAATCGTAGAGCAGACATTCCGTGGTAAACCGTTACTTAGGTAACTGACAAAGGTATTTTAGTATTATCGTACCATTTCTACGGACGCTTTAAGGCGGGAGAGTTTAGATCATATGCCTTTGCGGGAGAGGGTTAAGAAAAGATTCTCTTCGAGAGAACTCGTTCTCCTTTGTCTCTTCTTGTAATCGCTGAAGTGAAATCTCAATCTCGATATCCTCATAAGAACTCAACTCAACTCATAGATCACTCAACTCGCCCTCCACGGGAAAGAACGACGGGAACTGTTCTAGTGCAGTGGCCACAAACGGTCCGACAATGTAAGGTCGTCCACTGCACAGTCTTTCCAAGCAACGAGTGGGGGACAGCCGACCGCTTCGAAAGTTAGGATGCAGCTCGCCGTATGATAACCAGTGTTCGAGGTTTTCTGCCTCTGATAACAGCTCCTGCGCCTCGTTGGCGACGGCTGTTGCGTGGGATTCCGTTGGTACGCCTGGATAGCGGCTGCGAAAGCTATGAAGGTACATCAATTCCAGAATCTGGTCTCTGCTCAGTGTGGGATGAAGGCTTGCGAAGGTTGCGCGGGCTTCAGGTCGGGACTCTGGCTCAGTCGTGACAGGGACTGAGATCCGTTCGGGAAGAGGTTCTGGTATACCAAAACTTGGGGCGAAATTGGCGATTTCCCGTCGTCTACGGTTGAGTCTGTCCATCACGATGCGGATACTCCTTCCTTCAGTCGTGGTTCTAAATTCCCAGGAGCTGACTTCCACGTCGTCGGCGATTGTGCTGAGCCAGTGGCTTATGGAAGTCCACAGGAGGTCTCGTTTTGTGGAAGGTTTTCTGTCGTATTGTTGTTTGCAAAAAGGACACAAGCCTTGGCCTGATGTGGTCGCATAATTGAACCAGGAGTCGAGGCAATCTTTGTGCCAGCTATGCCGACACTTCTTGTGAGTATAGCTGCTGTCATTCTCTTCCAATTCATCTTTGCAGATCATGCATTCTTTCTCATCTTGGCCACGATATGGTGAGCCATTAGTGCAGTAGAGATCCAGATAACGGGGGTGGCTTTCCCGTTTGCTGGTGTCGAGCTGAAGAAGAGGTTGTGTGTCGCCATTGGCGCTTGTGTTTTCGTTGTTGGAGTCCATATTGGAAGTCTCGTTTTCGTTGTGTGGAGTCATGTTGAGAGTCTCTTGAGTATTGGCAGATTGTTCTTGCTGCGTTTTCATATGTGTTCTGTTGTTTTGTGTACGAGCAGGATATTCTGATGCGGCGAACGCTTTTCTTATAAAGGCAAATACTCGTATGCGGCTCAGCGTTACACAATAGCCTGAGCTGCCTTTCAAAATCTCTGCATTGTAAAAGATAAAGGATACGTCTATCGAGATACAATGCAACAAAGACAGCTGCACTTTGTTTTGATGTAAAAACTCATTGTGCCAACCCTTTGATCTTCTCATTATGCGCGTGAAGATTGCTAACTTTCGTGATGGAGTAGTACCTGGGTATGCAGAGCAGCACCTCGGTGGCGTGAGTTTGAGCTAGATTTCCTGTCCCGAAGTCGAGAGCCAGAACTGGAGCTTCGAGACTGCGGTTGTATTACAGTGCTTAGTAAATGGCATAGCTGTGGGCAAGACAGCGACATGCTGACAACCAACCATTCCTTCCAACCTAGCTATGCTGCTCAAGCTCTTCATCAACAATACCGCGGTGCCACACGAAATCGTTTGTAAGTACGTGGTGAAACGACATGCTCGCGATTCTCTCCGAATTCTATGACAGATGAAGGCGATGGGTCGGATATTGCCTGTTGGCATGTTGGGCAGGGCAACTGGGTAGAGGTGTCAGGGAGCATCGAACTGATAGTACTCGAAGTGTTAGCATGAAGGCGGAGCTCGTAGGGGATTGTCCCGTGGTGCGGGACTATCTCGTATGCAAGCGTCATAGGAGAAACCTGCGTGGCCTAGATTGTCAGTACCATTGATCACAGCTGTCCAGAACTGTCCTGAGTAGTTTCCAGCTTTGTAAGCCTCTTTGGTAGTGTATAGGGCTGGGCCGGCAAAGAAGTGCAGTCCTGAAACCACCAGTCTTCCCAATAGTGCCAAGAGTCTTTGCCTCTTCGTGACTGCGCTAAATCTTGCCAGTGGTGTCTCCTCAAATAAAAACAACAGTTGCGGACCGGTTCAAGTATTTCTTCGACACAACGAAGAACATCTCGTTCACCTTCCTTGTTTGAGATTTAACTGTACTCGAAAGGCACATCACACAGAACCATTAAGAAACTGAAACACAGGTAATTCAAGCATCTTGAACACAAGCAGGTTTCTTACTCCTCACAGCGATCCGTCGACAAAAGTGTCAACCTCTGCAGCATACTCTGCACGATGAACGCACCACCCCACCAGGTAGGCTACCAGCTGGGTTGGGGTTGGCCCTGTGCAGGTTGCGGTCATATCTTTGCCAGACAAATCGATCTGAGAGATCACCAAGAGAGGAGGCAAGTGAAAGAACAATGTAAAGCCGCCAGGAATAGAACGCCCATCCAAGTCGATCATGAGGGTCAGCCCCTACGAGGATCCTGGACTCTAGTCGTATCATGGGATGGAGTGAATGCAGGAATAGCTTGTCGACCGACACAACCTACAAGTATGTTGCTTGCTTCACAAATCTCTCGTTAACCAGAAAGTATCCAAGTTGCTGACGAGAAAGACCCATCATTGCGACTAGCAGGGCCGGGAACGGAAAGACCACTACCGGTTCTCAATGATAGTGATTCTGACGAAGAGGAGGACATCGAGGTTGAGCCTTCACAGCAAAAAGAGGTCTGTATAGCTGGTATAAGCCTCGATGAGGTTGTTGACTGACGAATACCAGCTTCGAAAATCCAGATCGCCGCCGGCCGACCGAGAGGTGTTGGAACCTCCGCAGCAAGAAGAGGTTTGTGTAGATAGTTTGCGCCTCGATGAAGTTGTTGACTGACGAACATCAGCTTAGCGAATCCGGATCGCCACCTGCGGATTGGGAGATGGGATTTACCACAAGTCCATTGAATGCACTTCGACCCCTGTATCAACTAGATCCGATCGACGAGGATATATCCACCAACCACGGCGGTAGTGCGACCGGTTTCGGAAGAAGCTTTCTTGATGAGGCACGCCGGAACAGACTGCTAGGACAAGCGACGGTAAGGTCGCCCCTTTCGACGCTCATGCCATCATTTCTGATGCAATTTCCAGGGTACGACTGCTCCTGTCAACACCCAGCCCGTGCAGGCAGCCAATCCTTGGAATGTAACGCCTCTCGCAAAGGATCGGCGAGAACAGGTGGCTCGCGATAACCCAGCTGCCGGGCTTGGGCAGGAACCGGCCCTTGAGAGGGCAAGACATGAGGTAGACAATTCGGAAGAGCCAGCAGCTCCTGCAATCCCACCATTTCAGCTATCAGCAAATTTCGAGTTTTTCCAAAACGACACTATGTAACGATACGAGGACGAGGTGAAGGCTTGGGAGGAGAGACATCGTAAGTAGCCTCACCCTCGACCCTCAGTGCAAGTCGATGCCTCCATGTCAGAACAACGGCCTGCGTTCAGGAACCGATATATCCGAGCTCCATCAGGTCGTGACCTCTTGCAAATGTTAACCAACGCGCGGGACTCTCCGAATGTATAGCTCGTATACGAGTTGTATCAACCAATTTGCCAGGCAAGAACGTGGTCAGCCTTCCTCGTCGCTGCTGTGCACAACCGAGGGGTGTTCGTTATGGCCTTGGAGATATGGCTTTTGTGCTGTTAGGAATTTCGGATCGATACCTACACGCAACCTGTGCGAGTCGTGAAGGTTAGCTGCTCCTTTCCTGATCTTCCTAGCCTGGATATCCTCTGCCTGTCGTATCTGGAAAGCGAGATATGCTTGAATGTGGAAGGTTGTTTGAGTCAGGACCAGGTCAAGACTTGGGCTATCGATATCGTTCGTCGAGTCGATGAGAGGTAACATCGTCCGGAGGCCCGCATGCAGTTTATATGTACGCTCGATTGTCACCTTCTGCTCAAATTTGGCGCAGCCATCGCACGCGAAGGAATTGTGATTCTCAAACACATTGAAAGGTATCCGAAAGGTGTACACTAGGATTCGAAGACTTGCAGAACAGCAGCGGGACGTGAAATGTTCAATGGGTGAACCAAGCTTCGAGCTTCGGGCTTCTGAAGCGGCGCCTTGGCAAGCCATGGTCCGATTTTTAGGTCTTCCTTCTCCATCCTGGAGCTTCCTCACAACCTAAAGACATTCCTGTTTGCCCGAGCACTTCGCAGCACTGACTACACCAGCTGCTTTCCTGTCCTGCTTTATTTGATTCATGTCAGCGGTCTTATCTATGCGACAGCAACGACGCACACGCTTTGTCCCACGGTGATGCCTGATGTCTTTTGTCTTCCTACGCAATGTGACTGACCCTTTAGCCCTAATCGATCACGCAAACCCATTGACAAGCTCGTTCAGCAATCGTCCCAACCACTTCCCATATTTACAGCAGTCATCTCAGTGATCGCAGGAAACGAGCACGCTATACATTTATCCAACGCAAGCTCACCAGCAAGGCAGTCTAGCACATACCCCTGACTCTACATCGTGAACCACAGAATCACGGCGAAGCACGCGGACCTGCACAGATATCTACCCGATCGATTCTTGCACCTATCTTTTTCGAAAAAAACTACCACAGAAGTCACTGCGCAAGCACGCCCATGTCGAAATAAATCATCAATCAATTCTCTTGAGACGCATACACGGGTGTTAGCATTCAATAGAACAATGAACACCAGACAACGAAGCAGAGGATAACAACACGGAAATGGGTGTAAACCTTGGTGAGATGTCTCAACGTGGCCAGCCTCCTCGACCTTGCCAAATCTGAATGGGGCTACAGTGTCCTATACTACCATGATCCACATGACTGAATTAGAGAGTTTCATGCTTCGAATAGAAGCTCAAGTCTCCGATTGTGCCTAAGAACCGAGCTGTATATTCTTCTAACCACTTACAAGACTCGTGCATGCACTGATGAAGCTCAAATCATGTGCAAAAGGCTTATAGGTGGCGCCTGGTCAAGTCTAACATCTTATCGATGGGAATGGCAGAAAAACAACATACATTCGTTTAAGGAAGGACTTCAAGAACAAGTATTTGAGTTGACTTGCAGCAGTACTTGGCCAAGCAAATAGACTCATCGACAACGACGACAAGCCACTGGTAACATGGCTAGCGAGCCTACAGTAAGGGACATTGGTATGTGACTTATTCCTGCCAAGCACGAGTCATCCATCTCGATCTTCTCCATCATCGTCTACCAAAACAGATTGTGCAGAAGGATTATCAGCGTGAGCATATCACTTCAGATGCAGAAGCAATAGCAACCAGGAGCAAACCATGACGTTCAGTACGTGTTTATTTGCAGGACACCAAGCGATTGAGAGAACAGGTCGAATGTCTCTACGGCGCAACGCACAGAAACACCAGGCCTGCGGCACTCATCACGATCGTCGGGCCACATCACTACCTCCCTAGGCTGCCTTGAATACACAAAGAGGCACCTTAACCTAAGGCACCCGAGTCGCCTGGAAATTTGAAATCACGTGGCGTAGCAAACTGTTGAATTCTGAAGTGATACTGCGAGTATTGTTGTTCCTCCTGAACCGAGCAGAAACTTCTCACAACAGTAACCACAATCCGATCAAGATCAAATACTCCATCTTCAAAGTAACGTCTATGCCTCCTCACATCTGATTACTTACTAACGAGGCTGTCAGAACAAAACCAATCAAATAACGGTAATGGCAACCATCAACTCCCTCCCAAACAAAATTTTAGCTCAAATTGTGGGCTACCTGGACGAGGTGGACGAGAACGTCCAATTGTCCCAGTACATCCACGATTGGACCATCGTGGAAGACCCATACAACCTCAGCATTGGGGAGTACGATTTGTCGGTGCTTGCGGCAATGCAAGTCAACCAGCTATGGAGGGAAGTCGTCCTCAACATGGTGTCGAGCAAGGTGGAGGGAGTCTTGGAGGGCAGGATGCGAAAGGTCGATAGCTCTCAAGGCTATTGAGTGCTTCAAAGCGGCCATCAGAAGAGGTTAGGGCCAAAGGCCAGCATTCTACACTGATGTCCTCTCTGTACAGAATGTGAAATTGCGCAACTATATATGCACATTCACCCAAGTTCTTACACCTCCTCTTCTAATGCTTTTCCTTGTGATATACAGTAACAGTCTTGGCCTCGTTAATATATAAGCTCCCGCAAATATCGTGCTACTGATTGGTGTTGAAAGCGTCGAATTAGGTTGTTTCTTCCCATGAACATGATTGGCCAACATCTCGAACAACAGCTTCGACTACAACCCGCTTCAGCCTGAATATACTACGCTTCATGACTGTTGCTTACTAGAACGCCTCACTATAGATCAGCGCTGACACAAGCAAGTGATTGCATTCATGTCCGGGCATGGACTCCTTCCTACTCAAGCACAATGTTATCGTAGGCAATTGAACTAGCAGCCCTGACCTCGTCCGTTCTGTCCACATCATGACACAAATAACATATGGCCATGTGTTCCACGACATCGCAATCTCGGGTCATGCCAGAGCTATCTTCGGCGACGTTCACGTCAGTTGTCCTGACTTTCTCGAGCACCTTACTCCCATCCAGAAACGGAAGGGTATGTCAGCATATTCTCCTGTACGCAACATTCTGATTCTAATTGGCGTTGTTAGCCTTGCTCAATGCACTGTTCTACGAAGATATGCACCGTCGATCTGCGCACATCGAAAATGCCAGGCCCAAAACATGCGATTGGATCTGGTCAACCGCATTCGCAGATTGGCTTGCCGAACCACATCCCAATACCTTGTTCTGGATCTCAGGTAAGCCAGGGTCTGGAAAATCTACGTTGATGAAGCACCTCTCTACCAGTAAAGAAACTCGGTCTAAATTACCAGGGACGTCAACCGGAGGGAAAGGATGGTCGATCTCACACTTCTTCTTCGATTTCAGAGCGGCTAAAGGAACGCCAAATACTGAGCAAGGTCTGCTGAGATCGCTCCTCTACCAAATCACTAGCGAGTTACCGCTCGAGCGCGATGTTCTGGCAAAATATGAGCTGACTTTGGAGCAGATATTGTCCTCGCAACAAGCCGACAAAATGATCGACATGCTTGCGGAAGTGATCAGATCCGAGAAATTAAATGTGCTCTTCTTCGTCGACGGACTTGACGAGTACGAACACGACATACGAGAGCTTATTCGATTGCTAGAAGAAGTGCGTTCGCGGACGAAATTGAGGCTCTGTCTCGCCAGTCGGCCGGAACCTGCGATACAGGCTATGTTGAATGCGGTCCCTCAGATCAAGGTACAGAATTTCAATGCATCTGGAATCGAGGTCTATGTTAGAACCACAATCAAGGACCTGAGGACAAATGTGAACTATGACCAAACAATACCGATTGAGCCATCCATTACCTATATCCTGGACAAAGCTGAAGGCGTTTTCCTGTGGGTTCATTTTGCTGTGAACACCTTTCTCGAGTGCCTCGTGATAGGTTGTGTCGAAAGTGAGATCAGAGGTGCTCTCGAGCTTTTACCAACACAGCTCGACAAGATGTATGACCGTCTTTTCGAACAAGTGCCGTCAGTGTGCAGGAACGAAGCCTCCATGGTGTTACTTCTGGTTGAGAGTGCCTCGCATGTGGTTGATCTAGTCATGTTGCACAGGTTGTGGCTCTTTCTATACACTACTCTCGGGCTTGGTCCTACAGACTATGAGAAGCTTTCCCTAACCCAATTTCAGCTTCGTTTGAGAGGATTTCTTGGTGGTCTGCTTGACTTCGAGATATGTATTGACGATTTTCAGAACGACTTTAGCAAGAGTGTGACTGATATGCACAATCAAACAGTCCGAGTCCGCCTGCTTCACGAAACACTTCGGGCATATATGAGAGACCGATCGCAACTACAAGAGTGGAGACACCCAAAACTGTCGTCACTCTATCACGACAACGCCTGGTTACGAGTTTACACGGAGGTCCTCGACTGTGCGCATTCTTCCCTGCAGCGTCCAGCATGGGACATTGTCTGCGATGTCGAACAGCAATACAAGCTCGAACGAATCTCGAAGCCGCAGCCGTGGCGGGCAGCTCGTGCAAAGTTCTTGTCTTATACAAGTGAGGTCAAGTCTTCTTCCGAAGAGGACTATCACAACAAAGTCACGAATCTCATGCTTCCGTACGCTGTACTCAATCTCATGACAGTTGCGACTGCTACTGCCGTGACCGAGGGCCCCTTGTTTGAAAGCTATTCGAGAGCATTGCAAAACCCTATCGTGTTATTGTTTGATACATTGCAAGGTTCGAGGGTGCAGATTGGTCTCTCCATGAAATACAGGGCTGAACCTTCAATTTGTGACTTGGCGCTTGCTGCAGCTAGAGCATGGACCTTATACTTCAAAGCACATCGAGAAAGATTACGACCACTTTCTCGCGTTCAGATCAGATATCTAATCGTTTGCGCGTGTGGTGGCAGCACAACTTTTGACTCGAGTCAACCCGCCAAAGTGTATTCAGGGATTTTTAGAGATGACACTATAACAATACTTGATATGCTGTTCGAAGCTGACTCTAGTATCGATAACACCCATGTGGCGTTCCTAATGCAAAGCCAGTTTTCCGAAAGAGTTGCCCCTTTACTAACAACACTGGAAAAACTCTACAAGCAGTCGAGTGAAAGTTCGCCGAAGACTTCGATAGAGCTACGGCAATCCGACTGGAGCAAGTTCACACATTCTTTGTCCCATGCTCACGGAGTCGACCTCATCGAGTTCTGGTTGCGTCAAGATCAACCTATCAAGGTCTTTGATTTGTGGCTCGCATTCTTCAGATCCGTTGGTTTCAATCTGCATGAATGGCAGGACAAGGCTGGGAACAACGCGATACTTCATGTTTTGGAGACGTTTAGATTCGATAATGCGAATCTTTGGGTGACAGCCGACATCGATATCAATGTTTTCACCATCCAAAAAGCATTGTCGTTAGAGGAGTTTGGACTCAGATTACCTATCTGGACTCCAGCTGGAAGATCAATGTTTGACAAACTGCGCGAGACATGTAATACCTTTGTCAAGGGCATCTCACAATATACATATGCCGACTGGCATGGTAAGAAGGTATACCCAAATGCAGTTTCGGCTCTCGCGAAAGATCTGAAGCAATTTCTTCGTGTCGCCAAAAGTCGAAAAAGGGAACTTCCAATGGTCACCAACGACGCTCCATCTGTCAAGGTAGAGCGTCCGTTGGTCGAAGTAGAACCTCGGACAGGAGGTACAGCTGGTCAGTCGAGTGAAGTAGACCGTGGCGACCAGGAACCAGGCAAAGCAATTGCTAGGGCCACGAGCCTCTCGGACATACTCCTTCTCAAAGCAGATAACCTCGCTTCGCCAGCAAGCCAGACTACTGGGAAACCCTCGTCTTCCTCAATAGATGACCTGATTCAAGATAGCGACGAAGACAATGCAGAAGGCGTGCCAGAAGTGCCGCAAAACGAGGACGAAAGCTCGGGATCCCTATCACAGGACTTCAACGATGGTTTGTTGAAAGTTCAGCAAGGGCATACGTCTGGAGGTACACCTCTGAGGGACGAACGAAGCCACTCGCGATCTCCCAGTGCGCCCCAGCAATTACCTGAGCTTCAAGTCACTTCCGCCGAAAGTCCTCGAGAGCACGAAGGCTTGCAGGGAAATGCTAGTCCTGATCAGTTCTCCCGACCACTGAGACCACGTAAGTCAAACCTATGGGCAGCCCTAAGGCGGTTGCGACCTAAGAGTATCGGATGACGAATACTATGAGAATTAAGAAAGTGACTTGTGCTTTTCGCGTTTTGGTTCGCTGGGCGATCGAGAGGTCCCTACCTGGAGTCGCCTCAAACCATCTATCAGTAGCTACCACGGCACCTCAGCGCCGTCGTATTGGTTAGGACCTTCGGCATTCTCCCAGCCATCAACCTTGATATTGAGGAATTTGCCATTCTGCTCCACAGTCGACTTCAAGATGATATCCACAACAGCAGCGACACCAACTTCCACATCCAAATCAGCTTGAGCGCTACCCATGTCTGTCTTCAGCCACTGGAATATGATCAGCTTTGCAAGATAGATATGATGTCATGCTATCACTTACCCCTGGAGTGACTGATATGGTCGTAAAGCCTTCCTGGCCAAGACCAATTGCGTATTGCGCAGTCAGCATGTTCATGGCCGCCTTGCTGATCTTATAGGAATAATTTGACGCCCAGCTATACTTGTGTACCTGCGTCATCGAGCCGAGAGTAGTCGAACTGCACCAGAGCGTCAGCCAGAGCACCTTCACTGGTATCACGCCCAAGGCCTGGAGGCCAAGCTATCAAGCATACTCACATGTTGACGATCTTCTTTGCGATCCCTCGTTTCAGCAAATCAACGCAACCTGCAGTAAGGACCTGAGCGGTAACAACGTTGGTCCGAAAGATCTCTGCCAGATCCTCCCCTGGCATATCCCAGACTTTACCGTTAGTGAACGTCATTGCACCCGCATTGTTCACAACAACATCTAGCCCTTTTCCCGCAAGGTGCTTCTCAACTTCCGAAACTCCAGCCGCAACATCTTGTGCAGAAGTCAGGTCCTGTATAACAACATTTGTGATTCGAGAAGAGTCAGATTGAGATGAGATAAGCTTGTTGAGCTGGTCAGATGGGCCTCGTGTTATGGCGAAGACTGAAGAGACTTGTGAGGACGGGAGGAGAGAGAGCTGACGGACTAGCTCGAGGCCTAAGCCGCGTGAGGCACCCGAGATGAGATAAGAAGACATGGCAATGTGAAGATAGTTTGTATAGTACTTGTTCAGAACTGAAGGTTGTAAAGACGTGAACACGATATGCCTGAGATATGATCGACTTAAATCATTGTTCTTGTGAAGCTCGAGCTCGAGCTCATTATATATGCCATGGCGGCCTTGCCTAGAATCCTAGCGAGCCAAGATGTTACAAATCGTGGTGTAGCTATCGTTCTATTGCATATCTTGGCACTCTTTCCTACGAGCTTATGCAGTCTTTCGGACAAAGTTGGACAAGGTATACCTGCCGGCCGATGAGTCAGTTTCATGCTCGCGGACAGGATGTTACACATCGGCTTGATTCGAGCGTATCTCCAAGCAAAAGAATTTTAACTAGTACAATCCCGTGAAATAGCTGGTGTTACACGATGATCGTCGTATCGAGACGGTCTACGCTCTTTGAGGAATTCGATCTACAATCTTGTCGGGCGGCTCGTTCCGACCATTTACAGTGATTCGCGGATTTAACGTTGATCTTGAACGTCTTTCTAAACGTTACGAGATTCCACGAAGTCGTCCTATATCCGTCTATGATAGGGAACTGTTGTAGATGATTCGCAAAGACCATTAGAACGACCTCGTTATGGCTTGGTGACTGTATTCATTTTTCGTTGGTCATCAAGCTACATGGAACGATGGAAGGTGAGCCGAAGCTCTATCTCAGGAGCTCTCAAGCTTTGTCGCCTATCACTCTCGTAACTCTACACGACGGCTACCATCACTTTCGCAGATGCGCGGAATATGTCTTACAAGCATGCATCTCACATGAGACTCAGCGACATGGCTATACCTTTTGCCATGAATTATGCTTCTGATAAGGCTGAGCCCGGACGTTGGCATGCTTAGAGCTTCGCAATGAAGCTATTCGGATATGCTGCAAACAGCACTCCATGACTGTGTAGATCCAAACGGTAGGCTGAGTAAACGATGCTGACTATAACTGTTACGATGAGACTTTGCTGAAGCGAGTGTTTGACGAGTGAAAGTCACAACTGAATTTCACTACAGTATCGACCAGGTCAATACGACCACGCACTTTTAGCAAAAAATCTTCCTCGATGGTAGATTGAATTTTCTTCTCTTCGTCTTGACAGACAATTTACGATGTGTGATGATGCTCAACACTCGGATTCAGGTGGTCTTATTTCGGTCGGTACAGCTGAGGCTCGAGCACTGTCTAACCACAAAGCCGTACTCGTTGACAATCCAAAAACGCCTAGATCAACATGTTCCAAGCCTTGGGGCTCACAGGATCTGACAGGAATAGAGTCGATTTCGCAGGAATCACCTACTCGAAAGCTTCCAGAAATACCTCTACCAGATGTGTCTACGATGCGACCTCCACCAGGCTTCTCTACGCGTACTCCTCTTTCTCCTACTTCGCCAGACACAATGAATGACCTGCGCAGACGACCGGAATCAAGCGCGAAGAGACTATCCATTATCGACCCATCGACTGTACGATTGAGCTTCACAGGCAGTATCTCTGACATATCGACTCCGATAACAGTACCACTTGAAGAAGGCCTCCAGAAACTCTATCAAGTCTACGAAAAGTAAGAGCAACACCACCCACATCCACGCACACCAGACTAACCCCCAACAGCAACGTCGAAAACCCTATCCCCCTCCCAAAATCCGTCCAGATCACGAACATCCCCCTCTCCACAATCGCCGACTCCCTAGCCCGCCGCTTCCAAGAACAACACGCTGCCCTCCTCGACTGCGCCTCTCAACTCCAATACATCAACCAGCAACTCCAGCTCTCAAAACAAGACCTCAATAACATGGAATGTCTCTACTCCGTCGCAGTGCAAGAAGCCAACCGTCGAGCACTAAGTTCAGATGCATTACACCTCCGTCTCGAATGGCAGAAAGAGGAGATTACTCGCATTGATGCGGAGAAAGAGGATGCGCTGAAGAAAGTTGAGCAGCAGAAGGGGGAGAATACGCGGTTACAGGGTGAAGTTGAGACACTTAATGATTTTGTCGAGGAGAACGAGATGCTGAGGCAGAAGAATGAGGAGCTTGAGCGGAGGCAGAGGTATCTTGAAGGGGAGGTGGAGGAGATGCGGGCGCGGCTTGAGCGGTCGGATCATGTGCTGCGGTCTGTGCCGTCACCTGTGCAAAAGATGTGTGCTAGATTGTTGGTGCCGAGGGAGGGGCAGTATGGAGAGTATAAGAGGCGCAAGGACAAGGGTAGGGACAGGAAGCGCTCGGGCTATCTGATTGATGATGCGCCTTTACCGCCATTGCAGTTTTACTAGGATGGAGTATGCGAGGGTACTGCTGCATATACCAGCAACTTCTAGCAGCATTAACCATCCGATTGTCTATGGTTTCGAGCACTTGCTCATCATGCTACGGATTTTACTTGCATGAACAGCTGAGCCTGGGCTGCCTGCCTTCGGATCACGATGCGAGCACGACCATGACTGCCGATATGTGAGTAGACAAGCGACGTTCAGGTAAATCCTACTTCTTCATCGAGAACTTCTGCCGCACTTCTGCCGCCCACCTAGACACAGGAAGCGCATTCTCCTCCAGCTGAGCTTGGTTGTATGCGATGGGATCTCTAAGATATTCTAAAAGCAAAGCATGTTTGCAATCGACACGTGGACGCGATGAGAGAAAGTTCTGCTGTATACGCCACTCCCTGATGTCTTGACCGAGAGGCATGTCGTCTCGATGAACGCCGAAATGGAACTGTGAGTTTTGGCTCCGCGAGTAGAAGTATGCCGGTCGGTCTGTGGTCGTAGGAACAGATATAGTGTCCATGTAAGGACATTTGGTCCGTCCCTTGTCTTCGAGCCACAGGAAGCTCTGCAGCTGGGTATTAGGACCACAAGGCTCGATGGCTCCATCGTGCAAGAGGAGCAGATCAAGTCGGTCGAACGGTGTCCGTTTCAGGTGAGAGAGCTTGCAGCCGCTCTCTAACTCGCATAGTATAGCAGCATGGACGGAGTTGCCTTGTTGACAGCATGCATCTGTCAGTCTTTCACCGCGAGCGACGAAGAAGCGCAAGAGCTCTCTAGTGTCTTCGTCCGGGTACCGACGCGCCACTGCCCACAAAGGACCTGTACGAACAATCGAAGGTCCAGCCTTTGGGTTGAGAGGCTTAGTCCTCACTTCTAGGTACCATGGTTGCTGCTTCTTGCACGTTTCAATAACAGTTTTCACATCGGCCGGCTTAGCCGACTGAACCATTTCTAGCAACAGGCCATTGTTGTTGAAGGTCCGAATTCGAGAACATACAAGTTGAAGTATCCGTGTTGTGGCTGCAGTGGACGGGATTGTCGTATTCTCTATGGCACATCTTATCGCAAATTGCAGCGTCTTGTCTGCGCTTCTCGTGTCCTCTATGCGATTGTGTCGGGACGTGAGCAATTCTAACCACGACTTCTGCTGTCTTGAAACTGTCGGGAGCATGGACTCGACAGTGAGCACACATCCGTGCACGATGGAAAATTCCAGGGCCGAAGTGGGCTGTAGAAGACGACATGCTTTGCATTGTTGCAACTCCCATCGTGTAGTGTGCATCTGCAGGTACCTCTGGTCAAGCAAAGACAGAACCTCCCGTCTCACTGATCGCTTGGTCTTGCACTCGTAATCATGCATGTATACAGGCAATCTGGAGGCAACACGCTGCTCAAGACTCTTCTGTACCAACGATGCACTTGGGCTGATAATCGTGTGGCAATGAATTGCATCAACCCGCTTTCGCCATGTCTCATCGTATACCACCTCAGGTCTACCAGTACCGTCGTTGAAAAGAGCACCGAAACTCGTCGACCGAGTCCAGATTAGCGGCTTGGTAAGATATGCCTGACAAAGGTTCAGCCAGAGTTCTACTGATGATGAATCATGATACTGTTCTCCAAAGAGCTTCTGCCAGCCAGATTGATGATCGAGAAAGTCGCTAAGAGTCCTGTGCGCTAATTGAACAATGATAACATCCCCTTCATCGTTCTTGAAATCCAGGAGAACAAGGTCGATGAGCCCCCCTGTCTTTAGCAACAACCGTTCTACGAAGGTGTGCAAAGCTTCATTGGTCACCAGACCGTCGTGCTGTAACACTTGAATCCCTAGAAGCTGACACGCCTCAAATAACTCTGTAACAAAAAGAAGCGGCTTTGCGGAAGCAACAAGTTCGAGTACACGACCACAAACGAGTTTATCATCGCACAGACCTCCGATGATACGAGTGTAAAAGCCTGTCAGTGTCGCTGGTAATTTTGTCAGCCTGTTTTCTTGCTCCACGAAACTCTCTTTGCGTCGTAGGGAGTCGTACATCTCAGTCGTTGCGAAAGCGGCCCATAGGAAAATTCCGTCAGATAGCTTCGAGATTCTTGTAGCTATCGCCTGTATTGTCACAAACTCTTGTGGACTTGCTGCCGGATACAAGAGATCGAATTTCAGTAAGGCATGTGTCTCGATACCTGGACGGTTGTACTGATCCAGCACCAGCTGTGGCCAGTCGCAGAATTGGGTCTTGAATTCGGTCGGTCGACTTGCCACACAGAGTTTAACCACGACTTCCTTCGAGGTAAAATACTGAACGATCTCAGATATATCGCTGAGATGGCCTCCATAATCATCTAGGCCGTCAAGAAGGAGGAATATAGGTTTCTTCCAGTGGCGTAGCTGTTCGAACGTAAAGATCAAGATCTGCGTCACTGTCCTGCCGTCCTCTAGCCACTCGTCTCTCAATTCTCCTCGGAGGTCAAAAGTGCTCTCGATCGCTGGTGACAAGCCAGGTACATCTTTGCATAGTTGATAGAGAATAGAGCGATGTAGGCCCTCAAGAGTGTTAGAAAGATCCGACTTCGTGTTAGCTTCGTAGTTAAAGAAGAAATGTACACGACAACAGTCGGCTAGACCAGGAAAGAGCTGCCCATCGGGTCGTGTTTTTAGGTTGGCAACGTAGTTCATCAGGGTCGACTTGCCACTGGCAGGCTTTCCAGTAATCCAAAAGACTTTACCTGGTGTAGACAGCCACTCTACGAAGGTGTCTACCTCCCAAAGCCATTCAAAACTTGCGTCCTTTGCCTGAATCGCGTTCAACCGCTTTACTCTTGCAAATTGACCTTGAAAGGAGAGCTGGTCAGTCAACCAATTTGCAGGAGGGGCAGGCCCTAGACATGGAGTATCAGCATAGGTGCGTATTGCATGCAACCCGGCCAGTAAACGAAGACACATGCGAGGCAAGATTCGAATGTAGACACAATATACATCTGTTTGGATGTGTGCTAAAATACGAGCACTTGCTTGGCTATCAAGGCGTTGGATTCTTACCCAGGTTAAAGACAGGGTTGCCGCCGCCACCATAGTTTATCTGATTACCTGAGCCGGGGTTGCTATACTGAGATCCGCTTCCAGTGTTAACGGTCTGTACGCCACCGTATGCATTGAAAGTATTGCCAGGAACATCATCACTTGGGATAGACGGCTCGAGAGCCTGAATCTCAACGAGCATCTCATCAAGCCGTGTGAACAAATCAGGTCTAGAAGACTTGACAGAATGGTAGTTGACCAGATTCTGTGCATCCTTTGTCATCTCGGCCATCAGCTCTTCAACTTTACTACCTTTCCCGAGCCTCTTTGCGACCATGTGATAACGCTTGTACCACTCTGTGTTCTCCCCAGGTATTGTCTTTTTGAAAATCTCCTCGACTTTCTCGGCATTCAACTTGCAATTTTTGACAGTGCTGACAAGACCTTTTCGAACATCGGCTGGCAGGCTGTTCTCGACGGGCTCGAAATGCTCCTTGCAGGTCAGAAGCGTGTCTTGTAGGATGGGCAAACGGTTTGCAACGGTTTCGAATGTGTCTGAGAACTTGGCGTCCTTCTGAGCCCCTTTCCATAGCTTGATAGACACATCAAGTATCCCGATGACCGCACTTATTGCCCCTACGACTTCAAGGCCTGACATGATGGATACTAAGCTTGTACAGGACTCAATCAAGTAAGCTCGGCAGTAGGAATCGTGCCTAGCTAGTCACTTCACTGTCAACCTGAGGATAACTGCCTGGCAGGAGACACATCAAGGAACCTGGTCAGTGCCATGGCCTTTATGTAGCTGTGGCCTCCAGCCGCAAGCTCGAGACAGCACATAATCAAGGCGCTGACTCGACGACGGGATGCGAGGTGAGCTGCTTATTGGCAGATTTAGCGAGGGCTTGCTGCTTTGGATGCACCAAGACAAGGACTTTTGGAAAGAACCACTCGGAAAAGCAGGAGGTTTGGGCAGTTGGAGAAGCTGCGACCGAATTGCGCCCAACCTGCCATCATTTGACGCGTCGATGAGCAAAGCACAGTTTAGTTTCCCGTCACTCTCGCGTGGTGATTATTGGTTCGGTCCTACTGTGAGGTCGTCGTTGCTTGGCAGAACCAGCAGTTCCCAACGAACATTGTCTATCAAAGATGCGCCTCCTACTGATATTTAGGTAGTACACGCCAGCGATCCTCTTAGGCTTCAAGCTGGTCGCTGCTTGTCAAGACCACGTTGAGCCAGGACAGAGCTATCTATATGTATAGAGTTAGGTGTCAGGTATTGGAACGACTCCGCGTGGTCCACCAATACTCACGCTATATCGCCTCTCACTATGTAATACGACATCCGAGATATATACTGGCATCAGAGACATGACGAGGCTCACACCCAAACGCGAGGCATCTTTCTTCAACTGCGAGAGTATAATGGGAGCATCCATGGCTTGTACCACTTTGGAGACTCGTCTGGCTGCTTCATCCTGCATAGTGATGTACACAATGAAGCCAAGCTCATAATCAAATCTAGAACAATGGGTCAGAATGACTCGTAAATGAGCACAAAGAAGGTATTACGACGGAGGGCACACTGACGATGACTCTTTTTTGTCTTCCCTCGAGCTAACTTGGGCCGCATGAATGTTAATTGCTCGAGAATGTGTTTATGTTCGAGCGGAAGGCATTAACACAACCATACCCTTGAGAACACTCTATTGCAAGCAACAATGGCACTATTCAGGTCAAAGATGTCGAGGTCGAGAAGTTCACAAACCCAAAAATCTAGACAACCATCAAGTCAAGGTGCCGGCAAAGAAGTCGGCACAGCTCAAATGAGCCTAGAAAAATCCATGAAGTCGTTGACAAGTTCGAGCACTACTCATGGCCATACCCCTCCCATAGAACCGCGCTCTCAGGCTATGTCTATCGAGTCTTGCCAAAAGCGCAGGGTCACAATTGGAAACCATGAACGGAGACCTTCAACCGTACAAGAGCATGTTTAGGAGACTGCTGATAGTACGTGGGAGACCAAGACAAACCCGCAAAATGAGCTACCCAAAGAGAGCAGGTGTCAAATGACACTCAAAAGCTATCCCAGTGTATCGCTCTTTCTAAACTCCAACGAAAGCAAGGTCTTCAAGCCTTCACATCAATTGCCAAGAGAAATAGCAATCATGGGCGCACGCCCTGAAGTCGAGAAACCCATATCTAAAAAGAGCCTCATCCCGAGCAAGGCTACTTTTGGTCGTCCAAGCGCTGCCGCCGACTTCGGGAGTGACTTGTCTCCGAAAGAGCCCAATCAAAACAGCCAACTCGGACCGAGCCACAGTAAACTTGTTGTCTCCCCTTCAAGACAACCTCCCACAAGCGGTCCGCTACCCAAGGTGCCCCGAACTGTGCACCAGTACCCCAGCATTTCGCTCTTCCTCAATGCAAACGAGAGCAAAGTATTTAGGGTGTCTAAACAGCTCCCACGAGAATTGGAAGAAGATACAAAGGCTTCTCCGCAACCTGGTTGCAAGGATGTCACGCATAGACCCACCAGATACTGTAACACAGCTATAGCTGCGCTCAGTGAGCCATCGAAAACAATAGAGAGCTTTTCTCTTTCGAAGAGGATGTCGCAGATTCCGGAAGATGGCTCCCAAGAACCAAACATTGAAGCTGGTTTGCGTGCGTCGAGGCACTTGACAGATGGTGAGGATACAAAAGCACGCAGGCATATGCCGGTGGAACTGCACCACTATCCAAGCGTGTCAAAGCTTTTGCATGCGACCGAGAGTCAAATCTTTACCAAATCTACCAAAACACCTCGCGAGACGCCAGCTGCGATCGGCCGAGAAGAGCTTGGCATTGATGGCGTCGACAAGTGTCTTGCTACAAGAAAGACTTACGTTGCACAAAGACAGGGGACCCTCAAGGCTGGTGTAATGAAGAACGAGAATATCTGTACGCCACCTGCCCAAGCATGGGATGCTTTGACACGGCATCAAATCGTTGAAAAGTCGTCGGGGTACGCCATCGATACTGTCATCGCACGCCCTCACAAACCAACCAAAAGATCTCGACCTCTGTCAAGCAATTCTTTTATGGTAGACGACGCAAGCGAGGACCAAGTCTTCAAGAGAATGAGTCTAATCCCTCTAGACAGCCCAAGCAGAACCGTTGGCGACTATGAAGACTGGTTGCAGCTGGCCAGCAGTACCGCCGAAGACCGTGAGAGCGATGTTGAGCTCGAAGAGCTAGTTACACCGACGCCACGACCTAGAATAGGTCGAAGGCTTTAGAACACCTGCCCGTCGCAACCACTCGACCCCAAAACGAACGGAACATGAGAATGAAATAGCTTCGAGCTGGCGATACTCGCAGCAGCGATACTAAAGCCCTTTTGCCTTCTTCTCCTGTTCCAAGCATGCCCAGTAAATCATTGTTCGTTCTAGCAATCAGGTTCTGTTTGAGTCCGGGATTGAACGACGCTCTAGGAATGAAGCCAATCAATACTTTCTGCACCTCTCTACACGGTTTGTTCAGTTTCTTGTCGAGGCCCCGTTAGTCGACTCGTGTAGTCAGAGAGTCCATGTGGTTCTCTTATTCCCTGCAGGATAGCTGACGTTGTGCATAATGATGGCTCGCAAGGACTGTATAACCTTAACCTTTGGTGTTCGAGCAGGATATAGTGTGAAGCTTGAATGATTATCTCACAATAGTGGTCACCCATTTACCTCATTGGGTTTAGCCGTCATCATCAGCAGCTTAGTAGTCCCAACAGGGCGATTGTGGCGCCACGTTTTTTATCTCAGTATCTTCACCTTCACTATTCAACCAACCCAGCTCATTCTCCAGCACAGACCTGCCGCACCACTCCTTTCCTAGCACGATGTCCACCTCCCAGCAACAACCCACCCTCTCCCACCAACAACGCGAAGACCAAAAACTAACAATCCTAACCCTCAAAAAGTACACCAATTTATCCGACCAACTAACCGCTCAAAAAATACGTACAACAGTGCAAGATGTTCAGCAAGTTGTCGAGGAAGAGCGTGTCGCGACCGCTTCTGCGGAGGAGGCGGAGCGAAATAGTTTGCCGAAATATCATGGTCACTATATGGGGGATCAGGATGAGCGGAGGTAGTTTGAGGTGAAGGCGGAAAAGTGTTTTCCCGGTTCCTGGTTTGGTTTTGGGCGGTACGACCCTGTGGGGAAAGTCGAGATTTGAGGTGGTGCGGTTATTGTGGTATATATCTATTGGATCCACTCGACTTCTTGCAGCATGGGCTTCTCGTTGAGAGTCTCGTTCGCGTTACTGCCACGAATTCAATCACGATGTCTTACCGAAATCTCTACATCGCTGCGACGATAGCCTGCATGACAGGGGCATTATTCGGCTACTCAGTTGGGTTTATAGGAGGGATACTTGTTCTACCGTCATTGCTCCACCATTTCAGCCTCGATGCTCTTCCAGCTAAAGAAATTGCTTCTGCTCAGTCCAGACTTGTTTCTTCATGGCTTGTGGGTTGTGTCATTGGTGTCCCACTTTCCGTGCCCGTGGCTACCAAGTTTGGTCGCAAGGTCTCCATTATTATCAGTGCTAGCCTTTATACCACCGGCGCAGTGCTCCAACTCATCGGCATTCACAACTCACTTCTAGTCTTCCAGCTTGGCAGGCTAGTGAATGGAATTGGCGTGGGTGCAGGAACGCTCGTCAGCCCTCTGTATATTTCAGAGATTTCACCTGCCAACCAGCGAGGTACTTTGATGAGTGGTTACCAGGTCGCAATTCAGGTCTTCGCGCTCATCGGATTCTGGGGAGCATTCACCTGCAATTCGATATTCCCATCGACATCAAATCTGCAATGGCAATTGCCTGTGAGCATACAATTAGTGCCAGGCGCAATTCTCTTCTTCGGAGGCTGGTCAACATTGCCTGAGTCGCCGAGATGGCTAGCCAGCAAGCACAAGATCGAAGCTGCGAAAAAGGCTTTGTCGTGGCTGAGGATGACAGGTCGGGAAAGCCCTGAGCTCAATACGGAGATGATCCAGATTCAGAGGGTCATTGATGTTGGCAAGCTGAACACCAGGCTTGAAGGACGGAGCTCGTTCTTGAAGCGGGTCTTTACACGACCACTGCGCACACGTATGTTGATTGGTGCAGGCATCATGATTTTCCAGAATCTGGTTGGCCTCAATGCGCTCAATTACTTCTCGCCCATTATCTTCATGTCTGCAGGCTTCACCACTGTTTCTGCCTCCTTGTTCCTGACTGGACTTTTTGGACTCGTGAAGTTGATCACAAGTCTACTGTTCATGTTTGTTTTCGTGAGGATGAAAGGAAACAGGTTTTGGTTATTGCTGGGCTCGGCTATCATGGGCATCGCGATGTTCGTGTTGGCCTTCTGTATAGAGCGCATGGCTCACAACCACGACGATACTTTTGGCTTAAGTGGGTATGGCATCGTGTCTGTACTCATGGTGTATATCTTTGCATTCGCCTTCGGCATATCTCCGGGCCCGATCTCTTGGAATGTTTGCAGTGAGATCTTTCCTTCTCACATCAACACGAGAGCTTGTGCCGTGACAACTTGCATTCAATGGTTGAGCCAGATATTCATTGCAAGTATTACACCACCGTTGATAGCCAGCATCGGCTATGGGACCTATATCTTTTACGGCATTTATTGTGTCTTGGCTTTCTTCTGGTGCGCTCTGTATGTGCCAGAAACACGTGGGGTCGCACTTGGACCTGAGATGGATCAGGTATTTGGTGACGCTGCCAAAGATGAGGTCGCTGTGTTAGAGATAGAAGATATCGATGAGGTGACCCCGCTGATTGGAGCACAAAGACGTCGAAGTTCGATCGCGCTAGTCGTATAAAGGGGTATCACTTTTGACGTCAGACCATAACGCACGAGCCTGAAACGAAAGGTGCTGGCCCGTGCTGTTACCCGATAACCACTCTTGATGTATTTGATGTAACGCCTTCTTTGACCCAGCATGCTTCGAGACATACACCTCGTTCCTCCTCTCTTCAACACTGACCCACGATGACCATCGACTCTTTGCCGCCTGAACTACTAAGCATGATCTTCGAAAACCTCGATCAGCTTAACGACAAGGGCTTTCGTCTGTCCAGCATGATCTCGATGCATCCAATGCTGCCGGCTTCACCAGCAAGGGGATGGGCGATCAGTGATCTTGACACTTCAATCTTCAACGTGATGAAAGTGAACAATCTTTGGCGTGCGAACGCACTGAACGTCGTCTTCGGCGACAACATCGAACAATGGAGCGCAGAGAGAAGGAACGTCAAACTCAACCGGTTTCGAGCATTGCGAATCTGGCTTTGTGGCCAGTAGCTTCGACGTTTGACCACTAGAACGCGTCGAACCTGGAAGACTCAACTAAAAGCCATCGAATCATCGCCTTGACCATCAACATCCATTTGCGCAACCTCGAGCATCGTCGCATCGTCAATGTCATCGTCAAACATGTCACCCGTGGGCTCCGCGTGTCCGTTGGCGTCAATGTGTCTCACTGGTCCTCCAGTAATGCCATCGACCTGTACATATCGTTCAGTTGGCAGATAATCCATGGCGCCAGCAATCTCTCGTCCTTCGTCACCTCCACCTTCTGCTTTGCGAGCTTTCATGAACTTCTGATGCAGCTTCAGATCCTCTGGCCCCCAACTGTCTTTGGCCAGCAAGTCCTTTTCCGTCGAAGCCTTTTTCTCGTTCCAGACAATTGGTTGTGGCTGAGCAACATCTCGCAAAAACTTCTTGGCCATACCTATTGCAGCATCTGTTGACAACCCAGTCTGGCTATCAGGGATCATGTTTCCAATCCACTTCGGCAACTGGTTTCTCTTCTTTTGGAAGCGCCGATCAGCCAACACCATTATACCGTAATCATCTTTCCCTCTCAGTACACGACCAAGACACTGGGCAGCATGACGCATTGCATCAAAGGATAGAAAGTCTTGTTCTTTGATGCGATAGTTTTCTCGCATGAACTCCAGTCGGGCCTTCAGGATCCTCGACTCGGTATACTGGAACGGTGCGCCCATACACAACACTGTTCTGCCAAAGTGATGGTCAAAATCAATACCTTCAGATACTTTGCCTCGTGCGACACTTAGCAAGATTGCCCCCTTTCCATTCTCACAGGCAGTCCTGTATGTCTCAAGAGCAAGTGAGGTCTCTTGTGCATCGGGTGTTTCGACAAGCAGTAACTTGTACTGCCAGATACGGTCTAACACCCCCATCGCCTGCCACATAGAGATGATCATTTCCATGTAGAGGTAGGAAGGGAAGAAGACAACGAGACCATCTGGAGTAATCTTCGCAAACTCAAAAAGGAGGTTCCCATAATTTCGAACAACATTCGGGTCAGAACGAACCTGAAAGCCGGATGTGATGGACTGCTGGTCGCTGCCTTTGGTGACAATTAGTGGTAAGAAAGACTTCTTCGACAAGGACATGGTGTAAGATTCTTGAACGACAGCGTCGAAAGCAAGCATTTTGGGGTACATATCTAGCGGAGATATGGTACCCGAAGTGATGACAACAGAGGAGAATCTTTCGAGAACTGGCTTGATTGCAATGGCAGCATCGAGACACGCAAGGTGGAAAATTGGGTTTGCGACTTGTGCATTGTCGGTTTCAAATGGTTCGTAGATCAATAAAAAGCCTGATTCATATGTAGCGACCAACGTGGCAAAAGAAGCGACATCTTGCAGGGGCTGAAAGTCTTCGATATTCGTGAGTTCGAGAGTGCGAACGAGTGAAGTCAAACGTTCAGCGCAGAAACGAAGAGGTTTCCTCTCGATGAAGGTAGTGTCTTTGAGATGAGCAAGAAAAGTTGCAGGGTCTTCCTGAGTGACGTTACGGAGCCTCATTCGACTCTTTATATACTCGATGAAGCGTTTCAGGAAGGCAACGAAGTGTTCGGCTCTTCTGATATTGCCTGGCACAGCTTCTTTGAGCAGATCATCGGGAAGGACCGGATTAGACATGAAAGCCTCTTCGGTGCGAGCCTGGTCGGCGTCCTGCAAACCTTGGACTAGCTTTTGGTACTCATCTTGCAGTTTCTGCTCATCGCTTTGTTTCATTTCCTCAATCTTTCGCTCGAGGTTGACGGCGCCGCGTGTAGCTTTACGTATCGACTCTTCAGTAAGATCTATCGACAATGACTCGATACAAACATTGTCGATATTGTGAGCCTCATCAAATACCACGATACAGTCCTTGGACAACTCTTTCGATACTCTTTCGGCAATTTTGGGATCGAGTAGGTAGTGGTAGGAGTATATGATGACGTTGCACCACGGCATCATTCTGCGTGCAGAGAAATAGGGACACTGCTTGTGAGCTTCGCCATACTGAAGAAGGTTGTCCAGGGTAAAGACTCCAGGAGGGATGAGACTCGAAGGGTCAAGTAAATCGAGATTGTCATGATAGATACACACATCTACATCCTCGCCTCGTTCTTTCTTTTCCTTGACGAAGCCGGCAGTCAGACTGCGACATCGAGCATCCACGACGGAACCGCTCTTTTCTCGTTTGACCGAGGGATGCAGGCAAAGATTCTTTCTAGAGGTTAATCCAAGACCTCGAAATTCTTCAGTATAGCCCAGCTCCTTTGTTCGGTACTTCATCAGAGCTTTCAGCTCAGCCAGAGCCTTTTCAATTTCGGACATGGTACGCGAGCAATAAATCAATTTCCGCTTCTCAGGCATGTGCATCTGGTAGGCCACGATCAAGGAAAGAAGGGAGACTGTCTTGCCGGTTCCTGAGGGCATCTCGAGGACGCAATGACCGCCACTGTCCAGCGTCCTCTTGAGATCCGACATGTATGCATGTTGTTCAGGATATATCCTAGGATATGGGAAGAGTACTTCCAGATCACTGTTGGCGTGTTAGCTTTGTGCAATTGTGACCACTAGCAGTGTCCTACTCTATCATAAACCTCATCCTGCCTAGCCGAGATAGTATGGCGCGAGAGCGCCTCAAGAGAATGAGAGGATACTTGACTCGGAGGCAGGACTGGCGAAAGTGACCTTCAGTCCAGTCACAGTGAAGACGTCGCGCCTGGAAGCGAGCGGATCCGCAGGCACGTCCGGGCAGGCAACAAGGCATCACCGGGCACTGATGACGCTCGCTAGGCACAAATGCTACTAGTAATTGCCAATACGTCATTAAACAACCTGCCGCCGCAATTGCCTAAACATTTTTCGGGATGCGCATTCTGTTTCTCTAAAAGGTGGTAACTCGATATATTTCCTCCACTCAGCTGCGTGATGAGTAGGAAAGTCAAAGCGCAAGCTTCGAGTGCTCGAGCTGCAACAGGATTCGGTGGCTTTGGCTCGTTTCAAACTGCTGCCTCGTCCATCTCGTACATCACCGAGCAGCCTGACCTTTCTCAGATTGCCGAGCCAGGCGTCGTGGTTGCCCTGAAGAATCTCAGCAAGAAGGACAGTACTACCAAGACCAAGGCTCTAGATGATCTTCTAGAAAGTCTCAAGGACAATGCTGATCTTGCTGTGCTAACAGCATGGAGTGACCTCTACCCCCGCGCCTCGATCGATAATTCCCAGCTCGTAAGACGAAATGCACATGCTTTGCAAGGGCTTCTGACTGTGAATGCTGGTAAGAAAATTGCACCTCTCTTGCCCAAAATCATTCCTTCGTGGCTCGCTGGCACTTTCGACAGCGATAAGTCTGTAGCCAAAGCTGCCAACGATGCCCTCGACAAATCTTTCCCCACAGATGACAAGAAGGCTGCGCTATGGAAGGTCTATAAGAGTGCGATATACGAGCGCGTGGAAGATGCTCTACTCAATCAGACGGCACTTACCTTGAGCGATGAGCGCACTACAAGTCCTGATGAGGCCCAAGCGAAGTATGTCCGTGTGGTCAGTACTGGCATGCGTTTGCTAAGCCAGTTGGTGTCTACCGGATTGGACAGCCACGAGATTTTGAACGAGAAAAAGTTGTGGGAATTTGCCTATCATGACGATCCATCCTTGAGGAGTGCGACATATGGCTTGCTGCTGACCCTGCTTTCCAAGAACATCCAGGACCTGGATTGGACTATACTAAGCACTTCACTTCTCTATAAAGGTCTTAACGTAAATCAAACCGGCTCTTCCCGCGCATACGTTCAAGCACTTTGTAAGTTGACCGAATCTCACTCTTCCGTATGGACGACAGATTATACTGCAAAGACTACTGCTTCAAAGAGGCTGATTCAGTTTCTTCGGCAAGGCGCACAGAGCGGCCCTGCCGACACGTGGTTTCGTATAGCTCATTTGCTACGTATCGTCCCGGGTACTGTATGCAAAAACAATCTCGAGGACGTCAACAGTCTGATTGAGGCATATCGAACTGGTGTCTTAGTCGAAAGAGTGCATGTTGATGCTGCTTGGTCCAGCTACACTGAGGTTTGTTCGTGGTTAGTTGAGAGCCTTCAACTACCAGAAGAGCGGGATGCTTTTCTCGAGCAGAACCTGATGCCTACTGTCACTGCCTACGTCATGAAAACGTCTGGAGATAGATGGCGGATATCTGGTCGGGCGGACAAGACTGCCAGTACAGCTTTGCGCATCATTGCAGACCACAGCCAGGTCGTTCTCGAAAAAACGTGGGCAGCTGCTGTTGACGCCACGATTACTAAGATAAGAATGTCCCTCCCCGAGACTTCCAAAGACTACAGAACGTCTCAAGATGATGTCGCTTCTCAAGGGAAGCGATTACTCAGCCTGAGTCAAAAACTTGATGCAGCCGGTGTACCCAAGGCTCTAATCTCTTCTCTGTTAGACGCTACACTTGATCTTCTCAAATCCAGGAACGGCAAGCCATATGGTGCTGCCAGCATTCTTGAAGGTCTAGCTGTAAGTACTAACATCGTAGACGATACTTTAACCCAGTTCGTCCGGTCAGAGTTGCACTCTTTACTTGACAGTCCTTCTGTTGAGCAACTTATCACCATCGCAATCCAAAAGGACCAACCAATAGGTACCACGATTCTAGGTTCATCCTCCACATCATTACACATGGCACGTGGTACTGAACATTACCTACGTAATGCTCCCGCGCATAGCTTCGACGACAAAGAGATTGCCAGATTGACCCTCGGCAGAATTGGAAACTTCGAGGATGAGAAGAGAAGGGCATTTGCGATCTCTTTGCTTGTGAATCCACATCTTCATAACCATAATATCAGAGCCGATGTCTTGTCTCGTCTCTTCGACAGCCTCAGCAGCAACGATGATCGAAGTCATGCGCTTAGCATGCTCGAGACCCTTTCGACGCAGTCGAGTCTGATGCGAGAACTGTCACAATCGGAGATAGGACCTCAGCTGTCTTCGAAGCTTCTGCTGCTAGCTGATTCACCTGATCATGCGATAGCAGAGCGGGCCAACTCTCTATCGACGACTTTGTCTGGCGCTAGCAATCAGACCTCTAGTTCGGTCTCGATTATAAGACAACAACTTCGTGGTGATGGTGATGCTCTTTCAGTTCTAACGTTGGCTGATCTCGGTCTCAGGAGTGTGGCAGCCGTCGAGCCTATGGAAATATTACCAGATCCGGAGGACTGGCAAAGGGCAATCAGGTCTCTTTGCGGTTCATCAATGCATCCAAGCTTGTCGATCACAAGTCCTCTGCATGGTGTAGTATGGCTTATCGAAGCTGATACCCAAATCACTCAACCAGTCGTTCGTGACGGTGAGGATTTTTCGTTGCTGTTTAGAATTGTCTTCTTCGTGACGAAAGTGTTTGTCGACGCTACAGTCTTGAAGACGTCTTCTGGACCTCGCGTTGATGCACTCTACCGATGGTATCCTGTGGCACTCGAATTGATCAACGAAAAGCTCACCCTAGATGATGCGAATACGATCTGGCTAGGATCAACCGCAGAAGTGCTACATGCTGCCTCAGACGTTCTGTCAGAAGGCACTCAGCTTTTGACTACCTGGTTGGAAGACGAAGACTATGTACAAGACTGGCTGCTACGAGGTTCTGAGCTCGATAATCTTGACCGGGAAACGTATTTCACTGCTCTTGCATATCACCGCATCATCTCCAGGCTCTTCGACACGAGACCGCAAGCAGTGTTGCAAGCGTACGAAGACAGTTTATCGACTATCCACAAATCCGACGATATACTTGAAAGCTCTTCGATACTGTCCGCTGTTAACGAGTTCCTGCTTGGATCTCAAAACGGATTGAAAATGGTCAACGAACTGTTGTCGCACGTCACGCAGTCGCCCTCAGATTTCAAGCAGGTTGCACTCCTGAATATCCTTCTAGGCGGCAATTCTAGTATACTAGAAAAAGTACCACAGCAACGTCAAGTCTTCGCGTTCAAGGGTCTTGTTGCACATCTGGACGAAGCGAAAGATGGGTCGATCTTGTGTGAGACTTTCCGCCTGTTAGCACACCTCATTCCTTTCGTGAGGAGTATCTATAGTGACATGTGGGCACAGCTTTTACAAGAGCTTAACGGAGCCTGGAGCAGTACTGATGTTGTCTCCATTCATGCAATTTTGCAGGTCTATAATCAGCTCAAGATAGCCACCAAACAAGAAGACGTCAGCGAGGATCTCGTCTCGGCGTGGTCCGCGAATAGGATGGAGCTCGATTCCGGTTTGTTACATTGTCTGCAGTCACTGAGTGAGAACTCGCACGATGTGGATCAACCACGCTCGATTACTGCAGAGCTCCTGCGCCGTCAACTGAGCGACATCAAGGTTACAGACGAGGCTAAACTGTATGTCTTACTGAACTCCAGTCAATCAGCTGTCAGGGAAGCAGCGTATGGGCTCTTACATGTAACTGTACCAGCTAAACAGGAGCAGCTGTCAATCGATCTAGCCCTCGAGCAAAGAATCGCAGCGCTGCCTGAGGAGCTTATGAATCTTATCACAGACGTGTCAAACACACAGCAATATCTACTCAGCTGGAACATTGTCTTCGACCATTTCCCCAAGGCATCATACAGGTTGCGTGAAACATACAGTGCTAGTCTGAAAGCAAGCGGCGTCGTCAACCAGCTGCTGGATCTGATCTGCGAGACTTTGCGGATAACGTCTGGCCGTCCGTTGGACGCCTCGAAGATGCAGATTGCACAGTACGACGTAGGAACAGCTGAAACTCCTGAGCAGGATATTCAATGGCTCAGCGTCCACACTTATTACCTGGCGCTACTGTATACTCCAGCATTGATAAAAGACTGGTTCCTTCAGCAGAAGAACCGTGTCAAGCAGCCTCTCGAAGCCTGGACGCAGAAGCACATGTCAGCAGCCATTGTTGCATCCTCGATGCTTACTGTCATGGATTGGTCATCGGCACAATCAAGTGGTTCTGACGATCGACCGATCGAGGTCAAGGCATCGCCACGGGGGTCGGAGATTATTGCGTCGATCGCAGTAGATCCAGAATCACCACCTATATCATTGTCCATTTCACTTCCTCTTGCATATCCGCTCGAATCACCCACCGTCTCGTCTCGCACAAGAGTTGGCGTCTCGGAGAAGAATTGGCAATCTTGGCTTCGAACAATTCAGATCATCATCTTCAGCTCAGGCAGCATCATAGAAGGATTGGTAGCATTTAGAAGGAATGTGCAAGGTGCACTAAAGGGACAAACCGAGTGTGCTATCTGTTACAGCATTATAGGGACGGATATGCAGACACCAAACAAGAAGTGTGGCACGTGCAAGAATATGTTTCATGGCGCTTGTCTGTTCAGGTGGTTCAAGAGCTCGAACAGTTCAAGTTGTCCTCTTTGTAGAAACAACTTCAACTATGCTTAGATAGATGCGTCAAGAAGAGAATCGTCTCTGAATACGGTAAATTGCCTTGGCCTTAGACAATGTATCTGTACGATGTCAATATCGCACCATGTAGTTGAATACAAAACTTATAGATCAAACGTTGCATGTATTCTCCAGTTCGACAAATCTTTTCTGACCTCTACCACATGAATAAGCAGGAGCTTCGATACCAGGAGTGAAGAGGTTGGAAGATAAATGGCAAGCGCGAAGCAGGTGAGCCTCAGGCACTCTGTCAGGCTGTTGCACACCTATTGCGAGCCAAATTTAGGCCTAAGTAGCACTAACCATCACACGTTCATAACTTAGTAAGAGGTTCCCCTGTCGCGCTATGAGGCCTGAGCAATTCATCTGGATTGCGATGATATCTGTCTTGTATTTCTGAGTGACCCGCGGAACCGCTGAGATGGTGCTCTCCTTCATTCTCATCCAGAACCGTCAAGGCAAGACTCGGCTCGCAAAATGGTATGCACCTTACACCGATGAAGAGAAGGTGAAGCTGAAGGGCGAGGTACGTGATGCTTGCAACAGTACCAGGAACGCTCACTCAAGCCATTGCAGGTCCACCGTCTCATCGCTCCTCGCGACCAGAAGTACCAGTCCAACTTTGTTGAGTTCCGTTCAGCTCCTGCCGGCACCCATGGCTCTCGAGATCTGGTCAGACAGAATCTTTCGAGCACGAAGATAGTCTATAGACGATATGCAGGCTTGTTCTTTTGCGTCTGTGTAGACGCGAACGACAACGAGCTTGCTTACTTGGAAGCCATACACTTCTTTGTCGAGGTGCTGGATCAATTCTTTGGGAACGTCTGTGAACTAGACCTGGTATTCAACTTCTACAAGGTGAGAGAGCTTGTGCGGATTTAGAGAACAACTTTAACTAGCTATAGGTCTACGCAATCCTCGACGAAGTCTTTCTGGCTGGCGAGATCGAAGAGACGAGCAAGCAAGTCGTCTTGACGAGACTGGAACATCTCGACAAACTCGAGTGAAGTTTGGGTCCTTTCCGATTGAACAGGGCACAGAGATGCCACAGAGAAGCATATAACCACATTACCCACAAGCTCGCTATTCGCGGGACAAGAGGATGTGTATCAGCTGAACCGCGACAGCGGCCTTGCCGGGCTAACAGCTGGTGACTTGGCTCTCTTCGACACGAAGGCCTAAAATGCACGTCCACGAGTTCGCAGCAGTCGTCTCCTGGGAGGACGGCGAGCATCGCGGTGCACATCGATTGAAAGACATACAGACATTGCCTGATTCCTGCAAGCCGCAAATCGAAGTATCAAGCACAACCTGAACAGAATGTTATTGGAGCACTACGCAGTATCTGGTAGCGGGGATGTATTACGTTAGGTGTAAAGAGATGGTTCGTTGAGGCAAGGAAATTCCAGGAGACTGCTGTCCACCTCATAAAGTCAACCATCAATGCATTATAGAGACAAAGTTGATCGTGGAGATCAATGGTTGATTTATATCTTCTTGCCCAAAGCACGAAACCTACTTGACAAGTCGTCTACAGTTGGCGGAGCACCCAAGGCACCTCCGACCTGGCTCTTCTTATCTTGCGGCTTCACCTGACCACCTCCTGGCAGATTGACTTTGGGATTCGGATTATCAGTCCTGGGGCCAGGAGGTGCAACAGATACTGGACTTTTTGAACCTTCCACATTGGGTTGGCCTTTGGGTGGCAGCGGACCTAAACTCAGGTCTTTCGCTTTTGGTGTTGCTGGAGGCTGACCGCCGTCTGCTAGGATAGGCTGTTCCTTAGCACCACCATCGTCGCCCTCATCCTCGTCATCAACTTCCTGCTGCGCTTCTGCTAGGTCCTGCCTGTACGGTGGCCATTCGACACTGTAGGTCCTCGCGATCTCTTCCAAGTATGCCTGCACCAGCTCCGACTTTGGTGGCTCGACTGACAGCTTCTTCCATACTCTCTCAGGCACGATGTTGCCCTCGTTCTCCTGTGCTCTCAGAGCAAAGTCTTTGCCAAATCTTTCAATCAGCATGCTTCTGACCAAGCCTAGCTCTCTAACGTCTCTTGGCAGTCTCGGAGCAGCATATATGATCGATGCTGCAGCTTCCTCAAGTCCTGTCGCTTCATCACCTGCGTCTTTGCTTACCAGGCCCTCCTTGATATTCTTGTCTCTCACATCAAGCAGGCCAGCTCTGGCAAGCAATAGCTCAGCATAGAGTTCCAGTATTTCCATTAATTCCACCGTCACATCCGCATGTATGATGTTCTCTACCCGTATTCGTGCACTTGCTTCCCGACTCTGTCTTAACAAGTCTGCCATTTCTCTGCGGTCGGCAATAGATAGAGCTGTGTCTTTCTTCTGCGCATTTCGAAGACGAGGTATAAGCAGTCTGAGAGTCGATTTTAGCTTCACCTATCATTGCATGTCAGCCGCGTCGTCCATAGCCATAAAGTCAGGCGCATACTGTTTGTGGTGAGGCTGCAGGCATTTTGTGTGTTTTGAGACGTATTACAGGCAAAGGACCAAAGCGCAGATAGAGGACAGTCACCAGTAGAACACACAGGCCAACGATCTCGTAAAAGTGTTGTTCAAAGATATCCTCAAGCAGTCCAAGGTCAATCATATTGCGAATGTCAAGATACTGAACTCAGCTGCTAACTTATGGTCATTAGCGAGCCCTGGGATGACGCCTGCGGGGCATGATTGCTGTGCCTAAAAAAAGGACCTGGAGCACGAATAGTTTGAAGAGCGAGAATGCCTGGCTGCCTAAGTCACCTGTTGCTGCCATGTTCGTGTGCAGACACGTCCAGTCCTTGTTCAGCACTTTGAAGACTATTACATGTCTTTGACTCAACCATACTCGGTGAGCACAGACAACCACTAACGTTTGCATCGATGATTGATCATGCTGCTACACATCCGATGGGAGGATGCTACAAGGACGCAAGACTGCATGAAACGTAGTCGTGTTCGGACGGATCAAGTCGACAGCAACTTCAAACCCAATGTCAACATTAGGAACTAAACTAACTACCTAATAACTATTTTACATCGAAGGCGCTCAACAGTACAAGTATTCCACCACGTGATCTCATGAATACACTTGAAGTCCTCCTCTTCCTCCTCAAACCAAAGCTCCGTCGCTATCTGTTGTCATCGTCAAGATATCTAGAAGAAGGATATGTCCGTCAAAGCTGAGTGTAGGTAGCAGTTTTCAAATGTGACTCTTTCTCGCCCGCTAGCACTGTCCAGATGCGGTGCTAGTGTTTCTATATCTGCCAGCCATTCCCAGAATGTGGATGTTTGGTGTAAAAAAAGTGTTATGTTCGACATGTAAGGGGTATCGAAGAGTGAAATGAAGGTCGGTCGTGAGAAGGTGCCAGCCATGGTACGCCAGATGGTGTGCTCAGATCTGCGCTGAGCTTGTTTGTGTCGTAGCTTGGACTTTTGTGTTCGCTTATAAAAACATCCAGAGAGCCAGTGGTGCTAGGACGAATATGCTGAAAGAGGTAGTGGCCGCACCGCCTGTGTGTAAAGCAATCGTGACAGAGCCTGTTGCTGCTGCTCCAGTAGCCGATGCTTGGGCACCTGCCTCAACTGCGTCTACAGCAGTAGCACCTGGATTGGCTGAACTGTCAAATAGGGAGTAGTACGGTTGACCGGTCGGACCAGTAGACTCGCTCGATGCTGTTGAGTCTGGTATTGACCATGAGGTAGAAAAAGCGATAATAGTAGAGTTGCTAGTACTTGAGCCCGAATTTGAGGACGACCCCGAGGTGGCTGATGACGATGATGCTGAAGACTGCGAAGACGACGTTAAGGAGGATGACGACGATGATTTCGCTGGTGGTGTAGTAGTGGTATCAGACGTCTTCGGTTGTGTGGTCGTTGTCGTCGTCGTTGTTGTTGTTGTGGTTGTGGTTGTGGTTGTGATGACAACTGTCGTACTTGGAGGGGCCGAAGAAGAAGCACTCCCACTTGCAACAGACGACTGATAAAACTGCCCTCCTTTACCACTGCTGCTATCTCCACCGCTTCCACCTCCTCCACCACCTCCAGTGATAACAAAGTTGGCCGTCGCACCCTTCGAGACGGTCACAACACAAAAGGCACCACCACCAGCGCCTGAATTTGTAGAACCTTTCATCTGATTGACCGAGTTCGAGCTTGGGTCAATGGCACACGGAAGGCCACTGCATCCTCCATTAGGGCAGTCAATTGAAACGCCCCAACTAGGCATTTTGCCTCGAAATGGTGTTGCTGGTTCAAGGTAAATTGGGTTCCATCCCAGTTTGATAAAGATCTGTCCTGAAGAATCTTGATTTGTACCCGCAACATATGGGGACCAGTTACCCCATGGATTCGATTTGGTTCCCCAGACGCATGCCGTGCCTGCATCAGTTCCTGGGGGATTGATGTAATAGTGGGCAGCTGTACCTGCCCAATAATCTGTGCCAGGAACCGCTAGAGTAGAAAAGCCGTTCACAGAGGTAGGGATCAGCATCGCTTCGTTGCCAGGCAGAACAGTCTGGCAGAAGGCAACCACACCGCCAGCGTTGTTAACGACGCCAATGTTTGCCGCGGTTGACTGACAATAGGGTTTGTCTGGAAAGGGTTTCGAGATCTGGCCGTTACTGTCACAGTAGAGGCCTCCGTTCTAAACACAAGTCAGTATAGCTCCATTGCTAGGTCCTATGCCAACCTACCATAGACTGCGGGTACCCATAAGATGTAGCTTTTGGATCCCACTGCATCGAGACCTGCCCCGGAGGACATGCATAGGGACAATAGCATCCGGGCTGACATGACTGATCGGGGCTCATAGCCCAGCCAGCATTAGCAGATCCTGGTGTCACGGCCACGATACCAGCATCCGCTGGAAAGGCGCAAGTCCCTCTCTTAACGAGCTCATGATCTTCAGTGTCGTTCGCAGTTTTTCTTTCCAATCTCTGCTCGCGATGGCGCTTGTGTATTACTTCAAGTTGCTCGTGCGCGCCTTTGTGTGCATGTGCTATCGTCGCTAGTAGCAGCAAGGCGCTTGCGCCTCCTCCGAATGTACTTCGCCGCATTTGTCACTGCATAAAAGCTGAAAGCAACGGTTTGGTTTGGTCTGGTAGGGATCGTGGGTTCGACAATGTCGAGAGTAAAGAACGTGGTGCTCACAGAGCTAGATTGTAACGAACGATAAGGATAGCGAAGAATTAATGATCGCGGCGCCAAAAAGCAATCGTGAAAGTCATTGTAGTGCTAAATGAAAGGAGCAGAGATGTCGATGCGCTCTGAACATCACCGAACTCAAGCGGACTGGGTCACAATTTGCGATTCTGCAGTGGTAGAAGCGGGACAGGTTTCGATGGTGAGCGCCTATAAGAACCGATCGGCACGGCTAAAGGGCTAGTCAGGAACGAAATCCGAAGCTAACGGATCCCCAATCTTGATAGCCAAAGCTAATGAGTCTGCACCAATCGAAAAATTTACCGACACAAAGCTTACCCATGAGCTTGTGGAGGCAATCATCCCATGGTCGAATCAGAAAATGCAATCTTCGAGAAAGTGTCTGTGCCTTTGCTTCCGTTGCTGGGGTTTTGACAGCACTGGTGAAGTTAGCATTCTTTTGACACAATGCTGATCACTGCGTGGTCCGTGCAATTTGACAGGGGTTGTGTTGAAAGGTCGCGTACTGGATGGTCGGCCATGCATGCTCATATCATGCTGCCTTGAACGAACGCGTGCTTTCGCGAGGCTTGTCTCGACCGCGTCAGTATCGTTGTATGTAAGGAGTCGAAAGTCGGCGTTTATGGCCAGGCCCGATCTGTCATTCCGGCGATCAAGAACACTTTGAGGTATAGAAGAGTGACGAGCGTGTCGTTCCCGAAGTCGGAACCTGATAGGATGATCTGTCGGAGCTCCAGATAAGAGGAATCATGCTGGACCTGGAAGCATGTGCCAGACTGTAGGGTCTGGAAACTGGCGCCATCCCCAAGCAATACAGTAGTGCTTCGCCAGCAACACGAACTCCTCGATTTCGTCCATCCATTCTAGTCTCTCTATCCTATCTTTCTCCTCTTGACTGGCCCAGTGCTGCCACAATTCATTTGTGTCCAGGGCTCGTGCTTCCAAATTGTGGTCATGCAACCTCTGTCGCTGCTTGTCCAAGTCGAAGTACTTTTCAATTGTTTGTAAAACGATACCTCGTGTGGTCAGGTTTCTGATCATCGTTCTCCCAAAAGGATCGTTCGGTCTGAAAGGTTCGTAGATGACGACAGCAAGAGGCACCGAGCCCAGCATGTTCGAGAAATAGTCAAGCACATGGTCAGCTTGGTCGGGCGAGAGATATATCAAGCAGCACTCTGAGATCAGCAATGTCGGTAGAGTATCGTCGAGCCAAACGAGTCTTTCTGGTAGTTTGCGGAGGTCAGCAGCATGAATAGCATATTCAGCTAACTCGAGTTCACCTTCGCCTATGCTTGCTTCTTCAAGGTCGATATCGCAAAGATTCCGCACTTCTTCCACGCATTGGGAATCCCTCAGACGCTCAATCTTAGAGGAATTGTTTTGCTGGAAGTCTACTTCATGGTAAACGAAATTGTTGTGCTTGCCAGCGAGTTTGAGTCTCAAATACCTTGTGTCACTTCCTGCTCCAAGAGAGACGATCTGCTTTCTTTCGGGGCTGGAAGACAGGAATGTGTCCACTATTCGATCAATTACAGTAGTCCTTACGTATGTGCCTGTTACCGTCAGTCAACCATCCACCACGACTGAGACAAAGATACCTCTGTTCATTAAGGGTAGCCTTCGCTGCCAGTTCTCAGGAGCTAGATATTTTGCGAAGGGGTCGTTAAGGTAGCCAGCTTCAACGGCACTCATTCTGGAAGACGCAGCGTCGTCATCTGTAGCTCGGATAGTTGCGTCTTTGTCTCCTTGGTTTGCACGACTTAACAACCCACCTCGTGTTACGCCTCGGCCTCGTCGCAGAGTGTTAAGATTGGGAATAGATTGTGTCGGCATACTGTGAATCTTTTATGGAAAATTGATAGTGCTGCGTTGCAAGGACAAAACTATCCCCTTACCCTTGTGTCCTCAACGGGTGATCATCTCTGCTCTTCAGATTGGGCGACACTGTACTGTCATTGTTTGGTCGTCGGCACTCCAGGCCCTGGTTGGAGTTGTATTTTTATTCTTGTGAAAACACAACTGGAGTTCTCCCCACCAAAACGTCTATGTTTGTTTTGGCAATGCACGAAAGTCACAAAACAGATAGATTAACATTAATCTTTTACGATCTCGTAACACGGTAACAGAATTTTACACGGCATGATATCATATAGGTTGACATTCAATTGAGCGACTAGGCGCGATCACAACTTACAAAGTTGTGCCTGTGCCTGCCTGCATTTCCACGAGAGTTATTTCCCTCAGTGATAGCAGGAGCTTCCGATGAAGACGAGACTGGTCTTTGTATGACGGAAGGTCCAAATCGTATCTCGAACCTACGTTATACGGAATTTCTTTACTGAGGAATGGCCAGTCCATTGGCCGGGTGTCGTTGCCGATAGTACGGGTCTAGATTGGCGTGCCTACAGCGAATAAGTGAAAAGAAGATCGTCCGGAACACGTTACTCATGCAAGCCTGGCCAATTTCGAATCACATTCTCAGGATGCTGAATGTTCAAAGAAACAATCGCAGGATCAACATTCGTCCGGGAACGAAAGCGAAAGCCAGACGCGTGTTGGCTCAAGGCGCAGAATGTGTCTGAGTAGCAGCGAGAAAAGCAAAGTTGCTATCTGCACTGCACATCGTTTCAGAAGAGGCGGTGTTACAGCACCACAAGATGCCTAGTGGCCTAAGAAATTAAGCTTCGATATGGCCTGAGGGCCTAGCATTCAATCTTACCGATGAGCCTCAAGCTAGAATTGAATGTCCCACTGGCAGAACTGGGCTCTGCTGTATGCAGACATTCTGGAATGACATAGGCACATCAACACTCATCAATCCTCATAATATCGAATTCGCAGCAGGAAACAATACCGAGCCTGAGTAATGCACATTTCCGAGACCGCCGTTTTGGTGGCGAGATGGTAGAGGCTCATGACGAGAATTGGGATGCCTTAAAACCTTGGAAATTCATAGCGCTGCACTCTGTGTATAAGCAGTTTGGGGGCCTATTTATTAATCACGTCACTCGAACGCTCTATGGTCGACGGAGATACTGTACTTCTGCTCCCAGGGTACACAACGAACTCTAACCAGGTACGAACGCCCTATCAGGCACAGCGAACTCCGAATGAAGGGTCTGTGCCACTTGTTAGGCACCGACCATTACTTACATCAGCTCGGTTCGGTTGCAAAGAGCGCTTTGTGCTTTCAGAGTCATTTATTAACAATGCTACTTGCCTGTTTCGGAGGCACTGTAAGTCCTACGCCACAATTCGATGTCTACACCGAGTCTTTCGTACATCCCTCTAACTATTCCCGTCGTGCCAAGCCCGATCTCGATGTGATGTAGCGTGTGAGGCCATCAAGCTCAAAGGTCATGCCTGGACCTGGATGTGTTCGTCCTCACCCCCTCGGAGTGGCTATGCCACAGTGCTGCCCCTGCCTCGATTGAGTTCGAGGTCGACGGAGCGCTGTATATGCTGACACTAACCTCTATCGGTATGCATAACGCGCCGTGAGCCTTGCAGTCATGTTCCAAGACCCTCGAAGATTTCTCCGGTCCGAGTATTTCGAATTCATGGTGATCGCGACTCATGAGTCGCTAAGCAACTGCCTTGTATGATGGCTTACATATCAGCAATGGATATCCAGAGCATAAACAGACACGACTTTCACTAAAAGTTAACATGGAATCAGCTGAAACCTCACCACCACCACCATCCATGCCAAAAGCTGCCAAGGTGGGACATAAGAAGTCAAGACTAGGCTGTCAGAGATGCAAAACAAGACGCGTGAAGGTATGTTTGCCATACTCAGTCATGAGCATGTGCTGACGACGTCAGTGCGACGAGCAGAAACCTGTCTGCGGGAGTTGCAGGCGACACCAAGCAGAATGCGTCTATGCAGAGCAAAGGCCGCAACTTTCGTCTCATGAAAGCTCAGAGGGCAATCCACCTGGTCGACGGCAGTCAAGGATCTCATTGAGACACAGAAGCCCTTCACCTACGCACGAGCTGTTTCCTCGATCCCTCAGTGAACAAGCAGGCACAGAGATTCCCGAGTCGAAGGGCAGAAGATTAATGGAGCTACGCCTCATGCAAAATGCGTGTCTTCACATGGTCGGACGAATCATTACTACTAATGACGAATGGTTACGATTGTGGCAGCAAGCGTTGTCCACGATGTGCTTGGAGCACGAAAACTTGATGTACGCACAATTTGCTCTTTCAGCAACCAACATATTACGAACTCATCCAGACGACGAGGACTTGTATAGCGCACGGCAGAACTACTTCGTACTTGCTCTACGCGAACAGAGGAAAGCTTGCGCACACATCCATTCTCAGAATGCTGAAGCAGTATGCCTTACCTCAATGGTCATTCTGCATACTTCATTCGCCATGATCCACGAGAGACCACTTGGAAACTACAACCCACCAATAGAATGGTTGAAAATGGGTCGCGGTGCTGGCGCGGTGATGTGGAAAGCAAGTGCTGCCGTTGCGCCCGAGATGCCAGCAAGTTTCAAGGTCTTCATGGAGTCATATCAGCAGGTGTTGTCAGAGCAAGAACTACGAGTCACTCTTAGCCACCCCTTCGTCACAGTCTATGCTGCGATTGGCAAACAAACGGCAAGCGATGTGTTGACCGATGCTTACTGGAGAACGTTAGTATACATTAACAACATGCAAGGCGCAATCGATAGTGGAGACTCTGTTCATGTGCTGGGCAGGAGATTACAAGCATTCCCCATGGTCGTGCCGACGAAATTTATCGATCAGGTCGAATTGCGAGATCCATGCGCTTTTTTGGTCTTGGCTTACTATTTTGCAGTTGCCGCGCAGGTAGACAAGGAGTTTTGGTGGCTACGAGGTCCAAAGGGTGATCGAACAGCGGCTAATGAGCTTCGTGCGTTGAAGTCTGTACTGGCAGCCATGTGTCCAGCTCTCATGCAATGGCCGTTGACGAAAGCTGGGATTTGATACTTCTATACAAGATGAGCGACTCGGTGCTGGTTACCATGGTCGTGCACGGTGTGCCCATGGCGAAGAAGGTTATAGCAGAGCAATGGAAGTTTGGGCGTTGGACGGGCACGCAACGGGACTGTCGCGACGGGGTTCCTTCCAATGTGGGCGACATTCTTCTGGCTTCGAGCAATTGACTGATAGCGCTGCTCACGAAATCAACAGGGCAAGTTTGCCTTCGTAGTGTCGGATAACTAAGTCAGCGGGGTTACTCTCTAAAAGGACAGAGACTTCACGAATAGCATCAAGAATATAGTACTTAAGAAAGCTGGGTTCTCTAAGAGTCTATTTAATTAAGTAACGAAAATATAGAGAGCCTAGCTCATTACAATAGTCGTTAAACACTTTGTCGATAATAATGGTCTGTACGATCAATGGTCAGTATAGTCACTCATACCGAGTCGGTAGTAGACTTACTTTTACCCTAGTCTCATCTTTCATATCGACCCAGCCGTCTTTTTTCTACTTTCCTAGCCCAATTTGATAATCACTTTTGGGTCCAGCCACCGAGTGTCTGGTAGTGCGACGGCGAGACGGGCCAGTCTGTGCTTCCTGCATTTATGTCGTTGGCTGGGATAGCGCCAGTGCTGGTGCGGGTTCGTCTAGGCAGAGGGGGAGGTGAAATGCTGAGTCGACACTTTGGTGCGGTTAAGTAAAAGGAGACTTAGGATAACTGAACTCGTATGCTAGGTCTTTGTGTACCGTACCGCCATGCAAATCTATCAATGGCAAGCTGAGTGTCGACCTCCTCAGCCCTTGACGATTCTCCTGGAAGAGTATCCTGTCTAGGCTTCAAAGTCCTCGAACCTCGCGATGTAGTCGACTAGTCGGATTATTTCGCCATCGCATCTCGTCAGACCCCAATACATTCTGTCCCCAAAGACACTCGGCTCCGTTGTTTTACCAGGACAGCTTTTTTTTATAGTTTTTTTTTTGATTTTTTGGAACAGGCCCATATGTTCTTGCTGAAGCCTTCATTGTATTTGTGTCAGGCTTGACACGTGTACAACCAGATCGACCAGCAGGCCACTTCATGTCCAGGCGGCAAGCTGGGCCTTCATGATCACAATTCACTTCCACACAAGGCTAGTACTCTACTTGCACCTCAATCCCGGCCAAGTTGTCGACGTATTTGACCAGACGGGCCGTGTCGCCAATGCAAGCCTTACTGTCTCAGTCGCTCCAGTGACTTCTTGTAGTCCAGACGTTGGCTTTGCGGCTCCTTTTGTAGCATCCACACGAACAGAACAAGCTATTGGGAGGGAAGTCACGTTGATCTTTCACCTTCGTTGTTTGGCTTTCCATTCATCTTGTTTGCAAAGTCAGCCGACCGTATCAAGCCTCGAGAAACGCTCAGATCATTCGGATCTGCACAACCACTTTCGTCGCAAAATTGTGCCACGTCGTCTGGTATGAATAGTTTCCCCAGGAATTTTTCGGCTGCAGGATGGTCGTGAGTCCAATTTGCAATCGCGGAGTTGTCGATCTTAGAGTTGCCTGTGTTTGCGACTTGTATAGCTGCGCATAAATAAGCATCGTAGAATTGAACGAGAGGAAAATCCGATGTTACGAGAACTAGATTGCATTCAGGTTGTGTAATTGCTGACCAGGAGCACGTCCCGGTTAGCAAAAGTGTCGGGGGCACGCCCACAATTTTGTTGCGATAACCCGACGCTTTTGCTGACTGGGGCAGCAGATACCACAAACAAAGCCGCTGACGGCAACTCTACAGGGCTCGACACCTGCGACAATAACGCGCCAACAAAATTACCGCAACGATACACGATCCTGACATATGTGTGTATGCAAACACGTCTGGTAGTATGTGCAATGGTATTACATGTCGATGTAATCAATAGTCGTATACAGTATACCACTTGGCGCGTTTGATTTGTCTACCAGATGCTATGAGCAGAAAAGTTTGTCATGTTTGTTCATGAGGCTTGAATTGCTTAGCTTACGAACACGACTGAACTGTCGCGACGGCCTAGGGCCTAGACGATCGCGTCTGTTTCTTTATATGCTCAAAAATAGTGACTGCGATTTGAAGCCAGATAGCGCCCGTAGTGAAGAATGCCAGCGAATGGGTTATTGACTCGGAATATATACGAGGCGCGACGTCTAGTGTATACCGAGATCTGCTCCCAATACCACGTCCAACATCGAACAGAACCCTGCCGCAGTTGCCGAGAGCGAGCGAGCACTTCCAGATGTTCAGCCTCGAAAAGTTGTGAGCAACGTGCCCGTGGTTGAAGCAGGCATATGCAGTCAGACCCCTGCGACCACGGCTTGGAACCTTATCGCATATATCTTCAGGCGGGGGAAGCCACTCGCCATCTCTTCCGATGCCTCACAGCCAGCGACGCTACACAAGGTACCGGCACAGTGTAGTCGTACAAAGCACTCGTGCACTTGTACACCGGTAGAAACGCCACGAGTCGAGAGAACGAGATCGCATTTGGGTAGAGCATCGGCAGTTGATTCGGACGGCAGCAGACTGCGGGCATATCAGCATGAAACATTGAGGAACGATTCAGCACCTCCCAAAAGCTCTTCGTACTCAGTGAAACTGCATTGTGTACAAACCAAAATCTGTGCCAACAGCTCAGTCATCATTGCACAGAGTTGTCAGATTGGCAATGTTCAAAATTGAAAGAACAATTGAAATGCGTGCAACTTCGCTGTCGCAAGCAGCCATAAAAGCTTTGTCCAGGTTCTCAGACACGACGACCCTCGCTGAAGAATTTTAACAGAGAGATCTCGCTGCAGCACTCTGGGAAAGACTTCGAGTCGGCCATGCCGTCAAAAAGCAGGAATAAGTACAGTCGTATAAGCAGGTTATCGTTCAATCCAGACCTTCTGGGCACTGCATTTTGTGCATCGCGATACTCTCAGAGGGATCTTCATACAATCTGGACTCCCCACCCTGGCATGTATAGTTGATATTGCAAAGCCTCGCCCTGACTGACGACGTTTCCTATTCAATCAACTAGGTCACGACAAATCCAGCAAGGGCAATCGACGGTCAAATGGTTTCTCGACCTGCCGTACTGGTGGCAGTCAGTGACAGGGACTGCCATCGATACCAGTGGCAGATCACGCCACGACAATTCGCTTCGAACCTTGGGGTGCATTTGTTGTCCAGTGGTAATCGTCTAAGTACCAGCTGCGAGGATTGCATATACGAGTGGCAAACTTTTGCCTTGGAAATGTGGCGAGCTGGACAGTCTTTAATGCATGGCGAGCGGCTGAGTTGCTGATCAACACGATGATGAGAGCAATACAGCTTAGTGGGCATCATGCACGAAGCACTGGTTCGAGACTTGAGAGTGCGTACTGGGTAACACATCCGGTCTGGACAGTGGCAAATGCCAATGCATGATCTGCTCGGCGATTTCTCTCGCCGTGCTTTCAGCTCTCGGACACGTTACAAAGGGTCGACTGAATTTTGTGTCTGGCAGCACCCAGCTCTACAGTACAGTGCAGAGCTCAGCAGTTAATCGAAGACAAATCGATCATTAGCCACGCTCGTCAGTGATCTGGAAAGAAGACATCGGGAGCTTGAGTGGAGTCGGACAACACACTACTGTGGTTTTACTGATTGGGAGCTTTCATCTTGCAGGCATTCATCTGAATCTAGCATTAGTCTTCCCGCCTCATTCGCCAGCATAGCTTGGAGTTTTGAAATACTGGCCGAGTGTGAATCACCACACGCCTGCAATTGTGGTGACGAAAGCTCTGAAAGCCTTCAAGCATGGGAAATGTTCCGAGCCAGTAACCAATGATATCACCGCTTTAGGCCGACTTTGTCAAACTGCAGCGCGCTAAAGCACGACATGCTACTGCCAGCCACAGCCCCGAACTTCGAAGTCAAGCTCTTGGTCCAAAATCATGTCAAAAGTTGTGCTGGCAGCTACTGTAGATTGCCTGAAGACCACTTACCTCATCCTACTAGCCACTTGAAGCAGAGGCGGAATTAGATGGCCGAATTATCAGCTCGTATGGGGTAGTCACTTAGACCGACCCCCCGGATATTACGCAACAAGACAACGATCATACGGCAGCGGCACAGCAGCATCGATGTCCTGCCAACGAGGCCAGCGAGACATGTCTTTGCTTGGCTTGAGGATAAACAAGAGTGGAAATGTTGAGCTTGTCCACATGGTGGGGAGTCTTCTGTTTAACCCCACAAATAGTATCTTGCCCATGCTCGAATTTGCCAATGATCGAGGGTCTTCTCCAGATCTCGCTATTCATCTTCTGGGAATAGAGCACTTGGTCATGACGGTATTGGCATAGGCTGGGCAGGCTTACCATTGACCGAGTCTGTAGCTTGACTTTCTGAAAATCGAGAGGCTAGGCATAGTGCTTGAAGTTCGAGGCGATCCAATGCCTGAATGCTTGCCGCTATATTCTCCAGACGCATCTGTACACACTAAGCACTTTCTGACCGATCACATGTTGCTGACAGGCGAACTCTAACCACAGTCGGCCAGCAAGCCGGGAATCCGAAGTGTTTCCTGCCAGCCTCTCAGCAGAAAATAGCAATTCATGACCTCTTCATTCAAGAGGTGCGAAAGTTAATCTGTCTAGTTATTGGGCTAATTTTCTTGGTTGCATGTCCAACTTGTCATCATCGGAGTCTTGAATGTGGTCTAGTCGTCACTGGCGTTACTCGAAAGAACGACCCCGCAGAGAATTTGGCGCCAAACGCTGCGCGAACAGAAAAGCTCATGCAAGATTCGATCCACACCATTGGCTTCTTGTCAATAGCCTTCTCTATGCTATGACTCCACCCTTCACATCCTCCAGCCGACGATCCATTTTTGTGAGACATACACATCGATCCACAACTGAAAGCATTCAAATTCCTGCTGCGTCCCAAGTACATCCGATTCTCTCTCCTACACAAGCACTACATCTTGTATCACTTTATAAGTAATCAACGACTTGCAGGACCGGTACCTCGTTCCACCCCACCTGCATACCTTCGCTCAACCTCTCAATCGTTATCGTCTTTGAAGGATATCCAACTATCAAGATGAAGGGAACCATTGCTACACTGCTTGCCCTTGCTGGCGCCTCGTTCGCTGCCCCACAGGCACCTTCAACACCGGCGCCAGCGGGCTGCTCGCCAAACTACCCTGGTACTTTCTCGATTACCACCCAAAACGTGACGAGATCTGCTAAGCGAGACCTCGAGACCGTATGTACTCCTATTGTCGAGTGCTAGAGTCTGAACTAACATGATTGCAGAGACAAGATGGTGGTTTGAGCATCACTTTGTCCAACGGAGTCCTGAAAGATTCCCAGGGAAGAACAGGCTGCATTGTAGCCAACCGACAGTTCCAGTTCGATGGCCCACCCCAAGCAGGAACTATCTATGCTAGTGGATGGAGTGTATGCCAGAATGGCTCGCTCGCTATCGGAGGCAATGCTATCTTTTACCAATGCTTGAGTGGAACCTTTTACAACCTCTACGACCAGAGCCAGGGTAACCAATGCAACCGTGTATACCTATTGGTTACCGGTTCAGGTTCAGGTAATGCTGCTTCCGCTGCATCTGATGGGCAGCCACAAGCTGCTACCTCTACTCGAGTCAGCCAGATCAGCGATGGTCAAGTACAGGCCACTACTGCCACCAGCAGAGTCAGCCAAATCTCAGATGGTCAGATTCAAGCTACAACAGGCACTGCCCGAGTTTCTCAAATCTCTGACGGTCAAATCCAAGCCACCACCGCAGCTAGCAGTGCCCGCGTCTCTCAAATCTCCGACGGTCAGATTCAGGCCACTACCGGCTCTGCCAGAGTTTCTCAAATCTCCGATGGCCAGATCCAGGCAACTACTGGTACTGCCCGAGTCTCCCAGATCTCTGATGGCCAGGTCCAAGCAGCAACCTCCACCCGAGCCATTGCCACTTTCACCGGTGCTGCCGTCCCTCGTGAGCTCACTGGCGGCTTCGCCTTTGTTGCTGGTCTCGTTGGTGCTGTTGCCATGCTGTAAATAGCTCAACCATGTTGCATACTATCTTGATGGAAAGGAAAAATGATGGATGAGTTCCTACGATTGGATATGAATCATGAGTCGCATCTGCTGCTACTGGTTAGCCATCACAATAATCATAGTACACTAATAATCGACTACCAGGCAAGATCTCTGCGATCTTTTGCAGGAGTACATAGTTCTGAATGAAATTTGGTATTTCACTTGCAAATTATCACTGTTCTTTCACCTTCATGCTCAATTATAATACCTTTTACGATTGTAAATGTCAACTATTTTCGTGATACCTATCAATCATGTAAAGAAAAGGACCTTCTCAGAAAGTGAGGTTCGCTCATTTTTCAGCTCGTTCAAAAAAGCTCTCGTTTCCTACAAGCGAGACGACGCCTATCGGGCATGCCAATACCAACTAAAAGTCTTGGATTTGCGGGGGATAAGAGCGCCCAGAGCACAAGAGTAGCCAGTGGCTTGGAGCCGGGCACAGAGATTAGCGAGACGGCTGGGCAGGAGCTAAGCTTTTTTTGTGCGGTTGCTGTCGCTGTGGCTGTCGCTTGGCAACGTGAACCTGGGGTGGGTTACACACCGATGGATAGAGCTTGTGTATGTGATGTGTAAGGTTGCACAGCAACCATTTACTACGCAGTGATGTGGCATAGGTTGTATGCAAGAATTTAGCAACCTATTGACTCCTGAGATTGATGGAAGTTTATCGTGTAGATCACGTTCATTTTTCGGAAACTTCTCGCACCGATCTTCATGTCGGCAGATTGTGACAATTTTATACACCTAGAGGACCTCGATCAAAATTTATACCACAATTCCTGCTTTGCTACTATGTTCAATCCTGATTTATGTAGAAAACACTGTCTCAAGTTTTATCTTAAATGCTACGCGTTAAGATGGGAATGTACACTCATCAACCAGTGTTCACTGAACCAGCAACCAGGAGTCATGGATCACTACCGTATTCCATTCACGAACGACACCGCAGTACTAGTCTTTTCCGTCTGCGGAAATTCGCTCGACAAGCTCGCTCTCGCACTCGCGACGCTAGGACCTCGTTCTAGCTATTGAGCGTGAACGGGAGCGCTTCGGAGAACAGAAGAGCTGCGATCCTTCGATGTCAGAAAATTGACATCGCTACCAAGGAATGTCAAAGCTCGCTATGGTACCTAAGACATACACGCCTGGAGAAATGCCATCTCAGCAATAGAAATATGTCTACTGAAAACTATTGGCTATTGTAGTACGGTTTGACGTCTTCAACGTGGCTCATGCTACTGAATGAGTCTAGGATAAGCACACCTGCTGTAATATGCAAATGAATGCAGCTGTCGATCTGATCAGTCGCTTACAAGTTAGCCACTAGATACTTCCATCCCTCCCACATCTCTTTGCCAACTGGTAAGATCTGGCTGGCGGGCAATACAAATCCATTCGTACCCTTATCCCTCAGTTCGAACGTCATACTGTATTCTGCCTTGCCTACATCACCAACATAATCCGTGCTGCTGCCGCTGGTCGCGTACAGTGTGGAGCAAGAAGGTCCCGTGATCCAGGTGGTTCCAGAGAATGCTTTGATGACTCTGCCAGTGTTGGCAGCAAGGGTATCGTGTTTGGCTTGGTTGGCGGCCACGGCGGAGCAGGAGTAACCGTAAGGAGTGAGGATATATTGTCCATAGGAGTGGACATCGAGATATAGCTGGATAGAATTAGCTGATGTATGTCAAATAGCAATATCTGAGTGCTCACCTTAATACCCGAGCTGTCCCTTAGCTGATTGACCAGAGATACCAAACCTTTAATCTCAGGGGTGTCTCCTTGTGTTCGGCCTCGGTAGGTTTCGTCGCACGGGTTCGTGCTGGAACCACCAGGTACATTCCATCTGTGGAAGTCTTAGCAAAATTGTCATGATCATGGGCTCGTGCTCTCTCTTACTGGAAGGGCCAATTGCGGTTTTCGTCAGTTCCGATGCAGGAGCTGCCAGCGGGAGCAGCAGATCTGTTCTTCCGCCAGAGACGATCGTTGGTTTGAGAATATACAAATCCATCAGGATTTACCACTGGCAAGATCCAGAAATCGTACGTATTCAGTAAAGCTGTAGCGTTGCTGTCTCTCCCGTAGCCCGTCATCAATTGGTACAGAAAATATTCTACACTCATGCTTGTGATCCACTCTCGGGCGTGTACATTGCCGTGAATAAGGATCGCCTTCTTTCCCTTGCCATTGTTGCCCCAGACGTGGATTCCTCGAATTGGCCTCCCTTGTACTGAGGTACCGGAGGTGATGATCTCCGAGTTCTGTGGCAAAGCTGTTTGCAAATTCGTGAGGAATGTCTGGTGATCGTTGTAGCTGTGATAGCCGTTGAACCATGATACATCGGGTACAGCGCGTTTCGAGAGACCTACGGGAAATGGTTAGTTCAACGACAAAACGAGTCAATTAGGTGCTGCTGAAGTGCAAAGAAGAGCCGGTCGATTTCGAGATTTTCGAAGTCGGAAACGTACTTGACGGTGTGCTGGAATTCCATTCTGCGGCTATGTCTGCCCCAAGATCTTCGTGCATTACTATTGTGTTGAGATTGAGTGACTCAAACTTCTCGATCTGGTCAGGCGAAATGGCGACGTCGATGTGTTTGGAGAAATCCATATTCCATGGCTTCATCTCAATATCGGCGAGCTTGTCCTGGACTGAAGCCAAGTTCTCACCGGTGGTGATCCGGTAGACTTTAAATCCGTCATAGCTGACCTTCTCTTCTCGTGGACTGAGGGCAGCGGCGGAGACTAGAGCAATGATCGAGGAGGCAACGCTCAAGAACTTCATGTTGTCGGTTGGATGAAAAGAGAAACGAGAGCTTGGAAAACTGCACAGGTATTTGCTGAATTTAAGAGCTGGAAGCCCTTCACAACGGAGGAATGCTAAAAACGGTTAAAGGTCCTACCTGGGTCTTCGAGAAGTAGAATTCATGCATTACAGCCATAGATCATCCAGGAGCATCACTCGCCACGGTCACACGAGCACATAAACAACTCGTTCGTGGGTAGCATTGTGTACTCTATCTTCTTGTTTGCTTCGACAACTCCGCTCCTAATTTCTTGTTCGCACGACTAATGTGTCACGGAGGAAGATCAAAAAGGAAGTCAGTAATGATGCATCGGGGGAAGTCCTCGGGAACACTCAGTAGAATATCTGAAACACAGCTTCGTGGCCTATAAAGATGAATATCGATGGTTCGAGTCAGAGTGATGTTCTGGACAGTGAAATGAGCTTCGGGCTTGGCGACCCTGCTCGTAGTCTATCCGGAGACCTTCTCACCCAATCGTCGTGTCTGTGCACCTCAGTCCAATTTCGCACGAGATGTAGCCAATAAGCAAGTGACCTGCTAGTGGGTCCAGAAAGCTGGCTCTACCAAATGGTCATTCTTTGCCAGACTCTCTTCGTTCCATGCCACAGGACTCGGAGTTCCATGGTGTTGATATATGCGAAGCTGTCATGTACAGCTACGGAGAGCAAATCTATGCTGATTCTGTAGTGTACTTATGATGGGCGTACACCAGCGTTACTCCTGATACCGATGCCTCTGTTCATGCCAGATCAAAGACATAATCCATCGCAGGAACTACCCTGCCGTCGAGGTTGCTTGGCCTTTGCTTGCTAATAGTATAGGATCTCGTTGAACACACAGGTGTTCTTGCAACCCTTCAAGCAAGTCCAACTGAGCTGAGCGGCTGATTTCTCCGGTCTTTCCACTCTCTGTTCGTCTCTACCCTCACCAATACACATTCAGCCTTGGTCTTCCACCATATCAGCTCTACTCGGCTTTTGGAACTGTGTTGGCACGGATCAGTTCTGTGTCTCCCTATTCCGTACGCATTCGATCCCCTTGCCTGTTCTCAGCGATGCTGTCTCAGACATCGTATAAAATAGACGGAATGGTCTGAACAACGACTGCTATGGCAGGGATGTCACGAGTCTTCTTGCGCAATACGAAAGCCGACAGCAACGACTATGTCCTAGGAGCTTGTTGGAAAGCTGCTTGGTTTGAAAAGAGCTTGCCCAGAAAGATTTGGATGCGATACTGTCCCGGCTCTAGTTCACTCTACCTGACACTTGTTTCACTGCTGAACCGCTGCCCAGAAACAGGCGTGATGAGCCCCGATACAGTGGACTTGAAGCTATAATTCCTTTTCATCTCTTTCCAGTATAGACAAGGCAACGCCAATATCAAGGCAGTAATAAGAGCTTGCATACATACCTACTCCCATCTCAGATTGGTGTCCCTCGAGTTACTGGTCCACCTCCACCTGCGCTAGGGGATGGCTGATTTCTGAGGTCTTGTTGCTTCGCAAAATGTCCTCCATTCACGTGCGCGACAGGAACATCAACACGGCATACTCAGGAGGTGGATTCGAGTACGATATTCACGCAAATTAAGTGATATCTGTCTAGCTCAGGTTGTGCATAGGCTTTGATGAAATGTGCATGTTCACCGATATTGTCCTTCAGGATGACGATCCTTGATTGGTACACAACATCTTGACCGTCTGGGGGTCTATACAAGGACATCGCACGCAGAACATAGCGGCGAAAACAGTCTCGCCTGCTTATTATTGGTAGACGATACTTCGATGGAGTGCTGCTCTTGAAATGCTAACATCAGCTTAGCTACCCTGTAGTAGGAAAAGATCTTTTCCAAACAGCTCGCTCGAGGTGTTTTCCACAGCAGTGTCGATCGAGGCGTCTCTTTCTCTCACGTTCATGAACAAGTTGTCGATTCGCACACCCGGCATCTCAAAACGTTCTATATCAGCTCTCGACACATCAGGCTTGAGGATTTCGTTGGCCCAGATGAGCCGGATTGTGCTCACCCTTGTCAGTCTTCCCTGACGTTGGGCTGTGCGAAGGACGACCAACTGTGGGAATACTGCAACCTCAGTACAGCCAATAATTTCCAGGAACTCGATTGACTCTGGGAGCATATCTGCTAGATTGGCAAGCACGAAAGGTCGGTTTGTACGTTCCACAAAAGTTTCTATCGGCTCTACTCCATGTCCAAGAAGGGCATGGCTGTTGATACTCATCGTTTTGAGTTTGTTCAGCTGCTTGAGACTGGTGTCGAGTACCAGTCTCTCAGTCGGTATTTCTTCCCATTCACCCTTCTGCCAGTTATCGTCAAAGTTCAACCAAACAGCCTCTAAAGTCGCAGCATGTGCAAGAAGCTCCTCCAATAACTCTTTTGGTGTAAAATGAACCGAATACATATGTATGCGGCCATATGTGAAGCGAAACTCCCTCAAACTTGCACAGCTCCTGACGATCTGTCTCATGCAACAACATGTCAGGGCCGAGTATTGAAATGACAGTTTCTCGACTGCAGCCGAGTGTGCCGGTACGTTCCACACACTGTCCTCTGACCATTCTCCATTCGCCAGTCCTATCTCAAAGTTCCTCAACGTTGGCAGACGAAAGAAGGAGCTGCACTTGGCAAAATCGAGATACCCATATTTTCCTTCTACAGAAAGTGTGCGGACTGATCTTAGTTTCCGTGCCGGAACGTGCTTTGCTGAAGGGTCTGACTCAGTGACGGCGTCCAGCACCTGAAAAAGATGCTTCGGCTGATAACCTTCCTCAAAATACAGGCTCTCAATGTTGGGCAGAGAGCTGAGCAGAACTCCCTGAAGCGCTTCTGGCAACGCTTGCTTGATGCCTTCAACCCATTCTGACACAAATTTCTCCTCAGTCAACTTTGGTGACCAGAGGGAGGTGATCCGATCGCGACAAAGATCCACAAAATCAGGGCTCACGGAGTCTACAAGCCCTTCATCGCTATCTGCCTTGCCCAGAGCGACGTGCTTGACGTGGACCGCCAGATCAGGCCGTGACAAGATGGTCCGAACATACGAGATGAAACGTGTTGCTTTCTCCGGAGGCCACGATTCTGGCTGTTGGTAGGTTGTGTATAAGTTTGGAGTTGCCAGCCTGCTAAAGACCTTTGACACCAAGCAGAGACTGTGAAGGCTTGATGTGTCTGAGCCCAAGCAATTGACAATCAGCGTTAGAAGCTCGGCTGACAACGATGAAATACTGCTGCTCGACATAGTCGTGAGTTTTGCGAAGGGATTATACGTGATACAAAAGGTCGTCAGCGAAAACACAGTAGGACATCAGGACCAAGGTCAATACCGGTACTTGTAGACATGGTGCAACTCGATGGAGAGAAGATTCTGTAAGGTCGACAGGCAGGCAGTTTCAGGCAGTAGAGTACGCTACTTGGGTCGTCTAAGGCGTCCTAGCATCTAACCACTTTCGGGTAGCAAATTGAGTCGACCGTCACTACCACCACCACCACTCAGCGCGTCTTGTATAAGATCTACAATGCTTACTGAATTCAGGACACTCTTACCGTCGCTATCCTCCATGATAAAATCTTTACATGCGACCATATACAACACTGATCTATAATAGTTGTTACTATAATCTTCTGTACACCACCCTCAAGCCGGTGCATATCAACAAGTTAAGCTTAAGCACTATTTCTTCATTCCACAAGTCTTCTTCTGGTTAACCCCTTTATTTTGGCTTAAATCGCTCTTTTGGCGAAGTCACTCCTTTAACGAAGTCCTTCCTCATGAATTAGTATGTTACACCATGTCAGCCGTACCAAAACGTCGACTTAGCAGTTCACCTCCTCCTCCTCGCCGCCTAGACGAACCCGCACTAGTACAGGCACTATCCAAGCCAACAAAACAACTGCAGGAAACACAACTGTCGAGACAGAGGTTAATCCGTTCCCTGTGGACGTGCCCCATATCAGTATATTCGATGACAGCGACTATATCGGTGACCACGAGGATGAATTGGAAGATGAGAAGCTCCTCTTTATCGACCTTGACGACGAAGAAATGCACGAGCCTCGTCCACTGAAGTACACACCATCGCACTCCACTGGTGAAGAATCTGGTTTGTCAAAGGCCACACAACCTGCTCCAGATATCGTCGTCCTTTCAGACGACGAAGACGAGCTACGTACTTTCTAATGTGCTAGGTGCACAACCTCCACGTCAATCTCAGACTCAGCTGCTAGATACTCTCGATACCAGATAGTCTTAAAGGCCTTAAACTCGTTCCGGTATTGTGAGAGGAGGCCGCGCCTGTTTACAGAGGTGTTGTGTGCCGTAGCTGTACTGTAGAGGTTTATTAATGCAACATTAGCAGGTGCCAGTGGTAAATTCTGAGAAAGTGTTTTATCTGGCCGTTGCCGCTGGCTGTACTCCGAATATAAACGTAGGAGCAATCATTTCGAGGGTGCGTGCTGCCATTCATCCCTCCTTTGTTTCAGCCATTGCCGACGATCTTGGGAAACATCCAGCCTACATTATCTGCTTCGCCAATTGCGTCCTTGTGAATTCTGGCCTCGGCTTAAACGACTCATATGCTGGATTGTGAAACTGTTTGAGACGTAGGCAAAAGGTACCGTATTGTTTTTTTTGATGCGTGGATCTGAACAGGTTGAAGGATGACTTCACTCTCGTATCAGTATCGTTTATTTCGACGTGTATCGTAGAGTGTGGCTGGCATTTCGCTACCATGGCAACAGCTTGACCAAATTTCCTTCCAGTCTCTTTCTATGCTGCTCACTCTTCCTCGCTAATGTCGCTCTCGTCATCATCCTGTTGTTGAATTCCAATTCCCAGACCAATCCCTCCTTCGCTATCATCTCCTTCCTGCTGAGCAGCCAACTCTGCTTCCAGCTCTGCAGCAAGGTCGTCCTCGTCAATGCTATCGTGCTGTAATAATGGTGGTGAAGGTGAAGGTGCTTTCACTTTTTGTGCTTTTGACGTACTGCTCTGTCGCCTCTTTTTCTGTTTGAGTTCTTTCGTGGGTGGTGGTGGCGGTGGTGTTGTAGGTTCTGTGGGTTCGTCGAGGATCAACTCGTCTACGTCACCATCGTTCTCCGCTTCGTCGTCGATGTCTTGGAAATATTTCATGTTTTCGTCGTCGATATCAGGCATTTCGACGTCTACTTGTGGAGTATGGCTTGCTTTGGGAGCTGAGCTAGAATCCATATCAGGATCACTGTCGTCACCTTTGTCCTTGGAAGGTATCAAACCACTCGATCTCTTTCTGTTCTGAGTCTTGATTGTTTTGCGAGGAACTGTGGCGGCGATCGAAGGACGATCAGAAGCGTCGGAATCGGAGTCGGAGTCGATTACCTTTTCAGATGACAGAACTTCCTTCGAGTGACTCTGTGGGACACCTTTTGCTTTCGTGAAAGATGCTGGTTTTCGTGTCACTTTAGTTTTCAGCTTCGATGGCTTGAGAGCCTTCTGCCGTCGACGATCTGGATACTCATTCATTTCTCGGTCTGTAGCATCGATGATCTCTATCGATCCGACAGCGGGTGTCAACGGGCGGAGAGGATGATGACCTGCTCCCAGAAGTGGACTCGAGAGACCACTCATTGGTGTTCGTGCTCCGGGGACTGGTGTTCGACCACCACCAGTACGATGACCTGCTTTTTCTGTCGCCTCCTTGGCTTCCTCGAGGAAGTGTCTGAAATCAAAGGGATTGGATGCATCAGGGTTTCCGCTTTCTTCTGTGGCAAAGAGATTGTCCACTGTGTCTTGGCCGTGCAAGTCGTGGCCAGCTTGTCGTTCCAGTCTACCATGGCGCTTTACAAATTCAGATGTTATGTTGGTGCCAGCTTGAATGTTGACCTCTAACGACAAGTCTAGTTTCTCCAATATGAATGCAGACTTTTCGGCATTCCAGACTAATGCCAGCTGTTCGTGATCTGGCTCTTCTAGAACCCAACCATCGTAATCGTACGCGTCGTGCCCATGCTCATAATTTAAAGACACATCGTCTCCGGTAGTTTTGATTGTGCCAAAACTGTTCTGGAAACCGTTCTTGGGAATCCAGTTGTACTTCACACTGATATTTTTGATCGCTGTTTCGTGGTCATCTTTGAAAGTCTCGCCAAGAAGGATACGGTAGTCACCTGGCTGGTGTACGTCCACCATTGCGAACGCTCACCAGAGACGTGTCGCGGACAGGCACGTACGCCACCAGACGAATTACTGCAAGGAAGGAATTCTGATATTGTGAGAAGTGGAATGCATTCAAGTTCTGTGTGGACGAGTTGAGGAATACCAGGGCTTTGTTCGGCATTACAACAAAGCAAGCTACTAGCGATGATCCTCTACCACTACTAGAGTAGTAAGGCTCGATCTCAGGTAATAAGGGCGTAGGCACTCGAGCAAACTACCGTAATATAGTGCAATCTCTGGCAACTGTACGGCCATACATCGGTTTGAGTTAGTGATGATAGCTACTATGTACTAACTGTTTTCGGATATTCGCGTTCGATGGTACGAACTCACCTCTGTCGCGTCTGACGAGCAAGGCCGTGCTTAAAACTTCGGTACACGACTCAGGTAGTCACTGATCACAAGTACGACGGTGCAGAGCAATAGGACGTCTGGTCGTCCTGCTGGCGAGTACAATCTTCTCGAATGTGCTAGCACTGATGTGACCCTTACGAATTCGCAGGAGAACAACGCATAAATGGGTGTACGACGGAATGCGATGCTCGCTATCTTGTATTGTCTGCCGACGTATAGGATACTGCTATCTATCACTATCAATAGTACTTGTTGCTAGGTCTCTGTGTACCGTACCTCCATGCAAGTCTAATAATAGCAATTGTGTTGTTCTCAACCCTTGATGCTCCAATATCTGCATGCCTGTAGAATGGCATGTCAGAACTGGACCAATAGGAATTCGAACGTGTGTATGACTACTAGCTCCCTTAACCGTGACGAACTCACTTTGATCACCCCTGATCTCGAAGTGGCGGGTGGAATCTTCCTCTTCACGAGGCGACTGTGAACAGAATTAAGAGGTAATGCCCCTGTCTTTTGCATATGGCGGCGTATCACGTCCTCAAGCTTGCTGTCTGTTAGAATGGTCAGAACTCGGATAGCATTGAGAAAATGTCCTTCAAGCAGGGTGCGATCTTTGATAAATCCCTTGGTTAGAATTCAATGTCTGAGTATTCAAACCGTTTCCAACACCCACCTTGGGCTCGACGGCTGTGCAGAATCACCAGGAAGCCACATTAGCTCCACGCAGCGGCTCACCATGGCTAGCACGTCCCAGTCGGGAAAAATGTTGGGGGCACGCCCACAGTTTTGTTGTGGGATCCCCGACACTTTTGCGAACTGGGATGGATATGGACCTTCGTGCTCGCAATTCACACGTGTACCTGCTCTGTGCAGCTTGATATCTCCACTCCTGTCGGATATGTTGACGCCTGCAGGCTCGAGGTTTATATGACATAAATCACAACATCACGATTTGTGGTAAAGCCGTAAGGATCGTTTAATCGTGAGCAAGCCATTGAATGGAACCTCGAAGGTATAGTTAGGTCGCCATCTATTACGCAGACAGGTAGAGCTCGCGAGACAAGTTCGATGACAGGTAACGGGCTATCCCCGGCGCAAGGAATGAAGCATGCGGCCGATAGCTGAGCCCAAACCAACGAGTCTTTTCTGACGATTCGTGAAGGTTGTGTAAGAACTGTCGAGTATAGGTGCATCCGCTACACGAGCATCCTCAGCATGTCCTCTGCTAGACGGGGACGTTGCCATTGACATCTTTCCTGCCACTAATGAGGGGTGGTAATTGTCTGTAACCTTTTAAGTTTTGACTGCAAATTTCTCGAAGATATCCTCACGATGAGTTCGTCTGAATCTTGGGCTCTGCCAGAGGAGCGTTTGGCATTTCACCAGGACTCAACTGCCAGACCATGTCAATAGCACCATCGGGATTGCCCTTGTTGTAAAGAAACAACCCTTGCAGAGCAGCTGTGCTTGTCGAGCTAGGGGTATGGTCTTCGAGGTTGGCTAGTGCGCCATATTTCACGAGTCGAGTCATGAACAAGCTCTTCTTTTCTTGCTTTGTGGCTTCGTCTGCATCGATATCGCCGTAAAAGCGGTCCCACAAGGCTGAGATCTGATACGCAGTGGCATTGCCAAGTCGAACAGTCATATCAACCCTACCAGGTCTGACTAGTGCCTCATCTAGTCGTTCAATGTGATTGGTGGTAAGGAACAGCATACGCTCCTCGGCGCTAGCCACACCGTCGAGTGCATTGAGAAGACCAGAGAAGGTGACATTGGCACCAGCATATCCATCAGAGTCTATCTTCTGCCTACGATTGTTGTAGGCTGCGTCAACATCTTCAAGTAGGACGAGAGTTCGTTGTGGGATGATAGTAAGAAGATGATTCAGGCGGTCGTCGGTCAGACCGCGTTCTGACAAGTTAATGATTGCTATGCCGTAGTCCAGATAACCAGCCAATGCTTGAATGAAGGATGATTTGCCAGTGCCAGGTGGACCGTACAGCAAGTAGCCACGTCGGTACGGCACACCTCTATCAGCATACCATTTATGCGAGGCTATAAAGTCTTGAATATCTGCAACGATGCGCTCTTTCACACCTTTTTCAAGTATAACACTATCCAAAGGTCGCTTTTGTCTTGGATGCCCGAATTTCTCCCATGTAACACCTCTTGCAGTATAGATGACTGTCTTGCCTTCAACTGCTTCCACTGCAAGCTGATTTGCTTCCCGAAAGATGGACTCGAAGACGAAGCGATCTCGGTAGAGAGTGGTTAGGGTCGTGGTCTCGAAGGGTCTGGAGCCTCCCTGCAGCATCTCAGTACGGTTAGCCTCGCGTTGGCGATTCACATGTATAATGGTGCCATTGTAGTGGATGAAATGCTGACCTGGTCCAGGGATCAGAGTGGTATGAGTTGTGATTGCACCATTAGGTAGCTCGAGCTTGGAAGTTTCAACCGCGAGATGGCGCATTCGTGGAGTAAGTCTTTGCAACATGCGCTGACCTAAAGACAAGGTTGACGCAGTAGCTTTAGGGGTTCCCTGGGCCGTTCTCAGCATCAGTTGCCGTTTCTCGTGCTGGGTCATCCAGAGCAGGAACCATCCATAAGATTCATCCTTAATACTGATCTCCACGTCAACGAGTAATCGTTGACGAACAAGACCTGCTGCACGACGAACACCACGTTGTCCGAACGCAGCCAGAGCACCAAGTCCAGCGAGTCCGAAGCCAGCAGTGAAGAATGGGTTGCTAGTCAACTGCGAAATGATACCTCCATCACTCGTATTGGTGGATGTTGACAGCTGCTTCGCCAGATCCTGCTTAGTTCCGATCAGCGCATCAGCAGAGACTGGAGTTGAGCCATGCTGCACGATTGTTGTGGCAGCATCGCTTGATTGCATATGCGCAATATGCTATCGTACACAACGAGCAGCGTGGATGAGTTCGATATACATCACTTGGGGAGCGTAGCAGAATGTCTTCCAGTATCTCAGCAGCCTGATTTCTAAGGCAGTAGAGTGCTCACCAGCTATCGCACCTTCCCCTTCGGACTTTACGGCTGTGAACCATGCCGATGTGATTCTGCTCGTCCTTTTTTTATCTGTATAGATGTCCCAGAACGGTGTTAAGACTCTGCTTTGCTCAAAATCCACGGACGTCAGAATTTCGACTTTCGGGCGCCGCAGCTTGTGAGCTTGCTGGTCAGACACTGGCACGGCGCAATATTACACCTACTCCAACGTAATTGAGTTCCCTATTGCGAGTTCTATTCGACAACAGTCTCTGTGTCCTATACCTGGTATCTGCCTGCATCTGTCAGCTGCCCGTGTGCTTTCTTTTACCTATTCCCGTGCTTCCTTTTCTTCATGCGCTCATTCCTCCATTTCCTTACCAGAAGGAAAGCCTTCACTTTCAACCCGCGACAGCAACAGCATATACGTCGCATTATGGCGAACTCAAGCTCTGCTTCAGCATTGCTGTATGCAGCAACAATCTCCATGCCAGCTTCACAGGGTGCTCGGCCTGACGACGACCTTACCAAGACCAAAGCCTGGCACACTGAGAATGGCCGTTTCGAAAATCCATGGCCATCCTGGAACAACCAGACTCCATGGAAGATTATGGGTGGCATGATCAAGAGAAGGTTCAATGGGAGGGCCAATTCTCCCGACACGACACCACCAACCATTCCCGTCCGAAAACCGACGTTCCTTCCTTCCCGCGAGCAGAACGATAAGATTCGCGCAACCTGGCTCGGACATGCCTGCTATTACGTCGAGTTTCCTTCTGGCCTTCGAGTCCTCTTTGACCCAGTTTTCGAGGACCGCTGCTCACCCTTCTCCTTCATGGGGCCGAAACGTTACACCGAGAAACCTTGTAACATCGCCGATATTCCCTTCATCGATGCCGTAGTCATCTCACATAGTCACTACGATCATCTGAGCGTTTCTAGTGTGCGCGAGGTCTCAACGAGGTTTCCCAACTGTCATTTCTTCGTGCCACTGGGGAACAAGAAATGGTTTGCAGAATGCAAAATCCAGCAGTGTACTGAGCTCGACTGGTGGGACGAGGTGGACTTTACACTCACTCCTCAATCTCCGAGCTCTAATGACTCCAAACCTGAAATCTCAGACGTCGATACTGCCCAACCATCCTCCAACACAATCACGGCTCGGATATCGTGCCTGCCGTGTCAACATATCGCGAACCGAGGCCTCTTTGATCGCGGCGCAACACTCTGGTCGTCATGGTCAGTCACCTCCGGCACTCCAGGCACGTCTCAACCTCCCAAGTCCGTCTATTTTGGCGGCGATACTGGCTACCGCGCTGTGCCAGAGTCATCAGACGGAAAAGACGACTGGTCCGAAGAATACTCCCACCTTCCGATCTGTCCCGCCTTTAAAGAGATTGGCAAACACCGCGGTCCATTCGATCTAGGGCTAATACCAATCGGCGCGTACATGCCACGTTGGATCATGAGTCCGATGCATTCGAATCCTCGAGATTCGGTCGAGATCTTCCGAGACACGGGCTGCAAGAGAGCTCTAGGTATACATTGGGGAACCTGGGTATTGACCGAGGAGGATGTCCTTGAGCCACCGAGACTATTGAAGCAGGCACTGCAACACCACAACATCCCGACCGAAGGCGTCTTCGACGTTTGTGACATTGGTGAAAGCAGAGAGATCTAGGCTTTCAACATCTCAAGAAGGATGCCAAACCTCTCATCACCTATATTTGTTTAGTTACAAGGCTGCTTGTTTTTATTTTTGCTTGCGTTCCAGCGCCGTGCGAAAAGGGCACGTAGATTGTACAAAAACATGTATAAAGATTCTCAACTTTAAGAGCTTTACTGCATACTACTCGTTCTCATGACGAGACAACTATCGCTGTATGTTTTGTGCTTGCCTGGATAAGCTATGTGTATTCGATGTGTTTGAGCAAACCTTTTTACCAATCCTGAGTCTTTACGGATAACATCATGTCCTATATCTGTCGTGGAGCAAGCGAAACCAAGCCTTCGATATTGGTATGCTATGCACGCTCTACGATCTAAATAAATCTCGATATTCGTGATTGTATCGATGGGTGTACTCCTCATCGGAACATGGTGGAAAACACAGCTCCAGGCTGAAAATTATCGATCCAATTTATACACGCTTGCTAAACTAGCTACAATACAATCCTACCACGACTCGAGCTTGCACCATTAGCCTGGACATTACTGTTTTCAGTACTGTTAAATAATCTAGAGAAGAAGTTTGTGTCGTCGTTGGAGTCTCCGTCTCCTCCCATCCACTTTGGTCTAGTAAATCCAGCGCTGGCACTACTGCCACTTGCGTTATCGGACTTGTTGCTGTTACTCATCCACCTCGGCGTCTCGAACGTGTCGAATGTGTTCTTCACACGCCGGCCGAACAAGGTGAAGAAGTTCTCCTCGTCCGGCTCAGCATCTAGTGGTGGGGGTTGGCGGGAGTTCCGCAGGCCAGATGAGCCCAAAGTTCGCCCTGTTGTAGAGGATGCAGGTGCTCGCGCAGGGCTGGCCCATTGAGGTGATCTAGAGATATCACTGGAGCCGCGAGGAGACGATGTGGAAGAGCTGCTAAGCAGACCCAATGTGCTAGAGCCTGAGGGACCTGGACCTTCTAGGTCTCGTGCAATTAGGTCTCGGCCTTCCCTCCAGCCACCTGTGCCAAAGCCTGATGGGTTGTTCTCTTCATCGTCGTCGTCTAGTATGCCGAAACCAAGGACGTTCCTGATTCGTCCGTATAGGTTGAAAAACGTGGCACAGACTGGGATGAGTATGAAGATTGGAAAGAGGAAATCGAACCACTTCCCAAGTGGTGTCAAGTTGATCAACCTGCCGAGAAAGTTGTAGAACGTGGTCTCTTTCTGGATGTGTTCAGGCAGAAAAGTGAGGAAGTTGTATGCAAGAGGGACGGTCAGGCGTGCTATTTGCCCAGCATACCAGCATGCAGACTCTGCGTAAGTGTTTCTGCGGACAAGTGCTCGCTGATTCCACACAGGGACGTCTGCAATGGAAGACAGCGCGCAGGCGCACATATAGAGAATCCAAAAGGCTGCTGTGAGTTGCCCTCCGAGACCTATTTGGTAGTCCCTCCGCGTGGGGTGGTGAATGACCGTCAAGGATACAGCGGAAAGTTCGGGCTTGGGAAATCGGATGATCTCGGACCATATTATGGCTGCAGAAGCGACACTTAGGAAACTGCCAGCTGATAGACGTGCAGCTGGAATGATATTTGCGTAGAGGTGGTAGCGCCAACTGGGAGGAAGGGTGAAGATCTGAGAGATGCGCGAAGAGGATGGCCGAGAACGATTGAAGACAAGTTGTTTGCTAGCTTTCGAATCGAGGATGAGCTGGAGCTCGTAGGCTTTCTGAACGGTACGATCCCATTCCTCCACGTATCGGGCACGTTGATGTCGAGCACGATAGAAACGTCGAGTCAAATCGGCCAAATAGCGCTCCGTGATGACAGCAGGTACCTTGCCAGAAGGGTCGAGTTCCGGTGTTGCCAAAGTGACTCGTGGTGGAGTTGTACCTACCATATCTGCCAGATCTTCTATCCACTCTTGCAAATCCCTCGCTGTACCGGTCTTACGTTTCTTCAACTGCTCAATCTGGCTCTCCAGGTCTTCAAGAGCAATAATAGCGTCCTCCAACTTCTCGTGAACTCTCGGGGCATGCGCTTGTATTCTTCTTAGTCGACCACTAATACTGGCATTCCGGATCATGTTTCGAGGAATAGCCACTAGACCATGACCCATGAGGTAGATAGCCAATATCAAACCCCAGACATAGGCCAGTGCCATGACCAGAGCCTTGATGGCCGTAGTATCGAAGCCGTAGGAATAGATCATATAGACGAGGCCGAGTATGGCGCAGCTCATCGTAATCAATTGGTATCTTCCATTTGATCTCAGGGAGTACACCATGCGGCTCTTAGGCTCACGGTATCCAGCATCCATGTACTCGCCGAGTAATGGCAGAATCAGCCATGTAGAGACGAAAGTCAACCAATATATTATCCTCCATGATATCAAGATTAGCCGTTGGGGCAACCATATTCCTTTGGCGGCCTCATCTTCCACCCTCGCGCTCGACGCAAGATCGATAGGAACAAGGAGGATTGCAGTGATAGGTAGGACGACAGCGAGGAAGACTGGGACTACAAGGAAGGCAGGAGCAGATCGGAGAGGAAGGTAGTGCCGTAGTAGTAGAAGGACGGAGACACATATGGTCAACAGAGCCAGTCCGGCGAAGGTGCCCGACTCTGCTGCGTTTGCCATGTTATAACCGCGATGCTGAAGGGAGCCTGTTATACATGGTAACGATAGTCCTGAAGAAAGGCTAGAAGACCGCACGTTCTGAAATCAGTGAACCAACAGTGGAATACTCAAATACGATGTAGCAGTGCTATGCAGGAGATGCCTTATGGATGGATGACTTCACCACAGCGTTTATGGTCTCCAAGAACGACAGTATGATTCTAATTTCGACCGTAGTGCGAGTGAAACGGAAGGTTTCAGCACGTCAGACGATCACTAGCCTATCTGGTGTAAGGGTGATCCCGAATTGCTCACTAGAAGCGAAATAGTAGCTACGAAAGTCGAAGCTCATTGGTGCCCATTTGACCAACAGTCAGCAAGCTGATATCAGGTTTTCCGTGCTTACTGAGAATCGAGTCCGCTGAGAAGTAGTCGAGCAACTACATCTCCCGTTATAAGATCGGGGGGTGTGCTACACAACTAGAGTCTTCATTGCAACCGCGACGAGAGGTGAACGCGGTTCTGGAAACACAGCGGAAGGTTGCTATTGAATGTTGTCGCAATGTTTGGAGCGATGCCGCCTATTGAGTCGCTGGCTTCCTCTGAGCGCAAATTAGAGTTCGACCTTGCCCTTGCCTGCGTGCACTAACGAGCGAAACGTTCAGCTCGAATGCGCAATTGGCTGCTAGGACATCCACAACGGTCTACCTGCGGAAGGTGCTGCCCACTGCTCTCCACCTGCCGTGCACCAACTCATTCATGGCCTTCCACAGGCTCATGTTGGATGCATTTGGCCTTTCGCTGCCTTTCAAGTGTGTTTTCGTCTTGCCTGCTGTCTCTTTCTCACATCGTTGCATGTCCTGATATACGAGCTGTATTCTTATCTCTCACGAACTTCCTGTACTTTCCTCCAGTTTCAAGCTGTTTGACGCCAGACGACCTCTGTTTGTCGGAAAATCTGCGACTCATTGTTCTTAGAGTTTCCCTTACGCACGACCTGGGATAAGTCGATTGCAGGTTCACGTCAGCTGCATCCAGTCCGTCGCCTTGCCTTTTGCCTGGATCGCCGCCATTGCCAGTTCTCAAGCATTTTATTTGACAGTCAGTGAACATCAACTTCTTCGCGGAAAGACTGGGCTAGATTCGTAGGACGAGAACGAGGACTGCAAGTGGATCGCCTGCCTAGTAGTCACCCGCTCTTTGTGCGACAGACTCGAGTGCCCGACAGCACACACTCGCTTTCCTTGCCTCTGCTTCCTATCATATCAAGCACCACGATCAAGACAGCTGTTCCATTTGCTCCCCCATCGTTGACTGTCTATTTTGCTGTCTCTCGCCGAGTCCAGTAACTCGCCTCTCAGTCTACCTGCGACACACAGCACCACGACCATAACGGTCCCCAACGAGACCTCCTCACCCACCATATGGAAGCCCAATAATTTCGGATACGTTGCCCTTGACGGCCATGAATCCACAACAGTTCGGTAATATGGGAGGCATGGGGAGGGGGATGCCAACCATGGGCAATATGGGCATGATGGGTGGAAACATGGGCAACCCAGGCAATATGGGAATGAACACTGGTATGCCTAACATGGGTGGCATGCAAGAACAAAGAAATCATACCTATCTTGCCCGCATCTACCAATCATTGACCAATTCACAAAACCAGGATGGTCCTCCTCAGGGTTGGAGAGCTAATCTATCAATTCAAGACAGAGCCGGTCAGGTCAAGTTTCTCTTCGACTCTCTCCGCATGCTCGGCTCCAACGTCGATACATTACGCTCCCTCGATATAGCTTTGGCCTTCGAGAAGAGACAATTCGCCATGAGTCAAAGTGCTGACCAATACAGGGCAGAGATTCGTCAGAAGCTGGCCAGCATTCGCGACCAACGCCAACAGAATGCTGCCAATGGGATGATGAATATTGGCATGAACCCTAACATGCCACAACAGCAGATGCCTCCTAACATGAACCAGGGCATGGGTGGCTTCGGTAATCTGAATATGGGCACGCCTCAGATGCCCGGTCAACAAATGGGCCAACAACAAGGCAATGTGATGAACGCAATGAACACTCACCAGAATGCCAACCCACTCATGCAGCCTAACAACCCTAACCAGTCAGTTCGTCGGAATCCAACTGGACTTACCGACGAAGACAACAAATGGATCAATACGCGTGCTGCCGAAATGGCTAAGAGTACTACTCGGGATCAAATGGCACAACTCGTTGACTCGATGGAGCCCGGAGTTCGAGCTCATTTGAACGAGAAAGGGATCGATCCAATCATCTACCATTTCAGGATGAAAGCAACTAAAGAGTTCAGGATGCGACAGACGCAAAACAATCAAAACGTGCAAAACGCTCAAACCGCTATGGCTGCAAACATGAACCGTATACAGACTCCGAACCCTACCGCTACTGTACCAGTGACACAACCTAACCAAACACCATTTCTAGGTAACATCGATCAATTTCGCGGCCAGCAAGAGGAAGGTATGCGTTCACAGCAAGAAGGTCAACTTGTAGTGCCTGCTAGCACTTCGAATCCTAATATGGGTGTCACTAATGATCCTGCCGCTCAACAACAAAGAATGCTTCTAATGCAGCTTCGTCACCAGAATCCTAATGCCTCTCAAAATGAGCTCAGACAGCTGCTTATTCAAAAGACCAGGGAGCTGCAAGCTCGTAACCAAGCTCAACGTCAATTGAATGCTCAAGCTCAAATGATGCAAGGTCAAAACCTCACGAACGGAGTGCCCCAACCTCGAGGTATAAACACACTCAATCAGCCACTTAATCAAAATCTTTCACTTGACAATAACGCTCAAAATATTCAGATACCTGTCTCAAGGCCACAGTCTGCACAGATGGTCAATAAACCTCAGCAGCAGCAACAGGCACCTAGTGTTCAGGCAATTCTTGCCAATTTCTCGACTTTTCCACCTCAAGTTCAAGCGCTGCTCAACGCTCGACCCAGAAGTGAGTGGCCAGCTTTCATCATGGCTTATCGCAATCGACAAGAACAACGACAGGCGCAGATGCAGGTCCAGCAGCAGCAGCAACAACAACAAAACGCGCAACAACAGCAACGTCAGCAACAACAGCAGCAGCAGCAGCAAGTGGTCAACAACAATATGCAGCGTAGTGTGTCACAGCAACCTCAAAGCCTTCAAGTAAACCAAAATCTAGGACAGATGCCCAATCAGTTTGCGGGTCCCAGTATGATGCAACCATCATTGTCTGCTGGAGCTGAGGGAAGTTCGTTACCCAACCTGAAGCCGCAAATGCAGCAACAAGCTATGAGTCATAACGCTCAGAATGCCATACGGATGCAGCAGCAGCAGCAGCAGCAGCAGCAGCAGCAAATGGCTCAACAGAACGCAAGCGGTCAGCAGATGCAGACACAAGGTCAGAACAATGCGAGAATAAACGAGATGCTGGTTAAAGAGTCAATGAACAGGGCCTTACCTGGACAGATTCGAGAAAAGCTGGACGGATTTTATAAGCAAAACAATGTCGTAATGCCACCAGTATTGCAGACCTGGGCAGCCTTGAGAACTTGGATGCAATCTCATGGCGGGGTCAATCCTCCCATAACCGCTATCGACACAATGCAGCTTAACCATGCAAGGGCGCTACGGCAAGCACAACAAGCACAGCAGGCGCAGGCTCAGGCTCAGGCTCAGGCACAGGCACATGCACAACAGCAAGCGCAGATGGCTGGTGCTGGTCAACCCATGCAGCAGAACGGTAATGGATTGCAAACACCAACCATGCCACAACAGGGGCCTGGAGTTGGTGTTCAGCAAGCCCGCCAAGTCACTTCACAAGCTGTACAGGAAGCAAAAAAGCGAAACCCGAACTGGCAGAATCTATCCGATCAGCAAGTCAAGCAGATTTTGGAGGAACGGTCTCAAAAATCACAACCGATTTCTATGCCCAATCAGCCACAGAATCAATCACTAGCGGGACCACAGCTGCAAAACAACGTCGTCGCTATGAATCAACAAAGGACTGGGCAGCCTGCACACCAGCAGAACCGTCCAGTGCCTCAGAACCAATCTCAGACTCAACAACATCCTGGTACTAGCGCAAAGCACGGCGAGCCCAAGAGCCTGAAGAGACCGAATCAAGATGACACTCAGGAAGTGCCTCAAGTACAGCAAAGCATGCCTCAAGGACATGGCCTGACCAAGGAAGAGTTTGAAAAGTTGACACCCGAGAAGAAAGCGCAGTTTATACAGGAACAGCGTGAGCAACAAGAGCGTCGAAAACAAGAGGCCGCCCGAAGAGTTGCGGAGGTGAGCAAAGAGGTCACAGCTGGCATCACACCAATGCCGCCAAATTACACACTAGATCAGGCAACTCGACAGAAGCTCATCAACAAGCTGACAGAGCCCAATACGCGGAAAATTGTCGAAAGATTCGATAGCCTGTTACTCACGGTGGCTCAGGTGAACAACGATACAGAGCAGCTGAAACAACTTATCCGATACAAGTGGCATCTTGTCCAGCAGTACAAGCCCGAATCCTTCGCAGATAAAACCTATCAACCTGCGGACCATTTCACGTTGACTCCGGAGAATCTCGATAGGATTTTGGTCACAGTAACCAAATGGTTTCAACAGGCGATGGCAAAAAGCTCGAACAATGCTATGATCCAGGCGCAACAGTCGATGCCTCTTACACAGGAAAATCTCAATATGGCAGCCCAGCAGGCGGCACAGCAGCAGAAAGCCAAAGGTCAGAAGTCGAAGGATGGACCACCACCAGCGCCCACAGCTGACAAACCGCCATTTGCATTTCCCACAGATCGTGGACACGGGACTCCCAAATACGCAGGGTCTGGTCTTAAGCCTGAAGATCTCAGACTCCCACCCAAGAAGAAGCCTCGTGGTGATAATGCTGCCTCTCCAATCACACAATCACCTGTACCACAGCCAAAGGTGCTGCTCAAATGCAATTTCCCTGGTTGCAATGTGCAGCCACAAGGCTTTGCCACAGATGCTGAACTTGACATACATCGGAATACAATACACAAACCCGAGATGGAGTCCGTGAAAGACCCTGTCGGTTTCTTGAACACATCACTGCAGCAAGCCTTCCACCTTGACGAAGATATGCTACCTAGAAAGGTCCCTTCTGGAGCGAAGTCAATGGAACGAACGCTCAGCCAAAACATCAAGGATGAAAGCAGAGCTGCCACACCGGTCGGTATGGTCAGAACTGGCAGTCAGCTAGCAGGCAAAGTGACGCCACTTCAACAAAGAGCGAGGCAAGGAATGCCTGCACCATCGGCAGGGCCCACCACTGAAGATCAATGGAGTGAGTCAGCTTTCTCGTGGGACGACCTCAATACCGTGTTTGGTCCGACTGATGCAGGAGATCTTGTTCCCACAACAACTGATAGTCTAAATCTTCTTGACAAGACTCTGTCAGCGTACATGAAGACTGAGGACTACAAACGTGTCTTTGGAGAGTCCGATGTAAGCGAGAAATCATCTGCGAAAAGCAAGAGCCCCGACCAAGGAAGTGAACCCAGCCTTCCTGAAAAGTCTGCACAGAAAGATCATGGTCTTTACCATGTTGACCTGGACATTGATGGCACAGATGCTCTACCAGATCTCCCAGATGCTTTCGATGGACTATTCGATGACAAGGATGCCGAGAGATGGACTCTACTCGACAATGAGGGCAGCACAAGTAGTTTCGAGATGCTTGACAAGAATGCGGCCAATGAGTCACAACTAGTCACTGGAGCAGACGCATTTGATCTTAACTCTTGGATTCAGGACGATGAGATCGATCCACTTGTTCACGACATGTTAGATACCCCTACCAATTGGGAAGAACTATACGCCAGTGGCCCTGCAAATTATGCTGGTGGCTCACTAGCATGGAATGCTACCGGCAAGGCTGGACAGGAAATGAGGCGAAAGCTGGGCTGGCCCATCGCGGGCGCGGCAGGTCAGGCAAATGCGAAGATGGGTTCGGCACGGGCCTAATGAGCGAATGTACAATTGTTACAACATTCATTTAGCGTTTTGGAGGATTGTAGAGAAGGTTGGCGCAGGAGAAGAAATGTTTGTGTGCCTGGTATTGGGTTGTGGGGATCTCGGGGGGTCTGGCATTTAACGACATGAAACGGTCTTCGAGATGACAATATTATTGAACCACCTTTGTGACACTACTTGATGGCTGATATGGCTGATGCAGTGATAGTCATACAAATTCACATCCCTACCAGCGAAAAGTGGCGCGTTCGGTATAGCAACTGTAGTGCTGGGGCTTCACGTGAAGGTGAGATCGTGCGCATCTGGATAGGGTAATTTAGGCGGAGAACGTGCTCACGCTAAGCTGTTTGCAGATACATAGCAGACACGACCCAGCACGCGTTCGAAAACAGCTTTCTCTTCGGATATTCCCCTCGTCAGCAACTCGTGTCATCATTGGGAAGAAAGTGATGCCTCGAAATCGGGAACCTCAAGTTCTGTGTGATGAGCAAGATGTCACATGAGTCTCCGATCAGATAAGGAACGGATATGACTCTGCACCGGATTTGGGTAGGACAGTCAGAATTCTGTTGTCCTTCAGATCTGGTTGTGTCTGATTAGAAGAAAAATAGCTACGGAGGTCAAACTCTCTCGACGCTATTCAAGACTGGTTGTGAAATCTGAGTGCCAGTTAGATCTCAAGCAATGCTGCTTGCCAGCATGTTACTGTCTCCGGCTGCGAGGTCTGTGCATCAACCTGTCAAAAATAATCAATAGACGAAAGCGGCTGTACTTCACGCTCGCAAGTATGGATTTATGGCCGTGTACGGATCAATAGCATAGGTAAGTGGTGCAATGGTTTTGCTGGATTATTTTTTGCTGCCTCATACTATACATCGTAAATCCGCTCTAGCCAAAACGGCATGCCCCAAGCTGAGCCGTGAAGAAGTCTGTTGAGATGGGTGGCATCGAGCAATCATATTCGCCTTTCCGACCGCTGGACAAACCGAAGCGAATGCGTACCCATCACAATCTGCGGATCCTCCTGATTGTGGCAGTTTGTTGCACAGTATTGCTGGTCCGCAGGACGGGAATCTCACAGACACCCAACTCACATGGCCTTCTACCAACCAAAGCCATTGTCTCCCCACGCGACCAAGCTGCGAACTCAACGCTGGGCTTCGAGAAGATTCTGACAGTTGCGTACAAGCAAAATAACTGGCGAACCCGTGGCTTGAGGGCGGCAGCTAGCATAACAAATCTGAATATCGATGTTCCAGAACAGCCATATATCACGGATGAAGAAGTCAATGATTTCTTGGCACATTCATCAGAACCTCACAGAAATGAAAAAGGCACTGCCAGAGTGTGGATGGCACACCGTGATATGCTCAAGCACATCATTATGTCAAGCTTCTCTACAGCGTTGATCTTAGAGGACGACGCAGATTGGGACATGAACATACACATTCAGTCGGCATTACTATCAAGTGCGATCCGAAACTTGACGGATACAAAGGCCGACGACAACTCACCTTATGGATCAGAGTGGGAGGTTCTCTGGCTTGGACACTCCGGCGACCAGTCCTTCAACACGGCTACACCTCACGTCGAATATGCTGATCCGACGATCTTGCCATTTAAGACCTATGCCTGGTGGACAAAAGCTTTTCTAGAGCAGTACAACAGAGCGGGCCATCGGTCTGTGCAATGGCCAATAGAGCCAACCGGGCTTATTGCGTACGCCGTCAATACTGGCGTTGCCCAGAAGATCCTACGTCACCTTGGTGAAGGCGGTCATCAAGCCATCGACCTTGAGCTTAGATATCTGTGCCAGTACCATATTCTGAGATGCTTTATTGTCAACCCAGAAATTGTGGGAATGTATGAGCCGAAAGCTGAGCTTGGTTACGTCAGCCCTAACAACGAGGGTAATGGCCAAACTCTATCGAAGGTGGACGAAGCTTTTGAGAAGGTGAAGGGTGCCACAAGAAACGTCAAAGATAGTGCGAGATGTGCTGCTCTGTTCGGCAGTACCTGCCAACCTACAGTGTCCGAAGCCTGAGAAGGGTCATGACATCCAGATGTCAGTACTGGGCGTGTTATGGTTCTCATCTTATTCATTGAACGTTCAATAACGGCTCAACCTTTGACACCAATGCTTGAAGAAACTCTATCTCTAAAAATCAGGTGTAATACAAAATGAGTGCGGATGAGTCGGCTGCATGTACCTGTTACCACTGCATACGGCTGTTCCTGTTTCCAACCCAGACCATTTCAGGCTACAGCATTACTACTTTACTGCCCTGCACCGTTCTAGGTCTCCATGCTATGTACATCATGATCTTAGGGCTTGCTCGCCAGCTTGCTCCTGCTTTGCCGACGGCAAGAGAACTTCAGAAGATCGAGACGTAGAAATCATACCGCTAAGTGCTAGCACTACTCCATTCTTCCTTAAGCATCGGGTGCACCACCTTCATCATCCAACAGCCTGAAAAAGTCTCACAGATACCAAAGCAGACATCGTACCGTTGCAATAGCTCTCAGCTCGTCTCTTCGGTGACGGCCAGATACAGCGCTTGCTTGTTGTTCTTGTGTCCCACAATACCAATGCGTGCAACTCCAATAATCTATTATTGGCCCGTTCCTGCAAAGGTCAAAACCCAAAGCAAGGCACGCGTTCACCATTGTCCCCTCTTCATGCACGCTCTCTCAGCCTACGTATGCATGTCTCAGCATGAATTGAAGCTAGACTGACGGCTGATGTAGGTACTTGCCTTTCTCTTCGACAAATCTTGGAGCTTTATTTGAGCTTTCTCCAGGTGAAGACATGACAAGCTCGCTAAGCTCTGTTAGCGCATACTTTCTGCTGGAGGATGCGGGGTACGTCAAGGAGTTTATCAGATCCTAGCTTAACGCTTTGGCGGACGTCGCTTATTGTACATGTGTATCCATTTCGTCAGCTAGGCTGTCGAGTGTCGGTTCAAGAATGAGGGAATACTTTGCAGACACCCAGTATTTCTGGCCGTTTCGGAAGAATATCTCCTCGGACACAATACTACCAACACAAGCTTGCGAACTAGTCATTTGAGGCAAGGTAAGAACGGCGTGAAGGTCAATAGCTTCGATTATATTTACTAATAACTATGTATCTGTGGAGGCCGTTACTTTGCAATGTGCCGCGCTTCCACCTTCTTGTTTGTCACGCGTAGCTCATTTTTAACGTCAAGTCGTGTGTTTCTCAGCTATGTCTCAGCTGAATAAGTTGCTTTCCACCCACTGCCAGTATTTCTGTACTCGGCTTCTAACCTTGCCAGTTGTTCCAGCCGTTGCTTGGGCTTGGGCATGGCCTAAAGGCGTGTTAGTCGATGTGGCAGCACGAATTCATCAGCGAACTCACTGAGTGTAGGTTGCGGTAGCGGTGACTGTCTTGGTCGACACTGAGACTGACGTGGTTGTGGCGGTGACTTCGTATATTAGTCGCAGAACGTTTCTTGTTAGGAAGGTGTTTTACCTGTGTTCGTCTTTGTGGCTGTGGTCGTGGAGACACTTGTCACTGTCGTGGTTGAGGCCCAGTTCTGCCAATCGTCGTTTCCACCTGGCAGAGCAACGACGGTTGAGGCCAAAGCCGCGAGCATGTAGATGACCTTCATGTTGATTGTGGTGAGTGAATGTATGAGCGACTGTTACGAAGAACGATTGTTGTGGAAGGCTTGTGGGAAATCAGGTAGTACTCGGCTTTGGCTCTGAAGATGAAGCTGGTAAGAGACAAAGCCGAATTGTTCGAGAGAGAGGCAAGCTTATATAGCCATTTGAGGTGTTTATGATGTCGATACTGATGCTTTAGGTCGTATATGATCTATACTCTTTTCGTCAGGCTGGTGACATGACATCACGTGTTAGTACTGATCTTCTTCGTAGATCAAGAGACGAATGCGTGTACATCGATGCATCGCATACAACGTGCATGTGTTATTGGGTAACAACAACGACGTTGTGGCCGAGCCGGCTGCAGAGTGCCTCGTCAGGCAGTCTCTGCGTCTAGCCAGTCCAAACCTGGTATGTCGATCGAGGGGCCGTTGACTGTACAGTGATAATTGCAGCCGATCGTCACATAGAATGTCTTACCAAGCATACCAAGCTCAATGCAACGAGAAAGTAGCGACTTCAAATCAGTCAGCATATGATGCTAAGCTTCCCATTAGCTCTTAAACATACTTAAGCTTTGCAAGAGAGCTAATGCAATGCAGACTCTAGGATGAGTGGTCAGTATTTCTGTGCCGCACGTTCCTGACTGGCCTGCTCAGCCTATGGGCTGAACAAAATTGTATATATGTAGCTGCTCAGTGAAAGGCTTGTATCGAGAGCTTGTATCACAAAAGAATAACACTGACGAGGTACAGCTGTGTAATTGAAGAGCAACTGTTGTGATCCATTCTCGAAGATTCTGTAACTTTTAGCCCCAACGTGCGAAATGGGTAAAAGCTTTGATTATGCAGTCGAAGCTGTTAGTGTAATGCTTGTCTCAGCTGTATTCAACATCAGTCTATTCTTGGTAGTGTACATACTGGAACTGGCACACACAGTGTACTGTAGACTTGTAACTCTGTTGCACCGTAGGTTGAATACTTGAGTAGTATTGATGGTTGTTACTGCGTCCGATGGAGAATCGTGGTAATCGAACCCGGCTCTCGATTAGGCTGTGAAGTATCTCTGAGGTTGTGGAGGCGGAATCCTGTCTTTCGACAAGCTATTCGGTAGCAGGAACTGAGAACCATAATGTATTTTCTCGTTCTCAAGTCATTGTTCCTAACCACTCAGTATATCTTGCCTGTTTCTGCATAGACTAATAAGAGTCATTCTGAAGGCAGGTAGTTTCAGCAGAGACACTCGATAGAAAGCAAATACACCAGCTCGTCATCGAGGTCAATTTCGATATCTTTTTCTGTTGTCGTGAGCGACCTGAGTTACGTGCAGCTCGAGATCGTGTGGTCTTCCGCACTTGTCTTCGCTCCTTCTATCATGGTTCTTGTGCTAACGACCATAACGAATAAGGAAGGATCTGGCCAGCAGGCATCTAGAAAGCATGTGGGGAAAAGGTTTTCAAGACATATTGGGTCAAAGTCGATGCATTTCCCTTAGATCTGACTGTTTATATCTGACTTCTTCACAGTGTATCTAGACAGCGCCGGCTGACTGCAAAAGATCATCCAACTGACTCTTCTTTGCCTGCAGATCAGAGTTGCCACCAATATGCTTCTTGCTGATGAAAATATTTGGGACACTTCTCTGTCCTGTCATCTCCTCTAGGGCGTCTTGAATGGCTGCACCATCGGCTGTAATGCTATTAGTAGCTGAACACTGGATTTAGTGGAAGAAGATGACTACTTACAAACTTGATCAAGTTCAATAACATAGTACTTTGCATGCTTGTCATCGAGCAGGCTCTTGGTAGCTCTGCAATATGGGCAATACGACTTCGAGAAGACTGCGACGGCGTTTTCATCGATGATTTGCTGTGCCTTCTGCTTTGCGGCGGACATGGCTGCTGGCGATGCTGGATTACCAAAGAAGGCGCGACGAAGGCTATTGAAGAAAGCTATGTTGGGCGACTCTTTCGATGGACAGAGGAAATTCTTCGGTGAGTTGAAGAGAGTTTAGGTACTTATTGTTAATTGAGTGAGGGGCGACAGTGTACTATTTGCAATTGCGAAATGACCTTGAGATGACAAAACAATCTCGACAAACCGCGGAATAGGATGGGGAAGGAACAGCTGGCTCTGACTGATGACATCATCTGAGCTTTAAGCCTTAAATAGCTTGGCGCGAAATCTGAAATATCCGGTGTTCAAAGACACAGGCATAGTAGCTATACATCTGACTGTGATCAATCGACTTATCGTGTGATCGCAAGCACTGGTGTTTCACAAGGCTACTACGGAGAGTCCCATACCTTACAGTCGTATGTAGTAGCTTCAAGCAATAGACGAATACAAGCAGTGATAGGATGGAAGGTCTCTCTCCTCGACCATCGAAGAAGGCAGGTAAGATTAGACAGCAAGCAATACCATGAACAGATCTAGGAAACTCCTCTGCCCCCCTGTTCACTGTTAGCTCCAAACTGGCATGAAATGGGCACTCTGCTCGACCTACGTCGACATCAAAAGCGGCGCCTAACCCAACAGTCAGCCATTACAGCTCCTCAGATGTGATCGACACTTACCTGTCACATACGTCGCCTCTTCACTGGCCAAGAAGGTCACCATGTTGGCTACGTCTTCAGGTTGACACTATAACACATCAGCAATCACATGTAAGGACACTCGGCTCCTAATGCCAGGATCATGGACCCGACAACGTACCACACGACCCAGTGGGATCGTCCCGAGGACCTTCTTACGTCCCTCAGGCGTATCTGTACCACCTATCACTTTAGCCAACATTGCAGTCTCTCCTACTGCAGGTCGAATGCAGTTGAATCTGATTTTATCCCCGGCATACTCAGCAGCCAAACCGCGAGTCGCAACAGTCACTGCTCCCTTACTCGCCGCGTACCACTGCCAAATGTTAGCTCAGACAATCGTATCAGCCAAACTCGTAGACGGTTCTTTATAGGAACCGATATGAGTTTGAGAGAATACTGACCACAACGAACGGCCGAGGTCTCGGCTCAGATACGGAACTGATGTTAATGACTTCTCAAGTTAGTAGAAGTGAGGCAAGTTGGACAGTTGCACATGTCGCAAATTGACCATCTCTGTGGCTCGATCAGGGGGGCCACTTACATAGCCCTTCGAACTTCTTCTCCCTCCAGAACGGCACAACGACTTTGCACGAAAGATAGATTGGCTTCACATTGACCCTGCAACTCGGTCAGACCACGATTACTAATCAATACCCTTACTTGCCGAAACATGGCGTCGAACTGGTCTTCAGGTACTTCGTGAGATGGTGCAGCGATGTGTACAACACCTGCACAGTTCACCACTATGTCCAGCTTGCCGAAGTTCTTCAGCGCCGCATCGAGAATATCTCGCCAGGCGGACTCCAGTGTTACATCATTCACATGTGGGAAGCATGAACCTTCTGGGGCAGCCTTAGCAGTAGCTTCGACGTTCTCCTGATGAATATCGACAGCTAGGACTTTCGCTCCTTCTGCTGTGAGCTTCTTCACAATGCCTCGGCCGAAGCCTGCTCCTGCTCCTGTTACGACAATGACCTATACCGAAGGTGAGTAGGAGGATGATCTTCTCTAAACATAGAGTACATACCTTGCCATTCAGCCTATTCATGTTTGCGCTTCGATGTAGTTCGATTGTGTAAAATACTTGATTTAAGTGCCTACCCTCACATAAGCAAACACGTATAATCCATATGCTCCTCGTCCATGAGACAATCAACTGTTTCTCCTCATCGTATGAGCCGACATTGGAGAATGGTTCTCTACTACTACGAACTGTTCATTCTCCAAGAAAGATTAGCTCGACCTCTCCACTACTACACTCCACATTAGAGACTGATAAATTGGCAAAGGTAAAATGAGGAGAGTTGATTGTGTTCCTAGCAGTCAAGAGCCATAATCTGGTCTCTACACCTCATCTATATAACCATCTCAGAAAGCAATTGTAGTCGGGGTATCTTCAGCTTCTACTCCATCCAGAACCATAGCAACCAAGCGCGATCTGTGCTTCCAGACACATAAATCCTGTCCTCTCTGTCGCACACTGCCTCGATAATAGGAAACGCCAGCTCGCCTATCACGGAATGCTCCTACTCATGCTCCCAAGCGGCAAGGCCCATCTGTCCAGATGTCACACCTCATACTAGCACATAAAGGGAAGCCATAGAGCTGATTCCCAGAATCATACTGCCCCAAAAGCAAGCATTATTCAAAATCCACCTCCCTCTCACAAATTTGCTTCTCTGTATAGCCACAATCGGCAACTGTAACATCATCGCAAAAATGGCATAACCCCTCAACTTCATGCTGATACAGCCCATGATCAGCTCGTGACCGAAACTGCTGATGAGGAATGTCATGATCATAGCCACTGAGGTATTTGTGTATGCCTTGGTAGCGAAGAAGACGTGCCGTTTGAGGAAATTGTACACTGGAATGTTCCACTCTCTGCTGAATTCGAGCCAGTCTTCGCAATTCCACCAGTCCGAGTAGAAGTGTCGATCGGCGAAGCAGGAGAGTTCGGCGAAGGCACCCAGGGCATATTCCCATATGGTGAGGAAGGTGAGGAGGAATTCAATCATGAAAGGGAAGAGCATGAGACTTATTGATTCTGCCAAGATGAGGGCTTTGTCCGAGAAACCAGGTGTGACACGTAGGCGTATAGTTGCATCTGCTAAGATTGGAGTGATGAACTCTTCTGACACAACGGTCATAAGGAAAATGCAGCCAAAGACTGCAAGTGTTTTGTAGAAGACCTCTAGCCAGCGAATGTGTGATGTTCGTGGATATTCGAGTTCGTAGCAGAGTGTAGGGCATAGAACATAGTCGGCATAATTGGCGAAAGTTAGATTCTGTGGAAATGTCACATTACCCATGGGGGACGTCAGTTCTGTGGCTAGATTATGGCGCAATTCAGTAAGAGCTTCTCTCTCTTTTTCAGCTTGCTCTTCTGCTTTCTCGTGCTCGGAGGAGGAAGATGAATCGGTACTCAGCTGGCGCAGGCGTGCAGGAGAGGTTGGGTAGATGACAGCTTTCTCAAGTGATTGCGACGGATCTGGCCTATCGAGCGCACGTAGACGACGTTCTGTTTCGGAAAGGTGGCCATTGTAAAAGGCGTAGCTGTGCATCTTCATGAGGAAGGTGAGTGTGTGCAAGGCAAAGAAGACCTGAGCTGTCCAAGTCCACTCAAGGACGAAGGGCCACTCTACCCAGATGAAGAGCCAGATGGCCTGGTAGATGCTTTGTATCCAGAAGCCAGCTTTGCGCCATTGGAGAATACCTTTCGAATTGCGGAATATCTTCTGGAAGTACACACTTGCGGCAGTACTGAGAACCATCAGTCCATCGGCGAAAGCCAATGTGAGGACATTTCTTGAGAGCAACTCGTAGACCTGTGTCCGCAAAGGATACCCCGTCTCCTTGATATTTTTCAGTGCAGTCGTGATAACCATGATGCCTAGCGACATCCAGAAGAGGACGAAGAAACCTCTAAAGTCGCTGTATTCACTCTGAGGATCGAAGTGGGAAGCTCGTGGCTCATACTTTATGGTGTGGAACAACCGCTTCTTCGCAGACGCCCTTGCAACCTGTCTCGCAGCGGAAATAGACTGCGCTGAAGGGGGCGCATCTTCAGGCAATGGAGTGCTTTCTCGACTTCGCGTTGTTTCTGCTAGATTTGAGCTGCCCTTGTGGAAGCCGTTGCTCTGTGTTTTCGAAGCACCATTGACTCGCGTCGGACGAGGCCGTAGTACACGATCCGCACCTGGATCAAGTTGATGAGACATATTACTAGGTCGGGTTTCAGTTTCTGGGTACGTATATAGTAAGGGAGGAGGGGAAATTGTTATAAGCAGAACAGAAAGTTGTACATTGCTGATTTTGAGTGACACGGGTCCTGTCAATACCAACGATGATAGATGCCTCTCAGCAAGAGAGAGCAACTCGTAAAGATGGCAAAATAATGCTTATTACCTGTTTGATATCAGTGCATACAACGTCGATCTTAGATCGCCTTTACATCTCCGTTACTATTGCGTTGGCTTTGAGGCATGTCCCATGACGCACGTATTTTCTCACAACAACCCCAAAAGTGTTCCTCCTACTGGTGAATCACGTCAGCCTGCGCTCGGGATGTGGAACACCGAGCTCGGCAACCAAGTCTCGGCATTGATCAAAATCCGTACGGCTATGGAGATCTTGAATCCGACATACGAAGTACTGGCAGTGGTTGTACTTGTTGCGCTGCTAAGCATTCTTAATAAAGGCGCGGAGAGCATCTCCGAGGCTTGAGATGTCCAGACAGAGTCAGTCCGTTTACTTTCACTCACGTCCTCGGACGACTGAGGTCTCCAATGGACGCTAGCAAATACAATCTGTTTCTATTCTTCGTCGTGGTAGCTATGCCGTCAAGGCAGTAATCGCACGCCACGATGCTAGAAGAGTCCTAAGAGGCTTTGACCTGGTCTGTCTGTGAGTATGGGAGAGGCGGTGAGACAGGATAGAAGCTCGTGTAATGCTTGATGGTTCGCCCTACTATTGTTCAATCTGTAATCGATGAGAGTGATCATGCTTTGTTCGAGCCCTGCAGTAACTTCGCTTCAGCAACATATACCATCGCTGTAATCTCAGAGCTTCAAGAACCTTCATAGACTAACCAGCCCTGTGCTGTAGTACTACGCTCCTTGCAGTCATCCTAGTGCGTAGGACTTGCTCATTAGAGAGACAATCAAGTGCCTGATGGCCCTGAGGATATGTCAGGCAGTCAGGTGTCAAGGCTCACAGGCAGATCCAGCCATTAGCATGCCTCTTTAGACTTGGGCAACGTCTGATCGAAAGTACAACGCCAATAGGCAATTCGGAATAGCAATCTGCACTGCTGAAGAGTACGGGATTTTTCGAGCGAGTCTGGACCTCCCATAAGACACCGACCTTGATGAACGTGTAAGCCCCTCCGAGGGCGTCCTCTTGCCCACCGACTCCTCCAACCATGGCATCCCTCAAGCAATTCATTCGCAACGTGCGGGCTTCCAAAACGATTGCAGATGAGCGAGCAGTCGTACAGAAAGAGAGTGCTGCGATTCGTGCCAGTTTTCGAGAGGAAAGTCACGATTCCAATGTCCGGCGCAACAATGTTGCAAAGCTGCTATACCTCTTTACCCTTGGTGAGAGGACACACTTTGGTCAGATCGAATGTCTGAAGCTATTGGCCTCGCCTCGATTTGCGGACAAGAGACTGGGCTATCTGGGTACCATGTTGCTGCTGGACGAGAACCAGGAAGTCCTTACCCTGGTCACGAACTCTCTGAAGAACGATCTGAACCACTCAAATCAGTATGTTGTGGGCCTGGCGTTGTGCACGCTTGGAAACATTGCTTCTGTCGAAATGTCGAGAGACCTGTTTCCAGAGATCGAAAACCTCATACAGACTTCAAATCCCTACATTCGGAAAAAGGCTGCCTTGTGCGCAATGCGAATATGTCGGAAAGTACCAGATTTACAAGAACACTTCCTGGAAAAAGCCAAGTTGATTTTGTCTGACCGCAACCATGCTGTTTTGCTCTCTGGGCTTACTCTGGCAGTAAATATGTGCGAAGCTGAAGAGCAGGAAGAAGTAGAGGAGGGGGTCATTGATATGTTCAAGACGTTGGTACCACAGCTCGTTCACACTCTTAAGAATCTGCAAAGTTCTGGATATACACCCGAGCACGACGTCAGTGGCATTACAGATCCTTTCCTACAAGTCAAGATTTTGCGACTCTTCCGTGTACTTGGACGTGGTGACGCTGCAGTAAGCGAACAGATCAACGATATCCTAGCTCAGGTTGCAACAAACACTGAAGCCTCCAAGAATGTTGGCAATTCGATTCTGTACGAGGCAGTGCTCACCATACTCGACATTGAGGCCGACTCTGGTCTTAGAGTGCTGGGCGTCAATATCCTTGGAAAGTTTCTAGCCAACAAGGATAACAACATTCGATATGTCGCGTTGAACACCCTGATAAAAGTCGTTGCAATCGAACCAAACGCTGTGCAAAGGCACAGAAATACTATACTCGAATGCTTACGAGATCCCGACATTTCTATCAGAAGACGTGCGCTCGACCTCAGTTTTACCCTCATTCGCGAAGACAACGTCAGAGTATTGATAAGAGAGCTGCTTGCCTTCCTCGAGGTCGCAGATACCGAATTCAAACCAGTGATGACGACCCAAATTGGCATAGCTGCCGACAGATATGCTCCAAGTAAGAGGTGGCATATTGATACACTTCTTAGAATCGTCAAACTGGCCGGTAACCACGTCAAAGAGCAGATTTTGTCTTCTTTCGTCCGCCTGATAGCCACAACTCCTGATCTACAAACATATTCCGTACAGAAATTATACGCAGCACTAAAGGCCGATATCACCCAAGAAGCTCTAACATTGGCTGCAACCTGGTCGATGGGCGAGTACGGTGATGCACTACTGAGAGGAGGCTCATACGAGGAGGAAGAACTGGTCAAAGAAGTGAAGGAAAGCGATATCGTTGATTTATACGAGAGCATTCTCAATTCGACATATGCCAACCAAATCGTCACAGAATACATAGTCACATCAGCGATGAAGTTGACTACAAGAATGTCAGATCCTTCGCAGGTCGAAAGGATAAGACGTCTGATCATGGTTCGCCAATCAGATCTGAGCATTGAAATACAACAAAGAGCTGTCGAGTACGGCAATATGTTTGGCTATGACTCGATTCGAAGAGGTGTTCTAGAGAAGATGCCTCCGCCAGAAATCAAGGAAGAGCATAGAGTGCTTGGAGAAGCCACGAAGAAGAAGGACGGCAAAAAGAGTATGCTCAAGAACAAGACAGCCAAGCCAATCTCGAAACAGAGCGAAGCAGACTTGCTTGGAGATCTTCTTGGAGGCTCGGATGCGCCCTCTGTTGACACAAGTGCTGTCATTAACGGACAACAGAACACAGCCGACCTTCTGGCAGATATCCTTGGAGGTGGCTCTTCAGTACAGAGCCCACCGCCACAATCTGTGAGTCCCGCACCTCCATCGGGATCGAACATGGATTCCATGCTCGATCTTATGGGCAACGGCACGACTTCGGCTCCTAAGCCAGCACCAGTTGCACCGTCTCCAGCGCTCTCAGGTCCTGCGGCACAGCCAGTGTACAACAAAAATGGCTTGAACATCACCATCCAAGTTTCTCGCAGCGCAGCTGGCGCTCAAGCCCAAGCCAGATTCAAGAATACAACGAACTTCGATCGCTTTACTGGTGTTGGTCTACAAGCTGCTGTGCCAAAGAGCCAAAAGCTATCGTTGCAGGCCATTAACAAGAGCACTTTAGAAGGTGGTGAGGAAGCTACACAGGCCATGAGGATAGTGCCTGCGGCAGGGGTGAGTACAAGCAATCCAAATTTTCAATAATAATGCTAACCAGGTCTTAGTCCTTACCACCAAAGCTGCGGTTACGTCTGAGGGTCAGCTACCAAAAAGACGACGGAAGTCCTGCGATAACTGATCAGGTCGACTGGAGTGAGACCTGAGATTATGTACCAGAATCTAGCTGTTGACCAGATCGATGACTAAAGATAATTTTCCAGCAAGACATGTTTCTCGTCGTGCATGCGATTCCTCTCAAGCTGCTCATTCTCATCTGCACCACCCTTACATTTCTAGAACCAACCAACGAACCAGATGACCGCATACTTTTTCGAGCTTTCTAGGTTCCTCATATTACCCTACTCATCCCTCGAATTAATCCTGCTTGCCGCTCAATTTCGCCATCCAGATCGGATCCTACTATGATTGCTCCCAAATAATAAATCTTCATCCTCATCCGAGGACGAATCATCATAGTTCAACCCCACATTACTCTCGCACCAAGATCCTGCATCATACTCGTCACCCACACCACTCTCCTCTTCCCCTTCTTTCCCCCTGCCCTCTTCATTCACACCCTCGGATCCCTCTTCCTCAATCCTTCTCCACCACCCATTCATCTTCCTCTCCAATCTCTCTCGCTGGTCAAGTTCCGCCATGACCTCTTTACTTGCGGCACGCTCTTCCGCCACCAGTTTACGCTGTTTTGTTAACTCGAATATTGCCGCTTGAGCTTCGATGATCGCCTGGCATGCTTGGATGTATTTCTGGTTGGTTTCGAGTGTTGGTGTGGATTTGGATGTGGGGTATGTGCTGGCTGCTTGTACGTAGGGGCTGTTTGCGATGGTTTGATTGTGGTGGTTGCGAGAAGAAGTGGCGGTGGTGGTGGTGCCGGTACTTTTTGTGGGTGTTGTGCTGTCGCACAGCGTGCTGCTATTAGTATGCTGCTGATTGAAAGTCGAAGACATTTCTGGAGCAGTACTGCCTCGCTGTGACTTGGCTCCGTGGTTGAAGATACTCCTTAGGCTGGGGACGGAGAAGAAGGTTGTCCTCGACCAACGATTGCCTCTGTCTGATGTTGAGGCTGACATTTTGAGCTACGTGTGTAGGGTTCGTTAGTTGGTTACCACGGGTATCAACCTGGTTTTATGGTGGTCTAAGAACTAGATCCTGGCTCAATGGCTCTTCATAACAGCTAGTATGCATGGAGAGAATCAGCAGGGTTTGAAGCTCTGTTGGTGAAAATGATGAATGGAAAATCGGGTTGTATGGTCTTTCAAACGTGTTAGGAAAAAGAAATGCTGGGACGAAGACATCGTCGTATTTAGATCTATCTTGAGAGTGAGCATGTTGCTGCCTATTAAGAGTTCATTCGTGCGCTGCCTCGTTGTGGTTGTGCAGCTGATTGGTCACACGACTTACCGGTTCGAGAACCTGGGGACCTGATATGGATATGGTCAGGTGAGTACTGGACATATTACACATATGACCAACTCAAGATAACACAACGTTTTGTGAATCATCAAGGCTTTGCCTCCATGGGTATTAGTGGTGAGACCACAGACATTGGATATTGGTTCATTAGGCAATGTGAAGTACTGCCAAAAGTAAGCGTTTCCGCGCTGGACGTGAAGCACCACCAACGATGTATCTAAAATCTCGAAGTTTCAATACCTCGATATAAGCCAGACCTTGCGATCGTGCTCGGTCATCTCCTCGAGCATGGCGCGTTCAGCCTCCTTGACTGCAATGTAATCGTTAACTATATTCTTACCAAGAAGGTCGATTAGCACTTGGTTTTGACCCAGGCATTGCAGACTTTGATTGAGAGACTTAGGTATGCGCTCAGTAATACCTTGTTGCTGCCTCTCTTCGGCGCTCAATTTGCAGACGTCGACGAGTGTATCTTTTTGCTTGAGTTTCACTTTGTTGTTCAAGCCATCTCGGCCAGCAGCGACAGCAGCTGCCATGGCCAAGTACATATTGCCCGTTCCATCTACGGTCTTCATCTCCCAGTGTGCATGTCCACATTTACGTATTGGCGCTTCTCTGTTTTGAGTACCCCACGCTATCCATTCACCTCCCGACCAGACGCCGGATGCGACGCGTGCATACGATTCCTCTAGAGGTAGAGACAAAGCGACTATTGACGATAGATGCTTCAGAACACCTGCCAGGAATGCGTTCTCGTGTTCTTGCACGATATGCAGTGGTCCATTCAAACTGAAATGCGCATGACTCGCACTGCCAGCTGCTGCACTGTACGGCCGTGGATAAACGGTAGCTCGCAATCCATTCTGCTGAGCTATGTTACTGATGATCTGACGCGCCTTGTAAAGCTGATCAACAGCTTGTACGGGCGGAAGAGGCGGCAAAGGAAACTCCCACTGAGATGGTGCTGATTCTGCATGGAATTGTTCCAGTTCAATACCCACTTCTGCTAAAGTTTCGACTATTGATTCGATGAATGGCAAATGTCGTGTCTGTAGACATGTCATGTTTGACCAGGAGTGTAATTCATTCACAACCTCGAAATCTTCGAATGCTGACTCTGCGCTGTTCATGATTGGCTTCATAAAAATTACCTCGATCTCAAAGCCCAGAAGCATAGATAGTTGACTTTCATTTTGAAGTGCTTCGACTTGTCGTAGTAGCGCCCAACGTGGACACCGGTCCCAGTGTTTAAGCTCATCATTGTGTGAAGGCATCATCCACCACGTCTGCACAGAGGCAGAAGGGCTATCAACACCTTTGTTCAGACGCAAAGAGCTCAGGTCGGGCCTCAGTTTGAATTCACCAGTTGTGTCACAGCCAGCGGCAGGCAATTCGTTCTGCAAGAGTCGTGGAAGCGCGCACGTTATGCCGATATATTTCTTTGTGATTAGCTGTCTTTTGAATCCTTTGATTGGAACCATTCTGTTTCGCACAGTTCCTGTATTCGAAATGAACTCGAGCCAGATGAATTTGATCTCTGGATTGCGAATCATGAAGTTGTTGAGTGCTGCGATATCGTCCTCGCCATCATTTTGCTGGTCACCACGAAGTGCTGCCTGTAAACTCTGTGATGAGGCGATAGCAGACATGGTTTGATCTACCGACGGTCCGGTCAAAGGCCGTGTTGGTCTATGTCTCATCGAGTAATTGGAAGTCCTACGAGATCTAGAGGTACGATGAGTGGTGGCCGGAGAAGGTATTGCTGTTGATGCAGCTGAGTCCAACCCCGCAGTAGATGGTGAATTTTGCGAAACGTCGCTTCCGCGATGCCACAGAGTCGTCCTTTGACTGTCGGTATCATTTCTTCCAACAGAACGGAGCAATTGTGGGTATTTTCTTTCTTCATCCAGCTTGTACAGTGCGTTTGAGTTCCAAAATAAGATATCAACCGCAATGTTAATTGCTTGCATTGTTGTGACATCCTTTGAGCACACCATCTCACCCAGAACTGTCTGAAGTGCCTCTCTAAATTGCCTGTTTGCGAGATAGAATGTTTCTGGAAAGAAATGGCCATCAGTACTCCATAAGATCTTGGACGCGGGTGTTAGCTCTAGAGCTTGTCTGAGAACGTCCTCCTGACCTTGTCGTGAGAGCATGGGAAAGACTTCGCCAATATCAAGCCAAGCATTAGCATAGTTTGCTGCCAGATATCCAGCTTCCCTAGTATAGGGCCACGAGGAGTGGAGAATGACAAAATCGACATTGGGAAAAGCTTCAAGCAGGGGTTGCATGAATGCTGGATTAGCTTTTACCAGATCGATATCGGTATCACCGAGCCCCGTGTGAAACTGAAACGGCTTTGTTTCGCCCTCTGTCTCTACCAACATGCTCAGGACGTCGCAAGTAGCAACGACTAGGAAATCGTTGACGTCTTTCTGACCAACACGATAATCATGCTTGCCGACAGCCTCTCGTAAGAAGTGGTGAAAAGAAGTAAGCAAAGAAGTTTCCGCGAGTGATTGGTGAGGCCGGAAAGCATTTCGACTTGCGAGATTGACGTCCAGGCCAGACCTGTAACAGACGACGGATTTGAAGCCGACAACGAGGGGATCAGCAGCAAGCTGCTTGATCTGATTTCTGAACATGATATTGAACCTTTGGATGAACCACTCAGACTTCTCTATGGACCAGGCTGTGTCAACGCCCGGGACTAAGAGGCCTGCAGCGTGGGCCAGCTGCTCGAGCAGCTCAGCAGCCACCACTTCGATTCTAGCTATTCGTCTGACGGTGGGAGCATATTTGTCGTGCCACCTGACAGGGTGGACATGATCCTGCGGAAGACCATCATCCAAGAGCAACGCATGTGTCCCTGCTAAGCATTTTCGGATCAACCCATTATAGTCCCGAATGCAAAAATCGTACCGGGCAGCTTTGATGTCCTGTAGGGAGGGTGGACAATCGTAAAGGTCGGCCAGATGTCTGAGACCACGAATATGTGCCAAAGTAGACTGAACGTGTTCCTGCAGAGCATGACCTTGGGCTTCGGAGGTAATGCTCTCGAAAGGGTGATCTGCATTTCCATCTGCCTCTTCTTCTCTTAACAAGTTGTGCGCATGATTATCAATTAGAGGGTATGTCCTGATAATGGCCCGTAGGTCATCGTCGTTGGGTTCTCGAACATTAGATAGGTAGTGAATGTCGGAGTAGGGTTGAATCTCTGGCTCGAAGGGCATGTTGTTGTAGTCACTGTCTGCGTGCAAAGGAACAGGAGGCCGTAAGTCAGCACAATAGTCCTATGACACGAGCGAGTTGGACCAACGTTCAGGGCTGAGGGACTTGTGCCGAGCAATTAATATTACCGTGGGATCTGGTGTGAGGTTCCATGAGCTCAGATTGTACCAGGTACGTCGCTATCTGTCGCAGGGTCACCAGCCATGCTATGGACACGAATGATCTGCGGGATCAGAGTCATGTGCTTTTCAGTCCACGTCGTGCACCAGAAGGAAGCTCAACTCGAGCATACTAGCTGTTACGCCGTCAAGCAGCGCGCTTTCCATAGCCTGATTCGAAGATTTGGAGCACAAAGGAAAACCCTACCACAGGCATTGATGCAGGGTCATTGGTCCCTGAATCGAGGAAGGACCGCCCTAAAACGTAGCTTCCGCGGGCCACAAAGCTTTGTTCGTGCTCCACGAGGTTTGCCAGTCTCGTGGTGACAGGGATGTTCTATATCACATCATCTAGAAGCCTGGCACGTTCGATGTATTGCAGATTCGACTTGTCGGTGGCCAGCCTCGCCGTCGCTATACGGACGACACCGGCTATTGTGATCGGTTCAATATTCGTAGCATAGGATAACGTGGCGGCACCAATTCAGACATCGCACTGTCAAGATCACTATATTGCCAGCGTTGGGGGTAACAGCAGATTATGCACTTTCGTGTGATACACTGAAATCAACCACTTGGCGAGAAGTTTGAGTGCCGTATGTACTTGTCGGTCATCACTTGAGTGAAAGGGTGGCATCACAATCGCTCAAGATATTCACCTTCAGCAATGGCAGGCAGGACTGATCCTACCTCATCTTCATGTCGCCGTCAGCAGTCAAAAGGAAGCTGAGCAGCTCAGCACGATCAGTCAGTCCACCACCCTTACGTCGTCGTACTGATGCTGTTCAAGCGCAACGAGCAGCACAGACAGAAAGCACCAATCACTCTCACAAGCTCAACTTCTACAGCTGGAACGTCAATGGCATAGGACCACTCCTGCAGAAGCAAATCAGCTTCACACCCGACGCAACCTATCCATTGAGAAACTTCCTCAAAGCCCACAAGTGGCCACACTTTCTGTGCCTCCAAGAAGTCAAGATCAACCGAGCTGATACAGCAACCCAACGTCGTGTCGAATTAGCAGCAAATGCAGGTGCTCAATCGGATGAGCCCACATACAATACACATTTCTCCCTGCCTCGAGACAAGTACAACGCTACAGGGTTCAGTGGTAAAGTGCACGGTACAGCGACGCTGACAAGGGACGACACACTGGAAACTGCTGCCAGTGTACCTGATTTTGATCTAGAAGGCCGCGTGCTCATACACGAATTTGCAACAATTCCATTGGTTGTAATCAACGGCTACTGGGTCAATGGAACCTCAAATTCATACCGCAATCCAGATACTGGCGAAATCCAAGGAACAAGGCACGACCACAAACTCCGCTTCCACAAGCACATATTAGACCTCTGCAAATCGATCGAAGAGCGCGGTAAATCAGTACTATTGCTCGGTGACATGAATGTGGCACCGACCCGAATCGACGGCCACCCAAACCTACGAACATCACCCATACAGCACGTCATAAACAGAGCCGACTTCAATCTCAAATTCCTAGACAAAGATTCCGAAACCGGTCTCAGAGGAATAGACGTGTTCAGACACTTGCATGGAGAGAAAAAGAAATATACCTACCACGGACGAGGAAGACCGTGGAGCGAGAGCTGTGATCGTGTGGATTTGATTGTTGCGAGTCGTAAGCTTGTGGACGATGAGGCTGTCATCGTGGATACTGATATCTGCGATAATCCGCACGATAGAGGCCACAGTGACCACGTGCCTCTTTGGGTGTCACTTCATGCCTCAACATGGCTGAATCAGAGCGAAAGCAAGGTGGATTGATGTGTCGAATACTGTACCTCGGCCTGCGAATTGCTTGAACATTTTGATGGTGTCGAGACCTGGTAGAGTGGCTGAGATCCAACGCACCACATTTGGTACAGATTGCGGGCGCTCACCAGGTACAAATTAGGTTTGCTTATCACTTTTGACGGGCAAATACCACCAAGATTTCGTGTTACCGATCAGGAGCACGGCGAAGAGAGCCTTGCGGAAAAGTGCGCATGTATACGCTCAGCTTACTTACGTGAGGCTTCAATGGATTACCTACAGCCTTAGGCTAACGGTATTCAAAAGCTCTGCGTCTTCAAGCTCTCCACCTAACTTCTCTTGTAATTTCCTCACTCACACCTCTTCTCTTCCATTGATGTACAAGAGGAGCTACCGTCACATTCCTATTCTTCTCCTCGTACAGCTGCTTGCTCAAATATCGATATATCCATTGACTTGCTCCATTATACGCGATGGAGTGATCAGAATCTGTAAAGGCCACCATCTGCCACTTGGCAGGACTAACAGCTTCGCCTATCAAGAGGTCAACGAGGGCAGCAGTGTTTTGGTAGTGTACGTTGTCGTCACTGTCTCAGATCAGCTTGAGCAACGGAGAGAAGATGGAAGAACGTACCCTGTACCATGCATGATTGCGAACTTGCCTGGTATTGAATTGAAGTTCGTCGTGTTTCGTATGGCGGTCTGATTATATCCTGCCTCATTCTCGGACAGTATTTTCATGTAGCGCTCGGTATAGAGCGTGTCGTAGAAGCTATAATCGATTGGTATCAGCAAGTCCGTATGTAAGGAAGTCAACGAGCTTACCGCCAATCACTGACAGGCGCAGTAGATAACCCTAGGCTAAACAGATGATCCGAGTCTGCCTCAACAACCTTGCCTGCCAAGTAGCCGCCGAAACTCCAGCCCCAGATCCCAACATGGTCAGCATCAATGTAGTCAAACATATCAATTAGCTGGCGAGCTGCAGAGATCTGATCTTGCGCTTCCAAAAGTCCCAACTGCGCTGTGACCTCAGCACGGAAGGCACGACCTTTGTAACCCGTTCCACGACCGTCAACAGTGTAAGTGATGTATTCTAATTCCGGATCTGACGCAATGTAGGCATTGAAATCTAGAGGTTGAAACCTGTAGGAAGCTTCTTGGGCACCTGGTCCACCGTATGGTGTGAATAGGACAGGATACTTCCTAGAAGGGTCGAAGTTTGGCGGCAGGCGTTGCATAACGTTCATGGTATACTCGGTGCCCTCGATAGGAAGTTCAAAGTACGTGATATTCGGCAGTGTGTAATTTTGAAGTCTTTGATAAAGTGCAGAATTGTTTGTGACTGTCCGTAATGGAGTGCTTGAATTTGTAGAGTAGAGTTCTTGGTATGGCACATCAGGACCCAGGTAAGAAAGTAGGTAGTACTCGTTGTCGGCGGAAAAGCTGGCCGAATAGTAGCCAGGCTGTGTATCGTCCACGAGCGGTGTGACAATCCCTTCAGGATATGAAACACTGTAGAGATGACTAGACAGGCTGTGTTGTTGAGTCGATGTGTAGTAGACAAGCTGGTTTGTAGTGTCAACAGAAGCAATTGAGCGAACCTCCCAATCACCTGAGGTCAAGCTAATATTCTGAGCACCGTCATAAGAGAAGAGGTATAAGTGATTCCATCCACTAGCATCAGACTCATCCAGATACCACTCCGTAGCATTGACGTCGCCTATGTAGGTCACAGCCAGAAGGTTGTCTAGCCAGCCATCAGTGCCATCACGTTCACGAGTGACCGTGGATTCACCAGAGGCGACGTCAATGACCACATGTCTCTCCTGGTCTTGCTGTCTGTTGTAGGCTCGATACATGACAGTGGTGCTGTTTTCAGTCAACCATTTGACCTCTCCCACAACGGTATTGTTTGCCTCGAATGCGATGATAGGTACAGTGATGTTGGCCAATGACTCGACCTCCAGAAAGTGAAATTGCACAGTAGGATTTGTTGAGCCGACCTTTGGATATCTTAAGTCAAGCTCTCTAGGGTATGGCGGTGCATATTGCATGTTGTCCATGTAATATGGGATTGTGAAGGTGCCAACTCCTGTCTCATTGAAGCTAAGATAGGCAATGGAGGTAGCATCAGGACTCCACCACAGAGCATATCGATTACCGAAAATCTCTTCCTCGTACACCCAATCTGGCACACCATTGAAGAAATCAGGGGAACCGTTGAACGTAATCTGAGTTACCTCAGAGTTGTTGTGCAGATACAGATTGTTGTCACGAACGAACGCAATCATATCGCCAGTCGGTGCAAACTCAGCATACTGAATATCTCCAGCCTGGTCTTCCACGATGGGTGTAAGCTCTCCAGTGGCAATATCCAAAATCTCGTAATTTGCAAAGTATGAGTACCGATATTGCTTGGTGTAGTTGGTCGCCCAAAGCACCTTCTGTAGATCAGAACGGATCCAGTACTCCCAGTAATCCGACGGTACCTGCTCAGCAGGTACCAAGACGGTAGCATTTCCAGTCACAAAGTTCTCTAAGCTCAAATTTCCATCGTTGTCGAGCACTACACCAACACCGTCCTCATCTGAGCTGATCCACGATATTGAGGTCGACTGCGGCCTGAACCTTGGGGAGCTGACCGTATTGTTGAATGTCAGCCTTTGCACTCCTCCACCTAGTGGCTGTCGAGGTAGTCTTGTCTCGGTTTGGGCTATTGCTGAGCCCGTAAGCACAGTATACAGTAGTGCCGTGTTCAGGAACATGTCGGCTCTTACTGTGGTCAAATAGCTGCTGATTTCGGGGTCTCCTTCTGGGTATCTCAAGTCAACAGCCTAGATTTTCGCCTGGTTTAGCTACAGTCGTGCACCTTAAGCACATGAGTTGGACAGCTATATGTTAGCTTAATAGCTACTAGGACAAAGCAGCAATGCTTGGTGTGGGTAACAACGTAGTGAGCAAGCCATCATCCATTCAGTCAGTGACCCATGAGTGGCAGGTCCGTCACGAACGGCAATACCGCATTGCTACCACACGACCACCTCCCATAAGGGAAATCATAGCGGATCCTGGCAGGAACGACATGATTTGGTGATGAAGAGATATGCAGTTACACGCACCTGCCAATTGAAGATATTCAAAATGTCGATCCTTCTTGACCGGTCAATTCCGCAGCAACTTACTATGCTGCCAAGAGGCTCCGTACATCTCGAATGCAACGCAATGAGCAAGCAATATTGACAGCTGTGTTTGCTTCAATATGTATGCCTGATGGTATACGAGATTGATTTCACTGAAGTTTGCAAGGTAGGATAAAGCATTTCTTACCTCTGAACTCAATATTTGTGGCGAATAAGGCAAATTATAGGCGATCTCTTTCTCTTGTTCTTAGATTGAGTACCGCAAATCTCGTTCAGAGATCTTCATCATGAACACGATTCCTGAATAGTTTCGTAGCAGCAACCGAGTCAGTATCTCTTGAGCCGCAGAGTCGATATGGATTGTCCGCGACAATCTGGCAACGTCCTGAGAAGTGACTACTGTGAGAAATGGTGAACGCGTCTTGACTGCTAAAGGTCGACCTGCAACTTGTGCTCTAAGACAAGGTTCACTTGTAAGTGCACAGGGTATCTCTTTATACTTGAGTCATCTGTCGGGGATATCCCGTTCTCGCAGGCGTCCACCTCTTCCAGCAAACGTCCACGTTCGGTCTCTCTAACATCACGTCGCCTGCGTCGGCCGCATTGCTACCCAGTACAACGTTGTATCTTCGTGGTGTGCCCTGATCTGCGCAGAGACAGACGAAATTTGAGAGCGATGTTGTAGACTATCTACGTCTCGGAGGACATATGCGAACTCATCAGCGACATGACGAAATATGTATCGCACACGCGTTCGTGACGCGTGTAAATCCTACAACGCGTCTGGAGGAAAAATTGAGGTTCACCATAACCCTGAAATTACACTATTGCAAAGTGCGATCTCAAGTTGTGCGAAACAAAGACCAAGAGAGAGAAGCTTGGAGAAGATGATCAATTCATCGCGCAGACTGCCAACCATACAGTCCAGTACTGATACACAAGAACACGAACTAGCACGCTCAGTATGCTTAGAGTAGCAAAACCGACCGTCAGGAGAGTTGAAGCTGAAGCACAGCTCTGACAACGCATGCTTTCAGAATGCAGTGTAAGCCCTACGCGACCTTAGCACCTCGCCCTGAGCTGAATACGTACATGCTCGATAGCTGAGCTTGATCCCCTCTCTTCGCAGCTCATGCATGCAGGATGATGACCATGCTCTCACGACCTTGAAAACACATTTAACCACTTTTAGCATGCCCACAACGCCTTGCTAAGAAACCCACGACTATACACGATCATCCAGTACCTCGTCGTCCACATGCCGGTTTCCCAATCCTCGCTATAATGTTCCGTAATCCTTGCTCTTGTGAGTGCCCTTGGTGCTGGTAGACGACGTCTCATCGTCCTTGTTACCACTCACCATAGCTTTATCGCCTTCTCCTTGAGCCTTCTCCTCCTCCACCTCCACATCTGCCTTCTGCACAGCCTGCAAGTCATCGTCCACCACGCTACCAGTCTTCGGCGACTGTTCTCGTGTTTCAGGTGGTGTGAGTACTCCGGTCAGCCGAGTGTCCTTTGCCTCGTCGACTTTCGCATCACCTAGAGACTTTGCACTAGCACTATCCGACTTCTGCTCATCATGTGCTTGTGTCTGACCACTAGTGCTGGACGACTCCTCCAAGGAGATCAGGTCTTCCTCCGCACCACTCTTCTTGACATCTTTCTTCTCTTTCGGTCGACCTGCATTGAGTTTAAGCTGAGCCTCCCAAAGCTCCTTGTAGGCTCCGTTGCCGTGCTCAAGCAGTTCTTGATGGCTTCCAGCTTCCACGATCTCACCACCTTTGATTACGAGAATCTTGTCGGCGCCCTGAATCGTGCTGAGTCTGTGTGCGATCACGAAAGTCGTTCTGCCTTGCGCAGGTTGCTCCAATGACTCCTGAATCTTGGACTCTGTTACCGAATCAACTGCACTAGTCGCCTCATCGAGGAGAAGAATTCCTGGCTTTTTCAAAATAGCCCGGGCGATAGCAAGGCGTTGCTTTTCGCCGCCACTCAACTTTTGTGCCATTTCACCCACCTTTTGCAGGTATTTCTTCGGGAATTTCTCGACCTTGTCGTGGAACTGAGCCGCTTGACAAGCTGCGATAACTTCATCCTTAGTAGCTGTAAGATTCGAGTATCGCACATTTTTGAGGATAGATGAATTGAATAGAACTGGATCTTGCGGCACAAGACCAAGCACAGTGCGGTAGGAATCGAGATTGACCTTGCTTATGTCCTGTCCATCAACAAATACCCGACCTTCGGTTGGATCGTAGAAGCGGAAAAGAAGGTTGAATATCGTGCTTTTGCCACCTCCTGTTTCTCCTACAAGTGCGATGGTCTGACCCGGTTCAGCAGTAAAGGAGACGTCCTTGGTGACTGTTCGAGTTCCGTCGTAGCTGAAACTGCATTTTTCGAACTTGACCGCACCTCCCTTGAACTGAAAGAGCGGAGCGTTCGGTGGGGTAACGATCTTGGGCTTCTTCTCAAGCAACAGCATCAGCTTTTCAGCATCGACCAGCTGTTCGGCGATATCAGACGCGAAATTGGCTAGTCTGGTCACAGGACTCATGATCTGGCCCCAGTACGTGATAAGCACAACAAAGCGTCCCACCTCGAGACGTCCTGCGGCGATCTCCATCGCAGCAAGGACGCAGACAAACCCGAAGCCCACAGTGACAACTAGCTCTTGTACTGCGTTGAGATAGATTGAGAAGCTTCGTTGTTGAATGTTGATTTTCGTGACAGCCCTCGTCTTGTCTTCGTGTCGTTTCTTCTCGTATGAAACCTTGTCGAACTCACTAACAGTACGCCAATGCATAAAGCTTTCACTCATGTGTGTGTACCAATTACGCCAGAGGTCAACGTAATATCTCCTCATCTTGGTCTTCTTCGACATTGTGATTCTGTTCGACCAGGAGAGCAGAATCATAGTTGTCGCGACAACGAAGCAGAGGTAGCCTCCGAAGAACTTTGACACTACGAACATAGCGATAATCAGATCTGCCACAACTGGAAGATGGTCAAACACGACATCTTGTAGGAGATTAATGACAGATTGACCTCGATCCATGATCTGCCATGTGGAAGGGGTCGACTTCGACATATGGAACGTGGCGTCAAGGTTCATGATATGGTTGTAGCAATGAGTCAGAAGTGTGTTATGGAGCTCGATATTCAATCGGTAAGATACTGTTTGCTTGATGAGATAGATGCCTGAGCTCGAAGATGCGAAGCGCAGGGCAACGTAGGCGAGGACTTTCCAAACAGCAAATTCGTGTGTTTTGGAATTGTGCGCATGAGTAAGGTCATCGATCACGGCACCGAGCATCAACGGAGTCGCTACAGTGATTGCTCGTGCAACGAGAGTGTTTAGGATCATCACAGACAGATAGAACCATTGTATGAATGAACGAGGTCGGACGAAGGGTAGGAAGATACGAAAAGACGCGATGTACTGGTACCATGGTCGGTCTCGAAGGGCGAGGCGTTGATTTTTCTCCTCCTTTTGAGCATCGGTCATGTCCTCCTCAGGCTTGCCTTCATCGTCGGAGAGACTGCTAATGACGGACTTATCGTCATCGTCCTCTTCTTCACGTCTGTCTTTCGTCTTGTTAGTGTCTCCTTCTTCTGCAGCCAAAAGAGGCTGAGTCTCTTCCACGGCATCGTTCTTCTTGTCCTCTGACAGTCCTTTCCTCTGTCTTGTCAGAGGAACAGAGACCACGAGTAGAAGCAACAGTCCAAGGCGAGACCACTGAACTGCTATATCTTGCCTTGAGCTACGTTTTTGCGACGTTGCCATGGCTGTAGAGACTGCGTAGGACACTAACGACAACATGAAGGGAACAGTCTGCTCAAGACCCGCACCACTCGATACATCAATCAAACTAAGAAAGATGACGAGCCAGATCAGTGAGCCGAAGAGGACAGAACCCACGTCAGGATCAGCATTCAGCTCCAGTGCGTCGCCTCTTGATTTGGCAAGGACGATGGCATGGGCGATGCTTAGTGCGAACATGGCGAGTGCACCGAGTAGGTGAAAGGTGTTTGCCCATGAGCGTTTGTCGGACTTTCGCTTCTTGAGACCGCTACGATCTGTCATCCTCCGTCTTTCTGACTTTCCCACTCTTGAATCATCGCGTAACGACTCGAACAAGCATACGGCAACGTAGAAGATGAAGCCCACCCCTGCCGACAAGCTGTCGAGCAGGAAAGGTATTGCGACCATTCTTTAGCAACGTCGTCGCAATGGCAACAAGGCCTTCACAATGCTTTGTGAAGAATGGTGATTACTAGGTGGCAACCACAATGGCTTAGTGCTGTTTTGGAGAACGGTCAGTCAACGTGGTCGTGTCGCACCCGCTTGCAAATATAGTTGGCGCAAGGTGGAAGGACCGAGTCTGCTGTGGTTTGTGTTCGAGCATGACAAAACAACGGAGTTGTTGAATTGTTATTCGTGTTCTCGATCGCCACTTTCACTCCAGAGTGGCGACGTCGTCCGCAAAATAAACTCTATTGCATTGACGAGGCTAGTGAAAGCAAAAGTGCAGATGCACTTATGGCGATTCAGTGACAGTGTGATGGTTGGACTTTGTCCAGAAAGCAGTGAAGCTTCCGCATAACGCAACGGAACTGGGGACCCAAGCGATCGCCATCTGGTGATCGTTTGCCCACTGACTACTGGCGTTGTTCGTGGTCAAAGGGTGCCTGATGCAGGTCTAGAGGAATATCCAAGAAAGCCGGCGAGGAAATTGGCGAGATTGGCTGGTGGAAATGCCCGAGGATGGATGCTTGCACGATCACGCGGACTATTTGAGCTGAACAGGGCTTAATGAGGGCGGCAGTATTACTCAGTGGTGCAGTCAGGATCTGATGAGTGTCTATACTTCAGCCTGGACTTGACCATAAATACCACACATGCACGCGAATGTGCCTAATTACAAGAGGGACCTGCCAAAAAGGCCTTTGCGTTGGCCGTGGCATGGACGAGCATTTTGGCAGCGACGGTTGGTGTGCTTAGCGTTGTGGTGGGGCAAAATTGTCCACGCCGCCGCCACTGAAAAATCGGACGACGCACGCCAACTTCGAGACAGGCAGCTAGTGTAGGTACCCCTAGACTACTGTAAGGCATCCTCAAGCTTGTTTTGTTAGCACACTGATGGTGCAATATATGAACGTGGCATGCTTGTCCATTCCCTCTGATCCTCAACGATCAGCAGGCACGACAGTGAGCACGGTATCTTTCGAGATCGGCGTGCCTACGTCAGCACTCAGAATATTAGTCTTTGAGGACGCTTTAAGCTGATCTAGTGAGCCTTGCCTCACTCATCGTGGTACTTCAACGCACCTCGTAGTCCTACCTTCTGCCTAGGTCGATGTCGGCAACTAAAATCATTCGATCGTCTTTCACATCGGGCGCCGGTCCTCCAAAGAATGGCACAACAGCGGTTCGCACTATACCTTCAAAAAGACCACCCACAATTTTGTCCTGTAATGCCTCACCAGTCTGTTTAAAGTCAGGATAGGCATTAAGCTCGAGCAGCCACACGTTCTGGTGCTCATCAACCAAGAAGTCGACGCCGAAGACCTCGAAAGCATTTGGGATGGATTGGAAGTGTACCATTTGCTCTCGTGCAGCAGCTTTGAAGACCTCGCCTGTCACCTGGCAGATTTGGGCGAAGATTGCTTCTTGCCACCCGGCTGGCAAGGCTGATTCTTGAATATTCCAGAATGAGTATACCGAGGAGTCTTTCGTGGATTTATCCTGAAAGCATGTATTTGTCAGGTGCTGTGTCAGATCGATTTGTGCGTCACTTCCCGTGGTGCTGGGGTGCTGATATGGCTTAGCAGCGAAGAGAGCTAACATCTCTTTGTAGACAAATACTTTGAGTGCTCCGACAGCCAAAACATAGGTGCGAACGTGAAACTTGTGGTTGTTGTGAGAAGGCAATAGTGCTGGATTAGCGATGTATGGTTGCACGATGAAATGTCGAAGCTGTGAGGTCATGGCTACCTGTTTAGTGTCTTGCTCGTGATCAGTCTCTGCACCATCTTCGCCTTCCTCTCCTTCATCGTCGCTTGGTGGGTCCCAAGCGTCGAAAATTGACTGCAGTTCTTGCAAACTCGAGAATAGCTGGATCCCCTGGCCACCATCGCTCATACCTGGTTTTAGGATCCACCATTCCTTTGAGCTTAACTCTGTGGCAGCATCATTCCTCTGCATGCTCTCGTGTAAGTCCCAGGCATCGACAAGTGCATCATCCAGGAATTCAGCATAGTCAAGCTCGAAGTGAACACTTGGTTTGAAATGGTTCCCCAAAGCACTATCAGGATGCTTCGTCAACCATGTAGCGATGGTATTTGACAAGTAGTGCTTTCGTATCAATGCTTTTCTGATAACATACGCGCAAACCAATGCTGTTGTGCTGTGTTGCATGGCATGATCAAAATTCAGATCTTCGTAGTCTCTGAATGAGACACAAGGTCTATCAGGATGGTGCAAAGCCACGTCTTGTTCAACAACGTCAAATGCTATGGAGTGTGTGTTACGAAGCGCTTTGACAATCAACGGCTGAACATACGGTTCTGGATGTTGCACAATGGCGAGTGCCCTATTTTTCGCCAGTTCAAGGTGTGAGGATGCCATTTCATCACTACCGTAATTAGTGTTCTGACAAATGTGCAAGACGAGATCAACAACTTACTCACAGCTTGATCTCACCTGTATAGTGAGGCAGATGCCAAAAGTTTGCTTTTAGGGGCGTGACTGTGATGTGACCTTGAAGCACGTGCCAGCCATCTCCTTTTCCAGCCGCAAGAGAAGCATCGCGCACATCTGCAAAATTAGGCGACCATTTGAAGGTGACATGATCGCGGTAGGTTGGCTTTTCTCCATTGGCAGCGTCTGCAGACTTTCCAGCATCACGAATTTTGAGCTCCTCGGTATTTGGATCTTGGTCACCTGCGCCTCCTTTGAGCACGGTGAATGAGCTGCCACTGGTCCATTTGTTCTGGATCATATCTGTATAGGTAATCAGCTGCTCCTCGACGCCTTTGCGCAATGGCACATTGATGCTGTAGACATGCACGTCCTCGGGCCATTCGCTGGCAAATTTTTCGATCAGTTTGCTACTCACTCTAGACGCAGCCGCAATGATTTCAGGGTCGTGGTCACGAGAGTCAAATGCGTACGACAAAGCAATGCTCTTCTTCCCCATGGTTGCACCTTCCAGGGCAGCACCAAGTGTACCACTTGACAATGCAAAGACGGCAGTAGTGTTACGACCATAGTTTGGACCACTGACAATCACATCGATCGGGCCACGATCATTAAACAGATGCCAGAGGCCGATCTGAGTGCAACTAGCGGGTGTTCCATCTAGCAAGATCCATTCCTCACCCCCATCCTCAAAAGGTCGGTCTTGAGTGATGCCATCATCCTTGTGAAGAGTTCCTGGTCTGAAGTAGGTTGGCGTGAGTGTTTGACCTACCATATGCGCTTTCCCAATCCATGATCTTTGTGTGTTCGGTAGGACAACAGAGACTGTATGACCGGCCTTCTGCAAAGTATCGACTAGAGAATGCACGTAAGGACTCGATTGATTGGATGGTGGTCCATCATCATTGGTCAGCTGAGAGAAGTGTAAGCGAAAGCCGTTTCTGTCTCACACTCGAACATACAAGAATATGCATCTTTTTCTATGCTGAAATTATGGGTAGATGGTAGGTGGAGGACTACGAGGAAGAGAATACTACTCGAGCAGTATCGAACGAGAAAAATGTGTAATTACGTCGTGGATTCGGCTCAAACTTTACCGAGACAGTCGCGTTGGTTTCCACGCTCCAGGGTTTTGTGATTCAGCAGCCTCTTCCCAAATTTCCATGGATCGTCGCAGAAGAGAACGTCTACGATCGCGTTCGCCTGAACCACGTAATCGCAAGCAAAGAGAGCGTTCTCCTCGCTCTCGAGGTGTTCATGATGCACCACGAACATTGCCATTCGTTGCGCGTGAGATAACCAAGCATGACTTAATCCAATATAGACCTATGTTTGCTCTATATCTAGACATTCAGAAACAAATTGATATTGACGAACTAGAAGACGACGAAGTGAAAGGACGCTGGAAAAGCTTTGTTCACAAGTGGTAAGTACAAGCTATTGAAGTCACAATTCCAGGTGAAGAGACGAGGCTAACCTGGTAGGAATCGTGGAGACCTAGCTGAGGGTTGGTATGATCCCAGCACACTTCAGAAGGCACTCCAAGCAGCAGACTTACAGAACTTGAACAGAAGCACGAGCGATGCAGCAGGAAAAGATGGCCCCGGTCCCTTGTCAGACGAGGTACAGGACGATAGCCCGGAGGACGATGACTTCGGACCCGCTCTTCCGCAGGAACTTCAAGCCGTTGTGAGCAGCGAAACAAGCCTGAACAGATCAGGTCCCACAATCCCCTCCATGGATGATATCAGGTCACGTAACGAGGACGCACGTCTTACAGCTGCAGAGGCTAAGGAGCAGAGATTGGAAGACATGAGGCAGAGCCGGAAGCTGGATCGGAAACAGCAGAAAGAAAGACTGGACGAGATCGCACCTCGTGCAGAAGCAGGTACAAGGGAAAGACAACTAGAAAAGAAACGCGATATTGCTGCATCTAACCGTGCTTTTGCGACGTCGAAGGATACAGGGGGCGATGTTGAGGTCCCAGAAAGTGACGTGATGGGTGGCGACGATCTGGGTGAACTGAAAAGGATCAAAAAGGAAGAGCAGAGGAAGAAGACTGAGAGGGAGCTCAAGCGCGAAGAGATTGAACGAGCCAGAAGGGCAGAGCGGGAGGAGCGCATTAAAAGGATGAAAGAAAAGGAAGACAAAACGATGAGTATGCTCAGAGAATTGGCACAGGCTAGATTCGGTGATGGCAACGTCCAGTCTGCGACACTCACAGGTGATTAGTCCAAGAACATGGTGTAAGCAGCAGAGAATGTATACATTGCTTCATCGATTTTATTATTATGTAGCTATATTCAAGAAGCCTGGAGAGCAGCCACAGCATCTGCGCCGTCAGCCGATCCATTCGGCTGGGACTTCTCTTTGTCCTGGTTCTTCTGTGCCGCAAGCTGCCACGCGGGAATCGACACTTTTCCGGCCCCATATCCCAGATTCGTGCTCGCTGGCTTCGCAGCTGCGGCGGCCGTGTTGGTTGTACTCGGGTTGCTTCCACCAGGTACTACGAACGACGGGACTGTGCTCGAACCATTGACGCCAGTCACGTTATTTGAGCTACCTGGAGCAACTTCGCTGGTTGGTGTGCTCACACTAGGTGAGCGTACACCAGGAGCATTGTATGGCATAGATGAGACGTCTGGCTTGGGTGCTCGTGGAATATTGAACGATGCTGATGTAGATCCAGCGCGATTCTGCATCAGGGCTTTCAAGCTTGACAGCTCAGTGCTCAACTCTTTCAACTGTCTCTCACTGCCTTCCTTAACTGTGTCAATAGCTCTCGGCAAGGAGTCCCTCATTTGCTTGATTTCAGATTCCATCTTCTTACTATCGTCTTCACGTCTCTGATTTGCAGCCTTCAGGTCGGAAACTATGGTCTCGATATCGGCAATGGCACTATCAAGTCTTTTGGTTCTCTCCTGCTCCGCCTCTTTTAGTTTAGTGGTGTCTTCTGACAGCGTGTCGAGCAGAGCAAATGCTTTGTTGAACTGCTCGTCAATGGCAGCCTTATCCTGCTCTAGCTGTGGAGGAGTTGGAGGTGCTATCAGGGGTTTAATGTAACGCTGTGCTAGCACATACAAGCCGTATGATGCTCCCCCAACAACAGTCGCCATGATGAAATAGTCTCGCCAGTCTCGTTTTGGTGGTTCAGGCGGAGGTTGTTGCGGCCACTGCCCGTATGGCGGCGGATATGCATAGCCCGGCGGAGGCCTTTGATATTGTTGTGGTGCATACTGTTGGTTCGATGCTGGCAGAGGAGGTGGACCTTCGCCAGTTGCCTGTGCCATTGCCAAATCGATCTCTTCCTGTGTAAGATTCTTAGATCGTAAAAACTCAATCCGCTTCTCTACTGGCGACGACGCGACTGAGGCATCTTGCAGGAAGGTCACAGCCGAAGAGATCAGGTCTTGTCGAGGCGCCATGGCGCACCTTCACTTCTAGAAGCCTTCCCAGAGCGTCTAGCAATGGTTCAACATGATGCAAACGGCATGAACATTCGAGTTATCGCAGACTTTAGCATTGTGAATGGTTGGACGTGATAATCGCTGGACGGTCCAGTCAAGCCGAGGCTTCGAAAGTTGTAACGGGAAGGTCTGCCGCAAGATTAGCGTGAAAGCTAATGCCAGCCCTTGACAACAGATGTAAACAAACCATGTTGACATGTGCGAAAGTTGAGCTTTCTTTACAACAATGTCCTCACGTCCACACAGACAGCGAAGTGGTTTGGACGTGACCTAGCCCAGCACGCTTGCGACAAGGAATTGTGTAATTCTGCTTCAACAACAACCCTGGACCTATTCAGATATCCCTCACGCGATCATGTCGCAACCAACAGGACTCTTCAGTGTGCGCCGGCCGCGCGAAACCCTAGGATCTATACAAAACTTCTCAGGTATACCGCAGCCTGCATCTGCTATGAAGGGGACTTCCTCGAGTCAGGATATGAGGGCGCCATATACGGGTTCTCATGTTCGTTCGATGTCGATCCAGAACCTACAGCGTCCTATGGCCCAGCCGAACTTCCATCGTTCATCCTCAGGCGCCGATATGACTTCGATCGGACAGTCCAATGTACGAAGATCTACCATGAATCCCTTTGCCGGCAGCGCTTCAGTCTCGGCTCATAGACAGAGCTTAGCACCGAACCAGCTCTTTGGCTCAACCACTCCTGCATCAGCTAGCGTACAACGACGAAGCAGTATCTACTCGCGACCTTCGGCTGCTGGTCCACTTGGGTCGCATACCTTCTTCGCACAGCAAGCGCCGGTAAAGAGGCAGGATCCTAGACCACTTAGCAAGGCAAACAGGGAAAGAATGTCGCAAGAGCTGCATGATTATCTGATTCAGAACAGTTTCGAAGTGGAAATGAAGCATACTCTCCGTCCGACCTCGACCACTACCTCTCCAACTCAGCAAGATTTCAACCTTATGTTCCAGTGGCTGTACAAGAGAATTGATCCGAGCTATAAATTCCAGAAGAATATCGACGTTGACCTACCACAGCTGATCAAACAGCTGAGATACCCCTACGGCACCGACATCTCGAAATCGAGCATATCTCCAATTACTCCCCAGCATTGGCCGAAATTCCTGTTAATATTCCATTGGATGATGCAGTTAGCACAAATGCTGGACAACTTTACAAGAGGAGCATACGACGACGCATGCACCGAGGCTGGAATCGATGTCACAGGGGATCGCATTGTTTTCCGTTTTCTATTCTCTGCATACCAGGATTGGTTGCAGGTTTCACCTGACGAGGACGATGAAGCAGCCGATCGTGCTCTGGAGCCACATCGACAGGCAATGTCTGAGGAGTTCTCGAGAATTAATGCACAATACGAGGGAGACCTCAAGACGCTGGAAGAGGAGAACAAGAAACTCAGAGCGCAAATCGAGGAGATTGAGCGCGAGATGCCAGATATGGATAAGTTGGACAGGCATTTCAAGATCCTGGAAGATGACAAGAAGAAATTTGAGGACTATAACAACAATGTTGAGGCAAAGATCGAGAAGTACAACTCAAGATTGAAAATTCTAGAGACAGAGACCTCCAAGACAGAGGCGGATCTCGAACAAGTCGAACAGGACAGACAGTCTCTGCAGGAGCAAGTTGACCGGCAAGGCATAAACATCCAGGATATCGATCGCATGAATACAGAAAGAGAGCGACTTGTGAAAAGTCGCGATGATGCTGCTGTTGCTCTTGACCAAGTCAACAAGGCAGTTCTCGAGAAAGAGGTCCAGACTGCTCGAAAGTTACAGGAGCTCGAAGCAGTCGTGAAGCGATACAACACTCTTGGCTACCAGGTCTCCATCATTCCGGCTACAGCAGCCTATGCTAAAGGCCAAGACCACGAGCTTGTCTTGCAGCTCACAGAACATACACCGAGCTTTGCACCATCCACACCGAAGCCTTCGCGCCGTTCCCACAACGAAGAACAGGCAGACCGTCTGCTAGCAGGTCAATTGACTGGATACCAACCACATACTCTCCTTCCACCACACTTGGCGGATCTTCGAGGGACAATCCGTACCTCACTCTTATCGTTACGTAAATCAATAAATGAGCGTCGACGTCTAGCTACTGACCATGCGCTCAGCGACAGAGATCTAATTGATTCTGTCCTGGAGGTGCTTCACGAGAAGCAATCTGAGATTGAGAACCTCAGCTATAAGATCAACAATCAACGAGATTTGTATAATCAGCTCAAAGAGGATCACAAGACCATCAACTTACAAGCACAAACAAAACGCGAAAAGACAGAGAAGGAGTTATCCAGGATGCGTGATGGCCTAGAAAAAGGAGTCCTGGAACTCGAGCAGCAGGAGATGGAAGTTCAAATCGTATGGGAGGGCATGACTCAAGAAGCTGATCGCGTGAGAGACGAGCTACACGGTGGTGTCGAAAGGATACTTGAAGATGTTGTGAAGTTCAAACTCCATGTGAAAGAAGGTCTCGAAGTTTTTGAAGGCTGGGCCATGAAAGAGGTCGAAGAAGAGCTTGAAGAGGATAATGCTGCTTACGCTGATGAAGAGGGAGCGTATGAATGATTGTATGGCTATACAAACAAAGAGATATTGCAACGAAGTTATGAACCCGGAGTGAGTACTGGTACTTTAGCACATTGGCTTGAGCGATAGTGATCCGCACGTTGGTCTCTGAGATACCCTCTATTCAAGCATTGACTACATTGATGGATATAGTTTGCATGGAAAATTTGACCCTGTTCTTCAGTATCCAGTTTGCACATGCATGAAATCGTCGATTAGCGTTTATTCTTGGACGCTCACAACTGCAGCGTGGCTACTTGAGTAGGATATCCTGTACCTGAGCCCGAATAATGGCAGGTGCACCACTCGTGACTGACTTCCGAACATCGGCGACCTTTTGAGATTGCTACTGCAACATGCTTGCGAAACAGTGACTCTGCAAGTCTGGGCTGCTCTTGCCTGGAAAGGGTCAATGCCTGGGTGCCAAAAACCCTGCGAAAAGTACGTGCATGCGTGTACTCCAAGTCGTATTCGGGTACTGCATCTGGTGCCAGCATCAGATATCTGCACGGTCCATGCAGATTGTAACTTCGTCAAGCCTGTCAGGTTCTCTATCTACAACCATTCGCTACTGCTAGTGTGTCAGCATCACGAACATCTCCGCAACCAGCAAGATTAATCGATTACTCCAGGGCTTGTAACCGAGGGAAATGCCTGTTTGCTCGCGAAAAAGTGGACTGGTGGAGAAAGAGTACCCTCCATTGGCTGTTCTTCTTGCTTGTCCACATCCCAGGCGGAAAATGTTCTGGAAAGCCCAGGAATGGCACCCCCACATCGAAGATAGTTTTGCTTCATTGGTTCAGATGCTGAGTAATGATTGACCGCTATACTGTTAGAGGAATAACTCTGTTCTTGAGAGGGCGTGGTACCATTTTGGAGTCATCAACTTCTCCCATGGTGAGCCTCGTCAAGCATGTTGAGCCAAAGAGATTCGATATACCTGAAGTAGATTTCTTCTGGAAGGCTGGAAAGTCTTGCTTCTTCTACTTATTGGTCTTGTCCGGGTAAAAGAGATTTGGCGCCCTGTGCTCGACATTGACGCCTTGTGTCACGCTTACTATCGGCACTGGCATGAGCCGCAACTATGGACAACTACTTTGATTTTGACCAAGCAACTATCCCGCCCTTTGACCTGGGCGAGGATCTGTCCTCAATGCTTGGAGACACCACTCAGACGGAGAGTAATGAGTGCTTCGATGCTCTCTTCTTCGACAAATCAGCAACTCTTCCTGCTCAGAAAACAGCTGAATCAGGTACCGTCACTCTGAAACTGATCAACGACCGGGAAGTTGAAGCCGTGAGATGGGAGAACGATTTTGAGACTGATTATCCAATGTTCAAGGCCAAGACACCCTGCACATTGTGCGCTCGTATGGGCATGGACTGCTATCTGGCATCCAGAGGTATGCTGATCACTGGCTGTACACCATGCCTATCACTCTACCGTGAGTGCAGCTTTACACACGCAAAAATGCCAGATGGGTATATATCCACCTTCCCTGGCATTGCTGAGGACGAACAGGTCTGCCATGGACCAATGACACAGAGAAGGACTGCTATGAACTCCTTCACTGCCGATAACGTCCGAGGTCGCAAATCTGGTGCTCGCTTCCATCGCGATGCAGTGAAGATACTGAAGAAGTGGTTGTCAGAGCATTCAGATCATCCATATCCAAATGAAAGAGAACGAGACGAGCTAAAGCAACTTACTGGCCTCAAGCGCAGCCAGATAAGCAATTGGCTTGCCAACGCTCGTCGACGAGGGAAGGTAAGGCCACCATCTGATCCAGCCTCGCCCATCATTGGTGCAATTGATGTGCCTGCACAAACCCTTCTGAATACAGGATACGAGAACCTTGGACCCATGGACAGATGGAAGTGCTCGCCGCCAGAACACGAACCTGCTGCCATGAGTGACATTGCTAGAGCTGTTACGAGTCCCAACTTTCTGCCTGCTGATGTACGACCAACGACATCTCTACAAAACTCCTTACGCAACTCACGCGCATCCTCTCGGAAAGCATCGAGCGAAGACGATTCCTCCGATCTGTCAATAATGTTTCAACCTCCTTCTGAATCGTCCTTGGAGACTAGAGACTCGACCAACTCCTCAATCTCCTTCGCCTCATCTCGATCCCATCGTTCAAAGCAGTCATTCGCCTCGTCCCAAGATCGTCGTCGACGCCGACGTGCTCCACTCCTACATCACAGAACCAATTCTCTAGCGAATAGCCAAGCCTCCAATGGCAAGAAGGAAAGAAATACAAGCACTGCAGGAGGAAAGGAGCGTTTATTTCAATGCACCTTCTGTACAGAGGCCTTCTCCTCGAAGTACGACTGGCAAAGGCATGAGAAGTCCTTACACCTTGCTCTGGAAAGATGGACCTGCTGTCCTATGGGCCCTACACGTATTGATCCCACGACTGGACTTCATCAATGTGTCTTCTGCCCTGAGTTGTCGCCAACTCCATCGCATCTCGAACAGCACAACTTCCAGACATGTAATGAAAAGACAGTAGCCGAGCGGACGTTCTATCGAAAAGACCATCTCAGGCAACACCTGCGGCTGATGCACAATGTCAGGTACGATCCACATATGGACACATGGAAGAGCACAACTTTCGAAATCAAGAGTCGTTGTGGCTTCTGTCCGTCGCTGTTTACTAGCTGGCAATCACGAGCCGATCACCTAGCAGCACATTTCAAGAATGGTGCAGACATGAAGGATTGGGGCGGTGGTCACGGTTTCGAAGGATATGTTGAGCGACTCGTCGAGAACGCAATTCCACCGTACCTCATTGGTTACGAGAGGAGTACAATGAACCCATATCGTGCACGAGAAGTCCGAAAGTCCACATTGTCGAACAGAGAAGTCCAGCTCAGCCCGACAAACACAGGAACGACGCCAAACACAAGTACAGCGACATCAAGCACAAACGACATGTCTGAGGACAACGGGAACGATCACGACTGGTCTCATTGCGAGAAGATTGAGGTTGATCAAATTACGAAAGACAGTAATTGCTGGCACAGACTCGAGGAGGAACTCATTAGATACGTGACTGAGCAGGGCAGCATTGGGATTGTACCGACGGATAAGATGATGCAAGATCATGCACGCGTGATTATCTATGGAGATGCCGATCCATGGGATTGGACAATGGCCGACAATCAGATTTGGCTTGATGCATTCAAGGCTGAGCATGATCTAATGAATAATAGCGGAACGCGCGACTGCGAGTACAGCAACGTTCGTGATGTGCCCGTTACAGCACCCTATGTTATTAAGGGTGGCTTAAAGGTCAAAAATACACGAGTACCATCACATAGCGGCCCGTGTCCTACTGATGGCGGCGTCGGTCACAGGAACTCTACTTTGAGCCTGCCAGGTATTCAAGAAAGAAGTTGCTCACTAGCACGGGCCTCGAGCACTTCGCAACCTGGTAGTTCCCACCACGGCAGTACACCAATCACGCCTCATGAAGATCTCTACAACTTCAATGGACCCCATGGTATCCCCGCTCCAGTAGATGCATCTGCCATGGAGCTTGACTTCGATGCTGTGGACTTTAGCCAGCTGGACCTAGGCGCTTTCGGAGAGATGGACTTTGACGACGGCCTCTCTTCCTCAGTCCCTGTTGCGCATACTGGGTCAGGAATGCACACAAATGCTCCATACATTCCAGCCAGTACACAGCCCAGTGGACCGATTAGCTTTGACCTAGGTTTCACCATGACACACAACACGACGCAGAGCCAGAAGCCAATGCCTGCTTCGGTCAATCCATTCGATAGCTTGGACAACGCTCCGGAAATGAGTTTGGAGGACTTCGATCAGTTGACTGGTTATGTGGGCGGTTTCAGGTAGATATTCAGCTGAAGCATGTTACTACGGGCAAAGGAAGAGCATAATTTGTTCACAACTGTCAATTGTCTGGTATCACGTTTCTGGGAGAGCAAAGCAGCAACAGCATGCGTATTGATAACTTTGAACCTCTATAAACTAATACCAGTCGCAGTTTGCGAGTCTTGCCAGTTTTATTCATAGACAAGCTAAACCTCGACTCGTCCTTTTACTTCTCAACGCTCGTATTACCTTGAATATGACTCAACACATACGTAGTAATAACAAGTCTTTGTCACTCAATCCACGTCTATCTCGATAACCATCTTTGAATGTGGTTATCGCTGTGGTTCTCCGAAGACTTGAATCTTTACAGAATACCCTTGAACGTGAAGTGCCAAACAAAGTAGCCGGTAAGTGGCCGTTTAGACCGCCTCATATACAGCCGAACGAATCACAACTCGTATACATGGGAGCGACAATTGAGCGACTACAACTCTCTGCAGTGCGGTATTTGCCTATTAGCATCGTTCCGAAAGACAAATTGAATCAGAGATTGCGAGAGCAGAAATGAACTATTTTCTCACCAAAGCTATATTGTTTCAAAAGAAGGAAGTAATAGGCAGAACGACCTGCCGAATTTCTAAACCACCGTGCTCTATCAATTCATAAATCTCGTGTAATTACGTAGTGGTAATAGTAACTATCGCTCAGAAAAAAACGTCAAGTATTGACCAGAATTAATCCTCCAGAAATCTGTCTAATCTGTCTATTTCTTCGTCTTCTTCATCTTCTCCATGACCTTCTGAATGGGTCCTTTGAGAGGATTCTTACCTCTAAATCTCAAGTAAGTGGCAAGGTAAACCACAAAATAATTGAACATGATGAACAACCAGAAAATACCGAAATCTCTCCATCTATTAGTGTAGAACACGGAGAAGCCACGTCCGAACTCGTCACCGTTGGCGTATTGGCAGAATTCGCAGATTCCGTCTAGGCCGACTTGGACGTAGCCGCCGGACTGAGAGATGAATTGCTGAGTATAGCTTTGGCAGGTTTGGCCGGGCGGTGCTGTGAATCGTGCGTATTCGTTGGTGTTGCAGATAACGGGTTGGTCGTGGATGGCGACGCCGAGGAAGGCTTCGAGGAGGTAGTGGAACGGTGATGCCCAGTACATCCAGCTGCGCCAGAAGTAGGGGAGTTGTTGTGGTGGTACAACGACACCACAGAAGGAGACGACGAAGAGGAAGAACAGAGGAACCTAGGTAATGTTAGTGAGTTTATCAATGGAGAAATCGTGTAGAACGCTTACCAAGAGTGATGCCAGAAGCTCGTTTGGCGAGAAAGCAGCAATTGCTTGCCCGAAGCCGGTGTAGTAGAGCTCGAACAGCAGCATCAGCAAAAAGGTAAATCCAGATGCAAAGCCAGATGTCCGGTAGCCCATAGGGCCCCACCACCAACAACAGAAGTAAATGCCACCAGCAAGGAGACGATAAGGTATCTCGACAACAACAGCACCAGTGACCCAGGCGAACCAGCTGTAAATCTTGGCCTTCTCTTCTCGGGATTCAAAGATGTTTCGGCTGTGGAGGAAGACTGGCTGAAGCTGTTGAATCAAAGGTGGTGATATCGTGAGGGTCATGAACACCGAGAACAGTCTACTCTGGAAATCAATTGAGGCGTAGCCAAGGTCTGTAAAATTGTAAGTCTGTGTAAAGATAGGGAAAGCTTGGTGGAGGGAGACTCACGATAAAAGGTAAATGTGTTGAAGAGACCTGTCATAACGTGCCTGTCGGAGGTTAGCCACTGCAAATACACTCCCAAGGGGAAACAAACTTACAGCATAAAGATACCGACAATGTAGTTTGGAGTTCGCCAGAATGAGGTGAAGGCTCTCTTGGTAACCGCGATAGTCTGGGTCATAAGTGGCATGGCGAATTCTCTGTCGTCCTTGACGTTCTTGCTGTGCTCGACATTCTTACGCTTCTCAATGATTTCTTCGATGTCTTTTGTCTGTTGCTTGTAGCGATCACTCTCCAACCACTTGTCACCCCAGTCAGGTCCATTGTACTCTGGGTCTCCAGCACCAATGGCCTCGAGCATATATTCCGCAGGATTGGCATCAGGTGGACACTTGTCAGCACCATTCTTCTCGAAGTATTCGCGAAGATATTTACTGTCTTTGCCGAGCTCTCCAGCGTACACGACTCGTCCGCCAGATTTCAGAAGAATGAGGTCGTCAAAGTGCTCGAAGAGCACAGCTGACGGTTGATGTATAGTACACAAGACCGCTTGTCCCGCATCAGCAAGTTTCCGTAAGAATCGTACAACGTTGAAAGCTGCGCCAGAATCGAGGCCTGAGGTAGGTTCGTCGAGGAAGAACAGAAGTTCAGGCTTGGAAGCTAACTCGACACCAATAGTCAAGCGTTTCCGCTGTTCTACAGTGAGACCTTCACCAACAATCCCTATGGTCGCACCTGCAATGTCTCTCATCTCGAGAAGGTCGATAATGGTCTCGCAATAGGCATGCTTCTCTTCGACAGAGACCTCACGTGGTTGTCGCAGGAGAGCAGAAAACTGGAGGGCCTCGCGAACTGTCGCTGTAGGCTCATGTACATCCATTTGCTCAGCGAAACCAGTAGCTCGTTGAAAGCTCTTCGGTAGTGGCCGTCCGTCAACAAGCATATCACCACTGATCGTACCGAAGCTGATTCGTTGCGCCAGAGTATTGAGTAGGGTTGTCTTTCCAGCACCTGAGGCACCCATAAGAGCAGTGAGTTTTCCTGGTTGTACCAGACCTTGAACTTTCTGTAACAATTTACGTTCACCTCCTTCGTACGGAATGGTGTAGTTGACATCCTGAAAGGTGAATATCGTCTCGTTCTTCGCAATCTTCTGCATAGCTTCGTCGTCTTCTTTGTCTTTGCTCGGAGACTCAGTATCGGAAGAGGTTTGCTTCTCAGTGGCAGCCTTTTCGTCCAAATTCTCTTCATCTGGCGAGCCTTTACGTCCACCAGTCTCGATAGCTGTTTCGAGCTTAGTAGGTACCTGACCTCGTTTGTAGATGGTCAGAGCTGCTCCGCCAGCATTGGGTTTCATTCTCTCAAAACCAACGCACGTAATGACAAGGAAAAAGAAGAAGAAGGCCCAGAGAATGCCGAAATTGCGCCAGAGGTGCGCACGAGTATATGAGAATGCCGCTAGAATGTATTGTGCACCGTCCACAGTTGTCGATCCTGGCACAGAACCAGCTAGAGCACAAGATTGGTACTGGGGTGCCACTCCTGGTCCGTTGACGGGCACAAGGTAAGGCGGTACACATTCCATTTGAAGATTGTAGAACTCGTTGGACATGAGCATTTCGAAACCGTACTGAATCCAGTTAATCCATCGCAGCCAGGAGAACCATGGATGCATTTGTGCTGGAGGAATGAGATAGCCTGTATAAACGACCAGGATTTGGATTGCCACTCCCGTAAATTTTGTAGCGTCGTCAAGTGTTTTACACACAGCAGATATCGCACGGAAGAAAGCGTAGGTGACCATAGTAACAAGCCATAATGTCAGGACCGAAATGAAGAACTGTGACGCCGTAGCTGACAGACCTGCCATCCAATAAATAATAATATCGAACAACAGGACTTGAATCAGAACCAGAGGTACATCGACGAGAGTTTGTGCCAACGCGTAGGCGGAGGGTCTGTAGAACTGGAAGGTCTTATGCTTAAGCAGGATCGGCTTGGATTCGAAGGCTGCTGTCTGCTCAGCTAGGGCAAGAAGCGCGTTGAACAACAAGATGAAGAAGAGTACACCTCCACGGGTGAATGCTCCATTAGTGTTGTTAGGAAGCTGAAAAAAGAGTGAGCCGACGATGAGACCTTGGAAGACAATGCCACCCCATTTGCCGACAGTCGATGCTTTGTCACCAATAGTAACGAGTAGTTGGCGCTTAGCACAAGCCATAACCTGTGCAGGGAAGGACACCGTATAGTTTTTCTGCTTGTTCTTCTTGGATCTTTGATCTATGCGTTCTCGTCTCTGAGCCTCGAGATGCGACTCGAACTCACTGATATCGTCAAGATTCTTACGATAAGCGTCGCTCTTCCTGTAGATCGCTGCAAAATCCTGTGAAGATCTAGGTATACGATCTTCCCAGCCCTTACGGATGCTTCTCTCGTGCTCATCCGTAACTGATGTCAAGAAATCGGCTGTCGTCCAACGGCCCGGACACTCGAAACCCAGGTCCATGAAATATTGTTTCGCATCGTCAGAAGAGCCGAAGTACAGACATTGACCCTCATCGATAAGCAATACTTTGTCAACCAAGTTGTAGAGTGACTCTCCAGCCTGATACAGCGAGACAGCCGTCGAAATTTGAGCCATGTTAGTCATACTACGCAAAGACTGAACGTACTCGACAGCAGTGCTAGCGTCGAGTCCCTTGGAGGAATTGTCCCATCCTTGAACTGAGGCTCTCGTAATCATTGCCTCTGCGATAGAAACACGCTTGCGCTCACCACCTGACACTCCTCGGACGTACTCGTTGCCGACTTTCGTTCCCAGAGTATGCTCGATCCACAACAGCTTGGTTGCAACTCGCAAAAATTCGTTGGCATAGTCGGCTTTGCTTTCGCCTTCTAAACGGGACTCTTTTCCTGGTGTTCTTGTTTGCAGTGCAAATCTGAGAGTCCGCTTGACCGACAACGTAGCGTAATGTAGGTCGTCCTCGGGGTTGTAGATAACTTCACCTCTGAAATCTTTGGCCATACGCTTTGAATCAGTGCCACCGTAGGTACGTTCTCCTTGAACAGCCTCGAACCCAGCGGTCTGATTACAAAAGGTCTTGAGAAAGGTTGAACAGCCCGATCCTGGACGTCCGAGAACGAGTAGCATCTCTCCTGGTCGCACACACCCATCAAAGTTGGACAACAGTTCACGGACTGGTGGCTTTCCGATAGCCGCTTTCGGTCCTTTGGTGACCAGGTTCCTGAGGAAGCGAGGTGGACCAAGGAAGATGTCACTAATTGTGGGTTGTAGACTTGCTCCCAATCCAGCACCCTTCACAGTGAGCTCTCTCCAGACGACTCCTGAATGACGGGTTTTCTCTTCTTCACTATGTTCTTGTCTTTCTTTACCGAACATGCGTGACATGAGCTTCTCCACCTCGTTCCGCTCCTCATCTGCATCGACATCCGAAGCAGCAGTTCTACGTTGTGACAGAACACGAAAGAGATCTTCTTCTGTGACAATACTCTTCCTCTGCGATAGACCCGGTCGCTGCTGGTCGCTCTTTGACTTGGCACTCTTGATGGGCATAAAGTCGCCCTGCATGGGATGGTCTTCATCGTCAGATGACGCACTGGAGGTGGACGCCGTACTGTGTCGACGTGCTGTTTCTAGTAATGGCGACCCGTCTACGGCTTTTGTCTTGCTGGGGCCAGATTTCGATGTTAGTGTATCTGATGAAGATCTTCCTTCTGGCGACGGGCTGTGTCCTTCATTCGAAATGGATATTGGTACGACTGCACCTGTAGTGTTTGATGTGGTCGATCTAGCAGCTGGAGATTCTGAAGGAGCGCTGACCTGATTTTGCAAATCCTCCTCATAGTCTGTTCTCTGGTCTGCCGCATTGAGGTTATGGTTTGAAGAGCCTGCCTGGGGTGTGATGTACGTTGTCCGGCCATGACCTGAATCATACGGTGTTTCCGTAACTTCGTCGTGGAAAGTTTCGTGGTCCTTGTGAAGAAGGCCAACGGGGCTATTAATTGCTTCGGTAGACGCGTCTTGTTGGTCGAGCGAGGGTTGAGAGTGACCAGTGAGGCTGCTTCCTGTCCCAGCAAGAGTGAAACGTTGTTGAAGTCTACTTTCCTCCATGCTGATCAGCTATTCTGGATCAGTAGAGTACGACGACAAAGAGAGGTATGAGAGCAGGTGTTCAAATAAGTGCCATGTTGCAACGCATACCAACGTCCTAACAAAACGGGATAACCAAAGACGACGTCAAACTTTTAACTAATATGAGCACAAGTGTAAGGCGAGCCGTAAAATCAGCATTAAACTTTTAGAAGCGTCAAGCAAGACCTTTCAAGACACCACAACCCAACAACATGCTGCTCCATTGCTATCGTTTCGTTCAGATTTCACCACGCGTTAGTGCGGCCACGAGATGCGATCATCGAATCGTGGACGAAGCGGAAGTGTTGGCACCGACTGAGAGTTGCCCTTTTCCTGGTCAGCGCATAGTTTCTAAAGGGCACGTTGGTTCGAGAAGTTCACATGTCTTAGTGAAAGTCATGACGACGTTAAAGCCGGGTGCGGATGAGATACGGCTCGAGTTCTAACCGAAATCCGACAAGATCAGGACTAGTAGTGCAGTGCTTCTCCCCTGCAAGCTAGCGGCCATAAGCATCCTAGTCCTCGAGACCGGAATTAATGGCACTGCAACATGAGCTTTGAAGATTGCGTTCAAGCATGTGGACATGGTGGGAAGATTTCGTTAGCGTTTCCAAGAGGTTAGAAGTTATTCTTCGGGGCTGTATGGACTGGTCTACTGTGAGAACACAACATCATTCACTCGGAAAATACAATCGCGTTTCAATGCACTTTCTACGTCAGTGATGGATCGCAGGTCTTGGCAAGTGCTAAACACTATCCAATGTGCGGCAAGCACGGCTCACGACGAAGACAGTGACTGCCGTAATCAGGAGTCCCAGTATGGCATGTATCTATATGTAGAACACATGGTATGAGTAATTTGGGCTTTATTGAATAAGTCAGGCTGCTGACACAAAGTTTATGTATTGAATCATGTCTGGTGGTTCTTCCATTGAGCACATATGAAAACTGGATACGTTCTACAACTTTGATGGTCTTTTGGCAGATGTATCTCCGTCTCCATCCGGACACTGCACACGTGGTGGCAGGCCTGGTTCCAGGTCAACAGATATTGTGCGATGTGAGGCCAATGGCGAATACGGTAGCACACTTGTGCGGTTGTGCTCGTTAGTGATTAATATCTGCAATGCTGCATTACGATGTCTCTGACCCTCTCGAGACTCTTTCGGTTTTCTCTGATGGGTAGACACTTGGCGGTTGATTTGAGCAATCTCTGCTGCATCAGCGATGATGGTACTGGATCGTGATAGTCGGTCTTCTTCAAGCGGCTTACTAGCCTTCTGGGCTGGGATGGATGTGCGGACCACAGCAGGTAAGGGCTTTGCAACGTCGAAATAACCAACATTGGGTGTCTTCTCGACGTTGGGTTCGACCCTGGTCACATTCTGCGGAAGGACTCTCGGGGATGCGAACTCCACATCCATGATGCTCTTCCTCTTCGCCCCACTCAACGCCTTTCTTCTCCTCCTATGCACGACAATCGTGAAGACGATAATTCCGACTATTGCCAAGATTACTGCGAAAACAATTCCCAGGATAGCTGGCGTTGACAGCCCATGATCTTTATCGGATGTCAAGGACCCTCCTGTGCCGCTGAGAACTATTCCGCTCGTAGATGCCGTGTTTGCGGCTGATGAACTCGAGCCTGTTGGTAAGGTGATGCTTGCTACAGCTATGCCTGATCCTTGTATCGAATATATAATAGACTGTGTTGTTTGAGGCTTGCCCGCTGCAGAGACGATACCATACTCTGAAGAGGTAGCCGTGGCTTGAGCTGAGATTGATGTGATGAAGGACAGTAGGAAGGTACTGCAAGCCAGCTGCAACTGCTTGAAAACCATGTTCAAGAGAATGTGATTGAAAGAAATAAACGCAGAGACGAACTGTGCTATTGGTACATCGCAAGACTCGTGCTTCAAAAATGCAAGAATGATATAGTGGTCTGAAATGCTGCAAGTCCACTGCCTTACCTCTTCGAAGCAGAAACAAGTCATTTAGTCTACATATCAAATGAACAACGTTCGGTATCTTCCAGAGATCACAATCGTAGATCCAAGTCGATCAGCCTCCTTTCTGCCGGGGACGATTAGATAGCTGTTCTGTCGCAACAGCGACAGGAACGAACCAGTAGACGACAGTATCACGCGGCCAACCACTGCCAGCAGGAACTCCAGCGAGCGACCACGTTTGGCAACTCAAATGCTGCTCAAACAGTAGGGTGAGCGCTATTGAAACTGCTACCGGTCGATCTGCTGATCGCAATCAAATGACGTAGAAATAGTGGTATCTTTGCGAGTTCGTGTGCAATGTCATCTCGTTTCAGACTAACAAAGGCGGCACGCTGCCATGGATGACCAGCATCATGAAGGACAAGGATCGGTAAAGGGATTCGAGACCATGATGCAGAGTGAAACCGCGATAAGTACAGTAGTATCGTGCATCAAAACTTTTCGGGAGATATTCAGGAACAACTCCAAATGGGTGTAAGATTTGTGGGGCTCATAGCCTTTGCTGATCCACAGATTAGCGAGTGCTGTCATACAAAGTTATTTGTCAGTCCAAGTTTATGTGAAATGTTCGAAGCGTTGAAAAATACGTGAATACTATGCCACGTACAGCTGGAGTAGACATTTGCGACCGCAGCTTTCTCAGCTGATGAAGGTCATGAGGTAGCTTGTGTCTGAAGTCTACAAAACATGTTTGAAATCATGCATGAGATCGCTAAACTACCATCAACCAACCAACGCCATCGCTATAGGAACCGACATGCTAAACAATATATCACCAGACATCACCTCAGTAGCCTCCCAGCGTCCGAGAATGTTAACGAGTTGGGGTCACCCACTTCATGAAGCACAAGGTGTGAAGAGTTGTCGATTCGCGTATCTTGGAGTGCCTGAACCAGCGATACACCATGGCCTGGTGACCTTGGTCTTTCTCTGATCGCGTGTTCGGGCAAAAGCAAATTCGAAGAGCGATAGCCTGAACTTGTCGATGAATCGTCTGGACGCTGGGCAGTGGTAGGAGATCCTAGAAGTCCCCCAATGTCCGCGATGAAGTTTTGACCTGACCGTGAAAGTCGCCTCGTATGTTGTCCCGCAGAGGCTTGCTCTGACGATGTTACGTTCACTAACCCACCCACGTCGAAGAAGCTCATCTTCCTATAGGGCGTTTCCGGTACCTCTGCAGGACTAGAAGGCTCATCTTTGTAAGGCTCTAGTTTTCGCATCTTGAAATCAGTTGACATATCACTATCTGAAGATGCATCAGAATCCCTTCTTTGATGCCTATGCGGCGTAGATGCCTTGCGGAAAGTCCATGCTGGATCGAGCAGTCCTCGGCCATGAGGATTGATAGTGGGCTCAGGGGTTGAAATTTCGTGGTGTGGAGTGTTGGCTGGTTCTGCCATAGGCGCCAAGCGTGCCGTTCCATTCATTACGAGCTCATGTCTGAGATCTGCCGAGAGGCCGACTCCGAAATCTCGTACCAGGTCTTCGTCGCTGCCCCAGTGCCTCTGCGCTATAGATGGCTTAATCTGCCTTGTTGCAGGTCTGGTCAGCATGTTATCTTCAGTACCGTCGCCGTCACTCTCGCCGATAGATCCGCCTCGATATTTGACCTTCCTAACACCTTTGTCCCGCAGAAAACTCCCTATTACAATGACATTGGCTACACAAGTCGCTGCCAGGATCTCGATCGATGCGAGCAGAGACCGGAACTGCTGGCTATAGTCTCTGGAGGCTGTACTGGGAATGCGATATGCTGTTATGCCGATGAGAAACAATGAAAGAAGGAACAAAAACACCATCGATACTTTCTTCGTCATGGGCATTCTTGACATGATGACCAATGGTATTGGGAAGACGATTAAGACCACGTCAGTAATGATGTCGCAAGTTGCCATTGTGATAAGTTGAATCCTGCCTGTTCGGCAAGATGGTCCAGGATCAGGGACGACCTGCCAGTAATGGCTAAAAGGCCTGCATTCTACCAATGTTGAAATAACCACTGCAACGAAAGAAAGTCCGAGGAAGGTGTATATTGCACGAGCGCCACGTTCGTAGAGTCTTGTCCAACTTGTAGCGATAATCTTTTGCACAAATTCCAGGACTGTGACTTTTGCCATCCAGATGTACAAAGCGTAGAAAATGCGACTGGCGAGAACCAACCGACTGCCCATCGATCTGTGGTAGATGTTTCTATCTGTCAATCCGACGATGGTAGTGTTATTAGTTCCCCAAAGAAGTACTGGGTGAACACAAGCCATCCTGATCAATAACGGTATAATGCTGGACAACATAACTTTGTCTTCTCTGAATAGTCGTTCTGTTCGAATCCATCGCCCAAACACTCTGATGAGGATCACAACGAGGGAGAATATCGTGCAAAACCAGGATACGATCAGAGTAGGATTCACGTGCAGCCTGCTCTGCATCGCTGGTGGACTATGCCCAGCGCGCAGGTGTAGTCGTGACATAACGAGATTCTTGCTTTACTGGTAGGAATTATGTAATTGTTCCAAGGACAAGCACGGTCCATTATCTGCGCTCTCTGAGTTGATTTGCATGTTCCGCTTACGACGTGGGTCGGTGTTGCGTTCTCTGGTTGTGGACCTGCTCGTGATGGTTACTCGAGGTCAATGTGATCGGAAGTTGGAACCATATGTCGGTATGCGAATGTTCGAGGAAAGAGCAGCAAGGAAGTGATTGCGACGGTTAACTTGTATGTGAGATAGCAGGTGAGTAAATAGCGCATCGACAAGGTGATCGCGATTGCAAAAGTGCATGAACTGATAGCGGAACTGGCCAGCTCCGCTTTCACATCCATGGGTCAGAACCATTTGGGTGCATTGAGGCGATTGCTGGCTCGGCACTTTGAAGGTAGGAACCATAATGATACTTCTTGGGAATAGTGTTATCTTCTACGCAAGCATTCGTCGAATAGCAACATTCAACACGTTCATGGTGGAGCTAATTAGACTCAGCTCGAGACCCGACAATGGAATCATGGTACTCGAGTAGGTCCACACAGTGGACCCTACCACAATCGATTCATCGATGTGAATAACGCGAATTTCAAAAGCAATATTGCTTGATCGTGCGGTGCAATCTGACAGGAGAGAATTAGTGGCTGGGATGCGCAGCCATGTAGCTCGTGTAACAAACACGATGCTATTAGGAGAAGCAAGTCTGACTTCGCACAATTTATCGTAGATTCGCTCCGCCATGGAATCTGTGTTCACGTCGCGGGCACAACTGAGATCGCGGTTCTGTGAGAGGTGACGATTGTGATGTATCAATCAACAGAGCTCGTCTTGGTCGACGACTGCTTACTTCATGGTTCCATAGTATAGAAGAATGCGAATATACTGGTACGCTCATCAGCCCGAATGTGCCAACAGATTTAGAGCCTCCGTACAGCTCCTTGAAATTTCCAAGCAACAACAACATGTCAACTTCAGAACAAATTCCCGACATCTCGCCTGCTGCCATAATTTCCTAGTCTTCTTACACTTCTCTTTGCGAGTTGTGTTCTGGCCCTGCACCATTGCCGGTCTGTGCATCTTTGGGTCCGGCTGGTTGTCCAAGCGCGTATTTTGACGAAGAATGAACAAGGTGCAGGTGACTCGAAGGCAGGAGTGCGTCACCAGAGTAGACAGAAGACGACCGTAACATTCTCGATTGTCGCGGCGCCTGCAACGTGCGTTAGTGTCAGGTCGGCCACGAGTTAATCAACCTACGTATAGACTGTTGGAAGGCAAATGTGTATCAACGACGTCTTGAGACTCATCATTGACTATATGCTCGTCCCCTGAACTGGCATAGCCTTTGTCTGTGTGTCCTTGTACCACAGCGCTTTCCACGTTGTCAAGACGTATCACTGGTGGGTTCCTGGTAGGAGAAGATCTTGTCGGTAAATTGCTTCCTTGTGAGGTCTCCTTCGATCGCTTATCTAGCAGGTCCTGGTAAGGATTATCGTTGGCATAGGTAAGAAACTCTTCCGCTGAAACTTCTCCACTCTGCTCCTGTATGTTAGTTCAAAGTTCGACTGCGCAAATCGCAGGGTTACTTGCATGATGAGGGTGTACAGTGCCTCCTCCGCTGCTGCTGTCCAGACCCACAGAAGTCCATCCGACATCTCGTTGAATTCTTCTTTCTTCGATAAAATCTCGATACCATCCTCGCCTGTAATCTTCGTTGTAAGCTGTCTGCCATATTTCGGCGTTGGTCCGCCAGCGAACTCCCTCCATGTACTTGTCTTGGTCAGGGTTCCGCCTGTTAGGGTTCCAAGCCTTGTTGTCCTGATCTTCGTCGGCGTCGGCGCGAACTCTACGGCAGAGGCGAGATAGCGCAGCGATGAGAATGACCAGTACCACAGCGCCTGCTATGCAAATCACTATGACTACTGGAGGAGCGATTTGTGGGCTGTGAACTTCGCGCGTGTTCGCCATGGTAGATTGAGACTTGCGGAGAATGAAAGGATGAGTCGCGCGATTTGAGAAATAAGAGACAAGTTCGAGGAAAGCAATTTGCGGGTGCTGTAACGATGTACTTTCGGAAAGGAAACATACATATCATAGTGTCGGACCTGTTTGTAAGTGTTTGAAGGACCCTCAACAACTGCTTGTTTCACTGCATCTTTACGATTGATACGAGATCTGATCGAATCCCCACACACATTAACAACCCTTCACTAAATTTCCATCAGTGATTAGCCACGAACACCACGTTTCTCTTGACCTCTCAAGAAGAACAGTTCTTTATGAAAGTCAGTATGGTCTAGGTCAGTTCGATTGCAAGATAGAGTTTCGTACCTGTACTGCTTCGCTATAACATTCTGCGAACACATAACGGACCACAACGATGTCTTCGATGAGCTGGTACTATGCCCAGTTGGTCATCTGCTTGGGTGGTGTAACTGGCTGAGAGTCAACACAGGCAAAAACTTCGTTGTCCAGCTATAGAATGTTTTCAATCGTCATTTGAGCGCTTCGCTCGAGTTAGAACTGCTCTCGGCCTTTTGCCTCAAGTTGAGAGTGTGTAAGGTTGTTCAAGCTCAGTATCACCCCGAATAAAGAGCTGGTTGTTTAGCTTCACCTGTATACGAGTATCACTTCTACTGTCGCAGGATGAGTTAATCAACTGAGCGACTGGGACTTCCATGGAACTCCATGATCGTTTGCGTCCTAAATTTTAAACAACAGAGGTCTGTGATTCTTCGGTGACGAAGGGATGCTTGAGGCACTTCAAACTCAACATGTGGTTATCCATCTAGATGTTTGCAAACTCCATATGCTAAGATGAGCGAAACTTGTGGCTTACGGCTCGTGATAAGCCCAGATTCAAACAGAGTATGAATTGTTTGTCCATTCTATGAACGCAACCAAGGGGGAAGGAGCAATTGGCGAGACATAAATTGAGGGATTATGCGAAAGTTGTCTTGAAGAGCTTGGCATTCCGAGCCCGCCATGACTCGTCTGATACGTCCTTTCTAACCCTCTCCCTTTCCGCCAGATGGTTCCAGTCGTGAGAGCTACGGTACACCATCTGTTCAGACTACTCATCGTGGTCAGCGAGAGATTTAGCTGTCGCTAGAGAACTGAAACTCTAAGAACCCTGAACATGATAATTCCGCCTGCACAAGATGAAATGCAACAGCAGACAATATTTCGGATCGCTGTTTGAGGCCTGTCGCTCGTGAAGTTTGTTACAAAGGAGCCTACCACACAAGTTTACTCCGGCGTTCAGTCTTGTGCGAAGCTCAGCTACCTGAATCAACAGCAAGTGTAGAGCTATCTGCGACTAATTCTATCCAAATTCAGGTTCTCAGACACTGATTGTCTTGACGCATAGCACACTCGTCACCACTACATGCTCCTTCCTGCAGGCGTCCTTCATCGAGGGTTCTTTGCTTTTTAGAGTGCTACAAAGCGGTCTTCGGTACCCTATTACTCTTAGGGGTTCACAGGTGGTACGAAGGAAGTTCGAAGTGTTGGCATCGTTGTTCGCACGTCAAGATATGAGAATCTCAGCTTCATGTTGCGGCGAGTGCGGCTGTAGCGAGGCCGAGCTGCGGTCCTTTCTTCCTCGTGCACCATAATCGTCGCCATATCACATATAGCAATTCATGATGTGTCCAGTAATCTGAGTTCAGCTCTTTAGACAAGGCACTCACCCTACCTGTGTGGGTGAGTGTCAAGGGAATCTTAAAAAAGGAAAACCTCAAACGAAATGGGAAAGTCGAGCAAGATAACGCAGAACGTCAAGAAGGGTGTAGAAGCTGTGTAATGAAGTTCATTAACTAAGGTCAACGTCGTGATGTGCCACCGAAACCAGTCGACTCATATCGACTACTAGAGAAACTAGGTTCTGAAGACCTTGAGTTACTCGGCCCAGCTCCATCACCATCACCAAAGAAGCTTCCTCCTCCTCCATACCTGGATGGTGGCGATCTGGTCCCAGTTTGTGTTCGATTCTGATTGCGACCAAGAGCATAACCTAAACCAGCTCCTGTCAACCCAGCGGTCCAAGGTCCAGGTCTCCAACCTCCGGCATTCCTCGACGAGCCTGCAGTACCATAGCTCCTAGTGCCGGATGTGTTATACTTACCTGGATTGTTGAAGCTGTGAGAGTCATATGGCGGCGGAGGGTCATCATTGCCACCATCATCGCCTCCACCTCCGCCTCCATACCGTGGTGCTTGTCCAGCATTGCCGCCGAGTCGTGGAGGGTTCCTCTGACATTGTTGGACCAGTCGAGCAACGATAATGAAAAGAACGCTGGTAAAGATGACGAAGAAGACAACCCGTGCGAACCCAGTCATTTGACCCTCTGAATCAGAATTTCCTGGCGACGGGTTGTGCCGTCCGTACTTTTCTTCACCTTTCTCCGTCAAAAGAAGTCTGTAATTAACCCCACAGCTGCCCTTTAGAACGTAAGGGTCGTCACTGGATGCATAACCTTCGCATGCGACTTCAGTGCCTCCCAGTTTGAACTCTTCTGGCAAGTTCGCCTTGCATGCCCACTGAATATTCTCTGCATCATAATCTGCGCCTTCATTTTGACATCGCATAACATCCACCGTGTAGAATTTGCAAATTTCTTGAGGACCAACGCAGTTTAGCTGTGGAACAGCGGAAACACGTCTTGATGTAGTCATCTTTCCAGCTCGAAGGGTGAGGGACTCGACGTTCGACAACAAGATTGCGTTTTTGGGGACATTGTTCGGGGTTGTGACTTTTCCAGCCGACACGGAACGAGTGATCAGCAAGCTGAGGAGAGTGATCAGGGCAGTGAACAAGGAGAGTTCCATATTGGCAGTAAGCACTTCACTCGATCAGATGTTCTCTATCGTGGAATTGTGGGAGTTATTAAGTAAGTCAAAACGATATTAATATGTGGCTGAAAAGGTCGTCATGAGAACCAGGCCTGGCTTTCGACATGTCGAGAGTCAGCAAACGTGGTAGGAGTTTCGTTTGAACAAGTGTCCTCAGAAGACCATTGCCTGTTGCCTGGAACCAAAAACAGGACGAAGTTTCGAGGCATGTGACGCAAGAACTTAGACATGTACTCAGCGGAGTGCAGAGAGTTACAGTGTCGTGTATTTGAAAATGTTTCAGTGGTGAGGACTTTAGTGGCCTAATGGCCTGGAAATGGCTACTCTGTTCTCCAACTCGGAGTCTGGAGTAAGTAGCCGCTAGTAACTCTCATGTATTCGGTATACAACCTCTGCCCATGAGCTGGACACTTCTAGGGGATCTCGAGGCGTCTACGCATGAGATGTGGCCCCTAACTATACACATAGTAGGGGACCGCTAGGCAATTACACCTGAGCAATTACAGTACGCGTTCGAAACAGCGGCCAACGTTAACACATCCAACGCGTTTAGTGAACACGTCCGTCTGGGAGTGTCATCTTAATCCAAAAGTACCTACATGCACACTTTCTTCGCGATCCGATCGTTGCGTGTCAAGCCTCTAGGTAACTCTTCCTGTGTCTTCTCGCTGTCTGCTGCGAGGCACTCAAGCAGAACACTGCATCGACGTTCCAATACTCTATACACAAGCCACCCGGCTTTCAATTCTTTCTGGTCACGAGCCAATCACATTGGTCAGCAACAGACTTACTTATCAAACCTCACCATGGCTGGAATCATCGACTTGACCAGTGACAGCGACGACGAACATCCGAGACGGTCAGTACCTGATATTGGGGTCGAGGACGAGGATGATGAGGATCTTAAACTAGCAATTGCAATGTCACTACAAGATCAGGCGATTTCAACGCCTTCCGCTTTCACCCTACTAGAGCAAGCAGGCCTGAAACCCTCGACTGAGGTAGTCACACCAGCAAGTAACGGAGGCCTACTTGGGCTCGATCGCAAAGCAATGGAAGCAGATCGTTTGGCGCGTCTCAAACGTAAGCGTGTCAGTGAAGATGGAAGCTTCAACATACCAGCTGCTCCTAAAATCACCACGTCGATAGTCACCCCGAAGCCGGTCTCACCACCACCAATACGGAGACAACGTCGTGCGAGTCCAGCTGATAACATCGAAAGTTCCCAATCACTGTCCGAAAACCCTTTCTCATTTGCTAAGCCAAAAGTCCTACTCACATCGACTCCTTCGAGGCACTCGGCTACTGCACTGACGGCAGTCTCATTTCGCGATCTTGTGGCTCCACCTTCACCAAATTTGACGCTCAAATCTGCCCTTTTGTCCTCATTCATTGCTGATTTCGATTGGCTTCTACCTCACTTTGATACCAGGAGCACTTCTTTCGTGTTCGTACTACATGCATTCAGCGCTCAACATCGCCAAGAACTACAAGCCGATTTTGCAGGAGTTCCGAATGTGCGACTGGTAGTGCCCCAGTGTCTGGGTGGAGGAGGCAATATGCATAGCAAACTCATACTATTGTTCTTCAAATCGACTGACAGTGAAAAAGGTGAGATATGTAGGTTGGTGGTTTCATCTGCAAACCTGATTCCTGCAGATTGGGGTGCAGGAAGGGTTATGGAGAACGTTGCCTATATCGTTGACTTGCCAGAAAGCCAACGCGTTTTAATTAAAACAGAGGAACAACGTCAGCCAGAGTTTGCAAGTGAACTCAAGAAGCAGCTACGAGCGATGGAGGTACCGGACAATGTCCTTCAGAAGCTTGAGCATTTCGACTTTGCTGCAACTAAGGATATGAGGTTTGTGGCCTCGATTAGTCAGTCGCAGGCTCTGAGTGCGACAATCAAAGAAGTGAATCAGCCTGGGATCGTAACCGACAACTCTTTTGGCGCAAATCGTGTCAAGTCTGGAGCAAATGCAATATCAGCTGCGCAGCAATCTTCTCTGAGCACACTTGACCGATCAATCGATCTGGCACGAACGGGCTTGTTGTCTCTATCGGATGCCATCTATTCCTTAGGATTATCAATTTCGTCAACGGATCCTTCGTACCCACCGCAACTGGATTTTATCACTTCCTCACTCGGCAACCTGAGCCATCCCTTCGTCCGTCAACTGTACGAAGCGGCGTGTGGCACTCTGGACGTCGCAAAGATTGCAGCCAGCAGGGCGAGGACGAAGACAAGTACCAAAGCCTTAGGAACCGTGAACGATAACATAGGACTAGATGTCACAGTCAGGAAGAATCTGCGAATTTACTTCCCAACTGATCAAACAGTGCAAGCGTCTGCGGGTGGCGCTGCATCAGCAAGCACGATTTGTTTTCAGAAGAAGTGGTGGGAGACAAACGAACTCATTCAAGAATGCTTACATGATTGCATAGGAGGGAAAGGAGATGGGATACTGATACATAGCAAGGTATGTGTCGCGTTGTTTTAATTTCCTGTTTTCACGCCAAAGTCGCGCTCCCCTCGTTTAAAGCGTTCTTCACTTTGTCACTCCTAGCACGATTCGACATTCAACACTCAATTCGGCACTTGCGCTGGTTATGTAGCAAGGTTTTCGGTCCATCACAAGCTGCCGAGGTTTTCTGAGGTCGAACGACGATATCTTGTCTGCCCATCAGAGTATTGACAAGTTCGTGTGAACAACGTTTGAGCAATGGCTACACAAGCATCAAGCTTCTTCAGCACAATGGTGGCACGTCTGCTTCAGGTCTTGTGAAGCTCCGGACGAAAATTTTGGGTGACTCAACCACAATCCAAAATGTGTCATCGTGGGGTTTCAACAGACTTCTGCGGGCTGGAAGCGCTTGGACATCACAGGCCACTCTTGCCAAATCACGATCCGTGGTAGTAGTTGCAATATGTTGGTGTCTGCTGGGCAGCCATGCTTTCGCGTCACTCTACGAGTGGACGGCTGTATATCATGTCATGCAGATACTCGTCACCAGGTGCAGAAACGGTGTGACCACTGCCACATAGGCAAGCAATGCTCCGCGTACAGGCTCGATCACTCGCATTGACACAATACTGCAATGTGAGAGTCCATGTTGTAATTATCTAACTTGGTGTCTCTACGATCAGATCAATACACAAGCTCGGAAGCCTGAACGTCTGGTCACTGTCAATGCAATCAAGCGATCGACCTTGGCGGCTAACTTGAAAAATGCAGATTTTATACGTTCGCTTCGCTGAACCGAAGCTCGTCAAGTCTGAAGACGGCATGGAGAAAACATACATCGGATGGTCGTATATGGGCTCAGCGAACCTGAGTGAGAGTGCTTGGTAAGTGCAATTGTTCTCTTTCTATGCGTCTCGCCGGTCGTCGCGCCGACTCTTCCCATCCTGAGAATTTGCAGGCATGACAACTGCCAGGGTAGTGAGAGCCCTAACGAGGCTATGCGCAGTGAGACCGTAATACTAGAATGACCAGTATGCGCGATCAATATGCATGTGCCAAGAAGCTCAGCAATGGAGGCTCGGCGGATCAATCCTTTGCTCCGCGCTCGGTCCTTTATCGGTCTTGGACAGCAGTCAGCCAAGCACACCGGTGCTCAGAAGGCCGGGTAACGGACGTGCTTGCGCGGCCAATACTGGGTGCACTGGACGACGCAGCTACTTCTTCGTCCTGATTTGTTAGATGCGTGGTGACTATCGACAGTATTGAGTCTCGACCTTCTCGGCATGCCGATCATGTGATTAAGTGCCGAGACGGAACGATCCACTAACAAGTCTACTGTACATAGGGGCAGGATAACCACCGAAACTAAATCGAAACAGCCGAAAATGACGTGTCGGAACTGGGAAAGCGGTGTCATCATTCCAATTACCCTGGCTGAATCGGAGGCTTTCGGCGACGCGACTACAAACGACCCTTGGGCACTGAAGGACATGAAAGACCGAGCGGCGGAAGCGACAAACCTGATGCAGAGACAGGACAAAGCGAAGCCTGCCACATCGACCATGCTTGGAAGCGCACGGCGAGACACACCGACCATCGCTAAGACAGCGGGCAAAAGCCGAGTCAATATTGCTGTTGCGCCCAACAAACCATCACTAAGTGAGGTGTTTTCGAGACATGTCCCTGTACCAATACAATATCCTGCAGCACGACATCTCGATCAGCAGCGACATCCCTGGTTTTTCAATGATTAGCAAGCGTCACCAGTATTGAAAGGTACAGAACTTCGATCAATGGAATTGAGATGTACAGTATTCTGTTTAGTCGCTGATCGCATCAGTAAAGCGTGTCGACATCATCTAATATGTACGATCGGACCACTATGCCGTACCATTATAGACTGTCAAGCAAAGGATAGCACCTCACAGAGCGTACCACGTCAAATATATACCTCCACACAAATTCTGCGAGTTCGTTCTTTTTGAGTTCAGTATTGAGTTTGCAACCGTCCCGGTAGATCGGTTGCTTCTGCAAACTCGGGAGCTCGATGCATTCTTAGTTGAGATTTGCTGGTATGGGTACATGTAACTGTGATCATATTCCGAGAAATGTGCAATGTAGAAGCTTCTTTGTACTATTGCAAGGAGTGATGCCTGGATATGGTATTTTGCAGGCTTTGCGTTAAAACTTGAGAAGTGCATTTGACGTTCGATCTGCATGCGGAAGGAGGTCTTTCATCACCTCGTGGCTGCTTGTAGAGCTTCATGGACGTTGCGCTGGCAAGACGAGGAACGACACCTTGTCCCTTCGAGCTGCTCATTGTGTTCATTGAATAACATAGTCGCTAGGACAGAGCCCATGAGGAAACCTCATTAGACCAACAAGGTGGGAGTCTCGTTGGACTTGATCCAGCCAATATCATGGTAGGCAATCAAGTGTATATTTGATTCGTGTATGCCACTGATCAGGACGTGTCATGCATAAGAAGTACTCATAGCTTGGGACAGAGCTAATACGCCTGGTAATCCTGCTAGATCAGACTTGCTGAGAAATGCCAACATGGTCTTCGCAAAGTTGTATCGCTACTGAAGTGACACCATGCAAGGATGTCTAGCTCACCAAACACAGCATCGACGAGGTTTGACCAGACCTTGTCCTCTTGGGGCATCTACCTTGGTCTGAGCTCCGAATTTGCACGATGTGCCTCCGACCATGGGCGGGCAATGATCTGGATGCTTGATGGTGGACACCACTACAACGACTTGGGGTAGTCGTCCTCGTGTGCTCAGCTATCATGCGCCCAGCGTGCACGCTATCAGACCAGTCCGCCTTTCCGATATTTGAAGATTGAATCTAGACATTGTGATATACAGCCGACTTGCGAAATGCAACGCAAATCTTCACTAGTGCATGGAGTCTTGGAGATTCTCGAGGTTGTACTTGACCGCCAGTACGAGTACCTGGAAATTGTCATACCCGAAGAGTCAGTGGGTTGAATCGCCAATTCATGCCTTCACGTAGAAGACGTGAATTATTCTTGTCGGTATGCGTTTGTGTTACATAACAGGACGGAAGATCGATTGCTACGATCACACCTCTCGCCACGAAAGTAGTGTATCTCAGTGGCATGGAGGTTGCACAGCTGAAAGTATTGCCCTTTCCGGGGAGATATTTAGAGATTCAGGGTTGCGATCAGCATGAAGGTGCCGCATAACCGTTTCTTGTACGTCGATCATTCAGACACTCCGCTTTCTCGAAAGAGCATCTCAGATGTCTGCTTCTTCCTTGTCCGTTGTTGACTTATGCATGGCATTATATTCGATTTTCGTCGAGCATCCAACAAACAACATTGTCTACTACAACTTGGGGATGCGACACGGGAAGCTGATGACGTCGTCGAAATCTCTTACAAATGAGCTGAGATGGTGCCGCTAAGCACTGATTTTAGACATAGGATTCCGGCATTATTATTCATGAAAATGTTGTGCACACAAGCCGATTCTGCACGAATTCAAGGCTCTTGGATTTGGCGCTAATGCCGGATTTGGCTCCCGGCGCCAGGTTGGGGTGCATGCCACGCTGCCGTCTTCCACGGGAGGCGTGGTTGACACCACAAGGTCACTGCAGTGATATCATTGGAAAATGTGAAAATGGATTCTGAGCAGATACAACAGTGACAAGAGCAAACAGCTTTTTACACGCCTTGAGCGACACGCTAATCATAGGGGCATCCTGGATCGTGTTCGAACTTGGTTTGCTTTAGAAAAAAATGCTGTTGAGCATCGCAAGTCGAAGTGACAGCCTGTCGGATTCCTGCACTATTTGGAAATAACCAAGCAAGCTACAGCACCTTAATCAAAGCGAAAATCGTTCTTCGCGATATAAGAGCTCAGTAGTAGTCAAAGCATTGCCAAGACAGGTGCTCGCATCGCTGCTGTCGTTCAAGTATTGGTGAAAGTCAATCTATTGCCTTGGGCTGAATTTCATCTACTGCCAAAATAGCCGAGGTGGCCATAGTGGATTCAACAATACTAGTAACACTGTTGCGCAGAACACCCCGGGAAATGTCAGATGTCACTTTTGACTTGAAAATGTCTTGAGATTTGCGTGTTGCCGAGTGTGGACCCGCATCTCGCTGATCAGATGGTGAGACATGCAACACGCCGTCAGTATTTGTACATGGATAGACGTGCTGAGGCTGAAGCGATTGTGAACGTTGCCAAGCCGTTCTAGGCCTTCAAGCTCGATGGGCGCTTCTCTACACGATGATCGCATCTGCTTAATAACTGATGGACTAGCAGTACCTCATCCCGAACCGCCCGAGAACTAATTATGGCGTTCAAGGACACAGCGAAGCCGAGGATGTGATTGTGCTTACCACGAACTTGCAAGGCTGCCTCGTATTGAGGTTGCATGTCTGTAAAGATCTGCTGGTGACCAGCCTCGATTTGTATGGATAGCAGCTGCATCGTCGCTATACGATGTGGTTTCGCCGATGTAAAAGCGATATCGCTCGCATAATAACACGAATAACTTCCGACAGTACACGAGCCTGCTTCACCAAGCTGCTTTTTTTTTTTTAGTCAGTGTGGGGATAATTCCAGCACAACAAGCCGCCCAGGTCTTGTGAGCTACCTGAACCATGATACGAATGTTTGACATGCGAAAACAATAACCTGTTGCAAACGACCGGTGAACGAGTCGAGTCAGCTAAACGCACTCAGCTTGAGAGTGTTGTGGTTTCTGGTCCTCGCAAAACCATTCCTCACAGAGACAAGTCTGAATAACACAGAGTGTAACGATTGGTCTTAATTTGCTACGTCACGACTTTTCCTCCTTCCTTCTCATCCGCTCTCAAGACTGTACTATTAGTCTCGGTCTTATTTGATATTGAGGTTGAGAATAATTGTTCGGGTAGTGAGAAAAAAAACCCTCGCGCTTCTGCACCTTACCAATATCCCCAGACGAATTTTCTCTTGATCCTTCAAGCCATATTATCCATATCGTGACTTTCACAATACTCACAGAAAGATAGAACAAGGACTTACACAGATAGAGTTTCAGGCACAAAACCATACACGACAAACTTCTCGTCCACATATGTACTGTAATCCAACTTCCTCTACGAGCAACTAGCGGCCATCTTGAATACTCATACTCATAAAGCTGTTGAACTTAGCAGCAGGATGAGCAGCGATCATGGTCGTCGAATACGGTTATTGCATCCACAACAACCACGGGAACCGTCTATCCATAATTTCTTGGCCGCTCAGGCACAACCAAAATGATCAGGCATAATTACACTCTGCCTTCCTGTTTACTACTAGTAGGTCATAATGTCGGGATACGACCTTGATAATTCGGAGAAATACCGTCTCGATTGGAACAAGTAGAATTCTTGCGCCACTTTGGTCACTCTGCAGCGTTTACATCTACCTGCTCAAAACATGCTTACAGCTCTGGCAATCGTACGCTGTATTGGACTCCAACAGGACAGACACTCGTGCATGCCAATTCCGGACATGTGCGAGCAACAGCAGAAACTGCTTCAAGTTCTTATAAACAATCGACCCAAGACGTGGATACTGTGCGTACCTTCAGATCTTCTGTGCTAAGTAGAGATCCATAATTTAGACTTCAACTATGCTCTTTCAAAATGGTCACTAAGTCGTGCAGTAGCGTCTCGATCCCTGTTGGCCCCTCCAAGTGCAGCATCACATTATTCCACCATTGCATGTTTCCGAACCTTGCAATAAGCTGAAAGAAACGTCCTCTCCTTCGGTCCTTGCCTGGAAAGAAGCCGCGTAGCACGTCGAACAAGCTGCGCGCATCGTGCATCGTCTGCACCCGGAAAATCATAGCCAATATTCCTGATGGTCCAGGCCGTTCTTGATCTCATCTCCACGTCACCACATTGTCCATCCGTAAGACATCTGGTAGGCATCAATAGCTTGTGCATCAGTATCAAATACCGACGCGTACAGAAAACTGTCACATCTGGGTTAGCGCCTGACAAGCTCGAGAAGCTTTCTACCACATCCTTCCCTGTGGCATCTTTTTCGTCGCCAATACAGTAACGGCTGTCAACACGTACGAGTTAGCCAATAACCGGGAGCCAAAGACAGCCTGTATCTTTATACCTCTTTGATCAAGTTCCAGTCTACCCCTCTGTCGTAGACATTTGGTTTATTACAGTCGTTTACATCGACACGCCGATTTCCAACCATTCGTTCATGCTGATACATAGTGGTGCCCGCACTCCTCGTATGTGCTCGGCACGCATCACATCAGACGACCATTTCGGGAAACGTTGTCGATCCTCTCGAAGCATTCCCCGGCCTACAACAACAAGCATATCAACTCGCATTGTTGCTTGTTCGTCGGATCTCAAGCTCTGACTTTTGTCGAACCTTGAGCTTCGGTAATCCTCACAAACCTTACGATCACGTACCTTTGCGTGAGCGCAGTGTTCAATATTGGATACTAAGGTTTGATTCCGATCTCTTAATATGTCGTCCGGTGGTGCAGCTCTCCAACCCACATTCAATGGTCATGTATCAACCACACAGGATGCTCTTATACTCTTCGAGGCGTGCTTACAGGGCCATCTGTCGCACGTACCGAGAAGACCTCACGATAGAGAACGTAGCACACTGATCAGAAGTGGCTCGGTCTTCATATACGAAGAGAATGCATCAGGCATCAAGCGCTGGACAGATGGCGTCACCTGGAGTCCTTCCCGTATCTTGGGGAATTTCCTTGTCTACCGTGAGCTGGACAAACCATTTCCGCCAGGAGAGAAGAAACGCGCAATGAAGAAGCCCAACCGCAGACCTAGCAGACCAGGAGAACCATACCCTTCACCCACACAGAGGACCGATTACACTGCGTCGAGTCCGAACAGCTCATTCGGCACCGAAAGGCAACCAACAGATGCAGAGAGGCAATTAATCGGAAGCCTGATCGACAGCTACGGTTTCAAGATCAATGGACTGGTGAAGAAGACAATGAGTGTGACTGTGCAAGGGGTGACGCATCACCTGGTCTCATACTACAATGTCGAGGACGTCATGGCAGGAAACTTAAGGGCACCATCACAGACTGACACATTGCAATTCATTCGGCCGCGGCCTGAGTTGACCAGCAAACAAAGTTTTCGTTCTCCTCTTGAAGAAACGGAGGATGTAAGTGAGCTCTCGGGTCAAAATGGGTATGCGTACAGGATGGCGCCTGGAGGTTATGATTACGGCAAGCAGTCGCAGATGTACTATCCACAACAAACATATCCTCCCATGGCAGGGCCACAACCCCCTATGCCTCAGTACACAAGCTCGATTCCAAGTATGACACCGAGCTACCTACAGACCGGCATGACTCATGGGTCAATGGGACAAGAACGTCCACAGTACGCACAGTATGACCACAACGCTTATGGCAGAAGCATTCCGCCAACTCCGGCTAGCTCGATCCCAACCTCCGTGCCGGATCGCGCACCACAATCCATGTATCCCCCGACCAGCATGGGCCGACCAATATCAGCCTTGAGCCCGGTGAATATGGATGCTAGGAATTCCATGGCATATCGACCGAATCACTACGGTAGTATTCTGTCCATCACAGCACCAAGCGATGTACACCGTCATGGTCAGCAGTCTCCTGTAAGCCTCAAATATGAAGAACGAAGAGATGCGCAACAAGGTGTGCCACCTTCATTTGCGGCAGGAGCTGCACCATACTACAGCAACACGCAAATGACCGGAACGTGGAATGGCCCAGCACAGCATTGAAATGCATGCTATACCATCAAGTAAAATACGTTGCCGATACAGTTACAGTATTATACTGTTCAATCAATTAGTGCACGATCATGGAATGTACGTGTGGAAGTCAGACGAGCTGGAAGATCGTTGCAGCGATCGAGTCTGTTGCATAGGCTCTATGCGGCTCGTGCTCTAGCTTGTCGATTGAACACATCTAGATGCTAAGCTCCAAACTCGTTTGTTCGAATAGGAGGACGAGATGATTCCCACTGGGTGGCTGACTCTGTTCAGCTATTGTCAATTGCATGTCATGTTTGGATGTGTATATTCATAATTTCGATTATGGGAGGTATCATTGAGCGCGGGTCGTTGAGGCCCGACTGCATTTTCAAGATGTAGTAATCTTGCACTACTGAGCAAAATTACACTTTTGACCTAACAAACTTTGTTGACTGACTCCATCAACGTGCCCGCTTTGTTGTCTACGATGCAGCGACGGGGCGTTAGTATGTGCATGTGACAGACTGATCACAAGGTGCCATCGCGGTGTGAGCGTTCAATCCATCGGAGGCCGAAGTTGTTGATGGAATGATTGGCCGTTGAGAACGTGGCATGGGAGAAATCAGAGTTCGTCTCGAATCTGGGGAAGGAGTAGCACAGAATAGAGTTTGTGGTGATGATTGCCAGCCCCCAACAATCTGTCTCTGGAGACGAAGCGCATTTGCAATCAATATCTTGCTTGCATGTGTTTTTTATGTACTGTCTGCAGCCAGCCTCCCGCAGTAGCAATGAGACGAACTTGAATCCGAGATAATGCAACCGTCCTTGCTAACAGGTGTTCCACCTGAAAGCATGTCACTGCAAGTAAGCTCTTATGTAATTATTTCACTCCCCCAATAGCTAATCAACACCTCTAGACCGACTTTGCTTTTGAGAGACAAAGATCGTTACGCCAATGCTGTTGCAGCGTCCTCGAATTCCAAGTCCTGGCACTTCTTGTGGCATAATCCTGCCTTTCTGATTCCGTGTCATCCCTTCCATGGCTCCGATGCTCGGGTTCACACTCACGTATGCAATATCTTCCCTCCGCACCTGCCCGAGAGGAAATGGTGAACGTGTACAGCATTTCCTCAAGCTTACCAATTCTTTGCTTTGTGGTGGATATGGAAATATTGCAACAGATCTGCGATGCTGATGGTTTTGCAGCCACTTACGTGGACGCGTCATTACTCAATAGCTGTCGTGTACAAGCTGGACCCCCCTGGTGTCGCAGTCTCCCTCAGCCTAGATACCACGCTGCGATACCTTGTTCTAGAAGGTCGAGTTGTGACTATCAGGGACTGTGAAATGTGCGCCCAGATCGTCGGCAATATTGCAGGAACCAGATCGCAAACATAATCTGTTGCAAATATTAGCAAGACTAACCTATACCACTAATGCACAGTCTAGTCATCCGATTCTTACTGGTCCGAAATCCTCGAGACGAGAGTCAACCAACGAAGTACTCTTCCAAATTCCCATGTCGATTGGCGCACGCAATCACTTCCACCACTAATAGCCGAGCTACCCATCCATATTCGAAGGCGCTTCTAGGCGGTGTGACGGCCCATTCGAGGATGGATCGTGTGCTGAGAGGAGAGCTGTCTAGGTAGAGCTAGTATCGTACAATGATGTGCTGCCTGAATTGAGTCAGCCATTCTTGGTTACAGCATCAGGCACGGTAATGTTAGAACATCTGGCGAAGGAAACAATTTTTCGTGTGTGCCTGAGCACTTACAGGACCACACCAGCACCTCTACGAAGCGAACAGGAAACCATTGGTTACGTTAATGCAAGAAGCAATATCTCTGCATTGGTGGGTCTTGGCCACTGCTGGATACTGATGCGGTCATAAAAATCGCTCATCAATAACAAGAACAGGAGAACGAATGCAGCGCGCTGAAAGAAGAACCTCCGCACGGATCCCGGTCATGGTCCCGACAATGATCCCTGGAAGCTGTCAAGCAACCACTGCCGCCTCTGCCCAAGTCTTCATGAGCTACAAGCAGCGACGAGTAAAGTGGGCTCACCGATCACAGATCTACTGCCGCTCCAAAATCGAATGAGCTTCGTAGACAACACGATGCTCAACGTTCCACAATATCGAAGCACGACGTAAAATATCCAGTCTAAATAATCTTTGCTGATGTCTGATTTGGCATTCGCCTAGCGTTTAATGTGCAGGATCTCTGGCACTAACCTGGTGGGATCAAGTCTCTACAAATCGTGCATAAGTGCAGGATCTCGACAGCTCCGACAGCATCTATGATCCTTGTTTGACGCATGACATATGCGGGTCGCTGTTTTTGTGTTTCGAATACCAACCGACTAACTGTCACACCGCGAAAGTGGATGTACTGAGGTCTCGAATTACGTCTAGGATATGCGTTCCAAACAAGGCAGAATGTCCGTTTGCGAACGTTCCTTATGATGCAGAGTCTCGTCAGCTCAGAGGAAGTGGCACTGTCCATCGCAAAAGACAATTTGCTTAAATGGCAACAGACCGTACTTGTTGAATTATGAGCACGGGTGATCAGGCAGTGGCATGGGCTAGGAGAGCATGACGGCTCTATTCGCACAGCAGCATCGTCCTTTGCATCGCATGGGCAGATCTCAATCCGCCTGATTCAATATATTCTTACTAAGCCAACGGTTTGTTGAAGCTTTACACGCAGAGTTCCAAAACTTTAGATTGACTTTACTAGTTGACATCTGCAAGATGAACCACACCTTTTTCGACAGAGTTTACCGAGAAGATGGAACGCTATAGCGGGAAACAGGTTTCTGGAACAGCTTGTTAATAATACACACTGTGATAAAGCGTGATCGCAATTATAGTTCCGGGATTTGGAACTTTTGGAAAGACTTTCTATGCTCGCGAATGATTGTCTCTCATTGGTCAGTCTGGGCAAATATAGGTTAATAGCTTACGATCGGAATACGACTCCAGGCGAATCATGGCCGATAGAATATAGCATTGGTGGCAATGATCCAGTCGGAGCGAAATAGATCCGAGAAGCATCGTGTAATGATCGGAATTAAATACCTTACAACTTGAGGTCGTCTGCTGAGGTGGTTGCTGCTCGCACCTTGCGAGGCTCAACGCTAGCAGATAGACGATGTCGTTGCACTCTTCTGCTCATGATCAATTGAAGTGTCATCACATATTACTTAACACCCAGAAATCCATGTTCGAAATCCGGCTCGCTCGCTCCATGCTTGCTTTGCGTGCTGAAGCTCACCACGTGAAGTCTTGCGTTGAGATATTGCTGGAATACATTTTTATACTGTTCACTTCGTTGACTCGCAAACTTTGAGTAAGAAGTCTCAGTGCACGTGGTGATTCTGTTTAAGCTGCTATATTATTCCAGTGGTGAATGAGGCACGACGTATGCACAGGATGGTCTATTGTTCTAGGTGAAAAGATATAGCTACATGCGATTACATGTGAGGAATATCAGTCGTCGCTCTGTGCTCACGTTGAGGCTGAAGCTCAACAAGTCACCAGCACCAATACCTGAGCAGCACAGCGATAATGCGAGTCAAGCCTTGTTGTAGCCAGACATGCCAGCACGCTTTCCATATCAACACCAACCTCCCTCCACCAACAACACCCTGGCTGACGAAAGATATTTGAGCGCGGCAAAGTGTAGGTATGGATGAGACTGCTGCGGCTGGCGATGCAGTTTCAAAGAGCTCTAATATCGGCTGTGCTAGATCATTAGCGCGTTGATCCCGTTGTGAGACGAGGAAAACAGTTGGAGAGATATCGAAGAATGAGCTGTGGGGAAAGAACTTGTATTTTCGATGATAGACACCTATCGACCTACTGCCCTCCCTAGCCTGGCCTGCGGCGTAGCAGCAGGCTGATCCGGCCACCCAGCAACCGTCGCTTCCACACTCTCCAGGAAACTCTGACTATTGTGCACTGATGTTCCACCTAGTACGACTCGGACCCCGGGAACAGATGCGTTAATCGTGGCTACCGTCTTTGCTTCTTCAAAGGTGATACCCCCAATCATGAAGACGATGATGTCCTGCGGTTTCTCTTTAGTTCCACGTTCTGGCTCGAGGAACGGATACGTGTTCGTGTTCAGGCGGCCCTTGATGAGGGAGGTGAGGGTGTTGCTGAGCACGGGCATGTGCTGAGTATATACGTTCTCGACACCCTTGAGGTCTTTGAGGAGGGTCTTTTGGAAGCGATTGATGAGATTTCCAGGTCCGTCGACGTGGTCGGTGGAAGGAATTAGGGAGCTACCACTCGGAAGTGATTGGAGGGAGGAGGCATAGGCGAGAATGTTTGGTATCAAGCTGAGTTTGGCCGGCGGAATGTCGGCGACCGTAGTGAGGAGGTCAAGGAGGATAGGCAGGGCGTTCTGAGGGTGCTTGTGGTAGCGCAGAGCATATAGTGCGACTAGACGAAGCTTGTTAGATGGTTGAATGTGTGGTTGTGAGAGTAGATTCTGTAATGTTTTGAGATCTTGAGTGTGGTTATCATTGCAGACCAGTGATTGCTCGAGTTCCGAGACATCCAGGAGGTGGTCTCTCGAGACTATGCGAGAAAGTTCACTAACAAGGGTGACGTGCTTCGATACATTCCCTGAGAGTTTTCTGAACTCAGGGTAATCTTCTATGAAGCGCTTCATATCATCTATGCTTGTAATCTCGGCATTTGTTTTGGTTCGACTCTGATACTGTGAGACGTAGTCCTTGATAGTGCTCCCGAGATCACCAAAGTTCTGGTACATGTTCTTCTTGAAGAATGGATCTTGATCAGGAGTTAGAACAACCTCTTTGAGCTCTGGTCGAATCTCAGGGACTTCAGACAGATCAACTCGTCCATTGTGAATACCAAGAAGTTCATGGACCTGAGCTTGATAAGTCCACTGGCTAAGCAGAGGAGTAATGGAGTCCTCTCTTCTGTCAAGTATGAGGAGTATTGGAGGTGTGTCAGGTCTTCGTGTTGTCTTGTTGAAGTCGAAAAGTTGATCCTCCTGAGTGATGTTGTAACGGACTTCAGTCGCAAGTTTCCTAGCCATCAAGCTGGTCTTCTGGTATCGAATGAGAGGATTCTTTTTCAGTGACAGCAAAAGGGCGAGAACACCTTCCGTCGTCCTTTGCAGGTCATCGGTATTCCACATATCTGGACTGTGACTCCACAGCTTGTGCCTTGGGTAATTCAAGTTCAAAGACATCAGGTCGGGATTGACAACGTTGTAGTCGGCAAAGTATTCCTGCACAACTTTGACAACCTCATGGTCATCTGCTTCTGCTAGCCTTTCTAATGAAGATTTCTTTATGATATTGCTGAAGTAGACGTTGTACTCCCCATATTTAGGTTCCCTCAATTCATCAATCAGAAATTGGATCGAGTCTGGGGACGGCCTTACAAAACACAAACACCTCAAGTGTCGCATACGTTCTCTTGCAGGATTGTCGAGACGGTCTATGAGGAAGACTTCGTGTTTGAGTAATGCCGACTGTGTAATCGCCGTAGACACTATCGATACTGTTTCGCTGTCCAGCAGGAGGATCTTCATCTTAGATGCTTGCGAGGCCGCGGCTCCTTCGCCAGTACCAGCGATCTTTGTGACATAGTTCTGAACAGCGGCTGAGATGTCCATGGTAAGAAGTGCGTGTGTCCTTTATTTTAGCATAGTTGAATAGTGTATGCTACTAGGCAGAGTCCGAACAGGCGCCGTGCGCCATAGGAAGAAGCACGCAGGAAACCGTTCGCATGCGATCTTCCAAGCTGCGGATTCAGTCGACGAGGTGTGTTGCTAGGTATGCACCTGCTCGTTTGTGTCTCGTTCGGCGAGAAGAGGGTGCTGAGCGCTTTCGTCTGCTCTCACTATTTTCGTGTGTGTGAGCTCCTGTCAGTTCACACTTCGCCCATTACTGATTTGTTGGTCTGTTGTCCTCTGTACTTGGTCTTCCAATCGACCACTGATCATGCTTACAGATCGCTAATTAGTGGCTCCCATATGCAGGCACGGGGCTAACCGAAGCTTGAGGCATGCCAGTGGTCAGATGGTCCCCTCGTTGTTGACCCATGACGTCGGAGCATCAAACAACATGGACGATCTCAACGCACAAAAAAAGGCAGTCTCACTCACGGCGCAACCGTTCCTCCTCAGTAGGGCACCATGAAATCTGAAAGACAGCTATAGAAATGATACCAGGCATCAACGCACGTATGCTGAGCCAGCAGAAAGTCGGAGTGAGCCTTACTGACCTATTCTAGCATTCGGCTATGTCGCCAAACTCACCGGCGCAGGGGTCGACGACCTCAAGCTTCTATTCTCCTTCATCATCTCCTACCCCTTAGCTGCAGTTTTGAAAAGAATACCAGACTCAAGGCCTAATTTGAAGAACATCTACATTGTATCCATTGGGCTCTTTTTTCTAATTGGCTTGTTCGACCTCTATGCTGGAATTCGTACCATTCTCATCAGCGCAGGCGGGACCTATGTCGTTTCATACTATATCGATGGCACCCTCATGCCATGGATCGTCTTTGTTTTCCTCATGGGCCATATGTCCAGCAATCACATCATTCGCCAGCGATTGGACGATCCCTCTCAAGTCGACATCACTGGCATGCAGATGGTTATGATCATGAAGCTGAGCGCCTTTGCTTGGAATGTTCACGATGGCAGGATCAAACGGGATCTTCTTACCGATGGGCAGAAAGAAAAGGCCATTTACAAAATGCCCGGTTTCTTGGACTACTCGGCATATGTCTTGTTCTTCCCTGCTCTGTTCACTGGGCCGGCCTTCGACTTCAATGACTACAAGCGCTATATTGAGACTACCATGTTTGAGGTCAAGAAAGGAGATCCTGCTCCTCCGACCAGAGGACAAGGACGCATACCACGATCCGGCACGCCTGCCACTTTGAAACTGGTCGAGGGCCTTGTATGGATTCTTCTTTTCCTTCAACTCGGTGCTTACTACTACCCTGGCTTCGTATTGACCGATCAGTACTGGACGTATTCTTTTCCTCGAAGAGTCTGGTATCTGTATGCTCTGGGCTTCACTAGCCGACTCAAATATTATGGTGTGTGGACCTTGACCGAGGGTGGATGCATCATGAGCGGCCTTGGCTACAACGGAATCGATCCTGTGACTAAAAAAGCAAGATGGGATCGTCTGAACAACGTCTATCCGTGGGGTATCGAGTCTGCTCAAAATGCAAGAGGATATATGGAAGGATGGAACAAGAACACAAACAATTGGTTGAGGAACTATGTCTACCTACGTGTCACTCCTAGAGGCAAGAAGCCAGGGTTCCGCGCTACCTTGATTACGTTCACAACTTCTGCTTTCTGGCATGGTTTCTATCCTGGTTATTACCTGACCTTTGTCCTTGGCGCTTTTGTTCAAACAGTGGCCAAGAACTTCCGCAGGCACATTCGTCCTTTCTTCCTGAAACCTGATGGAAAGCAGGCCACGAAGTACAAGATTTATTATGATGCAGCATGCTGGCTCATAACACAAACAGCTTTCTGCTTTGTCACTGCACCATTTGTGATTCTGGGCTTCAGCGATAGCATCAAGGCATGGGCTAGGGTATACTTCTATTGTATTGTTGGTGTCGCAGCCTCAATGGCTTTCTTCGCCAGTCCTGCCAAAGTCTGGCTTGTCAAACGTTTGGACAAACGTAATCACCCCCACGTCCTCAACCGAACCATGAGCGACAGCCGAATGCCACACTTGGGCATGCCAGACACAGAGGAGATTGATAGGGCAGTTGATGAGATAAAGGCTGAGGTTGAGGAACGCCGAAGAAGAGGTAGTAAGGTCGAATTTCCATCAGGCGAAAAATTACGCCATGCAATTTCGCAGCGAGTCTATCTCAATAGGAATGAGAAAGGGGAAATCGTTGCCATTGGGGATAACAAAATGGATCTCGACCACGTTTCGGAGACGATAAACGAAACAGTAATGGGCAGTAGCGGTAAGAAAGAACGAGGTCACTGAAGACCAGTGAAGGTGCCGCAATAATTTATTCACAAGCTGTTTATCTCGCAATGCGAAATCCTGTCAATCGGTGCATCATCTTGCTCGTTCATTCCGTGCCCTGGTTTCGGCACTTTGAAAATTGCTTGGAACTTATCCCTGCCCGAGGTCGCGCCTTTGACAATTAACAACATTTTGAGTCATGGAGTCGAGCACGAACGCAATTGCACCAACGACAACTGTCTACTGTCCCGATGGGTGTCAACACTTTTGCTTTGCTTGAATCACCCGCGAAACCACGGAATTCGGTATTATCCCTAAGAACAACAAACGGCAGTACTTCACTGCCGCCGGCTAACATGGTTGCTTTTGAATTCCAGCCGAGCATAATTGCCCGCGATGTCGATACTAATCTATTACTAGAATTTATTATTCTAATATATATAAGGGTAGACTACGTCTTTATATAGATATCTTAGTTCTTAGTATAAAGCTAATTTAATAATGTTACACCGCTAGGCGCAGGCTCTGCGCACGGTCGTAACAAATAAATATAAAAATTTCTTTCTTCTCTATCTTAGATGTCACGACTTGTTACACGACTAGGTCTACGGCTAGACATACGACTAGGTATACGGCAAGATATATACCTAGATATATACCTAGATATAAGACTAAGCCTATATTATAAGTAGCCTAAACTAGAAATAGCTATAGACGAAATTAGAATAAGACTAGCCTAAAACTAACTATTTATAAAGGAAGGTTATATAAGAACCTTATTTATACCTAGCTTAATCTTCCAACTGAGAATGGCCCAGATTCTCACGTCCGAATTTCTCGTTCCAGATTAGTGGGTGAGCTGTCGCCGCTTGAACTCACCCTCTCAGGTGAGCCAAGGTTGAGCCAAGGGTGTGCCAGGGTGAGCTGAGGTGTCTTACGGTGAGCCAAGTCGCACAGCCACCCCCACGGCGAAGCTCCATCACCACCTGAATGGGCCTTTGTCAGTCGAAGAGCTTTACATTGTTGCCTGCTACATATATTCACCTGGCTAAAATAGTTGCCTTCATTGCAACACCGCATATCACGCCTTCTAGAGGGTCGTAGAACGTGTTTGAAGCGTGTTCCACGCGTCTCCCGCCGTGCATAGCATTGTCGCCGAAGTTTGGCTGTCAAGAAAGCACAGCACGCTTGATAGATCGTGTCGAAGTCGGCGAAGCATAAAGGAGTGCAAACGATGAGTAAAAATCCACCCTGCGTGACGATAGTCCTTTACAACAAATGGATAAAATGCTCCATGCTATTTTCCTGCCTCGTTATGTGGCATGAGGTGGGTGACACGTGGGCGGAAGAGATCGCTAGGTCAATTTGAGTCGACTCTAACTGTTTCGATATCCTAGCGACAGTATCGACATCACAAAACAGTGTTGTCGGAGCGGACCAACATTCGGCCGACTGAATGTGAATAATATGAATATGAATATGAATATGGGCCATATTCATATGAACAAACATTCACTTTATTCGTATTCACAAAAGTGAATATGAACACAGGCCATATTCGTATTCATGTTCATTTTTCGGAGCCCTATTCTCTAGAGAGAAATAAGTCATTTAGTAATATTGATTCCTACCGCTACTATTCAACTCTCAACGTAACCCGATAGCCTTAGCTTTATTTTGCCTAATCAGAAAGGCGACAGTATTGATAATCACAGAGCCGTGAAGAGCGACGTGTAATCCTGACATTATCACAGATCTTTTACTCCTACTAGTCCTCTTCTAATCAAGGCGTTCTGCTAACCTACACCTAGCCTGGAGCCCTAACCTCAGCTGGCTTCGCTTCAAAAGCTCTTGACGCGCAGGTTTCTCGCACAAGGCTCACCTGGACTAGCTATACGGTGGTAGATGACATTGTACTCAGTCGGAGAAATTGCCTGGCACGACTTGCTACGCCCCAATTAGTCGCGAGCAATAATTTCGCACCCGGAATCGAGCAACAAAGCTGCTAAGGGAACAATCCCTTCTCGGCCTCTGCACCTTTCATCTGATCTTCCTGAATCTCCTTGATCAACTCATTTTCCGGGTAATCGTCAATGTCGAAATCGATGTACCCCGTTGCAGCCCATTTTCTAGCTGATATAAAGAAAGAATGACCATTCACCGTGGAATCACTGAGAATGCGCAACAAGCATTTACCTGCATCTTCTGCCAGGGCGAATTCAACGCCTAGGCCTCTGACACGCTCGAAGTCTTGTTCTGAGAGGATCTTGGTTTTGACGTACCTTCCCGAATTCGCAATCAGTTGAGGTCTGTTGGATAAGCTTGACAAGAGAATGCTTACCATGGAGAGATGACGTTTACGCGGCTACCGTAGTGGTAAGCTGTCCTTCGTAGGGCATGCATGATTCCACGCATAGCCCATTTGCTGGCGCTGTATTGCGGGATGCGTAAGCAGTCGAGGAATGCAGCGCCTGATCCGATTAGGATCAGGCATGTGTCTTCTTGGGCCATGGACGAGGTTTGGCCGTTCTGCATGACGAAATAGTGAGTCGCGAGTTTGGTGGTGTAGAGCGAGCCGATAACGTTGATGTCCATGATTGTAAGATCTGGTTTCTTGAGGGCAGCGTTATCGCCTACGGTGAAGGGTTGTCAGTGCGTGATCAATGTGATGGACCTGGCAGCAAGACCCTAGACTTACCTGCGTGTGCGAACACCTCGTCCTCCTTGATGATACCGGCATTTGCGACGACGTAATGAATCTTGCCCGTAGGAGAAAATGAGGCTGCTGACTCGAACAGGTGGACTTGCTCCTCCCAACTTGTGGTATCGCATTTCACAAATTTCGCTTGCTGAGGGAATTCTGCTGCGAGTTTCTGGCCTCCAGCAACGTCAAGATCTCCAATGCAGACCGACACTCCAGCTCCAATGAGTGCGCGTACATAAGCTTCACCTATCCCATTTGCGCCGCCAGTGACAATGGCAGTCTTGTCCCGGAGTATGCTAGCATCGAAGTCCGTGTTGCAGTTAATGGCGCCTATGTGCTCGTATCCTGCCATGTTAAGAGCGTGTTAGAGATCGGTCACTTTCAAACGTAAGAACTACTGGTTTCCAGCATATGTTTGTCAAGAAAAGAATGCGAAGAAACTGAGGGCAGCTGTGAATCTATGAAACTATCTCGAGTTGATGAAGTATTAGATCTGTTAGCACACTCAGTAAGAAGTCTAGTGGTTGCTGCGACTTTATGTCAGCCCGTGCTTATTTACTTTAGTCAACAGGCATCCTAAAGGCCACACGAAACACGTCAGCCCTTGCTCTCTTGTCGTCCAATAGCCAACGAGGAAAACGTAAGGACTAGCTTCATGGTGAGTCCTTAGAAGCGGACTGACGGACTTGTTTCCCCCGAGGGTGGAAAGATGTGGCCGCGTGCCGCGTCTGGCTCTGGATATCATACTCTAAAAATTTAGGTGTGTTTTCATCCCCAAATAGTTCAACACTAGCGTCAGCACTAATTGACACCGTAGAAGCACTTGGCTTAAATTTTTCAGGGTGTGACTGGGAGGTTAGCTCAATCCGATGCGTTTGCATGCCGCATGTGGCTCCTAATACGATCAGGCCATACTCTTCCCGAACAGCTTGTACAAAGTGTCTGAAATGAGTGCACCATGTACAAACCTTGACTTCGAATATAGAACAGCCGCAGGTCATGCCAAGGATAGACTCAGTTTTGCTGCACTAACGCTTGCCACTAATGCATGGCAGTCATTCCGTGTGGAAGCCCAAAACCAATAGAAAAGCCTGTGGAAAGAGGAACATACCCTAAGAAAAGGATAGCATGGAAATTAGCCAATAGGTAACTGATTAGCACCTAGACTCGGTTGTGGAAGCAGTTGGCGGAGCTTGGCAGGCAGAGTGTTAGATCTGGAGCTTCAATGAACCATCGGGACCACGTTGGAAAGGAAAGCTGAGGGGGGCAAAGCCAGCTAGAGGCCGGTTAAGGCAGGGTGCTGCATGAGGACTTGCTGTTTTGCCAGTATGGGCAGGTGACAGCTAGCAAAGGTAATGAAAGGTCGAGCAGAGAATCGCTCATCGGCTCAAAAGACCGCGATATGAGTGGCTACCGGGCTGCAGAGGCCCACTCTGTGTCGAGAACAGCAGGCCTCAATGACCGGGTGCATATCATTTCATTGGACACATCGGCAAACTTTACCACTTGGTACTTTCGACCATCGTTTTTTGGGTGTAAGCAGACTGGCCATTTTGTAGCTTTGCTCTAACGGGGGTTGACCTTTGATCTGGTAGGGGTGAGATCTTTGATGCCATATCCTACTTTCAAAGCGTTGTCATCATCCATAAATACCACCATGAACTCTGGCCCCTCCTCTTTCTCTGCAAGCTTTCCCAGAGCAAACTAGGATTGCAACGAATGCCGCACGACAACACAGTGGGCTCGAAAGTTCATCATGGAGAATCTATTAGGCAAGTTACTGCTCAAAGTCAACCGCCAGCAAAGCTAATGGGTTTCTGTCACCAGCACGGCCCGACGTGGCTCGCTTTTGTTCACTAACGAAGGTATGCTTGTCTTCCTCTGTCCGAAAACACACGTTAACCAGCATGCTAGAAAAGCGTAAGCAGAGCATAGCCGATCTGACGGCTCATACTACCGGAGAGTGCGTCCTTGTCCTAGATGCTACAAACGCTTAATTGATCCGAAAAGAATTCGCAACCCGCTTGTTGGTGTACCTCGGGAAGATTTGATGGAAGACGTGGAACGATTTTCTACTACTTATGGACGCCAAGATATCCTTCCACTGCTTCGCGAGGGCGCCAAGGCCCGCACCTTGTTGATGTGATGCCTGAACCTGACGAGCAAGAGAAGGCCGCATTACGTAATGAGATCGTTAATCGATGGGGCCAACCAAGGATCCTCTACTTTACCATCTTCCTCAACTCTATCGCTGCAGCAATCCAAGGCTGGGACCAGACTCGTTCCAATGGCGCCAACTTATCTTTTCCAAACGCTGTTGGTATCGATGAAGGCCCCGACGGGCCGTGTGTTGCTGCCGGTAAATGCGAAAGAAATCAATGGCTCGTGGGTGTCATCAACTCTGCACCATATTTTGCGATTTTTCTTTTGTAAGCTAAGTCTCACAATCTCAAAAGCTTTTGCACTGACATCCTTAGCGCTGGCTGAATGTCTGACCCGCTCAATCATTGGTTCGGCCGACACACCACAATCTTTCATTGCCGCCATCTTTTCCCTACTTGCGCCGATTGGTATGGTCGTCACTCAGAACTGGCAACAGCTTCTTGTTGTGCGTATCCTGCTTGGTCTCGGCATGGGTCTGAAGGAAGTGACAGTCCCGGTCTTCTCAGCCGAGGTAGCTCCAACAATGATTCGTGGCGGTCTAGTCATGTCCTGGCAGGTTTGGACAGCTTTTGGCATCCTCCTCGGAACCTCCGCCAACTTAGCAGTGAAAGATACTGGGGCTATATCGTGGAGGTTGCAGTTGGGCTCTGCTTTTATTCCAGCAGTCCCGCTTGTCTTGGGCATCTGGCATCGTCATGAGCGGACAACAGATGTGTGGAAGTAAGTCTATTGTTTCTTGCCGCCGCAGGCATGCTGACGACCAACAGTCAACATCATCGCGTTCTATTCTTCTATCAATTTTGCCAATGCTGGTGCTTCTGTCACGGGAGCGCTTCTTGCGTCTTGGGGATTTGGTATCATTAACTTCATTTTCGCTTGGCCGGCAGTTTGGACGATCGACACCTACGGACGACGAACTTTACTGCTTTTTACCTTTCCCAACATGTGCTGGACTTTGCTTGCAGCAGGCCTCTGCTTTTATATTCCCGAGTCAAGCACTGCGCATCTGGCTTTGATCGCACTTTTTATCTATCTTTTTTATGCCTTTTACTCGCCTGGTGAAGGACCTGTACCATTCACGTATTCCGCCGAGGTTTTTCCGCTATCACCTCGGCATGTCATGGGCTGTTTGCACCAACAACTTGTGGGCCACAGTGGTCTCGCTTACCTTTCCACGCCAACTTCGCGCTTTCGGGTCTACTGGCGCGTTCGGATTCTACGCCGCAATGAACGCTCTTGCGTTTGTCATGATCTTCTTCTGGCTTCCGGAAACGAAACAGGAGTCTCTTGAAGGTAAGTGATACCACTTCCATATTCAGGAGTTTGTTGTCTTTGGGCGAGCACGTGCTTACTTATCAACCTCATCAGAACTTGATTATGTCTTTGGCGTCCCAACACGATCTTATATGAAGTACCAATCGCTCACAGTACTTCCATACTGGTTTAAGATCCAAATATTGCGTCGCAAAGGCCTAATTCTCACAACTCTACAAATTCGACAATGATAGCGACTATAGACATGACAATACCGAGAGTTATGAAAAAAAAGGAAACAGCTTGAGAGCTTGAATTTCAGGATGGAGAGTGAGCTCATGAGTCCTGCTGATGGCTTGTTCGCATGAAAAATAACGGTGCTGTGCAGCCCTATAGGATCATCGAAGAGGTCCAAATCGTGCCATACGTTGCCTCGGCTTTACAAATATGCAGCTCACACTGTCAAAGCTAACACTACAGCACGTAGCTAGTCTGATATTCTAGTATCCAGTCACTCACTATCACCCCACTCGGGGCTTAAATCAATCATTTTTACGTACAATTAGTTGCGCCTCCGCGTCACCCTGTTCATTGAATCCTCCGAGGATTCAGGAGCGGATGCAAATGCTAGAAGGGAAGAGTATGGTAATGCACTGCAGACCGTATCGTTTGGTGGGTCACTCGCTTGCTGTCCGCGGATGAATGAAGCATGTGCAATATTGACATCAGCTCCAGCATCGAGCAGTATCTGCACCATCTTCTCGTTACCACCAACCATTCAGTTCAGATTCTTTCTAGTCAGAGACACCGTGAAGCTCTCCAATCAAGAATTAAGCCCTCTATTGCATGCTTTGGCAAGACGAACGAAAGTGATTGTCGGGGCGGTCGAAAAGTGTGACTTGAAGGGCTTGTTGAACAGCCGGCCAGGTTCATCCATCGGATGAAGCTGCTGGCGCAGTTTAGGGCGGTCAAGGAACTGTAAATAGTATTTCAATACTCATGCCGTTAGTAGTAGCTCTATTACATTGATAATGTCACTTTGCTCAATAAAATACAACTTATAATATCGAACTTTTCGTAATACTCGTAGAACGATAGATGAAATAAGGCTAAAGGAACGAAAGGACTGTGACCTAAATCAATCACGGTTGAAACAAGAAGAGAGTGCTTACCGGCCAAGTTAGCCAGGTAAGGCTTGAAAACTTCTACACGCTAATTTGCGTTCGCATTACGATGCCATGCTCTTCGATATTCCGGCTCCGGTCTCTGTTCACAGGCATTTTTTGACTCTTATGCGCGGTCTAGGAAAAGATTCTGAGAATGTATATCAATATTGCTTGTAAGATGTGCACTGCAGTAGGAGCCGATAGACTGCTTAACGCGTCGACAAAAACGACCTGTTACCAGCTACGTATACTTTCATCATCCAGCTGTATAAGCAGTGTCATGGTTTGATAGCAATGAGATCGATGCCGCCATTTCTGGTGGTGGCTCGCATCACTACTGCGCAGTCATAATAGTGCGTGGTAAACTGATTGAGTGCCTTGCGCAGCATCGATAAGTGTCCGAAATCATCGCGAAACTGATCAAGAACGATCAGCGCTATGCATGCTTCATGGCATTCTAGGTTTCGGCCCGCGAAATGTGGCAATTCCGAGCACGGCTGTTTTTGCCAACCGTGTCCAACTCAATTATGACTAAGCCATACCGAGCACTTTTTGATAAAATAGACTAAACCTAGCCTTCTTGCTGTCTCTTCTTCGCCAGATACATATTTGTCGTTTCCCAGCTATGTCGCGTCTCGCCGAATTAGGCGCTCAACTCTCTCAATCCCAACCCGCATACCGCCCAAAGATAGTCAACACCGAGAGACGCGTCCGCGCACTGCTTGACGGTAGATGGATGTTCGACACGACCAACGCAAAACTTGTCTGGGAAAGTAAATACTTTCCTCAGTATTGGATTCCACGCTCTTCGTTCACATCTGCTACATCGTTCCCCGATAGTTCTGCAGGTTCGGAGACTCAGTCCTGCACCCATGAACTTACTGTTGGGGACAAGACAATTTGTGCCCTGCTCGTGCCAGAGTCGTTTGATACTGAGTTGGCCGGATATGTGAAGATCGAATTTACGGATTTGGATGCGTGGTTTGAGGAACAGCAGCAGATCTATTACCACCCTATGGACCCTTATCATCGTGTGGATATCCTACCCAGTGGACGGCACGTGAAGGTGACATTGGCAGGACAGACGCTGGCCGACACTGGGTCTGAGGCGGGCGTGATGAGTCTGTGGGAAACAGATCTGCCGGGTCGGTGGTACTTACCAGCCACAGCTGTAAATTTCAGCTTATTGAGAGTAAGCAATACGAAGACGGGTTGTCCTTACAAGGGCCAGGCAAGCTATTATGATGCTGTAGTCCAGGGCAAGAAATATAAAGACGTGGTATGGTGGTATAAAGATCCTACAGGGGAGAGCATGGCGATCAAGGGACTGGTAGGTCGATTGCTTTGGCATGGTTTGGTTAGGAGAGTGCTGATTCACCGCAGTTATGTTTCTACCCCGATAAGGTTGAAACCTTCGTAGATGGCGAGCCTATTGCAAGAACAGGACTGCCCCCTATGAGCAAGGTCGACAAGGAGAGTATGGTGCAGTCAAAGTAGACTTGTAATTGCTTGATGAGTTATCAGCAGGATGGGGGAGATGGATTACTTCGTTGGAAAAAAACCAGACTTGACTGGCGTCGCAGCATGCGAGGAAAGCTTCTTTTCCGACATCAAGGGTACGCAGGATGACCTCCTTTATGAATATGTCTCGAAGTGTTACGCTAAGTTGTGCCAGGCCATTGAGATCCTAGAAGGCGAGGAGTGGATTTGACGCAGCGTGCCTCAAAATCACATTCGCCCGAGTTATTTTACTGCTACTACCTCCGCGAGCGGGTCACCTAACAGTCCGCTCAAGACACAATCGTCACTGAAACTGCCAACATGGGCCGAACTAGAGTGAAGAACATACTTAGCATCAGGATGCGGCTGCAGAAAAGTGGAAAACAATAACTGAAAAAGCTCACAAGTCGAAGATAAGTCGACGAAAGCACCGGAGATATACCATTGCGATTAACCCAGAATCTATTGTGTTTGCGGTCGAAAGAGAGCTTTCTTGGTGCGCAAGAGTGTTGGTGCATATCATTCCTCACCAATGATCTGCTCTCACAATACCAGTGTTCCATTTAGCGGGAGGTTTCTTGAACTGGCGCCAACCTCAACCACGTAATTTGGACTAAACCGAATGTAATCGTAGCCACGGCTAAGCCATTTCCTTATCCACTGGTAGTATTTGTTGTTCTCGAGGTGTAAACCATGCAGAATATGCACTCTGATACTCCACGTTCTGATCGGGTCGAATATCGACACAGAGATCGCAGCGATGAGTGCAGCGAGGATGGGAATTACTAATCTCGGGTGACTAGTGATCCAGTCTCTGAACCATTTGCCTCTGACTTTGGGCTCGTAGCTGATCTTGAGCAGAGTGCCTGATTTGCCACCACCTGCCTCCTCGACAAGCACAAATCCATGCATACAATTCCTTGCCATGGTAGCGTAACGGACACGACCAAAGTCAACATAGCCATAGCGAGGTGTGATCTTCGAATCTGAGGGCTGTTGCACAATCTCAAGAATTGGACCGTATCTTCGAAAAAGTGAATAGAGTGTCTCTTGCGTCAATTCCGCGGCTGATGTCTCCGGGGTGGTTGGCAAGAACTCGACCTTGACCCTCGTGCTAGGTAGTCGATACAGGTCTTCAATCCACGGTTTTCCTTTAACCACGAATGCACGAACCTGGCGTAATGGACTGAACTACGGTCGAATTGGCTTCTCCTTCAGATAGCCCTTGATTGTTCCTTCTAGCTCATCCAGGGTTATGGCAGGATCATGCGAGAACTTTACGTATGCTCCTCCCTCACGAAGTCTAGGTATGACAGACACGATCTTGACAGGCAAATTGCTGGGTAGAGCTCGAGACACAATGCCAGAAGGGTCTGCAAGAGCTACTCCAGGGCTGTGGTTTCGGCCATAAGCCTTGACTATACTTGAACCATCGAGGAAAGGCAGGCGGGTCCGGCATTGCAGCCTGAGAGGAAAGATGTGGTCCAAGAAGATAATGCCTTCATTAGGCGCTGTGTTTACGTGACCACTTTCATCTTCACCAGTGTCGGAAGAGAGGCGCCGTCGGGTTGTGTCTTTCAGCGATACTGACAATGGTGTTGGGCGACGGACACAACTGCTCTGGATATGTCGAAGTGGCAGTGAAGGAAGGTGCGATCGAGAAAGGCTTGAGCGCTGCCGTGACAGCAGGTTTCTTATGGGTATCATGCCGGCCTACCTGGGTGTTCCTACCGCATAGTTGATTAGGAACAGGCTGCTTCTAGAGCGGTTGTCGTGATATACACAGACCGAGCCTTTTTGATGGTCGACAATGCTCGTGGTGTATGCTATCGCAGACTCACATGCGCGGGTGTGCATAAGCAGGTTCGGGGACGCGTTGGTGACGTAGCTTTGGCGCAAAGACGCGATGCTGCATTCGAGTCGATCCATGACCAAAATTAATACCCCCATTTCGTTCCAGCAATTCCAGCAGCCCAAGTTGATGGCAACGAAGCCACCATCCATCGTATAACGTGAAATCTGGTACACCATTCTGCGCTACCCATCATCATGTGGCCTTTCGGCTCTTCGGACAGCTCCAGCACACCGACACGGACGAAGTTAGAGGAAAACACGGAAGCACGTCCTTTAGACAAGTTGCCAGCTCCAGTCAAGCAAGAGCTGTCACGAGACGAACAAGCGAATCTCGATTTTGCCGAATTGCTGAAGGAAATCGAGATTGAACAGTCGAAAGCACAAGAACAGAGGGTGCAAGCAAAGAAGAATGGCAGCTCTGATGCAACTCCTATCCCAGCAGATATCTCTCCAGATGCCCTCTACCCTTCCGAGATGTCATGTCGCTCAGCACTCGACTATGCCATGTTCTGCCAGGGGTTCGGTGGTCAATTCGTGAACGTCTACAGGTTTGGTGAATTCAGGTCCTGTCAAAACCACTGGTCGGACTTCTGGCTATGTATGCGGACAAGACAATGGAACGAGCAGGACAGAGCGAAAGCTATCCAAGACCACAACAGACTCAAGGCTGTCAAATACAAGAGGGGCCCAAGTAGCGAGGACATATGGGAGGTCAGGACAGAACCGGTAAAGGATGCATTTCAAGATAGCCTGGAAGATCTCGAGGCAAAAATCGCAGAGTGGAAGCAGGCAAATCCCAATGCGACTGATCCTTGGGGTAAGCAGCAAGGAGCGACTTTCAACAACCCACCTCCATCAGCGTGAGACCAAATAACGACGAGACCTAATATCTCCCTCCAACGGACGGTCGCAACTTGAAGCACTGGTGATAGTACTCTCACAATAAGTCTAGAGCCTCCAGTGGGACTGTATGAATACCCCAGGCATCATACTGCCATGTGCATGGTGGCTGAATAATTCGCTGATGCTCACCCTGTTGGGACGAAGCATGTTACCTATAAGCCGGTCATCAGGCCATGCTAGAGGGAATCCTTACGGGCAGTACAGTTGCGACGGGCGCCTCCAGAAGCACTAGCGAACGGCCAAGAGAGAGCCCCACTCGATGCTGGAAATCATTTGCTGTGGTCTACAGAGCAGGCAACAAGAGTGTCTGATAAGCTCCGGAACGCAAAAGAATGTAGCTGACAAAAAGAGACCGCATATAACTGGAGGCAGATACTGGCAGCATCAGACATTCATCCCAGGCCGGGTGTAGCTTTCAATGCACGAGATAGTCCAGCCTAGTCATCATGTGCTCTCGAGTCCAGCGTCTACGGAATATATGGGCATAGGGTTGGAGAAGCAGAAACAAAAAAGTAATAGGGGTGTCCCAACACGAAACAAAGTTATGCGATCGGCATGTCCATAGGGAAACACAACGGTCAGATGTGCAGTAAAGCATATGGTATTTGGGTGAATGCAATCTATCAGAGGTATCTCATCGAAGCGATAAGTTGAACGATATTTGAGGGCGACACAAAAGCTGCCTTTCATCGTGCCCTCACTTCGATGCTCTTGGCAAGTGGTGTTCGTACTCATTCCTTGCATCACAACATGTATCTATTCGTACCAATCGCGGGTGAATGGATCTGACCCACACATCGACCACAAGATCGATGTAGTGCAAGATCCTGATATTGCATGATGTCAAACTTCACTCCAGTCAACCCAGTTTGGAAAAGGCAAGATAACCAGTTCGGCCGACCACATGCACAAGGCACCAAGCATTTATCGTCATTTTACCAAGCACCCAGTAGGGACCTCATGGCCTTCGAGTTTGTGGAAGCATATGGGGGTGGAGACCAGTATAGCGAAGGCTACGTCAATCGCCATGAGACTGTTACTGATGTAGAACCACACTCTAGCCTTCTGAGAGCAATCCGACGGCCTAAGTATCGATGCAGCCAAGCTCGGAAGAAGTCAAGGAGGCTTGGGAAGACTCGTGTCATCGAGCATGCGGAAGTTCCTCCTATCGAAACTTTCTATCGACAGCAACACACATCGAGTCGAAGCCGTCCTGCGGAAACAGATGCATTTAGTACTTGGCAGGGAGGTGGTCCGACAAGATCTGTGCTGGAAGCACCTGTCCTAAGACATAACATCGTGGCGCAAAGAACGACTACAGAAAGTGCCGATCCCATTACCACTGCGAATGTCGACACGAAATCAACGAGTAGAGCCTCAGACGACGACGACGACGACGACGACACCAACCCAAACCGCAACGCCATCCACAAGACCGAGACAGCTAAGCTTGCACAGCATAAAACTCTTCCCTCTCCACCCTCAAGTTCAGATGAATCCACCATCATCATCCACAACCCTGCTCCATCCAATCGACCTCACACACGCAAGCTCACCTCAACCACAATCCCCCTAGCGATCCCCTCCCACATCGAACTCTCCTTCCACTCCTCTCTCCTCACCATCCGCCTCCGCCCAACAACCCTAACCACCAGCCGCGCCTTCCCCGTAAAAACCCTCCCACCCCTCCTGTCCCCTTCCCTTCCGCCCACAATCCCATCCGAAACATTTGACCCTCGCACCGAGCTATACACGTCGAGCCCCATCTCCACCAGCACCCTCCTCCTGAATCAAAACAACCCCGCCTCAGACAAGGTATTCGAGGAGGCAGCCAGCAGAGCGTGGAAGGTCGCCATGACGCCCGCCCCAGATCTGGAGTCAAGTGGGGATGCGCCGTCGGCATTCGTACGGGTGGCGGTGCTAAGGGCCGCAACGGCATTGGTGAGGCGAAGGCGACAAGAGCGAGTGAGAAAGGTCGCGTTTGACGAGAGGCAGGCGAGAAGGGTGTTAGCGGAGTGGAAGGGGTTGGGATGATGTGGTGAGGGATCAGGGTTCGTCTACCGGATTTATGGTGGAGAATGAAAAGGGGCGCGGGCTCGAGATTGGTTTACTGGGTGTGTTTCTGCTTTGGTGTTGTCAGATCTGTTTTTTGAATTAGTACGTTTCGAACATGTGGCATAAGAATATTGGCTTGCAAATAAATGTGTGAAACTTGGATATTGTCCTTACAAAATCTACACTCAAGAAAGTGATTCGTTAGGTCAATCAATCAACCATTTACTCAGACACTTGTCAACTGTCCTACTTCTTCCCCTTCTTCTTCGACTTATCCACAACTTCGATCCACTCACTCCGTACCCCTCTCTTCGCGAGTATCTCTTTCTCAATCACTGCCCTCTGATCACCCTGCACCTGCACCTCCAACATCCCCGGCTTCCCACCCATGAGCTGTCCTACGCTTGCGCTCCCAGCGCATTTTTTCTGCAACTCCGGCCGGATCAGCTGCGGGTTGATGAAGAAGCTCTCGAGTCCGCCGACTGCGGTCACGACTTTGTTGCCGCCGCGTCGCTCGATTGTTAGGGTGACTTTTGGTGGTGGACCGGCCTTTGATTTCAGGCTTGAGTCAGCCTCTAGCGTTTGGTCGTTGCGGAGCAGGATATGGTATGGGATGCAGAGGTGGTCGTCTTCTAGGATGTGTCTGTTGAGGGTGCCGCGGTCAACTTCGCCGGCTGCTAGGATTCTGGTGTCGTCAGCGCCGGGGTTTGAGCCGAGGATGTTGTTTGCTATGAAGGGATTGAGTTTGATGTAGCGTTTCTTGGATTCGTTAACGAGCTCGGGATTATCTTCAATGTATTGTTTTAGAGCGGCAGTGATTTGTTGGGAGCTGTAGAACGTCGTTTTGCTTGGGAGAAGTTCTGGAACGAGTCTTGTCGAGGCGCGATAGACGACTTGTAAGTTGAGTTTCTGGCCAAGTGACTGATCTGTCCCCGCATCTGGGCCGAGCTTGTCACTGCTTCCGTTGTCGTTGGAAGCCTCGCTGGATTTTGGCTTTGGGAGACGATATGGCTGGAAGCTCTTTATCCGCTCGTCTTTGAAGTCGATATCCAAAATGACGGTTTCGCCGCCATTGCGATCCTTTGACTTTACCAAAACCTCTTTGTCGAGATGCTTGATGAACTTCTTGGAATTCTTCCAAGAACTCTTTTTGATATTGTAGTGCGGTGATTGATGCCTTAGATGGGGTTGTATCATGTTGGAGATAAGAAATGAAGCCTGGACAGGGAAGTCGAGGCCATGTGGTTCACCTGGATTGTTCTTCTTGGCGGTATAGAGCGAATACAAGAAGGCTTCCATGAAGGCATCATCGACCTCTTTGGGGCTGGGTATATGTTCTTCCTGACCATCTAGCGACATCTGTTCATCGTTGTTCTCTGCGCTCTTCGCGCCGCTCGTACCTTTGAGGTCAGAAGTGCTGTTTTCTAACGGTACACCACCTCCAACCTGTTCGTCCTCCGGCTCATCGTCTTCGAGATCGAGGTCATCCACATGTGTCTCCATCCCAGGTGTTAGGCCTGGCCACCCTTCTATTACGGGTGGTGCCGATGCGCCGCCCTGGTTCAATGTACTCCATGACCATAATTCATCCCCTTCCCAATGTAAGCCCTCCACAGCAGTGCCAGTGGCATTGTCTCACAGATCTCCAAAGTCAATCTTGCTTATACCTACCCATCTTGGTACTGTATCAGATTTGTGGCCAGCAACAGCTAGAACAGAGCCTTTGATCGCCTTTTGGTCAAACCCCCGGTATGGTTTGATGAGTCCAGGTGTGAAGAGATCTGCGCCACCTTTTAACTTGGATACGACCATGTCGCCCACATAGAGTAATGGTACCAGACCAGGGTTCTGCCACAAGGTGTACACCGTTGGTATGAGTCTTTCGTCTTTCCCAATTTGAAACCATAATATACGTTCCTCCTGTCCAGGATGTGTTCCGACATAAACTGTACCGGACACTAAACTTGAGCTCGCTCCATGTGTGGTAGTGAACTTGGCCGAGGAGGTAGGGTCTGGAAGAAGTGCATTACGAATGCTAGCCAGTGTCTGTGGCTGTGTGGCCTGCGTAGTCTGTGCTTCCTGCTCTTGAGTTGTTTCTGTCTGTGGCTCAGGTAGCGAGTAGTCCCTTCTGATTTGGTCGGCTAACTTTCGACGTTCTGTCAGACAAGCTGCTGATCAGTTTCTGGCCAAATCTGAACAGCTTGACGTTTTATATGCGAATGCTGGCGTAATGGCCTTAGATGCAGCTGTGACCAAGGACGGCTACGAAGTTCAATTTGCCACTAACCATATCGGTCACGCATTACTTATCAAACTTCTTCTACCTATGATGCTCCGGACAGCAGAGCTCCCAGATTCGGATGTTCGCATAATCAACATGGCCTCGACTGCCTACAAGACAGCGCCCAGCGAGGGTATCGCTTTTGGAAGCTTGAAGACGAACCAGGATGGTCTTCGTGGCATGATAGGTGGGAAATGGACACGGTATGGGCAGAGCAAGCTAGCCAATATCCTCTATGCGAGAGAACTTGCAAAGCGCTATCCCAGTATCAAAACGGTGTCTGTACATCCTGGTTACATCAAGACGGATATCTTCTCGGGTGTATCATTCTTGACGGCGCTGCCTGTGAGATTAGGAGTGATGCTAGGTTCAGCATGGACACCCGTGGAAGAAGGTCCATACAATCAGACATGGGCTGGCACAACAGCTCGGGAAAATCTTGAGGATGGTGCTTATTATGTACCCATTGCGAAGAAGGGTAGTCTTGACACGAAACAAGCGCGAGACGATGCGTTGGCAGAGAAGCTATGGGATTGGACCCAGAAAGAATTGGAGGCGTTCTCGTAGGGCCTCTATGGACAACCCGCAGAGTTCACTCTCTTCACTGTCAGGCATTTGTGTGTCCGCCGCGCACCTGGGAAGGTTGAGCGGGCGTATCGGTCGGGTGCGGAGTTCTTTGTTCCTAGCATCGGGTGTGGTTTCCGAGCTATGACGTTGGAGATGAGGTAGTCAGCCGTACTTTCTTAAAGTGTCTAACTATCAATCAATGCAGTCCACGATAGCTTCATTCCTACCATATTGTACTGTCGACTAATGCTCCCATTTCCTGTCAAAACCGACATTGTTGCTCAGACAGAGGATTCTCAGCCTCGAATACCCAAGTGAGAGTCATTCTTCGCGTCCAGGTGCTTGGCAACCACAATTGATTGGAAGTAGAAAAAGGACCACCAAAACCAGTGGGCGGCTCGGCTATAATTAGATGCTTACTGAACAGCGAATCACAAGTTTGTCCACCCATTCTCCAGTCTCCAAACCTCAGCTGAACGCACTTTCCGACACCAGGAAAATGTGGCACCAGTCCTGTAGGCCTCCGCGCCGAATCTCTTCCTCGCCTTTCTGTCACTCGGTCAGTCGCTCCTCATGCTGCATCCCTGCCTTTTCTGACGATGACCTTTTGTCGATGGGCTGCTTCTGCCTGCTGCCTTGCCCGTGGCCCTTCACATCCCGCCGCTGCTCTGCTGCGATAGTGTCGTCGTAGGTCATCACCCTCGCCGTGCCGGTAATGGTCGAGCGCGTCGAAGTGCGCGTCACCTTTTTGTTGTTCTGTTCAAACAAGAGCTGGTTCTCGTCCAACAAAAGGCTGCGATCGGCAAACGCTTTTTCCGCCGCATGGACCAACTTGGGTGTGTTCCAGATGCTTGTCAACAGCTGTCAGCTGCCCTTCTGAGTGGCACCTTACTGGTCACTACGGCGCAGCCTCTCGGCCTTGTGTGCGACGGCCGTTTCTGGTGGCAGTGGTAGCGCCGCAAGATCCAGCAAAGGCGTCTAGCTCCGGCGGCGATCAGTAGCAATGGGGGTAGAAGTGCAGCTACAAGTGCTGGTAGCAGCATTCTGCACAATGATGCATTGGTTTTGGCAGGCATTATCGTGGCACCAGCAATGTAAAGAGTATCATTCGAGTCAATAGTATGCTCAAGCTCACTTGAGCTCGACTAGAGAGTCGAAAGCCATGTCACGATCGCCTGCATACGCATGCCAATGATTTCTGCTGGGGCACATAATTAGTCGACGCACGTCCTTTGTGCACCGTGCTGGAAGTTTTTGAACCAATCGATTCGTGCCTCACTACATTCGTTGTAGCGTGTCGTAGCGGGCAGAAGTCGGTTCTTGGAGACTATGTACGCCTTTTTCGCCGCAGATGCAGGCTCGGCTACGATGCGAAATGTGGGATCGACTGTGCTCAGACGTTGACGCTGCATGACAGGATTGGACGGTGAACCGTCATAGGTGCCAGCGCCGCGCAGCCCATGCATGGCGCTTAGGGCCGCAGTCTTGCCGAGCCTAATGGTAGCACGAATCAGGGATACTTCTGCATTCGCATGCGCATTGTGCGGGCGCGGACGGTTGACAAATGAGATGCTGTACAACGTGTGTATGCTGGGTACATGCATTTTGGGAGCTGTGGAGGACCATCTCAGCATGCAAGAAATCGCCTCGCCGAGTCAGGCAGGAACGAAGCAAGATGACGTTACATCGTGAACACGACGGTAGGGCAATTGCATGTGTACATATCCTGTGCGGACTCGAGTTTCGAAGTATAGGCAGCACGCTTTTGAAACGTTTTAACCAAAAATCTCACAACCACGGAGTTTACCTATTGAAGAGAAACGTTACGTAGTCACGCGTGGGGCTGATACTGAAGAGCTTGTGGTGGATGCATCCTCAATGCTCAGCGTCATTGCCTTATCAAACAGTTTTTCAATTGACGGCTCCTGTCAGCTGAATAACTCATACTACAAAATAGTCCTATGATATGGAAGATCAACAGAACGGTGTGGCGAAGACAACAGGTATACTGAGTACTAAGAGCCTTACCAGAACCTGCGCAGGTTCTGTGCAGAAAAACGATGCGAGTACGAAGTGTACTGCAGATCTCTAGGCTCTACTATACCTGAGAAGTTGTTACACCAGCCCAGGGCGTAGGTTGCTCTTTCCCAGAGCTCGAATGGCACTTGCGGCCGATTCTAGCGTTCATCTCCTAGCTTTGTCGCTAGGACAGCCATCTTGCGTCTACTTGCTCTTGTCCACGACCGTGATATGATCGTCTATAGTAATCATGTGATAACGACAATATCGGCCGCACGCCCCGCCGGTCCGCTGACTTTCTGCCTCGTTGTGATCGCTTGAGGAGAAATCGACAGCTGTTGCGAACCTCCGTTCTTCGAAGGCTACCTTGAGGACATCTCAGCTTGTTCTTTCCTTTAGTTGTCCGTCTCTTCTCTGTCTTGAGTACGCAAAGCATCTAACATGGTCGAGGAAGATAGCCTGAGTAGCAGGGAATGGATCAGGTCTGGCGTGTGTTCGAGACGACCATAGGTTACGCAGCAGAGGCGCGACTCTGGCGTTCAGGCTCACATGAGTGATTGTGCGGTCCCTTGCATGGCTCATGTTGCACGGCAGGAGAAACGTCGCACAGCGTACTACCCCTTCTGAGACATCCTGGCAAATGTGAAGAACGTGAAGCAAGGAAAGAATGCTGTACTACCCAGAAGGTCGAGCCCCTTGCGTCCTCGTCTCCAGCTCGTATATATAGGCGGCAATCTCTTCTCAGCGTGACCCAGCTCTTCTGCGTATGTGTCCTTCTCACTTCTCATCACGTCAACCAAGATTTGTAAGTGTAGTCGTCGGATCTCTTCCGCTATGTCGCCATCGGGCGACACGATACTCGCCATCTGCGGGCTCGTGGTAGGCTGTGCGCCAGTCGTGGCCCTCGTGGTCGGAAGGATATCTGGGAGCTCGTGGCTGCATCGTAGGTTCGAGTGCGCTGGCACAGGTACGTAACTCGCGCTTGTTGCTCTTTGGTAGCTGCCCGTCATCTGAGACAGTAACAGTTGACGAGGTCAGCAGGTCGTGGTACACCCGAAGACATCGAAGCACACCTTCGAGCGGGCGAGAGAGCTAGCGAGGATCGTCAATGAACAAAGTGGGCTGGTGCAAATAGGCTTCGGGACATCTGCCATTGCGGCTGATGTTCTGCAGACACATATACGTCAACCTGACCAGACACTGGCTGGTGTGAAGAGAGCGTGGGCAAGAAGTATTTCCGTTAGAGCTGGTGGATCAAGGTGATGATCTGTAGGGGGCTGAGCTTTCTTGCATGATTTTGCTTGGGTCGATCGAACGAACATGGGCTGGAAGCGGGAGAAGGGCAACTAGTGACATGGTCGGATGACATTTCTAGGTAACGAGCTGAGCATATAGTTGTGAAGGCCTAGCCAGCCGGGGGCCAAGCGCACCCTTGTGGGTGCCACGTGCAGTTGCTGTCTGTCCATTGGGCTCGACACTAGGGGATGTAATCCACGAAAACGCTACACATCGTACATGGTAATTGTCTACTGGAAGAACCCTCGATATCTTGAATCTGCGCCTACTAAGCGGTTTAGCGCGTTTCCCAGGCTTTCGCGGCAAACCGTAAGCTATGGCGAACCCGAGGTTGAAGCACTTCGATTGGTTCAGCGAAAGACGAATTGAACATTATGGCTTCAACGTGCGTGGATCCAGGCGACAATGAACCTTTTCCCTTCTTGTGGGCAATGTACAGGTTGTAAATTTTTAAAATCGACTTAGCCATCCACTTCTTACACACAACAGAGGGGAGATCCTGGTAGTGCTGTCTCTCCAACATCGTCATTTCTGTCCTCGGATAATCGCGTCTCGTGGGACGCTGTGTGACTGGGCAGCGAGGACGTTGACGTCGGCCCTACTTTGTATTGGTTATCGTGGTGGTCTTCATGAAACAAATACTGATTGCAGCCAGCCTGCTCAAGTCGGCTCTGAACTAAGATTCTCCTATCCAGCGGACAAAATCAGTGCGATGCTGCCGTAGGCTCCTGATTGTGCCGGCGCGGTGCAAGAGTTCGTTGTAAAACAGACGAGACCTATAGTAGTGCAGGCAAATGGTGGCGAGCACCGTGTTGTTGGGTATTGGAGGTATTGGAATAGAAGGTACTTTTCGTGGCTTTTCACAAACGCTTGAGTGCTAGGGTTAGCGAGTCGACTGACACATACCGATCAACATCTTCGCACGAGCCGTGGGTATGTGAGCTAAGAAGGGTGTATGACAATGCGAAGACATCCTACCTGTTGCGACAAGCCTTCATCTACCTTACGTCGCCAACGGGTTTCCCTCAGTCATAGCCCGGAAGAGTTGGACAGCCTCTTTGCCGCCGCCAGAAATTCGCTCGCTGACCCCATTCAGCAGTGAGCAGCCAGCCACCGTACCTCTCAAGCACTGTTGCGGAGAATTCCCATGAGAACTCGTTGAGCCAATCTTCACCCCATATCGTCATTTGG